TTTAATAGGCTATAATATTTAAATTTAACTACAATTGTATAGCTGCAATAGTAGCTTAGGCTTTTATTTTTAAACTGCAATATTTTATATATTGTGCGCTAAGGAATTGCTACTATTAAATTATTATTACTAAAATATAATTATAAAAATTTTATAAAAAATTTTTATAATAAATTTTTATTATTTTCTGCTTTTGCGCTTTATACTTTGCTTTTATTTTTACTTTCTGCCCTTTTGCTTTTTATTAAAAAAAATGTATTTAAAGTTAGTTAAATAAACGTTATAATATTTTTCTTTTTTTTTTACTAAAGAAAGCAGTACTTTTTTAAGTATATAATTATTTAGTTTTTTATAATATTACTACATTAGACTTATAGTTCTATTATAAACTAAATATATTATATATTTTTTATTAAATAATTTTTTTTTATAAACTGCAAATAAATAGCTTGCAATATACTACAGTATATCTTTTTTTAAATATAGCTTAATATAGTAAACTAGCATAGACATATAGATTTTATTATATATAGTACTATTATTTTATTATTAAATAGCTACTTAAGCGGTTTTAGCCTTTTTTTAAATAGCTATAAAGTTTTTATAGGCAGCTTACTAGTAATTGTATAAATAGCTCTAGCGCATATAAAGCTTAAAAGTCTACTTAATAACATTATTAATTTAATTATTACTAATAAAAAATTATAATTTTATACTTTAGGTAGTTTATTTATTATTTTTTATATTTAAGACTTTAAAGGGGCAAAATTATATAAAAACTACTTAATAATACTTTAAATTTGTTTTCTAAACAGGGACCCTATCAAACTATTACGCATTAATTTTATTATTAATAATTAATTAAGGCTTAGCAGCTTTTTAGCTGCCTTAGGCTATTGCAAAAAATATATAAACTACTACAATTATAAATACTACAAATACTATAATACTATAATACTATAATACTATAATACTATAATACTATAATACTGTAATTACTACAATTACTATAACTTTATAAGCTAGGATATTAATACTTAAGCTAATATAAAAATAGATTATATTTAGCAGCGCTAAATCTTTTTACTGCACTGCTAAATTCTATAATACTAAATATTTTATATTTTAAATTTTCTGCAACAAGCCTTGCAATTTACTGCTATTATTTTTATAACTATTTTATAATAAGCTTAGCTGCATATATAAAAATAACTACTAATATACTATATAATACTAAGCCTATAGTACTAAGCACTACTTAATTTTTTTGTACTGCTATACTATTATATTACTATACTACTATATTACCGCACTACTATATTGCGCATTATAACAACTATTTACTTGCTAATACGCAAGTACTTTTCTAGCCTTTTCTACTACTAGAAATTAGTAATAAATTTTTTTTTAGCATTTATTGCCTGCTTTTTAGCTAATTCTTTTAGCATTTGCTGCTAGTTAAAAAAAAAAAAACTTATTTAGCAATTTTAGCTATTTTATAATAATTTAGTAGTTTAAATATATTATTATATAGCTGCAATAACTACGTACTTTAAATATATAAATTTTTAATATAAAATTAAAAAAGCTTTAGGGCTTTTAGCAGATTTGGCTTTTATTAATTATTATTAATACTAATTTTTTTCCTGTACTTTATAATTGCAGTATTTAAGTAATTAAAGTCTATTTTATTAATAATTAAAAGCAGATATATAGTATTTACGCAACAGTTAGCAATGTATAATTAGTAAGTATATAATAAACTAACTTTTAATAAACTATAATATAAAAATAGGCTTTATTTTTAATTACTTTTATATTAAATACTATTGCGAATAATTATTGCGTTAAATAACTATTATTATTAAAAAAGTATTATAAAATTTTATTAGAAACTAGCACTTTAAAACTGCAATATTTTATATATTATATACTAAAAAATTACTATTACTAAATTACTATTATAAAAAAATTATAAAATTTTTACAACTTTTTGCTTTTGCGCCTTATATTTTTCTTTTTTTTTTTACTTTCTACTTTTTTGCTTTTTACCTTTTTGCTTTTTGCTTTTATAGCGTTAAAAAAAATTATTTTTAAAAGCTATTAGATCTATTATATAGTGCTATCCCTGCTTGCAGTATTTTTTTTTTACTAATTTTTTTTTTTTAAAGTACAGCTTAATACAGTAAACTGGCATAGATATATAAATTTTATTATATATAGTACTATTATCTTATTATTAAATAGCTGCCTAAGCGGTTTTAGTCTTCTTTTAATATTTTATATTATAGCTTTTTTTTTTATTTTATTATGCGCTTTAAATTTGCTTTATAGTTACTAAAAGTTTTTTAAAGTAAATTATATTATTTTAAAAAAAAGTAAAATTAATGCTAAAGCAGATTATATAACACAGTAAAAAAAATAAGTATAAAATTATAGTTTAAGTACTATACTTAGCACCTTTTCTTTTTCTAGAAAACTATTTTATTTTAAAGGAAGGCTAAAACCGCTTAAGCAGCTATTTAATAATAAAACAATAGTACTATATATAATAAAATCTATATGTTTATGCCAGTTTACTATATTAAGCTATAATTTAAAAAAGATATACTGCAGCGTATTATAAGCTATTTATTTAAAGCTTGCAATAAGTTTATTTAATAGTAAATATATAATATATTTAGTTTGTAAAAAGACTATAAGTCTAAACTATAATATTTATAAAGTTATTAAAGAAAAGCTTAAAAAGTTTATATATATTTAGTTATCTACTTTTCTAAATTAAGTAAAGCTTAGTAAACTTTTATTTTTTAAATTTTAATATATAAAAATAATATATTAGACTTTTTAAAAATTCTATTAAGTAAAGCTAAAAATATAGACTTATAAATTATTAATATTTTTTAATATATTATACAGGCGAGCTGCGCGCCTAAGCGAGCTGCGCACTTTACTAAAACTTTACTAAAATTTAAACTATATCTATAATATAATGCAATGCTTTAATATAATAATATACAATTTTTTAAAAAAAAACTAAATATAGCTTATAGTTTAAGCTTTAAAATAAAATATAAATTTTTCTTAATAAACTGCTACGCGAATATTTAGCATTTTTTTTAAAAATACTTAGTAATTAACTTAAAAAAACGCTTTTATAACGCAATACTAAGCTTAATAGTATAAAAAAAATTTTAATAAAAAAAAAAGTAATTGCTTAATATATACTTTACTTTAAAAACTAAAGATTTCCGCCCTAACTAGCTGCTATAAATAATATAATTAATATTTTGCTAGCTAAATATAAGCAACTACTTATTAGTAAAAACTAAGCTAGTATATTTATTAAATAATATTTATAGCTTAGTACTAAAACTTTTTAAAAGTATAATTACTAAAAAGCTTTATATAAAAATCCTAAGCTTATATAAAGCTAGTTCTAACTTATAAAAAATATATAAACGCCAAATATAGTATTTAAAATAAAAATATATATAATTTTAATAAAATAGGCTTTATAATAGGCTAGATATTATATAAAACTATTATTTTAAGTACTAATTATTAAAAATAGTTAAAAATAGTGCAGCAGAGTAATTAAAAATAAGTAATAGTAATTTAAAATATTAATATAATAAAGTAAGTTATTTTACTTTTTATTATTTTTATAGGCAAAAACTACTTTTTAGTTTAATAAAAAAAAAAGCCTACTTTATAATTAAATTATTGCAGTTTTTAAAAATAGTTAAATAATAAATAAGCTTACTTTTAAGTAGTTAAAGCACTTTAATAAGTATACTAAAAAAAAATTATTAGTACTTATTATTTATTTATTATTAATAGTTATAAAAGCTACGCATTAATCTAATTTTAATAATACTATAAAAAATAAAAAATTATTACTTTTTATATACTTTTGTATTTATTGCACTTATTATAACTACTTAATATAAGTTATTTTATACTTTTAAAAAAGGCGTATAAGTGCTAAGCTAAAAAGCTAATATATAATAGCATTAACTATATTATTAAAATTAAGTTTTTACTGTGCTTTAAACTAGCTTTTAATACTACTATTATAAAAAATAATATTTTAAGTAGCTTTAAAAGCGCTAGTCTAATTTTTTTTAATTTTAAAATTGTAATATTAAAGCTTAATATTTAGTTATATACTTTACTACTACTTATTATTAAAAATAGTTTTTAAGAGTTAAAAATACTAAGCAATATTTTAAAATTTAAGTTTTAATTAATACTAGTTAAAATAAAAATTTAAAAGCACTTAAATAATTTTTTTATTTTAATAATTAAAACTTTTAAAAAATTTTTAAAAAATGCAGCTATAGTTGCGTATAAGCTTATATTAGTATATAAAAAAAATTACTAAGCTTTAAGCAGCTAATAAAGCCGCTATATAATAAAAATTATATAAAAAAAAGTAAATATAAAAAAAAAAACTTTTATAGTAAAAAATAGTTTTTAATTAATAATTTTAAAAAAGTTTAAAGCGCGTAGTAATAAAAAAAAAATAAAAAAGTAAGTATATACTAAAGTAAGTAAGCTTTTTTAAAAGCGCTATAAATATTATAGTAAAGCTAAGTATAATACACAAATATACAAATAAAAAATAAAAGTAATTTTTAAATAAATTAGTTTATTATAATTTACTGCTATAGTTTTTTATAGTGCTATACTATTGTGTATAGTACTAATTTTAGTAAAATTTTAGCAAAGTGCGTAACTCGCCTAGGCGCGCAGCTCACCTGTGTAATATATTAGTTTATAGCTTTATTTATAATTTTAAACTAGCTTTATAAAATAAACTAAAAATTACTTAAATAAGCCTAGTATTTATAAAAATAATAAAAAGTAAAGTTATTACTATTAATTTTAGTGGAGTTTTAGCAAAATGCGCAGCTTGCCCGTGTAGTACGTTAATACATTTGACCTATAATAATATAAGGACAGCTATATTCGAATCAACGTCGCCGTCGCGCTAGCTACTTCCTGTACCACATCCGGGTAACCTTCGTCTTTCTCATCTTCTTCTGCAGCTGAAAGATGCCATACATTAACGCTTCTGCTGTAGGTGGACAACCTGGCACGTAAATGTCAACAGGAATTATCCTATCCACACCTCTCACAACGCTATAACTGTAATGATAGTATCCTCCGCCATTCGCACAGCTCCCCATGCTGATTACCCACCTTGGTTCTGGCATCTGGTCGTAGCAAAGTCGCACCGCGGAGGCTGTCAATGCAGTCAGTAATCGTTCCAAATCTCGCTAATTCCACACCAGCGCTTACCTATCTTGTTCGTTACAGTCCCAGCAACAATCATAACGTCGGCTTGCCTAGGCGAAGCGCGAAAGATAATGCCTAACCGGTCTTGGTCGTAGCGAGGCATCGAGAGGTGCATCATTTCGATGGCGCAGCATGCCAAGCCGAAACTGAGGGGCCAGAGAGAGCTTTGTCTTGCCCAATTGACAAGCTGGTCGGAAGTCGTGCTGCGTATGTTAGTAAGCATGTTCACTTCTTCTAGGTAACTACTCACAGAACATGCTCAACCACACTAGTACTTTTGCGAATGGTGGATGGTAGTTTAGAGTCTTTGGCCTGGGAAGAAGAATGCGTTTGCCTCGATGGTGCATTTATTCCGAAGGAAGTAGATGTATGAAAGCCCAAAAGACATCGAGGCGTAACAGCTGCAAGTGTGTTAGCCACAACTCCTCGAATGAGAACCGACATACCACGATTGGTGCTTCGCCTGAAGACACTCTGCATCTCAAATAGTATTTCAGTATTCTGGTACAGTTTTACAGGCTCAAGAGTCTCTGTCGAAAATTCTTTGGCATATGGTTGCCGCAATCACGTGCCATGTCCTGTTTGGGCGATGGTGCTATTTCAAACATCGGGGAAAGCCCACACTCGGGGAAAGCCCACAGCAACATGTTATTCACAACCTTTAACAATGAATACAATACACCGTGCAGCTGCGCAAAATCGATGCTTAACATGCCTAAAAGTTTTCAAGAATCAAAGTCATCTCCGACGACATGAGAGAAGTCGTGCGTAATAATCCTGCTCGACCCTGCACTACAGGATGCTGATTCTAGCAGACACGAACGAACCGTCGCACCAGTGCACCTCCTGCTCTCGCACCTTCCTCCGACAGTAAGCTATTTTACATGTCCTGCACGCGATCTCATTATCTTTAACCTATGTCATAGTGACGCTCTCCGACGCCACCTCAAAACATGTCTCACGGTAGAGCAGTGCGATGCGCTCCATGCGTCTAAACGAGGCAGGAAGCCCCGCGCATGTCAAAACTGCCAGTCAAAGAAGATACAATGCGATAGGAATCGACCTTGCAAGCGGTGCGCTTCAAGTCAAGTCGATTGCTCTTATGCGTAAGTCAACACAAAACTACCAGACTCACTAGGATCTCAATATTATCTATCAAGGGTTAAGGTCTAACAACTGAATGTACTCAGATTTGTGGATGATGGAGATCTCGAGTCTTCTCATGTACCAATTACGTTTTTACGTAACTACACTGATCCGCTCCTCGGATCGGTTTCGGATGCATTCGTCCTCTCAGCTGCACATGCCGAGCCCTTTGACGAGCTGGGCGAAAGCTTTACCAGCTATATGTATGACGACTACATGGAAGACCTCTTCTCTGGTGTGTTCTCAGACTTCTACCCAAATGAGAGTGTTGAACCCATCGATTCGATAAGGGCACCGATTTCCTTCCTTTCTTCGCCTCTGATCGAGAAACGCAAAGAAACAATTCTGTCACTACTCGCAAATCAGTATAATTCGGCCCATGATACTTTCAGGTTCCCGAGAGGCCATTTTCCCGTAGAATTAGCCAGAGCGGTGTTTACCGGCAACAACATCGCAAAGTGTGTAACAGCATTCTTTACCATCTGCCATCTATATGCACCGTTTGTCCACCGACCATCTTTCGACATCGAGAAAGTATCTTTGCCATTGTTAATCGCAATCACGCTTCTCGGTTCGGTTTGCGCTGCACCACAAGATGATGTCTTGTCTGCTCGGTACTTCTTTGAGCTGGGAGAAGAATACGTATTCAGGTTGCTACATCAAGTAGGCACAGTCAGCGATCAGTCAAATGATGAAAGCATTGAGATAGTACAAGCTGCCGTACTTATGCACGCGTTGCAAATGGACCCAAACGATGACGGCGTTCGATTGAGAATACGAGCACAGCGATTTCCTGCGATCGTTGCTGCGTTGCGAAGGCTAGACTTATTTGGGACCGTTCGCAAAGCCTACACTAGACTTGCCGACTGGGATATATTCATCGCCGACGAGGTGAAAATTAGGTACGAGACACGTTACACTTCTCATAATCAGACATGATACTGACATCAGAAGACTGGCGGCTAGGGTGTTCATGATTGATTGTATGAGTACTATGTTCTTCAAGAGCCCTCCCCAGATCACCGTTGCCGAAGTGTCTGGAGATCTTCCAAGTGCTGATGCTTTGTTCGAGGCTTCATCGTCAGCTGAATTCTCACAAGTCGTAGATTCGTTTGAACCCTTTGAGCTCAGGACACGAAGCTTGAAGAACTTAGTCTCTTTGTTCTTGGGCGATGAGTGGACCGGCCCAGAAGCTCCAAGTCTAGCCGTTATTGGATCAGAGCACCTAATATCACTCCTGTTTGGTTAGTCATCACACTGTGATCATGTTTATTACTGACATTCAATAGCCTTCCACTCTCTCGTCTTTGTGTCTCGCACCGGACTGCTCATACCATCAACATTCTCGAGCCTCCTCCGTGCCACAAACCGGTGGAAAGAAGTTTGGCATCCCGTTTCTTCGAGAGAATTGTCGACCGGAGGACGTCTCGTTGGTTTCGCAAAATACGGTCTTGAGCTGTGGTGGCTCACACAAAAGATCCTTGAACTAGCACCATTCGAGGACACACAGAGTCGGTATATGATAAGGAGGCCAACGGACTCTCTAAAGGAACTTCATGACTTTATTCAGCAGTATGCAAAAAAATAGCAAACTTGAGGAATCTACCCCTAGCAGTAAGAATTAGCTACCTAAGTAGTTTTGTTTTCATTAAATAACCTTAATCATTAAACGCTATTAATGTTGCTTAGCCTAGTTATATTCTTTCCAAATAAGTCCCTTAGGGGGCACCTTCCACTGAAGGTTATAATCTAGTAAATCTACCATCTGGCTCCACTCCGACTCTACGCGTGCAGCTTTGTCGCTGTTTCTCGGCACGATTCTAGCTTGAAACGGCTTTGGTTGTACTAGCATTCCCTCTGTTAGGTCACCTGCGTCTGGAATTATCTCGTTACCATTAGCACCGCGTGCTGTGTGAAAGTCAAACGCCCATAGTAGACGCGCTATGGCAAGAAACAGCGACCGCTCAGCAATATGCATCCCTTGACACAAACGTCGACCTGCACCGAACACAAAGTGATCGCGCTTTGCAGCATTTGAGTTATTCGCTGCCTCCGCCGCAGTCTGGTGATCGTTGGCATAGCGGGCAGGCTCGAAGCGTCGCGGATCAGGATGCCGCTTAGGATCATTATGAATCGCCCAGACATTCCACATGACACCTGCGCCTTTCGGGATCTTATAGCCCATATACTCATCGTCACGGATAACAGCGTGCGGAACGCCCAATATGTCGGTTGGCATCCAGCGCATGCTCTCCTTTACGCAGCCACGAATGTAGGGTAGATCTGGCTCATCATCTAGGGTCGGAAAGCGGGTCCCACAAACACGATCAAGTTCTTCCTGGGCGGCTTTCGCAACCTCTGGAAACAACACCATTGCCTGAATGACTAGTAACAGTCAGAGTAGTTCTTTCTTGTCTTTCTGGTGATACCTACAGCCAACAAGCGTCGCAGCCGTTGTATCGGAACCTGCTTCCAGGAGCGAGCCGCTAACGTAGCCTGCGAGGGAATCTGAGAAACCCTCCTCATCTTGGGCACGAACTAGATCAAGACAGAAACATGGCCTGGCCGTGCCTTTCTTGATGGCCTTCTTTGTCAGTTTTAGCTCCTGATCTCCGACAATTCAGATCTTACCTGCTTCACGTTTAGCCAGTGGCCAACATATAGTTCATTTTCCTTCTCATGCAGCTTCTTTGCGTATCGCCGCAGCGGAAGCGCAATGTCTGGTAGTGCTCGAAGGAGGGGATATAGATCAAGAAGCGCTGCGGTCTGCGTTCCAGTGACCTTGCTGAATTTTTCAAACCCCTAAGACTGTAATCAGCAGCTTTACACATGTGAGTTTTGGGCGTTTGTACGTCAAAGAGCTGCTTCAGCTTGGGATCATGGATGCTCGTTGTGCGGAAACCAAAGATCATCTGGGTTGTCAAAGAATTCGTGTATCGCCGAATGTGCTCAATGAACAGGTCTGGCGTCTCCAGGAAGCCAACAAGCATGGCCTTGTTCTCTAGGTCCTGGTATGGAACGTACGTCCTCGCTGCCTTGATGTTTAAGTTGTTATGAACAATCTTACGAATCATGCGCCAGGTTCCACCGTATTCCTAGCGTCGTTAGCACACCTCATCTAGAAGCAGTCACATGGAATTGATTGAAAAGCCTACCATCAGTAGCATGCGTAGGCCGCCGCTCACGACCCGACCGATATACATATCTGGACGCGAGGAATATATGCCACTTCGCTTATCCAACAGATCCTTGATTGCCTGGTCCGAGGATAGCACAATCATTACCTTTGTACCAAGAATAAGCGAGTACACTGGGCCATATTCTTCCGCCCATTTCTGGAACTGTAGATGGGCTTTCTCCTTGGGCATCAAGTGGAGGTTCCCGATTAATGGCAGTGTAGGGGGCCCGGGAGGGTAACCCACTGGCCTACGACCAACCTTGCTGAGTCGATAAACAGCCAGAGCCACCAGGGTGGCTATAAAAGTGTAAAATGTGAGAGACATGATAGCGGGAACTGGGCGTTGACTTGGCCTTGCACTAGACGAGCAACAGTGTGTATATATCAGGTATGGTAACCTCACCGATTAAGATATCACACAGGTCACGCCTTCGCAATATGGAAACATCGCTGCGCAGATTCAGTCAGGACTAGCAGGCCAAACGCACTACACCTCTCTTCCATTGGCTCCCTTCCTCCCTAGCGAACCCGAGCGCAGGCGTCTATGCCCGGCATATAAAGGTAATATATGCTAGCATCGACTTTGCAGGGGATTTTACATGCGGGGATGGGAGGAGGGGAATTAACCAGGATTATAAACGGTGAACATTGATATGATCCGTGGTTTCTATACGAGACAACAATCGGTAGCTCGCGTTGTTTGTCTCGATTAGGCTTGACGTGCACCCCCTCTTCTTGGTGGACCATATTCGGAGGAGTCATATCCAACCTGGGATAAGTTGTTGCTATTATAGCAGTGAACAGCCGTGGCGAGCTTTATATGAGAAAGCCACACTGCTGACCTATACCTCACCTCGCCTTATCCCGTCCTCGGCGAATCCAAGTCGTCAGAAGGACCCGTCGGCAACAACAGCAAGCTCAAGGGCACGGCGTTGATGCATGGTACCAAGCTGGACTTTCAGACAGAATTATACATGGCACAAATACGAGGAGATATTACGGTTGCATTGTACTACGCCAAAAATTACAATTGACTATATAAACTGCTGGCACGCAGCACCTATTGGTTCCGATGATAGCACTAGGGTACTAGTGACGACAATTTATGGATAGAACAGTGCATTGCTTTGCTACAAAACCAAGATTATGGCTAGGAGGAATGTTGTAGTTGTTCGCGGCGACGAAGAACTGGCGCAAGAGGAAAAGTCTTCTTCGGGAATCTACTGAAAACTAGTTCAGTCGATAATCGCTGTCACAGCATGTTCTCGTCATGTATCGTGCATGTACGTTACCACAGACAGACGCAAAGCGAACAGACAAAATAGTCTCAGGCAAGGATGACTGCATAACAAAGCTGCGAGGCCTATTAAGGACACATGCTTACTGAAGACCTGCTTAAATAGTCAGCAACTAGAAGTAGTTGTGGGTAAAAATATGTGCAGGTAGTTATAGCGCTAATCAGATTCTTGCCCTGTCACAGGCAATTCTCACCATCGCCGTAGCTCGGTAGACCGTCGTGATTAAATTAATGTTCATCTTGTAATGCGAAGAAACGAAAGAAAATAGGCAGATGGTAACTTACCACATACAAAAGGTGGGCAATCACTAGCCATGTTCGTTGTACCTACACAGCTGTTAGTTGGCGTCTTGAGGAGCCGCTGACGCGAGAATATGTAGAAATGCAGATCAGCCGTGACTGGTATCGTCGTTGCCGAAGCTTGGACATATGCTTGTCTTTGTATGTGTCGATTCATCATTGCGAATGGGGGGGATCAGTCGGAAGCGTACCGTATTGTCAAGTGGCAACCCTCGAGTTATCCTGATACACAGTCAGCACAATATCCTACTGAATAGCAAGGGCAAACGAGATAGTGTAGAAATGGATCAGTTGGCATGAATGGTAAATTTTGATTGAATCGTCAGCGGGCGAACCCATCGGACTCGTCATCTAAGGTCGCATCATATCCAGATTGAGTAAAAGGAAAAGCACTTACGAAAGTCAACTCGCCATCACTGTGTGATGGTAGTATTGAAAACTGTTGTAGTTCAGCTTGTGTCCAGCTAATTGTGTCCTTGGTTTGTGCGGCTTGAGAACAGAGTCAGTCGGCGAGGTTTCTGAGGCCTGCCATAGATAGGCGTATCCGTCAAGAATTTTCGGAGCCCAGTGCCGTATCATCATAGTGTGTTCGAGCTTAAATCGAGGAGTAGAGTGGACCGTACCGATGGCTGGACGAGATATCAAGAGTATCTGCACAAAGCGAACTTAGCAAAGTACCACAAGTGAAGGAGAGAAAACGATGTAGATGGGGTTGGGATCAGAAACAGCCATTGTTTATCGGCATAGACCGAAGTCTTGGTCGGTAATTTCCAGCGTGCCGTAGCACAACAGGTCATCATTGGAAGGGTTTGTGAAGAAGTTGAATGGTAGGTACGTACTGTTGATGCCGCGTGGGCAGACCATTGCACTTGGATCCAAAATCGAGGGTGCGAGATTCATCAAAGTGCATCGGACTACACTCGGTCACGACGGATGTTGATCTTGATGGAAGTTAGCGAGTTCTCCATGAAGCAGATATCGCCAAAGGACAGTGTCGAAGCAGTCGCGTTCAGACTGACGTGCAAGCAAAAGTTTCATTCCTCGGAAGGTCAAAGACTCTAGTTTGAATTTGGCTTTGTGTATCATCATGTAGCGTGTGGGAGGTGGAGGGAAAGATTGCCTACCTTGAGGGTCGAAGCCTCGCAAGAAGGACATGAAGGCCATCTGTTAGTTTAACCGATCATTACTATGATGGTCGCGTGCGTCGTGCTGCTTCGGTCCATTCACAACCGCTCGGGGAGTGTGTAGGAAGGAAGCTCTGCAAGTTGGATGAAAAAAGTTGCAGGCGGTCGGAGCGGAGTTTTAAGCTAATTTTCCGTGCCCTCTAGCGTATTGCTGAGTCAGCGAAGAGCTTGGCGGGTCAATGCTTGGCGGAATAGCAATTTGTTCACGACAGCGACTGAAGATTGAAAGGGGCAGCGTTTCATGACTTTAAACTTCGGATTTAAATTTCCTAGCTTGCATTTCCACATCATCATGCCACCAGCACCACCGCCACCTTGCAACTAGCAAAGGGTCGCTTTCCTTCATCACTATGACCTAGATGAGATCGTCCACCTCGTTCTATCAAAGCCTTCTTGGTGGATTCAGCCTACATACCAAACCTTCGCCTCCAGAATTACCTCTCGCGGGCCTGGAAAGGAAACTATCAGGGCGCGTGGATGGGTATTACAGGATCTCATGAAGTCGACAATCACCAACGAGGCTGTCGGCATGCGCCGTCAAAAGGGACTGTGACCGTAAAGTCATTATAATTCGTGTGGAACGTAGTCGTCTCTTCTTATGTTATGAAGCAAATATGCGAACGTTAAGATCGACGCACCCTGTCGCAATCACACATCGTATCCCTGCCTTGGCAACATCGTCTTCTTTCTTCTTACTGACTCCGTTTGTCGCGCCATTGGGTGCATCTCCGTTGACAGGAACGTCTTTGACGATGTTGGGCGCCCATCGCATACAGCTGACGAAGTGACCGTGTGCATCTGTGACGACCTTTACGCATCGACCTTCTTGGGTAAGGTCCCAACATCGAATGGTCTTGTCGTCGCTCGCCGATAGCAAATATTTGCCTCCAGGATGAAAGACCAGGGCGCGGATCCAGTTGTCGTGTCCAGCAAGAGTCTTGATCAATGTTCCCCGCCCGTCCCATATTTTGATCGTCTTGTCTCTCGACCCCGTTGCGATGAATTCGGCGGAGCTGCTGAGCGGTGGTGGCTTCTTCAAACCGGCGAGGGAAGCAAGATGAGTGTAGGACACGGGCGGCGCTATCGCCACGCACTCGATGACATGCTCGTGTCCGAGGAAGGTGCACTTGGCCTCTCCGGAGCTAGCATCCCACAGCCGTGCCGTCTGATCGTTTCCTGCAGAAACCAACCATCGTCCGTCAAAACTGGGCGCCACATCTCGCACCCAGTCGGCATGCCCTCGTATCGTCTTGACACAATATCCGGTTGTGACGTCCCATATCCGTAGCGTCTTGTCGCGAGATGCAGAAACAAGCAGGTTGCCGGACGAGGGCGAACCTGCGGCGCCACTAGGGACGAATCGAATCGCAGAGACGGAGTGGTCATGTCCGGGTAGTGTCCGGATGTTCTTGTACTCGTCAGAGGGGTCCCAGAGCTTAATGGTCAGGTCGCTCGAGCACGAGGCTAAGAGTGTTCCGCCTCTTGGACCGCCAAAGTCGACATCAAGGACGCCTTTTGTGTGCCCTTTTACCGTCCTTTCTAGCTCGCCTAATTCCCAGTCCCAGATCTTGATAGTGGTATCTTCTGAGCCCGACGCGAGCGACGAGAAGACAGGATGGAAAGCGACGCATGTGATGGGCGAGCGGTGGGACTGGAGGGTGTGCCGTGCGGGGGCTCGTGGTAGCCAGCTGGTGGGGTCTTGGTTTCTTCGGAGGAGTGACGTAGGGGTTGTCGAGTCGAGTTCGCTCTGGAGGCTCTGATTGCGCTGCTCAAGCTCCAGAACCTGTGAGGTATGAGCCATGTGTAGCCAGGGTCTTGGAGCCGGAGAGCAGCTACCTTCTTCTGTAATCGGACCACGCTGGTCCACTTCTTCTCCAGCAGTCCCTCGTACTTTTTCCTGGTTGCGTCGTCGAAGGCGGCCGAGACGTTCACCTCTTGGCGAAACGCTTCTGCTGTTTTGGGCGCATGGACGACGCCTAGGTAGGCTATAATGGCCTTGTGTCTGTCGGCCGTTAGTGTCTGGTGGTAGGGTGAAGGCGTGGGGGTAGGGCGCTCACAGCTCTTCGGCCTGTCGGTCTGTCAGGATGGCGCTCATGGCGGAAGACGTAGATCTAAGCTCATGCGAGAAGAAGGCCGCAAGTGTGCACCATGCGCCGAGGACACTTGGCCGCGCTCACGACGAGGTCTTGTCTTGTCTTGTCTTGTCTTGTGCCGCGCGTGTGTGTGTGTGGTGTGTGTGCGTGCCGAGTACGCAAGTCAATTAGTTCCGACGCTGTTGGCGGATTGCGGCAAGTTGCGGTGAGTAGTGGGCAGCGGTAGCGACGTTGGTGGGTGAGGATAGCGAGTGTGTCGTCGTGCAAGCAAGGCAACGTTGTGTGCGGGGAGGGGGATTATTCTGCAGCGGACCTGGCATGCATGTGCATGATGGGAGTGGTAGTATTCTGTGCATGGCATGGTATCTTGTGCATGGTGTTCGTTTGCGGTGGCAGGGATGGGGCCGCCAGAGCGAATGATGCAGCTCCTGTCGCTCCGGGAACGCGCGCGCGACCAACACACAGCACAAATAGTACGTACACAACACGCAGCTTTTGCATCGCCAGCCAGGCCCTATCGCTGATCTACTACTCCTGCCATTCAACCCCATCGAGAGTGCGCAAAGTAATCGTCTTTGCATCCACTGACCCTCCCTTCTCCTCGACCACCACCCCGCACCACTCACTGTCCGCCTTCCCCCCGCGCCCGCATACCCACAATCACAGTCGCAAACACTCACTCATACCATGGCGGACCAGGAAGAAGACTTCACCTCGCTCCCGCTCCCCGATCGCTTCACACACAAGAACTGGAAAGTGCGGAAAGAGGGCTACGAGGCCGCCGCCAAAGAGTTCAACCTTGCCGTAAGCGAATCAGACGCCGTTGTGCGCCAATTCATCAACGATGCGAGCATCTGGAAAGGCGTGGTCGGCGACTCCAACGTCGCAGCACAGCAAGAAGGCCTAGGCGCACTATGCGCCTTTCTCGAGATATCAGGACATGCGGGTTGCACGCGGTAAGGCCGCCCTCATCAGCTTCTTGTTATGGCACAATAAAGAGCTGTTTTGCTGATTGAATGATGCCTTAGCACGCGCAACGTCACAATCGCGACAATCGCCGAGAAGGGCCTGCCGTCAACGAGGGCAGCCGCCAAGCAGAAGGCGCTCGAAGCCCTGATGCTGTATATCGAAACCGACAAGCCCGACCCGGTCATCGAAGAGCTCCTGCCCATTCTCTCCCACAAGCAACCCAAGGTCATCGCTGCAACCTTGGACGCGCTTACCCAGATCTACCACGCCTTTGGCTGCAAGACCATTGAGCCAAAGCCGCTTCTCAAGCTGCTCCCCAAAGTCTACGGCCATGCGGATAAAAACGTTCGCGCAAAGGCACAGGAATTGACGGTCGAGTTTTACCGATGGCTAAAGGAGGCCATGAAGCCGCTCTTCTGGAACGAACTCAAGCCAGTCCAGCAACAGGACCTAGACAAACTCTTTGAAAAGGTCAAAGACGAGCCTCCACCCAAGCAAGAGCGACTACTGCGCTCCCAGCAGGCTGCCAAGGAAGCTGCTGTCGCCGCCCCGGGTGGCGACGAGGAGTTTGGTGAGGAGGAGGAAGAGGTTGCCATTGATCTCGAGCCCGAGTTCGAGGCAGTCGATGTTTTCCCCAAGATCCCAAAGGACTACTCGGAGCGATTGGCATCATCCAAATGGAAAGACCGAAAAGAGACACTTGACGAGGTCCACAAAGCCTTGAATCACCCCCGAATCGCCGAAGGCCCGTTCGACGAATTGGTGCGTGGCTTCGCGAAAAGCATGAAAGATGCCAATATTGCCGTCGTCACCACGGCTGCCAACTGCGTCGAGCTTCTAGCAAAGGGTCTAAAGAAGAGTTTCGCCAAGTATCGTAAAGACATCATGAGCGCCATGATGGAGCGATTGAAAGAGAAGAAACAGTCGGTGACTGACGCTATTGCGGCTGCGCTTGATGCCGCCTTCGCTTCTACCAGCTTCCAGGAGTGTCTAGATGAGATATTAGAGTTTTTGAAGCACAAGAATCCCCAAGTAAAGCTTGAGTCGTCAAGATTTCTGATACGTTGCCTGAAAATCAGTCGCGAAGCTCCCACGCCAGAGCAAGCCAAAGCCATAGCCGAGGCTGCTACCAAGTTGCTCACAGAATCGCAAGAGGTACAGCGCTCTGCCGGTGCTGAGGCACTTGGTACGCTTTGGAAGATCATGGGAGATCGCATCATGAACGCTCATCTCGATGGCCTCGACGACATTCGCAAGAACAAGATCAAGGAGTACTTCGAGTCTGTTGAGGTCAAGGCCAAGTACAAACCCAAGGCTGTAGCTCCATCTAAGCCTGTAGCTGCTCCAGTAGCGACCAAGAAGCCCATGGGTAAGCGACCAGCCCCAGGCGGAATGAAGAAGCCAGCGCCAGCAGCCGTAGCTCCTCCAGCGGAAGAGCCCATGGCACCCCTTGCACCTAAACCCACATCGAGACCTGGAGCTTCCAAGCTAGGTGCTCCCAAGCCTGGACTTGCTGCACCATCGAGGTTGGGAGGTCTGAAGAAGCCTGGTTCGGGCCTTGCTCCCTCACCCAAACGACCTGTGGCTTCACCTCCTCCTGAGGAGGTAGCACCACCCCCACAACCCAAACTTGGAGCTGGGCGAGGCCTTGCCGGACGTCCCCTTGGAAAGCCGGCCACTGAGGCTACTGCTGCGCCGTCTCCCATATCACAAGCTCCTACCGGGCTCAGTTTGGTAGAGCGTGCAGAATTGGAAGAACTTCGGGCAGAGGTGGACCGCATCAGGCGGCATAATGAAGATTTGCGCGGAGAGCGGACGAGACTCACTTCGCAAATCTATGAGCTCCAGAACCAGAATGCCCAGCTCATCGAGGATCATACTCGCGATGTCCTTTCTATCAAAGCAAAGGAGACTCAGCTGGTCCGGGCCCGATCAGATTTCGAAGCCGCGGAACAGACGGTCCAAAACCAACGCCGAGAAGTCGACCGTTTGAAGCGTGAACTCAATCGACAAGTACGAGCTACTTCACCCCCACCGACAGATTTGGCAGACCAAATCTACACTGATAACCACAACGCCAACACCAATGGTGCACGGCTCGGTGACTCTGGATATGGTAGCCAAGGCCTCTACGGCAGAAGAGATAGGGGATACGCTAGCGGGCCGACGAGTCCGGGTGGTGATGGTAAGGAGAACTTTGATTCTCTCTCTCGCCCTAGCAGTAACTTGAGCGGAAAGCTGAGTCCTCTGCGAGCAGATGCATCTGGCAAGTCATCGCTGTCATCACGAGGCGGTGGCCGAATAAGCCCAGCAGAGAACGGGACCAGTCGCATTGGAGGCGGCCCAATGCATGCCAGTTCCGGTGCAGAAAGCTGGAAGCGTGCTGCTGAGGTTACGCAGAATTTGAAGCAGAGAATTGAGATGATGAAGGCAAGTCTTTGTCTGCAAACATGCACCATGATGGTTATAGAGGGCTAACGTGGTTTCTAGGCTAAGCAGGGCATCGGAAGGCCGCCGCCACAATAAGCTACCGACATTTCTCACGTTCATGATACGCCCACGAGCTGCATGTGCTACGTATGCAGGTGATGAGTTGCGTGGGCTGCACCCCGCACTGTAGCTGTTTGCTTTCTTTTGCGTGCATTTGTCCTCGGCGCCGTTAGGCCTTCGTGGCCCCTCGCGTGTTTCATGTTCTGCACGCCTTCCTGCATGCATATTACCCGTGGGCATTTTCAGCGGCGTTGGATCGGATTTGGGTTATATCGATGTGATTGGGATGATTCAGGCATAATGGTGGGGATAGGCGAAACATGCACGATAGACTCTGGGTGCAGGGCGGGCCGGCAGGCTTCATGGTTTTCATCAGTACGAGATTCCCCCTTATGCATGTTTGTCTCCTTCGGTTGTAGCAACTTTAACAGAGCCAATGAGGCTCATCTGCTCTGCTCACCTTCTGGAAATTCCGCTGTGCCGCCGCACAAAGTGATGTTGCTTGGCATGGTTGCTTTCATAAGCCTGGGCATGTCGCTGTGTATCTCCGTGCCCACCATGTCTATCTATACCAGAGCTCATGCGCCTGTGGTAGCCTTCCCAGACCCGTGCCCATGATGGAGTCTGGCCTGTCCTTGCGCATGCAGACGACGCTGGAGGAGCTGCTGCCTGCTTTTGGCGCTACTGCCCCACTGAAGCAGTACAACCCCACCGCTTCTATCGACTTGTCAAGCGCGCAAAACGAGGTTCTTCGCTCGGAACTCGTCGAATTCTTCAAGAGCACGATAGAAGACAAATTAACAGGCCAGGTCCGTGTGCGTCAAGTCGCATGGCCTCAACTCTACTGACCTAGTGCAGGCTTTCGCTTTGCCGGGTCCTGGTCGTCTGGATGGGGGGCATCTACAGCTCCGCGAAGCTCTAGCTTCTTTCTTCAACACATGGTGGAATCCTATTCATGTGGTCAAGCCCGAGCACATTGTGCTCACTGCGGGTGCCAGCGATGCACTCGAAAACGTCATCCACGCCGTGTGCGACGACGGAGACAGCGTTTTGGTCCCCGGCCCATACTGGTGTAAGTCACCACTAGCCTTTCTTCATGCTCGAGGATCGACTCTTATATCAGAATATTAGACGGCTTCGAGCACATACTCAAGTCACGAGCCAACGTCAACGTAATCCTTGCCCAGCCACCCACCTACGAAAACTATGACAACTATCTTCTCCCATCACTACAGGCGGCGTACGACTTCTCAGACGACAGGTCACGTATCAAGGCTGTTCTGCTGTGTAATCCGCATAATCCCCTGTCGAGATGCTATCCCAAGAAGGCCCTCTTGGAGCTCATGGAGTTCTGCCAGGAGCGGGGACTTCACTTGATATCTGACGAGATATATGGACTTGCGGGATTAAATGGCGTACCTACAAGTGCTCCGAATTTTGTGAGTGCTCTGAGTTTGACCGAACCGCTTGTACCGGAAGGCGCGGTGAAGGTTGACCCGAGCCGCATACATGTAGTTTGGAGTGCGAGCAAACTGTTTGGTATGAGTGGTTTTCGAGTGGTAAGTGTTTGGAATCCGCTTGGTGGTTCCTTTAATAGCCCCAAAAAATAGTCTGACGCATATTAGGGTTGTCTCGTTTCCCAGCAAAACCCCCAGCTCCTCACCTCAGTCTCGCTATTGACATTAAGCCACACCAACAATATCGCGTCCCTCTGTCTCTACCACCTCCTTACATGGTCGCAATTCCCCACCCTCCTCACATTGAACTCTGAGCGACTTACAGCGTCCTACCGCTTACTTGCTACCTTTCTGCACAAATGGAGAATCGACTTTGTCACCCCTACGCATGGCATCTTTCTATTCGCCAAACTAGTGAAAAACGCGAGAAGCGTAGAAGATGAGAGGTCGTTCTATGATCGACTTGCGCTTCATGGCGTGAAACTTGGGCAGGGGCGGTTTTATAGAGGCGTAGAGGGAGATTTTGGGTGGACTAGGATACGGTTCTCAGTATCCATCGATGTTTTGAAGTCGGCTTTGGCGAGTATCGATTCATTCCTTTTGCAGAACAACTAAACAATGCGGGGCTTTCTCATGCTTTGGTGAACCTTGGTAACAGCGTGCCTTTTGTCTATTTACTCATTCATCTATACTCCGTGTCACCTTTGTCCTACTTGCTTTCCGTGGGGTATTTTTATTTTTATTTTTATTTTCATTTTCATTTTCAAAGAAGAATAGTATCAAAAGGCTCTTTGATGCATTAGCTCATTGTAGCGACGACTCGAAACACCTCATACAGGACCAAGAGAAAAATCAAGTTGAAAATGCAGTTACTTGCTAAACTATGCATGGCTCGGCACCTAGATGGAGTCGTGCAAGGTATGCGCTCTTGCTCTTAAATGAAAATGAAACGACTCACTTCCGTTAGAGCGGAGCGAGCTGGCGCAGTTGTGTGTATAAAAAGAATCTTTTCAGCCTACTATTTCGAACTACTTGGTAACTTTCCCTCGTTCGCTTCAATGTAAGCAACCAGGTCTTCAATGGTGCACACTTTGATCCCCCATTTATTGCCAAAGGCCAGACACTCGTCCCGCCTCATCATACCGCCGCCAACCAACTCTGGCTTGCCCTCTGTCTCCTCTCCGTCCGTAATCAGCTCGCAAATGACGCCCACGGGCTGCTTTCCCGCTAACCTGCATAAATCGACTGCAGCCTCTGTATGTCCCCTCCGCACCCTGACACCGCCATCGCGCGCTTGTAGTGGAAGAACATGTCCCGGTCGTCGGAAATGCGATGCTTTTGCTGAAGGATCGGCCAGCATACGGCATGTGAGACTTCGGTCGTGCGCTGAGATTCCCGTGGACACGGACGGATCTTCTGCATCGATGGAAACGGCGTATGCGGTTCGATTCGGATCCGCGTTGTCGGCGACCATCTGTGGAAGGTGGAGGGCGGCGGCGCGGGAAACGGAGAGGGGTGCGCATATATACCCCGATGAGTAGCGGATCATGAACGAGGCTTTGGCAGGTGTCAGGGCGGACGCAGCGATGATGAGGTCGCCCTCGTTTTCACGAGAAGTGTCGTCGAGGACGATTACGAATTCGTCGTTTGCTGTTGGAATGCACCTGTTAGTGCCTGCAGGGCCTTGTAGATATGGACATGGGGAGTAAGCGCACCAAAGGCTTGTATGACATCTGGTATTGAGTCGAAGAGCGGATGTGCTGGTGTAGGATTCGCGACTCCGTTGGCATGGCCATTGATACCGTTGGTGGCGCTGACGGCGGGCATGTTTGAGAAGCTTGTTGATTTCAATTGCTTGGTCTAGGCACTCTCCTTCTCTTAACTCTCACTGCTGGCTGCGGAATGATGCCGTTCCGTGTCGTTGTACAGCCTAGGTGCGAAACAGTCACTGCTTAGAAAAGGCGGCGTTACTTTGGTAAGCAAAAGCCGAAGCCGGAGGGATCCGCTGGTGTTCCGGCGCCGAAGGTCTTGGAGAGAGAAGGTATCGACCCCTTAGAGGAGTCAATTGTACTTGTGAGGGTCAAAGAAACGGGCGACAATAATATATTGTGGAAACTACGCTCGGTGTCTGATCGCCACAAAACGTTCATCTATTATGCGGATGGGTGGGGGTGGTGCCTCGGCCCTGGGGCCCTGCATCGGTGCCCGTCTAACGCGCCGGTCCCGATGAGGGCTGGTTTGGGTTCCGACTGCCGATGCTTATTTGTTTCACAAGAACGCAAGTCGAATCCTACGTAAATAAAAATCATACTTGTGATTGATTGGCTAGGAATCAAATTCTGTCGCATGTAAGGGTATATACAGAAACTCGTCATCACCTTGCCTAACTAATGCATGTCAAGCATGTACAGACACTGACAACCCCAAGGCGGCGTTATAAAAGTACAAAAACAGAGATATCGAACGATTGTATTGGCTATGCATGTGCACCATTCTGTGCCATGACACAAGCTGATGCCGTTCAAGCAAGCTTCCGGGTTTGCTTGTTAGAGACAAACTCCTTCTCAGGCACGTTGTGGGCCGAGCTACTCTCGCTCTTGGGATCAACGGTTTGCATCTGGACGCCTTCCGTCTCGTGGTCGGCCTTCCAAAAGTGCCTCTTGCCAGAAATGATCCTCTGCGTCCACGGCGGGAAGAAACCGCCGGGAATGCGCCAGGTCCAACGTTCCTTCTCTTCCTTGTTTGGCGGAACAATACGGCCACCCGACGCCTTCTCGATGATGTATACGAGTGTATTGATGAGGATATAGGAGCAGATGCCGGCAATCAGACCGTAGGCGATCGAGTAGGTAAAGGGCATAATCGCAATGGTGAGGAAGGCAGGGATGGCGTCGCCCATGTAGCGCCAGTTGATGTCCTTGGCAGACTGCGCCATGAGAGAGCCAACGATGATGAGCGTGCAGCCGGTTGCCCAAGGAGGGATGGAAGCGAAAATGGGTGCGAAGAAGATGGAGATGAAGAAGGCGAGACCAGCGAACATGGCAGTAAGACCAGTCTTGCCACCCTCGGAAATGCCGGCACCGGACTCGATGTAAGCGGTGACTGGGGGCGAGCCCATGAGAGAGCCAATGGAAATACCGACGGCGTCGACTGTGTACGCAATGGAAGAGTTCTCAAAGTCTTGGGTACGCTCGTCGATGGCGCCACAGAAGCGAGCCATGGAGTACAGCGTACCGGTACAGTCAAGAATATCGACGTAGAGAAAGGTGATGAAAGCAAGGCCCCACTGGCCAGCGTACTGGGAAATGTCCCATTCTTGGACGGCCAAAACCTTTGTGATGGGGTGAAATGTGACGACTTTTTTGAAAAAGGCAAAGGACGAGTCGCCGACGGTAGTGTGGGGGAAATAGGTGACGCTAGTTTGGCGCGGCCAGGAGATGATGGAGACGAGTAGGATACCAAAGATGATGGCGCCCTTGACGCGATACATCATCAGCATGACGGTGAGGATACCGCCGCAGAAGATGCCGATCCACATGGCCGGGTTTCTCATTTTATAAGAAGCGGGGCAGACGCCTTTGTCGTTCTTGTACTGAGCCTCACATCCTGCAAGTTCCAGTGGAGTTGCGGTAGCGCCAGTGATGAGACCAATGCCAGCAGAGTAGGTAAGGCCGATGATAGTCAAGTAAAGTCCGATACCGACTCCCGTTGCGAGTTTGATGCTAGCTGGAATAGCTCTCGCAAGCCATTGTCGAATTCCGAGCAGGGTAAGACCAACAAAGACAAAGCCTTCTACGAAGACGGCGGTGAGGGCAACCTCGTAAGGGACCATACCAGAACCATGAAAGCCGACGACGGTATAAGCAAAGTAGGCGTTGAGACCCATTCCAGGGGCCAGAGCAATGGGCATATTGGCGAAGAGACCCATGCAAAAGGATGTCAAAGCGGCAATGGCAGCCGTGGCCGTGACCAGATCCCGCTTGACGACTTGGACGCACAACATGTACTCCTGGTTAGTGGCACACAGGTCCGCCATGCCCTCTGGTGGGCAGACGCAGGTGCCGCCCGTGTCGGACACGATGGTTGCTGCAAGTGGTTATTAGACATGTGTGTGTGTGTAATCAGGGGGTTTGATTGCTGGTGCCCGCTTACAGTTGACGGAGATGATGTAGGCCATGGCAAAGAAGGTGGCCAATCCGGCGCGGAACTCGGTGAAGAAGTGGCTTCCCTTGCGCTCTTTGGGCTGCAGAGTGGTTAGCTCGCATACTGGACAATCCATGCCCTGGAGAGGAGACGTACATGACCGGATCCCTCGAGGCGAAAGTACCTGCCCGCAAAGGAGCGCGCGACGGCCGCGTTGGCATTGTGAATCCAACCCGCCATGGTGGGTGAGTTTCTCTTTCTTTCTTTCCCTCTTCCCCACCGATATCACGGCGGCGCGATGTCTGTGTGGAAGGCGAGAGAGATGATCAATGGAGGTGCAGTCGAAGCCAGTCGTGGGAGAGCTTGCGAGTAGGTAGATAGATGTGCCTTGAGTCAATCAAAGGCGCAGAGACAGGGACTTTTTAAGCTCGCGGTTCGATGGTGCCAGTGCACATCCCAAGGGCTGGAGGAGAGAAATCCCACACACCACAAAAAAAAAAAGGTTTCCTTATCTCTTTGGCGGCGACAGAGCTGGGTCTCGCCGTTTGGCACTACCCAATCCGAGCGGCGTGAACCATGTTACGGCCATGATGCCATGCCGAAACAGGTCTAGTGGGAGCGGGCTACACAAATCCACCATGCCCAGGTGGGCGCCCTGGCCTGTCGCGGCAAGATGCGTGAGTGAAGGTCGGCCGACTCCTCGAAGCGGCCCTACTATAGTACAGTACTCTGGAGTCTGTTAATGCGATGGGCAAGTCGGCGTAGAGCGGCCGCCTCCGCTTTCCGCCCTAGCCGGGACCGCAAGGGATTCGCCTACTCTACTATCCTCGATGCTTTCGGTGTGTTATCTGGCTGCTGCTGTAGTGTGGCTGACTGCTGACTGCTGACTACTCGCGATTGCAAATGCGATGCCGTCAAGAAAGAAGCGCTGCAAGCTAGTAGCAGGCTCGGGACAAGTGGAGACGTAGATACGGTACAGTACTGTAGTAGTCGACGGAGAGAGTCCCCTGTCGCGTTACTCCATGTCGATAGCCGGGCATGGATGAAGCCAGCTGCCTGATATGGCGTGGTGGTTACATGGCTGATGATCAAGGTACGAGCGTCACGTGTGGGCGCGCAAAGGGATCCTCTGTTGTTTTCATTGATTGGCTTCAGGCTTGCGAGAGGAGATGGACTTTGTCGCGTAGTAGATGGCGTAGTCGTCATGGAGCGACGACGCGGCAAGCCAAGGCAGCGCAGCGCAGGGCAGAGCAGCCAAGGCAGGTCACCATGACGTAGGCCGTACTATACACCGAGCTACCCTGCCATTGCATTGCATTGCAAGTTCCTATCCCAACATGGACAGAATAGCACTCGTATTCCTCCTCTGGCTGCCGTGAGATCCGTTTCACGAGACAACTGCTCTGGTCCCGAGACCGACCATGAAGCCCCGGCTCTCCGCTCTTGGCTCGCTTCCACGCGTCTCCCTGTGGTCGACAGTACCAAAACCCCAGCCTCGATCCTTCACCACAACATTGCATCCCCGACTCGAGGGCCCCAAGTTTGACGACTACAACAACTCCAATGCCAGGCCTGCCTCTGAACTCAATGAAAACATCACGCAAGAAGAGAAGGACCACTTTGCAAAGAAATTGGACCAAGACAAGGGGAAGCAGATACGCACGCCATGGCACAGAGAAGGGAGCGACCAACCGCCCGTTGCGCGGCAGAGGAGCGCTGGCGCAATGACAAAGGGTACCCTCACCCTCACTCTCGCCACTTTTGACAACAGCTGACAATCCATGCAGGCAAGCTCCTCACCACCCCCTCTCGCATGCTCAAAATCATCCTTCCCCTCACCACCAAGGATATGAATACAGATCGCAAGGATATCGAGCCGCTCGCCCTCCTCGTACACCCGCAACAACCCATTTCCTACCTCGAGCGCTTGATCCAGGCCGAGCTCCCTACACTCAAAGATAAAGACGGCAAAGAGCGTATACCCAGTGTCTACTTCCGCGCCGAGGACTCTATGCAAGCCGACACGCAAGCCTCACAGTCGGCAGCGGAAACCACCGTGAGCAACGACAGCGAATCAGCCCTGCGTCAACATGGCCAGGAAGATTTCGAAAAGGTGGACGAATTCCGTATCGACGGCAAGACGGAAAAGACTGGCAAACTGAGCGACAGTAGCCGGGACAGGAAGACGCCAGAGGAGGCAGAAGCTCTACGAGGTGCGCCTGGCCAAGGAGGCGTCGAATCCTACTCTGGGCAGGGCCAGGAGGCTCCCTCCGACTTGAAGGCCAAACGCAAGTTTGTCCGTTGGTCCTCGTCCACCGAAATTGGCGACTTTATCCGTGACGCGGCTCGCGGGCAAGAGTTTGCCATTGAGATCGAGGGTGCCCCGGCCGAGATCCGCGTCGGTGTACCCAGCTTCAACGAACGAACCTACTACCTCCGAATGCGACTGCGCAAGACCTCGAAGAAGATTAGTGAAATGGCAGACATCAAGAAGGAGTGTGACGAGCTTGCCCACAAGGCGGCTAAGAATGTCGCAAAAGCCGGCTTTGCGGGAATCGTCACTTGGTGGGGTGTCGTCTACTATCTTACCTTTCAGACCGAGTTGGGCTGGGACGTCATGGAGCCCGTGACCGTTAGTCTCCCCCACCCCCCTAACCTCTAGTCTTCATTCCCCATCTATTGCCCTCGGAGCTAATCTTTTCCCAGTATCTCGTCGGCCTCTCTACCCTCATAGGTGGTTACGTGTGGTTTCTCTACCACAATCGCGAAGTCAGCTACCGCTCCGCCATGAACTTTACCATCTCGCGTCGCCAACAGAAACTCTACCAACAGCACAGCTTCGACCTCAGAAAGTGGGAGGTCCTCATCGACGACGGCAACTCGTTACGACGGGAGATCAAGGCCGTCGCCAATGAGTATGATGTCGAGTGGGATGAGCTATTGGACGAAAAGGACGAGAAAGTTGCCCAGGCGCTAAAGAGCGAGAGGAAGAAGAAGAAGGAGGGGAACAAGAGTGAAGAAAAGGATGAGGATGAAGATCATGATCATGATCACGATCATGAACCGAGTAAAAGCAAGCGTCAGGTTGAGGATAGAGGATCCAAGTAAGAAGTGGTAATGACGGGTGACCGTCTTCGACGTTTTCAGCGTGGCGTTGGGGTTATAGAAGAGTGCCATTTTCCGCCGTAGAATAGTAGACCAGCACACGAGTTGACATGTACAAACGCTTTCCGCCATCAAGTTATAGACCAAAAGCTTCGTTGTTGCCATGTTAGGGATTACAACAAGGGCATCACCAAAAGTAGCACGCTGTCAAAATACATCGTTGCACAAGCAATGCATACATGTGCTATATCCATGAAAGCTTGTTCCGCCTGAACCATCTAGTCTGGCCAAATGCGAAACACTCGCTTGGCCGCCACACTCGTATGCACATCCACCATGCTTCTACCATCATTATCCACTCTCGACGAGGCGAGACGTCAAAAACCCGAACGTAAGCCAGCCTGTGATGTGAAGCTGCTGTGAGGTATCAAACTCTACAAAACCCTCCACGAACCCACCCATATCATGTCGTTGCAGACTAGGCAGTCTATGATACAGAAGCAAATCAAGGGAAAGCATGGAAAAACTAAAACCCAACTCAGTAGATCGAGTTTGGGGCGACGCCCAACGTCCAGTGAAGGAGTCGAGTATCGAGATAAGGACAAAGGTGGGAGCCAGCCGATCGTCATACCAGCCTTGCCTCTGAGGCGATTGTAAGCTGGCACTGGAAAAAGAGACCGCATCGAAATCGTCAAAACTTTTGGGTGCAATCCGTCATGAAGCCGTCCGCCATTCGTGAGAGTAAACCGTAAACCGTGCGCCATTCGCCCTTGACATTTCATCGAACCATCATAAGAGACCGCTTTTCAAGACTGACACGAAGCGAGTCCTACTCGACGGTAACTGTGGGAAGCTTAAGCCTTTTCTTCTTTGGACTCTTCCTTGGGAGCATCCTTCTCAGTCTCACCCTCTTTGTTCTTGACATATTCGTCATAGACGCTCATGGCCTCGTCGACCTTGGCACGAAGAGCAGCTTCATCGGAGGTCCTAGATTTAAAATTAGGACACAGTACAAGGCAGTGAAGGACTAGGTGGTACGTACAGGTTGATCAACTCGCTATTGTCCATCTCCAAGAGCATGCCGGTAATCTTACCAGCGAGCTCGGGTTGTATCTCGTGGATCTTGGGGTAGAGAGCCTCGCCGAGCATCTGTTTCTGCTGACCGGGAGGAGCAGAACTGAGAGCGCTCATGTCGACGCCAGCGGGGCCGGCAGCGCCTCCACGTCCGCCTTGAGGAAAGCTTGGCATGGGGGCTTGGCCAGGACGGCCCTGTGGCATACCACCACGACCAGCACCTTGAGGAGGGAAGCCTTGGCCGCCGCGCATGCCAGGTACACCAGCCATCTGGGCTTGAGGCATACCAGGCATAGGAGCCATGGGGACACCGCCGCGGCCACCACGTCCACCCATAGCCTGCTGTGCAGCCTGTGCAAGTTGCAGGTACTGTGGGTTCATGTACGGAGGGAAAGCACCGGGAGCCATGCCAGGAGGCATGTACATAGGAGGCATCTGCTGGGCATTGGGTCCGCCGCGGCCGCCTTGCTGAGCAGGCAGACCACTAGGGAAGCCAGCGCCCCGGCCACCCTGCTGCTGACCAGGTAGGCCGGCAGGGAAGGGCATCTGGCCACGGCCACCGGGAGGAAACATCATGGGCTGCTGACCAGGAGCAATGAACATCTGCGGAATACCCCCAAATTGCTGCTGCTGCTGTTGCTGCATGCGGAGCTGGTTGCGGGCCTGGATCGTGGCCTCGAGCTGATTCTTACGGACGTCCTTGCGCTGGGCAAGGGCAACGTACAGAGGCTTACCCTCGAGCATCTTCTGGTTCATCTCGGTGACGGCCTTGGTTGCCTCATCGGGGTTGCTGAAGCAAACAAAGCCGAAGCCCTTGCTCTTGCCGAGAATCTTCTTCTCGCCCTTGATGGTAACCTTGTCACCTGCCTTTGTGTCATCCTTCTTCTCGTCAGACGAACCGTCCTTGGCTTCGTCGTCGGCCTCCTTGGGCTCTTCTGTGGGCTCATCCTTGTCCTCGCTGTCCTCCTTCTTCTCGTCAGAGGGAGTTTCGGAGTGTTCAGCAGGCATAGCGTCACGCATGACCTTGGCCGATGTGATGGTGCCGAAAGGAGTGAACATGTCACGGAGCTTCTCATCGTCGACATCGTCATTCAAGTTCTTGATGTAGAGGTTGACGCCCTGGTACTTGGACTGCTTCTCGAGGCGAGCGGCCTCATACTGTTTGCGGAGCTCTTCCTCACGCTCGTGCTTCTTCTGTGCACGGCCGACGTAGAGCTTCTGGCCCTTGAAGTCGGTGTCGTTGAGTACATCGACGGCGACAGAGGCAGCCTCATGTTTGATGTAGTTGACGAAGCCGAAGCCGCGGCTCTTGCCCTGGTCGTCGCGAGCAATAGAAGCAGAGGTGATGTCGCCGTGCTTCTCAAAAAGGTCACGGAACTCCTCGTCGGTGACATCGACATCGATGTTCTTGACGTAGATGTTGGTGAAGTTGGCCTTCATCTCCTCGAACTTGCTCATGCGCTCCTTCTTGGGGATGTGGTGACCGACGAAAACCTTCTTCTCGTTGAGCAGCATGCCGTTGACGTGCTTGATGGCATTGTTGGCGGCCTCGGCCGTCTCGTAGTGGACGAACCCGTAGCCCTTGGAGTTGCCGAGCTCGTCTTGGGCAACCTTGCAGCTCAAAATGTTACCGAAAGCGGCAAAGGTGTCGTGAAGCGCCTTGTTGTCAATGGCGTGGTCTAGGTTCTTGATGAAGACATTGCCTTGGCCCGTCTTGCGCAGGGCGGGGTCACGCTGAGACCACATAATGCGGCACGGCTTGCCCTTGATGACGGTGTAGTTGAGCTCCTCGAGAGCCTTCTCGCCGTCCTCAGAGCTGTTGTAGTTAACATAGGCGTAACCGAGCGAGCGACGCGTCACTGCGTCACGGCAGACACGGATCGACGCAACCTGGCCGATGGAGGAGAAGAGCTCGAAGAGCATGGCCTCGGTGACCGAGGGGTCCAGCTCGCCAACATAGAGTGACGCCGAGTTCTGGTGCGCGGTAGGCGCCGCGGTGGGCGTGGGGGCATCGCCAGTGGCAGCAGCAACGTTGGTGTTGATCTGCGTGCCGTTGGCGTCAGCGCCGTCCTGGACGGGCGAGGTCGAATTGGCTACTTCAGACATGCTGTCGGTCTGTTACGAGTGTCAGTGGCAGGAGCAGATTGGGACGAGCAGGTGCGCTCGCTTGGCCAAAGACCAAAAGTTAAAAAGTGAAGAAACTCACTTGGAGCGTCGAACAAGGTGTGTTGCAACAGAAGATGGGCGGGGTAGTAGCAGAATCGGGACGTGGACGTCCAAGAGCACGGGCAAGGCTGACGCGCTGCTTCCTATTGTTCTTGCAGAAAGGTGAGGTTGAAGCAAGAGGCCTGTCGGGGTGCAAGTGACAGTGTGCTTGACGAAGCGTTGGCCGTGGGCGTCGGACGGGGGCTTTTCTGATGTTTTCTGGATTTTTTTGTTTCTTTTTCGGTTATGAGCGGCACCGCAGGGGAACCAAGGCTGGGGGAGCTGTGGTGGTGGTTGCGTGGTGAGGCGTTTGAGGTGGAGGTGGAGGGCAACGGCGAGGTCGTCCACCTTTAAAGAGATAAATTCTGTGCGGCAGTGTCTGTGCGGCCCGTGCGCCAGTGGCTAGCCGGATTGGGAGTGTGCAACGGGATGGCGGTGAATGGTCCTCGGGAGTGCTGCACCCTGTACAACGACCATGGCAACACCAGTGTGGACCGAATGGGCAGGCGCAATATGTTTCATGGAAGGCGATAGACACACCCTGGCCGTGTTTGTTCGCTCCAGCTGTTTTCGTAGGCCAACACAAGCGCATCCATTGCAACGCTGGGGACCGGGCCTCGTCACATGCCCTTAGATCACATGCATAGGCGAATATTATAACAGCTTTCGTTGTGCACATGCAATATATACCAACCAATTTTAGGCCTAACGATGGCCCTCCCCAGCCCCCCTACTATAATAAAATCTCAAACGGGTATCGGTGCGTAAATGCGAGAGATGCCAGCTATGCAACCATGTCCAGGCGCTCCATATACTCCAATTCTAGTCCCAAAGACTATCGTCCCAACCGCCTTGTTCGGTGAGGAAGTCTTCAACTCTAGTTTTGCACTCTTCCAGGCCTTTGCCGAGAGCTTCGTTCCACTGGCTCTCCACTAGCCCGACCTTCTCCTTCAAATCGTCTGTCAAACGTCGTTCCTCGTCTGCCCGTATGGCCTTCATCTCTTCATCTACGCTTGCCAAGTCCTCGCCCTCTAGAAGCCTCTGCGTCTCAAGCAGCCGTGAGCCTGCTGTCATCACCCCTGTTTTGACCTCATGCAGCAGACAAAACAAGTTTGTTTGTGATTCAATGAACTGATATGCGGACCGACCAGCGTGCGCGAGAAGGGTGTAAAGGTACTGTAATGGAAAGTCGCGATATGCTGGATTTTCGCTATATTCTTGCGATGGAACCAAGACGTCGAAACCGTACAACCGCTGGGGGACCCGTTGCACGATTGCGAGTAGTCCAGGAGCGATATCCCAGAAGGCTGACAGTTGTGCCTCAACACCTCGGGTAACATTCTGTTCAATTACCGTCATGACATCCTCGTAGCGTTTGAGAATCTCCTTCTCAAACGTGACCTTGCGATCTTGTGCGTCGCGCTGGAAAAAACTAGTCGCTTCCTTGATTTTCTGCTCATTCTTTGCTTGCACGTAAGGTAAGACGATAATATCTCGGTAGAGGTCGTTGCGTTCGTTTTCCAGCTCGAACATTTCCTTGTGCAACTGCTCGCGGGCCTCAAACAACCACTTTAGTAACGTAAGCATTTCCAGGAGCTCTGGATTCTCGTCCCCCTCCTCCTGTGTTTGATTTGGGCTGGGCTTTTGCGCTTCACTGGACAATCGCCCTTTGAGGTGCTCCATTGATGCCGTAGCCCTGGTGATGCGTTCGCAGAACATAGCATGGAGCGGATTGGCGACCTCTGTCTGGAAAGTGTCGAATACGTACTGAACCACCTCTTGGGCGTGTTGATGTTCGCGCTCTTCAAACTCGGCTTCCGCTTGAGCAGCAGCTGCAAAACTCATTACGCCATTTCGTACATTGTCCTGGATGTTGTATCTAAGCTGTGCTCGTCGGTCAGAGAGCGATGCGCTTTCCTGCTCTTTTCGCGCCTGCACTTTTACTGTGAAGTTGGCTTTGGTATTTTTGACATCCTCTAGATCTGACAGTGTCCGCAAACTACTACGTATGGATGCCAAGTCGGGATGATTATTATTCACCGCGGGGTGATGACGCGGGTACGAGGGAGGAAGGGTCACCAGCCTCGACACATCTAGCTTGTGGGGGTCTGGTGTTGCCGTGGCGGACTGTGGATGGTAGCCGTGAGACGGCTGGGGCGGTTGAGCAGTGTTCTCATGCAGACCGACCTTCTCCGGAGGATACTCATTTGGTCCGTATACCTGTTGACTACTTGACCCTGCTCTTGCTCGCGGTGTATGTAGATCTTCTCCGGTCCACTGCAGGCTTTCACGAGCTTCTTTCGGTAAGCTCATGTATTTTGACTCTCGCTTACTCCTCTCAAGCCTCCTGCCACCGCCAACTCCTGAAGATCCACCATCACTTTCCCACCAGCGGCTTGCCGACCGACCTCTTGAATCTTCCTCATCCGCGACGGTGCTCATAGCCATGCTGGGGATGGGCGATAGCGAAGGGTGATAGTTATTGTTCCAGGACACATCGCGAGCCTTTTGACTCGATGCGCTGGATGGAGATGCCGGTTCGGTACGTGGGGTAAAATTCCCCATGGAGGACGCGGGGCTAGCAGCTGTTGTAGGGATCGAGTTGGAGAATCTTGTATCAGGAGAATCGCCTGCTACAGAGGCTTGTGATCTCGCACTACTAAACAGTGCGGGAGCACCCTGAGTATTCGGGGTTGCAGATCGCCGCCCGGTGGTGCCGTAGGAACGCCATAGGTCCCTTGTCAAATCCATCATATCTCCCGCCATTGCGTCGAAGGCTGCAGAGTAGCGATCACGACGAAGCCTAGACTCGATAACGATGAATTCAGCAAATAAATCCAGCCTGTCTTGATCGCTTTCGGCAGCCATCTCTTTATCTATAAACTGTCGGTGACGCTCTATTGATGCTTGGGCAAAGGCGTCGCGACCTGTTGGTCTTGGTGTGCTCACTGTCGAGTCTTCCACTCTAGTGTTCGAGACATTGGATGTTTTTGAGGCGGACCCGTTCGCAGCACCTGATTGAACGGTCAGGTCTGAGTCATGTTCGTCGCCGTAGGAGCGTAGCGGAGGAGTAGGCAGTGCTTTGGAGGGAATTGGTATTGCAGCTTTCTGAGCAGAACGACTGAGAATATCCATACCTGGCGAGAAAGGCGGCGTGGGAGCCGTGATAGGTGCAGCCTTCTGGTAAGCGTCCATACGGGGAGTAGAGTTTGATGACCCAGGGTCATCGAAAAGATGCCCACTTCTTGGTGAACGAATACCGCCACCGCTTCGCGGAGTGCCTTTGGTCACTGCACCACGACGGGTCAACCCACCATCAGGCGTACACAAGTCGAGGTTAGCTGGTACTGTCGATTCCGTTTCCAGGTCCTGCGCCCATGGATTGTTGCTAGGTTCGGGGCGTTCACGCGCAGCACGACTCTCGCTTCTTCGCTCGCGGATGCCTCGGACACTCGATTCGCGTTTTAGTGGAGTACGATAAAGGGTGCTGTTAGAATGCGATGTAGTGGTCGGTCCCGATGAGATTGACACACTTCCGCTCTCTGACGATGGAACATGGTGTTCAAGCGGGCGAACCTGTTGTGTTCGTGTATCAATGTGCAGGCCATGAGCTGCTGGTGATCTTGCTCGCGTACTCGAATGCTCCTCTTGCCAGCCCAAAGGCGTAGGTGGGATAGGCGTTAGCGTAGTCTGCCCTGGTCTTCGTGTTGGAGGAGCAGAGGGAAGATTTGGTACGCGAGACGAATCTGCCCCAGGCCCCACACTCTGCGATCTTGAGTTGCTCGGTGGTGGACCAGGGGGAGGTGGAGGCAAGGGTACACTTCGATTCCAACTTCCTGGCGCTACAATGGGGGATCCGTCAATCGGCGTTCGAGTCTCATAGCCCGACACACCGGCAGATGCTGCTCGTCGAGAAGCGGGCGCTCTGATAGGGGATTGATTGTCGGGACTGTACCGCCTCTCTGCGAAGGCATTTGGCATGTAACTGCGGCGACATTAGTGCATGCTACAAATTGTACGGCAACAAAAGGGCCCCTACTGCGAAGAAGCTCGCTGCGCAACCAGCCCAGGAGAAACGGGCGCGCGCTGGATCGCGTCAGATGTGTTGATGTGCAGAGACTCTATGGCACTTGGTGCAGGACTATGTTCACTGTTCCGGTTCCTAAATGACGAGAGACTGAATTTGGAGGACAGCTTGTCACGCGACGCCGACCGGCCTGGCCCGTTTCTTGAGGGTGGAGGTGGAAACTGTGGGTTTGACGTTACGCTGGTTGCGCTCTGCGGTATTACTAGGGAGCCCGGCCGGCTTTGGAAGCCTGATAGGGGTCGCGCGGAAGACGGTGTGCTGGTTGGCGGTGGGGGCGGCGGGGGATGTTGAGGAAACACATTGCTAGACAGATGAGGCGACGAGCTGAGTGTCTGTGACATGTTGGGATTCTGCCCTGGCGAGTATGGAGGAGGTGGAGACGGCATCGACGCTGAGAAGGACTTAGCATCACTCGACACTGGATGCAGGACATGTGCTAAAGAAACGAAGAAGAAGAAGAAGAAGAAACTACTTGGAGGCATGCCATTCGAACTTGGGAAAAGGCCAAGAAATAAAAGGAAAGGTTGTAATAGTGTTTGAATCTATGTAGTATGAGACCTGTGGTACCTTCCATTCCCGTGAGGTCCTGGAGACGAGCCGGGACAGACGTTTGGGTATGCTGGACCTGGTGCCCGCTCACGGGCGCACCGCGAGTCCATTGCTGCGGGTTGTACGGAACAGAAGACGCGTTCCTCATGGCCATGGGGGAGGCTGCCACGGGGGAAGGAGCATATGGAGAGGGCGAGTGGGCGGCGAGCGGCGAGAAGGGCACACTTAAGGACGTTGCGGTTGCGGGTGTGTGCAACGAGCCATGCAGGTACGACGTTGGGTGCGGCGGCGCGAGGGCGGTCGTGATGAGCACAGGTTGCACAGCAAAGGCGCGCCTGAGGGGAGAGGTTTGCGGTGCCTGGAGCCCCAGCGGCGCAGGTGGTGGTCGAGGACGTGGTGGTGGAGGCAGAGGCAGAGACGGCGGCGCGGCATAGTCGTGCTCGGAAGACATGATCAACGTCGTCGTCGTCGGTTTGGAAGAGTAGGGCTTGCTGGCCCGAAGCCTCCAGCGGCTCCAGCAACGCGTAGGGCGAATCCGACGTCGATGAATTGGGGCGGCCCAGGAGCGGCGTGCCGCACTAGAAGGTGTTGGTCACCCCAGACCAAGGCCGACGCACACTGGAAGCCATTCGTTCGTCTCGTCTGCGCCCAGCAATGCATGAGGGAGGGAGGGTAGGGGTCTTGCGGCCTGCATATGGGCCGGGCGAGTGACAGACGTTAACCCCAAGCAGCATCGAGTTTGCATGGTGCATCTGCAGCAACCCCTGGTCGTCGAAAAGAGCGTCGGCGGCTAAGTAAAGAACACAGAGGTGGCCACACACTGGTCAGAGACCAACACAACATTCATCACACACATGATGCCTCCAGGCTACACTGTCAATAGCAATATCACTATCAATATCAATCCCAGCTACAACCACTCCTCTCTCTCTCTCTCTCTCTCTCTCTCTCTCTCTCTCTCTACCAGGTATATCATTTCCGGGTCAAGGTTCGTGACTCAACTACCCGACTCGTCCAGCAAGAGTTAGAGCGTTAGAAACCGTCTGTTGGGGATATAAATAGCAGTGCATATCCGTTCTGCAGCATGGGGCCACACCCTCAACCCACGGGACAGCACCGGAGTAATAATAACTCCACCACCATTACGATGCCGCCGCGTCCCAGGACGCCATCACATCCAAACTCTGCTGTTCGGTTGCGTTGCAGAGGCGGACAAGACGAACAAGACATGCTGATCAATCGACTTTCATTTTCACTCCCAGACTCACGGTTGCCAACACACGTTTCCGAAAGCATCAATTACTTGCATGCTGACAGTGGTACGAGATCAGGCTGACTGTCGGTAATCGTGCATGAGAGCGACCCGGCTGCTGATAAACATGTTGCCGGCTTGCTTTGTCACCAGAATAGTCCCGAAATTCGGTATATCCGTTGCACTTGGTCAAGTATTCTGCGTGCTCAAACTATTGCAGCCTTGCCCGCTACCCATGCGCAAGCAACCTATTTCTGGTGCTTCTTGTGCGCATCAATGACCTTTTGTACCTCGCCCTCCGAACCAAGGAAAATACCAGATCGGTCATGGATGTGTTCGGGCACGACTTCTAGCATGCGCTCCATTTTACTATTGATCGCGAGACCCCCAGCTACAACAACAACATTAGCATTCCACACACTTTTTGTCAGACATGAGCAATACATACCGTTCTCAAAGACCATGGCCATTGGGGCGCATTCGTACAGGATACGCAGCTTGCCCTTGGGGCTCTTCTTGTCCGCTGGATACGCAAAGATACCGCCGTACAACAGCGTTCGGTAGGCGTCTGCCACCATGGAGCCGATGTATCTCGCGCTATAAGGCTTGCCTCCCTCGGCAGGGTTCTTCAAACTGTGGCACCACTCCTTGACCGGTTCCTCCCAGTACAACGAGTTGCCCTCGTTTACTGAATAAATCGCCCTCGTCTTTGGACACTTCATGTCTGGATGGGTCAAGATGAACTCGCCAAACGCATTGTCCAAGGTGAAGCCATTGACACTGCCGCCCTTCATGGTGATTACCAACTGCGCAGAAGCACCATACATGGTGAATCCTGATGCAACCATTTCCGTGCCTGGCTTCAGGAGATCCTCCTTGGTGCCCTGCGCGTCCTCGGCAAGCTTGTATACGGCGAAGATGGTGCCGACCGAGACACCAGCATCGAGGTTGGACGAACCGTCTATGGGATCGCAGGCTACGGCGTATCGCGCGCTGGGGAATTCGTCGAAGACTATGGCCTCTTCTTGCTCTTCAGACACCAGCAAACGCACGCGACCGCTGGAGCGCATAGCCGAGATGAAGAGCTCGTCGCCGATTACGTCGAGTTTCTTCTGCTCGTCGCCCGTCGTATTCGAAGTGCCTTGTAAGCCAGTGAGCTTTTCGAGTCAGTAATGGTGGTCTGTGAAAGCGCCAAAAGTGGTGGCATACGTTGATGAGCGTTGCTCTTCGAATGTAGTAGGCGATGCTCTTGAAAGCAAACTGGAGGGCATGGCATAGAAGTCTGGAACAGCTGCTATCAGCTTCTCGCCCAGCGACGGCGGGGAGGAGAGTGATTGTGGCCTACGTGAAGTCTCCCGTTGCCTCCTTGTGCTTTGTTTGCTCCTCGGTAAGAAAGCGGGTGAGGGTGATGATATCTGTGTTGATCTTTTCGTTGCCCACGGCTCCTCCTTCCCCCTTGTCATTGCCGTTGGTAGCCATTTCGTTTGTCTGGTCGATGGGGCTTGGTGTGGTAGAAGGCTATAGAGTAAGACGTGGAGAGAGGAGACAGACGAGGAGGCACGGAAGTATTATTATTATTATGAAGTCAGACCTGGGCCCAGGTGGGTACAGTCGGGCAGGCGGGCCACCTTTTCGGTATCGGTATTGCGTTTGGGACATGCACTACTGGACTGGTTGGATTGGAGCTGCCCCTCGGCAAGAGAAGCGGACGGCGGTCACGAGCGCCCATGAAAAGCAGGATGGAAGAAGCTTCATCAGCTACCACCAGTCCGCCGCCGGACAAGAAGCCAATGGGTGTGGTGCACAAGACTGCGCTTTCATAGTGCCGTGGCATCAATTCATCTGGTGAAGCCTGTAGCTGTACAGCAGGCACAAGAGCGCGATGATGTAGGTGCGGATCCCAAACAGTGGAGGGGAGGAGGGGTTGGCGGGGCTGCTGCCTCGCTGCTGCCCGCGCGCCGACATCTTCCGAAACCCACCCGTACGCGGATATAGAGAGACATCATCAGCCTGCCTACCTCGACTTCAACGGAACTTATTGGGCGCACCCTATTCCTCCGGCAGAGTTCGTCGCCTGCCCATCCATGTGGCTTTTGTTACACCGACTCTGGAGAAATTCATCGCGACCAACATCCTCGGGCTACCTCCGACCGAGCTTCCACAACATGCTCACGAGCAATTCGCTTCATAGTGCAAATCAAAGGGAACCGACTTTTTATACTACAGTCCATCATATACATACACGCCTAGTTATGCAAATGCAGGGCCAAAGAAACCCCTACCCAGCCTGCCTGCCTATCCGAATCATCAAGCCCTCAAGTATTATCACACGAAAATGGGGCATCAAACAGTGCACGCGACCAACACTAAAACAAGACGGCGTGATAAATCAAGGTGCCTCTACTCGCCCTTGAGCTTGTCCTGCTTCACACTGAAAGCCATCTCAAGCAAGTCCTTCTCCTCCTTCTTATGCGAGTTCTTCAGCCCCGTTGCAACAGACGCGCTAGGGTTGCGGCCTGCGTACATGACGTGTCTCCTGTTGTGATGCTCTGTCTGGTTAAGAAGCGTCTCAATACGGGGTTGTGTAAAGCTCCAGGCACCGGCATTAAGCGGCTCTTCTTGGCACCAGATGATGTTCTGTGCGTTCGGGTACGAGTCGATGTTTTCCTTCAGCTGTTGCCAGGGGAAAGGGTTGAGCTGCTCAATACGAGTAATGGCCACGTCCCTGAGACCGCGCGCCTCACGTTCTTTGACGAGAGCAGCATAGACCTGGCCTGTGCAGAGGATGACGCGGTTGATGCCCTCGTTGGATTCAATCTCTCCGCTCGAGTGCGCTGGGTCTTCGATGATCCATTGGAAATGCGATTCGCCCGTAAACTCATCAATGCTGGAACGCGCGAGCGGGTGTCGGAGCAGGGACTTGGAGAAGAAGAGGATGAGAGGTTTCCGGAACTGACGGTTCATCTGACGACGTAGCAAGTGGAAGAGGTTAGATGGCTTGGTAGTGTATGCAATCTGAACGTTGCAGTCCTGGTGCTGGCGCTCCAACTTGTCGGGCGACGGGAAAATGCGTGGGTCCTCGTTGACGAGCTGCAGGTAGCGCTCCATGCGTCCAGAAGAATGCTCAGGACCTTGGCCATCGTAGCCGTGGGGCAAACTCATGACAAGGCCAGAGCGTTGAAGCCATTTGACCTCACCAGAAGCGACAAACTGGTCGATGATGACTTGAGCTGTATTGGCAAAGTCACCAAACTGAGCCTCCCACATCACAAGAGCGTTGGGCGAGGACAGGGAGTATCCGTATTCAAATCCGAGACTGCATGCCTATTAGCCTAGAATCAATCACACATGGAACCCTAGACTTACACTCCATATTCGCTGAGAGAGGAGTTTGAAATAGTGAAAGTGGCTTGGTTTTCGCTAAGATCTTGCAGAGGCGTGTACGTCTTCTCGTTCTCCTGGTCATGGAGCACAGCGTGTCGCTGAGAAAAGGTTCCACGCTCAACATCTTGGCCGGAGACACGGACGTGGTGGCCTTCGATGCAGAGGCTTCCAAATGCCAATGCTTCTGCTGTGGCCATGTCGATATTCTTGCCCTCCACCACGGTCTTGGTACGGCCGGCCAAAATACGCTTCAGGTTCTTGTGCACATTGAAGTCGTTTGGTGCGTTTCCGATCTTCTCTGCTATGTGCTTCAGCTGCGACTCCTCAACGGCGGTCGGCAGATGGGGAAGCACTTCAGTGGCGAGCTCCTTGGGCGACTTGAACCCGTTCCAAGCAGAAGTGAGCCATTCTTTAGAGGTCGGTTGGTAATCCTTGCTGCGGTTGAAGCTCTCTTCGAGCATACCCCAGACCCAGGCCTTGTGTTCATCAACGTCCTCCTTGGTGAATGTCTTCTCGTCCAAAAGCTTCTTGGTGTAGATGTCGAGCGTTTGTGGTTGTTCCGAGATCTTCTTGTACATTAGAGGTTGGGTAAAGAAGGGCTGATCTGTCTCATTGTGACCCTGCTTTCGGTAGCACACCATGTCAATGACCACATCTTTCTTGAACTCGGCACGGAAATCGGCCGCAAGCTGGCAGACAAAATTGAGAGCCTCAACATCATCGCCGTTGACGTGGAAGACGGGCGCGTCAATGGCCTTGGCAATGTCGGAGCAGTAAGGGGTGGAACGCGAAAATCTTGGATCCGTCGTAAAACCGATCTGGTTGTTCACAATGAGATGAATGGTTCCTCCGGTGTGGTAGCTAGGTAGCGAGTGGAAGCCCATGGTCTCATACACAATACCTTGACCTGCAAAGGCGGCATCACCGTGCAGTAGGATACCCATGGCAGTGCGAGCGTCCTTCTCATCGTTATTATAGTGCAGAATAGCACGAGTCTTGCCTAATACGACTGGATCCGAAGCCTCCAAATGTGATGGGTTGGCGACCAAAGAGAGTTGCACACGTTTTCCGGATGGCGTAGGACGCTCAAAGTTCATGCCCAAATGGTACTTGACATCGCCAGAACCTTCGTCGTTGGGCTCGGCGGTTCCAGCAAATTCGCTGAAGATAGACTCGTTGGGTTTCCGGACGACGTTGGAGAGTACGTTGAGACGTCCACGATGCGGCATGCCGATGACAATGTCCTTGACACCGTAGTCGACGCTCCGGTCAATCAAAGCCTTCATACCCGGAATCAGAGATTCTCCGCCCTCGAGACCGAAGCGCTTATCGTTGGGGTACTTGGTGGCCAAGAAGGCTTCGAAGTTGGTGCCCCAGATGAGGCGATCTAGGATGCGGCGCTTTTCGTCGACCGAATACTTGAAGGGTTGCGGTACCTCGATGCGCTCGCGGAGCCAATCGCACTGTTCCCTATCCGGAATATGGATGTACTCGACGCCATACGAGCCGCAGTAGAGGCGCTCGCAGGCCTCGATAATCTCCCTCAGTGTCATCTTCTTGCGGTTTTCCGTCTTGAAGCGAGGCAGGATACCCGGACCAAGCTCGATGTCCTGATCCAAGTCCTTCTCGCTAAAGTTGTAATGTGACAGCTCGAGCTCGCGAGGCTTGCTGTAACCAAACTGCTCCGCCTCGGAGCGGATGCCCAAGGGGTCAATCTTGGCCTTGTGGTGTCCTCGAGCCTGGTAGGCGCGCACCAGCAGCTGCACCTTCAGGTGGTTCATGATTTCAGAGCCGTCGGCGGAAGCCATGCCCATGCCTGGCTTGAAGATGCCGCCAGAGGGTGTAGGCACGATGGTAGGCGGCGGTTGAAAGGCTTGGGACACGGGCATGTCGCCCGACTCCATGTTGCGGAAGTAGACCTGCCATGAGTAGTGCACACTCGAAGGGTCTCGCTTCCACTGCATATACATCTCGTCGACATAATTGGCCGTGTTGCCCTGTAGGAACGAATCGTTGGGGTCCTGTGCGGCCATGGTTAGCTATGCCGGTGAAGAGTCTGAAGCTCGAGGCAAAAGAGCCGCTTACCACGCCCTTGTTGGTGTCCTCGGCAGCAATGGCATATGTCCGGCGCGGTGAAAGGGCAAGCGGCCTGCGACATGTTGAAATGGCCGTCCGTGATGGCGACGCGGCGAGCGTCCGAAGGCCTGCTCTCGCCGGCGAGCTCTGGAGCGTCCGCGAGCACTGGCGCAGCGGGAGGCGCAACATGATGAGATTACGAGGTGGATGCGGGAGAATGAAGGGGGGACATGCAAGCGGATGGCGATGGCGATGGACAGAAGGGTCTTCTGTCTAGGCAGTGTGTAGGTGCAGCTGGAGCGCCCAAAGGTGAGGAGAAGACAGGTGCATGCGCTCAGAGCCACCGTGTCGGGCCTAGCGCCCTTTGGCGGTAACACTTTTCGAGGAATGCCCCAGCGTTTGCCTCTGAATCCGACTCGCCAGCGACAAATGCCTCATCAAGCCCCTTCATCCCACAGCTATTCATGGATGCTTGGGCGCCCTTGCTCAACCCCCCTTGTGCCCATGTACGGGAGTCCAGGAGCGAGAAGAGTACCTGGGCACACATCCTGCGTCCAGTGCACGATGCTGTTGTCTTTGGCATGACGAACGACAGCATCAAGTCGATTTGTGCATGTGCATGCGGCATACGGACCAATAGCAGTCCACTCTTTACTTATCCAATTGTAACTCTGCACGAGACGACGCTCTGTGACGTTGGGCGGTGGGCAACGGATATGGCGCGGATATGGCGCGGATATGCAGCGGATAACGTATCTGCAGGCGCACATACTGCCGCCGCTTGCCGTGGCCTATTAACCGTGACATGGACGAGATCTTGGACACAAAGCGCGCAAAGCTATGACTCCTAGCCGCCAGGGAAGCAAAACAACTGTGAGACGTAGTGTGCAAGGGCCGGCGGACAAGATGAAGCATCTGGTCATGCGTAATCACGTGACATGCCATCTTTGGAGAAGCCGAAAGCGTCACTAGTGCGGAACTGCTCGGGCGGGCGCATGGATGCATGTGATCTCCAAGGCCGTCGAAGTTCCAAGGTTGCCGGCACCCACGCGCTCTCACCACCATGACTGATGCTGCGGCTCAGTACAAAAAGCAGCATGGCAGCGTTTCACTTTCCGCTGATGGCAAGACCGTGGCCTGGAAGTCCGCCAGTGGTACCACCCCTCCGCTGTCGATAGCCATCGCGGATATTGCAAGTAAGTTACAGCCCAAGCTTGCTCAAAGAAAGGATTTGGATGACCTACTGACATGTCCTTAGACCTCCAGCAGACGCCCGCCACCTCCGCCAAAGCCTCCATCAAGATTGTCGTCCTGGAGCCTTCGCCTCAAGCCGGGAACCACACGCTTACCTTTACCTCTGCCGCCGCACGCGATGACCAACAAACAATAACAGGCCTGCTACGCAAGTGGATTGAGGCTTTCAAATCTCAGAATGTCTCAACCTCCACGCCTGTTGCCGCGACTGGAGGCAGCAGCGCATCGGCCGCCACAGCCATGGCTCAGGCTGTCACGCCGGCTGCGAAAGACAAAGACGAAGCATACAATGATGAAAAGTTGCTGGCCGATCTGGGCCTCCAGATGTCTCTCTTGAACTCGAGCCCGGCACTGCGTCAACGCTTCGATCGTGCACTCCAAGAGAAGCCCGAATCCGTGTCGATTGCGCAGTTTTCAAATCAGTTCTGGTCCACTCGGGTGCACATGCTGAGGTCACACGCCACAGAAAAGTCCCAGGCTACAGGAACGTACAACGTACTCTCGGTCATCAAATCAAAGACTGTTAATGGCGCCCTAACCCTGAGTCTCACCAAGGAGCAAATCGAGCTGCTCTTCAGGCAACACCCGGTCGTTCAGAAAGCGTACAATGAGAATGTACCCCAATTGAGCGAGGGCGACTTCTGGGAAAGATTCTTTCACAGTCGATTGATGAAGAAACTCAAGGGTGAGCGCATACTGGAGAAGGATGTGCTTGACCCCAAGCTTGACAAATACTTGACCTATGACGAGACAGCGGATATGCCTCCAGAGTTGCTTGTATCCTCGGTCCCGCATTTCCTTGATGTAGAAGGAAACGAAAACAACCACAGCCAAAGGCAGGGCAATCGACCGGACTTCACCATGAACCCAGCGAACTATGACAAGGCACCAATTCTACGAGTCCTAAATCGAATGAGCGAAAAGATGATGAAGGATGTGCCACCTTCTGATGGAAGCCGTCATGCTCCTGCTGGGCTCGATGAAGAGACGTACAAGGAACTACAGCTAAAGGATTTGCAACGTGCCGACGAGGACAACAGGGTGGTTCTAAAAGTTCAGGACCAAGGCCGATTCTTCTCCGCAGGACAGAGTGTGCATACTTCGACCAGTGCCGCTACATACACAAAACGTACTCCCGCACAGGCCTTATCCACCCTGAAGCAGGATCTTAGTAGATTTGGCATGAAAAATGACAAGGCTGTCGGGGTTGACCTCCTTTCTACAATCAATATCAACGATGACAGCAGTAGTGACGAGGAAAATGTCGCGCCAGATAAAAACAGGGTTGGTGGCAGATCTTCACGCAGCGCAGCCGCGTCGCAGATCGTATCAGCTATCCAAAGGCGGCACTTACATGATGACGATTACTCATCGTCTAGAACCATTGCCATCAGCGAGCTAGCAAGGAAGTTGGATGTTTCAGAATCAATTCTCGACAACTTGATCATGACGCACAACACAACTGTCGAATTTCTGCATTACTTCTGGGCGGTGTTCTATTCAGGAGATCCCGACCGCGCAAACGAAGTTGCGAAACTCATTGAAACATTGGACAAGTCTATTGATCGAATCAAGGCTGTTTCTGATACAGCGGAAGAAGAACGGGGACTCAATGTAGTGAGATTGAGAATGAGTAATGATCAGGCTAATAATCAGCGAAACGCAGCAAAAAGGAGAAAATTTGATCCAGATACCGTCAAGGGCGGGGCAAAAGCCGTCAACCAGGTCGTGGAGCCTCTGCTGAGAGCCATCGACGCTGCACGGAGGCAGTATCAGGTAGCACTTCAAGAGCAACTTCAGGGTCAGAGCGGGTCAGGAAATGGAGTGTGAGGCGGGATGACTCTGACGGTCCTTCTATTTATGCATAGCGAAGGCGTTTTGGATTGTGGTTAGTGTAGGTCATTGCAACAATCAGCGAATATCCATAGAGTCCCTTGTTAGCACACAAACCTAAGTTCCCCACATCAAGAATGCCGCCAATGTGACAAGACTTGTCAAATAACAGCCTCATACCGACAATCCACCAACCATCCCGCATCCATATCATTGCCCAACCATTTCATGATTGATATCCTGATACTTTGATGAGGTATCACGTCCCACAAAATGAACCTGCTGGATAATGCTTTGCATAGTCTTGCGGAATGTGACAACACTTTGTTCTTTTACCTCATACCTTTCTTAAATACTCAAGCGTCGCTTTATAATACACGCCCACCTAGCCCTTTTCTCGCCACGATTGCCGTCACGCAGCAGCCGGAGAAGAACTAGTTTTATCTGCACTCGCGAAGCATCGACTTTCCTTTCCTGGTCAGTTTGGGGTTGGACCCTTTAATCCAGATCTTCGCCCCACTTAAATCTGTCACTCGACCATGGTAATGGCAAAGCTTACCCTCACCTCCATCGATCTTTTCACCAACAAGGTAAATTGCGTGGACAATCGACTGCTCAGCAGATATGAAGACAGAGTCATACGCAAAGGCCAATATAGTGCGTATTGGACTTGAGAACAGTTACTAAAAGATACATCGTAAAAGGGGCTGGAGCAGACCGAAAGCGCGCAGTTTGGGAGAACGTCGACACTGAGATTTGGAGTGAATGACAGGTGCCAGACACCAGAAACCAAAGCGGGATATATCGAACAGGCAAGGAAAAACCAAAACGCATCACATCCGAGGAAGCGGATTCTTATGAGGAAGTCCGGGCAGCCACATCTACAGCGCCACGCTTAAACCAACAACCTCGGCATCCTCGACATCTACAAAGAAAGGTGCCGTTGAAGGTCTTCCTGCTCTTGCTGTATCGTCGCACGACACCCATTTCTAGGGTGATCGAGCCAGTGCTTTGCACTTGTGTCAGCGGTAGCGTTCCCGGGCTGGATCGTAGTAGCCAGCGCCATATGGACCTTGCCCCCCTGTATTGTGTCAGCCTGTCCCCGATGATCCCGGGAAATGGATGTAGCCTCTCACCTCCATACCCCTCGCTGCCATTGTTCGCCGTGGACCGGGGTCTATTGTCCCTATACGACAAGTCAGTGGGGCTGCATGCTAGCTTTGAGGTGATCTGCGAACCTATAGCGGAAGCTGTGCCAAAGGTACCACCTCGCAACCCAATTCTCTTCATTGACGTTAGTCATGTAACGACCCAGGTGATAGTAAGGTCTCGTTTCCTGCCGGGCGTTGTTGACAACGGTTAGGATTTCCAAATGCTTCGCAGTTTCAGAAATCTCGTCCCACTTGTAGGGTGTTGCTACGTTGGGATCGGCTTTAGACTGGTCCGTCAAATAGAGGGGATTCCTGCTCAAGGTATCCCTCGCAACCTGGGCTTCCAGCTACACACGCCCAATCAAATCAGTAAGGGCCAACCGGGGCCTAGCTTAGAGCTTACAAGGAGCAACTTATGAATTTGTTCATTCAGTCCAAGTCGAGCGAACAGAACTTGTTTATCGGCGCTTTGGGCGAGCGGTCCCAAGGACATATTCGAGCGATGATCCCTTGAAGAATTCCTTATCACGCAGGCGAGACAAGACCAGGCGAGCTGAAAACGTTGCTCAGCAATGTGAAGTAAAGCACGTTGTGCTTCCCTGCCTTTATAGTCCGGCTCAAGACTCCCAATGGCTTGAGGGACCCCCTAAGTTCACCGTCATGTGACGACAAGATTCCGCTGTTTACACCGCCGTGGGACGCTGGGCGCATACGCCCGCAGCATTGAATGGCGGGTCGTACTGAAACTCCACCCCTCGACCGAACCCGACTGAGCCCATAATTACTCATTCGGACCGATGAGCCCATCCCATCAACGCGCCCTCCCCATGCAGCTAGCAATGATCCACGAATCCCCGTATGCAGCAGGCTCGAGACCTCGGTAATCGCCGATCTTTGACGTGGACAGAGTGGGTCACGCTGTCCCTCGCGCATGTATTCGTGTAGGTAGTTGCTCCTAGTACTGTTCCTCTGATTCGTTGCGACGGCGCTGCTTCACGTACACAGGCTGCGCGTAGCTTCCGCCCTGGCCCGTGGATCGTTTAAAACTACACACCTCACCACCCCCAGTACGATTGGAGCAGTCTGTACTCAGGCTATCTCAGAAAAGAACTTTGACCGGGCAGATATTGGGCCGCTAGCTTAAGAGCTGCAAGAGCTGCAGTCCCAAGAGCCAGGTCGACGGACATGAGCGCTAGTCGGGTCACAAAAGATATCGTAGAGCCGCTGCGAATCCGTGAGCGACTACAATATGGCGGATCTTACGACACACCATTACTATAGATGTGAATTGGATGTATCTTTAGGGGGTTTTGCGGGACTCGGGTCGACTAAAGTTGGCTCAATCTCAAACGGCGCCGACCCGGCTGACTTCTTTGGGCTCATGTTGCCCAGTAGCTGCGATGGATGCAAAAGGCATGAAGACTCTAAAACGTATGATTTTGGCTCTAGAAAGTACTAATCACCCCATGTTTTGGTACGAGGATCAGTCTAACCAGCCGTAAGGAATACGTGGGTCAATGCCAGCAGGGTAGATACAATGGTCTCCTGTTTTGGCAAAATCTCCAGAAGGCACCTGCAGTATCGCTCGAATTTGGAGTCCTTCGTATAAGTATTACGCCCAACGGGCAAAGATCGACGCCTGTCCCAAGTCGACGGATCGTAACATCAGGCGCCTAGCGAATCTTGGCTGAGAGCTTCCATGTTCATCGCAGAACCACCTCCTCACACACTCAAGCCACCGCATCAGGCACTCGACCGAAGTGCTAGATTTCGATCATGTTATTCCAAGATCTGAAATCTTTCAGATACCACCTACCGTGGCCGCGGGACTCTAGTGCGCACAGAGCAAATCCCGGTCCCTGCAACTTCTAGAAGCGTGCGACAGAAGGCTTTAAGGCGCCACAACGTAGCACAGCCCAACCACGGCAGAGTTGTCGAAAGGGATCCTGAAGGAAGCGTTTCAGGAGGGATAAAAATTGATCGACAGGGTGACAGAAGAATTGCTGTGTATGCTTGTCCCGGCGACAGGATGTTGGTGTATCCGAGAGGATAGTCCCTTGCGCATGACGTTGTCTGAACCGGGGTTGCATCCGTGTCATGCTCGTCTGTTTCCAACAATTGCGTCGTTGAGTGTACATGCAGGAACACTGGATGGATCGTTGACTCGGCTGATTGACCCCTAGAACTCTCATTCCTTCGGCTTCGAGCTGACTTGAGCAAGGCCACACTCTTAGTTGGCGAATTCGTGAACCTCAGCTTGCTAGAAAGACCTCCAGCATGTCATCAACTGTAGGTCCCTACGACGCCTGTTCACGCACAATGCTAGAAAACCCCAAATATGAGCATGAGTAGCGCCGCCCAACTCATCCTATACACTTCTAGGAAACGATACATGCTGGAATGCAGCTCTAGCTCTTAGTAGCGTCGCCTTCAGTCAGTGCCGCACCTTTACATGGTGTCATGCTGTCTTCTTCAAGCCATAAGCGGGCCGCAGAAAAAGCAAACTTGCAGCTCCCCTCGCCTCTCGTACCTTGGGGCATCACGATCACCTTTTCGGCTGTCCACACAGTCGCAGCTTCTTCACCGTTTGAGGCTCAGACCCTGGCTTACGACCTTACATATCCTGGAGATTCACTATGAAGGGACGATCGTCTGCTATAGACGTTACACACTTCGGGCAACAAGGCATGACTCGCTTGATAGTAACCGGGTCGCTTCGAATCTGTGTTCGAAACAGGCAGCCCAAGTTAAGACTGCGCAATGTGACTGTTACAATATACTCCTACGGAGTTGTGGCCTTTTCCCCGTGCTGCGGCGTGAAAACCGGCTATCCGTTGGAAAGCGTCACTTTGTGTTGATTTGCATTTGTGTGCATCGATTGCGACCATTACATGCATGGTCAACTAATCTGGGCAATTAAAAGCGAGACGCCAGCATAGCAGCTAGCTAGTCACCCAACAGCCGTTGTAGTTGCTTTTGTTTATCACCTAGGGAGACTGTCTGCAGTTGAGCTTTCACTTCACTCTCATTGGGTCATTTTCCGCACTGCACACAGTCAACGCTACAGAGCAATCAGGCTTGGCATGAGAAAGAGCATGCAAACCTACGCTTTGACCCGAACTAGCCCACGATGGCTGTACACATTTCTCTTGGATATGCTTTAGGTAAGGCCCGACCTCGTGGTTCTATAATGTAAAGCGGCGAAAAGCAACAACGTGGAGAGGCATACCTGCCTTCGACCTGACAACGCACTTTCTCAGAAGAATACTCAAGGTAAGGGCAAGATATCGTGACTAGCAACGAATTCCCTCGCGATTTTAGAAGCAAAGAAATACCCTTTTCGACAGAAAATGAACTCAAGACCTACTTATGTTCCATATGATCTAAGCACCTTTCACCCTCCTACCCCTAGTATTTGGCCATGCTAGCAACGAGCACGATGCCCGATCCTCGATCTCACAACTCCTACCTACTGGATCGAAGCAACGGCCCGGAAATCCTTTCTAGCACTAGTACACCGCCATACCGAAGCCCAGATCCTGCGGCGTTGACCTTGGCGGGTGAAATGAGCAAGCCGCCTGAACAAGTACATGCCGAGGACCCGTTTGCCTATTACAAAGCGTTCATAGATACAAGCATCTCGCCTACCAACACGCCACATGTGTTTGCGCATGACGACGATGGTTACACTTGCCACACAAGATTTATTGGGGCACATGCAGGCCAAGCTCGAGCCGTCCCCTACAATCTTGCCGTTCGGCAGGCAAATCGTTCCAATGGAGCACCACTTGCCACAATAATTGAACAGGGCTCATACTCTACGCTAAACTCTCACGGCTCCCTTCTTAGTGTTGGTCGGTTCCCTTCATTGGGTGTCGCGAAAAATACCTCACCGAGCCGGGTTACGCATAGAGCTTCGCGAATTTTAGACGAGGATACGGTGCAGGGAATCCAGGAGGAAATTTTGCACCAGCAAGATCTTTGTGTAGTGATCACGCCAGACGAGGAGTTCCAGGCGAGTCGGGCAAGTTCGTGTCCGGTAAACCATACAGCTACGCCAACGAGATCGGCTACCCCTCAACTCTCGCAACATTCAGATGAGCAGTCTGACAATACAGACTACGACGCGGATAGCAGGAATTTCAAAGGATTCTTTCGTGGCTTTTGGCAGAATGTTCAAGCTGGTTCGCGTATCTGGACCCGGTCACTTTCAACGACGCCCACACCGTTCGTTGATTTTCGAGAGGGCCAACCGGAAGCAAGTGAAAGCAGTTCGAAAAGCCAACTACAATCTTCCGAAACTCTTCGAATGATCAGGAGCAACTTTGAAGTCCCACATCCAATACGAACTTCGTCCTTGAGCGCGACTTGTACGCGTGGCCCTGAATCTCAGTCCAAAAATCGAAACGTTCCCACGGCAAATTTCGAACACTCAGCTCGTGCTTACCCGCCCTTGCTCGGTATCCCTTCAACTGGAACCGAATCCGAGACTGATTTTGAGTCTGCACTTCATCTGCTGCCACCATCGGTTGCAACGCGCTCACGCGAACGGTCATATTCCGTGGGCCCTGTACAACCACCACGCGATGTGGCGCGTGACGACGGTACGACTGGAGCTCCGACGCTCTCGAACGAAAATAGCCATGACACCTCAGCTCAAAACACGTTCGATGGCGTCTCTGTGCTCTATAACAACATCCATACACTAATGGAAGTTGACCACGCAAGGGAGTCAAGTAGAAATGCTAGTTTCTGTAGCACCATGTCCACGTCGTACTCAGGGACGGTACTAGGGGTTGACCTTGACCTTTACCACGAGTTCAATCCCCCGGCCCGCCGCTCACGCTCACCGACTCCGGTAGCCCTAGCCCCAGTCTGGTTTACACCACAAATGGCAGAGCTCGGGCGGCAAGCTTCAAATTCGGAGTCTCCTACGTCGAACCAAGCCTTTGCAATCGAACCACCATATCGTTCGATAACTTCATCCGCGTTGGGATCTCTACTGCCCATAGCGGTAGCGTCCGGAATAGCACGTCCAAATCATGACACGCCGAAGATATCCTTCACCTCGCCATCCGGTAACCTCATTCAACCCGAAGGTGGATTGACACCAATGATGAGCACATCGGACTTTGGGGACTTACCTACGATGGCCACTTCGTATTATAATGCGAACACTCTATTTACGCACAGTGAATTGTCAGCGAGAGTAACTACTAGGCCGTCGCTGATTCCCATGACCAAACCTCCTGCATATTCTGCTCCCCTCCCAACACACCTCAGGTATCACCACAACTATCCGCACCGTCAGAGACCGCGGATCGAGTCTCGTGAATTTTCCATCGTGCATAGTCCGGCAGTCAAAGGCTGCGACGGTGTAGTCCGAGAGAATACCTTCACGCCCCAAAGGAGAGTTGATCGCTTCCAAAAAAAGCACCACCGGCTATCAATTCAATCCACGGTAGGTGACATGAAGATTGAAGCGAAGATGTACAAGGCTCATCTTATCACTTCCGCCTCCACGTTCTGTTTGCCAGCTCGAAGGAGAAAGAACGCCCCAAAACTATATTCAAATAACGACCCCAGTGCAACCACATATACACACACTAGAAAGAAGCAAAAGCGCACGGCGGAAGCGAAACAGACCGAAGATTCTACCAGAACAACCCAAAGTTCACAAAACAAGCAAGACACGGGGCTGCTGGCTCCGCTCGCAGGGCACGCTTTGAGGATATGCTTCTGCCAGCCGTACGACGGAGCCGGAAAACAGACGCACGCTATTACTGCAGATACTCTATGTTTGAGCAACCCTAATAACACATACATCATGGAAGCTGGTCTGCCTGCTATCAGGGTCATTGGGGGCGGCAACGACCACAAAGAAATGAACGGCCGCAATAAGAAAGATGATGATATTCATGCAAGCAAGCACAGAAGAACAAGAAGTGACAGCGCGGTAACTTGGGATTAGTCTTACGGTTGCCGCAGTTTGTGGATGATCATCCTCATCCACTTTTCGGTCAATCCAGCCGTGTTGATAACAAGGATTCCTAGGGGTACTGAAAATGATTGTTTGATCATCGCAAAGATTCGATCAATGATTTATCTTCACGTTGGAGTCTTATTGCGCGCGTTGCATAAACGGTCACATGCCATCTCCTTAGCTGGTGACGGTATTGATACATCAAATATGCGAAGGGCAGATTTGGGCAACATAACTAAATTAATCTGTTCCGATGGACTCGATATACCCTGTCATTTGTGAGTGTCATATTTGCGAATTACGCATGGTCTTCCAAGATATGACTACCTCCTATCCTACATGTGTTGCCCTCCAGCGCCTAGCATGCACAAAAGTGAAAGAAAAGAAAACCCTGATTAGCCGCATCACTGCACGTACCAGTTCTTGACAACGCATCTTGATGCAGGCAGGAAACTATCGCTGCAGTAGCTGGGAAAAAGCTTGATGTGTGGCCGTCTGTCCGCTTACCCATGGCATCGGTCGATGTCGCCTCACTCCTGCGTTATCGAGCCGTTCAGCTGGTACCGGTCGCGTAGCTGTTATGCATACTTTTCCCGCGGAGGACTACTGCGACATTCTGCGTGATCAAGACCGCATTTGAACAAGCGTGCGTCCGCCATGGTCACAATTCGACATGCCGTGTCCTCGTCGGTGTCCCATCTGGGTATTTGGGAAGCGAGTGTGCTATTAGCAACGGAGTTGCAACCGGTATGTATGATAGGTAGACCATGGCCTTTTTTGATGTCGTGCATTCGTATTCGTGTAACTTTACAAACTGACAAGTCGCCACAAACTGCCAGAGTTTCAATACGGATTGCTCGACTTATCCGCCCACAAATCGTTCCAAAACTGCCTAAATCCATACTGTTTCTCCCTCCTCTCATCCCTCACCCTAACCGGCCCACCCACTAGCCCACCCCACGCCTTCTTGTCCCCCCTCCCGACTCCTAATTCCGCATTTGTCTTCTTCGGTGGCCCTCTCGCACGATCAAGGATCACTCCCGCAAGCCGAGGCGCCACATCAGCGTAGCAAGATTTCAATTCGCGCTGGAGGTTAAAGTATGGTCTCTTAGCTAATTCAGGTGCTTGGAGATTATAGGAACGTGCTTTGTCGTTGAGGTCTTTGATGGCGAGGGTTTGGTAAGTAAATTCGATGCGTTCCCAGTCTGGATCGCGGAAGGGGTGGGGTGCTGGCGGGACGGTGGGGGAGGGTGTGCTGATAGGTACTTGCACAGTCTGTATAGAAGACTCTGTTACGGTAGCCGCTACTAGACTTCGAGGGACAGCACATGGCGTTGAGTCGAGTGTGATCCTCTCGGCTGTGATTTCTTCAGTAATGACGGCGCCTCTGCCTGGTAAGGTCTCTTGCGAGGAATTCATTTTTAGTCCTCCCGATAGCGAGATTTGCGACAGATGCCCCTCATTATCTACTGTTGTGAGGCTTTCCTGCTTCTTCAGAGGGTTCGCATTCACCTCTGCCTGTGCATATGCTTCTGCTCTCCGAATTTGATCCTGTAGTGACCCGCCTTTACTAGATATCATACGAGCAGCATGCCTCGTCCAGTCATTCCTCAGTCGACTGCGAAACTTGGCCGCTGTTGATGTAAGCTCTTGTTGTTTCTCGATCCACGGTGGTACAATATCTTGTTTCTGAATAATCTTGTTCATAAAGTACTCAGTCGTATCAATGAAAGGACTCGACGCATTGTGGTCGCGCTTGACATTCTTTCCTTTGCCTCGAGGTAAATTCTTGAACTGACCACGAGCAATGGCATCCTCAATCCTCTTATTTGCAAGCGAGGCAAGGCCTTGAATGGATCCGGGAACAATGACGCGGGCATGTGGATCAAAGCGATCCTTGAGCTCTTGGAGTCGTTTCTCGCGATCTGCTGCCTCCATGTCGGCATCATCCTTAACGCTGGCATAAAAGGTGCTCCTATCACGTGCGTTGGCCAGCCTGAGTCCACGCCCCTCCTTGCTACGCTTGTAGCCTGTGTCAACCGACCGTGGTGGCTGCACGCCGGGTAGTTTTGGCGGTCTTCCCAGTCGCATTGGCCTGTGAGCGTCGTTGAGCATGCGCAGGCTCGCATCGTGTATGGATTCGGTACCGGACCATGCTTCGGCCGTGGCAAGATCGCGCGTGCGGCGAGAGGCAGTGGTGGGGAGGTCTGCTTCTGAGGACTTGAAGTTGGCCGCAGCGATGCGCTGTTCAAGCTGGGCCTTCAGTTCGGCGCTGAAGCCTGCTCCCTCGAGGACTTTGAGGGCACTGTGTCCGCCTGTTTCCAATGCTTCTTCGCTCATGCTCCGCAACCGTCGCGTCAATGCTCCTTCCCCTCTCTGTTCTCCTGCTGTGTGCTCATCTTGTTCCTGTCCCTGCTCCTGTTCTACTTCCACTCGGTGCTCTTTGCGCTGTGCTGCTGCATCTCCGTGTTGCCGAACAGAGCTGCTCGCGATGGCTACGAGATGGTTGGGAATTCGTTTGGCGCGCACACCGTGTGCACAGATATATCGTCTTGGGGCGGGAATCGAGGTCATACAGACAGTGATTATGGAGTGAATAGGCTATTCAAAGAAGGTAGGAACTTGGAGAGGCACAGCTAAGAAACTATCCTTTCACGTCATCGTAGGCAGTTCGTGGCTACTCAAGTCCGGCATAGTTGAGGCTTAGCGCATTTTGTTATCGATAGTGCTCCAGGCCGCTCGAAGCATTTACTCCCGCCTATTGCAATCCCATGCATCAGTTCCGGCGAAAAGGCGACATCGCTGCCATCGTCGATGACAGCTCCCGCTCCATGGTTTGGGCCATATGAGACAGACACGTTAAGCCCTGTACCACTTACACAAGCTTCACCGCCCAAACGCCCAGCCTTGGGTGACATATTGGCAATACAGCCATTTATGTCTCTGCCGTAGTACAACGTAGGCATCAGGACAAGGTATGGCCACTGCTGTCAGCTCGAAGCACGCTATGAGGTCGAAGAAGGCCGCCGAGTTTGAGGTACGTGGACATTGGTAGTGGCACATTGTGTCAGCAAAAGCCGATAACCAGAAGGCTACCGAAGTTCTGATGTTGTCCAATATCTCACTCTCGGACATTAACATAACCCGTCTACCTATCGAGGATAAAGCTGGAATGCTCTATGTTAGTAGACCAACCTTCCACGTTTATCGGCATAGTGAGTGTCACAAGGGCATTTCCCTAACTAAGGATCCCTCGAAAGAGCGGCAGCCAGGCCCGACCGTAATGGAGCAGAGAGCGAAGTGTAAAGAGAGGAAGGAGCGCAGGAATCCTAGGGGAACTGTAGTAAACTTAGCCGATACCGGTACCTCGCTTTTTATATGTCACCTCGCGTCCTCTATGTTAATAACATGAAAAAGCCACTTCTGCTGTTCTTATACCCCAAGGCTGGGTTTGGAGGGAGTACAAATTGCAGCTAGGCGCCTCGATCACACCTGGAGTGTTAGATTCGCAGGGTGTAGTTGCATAGAAACATCATGGGGGTGACAAGAAAGTGCTTCGAGCTAGTTAAAAGCAGTTGAAAGGTTACAAAGTCACGGCCTGGCGACTATGAAGCGAGACTGAAACGACGTATATGCACTTGGTAAAGGAGAACAGCAAAGCTGGCACTAACTCCGATCCTGATGTTTTCGAAGAGGAAGGCTTTGACCCGAAAAGCCTGCAGAGGCCGATGAAGTCGTACATTTACGATGGATGAACCCTTTGTCACGGCATACGAGGCGCTATCATTTCCAACATGCTAACATGGAAGTTTACTGGAAAGGTACATGTACGGTTAAGGAGTTGCGAGCGTGTGGTCTATTCCTGTGTTTCAATTACTTGAAACTTGTGGCTAAACTGCCAACCACAGCCGAGAGAGAAGATGAAGACCAGGTGTAAGTCTGCTTAGGGGAATATACCTCATCTATTGCTTACAAGAAGAGCGGGCCCTTGGATTTATTCGACGCCGCCATTCTTCGATTGATTGAGGAGTACGCGCCGAAGAGGCTTGCACGAAGCCAATTCGAGGTTCAAATTAATGCGGAGGAAGATGCCGTTTTCAAAATATGTGGAATGGAAAAAGTACGCTCTACCAATATTTGTGGCAACGAGAAAAAGAGAACAGGTACGTTCTACGAGATATCTTGGCAGAGAACGGAGCAGGCGCTGGAGGTGCTTGAGGTTGATAAATGACTATAAAGGATGAGCTAAGATGAACAAATTGCCTACTCAACACTGCATGACAAGGTTATCTCTTTCCAAGATCCTCTCTACCCGGTATCCACCATGCTCAGCCGTCGCAACCCCCTCTCCCCCCTCTTTCTGTTACTCACCTCCACAATCTGCTGATCAAGACACCACCACCATTTTCTATAGAAATGATCGCCAATCTCCCATGCCTCTTCCACCAGCTCATTGCCCTCGCTCCATGTACATGTGTTGCCGTGGACCCGTACGCCGCCACCGTCTCGGAAGTCGTCGAGGTCTTGGACTAAGTGGACGATGGCACCACTTTGCTTGATGCCACCATTTCGACTGGCCGAGCCAGATGAGCTGTGTTTATCAGGCGGTCTAAGCGAGTCCAGAGAAACGGCAACTGCAACGGAAAGGTTATCGTGGTCATCGTCTTCTTGGGCTACTGGTGGGCGGAAGGACGATGGCATGGAAAGTATACATATTAACTTCTCTCTCACGCTCGGCCATGGAAGTAGGTCTAGGATTGGGTGGTGGGGTATAGTATGCTGAGCGGCAACAGGATGCAGGTTTGTAGGCAACGACGCTAGGGCTGGGATTGACTCTGGAAGCACATGCAGATAGAACGGATCCCAGACATGAGTTGCTACGTCAAGGGCAATAGCGATACTTGAAAATGCTCGCAAGGCAGAGAGAATAGGTATGCTGATGATGGCACCATCTGGTGCGAGCGGGAACTGAAGACCTGGCGAGGAAGGCGATTGCCGACCGTGGATTTGGGAGGGGGCTGAGGGGATTGGACTCGGGAGGGTTCGAAAATCTAGTAGAAGTTGAAGTAATGTTTCAGTCTAAGTTTTTTATTGGGCTTACTGTTGATGTCTTGCATGGGTCTCGTTTCGAGGGCGTCTTGCTCAAAATCGAACATTTGTAAGCTTTCTTGAGGTGGAATCTGGACGACGTCCTCCAACAATCCGGCCATATCCAGATCTAGCCCGGGCCACAAGTTAATTGAGCCTTCCAGTCCGATCTCGGTATGTTCTTCATACTGCTGCTGAATAACTGGAGGTGAGGGGATCCCCTTGGCCTGCGCTTCCAAAGCTGCCAACCTTTCTCTTCGTCGTTGTCCTACAATCCTCAATTAGTACCAACTCCATACAACGAATGATGCAAATCAACGAGGAAGCTTACGGTATCTTCTCTGCGCAAGCACATTAAGCACCCTCTTCCGATCCGGGCCAGCACTTGGTACGTTCCCCGGTATCATGGTCTTCTTGGTCCTTTCAGCAGACATTTCGGAGAATTTGGACCTTTACGTTAGGCTTAACGATCACTGCTCAGGTAGATTCGATGACAATGTCCATGCAGGTGATAACTCGACACGTGGAAAGCATAACGTTATGTTCGTAAGATTGACTAGGCTCAACTGGGTTTAGCCGAGGGTGCAACCATCTCTCCGATCTGTCCGTCGGGATGATGCTCGAAATACGATCAGGTGCCGAGACAGAGATCGATTAGTTAAAGCGCGGAAAGAAGAGCTTGGCTTGCGAATTTGATCTCGAACTCTCCATGATAGACTGTACCTTGTGTAGTAAGCTACTAGATGGCTAGACCAATGCCGCTCTCTGCACGCTCCTAAAGTTCCATGACAACCGAGGTCACGTCACTTCTATCAGGCCTCCAGCATAGCGTAACGTAAGGCTGCGCACTATACCAACGTTATAGCTGGGAAATATGGTAGACATTGAGAGACATTGCGTCGGGACAGAGGCTATTAAAAAGGCGTTGCGCAAGTCTTCAATGGCAAGATTCAACCAACTAAACTTATTCATGCGATTTGATTTCATCCACCGAAACCTACCAAAAAATGGCTCCTTCATCCCCTCACAAACCCAGTGACCCCCTCCTCGGCGGCCAACCAAAGCTCAACAACGAGCCGAGTTCCCCTCCGCTCTCCCCAGCAACCCAAACAGCCATCAAAGCGCTCACTTTGATACGTATCGTAACCGGGGCAGCATGCCTTGTCGCCCCACGATTCACCTGTGCCTTGTTCAAATACCCCGTACCCGCCGAACAAGCGCTGCTCGTCCGCATGTTTGGCGTCAGAGACGCAATGTTTGGAGCGCTGCTGATTACTGCGGAGGACAAGGCAGCCCAGGATGGAGGAAAGAGGTAAGTCGGCGAGACATGAAGTATTTGAATGTGCATGAAAGACTTTTAATCTGATGTGATGTTGTAGAGAAATGAGAAGAGCCATTTGGGCAGGGATCGCAACGGATGTTGTGGATATGGGGAGTCTAGCTCTTGGCGTCGCCATGGGACAGGTTGGGAAGACAGCTGCAGGATTGCTCGGGGCTGGTGCTGTGGGCGCTGTCGGATTAGGAGCTATAGCGTTGAGAGGACTTTGACATGTTCAAGTAGTCCGTGTGTTGAACCCGGTAGGGACGACGACGAGTTAGTATCGTGTAGAATTGCTCCAAATCTATACATTCGGGCTCTCCTAGATGTTTCGCCATAGTGATGATGGCGTCGTGAAGCCAGTGCATCAAGGAGCGGAGGGCTGGCTACATGACATGGGACAAAGTCTCGTGACAACGTGGTGTTGTGAGACGCGGTCCTTGGTGGGGTCCAAACCTGGTGCCCTGGCAACGTCAGCCAAGCCAAGCCTGACGCCTAACCTGGGAACACAACGCGACAAGAGGACACCCTTTTCTTTCTTTTCGACAGAGCGAGTCCGCAAACCGCCTTGGCCCTATATAGCTGCTGCCCATGAGCAGTCCGAGGAAGCATCGCGCACCTTTCCCTCCTGTCAACACGCTCTCGTCCCCCCAGAAGCCGCGCTTCCAGGCCACCACGTCGGCGCCTACTTCGAAGCGCAACCACCACAACAAGAGCTCGGAGATCGCACGAGGCACTATCTATACGACCGCTTCTTTCCTAGACGAGCAGGCACTAGGCAGCGACGTTGCAGATATAGACAGTCCCTTCCGAGACGACCAGTCCACGAGCTTGCTTGGCAATTCCACCTCACTCTTCGACGAAAGCGAACCGGTCCCAACACCACACAAGATGGTGCGAGAGCGAGAAGCTCCTGCACTGCCGCCGCCGCACAAAGAGGTTCCAGCACCAGCACCCCCGCCGAAGCCGCTACAGGAGCTGCGAAATGCCGCTCCACAGTTCGGCCAGACAAGCCCGCTCAAAAATCCGCTGAAGAAGGATACCAAGGACGAATATGCACATCTGTTCAACAAGCCGAGACCAGGACAGATGCGGCCGGAACACCAGCAGGGACCGATACGGCTACCGTCGCAATACTCAGCCAACTCCAGTCGGCCACCAGTACCAGCAAGACAGAGCGCGTCCGATCGCCTAGATGCGCTGAACCGCCCATTCAAGGTCCCAGCACAAGGAGTTCAGCGCCACAGCTCGGCCTCCTCGACTGGCTCTGACATATTTGAGATCCCCGCCTCACAGTTCCAGCCACGCCAACCATCGCACGGCGTCCCGGTTTCTAGGCCATATAATGCTCCGCCTCAAACCACTTATCCGCCTCCAAGGCCCATGTACTCCTCCATGGACCCATCGAACGCATTCCAACCGGTCGCCAAGGGTTCCCACAACCCGCTCGAAGCAGCAAGGAAAACGGTCATCCTAGACGATGAGGATAATTTTGATCCTGACGTTGCCATTCGAGCCGAGGGCGATCGATTCGGTGCCCCTGACATGTACGCATACGTCGACTCTGGCCAGGCTAGCGAGAATATCAAGGCTCTACTCGAGGGCGCTTTCGACGAGGACAGCGAAAAGATCCCACGGACGCGTCTTCGGAAAAAGAAGCAGACGCAAGAAGATGACGAAGCGAGCAAATCACTTGCCGATCGCTTACAGGCTCTCGCGGTTAAGGACCATGAAGCCCAACCCGAAGCCGAGGCAGAAGTGGACGAGGATGAAGAAGATGATGGCACAGTTGATGGCCTGAAGGTGAAGCTTCTGCCTCATCAAGTCGACGGTGTGGCGTGGATGATTGAAAAAGAGACAGGCAATCACAACAAGCGCGCAAAGCTCCCCAAAGGTGGTATTCTGGCCGACGACATGGGACTGGGAAAAACTGTACAGTCCATCGCGCTCATTCTTTCGAATCCACGACCGGAGAAAGGCGTCGAGCCGGAGAACAAGAAAAACAGGATTCTAGAAGCCACCGGTAAGGGCACGCTTGTCGTCGCTCCTTTGGCGCTCATCAAACAGTGGGAGGCCGAGATCCACACCAAGGTCGCAAGATCACATGAATTGAAAGTTCTTGTTCACCACGGCCCGAGTCGCACCAAATCGGCCGAAAAACTGAAGCAGTATGATGTCGTCATCACAACCTACCAAGTTCTTGCCTCTGAACATGCCGCCTGCGGAGACGGTCCTGATGGCCTCAAGAAGGGCTGCTTTGCTGTACACTGGTATCGCACATTGCTCGATGAAGCACACACCATCAAGAATCGCAACGCAAAGATGACGAAAGCTTGCTACGATATTCGTTCTCACTATCGCTGGTGTCTCACGGGCACACCGATGCAGAATAACCTTGACGAGCTACAGAGCTTGATCAAGTTCCTCCGCATTCAGCCATATTGCGAACTGTCTAGCTGGAAAGACTCGATATCTGGCCCTATGAAGAACGGCCGTGGCAACCTCGCCATGAAACGACTACAGATCTTCCTAAAAGCCTTTATGAAGCGCCGCACTAAGGAAGTACTCAAGAAGGACGGAGCGCTCAATTTCGGAGGCAAGGCCAAGGGAAGTGGAGACAAGCCCGCTTTCCAGATCGTCGCGCGAAATGTCGAGACTATCATAGGAGAGTTCACGGCAAAAGAGCGTGCATTCTACGACCGCCTATCCGATCGCGCACAGTCACGCCTCGACGAGATGATGGGTGGTGAGAAGCAGGATTACATTGGGGCGTTGGTGTTGCTGTTGCGATTACGACAGGCTTGCAACCATCCCAATCTAACGAAGAGTAATGTCAAAGATGACAAAGACGCTTTAACTACTGGATCTAAGTCTGGGGCTCCGACAGACCTGCAAACTCCTCGCAAAGTCTCCAAAGACACCGACGCTGATGACCTTGCGGACCTCCTTGGTGGACTCAGCGTTGCTACAAAGCGCTGCGATATATGTCAGAAGGCTTTGACACGAGATAATGCTGAGGCTGATGCCGTTCGTTGCACAGAATGCGAAACGGACCTTCATGTATCGACGAAGAAGAAGTGAGTGTATAACCCGTCATCTGATCTACCCAGCAGGTGATCAGGATCCCCGGGCAATGGCTAACATTCGACGTAGGAAGAAGCATCGGAAGCACAAGCACAAGAGCGAAAAGGCCAAGAAGGACCAGGAACAGCTCAACCCGGCTCGCCAGCGTCGCGTCATCGTGGACAGTGACGACGAGCATGAGGCTGAGGGCGAGTGGATAGTGCCCGAAGACCAGCAACACGTAAAAGATCTCGGTAAAGCAGGCGGAACAGACGATGAGAATATGGAAGGTGGCGGCGATACGCTTGCCTCTGTCGATTCAAGTGCTACTGAAAGTGAAAACGAGAGTAAGAGTCAGATGAACTCATTCATCGTCCATGATACCGATAGCGAAGATGAGGCTCCAGTTCCTCGCAAAAAAAACCTAAAGAATACGCCACGTGTTCTTAGTCTTGACTCCGACGACGGAGCAGATTCGCCGAGCGAATCTAATGACTCCGGTTCGGAAGAGGACTCAGAAGACTCTGATTCAGATAGCGAAGCGTAAGTCCGGCCCCTTTTTACCACTACCACAACCAGCCCTAGCAAATATCGCAAGAGATCTAGAAACACTGGATTCTCTCTTCTGGTCTGTAGCCTGAATCGATATACTAATGTGCAATAGATCCTCAGAGGTTGTGTATAATGCCTCGGACCTTACCCCTTCTACGAAAATTCGACAGCTCCTTGCCATTTTAGAGAAAGAGACGCCAGATCATAAGGTCATCGTCTTTTCCCAGTTTACGTCCATGCTCAACCTTATCGAGCCCTTTCTTAAGCGTGGGAATTACATATTTACCCGATATGATGGTAGCATGCGCAATGATCTGCGCGAAGCCAGTCTGCATAAGCTTCGAAATGATAAGCGTACACGCGTACTACTTTGTAGTCTCAAGTGCGGGAGCCTGGGCCTCAATCTTACGGCAGCGAGCCGTGTAGTTATCATGGAGCCATTTTGGAATCCTGTAAGTACACCCTCTCGTTTTCTAGTTCACTATAACACACTCGCGGCCCCACTTGTGTGGAACTCCCACTCTTCAACATCACCTGGGTTGTTCGCCTTCAGTGCCTTTGGAGCTATCTAGCACATATACCAAGCGCAGAAGTCGGCCAGTCTTGGCTATAGAGAGAGAGAGAGAGAGACCTTATGAACCCATACGCTGACATCAAGCAGTTCGTAGAAGAACAAGCGATAGATCGCGTCCATCGCCTGAACCAAACAATTGATGTGACCGTCTACCGCCTCTCAATTCATAATAGCGTCGAAGAGCGCATCCTCGAACTACAAGAAGCCAAGCGGAAGCTAGCAAATGCTGCTCTCGAAGGTGGCAAGGCTATTGGTAAACTGTCTATGAAAGACATCCTTGCACTATTCAAGCGCGAGGCCGAGTACGATAATAAAAACGTCGACGATGCGGATGAAGTGGGCATGTTTGGCCGCACGCGCGTGCTGGAAGGTGACAAGGGCGAGGCAACGAGAGAGAAAAGAAAGGCGGGAAGTTTAGGGTTTAGGAAGGAGGATAAAGTTTATGGACGACGGTGAGCAGCGCTTCGAATTGTGAAGATCTCTAGGCCTCATCACAGGTACTTGCGGCGTTTGGAGGACCGGCGCATCATGATGAGTAAGATAGAGTGCCCTTTGGCACGATATGATGTTCATTTACATGTCTTTATGCTCAAAAGTTATGGTGCCAGAGTCCCTGTGGTGGGTTGCTTCTCTCATGCCGTTGGGCCATCCTCGTGGAGACTTGGCGCTGGAATACATTGCCCCTCTTATCCTAATTCTTCAAATTATGTTTCCCCACTCCTCCCTTATCAAAAAAAATCAACAGATCATCGTCGTTAACATCATCACTCCGCCTGACTCCGACGTGGTCGTCTCTGTGCCCTTGCGCTATAGGAGCCATGTCCTAAGAGCTGATCTCTAATTGTATCAAGTAGAGAGTCTTCGGGTTGCAAGCCAAAGCGGGAACCTTCTTGCGTAACTTTCTGAAATCACGAATCGCATCCTTCGTTCAGGAGGCCAGGCATTCAGCAGCAGATCTAGAACATGCTATTTCACGTCATGTTTGGCAATCCTGCCAATACTGGTACCTTTAGGAGCGTAGGGTTCGAGTATTCCGATCTGCACAATATCAAGCTACCACAGCGCAATTGTTAGGCAACAGCATCACGCTCTCGTTATCAACTCTTAGACGTTCTATAGACTTGATAGTTACATATAATACGGATATACCCCATCTCCTTCAAACACCAGAGACCTTCTGCTCAAATACCTAGGGTAGTTTACCCGCTTCCGCGCAGTTACTTGCGCATGTCGCAATAACTATCCTGCTTGCTTCCGAATTAGAATTATCACCGAATTTGAACTATAAAAATTTACCTATGTTGCGTTACGTTACTGGGGGTTAACGCGTGTGTGCACGCAAGTTGCCCGAGGATTGTGAACTTAAGAGATCATATTGAATCCTGTAGATCGATTACTATACATCCTCTTTCATATCGCTGAAATTACTACAACAGTAGGTAATTAGCCGAGGTGGAAAGAATGCGGAGATAAAACACCTTGATTCGAGAAACGGCCCTTCTTGAGTGTGATTATCTGTACTAGTATGGGCACAGGAATGTGTTGTGTGACGACTTTGCCTACCATTTAAATGTGCAATATGTGACTTCAGTTACCCGCATAGTTGATGTATATAAATTAGACGGCCTATAGGCCCTTACTCGGAGCCGACTGCAGTCATTTCGCCTATACCAAGTACGTTCAATGGCCGACGAGCGGCTTGAGGCACCATTACTTTACTTGAAGGGTCATGTCTTTCATGGCTGAGAGCAGCGAAGTTGTTGCGTGTCTTACTCTAATACGTCATGAGACGACTCCTGATCTTGGTCTCTGGCCTGTATCACCTCGGAGCATGCACATCGTGTACCACCATTGTACGGGTTCACCCCAAGTTTGCAACGATAGTCCAAACCCGCTCTAAGGAAAACCGCAAGCATTCGAATACATCTTACGTGATGTCTGGGCCATTATTCGCAGGTTCTGGCACCGCGACCACTCCCGAAGCTTCGAATGTACGGCAAACTCTAGCTAAAACTCACGAACGGTAGAAGCGTAGATTGTAACAGTTAACGCTAGGTAAAATGCGATCATCTCCACTAGTTAGTTCATCTCCTCACAAGATCCGATATTGGCTTCTCACTATTTTTCGACGTACTAGTACTCTAGGTTTGTTTAGTCTCTACATGTTTGGATCATCCAAAAATCATCTCACTTTAGCGATGCAACGGTAGTCGCACTCCTGCAATATTGTCGTTAGCTCGCGCAAGTGGCGTCTCAACTAAATTCCTTATACTGCAGTGGACCTCACATTACAAATTTGCTTGTGGATAACATCAACTCAACTCCAAAAGGGTCTATGACACCCTCCACCTTTCAGAACCCAGACTTCATCATAGCTATGATGTCCAGTAACCTTCGCGGCCAACGTGCCGTCAATATTTCAACTACCTTCACTATTATCGCAGTAGTTACCGTTGCTCTCCGCCTATACACCCGTTTTTTCCTCGTTCGTTTTGTTGGTGTTGAAGATTATGGCATCATTCTAGCGATGGTAACAATATCGACTATCTCATGAACAAGTCTCCACTAATTAATTTACAGCTTCTCTCTATTGGTGTGACGGTATGCATTGGCCTCCGTTCGTACAATCTCTTACTCGCTCACTAGTCGATGCTAATTTGGACAGAGGCAAAGTGGGGAATGGGCCGGCATATTAGTGACGTTAGCCCACACGACCTTGTCAAAACACTGAAGGTACCAGTCTTCGCTTTTTCAACAATTAAGCATTATACTGACTTGGAAGGGAGACTTTCTGGGCGTCCTTCATCATCTATGGTCTATCTCTTGGGCTGACTAAAGGATCTATCCTCCTACAATATCAACGAGTCTTTAAGACAAAAAGATTCCAGATCGCTTGTTGGACCGTCGTGGCGATTGTCATCGGCTACACCATGTCGTCATTGTTTAGCTGCATTTTTTATTGTATCCCTTTGCGGTCGTTCTGGACGAGAGAGCCCGCAAGATGCGTTAATCAGCATGCGATGTGGTTGTGAGCCTTCATATCCTAGGGTCGTATGAGCCAGCTGATAGGAACTCTAGCGCAATCGCAGCCATCAACATATTGACTGATTTCATTATAATCATTCTTCCCATGCCAGTCATACGGAGCCTAAGGCTTGGACGTCGACAGAAGACTGCATTAACTGCAATTTTTGCCGTTGGCGGATTGTAAGTAGCGATTTTCCAACCTACTTGCTTTTCTTCGAATGCGTATCTCGGAGCGGCTATATCACATGCAACTCGAGCACGTATAGCTTACCGTGTAGCGAGTTCCAACTCCCATATCTAAATTTCGCTGACAATTTTTAATTCTATGCTAATGGAACTCCCATAGCGTATGCATAGTCTCGATTCTCCGCCTCCAATCACTTGTTGCGATCTCCAAATCCCAGGACCTCACCTACGACAACCCATCTTCAGCAGCCTGGAGCTCCATTGAGGTCAACGTGGCAATAATTTGTTCCTGTCTTCCCCTGTTCCGCCCACTTCTGGCTCGCTGGCTCCCAGGTGGATTTTCATCGCATAAACGCAGCTCCCACAGTTCGCCACGGCCGTCGGCGACCAGCGGAAGTAATCACGGTCGCAAAGGCTTAAAGTCCGAACCCGAATATCCTATGAACATGATGAAGCAACAAAATCAACCAAGCGAGGATGTAAGAGATATTCAAGTTATCACAGATATCCATGTGCATGTCGAAGGCAGTGAAGAAAGAGCGAGTGGATGGAGAACACCTATATCAAACAAGGAGTGGGTAGATGACACGAGCAACAAGGAAACACCAAGAGCAAGTAGCACAAATATGGTAGCTACGGATGCTGGTCATGCTGTCTAATATTATTGGTGTAGCCGCGCTGTATTTCTTCAATTCTTCTTCTTCTTCTATACATCAACCATGCCGCCCGGCCTATCTAGCAAGCATTTATGAATTCGAGATGGCTTTACCCCTCCATCTGACTCGACCTGGGGCAAAATGTTGCTTGTAAGACATTATCGTTGCTGGAGCGAGAATCAGCCTGGGAAAGAGTAGTTGGGGGCTGGAGAGCCGGCTGGGCGCAAAAGAAAGATCAGAGACATCCCGACATTGGTTTGGTTCATAGTGGGCAAAGTAAGTTCAACGAATAACTGGTAAAGGCGCAGTGTTAACCTTCTCGAGCGCCGAAGTCGCACTTTTTGGATTCGGAACATCAGGTCAACGGTGCCGAGTCAAATTCGCATCTGGTAATGGGGACTGTTATGGTCAGCCGCATGACGCAGTGTTGGTTGAAACGGCCTGCCGCCGCGTCGAAAAAGCCTTAACGACTGATAATAATATGCTCAGTCAGTGTAGACTATTCACGTGTGCAGCTCCATCTTAGCTTGTTTTAGTAGCACGTCTCTTAGCCTACTTGATCAACGTAATGAACTGCTAGCAGCTATGAATATAATAAATTTCCTCCGCTCTAATGCGCTCCTGTGATTTTGGGTGAAGTTTTACGTATGAGAGCCTCCGATAACATACCCCGTTTTGGTCGAGTTAGGCTTCACTCGAGTGTTCCGCGCTTTCCCTCCTCTCTTTTGTATTTGCGCGCCACCCTTCACACAAGTGCTGCGCATAGACCTTAGCACAGCTTCATATTCATCGCTCAACTCTTCCGACGTATTGCCTCGCAACACCACTACAAATGCGGTCATAACAATCCACAACTTTACGATTTCGTGAACACAACAAAATATCTTCACTTTCACTTGAGGTACACCTCACACCTACGCGAAACATACGGGCGGCTACTTGAGTGTTTGCTCGACTCTTTCACTACCACTACAACCGTTTACGTATGTCAATCTCGATAGATGACTCACCAAAGTGCTTGGTACCATAAATCAGTAGTCGTTCCGTCATCAGTAAACACCTTTCCACCACCGCCTCGGCATTTCTCAATTTTGGCCGCGCTAGAATTTTCTTTCCGATATACAAGCTTCGGAGCTACTGTGCAATGCCAGGAATTGATCTTGCAGTAGAGGGTTTAATGCTGGACACCTCAAGTACTGAGGGCATCAACGAGCGCACAGATCTAATTCCTCAGAAGCACAAGAAGAACGCGGCCGAGTATGCAGTCGAAGGCGATCAAGAGATAGACACGCCGTTTGCGCGAGACACTACCCCCCTCGAAGTCCAAAAGGGCATTGCAGCAGCCAAGGAAGCCCCCGAGTCGCTTGAAGCAGGGGATTACACTCCCAAGCGCACAGTTCGTCAAAAGTGCATAAAGAATGAAGAAACATTTGCGCCTCATCCGACCGACTCCACCAAGATAATCGCAACCTTCCGCATACAAATTCCCCATGGCGGTGGCGAATTTGTGCAAGTCGACGAGATCCCAGAAACGCGCGTCGCTCCTGCCACCTCTGACAACGCGGTCTCTTGCGTTGTCTACCCCTCCCTCGTCGAATGCAAAGTCCCACGCAAGATTCGCGGGTCCAAGAACAGACTCGAAGAGTTTTGGGTGAAGAACAACACTGAAGAGCGTTGGACACGTGGTACTGGCGACAACATCCAGTTCTTCAAGCCTACAGTCATTTTCCGTGCCTTCAACGCCATTACCTACGAGTACGAGTTCGCTTATGTTGGCGAAAAGAAACTAGAGAATGTGGACCCTAACAACAAGATCTGGACGACCTCTTACAACAAGTGGATCGACCAAATCAAGCGTCGTCGTGACAGTATGTACGTTCAGACGTTGCATCGTACACACTGGACCGTACCTGAGAAGCAAGCGCTGTATACTGCGATTAATGACTTCTGCGAGATTTTTGGATTGTTTCGCTTCGGCTTTGGAAAGGGCGCAGAGATGGTTTTAGAAGATCTCCAAGGATTTGCGGATGAGGTCAACCGCGAGGGACGCAATAACCGCAACGTAGACTCGATTCGTGGACAGATTACTTCCGCGCACGCAGAGAAGAACAAGGAGATCTATGAGCTGCTGGAGCGGGCCGACGCGCTGCGTGCGAAGCGAAATGAGAACCCAAACGTCAAGCTTCCTCTGATGGAGGAGTTTCCTCATGAAGTGATTCCGTTATCCGCCTTTCCTAGGGAGGCTAGTTCGGCGAAATCTGAGAAGGACAGGAAGAGCAGGAAAAGTGCTGTATCGATCAAGACCTCGAAGAAGCGCAATGGTGACGCGGCTTTCGGTAGATATGAGGTTGCTTCGGATAGTGACGAAGGTATTCAGCCGGCTTCAACTCCACTCAAGAACGGCAAGCAGACATCGACGCGTACCAAGGCAGGCAATATCACACATAAAGCTAGAAAGAAGCGCACACGCACATCGATCTCTCGGGAGAGAGGGGAGAAGGAGGAGGAGCCTGGGGAGGGCGAGCTCGCGGATGATGTAGAGAAGGAGGAGGCGAAGCCGGAAATGTCTGGTGAAGACATTTTAGAAATCCCTCTCTCCTTACCGTCTCCCCCAAACAAAAATATAGTGAAGAAGCGCAAGGGTCTAGCGATCCCTGAGGAGGAGGGATTTGCCGAGGGAGGTTGGAGGGACACAAATGGAAAGGTCATTGAGAACAAAGGTGGCGAGCGGGAGGACGTGACTCGGCTAAAGAAGAAAGCGCAACCGGGGAAGGCTGCACGGGCAGAGGTCAAGGCCATTGTCAACAACGATAGCGGCTCTGACAGGTCTGACGTGCCTAGCTTGACAATGCCGATGAGCAGGAGTGGTGAAGATTACTGAGAGGGAGCTAAGCGAGCTTCATAGATGGGATATGGTTAAGCAAAAGGACATTGCACCTACTACTCCTGGTAATGTGGGGTAGGAGTGGAAGGGCGCGGTGTACACCATGTGCCTAGGGTTAAGGTGATGGGTGTGGAAATAAGGCAGCAGGTTGCTGTAAATCTAATATACCTCTAAGCGCGTACTATACCGTGAGGAGAACATTGCAGCCTACCTGATGTAGAAGAGCGAGAGCGTATGGCTGGTAGAGTTCCGGGGCGGCGAGGGAAGAATCGGTTCTTGAGAGACCTAGATTAGAGGGCCAGTCAATATGCCGGCTTCTTGTTACAATAGTCAATGTATTACAAGATGATAAGCAGTGGATGAGAAAAAAAAAGAAGAGCCGCAATGTGTGCTACAAGAAGATAGTAGTAAAGAGCTAGTAAAAAGCTAGTTGCATTGTGGCACTAGGTATAGGTATAGAGCCCATGTACCTAAATCTAGCAACCATGTCAACAGCAACTTGAACTTGAAGTATACATATATTTATCACCTGCACTTGCATACGCCTACAACGCCAGGCTATGCAGACCAAATCCAAAAAGTGAGGTGTTAGAATCCAAAAGCATCCAGCAAGCTATTCGCATCCGGCTCCTTGAACTGGGTGGGCGGTGGTTTCTTCTTCTCAATCATCCCTGGCTTCTTTTGTTCACCTTCCTTTGCAGTCTCCACTCCGTCCTCTTCTCCGCTTCCCTCCTCATCCTCCTCCTCCTCCTCTAGCGTCCCTTTACTCTCTGCAAGTTCGTTCTTGATGTGCTCTCGCACCGGCAAATCAGCGACAACTAGCGAGCTTCTCCGGCGTAGCAGCTTGCGTGGATCAAAGTCAAAGTCTGTTGCTGACTGTCTTGGTCCGTGAGCGTGGAACGACTCCCGTGGCATCATTGGGCTAAGTGGTGGATGTCCAGGTAATGCCTTGGTTGGCGGTGGTGGGAGCAAGAACTCCCAAGTCTTCACGAGATCGAGTGCAAGGACGTCGCATCCCATACGTTCGTATAACCTGGCTGTGTGGAGTACGAACTCCCACTCTTCTCGCATACCGATCATAGTTGCACCTCGTAGTGTTTGCAAACTCTTCTCGCGGAGCTGTTTGTAAAGAACGACGAGCGCGGGGTCGTCTGTCAAGTAACTTTTGCTCTGAAGATTAGGTGTCTCGGGCGGACTAAGGAGACGCGAAAGTGGGGTGACCAGAGCGCGAACAGCCGTGTCGCGACGTCCAAGGAGCCAGTAAGCCCAGGTTGCCATCCATCGGTTACCATCGCGGGCAGCCTGAGGCAGAACCTTATCCTTCAAGAAGCTAAGTAGTACGAGCGAGTCATCACCGCCATAAACACGCGCAACTGCAATGGCGAGCTGAGTGTCGCCAAGTTGGTTGTGCAGCACGCTGATAGCATCCTGCAAATGGTCCGCTAGTAGGAAGAACGAAGCGGCGTATTCGAACCGCCTCTTTCCCATGAGCGCATACGCGTTCTTGAGAGCAGCCGTCTTCCATCGTTCCTCATTAAAGTTGTTGGACAAGAGGCGGTGGGTCGCACCCTGTTCCCTCGACCAGGTAGCCATGCGCCAGAGGCCAAGGAGAACAGCCTTTTTGCGAAGTGCGAGATAAAAGAGGGCACAATCGACGGGGTTCTTTTCTTCGGTTTTGGTGTACTCGTTTCGAGCGATGACTTCGAACTGGGTGCGCTATGAGAAAGGTTAGTGGCATTGCGCAAAGGTTTCGAATGAGGCTCATACTAGGGCATTGATATCCGTCATCCACATGAACACACCACACTCTTTAGCGTGCTGCCATAACATCTTGCCGTTGAAGTGTCTGCTGACGATATCGACTAAGATATCCTGGCTTCCAGAATGAAAGGCCCAGATGATCTCGCGCCATGAAATGGGCCCTTTCAAAACCTCACTCAGGGCATGCTGTCGGAAGAAAAGTAGGAAGCGGCCTGCATTATCGTCGATTGAACGGCGATGCTTTTCTACCATACCTATACATTCAACAATATCTGCGAGGTGAAATTGCTCGCGGCTTGAGAGTAGGGGTATCTGCTTAGTGGTGAGCAGATCTTTGAGATTGGAAGCGACCTCTTCGGTTACGGCATGAGGCTCGCTATCGTCTGTGAAGTCCGCATATGAAGAGTGCATGTCTTTCCTCGAGGTGGCCATGTGCGTCTATGTCTCTTAGTCCTCATGTATAATATCTGTAGTTGTGTCTTACATTGTACTCATAAAAGTCCTCTGCAGTGAACCCCAATGAACTATTCAGCTCCTCGCCCTCGATCCAGAACTTGAGTTTTTGGTACAACTGAACCAATATCCGTTGCACTAATAAGAGCCTTCCGGCCAGCACGCATTGTGATAGCAATTGCGGGTGGTACACTGGTAGTGGACCGTTGAGACGGCTGACCGCCGTAAAGATATCAATCGAAGCTGTCTTGCGCGAGATCATTCTTAAACTGGGGAACAAGCCTTCAGTCACTGCAACATTCTCATCCTGGATGAAGAGCTGGTTACCCGCACCGATGATGAGGTTCCCACTCCCAAGCCAGACAGAGTCACCAATTGGGTGTGGTGTGATGTCTCGTATCCGAATGTCGCGAATTGGCACCCAGGATTCGCCCGCATTCAGGTAATCGTAACGGAGCTGGGCATAAATAACGACCCGATGAGGGAAGCCAACTGCGAGTATTGATTGATTATCAGGTGTAGACGACCAATCAAGATCTTGGATGACTCCGTTTCCCTTGAAAGTTTCCTGGTACTCCAGTTGCGCACTTCGAGTATTCCAGATAGTCAACGTTGTTTTCTCGGCATCCACCAGGGCGGCTTTCCTTATCGACGTGCCGCTAGCCAGCGAAGGGTTATGCACGCTTGTATCAACTTCTGAGGTCAATAGCCAATCTAGCCTCCGATCCTCCATATTGACGCGCGCAGTCCACGACTTGATGACACCTGAATTAGTATATGAGATGGCGATGTCGCGCGCGAAGGTGTCGAGAAAGCCTGAAATGACCGGTGCTGAGCCTGCCGGGTCTACAGGCAGGACAAAAGCAAGATCGTCACCTGAACCAAGATCAAAGCTAGAGTACTGCTCTAACGATATCTCCAAATGACCATTAGAGTATCCCTTGGTTTTCTCAATACTAGAGAGTTTGCGACCGGTGACTGGATCGTGCTCTAGTAGCGGAAGCGTCACCTCCCAACATATGCCCTTCATCTCAGAGCTGATTGTCGCAATGTGTACACGTCGACCTCCTGCCTGCGTTTCGGGTATAACAAGCAAACATAGTGGCCGGCCTTGCAGCTTGTAAGCACAACGTGCCACCTCTTTGGCCTCATGGCCTCGTGTATCCCAGAGCGAGATGTCGTTGTGGTGTAGGAAGACGACGAAGTTGCCTTCCTGTAGTAGCGCTGTCCTGTGGATGTGCTCGGTCACCTTAACACTGCTGTGTCGATGTAGCGTCATGCCCTGATCACTGGGACGCTGAAGCCAGATGATACACTCGTCTGTAACGGTTCTTGATACTAGTGCACGCCCACTGGCTGTACGATTGACTTTTTTTATGGCGTGTGAGTGTCCGGTCCACATAGCCTTACGCTGTATACGCTGCAACTGAGGCGAAGGATCGAAGAGGTAGTCGATACGTGACTCGAGCCATTCTATCCGCCCATCGAAGTGATGTGATAACAAGGTGAAATTAGAGTCGGGTTTGTCGCCGATGAAAGCGTAGAATTGTACGTTGTCCTCGATAGCCTTCGGTTCCTTGGCAAAGTGTAGATGCAAGCCGTCGACATGAGCAATGTTGAAAACGTCTGTAATCTTCTTCACTCCAGCTCCAACATTCTCGAAGCCCCACGCGGACATGTTCCCCCGGTCGTCCAGCACGACGCAGATCTCAGGATTGCGATTCGCAACCTCAATCAGGTGATGTAACGCAATGCCGCGGTCTTTTTCTTCTGCTGACGCCTGCTGCATGGCTCTTTCTGTCGCATGCGTGAAGTGCCTGCCGTCGATAAAGAAGGCAAACCGCTTCTGTGACTGCTGCCCTAGGGGTACATGCCGTGCCATGATGGACTCGAAGAGGTCCACCTCAGCCCATACGTGCATGCCATCCACGCCGTGGTGTTCGCTGGGGACCCACACGCGTACCTTGTAGTCGGCGCATATTGTATAGAGAACATTTTGCGCCGACTGCTCCTTATGATATGGGTGTCGCCAATGCAGGCCTGTTATGGCTTTGGGATGTGGGAGGTAGAAGTAATCGAAGCTCTGATCGGCCGAACCATACGAGGTGCGCCGCCATATCTTCAGTAGCCGGTCGTATCTGCCAGTCGAAGCAATCAGCTCGCCATCTGGCGAGAAGTGGGCAAACTTGACCGGGTTCGCTAGCTGCTTGGTCCATAACTGTTCGGTTGCGCTGTGCGTGTTGAAGAGCGTGAGCGAGGCACTGCCTGCGAGCAATTCGTCGGGCAGCCCCCAAGAGAGGGTTGTGATCGAGTCGTCCGGGTCTGGGAGGGCCATGCTGCCTTGCAGCGACCACTGCGCACATCAGCACCCAAATATCTCCTGTAGTCGCGGCCTACAACAACACACCTTGATGGCACCCTCATCCCGCCCATATGGCCGATATAGGTATATGTTTCGCGTTGAACAAGCTGCGATTTTGCCTGTTCCCTGGTCTAGTGCGACGGCTTCGAGCCCTAACTCTTCGTCGATGTAGATGGTTTGGAGGACGTGGTTCGGTCGATCGAGGATGATGAGTGCATTGCCGGAGACGTAGGCCTGTCGTTACTCTAGTCAGTCGATCATCTGGGAGCAGAGGCCGTGTATACAGGAGTCGTACAATGATCTGGATATGCTCCCACAGGCCATGAGCGACAGCTTGCAGCTTCGCCTGCGGCCGCCCAGGGAGAATGCCGCGCATGAAAGCTCTTTAGAATCTCGCTACCTAGTCCACATCCTTTCTAGCTATTTGCGGGGCCTCGAATTGCCCAGGAAAGTAGTGACATGTGTTGTAGATAGAGCCGCTTGTCGAGCTTCAGCCGTTTCGCCATCTATCCAGGTGCGACATTTGGTGTGCAACGAAGCTCACGCGCACGGCCCACGTGGGCTGTCGTCACTTCCGACCCGCCTTGTTAGTCCGGAAATCAACTGGTACAAGCAACTAATAAAGCATCGAGTACATGTATAGTAGACTCTAACGAGAGATGGAGCAACCATCAAATCATGTTCACGCCCAGACCACAACACCAATCCATCCCTCATTGGTTTTTCTTTCGTGATGTCGTCGCTTTCGTTCTCCTTTTCATGCCATCGTCCTCTGCACCCTCCCCTCAACCTCCCCGTCATCGCCCGGCCCTTTCCACTCTACTGTAACTGTAATCCCCCGATCGTCACCTTTCTCCTTTGCATACGTCAGGCTGCCCTCCAACACCGTCCCCTTCCGAAGTACCTGTTTCTCTGCAATATCCCTATCGAGTAATAGGACAGCTTGATGCCAATGCGTCGGCGTATTACTCGGTCCGGTCGAGAACCCTAGGCCTGGAATGCCGTTCTTGCCCCAATGAACCGTGTCTAGCATCTTGACGTCCTGTGAGCTACTCGGGTGGATGAAGATGGTGTCGAACCAGATTGCAATTGCGTGGAGTGAGGTGATGTCGCGATCGAGCGTAATCCGGAGAGGGGTTGTGAAGCTGAGATCTTCGACGGACACGGTCTTCGTCTCGAGGAGGTGTGATGTTGCAGAGCCGCAGAGTGCTTTCTCTGGTACATCGAATACACCAATCTCATGTGTGTTGAGCAGACCGCCTGGTATCATGGGCGAGAAGTTGAAGCCATAAACGTTGTTCCAGAACTTCTCGCTCGTGCTGTCTGCGATCCACTCCGCATCTGAAATAGGTGCGAGGCGGATATTGCAATGACTGGGGACCATGATGCCGCCTTCCTTCAAGTACATATCCCGCGCACGTAGCACGGAATCTAGCATGCCTTCGAAGAGCAGACCGTAACCCATCCATTCCGAGATGATAATGTCAACCTTTTCCTTTCCGATCAGTCGCTGGGTGTTGAAATCCTCGACTCGTCCCTGGATTACTTCGATGCGCTGTTGATATCCGTTCTTCTCGATAATTTCTTTCGCTCGGACAGCAATGCCGGAGTTGTCGACCGCGAAGACTTTCTTCGCGCCCGCTCTTGCGCAAAATAGCGACAAGATGCCAGTACCGCATCCGACGTCTAGCACGGTCTTGCCAGCGAATATTTCGGAGTTTTTTTCGATGAAATCTCGGTAGCCCTCGGTCCGCACGCGATCCTCGATCATCTCACGGTGGATGCTGTTGCCTTTGTATGATTCAAAATAATCTTGGTCCCGGTCATTGGTAAGCTTGATATTTGACAAGTCCTCTGGCATGTCCTTATGCAGCGCAGCTTCAAAGTCATTGTAGTCAACAGGCTTGGAATCCGTATCTGGCATAAGATCTCCAAGCTCGAACAAAAGGGCGTCATCTTCCAGAACAGGTAGCAGGTAGTCGTCGCTAGCAACGTCTTCTAGTGACACGTCAATTCTCTTGGGATCTATGCCATCCTTTGCCCTTACTCGCAGGTAGTTTATCAATTTGATGATTGTAAGCTCGTCCGCGTCTACTCCGAATTAGCCTCATATCTCAATCAGGCAAGGCATGCGCCACCTTGGGATGAGTAGGAGACAAACCGGGTCCCAGCTTCTGGATCGTCTCATGCAGATTGAAACTGTGTTCCGTCGCGCAATGTTCTCCCATGTCCGATACGCGACACCATTGTTGGTCGCAGAAGAGGCATTTGAAGCTAGTCGTATCTGGCTCGCTTGCGTCCTCAAAGATGCTGCCGACTGAGCTTGCAGTATCTGAGTCACTGTCTGCCATATTGCTGTCTTTTCTATACTGTTATGTGTTTCAAACCTGCACTAGGATGTAGGGTCGAGAAAGATAAAGCGACTGTCGAATCCAGGTTGCCGGGGTTGCAAGAAGGTTCTGCGGTTTAGTGTTAGTTTTGTGGGCGAAGCTGCGGGGTTGGCCTATCCTGCCTGCCGTTAACTGCGACGTACGCACACTTCTCACATCCTCCGTAGTATCCACACATCATTTTCTACATCCTTTTCCTTTATCAATCACTAGGGATTCCGATGATGGAAGTCTTGGTTTGGGTCTATCTCCGGGTTTGGAATTCGGTAGTTAGTGGCTATGAGCTTTCTGACGAACAATGCTGACGTTTAATTACAATTAATTCAAATCCACTATGTTACCAACGCGCAGTCTGCTTCCACTTCCCACTATGACAATGTTGTCTCATCATTTACCACCCCTATAGATTCAATCGCAGTAGTCTCCCGGTGCCGACATAGTACACTTATTAGTTACGAATACATTATCCGTCGTCGTCGCATTGTTGAAGATATCGAAATCGTTGAACTTCAGCGAGTTCCTCTTGACAACATTACCTGAAGCCTTTGCGCCGGTGACAAGATCATCGTTGATGAAAATGCCAACACCCGTTCCATTATTGTTGATGTTTTCGATCGTGTTCTCATCGACAATCGTGTTGCTGGCTCCAAAGATGATGATGCCAGCGCCAGCACTATCTTTGCCAGACGGGCAGGCAGGGTTGCGGTTGGTGATAGTGTTGGCGATTATCTTTGCTCCCTTGATGCCGGGGTCGACGAAGGGTCCGATGCAACAGTTCTTGACCTTGTTCTTCTTGACCACTCCGCCAGGCGTTTGCGTGCAGAGCGCAATGTAGTATCCAGATATGTTGTTCCCCTTGAACTTGGCGTCGGATTGGTCGTCCATGCATAAAGCGATAAAAAGAACGGCGGCAGTCGTAGACTCGAAGGTATTGCTCTCGGCAAGAGTGTTCTTGGAGCCAACGGTCAAAAAACCGTATTGAGCACCATCTACTAGCTTGTTCTTGGTGATCTTGACATTCTTGCCACCAGCGACCGCAATGTTTTCGCCAGAGAAGCCGCGGACCTCAAAACCAGTGACGATAACGTTCTCAATATACTCGCCGACCGAAAGAACCTTGCGATGCTCCCCTACGAACTCGGCAAGCTTGACATCCTTTCCGTGGATACAGATACCGGCTTCTGTCTCAACACCCGCAAAGCCCTTGTTCAGGCCGGAGCAAAGGTTCCTAGTAAAGGTCTTGGGCGGGATCAGAATAGCCTCCTTGCCGATGAGAATGATATTACTCTTCGTGATGCTTAGCTGCTCAGCATAAGTGCCAGCTTCGACAGTGATCTCGTCTCCGGGGCGTGCATTGTCAATGGCATTTTGAATGGATTGACCTGGTTTGACGATCTTTGGTGCAGTCTGAGTTCCTGTTGCCAGGTGCAGGGGAAGAAAAGCCAGAAGCAACGAGGAGCAGTGATGCTACAAGCAGTTGAGAATGCATTTTTATTGGAACAAGACAGAAAACTCTAATTGAGAGATGTCGAGTTTCAGTGCGCTATGAAAGTAGTAGAAGCGTGGGTTTTATAAGGGTGTTCCTCACACCCTTATAAATCCACGGCCCGCATCCCTCAAAGACTGGATTCTCAATCAGCTCTCAGCCCTCAGCCCTAATTCATCGTAAGTACGAGGCGGCAGACTACAGGCTAGGCTCTTGTTTCTCCACATATACATCCATGCATTGATCATCGAGGCTAATGGAGAGTTCCGGTTGGTCTATCAATGTGACGGTGGAAGCGTAATCTACTCTACGACCTTAGGCCTGATATGGTATTTGCACGCGAGTCTTACCCGGACTTGACTAGAAGGAAAGTCGCAGAAAGGGATAGCCTTGACTTGGAAACGAAGGGTGAAATTTCGAGAGGTCCATTCAAGGGATCTGAAGCTTTCACATAAGACGATCAAGTGATTCTAGCTATTCTTCTAGTAAACACCTTTTACATAGTTCAACCCACGGACTTAGGAATGTACGGTACTTGATTACATTCAGACCAGTATATTAGATCACCATTGACTCTTCTCTACCAAGACCCCATAGCTTCAAAAACGTATTGAGAGCGAGTGACTCCTCTCATACTTGAACTGTTGGGCAGATACAACCAAAACTCGCATCAGACTCATCAGTAGTCATGGAGAGCAGAAAATCGATATATGGTACCATGGGAGAACGATGATGAGGTTTGGAACCATGGTTGGCGACCGTCTCGACCTATCCCGGAAGAATCAATGTGATTACAAACACCTCCGCACTCAAAGTACTTTTACAGAAACCAGCGATAGCTCAACTAGGGCGCAGGCGCTTTGAAAATCCTCTTCAAAAACGTATCATGTTATCGTATTCGGTACGCAGAAACGCCGAAAACGTTGCTGCGTCCACGATTCGAGGAGCTGAAGCAATCATAGGACGCCGATCCTATCAGATTCTAGGGCGTTCGCTTCCAATATTTTGGTTGCCGATCTTCTTAGGAGCTGAACGCAGTCTAGTCTCAGAAGATCTTCAGCTGAACAGAAAACCCCGCGTGTAACAATATTATGACCACATAGGCCACTAGTAACTGGATTTACCTACGGCGCAAGGAAGCCACGATGCGAGCATTGTCTCGCGGTACTTTCCGACTTTGTTGGGCCACATTATGGTCTCTAGAATCTCAACCCACGCCTGGATGACTTCCTTAGCTTTAGTTGCAGATCGAAAGTTGTGGACCTCTAAGCAGAAGTTGGAACATGATACGAGAGTAAATTTCCCTGCCGCGCAAGCCTATGGTGTCCAGCGACACTTCCACGATTGCTCAGCTTCCCAGGTTGCCAGCCTGGAGCTAGACCTGATCAGGTATATTGAGTGAATGTCAAAAAACGATCGCTGGAAAAACCGCTGCTTTAGACAGCCGCATCGCTATTACGTGGCTAGACTCACTTATATAGTTCTGCGACCAGACTTTTGCGTTGCGGTACTGTACCGTTTATTGTGTTGCAACACCGCTTTCATAATCTGCAGAGTGCTCTCTGAGCTTTACAACTTCTTCTTCTCGTTGAAAAACTGAAACTAGAAAAAATAACGCTATGCGATGCAAGATCTATACAAAGTCGAAATTCAATTTTCATCCATCCCGACCATGGTGTGATGCGAGTGGATTGCTAGCGCTTACAACCATGTCATGCTATTAGCCCTGGAGCCCTTAATAGCTTATCAATGTTAGGAAATATATTAAACAAAGTCATACCATGATGTACCTAATCTAGATTTCTTCCCACATTCGTGCTCGTGACGCACTATCCCGCTCTTGCACGCTATAACGTGCACGAACGCAGACATTGCCCTTTATATTTTACAGAAATGAAGGAAGGGTTTGCGAATCTCGAGGAACGATCCTGTAATCCCGAAGTTCATCATTTATAATACGCATCTCAACAAGAGTTAACAACTACATAAACCACTAAACCACCACGTCTTTTGTGAAAGTTGAGGATCTATGCAAGTAACCTGCATAGATGCGTGTGTGCTCCTTCGGGACTCTTGAATGAGCTCTAAACGTGCCATGGGAGGAAGGTTGTGTATTACAGCAATTCCGGGAACCCGTAGAGATTATTGACAGTCTTGTAGGGAAAGATTTCAATGGATCGACGAAACCAGTCTCTTCGAGGCTGATGTTTGGAGGTGGATATGAAAGACTAATCAACTTGTAACTTGCTAACATGTCGCTCTTGATGCTTAATGGCGGCATTATGCAAACACAAAAGTACAACTGTGCCAGGATTCCTAGTTCTAGCCTGACGTTGAGCATATAGTAGCCCCGAGGTAGTAGTGCAACATGCCGTAGAAATTTACAGATATGGGACCCCATGAAACGCAAACACATAAGCGATTGCTAGATCGTACTGTGATGAGAATTTCCTTTCTGATCCATTGGATACGGTGCCATCGAATTTGAGGGTATCGTCATCCCGATATATTGTTACACATGTGTTCCTACCCTAATCCCTATCTCTTTGAATCACCTCTAGCGATAGTCATTGGAGTTGTACGCGGGCCTGTTGCCACCATTACTGTACCCACCGCCACCTCGATTTCCCCCTCGTCCTCCGCGACCTCCACGACCTCCCCTATCATCACGAGGAGGGCGATCGTTATACGGATTATTACCCTGATATCCACCATGACTGCCTCCATTGCTACCTCCTCCGCTCCTTCCCAGTATTTCTTCTGCAGGGCGGTAGAACCGCTCGTTTTGGAGCGAATTATTGTTGGGCGGTTGGCGGGGAGGAGGCCCGCTGTGCGGAGGCTGATTCGCATTTCCCATCCAAGCTGGCCTCTGTGCAACCAGCGGCGGCATAGGTGGACCTCCATATCCTCCATTGCCACCTTGCCAAGCACCTTGGGGTGGTGGCACCCAGCCCGGTGGAGGCGGAGGTAGGAAATTTTGACCCGGGGGTGGGGGCCATGAGTTTGGAAAGGGTGGTGGTGGTCCGTAGTTCTGTCCTCCATAACCACCCTGATTACCGTTGTACCCGCCGCGATCCCAGCCTCCGCCTCCCCGACCGTTGGAGTAGCTGCCTCGCCCTCCTCCGTTTTGGTAGTCGCCGCGCATATTGTCGTTGCTGCGACGGTCGTTGAAGCCACCTCTACCACCTCCACGGCCCCGGTATCCGCCACCACCCCCACGCTCATTGGAGCGGCGCACTGATTCGGCTTCACCGGGACTGAGGGCGGGCTTGGGGAGCTTGACGCCGTCTAAGAGGACAGACTTATGGGCTCGGCTTGAGCTAACGCTGGGCATTTCGTAGTATACCCTAATAAATTGTTAGCATTATTATTGTTCATGACTTAGATGGTCATCACAAACCTCATTGATCCATCCTGGACAATCTCAAATTCGGTTTCACCGTCGACATCAAAAGGCGGTACCAATTGACTATCCAACACGAACATGTCGTGTGGCTCTATGTCACCGTGAAGCGCACGACTTTGTGCAGGATCGATCTTGTGTTTCTGCTGGCCCTTGCGGTAGAGTGCCTTCTCGACATCTTCAAAGAGGCCACCCTGCTGTGAGAACATAAGTGTCTCCTTGCCAAACTCGTTCCGCCTTTTTTCGTCGTCTGATAGCTCGGGGTATTTTGTTGCCATAGCTGCCAGCAGTCGCTTCTCGTCAATGAAAGGTAAAACAGCTACGCCCTGCCAGGCAAATCTCTTCCCGTTCAAGTCGATAGGGAAGTCCTCGGGATAGAAGTCAAGTATAGAGCTGTTGGGGTCTTCCATTAGGATACGGAAAGGTTCAGGAATGGCGTGGTTCGAGGCGGCTGGCAAGACGCCCATCAACTGCTCGTAAGGATGAAATGGCACACCCTTCTCAAAAAGCTTGCGAGGATCCATATCTTCGAGACCGACAAAGTCTGCGGCAAATGGTGCATAGTGATGTGGAAAGTACCACGTCCACGAAGGGCAACCTTGCATGTAGTATGCTAGCACCCAGCATAGGCCTTCGGCGTACTGACGGGCAACCTTGTTGCGGAACGCGATGTCATCGGGTGCGACATGAAACTTCTGTTCATAGTATCGCTCTGCGTAACCGTCTTCCCAGAGCTTAATCATGTCCTCGGGAGTTCCATCGACTTTCTTTTGCGCGGCTTGGGAGGGTGACTGAGGAACAACCGGTGTATTTCTCCCGGGTGTACCATTGTCGGCATCTTCTACCTCATCTGCCTTGCGCTTTCCAAGCTGAGCCGGCGTCTCAGGACCCGAGGCGGATTGAGAAGCAGCCTCTGATTCAGGGACTGACTCTGTTTCGGGAGCAATGGTGCCACCGGCCTTGGCCTTCATGAGCTCTTTGAGTTTCGCAGCAGCGCTCTTGTTCGAGTCCGCATCGCGTTGGTGCAGAATGTCTTTATGAACGTCGCGCACTTCCTTGGACTGTGCATCCTTCGGATCGAAAAAAACAATACCTGCGTTGACATAAGTATCGGTGTCTTCCTTTGTGCGCTTGAAAGGAGGCGCGGAGTTGCCATTCTCATCTCGTCGCTGACGCTTGTTGGTGTTATTATGGGCCTCACGCTGAGCCCTCTTCGCGGCCTGGCGATCGGAGACTTCCTTTCGCTTCTTGAATATATCAGGTTCTCGCGCAGCAAGAGCAGAGAGGATCTGCTGTACGCGGCGCATGTCGGGAAAGCCGTCCTTTGTCACATAGTCGTCCATCTCAGCAGCAAGATCTCGCCAGATGCTGATGAGTAAGTCTATACCTTGATCTCGAATCTCTAAACTGGGCAAATGCGGAAGAAAATCGTTGCCAACGAAGAAGCACATGAAGACCCAGTCGTCGAGAGAACGCTCTAGATCGTATTTGAACTTGCGCTTAGGCGTCTCCATCTCGACGGCCAGATACTCTCGTAGGATGTTGGTGTGCAGCCAGATATAGGGCTTGAGTTGATGTTCGGAGGTAGCCCATTCTTCGACAGCCTCTTCCTCGGTCAGCTTTTTCCCATCGTCGGGAAACTCGCAGTTGTTCCGGATGTGGCCTTTGCGCCCACAGCGTGTGCAGACCTTGTCCTTACCAGAGTCGAAGAAGACGTCTTCTCTAAGAACACGGAAATGAGGTTCGTGAGTGGCAAGACTTAACATGATCAGATCGGCATCTAAACCATAAATGACATGTGAGGTATTGGGGTCATGTGTGGGCATTGAGCGTTGCGAGCGGACAAAGTTCATGATCTTGTGTTCTCCCTCACCGGGCACAGACGCATCCGAGATGATGACTTTCATGTCCTTCCAGGATGGATCAGTCGTGAATTTGTACGCACACCAGTACTGTAGACTCTCAGCAAGAAGATGCATGAATGGCGTACCCGGTGTGATGGCATTGGAGTCCCATGTCTTCTCGACGACCTCCTCGAGACTAGTGATGTCGTCGCCGCGACTAGCTTTCTGCGAGTTGAGCAACTTCTGGAATTCTTCCCGCTCTTCATCCTTTTCCTTTGCCTCCTTTGCAGCGCGGAAACGCCGGGAGCGCTGCTGGTTCATCTTGGCACGAGGCGCAACGCCATCCACTGCCATGTAAAGAAGCTTGCGGGGACGAACCATGCCGACGACGCGATCCGTGTATTCGAAGATGGCCATCATCATGTCAGCCTCGGTCTTGGGCGCTGGTGCATCTTCGGGATGCGAACAGGGATGGACGATGCCATTCATGTCGAGGTAGAGGTTGTCGAATTCTTCGCCGTTTGGATTTGGGCCGGTGCGGTCGACGGGAACAAACTCGTCGCCAACCTTCTTTGGTCTCTCTTCTGCGACGCCTGACACGATTTTGGGGTATTTCTGGCTGAGCCAGCGGAACATGGCGGGGACACCCATGACGGCGGTGGGCGCTCGACAGCGCGCGGAGTTTGGTTACGGGTGGTGATGATGGAGAGCGACACGGGCAAATGCGAAAGGGCGGACACTGGAAGCTCTGAGACTCGTGGTAGTATTACAAGATACTATGAGAAGGTGAAAGAGCGGCTGTCGACACTGCGTTGGCTGTGGATGCAGCCTGGAAAGGAAAGAAATCTGCCTGGAGGCGCGAGGATGCGTCGTGCAGTCTGCGGCTTGACGTGAGATCCAACACCAATGACACAGCTCCTAGCGCGTTGTAGTCTCCTCAAGCGCCCTGCGTCCTTTGAGGGGGGGCTTTGGGGGAAAGGGGAGGATATATTGATGCGTAGAGTGAGGTGGGAAGCACTGCGCGACAGGGAAACTCTTTGCGCGACCGGGTAAGCCAAGACCTGGGGCCGCAGTTTGGCCGAGGGCGCGACAGGGACAGGGTTCAGAGGTTCGGAGCTTCTCTGAGGGCGTCTGTGCACCAAAATGTACTATTATGTACGTGGAACTAGGTTGAGTGGTGAAAGCACATAGGTCGACATGGACAGCAGCAGTAGCCACACTCTTCCACGTTGAAGCTTCTCTATCCCTTCTCTATCCCTACCCGCCGCCTCTCATTCACCATGGACGCGTAACACCCTGCCACATCACACCCTTCCAAGATGATGCGAGTGCTCGAGGCCAATGCGCCTCCCAAGCAGACGGCGACCGACACCATCAGCACCCTCAGCAGCCGCCTCACGAGCGCAACCCTTCTCGAGGACCGCCGTGCCGCAATCCTGGGCCTGCGCAGCTTCGCCAAGGAGTATCCTGCCTCGGTCGCCTCGGGAGCTCTGCGCCATCTCATAGCCTCTCTGGTCAAGGACGCCGAAGATGTCGACACGCTCAAGGTGGTGCTGGAGACGCTGCTCATGCTCTTCCACCCAGATGAGGCGAGCGTATGTGAGCCGTGCGCGCAAGCAGGGCCGAGCTGACTGTACGTGTTGTAGCCAGAAGCTTCAGACGAGATAGCGCTGTGGCTAGCAGATCAGTTCTCCCAGGTACGTCTTTGTACCCCCCTTCACAACTGCTAGTGCTGAGCTTATGGTAGCGGCAAGATAACATAACCATTCTCATCGACCTCCTCGACAAGCCCGACTTCTACTCGCGCCTCTACGCACTGCAACTCATACGAGCCATCGCACTCGCACGCCCAGAGCGGACGCAGGAATGCATACTTGCCGCCCCGATGGGCACCACGTACCTCGTGGCCACGCTAGACGACCCCCGAGACGCTGTTCGCAACGAGGGCCTCGTTGTGCTCACCGACCTGTCGAGATCCTCTACCGAGTTGCAGAAGCTCTTCGTCTTTGAAGATGCCTTTACAAAAGTCTTCAGCATGATACGTGCAGATGGAGGACTCACCCAAGGCGGCGTAGTCGTGCAGGACTGCCTCAGTCTGTTGGCCACTCTCATACGCTACAACACGTCCAATCAGACCAATATCCGGGAGATGGGGCATGTCGCCCAGTTTGCTGCATTACTGCCGGGCGGAAAGAAGCCCAAGAAACAGCGAGCAGGTGCTGAAGAGGAGGATGACTGGCTCAGCCCCCAGAGTGACAAGAACATCTGGGGTCTCCTAGCCATCATGCGCATGTTCCTCGTCACCGGCAGCGTAGGCACCCTGCAGAATCAGAATGTCTTCCAGCAGCATGGTCTCCTTCGCCAGTTGCTGAACATTGCATTCGACCCGGTGACCACAATGCCTATCAAGATCGAAGCCTTGAACACGTGTGCCGATTTGATAAGAGGGAATGCTCGATTACAAGAGGGCTTTGCTCAAGAGCAGGTGAGGCCGGTGGTAGAACCTGCAACAAACAGCGTTACTTCTCCAAAAAGTGCCGTGCAGGTGTACGTTATCGAAGCCCTCTTGAACCTGGTTCTTGCTCCAGCTTCGAACGAGCTATTTGACATGCGCAACGCGGGTTGCGAGTGCATCAAAGCTTACTTTCACGGCCACACGCAAATACAAGAGCACTTCCTGAACCGAGCAATAGGTGGCCATGAAGGTGGTGACGAGACGGCAAATGCACTGACTATCCTACTAGCGGGACCGCAAGCTTCACCCGCTACCGACCCCTACAGGCTTTGGTTCGCCGCTACCCTGGTCTATCACCTTATTTTTAACGATATCCAAGCGAAGAGCATGCTGATGCAAGTCAAAGAGGGCGATGCAGAGCGCGGAGAAGAAGTCGTTACCTGTATACAGACACTGACTGCGAACCTCATCGCAAGCTTACAGCTTGGCGAGGATGCGCGAATAGCCGTCGCCTACCTCATGCTCCTGTTGGGGTGGCTATTCGACGATGCTACCGCAGTCGATGATTTTCTTGGAGAGGCGAGCAGTTTACAAAGCCTTGTACAGGCCGTCTTGACTCCTGGAAGTGACCGGGTGGTCATTCGTGGTCTTTGCGCGGCACTCCTCGGTGTCGTATACGAGTTCTCCACGAAAGACTCACCAGTACCTCGACGCGAATTACAGCCTGTTCTCGTTGCAAAGATTGGCCGCGAGAAGTACCTAGACGCTATAGTCGAATTACGCCATCACCCACTTGTACGTGACTTCGAGGTATTACCTCGCATTGGAGGAGCGGGAGGTAGTCTACCAGAGGTATTCTTCGACGAAGCCTTTATAGACTTTCTGAAAGACAACTTCAGTCGCTTATCGCGTGCGATCGATCGCAACCCAAATATTGAGCAACATCAATCACACGATGGCATTGATCGAGACGTAGTAGACGCATTGCGTGGAGAGAGGGATGAGAAGGAGCAAACCATCCAAGAACTCAAAGCGCAACTGATGACACTAGAGCAGAAGATAGATCAAGAGCAAGCGGAACACCGCAAAACCCAACAATCGGCTGATGAGCAGCGCAACACGCTCAAGCGAATTAACGATAAATTGCACGACGATCTCGATAAAGAGATCGCAAGCAGAGATCGCGAATACAGACAAGCCACACTAGAGCTAGAGAACAAGTACAATCTTCAAATTGTTGCCTTGAACAACAAAGTGCAACAGACAAGTAAGGATGGGAATCTTGCCATTTCGAAGGTTCGACAGGAGTACGACGAGAGATTGCGCGACTCCAACCAGGCTCGTGTTGAATTGGAGCGCCGCCTCGGCGCATCCGATAAAGCCCGTCAGGAGGCGCTCGAGACAATCCGTAGCCTCGAGCAGACACAACAACGCACGCGCCTTGAGATAGCCACCATTACCGAAACACTGCATAGCCTTCAAAGCAATGTACAAAAAAGTGAAGCGCAGGTCAAGAAGCTCACGAATGAGAAGACGTCACTTCAATCCAATATCGACAATTTGAAATTGGAGAGTCAAGAGCTTAAAACCAAAGCGCAAGACCAGACCTGGAAGGTCAAGGATGCGGAGGAGAAGCTTCGGAAAGCTCAAATTAGTGTAGGAAGCAAGGACAATGACATCAAGGAGTTGCAGGACAAGGTGCGCAAAGCCGAGGAAAGTGAAAATGAGAAGCAGGCTGAGCTGGATGACTTGTTCGTATTGCTCAGCGACTTGGAGGAAAAGAGGAGCAAGGACAAAGTGAGTAAAGTTACGAGTGATGAAAACATGCAAACATAGGCTAACATCTCTTAGAAACGACTAAAGGCTTTGGGAGAAGAGGTCTCGGATGCTGAAGATGATGATGACGACGACGACGACGACGAAAATAGTGAGGGAGATCAGAGCGGCGACGACGATGAGGACAAAGAGTAGGACGATGTCGTCCTCATGTGCGTTACCACCCCTAGCAATGACCTGTAATCTTACTTCAGCGCTATTGGCACAGACAACCAGCTATAAACCGCAATGATAGACACATTATGGTCGCTTCAAGCTAATGTTTCCTGCCACGTTATAAGTGATGTTAGTTACTCCGCTAGAATCCACAACTCTCCACACATCCCTGCCCGTTTTTCGAAACGGCATTGCTAATCTTCGATGCCTCGCGTCATGCTGCACGTCAAACTCGAGTCTCAGTACTTTACTTTTGAGATATATTTCTATCTTGTGGTATTTTTTTTCACGTCCGACGTTGCCGTGCCACTGAAAATACTGCAATTCCATTGGTATCCGAAACCCCGCCAACGGAAAATTGAGCGTTGTCTGACGTACATTAACTTGCATCGTCCATACCTCACACAATACGCAGATGACCTAACAACTAGGCACTTTAAAATTGATACCCATATAAATCGCCCCCATCATGCCTAGCTTCGTCCTCGAGACTGACCACGGTTTGATCAGCATAACCGACACGGGTCTGAAGAATGACAAGCCCGCCCTCCTGCTCATACACGGCAACTCCTCTTCTTCAAAGATTTTCCGCCACATCCTAGAATCCAAGGCTCTCACAGAACGCTGGAGAATCATTGCATTCGACCTCCCTGGCCACGGCGCATCTTCCAACGCCCCCGATCCTGACAAGACTTACTGGATGCGAGGCTACGCCGACCTCGCCATGCACATCCTGCAGCACCTTAACATTCCTCGCGTTGTAGTCTTTGGGTGGAGTCTAGGAGGCCATGTAGGCATAGAAATGGTTCCTTTGCTTGCATCCATTTCCTCTCCACCTATCGAAATCAAAGGCCTCATGCTTACTGGAACACCACCCGCCCTTGGTAAAGAGCAGATGAAACGGGGATTCAAATTTCAGGACGGGGACTTAGGACTAGCGGGGAAGAAGGACTGGAGCGAGGAGGAAGCGCAGGGGGTTGCGAGGTATAGTGCGGCGGCGGGCAAGGAAGAGTGCTTTGAGGCGTGGATGTTGGAAGATGCGCGAAGGACCGATGGGAGGGCGAGAGTGATAATGAGTCGCAGGCTTGCGGGAAATGAAAGCGAAGCTCCTGCTGGCGTTGACCAGAGAAAGGTAGTAGAGACGGAAGAGGTTTTGATTGCTGTGGTGAACGGTGGGGCCGAGCAGTTCGTGAATCTTGATTACTTGGATGACCTTCGGTGGAGGAGGTTGTGGAGAGGCAGGTGTATTGCACTGGAGGGTTTGAAGCATGCACCGTTCTGGGAAAGGCCAGACGAGTTCGAAGGGTTACTATTGGAGTTCATGGGAGACTGCGAGAAGGAGGTCTGAAGTAGCACGGGTTGTCTTTCATATGTCACATGGACTTGAGGAAGAAAGAAGGCTGATTCACCAGTGTTAACATGCCATGAAGGAAAATTTAAGAGCTATTCGTATCATGGTGGTATCATATGTAAAGAGAACAGCCCTCGTCGTATTGGGAGTGTTTAGTCTCATCAAAAATACAGCACATTCATTAAACTGACTACAACATACATGATGGAAACACCCCGCATTAGAAGCTTTCATAAATCCCAATTCTACTAAAATCAGCCACCTCGCCCTCCGACTAGGGCCGCACACAAAAAAACTCAAAATCCCTTCCCCAACCCTAGGGAATGAAACTCTTGCCGCTAATCAAGGCCATACTTGTAGTCCCACATCGCCTGCGCAATCTCAGGAGACACATCCTCATCTTGATCGCCATTAAGATACTTCTGGCAAGCCTCAGCAATTACATCGTGGTCGTACTGTACCAGACGACAGGGGACATTATAGTCGGAGCACCAAGTTGCGCGCTGAGGAAAGGTGTCGGTGGTATCTCGGGGTAATTTCGGCTGAGAGCGTTTTGCTGGTGCCGTCGCAGCCACATATATGGTGGATGTGCTACGGTGATGTTAGATAGATCCAAGAGCTAGAAGAAAGGATAACATGACAGAGGTGCCGTACGTGTGAAATGTCAATATTGTTGTGCTGGTCACTGTAATGCACTGCGGCGGAAGCATTAGCACTACGTAACTCCACATGCAAAGTTGCTTACACTTTCTGTGACATAGGAAGAAGTCGAGGGCTTGTAACCAGAGCAAAAAGGGATCGCGAGAGCTTTTGGAAGATCGTTAAGGATGCTTTCGGCTGCGCGGACTTCGTCTTGAAAACTCGCTTGTGCGGTTCGGAGGCATGCGAGAACCAAGACAATAAAGAAAAGGGGCAGAGTATGAGAGGCCATTGTATGAATCTCGAGGTCTCAGTTCTTTACTGAGAAGAAAAGGGTGTCTGAAAAACTGTTCAGACATCCTGCGATTTTGCATGTTTTTGCTCTCGGACGTTCATGGACTGCCGTTTTCGGCAATGTCAAAGGTGCGTCCCGGACTTCGTTAGCACGTCGCACAAGATTGCCCGTCACCACGTGTGAAACCTTGACGAATTCGGCAAGTCAATTTACGATCTTTCTATTTGTGGATAGCATTCCAGGGTCCCAAACCGCAACAACGCGACCACTCACAAGGCCCTCGATAACCCTTCGTGCTTTATAGTCCAACTCCCATCTTTTGGAAAGCCCGGAGCATCCACTTCTGATCCCTGCCAACCTGCTGCACAATATGCGATTGCAAGTAGAAAGCCAGCATTGCCCGGCATGAAAGGCGGTGGAGTCCCCCCGTCCCCACCTCTAATCGCAAACCCTGCGGAGTCAAACTTCCAGGAGTCAAATGCTGTCAGGTGATATATCGCGCGCTCTGGATTCCCGATCCTTGCACTGTTGATCGCTAGAACGGGTCTTCCCCATCCACGAATCTTTGAGTCGCCCCAAACTTCCCACACTTTGTCGGCGGTGCGTAGGGCCACTTTGGGGTCTACAGCGGGTGTATCGGGAAGAATGCCTTGAAGCATGATCAGGCTACGGGGGTCGCCATTCAGCTTCGTATCATTCCACCACGAGCTGTCAAGGCCGTCGTAGACAGCATAGAGGCCCTCAACCTGCGGTGGAAGAGCGAGACTCGACGCAACATGTGTCCACTTTTCCGGCACGGGCTGGTGAAGTTTACGCTTCCAGCTTACCGCAGCGTCGAGTCCATAGCGCCAATATGCGATTTCATATGCTAGGTTCCTTGTTGAACTTGGCGGCGTGTTCTCGGTCACACCGTAAGACGGCGGTCCAAGATCATACTTGCCAGTTGTTCTATTTAACCAGGGATATGAAGCCATGTAATCAGCAGTAGCAGTCAAGACCTTGTCCCACCGCTGGAGTGTATCTCGTGTAGGGCGCGCTTGGTACGCCAGTTGCGCAAGATACATCGGGTGAGGCTGTTGCCACAGTATAAATGCGTTGATGTCACCTGGCGAACTGACACCTGTGTTGAGCTCAGTCATCTTTGGCCACCTTGCGCCCTCCCAGCCCATGGACTTCGCACGAGCTAGCGAAGATGGTAGAAGCGTCTCGTAGAGTTCCGGGAAGATGTTATCGAAGTACTGCTGCCTTCCCCAACTCGACCAATGCGCGTTGTGCCAAATAAGCATCTCCATGTGGAACTTGCCTGAGTAGTGTTAGTGTTTTTACAGTGGGGACAACGTTCAGTTCGGTCACCTACCATACCAACCATTGTTCATCAAACCACTTTCCTGTGGCGACTGCCCCTTGGCTGCACTGTTAACGCGCACATGGTATTGCGATTTGATGATACGGCGTTGAAGTTCGGTTGCGTTGGGATTCGATGAAGCAGTCAGATCGACGAAACCACCGTCCTTCCAGTATTTATTCCAGGCTCTTGCATTCTTATCCTGAATACTTGCAGGAAAGCTAGGGACTCGTTGATCAGGTGAGAAGTGGGCGGTGAAGGCTACCGAGGAAGATTTCGAGGTTGAGCTAAGCGTGTACCGATGAGCCGTGATAGTTGTGGAATTCGGAGCTTCATTTCTGATCAGCTTTACAGGGGTATCTTCTGGCCACCGTAGATTGATGAAATACTGAAGCTCCTGCATCTCGTGTTGTATGTGTGCAGAGGTTGGATCGCTTCCGCCTTGAACCAGCGTGGTGGTGTGGTTGAGTGGGAAGTCATACACGCCCGCAAAGACCTAAAAGACTGTGAACAACGAAACTTGCTATTATTCTGGCTACATTATGAGACTTACTTCGTACTTATACCTGGTGGTATGGATTGGCGGATAGGGGAAATCCAACTCAATTTGCAAATCCCCACTTTTGATGAGACCAGAGTCAACAGTGAAAGCAACGGCATCGGAGTCAAAGTCACATTGTGTTACAACTTTCACGTCCGTCCCGTCGATCTTGAAAGTCGACGTAATGACTCCGTCCCACAGGTCGAGCTCTTGCTTAGGGTCAATAATCAACGATTTATCAAGTGTATTGCCTTTGTACTTGAGGCCAATGCGACCAAGGTTGATACGATTCGGGTTCGAAATAAGCCATTGAGTTGCTTGCTTAAGCTTTGGATCCGGAATGTCGTAGTATACTTCTCGTCCATATGTTTCGCGCATTAAGCCTTTGTATTTGGAGGGAAGTTCGCTAGTTTCATTAGAAAGAGTGTCTTACATAGTCCGTAGGAACGTGCTTACCCGTTTGCTGGAAGAGAGTCGTTATGCCAGGCCCAACTTGAGAGGGTATTGAAAGGGAGAAATGACTGCAACGTAATCATCAGACGGCTGAACAGCTCAATAGGTGCGAGCGGTATACCTGCATTCCAGTGTTGTCAACATTAAAGGCGAAATTACCATTCCCAACCTGTAGCGGCGTTGTCTCATTGTCGATAAGACTAGTCCGAATAATGTTGAACTGTGATACGATGCGTTGCCTTGAGAAGATCAGAGTTGTTGGATTAAGCCAAGACAAGATGTAAATGTACCTGTCAATCTTACCAAAAGCTAAACAGGGTAGCAATAGCGTACAATTCGTTGCAAGTGGAAAGCGCATCTTGACTAACTCTCCAGATATCAAACTGAGCGCTTCATTCGGTACGAAGATGCCTTTGAAGTCAGCAACGTGATTTTATCGCACTTTGTATCTGCCCATGTTCCAAGATCCATGAATCATGTCTTTAGAAAATCCACGGTACTACGTAAGGCCTCCCGTACTCCGGGGTAAATGTATACCGAGAAGGAATCACCAAGATTATTATGGTTATTGTCCGGTTAGTGTCGAACTAATATCAACGTACCCCGCGTCTATGGTTGATCAATTCTTCCGTTAGCGCGTTTCCTGAGTCGTAACCCACAAGAAACATGAACTGGGCCCTGAGCATCGCGCTTGCCGAAGTTAGAAAAAAAAAATAGGTCTTGAGGAGAGCGCAGACAGCCCAGTGGCTTTCAAGTCACTATTAGAAGTAAAGTTCTCAATCTCCCGGAAGCACTAAACATGACTACATTGCGCGATTCAATCAGGGGATGCAGGCCAAGACGGGATATCAAGGTAGTACCGGTATATACGCTACGTCATCGACTCTTGGGCGAATCGTACTCTCAAAACGTTCGCCTTTAACACTGACATTTCATCCCCAGCATCTATCACAATTACCTGTAGAGCCAGTTCTCCTTCACAATACACGTGCCACGAAGCACATGTATTCTAGGGCTTCGACACGAAAATCGATGATAGGTCCGGGCAGATGCTTGAAGATGGGATTGCCGTTAGGTTAAGTTGACACATGCCTTTCAGATACAGAATCACGACTTCCAATCCAGCTCCCGCCTCCCACAATTGACGAAAGATATCTCTATCTCGCGCTGTTCTCATGTTGCTCGAATGCCAGCCGCTTGGCTTCCCATGTTCGAGAACGTCAGAGACATTCGTCGCACATGCCATACCGTGTACGGTATTAAAATTAGATCTTGCGGTGCCTTGAAGCAATTAGCCGTGCCTCTTGTATTACCCACAAAGTCCTACTTTTGCTTCACCGACGCAAAGAAGGTTAGAACAGGGAGTAAAGCATCAATCGTATCACAAGTCATCTCTCATGAACCGGGATCGAAAGAATTGTTGTTTGATGATGACTCAAGAGGATCGACATCGGCAACCCGCCCTTCCGCCCTTTCCGCCCTTCACCTACTCTTCATGTCACGGGAATGACAACACTAGCGCCATCCAACGGCGTACCTGCCTAGGTGCCGTGATTAAAATAAAAGGAATGAGGTCTCCGCAAGATTAATCTCTTCTGTTATTAACGGAGCCTTGTACGGAAAAGGCGATTGTTTGCACTGCGCGACTAAACCTATCGCAAAACTCTGGGTGACCTTGAACGATGTCAGACTCCGGTGTGACCTCCCTAGACACCCACATATATACTTCACTGATCAATCAAAGTTCCAAGCAACCTCAAAGCCCGCATGAAAGATTCATACGATGCCATCGCCGAGACTTACGCCGCTCAGTTCACGACAGCGGACGATCCCATACGATTAGACTATCTCAAGCGCCTCGTCTCTCAGCTTCAGCTCACTGGTCGCGACGCAGGTGATATTCTTGAGCTCGGCTGTGGGGCTGGCGTTCCAGCAACGAAGTTCTTACTCCAGATGGATAACCCAACGGTCCACGTCACGGGCAATGACATCTCAACTAGCCAGCTTGATCGCGCACGCTCCAATCTAGCGCAGTATGGAAAACGGTTGACACTCGTGGAGGGCGATATGCTCTCACTATCTTTTCCCAATGACAGCTTTGACGCTGTGACTGGGTTCTATAGTATCATTCACCTGCCTCGCGACGAGCAGACTGAACTCATGCACAAGATTGTTCAATGGCTCAAGCCTGGTGGTCTCTTTCTGGCGAATTTCTCCGCAACAGAATTCTCTTCGCAAGAGGCAGAGAACTGGCTAGGCCAGGACAAAGGGTGGATGTTCTGGAGCGGGTGGGGCGAGGAGAAGAGCGTGAAAATGGTTGCAGATGTTGGGTTGAATGTCATAGTCAAGGAGCTCCGACAAGCTACAGGTGATGCAAAATTCTTGTGGGTTTTAGCAAGGAAAAACAACGGCCAGCATCCCATCATATGATAACGGAGATGAAGGCGTGGCGTTGTTAGTATTTCTTTTATCGCACTTATGATACTTGATACATGACTAGGAATATGACCCGAGTGTTGACAGCCCCAATACTCTCTCGCTCGTCGAGAATTCAGGAAAACGGGTCGCCGTATGCCCCGAACGTTTGAGATACAGAACCTGTAACTTGTTGCATTTCCTCGAAACAGCAAGACATCCCTTGAAATGGCACGTTGCGTACAGACAAGCCATTCGACGCCTACTCCATTGTAGTTAGGCTTAGGCAATCACTGCCATCTAAATGCGTCTCCGGGTAATATGAAATTTGCATCCTCAAAAGTGATAACTCGATCCATGTCCAGAAAGTCTGAATCCATGAATGCATCGGAAAGATTAAGCAGGGATTGATCTTGAAGGCTTTGAGTTTCAATGGCTGTGTGGAAAGGATTGTGGCGTGGAACAGGCCTCGACGCGGGATTTGCATCAACTTGATAGAGGCGCTGCCCATGACCGGTGTGGCCAGCCGCTGCTTCCGATGCTGGATAAGTTGAACATACTCCGATTGGAGACAAAGTCTGATTTAGTGGTGGACAGTTGTGAAGCTGATCGTGTCTTGCTGTAGACGGTACGGCCGCGGAGCCAGTCGTAGTAGTGGGCGGTATTTGTCTTGGGCTGAGCGCTGATTGGGAGCTCCTGAAGCTATTTTGGCGCGCACGGCTCGTCATGAGAGAATGGCTGTCTGCAAGGTTTTCAAGACAGTGGTGTGGTGTGGCCGTATATCTAGGACTTGCATATTTCTTGTGTTCTATAGTTAGCCCAGAGTAGTCGTAGAAGTCAATCTTGAACTGTGCATCGTGTTGACAAGCTTCACGGAGTCGCTCGAGGTGATGAGCATACATGCCAGCTTGATTGCAAGTTCTTAGATTTGAAGGATCATCGCCAATGCTCTGGGTCTTTCCTTTCCATCTCTTTGACATTTCCCATAGGTCACGAGTCAAGCGTTCGAATTCCGGTCGGAGAGGTTGATGCTTGGCTTGGTGTTCGAAAAGTAAGGCTTTAGCAGCAACAAACGCGCAAAACGAAAATTGCACATTGACGAATGGGATGGGACTATGTGCAAGGAACTTGTCCACAATGTTTGAAGTTTCCACAGCGGCAAGTTCGCAGGTTTGGGCGCTGCAGTCCTTTGGTAACGCGACGTAGTCGTTCCAGCTTTTCGGAGGGTACGCAACCGGGTGGTGTAGTAGTATCATCGATGTGTTATGGGTGATGTGTGCAAGCGTGAGATTTGGATCCATATCGACAACAGCTCTATCCGATGAAATATTCGAATCCTTCCATCTTGGAGGAAGGAACAGCTTCCACTGCACCAGCCTCAGATCCAATTCCTTGAAGCGCGTCAGCCAGCTAACTGCATGCTCTTTGTCTTGCCAGTTTATCCTCTGTTGCAGGAAAAAGGTTGTCACTTGGCTGAGCGACTCTGTTGCCTCGACGCAGTAAGCAAATGCGCCTAGTTTGGAGGCATCGATATAGCCGTTTGCAGAATTTGGACTAGCGCCTTGCGGCTGTTCCACCGCTGGATCTTCTTCATTGTATTGAGCAGGTAAATTTGCTAGTGATCGTCCAATTCGAGCGGCTGCCTTGTTCCAGATGCCGAAGTATGGCGTGGTCACAGGTTCCTCCCGGGTAAAGTAACCCCCATCTGCAGGCAGTCTTCTGTGAACGTCATCAGCTGTAAGGCTAGTATTCCAACCGGTGGATACAGAGCAGAAACGATCGAGCAGGAAAATAATCCAAAAGAGCCTTCGACGCTCTTCTAGTTCTGTCCAGTCACTCGAAGGCGGTACAAGACGCACAGGCGTCATGAGAGAGCCCGAATGCGACGTGGTAGGCTCAGTAGTTAATTGCAAGTAATCAATCGTCCTCGTAAGTGAACCTATCAGTGGCCAGGCTTTTTGAGTCTGGCCATCGTTGAGCTACATCCAATCAGTTCATTCTATGCCATGAGAAAAGAACCACTCACATAATCAAACACAACAAAGATAAGTGCCTGTAAGCTCTCAACCGACACACTACGTATCGAGTGCATCTCCACGATCAAGCGTGAAATTCTTGTCTGTTGAAGAATCTGATCGGTGTCCATGAAGAGCTCCATAGGATCCATGTGCCGTAACGAAACGGCTACCAAGGCATGAAGGACCAAATCCAGGCCAGCATCTCTAGAGCCTTCGCGGACGCGTGTCTGAAGCCTCTGCTTGTGGATATAAGGAATCCAGTGATGGAACGAGATGCAGAAGAAATCCGCAACCTTTTCGAGGAGAAGCTGAGACGGCAAGTGCTGGGCAATGTCGATTTGTTGAAGGGTGAAGAGCCAGGTTTCGACAAGGGGTTGATTGAGTTTCCGCTTCAATGGATTCGTAGCGGATCTGTCTTCTTCGTGAAATTCATTATCATTTTTTGATGTATCACTCGCATGGCGGCGATGGCCAATAGGAACCTCAGTGTGACGGACGTTTTCTTGGGCCTGGAGAGCAACTGCCGTCCCGCCGTTCTCGTGAAGGAGACCATGACCGTTATGCGCTACTTCATCAGCATGGTACTGTGGTCGAACGTTTCCAGCATTGTCCAGTAGTATATTTTCGAGGAATGCTACTTCGCGTCAATTGCGTTTGGAGGTACAATGTTTAGTCGCATACCCACGCGGCGAGTCAACGCCTCCACGGCCCCCGGTTTCAGACCAGGCTTCTGCTTGGGCTGGTACACGCACTCGGTTGCTTGAAAGAAAAAAATAAGCGAACAAGTAGCCGTCGCAAATATCGGGAAACCTACAGAGCCTCATACAATGCGAACACGTTGGTGTTTCCCGGGAACAGCGTAGTTTTCGCTTCTTGCAAGACGCGCAGGCGGGTACATCTTCACTAGTAGAGAGAAGACCGTCCTCATCCCCAGTGTGGCTCACCGAGTAAGTGGTCCACCCAGCCGACATCAGCACGACATGTCCAGTCTCGTTGGCAAGGAAGGAATGTGTGGAGGATTGCAGCGGGCGGGCATCGGGTTAATTAAGCTCTCTCCACACTGACCCCGCGAGACTAACGTCCTGTCCGGCTGATTAGCCCACTTGGAAGGGCTTCCTTTTCCATCACACAAACAACGTTCTATATGGAAGGAATCTAGCGACCTGAATGCCGAACGGCGGCAATGAATCGGATGCGCTACCAGAGTCGGTACTTTACTTCATGTGCACCGTGGTTGCTACATGACGTCGCGCATCGCCCAAACCAGCTCAACACGTTGGATTCGACCAGCCGTGCCCAAAGGGTCGACTCTTTCTCCTTCGTTTTCTTTTGTACCTGAGAAACAGCGATTTGGAATTGCACTGCCGTTCTGAGCGAGACTACGGTCAGCACCCAGTCCCGGTTTTCTGAACCAGCGCATCATTGCATCGACTAAAAAGCAACTCGATGCGGCATGCCTCCCCTACTAGGTTTCTCGGACAACCCTTTTGGGACCCATACCGACTTCAAGACTGCCAGTCTCGCTCTGCTTCGTGCCCTGAAGCCCTACCAATCCCGGGGTGGCGCACGCATAAAGCTGCCTTTGGCGACAGGAACACACTTTGATGATGTCGCGGCACAACTTGAAGGCTTTGCACGTCCACTGTGGGCCGTTGGCACGCTCATGCACTCGAATATTGTCACTACAGAGCAGTACAACGATCTGATTGAGCCATATGTCAGAGGCTTAGCGAATGGTACCGATCCAACTCATCCTGAGTACTGGGGCCCGGTTGTATTACGAGATCAGAGGATGGTTGAGATGGAGATCATTTCTTTCGCACTCTTGTCTGCGCCAGATACTATGTTCCATTCTCAGACCCAAGACGCGAAGAACAACATTACAGAATGGCTGAAGACGATCAATGGTAAAGACTTTCCAGTCACGAATTGGCTCTGGTTCCGTGTTATGACGAATTTGGCGCTCATCAAAACGTGCGGCATTCCCCAGAACGAGGTACTCGAAGCTATGAAGAGTGACCTAGATCTCATGGAGCAATTCTATCTTGACAAGGGATGGGCCGCGGATGGAATTTGGAGTGACCAGGGCCGACAAGCAGATTACTACTCCGGAAGCTTCGCGATACAGTTCTCCCAGCTGATCTACGTGAAGATGGCGCGAGATCTTGATCCGGAGCGGTGTGAGAGGTTCCGGAAGAGGGCTGTAGATTTCGCTTCTTCATTCTGGCGATACTTCGACACTAACGGTGAGTGCACGTTGAATCACAGAGTTTCAACCACTTGTTAACGTTTTCTAGGCGCAGCAATACCATTTGGGCGCAGTCTCACGTATCGCTTTGCATTTGCAGGGTTTTGGTCCGCCGTCGCATTTGCAGAAATCGAACTTCCACACCAATTAAATGACCCAGGAATCATAAAGGGTATTCTACTGCGTCATTTTCGCTGGTGGAGTAACAAGCATGATATTTTCAATAGCGATGGCATCCTCACTATTGGCTTCACATATCCGAACATGTACATGAGCGAGGACTACAACAGTCCTCAGTCGCCATATTGGGCTATGAAGTCTTTTCTTGCTTTGGCACTGCCAGAGATACATCCGTTCTGGACAACGGAAGAGAAAACTCTTCCAAAATCATTGGACCAAATAGTCTCAGTGCAGCCGCCCATGCACATAATATGCAACGAACCAAACCACCATTTCCTTCTCTCCATGGGACAGTTCTGTCCCTGGCCCCTTAAAGCTACGGAAGCCAAGTACGGTAAATTCGCATACTCTTCGCACTTCGGCTTCAGTGTCCCAACCGGACCGCTAATCCAGCAAACGGCGCCAGACAACACGCTCGCTCTCAGCAAGGATGGCGGCGATACATGGCGTGTTCCATGGAAGGTTGCTGGAGATTGTTTAAAACTTGGCAATATAGAGCTCTTCTATAGCGACGATAATTCTGAGATTCTGCCAACTCTGTCAAGTAAATGGAAGCCCTGGGCCGATGCCGATATCGAAGTATTTACATGTTTGGTTGCACCTTCTAAACGCTGGCCGGATTGGTATTTACGCTGGCACAGGATTACAAACAATGAACCAAACGACATCAAAATACATGCTGTTCAAGGAGGCTTCGCAATTCATGGTCGGGGACACACAGCTGGTGAAGTCCTACCAGCCTATTCAGATATGGACAGCTTAGTTAGTAGCGACGCCAGGCAACATCGTGGCTTTTCCGAAGGCACACTCCAAACCGAAGACGGTATTCTGATATGTTCCGATGCCGGCGCAAGCGGCATTCGCTCCATTGCCATGACTCCCGCTCTCCACAATAACGACCATCTGAAAGTAAACATGCAACCTGAATTGTTGAAGCCAGATGCGAATACGAATCTAATATGGCAAAGAACACTTATACCAACCATCAAGCTAGAGACGCATCCCTCGTCACGAACCACCATGTTCGGATCTGCTGTGTTTGCTCTGAGCAGGACGGAGGATCGAAAAGAGCGATATGCCGGGTTAGACATCGCGAAGTTGTGGAACAATGTCCCTGCTGTTTGTCGATCAAAAGAGGCATGAACGATGAGCTAGGAAATATCTATATCACAATCCGCCAGGCGGTAAGTAGGTCTTTATTTCGAGATGATCCTCATTCAATACAGGTCAGAAACCTATCAGATGAACTTATGGAAACGAGACAGGGCTCTGAGTATTGTACAAGCGGAGTCGTATTGAATTGTCTACTCGGACCAAACGCTGTTCATAAGCCCTCTTGCTCCATTCGCATAACTCTCTATAACAAACCCATTCTCAACAACTTGTTGCCAAACTCAAGAAGATAATAATCTGCGTATACCAGCCCATGATCCTTATACTTCATATGCGCATGCTCATTCCAATTCGTTGTGCTGTTTCGGAGCAAGCCCTCGAACCCACTCTCTTTGACCCTGATTTCACCAACTCCGTGTACATCATTAACGGGATTTCCGTTCACCAGTGCTTTCGCCAATACATCAAAAGACGCTAAATCCCGGTCATACGACATGTCCAGCGTTTCAGACATGATCAGCAGCGCGGTTTCGAGAAAATTGGTCGATGAGGAGAGATGGGCTGCAATGTCCGTGGGAAGCGATTGGAGCGACTGGTGAATAATAAGCAGCCCATTTGCCGCAATGACACCTGCTGAAACATCTCTCAGTGGATCTATCGAATTCTCTTGGGGCGCATCAAAATCCCACAGCGGAACCATGTGGTAAGGCCACCTCCCCTCACCCTCTCTACACCTCCTTAAAAAGTATTCTGAGCACTTGATCGACGTATCTAAATATTTGATATCTTTCGTCCAGCTGAAAGTCTGCGCAAAACCCATGATTGCCCACGACTGGCCTCTACTCCATGTGGAGTTGTCTTTCCAGCCTTGATTTGTCATTTTCGCTTGTGGTAGGCCGGATCTGGGATCAAAATTGACAAGGTGGTAGGAGGAGAAGTCTGGGCGAAGAATCTCATGAATGATTGAGTCGGCGTGTTGTGTTGCTATATCGATCAGGCTTTGGTCGTTCTGAGTGTAACCGACGTAGTAGAGGAGGTCAAGATCTGTATCTCGTCAATCTCGGCCCTGGTTACCCAAAATGCAAGGTTTATAGTTAATCTTACTGCACATGCTGTCAATAATGACTAAGAAATTAGTGTTCATGTCCGTTATCGAGTACCGGTCATTTATTGCAACATCCCAGCTCCGTATTGCCTTAACTCTGTCGTCGTATCTTGACGCAAGCGCATACGCAGCGTTCATAACTGATTGTAGGCTCTCTTTATTTCCGGTCAGCTCCCAGTCTTTCTGAAGAGCTGGTTGTACGATGAAGCCCATGTCATGCGTATCTGTTCGGCTAGACATCTCATTGATCGCAACGCCCCAATGCCGTCCAAGTTTCAGCAAGTGGTCTTGAAAATCTGGCCTGACTTGATCCGGAATATTGATGGCCTGAGGGTATAGCATGGCACGCTCTAGGAGTGCGTATATACATCCTGGGAAGAAGCCGCACGTCCAGAAGTCGGCTTCGCGCTCTTCGTATCGCTTTGAGCCGAGTCCCTCTTGGGGAACCGTGTGTGGGTAAAATGGTAATGGCGCCTGTGAGTATCAATATTGGACAAGAACAGGGAGATATGTATGCTCTACCTGCTGCTTCAAGCCCCGCTGTGCTACCTGGAATATTTTTGCAGCAACATTTTCGGAGTATACATTGCTGAGATCCACACCCTTGACTCTGAGAATTGGGTCCAAAATCAGCTTATGTTCTCAGTAGTGATGGAACGTCCTACCTCGCAGACCTAGCATATTTCTTAACATCGGATCTGGCGTCTCCCATGTTCGACTCGCAGACAAGTGTACAAGTATGGTATGGGCCGATCGCTGAAGCTGCACATTTACTGTGACTGTCTTCATTAGTTACTCAACTACTAAATCGTGCGATATCGTGACTGGCTTTGCAAGAATGCTAAGTGGCGGAACAAAGTGACAGCGGAATCGTACCTCGTGTCCAGGAATATGTCTAGCAACTTGGACAAGTGCTCATGCTGCAAGTCGGGGCGCATTATCAATTACGGGGCATTTCATAACGAGCATGGGATGCTGACCGCGGGATCGACATTGCTCCGCTGCCCGTTGCCTGTCGCCCGCCCGTTTACCCCTCAGAAAACATTCCCTTTCGTCCAGAGAAATGTATTACTTTTTTCTATCGGTTTGAAATCGGGTCTTGTTGATCGCCTTCCTAGAGCGGCTTTTGTCCCTGGTAATGCTGCATGCGCACGTCACCAAAGCGCTCGATGCCTTCCATCCACGGTTACGATCTCTTGGCTCGAACGTGTTCTCCGCAATTTCCCCGCGTGGTTGACCGACAGATGGGGTACAAGCAGCACAGACCTTAAGAGCTAGACACGGACAGTATATGGCCGTTAATATATGGGCATTTTTTGACAGTAATGAACAGGGTATAAAGCGAGCCGACAGTTCAGACTTTTGGCTGTAGCTTAAGCGGCTGTTTGGGAAGATTTTGCGCTTTGGATCACACAATATGTATTGCAACATATTCGCTTTAGGGTTTCTCTTGAGCTCTTTTGCTTTTGCGGCCCCATCATCATCCTCTATTTCAAAGCGGACGGCCTCTGGGCTCCCTTTATCGACAAAAGGGCGCGATATCATCGATGCAAATGGCGAGGTATTCCATTTCATGTCCACCAATTGGCCAGGCCATCAGGAAATAATGATCCCGGAAGGTCTCCAACACTCCTCGATCAAGGATATCGTAGCTTGGTTCCCAAAATTTGGCCTCAATTCCGTCAGGTTGACCTTTGCCATCGAGATGATTGACGACATATATAGCAACAACCCAAATCAAACCTTGGAGAAGAGCGTCATCAATGCACTAGGCCAAACGAACGGTACCAGGGTGCTTGGCCAAATTTTGAAGAAAAACCCGCAGTTTAATAAGAATACGACAAGACTACAGGTCTGGGACGCTGTTGGGAGGGAGCTATCCAAGCAAGGAGTGATTATTCACTTGGACAATCATGTCAGTAAGGCGTTCTGGTGCTGCGGTGATGACGACGGGAACGGTTGGTTTGGTGAGAAGTATTTCGATGTGGAGAAATGGAAGCGCGGATTAGCGTTCTTCACTAAGCATGTAAGTGGCCATTGCTAACATTCAGGAATCCCAATGCTGACAAGACACAGGCGAAAAACAACTGGCCAACTTTCTCTTCAGTGGGATTACGCAACGAGTTGCGGGGCGCGAAAGTTTCCGAGCCAGTAGACTGGTATACGTGGTATGTCCACATGACTTCCGCTGCAGACGCAGTCCATAAGGCGGCTCCCGATGCCTTGCTATTCTTCTCTGGATTGTCGTACGATACTTATATTGATCCAATTCCACTCGGTAAGGCCTTGAACGGCACTTCTGGTACGCCGACTGCTGGGAAGACTGCCAGATTCGTGCCCAGCAACTTTAGCTGGGAGAACAAAATCGTGCTCGAGATCCACAAGTACGACTTCGAAGCTACTCAGGATAATTGCACAACATTCAAGTCAAAGTGGTACCAGAAAGGCTTCCAGGCTGTGAATCCGAATGACCCAGCTACTCAGTACACCTTCCCAATGGTGATTTCCGAATGGGGCTTCATTCAAAACGGTACGTACTGGAATCAGACGACGTACGCGAGCTGTTTGATCGAGATGGTGAAGGAGTATCAGGTTAGCTGGCAGCATTGGGAGCTCTCTGGCAGCTTCTACCTCCAAACTCGACCTAATAGGACGCCAGAGACTATTCAAGGGCTTGAGGAGGCTTGGGGCTTGCTAAACTATAACTGGAACGGCATCCGGTCACCAATCACCCTTGATAATAGCTTATACAAGATGATCGACGCTCTAAAGTGAAGGTGTTTAGCGAATGTCTCGGGAGCGAAAGAGTTGTAAATTAAACGAATGTACCGTACCTACTTGTGTAAATTTTGTAAATACATCATACCGAAAGTGAAGTCAAGCCTGCGTTCGGATGCGGCCTGGATGTGCTACTGAATGCCACTCAAAGTACCATCACAGAACCAGCGATAGCTCAACAGGTAACACTGAGCTGTGGGCGCTTTTGATATCTGATTTCGCTATCAATTGCAGGCTGACTACTGTGATAGTTTCAAGATACTTTGTAAGACATTATTAGCAGGGCAGGATAGCTACAATTTTCATCCCAACTTCAACAATACGAACTGATGTCCAGTTCGAGCGAAAGTATACGAGTCTTGGCTGCCCCTGTTGTAAGATTATGAAAATTGAGGTCACCGGACGATGCGTAGTGCCTACCGACCGCCTACCCGGTTTATCAAGGTGCGCCTCGGTACAACGATGTTCAGCAAGCTATTCCACAACTATGAACCAGTTGCGTCTAGATCCAATGCGACCGAAGCTCCCTCGGGCAACGGGGCATTATCTCCCGTGGCATTCCTTCGCCGCGAAATTGCCCCCAGATTTTCATCCCCGCACTCCACCAGCCCAAAGCGGAAATGGCCCGCTGCCCGTGCATGGACTACGCTGTAGGCCACCAGCCTTGAACTTGAGCGACGAGTGGGCTACATATTGAACTATCTAGTGTTAATCAATTTTCGTTTTTCAAAACCCAGAGTCCCCTTCTTGACTTCTCGCTCCAGCGCATTGGGTGCTTTGTAAGAGGCAAGCCACCATGGCCAGTACACAGCCAAAAGATGAGACGGCTGGCGTCGAAGCTAGGACGGGTGAATTCGACACTAATGTGATCGCACCTGCGGAGGCCCCGAAGCGTTCACCGTGGAAGGCATGGATGTACCTCTGGGAATGGTATCCCAAGCACTACCCTGAAGAGGAAAGGAAGCTGTTGAGAAAGATGGATGCGTGCTTGCTCACATTTTGCTCCTTTATGTGTGAGTACTTCTTAGAGTCTCAGTCAGTTGTTGCTATACTGACAACGACAGTCTTCCTCAAATGGCTCGATTCGTCCAATGTCAAGAATGCCTATGTCAGCGGTATGAAGGAGGAGCTCAACCTTTACGGCAACGAATACTCGCTCTTCGACACTTTTTACAACGTCGGGTATCTCGTCTTCCAGGTCCCCTCTCTACTTCTTCTGTCCCGGCCCAAGATTGCAAGGTGGTACTTGCCGACAATGGAGGTTTTGTGGTCCATTGTCACGTTTACCCAAAGTCAAATGCGAAGCCGGAACGACATTTATGGTACTCGGTTCTTGCTCGGCCTGCTTGAAACCCCAGTTGCTTCTGGCACAACCTATGTGCTCGGCTCATGGTACAGGCCTGAAGAGGTGTTCAAGCGCACGGGCGTGTGGTTTGTGTCGAACAACATTGCTGTGATGTTTGGCGGATATCTGCAAGCCGCTGCCTATAAAAATCTCAATGGGTACGCGAACATCTCGACACATACAAGAAGTATGCTAACCGGTTGGTAGCGTGCACGGGATGGCAGGTTGGAGATGGCTGTTCATCATTGGTAAGTCTTGTGTACAAACTACATGGAGTACATGAACTGATAGCATACCTTGTATCTCGTAGATGGCATCATTTCTCTTCCGATCGCCCTTGCTGGCTACTTCATCTTCCCAGGTCTACCGAGCAGCAAGAAACCCTGGTGGCTGACACCCAAAGAGCATGAGCTTGCCAGGACACGGATGGTCAGCGCAGGCGTCGCACCTAGCAAAGAGTTGAGCTGGAGGGTTATCAAGCGCACCTTCACCCGATGGGAGTTCTACATGGGTGTCCTCTGCTACACTTTGTGAGTCTTGTATCGCGAGGCCTTTTCAGCTGCCCTACTCACATACTCACAGCTTCTTATCTTCGTCATATCCTCACGGTCAAATGGCTATCTGGCTTAAGGATCTGGCCAAGAAGTTCCCTGGGGCTTACACCGTCCCGCAAATTAACACTATCCCCACAGGTGCGCAAGGTGTATCGGTGTTTGCCGCGTTACTAGCTACATCGCTGTGTATGGTCTACCCACTGTGGTCGATCTTCTCGATCGTGCAGACCATTTATATCATCGCAAACATATCCCTCTTGATCTGGAACATTCCGAAGGGATATCACTGTAAGCCTACGAATTGAGCCACAGTTCTCTGCTGGTTGCTAATACTATGTCAGTCGCATGCTACTATCTTCTCGGTGTCTCGGCAGCCGTGACGCCAATCCTCATGCCGTTTATCAACATGGCGCTCCGCGATGACGCAGAAGCACGAGCGGTCACGGTCGGCGCTATGCTGACTGCGGGCTGGGCAGTGTTCTCCTTCTACCCAATCACCGTCTTCCCAATTGTCGAAGGTCCCAAATGGACCAAAGGCTATACGGTGAACATCTGCTTCATCTTTGGCTGTTGGAGCTCTTTCATGGTCATGCAGTATTTGTATAAGAGGAGCGAGAAGAAGAGAGAACAGCGGGTTATACGGGAGGCGACCAAGGACGAGGAGGATGCGATGAATATCGATACAAAGGATGCTAGTGCTGTCGAGTATGCCGAGGTGCGGAAGTGAAGTATTGAAAGGGCACTATTTGGATGGGGCTTTTGCCAGGGTTGGTATGTGAATTCAAACTTGGCGGAATGGCTTCTCGTGCTCCAATGTCGCCCTTGGCTACCTGTTTGTTCCGGAAAGTAATAGCAAAGAAGTCTGGGTTCGAGTTGAGGCGGGTGCCCCGCCGAACCGCTTGTCCATGGCCAGATTGGGCAGCAGCACCCCTCGCAACTCCAGTACCCTGCATGTCCAACATCGTGAGATTTGATGCAGGGCAGCCAAGACAAGTGCTGCCGAGGAGGGCGTAGTACAAACGTGGCGGGCTTCGGGTTCGGTGGCAACTGTTCGCCTGCTCTTTGTGCCAACTTTGGTCTCGGGGCGACATGGTGGGGGACGAAAGAGATAACACCCAAGGGGAGCCGTGTCCCGCGGAACTCACGATGCTCCCAAGCCAAGGCGGAGGAATGACAAGAGGTATGCGCCTCTGCTCAGGTTGCGTCATGCCACTTTTCGTGACACGTATGATTGTGAGCCCGTGAGTGAGGCTTACCTGCTTCGCTGCTCATTTGCGCAATTCCCCAACTACTCCTCCCATTTTCCATAACATCTTCGTCTGTAGGTCGCAATCGGACCATGACCACAATGGCTTCCATACGCTCAACCATGATGCTGCATCGCTTCGCACGCCAGTCTCCAACCGCGATGCGACTCCTTCCCCGCACAACCCCTCTTCAGCGGCGAAACTTCGCATCTCACCAAGACGCGACACACGCACAGGTTCCATCATATGAGAAGGCGGAAAATGGTCGAGGGAAGAGATTCAGCCAGTTCGACCTTGGTGGCAAAGTCTTTGTAGTCACAGGTGCAGCACGCCGTCCTCCTCACTCGCTTAGAGCAGACGCATCAAGTTGATGAGGGAAGATTAACGTGTACATAGGGGGCGGACGTGGACTAGGTCTCTGCATGGCCGAAGGGCTTGTGGAAGCGGGCGGCATGGTCCATTGCCTCGATCGATTGCCCGAGCCGAACGAGGCTTTCGCAGAAGCTAAAGCACGCGTACAGAATGAGTGCGGCGGTGGCCTGGCATACCACCAAGTCGATGTTACGCACAACGACGAGCTAGAAAAGTGCATTGCCAACATTGCAGCCGAGAAGCAAAGATTGGACGGCTTGATTGCTGGTACGTGAACTGTTCCAGTAGAAAGCGAGCACCTAGGGCTGATGCGCCGTCCCCGCAGCGGCTGGGATCCAGCAAGTGACGTCTGCTCTTGATTTCAAGAAGGAAGATATTATGAAGTTGATAGAGGTAAACTACATAGGCGTATTTCTCTCTGCGCGTGCCTGCGCCCGTCAAATGTACAAATACAAGGTCCAGGGCTCGATATGTTTGATCGCCTCGATGAGCGGAACGATTGCAAACCGTGGTTTCATCTCGCCAGTATACAACTCGTCCAAAGCTGCCGTCGTTCAACTGGGGCGTAATCTGGCCATGGAATGGGGTAGAGAGAATCCAGACGGTTCAGGCGGCATTCGAGTCAACACGCTAAGCCCTGGACATATCGTAACGCCCATGGTGGAAGAGAACTTTAGGAGGGGCGAGGCTAACCGAGAGGAATGGGAGAACAACAGCATGCTTGGGAGACTAAGCACCCCGGACGAGTATAAGGCCGCAGGGCTGTTTCTGCTGAGTCGGGCGAGTAGCTACATGACTGGCCATGACATGAAGATTGATGGCGGCACCACGGCGTGGTGAGATGTTGGGCTTCTTTTCGTAATACCCATGGACAAATGTACCTTAGCGACATTACTGACGTTCGTTTGATCCAACGACTTATGATACAGTGGACCTCTGCTGTTTCTCTTATCCTGCTGTTCTCGGTCGGGGTTTCTGGTTGTTTGCCGCGTTTAGATCACGTTCGTTGGGTGTTAATGTACCCATCAAACTCGAGTCTTGAACAAGCACCCAAAACTGTGATATAGATGAAGCCAACCTAAGGGTGAATGTGAGCGATGCTCCTGCTATCTCATAGCCAGGGTCCACCTGCGCCTTCCCCAATCAACCCTAGCCTCAAATCGGAACATCTGTCCTTCCACCCCTGCCGCGACAACTGTGTACATTTGGCAAAACACCACGCGATCTTGAGCCCGCAAGCTCTTCAAGACAACCATGGAACGGTTATCACGACTCCTCGGCTGCCTGCTGCTGGCAATCCTTCCCTTCGCTGCGGCCCTCAAATTCGATCTCCACCCTGTCTCAGCACACGACGCAGCCAAGTACGAGCGATGCGTGCGAAACTTCGTCGCGAAGGATCAGTTGGTGGTTGTGACGGCAATCCTAGATGGGTATAGGGGAGATGGGCAAAGGGTGGATATGCATGTACGTCTTCACCAATACTACAACACGCTCAATTGTCCATTCGCGAATTAGAGCTAGTACTAGGGGTGCCCGTGGATCCAGTTGCTGATATGCATGGTGATAGATTCGCGACGCAATGGGCAATGACTACCACCGCCCCAAAGACGTCGTCGGCGAAAACCGCTACGCCTTCACCTCACACGCTGACTCGGCCTTCGACGTCTGTTTCGAAAACATCTACACCTCCACACCCTCCTCGTCTATCAACCCGCGCCACGTTGAGCTCGACATCGATATTGGAGCCGACGCTAAAGACTGGAATGCCATCCAGGCCGGCGAGAAGCTGAAACCGGTTGAGGCTGAATTGCGGAGGATTGAGGAGGTAGTTGGCGAGATTGTTACGGAGATGGATTATCTGAGGACAAGGGAGCAGAAACTGAGGGATACGAATGAGAGTACGAATGAGCGAGTCAAGTGGTTTGCGCTCGGCACCATGGGAATGTTGGTTGGCTTGGGAGCGTGGCAGGTTGTTTACTTGAGGGCCTATTTTAGGAGCAAGCATCTCATCTAGATGGGACAGGAATTTCGATGGGGATTATCAGAGGGATCGCGGTTCGAGAGAACGAGGAAGAAAAATCCAGAGAGTGATCACCGTTACGGTGGCTGGAACACATCGGGGTTTCCTAAGCTTGTGTACGAACACGAAGAGTGAAGCGTTATTGACTACTTCCCTCTTGTTATGGCAGTCAGACGGGCGTTGGTATAACGTATTGCGGTTGAATTATATCCCACAGTCTTCATGGTCGTAGGCTATATCCACCTCAACGTCTGAGCTACATGGCAATAACTATGCTTACACGGTAATGAGATCGCACAACCGCCTATTAATTCCACCGTGCTCCATAAATCAGGCGAATTCCATCAACATATTAAGTATTATTATCTTGGTGTGAGCAGCAGGTAACGCGATCCAATGGCCCCATGCCATGAAAGAAATAAACTGCGGGTTTTACTGGGCCAGCGACCTCTTATTCGTGCAGCTGTTCAGGCTGTCTTCTGCTGGAAGATATACTCCTCTAGTTCCTCAATCTCCCTCGCTACGCTTTCCACGTCCTCCGTACCCAATATCCCGCGCTCGGTGACGTAGACATCAACGAAATTGGCAGGCACCCACTCAAACCATTCGCCGAAGACATCTACGTTTGCCTTTCCCGCAAGCTGATTCCTTGTAGCCGGTGCCCAAGCTGATGTAAGCTCGCTCGAAGGGTGGTGCTCGATAGCTCCGGTATCGTAGCCTGGAGGAGAGATCTTTTCAACGTCGCTGAGTACCACGACGGCGACGTTCTTATTGAGCTGCTTTGCACAGATGGCAGCAGCTAGGGATCCGATCTTGTTGCTAACGTCACCGGTAGAAGAGATACGATCCGCGCCTAGAAGAACAATATCGATGTCGTAGGAGGCAGTGCCGACGGCGCAATCGGGTACAATCTGGATGGAAAGACGATCTGTATCGCATGCGGAGGCGTAGATTTGTGCAGCCATATCTGCGCCTTCGCAGCGAGGGCGACACTCCAAAACAGTGAGATGAACAGCTACATCTGGGAGTGAAGAGAGTGCATAAAGAATTGCAGCGCGAATTGTGCTGGAGTTGCTGAGTGTGAGAATGCGGACTGGTGCTCGAGTATGAATCCGCTGAGGGGTATCAGCCCGAACAATCTGGTCAAAGGTCAGAGAGTGCGGCAGTACCTCTCTACAGTGCTTGTGCAGCCACTGCGTAAAAGCCTCTCCCAGCCGTCCACTCAACTCACTCCTCTCCCTCAAGATCTCGTCAAATGTACCGCCAGCGATGCGCGCTAGTCCCGAGGTGCTTTGGCTTCCCTTTTCTTGCTCTTCATTCCACATCCTCGCAATTGTCTCCAGCGCCCTGAGGAGACACGAGGAGGTCGCAGCGTTCATACTTGCTCTCGCATAGCTAAGATGTTTCGCTGCATGCACCATCATGGCCCAAAACTCACCCCAGCTGGTTGCCATGCATGCTGCAATGTCAGTGACGTGAGCGAGATGACGCAGTGAAGAGTCGGCGAGTTGACGGGCTTCCGAGGAGAAGTCACTTCGCAGTTCACACACAGCACTCTCGACGGCAGATTCGTAGGCGTCGGTCTCTTCCTGTGGGAGAGGCTCATTCGGTGGTAGCTCTGGCAACGGGGTAGGAGCTGGAGCAGATCTGATCTTGACATCAGCTTTATGATCGGAATCTTGGTTGCGCGACGCAAATGACACCCTTGGCACTCCCCGTTTGGCTGAGCGTGGTGAAGCAAACAAGTAGGTATTTCTCATACGCTCTAGAGGATTAAGAAGCCACATGCGAAAGCAGGTAAAGAAAGTCTAAAAGATCAGGACACAGAGTGTGACGAAGATAGAGCAAGAAACTGAGCGACAGCGCAATAAAATAGCAGACAATGCAAGCACACACCTTTCTTCGACGTCGTTTTCCTCGTGATGGGACTCTAGTATAAACTCTGACTGAGACTCAGGCTGAGAAGATGATATCGACTCCCTCGACATCAGCGAACCCTGTTTTTTCTTTCTCTTGAAAGGCGAGAAACTCTTCATCGAAATAGAGCTAGCGTACGTCCCAGACGATGAAGAGCCAGTCCTACTAGCAAATTGAGAGCTATTTGCATCGCCGCGAGGGGTGTTGTCCTTAGGCCGTCGCCGATAGGCTTCTGCCATGGCGATCTCGAACATGTCGTGGGGGGTGGGGGTGGATGGCAAGGAGGGGCAAGATGAAGTGGAGCGGGCAGGAGTCGAGCGCGACGCGAGTGAAAGATGTGTGGAGCAGGAAACTAGGTAGAAAGGTTTTCATGATGAAAAATGGCTCAAGTACAATAGAAACACAATGGCCAGTGCGTGGAAATTGCCACGGTGAAGCTCGCTTTGAAATGGTGAAAGTGAAGGCGACGTAAATGGAGGTAGGAGACAGCGCTTACTTGCCCATATCTCAACTACTCTATCAAAGATGAAAGAGAGGTAGAATTAGGGCATATTAAGGTGTGTCTTGTGATCGGAGCTTCAGAATATGGAGTTTAGCAGCTGCGACGCCAGGGAGAGGCCACTCCAGGCAATGAACCTATCGCAGAGTGTTGCACCCCACATCGTTACAAACTCTATCCCATGATGTTATCGAGCCTTGTAGCGGGGGAATGTTAGAGGGAGTGAGGTATGCACGTTACAGCCCTTTGCAGGTGTCTCGAACATTGCGATATTAGCCCGACTATTCTGCATGAGGATTACCGGTAGTCTATCTGGCCTAGTGGACCTACGTACCTAGGTACCAGGCTACAACCATGCCTACTTATGTCATCAAGGTAGTGTAGGCGCTCTCTGCCATCAGGAGCTCGATCGCACACAATGTTTCTTTTCTTAAGATAGCATCCATACTCGAACCAAGCTAATTAGTAAGATTGTCTACACCTAGTGCGGAGCTTTTCCGCTTCATATATCAGCAGCCTCGGACTTACGACCTGCTAACCCGAGGAGCTTATTGAGCACAATTCTTCGACCAGATCGACCTAAAAGCGTGCAGATATCCTCGACACTGGATATCCCGTATCGAACAACTCTCTATTCTCTCCCATGGCACGCGCAAAACATCACCCACCACCTCAGCCTAAGGCTCTAGAACCTTTGCCGCCAAACACACAAGCTATCCTCCGCTCAGGCGTTGAAGCAGTTGCATATCATATCCCGGTTGTGCCACCTTCTCCTACCGATTCTCTTCTGAAGACTACCATTGCGCTTCCTCGCCGCTCAAGTTGGACATCTGGGCTGCATTTCCATACTGGGCACACTGAACACCTTCGCTTGATTAAGGGTTCTATCTTTGTTTATCTGGACGGCGACCTGAGGATCATTAGCGCGAAGGCGGGTGGAGAAGTATCGTCCAAAACGGGAGAGATATTAAAGAGTGGTTTAGAGATTATAGTCGACAAATATGTGCGGCACGACTGGGGCCGCGCAGATGAGTATTTGTACTCGAGATGGTCTGGTAGGGGGCTTCACGGGAACATCTTGTATGCAGAAGACAGTTATGAAGAAGTCGTCGTCGAGGAATGGACCGACCCTGCGGACATGACTAAGCCACTCTTTTTTTGGAATCTGAACGCCGTCATTACTGCACCTCAAAATAAACCGCTGTCGGCGAGTCAAAATCTTATTAAATTAGCCCTCGGTAGCTGGTGGATTCCTTTCCAACTCTCCATCATCTTTTGGGATCTGGATAATTGGCCTATTCTACTGGACCTCAGGCTTTTGGCGTCGCCATATCTGGGAGAGAAGGTGGGGACTTGCTTTGAACGTCTATCAGAATACCTCATGACTTTTGTCGTTCTATTTGCTGCAAAGGAGTTGGGCAGATTCACGGGCATACAGTCAGTATCAAAAGAGCGAACACCAAAAGATCTCTGGCATGTCTACAAGAAAAGCTAGTTGTAGCCGGCTACAATGTCCAATCATCTCAACACGATACGACTACAATTAGGACTTACAATTTGCCAAGCTCCTTGAGGCGTACTATTCGATTAATCCTACGTTCGGGTGCGTCTATGTATTGGCTGTGGATCGCACACTTATGTACAAGCTTATATCGAATGTTAGTTAACCTCGGTTCTGTCTGTGAGGTTGGTTTTCCTTAAAAGGAAAAACAAATCCGCTCCTGAATCGACCGGTTCCAAGATTGTGAAAGTTACCTGGTCTTAGGCTCAGGGCAGGGGAGTTTCCCCACAGCCGATCATACTCGTTTTGGCACGGACCGCATCGAAGTTGGCTAGCTTTGCCCCATGGGGCCGGGCAGCGGGATATTTACATCGTACAATGTGAACGCTCGCTCAACCCAGGCTAGCTCCAGTATAGTTTGAGAACAGCACGAATATTGACTTCACACGAGAGGGGTTCGTGAAGAACACGAATTTGTAACATCTTACAGAAAACGCAAAGGGCAGCCTTTGGAGAACACCACAAGGCGCTAGCCACGACTAAATGCCATTCAAAGCGGTGGCTACCCGGGGTATTCGTGGAAAATAGGTTCGCTTCTGAAGGATCCCCTGTACCGGACTGCTGGGTTAGCAACCCCTCATAGCCAAGTCCGCACGATGCTGGAGAAGTTGCCTTGGCGTGATTCTGCCGTGATCTTCATTAATAGCTTCTTAAGCTTCGCTATCAAACTTAAATACTTACATTGGGGCATGCCCCCCTTCGAGGGTGGCCGTAGTTTGAAGCCTTGGTCGTCTAGCTTGGGCATATCCTGCTACCTTCGGAGAAAGAAACGAAACTTAACCCATCACTATGGCCCCGATAGTCACGGAAGCCGGCGACGGCATCATCGAGCGCCTCATCGCCAACGATAATGTCCGTTGGTGGAACAAGCCCAACCTACGCCGCCTTTACCTCCTGCTCGTACCCTTCTGTCTCTTCATCGAGTCCACTTCTGGATTCGATTCTTCTATGGTCAACGGAATGCAGGCACTCAAGTATTGGAAGGAATACTTCAACCATCCCAAGGGCGGTCAACTTGGTTTGCTCGTCGCATGCTACAACTTGGGAGCTATTACGAGCATTCCTTTTGTGGCGATCGTGTCTGATCACCTTGGGAGACGCAAGAGCATCGTCTTCGGTTCGATAATCATGTGTATTGGGGCTATCATGCAAGGCCTTTCGCAAAACTGTAAGCGTGACTTCATCTCTATATTCCACAAGAAATACTAACACATCCATCCAGTGGCCATGTTTATTTTCTCTAGAATATTTCTTGGCCATGGTATCGTCTACGCTATCATATCTGGCGCTGCTCTCCTCGGTGAACTCGGCCACCCCAAAGAGCGCGCTTTCCTAGGTTCCATGTTCAATGCCTTCTTCGGTGTAGGTTCCGTCCTCGGCGCCGGCATCGTGATACGCACCCTGCTCATCCCCAATGACTGGAGCTGGCGTCTCCCGTCTATACTCCAAGCCCTACCTTCCATTATTCAGATTGCCTTTGCCTTTACAGTCCCCGAGAGTCCGCGTTGGCTGGTATCCAAAGACCGCAGCGAGGAGGCACTCGAGATCCTGATCAAGTACCATGCCGAAGGCGATGCCTCTCAGGAACTACCGCACGTCGAACTCGCCGAGATCCGCAAAGCGCTGGAGATAGAAAACGAGTCGCGAGCACGAGGCTGGGCAGAGCTCTTCCAAACCAAAGGCATGCGGCACCGCTCACTTGTGGCCGCCGCACTCGGTCTGTTTGTGCAGTTCAGCGGCAACAACCTCCTTAGCCAGTACCTCGTGCCAATTCTTACCAAAATTGGGATCACCGACTCCCACACACAGGTGCGATATAATCTCGGCACGGAAGCTTGGGGGTTCGTGATTGCCCTAGCGATGGCTGCTGTTACGCCCCGGTTTCCGCGACGGAGAATGTACTTGCTGTGTGCATCGTGCTTGGTGTGTGTATACACTGGCTGGACGATCGCGCAGGCTCGGAATCGCATCACCGGCTCGAAAGGATCGGGCTACGCAGTGCTAGTCATGATCTTCCTGTATAAACCAGCGTACTGTATCGGTTACAACGCTCTGACCTACGTCTATATGGTCGAAATCTTCCCGTATTACGTCCGCACAAAGGGACTGTCGTGGTTTCAACTATTCAATCGCTCGGCTGTCATGTTTGGTTCGTTTGTCAATCCTATCGGCCTTGAGAATCTAGACTGGAAATACCTTCTTGTGTACGTGGCGTGGTTGTGTTTTGAGGTTATCTTCATCTACTTTTTCTTCCCGGAGACCTATGGCAAGACACTGGAGGAGCTTAGTTTCTTGTTTGAATCGGAAAAGGCGAACCGCGAGGTGCTCGCTGCTAGTGCGGCGAAGTTGGTTCAGGATCCTAACGTTACAGAAGTCCACGAGGCGCCAGAGAAGAAGGCTTAAGTCTTTGAATGTGGAATGAGATGCGGGTACATTGATAACTTCAAGAATCTTGACGAGTCTTAATTGGGAAATACAAGATTATTGATTGAAGTGTATTCATGATACGGGGAGACGTTGTGTGGCACATAGTTCTAGCTCGCCCACACTTCAATACCGGCAGAGCCCTAAAACCCAGATAATAAAGATCCTGAAATTATCGTTTTACAAGACTGCTGTTTTCTAAACAAATTGGATCATAACATTAACTATCAACACCAAGCAAAAGCATGGAAACCCAGAGACTACTGGAATTAGATGGCACGCGAGTAGTACATTTGTGTAGCGTGTGTGGGAGATTTGAGAATCGGTGATTGTGGGGGATGGAATCAAGTCTGGGGTATTTTGAAATGTTTTGGAATTGGTTCCTATGTATGCGTTTTGTTAATAGCATCGTAAACAGCAATGCGACTCATTCTCTCGTGTCATGAATAGGTATCATTTGCTTTTTAGACCGTGAGTTTTCCGTCTTGTAGAAACCTAAGCCGCCCTTAGATGGAAAAGATAACGCGCCGACGCCCAAGATCCGAATCAGTAACAAGACAAGACATATCTACACATTGCCCTCTTCCGCACGAACATCCTTTCGTCCTTCAGTTATTTCTAGTCAAAGCTGCGTTTACTTGATGTTCTCGGGGCGGAGAGAGCGGACAGCCTTGCCAGCGCGCCAGATCTCGAGGTCATCAATCTCCTTGAGCTCCTGGTTGTACTTCTCGCGGTAGTCCGGCTGCGAGTTGTACTCAAGCGAGCGCTTTGTCTCGCTGCCGTTCTCAACGGAGGTATACAAGTCATCGAAGACGGGCTTGAGAGCATCCTTGAAGCGTTTGCTCCAGTCGATAGCACCACGGCGGGCGGTTGTCGAGCAGGCAGCGTACATGTAGTCCATGCCGTTGGCACCGATCAGAGGGTACAGCGACTGGGTAGCCTCCTCGACGGTCTCGTTGAAAGCCTCAGACGGGCTGTGGCCGCGCTCACGGAGCACCTCGTACTGGGCAAGGAACATGCCGTGGATACCGCCCATAAGGCAGCCACGCTCGCCGTACAAGTCAGAGTACACCTCCTTTTGGAACGTGGTCTCGTAGAGGTATCCAGAGCCGACGGCGACACCGAGGGCTACAGCCTTCTCCTTGGCCTTGCCGGTGACGTCCTGGAAGACGGCGACGGAGGAGTTGATGCCGCGACCCTCACGGAAGAGGGTGCGGACGGTGCGGCCGGAGCCCTTGGGGGCGACGAGGATGACATCGATATCCGTGGGGACTTCGACCTTGGTGAGGTCCTTGAAGACGGGAGAAAAGCCGTGGGAGAAGTAAAGAGTCTATCATAGTCAGTCGGCCTGTTGCACATGTCTGTTATAAAAAAAAGTGTGCGCTTACCTTGCCCTTGGTGAGCTGGGGCTTGATAGCGGGCCAAGTCTCCGACTGGGCAGCATCGGAGAGAAGGTTCATGACAATAGTCGACTTGCCAATGGCCTCATCGATATCGAAGAGGTTCTTGCCGGGGACCCAGCCATCCTGCTCGGCCTCCTTCCACGAGGCACCGTTCTTCCGTACACCGACAATGACGTTTAGGCCGTTGTCGCGCAGGTTGAGACCTTGGCCGTGGCCCTGGGAGCCGTAGCCGATGAGGGCGAGGGTGTCGTCCTTGAAGTATTCCTAGCTCGGCTGTTAGCCAGTGCTCTCATTGAGGCTGGATTTGATGCCATTGAGGCGTGGGTTGACTCACAAGAAGCTTCTCCCTTGGCCAGTCAGCACGCTCTGCGTACTGTTATTAGCTATTGCTTAATCAACAAGTCGGCGACTTGCAACTTACCGTAGACGGTCTCCTTGGTACCAGCGAAGTCAATCGTCTTGATACCGCGGGTCTGCTGGAACTGAGAGGTAACAGCCGCCTTGGGAGCAGCTGCGGTACCAGCGCGGAGAGCAGAGACAAAGGTGCGCTTCTGGGCAGGAGCAGCAACCAATTGGCGAGCAGTTTGGCGCAGAGCGCGAGCAGCAGGTCGTGAAGCCATTATGAAAGTATGAAGGGGTATCGTGATGTCAAAAAAAGGGCTTGTGGAGGGGATGACGGGCTTTTTAAGCTTGGTTCCCTTTGCTCTGGCGTGGAATCGATTTTCGAAGAGCACGGAGCTTCTCCAGTAAAGTTGCCTCTCCGAAGCCGGCCCGCTCGCATCACCGACCAATAGACTGCATGCCTTTGGCAGCTACCATGGCTAGCAGGGGTGCGGCAATCGTCTCGGGGAGGAATTTGCGTCTCCGAGGCCATCCACAGTCATACGTGATGGGTAAATAGTCAATGCGAAGACGTGTCTGTTATGCCGACGCAATCTTCTAGGGCAAACATCGCATGCATACGAGTATAGTCTATTCTTTCGAAATGAATACGGTCTGACAATGGCCGCACACGCCGAGTGCTTCCCCCGTCGATGCTCATTCATGTTGACGGAGAGACTTGAACATGGTCATAAAATTGTAATGCTAGACGCCGCGCTTCATGCACACCAGGTCCTATATGCACGCTGATAGTATAAAATCCGAATCGTGGTATCCATCTACCCTCCACCGTCTGCTCCCTGACTTGACCATACATGTGTGTGTATATTTGGGTTCGTTGTAGACTCTACTGCTAAAGATCAATCCGGGTTGTGTCTACACCATAGCATAGCCGCTCGTGTATGCCTTGTCACTTCAAGAGTGCTTATTTGAGCACGCGGTCGAAACTCTGTCCCTTCACGGTACCACCACCAAGCGATGCCCGCACATTGCGCTTGAAACCCTCGCGGTTCGCCTTGAGGTCCTCGGCCGCCTCTTTGTTCAGCGGATCCGACGCGTTCGGTTCTAAGAAAAGAAACTAAATCCTGTCAGCTGTCCTCCTGTCCTCCTCTGCTCTGCGTGCCACGTACCTGCAGTCCAACCACCACCGCATTCAAATTCAGCACCGGCTTCCAGTCCTCTCTTAGAATGTTCAGACACACATTGCCCTCTAGATCAATGTTCGGATGGTAGATCTTCTGTTTGCACTTGACTTTCGGCGGATCGTGGGGAAAGTTCTGGTTGATCTTGAAGTCGAACTCGAAGCGGCCGCCCTTGTACATGCCCTCGTCGGGGTCAATAGTGAGCTTGAAGTTGAGGATATCGTCTGGGTTTGCAAAGTGCGTCTTCATGGTGGTACCGAGGGATAGCTCTTCGAGATCTAGAATAGGGTGTTAGTAACATACGCAGAAGGGCTCTAAACCGAATAGACGTGTATGGTACCTTTCTGTGCGCGAAGCTGTGCTGGCGTCACCTTCTTCTTCTTGCTTGTGGCAGCGAGCGCAGCCTCATCTTGTTGCTGCTGTTTTTTCTGAAGTGGACATCAGCATGCCGCTTTGCCCAACCCTCGCCGCAAAAGGCGCTTATTGTGTAGAGACATACCATAGACCATATTTTCATCATCTTGGCGGTATTGTACGAGTGAATCCGGATTTCTAGGTCGTGCGGTCGTGATCGCGTGTGGTTGTGAAAGGCAGTTACGTGCTAGCTAAACCGTGGGGCAAGCGGCGAGGGTTCAGGTTGGCAGCGGTGGTGGGGGTGTTGTAAAGTTGAGAGGGTGTAGAGAACAGAGGGAGGTGAGGAGCGAAGCCCCAAGAAGAACAAACGCCAAAGAGAAGAAGATACCGAGAAGCGTGTATACGAAAGTGAAGAATACGAGGACAGGCTGCCACTATCGTCGAGCAACCATGGCGATGATGAACGTGGGGTGATACCGAGGTTTCACCGTAGCGCCACGACAGCGCCCGGCCTTCAGAGGTCTTAGTCATCAATTACAAACACTCGAGAACGGTCTTGTCTGAGCGGAAAGTGATGCTGGCCAGAGACGGTTGTCTGGAATAATTTGTCGCTGTAATTGCTATGAAACCAAACATCATAGCAGCTAAAAGAAGTCACCTTGAGCAATAGAAGCCTGGAGCTCATTGTCTGTCCCGAACCACAATGGCCACACGAGATGCACTCAAGTTTGCCACCTCGCAGAGCGATCAGATAGATCCATATCTTCCTTCGCCGTCTCCCCATCTCTCCAAACCATTCGTCACTCTCACGTTTGCCACGTCTCTTGACAGCCAATTATCTCTCGCTCCCGGCGTGCAGACAGCTCTCTCGGGTCCGGAATCCAAGGCCATGACACACTACCTCCGCTCCAAGCACGATGCGATCTTAATTGGTGTCGGGACTGCAGTGGCCGACAACCCATCCTTGAATTGTCGAATAGAGGGTGTTGGCGGATATGGAGGTCCAGGACTAGTGGCCCAGCCGAGACCTGTGGTTGTGGATCCAAAAGGACGCTGGGACTTTGATGCCGAGAGTAAAGTGATGAAATTGGCAAAGGAAGGCAAAGGAAAAGCACCATGGTTGGTCACTGGGGCGTCAATCAGCCAAGAGAAGCGGGATCTTTTGGAGAGGGCAGGGGGCAAAGTTCTCGAGTTTCTCTCCTCATCGAATCAGCCGTCTTTATTGACTTCATCCATTTCTTGGTCAGCGATGCTGGACGTCCTCGCTGATCAAGGGGTCAAGAGCGTCATGATCGAAGGCGGGGGCGTGGTTATCAACGACTTGCTTTCTTCGGCGAATTTCAAGCTCATCGACTCAGTTGTTGTCACACTCGCGCCGACTTGGCTGGGTAAAGGCGGGGTGCAAGTCTGTCCAAACGAGCGCATAGAAGATGGAAGGCGCCTCCCCGTTGGTAGGCTGAAAGATGTCAAGTGGATACCGTTGGGGGAGGATGTGGTTCTTTGTGGACACCCGAATATGGAACCATAATTGAGGCTTTCGATGCTTTGGTGTATCAATATTGAATTTCATGGCTTATGTAGTTTTCGTCGTCGGCTGCTCCCAAGGTAATTCGGTGGGAATCGAACCTTGAAGAAGCTCCTCGACGCTTGCTTCCAATCCCTCTACTAGTTCCCCAGCAACGCTTTCATCCCATGCGCGTTGCCTCCTCTTCCCGCTCAGCAGCTCCCCGGTGCCTAGTGGATCCTTTTTCCACTGTGCATACCCATTCTGCTCTTCGCCGCGCAGCGTGCTTTCGAGGTCCGTACTCGACATGACGGGATCGATACCTTGAACTTGGACTCGGTCCTTTGGCCACCGAATCGTCGGAGCGTGCAGGTCGAGGAAACGCTTCGCTTTGAAGGAATGCGTGATGATGCGGATGTTGGTTGGATAGCGCCCCGTGGTTTTTCTGAAGAGCAGGATGCTGAATAGGAGGTTTTGGAAGGAGTCGGTGGCTTGTTCCTCTAGGAGCACATATCCTTTGCTGAACATTCGATGGGCCCGACCACCATGGTGGTGTCCTTGGACCAGCTCTTCTGCTAGGGCAGCATGGTAGTAGGAGCGCGCTTCGCTAATAGGAGTATGGGAGGGTTTTGTTGCGCCACCGCTGAGGACCAAAAGGCTTGAAGGCGGATGTTCTGGGTCTGTTCCGATAGTCAAGGCATCGAGACCAGCTTTCACGTGCGCCAAGAAAGTCTCATGTTCACCGGGCTTTCGTGTCTCTGGATCCGACTTTTGGAAAGGAGCCAGGAGCCAATGGGGCTCGTAGTGGGGGCTGTGAAGGGCAAAGTTGGAGGATTCAGCGTCGGGAAGAAAGATGGCGTGACAACAAACAACGATGAGATGTTCTATGCCGTCGTAGCTTCGTGGTGGGATTACGTGATCTGGGTGCTCAAAGTCTGGGTCTTCAGCTGCTTGCCAGTCATGTTTGGTGTTTTTATGGGCTGCATCCTCCGCTGGGGCTATCGTGGCTGTGACATGTGCAGGGTCCGCGGTTGATGCAGAGGCGTTGAACCTGGATCTCGGAAGGGCTGTAGCTGGTGTGGCTGGGGCCATGGACGACTAGCTAGTGGGTACGGGGATGTGGTGAGACGCGAAGAGCTGGGCTAGATGGCAGCAGTGACAGGGAGCGGAGATTACGGGGGCAGAATAAGGAAGAGAAGAAAAAAAGGCACAACAACTAACCCCAATGATCAAGCAGACTCGCGAAATGCTATGCAACAAGAGGTTCACGCGGTGGTGATGGACGTGGGGGGAGGACGATGGCTTGTTGGGATCGATGACGGAAGGCGCAGCCCGCTGCATGCTCTCGCCCCGCGAAGCCATGGTAGACAGGTTTAATACAAGTGGTATTCATCATGTCGCCAAAACTCGATTCATTACAGGTGTGCATCATTCCCAGCAGAGACGACATATGTCGTATATGCCACGCGTGGTCCTGCCTCTTGTTGAAAAGCGCTTGCAAGTCACGGTACTGGGTTAAGGATATGAGCATGGCACACGGGCCGTCTATAGCGAATACGTTGTGAGTACCTGCAACATTGAACGAGCCTTGGCAGTGCGACCTCGAGCCTAAATAAGCTTCACAGTGCTTGTTGCACTTGTGTGTGTGTGTGTGTGTGTGTGTGTGCAGCAAACATTGCCTGGTGGACGCAGAGCTTTTGCACACGCACGTCGGCAAGTCCCGCGTAGCAGCGTAGCAGCGGTGAGCTTTGGGTGTAGAGTGCAACGCCCCCGGGCCTAGACGAGGATAGATAATGAACATCTCTTCTTTGCTGGCTTGTTTTCTTTGTCGAGGCTGAAGAGAGGCAAAGTAAGCGGCAGCTGGAGGCTGATTAACAATAAGGCGTTTCTCTAAATTTAGGCCTTGCCCAGCTTAGCGCCACAGCTACTTCACAGCTACCCGTACACGACGGCGACGCGACAACGCCTGCCATAACAGGGTCGTGTGGCCGCCGCCAGCAGGTTTTATCCCGCCTTGTTGCCCGCCCGCCAGCCTTGCAGCTTCTTCCCTTCCAGTCACCGTCGTCGCACGAATCCATACGCATCCATTGTTGATAAAGGAGAGTCTGTAACCAGTAGCCCTGGAGCATTCCTGTCGCGTTTCAGCGCGCCGTCTAGCGCTCCTTCCCCGCCCGTCCGTGCCATCTGGCCAGAATAGGCTAGTGCTGCCGCCTCTCCATTCAGCTCTCAGCCCTAGGTCGCCTCAAACAAGCTTTATAATACCTGACGGATTACCCCCCAGCCGTGCGCTTATTTCCCTTCTTCTCTTTATCTCATTTCTTTGCTCCCCTCGATTCCTCGACCATCGCCATCGTCCAGCCCCAGCCCGCGCGGAGAGAGCTGCACGTCATGGCCTACAACCAGCACACCGGTGTAAGTGCTCCTCTGATGACGGCCCCTAGAAATCATGGCCTACTAACCGCATATGCAGTACGACCGCGGCCACGACGAAGACGAGGTCGGCCGCTCGCTCCTCCACGAGAATCCCACGGGTGCCAGCAACCCAGATCCATTCTACGGCAACCCTGATGTTCGCCCTCATTCCACATACAGTCTGACCGAGACGTATGTGAGCGACAGGCCACCGCAGTACCAGGGCGGTCGACCCCATGACGGCTCCGATGTCTACTCGACCACGGCCGGTTACAGTGATCCAGCAGCTGACTTTGGCGCACCCCAACGCGCGCCTTCGCCATACCAGCGGAGTGAGACGAGCTCCACCGAGGCATGGCGACAGCGACAACAGCCCGGTGGTGCCGTAGCTGCAGCTGGTGGCCTGAAACGCGGTCAGACCCGCAAGCTCAAGCTTGTGCAGGGCTCCGTTCTCAGCGCTGACTACCCCGTGCCTTCGGCCATCCAGAACGCCATCCAGGCAAAGTATCGCAATGATCTCGAGAGCGGAAGCGAGGAGTTTACCCACATGCGCTGTAAGTCCCACACTGTCCATCAAACCCTCTCCCCAGACGCGCCTCTAACAGCTGCAAGACACTGCTGCTACGTGCGACCCCAATGACTTTACTCTCAAGAACGGCTACAATCTGCGGCCGGCCATGTACAACCGCCACACCGAGTTGCTCATCGCCATCACATACTACAACGAAGACAAGGTGCTCACCGCCCGAACCTTGCATGGTGTCATGCAAAATATCCGCGACATTGTCAACCTGAAAAAGTCTGAATTCTGGAACAAGGGCGGCCCGGCTTGGCAGAAGATAGTCGTCTGCCTTGTTTTCGACGGTATCGACCCCTGTGACAAGGGCACCCTTGACCTCCTCGCCACGGTCGGTATCTACCAGGATGGCGTTATGAAGCGCGATATTGACGGCAAAGAGACGGTCGCTCACATTGTACGTTGCGCCAAACATTGGTCAATTTGCGACTTCATGCTAACAACACGCAGTTCGAGTATACGACGCAATTATCCGTCACCCCCAATCAGCAGCTGATTCGCCCGCACGATGATAGCGCCAGCACACTGCCTCCCGTGCAGATGATGTTCTGCTTGAAGCAGAAGAACAGCAAAAAGATCAACTCGCACAGATGGCTATTCACTGCTATTGGTCGCATCCTCAACCCAGAAGTCTGCATCTTGCTCGATGCCGGTACAAAACCTGGCCCCAAGTCTCTGCTCGCCTTGTGGGAAGGCTTCTACAACGACAAGGATCTCGGCGGTGCTTGTGGTGAAATCCACGCCATGTTGGGTAAGGTAAGTTATACTCAAGCTACTTTTTTTATGTTATATTTATAAGCTACTAATTTTTTTTTTAAAAAGGGCTGGAAGAACCTCCTCAATCCGCTCGTTGCCGCACAGAATTTTGAGTACAAGATCAGTAACATTCTCGATAAGCCGCTGGAATCGTCTTTCGGATACGTTTCTGTGCTACCTGGTGCTTTCTCCGCCTACCGCTACCGCGCTATCATGGGCAGGCCGCTTGAGCAGTACTTCCACGGTGACCACACCCTTGCTAAAATCCTCGGAAAGAAGGGTATTGAGGGCATGAATATTTTCAAAAAGAACATGTTCTTGGCCGAAGATCGTATTCTGTGTTTCGAACTGGTCGCCAAGGCTGGCTCCAAGTGGCATCTTACCTACATCAAGGCCTCCAAGGGCGAAACTGACGTGCCTGAAGGTGCTGCCGAGTTTATCGGTCAGCGTCGTCGTTGGCTCAACGGTTCGTTTGCTGCCGGTGTCTACTCGCTCCTGCACTTTGGCCGCATGTACAAGAGTGGCCACAACATTATCCGCATGTTCTTTTTCCATGTCCAGATGCTGTACAACATCTTCCAGACCATTCTCGCTTGGTTCTCCCTGGCTTCCTTCTGGCTGACCACCGCCGTCATCATGGATCTTGTCGGTACTCCTGTCCCCGCGAATCTCGATACTCAAACCCCGGAAAAGAAGGCGTGGCCGTTTGGAAATAGCGTCACCCCCATCTTTAACACGGTCCTCCAGTATCTGTACCTCGCCTTCCTTGGTCTGCAATTCATTCTTGCTTTCGGTAACCGTCCAAAGGGCTCCAAGTGGTCTTACCTGCTCTCCTTCTTCGTGTTCGGCTTGATCCAGTTCTACATCGTCGTCCTGTCAATTTACCTCGTTGTTCAAGCCTTCACGACTCCTTCGTCGCAGAAACTCGATACTTCGTCTCCGGAAAAGTTTGCCCAGTCCTTCTTCTCGTCCAGTGGTGTGGGTATTATCATCATCGCGCTCGCGGCTACTTTCGGCCTGTACTATGTTGCCTCGTTCCTCTACATGGACCCATGGCACATGTTCACGTCCTTCCCGCAGTACCTCTTGATCATGTCGTCCTATGTCAACATTCTCAATGTCTATGCTTTCTCCAACTGGCACGACGTTTCCTGGGGTACCAAGGGTTCCGACAAGGCAGACGCGCTTCCGTCAGCCAAGACAGAGAAGGGAGCAGACGGCAAACATACCATCATCGAAGAGCCGGATCTGGCGCAGGCCGATATCGACAGCCAGTTTGAGTCGACCGTCAAGCGTGCTCTGGCTCCTTACGTAGCACCCGTTGAGCAGAACGAGAAGACTCTGGAGGATTCATACAAGTCTTTCCGTACCCATCTTTGCACGGCCTGGATCGGTTCCAACGCGACTCTTGCTGTTGTTATCACGCAAGATAACTTTGACCGCTTTGGGTTCTCTGTAAGTTTACTGTATATTTCCTTTGGAGATGAAGATGCTAATCCTGACCAGTCAACTGCCTCGAGTCGAACCATGCGCTTCTTCCAGGCGCTTCTGTGGGCTACCGCTGCGCTTGCTGTCGTCCGTTTCCTTGGTTGTCTGTGGTTCCTTGGCCGCACTGGTCTTTTCTTCTGCGTCAGGAAGCGATAGACACAAGGCATCCGCTGCGACTTCAACAAGCCGCGCGGCCACAGAAACGGCCAAAGTTGCATGTTCCAGCTTTGTCTTTGATTCTCTCATCATCTGTACTGGCGTTTAATGATGTCCCCGACTCCAGCAGGCTGGTGCTGCGCAGTCCTTTACCCCTGTCTCATCTTGTTACGCAATAACATTTGCGGATCAGCTACGGATGAACGACTACTTGTACTACTCGTATACACCAATGTTCAATCTCGCCGGATCACTTGACGGAAAGTTATCTGAGCAGAGGGATTTCTTTGGATTGGATACACTGGGGTAATAGGCCATGATAATTTGTCATTTTAGAGCGAAATACCACCAATACTCTACTTTCTCACTGCCTGCTTGGTTGGATGCCTACGCGTTAACATGGTCGATGTCGTGACTCTGGGGCCTCTTGCTACACATGGCTACTCTTGGCAAAGGACATGGTCCCACGTGACTGTAGTGTAGAGATGTATATATAAATATATATATATTACTTCGCTACCCGGATACTGAAACTGTACAGTCGAGTAGTCAATGGCGTGACTCGTGTGTGGGGTGACAGGTTATGACGTTGTCCCCGCCGTACTACGACATGTTAAAGTGGAGTAGTTTTGTTGGTTGGGTCACATGGCACGGGAGCATGGAGGCTAGTAGACAAGGGATGCGCTCGTCTGTTGCCAAGTCACCGTGATACCGTCACGGCTACACGACGACGTTGAACTTGCAGCAACAGGTTGCGCGCGCTCGTCATCCATTCAAGCCGAAACACGGCTCTAACGAGGTTTTGTTGGTATACCATGGTCAACAACAAGATCTCCCAACGCGCTAGGATTGTCCAGCCCCCAAGACGCGACCAACCACATGTACGCCTCAGAGGAACAGCGCCTACTAGCTGCAGGAAGCGGAACAGCATCAGATCCGAAAAAGAAGCGAAAGAGGCACAGACGGGCGTCGATCGACTGACCTTTTGGCCGAAAGGGAGAATGGCGGTGAGGTGACGGGCACTTTGCACGGGCCAGACTGCCTTTCCCGTAGCCGCAGGTACTAGGTATAAGCTCGGGCATTGGCCGCCGCGTCGCAATTCCTACGCAATTTACCGTCCGAAAACAACACTACCGCGTCTGCTTGTTGAAGGATATAGGGCACACAGGCTTCGCGGCAGCCATCACGCACAATCGGCGACCAAACGGACATGTGGAGAATGGGACTACTCTACCTCGACCGAGGTGATAGCGCCATCTTCGCCGCGCTCAAGGATGCGGGGCACAACACTCGACAAGCGCCGCCAGGCTCGCCCTCTGGAAAATTCTCGTCGCCGGGTGACTCGGATCACGCATCTCTGGATGGCAAGGTCAGACAGGATGTACCAACACCACATGGCATCCAGCAGTGGGTAGTACCAGCAGATGGAAATGGCCTCAAATTCAACCACCTGCGCACAAAAGCCGAGGATCCAATGGATTCGCTGTCCCCGTCGTCGGACACGACGCTGTTCGAGGAACCAGAGGTGTATTCGTTGGACCGATCCAAAGACGACGAGAGCAGCTTCCATGATTACTTCTCCTTTGATGGCGCCGACAACGACCAAGTAATCAAAACCGAGCGAAGAGACCCCGCGCTATCTCAGAGGCGGCGCGTCCGCCATCAGCGCGCACCCTCGACTGTGTCAGCATTTGGGAGTGCGGACAAGGTTTCGCTGCCAATGCGCGCAAGGCCCAAGACGAATGAAGGACTCCTGCAACTGCACATGCAAGCCGATAGTCCAAAGGCACTGCAATTTGCAGAGGCTCCCAAGACGCCACGCTCCTCCACCACACCCATCGATAGGCATCGCCGCAGAGTATCACTAGGACTTCCGCTCCGCGCCTTGGGCGCACAACCCGAAGGCCTCAAACGCTCCCACTTTGACAATACATGCACAGCGCCGCAATCGCCTCCCCGGACCCCCGCAACAGACCGGGCCGTCTCGGCTGCATTGAGGCAGAAAGAGCGAGAACTAGCATCCGCGGCACTGAAGCAAAAAGAGCGAGACCTCGAGTACAAGCACCGGCACACGTTTATCGGCACAGCCTCCCTGGACGATTTCCTCGAGGTCCTCGAAGTCTCATCAGCGTACACGACGACCAAAGCAGCCGTAGCAAGAGCCTTCATCATCCTAGCGTCCAGCGAGCGCCTGCTCGCTCGCCAAGCCTCGGCCACGCCTTCAGGCTGGGACCTCGTCTCGCGCAAAACGTCGGATATGCTGGCCAATATCGATTACGTTGCCCAAGCCCACATTCGACTCGGATCTATTACCCTGCGCCAGTTCTTGGATCTCATCTACTTTGATGAAGACGAGGACGTGGGTGCTATGAACGTTATTGAAGCTTTTTCCGCTGCGAGCCATCTCGATGCCAAAGTCGATGGCGGGACGGGGAGCAGGGCTAGGGCGTTTCGGAGTTGGATGGCACAGCAAGCAGAGTCCGACACATCAGCAGCATCATCACGCTGAGAACGCGCTGTGAACCCCCCCTTTTTTTTTTCCCCCTTTGTTCTTTTGTCCTTTTCGTCGTTTCTCGATTGTTGAGCTGCTGGACTGGGATATAACGAGATTCTCACTATTTTTTTTTTACGATGTTAATGTGTCTATATGGGTTATGTTTTGTTTGGCCCTCGTAGTCGACGTCCTCTTTTCCTTTGTTCTACGTTCTGTTGCATCTTCTTTCTGAACTCAAAACTCACCCAAGACACTCTCTCCACTCAAACTAATCCTCTTCATTCATTCTTCCTTCCTGGCAGTGCACTGAGGGGCCCTTTTTAGCCTTTCCCGTTTGCTCATGTGCGCTCGTTTTTGTACCAGCATCATATTTTACCCACACTTGAGCTAGCTATATATATAGGTAGATGAATATATAGAAACAATCAATATGTTTTTGCTTACGCAAAACATCATCTCTATCACAAGCTTTACGTGTTGGTGTTTTAATCGTGGACTGGATTGCCGAACGAGCTTGAGAACTTCTTTGGTTGGTTATGTTAAGCAAAGCAGCAAAGCAGCAAAGCGGAGAGTAAGGAGGAAGACGACAAGTGGGTAAGACGAAATGAGCGACAAGATTCTCAGATTTAGAAACAAGCTTTGTATCAATGGTAGACTATGGCTACAGGTACACTTTGTGAACTCCCACCACCTCCCCCTGCGTACCTAGGTGTGTATGCGCAACTCTCAAAATAGGTAATCAAAAACGCCCACATAAATTTCTCCAACGCCTTCCGTAGCCACACCAAATCCATATTACTCCAATCCGCAAGCAAGCGAGCAACAAGCTCCGCGTTTGTCTATCCAAGTCGCAATGCCACAATGCAGTATTCGCGAAGAAAAAAACAATGACCCTGTCAGGGCCGGCATAGGTAGAAACTTGGAAGCCTCAATACTCGCCCTCTTCGATTTCCTCTTCCCTCCCGCCAGTCGTGATGGCAACCCTTTTCCTCGGCTCTCCCCAGAGCTGCTGCAGCACCTTTTTCTTCTGCCCATCTCTCAACGTCTTCAAGAACCCATATGTCCCTGTCAAATCATTCAGCTGCTGCTCCAGGCCAAAGCTGTTACTCTGCGCCCTTCTGATCAGCGGGCTGATCAAGTTCTTACGCGCCTTATCCAGCTGGTCCTTTACCGAGTGGATGATCTGGATGTGCGACTTGAGTTCTGATTTGTTCGTCAGAGTGGAAGCGCGCACGTCTTTGAGGAGCTTGAGGTTCTTTTCGTATTTCTTGATTTTCATCTTGTTGTTGATGGACATGCGCCACATTGAGGCGAGGAATTCGTCCTTTTTCGTTGCGAGACTGTCTTCCTCTTTTGCGACTGAGCGGTGCAGGTTGTGGAATTGGCGGTCTACGCTCTCAAAGAGCTGGAAGAGGACATCTGCGCGGGCAAGCTCGTTCGCAATGTTCTCTTCGAGCGTGGAGAGGAGGTAATCGAATGTGCGCTGTAGAGTGGCTCTTGACCGCTGCTGCGTGGTATGGCCGAGGACATCATTGACTACGCGGCCAATAGCTGTGGGTGAACCATTGTGCTCAAGCAGACCGATCTTGCCAAGACCGCCGTGGATGTTGCCGATGACGGTATCAATCATGCCAATCTTGGGACCCTGGATTGATTGAATCTCGCGCTTTGCCCACTCCATAGTGATGAGGATGCTACGAAAAGATTAGTAACAGTGGTAAAAACAGATATGACGACACCTACGAGTCCATGTCTCCATCAACGTTCGTAAAGAAGCTCGTGATCTTCTCAGACAGCACTTTCAAACTGTCGCCTAAATCGTCCAACTGGTCTATGATAACAGTCGACGCCGACATATTGGTAGCGCGCACGCTCTCCCCAAGGTCTTGTACCGCAATGCTGGCCTCTGCAAGCTCACGCGACCGCGGGATCACGTTCTCTGAGGCGTACATGAGCGGTTCAAACTGCTTTGCCATATTTGCGACATTGGCAACGTCCGGTATTAGACCAGCCGTCCAGGGCTGTAACAGAAGCCAGGAAAAGACGATTGTGGCAATAGTCCATACAAGGCTTGATCTTGACCTCGTGAAGATATGGATTCCGCTAGCAAACATGGATAGAATCTCTTCAATTGGCGCAGTTCGGAATAGCGTTTCGCCTCGAATGGCAAAGCGAACGACTACACATGTTAGGGCGTTCAGCGTGCACAGGGCAAAGTCTACCTACATCCGTCGAGCTGGCCTGCCTCTTCATGGTGGGAAAGCGCCATGTCGTCTCCTTGCTGCGCGCCCGCATCCGCCTGTGGCTCCTCTGACGGACTCTGCATCCTCGAGGCAATGTTATCCGGCATGTACCTCTGTTCCTCGGCCGATAAGGGCTCTGGGCTCGTCCGCGGTGTATGTTTCAAAGGCGACTCTGGCAGTGGTATGCGCGACGGCGTAACCTCTCGATCGGCGCGATACTCGTAGGGGGATCTTGACTGGCTCGACCTCGCTGCGCTTTCACTCAGCAACGACTTTCGGTAATAGTGGTTGCTGGAATGTGATTTCTGCCAGGCAGGCGGGGCCCAGGGTCCGTCTGAGTCTGCCTCGGACTCTGCTTCTTCTTGAGGTACGCTCCATCGCGACGAATGCATGTTGGAGCGTCCGCTGTAGGCTGAGTGCACACTCCGCTCCGGATCGAAGGCTTCCAGGGATGCGCTGAGGGAGGGTATGTCGTGGTCGTATATGCTTCCACGGTCCATTGTGTCCATCATGGCTTCAACACTGTGGTTGATAGTAGAGTCGAGGGGCAAATGCAGTGGGGGAGGCTGGCTCGAGGTCGGAGTTGCGGTCGTGCCACAGGGACAGGGAGGCTCTGCGTGCACATGGGAGGGAGCTTGTGACGCGTGAGTCTTCGGAATCGTCTCTCAGCAGTGGGTGCCTGATGCTGCGGGCAAGACTTGTGTCGAAGACGGGGCGCTCGTGGTGAATAGAGGTCCGTTCGACCTCTCTCGGCGATAGGCTAACCCATGGCGAGCGACAGCCGGCCAGCGTGTTTCCCAGGGCTGCAGTGGGGTGAAACGCAGATGGCTGGGAGGTTGGGGGTGATGGGCTGTGATTGGCTGTCGTCTCCTTAGGCTAGTGCGGGGGAGAGCGACCGCGTCCACCGACTGCAGCACGCGTTTCCAGGCACCCTTGCCTCTCCGACTTGATGTTGGCTGTTCTAATACTTGACCTACGAGGCAAACGTCCTCTTCTTTCTCACTTCGCTTCATGTCTCGTGGTGGTGGTAGTGGTGGTAGTGATCCAAACAAGACGAGACCGACCGGAGGCCGTTCGGCGTTGCTGCGCTCCAATTGGTTGAACATGACGTCACATGACTCTGCAAGACTTCCAAAGGAGAGACTATAGTTGATTTGCTATATAAACTGACAACACTGTCTGACTAGCTCTAGCGAACGTGATGACAGTCAAATACTCGCCGTGACGATCAATATCTAAACCAAAATGAACAGGGGGTGATGATGTTGCAATGAAGTGGGGATGGGCCAGGGGCAGGGGGGGCAGGCACGGTAACGACAGCTTGGTGTTGAATGCATTCGTGAGTCGTAAGAATTTTCGTGGCACCTTGGGTGTCTTCAAGGTCCGAGGTCTCGGAAAAGACAGTACAGTCATGCTTTGCATAGATTTGCGTACGAGCTGATTCCGACCTTCGCTTCAGGGAAGCCAGAAGGAGAAGGCCAACCAACTCTCTATCCAAGCACTCTCGTAACAGAGGCTTGGTAGTAATATATACGACTCGCAAGTCGTTGAATGGCTCAGTGAGATATCTTGGATAATTTGGAAGGTTCGCGAGGATGAGGTAGTTGATTTGTGTCTTCAGATTGTTGTGCTCAAGAGGAGGCGAAAGACCACACGGTAGATTTAGGCCAAGGTGGGTCAGAGGTGTCTGCCGTGATAACCACCCCATTCCTAGAGGTAGTACATGCTCTCCATGAGAGCTGGGTTGACGTCTCTATGCCACTCAGTGTCTGAGAAAGCGACAGAGCCATCGCCTTTGAGCACTCCCTGGAGGTAGGAACGGCCACGCTCGCACAGCAGATCTGCGTAGTAGGCCGGGGGGCAGATGCTGACGGAGCGGGTTGCGCGGGCAAATGTGTAACACAAATTGTGCGTTAGACTTTGAAGCTGATCGGCCCCAAACTTGTTGTCGTCCCTCAACACGACGTAGTGCGCTGGCTTCGACGTCCCTTGGAGACCTTGATGAGCGAGCAAAAAAAAGTCAAACAGCTTCTCGCCAGTGACCCCGCGGTCAACAACAGTGCCAGGCTTTGGGTTGCCAGTCCGCCCATCCGTATCCTCTTCCTTTGTCGGGTAGAATCGCGTGTGGTGGCGCTTGCCGACCATGACAATCGAGATCTTGGGGTGTTTGCTTTCTACCCCATAAAGCTTGTCGAACGCCTTCTTGAACGCAGGATACTCCTCCCTGAGGACGATTTGATACTGCCCTTCTGACACACCGTCACGGTAGACAATGACCTTGTTAGGCAGGCCTCCGCGATTGCGCTTCTGCCATAGCTTCAGTCGCTCAACAATCATCTCATCGAGTTCCGCTACCATCTCTTGGCGGCCCCTCTGAGTGCGCATACTGGCAGGATACTGAGAAAACAACGCATCGACCGATGCAACGACACCAGCGATGCTAGGCGCCGTCTCCGCACTCCCAGGTGAAGGATGCGTAACATCAATACCAAACAGTATCGTCTTGTCGTCCAACGGCGCCATCTTCTTCAGCTCCACGGTGTGGTTGACACCCCCAAGCTTCTGGTTGAACTTCATCACCACGTTGGCGAAGTACTGCATTTGCCCCTTCTCCTTCGAGAACTTGCTGCCAATATTACAGATGTTCGGTACGCCAAGCTGGCAGTCGCAAACGAACTTGATACAATCGTATAGAACCGCATTATCGCTCGGCAAAATAACAAACAAGAAATTTGGCTTCGCCTTGAACTTGGTACGTAGGGCTGTAGAGATCTCACTCTGAATTTTCGGGACGTTCTTGTTCTGAAGATCTCCGAAAGCGATGTTGATAACAGCAGGTTCTTGGATCGCGTCAGGTTCTAGTCCGTACGTAACCATAGTTTGGCGGAAGAGATTCAAGTGGAGCTTGACTCCCTGTATGCCTCCAGGAATAGTGTCACGGTTGCCAGAGTTGATCACAAGTGTATTCCAGGATCCCAACTTTCTAGCCACACGGAAGGGTCTCTGGCCCAATTGCCTCGGATCAAGGTTCCATGCTCCATTGTTTGGAGTGCATGTTGTTTGGGCTCTGTACTGCAGCACAGGCGCAGCCAAAATGCGACCAGGGACAGTGAGCAGACTAGGGTTGACTTTGATCCCAAACGGAGTCAGGCTAGTGTTCAAGCCGTTGGCCGCTGGTTGGATCTTTGTGACTTTCAAGCCATCGCCCATGATTGATTCCGCATTCTGATGGGGTCGGCGAGCGGCGAACCGGATCATCTCACTGGTCTGGGGGCCCTGCAGCAAACGTCTCGCCAACTGACCCGGCAAGATCTTGCACAGTTCAGCCGGAATCCATTTTGGATCCTTTGGAGCGCCATAATTGACCAGAGGAGCCTGCGGTGCCACAAGCTTGATATTGTACTTGCGGCGGAAATACTGTTCGACAGAGACGTTCGACACCTTGCCCTTGGAATCAGTCTCCTGGAACGTGACATTCTGGCTGTGCTTGCCATATGGAGAAAAGTCAGCAATGACATGGACTTTACGCTTCGTAACAGGGCCGTTTTTGCCCATTTTGGTCTTTCCGTCCTTATCAGTTTCAGGGATGTAGTTTGTTTCGACCCTGAGCTTGCGGAAGAACGCCGCTAGCCGCCTCTGCTGTGGCTCATTTGCTGGGGGCGGACCTCCCGTCACTTCCTTCATCACCTCTAGGAGTGGTCCCGACTTGTAGAAGGCGCCAGTTGCTACGTTGACGTTGACGAGTATCCTGTTGACGCTCGTACGTACACTAGAAAAGTACCCTCGAAGAGCCTGGAGGCCAGAACCTAGGTCGGCAACCTGCAGCTGAGGGTGGTGACCAAAGGGGTAGAATTTGTTGCCACCGGCTATTGCGATGTTGCTATCGCTGCCCGGGCCATGACCCATGATCACGTTTAGAGCCTGGATAGTCTCCGATTTGAGCGGATAGTTCGAGGTCGGCTGCGCCAGGTCGTTCAGCAGGTCTCTTACAGAAACGGTTCCTATCGCTTCGACCAGAGCTCGATAGGTATTCTTCTTCCGAGCAGCCTTCACTCTGTCCGACTCGTCCGGGCTCTGAGCAGGAAGTGGGGTGCCATCCACTGGGAACCATTCAAGCAGGTACTCTGTGCGCTTAGCCTCAAGCGGGACTTCGTGGGTAGTGACCAGTATCTGTGACCAGTCGCTAGCGATCGGTAGTCCTTTGAAGGGCGCAGTCTGCAGTAAAAGCTCGACTAAGCGGCGTTTCTTCGGTTTCGGTAGTTCGGTATCCGGTAGGAAGGCGACGGAATATCGATAGAGAGTGGTTTCGGGCTTGATGCCCTTCAGCTCAAAGTAGTTTGTGTATAGTACAATGGCTCTGCCAGTGGTGCCATATCCGGGACGGGCTGGGAGTTTGATGTCGAGAGAGCTATTGGCAAGCGCTGTGGACAAGTCGCCCTTCACCATAGCATTCTCGAGCTTTGTGACTTCGGCATCCGGTTGGGAGAAGGAACCGTTCCTGCGGAAGTAGTGTCAGTTGAGCGGCCAAGAGAGATTCTACTATGGCTTACCCAAAGACCTTGGGTGCTTCGAAACCACCTCGTCCACCGCGAAAACCACCGCCTCCACCGCCACCACGGAAGCCACCTCGTCCTCTGTCTCCCCCGCCTTCATAGCCTCCACCTCTTCCTCGTCCACCGCCAAAGTTGCCGCGGTCACCGCCACCGCGACCACGGAACTCTCCGCGACCTCGTCCGCGGTCCGCCATCTATGCGTCACTTGGTGGAGTCGGAGTGAGGATATGCCTCTATCGGTGTATTGGTGCTGTTAGGCTAACGCACAGCTCAGCTTTTGTGCAATAGCACGAAATGATAGTATGTTCAAACAGGTCCCAAGCAAGCCAAAGCTGAAGAGATGATCTTGTCGGGACAATGTAGATGGTACAAGTGAGGGGACAACAGGGAGAAGTGGAGTTAACAGTTTGCCCAGAGCTCTCGGCACATTGTAGAAGCGAGTGTTGCTAACAAAGAACGGGTACGGGTACTGGATACCAAGATAGCTCAGAGTACAGCAGGCAAACATCAAACGTGAAACGTGAAACTTAAGATGCTGTAGAGCGACACAGACAATGAGAGACATGGGTGGTTGAGATGTAGTGAAATGGTAGTAAAGACAGGTAAGATTGCTTACACTTTTGTCAAAGGCAACTAACTGAAGATAACTGGGTGCATGCACTCCCAAGCCCGAAACAAGACTAGACAAATCACGAACGAGAAGTGTACAACTTCTTGCTAGTTGCTATAGTTGATTGAAAATGGGTGGCGAGGTGAAAAGAGGTGGAGCAGAGCTGGCGGGGAAGTCTTTAATGTTTAGCTTGGGGGCAGTCGCCAGGCTGAGGCGCGCTAGTGAGACGCGTGGGTGTCGGGTTGTCACAAGGAATGGGCGTAGCGGTGAGAGTGGGGCATGGACGACGTCGCTGTCGTTATAGGATAAGAGAGTACCGATATAATATATATATATATATTGGTTTGTATCACCTCGACATTGCCTCTGTCGTTTCAAGAAGCTCAGTATTCAGGGAGAAAACGGCAGCACAGGGCTCTCAGCTCGCGACGACACATCGTTTGCTCGCAACACTTTTGCTCCATCTAACCAGTTTCCTCCCCCATGTGTAACCCGCTGTTCCGGCATACATACGACACAAGCAATCCCATTATGTCGATGATCATCCTATACCACCAATTGACGCCCGCCGTCTGTCCTCCCTTCTGCAGCTCCGGGGCGGGGAACGCGACGAGAGCGATTGCTCGCTGTTGGCTCTGCCTCAACATACCGCCATGGCCAGTTGGGACAATCTGCCCTGTTACACCCACTGTCAAGTTGGCCTTGGTTTGTTATCGAGGGAACATTAGGTTTTAGTCCATGCATTGTCATGCGAGCGTGCGAGAAGTGCATGGGCTAATGTGACCATCGAATGAAAGTCTTGATGATATCGTGACAGCATGCCCGTCTATAATTCAAAATTCCCTTCAAACATATTGACTAGCCGTGAGACAATACATTTCAAGCGAGTAAGCAAAGGTTGTCTTTGAGTACGATGGGCTCGCATAACGCACATCACGTGACTGCGTAGCGCGATTTGGCGGGCGAGATCAAATCCCATCGTCATTTCGCATAATGGACATTTCTCAACCTCACAACGCTACACAATGCCGCCACGATTAAACATCACGACTTTCACGCGATCAATTGCTTTCAGGCCGCAGCCTCGACTCCAGTGGCCCGCCCGATCTGCTGCGCGATGCACGCCGTCGCAATGTCGCCTCTACTCCGATGCGAATGCAGCCGACCGATCGAAGCGAGTTGATGCGAAACCAATGGAGCATGTTTCCGAAGAGAAGGCCGCCGTGGCAGAGGCTATGGGCGAGCAAGGCCCTGATATGAGTCAAGGTACACCGGTCGAGGAGGTAAAATGGCCCTGTTCCCTCGACAATGGCACATACTGATGTTCTGCTAGGTTGTCAAGGGAGACAAGGCCGCGCAAGAGAAGTTGCCTAAAGTGATGCAGGACAAGATCAAGGCGCAGTCAAACTCAGCACCAAAGGGGTCACGGTCCTACTCGACGACGACGACACAAACGAGTGGAAGTGGCGGACTAGACATGGGGCTCGTGGACTTGAAGTCTGTTGCGACCGTGCCGGAGACACCAGGCCTGAAATTCCAAATGCCGACACTTCCTCTCCCAAAGGACGGCCACGTCAAGCATCGATACGATCCGGTAGTGGAGCAGGTCACCAATCTGCTCATGCGACACGGCGAAAAGAGCGTTGCTCAGCGGGTACGTTTTGCAAATGCCTCCAGTGCAGGCCCATTGAACTAAATGCGCTTCTAGAACATGGCACTAATTCTCCAACACCTCCGAACATCACCTATCCCCACCATCAACCCGCAAAAGCCGCTCCTTCCTGGCGCCCCTCCGCCATCGCATCTTCCCCTGAACCCCATTCTTTACCTCACGCTCGCTATTGACTCGGTCGCCCCCGTGATGCGAATCCGAAGCCAAAGGGGTGCTGCCGGTGGTGGTGTCGCTCTGCAGATCCCGGTTCCCCTCGGGCAGAGGCAACGAAGGCGGGCAGCAGTCCAGTGGATCATGGGCGCTGCCTCGAAGCGAAGGAACATGGGAAGTGGCAAGGGCAGCTTTGCGCAGCGGATTGCACAAGAACTCATTGCCGTGGTGCAGGGAACGAGCAGCATCTGGGAGAGGCGGAATGCGATTCACAAGCTGGGCGTCGCTGCTCGGGCTAACATTGTGCTGCCCCGGAAGAAGTAGAAGGCACAGGACAGGCGTTGGAGGTCGTTAATCAGGGCGTGCCTGTACATTACTTGGATGCGGCTGCCTACTATTGGAATGGATCACCGAGTAGACAATATAGCAATGCTTCCTATACTGCTTACAGATGCTGAGGCGCCGATCTGCGTTGGCTCGGCGAGCTCTAAATGAGGCCTACAGCCCGCCTTGTCTTCTTTGCGTTACCTCGTTGGTTGGCCTGGAGGAGTTGATGCCCGGGATATAGCCACCGCCACAGCCATGACTAGCCCCATCCATGTACGGCAACGGTAATGTAACCGTCACATGAAAGCCAATAGACAAATTCCGGTGTATTCAGAGCGTACTTGACATGGCTCGACTCCCCCCTGATCAGGCCACAAGATGCTGTGGTAAATGGGGGACGGCGCCAAGGAACAGCCAAGAGTCTATCCAGGACAGCCGTGGTGGAGGGGGGTTTTGGTGCCCACCTCCTCCCATCGCCTACTAGCCTGAGGGTACCCACGACACGCATCGTGTCGCGCGCTGACTGTTCCCGACTTTCTCCATCGTTTCCCGCCCTCTCGCCGTTTCTCTTCCCTATGTCGTCTGCCTCCATCAACCTGCTAGGGAACAACTTGTTCTCCGACAGCGGCTAGCCAAAGACGTACCAGACGGATCGGCCCGCCATCATTGCTTTCAGCTACGCTACCACGACAGCCTTTCAATTGCTACCCCACCGCTGCTGGCTTTCTCCACCCAATTTCTCCTATATCACGCGCCCACCCCACATCCGTCCAGATCAGCATCCAGTGCGCCGTCGTTTGCATTGCTAGACCCTCCCTTCGCGCGACAGCTACCTAGCCAGGCCTATGATGCCATAGCTATACACCAATTGCAACCCCCAATCACCACACCTGAGCTACCCCGCGACCACCACGACCGCACTTCATTCTCCATCTGTTTGCCAAACCTATACACGTCCTACTCCGTACCACGCACGCGACTTGCACCCTGTCAACACCGAGCTTCTATACCCCACATCCGCCTAGTCCGCTACCATGGCGTCGCTGGAGGCGGCCATTGACGAGGAGATGAGGGAGGTTGTGGCCATTTTGGAGGGCAAACAGAAGCCTGGAGGCCGCCGTCCTGAGAGTCCCGCTGAGCGCGCACAGAGTCCTGCTTCGCCCATGCGCAGCATGCTCGATGTCGACGATCTAGGCCAACGCCGCAGCTCAAGTCGAGGTAGCACAGGCATCCCATTCGCCATGCCCTCGTCGCCTCGCAGAGTGAACCCCGAGTCGGCGTACAAGTTCGAGATGCTGCCCTCGATAGATGCGCATGCCATGCCCAAGCGCGTGTCTCAAGGCGGGAAGTTGGATCTCGCTGCAAAGCCTCGTGCCATGTCTTCTGTCTATGGTAAGCCATCAGGCTTTCTGGGTTCGTCGAATGGGAAAGACCGAAATAGTCCTATGAGGGGCACTCTCGTCCGATCCAAGTCAGGTTCTCCTGCGCCTGATCGATCCACGTCTCCAGCAACGCGCATGCTGAGCCCAACCCCGTCCGCGACCACGCCCACGTCGAACAACACATTCCTGACCGACTCGGGCAAGCGAATTGACATGGATACCGCTTATCGCAAGCTTTCCGACTCCGCACTTGCCCGTTCCGAGGGAGGGTTATCAGCACTCCCAAACCGCAAAGGCTCAGACCCTTCCAAAGGAACGACTACCGCACCTGGCGGAGGTGTGCGCCTAACCACCGACGATGATGGCGATGGCGACGACAGTGCTGTGGTAGAGAGCAGTGACAACGACTCTGATAGTTCAGATTGGGATGATGGATGGGCCCCAGCCCAGAAAAAGCAACGCGGCAGACAACGAACACGGAAGGAGTCTGGTGGTGTCGACACCATGGGCAGGGAGATAATCACTGCCAAAAGCTTAATGGCCGCAGCAGAGGCAGAGAGTGAGTGTGCCCCATGGTTAGGTGTTGGTTATTCGGCCCGTTGCTAATGCTTCAACAGATAGAGATGTTTCGGCTTCGTACAAAGTACGTTCGTTGCTTGAGCCCGCAATAAATATCACCGGGCCCAATGGCGAAAGAATGTCAAGGAGGAACTCTTCGGGAGTCGTACATCCCCACACCAGCTTCGACCAGGGAGGTTCTGGCCTTTCAACTCCAATTCATTCGGATCACGAGGACAATATGGCCGAAATCAGATCAGCCCAACAGCTCTCACTAAACATTTCTCCTATTCAGTCAAGCCCTGAGGCCCATCGTTGTGTTCGACAGATTATCAGAGGAGACTACAGTCAGTTCGCGGATGATGCTCAGAAGGGGCTACGGCGACAGCGTGTGTATTTGGTGTCGACAGATCTGAGTGACGAAGCCGCATATGCTTTGGAATGGACGATTGGCACCGTTTTGCGTGATGGCGATACGCTTCTGGCTGTATATGCTGTCGATGAGGAGATTGGTGTTGCGGGTACTGATGCCTCGGGAGCGCCTATAAGTCAGGGCACTACGGGGAAACAAGAGTCTGACCACCTCAAGAGGACGTTATCGAATCATGACGGCATAGGAGCGACCAAGTCTGGGTCCTCGGCCTTGTCAAACTCCATCATGGCAACAGAAGCGAACGTGAGCGCCATGGGTAAAACGGAAAAGCAGAGGTATCAAGCATGTGTGGAAGTGTCTGATCGATGCGTCAAGCTGCTGAGGAAGACGCGTCTGCAAGTCCGTGCCGTCGTCGAAGTGTTCCACTGCAAGAGTCCCAAGCACATGATCACGGAAGTGGTAAGCTGCTCCGAAATGCCTATTTGACATGCGGGCTGTGCTGACAGATATTCGCCAGATCGACTTTCTAGAACCAACGCTTGTGATTCTCGGATCGAGAGGCCGGAACGCTCTGAAGGGGTAAGGTCACGTAACTAAATTTGGGTCCTCAATGCTAATTGTGGCAGTGTCTTGCTCGGCTCGTTCAGTAACTACCTTGTTACCAAGTCGTCGGTGCCTGTGATGGTTGCACGGAAACGCCTCCGAAAACATAGCAAATACAAGCGGCAAAATGTCCGAATGTCCAACGTACTTACCAATCCCAGTGACAGGTTGGCCAATGCTAAGATTGACTGAAATGTTTGTCTGGGGATTTGTCAAAGTGTTTCGGTGGTTTGGCATGCAGAGGGGTGGAGGCGGCTCACTAGAGGATCAAGTTGTAGCGTTGCGAAACGGACACAGTTTGGCAATAGAGGAGGATGTGCTTGGCTTGGGTTAGCTTGGAGTTTGGGTTTGTTACTTTGATCGAGATCATGTGTCTCCACTCTTTACTAGAGTTTCTCGGTCGCCGGGTGTCTATTTTTATTTAGATCGCTCTCAGGCAAAAAACGCTTCAGGACGAGATTATGACCAGGACCGTAAAAAGCAACAGGTCCGCGTCTATTTGACACGGCTTGGGGTCTCGTTGAAGAAGCAATGATAATATCACACCCCCACCAACTCGGACGTTGTTGCTCCACTCCATCGAGGTAGAGTTTAATTAAGCTGCAGGAGCTTTGCAGCCTACATTTCCTACTGCCTTCGAGAAGTTCTCTAGCGTGCCTCAGAACAAGCCAGAGGGTCCGATCGACCCGAAGAAACGGATGTTTCATGTTGCATACCGTATTGCTGTTTTGCGAGCATTTGGAGTTACCGTTGCGGGCGTCGAGGCCCGTGCCGCAACGTGAGATCCGGGGGTGGCCCTCTGGGTTGTTGGCCCCTCGCAGCCACTACAATACAACTCACTATCTGATACCCAGCTGGCGGCCTAAAGTTGGTAATATTGGCCTCGTGCACAGACGATGCGTGAGGGGCCCCCGTTTGTGGCGCTACTATTCCGACGGGAGGCGATCATGCAGGCTAGGCTGCTGTCACGCCGAGCAACCTACGGATGCGCCGCCAGCGTGCGCCGGGCGATGCTGGGCGATGGGGAGGGGTCAGGGATGTTAGGACTAGAGACTAGAGAGAGAGGGGGTCGTATTGAGAGCAACAAAAAGGTGTGGGTGCCTTGCCGCGGGAGGGTACTCATCATTGACGCTTCTTCGTTTCTTGCTCAAGTAGCCGTTTGGGACGGTGTCTTCTTCGGCCATGTCTTTTTCCTCTCAGTGCGTTGCCCGGTTCGGACAATGCGAGTTTCTAGAGCTTGATGAAGATGAACTTGATACCTCGAGCCTTCGTGCCTGTTTGATTGAGTCTCCTACGAGAGAGATCCTGCTTTCTAGCCGCCGGCCGTCCTGGACTACATCAGCCTCGAAGCCAGGCATCGACGCCTTGACTCTTTTGTCAGACCTCAGCCGCCTAGCACCCTCAGTGGCCAAAGATTTCATTCCCAAGGACCACGCAGAGAGCTCCTTCTCTTTTCGTTTAATCAGTGATGTCGACTTGCAGGGCGAGGTCGAGGGTTACATCGCTATGAGCTACTGTTGGAAGAAGGTGACCCGAGACACCCCCAGGACAGTGGTAACTCCTCTGGGAGACTTGCCATTTGGCTGGACAAAGGAGGTCGAACAATTCCCGTTGCCAACCAGTGCCGCCATATTCCAGGCGGTATTGAGGGAAAGGGGGATGGCCGAGGGACTGTGGTTTGACCAGGTCTGCATCAATCAAGAAGATGAAGCCGAAAAGGCCATGACAATTGGAGCTATGGACATGATATACAAGAACGCAAGGATCGTCGTTGTAGCCCTGGACGATGTTTTGGCTACGCTAGAAGAGGAACGATTTCTGAGATACTACGTCGAGCAGTACCGCCACTCAAAAGTCGGCCCCAGCCAGCAACCGAATATGGGTATGATCCCACCGTTCATGCAACAGCATGCTGCATGCAAGTCTTTCTTCAAACAAGTCATTAGCTCAGCATGGTTTGAACGTGCTTGGTGCGCACACGAGATGAGATTGGGACAAGGCCACATCTTCCTAGTCCCCTGCGATACAAATTACGAGGATGAAGTGCAAGCAGTGATTCGCTTTACGGGGGACTTCTTCCTTCACCTGCTGCTCCTTGCTAGCGAACTCCAGGCCATCGAGCCGGCATTCCACGCCAGCATACGGCCACTATTGTATTTCTTCCAGCGCCGGGCAACGACAAAAGAAAGGAGCCATTTTGCCGTACAAAGGCGGGATATGCCACAAAGTCCCATTTCAGAGCCAACTTCCTTCGTCTCGCGGATTGCCGAAACCTTTGGTAGAAGCGCGGGAGGAAATCCACGACTACCAGAGTACCTACGAAGATTGGATGCAAACCGGGACAAGACGTGCATTGCACTGAGCACCTCCGACATGCCATTGGCTCTGATGCCTTCGAGTCCCTTCTCAAGACCGAGCACCGAGGATGAATGCCTCCGATCTCTCCTCCTACTGGGGCTCGCTGCACGAGATCCAGTCGCATTATGTACAACAGGCACACCATTGCGGCTTCACGACGGCTCAATATCGTGGCTCTGCCGCCCAACACCTCTTGATGATAATTCTGTCGGCCCACCACCATCCCGAATCAGCAAGACAGCGAATCGTATAGTTCAGGCTTCAGACGGCCAAGCAGAATATGCGCAGCTAGACCTCATATTTCTCGACCTTCCCCATCGATCGAAGCCAAACCCTCTCTTTCCAGCCCACGTTGGGCGAGCCCGCACGTTCATCGATCTCTGCATACAGTATCAGGTTCCAGGTTCAGGCTTGTGGAACTTCTGGCAAACACCAAACCATCCGCGAACAACATCTTTGCGAAACATCTTCGTCCAGGCGCTAGCTTGCGTTTTTGACTGTGGAGCACAATGGCTGTTCGAACTATCATCGAGCCTGCAACAGCCGCATCTGTTGGTTATAGAACCATACGCTATCGACATGCTGCTGAACCCTCATCTCAACATTCAGGGTTATGTACATCTTGCGGAAGGGCAAGCCGCGCTGTCTCTTCTCATGAGCTTTGTATCTACGCTCATCGCAACTGGTATTCCGTGGGCATCAGGCGCATCGGAGCGCACACACGGCCCTCTCATCATTTCCGCACCCACCTCTCCTGCCCTGCATGACACTACCTCCGCCTCGCTACCCCCCGGTGGCAAAGCAATCATCTTCGCCCCCTTCCAGCACTCCAAGACGCTCCTCATCGCCGTGCCCGACGCTGCAAAGGAAGCCGAGTACAAAGCCCTAGCACGCGGCTGGATCCTAACGAGCATGAATCCGTATACTGGCAGTACGAAACCGACTGTGAGTTGGACACTGCAAAGCAAGGGTGTTGTTTTCGGGGATAGTACGTTCAATGCGGGTCTGGCAAGTAGCGGGGAGGTGGAAGTGAGGAACCATCGGGTTTACGGTCCGACGGGTCGTTGAAAACTGTTTGCGTTTGACCCAGTATAAGTATATCCTTTGGATGGCGTCGTTACACTTTGAAAAAACCTGTCTTGGTGACATTATACCTATTTGTATATATCCTGGCTGTACTACTATCTTCTCAATGACCGCGTCATGTCGATTGGAGGAACATCCGGTGAGTGAGAGTGGGTTCTAGACATTGCATGCCTTTATTGACGTGGACCTTTCCCTCGATTGAGCAATAAGACACGAGATTAGACATTACATCATGATTGGAGAGGACGTAAATTGTAACATGGTTCGATATTTGATGCTTCTTGACGTCCGAAGTAGGAGTACCTCTCCTTAACCCTCTTGTAAGTCGGCGGCTTAAGCGCTCTCTTTGCCCAACTGTGCTAGTTCGCCGATGAACTCAGCCGAGTTGTACAGAGCTGTGCTGCCATAGACGATTCGTCGTTTTGTGCCCGCAACACTAGCCCTCGTTGCCCAGTCTTGCAAATTCTGGAATTCGTCCATGGCGCCCCCTCCGACTACGAAACAGATGGCCTCTGAAAATCCCTGTCGCCGCTGACCAAACGACGCGTCAATGCCCCGAACAGTTTGCTGATTGCGCGACTGGCTCGCTTGAGGTAGGGTGCCACGTGCATTGGCAGACCGGGGATCGAAGAAGAGATAGCTCTCCGTCTTTGTGAGTGCCCCAGATGACGCAGCCTCCGGGGCCATGAGAGATTGTGTGATACTGGTCAGGGTGAGGTCGGTGTTCTTGGGCAGGAAGTTTTTTATGCCAGAGAGCACGCCGTCGAAGTTGGCACTCAGGCCAGCTTCCTTGAAGCGGTCCGTGACGAGCGAAAGACCAGAGAAGCCTCCCCAAGCTTTGGGCGGCTGGCCCCCTGAACTTTGTTGTGTAGGCGCGGCGATCATGGTCATGCGAGTGAGTTGGCGCACTGTTTTGACGTAGCTGATAGCTGACGTGTCAGCACAGCCTGCAGTCGCGAGAGCTTGCGTGAAGCTATCGAGGTCGGCCTAAAGGTTGAGGTACGAGATCAGTACATGTCTCAAACGCAACTTGTACAAACTACTTACACGAGAAAACTCCTGATCTGCCGTTAGATAATATTGGAGGAAAAGACGTAGCTTGTCCAGAGGCTCGTTGCCTTTGTCTGAGTCCTTGATGATATCCAGCACCTGTGCTTTTGTTCGTTTCGCGAGCTCTTCTTCTTCAGTAAAGTAGAAGTCGATCTTGCGATTCTTCAGACCCTCCATTACGTGCTCTAAGATGGACATGTGATTCTCTATTATTGTTTTCCTTTCTCGGACTAAACGTTGAGGTACGCAGTCAGTATACGTTTCACGTGTATGTCGCACACTGACGTTACTTACGCTCTGGCAACAACGCCATAGCCCCCTTCAAATGGGCGGCAAATTTTGTGTCGCCATCTATATCCTCGATAGAAGAGGTGCCTGTCTTCTTTGTAATGTTGTCGGCGTCTGCTTGGTATTTGTTCCACTCATTCGTCACGTCGTCGGCAACATTGGGAAAGGGAAGCGAGGCGTTCCGTGCCCAAAAGTAGTCGGAGGCTGTGAGGTCGTATGTTTGTTTCTTCGCCCCCTTCTCAGGGTGATCCTTGTCCACCGGGACAGACATGCTAACTTTACCGAGGTGGAAGTCCAGCACATCATATACTAGAGATTGGTAAATCCAGGAGTGACTTAGCATGGGCACCAAATCGAGGTTGCGGTCCACTAGGATCAAGTTAGAAGAAGTTAAAAGAGTGATAGAGGAATGCTGACCGAGGATGAGGACCGGTCTCGAGGCGGAGGAGGAGAAAAGCTTGTTCCCTGAATTTAACAAATGGTCTCTCAATTTTCTGTCAAGCATTGCTGCAACTTGTTCCGCTGCACCTCCCTTTGGACAGCGGATGATGGGGACAACGCCCATGGTTACGACGACGGAGAAGAGGCCCGAGACTACTTGGTCGATGACTTTGTCGAGCTCTTGGTCCGGCGTCTGCGACGAGTTGATTGTGTGGTAAGCTCCCTTTTGATTGAGATGGAATAGATTGTCATCCGCAACGACAAAATTCAAGTGCTGATCGTAGAGCTGTGCCACGTGCTCTGCTGTGCCTGTTGCCACCATTTGTGCTCCTAGGGATTCGAGGTGCTCACGGGGGATACTGGAGAGGAAGTTGAGGTACGCTGGCGAGTATAGGCCTTGGGCGAGGTCGTTTGTGATGATTTCTAGATTTTGCGTATTCGGCTCGACAAGATATATTACCGGTGTCTATTTTACTATCAGCATAGGATTACGGCCATGGCAGCTACCACACATACATCAGGAATAGGATGCCTCTTTGTGTGGAGGTTTAGGTGTATGGTGACCTGCACGTCTTAGCATACCGTATACAGCCCATAGACCATTTGTAATATACCCCAGCAGCTCGCAAGTCGTTTACATGTAGAACGGAGGCTACGGTGTCCCGGGCTGCACCGTCCAGGATCAAGATCTTCCATACTGGAGATGTGCTGGAAGCTTCGTTGCCCTCGCCATCTTGCGCATCGGTCTCGGTGGGTTGGTTTAAATTGAGGAGGCGTTTTAAGCTGGCTAAAGTTCAAATCAGTCCTATCCCGCAATGCTGGACGAGGCAGAATACCAATTTGCTGCCTGCGGAGACTGGGAGGTTCAAGTGTTGAAGCCATTGTGGTTGTGAGTGATCACTCACTGGCACCCTGCCGCTGTGCGGGCTACCTCATGCGCGGGGAGATTGAGACAACTGTGGTGTGCAGCGACCGGTTTTGATAGTCAAAGAAAGAAATAAAGACACGGTGGCACGTTGTCTGTTCAAGCACACGTCGGTGTGGTTGCGTGGTGGTGGGATTGGTAGGTTTGGTCTGCGCAAGCTCACAGCCGGGCGGCGGGCGGGCGGGCAGCTCATGCTGGGCCCTAGTGTAGAGCTGGGCCTAGTGTGGCACGCGGGGCTTGGCAGCAGCCAGAGTTTGAAAACGGCCTCTCCCCCTGCGCTGCCGCCCGCCCTCTCTCTCTCTCTCTCTTCAACTCACTCACTCACCTCGCCCACACTCGACGCAACACCCTCCCTTCTTCTTCCCTCTTGACACTCATGCTACTTTGCAGTGAACTCCCGCCCACTTAATAAGGGCATCTGATTCTAGTTCTAGATTCCATCTCTTCGAGCCGTCGCTTTGGGGAAAAGGGCGCGCTCAGACTGGCAGCGGGCGTTTGTCGGAGGGCTTCGCGGTCGTGGGAGAGGGCAGAGAGTGACCATCATTCACATTCACATTCAGCTTCGGCTTCAGCTTCAGCTTCTGCTACTAATCCAGCTCCCATCGACGACAGATCCGGGCTTCGTCTGCCCGGCCATACGCGCAAGGGCGAAAAGGCGCTCTTTCGCTCGCTCGCACGCACGCACGCACGCACGCAAGCAACAAACGGCTGTGTGTCTTGTGTCATCTCAGGCGGACGCTGCAGGCGCGTGTCGTGTGCGTTTGAGAGTGCGCAGACAAGCCAATCGTCGAGTGAGGCAACAGGCAGTGTTTTCTTGATCGCAATAATACGCGAAAGGCTGGGTGTGCCGTTACTCGTAAATCCAATCCAAAGCTACATTGTTCGTGGACTGGACTGGGGGACACGGCATCGCGAGGACACAGACAGCACAGCACAGCACAGCACCACGACTGGGCTGCTACCGCTCCAAACCACAAAAGTATCATCGACCATTTTCACTTCTCCGCATTCCCCCGAATCGGCATCCTCTTCCAAACCCACCCCTCCTTTGTGTGACTCTGCGCCAGTCCTGTTTTGGCGCCTAGTGCACTCTGCATCTGCCGCCTAAAGTCCTGTTTGCTGTTTGCTGGGTCCCAGACACTTTGTTGTTCCTTTGTGCGCGTCACCAAGCCAATCAAGAGCCCGCACCTGCCGGCTGACTCAGTCCTGCGCCAAGAAGTCCGACCCCCATCACCCTTCATCACAAAGCCAGCCAGCACAACCATGGCCTCTAATCACGTGCCGAGTGACCAAGTCCCCATGCAGGGCCAGAACGTCTACGCCGACCCATCCTATCCGAATTTCTTCTCTTCTGTCGACCGCTATGGGCCCTCATCATGGGAGCAGCTCAACAACCAAACTTCGGGCCTCGCCCCGCCTACTTCATCCAGCCAATCTTGGCACCAGGGTTCCTTTACACAACAACAACAACAACCACCACCATTCAACGCCCTCAGCCAGCCCTATGGGTCCCAAACGCATGGCCTCCGAACCGCCTCGCCCTACCAATACGGTCAATTCGGCCAGCCAACCTCGACAGCCAACTATGCACAACAAGCCTCCAACGTCGATCCTTCGTTGAGCCTAGACCCCAATGCGCTTCGACAGCAGCAGCAGTCCCCCTATCAGATGCCCATGCGGACTGCCACCCCACAGGGCCAATCTGGCACCGTGACACCGCAAGCTCTACAGCACAACACAGCACAACTTCATAATATCCGCCCTGCAGCGTCTCCCTTCCAAGTACGTTGGCCCCCAAGACATGCATGACCCAAACAACCACTGACATGACCAGATACCCAAGAGCACATCAGAACTCTTTTCTCAACAGCGGGCGATACCAACACCATTAGTCAAGCCTGTGCGTGTTCCAGAGTATGAAATTCCAAAGGGCAGGAAGTCGGGTGGCCTCTATGTTCTTGACCCCGCTGCTCTGGCAAAAGCCACAAAGTCTAATGCTCTGAATAAATTCGTCACCCTTGGCTCAGAGCCTTTTCACTTGGCTACCAATAGAAGTAAGCTCTCATGCACAATTATAATGCCGTGTAGCGCACCATCTAACCCACCTGTAGCTGCGCTTCCATTATACACCGCGCGACTGTCCCTAAAAGACTTGAAGAAAGCGGGAGCCGGTAACAAAAAGCTTGCCAAGCTATCGTCCTCAAAGTCATCTCTATCAAGACCTTTCAAGTCCGAGAGGAAAACTGCAAGCAGCCCTTCAGGACTGACGAGGGAAGTCAGTGACAGTGAAAGCTATACGGAATCGTCAGACGACGACAGCGAATATTCGGATGATGAAGTGGAGGAGCAATCTCCATTGCCTGCCTCGAGACCGGAGGAGCCTCATGCAGCTGTCCGCTATGACGTCATCAAGGCTACCTGGTATCCTCGGGCATCGCCCGTAGGCTCGGAGAAGATTAAGAATAGCATGCGCGACATCTGGGAAGTACTAAACACCATCCAGAAGCGTTGGCGGGCCGACAGCAAAGCTGTGTCGGAAGCAGAAGAGCAGAAGAAGACGGGCGAGCTGCCCGTGCTCAAGAGCCGGGTTGCGAGTCAGCGAGACCTGCTTCAGTCTGCCCTCAAAGCCGCCCTTGAACTTGCTCATCCTGATGTGCTTTATCATTTGGGACAAATCAAGCCTTTCTTGTACCTGTGCTATCAGTTTCTGGCGAATCGTTTCCATAGTAAGGATTACGATGGGCCACTTGCTGCCGTTATATTCGAGATTTTGTCACGCTGCGGTACTCTGACTTCTGAGCTCCTCGAAGAGACCAAGGTCATCAAAGCGCTCGTATCGATGAAGAAGCATGCCAATGAGAAGCATAGAGCCTTTATTCAGCAGGTAGTTGATGGCGCAGCAACCAATACTAAGAAAGCTAAAGCAAACTCTCCACCTGGAGCTGAGCCAACGGAAGCCAAGGGTGCAAAGCGACCTGCGGCAGACTCGGGGACCCGTGCCACAAGTGAGGGTCCTGTGGCGAAGAGGCCAAAGCCAGCAGAGTCTCTTGCGACTGCAACGAAAAAAGACAACGTGAAGAGCACGACCGCAACATCTGGCTCAGTCCCACTGAAACGACCAGGGGAGAAGCCGGCGACAGCGCCTATACCTGTAAAAGCCCGCGTCAACCAAGTGTCAAATAAGCCATCTGGCATCTTTGCTTCCCTCAACGCCGCCAGCAAGAAACCGACAGCAGCAGCCACTGCACCGACAAGCACAAAGGTTACTGCTCCACCCAGACCTACTACTACCGTTGCAACCAGGGATAAGAAGCCCACACCAACAACGGCATCAAAGCCTGCATTTTCGTTTGCCCAAACCATGGCCTCACTCATGAAGCCCAAAGAGCAAGAGGCAGTGCCCGCCAAATCCGAGAAACAGTTACCTCCAGAGAGTGCCGAAGAAAAGGCGAAACGCCTGCGAAAAGAGTCTCGTCGGCATTTGCGCGTCACCTTCCGCCCGGACACCTCTTTGGTGAGCATCAGATACTTTGACCATGCGCCCGAAGAAGATATGGGTCACGAGGAGAATTTCGTTCGAGACGCCGGTGACATTGGTGGAGAGGGCCGCATGTTCAAGCAGCACAAAGAACTTGATGTCGATGAAGACGAGGATGATGCAGAAATGGACCACCAACCTTGGAGAGAACCATCGCGGGTTGATTTCAGTGTTATACCGCCTGATGAGCGCCAACGCAACTACATGCCGTTTGGTGGTGGAGAGAATCAGCCTTCGTGCCCTGAAAGGGAAGCCAACGTACGGCGCGAGAACGCCACACTGATGGTCTTCTATTCACATCCAAGTGATATCCCATCCTCTCCACGAGAACCACTAGAGGAGTCCACACCTGCCGTTACGGTCACGAACTTTGGACCCCCACCCGATGTGTGCTTACAGAGGTGCCCACAAGTATCAGTTCCTGCAACTGTCCCGGACCTCAGTAATCTCGAAAACATCTTCAAGCAATTCGCCAATCCTTCAACGAGTCAAGCTCCAGCAATAGCGCAGCCAGCCCCGGTTGAAAACACATATGTACAACCTGCTCTTCCAACCCCTGCAGTTGATCTTGCGAGTATTCTCAGTGCTCTGAATGGGCAAAATGCATCACAACCTCCGCCTCCAGCACCAATTGCGATGCAAGCGCCAGTTCAACCGTCGATGCCAGCTGGTCTCGACTTTAATGCTATGATGGCACTTATACAAGCGCAAGCTGCCACAGGAGGCGCCTTGCCACCACCACCGCCGGGGTTACCACCAGGTTTCCCTCCATTCCCGTTTTCCTTCCCACCACCACAACAGGACACTGCTGCTGCAGCATATCAACCACAGATGCAGCAGCAGCAGCAGCAGCAGTATGATCAACAACCCAATGGCGGAATGAAGCGGCAGCGTGATGATGTCAACAGCAACGCTGAGCGAGGACAAGGAAAGAGACACAAGAACCGCAGCGATCGACCTCACAAGGTGCTTGCATGCAAGTTTTTCCAGAAGGGTACATGCAACAAAGGCGACAACTGCACGTATATCCACGACCTCAACATGTAACGACTTTTCTTCCCGGGCTATCATCAACCTAGCATTGCCAACAATGTAGTCACCCGCATATGTGTCTAAAACTTGTATTCTCTTCTTACCACAGCTATACTCTCAAGGTAGACAGAGTGGATTTTGTACAATACCCAGTTTCTTTCTTTTCTATTCTATTTCTCTATACCAATTTCTTCACCATCAGAATGGCATGCATATCCGGGCAGTGTGCCTGTTCATTCGCGTGGGTCTCTATGCATTTACCGGCGTTTGTCTTCTCAGCGGGTCGCAAGAGCAGAACGGCGCTGGTTTGAGGATCATGTCGAGCATGGAATACATGCATCGTTTAGGAAACGGATGGGATCACGGTTAGGCAGTATGTCTCAGACGAAGAGTGTCTGAGCAGGCAGATATCATATGTAATCATCACTTCACACATTGTTTTTGGGGCCAGCGCCTGGTGATGTTGCGTGCTTCGGCTACCTTGTCCGAGCGTAGATGCAACCAAGCCGTTCGCCTGTGAATAGAATCCGTTTGACACTAGAGGTCATATATGACTCCAATTGCCAACCGCTAACATGATAATGCATGAATGAATATCACGTGTGTTTGCAGCCTGGAGAGAAGATTCAGACAGTCAAGCGTGTGCATGCAGAGCAGTCGCCTAGCCCAACACTTCTAGCTGCTACGTAATCTCACTCCAGATACCGTAGATTTGAACAGAGCATTACACGCGGACAAGTCCCCTGTTTAGTTGTTATTTTTATTTTTATTATTATTATCCAGGCTATTGTCGTGCTGTTGTTGTGTTGTGGAGGAGGGTGCAGGCCTCCCGCACGGCTGCGGCAAATCCCGTCATATTTTCTCAGGCATCAGACATCACGTACACGTCCGTCACCCCAAATCCAGCCTTCACCCGAACTCTCCACGTCGATCCATCACGACTGCAATCTCTGCAGCCCCCGGACCCGCACCGCACCCTCCGCTACTCCGCCTTGCTGGCCCCCTTCTCTCCGGCCCTTCTCCGCAGCTTAGGTTATCGATCGCTTCGCCGTCGACCAAGCTGATCCAGAGCAACCCCACGCCGGACGTATCGCGTCGACAAGCTACGTCACGCCACATTCTCTACGCAAACATGGCTGCCCCACGCAAGAGGACGAACAACATTGCCCGCCGCAGGCGGCTGGACGATGAGGATGAGGGCCAGTCGGTGGCAACCCTCGCCGACGACTCGCAGAGCGAAGCTTCAATCTTGAGCGACGTCGACGAGGACGCCGATGCCGACAACAGCGACCTGAGCGAAGTCGACAGCGCCCCGTCACGCACCCCAGGCAAGACGAAGCGGAAAGCAAATGGCGCCCGAGATGCGAAGCCCCTGCAACACGTGGTGGCTGCCCGGCAACCCTCGCCGCCTATTGCTCGCTCGGATGCCGCTTTCACGACCTCAAAAGAGACGGAGATGATGCTGAGCGGCCTGAAGATTGCAGACAAGGCCAACGAAGTCGAAGCAGTCGATTTCGAGACGGGGCACCCAGTAGGCGAGCCGGCACCCGCTGTGAGTGCCCCGTCATCACGGACAGAGACGTTGGGGGAGCGCCGGCGGCGGGAGCATGAAGAGTACAAGAAGAAACGCGACTCAGATCCCGCCTTCATACCAAACCGCGGGGCCTTCTTCATGCACGACCATCGGCACTCGCCTGCCCAAAACGGCTTCAGACCAGGCGCCGGTAGAGGGCGAGGGCGGGGAGCCCCTGTTGGGGGGCCCTTCTCCCCAGCAAAGTACGTCCACCTTCACATGGGCTCCGCCAAAGATACACGATTTACTAACTTGCGATATAGCTTGAGACCGCAGCCCCCTGAAGCTACTGACTCACCGTGGCAGCACGACCTACACGAGACCGTCAACGCACCAGGCTCCCAAGCCCAGTCTACCCCTTCTACCAGTGCACCCGCACACCACGCGTCGAATGGCTTCCAACAATCGGCAAGAGCACCGCTTGTGCCTGCCTCAAATACTTCCCAGGGTCGCAACTTCTCAACTACCGTGCACACACATAATGCCCTAGTCCGGGTATACTTGCCCAACATGAAGGCACCTATACTGTTCCAAAATGTCCCCATCAAGCAACATACTCGCCTTCCGAACCACCGCCCTCCGCTCCGACGCGACAAGCCCGTCCGTATATCGTTGCCTCCGGCTCCACCGCGGTACATATTCCCCACCGTGGAGCGATCCTTCATCTTCATCCCGCGAGCGCTTCGACCCAATCAGCAGGGCTTTGGCCGGGGCCGTGGACGATTTGGCTCGTTCGGCGGAGGCTTCTCGAGCAGGCGAACGAGCGCATACGGTGGCAGCGTCTATTCACCCAGCGTCACCATGAGTAGGCGGTCTTCGATGGCTCGAGAGATGGGTCGCGACGGTCTAGTATCTCCTGCTGGTTCCATCATGTCTCGGAATGGCGGTTTCGTGGATCCCAGCCGACCAGTCGTACGACTACCGCCTGGTGGCCCTAGGATGCCTACCGGACCATCACTTGTCTCTCCTACAAACGGCATGCCAGTGCAACCTCCATACCCCCTTCCGCAGAAGCCAACCTTCCGCGAGAACTGGCAAGGCCAGCTTCCCATGCATCAACCTCGTCCCCAGAAGACTGTGTCTGTTGCTGGCATCGAGTCCCCTGCGTCCATGTCTTTTAACCCACCACAACAGCAGGAACAACAACCCTTCCACCAGCAGGTTCCTGCGCACATGAATGGAGCCGGCCCAGCCACGGAGCAGCAGCCGTTTTATCAACATACTCGCCAACTCTCTTACCCAAGTCAGGTGTCAACTGGTACGCCTTTATCTAATATACCCGAGCGAGCAATTCACGCGCCCGCCTTTCAACCTTACGCACAGCCTGGCTACCAGCCTCAAGCCTTCGTGCCCCAGGGCTACTACTACCCACAGAACGGTGCGCAGCCTCAGTATATGGCTCCTGCTGGCATGCCACCCATGTTCGTTGCAGGTGCTCAGCAACCCGGCTACGCCATGCCGGTAACAGCACCCGCCGCCGCCGCTCCACCGGCCCCTACTGGCCCGCCAAACATGGTTGCGTATGAATCCAACGGCATGACGTTCTACGTAGACTCCGCTCAACTGTATCCGCCGCCTATCGAAGGTTACGCTCAGCCAAGTTATGCTGTACCTGGCATGGGCGGTATGATGACGCCAGGACCAGACGGGGCATACTTTTACCCTCAGCAGATGCAGTCGGCGAACTACTATCCTACGCAATAGATGCCTGGCGTCTTAACAAGCCGCTTTGTTTCGGATATCAACGAGTGATCCCTGCCTTTGAACTTGTTGTTTTGGGTTCCACATATCCTTCATCGCAGAGGAGCATGGTGTTCTTGGCATTGACGATCGAAACCCGGCGTTTCGGGCGCGTAAGAGACGGATTTTGCAGACTTGGATTTTTTACGATCATGTTAGCGATAAAAACTTAATCATACACAATGGGGAGGTCGGCTCGGTTATCCGCTTTCTCAATATTCTCTTTCGATCCCTTTTTTTCCTGCTTTGGCAGAGAAAAGATGTTTTTTCTATTGTACGACATGGCGTTTCACGATCTCCAGCTGGATCCCGTTACTTTTGTCCTAATATACCTTCCCTGATTCCCCCTCACTCAAGCTCTGAGCTTTGTTGGATAGTCGTTTGTGCGTTTCTTGTATCATGGCATGGCATGAGCGTGCTGTATTTGGGTTTTTGGGGGCGGCGAACTGGGTCATACATTACTCGAGTGGTCTGCAAGTAGGTGTGCAGATAGGATTTTGTCTAGACGAATATACTTGGTATAACACCGAGGCATTGCGACTTGAACAAGCTCACTACTTTCATGGGCTATCCCTCTCCCTTCTCCTCCTTCTCCTCCTTCTCCTCCTTCTCCTCCTCCTCTTAGTAAGAGTATCAAGAGATCTAGAACTTCTTCTCCCTAAACGAGAGCCTTCCGCCGTCGCCAGTCCCTGGCGACTTGCTGCGGGCGGTCCTTCCCGCACCCAAATTGTGGCGCCGCCCCTTGGTGAGGCTGATCAACGCTAGCAGCTGAACCTCTCCTCTAGAGCTCAAACTGTTCCTCGGCAACGAACACGCTCTACTGCTTTTAGATCAGGCAGCCAGCCACCGCGTACCCTTCTTCAATTGTTCGGCAATTCCTAGACAGCATGCTGGGGCGAAGTATTTGCAAGGTCTCGACCGGGGGCTACGATACCTCAGGTTGGGTGCCACGGAGGGCCGCATCTTTCTTTTCTTTTGCCTCTACTTTTTTTTCATTGTGTTGGGCAGCAAGCTATCGCGATGCTTTGACGCACCGATCACACTCGCTGTAATATGTTGACGCTATACAAGCTCTCGCATTACAATGAGTAAAACGATTGTACATACCTCATTGTACACCTTGGACAACCCCGAGGAAATTCGAATTGGACAGACAATATTCGTGGCTGCCTTCTCTTGATTCAGTATCAAGCAATATGGGTCGACGGGATCTCCATATGTATGTAGGACTAGTCTTAGGGTGAAACATGGGTATTAGCGAATTGCCTAACTATGTACTACACAAATTGTATGAGACGGCACGCACATACCTCTCCTTGGCGTGTATACTCGGATTCAGGCTACATGGGTTTCGACAGTTGTTCAGCTGCATTCTTTACCCTCACGCGGAATGTTCATTGTGTGGCTGATACGCCACCGCCTTGGTGGAAGCTGAAGGATATCAAACTAACCAGATTCGTTATTTCGGATACTTTTCATGCGCCTCAACCTTAAACGATCACAATATCGGTTTGATTGCTTCGGCCTCGACTCGTTTACCTAACGAATTGATCTGCTTTTTGCTGCGAAATGAGATCAACAGCTGCTCGGAGACGCCTTAACATCCATGATGCCCCACTCCAGAAACTTTCAACATGGTTTAAAAGAAGCGAGCACTCCTGACACTTAAGCTCTCCTGAATTTCTTGTGGGTTCATGAGCTTAGGTGCTCTTATCCAGTCTTCGTTCTTCCAGTCTTTTATCTGCTGCCTCCCCGCTCAACGTACCCTGCCGCATCCTCATCGTTCGGTCAGGGGCACCTAGTAAGTATTGCCTTTTTGTTCCTGGTCTTTTGACCCTTCACGACTGTGGAGCTACCCTGAACCATTACTGACACCGCCACAGCAAAATTGCGAACATGGCACCAGTTCCTATGGACTTCGTCAATATCCCTAATGGTGTTTCCAAAGCCCCAGACGCCTCCATCGCGGAGCTTGGGATGCAGTCCCCAACTCTGGAGCCTATGCAAAGTCTCCAGCCACCCAAGCTGAGCGTGAACCGGGAGCTGTCGAAGCTCACCCTGCCTACGAGACCAGGCTTCGGCCGCTCATCGAGTGTTGCGTTTGAAGGTCGCGGAACCGTTCACGTCTTTTTGTAAGTCTCTACAGCCATGTATATGTATGTGTCATAGACTGATTCATGTCTTTCATCAAAGGAAAACACTCGAGAACGAACGCTTGAAGCACATGCCACACGATGGATCTAGTTGGGACAGAATCCTCAAGTGGGCGGATAATATTGGTGGAGTCGTCTTGCTCAGCCTTGGTGTCTTGAGCGAGTTCATGCTCAATAGCGAAGATGCTACTCGTCTCATCTGTGACAGCTGCACGTCTCTTATCCAGGTAAGTCTCGTCTGCTTATAGACGACCATTTCAGTACTGAAATTCGCAGTTGGGCACTGGACACACGAAGATACTCCTCAAAGTCTTCAGCCAGTTTCATAAGATTGCCGTCTCACTATCTGTGTTTATTCGCCAGAACCATCTGATCAAGTCAAATCCCGACGTACGACGCGAATTGGCACACGCCTTTCAAGATTTCGCCCACTTGACACGCGACGTCAGAATCTTCTGCTACACTCGGAGCCGAGGTACGTATCTACAAGTCTCAATCGTTGAACCAACTGACTCTGGGACAGGTGTAGGACTTGTCAGCTCTACTGAACTCGATCTCTTCATCGCATTCGAATCCGCAGCGTTTTATCGGCCTCTGGAGTCCGTCTCCATATCCTCTTGGACTTCAAGCAAGCAATGCTCCCACTTCGATGTTCGCGAGATCCGCAACTTCTTGTCACCGCAAGATAGCGTTGTAAAGAAAATTCTATCGAATCAGCTTTACTCCGAATCACGACGTGCCGAATTCACGTGCGAATGGTTCGCAAGTCCATTGAGACAGTTCATGAGAAATGGTAAGAAGGTTTTGCTCGTTTCGGGTCCAGCATGCTCAGGCAAGACGGTACTTGCCCGCTATATTCACGAGAAGCTTCAAACTGATAATGTCGACAATGATCCGTTTGACGTCATCACATTCTCTGTTGGTACGTCGCCTGTTAAGCTTTCAAGTTCTTGTGACTAGCCGCTCGACAGATACCAACGTCAATTATACTACAAGCTCGCTGAACATGATCAAGACTTTGCTCTTGCAGCTTCTAGACCGAAAAGTTGGCTGCCATAGCCTTCTTTCACACATCAAAGAAGCAATGGAACATGCACAAGGCGGCTGCTCATCCAATGAAGTCGAAGCTGCGCTCTGGAAGGCGTTTGAAGTTTCCCTAGATGAGCGAAAAGTCCTTGTCCTCATCGATGGCTTGGATCAACTGATCGGATCAAGGATTGGCAACCCGCCAGCTCTGGAGAAGCTCGATGCTATCACTCGAACCAAGCAGAATGTGAAAGCTATTCTGCTCAGTCGACCTATAGGCGATGCTGCTCTGAAACATTGCCAGGAGCACATTGCTTTGGATACTGTTGAGGAAGCCCTGAGTGACATTAAGCATTTCATCGAGGACTTCCTTTACCACCACTCGGAACTTTACCACCTCAAGGACTCTGAGCGGCATGACATCGTCCAGAAGTATGCCTCAGCTGCGAATGGCTCTTTCCTTTTGGCGGGATTGCAGCTTCAGTATGCGAAGGGCAAGGATTTCGATTGAGACTGTTGATTGAAGAAGAATTGGTGAGCAACCTTTGTTGGGCGCGAAAGGGGGGTGTAAGGTAAAAACCAACTGGGAGTTGGATGAAGAAAATGTTCGTTAAGCGTTGTAATATGAGCTTATTGGGGCATTTTCGTCAAAGTTGAACATGGGAAAATTGGATATCCTGAATATACACTAGGAATGATCCTGCATGGACCTGCCTAGTCCTATTTTGTGCAATACACTGCACGCTCTCGCTTTCTAAACTCAACTCGATGCTCATGGAGTTAGTTAGGTGCTCCAGTGCCACGAGGCCTGACCTGCATTTGACGATGCTTGTGCGGGTTATCACGGAACCTGTTCAATTATTAGTTCATCATTCATGATCGTTATAAGCGTGGGCAAAACTCACTTCTTCACGATCTTGGCGATCGAATCCAGACCCTTGGCCAGGACATCCATCTTTGGGCCGTAACTGAGACGCACAAAGTGATGGCAAGGGCTGTCAAACAGATCCCTGCGCCTGGCGGGATTCAAGTCGAAGAAAATACCTGGGACGACGATGACCTTCTCCTCTAGACACGCCTGGAAGAAGTTTAGGCCGTCGTCGATACCCTCTGGCATACTAGACAAGTCGAGCCATAGGTAGAATGTCGAGTTTGGCATGTAGGGGAACTTGAAGCCAATCTCCTGTAGCCTGCCAATGACATAATCCCGCTTGGTGCGGAAGTGCATCTGTAGAGCGCGCATCTCGTTGCGCACACGTGGTGGGGAGAGCATTTCCACGGCGGCCTCTTGGAAGGGAACATTGCAGCCACCGTCAAGGTAGGAACCGCAAGAGCCGATAGCTTGGATAAACTCTTTAGGTCCGAGGACCCACGCAACACGCCAGCCAGGGAGACGGAAGCGCTTCGTTAGCCCGTCGATGATAAGAACGTCGTCCTCATCGACGTCCTCGACGTTGTCGGCAGCGGAGATGACCGTGCCGTCGCAATTGGTGGTGTAATTGTATCCACAGTAGAACTCGTCCATGATCAGGGTAGCGCGGTCTCGGCAGATGTTCTGAATCTGAGCCAATTCCGGGTTAACGACTGATTGGCCTGTTGGATTACGAGGATTCGATGTGAGAATGACTGAGGTACCGCGAGCGATTTCTTCAGCAATCTTGTCAGGCGACATGTGGTATTGGTCTGCTTCGCCGAGAGGAACGGGGATGGCCGCGATGTTTCGGAAGAGGGACAACATCTCGTTGTACGCAGTATAGTCTGTACTCGTTAGTTCAGACGTCCACCGTGTGTAATAATATCAACCTACCGGGAATGAAGAATCCCAAATAGCAGTTACCCAGGACAGCAGCGATACGGATCAAGCCTGCACGCCCACCAGGTACAATGCACACATTCTCCCACGTATACTGGCTTTTACGCCATTTGCGGTGATGTTCATTGTACAGCTTCGCAACCGCCTCTCTCAGCGGTCTGATGCCAGCAGTTGGACCGTACTCCCTGCCATGAGCACTAATGTCGACCTCTGTCGGGCGCACAAAGCAACCCTCTATGTCATCGTCGACCTCAGGCGCACCCTGTCCCAAGTTTGCCCATTCTTCGGGGTGCTCGAGGAATCCATGCTTGTAGGCTTGTTCTGATGTCCAGACGACGCCAGTGGAGGCGCGAGTGGCGTCGAGGCCGGCGTGTGGCCTATGACCTTCGTGTGACTGGCGGAACTGACGATGGATTGAAGAGCCGAGTTCTGCTTGATATTAGCTGGCTGCTGTGGGCGCCTTATCGAAAGTGTGGAGTTGTAATTGTGGATTGTCGGGTGGGCTGGGAATGAGGGGCCAAGGAACGTTGAAGGACTAGGCATGCGATGTAGTGAAACGAAGCGAGGAATCGAAATTCGAGGCTCTGGGAGCTGGGGAATATTGAAAAGGACTCGAAGCCAAGTCTGGATGCTCCAAATCTTCCCTGAGCTTCGAACAAGCCCCCGCATTTTCCATCTCCAATCCGAAGATATCGAAGTCCTGCGAGATGACGTAGCACAGGCTACCCCTCGTAAAAAAGCAAAGTCCAGACGTACCGCTCTCGCTCGGATCCTTTGAGCTTGAAAATCGCCTCTGGGAAAAGGCTCCCTTGAGCATGTTGACCTTGTCCGCCGAGAAAGACATTGTTGGTGTGAAGTTTCGATCAAGCTTTTGCTAGCTTGAAGATGCAGGGAGCCGCGATTCGAGTGCGAAGAAAGATCGGAGGACCCTGATCGAGCGCCGGGATCCTGATTGCGATAGCAGCGCTGCCTTTGAGGAGCCTCCAGAAGAGAATAGAGAGGAGTCGAGGAGGAAAAGGCAAGAATTGGGAAACGGTCAAGCTGCTTGGGTGCACCATCGGGCCTTTATAACACACGTGCGCGTCGTTGCGGCTGCACCCACTACACAGCGCACGCAAGAGCAGCTAGCTACCCTGGGTCCTACACCTGCAAGCCCCCCCACCGTGAGGACTCGTCTCAATCCCCGGGGAGGATTCCGATACCAGTATCCGTGTGATTTGCACACAGACAGCCCAATCACATGCCTCAGGGCAAGAATCCTTCCATAGATAGTGATTGATTGACTCTCAAACCGTTGGCGCGCCCCGCAGACATTCATGGCACGAAGCGGTGTAAGATTGTTGCTCACTCACCTCTTCGAGTCCGGTATATGGACCTGTAGGTTGCCGCTAACATAGCAGAATGCTACATGTACAACCTGCTCTGCATGCGGAAGATACACAACGAATGGACTAGGGGAAGACTCTCATGCATGTCTTTCCAAAGCAGCCCAAACCCACCCCTTGTCAGCTTACGTCTCAAGCGCCGCAGAATGTCATCGCAAACTGAACACGGGTTGCTCCTAGCGCATTGCTGCGACACTGGCAAAATGTCCCACCCCTATGTGGCTAGCCATTATCTTCCCGTGTCGCAGATGGTCCTGGTCTCTGCGCAGGAGGCTTGTTGTGAGGCGGTGCTTGACGCAGCATTTCCAGTCCGACATGTTCCGTGCGATATTGGTCTTCGAGGAAATTATAAATGGCCTACGACTAGTGCACCTAACACAAGTTTTGGTAAAGCATGCTATTAACGATGCGCAGTACATTGTACATTTCTATATACAGACCTTTCAGTCACCTACGCAACTTATAGGCCCAGCATAATCCTACACTCCATCAAGTCACAAACAAAAGAAAACACTACCTTACTCAACCGGATCCTCCTCCAATAATACCTTGAAACTAAACGGCTCGAACGGCACGCCATCGCCAATAAAATGCTTGCTCATCGCCTCAACCCAGTGCAAGCGTAGTGAATGCAACATGGCACTCGTTCCCTCCATAACACACAGCACAGCGACAGTGAGCGCGAACCAAAAGTAGAAGACGACAACCATAACAATAGCGCCAGTGACGCCAGTGATTTCGAACGCGTTCTTCATAGTCATTTCCCAGAGGACAATGGAGAGACGTTGATGCGCGAGGGAGAGGGCCCAGAGACGGAGGTAGGAGGCAGTATGGGAGACACAATTGAGACAGAATTCTGAATGGGTTAGCATTTCATCATGGCACTAAAAATCTTGGAAGGCTTACCAATGGTGTGGATGATTTGGTGAATCATTTCCTCACTAAATTCGAACTCTTCATGGTCTTCGCCGTGGCCAATGTCTTGGGTTATCATAGCAATACCATCGTCGTCATCTCCGAAACTCTCTCGTCCACCGTTCATAGGACGACTCTCCTCCTCATCATCGTCGTCATCCAAAGCACTGACACGAGTGCTCTCGCCGATGCCACGGTAACCTAGAGCGCGAGCCTTGTTGTGCTCGTATCGGAGGTAGAGCGGCTTAAGGAAAAGGAGTACGGGAACACAGGCCAGGGCCATCAGCAGCAGAACAACCTGAACGGCAGCCTGCCCGGGATACAATGGCTTGACTCCAGCTTCAAGCGTGCCAGGCTGCAGGAACATGTAGATCAACATGTTCAGGAGACTGGGGGGGTTCTCGCCGCGTGCTGGCCAGTCAATGCACCACTTGTACACGATAGTGAAAGCCAAGTATCCAAAGATTGACTGGAAGAATATCATGCCAGGAACAAAATTGCCCCAGATATCGATCTTGGTCTTGAAGTACCGAGCATTGACAAGAGACCACATCAGCGAAAACGTCATGTGGGACCAGCCAAGAAGAATACTGAGCTTCATCTTGTAGCTATTCGAGAACAGTAGGTCGTTTTCGGTGTCGTGCCATCGGTAATCTAGACCGAATGGGTATGTGTAGCCTTCGACTCGTGAGGCCGTGGGGCCCGCGCCGTCATTATCCCACACCCACATCGACTTGAACCATGGAAGTCCAAGCGAGAAAGCATCGCAGTAGAGCAGACCAGTATAGATGGAGAAGAGGCCCATCATGAAGACAATGTATCGACCGTAGAACATCATGGAGAAGAGTTCATCGAGCTTGCTGCGCTGAAGTCGCTTCTCGAAATAAATCATGGCACACGCCGCAAGGAGGAGGATGACACCGTGTCCGGCATCACCAAACATGACCGCGAACATGAACGGAAAGGTGACGATCGAGGGCAGGGCCGGATTGACCTCGCGGTATTTGATCGTTCCATAGGCGTCGATAATGGTCTGGAAACCGACAGTAAATCGGTTCGACTTGAAGTAGGTTGGCGGAGTCTTGGTAGTCTTGACCTGGTTAACAATGGTGGGTACGGATAGGCCAGCACGCTCGTTGACGTCCGAAAGGGTGGACTTGATCAACCCAAGTGAGTTGGTAGGCGCCCAAGCCTCAGCGATAAGCGTCTTGCGCTGGTGATCGTAGGAGAATTTATTCAGCGTCTCGTATGTAGCCTTCTCTTTCTTGATGATGACCATCCATGCCGCAAGATTGCGGCTGATCGCAGTCAATTCTGCGTCCAGCGTAGATTTTGTGTTCTTCAGGACGCTCGCCAAGTCACTAAGTCGGGTGTTGACCTCGCGAATTTGATCGCGACGAAGCTCGCTGTTCTCGTCTACGCTGTATAGGTCGGCACCAAGCGACTCAGAAATCTTTCGGATCTTGGCGATGATCTCCTTGCCATGAGCGAAGATGATGAAGACGTTCTTGCTGGTCTCCTCGTTGGTTTCAGGGTTGATGATGGCCTCCGGAATCTCAGACTGATTCATGTACAGATTGCCACGAAGCGTACGCCACAGGATCCTCTCAAAAGCCGCAATGCGCTCACGGGGGATGACACCAGCAACGAAACCAATGTTCATGACAGTGAAGGAGCGCTCCGCGCCGGTATCGCCTTGACCATTCTGTTCAACATCCTGAAGCAGCGGGGCATCATCATTATCGTCGAGAGAGTGCCTAATCTCCTCGGTCTGGCCACGTGCCCTGTCAAAGAAGCCACCAGCCTCTCTCAGCACCCATCGCCATTCTGTAAGCTCGACCTCGCGTTTCTTCAATGTCTCATAACTCTCATTCAATGACGAGATTCTCTGTTCCAGGCTCTGGCTCTTGTCTGCGAGCTCGTCGATCTCGGAAGCCGAGGGAGCGGTAAATGGGTTATTAAAGTCGTAGATCGATCGCATCGTGATGCTCGACTTTTCCATCTGAGCGTGGAAGTACCCTGCATACCGTTAGCTATGCCCCAGGCCCTGTTGCCAACCTGACCTACTAAGCTGTCTTTCCACATTGTCCAGGCGGCGAATCTCTTGCGTAAAGGTACGTTGGAAGGCGGTCGTCTCCGAGTTGAGCTAGTAAAATCGCCTCGTCAGTTCCAATTCCATCATAGCCTGTACGTGAAGCTCCAAAACAAGCCTTGGGTAAGTCCTCACATCTCTAAAGTCCATGACTCCAAGCTCTCCAAGTGCAGAGACAACCTCGCGGCCAATCTCGTTAGCAATGTAGAGCTGGGTCAAAGACATGTCCGCCGAGCGGAACATGGTATCCTTGGGTGGCGCCATGATGGCAGCTCCAGACAAGTCCTCAGATGAAGGGTTGCTTGTCTCGAGGTCCGTTGGGGCGTCGGGGGCTTGATGAAGGTTTGATGGATAGCTGCCTCTGGCGTCTAACGATGATGCGCAGCTGTTGCTTGGCATCGTTTAGCCACATCACGTGAAACGCGTTCCACACGTCGCTGATGTCATCACGCAGGCACGAACACTACATTGCACTTATGCTATCAGCAAGTTACGCTTCTTCTTATGTTCCTACATGTTCATTATAAAGTGCGAAAAGACTGACAGTCTTATCGCTATCGTAATTTCATAACCAGCCTTTAACAACGATAATCAACCCACTCAAAACCACAACAGAGAACCCTTGTTATCTTGAGACTAACTCCTACATTGACTTTTATTTTCTTCAAATCAACAGTCACATATTCTCCCCTGTTATCATGATGTGACGAGAATGTGTGGGTAAACTAAATTGACCTCCTCTTATGACCTTGTACAAAACATGATTGAATACATGCGAGAGATGCCTTGGGAAAATGACATATAGATATAATATATGAGCAACAAGTACACTTGCTGGCTTTAGGTAGACACAAGGTGTTAGAAGTATGAGCTGCCACGCTGAAGACCTGGGCGAGGTGAGCGAAATTTTAATCTGACCTTTTTCACAAGCCGACTGCCTCCTTTCAGACTTTGTCGATAGACCGAGTAACGCCTGTCTTCTGAAGTCCATGGGCTAGACTGCATCTTACTGCTTATTCCTAGTGTTACATGGGTTCCACCTATTTCCGCTTTAATCTGCCTGGAAGCCTGTAGAGACGAAACGGAGACGAAAGGCAGAGCAAGTCACCGAGTGGTCATAGACTCCCCGCAAAACACGAACATGGGGTATCTTTCAGCCCTCCTACTTAGAGTATCGGTAACGTATCAATTATTTTCGAACATTGGCCTCAAGCCCGACAGCTTTCAAAATAGCATATCTCAAATGGTCAATGCCCAACCTCTTCCCATCGACTAGCGTCTCAGCACTACACGCCAGAATCTCTCCCAACGCACCTCCGCCGACCGAGGGTTGGATCTCATTTTTCAGATTCTCCATACCTTTCCTCAGACCCTCGACCGTTCCCCTGGATTTCAACTTACTCAATGCTTTTCCATCATGACGCTTGATTTCCTTGGCCTTTGGGATGTACAGTTTATCCAACTTCGACAGGATAATCTGGTGAGAAACGCCAGCGAGACGGAGTGAGGCAAGGAGAGAGCGGTCTTTATCTTTGATGCCATGCTCGGCGTCCAGAAGAACGAAGACGCGACGAAGTTGTTTCCTACTCTGAATGTACTTCATAATCTCGATGCCCCACTGCGAGAGCGAACCTTCGCCGTAGCCGGGCATATCGACAATTGTCAATCCACTTCTTCCGACAATCTTATCCCTCCCATCTGGCTGCTTCTTAATTGTAACGCCGTTTCCTGGGCCTAGACCGTAAAGATTCATCGTCTTTGTAAACCCTGGGGTCGATGATGTGCGCGCCAGGAGAGACTTGATGTCGGCATTTACAACAGCGTTGAGTAAGCTGCTTTTGCCGACGTTACTTCGTCCAACGAATGCAACCTCAGGCACATCCGACTCCGGGAAGAGCCGGAATTGCGGTACGCTGCGGAGAAGCTTTGCGTTCTTACCGTTGTTATTGAAGAAGTGGTGTGCTTGTATTTTTTGAGCAAATGTTGGAGCTATGCTTTCCCAGTACCAGTTGAAATCTTCTGGCGAGGGGTGATGAACTTTTGTATGTGCAGTAGGTGACTCGGGAGTATGGATCGTTGCAGACTTCGGCTTCGGTCGCAAACCTAGTGGCGCAGATGGCATAGAGGGTACAAGATCTCCTCCATCTTCATCCCCTCCCGACCTTACCCTTCTCATAGGTCTCCGTATGTCCCGCCCAGGTCGTTGCCGTCCTCCTGTTATTAAAGCCGCCGGTCGATTTGTAGTCAACTTCACTTTTGCACTTTCTCCATTTTCGCTGACATGTAAAGCGGATCTCGACGCCAACGTCAGCTTGAACTTTCCACGGAATTCGGTGTTCCAGTGGTTCTTGATTCTGAGCCGAGAGGCTTCATTTACTGTACTTGATGTCACATCCGGGATGGCATCTGTGGACTGAGAGTGTAATTGGTACCGTGTGAGGAGCGTGGAGTGTTGTCGCGAGAAGTGTTGTATGCAACGTCGGCATATGTAGCGGGGATTCGACGGGAGGTAAGTCATTATGGCTCCCAAACCGAGAAAAGTAGATGGAGAGAGCTGGGATAGTAAGGTTCACGTAGGCATGGTCCAAGCTCCTCGACGCTTTTTCGCCGCAGCACCTCCGCGGTCAACTTGATCGTTTCCACAACATCACATCTTGACTGTCCATTTGACCGCCTAGACTACACAATCCGGGCCAATCCAAAGAATCAACTCGCAATGTCCCAGGCACCGCAAATCCGCTCTCTCTACCGCCGCATTCTGCGCGAACTCCCCTCGACTCCCCAAACCACACGCACGCAGCACCAAAAGCTATCCGCACCATCACATCTGCAACAACGCATACGGTCAACCATTTCAAAATCATCGGCGAGCACAAGTGGTCAGATACACCAAGCAGAACAATTCATCCAGTACGTGCAAGCACAACGAACGTATGCGACGCTGCTCGAACGGTATAATCCGGGTATGGGGATGAGTGAGGAGGAACGGGTGAGATTGAGTGCTAGGAGAGTGGGCATGAATCTACCGGTCGAATTTGACGGTTCGAAGGAGAATCAGTGAAGGCGAGCGGAATGCTTAATGGGATGCAAGTGAACCAAAACTTCGCCGGGGACCTGTATGATTGCAAAATGCAATTGGAGGGCCGTATAATGCCGACTTCCTCGATCCGAGATTCAAGACGTCGTGCGATCATAGATGGAAAGGAAAAAAAATATCGGAGGATATCGTACCTGAAGGTAGTTGCAGGACTGTTCGAGTGTGGAGCTGTGTGAACACTGTAGATGGCACGCTCATCATCAACTATATGAGAGTATGAATGGGAATAAACAATATATTACTGCAAGACGAAGGTATTCTAGATGTTTCTCCTAAAGCCAAGAGTTGCAGATGCGCTTGCCGCCAAAGAAGGGTATGAAATAGCTTTTGGGGTTTCCACAACTCCTATACGCCATATCATATGTACCCGTAAGTAAAGCTCTCTCCTGAACCAGTCACTCCAGGCTATACTCTATGTACTCTAACGTGCGTTTTACTAAACTATCATCCTTGATGAGCTTCCATGTTCTATTTTAAACCCGAACAATTCGTGACCTCAACAACCCGTGTCACGACCACGACCTTGGCCAAGCCCTAAGGGAGAGAGAAAATTGGTCTAAGCCCTCAATCTTCAAACTTGATGCCTTTGCCCCCTGATGTATCAATCAAACCTCCTCGGTAGGAGCCCTTCTTCTTCTTGTTCTTCTCCTTGGTGAATCCCTTGCCCTTGGTGACAATCAAATCTGCATGGGCGCGGTCGGCATAGTCGTAGGAAACATAAGCGTTGCTGGCGAGTTTTGGATCGACTTGGGTATCGGCCTTGATGCGTTGGAAGCGGTTTTCGACGTGGTTCTTCTTCCTGGAAGGGGCTTCCGCAGTGGGGGATCCAGAGAACTTGCGCTTGTTCCCAGCCGTCGGTACGGGTGATGCGGCGGGGAGAGTCGTGGAAGAGTCGGTGGAGGAGCCCTTGCGATCGGCAGCCTTAGGTTTCTTCTCATCGTCGGAATCGGAATCGGAAGAGCTATCGGAGGAGCTGTCAGACGAGCTCGAAGCGCTTGAAGTCGAAGGTGTGGGGGCCTTCTTCCCGCCCTTCTTGATCTTGATCTCCTTGACCGGCTCAGCCTCTGACTCGCTATCAGAAGAACTCGAGTCGCTGGAAGAATCGGAGGAGCTGGACGCTGAGGATGATGAGACTGAGGCAGCCTTCTTGACCTTCTTGGCCTTTGAGACCTTCTTCTTAGATTCCGAGTCCGAGCCCGAGTCCGAGTCCGACTCAGAACTGCTATCGCTATCGGAATCGCTCGATGCGCTGGAAGAGTCGGATTCAGGGAGAGGAATGTTTGCGGGTTCGTCGTCCGAGTCGCTGTCCGAATCACTGGAGGATGATGCGGAGGAAGAAGAGACTGAAGCAGCCTTGGTCTTCGTCTTCGCAGGAGTTGGCGCAATGTCGTTTTCGGACTCAGAGTCGGAGCTTGAGCTTGAAGAGTCGGAGCTTGAGCTTGAAGAATCCGAGGCGTCCTTCTTTGCCGGAGCCTTCGCCTTGACCTTGGTGACTGTCTTCTTGACTGGCTTCTGTTCGGCCTCTGACTCGCTGCTTGAGTCGCTACTCGAGTCGCTATCAGAGTCGCTGCTCGAATCACTGCTCGAGTCGCTGCTGGAGGCGCTCTCTTTGTCTACGTCCATGGGTTCAGGCGCATCCTGAGCCTTGGTAGCAGCACCACTCTTTTCCCACTGCGCGAATTCTTGCAGCTTGCTTGCAGCAGTCGTCTCACCCTGCTGCTCTAAGAAGGACTGGACGAGGTGAAGCGGTGCCTGAATACTCGTCGTCGTCTTGGCGTCGCGTGCAGTTTCGGTTGCCAGTGTCTTGGATGCTCTTTGCTTCTTGTCGCCGCTGGGCTTTTTCGAAATTTTCTTGTCGGTCGCCATGGCTTACTATTGGCCTAATGAGCGATATAGTCGTGGCGTGTCGGGTGGTGGAGGATAGTGAGCAGCTGTTACCTAGGCACGAAAAAAAGTTATGGCGGGCGGAATTGTCGACGCCGCACCTGCAGGACGCTAGGCCCTGATAGTGATCCCTGCCCTTGTCACTCTGCCGTCTCATATGGAGACGACGTTAGACCTCACTCTCCATGCCGTAGTGAGACACTACGTTCTTTCGATCGCCACCCAATCTCTCGCCCACCGCGCACAGGGCTACTAAATCATCCGTCATTATCTGCGCTATACCCACGCTTTGCTGCCGGTGTGCGGCTTCACTCGTTCATGTCCCTAGTCACTCGGCATAACGCGACTCGAGCCCACGTATTGCTTTGGATGGCAGCCTTGACAGGAGTTATTCTCAACACCTAGTGGTAGCAGTTGGAGGAGAGCGCTTGCCCGTGTATACTACGATACATGAGGCCATCCTATCGCAATCGGCAACCTCACCAGCAAAGATGGATGGAAGACCGCGCAACTACCCCCCCAATGCTATGGGGGACCCCCGGGCTCCCGCCAATCGCCCGTCTACTGGAGGCGCAAGAGGTCCACCTTCCACTGCCAGCTCTAGCGCTCCATCATCTGGAATGTCCCGCGCCGACCGTTTCGACGACGAACGGCGTAGGATCACGGAAAGCTGCTTCGCCAAAGTAGACGACCAAGGACAGCGTACGTTTGACCCTGCATTAGCTCCATGTATAGACTAGACTTCACAAACTAGGGCTCCGTTTTGCAGCAGTTTGATTATTCTACTTTTATCGCAGCAGTTCTGACACCACGTAGTTCAGGAGTCGTATATTACCCATATCCGCGTTCAAGAAGATGGCCTTCATCCTCAGACTCCGCCTCCTCCCACCTCTCCGCCCTCCGGTAAAAAAAGTCGCATAATTATGATCTCTGTAAGAAATACGGGGAGGGTGAAGTTGCACAAAGCACGAGAGAACGCCAACGGCACCTTTTCAATCGGCAAGTCATGGCCTATGGAGGAATTATCTGCCGTGGAAAATTATGTTCATTTGACTCCCCGGAACGACGACGAGGCGCAGCATAAGCAGTGGGCCGGAGACAAAGGGTTTACCGTGACCATCACCAAGCCCTACTACTGGGAGGCAGGGACCGCGAAAGAGAAGGAGTTCTTCATCGGCAGTATGGTCAAAATCTACAACAAATACACCAAGGGAGACTTCCCCGTCTTGACTGGCTTTAGTGCAGCCGAGCTCAATAGCCTGACAAATGGGCAACCACACCTCGCAACAGGAGAGGGGCGTGCAGCATTTGCAGCTGGGGGTAGAGAAGCGCAAGTCCCTAGCCAACCTCGACAGGGTACTCCAGAACTGAGGCAGTTTCCGCCAAAGTCCCCGGGTCCACCTCCAAGAAGGCCTGGAGAGTCGCCACTTGTACCTTCTGATGACGGGAGGAGAGGTCCCATGCCCGGCGCGAACCCGAATTTTAGAAGACCACCAGGAGAATATCAGGGTCCCAGGAGACCTGGCCACCAAGATGATCAGTTTCGCGGCGGCAGCAGACCTGGCACTGGAGATGATAGCCGAAGGCCTTCACCTTTCAACCCAAATCAAGGCACGCCACCATTACCAGATCTCAGGCAGAAGCGGTCCGTAGAGCAGAGCATTCGTTCGCGGCCCAGTGGGGATAGCATGAGAATGCGTCCTGGTCAAGGTCCTATTCCGCCAACTCCACCCTTCCCATCACAAACATTGACGCCTCAATCTTCAACTTCAGAGCTTGCCCGGCCTCCGAAGACCCCAGAGTCAGGCAATATTCCGTCAAGTTTAACCCCTGGGCGAGCTCAACCCCAAAGACCGCAGAGGTCCCTGGAGGAACTCTCGTTTGATGGAGCAGCACCAGCTTTTGCTCCGCCAGAGCAACGCAGACAGAACGGGTATCCCTCGCTTCGGCGGGATCAATCTCCACGAGGTCTTAGACCTGGTACATCACAAAGCAACACCAGCTCCAACCTTACTCGGAACGACGATGTGCCTCCAGAAGAGCCTCCACAACGGAGGAGACCGATCATGGAACCTAAATCTTCGCAGATGTCGCAGCGGAGCAATGATAGCCAGGGACCTGAACCGCGCACTGTATTTCATACCCCTTCGCAATCTCCAGCACCGTCGATAGACGTACCACCACGAAGACGGCCTCAGGAGATCCCAGAAAGACCCAAGGTCGCTCCTCAGGATAGCACGGAGCCTCTTCAAGATACGTTGTCTGGTGCAAAGCCTGCACCACCTCCAACATCCCCCCTCCCACAAATACCTAATGCGCCAATAACACAAGCGCCACAACCTGCTGAGGCTGTTCCTGTAGTGCCTATTCAACACGAGCCACAGCCTACTGAGACTGTACCCGTAGTCCCCATACCTCAGGCGCCACAGCCTGCCGAGACTGCACCTGCAGTGCAGCCAACGTCTGCGACCACGGAAAAAGATAATGAAGTTGCTCACCGCCCCGGCCTTGGTCCCATGATTAAAAACAAGATGAACAATGCTGATGCAGCAAATAAATTTCGAAAAGCGGCAGCAGCTGCCGGGGCATTTAAACCCCGAGCTGGCGGTGCCGCTGCAAAGCTGTTCTCGAAGGAAACGAAGACATCCGACGAGCCGGACGGCGTCAACGCGGTGTTTGTACCCCAGCGAACAACACCAAAAGCAATGCCTCAAGAAGAAGTAGAGAAGAAGCCCGAGGAAGGGCCCAAGACGCTACCGGATAGATCATCGAAGGACCGACTGCGAATTAGCACCAAGGTGGTTCCAGCTGTAACAGTTTCTAGTCCTTTGTCTCCCGCCCCAGCTGTTGCTCTACCTGAAGTAGAAGAGACGCCCATTCCACCGACCCCGGAGAAATCACCAACAAGGAAAATTGAAGTTGAACCCGAACTGAAGCGTAAGAAGCGAAGGTCCAACCAGCAGATCATGAACATTTCCAAGCTTGGTATAGACCCAAGTGTCGTCGATGAGCGAGGCCTCGAGTTCGAAAGTCTGCTCTCGGAGCTGGGGTGGGGCACCAGCGAGCTATCAGCCAAGAACATCGAGTCATTAGAAATCGATATCAAACGCGAGATCGCCCGTGTTGAAGCAGGCAGCTGGCTCAACCATTTGGAGCAGAAAGACGATCGTGTCGAGGCCGTTGAGCGAATGCTTGATCGCGCCATCGCAGAGTGCGATGAGCTAGAAGGCCTACTAACACTATACAATGTCGAACTAAGCAGCTTGAACGATGACATCGCTTTCATCGAAGCACAAAGCCAAGGCTTGCAAGTGCAGACAGCCAACCAGCGATTGCTACAGCATGAACTCCAACAACTAGTTGAGACGATCTCGATCACTACCGATCAACTCGAGCCCTTACGCCGTGCTCCTATAGGGAAGATCAGTGGTCTCCAGGACATTGAATTCTCCCTAATTCTCCTCTACAAAGCACTCATTACCATAGATCCTTCATTCGTTGCAGATGGGCGTTCAAGTGGTGCCGAAGCGATCAATAGCCGATCAGGTTTTGGTAACAGTGATCTGGCTACAATGCAGGCTCTACAGGAGAAACGAGACAGATACCTCAGTGAGGGTGCTATGTTTCTGGATCGACTTAAAAAACACATGGAAATTACATTCGGCGCTGCCTTTATGTCAACCAAAGATGCCCTTTCAAACATCGATCAGGGCTCTATGCCATCTTTGAAGAAGAACATAGATGCACATGATGCAGGCCGAAGCGAGCTGTGGATGTTGAGTCCGGTCATGCTCTTTGCCAAAGAGATTGATCGGACCTCTTGGGATGCGCTGCTCCGGATGTATCAGACACAGGCTGCTCAATTGTACCAACAGGAAGTCCGCGACAACATTCTTGCGTGGCGGCGGTTTGCTCGAAAGCCTACCGGCGAGGAGCAGGAACTCTTGTTCACAGCGCAGGAGAAGGAGACGGAAAGTATTACAGGCACGGCAAGGAAACTGACTGTCAAGCGAAGTCAGACCCTTGCCCGTGGCCTACGATCAGCGTCTGGTGAGAAGGAGAGCAAAGTAAGCAAACCTAGCCAAGACGGCAAGCTCTATGCCTTCGACGTCTTTGCTAGGGTACTAGACGATACTGGTCCTGTACTTTTGACCGAGCAGAACTTCATAACCGAGTTCTTCCACGCGACCTCCACCGACTCCGTTGACTTCCCCGAGGCAGTTCAAGCAGCGCCTCCTGAGGCACGTCGGGGACCAAATCTTTGGCTAAGAAAGCAGTTCGAAGCTGATCGGGCGATGGCAAAGCATGTGACTGGGGTCATGGAGGAAATTTTCTCATTCTGGCCCACTGAGATCCAAAACCTCGTAGAATGGGCTGTACAAGGAGATCCTTTGTAAGTGGCTTTAGCGCGATTGCGTAACTCTCACTAATGCATCTACAGGCAGGGCGTAGGGATATTATGTGCGGTTGACAGAAAGATGGTCGACATTGAAGATTCCAACCAAGACTTTTTGACCAGAAACCTGCAGAAGATCCACGAGCGTCTGCAAGGTCTTTTCAATCGCTTCCTTGATGAGCAAATACGTGCTATCGAAGATACCAAAGTCAAGATCAAGAAGCGCAAAGGAGTTATCGCGTTCATGAAAACCTTCCCTCACTTCTCTATCGCAATCGAGAACATGCTGCCGCCTGCATCTGAAGGGGGCGACCAGCTAGAGATCAGACGTATGGTCGATGAAGCATACCAGCGGATCAATAAAGCCATGTTCGAGAGCTTGAAGGTCATCGCTAAAGAGTCACCTGCTGTCATGGCTTCACAAGGTCAAGGCGATCCGGAAGACAAGGAAGCACTCAATTACCATATCCTGCTCATCGAGAATATGAACCACTACATAGAGGAAGTCGATGCACGCACTGACTCAGTGTTGGACTACTGGAAGGGCAAGGCTCATGATGAGTACGACGAGCATATGGGCCTTTACGTCGACGCCGTCATCCGGCGACCGTTGGGTAAACCTCTGGTAAGCACGTTCTATTCTGTATAACTATGTCGCTAACACTCTCTAGGAATTTATTGAGTCCACTGAAACGCTCCTCGCCCAACCCGGCGCTAGCGCACAGTCCATCGCGCAACGCTCCTCCCACTCCAAGTACGTCTTTAAGAAACTTGTGCACGCGAACGACGCGAAAGAACTCCGCAAGGGCATCGAAGCTCTCAAAAAGCGCGTCGACAAGCATTTTGGTGACGCAGACGATCCGTCCATCAGTAGAGACTTGGTCTTCAAGGTGCTTAAAGAGTGCGAGAAGAAATATCTTGACATGTCGGAGAGAATGGTCACAATCAATCAGGATGTGTATGCTGGGGAGGTGGAGATTGATTGGGGATCGAATGAGGTCAACGCTGCATTCAGGAGGTAGATTCTCCGGAAGAGCGGTAGCCTCATGTTTCTGGGGATTTGATGTTTTGTTGGTTCGGATGAAGCTGGTTTGTACATGTTGGCATGTTGTACTTGATTCGCTTGGCTTGTCATGGCTGGATATGACTTCTGCGAGGAGTCAAAGGAGCTGGCTTGCTGCAGCAATTCTTTTTGGGGATGAGTTTGAGGGCTTGCATGACATACCGTTAGCTGCCCTCTTCCCAATGTCTCTGCGTCCCTCATATTTCAGAAGCATGAAGCACGATGTGCATGTGTTTGGCGATCTCGAACTAGAGTGTGTTGAAGCTTACCCCTGTAGATGCTGGATTAAGCGGGGCATGACGACATCGATCGCAAGCCCGAGTCCAGCACTGCATGCATCTCGGACCAAAACAGACGACATGCGCAGACTCTGGCGCCTAGAACTAGACAATGCAGCAGATAAATGCCCTGATGGCCCCTAGTGTTTGAGTCCAACATTCACCAATATTTGATCGTCCTGAATAATCAACCTTTAAGAGCCGCGTACACAGCAAGCATCATGACGCTCGTGCAAGCACTCCTCCGCGCAACCGCGTTCAAGAACCCGCTGCTCCGCACACTCATCCCATCTATCGCGCTCGCATATGGCATCCAGACAGCCGTCGCAGTGCCTTCCATCGCGGCGCAAACAGAGCGCTACTATGATCTCTCTGGAAGCTTGACGTACCTATCATGCACGGCAGTGAGCCTCTTCCTGCCCTATTTGAGGGCTAAGAATGCCGGTGCTATCACTGGAGGGCTGGCGGAGTACTTTGGCAGCAAGGGCTTGGGGCAAGGGACGTGGTGGTGGAGACAGGCTTTACTTAGTGCTGCTGTGGGCGTGTGGGCTACGAGACGTATGTCCAGTCCAGTCTCAAACAGACTAGATTAATCATTGCAAGACGGAGCTGATCTGTGAACAGTGGGATCCTACCTCTTCTCGCGCATATCCTCTGACTCTGGCCGCGACTCGCGCTTCGACTCGATCCGCGGCTCGCCCTCGAAATTCTACGTCGCCTTCTTCGCCCAGGCAACATGGGTCTCGCTCTGCACGCTCCCAGTAATTCTCATTAACTCTATCCCGCGCTCTGCATATGCCACTTCCGTGCTCGGCCAAGCTGTTTCAGCGAAACCGTATCTCACAGACATTCTGGGTCTCGCCATCTTCGTCTTCGGCCTGACATTCGAAGTTGTCGCCGATCGCCAGAAGAGCAAATGGGTAGAGGGAAAGAAAGAGAAGAAGCATTCTGAGGAGTTCCTCACGCGTGGGCTGTGGTCGAAATCGCGTCATCCGAACTACTTTGGAGAGGTGACGCTTTGGTCTGGCATTGCGCTCGCAGCTGCTGGTCTCCTCGTTCGCCAGCCCGCGCAGGCAGCGCTGGGTCTGAGTGGATCGACTATGAGCCAGGTGCTGGTGACGGGTATGTGTGCCGCGAGTCCGGCATTCGTGAGCTTCTTGCTCTTGAAGGTTAGTGGTGTGCCGTTGAGCGAGGACAAGTACGATAAGCGCTATGGCGACCGGAAGGACTATCAGAAATGGAAGGAGGAGACGCCCATGTTTGTCCCTAAGTTTTGGTGAGAGCGTACATGTAGTGCGCCACTGTAATTGTCCGTTTCACAGAAATGTTAGGTTCAACACGTGACCAGATGCAAAAAGGCAAAGCTTAAATGCGACAGAGCAATAACGCGAGTAGGGAAGAGGAATGATACAGGGTTTTATCTATACTCCTCTCTAGGCTCTACTCTCCTCACCACGTTCGAACACCTGACCAAAAGAGCAAAAAGATGCATAAATGCAAAACTTTAGTGCAAAAAAAGTGCAAAAAGGCAAAATGACACGAGTGGGGTTCGAACCCACGCACATTTCTGTAGTAGAGAGGTAAGCGCTGCTTAAATCTACCGCCTGGTGCAGAGTTAGCACGAGCACATGCACGACAGCGGTACGTTGAGCTTACCTTAGACCACTCGGCCATCGTGTCTCAAGAACTTTTTAAACAATTTTTTGGACTGTAAGATTTATATTCTTTGAGTTGAGAGGTGATGTTGACTAGACCAATCGCTCAATTAATGCTAAACGGACCTTAGGCTTTGCGTTACGTGACATCGGCAAATTGCTCCCCAACTACCGATGCTAGCTCTACCGAGCATCGCGCTCTGTAAGCGAATTCAGCCAACAACTCAAACGCACTACAAACGTGTGGTGTGTACAAGCTAGGACGACGAAAAAACGGTTGGTAGTATCAACCCCCAAAATTCGAGCGCGACGCCCTCCGTCTCCCGATCGGTTGCACCGCCCCAGGTAGAGACAGCATCGTAGTCGAGCTCGGCCAGTACCAAGAGCTTGGAGGGGATTCAGCTGTTGGAAACGTAGAGTGGAATGTCATTGCGAGGGCGGACAGCTGTAGAAAATAACTCGGGGCCCAGTTGGGGAGTGGGAGATTATGGAGGTATACCAAAAAGTCATGTACAGGAACCGCATGTAGGCTTCCCCATCAGACTGAGGTCTTACGTTGTGCTTGTATAGATAGCCCATGGGCAAGCGAGCTCGGTATCTCAACACCAGCGCGCCCTATCTCAAAGCACCTGCGTTCATCATGACCTCCTCCTTTCGCCGTCGCAACTCGAGCCTAGCCTCTCGTTGCGCCATATACAGTTCCCTGGCCTCCTTCTGCTCTTTCTTCTTAGCTTCGTGCTCCGCCTTGCGAATTTCATAGTCTTGCAACTTCTTCTTCTCTGCTTTGATCATGCTTTTGATTTTCTTATGCTCCGCTGAATCTATGTGCCATGGAGTCGACAGAACATCCTGCTTGAACGCAGCAGCCTCAGCCCAGGCATGTGCCTCCTCGTTCGTTGTAGCAACTATCCACACTCTTTTCAGATCCAACTGCTTGATGCCTCGAAATTCGGATATCGTGCCCTTTGCCTTTATGACTGTCCCAATATCCAATGGCTGATTGTCCACCATGACCTCGAAGACTCCAAACTGACTGACGACATTGACGTTGTCAATGGTAGTGATGGTAGTGTTTGACGCTGCGTCGCCAGGGTTGTGTTCTGCTGGAGGAATTCGAACGATTTTTAGTTCGATGTTTGCGCCGCTCCCGTCATCAATGGTGAGGACGGTGTACTTGATGTTAATGTCATCGATAGCTACGATGACGCCGACGAGGCGGACGAATCGAATCGGGTGATTGAGGTAGAAGTATATATGCTGTCCTGGTGTGAGAGTGTTAGTCGTGCTCATCGAGGCATCTTCGGAAGAACTACCTCGAAATTCGGGCTCGGAACCAAGACCTTGCACATCAGCAGCGGTGAGCTTCACCCAGGTATCATATGTGGGCGATGCCCGGAAGCAATAAGCCGGGTATAGTCGGTATGAACGCGTTGGTGGATGCGTTGACATGTCATATTGTGTTGATGATGCGTAAGTTGGGATGGAGCCGGAGGACGCGTCGCGGGAAAGCGCCTGTTTACGTTGTCACGTGTCAGGTCTACACTAGCATCTTGAGTGACCCGGGATGATGGCCTTCATGCAAGACATGCATACACATCACCACGCGAATGCAATATCCATCCGACTGAGCCGCTTCCACGGCCGAAGCTTGCTTCACTTTGCAGGGAGCAATCAGGGCTTTTGTGCCGCTGACAATCAGCCCCTTCGCCCTGTTCTGTGCTGCCAGCAGATGCCTCGGTGGGGCAGCACCACTTCGTCACCAGGCTTGCCCGACCAGCGCAGCTACATCACACCTCCCACCGCTATTTTAAAGTCATTCAGGGCTACTCTTTGACTCATGAACGAGCAGCTACAATCGGATGAGTTCACCGCGAGTTTGACTTCTGTTCGTTTCAATACACCGATGATGCGGCTACCCCACCAGCACACCATGGAGCTGGCCATGCTGAGCTAGCCTGACCTGCAGCAAGCCTGGAAGCTATCCCAGCTTTCCCTCGACCTTCCAAGGAGCTCCGACCAAGGTCATAAGGCAGGTTGGCACCCCGTTATCGTGCCAGATGACCGCTGCCACTTCTTTCTCACTCTCCGAGGCAGAGCCTCTTCATCTCTTACGGTCGTACTAACCAGCTCATTTGAAGTCTGACCTTCAGCTTTCAGTTGCTTCTCTGTGCTTCTTTGCTTCCCGGCCTCTTCCTCCGGCAGCCTCACGGCGTCTAGCATGATGCAACTCTTTGCGCCTTGGAATCTGGTCCTGCCACTTTTAACCTTCTGTATCGCAGAGCCGATACCAAGGCCGGAAGCTGTACCACAACAGCTTACAAACAATGCGCCTTTCTCTGGCGCGGTCTACATCGTAAATCCGAACGGTGAACAGATTGTAGCGCAGGATAGCAACTGGTGTCCATCGTCGGCGTCCGTGAGCTGTAGTAACGTTCATCAACCTAGCTGGTAAATTCAAACTATGAAAAGCTTCATACATGGACAGTGCTAACCTCTTGAAGGTGTTGTCCGGCAAACTATGCTTGTGCGGTACCCGGCAATTCGAATGGGCTCATCGGCTGCTGCCCGAATGGCAATGCATGTGCTGGAGCCGTAAACGTTGCGCAGGTCACCACCGTTACTGTCTATCCTCAGCAGCAGACTGCAGTTGTGTATGCGGAACCACCGCATACGACTGTGTATAACCAACCCAACCAAGCGCAAGGCGGTTTCTGCGCAACGATAACAATGGATGGCCCCGGTCTTCCCCGGTCAGGGCAAGGGCAGTGTGGAACGATATTGATTGTCAGTGTAGGCACACCAAGTCTGAAGACTCTAGGTGCCGGGATGAGTGTAGTCGTGGTGCTGTTACACCTAGTACTCGGAAGAATGTTCAACAGGCTTTGACAGTAAGTCGTGCCGTATCTTTCAAATTTTGACTTTGGTCGGGTTCTGCTATGATGTTACGATTTACGAGTACATGTACGTTACAAGAGCTAGATGCCTGATATTCAATTCAATCAGATATAAGCTAGTTGCCCCTCTTCGCATCTTCCTCTGCGTTTTTTGGTACGCTGATTATCTTCGGTACCGTAACGGCATTGAGGTGTCGGAAAGCCTGCAAACTCGGTCAGCATACATCCCAAAGTCCTAGTATCAGGGATTCCACATGCGAAGTGACACGCACTTTCCAAATGCTCGTCTCCCACGTGAAACTCCACAGCGAAAACGCCCACGCGACCCAATAATGCAACCACCAGAGCGGGCTCAGGAGTGGGAAGATAGAACTCACATTGCTAATCGCACCATCCGGCAACTTTCCGTCCCACTTGTCCTCCACCTTGCTAATCTTGCCCTGGTCATCAAGATGAATAGCAACCACACTCTGAATCGTCTGTTCCTTATTGATCCCCTTGATCACATATCGTGTTTTCAAGTCCAGCAAGATCGGATTACCCGCATCCTTCACCTGATGATGCAGGCGTTCAATCTCGCTGAAGGCTGACTGAAGACCGTACCATTGCGCAGCGTAGCGGTCTCGGCCAGTTGCGATGGTGAGTGGGTCGGCGAAAGTAGCGTCGTCGCGCCAGAGGGCGAGTTTAGGGAGGGAGGGGCGACCTGCGAAGAGGTCTAGGATGGACCCTACGACGGTCTGCTGTTCTTGTGAGAGCGTGATACCCGGGGCTGTTTGGACATCCTTGGTCTCGATGTTCAGGGTCGAGGTAGAAGGGATTCCTATTAGGTACTGTAAGTCTTAAAACTTCCGCAACGAGGAACTGGTATACTAACCGATAGACATCTTTGCGGTACTGATTCTGGGTATATGCTTGAATGCTGGCTTTGTGAGTGATCTTACAGACTTGGTGCAGGTCTGGAGAGAAAATGGACGCATATTGATGATACAGTCGTCGATGCGATGTTGTTATAAGTAATTGGGCATTCTTTATCCAATTACCGCATTTCTACGTGCCGCATGGCATCATACATAGCACGCGTTCGGACTGTCTCGATGTCCAAAGTCATGACGCCATTGTGTACATTGATCTGGAGGAATTTGGTCAGGGTCCCAATCTAGTGGGACTGCGGGGTATTTACCGATCAGGAGAGGTGTCCCGATCAAACGCTTGAGCTCGAAATATTAGACATCATGATCTCGCTACTATGGATTTCGACTGGTTTTCTCGATATGTTGTCGAACCGAGAGCGTCCTTAGCTTTGTATGGCTGCCCATGTGGCCTCGGGAAGTGCCCCCACCTATGTAGCTCCTCTACCGATTTCAATACCATGCGCGCGATCTTAGCGGCAAACAGTCTGTACGAGCTTCTCCCTTTTCTTACAATCCCACCAATTTAACATACATCCAGTCCATGTCTAAACATGAAGTCTGTGTATAGCTGAAGAAAGGATCTAGTTCCGAGATCATGGGGCTATGCGACTCGGAGGGGTTAGGACAGCCAGCCAACAATGCTTGGCTGCTGCCGCATGGGACTGTTCAGCGAGGAACTGCATCTCGAGGCTTAGGATATAGTCTGAGATTGGCCCGTTCGAGGTGTGTGCATTAGTTGTCGAGCACGGCTTAGGCAAGCTTTGCTTGCTTATCCTCAGTTATGTACGGCGACTTCCAGGGGTCACCCCACGGGCGTAACTCCTGGCGTAGCATCTCATTACCGTTGGTTGAACGCCTGAAGCGGTCGAATAACCAACATCATATTGGCTAGGTGAGATTATGTACAAGATGGGCTGAGGCCACATGCTGGGATGCGGCGGTTCAGCAGCACGCAAATATAGAGTTGTGGCTGTAAGCCATTGGTACAGCCGTACGTTTAAGCAATTCAGCTTCAAGACCAGTGGTCTGCTGGCTCAGAAGCGAGCATCGTGGGGTTTTCGCATATCTGTAGAACCTGCCCGTGTCGGTTCCTCCGCCACAAGATGTTGCGAACAATCTCACGCCATAGTTCCGAGACGGCGGGCGGTAGCTCTCGCACTTTTGGTAAATCCGAAGAGCACAACAAATCCAAACCGAGAATAATCTCAAAGCGCAAGATTTCCACCTCGAAACCCAAGGTTACGTTTAAAACTCAGACTTGGAGCGATTTGGCATCCAAACCTAGCGCTACACACAAGGCTAGGACCACAACAGTGACCAGGCTCACATCGCCAGGCTCGAATGACTCTAGACTTGGGACCAAGCGACATAGCCGCTTTGGATCACTCTTCATATCTCTTCTGGCAGTCAGTCCCATGGCGATCGAATTTAATGCAACGAATCAACAGACTATCGAAGCTGCTCAGAAGGCTACTACGCAGCCTACACAACCAACACCACCGAAAAAAGCTTATATACGGCCAGGCAGCGGTGTGAGGCCTTCAGAGACCTGCAAGACGAAGTGGAAGCGCCTGAAGTACGAGGTTAGGCTAAAAATGAAGAGTCGAAGTAAAGGGAATAGACAGGAGAGAGAAAAGTGGACACAGATAGAAGAGTTGGAGCTAGAGGAACTGAAGGTTGAGGAGAGGGAGAGTTAGAACGAGAGGAGGGATGACATGATGTAGACTTTGCTTCATATTGTTTTGCGTACGCGCCGGCCGCAGGCTTTAGTGGAACAACCACAAAATGCCAGTGTAGCTCGGATCAATGTTGAAGGCTACGGCACCCATAATGGCGACAGAAGAGGTGGTTCAGGGTGCATTAATGGGATGGCGAAGGAGCGATCTAGAAAGGACCCGGGCATCTTCATCACTTATTGCGCAAGCGGGCTTCTACAACAAGTCGGCTTATTGTACATTACACTTTTCTCGACTGCTTACCGGAGGCTTTAAAGCCTTATAGGTAAAGCCACGGACCCTACTACTGTAACATTTGGCGAATTGAAGCGTTCAACTTTTATGACCAGCAGTTGCAACACTCAATATGCGTTCTTCCAGTCCAGGAATATGGACACATTCAATGCCGTTCTCTTCCAGCTTTGTCCTCCCCTGATTCTCACCCACAAACTTCTCCGGCTCCTTCACGCCCAGATAGACTTTCTTGATTCTCTGTTCCCCGTCTTTGCCTTTGGTACGGATGATACGGTCCGCGCATGGCAAGTTGCCGCTAAGCCGTAGATTGCACGGCTCCATAGTAGTGTAGATGACCGTGTTGGGTGGCAGTGCCTCTCCAACTCTCTCCTCTGGTAGGTCATGTGCTTGAGCAAACTTGAGAAGACAACATTGCTCAGCGTGTGTATTGCCTTCACACTCCAGCGTATAGCCTCGAGCTAGAATAGTTCCAGTGTCTTCGTTGACTAGCAGTGCCCCCACGCGGAAGTTGGATGGCTTTGGTGGTGATTCGTGTGCCTGGTCCAGGGCGAGACGCATGTACTGCATGTGATCATTGGGATCTGGCGCTGGTGCTGGCGGTACCGGACCATCCCACATCCGAACTGGGCCTTCCCATTCTTCGGGCATCTTGATAGTGATAGTGATAGTGAGAGGGAAGTACGAAAATGATCTTTAGCGGATTAACGAGTGTCTTCAAATGAGAGACAGGTGGGCCGTGCTAGCCCCGGCTAAAGTCCGACTTCACGTTGTGACGCGACGCGTCGTCGAGCTTAGCGCCACTAGCTTTAGTACACGCACACTTGCATCACGAAAGAGAGGCAAAATCATGGTGCGCAGTTCTCGTAAAGCGGAGCAAAAAGCGGAGAAGTCGCGCAACGATGCGTTTATCAATGACGAAAACGACGAGGAGAATATCGAGGCAGAGGATGGCCCACCTTCTATCGATCCGTACGAGGTGCTCGGACTCGAGACAGAAGCCACAGCCGACGATGTCAAGAAAGCGTACCGCAAACTCGCACTGAAGCATCATCCAGGTATGTTCCCTTATCGTCACTGCAGATTATTGCTGACTGCGTTTCAGACAAGGTTGCCGAAGACGAGAAGGAAGCAGCGAACAAAACATTCCAAGAACTCGCATTCGCATACGCCGTCCTCTCAGATGATCGCCGACGCAAGCGCTACGACCTCACGGGAAGCACTGCCGAGACTCTCGAAGGCGATGACGATTTCGACTGGCTGAAATTCTACCGCGAACAGTTCGAGAATGTCGTCAACAAAGAAGCGATCAACAAAGTGTCAAATGAGTACAAGGACAGTGATGAGGAGCGACGAGACATCATCAAGGCATACAACAAGTCAAAGGGCAACCTCCGTGCAATCTACGAGCTAGTCATGCTCTCTGACATCCTGTTGGACGACGACCGGTTCCGACAAATCATAGATGAAGAGATCGCAAAGGGAACGATTGAGGTATATCCCACGTACGCAAGAGAGACGGATGAGACTCGTCAAAGCGCAAAGGATGCCGAACAGAAACGGCGCGAGGACTACGACAGGCGCCAAGGCAAAAAGGGAGAAGTAGAACAGACGACCGGCAAGCCCAAAGCAAAGAGCAAGAAGAAAGGTGCAGGCGACATGGCAGATCTTGCAGCTCTAATACAGCAACGACAGAAGTCAAGAGCAGGCAACTTCTTTGATAATCTGGAAGCGAAGTATACGTCCACGTCACGAGGCTCGAAGCGATCAACACCCATGGAGGAACCGCCCGAAGAGGCGTTCCAGGCTACAGCAGCAAGGAAGAAGCAGAAACAAAGTGGTCGCTCTAAGAAGAAGGCTAAGGATGAAGACGAAGATGAGGAGATGAATCTTGGTGAAGAAGATGTAGGTGACTCCGCTGAAGAGCAGGAAGAAGCCCCGCGTAAAAGGAAGGCAAAAACTAAGACGAGGGGACGTGGACGGGTTAGCACTGCGGCTTAAGGTTATTATCTAACCTCGTCGTATGCTACTTGCATATACAATGATTGATGGATGGCGTTCAAGGGTAGGAACAGTCAGCAACTTGCATAGCACGGTGTTCGGTCTTTGGCACAGGCCTCATTGATAGCAACCGGACAGGTCGATGCGCGACCAATGATCCCGGATGCAAAAGGTTATGTATCAATTCCCTCAATATTTATCGGGCCCAGTATGCTCGTTCTAGGCTCTAACGAGGTTCTCTTTCTTTCTAAGAGCTACACATCTGTTTACTTTGAGGTTTCTCTGCCTTGGTCGTTTGCCATGTCAGTGATTCATTTCGTACTTTCATCATAGCAGTGATTCATATAGCATTGTCCACTAACGTACCACTCTCCATGTCTCTACCTGCCCACAACTTCCTCCACCGGCTACAGTATTTACTCACTCACCTTAGGTACTGGCGCTACATCAGCAAACGCTCTCCCCAGTTACTCTACACTTAACCTGGTTTGTTATCGCATTTGCTGCTTAGCTTGTGATCCAACTCGCTTTCACTTCAAGTTTTCCACGTGCGAAATCTGGTCCACAAGGCCACCACGCTCGAACCACCTCACCAAACAACATTACTATAATTCTATCGCTTGGCGCCATTACGTTGTCTCTCACCTGTCGATCTTGAAATCAGGACGTAATCGACTTCAACTTTGTAACTTCAGAGGGCATGCTGACCAATCCCAAGACTCCAACGGCGCGTAAGGTGCGTGACATGGATTTGAAAGCTACAATTGAGTACATTCTGACAGACAAAGTGTCCACCGACTGCAACAGCGTCTAATTCAAGTTCGCGAGGCTCTACGAACGGTCAACAGCAGCGGAAACTGTCTACAACCTCACAAAACTCCCAACAGCGAAAGACATCTACTAGCTCTCAAGGATTACCAATGGCGGGCAATAAGCGCAACGCTAAGACTGAGGTGAGTTGGAAATTGAGGGCATTGCAGGCAACAGGATCATTAATGCGATGAAAGGGCTCATCGCGGACGAAGAACACGAAAACACCTGCGGCCAAGGGCGACGTTCCGGCGACCCAGAAAGTGCCACCTCAAAAGAAACAGAAGATGGATGATGAGACGATGGATGCAGTGAGTATCAGTCTGATCATTTCAGAAGGAGTAGACACTCCAAAACGAATAGCTGCGCTGAATACCTCATAGACAAAACACCAAACAGCCGCAACTTCTCCTCCAGCCCAAGCCCAAAGCCAACTGCTTACACTTATACCGACACCCCAGCAAAATGTCCACTCCAACCAAGGCCAAGTCGGCGCTAGTACCATGGCGACTGATCTGCTTCTTCACACCATCCGCAACAATTCTAACCTTCTCCCTGCCGACCCATCCCATGGCCCGATCAACAGCGCTCACATCGACAACATCGCCCACGCTATGTGGCAACTTGCCTTCAAACACGAAGCTATGCTGCAGCAAGCATGCAACTACAGCGCCATGTTCTCAAACCTTAAGCTTTCAGCGCTGGCAAAGTTGAATTTTCTGCCGAGTTGGTGGTTCTTTAGAGAGATGACGGTGAAGACGTTGGGGGAGGGAGGGATGGGATGGAATGTGGATGATAGGGAAATGGACAAACTATGGAGAGAGGCGTGCTATTGGAGCAGGGAGTTGATGGATAGGAATAGGGCGGTGAGTGCGGGTGACTATGGTGAGAGCGGCGTCAAAGACGAGAGATGGGGGAACACGTAAGGAAATGATAGTGGGTAGAAGCTTGTGGAGTGAATAGCTTCGCGCTTCCGGGATTACTGGGCGAAATGGTACCGGTGGACAGAGGAGTTTTATAATCTTTTCCAGCTGCTCTTGCTCCTAGTTAGAAAAAGCGATTTGTAATTATCCGGTTCAGAATTACGAATAGACTCCTCGCGATTGCCATATGCTAGAGCGCTTCATCAAGACACATCTAGAGTATGGCTAGACAGACTTGGTTCTAGTGTATTAAGAAAGAGTGTCACTTTAGCTTTTATCCAAGCGGACTCTTCGCTGCACTTACTTTCTCGCCCTCCATGAAATATTGGACGAGTTGTTCTCGATGTAGACCTTCATCAAATCCTGAAGAGCCCGAGGAATGAAGGTTGCCGGAAGATTAAATTACAAAAACCATTGTCCCCTTTGGTGGGCTACCATATTAACGCTTTCACCTGAATAAGCCCTCTAGCCACGGCTTAGATATGATAGAAACAAACCACACAATGTGCATCTATCGTCCGCTTCACTCCCGTTTCGACTTGTGTCGAGATCACATACAATTTCATCTCGTTACAGATAAGCTCAACAGGTTTTCAGTCAACCAGACATAAGTTCGACCACATCTACAACACTTCTAGTATTAACCCCCGCCCTTATGATCCAACGATGACGCAACCTCCGCTCAAAGGCTATGTACGCTCTCAACGATATAAAATGCCACGGAAAAACTCGTCACAAGGAAGAAAAACTCCATTTTGAAAGGGTCATTGACCATTCTACATACCATTAACATACATGTTGAAAAATAATTTACGAGCTAGTATATTCATAGATATGAACACGGCTACTCCAAGATGAGGATGAAGAGTCATCGTCACCATAATCTATTATTTCATCATCAGAGAAGTTGTTTGCCCCCTCCCGCCACGGCTCTCCAGGCGTAAAATTCCATGGGTACCACATTAGTATCTTATCCACACGCACAAGCTTCAGTTTACCATTATCAAAGTCCTTGTCATCGTTTTCAATCAACTTACTTGTCTTTATCTCTTCACGGAATTCGCCAGTCTCCACCATCATCCTCAACCTCTCAAGTACTTCTTTTCTGCCGCTAGCCCAGAATACAACTGGTCCACCATATCTTCCAACACACGGTTTGTCTTTACTTTCCTCCCCATTCCCTTCACCCCAGTGATCGGTTGGACATTTCAGACTTTCCGGTGTGCCGTCGTAGACAATTAGACGCAAGTACATACGCAAGCCGCAATATGGGTCATTGGGGCGCTCCACATAAGCACCGACTCCAATTTTCCCCATTTGCAGCATATTTTGACTTTCGATGTATGTACGCCGCTCGTGGTTTTTCTCGAGAGATAGTGTGAGAACAGAGCATTGGGTGCATATACCGATGGTTTGCCCTCGAGCATTGTCGTAAAACTCCTCCTTTTCTTCATAGCGAGTGCCCTCGGCTTCTTCCCGATTGAATGTACAGGGACTTCCTGAGAAGCCGTGGTCCCACTGATTTTGGCACTGAACGACGGCGGCTGGGTTCGCGAAGTACAGCATCTTGGCATGGTCTGAACCATAACTCTTGTGAATATCGTGGTTATAATTCTTGTCAATTCTCCTGTAGCCACGTTCCCAGAAGGCCCACTCCTGCGGAGAATGACTTTGCCAGTGGCATTTAGGGCAGAGCCAGAGGCCTCTATTATCGACTACAAAGTTTGTATATGAGTGAGTTGGTTCCTTGTTATATATATCCGCGAATATATCCTCGACAGCATAACTTTCAAAGTTAAGGGGTGTTGCGAGGTCTTGTGCCATCTCGGATAGGATTCTGCTCTAGAAGTTGAATGTAGAATATATATATGCTGATAATAGATAGTGTTTAGCAAGAGACTGTTATGTGTGCGAAGAGCGACGAAATATGCAGCAAAAATCCAGCTCTTATAGTTGGTACCTGTGAGTCCTCCATGTTGACGCGGTGGTCTGACTCTTGAATGACTACTCGCGAGATGACTATAGGGCACGCCTTCTTGAAGAATTCTTGCTTATCTATAGTGACCGTACTCCTATGACAGCATGAGGATGTTATTGCAACACAAGTGCCGTGGTTTGTACTATCTCTTCTAGTATTGTGATTTGCTATTCCCCAACGGGCCGCACACATTACCCGACTGAATTTTAAGTTCTTATCAATTCAATGCAGCTCTTATTATCTTGGTAGAATGTATGCAGGTGACAAGGTTTGTGTGTTGTGCGCAACTACGCTAGTAGTTAGAGTGAAAGCGCCAAATTCCTCAATCTCAATCTAGTATCTACGAAGATGACGTCAGGTGAGCTTGAGGCTTAATTTGCCATCTTTTGCTACTATCACGGAATTGGCTCGTGTAGGTTTAATGGGATAGTGAAAGGTGTTTTGGCAAAGGATATAGTGAAGCGCAGCTCCACGCGCACCTTGCACCTCGCAACCACACCTTTCTCTTTCACCAACCACCTGCCTCCCGCACCGTGAGACCTCTTCACCTAAGGTTAGCTTTAGCAAGCGCGTTTCTTCGTGCGACGTCCGCACGCTTGTTTTCCTCTCCTTTCACAAGCGCGAAGCTCTCTTCCTCGTTCCGCCTCAATCTCCCTCCCCGGCCACTTAAGATATTGCACGCGGAATTTCCCGATAAGTTTCCATTTAAATCATAAATTTGGACGTGTGTCTGCCTCCCGTAGACGTCAATCGGCTTACTCGCGCACCACACCACTGCTGGCGGCCATCATGCCACCCAAGCGCAAGCAGCTCGAAATCGACACCGCAAGCGATTCGCGCTCTCTCAATCCGGACAAGAAGATCAAAATTAGCTCGCAGTCCTCATCAATCGTCACTTCAAATTCTACCGTTAAGCGAAAACAACCAGCAGACGGCCCAGCCTCTCACCCTCCAGCAAAGAAGATCAAGCCGAGCCTAAAGCTATCGCTAAAAGTCGCCCCCAAAGCCACAACGAAGAGCAAGCGTGAGAACCCATCTGAAAGCTCAACAACGAAATCTCATCTCATCCCACGCGGCGTTCGCAAGAAAGCCACACTCGGACAGCGAGACGATGCTTTGTTGCGCATGCTCTGCGACGACTCCAAGACCAACGAGGTCAAGGAGTTGCACTTTCGCAAGATTTCTCATTCAATGATTGACTGGAAAGACGCTAAACACATCCGTGACATCAACGCGTGGAGAAATCAGATCTATGGCCGAGCTGGGCTGAAGGCTAAGGAGGTTGTAATGTGGCACGAAGAGGAGGAGCTGTGGTTCGAGCTATACTTCCACTTATCCATTGCAAAGTCTCGGACGCATGGAATCCTACTGCCAAAAGCCAAAGCGGTATTGGATGCATTCAACGAGACATTCGTCGGAAGCGTGTTGAAAGACAAGAATGGGAATGAACTTGAGGCTCGCGGCGAGCGTCAACCAAATGCGTTCACATCCAAATTCAACCGAATCTGTCCACATCTGAGATCTCGGCTACAGCAATGTGTATTTGGAAAGTCTGGTGACACCTTTGTTCCCAAGGTCACGCAGGCCATGCTAGAGAAGTACCAGCAGATGAAGGCTGAGATGTTTGCCAAGGGCATCACCAGCGAGTCAGTTTACTCCGACAACCTCCAAGAGTGGCAGAACTTCTTTTCGCATCTGCCAAACCATAACGCCTTCGAGATGCCTGAGGTGCCCAAGGATTCGGTGAACACTAAGGAAGATGACGCTGCTGCTACCCTTATCAGCCTTGCTCACCAGCCCGTTAACATTCAAGAGTCCGCGTTGATCAATGGTATGTTGCTATCGAATGCTCTTATATCAACATCACTAACCTCAACTCAGCCGCTCAATCAGGTCATGAGAGTATGACGCCTCCGCTTACTCCTCCCCAAGAGGTATTTGACGCTGCTATGAAGCCTTCCGATCAGTTTCGCTCTACTATAGCTGATCCGGAATCACCATTCAATGTAATCAAAAACAAAGCCACCTCGAAGCTTCATCGAGCATCTCCTAACTCAACCTTGTGGCCCATACATGGCCCTCAGACTCCGGTCGAGGGTACACAGTCCTTAGATAATCACGCTTAGTATAAAAGACGAGAGTATTCATTCATTTATGTTACGCGCCTACAATAACCCTCTTATCGCCGGCGATGGCAAGAAAGAATTGCTCGTATCTGCTACATCAAGATGCTAGACACCATCACTGCGAAAGAGGAGCTTCCTATCATGGGGTGCATTTACTCCTCGAAATGGGTCCTAGAAGTTACGATTGTCTCCTTATTTCATCGACACTGCTTCCTCGAGGTGAATTCCCGGACGATGACTGATGGCTCAAATTGTAATTTTGATTTGAAAGTGGCATCTCAAGAAGCTCTTTGGATGACCAACCAACCTATCACGAAAAAGGTTAGAGATTATCTAGACCTCGTCCGTTTGGTACCCTATTTCTGCTTTGCACACGCTATGTATCGTGCTCTCATATTTACAACATGCCTGCGTTGCGTCGGAATGGCACGTTTGCGCACTTGTTTTGAACATGTTCGCTAATAAAAGTGCGAACGTGGGCCGAAACCCATTTTGCTGTATCGTTTCTCAAAAGTTCGGATAGTTTGAGCTCCGGGCTACTTGACGTCTTGTAAAGGATTTTACGCCTTCTCCCCTGTGTATAGCTGGCGCATCCTAATACTCACGTATGCGGAACAGTATCCAAGCGACACAAGTATCTAACTGGTCAATGAGAGAGGCAAACAAACATGAAATACACGTCTGAATGCTGAAAGTGATGCATCCTCTCTTCCTGTGGTCTCTGATCATCCCGCCCCAAGACCACGCCTGTAAATACCGCCATGCAAAAGCTCTTTCCTCATACCATCTCCCCCACCAATCTGCATAAGAGACCCTACGCGAACCGCACCCCCCTTGTTACCGCACACTAAAAAAGTAGATTCAGGAGGAAAGGAACGTGAGCTAGGGCGAGAGGTAATATCTAAAGCGTGGAATGGGCGTACGGGCTGCGGCTAACGTTGACTAAGAGGAGAAAGGCGAGGTGAATTTGTGTAAATGACGCTCTTCAATGGAATTTTCTCTAATAGGCGCAGTCGAAGTAAATCTTCAATGAACAAAGTAGTTAAGAGTGTAAAAAGTATGAAAAGGCTTTGTTTACGTTAGCGGATCTTCCACTACAGCGTCGATGATAATGATCAAATCTAGATCAACTCTATCATTTAATAGAGATGATTCAAAGATCATGTTAACATGCCATATCTAGTGGCTTTGTTCCTAAATGTTCTTGTGTCGAGAAGGCAGAGAGTAGGAAACCAGGGAGCATATAAATAACGCAAGAAGATAATAAAAGTTCCAATAAGACAAAAAGAGACAACGAAATGTGGTTGTCGATGTTTAAGGGTATGCTGAGCGGAACGTTTGTTGATGCCGGAACGCAGTCGTCGACGCGTGGGATGCCCCATTATGAACTGTTTCGACTGTTGAATACGACAACCCATGAGTAAGGCTGATAGGTGGGCAACACTGCTCGAAGATGTCGATTTGTAGAGACATCTGATGTCATCATCCTAACTTTTCGAGGGCTAGCATTTGACAAGAAATGTAACTGTGAAAATTCAATGCTTTACCCTTGCAAGAAGTCATGACGCATTCGGGAACCTCAGAACAACAATTGCATACCGTTCCCTTCCACCCATCGCGAGATCACTTAGCGCTCGACATCCATGGTATCAAATTCCACTCGTTCTTACACATTGCCCCTAGAAATTTATCCGTCAACAAGCTCAACGATGTCACCAAACTCCTGAAATAGCCATGGCTCAAGGTCCTTGAAGGCTTTGGGAACAGGTTTCCCCTTGGCTGCCACGCTCTCGACTGACTGAGCCTCTAGCATTCCAGAGGCATCATCTTCTTGAACTATAGATTTTGCGGTCGATCTTCTATAAGAGATGGGCGGGACAACATTAGGCTGCTTGAGCTCCTTCAGCTCTAGCTCTTCCAGCATGCTCTGGCTTGGCTTCACTGTGACATGTGAAGCCTGAGAACTTTCTTTGTGCTCCAAGTATAGGAACTGAGGTGACTGTGCTGAGGCCTTGCGAAGGTGAGCTACAGCTGTGGATGTTTCTTCGGGAGCGCTAGAGCTGTCAACGCTATCTCCTTCGATGTCCAGAAGTAAGTCTTCTTCTCGGTAATTTGAATTATCCATCAGGTCTGCAGTTTCCCCCAGGGCTAGCATGACATCTGTTTTCTCACAATCCTCTGTTCGTAGGCTTTGTGAGTCCGCTAGCCCAATCATAGCATCTCCGAGAAGGGAGTCGTCATCACCAAATGTCTCGGACCCACAAAAGGTGACTGTTGCTGTCGTTGGGTAATCCATATCCTCATCAAGTTCCGGTAAATCACTAAATTGAATAGGGTCTTGTGTGGAGCGCTGTTGAGGGGCACTAAAGAGTGAAGAGGTTTCGGTGAATTTTACATCGCCGTAGTCGCTCGATGACTGGGGGCGCTCTAGAGAGGGCCGATGCATGAAAGCCAGATTATGTTCACCACCCTGAGAGTAACAGTAGGCCGGTTTCTTGTGCATGACCGAGTGAAGAGAAGAGGGAATATCCTTTCTCTGGACAGTCTTGTGTAACTGATGCAGCTCGCGAAACTCTCGGGGCCCGATGGTGGAATAATCATCCGACTTAGTCTTCTTCTCTTGTTGTGTCAGGTCCAGCTCCTCGATTGGAGCGGAGCTCTTCCGTTTCAAGGTTGTGAGTTGTAATTTCGTCTGCGTCTCCTTCCCTTTCTGACTTGCTTCCACCTGCCTAGGCTGAGGCTGTTCTTCACCCAACGAACCACGCTTCGTCATGACTTTTTTCTTTGTTGGTTTGTCCATGCCATCCTTACAGCACATATGTTTGCAAGTAATTCTGTTCTTGCAGGGGTGATTACAAGCCCATTTCCCATTCGTAAGCTGTACTGGCTGTTGGACATGGTCCTCAGCAGTGGTTTTCGTCTGCTTTGCTGTACTGTTGTCTTTATTGGACCAATTTTTTGGAGTGTTCTTTTGTGTGATGGCATCGGTAGGATTGATGTAGTTGTCGATGTGATCAAACTCTAGATAGTCTAAGGAAACCTTCATGAGCTCGTTATCGTCGATGCCATCATCTCCAAAATCTTCACTACCAGCCGATCGCTTTCGGGCTACTTTGGGTGTTTCTGTGCGGCGTTTGGACATGTTGGGTTGATGCGATGTGTCCAATTCAATCAGCTTAGGGGCCGGAAACATTGTGGGGGAAATCTGCGGTTTCACCGTTGCTGCACGCATAGTGCCCGCTAAGAGCTATCAGCGATTTCGATATGTTGAGATGTGAAGAACTCACCAATCCCATCACACATGACATAACAGTTGATGCTCTGATCTACGCCCGTCAAGAGTACTGGAAACACTAAGCTCTGTCCAGGACCTAGTTTTGGACCACTGTTCAAGATTTAGTAAAATAGAGAGACATCAAGATGCAAAGGCTACTTCCCTGATACGAGCGAAATGTATTTTGCGCCCGTCAGAAGTCTCCGCAAGAAGACAGACATAGACTGGTTTACCGGCGAAACGATGTGGCAGCTTCTCGTTGATGAATCCAATCTCCGCTTTGACTTGGATCTTCACCCCATTCGGCACTTTCGTGACCTATCGGCAATCAGCACCCTTTATTCCCACACAGAATTGACGGAAGAGCTTACTGATGGCGGCTGCACGTGAATTGACACACGAAGCTTTGGAAATTGTTTGACCTTATCTAAGATCCTGAGACCGAATGGAGGATTTCTGCCAACAATAGTCTCGATGCGATGGGGGTCGCAACCTTCGAGGTCATCCATGCATCTGATACCAGCGTTGACAAACTTCCGAACCGCGACGACGCCAATGCCTTCAATCTGCTTCATTTGCAAGGGGCTGTCATCCCATGCTCGAGCACCTAGGCTTCGTTCCAATAGCAGAGCGCTGTGGATACTTGTTGCATCGTCCAAACATATTTGACAGTCGATAATACATCGAATCAAGCTGTGGATGTTTTTAAAGACTATTTGAGTCTCTGCAATGTACTGTGATTTGTACTTGACCATCTCGCCGTCCCAAGAGATATCTGCAGATCCGAGAACAGATTGAATGATTAAGGACACTTTCTGGGCAGGCAAATCCAGGTTGACGGGGATGGACCAGCGAACCGATGGTGACTTATTGAGACCCTTGTAAAAACCTTTCTCACCTTGTCGAAAGCGTATGTTGGAAAATTCGGAAGCCTGAGAGATGGCCGATAGCTGGTGGCTTTGTCAGTGTCATGGGTTCAAAAATCTATCGCTAGGAATAACTCACGATTTCCGAGGGCGAAGATCTTGACTGAAGACCCATGAACACTTTCATAGTTGAGAAGTGAACGTAGTATCGCGCCATAGCATGACCAAAATCTGTGCATCGGAAGTACTCTTGGCCTGAAACGAGATTGTTTTCTCGTAGTAGAGTAATCCCACGGAAACAGATATCGTCTACCTGCTCTTCGATATTTTGACAACGTGTAGCACCTTCGAGCTTGTAGTGTGCAGGATTCTTCTGAAGCCGAATATAAAGAAATGTTCCACCGAGCCACTTTCTGGCCGATGGGAGATCACTGATAGTTCCAAGACCGATCTCAGCGTTCAGATGATCGATGAGGTTAAGATGAAGCTTGCTTTCCAGTAGCTTTTGGCCAGTGACCAGCGTCTCATAATGACGAACCTTAGTCTGCCGAGTCATGATGACTGCTATAGCGCTATCATCAAACTGTGGTCTACCTGCACGGCCCAGCATCTGCATCATCTCGAGATCAGAGTATTCTTGGAGACCCTCCGCCGTGAAAGACAGGGTATTCTTGATTATAACGAGGTGACATGGCAGGTTAACACCTACCGCGAGTGTCGACGTGCAGCAAATAACGTTAATCTCACCAGTCAAGAAGGCCTTCTCGACTTGCATTCTGTCGTCTAGATCAAGCCCAGCGTGGTGAAAAGCCACACCCGAAGTAACGATGTCCCGGAGGTCTTTGTTGAGTACAGCAGGTATTTTCGATGGAGGGTTCCACATGCGGTCGCGCACAGGTCTCGAGATCCACCAGTTCGCGATTAGCTTTGCGGTGTTAACGGTGGAATTCCTGGTTGCACAGAAGATCATGATTGGTTTGGACTCAGAGTACTTCGAGATTACCTCCGGAAGCCTTGCGTCGAGGCCCTTCTCGAACGCAAAGTCGTTGCTGTTGTTACAGGCATAGCCACAGACGTGTCTTCTAAGCTTCACCGGCCTAAATTCTTCACCAAACTTCTCGTACGCGGCGGGAGAATATGGCTCTGTCGTGCTTTTGCCCAACCAGGCTGCCACGTCTTGAAAATTTGGGACCGTTGCTGATAAAGCTACAAAGCGGACTTCGGTACCGATAGATTTCATCCGCGAGATGACCGCTTCTAGGACTGCGCCACGGTCCTCCTTGAGAATATGGACTTCGTCAATGAGAAATAGTCTAATAAGTCGCATCAGCTTTTCATGATCCTTCCACTTTCTCGTGATGCTGTCCCATTTCTCTGGTGTCGTAACAATAATATTGGCGCTCTGGACGTTACGAAGATCTAATGCATCACTGTCACCCGTAAGTTCAGCACACTTCAGGCCAATCTGATTGAACTTCGTCTCCCAGTCACGCTGGCGTTCAGAACATAGCGCTTTTGTCGGCGCCTGGTAGATGACCTTGTACTGGCCAGTTGCGCTGGTGGCAACAGCCCGACAGATGGCTAGCTCCAAGATAGCTGTCTTTCCACTTCCAGTAGGTGACGCGAGTACGAAGTTATCGCCAGAATTGAATACTTTGTCGAAGCACTTAGATTGGACGGCATTGAAAGTTGGATATGGGAACACCGTTCGAAGCCGATCTGGAAGACACGTAATTGGCACTAGCCGAATACCTTGAACAATAGGAGGGGCATGCAGTAGGTCCATCTGCCTAAGTGTTGACCTCATAGGAGTTATATGTTGATACGAGCGCTCGACATGATGTTTCGGTTGTGCGAGAGGGAACCGTTCTTCGTGTTCAAGTGTCTGAAGATTGGTCGAAATGGCCTGTTGAAGAGGTTGCGTGGAATCTTGGTTCTGACCAAATTGAGTGTGTCGCTCATTCCCAAATGACTGCAGCCCTGGGGCATGTTGTTGCGCAACTGGGCTGTTCTGCTCCGCTCGACGACGGGCCGCCCTCAAAGCCGGACTGGAGGATGGTCCAACTTGCACGTCAGAGCTAGACCCAGGTGGCTGAGTGTTACCGTAGGCGAAATGACCTATGTCACTATCAGCATCCGATTAACCATAGTATCAGAGCAATGAACTCACTCAATTGTCCGAAAATGCCCTGCTCAGGGCCACCTTGGTGTTCTGTCATTAATTCAGCAGCAATACAATGACCGCAAGAGACCATGCAAGTACCTATTCCGGCGTACCCGTCGTCGTCGTCGCGAGAATAATACTGGGTCTGTAACTGGGATGGCGCAGCATTACTGAAGTACTTCGATGGACCAGGAGCAAGCGACAATCTTCCCTTCCCTTGCACAGCCTGTCGCTGGCGGTCTTCATACGGTTGTTGCATTGATTTCTGATCTATGATCGTCAGTAACATCATCACTACACTCAGAGTACACTACGAACCGAATGCGTCGAAAGACTCGCCTTGGCTGTATTGGTCATCGTCTTCGACTACATCGTAAATTGGGCGATCGTATTGAGTAGCACGATAGCGCTGTCGTGGTGCAACCGGCGTTGCTGGCTGGTTGAGATGAGCGGCAAAGACCTTAGAACGCGGTGCCTGATGTGCGGAGTCTCCACGGTCGAGATCTTCGTGCAGGTAGTAGTCGTCATCGTCACTCATTGCGACTGCAAGAAGGCTAGACCTAGGATAAGAAGGAAACAGAAATTCAAACTAAAAGATCGAACAGAACGATGGCGCCGAGTAATTTCGGGCTGGTGTGGCGAATATCTCGCGAGAGGTGAGAGACGTCGGGGTGGAAGGGAAGGGACGCTGGGGGGAAGTCGCGACCAGATGTATCGTCACCTCGTCTCGCCAATCAACGCGACAAGGACAGTTTTGTTATGCATTTCATGCTTCATTTAGCAATATGTACTGCGCGTCTTACCAAATGCTCCGACATTTGGGCCCATGTCTTCGACACACTTGTCTATAGGAGTCTAATCAGCATCGGGTAGCTCAGGGCACCAAATATGCACAACAGCCCGCTCTCCGAAGTTCCCATGCTATTTCAAGGCCTTTACTGGCAAAAATAACGTCGCTCATAGAGATAGTGCGAATAACGGGCTGACGCGGTGCGCTGCAACTCGTTCATGTGAGATGGCTCTGCCTCTTTTGTCTACGACTTTACATCAACGGGAGCTCATGCATCTCGTTTGAGAGATCTCCGTTCTTTCGTGGGCGTACTAGGCCTTGAGGTGCTTGATCCATTTGATCGGAGTGGACCTTTTGTGGTACTGCCATGCACATCGTCATACTCGTGAGACAATGGATTGCGATCAACAGTCGTCTTCTCAAAGTTTGCAATCCCTACCGGAGTCTGAAGGGGGGTTCGCTCTGGTTTGGTGTACAAGTATGTCGCGAATAGTACAACACAAGTGCCGAGAAAGAACTGTGTCGTGTTAGTAATAAGACTCTCAAGGCACTCACAACACTCACCGATCGGGTGATCTTAAAGTTAAAGAAGTATACGCTAGCAATGCAGCTGAATAAAATCGAAATCGACGTTGCGAAGTTCTTCGCGATGTTGTCCGCGTAGTTGATGACTAGTGCCACGATAACGCCACCGGTTGCCTGGAACATGATGGCTGTCCACACGACCCAATTGTATCCGGCGAAGAAGCCCGTCTTCGCTATGATCTCGCCATCTTTCCACAAGACGCCGAGAAACAGCGATGGGAATAGAGACCAGAACGAAAGCTGACAATTGCGCACCCACAGTGATGTGTTTTTGGCGCTTGTTGAATCTTTCAAAATCTTCTCGAAAGTGACTCCAGCAAGGCCGGACAATGCACATGCGACCAAAACAGCAATCAGACCAACCTGACTATTCATGTGTGCAGTTTGCATAGTGCCATCTTCCTTGATACCCTCGTATGAAGCGGATCGCCTTGCCATCCGTGCTGCAGCATGACTACCGAGGTTGTGCATTGTCTCAAGTGTCCGCGCCCAGACTTTCGAATCTGCTGCCTTCAGCGCGTCCCCGGCTGGCTGAGAGGTGGCCTGCGGGACCTGTATTATGGACACGCCTATTATGAGAAGCAGTAATGATATCCATTTGCGCGACGAAAGCGATCTACCCAGCATCAAGACACTGAAGATAGCAGTCGTAAGGATCTTCAGCTGGTATGTGACCTGGAATGTGGCCGCATCCAAATTGCTAACTGCGACGTATTGTAGTGTGTTTTGGATCGTGTATAGCACTGCTGGTATCGCGAGCTTCCAGCTCTCGTTCGCAAACACGGCGGTCGTGAGGTTGGAGAACAGGGTCGCTGCGGTCGTGTTCGGAGACGCGGTTCTCGACATCTCGTATAATGCCTACCCACTAGATCAGCACGACTGGAGGACTTGTTCGCATGTGTTGGCATACCATGGTCAAACTGATGCCTAGTTTTATCACCTCGTTCAAAAATACGCTTGTGCTTGTGTGATATCTCTGCCCGCCAACCAAGGGCATAACTCTCGAGTAGTGCATGACCTGAGATCCCGTCAGCCTTTTCTAGGGCCCTTTTGTCCTTGTCTGTCCATTCAACTGTCCGGTCGTCGGTCGTACTACGGGCGTCGCGCGGGGTTGTCATACCAAAATGAGCGCCGAGTTCTGGAATGTGAGCTGTTGTTTATGTTAGTTTATGGGGCGAGTGAAGGGTTGGGCGGTTTCTGCGCGTACCGTGATAAGAGAAAGATGCTTCATCGACACGCCTCCCAGCGTCCCTGACGCCGTTCCTCTAGTCATAATGCCCTTTATTCCCACACTGCGTCTAAAAAACGCTTCAAACGCGTCCTCCCAAGCAAAAACCCAATTGCACGGCTGCCGTCGAAGTAGGATGGTGAACAAAGCGCAAGATAACGCGTATCAGAAAGGAACGACAAGAGGTTTACAATGTTGGCTAAGCGGCGCGGATCGAGGTCATCTTTAAGAGTTGTCAGCCCTGGCTCCTGCTAGCGACCCCAGACCGCCCTTGCGTACGGGGTCTAGTCCTCGCTACCAGGCGAAGCTCCATCTTTAGCGTCGATCCTCTAAGACTTATGATTTCGAGATAACTTGAGGGCGAACTTATCGCAAGCCAACAGGTATGTCTACAACCCTTCTCTTCCCCGATAAAATTCCGATTGCACTTGTAAGCCCATTCCTTGACAGTCCCCAAAGCTAACATCGAGGAGGCACCATCCCAGTCCTGTCGAAGCCACGACTTTCGATTCGTGAATTTTGCAATTAATAAAGCCGACGTTCGCGACATCCTGCACTTGAAATTTCATTCTGATATACGATGTCGCACGCCCAATCTTTGCTAGCATAGCTATAAGTTCGCAAGCTCCGACTCTTATCACTTGCTCTCGCGTTTTCGCATTCCCGGTTTGCATGTGTATACTATTCAATTGCTGGAAAAACACATCACAATATTTGTATAGCAACTAGTGGGAGAAAAAGGATAAACGTCTCAGGCATAATAACTCCCGTCTAGGGTCTATTCATCCGTCCAGTGCTGCACCAACTGTCCCACCAGATGGGTCAATACCACTTTGGGAGCTGATGCTTTTGGTCCCGACCTTGACCTAGGCTAGTCAGGAGGGCGACACGATGATCTTAAACAATCTCGATAGAAATACACGAATTACTTGTCTCTAGGGGATTTCTACGGTCTGTATCAAAAATGAAAGGGACGATATAAATCAACTTCATCTTGGACAAATCTTATCTCACTTGCCCTTGAAGGACCTCCAGCAACATCGTCTAGTAGATGTGCAGGCATCTCATTGGTTTCGGATAAGATCCAACCTGAACAAGGCTGCACCATGTGAATATTGTGCCTGCAGCTGTGACTGGTCAGGTCTAGAACGCTCAGCTGACTGACTGTGTGCGCAATGACCCATGATGTTCAGCTTCGCATTAGGCAACATATGTGTGCCTTTCAAGGTATGAGCAAGCAGCTATCTTCCAAGCTATGCCTCGCCTATGTCAATGATCTTCACAACAGATGGCCACCCCGTACCAGCCCAGCTGCGAGAGCGCCCGCGAACGTCTAGTGATACGGCAGGTGACCCCGCAGTCGAAACACTTGCCCCGAGGGAAAACCTCATACTTTCCACGCAGTGCCATCGTCGATGTCCTGAAGGAGTTTCCGGTTCAGGACATTTTTACTTGCAATTGTGCAAGATGTCGGCACTATGCCGGTCTTCAAGGTGGTTTAGACGATCGCAGGCAGCGCTGTTCTGATCGTGAACTTCTTGGAAAGTATGCCACCATCTATGCGCTGCTCATCTACCTTAGATATCCTAGCCTGATTTCAATCTTTCTCCGTCAAGAAGTTTCTCTCGACAAAGGCTACTTGTCTCGTAGAGATCTGAGGGTTCTCGATCAATACCATGTCCTCACAGACCGTCAGAAACAGATAATTCGGCAGGAGGTCTTGGAAACTCAACATCGCTTTCGTGTACGGCACTTTATCAAAAGGAATGAAATTACAGACGTCGACGAGCAAGAGATACTGCCGATTGTTGAAAGGAGTACTCCGATAGGGAAAGGTGATTTTGGGGAAGTCTACGCCTTTGAACTCCCTGACGAGTATGTAGACGATGATTTGAAGAAACTTCAGGTCAGTTGTGCTTCTCGATTTTCTTATATTCATTGAGATAGAATCTAATAACGGCTAGATCAAATCCTTTGCGCGAAAGATCTTCGATCGGCGTTGGACCCAGGCCGACACCGCTAAGGAATGGGTAAATCATCTTTACACCAATAGCCTGAAACACCAAAACCTTATGGAAGCTCTTGCCGCCTTTGAATATGGTGATTATTTCTTCATCGTATTTCAGCTCGCCCAGACCACACTCTGGAGGTTTCTAAAGGATGATGCAGGTGGCGTGACATTCACTTCGCAAGAGCTATGGGGCCAGGTTCAGGGTCTAGCGAGCGGACTCGCATACTTGCATGGACAGAATGTCACAGGTAACAGATGGGAGAATGGAAAGATGTATCATATGGATCTCAAGCCGTCGAACATCCTGATTGTCAATGGCATCATGAAAATCTCGGATTTCGGACTTTCTCGATACAAACCGGACCCAAATCCATCTGAATCCAGACTCATTGGAGACTCAAGACAAGACGGAGCAGGCGTCTATGCGCCTCCGCCAGGTCGAGTGGATGAAGGATGGGATGTCTACTCCTTAGGCGCTATTCTGAGTGAAATTGCAAGCTTTGACATTGGCAAGACGGTGCGAGTCGAACAATACAGAAGGGAAAGAGGAAGCGACACATTGAACGGGCAGCGCTATGGCTCAATACACTTCTATTACTCGGAGACGTTTAATCTGAAGCAATCCGTGGTTCAGGAACACTATGATCTTCTCCAAGAAGTAGAGAGTCGAGGCGCTCCGGATGACATAGATCCGCCATCTTGGCAAGAGCAGTTCTATCATCAAGGGCTTTTTGAGAATATCGAGAAAATGCTGCATCAGTCAACTGATGAAAGGCCAAAAGCATCCAAGGTTGCCGATGAGCTGGATATGCGTATCAGACAAGCTGCTAGGGTCGCCAGAGGGTCTCAACCGCGCAAAATTGACATATGGAATCACACAATTCAAGGCACAGTCATATCAAAACCGGAGCCTCCAAGAGAGGCATATAGGATGTGAGAGAAGAATCCTTCCTTCCATAGGATCCAGCAACTGACTGGAACACACAGGATTGCTTACTTGGAAGAAACCCCTTGTGGACTTTGGCTCTATCCAGATGACAAGGTCGCAATCGTTAAAGTTCGACGATTTATATATGACGAAAGGTTTCAAGAGTTGGTTATAGAGGGTATGTAGATTCCAGGATAAAACATCCCAGCAGCTGCTTACGTTGAGCCTAGTCGACCGCAAACGGCCTCGTTCGACCAGAGTGATTAAACCACTCTATGTGAATAGCGCCAATAGCTGTCAGCTGAGTTTTACACATTCAGATACTGAGACTGCGGACCTTTATAGATTTCCAGACCTTTCTGGTTAGTAAACAGTACCTTCAAAACCAACACGTACTTAACTCTTTTCCAGGAGCTTTGCATTTCCAAAGCATCATGACTGGCGAGCATGTTTATCGGAGGTAAGATACACCTTAAGTATCTAGCAGAATTAGCTCTCTTAGTAATCATCAATAGCATGAGCCTCGAGCTCACGAAATTTGCCTTTCTCAGAAAAGAGATGTTCGGTTTCCTTGGCAGGGGAGCAAATAGAGAGAAGTATTACGAGCACCAAGACGTCGCTGGTCCGGCCCACCTCCAAATCTGGACAAATTGCGACTTAGCAGATGAAAACAATGCTCCAAGTTCTCTAGATGTCACAATCGCCATAATAACGGAGACGCAACTTGATCTGGTTAAGTGTATGTAAAATCTTAAGTATTGTAACTTCCAGCTAATTACCTATCAGTCACAAATCCGAAAGGACTAAAAACGCCAATCGAGCGCGCAAACACCATCCAGCTCGTAAATAGTATAGATATGGCGTGTATCAAAACCCCAAACGGTATGCCTCTGACGCTTAAAGGCATTGAAAAATTCCGGAATTATGCCGAAAATAAACACGAAGGAGTGAGATTCTATCTGAAAGATGAAGCAGGTGAGTGTTTCTACTCCTATTCCTCTACAATTACGTTGTTCTTTGAATATAATGTGTGGAAGTACACATATCTAACCAATAATAGATGTTGCGATCTTCTGGGAAAACTTGACAAGCCTCCACAAGAGATGGGTCGAGTTGTATCCAGTATTCTTTGCCCCACCGGCCGCTATGGCCGCACCAGGAATAACATGAACCCAAAATTGCTCTATGCTAGAACGTTCCTGGTGTTGCTCTTGGTCTCGTCATCTTGGTCCAATGTAGTGGGCCTCCGAGAGTACCACCAATACCACATTGCCATAGTGATGGCGGAGACTGCGAAGGCTACTATTACGTAGATCCAGACATTTGACGCAATAGCTAGACTATGTCCGTCTTTGGTGTCTTCAAATCCGAAAAAGTTCGAACCGAAGAGCGTCTGTTGGTACTCAGATTAGACCTATCAGACTGATGTAACATGTAGAGAGTTAGGATACTCACTGCAACGAAGGTCGCTGGTAAAAATACTGAAGTGATGAGGGCAATCACTTTCATTGACCTGGTGTCCTGGGTTGACTGCGAAGTCAAGAGTCTGACAAGTTTATTCTCCTGTGCGCTTTGTTTGGAGATCTCATGCATGGCGGAATTCATTTCGTAGGTTGTCTCGGCTGAGCGAACGTCTAATATGTGCTCTATCTGGAGTGGTCGTACGTCAGATATGCTATAAAGCTCAATCTTGAGGTGTGCTTACCATCGAACCGACGCCTTCCGCTCTGCTCACCATTGTCGTCAGCTGCAAAGCATGCGTTTCGATCTGGAACATGCAGTTCCCCATCATCATCTCGTACTGACACAAGAAGCTAGCTGTTTCTTCAAGTGATGTTGGTTTCATGCGGTCGAAGAATGTCTGCAGGCGTTGACACACAGTTTTGTTAAGCTCAAGAAGGTGGACCAGTCGCTTCAACTTATCTGTCATTATCTGTAAACTTCGTATATCATCGAAGTTGGTATCAATCACTCCCTCTCGTGTAGCCCGTTTAACATTTGAGAAGAATCCTCGGTCCATCTTCACTTGTCAGCTTTTTAATATTTGCGGAATATTATCACATACCAAGGTTGAGAATTGGTCTTCCAAGTAGTTTAAATAGTCTCGCAAGTTCTCTGTGAGACAAAGAAAAATGAGTGCATGGTAACGGAATTGCGAGGTTGGACGGGACTCCTCAACACACCCGAGAGCCTTCGCTATGCGCTCGCTAAGTATCTCTGGGGGTTGGAGAAGGATCCAAGTGCATGTAGTCGAGTTGGCACAATATTTGTGGTAGACCCCCGTTTGTCGAACTGAGAAGGGGTCTTGCGGTAAGGATCGCCCATGTCGGACCACGTATTTAAAATTGTAAGAAATCTCTATTGTATTTAAGCAAGAGTTCTTCAACAGCCGAGTGGGACTCACCATAGGAGGAGTTTTGTGAGCTCGATAATGAAGGGTACAGCCTGGTAAAACAGGCGGCAAAGCTCTCCTCCACTGCTGTGATCCTCTCGCCAAATATGTGCACCACATCCAAAAAACAGGGATGTACCTCTAAAGCAGTGAGAAGCTTCCTAAAGAATTCTTCCGTGATCAGAAGCTGGCCCCAAGAATATGCTTGTGATATAGCACTGCTCCGAAGGTAAGCGGTTTTGCCTTTCCAGTGCCTGGAAGGCTCAACAAGCACTCACAAAACCCGAGTTGAAGATTGCTGCTTGAGACACAGCGCCAGTTGATAAGGAGAAGAAACTTTTACCCGCTTCAGCGCATTATTCTCTTCCGGGGAAGGCACCACTAAGGGATGTTCAGTATAGGTGTGGGTCTAAGATTTTGGAACTTAGAACACGAACCTTTGTAAGAAATCAAAGTCAACATTCCTAATTCACTTTTGGCCTCTTGGGGTAAGAAAAGTCTTTCTCCATCCTTGCTAAGCCTTTCGTTGTATCTATTTGCATCGGCATCAAAGGGAGATGTGGAGATGTTGTAAGGATATGTCTGCCACCCACTAAATAATCGAGACACATATTCTGCTGTAGCCATGGCAAACAAATAGCTTGTCACGTATTAATCTTTACCAAGTATCCATGCAGGGGACGGGCTACATATTGAGAGATGGGAAAACATGGCGGGGTACGCGATTTTGGCCGACTCAGCCGCACGCCTCATTACAAGCAGCGTCATTAGACGCTATGAGTAATTCGACCGGTCAATGATTTCCTCGCCATAAACAAGCTTGATTTACTTGCTGGGCCTCTCTAGTGTCAAACAAGAGCCCTTGGTTGGTCATTAAAGAACACATCGTAGAACCGCAGCCTAATCAAGCACCACTCTCATGTTCGCCACTGATCACCGTTGCCTGTCGAGATCCTCGCCCATTCAACTCATTATGATACATGTAAAAGCGCCTGTGGAGTTCCACTTTTTGGTTCTAGTCATCCTATTCGTCAATGAAGTCGGCACAGATTTGGGGGCTTCTCACATATTCCAACTTCCACGGAACCTCAACCTTCCATTTCCCGTAGTCGTCCGGTGGTTGCTGACGTAATTTAGCACATCATATACCGAGCGAAATAGTATCTATTGTCCTTACAATGATTTGGAAATTGCCGATCCCGAACCAAGCCGCAAGTTGCTCTTCAAGTATCCTTCGTACTGGCGTATATCGGCCCTCGATAGTTTCTTCTATCATCGTGGCGCAGAGAGGGATATTCCGTACAAGTTTAACCTTTCGCCTTTGTGACGGCTTTAAATGGCTTTCTGTTATCGCATTATCGCAAGGCTTTCTATATGGCAAGCAGGAAAAGTAGCGATTGGGCATCGATGGCCGGCCAGCGCGCGTCGTCAAGTACCCAATCTCATGCGCATGCGCCATGCTGCTGCCCTGGCCACTCTAATGCTGCCACGTCACTTCCTGTGACTTGCAAGGCTAATTTCTAGGCCCATTTGAAAGTGGCGCACGAGGCTAGAGCGGAGGGCTGACATGAAAGGCTGACTCGTAGAACTGCTCGGAAAGGCTGATTGTAATATTATTTTGACACGAACAAACTACTTGATAACGGAAGCTTGCTAGTTTTGCTCTTTGTAGCACACCTGTTCTATCGGAATATATTGAGCAACATTATATCGATATGGTTACAATACGACCCCAGACACTGGAAGACCTCGATCACTATACTGCGCATAATCTCATCTATGGCTGTATCTTAGTGAAGAAATCATTAGTGTCCTAACCAAAATGACTGGTTGTGCCTTCTCTGGAACACAGTACCAATCCGACGGCGTTACTTCCAAAATCTCAACGACTTCAAGTGAATTCTATTTGCTGGCTCAGGGTCCATGATTTCAGCTTCTGCGTTAGGCAAGCTCTGTTCGTCGCCTAGTTCAGGATTGCGAATACAGAGGCTGAAGACAACCAGCGGTACGCAGAGACCCAAACCAGTCATGGTCAGCATTCTCTGGGTATGCATATAGCTCTTAACTATGCCTTCTCTCACTGGCGTACCCATAGAGTAATTCTTCGCGTATTCAAATGGCGACGCCGAGATGTGATGTGCGACGTTACTGGTGTTGTACGGTGGGGGAAGATTTTTGAGTAGAGTAGGGATTAGGGTCTGTGTCCAGATAGCCCCAGAAACAGCACTACCAAAAGCCGAACCGATGTTGTACAGGGCGAGGTATAGAGCCGTAACGACAGCAAGGTGTTCGTGCTTAGTCGCCGCCTGTATGGAGACTTGGGTAGGGTAAGCGAAGAGGCCGCCGGCTAATAGGGGTTAACATTCTAGTAACGAGAGCAGGAATAGATAGGCCCTTACCTATGCCGAGGAATATCTGTCCCCCAATAATTCCAGCGTGACTAGAACCATCTGCTCCACCACGATATCTATAGAGGACACCAAATGCAGCGAGAAAAAGAAGGGTGCCCAAGACAATGAATGGCTGTACATAACGGACATAGCGCACAACAAGACCTAGAAGTGCGCCCGTAAGAACTGAGCAGAAGCTTCAAAGAGTCAGTAGAGAACGTTTACCTACTTAGCATCTCATGAAACTCACCTATAGAGAGAGGTAATCCGAGTGGCACTCTCAATAGACTCATCGAATGAAATAACAAGAACTGTATATAAAAAGTTGCCTTGCACATTCCAGCAGAAGTTCAACATCAAACCTATTCCAAGAGCGCCCCAGACCGCACGATCTTTTAGGAGCTGTTCAGGTAATTAGCGAGGCAACCAAAACTTGACGTGGCCAATTTACCTTGATTGGGAGCAGTGAAACTTTCGCGAACCATTTCTCCCATACGATCCATAGGGGTATGCACAAAAAACCAAAGACCAGAGGTACAATGATTCTGGGCTCTCGCCACTGCTCCCTTGCGGGTCCGGCAATTGTCAACGGAACGAGGATCAACGAAAATGTAGCAATAAGGAAGAGGATGCTTATCACATCCAGGTGCCAGAATAAAGCCACCGCAAAGTGCCACGGTCTCTTTGTGTGAAAGCGATACTCGCGTCCCGCAAACCTTTCAACTTTATGCGCTCGAACGTAAGGGATAACGAGGGAGGTAATCAGCAGAATAGACGCCACTGTGAATCAGTCAGCCTTAGATCGTATGAAATCGTTACAAAAAAGAAACAGCGGACAGCCATACCTGCAATCAAAATCCCCCACATGCCAATTGCCCAACGCCAATCTGTAATCGAAAGGACGGCCTTGCTAATTTTTCCGCTAACCCAAGTATTGATCTAAATATATGAACATCACCTTGCTGTATTTGTGCGCTCGAATACGTACTAGGAAAGGCAGCGTTGGAATATATGAATAGGCTAGTCGAGATTTCAAAGTTGTAATGTCTGCGATAATTATTTCCAAAAGCAAAATAATGCTAGTGAGCCCAATCTAGCGTATGGTCAGCATCAACCCATGTTTCCATGCATGGATTGTCCAAACCTGGTGAATTACGGCTCCAGCAAGAAATCCTTGTATGTTATGGCAAGTGGCGTCGATAATGGTACCTGGTTGGAGATTTTCAGTTTCAGCTTCACATATCAATTAATCTTGCATACCTGTGATATAAAACAAAACGCTCACGACAAGTAACTCTAATCTTCCGAAAACATCCGCGATTTTAGCAGCCGTCGGCTAGCTCTGTCAGTTGCGATAATCGAATGATCCCAAAATTTGCCGTACCTGAGTTGCCGCTCCTATCACACTGCGGAGGATATTGATCGTTGCAAGTGTTGAGTGGTTTCCGAGACCAGACGTCGCATACGGCTAATGGAACCTTCAGTAATCTTCTTGATATAGCAGATATCATGTCTCACTCACCTGGTACACCGGTCGAAGAAGATTATCAAGACCATAAACATATGCGACAAGAAAAATGCTAATGAAGATGCGCCAAAGATCTTGCCAGCGATCTGGCGTAGTAAATTCTGCCGTGATAACTTCCATTCGCCTCACACCGCGGCTGGCGTTCTCTGTGAAATCGACATCATTAAGACTAGGATTGGTTCCAGAGTAAGAATTAGTATGTGACCCAGCGCGAGAAACATTGGATCTATCTGCTTCAACCATTTCTCATTTGGCGGGAGGGACGATAAGTGTGATCTGATGGTTAAGGGTAGTTTTCATCTGATAACCGATTGCGGCGGAGGAACCCATTAAGACTCACATACATTGACGCCTTCTTTGCCTTCTCGTCTCACCATGCATTTGGAAGCGAATGGCCCCGTCGAGGCTGCATGCATGCACGCCAAGCAGACGGCGTTTTCGAACCTCACACACTGCCAAGCGAAGTAAATAGGGATCGGTTGGTTATCATTGAACACTTCTCTGTCGGCGTCGAACAGAGATTGGAAGTTGTGGCGCAGCGTTAAGCGCTGATACAAAACATGTTACTGCAGACTCTATTGCTTTCACGCTCGTTTGTCACATATATGCATAGGTGGACTGTAGTTGGAAAGCTGCCGGGGTCATATTCTCCCAGAAACATGTGTCCCAAAAAGGAGCACTGTCATCATCGCCAGTAGATCATAGCATACTCAAACAAGGTGTAGACAAAAGACGTAAGCCAAGGATGGAGGATGCAGGTATTGCCTAGTTTTGCTTGCTGCTCATGCACGCGGACCGCGGGGGAACGGAACGTTAGCACACTTCACTTTCCGGTCAATCAATATTCAGACCAGGCTGTAGCTACGCTGTCGTGCTGTAGGTTGGAAGCCAGCTACTGGGTTCCCCTTCCGGTGAAGCTCAAGCTAGTGCAATATTGGTTAATTGAGGATGATCTTCTCCTGAACGCCTCTCAGTATTTGACAGGCCTTAGCGACCCAGACGCCGCACGATCAGCTTCGTTCACGTGTTTCTCCGCTATAATAGGCGAAGCAACCCCTTCTGCATAACAATCTTATGCAAGCTGATATTGCATTTACGCCTTTTTGTCCTTGGTCGCTGTGTAGAAGCCGAGGTTGACGTGGATGAGATAAATGCACGTAGACTCCGCGGAGGTAGCTCTTACCCACAAGCACATGATTGAAACATCTTCCTGAAGGTCCTCGCACCCCTTATTAAACAGGTTGATCGTCCTGTTCTAGTCACATCGTAGTACGTATTGTGGCACCTACCTTCGATAGAAGAGCATGAGGGCGACAGGAAGAGCCTGCAGTTTCACCCAAATACTTCACAAACATCCATTGCCATTGCCAAATACGGGGACACTGCCATCAAAACCCACTAGAGAAGATATAAAACAATAGTCTCAATTCGCCGTGTGCGACATGTAATTTCGCGTCGAAATGAAAAGTGTTTGCGTCATCGTGCACATGTCAAAGCGTCTTCCTTATAGTACACCTATAAAACCTTCAGAGTCTCTTATGGCTACTAATTTATCTTCAATTCGGAGACATCGTAAACTTCAATAGATCCCATGCCCTCGAATCACAGCTTCGCCGAGTAGATGAAACGTAGAAAATAGAGCAATTGAGCGCACTGTGAAGAAGCTGAATCAAAGAAAATGTACAAAAAGAAATTCCAGGATATAGGCACCAGCCGGTCAGTAATAGTTATGAACTTATAAGCATGACTCTACTTCATTTGCTATTGCTTATATCAGCCCCAAGGTGAACCTCCTTGTCCTTTGAGGATAAACTTCGCACTCAGCCCTAAGTTCCTTCTTCTCGCCTCTTCATATTTAACTCTAGTTCCAATTCCTAGATGCAGAAACCATCCCAACGCAACCAACAGCGCCGGCCATATTACGCTTCCTCCACTCCCCACTCCCCAATCACCACCTCATCGCCCAGCTCGACACAACACACCCTAAGACACTATCGAGTCTCAAAAAGAGGGCAAAATTCGCCATCAACACCGTCCGATTCGCCGCATAGCTCGGAAGCTGCACATACGCATACAACCCCGTCGTAACCAAAGTCTTGGGCCGGGCTAGTCTTGCCGTAAGATTTTCGCCTAGATGCTTGAACGCGAGTAATTTGATCGGCGCTGCAATGGCAATAACCCCTAGGGCGGTTATAGTGTAAGACGACCAGGTGAATAGCGAGCGGGAAAGGTTATCTGGGTTCAGACACAGTATTGCAGGAGGAGCAGAAGGATAGAAGGCCGTGGTAAGCGCGTGCAGGAGACATAGGGATAAGGTAATGAGGCGTCGAGCTTGAATGCCACGGGAACGGGTGCCGAAGGTATCTTGCGGGAGGGATGCGGGTGCGGAGGAGTCCAGCAGACATAGACAAGATAGGCGGCTAGGAGGAGAGATGCGGCGAGGCTGAGGTTTACGGGGTCGTCAGAGGTAGCGGATATGGTTGCGATAGTTGGAACTTCTCAGTTTGCGATTTTGGATGGGAAGTATATAGCAGCATGGGCATAATTTGGTATGACGGATAACAAGCTCTGAGTGGGGCTTCCGCTGGGCTTGTCTCTGACTTGAAGTTGTAGAAGGAATACGTTCGAGTTTTCAACATCCAATACGATAACTTCAACAACTAGAAGTAAAAGCGAGAAAATGATAACAAGAGGGCAAAGATCTGCCTCGTAACGCTTCTCTATACCCAATATGTTCTCAATTACGACCAGGTAAGCCGCCCATGAGGAAAGGGCAAGGCAAAAAGGCAAGTTCCTGCCTTAAGGCTACAAGCCAACGGCCAACCACACACCCCATCGACACAAAACAGTGATGGTGAAGTTTCAACACGAGAGAGCAAGCCCCATGAGGCTGAAAGGCATGCCCGCACAACAACCCTTGATTAGCTTAAAGCACGTAATATGACGAAACTCCGGGATCACAGTGTTGACCGGAGAAACGCCATGATAACTATTATTAGTAAATGCTCGAAAACACTTGTTTTGTGTCATAGAAAGCGAGAACGGCACTGGGAGACTCGAAGGGTATATAAGCAGCTTGCCTAGGTGCCCCCATGATCTGGTCTCACATTTAAAAGCCCCCGGATCTCATGTTAAAGCAGTTTTCAACACCTTCCAATATCGATAGATCCTTTCACCATCATACTTATTGTCGTCTTCTCTCCTCTATAACGAGGCTAGACACTACAACTAACAAAGCTGGGTCTGTGAAATGGTAAGTAAACCCATCTATAGTACTACTTACGTTAGCCTATTACAATTCTATTTCAACGTTGCTAACATCCGTCTCTAAGCCTCTGAGCTGGACTTGGCGAGGCGACTGGCGGACGGTAACATGGGACGTGGAGATAGGACACGTTAGGAGATGACACGGAAAGCTCTATGCTAGTAGATACACGGGGGTCTTCAGTTCACGTTGCCTAGAAGGGCGGTTCTATCATTCGAGGATATAGAGAGTGAATCTAGACCCCACTTTCCCTAGCACGAACACGCTTCGATATGAACCTCGTCTGCTGCCAGTGAATCAGACAATCAGTCCGTCAATTATCGCGTTATACAATCGATCTTTAGTATAACAGCAAACCTTATAAAAGCTCAAATCGAGTGAGGGTTTCAGCAAAGAGAAGAAGAAATACCGTGCGTGGTATATTCAGTACAAGCTCAGAAAAATGCTATAATACATAGCTGTTCCTATTCGGAGCAAACCTTCGCGCTGAACCCCCTCATTTTACACACCCATACCGCCTTTTCTTGTAAGATTCGCAAATGATGATGAAAATGCCCCGAACCCACAAAGGAAATATAGCTGGCACCATGTTGCTACCCATAATTTTCGAAACATATCTCTTCACCTCAGTCTTCTTCAACTCACTCTGTACCTGAAGCTGGCGCTGCACCTCCTGCTCCGCCGCCACCGCCTTGGCCGCCGCGTCCTCGTGGGCGCTTACCTCCACGCGCACCGCCTTCACTGTCGTCCTCCGCACCACGCTTCTGCCCTCGTCCAGCACCAGGCAGAAACTGCAGAGCACTTGCGTTCAAACCACCTCGACCGGGGCTACCTTGATTCTGCACATTTGCTTGACCTTGAACATTGTGCGCTTGTCCGCGTCCCCGACTACCTCCCCGACCGCCCCCGCGTCCAATCTGCGATACGCCAGGACCTTGGGCATTGGTACCCGGGCCTTGGTTCTGGTTATGCTGTTGTTGTTGGCCGCGACCTCGACTGCCTGGGAGAGGAATGCTGGTTGCACCGCCGCGCGGAAGGTTGGACTGAAGGACGCCCCGAAGAGCTTGAGGACCGGTGCCGACGCCATCGCCCCGTCCGCGTCCGAATTGCTGTTGCTGTTGTGCAGGAGGTACCTGTGCTTGTCCCGTAAAGCCGGGTTGTTGAAGCCCTCGACCCATTTGATTCTGTGCTAGAGCGAAGGGATTCGGTGCTGTTCCGTGACCTGTTTGGAGGAATGGATTGGGCTGCTGCTGTGGTGCAGACTGAGTAGCAAGACTGACATTCGTATCGTTCGCTTGGGAAGAATTGGGTGTTGTAGCTGCGGCTTGCTGTGCCTGACTTGTTGACGCATTTGGAGTCTGTCCTGGTGCGAGGGGCTGGACTGGAGCATGTTGATGTGCCGGAGCTGGCACCTGCGGCTTTACCGGTGTATTCGGTGCAGCGGGAGGATTTTTCGCTTGTTCAGTTGCAAGCGCCCACACCTTGGCGACTTCCTCCGTTGGTGTCTCCTTGGCAGCTTTCTCAACGACGTTGCACTTGTTTCTGTAATTAGTGATCGTCGAGTCCTTGATCTTGCTCCTCATCGTGAACATCTTGTTCATAGCTTCTTCCTTCTTCGTCAGGGCCTCTTTTAGCGCCGCGTTGTGATCAGCCTTGACTTTAGTCCACTCCTCTTCCAGATTCTGAGGCTTGCTCTGCTCTGGCTCTTCCTTCACGGCTGCGGGAGCTTGTAACGACTTCTGAGCCTTAAGCTCCTCGACTTCATTTTGCAACTTTGCGAGCGTTTCGTTCTTCCCCTTCATCGCCTTGTTCATGTTGTTTTTGATTTGTTCTACAACAACCCTCTTAGCTCCAGGATTGGTCCTGATCCAATTGTTGAGCTGATCGTCGGTAACTGTTGGGCGCGGTAGGTCTTCGGTGTTGACCACACCTTCGGGCACCTGTTGGGCGGAAGGTTGCTGGGTTGGTGTCGGGACGTCTTGATCCGCTGAGGCATTGTTGGATGTACCAGTGGTGGGCTTCTCATGGCGGAGACGCTCGATCTCCGCTTGGTGAGCCTTCTTCAGAGTATCCAGTTCTTCATTGGTCTCTGATCGAATTTTTCGGACTCTACCGTTCGCCTTCTCCAGAATAGCCTCTGATTTTGCTTCACGGTCTTTGACATTAGTCAAGCGTCGCTCTAGGTCAGCTTCGAGGTCTTTCAATTCAGCTTCGCGCTGATCGAGCGCGGCCTTGATCGTAGCAGACTGCTCATCAGCCTGTGCAGCATCTGCCTTCGTCTCGTTTTCCGTCTCATGATTGGTGGAATTCGTCATGTCTAGCTGCGTCCGCAAGTCCTCGACCTCCTTTCGCGCCGTGGCGAGTTCGTCCTTCAGGTTTTGGATCTCCTCAGATGTACCCGGGGCTGATGAAGATTCGGCAGCAGCAGTATTTGATGTCGGCTGCGAAGATTGCTTTTGTGCTTCAGAGAGCTCATTTTGAAGCTCAAGAATGCGATTGCCTTTTTCAGCCTATGATCTAGTTAGGAAAACATGCAACTCAGTAGTATTAAGGTCGACTTACAACTTCGTTATCAAGGCCCGTCACCCGGTCCTTCATCAGGGAAAGCTGGACTGCAAGGTTTCCAGTTTTAGCGTCGGCATCGTTGGCCCTACCCCGTGCGTTGGCAGCTTTCTTTTGGGATTCCTCTAAATCTGCCTGCAGCTTTTGGAGCTGTGCGCTGGCTGGGTTTGAGTTGCCCTCATCGATTTGTCCCTCCTCACTCATGTTGACGTCCGTAGTCGTAGTGTTGGTGGCGCTCGCACGAGCCAAAGCTTCGTCGCGGGCGGCCTGCGCGGCCTCGAGCTCCTGCTGAGCTGTTATGAGTTGCGCTTGAGCCTGTTCGTATTGCTGTTGGAGTACGGTGAGCTGCTCTCGTGCTTGGCTGGCCTCCGTCTGCGCGGCTGTAATTTGCTGTTGTGATGTTTCGAGCTCTTGCTGGGCGGTTGTGAGCTGAGCCTGCAGCTCGTTGCGTTCATTAATGAGGCCGTCTATCTCAACTTTCTTTGCTGCCATCTTGTCATTGTGGATCCTATTGAAGCCCTTTCTAGCCTTCTCTTTCTCGTCGGCAGCGACTTCTTTGATCGTGGCCTCTCGCGTGTCCTTGATGACAGCTTCCTGTGCAGCCTCAACAGCCTGAATCTTTTCATTGAGACTGTTAACCTGTTCCAGTGCCCCATCGCGTTCCACTTGAAGATCCTCGATCTTCTTCTTGAGATCCTCGAGGTCCTTGGGGTCGATACGATCGTACCGTTGGAGTACATCCTGGTGACGCTTCTGCCAGCGGTCGCGGTCCTCCTCAACAGCCTTCAGGTGGCCAGCATTGAGCTCAACATCGCCCTCCAACTCCGACACGCGTGTTTGCAACGGCTCAAGTTCGCTTTGGAGATCCTCTACTGTCTTGATCTTCTCCGCAAGCAGACTTTGGAGTCGGCTGTTATCGTTCCGTAGAGTTGTATTGCTTTCGCGGAACAGGTTGAGCTGCTCGACTTGAGATTGTAGATTATGTAGGCTACTACCACTCTGTGAGCCTTGAGCCTTGGACTGTTCAGCGAGTAGCTTCTCTCGTGTCAGATCGAGTTGGTTCTGGGAGTGCGTGAGCTGTTGCTCCAGGCGTTTCACTTCCTGGTCCTTCAAGTTCAGCTGTACTTCCAGTATCTCCTTCTCACGACGAAGATAGACTTCAATGTCTTGTAGATTGCTTGAGCCAGGTCCAGCACTGCCCGCATCGCCAGCAGCTGTGGTGACACGGTCGTTCTTCAAAGTATCGATCTGCGCCTTGTATTCGTCGAATTGTTTGAGCAATGTCTCGTTGTACTGTTTTAGGTCCTCATGACGACGCTTGGCTTCGGTTATTTGTCCTTCGTACTGGCCTTGAGTTGACTTCCAGTGATCCTGGCTTTGCTCTAGGGTGACACGAGCAGACTCAGCTTGCATCCTGAATTGTGCAATCTCGGTCTTGAGCTGATTATGCTCGTCACGAAGAGTCCGCAGGTTCTTCATAGTTTCGCCGTGCTTATCCAGCTCATGCTCATAGTCTTGTTGAGCGCGAGCTGCAATCTCGGCTTGTGATTTGACCAGATCTGATTGTGCTTCGGCCTCGGCCTTGTAGTCGATCACATCATTCTCGAGTCGAGTGATCTCCGCTTCAAGAGTGTCCTTTTGCTGGGTGAGTTTTAAGTTCTCTTGCTCATGTTTGCCCCTCAGCTCTGTAAGCTCTGTAGTGGTCGTAGCAAGCTCAGAGGATATTTCCTCTACGCGTTGCTGCAGATCAATTATGGTCGCGTCTTTCTCTTGCTGTGCCAAGGTCAACTCCTCCTGGAGTCGATCATGAGCCTCGACAAAGGTCTGAAGTCGGTCCTCAGCATCTTGGGCTATGTTCTGAAAGCCTTCGATTTGAGTATTGACGGCTTCAAGATCTTCCTGTTTGCGCTCAATCTTGCGTTGCAGCTCCGAAAGCTGTGCGGTGAGCTCCTCTTCGCGGCTGACTGAATCCTCCTCTTCATTTGCTGATCCATTAGTTCGTGGTGTTGGACGCGGCTGGAGTGACTGTACTCGATCTTCGGCCGATTGGAGTTGCGTTTGCAATTCTTTGATGCGTTGTTCAAGCTGCTGGCGAGTTGACTCTGCGGATGCCGATTTGACTTCAGCATTGTTTCTTGCCGTAATTAAATCATCAATTCTCCGCTGCGCTTCCGAACGCTCGTAGTCGCGCTGCATTGTAGACTTCTTGTGGCCCTCAGCTTCGTCTTCCAGTTTACGTCGTGCAATCTGTAGATCTGCCTCGAGTTTGTCATGGCTGTCCTGAAGTCGGCGTCGGTTCTCGGCGTTTGTCAACTCCTGTTCGTTACGCAGGCTCTGGATCTCGGATACCATCTTACTCAACCGATCCCGCTCGTCCGTTAGCTCTTTGGTTCTGTCGTTGAGACGGGCCTCGATCGTCCTTGACATGTTCTGTGACGCTTTCAAATTTACCATCTCATTTTCTAGTCCTTGGATTCGAGTAGCGGCATCAGCAGCCTCCTGGTCGGCTTTCACAATCCTGTCATCCTGCTTGGCTAAAGTCTTCTGGACGTTGTTGTAGCGTTCTTGAAGTGTGTCCTTCTCTGATTGCAGCAACTTGATGGTACCTTCGAGGCGGCTGTACCGATCTTGCTCCCGTCGCACTTGTGACTCGAGACGAATCTTCTCACTGTGGAGCTGGCTATTGTCTTTTGTCAAGCTGTCTACCTGCGTTTTAGATGTGACGCGATCAGTAGCGCTCTCTTCCTTCAGTAAGTTGATATGGGCTTGGAGGTCTTTGATGAGCTTATCGTATTCCGGAATTGCCCTCGGTTGAGGCGCATGCTCGAACTGTAAAGCGCCTCCGGCAGCTGGTACAGACTGTGCAAAAGCAGACGTAGCCTGTGAATCGGATTGTGATTGACCACGGCTAGTGACAATGCGGTAGTACATATCACGCTCTGTTTTGAAAGTTTGTGAGCGGAGATTGAGCGACTTGATATGCTCCTCCTTCTCAGCTACCAGTGAGCGCAACTGGCCAAGCTCCTCAAGGTCCTTCTTATGTTGCTCCATGCTGTTGCGAGCCTCTTGCGCCTCGTGCTCTTCTCCTACTTTGCGAATCGTGCGTAACAGCTCCGTATTTTGATGTTGCATTTCAGCCAAGTCCTTGTACAGAACGAGGTGCTTGGTGATGGTGTTTTGCGTAGCAGAATCGTTTGGCAGGAGATGATCTGGCACCTGATTGTCGACGGCGTCGAGAATGAACTGTTTCTGCTCGGGCGGGAGGGTGTCGAGTCCATTCTGTTCCGCCTCGCGTCGCCACACAAGCGACCGTAGCTGGATTGTCATATCCTGGACTTGGTGACGGAGAAGTGCACACTCGTTGTGAACACCTTCCAAGTCGCCTTGAGCTTTGCGCGCGTCTCGGCGTGCTGCTTCCCTCTCTTCTATAGCGTCATCCAGGAACGTTGAGAGATCGTTACTCTGGGCGGTCAGGGCATCGTTCTGGCGACGAAGATCCTCGAACTCAGGCTGTCGGCGCTCCAGCTCCTCGAGCATGTCATTAACCATGGTTGTCTGCTCCTCTACCTTCTGCCGCACCTTACGCATCTCCGTCTTGAGGTCAATGTTCTCCTTGAGTAAAAAGGTGTTAGAAGGCCCACCCCTGGACTGCGAGCCCCCAGGCGAGAAGACTGCAGGTGAGCCTGCCCTAACGGGCGTTCCAAATGAACCGTTCATGGCATGTCGCGGTGTCCCCGGGGGGCGTACAGACGTTCTGAATTCAGTAGCTTCACTCTGGAGATTTTCGACGAGGGTCTCCAGCTCAGCAATGCGGGCTTCGGCCTCGGCGACCTTGTTGCGTTCCAGCTCGACATCAGCCTGCAGTTGTCCGACCTCGGCAGCGGCATCGTCCTGCAGCTTTTCAGATTCCCGCTGCAATTCTTCCAATCGCCTCTTGGCCGAGTCGGCAGTCTGCTGGTGCAGCGTGGCTAGTCGTCGCGCATTGTCGAGTTCGATGCGAAAGTCGGACGCAACTTTAGCCGCGGAATTCTCCAGTTCCTCGAGTCGTAGGCGGTCCTCCTCAGCCTTGCCCTTCAACTCATCTACATGCTGTCGCAGCAGGGTCTCGGTCCGTCGCAGCGAGTCAATCGTTTCGGAGGCGTCTGCGTTTTCGCGCTGCAGCTGGGCGATTTGGGCGTTCTTTTCCTTGCGATATTTGCTGTAGTCATCAGAGCGCGTCTTGAGTTCGGCGGTGTACCAGTCGTTATTCTTGCGCAGCTGCTCGATCTCCTGCTGCAGGTTTGTCTCGCGGAATTTTACGTTGGTCGCGGCGTTCTCAAGTGCCTGGTTCTTCTCTTCAAGCGAAGCTAGCTGCTTGCGCAGGTCGACGGACTTTTGGTGTTGCTCCGACAGCTCCTTTGCCAGTCGATCGTGTGCAGCCACCTTGGCTTCGTGCATAGCGATGGCATCGCGGTTGTGCGACTCGAGCGTCTTGATGCGGGATTCGAGGGCTTGCACTTCGGACGTTGAGTTGGTGGTCGTAGCCTGGAGAGTGTGCAGCTCTGTTTCGACCTTGTGCCGTGCACTCTCTGTCTGTAGGTTAGCATACAGCATAGGGTCAATCGCTTTGATATCACACGCACCTTCTTGGGTCAGTTTCTGCCGCAGCTCATCGGCTTCTTTCAATGCCTTCTCGGCCGTGGCCTTTAGTGTTCGCGCGCGCTGCTCGCCGCTCTGGACGGCTGCCTCGAGCTCGACATCGGTGCGAATCTTGTCTGACTGCAGGTCATCGTATGTGCGCGCCTTGGCTTCGATCTGGGTGAGCAGCGACTGGACTAGCTCGACCGTGGGCTCAGAAAGTAAAGACTGGAATGTCGTCTCTGGGACAGAATAAGACGCGGCCAGGTAGCCAGCGTCGACTGCTGCCGCCGCCATGGTTGTGTGTTCAATTACCGAATGCCGTCGCGCATCATCGAGCTCTCGAAGCTGGTCGGAAAGGGATAGAAAGGAAAGACAAAGGAGCCTCGAGTGTTGGCGTTGGCGCGGACAAGGAATTGGAGCAGCACCTTTGAAAGTCGCGAGCTTGGTTGTTTAATGACAGGCAGGTCCCGCACAGACCAGTGCGCCAGGGCTGCATGCGCTCATAGCATCCTCTCCAACAACCAACCTATTGTTCCTTCACTCGATACATTCACTCTCACCCCACGCTCTCTTCACCGGCCCGCTTCCCTCCTTCATCGCTGTGCGACTCTTTAGCTAGACGCTGCACACAGCAATACACCACTCTACATCACGCCTCAGCTGCCCGCTTCACTTATCTGGACTCAGTCACTACTCACCTCTACCCGTAACCATGTCCTTCCTCAAGGCGAACTCGTCCTCGCGCATCAACGCACCCTCGCCAACGCCCTCCAACACGTCGGCCAGCGGCGCAAAGCGCAAGCGCCCAGCAGAGGGAGCATCCACCGTCGTCTACTCGCAGCCGCAGGACCAGGGCACCGGCGAGCACGTCTACACCCGCCTCACCTATGCTACCGACTACCTACGCGGTCACCCGACAGAATGGATGACCTTCGACGACATCATGGGCTTCCTCAATGTCCCGCCCGGTAATATCCAGCGCGAGCAGCTCCGCGCCCTCATGCGCGCCGATAATCTCGGGAACCGCATATCATGGAACGCTCGCGATGAAACGTACCGCTACAAGCCCAAACTCAACATTCGCAATGCTGCCCAACTCAAGGGCTACTTGCAGAACCAGAAGTCGGCTCAGGGTTTAGCGATCAAGGACCTAAAGGATGGCTGGACCACTGTAGCTGACGACATCAAGGCTATGGAGGACAAGAAGGAGGTGCTGGTGAAGCGTACCAAGGACGGTGTGCCAAAGACGGTCTGGGACAACGACCCCTCGATCATGTATCCCATGGACCCGGAGTTCATGAACGAGTGGCATAAGATCGCAATTCCACCCAATCCGGATGATCTGCGCAATACGCTCATTAACGTCGGCTTGACAGCGGCCAGCCAGCCCCGTCAGATCATTACAGGGTCTAAGGGGAAGAAGAAGCGAACTATGCGCCGTGGAGGCAAGCAGACAAACACCCATATGGCACATATATTGAAAGGTATGCTAATCTATTGTTTTACCTGCTGTTTATATATGTAATACTGACATGGACAAAATACTTTTCTGGAATGCGAAATTAGAACTCTTGTACACGCATTGCGACGGCGTTTGGGATTACTTTTCACGGTTAGTATACCCTGGAGTGCTTGCACAGACCCTCAGAGGGCGAAAACGTCGAATAAGCTTATATACATGCGGATTAGAAAGGACTCCACGGTAGGTCAATGGCTTGAATGAAAACGCACATATCGGGCTTAGCCACATGTGCTATTTGCAATCCTCCAAAGTTCAAATCTCCTTTTCAACTTAATCTCATACGTTTCTTACACACATCCCACTTTGCATCTTACGGAGGCGTATACATATACGCCCTATCTTCCCTTTTTAGACGTAGATTCCCCTTCTTGTGACGATGATCTAAACTGTAAGACAAGGCTACAATATGCCTTACTCGACGTAGCCAGTAAGATGCTATTATTGCTCAGTATGAGTAGTTTTAGCCTGAGCTCTACTACACTTTAGGCCCCTCTCCTATCTATCTATTAATTCCAATATTACAACCCTGGATATGCTTCTACATTCTCATCGCTTGCATTCACACCCTTACAAATCAGCTTCGTCCAAGTTCCTAATCCAGCTCCACATCCACCTCACAGTATCAATATGCGCCTGCACACCCACCTTCTCATTCACAGTATGTATGTTCCCTAGGCCTACTTGCTCCTTGTCCCAGCCTGGTCCGTATCTGAAGATATGCTCGCTCAAGTTCCAGTAATACCGCGTGTCGGTGTTTCCTGTCATTATACCCGGCGCTACTAGCAAGTCCTTGCCGTACAGGGCGCGCGTGGTACCTGCGAGAATGGAGAACGGGGTAAGTCGAGTGTTATTGGACGATGAGTGGATTGACGTGGGCGTCACTGGTGCGGGTTCCAGAACCGTGTCCCTGTACGTGAGTGTGATGCTCGAGGGTGTCTCGGTGCCGTTGAAGGCGTGGAGGGTGAGGTTATATTTGTGCGCGATTTGGGCGGCAAGGGAGGCGATGTGCGTTTTTATAGCTGATGAGCTCGATCCGACGTTGATGCGATGGTTGACGGTTATCTGCGTGCGCTCGGGTAGCGCGTTGGTCTTTACGCCTCCATGGATGATGTCAACTGCGACTGATGACGTGAAGAGGTACTCAATTTCTGGTCCGGCTTTTGCTGCTTCTATAGCCAGCTCATCCTTCTTAGGCTTCTTAGAACATGTCTGACTTCTCGACGATCGCTTCTCTAGCAGCTTCCCAAGGTGGCGAGGAAAATTAGGTGCATGCTCTGCGCCGCAGTACAGAAGGTCTAGGTACGGATTCTCATCTGCGAGATGCGGCTCATAGGGCTTAGCTTCGATTAAGGTGATGAGTTCGCTAGCCACTCCAATCCCGTTGTGCTTAGGTGGGATACTCGAATGGCCTCCTGGCATCCTGACGACGATCTCGACATCGACGGCTCCTTTTTCAGCGACTCCGGGTATCGCAAAATTCGCCGCCCAGCTCTTCACATTCACAGCTCCCTCATCAATGATGGCAGCAATCGAATTGTGCCCAAGCTTCGAAAGGAGGTAGGCGGACAGATGCTTAGCACCCTGCTGGCCAGAAATTTCTTCGTCAAACCCAAATGAAAGGATAAGTGTCCGCTGGGGCGCAAAGTCTGCCGAGATGAGCGCCTCGACTGCCGATAGAATCGCAATAAGCTGGTTTTTGCAATCACTCGCCCCTCTTCCCCAGATAAACTTGCCATCATAGTGGCCAGCAAACGGAGGAAATTGCCACTGTCCTACTGTGCTATCTGGAACGGGCACAACATCCTGATGTGCCATCAATAGCGACGGTTTTAAACTTGGGTCCGTGCCTGCCCACGAGAAGAGTAAACCATGCTCATGGATCTTCTCCAGTTGAAGAGTCGCGTGCGTCAGCGGATAAGTCTTCCTAAGATAGTCTGCGAACGAGTAGAAGATGTCCCATCGTGGATCTGCGCCGACATCGCCCATATCATCGAAACTTTGGGTTGGTATTTGCACAGCGCCCGATAAGCGCTTGATTTCGATATTGCGGAACGTCTCAGATTTCAGGTAGCTTTCAACATTATCCAACTCTTGCGTAGTCCGTCCCGGATGTAGTGGATCGACTTGCAAACATCGTGCCTTCGACTCGAAGTTGCTTGGGTTGAGGTACCATTGAGGCGTTGCACGCTCGTTGTTGTAATAGCGAAGGCAACCCCAGCAGGCCAGATAGAAGAGGGCGAGTCCAAGGATGCGTGGGCCTTTGAAGCTCCTTCGCGTACTCTGGGACACGGTGGGTGTTTGCTCACCCCAGTTCTTTGCCATGGTGGTGGTAGTGTTGATAAGAATGAAGACCGTTCTTGCGGGGATAAGTGACGCAAGATGCACCAGGCTGGATTAGGAAGGCACTTTACACCACAACAACTTACCAGTATTGACAAAATCGCGACATCCGTATTTCGAACAGTCAACTGAATTGAAGTGGTATGTGCTATGCTTGTCGTAGCGAGCGCCAGACTAACTTTCCAGCTTCAGATCAGTTATGTCATTTACCTTGATCTTTTTGCCTTTCTCAGCTGCATCTTTCATACACTCCGTCATAAGAGGATTTTCAAAGCGCATACTCCCTAGTTGAGCTGTCGCCGGTTCTGTGAAAGTACTTTGAGTGCGGAGATGTTTGTGATTACATTGATTCGTCAGTGCTCGTTACAGAATCTGTACTCACATGGAGATGATATAAAGGATGATTCAGCATTCTATCATGTGGTGTTGGTATTTTCCTTGCAGTCTTGCCATTGTACGCTGCTTTTACCCAGGTTGTCTCCTGCAGCAGTTCCAGTCTTAGTGGCCGAAAATTCATCACGGGGGATCCCGAGCACGAAACAGGCAGTGCTCATGCGATTGTGTGCCTCGAGACAGGACTCACTGGTCGGTGGTAGAACCGACACACCTGGCATTGAGGAGAGAAGCAGCCAGAGCCACTTCTAGCCGGCTAGTGTAGGCGGCCACATTGAACGCATGTCGGTGCCTGGCGAAGCCTGCTCTTGGGCTACAGGTTGGGACGATTTCCCGTGGCTTTCGCCGCGTTGTAAGTTCCAGCTGTCTTTGGGAGAGCATCTATGGCTTGCGAGCCCTCTGCCTGTCCAGTCTGGTTTGAAAGCGAGGGTCTGCCGACTGGCTGCTTACTCTGCTGCTTTTCTGGCATGCCTTGTACGGCAGTAGAGTGTAGCCCCCTATCCTGCTTTGCGCGGAGACGAACCATCGTCTTGCTGGCATTGTACGCCTCTTTAAGACACGCGGGCTCCAGGTGAGGCTGTAGATGCAGATCACCGCACGACGAACACGCCTTGCGCTTCTTTCCTTTGGCTTCGTAGTTAGCCTTAGCCTTACGACGGAGCTCTAGCTATCGCTCGTAAGTTTTGGCGCGGATCTCAGGGTCCAAATCGCCATGAAGCCATGGGATTGCCACGGTGATATCGAAATTGACGCGAAGGCTGCCCTCCGAATCGAACCGTCGCATGCCATCCGTTTCGGTGGATGCGCTCGAGCTCGCAGGGTCAGCACCTGCCTCTTTCGAGACAGGCGCGACGCCTCAATCAGGAGGGGGCAGCGTTGGTATCAGCTATTTTGGCGTAAACGTTTGCGCCAAAGGTTTGCGTTAGGGGATGGTAGAGGAAGACATTTTGATGATGAAGAGACTTTTGAGAAAGAAGGGGGTAGATGAGTGTTGTGGGTGATACTGTCCCTGTCCTGTTGCGGAAAAGGTTGAAGGCAGGCGAAAAGTGTAGAAAGCCCTAAAAAGTCCGACTCTACGGTGAAGTGAAAGGTAAGCTTTTATCACCTTTAATTCGTAGTGTATTTGGTAGCTAGAAGAGTGTCGCTGTTGAAATATTGAAAACTGTCTTCGCTAAGTCTGGGGATTCAAAATGGACATGCCAATGAGTTTCGGCGTTGGGAGTATACATAGAATTGTACATGAGAGTATATAGAGAACTTATCTTTTATCGCACCGCATCTATGGTCGATGAACTAGCATTGATGTGATGAAAGAACAAACGCCCTCGACATGAGTGTAAATAAATGTGATAAGGTGGTGCCGGAGTGTGTCACTAGTACAACAATCCGACACTAAATAGAAGCTTCACCGCAATGCCTGCCAGCGGGAGCCATGAAGGGACTCTAGAGAAACCAGCCACCGACGGCGAGGTAAAAGATAGTATACAACTCAGGGTATCAAAACGAGCGACTAGATTACTTTGAACAAAGCACCTTCCGCATCCATACGTTGCCGTTCTCTTGGTCAATGTCCTTGCTCAACTGGCTATTGGCGCGTCCGACGTTCACAAACTTCGGCCAGGTATTGGTTAGGACGAGGTATTTGATCTCGCTCTCAGCAGGGTCGAAAACCATCTCGGTGAACGCTTCAGGAATCTTGACGTCTGCGAGCACCTCGTCTACGTAGAGATCTTGCATGCGCGATACCGCTCTAAAGTTCGCTCGGCCAAGCGCGTCGAGATTGACGCTCGACTGTAGCTCGGTGGTAGAGCTGTATGAGCTCTTGCGATCGTTGGGCGATTTGTGTACCTGATCAGGCAGAACATTGTCGAAGGGAGTGGCGTTGTCAGATGTTGAAGAAGCTAATGAGTGTCTACCACTACGGTAAAGCAGCGTGGCGGCTGTTTCAAAGACGTTGTGAAGCCGCTTCATCTCTCTGGATGATATGTTGATTGGGAATTCGGAAAATTCAAGAGATATGAAATGAGCGTAGATGCGGGTGGCAGCAATGAACTGCGTGCGACGGTGTTCTGTAGTGGAAGACTTCGGTGTGAACCAGTATCGTCGCCAATCTGCAACATGGGTAAGAAAGCTGACGTTCTCACCAGAAAAGTCCTTGAGAGCAGCAAACTCCAGAAGGGGGACAGCGTTCGTCCTGAGGGCGTTCTCTAGCGCGGTCATCGTGAGCATATCGGACTTGCGTGATTCGAAAGATTGCTTGCTGTTGAGGGTGTCGTCGCCTGTGGACCTGAGTGTTGTGTTGTGATAGGCACTGCTATTTATGGAGCTATCACCATCAAGGCCGCTTTTCGCTTGACGATTCTCCCAGTTCGCAATAGCTTCTAATGTCTCTTGACGAAGGCTGTTGCCCTTCAGCACATCCAAGATGGGAAAGCCAATGGCAAAGACTTCCATGAAGAAGATACAGACGGCAAACCATGTGGGAGCTGGAAAGACGGTGATCAGGGGGATAAACTGAGGGGCGTAGAGGCTTGCGAGCCAGAGAGGGGATGCAGGAAGTCTGACAACGTTAGCTCGAGTAATGTATATCGAGAGTGTTTACGAACCCAGCAAGACAGCAACAGATTGTCTGCAGCCGCCAACCATGGACGTCACGGATTCCACGAGATTTCCACAAGACGTAGGGCGCATAAATCCAGGACCAGAACAGCTGCCAAACGATCGAAAGCCACCACTCCCAACCCTTGGCGCAACTCATGCGCACTTCCATACCCGTGCCTTGCACGGTGTAGTTAAAGATACCGTAGCCTGAATGGAATTTCCTAGATCCGAAGAAGACCAAAACGGTGAGTGCAAGCTAGGGTGAAGAGTTAGTTACCGTGATAAATCTTGGAGGTGGTATGTCTTGATGGCTTACCTGAACCACCAACCCGACGCCAATGAGTACCAAAGTGCGCTCCACGTTGTCAGCCCGTTCCACACCGGCAACGATCCTCCTCCAACGACTATTAGAAACCTGCTGGGCCTTCTCCTCGTCAATTGACTGGTGATCCTTCAGTGTGCTGATGTGAGCGAAGTGCTTCTGGCGACTCGCAAGGTGCAGGAACTGGGTATTGGCGGCATGAAATAAGGCGATTCCTAGGGGAAGATAGATGCTCATTATCCAGAATTCCACATTGCATGGGAAGACAAAACGGATAGGGTAGGCGATGATACATAGATTTCCGTACACGTGTAGCGAGAGCACTCCTCCAAACATGAGTGGCAGCTTTCGCATCCGCAGTGAAGGCTGTTGGCGATGGGTCCAAAGGAAAAGCATTGCAGCCGCCAGTGTGATGTTCCAAGCAATGGCGAGACCTACGTAGGTCGCGCCTATGCGGTCGAGGCGCAGCTCGGGACGCATCGTGAAGCCTGCAGAAGTTGACGCAGGATGTGGGCAAAGATGTCAGTGGCAGGACTTGGATTGAATTGCCTGTGGATCTCAGTGGGCCTTATATTAGAGCGATTGCCAAGAGGGAGCTGTCCAGAGCATATTTTCCGGCGAATTGATTTTCCTAGGTCGAAGGCTGCAGAGAAGATTCCCGCTCCCCTCTTGGTGGTGCTGAGATCCACCTGAGATCAAGTAGTCGGTCTGGCTAAGGGGAAATTGGCATACCTCCCTTGCGCGGGAGGGTAGCGTGTTTTCCTCCCAATGAACGAGTATCTATACAGCCTCATCCTAGGGATAAAACACCTTATGCAAGGGCTGGATTACTAGTTCAAGCCTCTTTCTGTCGATAGGGTTAGAAACCTGTGCATAAAGACTAGCAAGGCTGCACAAGTCTACAAGAGGGAATAGCCAATAGAGAGAGCCTACGACAGGAAGAAAAGAATGCCACGCTCGCACGCTGAGGGTGGAGGATGTGTGCGATGAACCAACGTTGACGGACGTACTGCCAACGGGGGCTAGCGCCAACGGGTGACATCTCGACGGCCCAGATCTATGACAGGTGTAACGATGGCTAGATTTGTCCATCGAGTCTCGGGCTAGCACCAAAGCGGCTAGCGCTTTATCCGCTGGCCGATCGGACGGGCCTGAAGAGATGCAGCGAATCTCCCCACACCAACCGTCGATCGTCATCTTATCGACCGGCAACCAGCCAATTGGTATATGAACGATGGAATAGCCTCTCTCTGGTATGTGCATTCCACACTGGACTTACCGAAACACTAACCATGGAGATGAACGATGACCTTGTCAAGTCTGCGGGTTGCCTCTTCCACAAGGGCGGCGCGAGTCGTGATTTTTGCCACAGCTTTTTTCAACGCCTAGCTGTCCATGAATTAGCAGTCAGCGGCGTCTAGGCTGCGAGGGGTCGGCCTCTTGTTGTAACTCGAAGTCAGCACGGTGAAACTCGGCGTCATACCGCGAAGATAGCCAGGACGGGCTTCCGGAAGAAGTTTTTGAATGGCAGCAAGTGGAAATGGCAAGAGCATAGATACGCCACAGTGTCCACATCGGTACCTTGCCGCATATCAGTGCGCACAACTCTAGCATGATTTCGACTCGTGCGAACTCAACTAACCCTGAAGGTATTCCAAGTACATCCAACCTTATACACGGTACTCCCTTCTTCCGTCTTGCTCATCGCCTTTGATTCACGAGTTCCTGGTTAGGCTACCGTAGACCGCGCTGAAGGGTGGGAGATATTCGCATCTCGCTCAATAAACCAAAGCAAGCGTCGTGAGTTATCGTTAGGTGCATTATGGAGGTACAGGTTTGGCGCCTCTACTCCACACTTAGTTTAGGCTGGTGAGGATTGTTTTCACAATTTTTGCCATCTTAGGATCTCTATGCACGCCGTTTCTTTATTTGTTTGAAAGTAAAATCAACGCTAGCAAGAACGGACTCGCCATTTATATGCTTGTCCAATTGATCATCGTGTATGTAGCCGATCCAACTGCCGGGTACCTCTACTTTACTAATGACGTATTGCAAACAGCTAATAAACAACAACTTAATTATGGGTCTCGCTGTTTGTGTACTTTCTTCGCGAAATCATTCGAACGTAACTTACCTACGCCGATACCACTGAACATTGGTGAATGACGTGCGTTGGGGTTGACCGCATTTGTCAATCATTATGTCGTCAAGTGTGGACTTGACCCGTGTAGCTGTAATGATGCTTCCATGACCGGTACAATTCGAGTTTAACAACCATATATTCCGCATCAGTCCTGCACGTACATCTACCTCCCAGATACATCTCATCATGTCTCTGAAATACAACAAAGTACTCATCATAGGCGCAAGCTCAGGAATCGGCTGGGCGCTCGCCGAAAGGATTGTTCAGGACGGCAAACACGCCATTATTGTCGGTCGCCGAAAAGAGAAGCTCGATGAGTTCGTTCAAACATATGGGAGCGACAAGGTCGACTCTGTCGTCTTCGATATCACCAAGCTCGATGAAATCCCCAAGTTCGTTAAAGATGTAATGCGCAAACACCCTGATCTCGACTCTGTATTCCTCAACTCTGGGATTCAACGTGGGTTCGATTTCTCCAAGCCCGAAACGGTTGATTTGGATGTGCTAGAGTTGGAGTTCAGGACCAATTACCTGAGCTATATGCACCTCACAACAGCCTTTATTCCGTTTCTGCAAAAGCAAGAGAAGGAAACTAGTCTGATATACACCACCTCTGGGCTGGCATTGCTACCACTTCCCCGATGCCCCAACTATTGCGCATCCAAAGCTGCGTTGCATCATATGATTCTCGTCTTGCGGGAACAACTGCGCTCCGGGCCAGGAAACAGTACGTTGTTGTTTCCTTTCCCGACTTGCATTCATGCACCGACTAAAATTTCCCTTAGTCAAAGTCATTGAGATCTTCCCTCCAGCTGTGCAAACAGAATTACATGATGCGAAGCACCAGCCGGATATCAAGGATGGAGCGCATCTTGGGATGCCATTGGCGGAGTTTACGGAGGACGCATGGGGAAAGCTGATCAAGGGAGATGAGCAGATCCTGGTGGGATTCTCAGTGAAAGCTTTCGAGGAGTTCGAAGGGAGGAGACAAGAGATGTTTCACGGACTTATGATGAAGATGAAGTAGACGAGGGTGACGCTGGTGAAGCTCCAGCGAATGGACCCTGGTCTTGGCATGGAAGGTACATCTATCGCAACTCTAACGCTACATAGGGATAACATACCTAGGTATGTAGTTGAAACTGTACACTTTGGTTGATTGGTTCTTGCGAGCGTGAACGTAGTGACAGTGTTATGCATCCAATACCTAGGTATCAGCACAGCCTCAATCGCGATCTGCGCGGCATAGCCTTGCCGAGCGCATGGACTAGTCCGCTCCCGCTGCGCCCAGCGATCACCTCCGCCGCGACTGCGAACACTTCTCACACCACTCACCACTACTTCTTCCTCTATCCGGTACATTTGCTTTTGTATCTGTCGCTAAAGTAAATACCACATCGAAATCCAAATCGCTGCCAGGATGGCCGACAGCTTCAGAAATGCGATGATCAACAGGGCCCTAGGGGACATCAAGAATGCACGTCTCCTCAGCACAGTGTCGATATAACTTCTAATGTCGTGTATAGAATATTCAGTTCCTCGTCGAAGCCAACGTCATCACTCCCGCACAGCACGACACCATTAACTCTCAACTCCCCGTTTCCGCCGAAAACAGCAGCCGCGCCCTCCCTGCCGTCCCAGTCCAACAACTCTCCCAAATGAACATCAAGAGCGAGCCCACGCCTCCTCCCGAAAAGAAGACAAGCAACATTGGATACTATGCCGATACCAACGTCTCCAACGCGCCTCCGCCAGCCTACCCCTCCGCCCCAGTAGCCCCTGTCGGCCCCACAGTCCTCGCCTACGCGTCAGCAATGTACCAATACAACGCGCAAGACGCCGGTGATCTAGCGCTCATGCCGAACGATCAGGTCGTCGTGACCGAGTACATGAACACTGAGTGGTGGAAGGGACGCAACGAGAGGACGGGCATGGAGGGTATCTTCCCAGCCTCCTACGTGCGCAAAGACGAGAAGAGCGTTGTGCCTGCTGGTGTGCCGGGTGCGCCAGCACCCAGCAACTATGGCAACATGCCATTAGATGTGAGCAATGGTGCGCAAGGCCCGGCAACGCCGCATGAGCCGACCAAAATGGAGCAGAATGGAAAGAAGTTTGGCAAGAAGTTGGGAAATGCCGCCATCTTCGGTGCAGGTGCGACAATTGGTGGCAAAATCGTCAACGGGATTTTCTAGTTGACTTTATTCAGGTGCTACTATCGGTGGTAACATCGTCAACAGTATTTTTTAAGCAGTGGGAGTGGTGCTGGAGAGGTCGAGGGTCATTGGCGTTGTAGGTCACTTGGTTTCCTATTCATGACAGGTTCATTGCTGTTTATAATCATCAGAGCGCATTTTCGAGACTGATTTGTATCAGAATATACCGACATGATTTCTTTTCCGCCAAAATTGATTTGTCTGCTCTTCTACGACACGTAGTATACTTCGGTCATTTTACCATCGTTGTCTACTGTAGGTTTAGGGTCAACCGAGAATCGACTTGATCACATGCTTGAAGGATTCGCCCATGGAGTGCTTTGCATTCACGATGCTTCGTCAGTGATTCGTGAGTGATTCACACGCAGCGTTGGGTTGATGCGTTCGTGTCGCAGCTTCTAATTCGGGCGCCTGTCAATGATCTCCCTCCTCTTCATCTACTTTCGTCCTCATAATTTACGTACCGCGTCCGCCGTCGTTCCCGAAACTCAACGCAGATTGTGGAAGCACACATTCGCCTCAGGCGAGTTACATACCTTGCCTTACGCACACAGCTTTGGTACCAAAAATGTTGACCAGCTGGCGGTACGTAGACTCAGAGACGCCAGTCATAGCAGGGAAGCACATCGATACAGAAAGGGGGGTGACACAGTGGCAAAATAAGAGGCCTAGAGAAGCAGACCAAGGCCAACGTACATTCAACGTCGTAGATGCAGGCATCGCAACAAGCGCATCCGCTCTACGGGTTCGAACATACTACGCACAAGCGCTGATCCTCTTCAATGTGTACGGCGCGCCTCTATCCTTCGGTCCATATTTGGAATACTACCACACTACGACGCTACCGACGACACCCCTCTGGTCGCTCTCTCTCATCGTCGCGATACAGATATTCTCCATCTTCGCTGTACCATATCCGATATGGATGATATACCACCAATGGCCTAACAGGCGAAGAATCATGATCTTCACTTCTGTTCTGGCAGTGGTAGGCGCTCAAGGGAGCCTAATCTTCTGCAAGAGTCACCTTGAGCTCATGCTTCTGCAAGGCCTGCTGTTGGGTTCCGGACTCGGCGCGCTGCTCACTCTCGGCACACTATTCCTCGGCTCACACTACAGATTCAATCTCCCAATGACATCGTGGATCAGCGCTATTGGCGGTTTTGCTGGGGCACTGGTGTATACTACAATAGGATGGCTATTCCTACGGCGCGATCAATGGAAAGCTGCAAACGCCGCAAACCTAGGCATTTCCATAGCCACACTTCTCACTGCTTTCTTTCTGGCAAAACACTCAGAGAAGGGCAACATGCAGCTGGATGTGGAGGCACCGCAGAGTCTAAAATCCATCTTCATAGAAAATGGAGCGTTATGGTTCGTTGTGGGCTATGTCCTTGTCTTCTTCGGACTCTTCATCTGGCCAATTTATGTCTTGCTGATCCTCTCACACGCACCAGCACTTTATTGGCCGGATTCAGGTGGTTGGACTCTCGTTGCCATGTTCGGCTCTGCTTTGATTTCGTCACCAATCAGTGCCAACGAGCGCTTCCGTAAACACGTACCGCCCGTCGAGTCCTTCAGTGCAGCTTGCCTCTTCGCTGGCGCGAGTATCATTGCACCCGCGTGGGTTCCGCAATTCTGGTTCTCTGTTGGTTGGGGCGCTGGGTACGGATTCGCGCTCGGCGCTATTTTGACTTTACACATCAATGTCGTGGCTATTTTCCATCCGCTGGGCATTGTGTGGCATCCGGATATGCCAGTCAGAGGCGCGCTCATGATGGCGCTTGGGGGGTTGAGTGCAGCTGCGGGTCTTGTAACGGTAGCGGTGCTCCTTGAGAATAAGGAAAACGGGACGAAGATTGCAGCTGTTCTTACGATGGTGTGTATGATGTTTGGAGGTACAATGATTGCTGGGATATGGTGGTGGAGGTATAAAGGCTTCCTGTGAGCTGTTGGACTAGACTTGTTTTGTGCCTTTGAACAGCAGTAAAATAATTGGATGACGAGCTCAATTGGTGGACTTCAATTGCTCAAAAAAATCCTTCTCAGTTTAATGCGGGCAATCTATACTATAATTACACTTCTACTTCAACGCAAATGTAGTATCTTTGTCCAGTTCGGATGAACAGCCAATCCGCAGCCACCAAGAGCTAACGCGAGACCTGTAAATATGATAAGGGGACCATAAGTGCTTCCATATCCAAAGTTTCCAACCGAGTCTGTGCTCCCAGCTTTTATCAGAGGGACACTAACAAGCCCACCGCCTACGTATCCGATGCCCCTCGCACCATTCAGTAAGCCATAAAGAACACCACTATCGAGGGCCTCGTTCCTTTCCGCGGCATCCTGTTCCATGTCGTTCATGATTCCGGCCCAGGTCGCACTGTAGCCGCTAGCGAAGAAGCCAAAGGTGATAGCAAAGAGCACCAATAACGCTATACCCCCTCTTGCGGCTAAGCCCCAGAACAGGAATGCAGCCAGAGCGGAGCTGATGGCGGATATCGCTGTGACAGTAGGAGCAGAAAGTTGAAAGTGTTTGTTGTCGCTCAGGAAGCCGAAAAAAGTCGAGGAGCAAATGCCGGGTATGTTGATCAGAGTGAGGAGGAGCGTTGAAAAGGTCGGGGACAGTGCGGAAACATTGCGGGCATATTCGCTCAAATATGTTTGCGGAATTCCGTATCCCGCGCTCTGGAGCAGAGTAGCCATACTGTAGACCCAAAATGTTTGATGTCGGATGAACTGCCATGCAATCTTCCGCCCTCGAGGAGTGCTCGTGACCATGCTTGAACAAGGTGTCTGCACCATGAAAATGGAGAGAATAGCGGTGGCAGCTGTTATACCCGCCCATATGATTAAGGTAGTACGGAAACCATATCGGTCGAGGAGGCCTCGGAAAATGAATGGACAAACCGACCCTACAATATTCTTGGTAGACAGACAGATCCCATAGGCTATAGCTCGATTACAGATTCGATTTGGGGTATTGAACCGTTCACCTAGGGAGAGCGTCATCGGGCTGTAAACGAGTGCGCATCCTAACGCTGCTAGGACTCCCTGTGTTGCGACTAAATGCCAAACATGTTTACTAAATGAAGATAAAATAAAGCTTGCGCATGCAAGAAGCGCACCGCAAATAGCTGCAGGCTGACGGTAATGGGCCAATCGCTTGCTGAACAGGGCGAACAAGAAGGGCATGGATAGGTACATAACACCATTAGATGTCGTGCCGATGATGCCGGTAATTCGGCGACTACCTTGTAGCGTCCAATGGTCAAAGTAGTATTCTTGCAGAACGCCGTAGCTCATGGCGAAGCCTATAGTGGTAAGCAGAGGTCAATGAAGCAGAAGAATCAACATACCCCATATTGGTAGCTGTGATAGCGCGGAACCAATAAGAGCCAAGGCTCTCTTTCTATCTAGCACTCGCTGTCTACCAGCGTGGTCGTTGTTGTTACCGATGTCAGGTTCTTGCACACTAAAGTTAGATCGCTGTGGCTCACAGAGAGACACCGCGCTGGTTTCTTCATTGTGTTCCATCATGAAAGACAGAAAGGGCCTCGTGAAGAGCAGAAGAAAGATGGGAATGGCACGGTAATAGCACGAATGGCGATAAATGATGTCACATGCAGGTGTGTAAGCACTAAAGAAAGGAACGTAAAATAGGCTAACCCGAACTAGGCAAAGCATCGCGTGCCCCCACCTCTTTTCCAGTGCCGTTAACATCCTCTGGCAAACAAATCCTCGTTGATTTCTTGAAACCTCTTCGAAAAGCGTGAAATGCAGTGTAATGTTCTTAACTGGTCTAAACTACCTTACAGTCTTTAGTGATAGACAGTCGATGTGTACGTGCCCCATTCAGACTCAAAAAGAGGATGTTATCATATGCAATATTCTAAGCTCGCGTCTTTAGGATCTTGTGATCGCTTGGAGCATAGAAAGTACAATAATAGCCTATCCGCAAATCTTATCGCATATCCATTACTGTTGATGTCTTCACGGGTGGAAACAGGGGGTGTACAGTTACTATAAATTTATAAGGAACCTAGTTGCATCGCTTGATACCATATCACCTTTTTTGCGAAGAGATAATTGCGAAAATACTAGAACTTTGTAGCAAGTGGCGCATCCAAGCCAAGTGAAGGAACTACCACTTGTTGCTATGTATGTGCGAAACTGGCAGGTCTGCAGAATCACACTGCGCAGAGACTGTTTTTAGCATCCAGAGCATAGAAAGTGGAAAAGAAGGGTGTGGTATTGTTGAATCTCAATACATAATCCATAGCTTTAAGGTAGCCAGATTAGCAAGCTACCTAATGCAGGTACGAAAGAATCACAGCACCGAGGTTTTCTCCTGCTTTCGTGCGAGTCAAAACCTCTCACCGAGCCACTTCTCCAAAACCTCATTGGTCTCCTTCGGCTTCTCCAACTGCACCCAATGCCCCGACTCGATGGTCGCATACGTCAAGTTCTTGACAAACTTCTGCTGGTTCTCCGCGAGTTTGGGGGCCACGCTGGGCGAGCAAACAGAGTCATGCTTCGCGTCGATAAAAAGCACAGGGAATTCCAAAATTCCACCGTTCTTTTCGCTCTTCGCATACTCCTCGTTGACATCGTGATTCAAGTAGTATGCTGTAGGCGGGAAGAAACCGTGTTTCTTGTGGCTCTTGAGCAAATTCTCGAGTAGCGACTCGTCCAGAATAGTATACTCGAGAGGTATGTCAGGTATTTTCTCGGGATGTCCACCGAACCATCCTCCATCTCTCAACGTTCTACTAGTAACAGCTGGCTTACCCCATTTGCTAGGGTCATGTTTCGAGTACAGGGCTTTCGTGATGGTCTCAATGTGTCCCTCAAAGCTCTTGACACTCTCTTCAGGATGAAGTTCGTAGTACCTCATGTATTCCCACGGGCCCCATTCGTACTCATCCTTTGGGTAAATATCTCGGTTCACCAGATTTACGATGTAATTGAGTCCCAGTTCGATACTACGGTATGGCACTGCCAATAACACGAGTCCAAGGAACAGTTCGGGGTGGTGAGCAGCGAGCGCGTTGACAACTCCACAGCCCCAATCATGGCCGATCCAGACTGCCTTTTCGATATTTAGCTTCTCTGCGAATTCGACGAGCTCGGCGACAAGGGCTTCCAGGGCGTAAGCGCGTTTATTGGCAGGGGCCGAAGAAAGACCGTAACCGCGCATGTCGGGGGCAATGACGCGGTACTTCGATCCCGCAGAAAGATGGAGAAGTTGGTGTTTCCACGTTTCTGCGATGTCGGGCCAACCATGGATGAAGATCAGAGGGATGCCGTTCTTGGAACCTCCTTCGTAATAGTGCGTTGTTTCGCCATTCTTCTGGGTGATGTCGTAGGCTGTGAAGGACTGCATCGTAGAAGAGTCGCGTTGCAATAATCTTTCCAAGGTGGTTTGACAGAAAAAGTCAGTTAGGTAGTGCAGGACAATTCGAGTTGTAGGAGTAACGACGACCCTTATATACCCCGGGTGGTCCCCGCTCCGCTAGCATCCGGCCGAATTGGAAAATGCTAGGCATCTAACGCTCGCCCAATAACAACCTTAGAAAGAGCGAGCGAGACAAGAGGGACGAAGGTGCCGAAACGTTGTGATGCCAAGGATGTTGTAAGAAATTAGTTGCGGTCCCACAGTTCTAACACGTTGTCAACAACGAGAACGGGCACATAACGTTATCGATTAGAAGCTGTAATATCAGCAGAACTTTGATAGAAGGAAGCTGCGCGCACGTTGACCAGTACCTGCGAAAGTCAAGGCTGGCAGTGTATTGCTAAATTCATGAGATAAGTCTAGCGGCAGAGCTCTGGTAGTTGTCCTGCGAGATACTCTAAAACCTAACGTAGGAAGTCTCAGTACATCTGACCGAATCATATATTGATAATTTAGATGGAAACCAATACCAAAAGAATGCGATGATGCAGACCGAGAGCTACAGTGCGTTTCGCCCTGTAATTGTGTTCTTAGGTGGGTGTAATAATTCGCCGGCTCGGACCGTCTGACCCCGCAGTATCATCAAAGTTGCGTGGGAACACTGAGATAGAACCCCACGGCACTTACGCAAGTAAAAATAAAAGAGAAGTGCTCGCACTACTGAGGCTTGTGAACTAGTCAGAGGCGTTCAAAATATCAAATCAATCAATCACCTAATACTGCATCGAGCAGCTTGTCCTTTGAGGTTGATCCACACTCGACTACACCCAAACGAAAGATAAGTGTGAAACGAATAGGCCGTATCTATAAGCAAGTAACCGAGAATGCACGTGTATAATTACGTTGCTATGGGTCCGTTAAGCAAGTCTCTAAGCACTATTGCATGTCTTGCGAGTCCTAACAATCAGATAGAGGAAGAACAATGTAACTAGCATTGCTTCCACCTTCTACATTGCAGAACTTAAGTTGGGCTACAGCCAGGATGAGAACAATAAGTAGCGTGAGATTTCGAGGAATTCTTATTGCTTTGAATGGGCTGTAGGGGCCCAACTATCGAGGTCATGTGAACAATGGAATATAGTTGAGCAAGCTCGACAGTGACGGAATGTAGTATATGTGTAATATGAACTTATAATGCTTGAAGTATAATTTTGGTCGAGTCCATGTTTTGAAGGTCATGCTAGCACGCAGAAATATTGTTCTTGCGATCCGCCCTTCGCCAATGCTCGAAAAGTTGCTGCTCGTGAAGTATGCCTCGCACCCTTCCGCAACCCTAAAAAAAGACGCGCACATACCAGTACACATGTTGCTCCTAAGGTAGTGGCTTTACGTATGAAGCGTTTGAATGAGGCTGTAAACGCTTGCCAGTATCTCACGGTTGTAACAGAATGCGTTGTGGGAGTGTAGATGGTGAGTCCTTGAGTATGTTTACACGCAAGAATTGTATCCGAGAATGCCACCAGCCAGGATGAAAGATGCTCCGCGTTCAAAACTCGTCAACAGCGCTATTGCTGATGCTTATCTCGCTACTAGTAGTGCCAAAGCCCGTTCCTGAAGGCTGGCGGCCAGGGCAGCACTGAGTTTGGATCCAGGGAGTTTGTCGGCGTAGAGTCGACCTAGAACTAAGAGACTGTATACTGTATATTCTGCGCAGTACTTTCACCGCTTGGCGAGCTGACCCTAATCTGAACGAGAAGTAGCTGGACGCCTTCGACTTCAGAGGTCGTGGCGACTTCTTTGGGTTCATTCTGCTCCCGCATGGTTGTCTCCAAGCGCTCTTTGATGGGTTGGAGTTCCATCAGGGTCACTTGCACAATCGCCTCCTCGCACCAGTGTTCTTTGACTGCAACTTTCCTTCTACACGTACTCAATATTCCATTGATCCCCCCCTCGAGCTTGCGCTATCTTCCCACATTTTACGGTATCGGTGTACCTCTGCGTCCTCCGGTCTTTCTAGCCAATCTTCAATCTGCTCATCAGACATTTCACTCGACGCGCCTCTTGACGAGGATTTTCTTGACACGGGTAGAGGCATGTAGGTTGGCTTCGCCGAAGTCGAGTCTTGCGATGCTGGCCTTCGTAGCAGGCCCTGTATGCTATGGAAATCAGAAGTTCCTTCCCAGTCGTTTTGCGCGGTGGCATGTTGGAGAGGAATCCCAAATGCGCCATCTTGTCGCAGTATGGGCGATAAATTCACATCGGTACGACAAAGCTCAGCTTTGACGTCGTAGTATCGCGATTCGAAGTCGAAAGGGTTGTGATTTGTTTGTGTTGTGGGCGACACCTCTTCTCCTGACGATGATGGTGTTCTTGAATGATCGTATTGCTGACCATGTTCGCGCATCATTGGCTCGCTTTTCTTGGAACGTATGTGAAGACTGAGCGATCCATGCCTCACGTTCAATTTCTCCAGGAATGACCTTTTCGGCTTCGGGCCTGAAGTGTGTTCATCGATATAACGGAATTCGGTGCTATTCGTCAACATTGTTGATGTCTACCAGAATGAATGAGAAGAACAATTGCGAGGGTTGTGGGCGACGTGTGCCTCGTTATTGTTTGTTATTGTTGATGTTGATGTTGATGTTGATGTTGTGATGGCTCGGCTTCAGATGAAACTGGAGCTACTATACCACGGCAACGTTATGTAAGGCGGGGCATCGAGCCCGCCGATGAATCTAGTGCTCCACATCGCGGTTCGCTCTATAGGTTGTGTATCACGAGGTGCTTGAAGAGTTCGAACAATCAGGTAAGATGTGGAGATGATGAGTAAGGTTTTGTTGTGATGCATGTGGGCGGCCCAGAGCGATGACATCAATTCCTTCTAGATGCAGGGATCAGGGGTATCAACTTTCAGAGCAACACAGCCTTCAACATTTTAACCCCGATACAAAGACTTTGTTTCCTCTATTCTAGATCTTCTAGGGATACATGAGCTTATTACTAGTTGTTTAAAAGCACAAAAATGGCTTCAATCCGGCGAGACACGACCTTTGGGTCGCTGTTCTTTTCCGAGTCCGTCGATTCTAGACTCTCGATTCCTTCTGCGACACGTAATTTTTTGCAAGAGATGGGCATTAATTTTGGGTCTCTCCGCCCCTAGGGTCCTCAAAAACTAGTACCTGCATCGAGATCTCGTGCTGGTTGCGTGGCGCCCGAGGCCGGCCTCGCTACTGCTGGTCTCTAGCTCAGGTACCTCGCGATCTTCTCCACGGCGTTGCCATGTGCTAGGTTTAGTGTGCACGGATCAAACACCTAGTGAGCGCACCGAGACGAAATGACTGAGATCATAAATGGCAAGCGAATTACAAGAAACAGGTCAACTAAATGGATTGTAGAATCATAATAATCAGATACCACCGGAAAACATACATAAAGGGGAAGCAAAATCGATGACATGTCTTACGAGTATGTCTTCTCATTAGATATCTATTAAGATGCTACCGTACTTTTACACAAGGCACTATCGCATACCACGTTACCCATGGTCTGTCATTACATCCGCTATTAACCGTCCTTACCGTCCTTTCCGCCCTCAATGTAGAAACTGCTGCGACACTAGGCTAGAAGTTATGGCAGTACTTCCCAAACTTCCTGTCCCCCAATGGCTGCGGAAACACACCATTATCCAGCAATTGAAAGACATCCCACTCACCCGCGCTTCCCTCGGTCTTGAAATTCCAAAACACCCAGCCTTGCGTCTTGGTCTCGAAGGCATCAAGTTGCACTTCTATATAGCGCCTGACACTATCTTTCCAGTCCTGAGACCACGAAGAGACAGGACCCGATTTGCCGGCACATGAGCCGATGTAGTGAGAACCCGGGAAGTTGCCTTCCATGCGCGAACCCGATCCGAATCCGTTGAGCTGTGGCGCGCAGTCTGTTAGGGCGCCACTCCACTCACCGACAACTAGAGGAGTCAGCAGGCTCTTAACATGTAATCTCGACGGGGATGTTACGTACTGGTCCATTTGTCAGATCCAGCGTAGTTGTTCACCTGGGACAATGTGTTAGCAAACAGAACGTAACCCAATTGTGAGAGGAGAGGTCCCATACAGCGTTGCAAGTTAGGCTGAGATGTTGGTCGACCGACATGCCAACGAGACCTGAATCGAAAATCTGGTACTCATGGTGATCGACGATGACGTTTTGCGCGTTATTATCCTGCGGCGTCAGGAACCCGTTGAGCCACGAAGGGTCCAAAAAACCATCATGCAGCATCGCAGGCGTATTGCTGACCTCTCTCAAGTTGTAGAACGCATCGCGATAGAACAGCTTCACCATCTCCGGATCTAGTTTCGACAGGAATGGCTCGTTGAGGAACTGAATCGCCACAACAACGTCTTGCATCTCCGGCTTCGCGTACTTCTCTTCGAGTTGTTTGAGCACGGCATGGGTGTAGCTGAGACTATCAGCATCGCCCCAGCTTGGAAATGCTGCCTTGTGTCCGCTATGATCGAATCCGTTTTGAGACTTTGGTGCGCCATGGAGATCGATGATGACCTTCAGACCGGTCTGTCGTGCCCAATCGATGGCTGCGTCGAGGTATGGAGCAGCTCCTTGCGCATATGGGCCCCATGGTTGGACATATGACCAGTAACCTTAAAGTAGCGACACGATTAGCACTTTTCTAAACAGTAAACACGAATATCCCCCAAGACATTCTAGTGTCTTATAAAAGATTAGTTACTCACTATCCGTATGTTAGCTAAAACATTCGAATAGTATTCGTGGTATCGCACCCGACGGGAATGCGGACGATGTTGAAGCCAGCGTTCTTGATCTTCCAGAAGTCGTTGAGCGTGACGAAGCTATCCCAGTGCGACTTCAGTGCAGCGGCGCAGCTCTGCTGTCCAATCTTCTCACATAGCGACCACTGTCCAATTGAAGTACGAAATTAGTTTGTTTCTCATATGCCAGTCGTAAATAGGAAACCTTACCTCATCGACCACCGGCCACTCAGGCGAGCTATACTTCTGGAATATCGAAGGTGTGATGAATCTGCTTTTGTCAACCCCGACCAAAATGTCGGCTGGTGTCTCTTACGGTTCGAGGACCAGCCATCCGCCGATGTTGATTCCGCGAACCTTCGTGCTTCCCCAATTAAAGTCGACACTACGCTCGTGGATAGTGCTGAGAATAAAGTTAGCCTATCGTAGGAACCATTGGGAGGCGGCTACATACTTTGCCGGTGCTGCGTTGACAAGGAAACTTGCAGCGGCCGAAACAGCTGCAAAGCAAAGTTGGGTCCGCATAGCAGTCGTAGTGCCTGTATTATTGTATGGTTGTTCGAAATCCTACGTGTAGGAGAGTTACCCAACCAGGGCTATGGGCTGGTATAATGTGCGGAAAGGTAGCGACCGTAATGTTGCGTTGAGGGTGAGCAGAGGTTGTTTTTCTTTCGGGATTGTCGAAGACGGGAAGCAAACTAGTGTTGGTCGCTCCTGTCACGGTGAAAGCCGAGGAAGCTGCGGTGGTATCCCCAAAATAGACGCGCGGGAAATTACCACCACAGCGCAAGTACTACCGTCATATACCAGTATCGTGATGCGTGCGCACATAGCGCTCCTTGAAAATGCTTGCACACCTACAGGTAGCCTAGTAGTATCTTTAAACGAACCCAAATCTTTTGTAGCGAGTGGCTTAGGCTCGATGCGGACATTGATAAATGTTCGTAAATATAAAAACCTCGTACAGCAACATTGAAAGTCTATTGCCACATGAAAACAACGCGAGACCATTTTCAAAATTGCTAACCGCCCGCAGGCCCATACCAAACGAACAAATATTTGTATCAAATTGGAAAGGTTGGACTATGATAACGAAATCCTTAGGTAGTGTTGCTGAGTGATGCTTAGGTGATGCAATCCGATGGCAAGCCGAACGCACGCTAGCCCGTCCGAGTTGCCCAGGTGTGCAGCTAACTTCAAGTTGCTATCTCGCTGCTTTCTCCAACCTGGCGGATATAAATAGGATAACGTGAAGATTGCTGTCTACTAAACGCCAACTTCATCCTTGACTCGGTGGAGTATGGTACGAGCCGTGCCGTTTGGATAAATGTGACTACTCTTTGTGACCGAAGATATTCGGGCAGCTTGCACGCCTGCCTTGGTTCGGATATGGGGAGGCTTCAAGGCTAGTACTGTCAGGCTGGAATCTCACTCTCTCCGACCATATGACGCTTTGCATAACGTCCATGGCGAGTCGTAACTTTGCTTCAGTCCATGAAACCCATCGTCTCGTCCATGATAGCTGCAAAACTCTTAGTTTCGCGATGCTCTCCGCTTGTGACAGGCGGGAACTGGGACATTTTGATCCGGAAGCCCTCGGATTTTCTAATGGCCGACGCAAGATCTCTACATAGCCGGTTAGTTATGACCAAGATCCGATAGCAATGAAGACATACTGCACATCGCCGCGAAGCAAGTATTGGTTACGCTCCATTGCGACGGCGAGCTCTTCTTGGTGGTTGTCAAGTAACCCAATATTGGGCACGACAATCAGTGGAATTTGGTATCGAAGAGCTTCTAGAACAGAACCAGATCCTAACGAGTTCAGCTTTTCATTATCCCCTGCTTCGGCATATGGGGATGGTACCAGCATGCGATATAACTAAGCCCTTCGACTTCTGAACCAGCTTGAATTGTGATTGTAGCCCTTCTGAGTTAAAGTCCATACCATCAATGATTATCTCTCCATCCTGTTTATTGTCTTGGATATGCAGACGAGCGGCGCTGGAACAAATGTCATAGACATCCTTGGCAGACCCATACTGTACTAGAAGATGCGTGAAGCCGCATTTCCGTAAGGTTTGTATAGATGAAGGGCTTAGCACTGATTCAATAAGCGCTGTAAATGGTGCTGTGGCGCCCGTAGTGACAAAGCACAGCTTCGAGTCCCGGGTCCAGTTCCACGATTCGGCCATGTTAAGTGAAAGGCGATCAAGGAAGATGCGAGTCCAAAATCAGAAGCTGCGGACACCAGGTTTCTCTGCGCAGGTCACTTGCAACAGCGTCGAGATGGTCGGGACGAAAGCGGAGGTCGGACATCTCAAGCTCGCATTGGTCCGGCGCTCGGTCGCACTTTCCTCCAAAGCGCCAAGCACGGGGCTCTCGCATCGCAAAAGTTGACGACCACATCAATCGGGCCCTCAATGACAATGGCTTCAATATCACGACGACTGCTGCTGCAATCGCGGCAATGCCCCTCTCGGATACGATCTCAACTTTCACCTAGTTTCGCGGCGCAATGGCAACGGCCGGTTTCGACTACACGACGACAATGCGCGAAGAAGGATACAGAAGAAGGCTCCGCGACCGTTGCGGACGCCAAAGCCCCAGCTGAAATCGAATACGTAGCAGCAGCGCCTTCATATTCGAACCGCCCCGTCTCCAAGACCAAATCGCACAAACACATGTCCAAAGAAGAGAAAGAAGCCACCATACTATCCTCCATCAAAGACTCACTCTCCGCCCTGGACCCTGAAGTTGTCGAGGATGCTGTTCGCAAAGGCAAGCAAGGCATTCCCTTTGCAAAAGACTTTGAACTGGAAAATGACGAACACTGGGACATTGAGGAAGATGATAAGAGGAAAGTCGCGACGGGATTCTGGGCCGAGGGAGAGGAGAGCATGGGGACGGATGAAGATTACTTTGGGGATGATGTGACGAGCCATGGACATGGGCAGCTACAGGAGCACAGAGAGCTGAGGGAGTACGCCAGATTGATTGCATGGGAGTTGCCGCTTTTGAGCCGTAAGTTCAGACGAAAGCTTGAAACTGCTTAACGGACGCTAATGATATCACCCACAGAACTTGCACGCCCCTTCGAGCCCCCTACAGAAAGCACCCCCTTCCGCTTCCGCTACACATCCTACCTGGGCGAATCACACCCAGCCGCAAACAAAGTTGTCGTAGAATTCTGCGCCAACGACCTCCCCCTCACCGCCCAGCAGGTGTCAAAACTCATCAAGCTAGCCGGTCCACGCTACAACCCCAGCACCTCGATCATCAAGCTTTCGTGCGAACAATTCGACACACAAGCGCAGAACAAGCGCTTCCTCGGCGAAACAATCGCCTCCCTGGTCAAGGAAGCAAAAGACGGGAAGGACTCGTTTGAAGATGTGCCGTTTGACTTTAGACATCATAAGCCTAAGCCGAGGTTTGAGTTTCCAAAGGAGTGGGCGCTGACGCAGCAGCGGAAGCAGTACCTGGAGGATAAGAGGCAAAAGGTGGCGCAAATTGAGGACGAGCGGCTGCATAATGGCAACTTGATTGATGGTAAGACGGTGATTGAAACAAGTTTGCCGTTCATAGAGCAGGCGCAGGCTGAGCCGGTTATGGTTGGTGGACCGAGGGGCAAGGCGCGGCGGTAGTAGTAGTAGACGAACCGAGAGTGGATGCTAGTGTTGTAGTATCTGTATCATATTGAATGGGGTAGACATGCAGGTAGCATCATCCGCAGTAGGCGCACGGGCAGCATAGACATGGACGGGAGATATTGTACATGTACGAACAAAGAGTAGCATTCTCGTAAAGAAGCATTGGAGTGCTCCCCAAGGGTATATATGATAACCCACCTATCCTACGCCATTTTCGCCCCAAGATGATAAGACTAGTAATACAAGACCAGAACCCTCCCGTTTTTCCCTGCTTACACAATTGTTCCAGCTCAAGGCCACCTGCAAAACGTGTAGGTTGGTTGATAATTTGACACATAGATCGGTGTACTTGGCTGTATTGCAGTGCTGTTAGCAGGCTCAGCTAGCAACGCCTGTACTCGCTCGGTTTTTCTTCCTCCCACCCTTGACCACGGGTGTGTCGCCTTCTTCCCGCTTACGCTTTGTGGGCCGACTGGTACCTCCCTTGGGCCGGTATGCGGTGTCATCATCTCCAATGGTCTTCCGACGGCCCTTGCCCGTCTCTGGTGCAGCAGAGTCCTCGTCCTCGTGATCTCGCGGTCCAGGTGTACCCCCCACGGCAGACTCCCGCTTCACCTTGCGTCCACCGGTGTTACCAGGCTTAGCAGCCGACTTCTCAGACATGTTCTCGTGGTGTGCAGCATCCTTGTCTTGCAAGAAGACCTGTGGTTGGTGTTTGCGAAGCCAATTGTAGACACTATCTGGGTTGCGCACTGTGAGGTCTTTTTCGCCGAGCGGCGGTTGGGCAGATGGGAGGCGGAGCGGGCGCCCCTGTTGGAGGGCGAGGTCGAAGCCGGGTTCTGCGAGAACCTGGTCCATGGCGAGGAGATACTCTTCTTCGTGCACAGGGGACATGTAGCCTGGCGCGTGTTCGCTGAGGTCTATGCCCTCGATAGGCTGCTCTGGCAAGTCGTCGCGCGTTGTGTGAGGGACCTTGGCTTCGAGACTGGCGAGGGACTTTAGGGCGTGTTGTATCGCCTGCGAGCTGTGTAGTTGGTCGGCCTTTTGTGCGTACTGTTCTGCCGTGATGGTGCCTGCCGCAACGTCATCACGCAGCTCTCGTAGCTGTTGCTGTATGAAGTCGGGACCCGGGCCTGCTTCGAGGGATGGCACAGCAGTATCAGCAGCGGAGAGTTGGCGCAAGTCGTAGCGCAGGCGGGCGTTGACGCGTGTCTGGTCGTTGAAGTCGAGGAGCGCGTCGAGGAGCTGGTCGTTGGTCTCTTGCAGGCGGCGCGCTGTGCCCATGGCCTTCCACTCCTGCGATATGAGGCTATTGCTTTCGGTCATGGCATTGTCGAACTGGATGCGCATCTTGCGGTATTTACGTCTATCCAACATGTCAACTCGCGAGCTCATGTGTACCATTCTCAGTGCGTGTCGACCTACCTCCACGACCGCTTGACCTGCGGCTTCTGTGTCGCATCTGCGCTTGCATCTGCATGGGGGGTGTCCTGGAGCTGCGTCTCAGCCTGTGGCGGCGGCGCCTCGGAGGCCATGTTGCGTTTGGATATTGTATTGATGAGCTGGCTGCTGTGTAGATGCCGTCTCCGGTCTCTTGGTGTTGAGGTCCGGGTCGCGATCTGATCTGGAGTTGCGGTTCAGACCAGGGCCTGTGCTTCGGCCATGAACACGAACGCAGAACACAGTCTTTCGAGCATCACTTGACCTTCACGCTTGCCCGCAGAGGAACGCACACGCACGCCCCTTTCCTCCTATACCCCATCCCGTGTCCAACCAATTCTACATCACAAAATATCCTCACGCAGCCATTCTTCTTTGCCATTCTCCCAGAGTCTCAGGCTGCGCGGACAAGCCGGAAGGTGTTGCGTACACAGTAAGACCCTGAAGGGCCCACCTCGCCGCTTTGCTCCTTCTGGCCCAGACTGACGCCCATTGCTCGTGCCAGGACGCCAAATCCGCTCCCATAATCTCTTCCAGCTCCTCCCAGTCTGCTGTCCGGTCCCCCGAAGGCTCCCTCAATACCGCCAAACTGTCACCCATACTTCTCAATCGTACCTCGCGCCTGAGCTTCGCTGGCGACCCGCGGCCCCGCCAATTGGACCCGTCCCATTCCACCATGTCTCTGGACGCGAAGGAGGCCAGAAGGCGCCGTAGCAGTAGTCTTGTCTACAAGGAGCCCCCAGAGTCGCTGGAGCAGCTGAGCGACCAGTCTGCCCTGCCCAACCTGAACGCCGAATGGGTCAACGCAAAGGGTACGTGTTATCAGGATACATGGCACACGGCACATTTGCATGCATGCTTCGTATCGAGGATGCCAGCTAACAGCGATATGCAGGCGCCTGGGCTATTCACTTCGTCCTCATCTTCCTCGGCAAAATCTTCTTTGACATCATCCCCGGCATGTCCCAGGAGACATCGTGGACCCTGGTCAACCTCTCGTACATGGCGGGCTCGTACCTCATGTTTCATTACGTGCGCGGTGTACCCTTCGACTTCAACGCGGGGGCCTACGATAACCTCAACATGTGGGAGCAGATTGACAACGGGGACCAATACACGCCCGCCAAGAAGTTCCTGCTCTCTGTGCCCATAGTCCTATTCTTGGTTAGCACGCATTATACGAACTACGACTTGACGTATTTCATCATCAACTTTTTAGCCACGATAGCTGTCGTTATTCCGAAATTACCTTCGGTATGCCCTCCTCCCCTTCCCCTCAGCAGGCAGATGCTAACTTCTGCCCAGCTTCACAGGTTACGATTCTCAGTATTCAATAATCCACCGGACGACGCATAAAACAAGATATCTCTCTGGGTTGGCTGTAATTTTGCATGTATTTCTAGGACTAGCCGCAATCGGACGTGGACAGATTGAGTAGCATCACTGCACGGTAGCGGAGTTGGGCACATATTGATTTGAACAGTACGGACGCTTCATGGATACCAGACAGTGGGCAGAATCCAAAGTTTCGCGTAATCACGTGTTTTTCATGCAGGTACAGGCCAAGTGCTAGGCCTGCACTAGGCAGACGGCAACCATGCTCCAAAACCTCGTTGTAATTAGGACCTTTGCGCAGGTATGCTGTTCCAACTTGATCTTTCTGCAGACATGTCTTCTCCACCACCAGCACGGATATATGCTCCACCCAATAGCAACGTTTCAAAAGGCAAAAGTCAACTACTGTCGTGCAATCCCCCTAGCGCGTCGGCCGCTTCGAGCAACTTCGTCATCGATCAACCGGGACCTCGCATGGATCACCATTCTGCCTCAAAGCTTATATTTTTTTTCTTATTTCTGCACGGCGTCATTCCTGCAGTGTTTGTGTCCCACAGGTTTCTCTCTCTCTCTCTCTCTCTCTCTCTCTCTCTCGGTATCACGATGACATCCACGTCATAGTACCCTCCTGTCTCCACCACTTGGGCACACACCACTGTCTCGCGCAGCATCATTGTCCCATTCACCACGCGACAACTAACAAACACACCTCTCCATCATCTTGGTGCACAGAAGCAATCAACTCAATCAAGACACACAGAATCTGGACGAAAGACAAGCCACCATGGTGTGGTCTCAGCTGGAACCCACAGGTCCTCACCTGACCTACCTGGTCCTCACTTCTTTTTTGATGATATACGCCCTCTTCTCCCTCATGATCCGGAATCGACTTCACCTTTCAGAACCGCCCCTAGCCACCGCCTTCGGTATCGCCATCGGGCCTCGCGGGCTCAATGTCGTCACACCTTACGACTGGGGATTCGACGACAGCCTGGTGCAAGAGATGACGCGCATCATCGTCGGCATCCAGTGTTTCGCTGTCGGTTTGGAGCTCCCGAACGGATATTTTGGGAAGAAATGGCGTGCCCTCCTTGTGCTCCTCGGACCCGTCATGATTGCTGGATGGCTTATATGCGCCATATTCATCCTAATCCTCTTCAAGACAGACTTTCCAACAGCCTTGACCATATCGGCATGCCTTACGCCCACAGACCCCGTTCTTGCCGCTTCAGTGCTTTCAAACAGCCAGTTTAGCACAAGGGTGCCAAAACGCATCAGGGACTTGTTGAGCGCCGAGAGTGGATGCAACGACGGCGTCTCCTTCCCATTCCTATTTCTCGGTCTCAATCTTATGACTCAAAGCACAGCAGGAGGCCTGAAGAAGTGGTTCCTGATCACCGTCCTGTATCAATGCGTCCTCGGCGTCATCCTTGGCCTCGTTCTCGGCCACATCTTCAACATACTCTACACCTTTTCTCATAAGCGCAAGATGATGGGTCAAGCATCGTACTTGGCCTTCTACCTACTTCTGGCTATCTTCTCCATTGGTTTAGCATCTACCCTTGGAGTCGATGACTTCCTTGTAGCTTTCTGTGCCGGACGAGGCTTTTCACACGGTGGTAATTCACCTACTGCCGACACCCGGTTACCAGTCGTCATCGACTTGATGCTAAACTCGACTTTATTTGTCTTCTTCGGCGCCATGATCCCATGGAAATCATTCAACCACCTGGACTCGATCACCCCCCTGCGGCTTTTCGGGGTACTCGCACTCATTCTCCTCTTGCGTCGTATTCCCGTCGTCTTCACACTCTACAAGTTCAAAATACTGCCGCATATACGGACAACCACTGAGGCACTATTTGTCGGTCACTTCGGGCCGATGGGTGTCGGTGCACTCTTTCTCGCTATCGAAGCACGTGCACAGCTCGAGACTGATACCTCGCTCCCCCTACCCCACCCACCAAAAAACCTCTCTCCGGAGCGTCAGAGGGCGGTCACCCTGATATGGCCGATCGTTTGCTTTGTAGTACTTGGAAGTACGGTGATACATGGCCTTAGTACCCTAATGATCAGCGTTGGCGGGCACTTCTCGCGGGACGAGGGCGAGAGAGCACCCTTAATTGGGGCAGAGCGTGAAGGCTTACATTATATGGTTTTTGATGAAGAGGAGGAACAAGACAACGACGGCGGTCATAGAAATGAAGAAGAGGAGGAATCTGAGGATCGTGGGTATATGCAGGGCAGAATGTAACGTCGTTGTTAACCTAGACATACGACACATTGGCTCTTAGCGACAACACTCGCATGATATCCGCGTTCAGTTGCCACATCTCGATACCTGGTACACCATCTCGCGGCTTCTTTAACGACATTTCCCACCCCATAAATACCTCACAATGTTATACGAATAACTTTATGTATTCCAACCTCGACTCTTGAATGTATTCAAGATGCCTACATAACGTCATTGTGCCATTATCATTCACTTTACCTACACAATTTTCATTATGTACGTATCATGCACCCTTGAGCTGCTATGCAATGCCATACGGACATGTATTGCACCCTTTGCTCCAACTATCTCTCCTATAATTTTGTACGACACTTTCACAACACAACAAATCAACCAAAAACAAAACTCACAATCTTCAACATGAACGACAGTAGATCTCTAGAGATGCTAGTTTCCCACATTGCAGGGTCGCTACATCTGCCTACATTGACCTTGCGTCGCTTTCCCCTCTCCGAAACGTTGACGACGCGGTGGAGTTGGTTGACGTAGACTCGCTGCCACAGCTACCAGTACCGGAACGCCCTGAGGATGATGAGCTAACGAAGAGCTCAGAACAACCGCTAACGGTCGGAGATACCTGGGACCTGTCATTTCGTCCATTCACAATGTACAAGGAATATATTGGTGAGGTCCGGTACTATGACCGTGATCACGACGGCCAACTGTCTACAAGGCTCCATTACGAAGTTACCCGGGAACGTGTTCAGCACTGCTTGGAGCACCATTACTGCCTGTGAAAGCATCTCAACACGAATCGGACGCTATTGCAGCAATATGGAGAAGGTGACCTCGCAACTCAGATCCCATCCACGGACCGTAAAGCAGGCAACCTATCTACGCTCGAGACTGCACAGAGCTTGTTCGCTATCCACCACATTGGAATCAGCGAAGGTCTCACCAACGTATGCATGCCCCCCAGCATCGACTTGGCTCTACCCGGCAAAAGGGATTTCCGGGACAGCCGAAACTTCTTCGCCCATGTCTTTGGAGGTCCAGACACTATGATGGGCCCGTATCGAACTTGGAAACCGTGATCAATGGTTAGACGATACTTTATAAGACTCTGCTAGATCACGTTGATGCTAACATCAAGATAATTGAAGACCAGCTGGCTGACGAAGACAACTGGAGAAAGCCTGGTCCGCCAGTGCCAACACCTCAATCCACAACTGACAACGCAGACGTCATATCATACGCGCCTCAAGATTGGAACGGAGAAGATGGTTCCGAAGGCGATTTGTGTACAAATGCCTGCTGTACTACTTTATTCAAGTACCTCTTCTTCCGTTCTGCAATCGTGCGCCATATCAGCGAGCGAGTAGAACACTATCTCTCGAATACTAACTTAGACTATACCAACGAGAAACTTGACGTCACGACCGAATAGATGGATCCTGACCGGAACTATGCATCTCGAGCGGACGAGGCCGAGTATTTTGATTCGGATAACCAAGAAGTGCAGCAGCTGACAAATAATAACGTCACTAATTGGTAGATGTCTTGCTGTTTCCATCGTTTGTTAGATGGCAAGCTGTTTGCCTGTCGATCGAACAAGCACATTGTAAGCATAAATATATCACTCTTCCTCCTGGAAAAGATCTTTCTCTCATCCTTTTCCAGTTATGACGTGCATTCTATATACACTCAAGTTCTTTGCAAGTCTTCTTGGTCAATCAAACTCACTGTAAGTATCAATTAATCACCTGTCCTACTAAACATGAAATCCTGCTAATCGTCCCACAGTCATACCATGCACGCTATATACACCAAGTTCCTTGCGAGCCGCAGACTACGTTTTTATACTTCAGTGAAGAGTGCCCAGTCTAAAGCTATCCTAAACAACATGAGCTTTACAGTATATTTGTACTCAGTCACACCAAACGTAATAACATCCCTCAAGTACGATACATAGAAGTTGAACAGCGTGCAACAGAAGTCCTGCAGAGTTTGAAGCATCTTTCACTAGGTTGATACATCCACTCGGCATTTACAAGTGAAATATCTTCCCTGAGGCCTACACGGGGGGATATGCACATTGTAATGGCACAAGATTGTTGTCTAGACACAATGTTTTCTCGACCTTACGTTCACTCGACGCATCTGTTGCTGGCCCTTCGGTATATATCCGCATATTCTTTTCCTCTTCGTATAATTCCAGACTCAACTCCACAACCAAATACTTCGACGACAACACTAGAATCACTATCCAAATGTCGAACTCCCAAGGATCCGAGACCTCCATCAGCCGGACTACGACGCCGCCTCCTGATTTTGACTTGTACGAGGGGCGTGTCGAGTACTACCAGATGCACCAAAACCAGCTGGTTCCTGCGCACTTCCAGGGCATCACGGTTCTCTCTGTTCGAGAGACACTCGGTCACATGCGCTGCTTGCGTAGACATCTTCGTGAGAACCTCCGAATTCTGGAAAAGTTCGGCGAGCAAGCTCTCAGCACGCCTCCTAGTATCAACTTCGCAAATGATACGGAAGATGGAGAAGCGTCCGAACTAGAGAAGGCACAAGACTTGTTCGCGATACACCACATCGGAATCTCGGAGTGTTTGCACACAGTGTTCGTGAGTTGCGTGCAATTTGGTCTGCCGGTATACTCCGGATACCGGGAGAGCAGAAACTTTTTCGCCCATGACTTTGGCACGGCCACAGGTTCCATGCCCGGAAAATACCAAACCATGGCCACGGAGATGCAGGGTAAGAAGGAGCTGTACGAGCCAATATACATACATGTCAAGGCTTCAATCAATTTATTTGAAGCCCAATTGGCAAATCACAGCATGTGGACGTATAGGCCTGAAGCGCCTCGCCAGTTGGATCCAAATGCCATGCCCACGACGACAACGCAGGAGCCATGGGAGGATAGGGACTATGTCCCACCTCCTACAAACTGGACAACAGAGGATCCTTATGCGGACGAGGAAGCGCGCCGTGAAGCACAACGACGCGATACGGGGGGCTGGCTCTCCCCAGTCAAATTTCTTTACTTCCGCGTCAGGGCTGTCCGCTGGATTGGAGACAAGATCCATGACTACTTCGATACATTGGCCACGCAGTATCGGGGATATCCCATGGCGCTCGAGGGGGGGACATTCGAGACGACTGGCAGTATAGTCGAGGAGGTGCAGGGCCAAGGTTCCAACGCTTCGCATGAGGAGAACGTAGGGGCTGAGCAGTGAGGTACTTACGAGCCGCCACCTCTCGAAGAGCAACCCCTTTTGCATGCTTCCCCTGGTCATGCCAGCCGTTAGGGAGACAAATTTTATACTGCTGTGATGGGCTTGGAGATGTTGGATGGCAAGTTTTGTACTAGTATATTCAGCTATCGCTTAATTAAATAGATGTTGTTGTATAATCAACTCTAATGAGTCTAAAGTCTCCGATTGATCATTAGTGAAATGATAGATGTCAGGATATTCAACCATGAAGAGCCCTGCTGCTTCGTCGAATTTTAGCATGTTAACGCCTCCACGCGGTTTCAGTGATGCATAGCCTCCCGAATGAGGGAAAATATGAGCCATGTATGGAGGACTGCTGAAGAAGTCCGCCTCACCTGAATGATTGTGGCTTATTTCACGCCACTTACATGAACATGTCAAACGTGGCCAATCAGAAATATATCAGGCTGGATTAAAAGCCTCAGCCTGTGGTACATATGCGGCATAGGAGCCTCAGCCTTACTGCGGTCGCTCTCAGAGATTTAGCTAGCCATAGTCTGTGTTAACTGACAGCACAAGGCTCTCCGAGGATGATCTGATAAAGACTGGAGCCTGGCAGAACCGGTCTCCACGGTGCAAGCCCGAGTATACGCCACAGTCTGCGGTCTGCCTCGCAAAATTTTGTTCGTCGTGGCAAAATACGTTTGGACAGTTGGGTTTTAATTGTCTGCGCTACTCTTGCGCAACTTATATAGTGCAATGCTATGATCTGTCAAGGCAATCTGGCGTCAGCATTCTTTCTCACATCTTATACCTACCCTACTCAATCCAGTGCTACCCTCGCCAAAAGGAAAATGGCTACTATAGCCCTCGAAGTATTTGGTCTCCTTGTTGGCGGAGTCCTCGGCATCGTCGATCTGTTTTTACCGGCAGCAAGTCCTCTCCACCTCAGCGCGCTAGAAGAGGGCCATTCTCTCCTTCGAATCGGCATAGGACTTAACGCCAGCAGTGGAGAAAGCCTAGGCGGTACCATCCCCTCGATAAACGTGTTCAACGAGGAGAAAAGTCACATTGGCTATGCAGGGGGCTCGCCATACACCCATGTAGAGAACGGGACCTTTATAACCGTAACCGTACTCCATGATTCTGGGCACACTTTCCAACAACCAACCTACGTGGAAGTTGCCGGGGGCCCAGACGCGGTGTGTATTGCGTATATTGCACAGACTTGGGCAGACGGGACGCAACTCGGATGGCTGGGCGACGTTGGAAAGTTCTGTGGTGCCAAGTGGTATTACTCCAACACATATATCAGCACTAAGAATGGCTCCATGCACAAGGTGAGTAGCCACATGGGTTATTCTGATAAAAAGACGATTTGAGTTTTGACCAACTTCCTCAGCCGTACTGCACCTGGATAGGTGGCCAGCGACCTCGTTCCTGCTCCGATACCCGCAAACGCCAGGATGATAGCCCAACCTACCCACAAAATTGCACCAGCGACGCACAAGACTCCATGTACACGTATTCCGGCTTCAAGGTTCATACACCTGATTTTGGCCCCGTAGGCTCACGCAACGACTTCACGGTCCCGGAGAATCCAAAGGAGCTGTGCAACTTCCCGAAGCTCGAGTGGTATAAAACCCAACGGTTCCAAACATCTCCAGCTTCGAACTTGCGGCCCTTGCCAATGAAATCTCTTCTATTCACAGCGCTTAGTATACTGAGCAGTACCGTCACTCATGTCGCCGCAGCCACGATGAAAGAGCGCTCCACTTGGCCTGGACGTGATAATGACGAAGGAGAGCATGTGTCTGTTAGAGAAAGTATAGTAGGCAGCCACGATCGCCAGCATAGCAGCAAAGCGCTTTGTGCTAGCCCGAATTCTTGGGGCCCGGACTTTGTTTCCTTTGGGGAGGGGCTGTTCTGTGACATGACGTTGAAAAGGACATGGCCGTTGTGTAACGGCAATGCTGGACTTTTTCAAGATTGCTACAATTGGAGCAGCCATACTATTGTGGGAGGTAAGTGGAAGAAGAAGAGGGCGATTAGGTATAGTCGAGTTCTAGAGTGGAGATGAGAAGTTGTTTAGTTTCCTACGCGGAGGTTCGCTTAAAGATTTTCAAAGCTTTAATCGGATTGATTTGAAGGACAGCATTGGGCATGAGTATTACAGTATTTCGATCCTTACTTGCACATTCACTACTTTTACAAGTACATTAGCATATCGGAACGCCTTCCATGTATTCATATCTACTTCTCAAGACATAAGATATTTTGTCTAGCCACTTCCAAAACAGTCTTATCTATTGTTACCTCCCGCTTCACATTTCGCAGAGTGTTCAGCGTTCGGAGATACAACTCTCAGTGACAGCGATCACTCTACTGCGGCTATAGAGAGATATACCCCGCCGACGCTCAGCAATGCTTTGTTTGCTAATCCAAGCTTTCCGTTGATGCTGTCTCAACCAGTTAATTCTGTCCAAAAGCCCCCTTCTCTTTGGAGTCGTATATGGAGAATTTGGGAACAGTATTGGTACACTCAAAAGCAACGAAATAAACGCCCATCTCAATGACCCCTTCAATGCGATCATTGCACTCTTGACGGCTTTACTCAAGCGGGCCTCGCTCTACCTCTTTCTGAATGTAACTATCAAGTCCGCTTGTTTGAGAACTTGCTAACCTAATCCTAGCTATTAGCCAGTTAACATGGGAGGTTTTCCAAGATCGTTCACGCCCCCTCATTACTAATTTAAGTTTTATATTAAGAAAAAGATAGGGTATTGAAAAATAGACACAAGAGAACAAAGGGTAGTAAATCACCCTCTACCAATTAAGCAAAAATGTAAAAAGCGTTGCCCCTATTCGGATGCCAGGTTCGACGAGGCCTTCAACGATATTATGGCCAATAGACTGCATTTGGGAATTTGCGTAATCTTCGGAATCTGTTATCTGCGATGCGCTTGACGGAGCCATTGGTCATTTGGAGTTAGGTTTAGACGTCTCTTACCTAATCCCGGTCGGGGAAGTGGCTGCTAGGTCAATGTGTATAGCAGAAGAGGAAAAGACTTTGAGAAGCGTAGATCAATTCATGCAAAATATGACAGATGTCTTGACTGCAACTATTAGAAGGTGCGGTGATGGCGGGACAGCAGAATACGTGAAAGGAGTGGCTACGTCGCAAGCTACTTGCATTCAGATTAGATGGGCTTGGTTTTCGTATCCAATCATTTTGGTTGTTGTTGCGACATCCTGCTTCATTTTAGTTGCCGCCAAGAGCCAGAATGGGAGGACAAGTATTTGGAAATCATCAAATTTGGCAGTTTTGTTGTGTTCAGTGGATGATACAATACGTCAGAGGGCATGTTCTAGATGGGGACGAGATGATATATTTCAATATGCGAAAAACACGCGAGCGCAACTAGTTTCTGACAGCGAAGGAAATGAAAGATTCATGTAAGGTAGTGGGTATCAATATTAGTGCGTAAATGATTTTCTAGAGACAGAAATTGCTTCTCTTCTGCTATGTGTACATCTATTCTGACCGATCATGGACCAACACCTATAGAAGTTGAGGTTCGAAATTACCCTGCAGTGTTTATCAAGCATTGGGTTGCTAGCTTACATTAGTCTTATCATTACGTATGTGCGGGACTCATACAATAACAACCTTCATCGCAACACCATCTTTCTCAACCACCCCGCACCCGACATCGATACATTACACTTTTTACCTATTATAAAATGGTTCACACGATCGCTTCTTATCAACCCAAGCCTATTCTCGCCTCAAACGAATAACCTACGCCATGGAAGCAGCAAAAGGAGTAGGTAATGAAGTGAGAAACCCCGCTGTGGCTAAAGCAGTGTGGTACAAGCTATCCGTCAACGACACGGAGAGCCTACTTTCCATCGCCAACAAAATCCATCCCGATCTCCCAGAAAGCCTCGAGGTCTTTATAGAGCGCATAAATCTCTATCCCGAGGGCTGTTTAGCTCTCATAGACGAGCAAGGGAAAGGTAACAAGCTCTACGGCTACGTCATCTCCCATCCCATTATACGTCGCCAACCACCAGCCTTGAATAGCCTACTGAAAGAAATATCGCCCGACGCAGACCAGTACTACATCCATGATCTCGCAATACTATCTGAGGCGCGGGGATGCGGTTTTGCACAAGAGTGCATCAGCAAACTTCTTGCTATTGCTGAGCGCTTTGAGACGACCAGTCTCATTTCCGTGTATGACTCAACTTCGTTCTGGGGCCGTTTTGGATTCGTTTCCGGAGAGAGCGATAACGGGTTAGAAAGGAAGTTGAGGGACTATGGAGAGGATGCCGTTTATCTCGAGCGCAGGAATGATAATCAAATATAGCTGATGAAGACGAATGCATGACTATTACCTATGATCAAGGAAAAGTCTTATCACTACCCAGCGCACGCATCAAAGATCGCAAACATCCCTTTCGCTCCTTTCCCACCCTCTTGTTGCTCTTCGGGAATCTTGCCATGCAACCACATGCGATGATAACTAACATCCGCGTACGTCCAACCGAGCTCCTCGAAGACCTTCTTCCCCGCCGGATTAGTCCCAAAAATCTCTGCAACGTAGCCCCTTTCCGAGAGTGCGGAGTCGTCCATCGCTTTATGCAGGAGCTGCTTCGCTTGCGCATACGTTTCTGCGTATAAAGGACCAATGCGACGCCCATGCTCGCAGTGACGGGCGTACACAAACCCATTGAGGTGGGAGTTGGACACGATTGCGAAGCCAGAGGCTTCGATGCGAGAAAGAAGGGCGTCAGCAGCCCAGTATGCAGAGCGATCTAAGCCGGTGTGCTCAAGGTCGAGTTGCGCCAACAGTTTGGGATCGATATCTCGCAAATCTTGCAATTCCACACCCTCGCGTAAATCGAGTTCCACATCCATTGGTCTCACTTTCAAAGAGTCTCTAACCATCAACGGAATCCGTGCACAATCCACAAAACCCCTTCTCTTATACGTCTCAACCTGCTCTTGCACGCCGTCTAGTCCTATGACTGTTGTGCCATCGGCGTGGAAAACAGATTCCATCTCGCTCCACAATTGGCGGCCGAGTCCCTGGCCACGAAATGCAGCGTTCAAGATAAAGAAAGCCACCCAGCCCGTACTATTAAGGTAGGTAAATGCTATCACGCACCCTTCAGGTTTGCCCGCCTCTTTTGGAATGAGCAGGAGCCAATTCTTGCCATTCTGGGCGACTTGAAAATGCGTTTGGGCGTCGGCTTGTGCGCGGTTCTGGTAATCGCATTGTAAGCGTGCTGGTCGTGGCTAAAGGATGTGGTTTGTGTCCAACGTACCCATCCGAGATCTTGCATCAGTGGCCACCATAATGCTGATGCTTCTTCTACGCTCAATGCTGGGCGTATGACGTGCTGAGGTACCTCGGTCGCCATATTAATAGATAGTGGGCTACTCTAAATCAGACTGCCCTGAACTACGAGGGAAGTAGTTTATGCCTACACAGTATGGCCAAAATTGGGATACCGAACTGCCAACGGTGAGCTGCTTGAGGGGAATGTTGATTTGTATTGCGCTTTTTGCCAAGAAGTTATTGAGAGCATGCATGATTTGCTAAGCTTGCCCGCCTGGCGTGTTTGTTGTCATTTCTGTCAGGTGTAGAAGTAGACGAATGCATGTTGACCATGAAACTACACTTTCAGTTAATCTGCAATGCGCCTAGGCTAGTTCTAGCGACATTTGTACGTTACGAGGGATATCATTAGATCGAAGAAGAATTGTCAGGCGTCATGACTCGCCCCACATGGACAAATGACTCGCGCGTCGACTCGACTTCCAAATTCTTGATCCACCCCGCAGCCCACCTTCATTCTTCAACAACCCGCCATAATGCCGCCTTCCCCTTGTGCGCTCTGCAAAGTGAACCGCGCCCTCATACTCCGACCAAAAGACCACTCCAAGCTCTGCAAAACCTGCTTCATCACCGTCTTCGAAACCGAAATCCACCACACCATCATTGCCAATGCGCTCTTCCACCGCGGCGAGAAAATCGCAATCGGCGCCTCTGGTGGCAAGGATAGCACCGTCCTCGCCAGTGTTCTCAAAACCCTCAACGAGCGCTACGATTACGGTCTTGACCTCATCCTCCTCTCCATCGACGAGGGCATCAAGGGCTACAGAGATGACAGTTTAGAGACGGTGAAGAGGAACGCAGAGCAGTATGGCATGGAGTTGACGATACTAGGGTACGAAGAGTTGTATGGGTGGACAATGGACCAAGTTGTTGCGCAGGTGGGGAAGAAGGGAAACTGCACATATTGTGGGGTCTTCCGAAGGCAGGCGTTAGATCGTGGGGCGAGTAGGCTGGAGGTGAAGCACGTGGTTACGGGGCATAACGCTGATGATGTTGCCGAAACGGTATTGATGAATTGTGAGTCCTTCGAGACGCCACAAACTTGAATGCTGGGAGCTTGGACTAACAGACATAGTACTTCGAGGCGACCTCCCCCGCCTCTCCCGTACTACCTCCATAATTACCTCCACGCCCTCTGCCTCCGCCAACCCTTCCTCGAATACCAATATTAAACGCAGCAAGCCACTCAAATACGCCTACGAAAAGGAAATCGTCCTCTACGCACACCACAAGAATCTCGATTACTTCAGTACAGAATGCATATATTCGCCCGAGGCCTTCCGTGGCAGTGCACGCGCCTTAATCAAAAACCTCGAACGCGTGAGGCCGAGCGCTATTCTAGACGTTGTGAGAAGCGGAGAGGATATGGCGAAGTTGGTACCAGGGAGTGACGAGGGATGCGGAGGCGTGTGTTCGAGTAGCGTGCCAGCTGCAGAGGAGGAGGAAGGCGGATGTGGAAGTGCACAAGGACGAAGTTCAGGCGGGGAGATGGCGAGCGTAGAAGCACAGCTCCGACAGAACGACGCAGCCAGCGAGCATAATCTCGAAACGGAGATCACAACTGCGGGCGGTAACGGCAGCGGAAAGCAGCACGGGCGGCACGATAGTGGTGCTGCGCCACTCTCGACTGCCGGGAAGAAGGGAAAGAAAGGATTTACGCCTAGAAAGGCGAATAAGCAGGTCATGGGCCGGTGCAAAAAGTGCGGATACCTCTCGAGTCAAGACGTCTGCAAGGCTTGCGTCCTGCTGGAAGGCCTGAACAAAGCTAGACCGAAGAACAGCATTGAAGTCGCCTACGAGGTGCAGGATGTGAGTGTCAATAGTATCAAAGATGAGCTGAAGAAGACGAGCATTGGAGCCGATTGAGCAAGAACATGGCATCGAATCGACTGCAAACAACATAAAGACTTGCGACGTCTGGATCGAAGCATTAGAGCGAGTCGAAGTTCGTACTACAGCAAGCCAGCGTCTCTGGCACGAGGACCCACGGGTGGTTATTATGACCCAGTCGTGTAAGGAAACGCTTCCCAAAAATCGCGATAGGACGGACCGGTTCCTGCCTGTCGTAGGCTACTGACGAAAACGCTCCATCAGGAGATCCCCGTCAAAGACAGTCTGCACGCTTGACGAGAACTCGTGGTAGACTACTGGCACGTGCGACCAGCGCTCTTAGCGTGACCCACCCAATGTGAGGGCGGTCTCAGGGTCGTCCGAGTCAAAGTGAGACCATTGTGCTGGGGATCGTGGTAGAAGGACGGGATCGCTCGGGTTCATGGTGCTCTGTGGCCACGGCTGATCTACACTACATTACTAGCGACTTTGTGATTTGGTACGTACACATCCCGAGCACCTTGGTACAGTTGTACTTGGGTTACACACGCGGGTGGCAAGTTGTCTCGATGGGAAGGATCATGTAAGGGGCTATCAAAACGAAAAGCAACTTCACGGCGTGAGAGAGGAATATGAACACAGCATTATGAAATTACTAAGGATTACCGGAGAGTCTCAAAGTCAACTTGCTGAAGCAGTGACTTTCCCGCAATGTACCTGTAAACGCCCACCGGATGCAGTGATGCAGTGATGCAGATCCCGAGAACACCGTGTCTATGCAGTGATACCTTCCACCTCTAACTCTAAAGATGGACGTCTCAGAGCTGAAACCCCCAAGCGCCAGTCAACTTCCACGGTCCCTGAACCTCAATGGTCTGTTTGGTCGAGTCGAAAGTGCCAATGGCGCGGCTCTTATCCTGCCCCAGAACCACGACCTTTTGGACTGTAACGCTCTCACCGCTCGCTCCAGCATACCCAAACGAACCCGTGGCACTGAACTTACCTGACTCAAATTCGAACTCAATTTCGCTAATGGCAGGCTGCTTGATGCTCTCGCCGTCATCTAGATACAACCTTCCCTTTGCATTGCCCTCTGCATCAGGAGCGACCAGGACATAAAAGTCCTCTTTCCTTAGTGCCTTGGTAGTGTTTGCCGAGTTGATGCGGTGTGGGATAATGCTGCCACCGCGGATATGGACGGGAATATCGGTATATGTCAGGTTGCTCACCGTGACATTTTGGCCCTCGCCTTGAACCTTGGCGTGCGTCCAATAGTCGTAGAAGACATCATCGGGCAGGTAATAGGTCACTGTGTCAGAGTAGTCCTGCGTGACTGGCGAGATGAGCAGGCTGTCGCCGTAGAACCACTGCTCTTGAAGACCGAATGTATTCTCGTCCTCTGGATAGAGAAAGAAGAGCGGGTTGATCATCGGCACCCCAGTGGTGGTCTGATAGTACAGCGCGGTGTAGATGTAGTCGAGCAGCTTGTACCGCGTGTCAATCGCCTTCTTTGCAGCATCGGTGACCACCGGCCACTGGTAGAATTCCTGGTGTATAGTGCTCAGTTCAGCATGGTTCCGGTAGAAAGGCTGGAATGCACCGAGTAGAGCCCATCGTGCACAGAGATATTGATTCGTGTTCCCGTTGAAGCCGCAGACATCGGATCCCACAAGGGGCATTTGATGCATAGATACAAACGACAACATTTGGCGGATCGCGGTGCGGTAGTGTTCCCAAGTCGACGCATTGTCACCGAACCAGTGTGAGACCTTGCTGCCTGACCCAGCGAAGGTGGAGCGAGTCAAGACAAAAGGACGCAGCGCAGGACGGCGGGTCACCATGGACTCATGAGTTGTCATTGCCATCATGTGACCATACAGATTGTGTGTATCGTACTGCCAGCTACCGTCGTAGTTCGTTGTGTTGGTGTAGATGGTGAACTGAGACAAATTACCGCGGTGGCTGTTGATATGGTACTTTGGGAAGAACCACTCTCGATCAGGGAAACCTTTCATGCCACCTCCAGACTGGCGTGGAGAAAGGGACTTGGAACTGAGAGCTCTGGCTGAAGGCGAACCTGATGGCGTGGGTTGAAATGAGCCTGGAAAGCCAGGTATGGGTCGGCCGGTGTTGGGACGCGGCGGGTTGGGAGGCATTGGCGGAATACCGTCCTTGATGGCTTTCTGGCGCGGGTTACAGTTTTGGTCTTCGCAAAAATTGGAGGCTTCGTTCATGTCCACCCAAATACCATCGAGGTTGATACCGGTGTCAGCGTCGAAGGAAGTGTGGAGTTCGTTGGTCCACCATTCCTGTGTGTTAGGCGCAAACCAGTCAGGCCACGCTACAGCGCCAGGCCACTGTACGCCTAGCAAATCTGTGCCGTCTGCGTGCTTGAGAAAAACATTCTTCTCGTGGCCCTTCTCGTAGGTCGAGTAATTGCCAACTGCATGGATACCAGGATCCAGAATTAAAACGTATCGTTGGTCACGTTCATGAAGTGTTGTGACGAGTTCTCTCACCTTGGAGACGGGGAAGCGATCAGGATCAGTCGTAAAGTCCTCGCGCAGATGCATGTAGTCAATATCTGTCCACATGACCTCCAATGGGATCCCCGCAGTTGAGTAATTTGCGACCACTTCAGCCACCATGTTGACGTCCCAATACCCATACTTGCACTGGTGGAAGCCAAACGTCCAGTATGGGTACATGGCTGAGTAGCCAACAACATCTGCATACTGCTTGGATACCTCAGCGGGCTGCTTGCCAGCCATGAAGTAAAGATCGATGATGCCACCGATGGTGTTGTATTCGAGGTACTGATCACCGCTTTCGGTCTGGTTGATATTGATTTGCATGGGGCTAGAGTTGAGTAGGAATACGCCATGAGTGCCCTTGTTGCCTCGATGATCGAAGTATATGGGGTGAGTCCCATAAAGATTAGCGTTTGTAGGAATATTAGGTGATTCCGAGTTGAGTAGGACCCGCTGGTAGTTTGTCGTCGTAAAGCGGAAAGAGTCGCTGTGTTCTCCGAGGCCATATATGTTGGGATCCTCTGGCAAGCTCGTGCGCAGGCGGACATATTGCTTCTCAAAGATCAACTGGGCTGCAGACGTGTTGAACAGCACCTCGTTGTTCTCCTTGCGCTTCACCGTGAAAGAGAAGGGTTCCTTGGTGATATCGAACTGCAGAGCAGCGTCGGATGCTGCGGCATTTTCGTTCTTTGGACGCGGCAATACCTGCTCTTGTACCTGAAACACGGTCAAGGCGGCATCATAGATCTTGACATGAAGTCGTTTACCTGCGTCACGTCAGGATTGAATACACCCGGTGGGAATGGTCACATGATGAATGAGGTTTGAGAAATAGCCAGCACTCACTAGTCTGGTACTCGACCAACAACTTGAGGTCCTTGATATCGTCGCTGTATGCATTGCAGGCATCACCGGCGAGGGTGAGGTCGGCAGTGAGGGTCGAGTCTGTCGTAACTACATTCGAAGCCGTATATCCAGGACAGGCACCGACACTGGTGGTATTGGCGGGCCAGGGTGGTACCTCAGCTTGAGGATAAGGTACAGCGAAGGTGAGACTCGAGCACGCGACAAGCGCGAGGAGCCACTGGCTGAACATGCCGACACGCTTGTGAAGCTATTCTAGTCGTTTGAAAGGCTCCACGGAAGAGAAGAGGCTACGGGCGTCCCACGAGGGCTTTATATGCGCAAGGAGCCTCGGCGAAACATGACGTGAAGGTAGAGGTGAAGGTGAAGGACACGGTCAAGACTTCCGAGAGTCATCTCCCTTGTTAAATTGCAGTCGACTCTTTTAGGCCCTGCTGTACCTCAACCGCCTGACGCCTTTCTGGGAATAATAGTGAGTCCAGGACGAAATGACCCATCTCGGGGCGACCAGGGTGCTGGAGTCGCTTTCGCCCTGCATGAAGATTAACAGGGGCCCAGTATAGCCAGCCAGAGCGTAGAGGGTACCTGCAGGTGAGGGCCAGAGATGTGCAGCGATGCCAGAAGCCTTCCGAGCGTGTCGTCACTGGCGCGTATACAGTGCGACCACAAGGTCTTTTCGTCGTCTGTATGGACCGCCATGTTCTCGCAGGAGATAACCACTTGGGAGAGCGGCTACCACGGCTTTGCACCTTCTCGAGTAAACTTAGTGTAGCTTCCATTGCGCGCGGGCGGGTGTCCCCCGGTCATGCCTTCCTTCTGTTCTGGGCACACGGCGACTACATGGCACCTGGGCACGACTACTCAGGGGGCGTTTCAGATGCCATTGTCCGCGCCGCTGCCAACATGCTGGCTAAACAGGCCCTCATGACGGCGAGGACTTGGTTTATCGACTTGGTCCCAAGAGAATTAGACGACGACTGTCTTGGGAGCGAGCACCATGACTTGTCGTCCGAGGCATCGTGAGGCGTCTTCGTGACATGAACGCGTGTGGGGAAACATCAGTTGCAAGGATCGTGTGAACGCGGGGATGCGCCATTCCCGCGCGCGAAGCTTTTTAGTTCAACGCCTCGTTCTGTGTCACAGGCATGAGTGGTCCAGTGGTCACATTAGACAATACTGCAGTAATTAAACACAACAATCGGCCCGGCCTGTGTCATGGCGTCAACAGATCTTGAAGCCCGTGCAGCTGTGGCAGCTGCCTGCCTAATCAGGCAATCCGTGGACGCGTCGACGTCATGCGAATTTTCCCCAACCGTCGCACGCCACTCGAGCGCGCATCTCGAATCGAATCTCGAATCTCATCTGCACGCTGCGTCCCATTACCGTCACAATCATCGCAATAACGCTAGCTCTCTTTTCTCAAATCGCTTACTTTGCGCCTGACCAGCCTCGCAATGCCCCGCCGAAGCGGCGCCTCGTCGCACACAACCGATGCCACCACAACCACCACAGCGATTCCAGAGCAGACAGCATGGCCGTCAACCTTCACAGATGGCCTACCGCTCCCAAAGATTGTTGTCTTCGATCTTGACTACACATTATGGCCGTTCTGGGTAGACACGCATGTCACGGGGCCAATCAAGCCGGTAGAAGGAGGGCTGAAAGTCAAGGATCGATATGGAGAGGGCTACGGTTTCTACAGTGATGTTGGGGGAGTGTTGGAAGCAGTACGGTCGCATTTGTCCCTCCAGTCCCATCTACCCAGAAGCTAATGTGATTGTAGCTGAAGCAGAAAGACATCCTCATTGGCGCCGCTTCACGCACACACGCCCCTGACCTCGGCCGCGAAATGCTCAAGCTCCTCAAGGTGCCCAGCGCTTCTGGATCGTCGACGCGCGCGATAGACTACTTTGATCACCTACAGATCTACCCCGGCAACAAGACGACACATTTTGAGAGGATACACAGAGACAGTGGGATAGAATACGACGAGATGCTGTTTTTCGACGACGAGAGTCGCAACAAGAATGTCGAGGTGTTGGGGGTTACGATGCAGCTCATAAGAGATGGCGTGACGAGGAATGAGGTTGACGCGGGCGTAAGGAGTTGGCGAAAGAGGTATGGGAGGACCAAGGCTTAGATGAGTTATACGAACACAGATAATGAGACAGTGAACTCGAGACCGACAGAAATGGCTTGTGAAAGCGCGCAGGTGGACGGTCAAATGTATCTACCAACATCGAGAAGACAGGGCTAGCCGCCTTTGTCATGCTACACAAAATTTTGACGAAGATACGCATGATTGGGGCAGGTAGAGTTATTTGCAAAGAAGCTCAGCACTGATTTACAAAAGCTGTATATGACTAAGAAGTTCATCCGTTTTGAAGATACTCATACGCTCAGTATCGCTCTTCAAGTCTGCACCAGTCTGTGTTATACTCTAGCCGAACCTTTTCTGTTGCCTCGTCTGTTGTTTCATAGCTCTCCTTTTTGCAATAATCTCGCGTGAGATTATTGAGAAGTGGATCAGCAATTCTTTTGTCTGGTATTATTATCAATTCTATCGAGTAATGCTACATCACATCTGTTTCCAGTCATTGGACCTCTCCCATAAAAAACCTGCCTCGTAGACAGCCATCTCATCCCACCACTTGCCGATGATCTGCATGCTGACTGGCAGCTTCACGCCGTCTTCCACACCCGGACCCTCTAACACCTCCAGCATTCCAATTGGTAGGGCTAACGCCGGGTGACCACTTTGGTTGAAAGGCGCCGTGTTAGAAGTCAATCCGATTTGCTTTGCAATCTGCTCGAGCGGAGTGGCATCAGGTGCGGCATGACTAGTAGCCACATAAGGCAGAGTCGGAGTGAGCAGAATGTCGTACTCCTCAAGCGCAGCATCATACGCGTCTCGCAACTGGCGAGACAGATTCGTTGCCTTGGCAAGCAGGAGAGGGAAGTTCTCCACAGCGTACAGTCCATTCAGGTAAACATTCTTGGTTGCGGAATATGCGTTGTCCCAGTTCTCTTGGCCCATGGGATGGATGAGAGAGTTCAGACCGAGCATTTGGTGGCCTCTTCTACCGAATGAGCCGGAAGTTTTTGCAAGAAAACCCCCCCCTTTCGAGACGCCGGTCCAGATTGCCGCGCCCTTTGAGTGGATTGGAATAGAGACTTCTTCCACTGTGGCACCCAGCTCGACAAATCTAGACACTGCCAGTTTGAACGACTTGGTAACCCGTGGGTCCCTTCCTGGTGTTGAGAGAGATTCGATGATCACGGCGAACTTCTTTCCCTTGAGTGGCTTGTCTGCCGGTAGGTCTTTTACTGAGCTATACGCGGGGACTTTGGACGGAGCCGGCGCAGCAAACGAACGGTCATCGATGTTGTCATTTCCTGAAATGGCTTCAAGAAGAACGGCATTATCTAGGACTGTCCGGGTCATGGGTCCGAGGTGGTCATTCGTTGGCTCATTGCTACCACTACCAGTATACGGAACAAGACCGAAGGTAGGCTTCAGCCCAACGATGCCGCAGTTCGCAGCTGGCACTCGGATGCTTCCACCCTGATCTGCACCGATAGCGCCGTCAACTTCCCCGAGAGCGACGAGCACTCCTGATCCACTCGAACTTCCACCAGCACTGTAGCCTTTTGCAAACGGGTTCTCGACCACTCCGGTCGCAGATGAGTGACTAGTGGCTGATTGACACATGTTCTCGCAGACGGATTTACCGCTAATTTTTCCTCCGGCGTTCAGGATTCTCGTGGTGACGGTTGCATCGCAATCTGGGACGAGGCCTTTGATAAAATTGGTACCCAGGAGCATAGGGACGCCTTTGACGGCGATATTGTCTTTCAGTGCGAATGTCTTGCCTTGAAGCTTACCACCCTTGGCTTTCTTGTCAACGATGCTACATTTCCACGCCCAGGCGCCGTGTGAGTTATCAGCCTTTTCTGGGAAATGAATGTTTTCTCGTGGAAAGCGCTCCTCATCGACTGGGGGGACATAGTCTAAACGATCATATCAGCATAGCTCCATGCATCCAGTTGTCAGCAAGATTTGAAATACCTTCCATCGCCATCAGTTGCTCGCTAGCATCGTGAAAAACAGCCAACAGGCGTCGGTAATCCTCCTTTTCCTCGTCCTCGATCCTCACTCCAAGCTGTGAGCACAGCTTATCCACTGTTTCTGTAGTGACGGGTTTCCATGGCTGGGGTCGAGAGAAAAGACCGACATAATGATACCAATATTTTTAAATAGAAGTTGTGTTTGGTATCGTTTTCGAAAATACGATTATATGATGAATACTTAGATAAAGTGGGTGCCTGATCACAAACGGCCACGTACATAATGTTGACACATACCGCCGGACACATGGTCCGATTGCCAGTTACGTCGCCTCAAAAGGCTCAACTGTGTTACCTTCCGGAATTTCAGCTTCTCTCGAACGTTTCCTCCTATGGTTTTGCTATCGACTAATGGAGAGTACTGTCGGAGGTCCGAAGGAGCGATAAGCGCAGATCGGCCAAAGGCCCTCGCCTATTGCTGTCACACTTCCTTTCTGCTCATCAAAGTGCGGTAGGGCTTCATTTGGCAGCCTAGAAAATGTTCAGACAATTCAATTTTCATTAAAAAATATTTGAGCCCTCATTTCAGTAATCTGAAGTCATCAAGGCGTGCATATACGAAGTATAAACACCTTCTTCGACGTTGCTGCTCTCGTACTTAACCGTTGGCATGCTACCCTGTCCTACGATACGGATCATTTGGACAGGTTAGTCTTTCCCCTTCACTACGATAACATTAGCAATGGAGTGTCATGATACGAGCAATGCAACGATTTCATGACTTGGGGATGTACAAACACATCATCATCAACCAGCCAATAGAGATGCTCATGTACTAATGAATTCTCGTAGTGACCATCTACCTCATTCAAACTAATCACAATGGCACAGCAGCACCATCACCTCTTAGGTCGCTTCCACCACTCCATACCAAGATGCCATCATCCATATGCCGTCTGATAATTTGACCTCTGCCAAACATTCCGCGCCCGTATCCATTCAGTTGCTTGACGCTGTGGCCAAGCGCGCGCAGCTCCTCGACAACCTTCGGATCAATGCCTTCTTCCAGGTAGATCGTTGCATCAGTCATCCTTCCATCGTCACTAGGCATACCGGCTCCTATGCAAAAGCGTGGAGAGTCGAGCGCAGCTTGTGGATTGAGTTTGAAGACTTCCTGGTTGAGAAGGACTTGTACGTGGCCTTGCGGTTGCATGAAACCACCCATGACACCGTATACCGAGTGAAGACTGCCGTCATTGGCATATGTTGTCAACCCTGGAATGATGGTGTGATATGGCCTCTTTCGCGGCGCAAGTACGTTTGGATGGTCCTTGTCAAGGCTAAAGTTCGCGCCGCGGTTCTGCAACGTGAAACCGCAGCCTTTTGGAATGATGCCTGTACCGAACCCACCGTAGTTGCTGTTGATGAACGAGATTGCATTACCCTCTTGGTCAGAGCAGCAGAAGTAAACAGTGTCGCTCTGAAGATGTGCCGGTGAGCCGTGAACGGGCGCTGATATGGCCTGCTTTGGGTCGAAGAGTTTTGCGCGATCAGCGAGGTATTGCTCGGATATGAGCTCAGCTGATGGGACTTTGACGACGTTGGGATCTGTGACAAACCAATGCGCGTCCGAGAACGCGATGCGGAGTGCTTCAATCACAGCGTGAAGGTGGCGGGTGCTGTTATGGTCCGTAGTATTCCATTTCGGGATCTTGCCTTGTTTCTCAAGCTCCTGGATGATTCCGAGTGCCATCAAAGCTACGATCCCTTGACCATTTGGAGGGTGTTCCCAGAGCTCGATGCCGCCCTCTGTGTTCTCGCCTACACCTTGACCGGTGTACTTGAGTGAAATGGGATCAACAGGCTCAGACCCAGTTTCTGCGTGATGCTTGAGGTCGTCCAGTGTGATGTAACCGCCAAGGTCGGAAACAACCTTTACAACCTGCTCGGCTACTTCACCCTCGTAGAAGCCTTTCTTACCGTGCTTGGCGAGAAGCTTGAATGTGTTGGCGATTGTTGGATTCTTCATAATCTCACCCGCCTTCGGCGCTCTATGACCATTTTTTGCAGACGGATCCTTCTTAAGCATCTCGTGGCCGTTGGGCGATGCCTTTCTAAGAGCCGACTCGCTCGCTGCCCACTATACACATATAAGCCAAGTCTATTACCTGTGAGAAGGATTGAGAACTCACGAATGTGGCAGAAAGTTCGGAGACTGGAAACCCCTTCTCCGCAAGCTCAATCGCAGGATCAAGTACATCCTCCAAGCTGACCTTTCCACTACCGAAGCGCTCAACGCAGTCAACCCACCCCGCAGCAGCACCGGGTACAGTTGCCGCATGGACGTGATCCATCGGAATCTGCCCATTCTGACCTTCGGCGATTTTAAGGTCTTTCCTGATCTTCTCGAGGGTGACATTTTCCCCCGATCGACCGGAGCCGTTCATAGCGGAGACCTTCTTTGTCTTGGCATCGTAGAAGAGACAGAACATGTCGCCTCCAATGCCTGTTGACCCTGGCTCACTGACATTGATGGCTGCTGCTACCGCAACAGCTGCATCCTGCGTACTGTGAGCACTCGATGTATAGACAATGTTACGTTACGTCATACCGCTGCGTTTCCACCCTTCCTGAGGATTTCGATGCCTGCAGCTGCTGCTAAGGGCTGAGTACATGATACAATGCCCTTCGTACTGTGTACAACTGAACGTCGACTGGGAAAGTGGACAAACTGGGGCTCAGGATGCGGGTAAACATTAGGATTCCCCATTGTTGGCTGGTAGCTTTTCAGGCTGATGGTGTGTTTTTTGGCTTTTGCTTCGTCGGGAATGTGCCATTAACAATTGATGTCTAAAGTACGTACGTGCTGCCTGTGGGGTAATGCGAAAGCCTACGTAAATAGCCAATAATGGACGGTTATCCCCGGAGGTTGCGCGATGGCGTTCGCATTGCCGAAGACGGTGGCGGGCAGCCTCGGAGCATCTCATAGCGACGCCGGTTACGCTCATGGTCTTTAGCTGTTGGCGAGCACGCATTGGATTGGAGAGTTGATGATCAGGCTGTCGGCCCGTAAGCACATATATAACGTAGACGATGAGTCACGTGCAGCGCGTTGCGCCAAGCATGCGGAAAGGCGCGTCACCCCAGGTGCTGGATCTTGACCTCTGGCCGAAGCTTCAAAATTAACCTACCCTCTGATTATGCTGGCTACCCCTTGGATCTGCCGCAATTGCCTCCTGCGGCTTAGAAACCCGCTGGTTAGACAGCAAATTCGCCTTCAGTCAACTGGTGAGCACATGGCTTACTAGTCAATTTTTTCCGAGCAAAGTACTGATATTACACAAAGCTTCCACGTCCGAAGCGATACCCCTCGCACTCCTCACACGAGCCCGTACTGTTGCTTCCGAGCATAAGGAACTGACTAAAAAGCTCGCCAATGGCTTTGACACGCGTGCGGCAAAGAAGTCGGGCGAGTACAGCCCCATTGTGAATGCATTACAGGATTGGGACAAGGCGAATGAGGTACGCACAACTCAGGACCTTTGGCAGGAGCGACTGGGCAGCTGACATCGACTAAGTCTGTGGCAGAGCTCACGACCTTAATACACGAATCTACGACTGACCCCGAACTACGATCCCTCGCAGCCGATGACCTGAGCGAGACGCGGACACAACTTGCCAATGCCTCACAGAGCTTGATCACATCTCTTGTGCCAGTGCACCCCTTCGCCCACCTACCATGTCTCCTCGAGATACGGCCTGGTGCGGGTGGTTTAGAAGCTGCCATTTTCGCAGGCGACTTATTTCGCATGTACCAAGCCTTCTGCAACCGCAACGGGCTGCGTACCAACCTTCTGAAGTACGAGAACATCAACGGCACAACTGAGGCAGGAATCCCGCTTTCTGAAGCCATACTCGAGGTGGAGAACGTCAACTCCTATGGCATATTCAGGTGCGAGGCAGGCGTTCATCGGGTGCAGCGAGTGCCCGCCACTGAGAATAAGGGGCGCACGCACACCAGTGCAGTATCAGTGCGTGTGCTGCCAAGTCTGCAAGAGAACTCCGCAGCCGAAGAAAATTTTGATGACCCAGAGAGCGACTACTATATCGACGTAAAGGAGGTGAAAGTCGAGGTCATGAGAGCGAGCGGCGCTGGTGGCCAGCACGTCAACAAGACAGAATCGGCTGTACGGCTTACTCATCTACCCACAAACACTGTTGTCTCTATGCAAGATTCGAGATCTCAACACAAGAACAAGGAGAAAGCCTGGGCACTTCTACGCTCGCGTATCGCCCAATCACGGCGAGAGAAGCGAGAAGAGGAAGTGGCTAATATGCGCCGGAGCGTTATAGGCGTGGCCAAGATGGGTCGCGGAGACAAGGTGCGAACGTACAATTGGGGCCAGCAGAGAGTTACCGATCACAGAAGCGGGACCACAGTGCATGATCTCGACGACGTAATGGAGGGCGGCCCGACGCTCGAACAGGTCATGGAGAGTGTCCGTAATTGGCTCATGGAGAGGGACGTCGAAACTCTGATCGCTGAAGAGGGTGAGAAGAAGTGATTGACCTCATGCTTACTTTCGTATCATATCCCTAAAGCTATGGACTCTACGCTCCCACATTGTCGACATCCCGTGGGAAGTTGTCCTAGGAGAACGGCTAGCCGACCTCGAAGCGTCCCACACCAGATGGTGAATCCTCCCGTTAGTAGAGATCACATTGCATTTCTTCCTGAGAATCGCCATCCGCCCCAATCACGACAATGGATAGTTAGTCTGATGCCCACGTCGATCCCCTCCGTTCACCCGTACCGGATCAAAACGAGATGACGAAAACTTCGCAATATTATAGCTATGCATTCTCAAGAATCTTGCTTCTCACGACAATCTTGGGTCGACACTGTATCAAAACGCACTCAAATATTGCATAATAAGACAATAATCGCGCATTTGATTGGTTCTTCCACTTCTTCTTTTTAAGCAGCCCATTATTCTAAATCGACCACTAGCGAAGCTACTCATATATTATCACTACGAAGGCGACTGTCGTTGTCATGTTGCCCCGTGCTGACGTTCACTAGGCGCTCAAGTCATCCTTTACTGCACGGGGGGCTCGCTTAGCTTCAGCGAAGAAGACCTGGGGATTCCCACGGTATTGCATGGTTTTCTACCACGAACATCCTCGCCATTGCTGCTGTTTGGGCGTACGCTGGATATCTCCAAGATCTGTTCGGTAAACGCTACATTGCTCTCTTCGGTTCGCTGTGTATCCGTCTTGGGTGCGTTCTTGTTGCTACAGGACACTCTTTTGCTCAACTTCTCGCTGGTATGGCGATCTCAGGTGTTGGTGCTGCTACGGGCGAACTCACTAGCCTAGCGGAGCAAGATCTCTAGTATCAAGGAGACTATACAGTGACTGACCGGATAGTAGGCTCGCAGAGGTCGTACCTGTCAAATACCGTGGATACTCAATCGCTTTAGTCACTGCGTTTGTTCTTCCGTTCTGCCCATATTTCTTGTACGTCTAGTTATGGGCACACCATGACACGAACGTGAGTTGGCGATGGGGTCCATGGGTCGCTCTAATTTACAATGATATCGTTGGGCTTGGTTTGCTCTTCACCTACTTCCCACACAACCATACACGAGCGGAGGGGTTCTCGCGAAGAGCTATTCTCAATTGCATTGACTACGCCGGTGGTGTTCTGTCGATTACTGGATTGACACTCTTGTAAGTTAGCGGGCAAATTTGGTTTATGTAAGTTCTACTGACTCTAAATAGTCTAGTCGCGCTACAATCCGGTGGTTATACTCACCCATGGGCATCTGGATACGTGCTCGGCACGATGCTTGTCGGGCTGGCTCTCATTGCTGCCTGGGTCGTCTACGAGTGGAAATTCGCCAAATACCCCATGGTGCCAGGAGAGTTATTCAAAGGCCAGCGAATAGTCGGTCTTGCCTACGTTGTCGCCTTCGCGGCTGGAGTTAATCTTTTTAGTGTACTCAAATTTTCCCCCTTGACTTTCACCAACGTTTACAATCCCATTCCAGTGCGAATCGGATTGAGGGGCATTGCACCAGGATTTACAACTGCAACTGGGGCAATCTTCTTCAATGGCGCGTCATCCAAGTACCCAAATCATACGAGGGAGGTTCTGCTTCTCGCTGTGTCTATTATGACGGGATTCGCAGGGGCATTGGCAGTCATGACACCAGAGAACGAGAGCCTCATACTCGCCATAGGTGCTTTAGCTGGCTACAACTCCGATCCCAGGTGTAACTCCAGCTGTGATCGCAGGTGCAACGAAGGGTACACAGTGGGCGTACAGCGAGAGTTTGAAATATGTTTGGGTAAATTTCACTTTTCTTGTGAAGAAGTTCACACCACTAACACAACAATAGTTCACCTCGATCGGCTTCGGATGCATGGCAGTTGTCTGCGCCGCATTGTTGCCCAGCACAAAGAAATATCAGACAAATCGTGTTGCTGTGCAAATCTAAGAGGCCTTTGCTTGTGTATGTCCACTTATCCAATCCGAAAGGTCAAATAATGTCAGTTGCGCACGACTTCCAGATGGGTTAATAATTGCGAATTGCTCTCAAAGTCGCTAAAATGATGTGTCATTCACCCTTCGAATTGAGAGTCGCTGCGTTCGGTCGTCTCTGCGCTACGGAGCCAGTATACTCGCCTGTACTTCTTAAAGCAAAGCGTTCTAGGTTCTGGCAACATGTTGTTTCTCCATCTCTCTCTTCGCCACCACGCGAGCGGACACGATGAAAGGACTCTCAAATGCAAATGCTCAACGGCACTGTTAATCTTGTTAAAGGTAGCTTTTCTTGGGTGGCGCGACAAGGTGATAAACTCGACTCTGTTTTGAGTCCAGACTCACTCTCTTGTATGAATATTTGGATAGGTGCGTCCTTGAGTTTGTAAAACCAATTATTGTGTTGTCGTTCGGGCAACAGCTTAGCCTTGGTTAACATGTCGTAGTAGAAGTAGCAACTGAATGGTAGTAGAGGTCTGTAGCATCGTGGGTATACAGCTATAGTTGCCTGATGGGAGTAGCTTAGTCAAGCAATAGTGACGCAGAAGTGTCGTAAGAGCCGGGCGAATAGCTTAAGCTTGGTATCGACGGAAACAGTTGGGAGATGCACGACTGAGAAGAATACCTGTGTGTCTGCTTTGCATTCGCGAGCCGTTGTTTGACGTGCTTTAGCTGCCTACGGCTTGCAGTGTGAAATCCGGTGAAGGGCGGGGAAACAGCTAACCCCACCTACTGCCCACCTCACTCGACGCCTCGCTTACGGCGACTGGTCAACATTTACTCTTCACAACCTTGCGACATCATGCAAAGTAATCTTGTGCTTCCTGAGGCATAAATTCCGTTCGTTCAACAACGCCCCGACAGCCTGATGCCTTGCTCATCATGCAGCTGCCTACGTGCTTCCAATGGAGATGGCCGAATCACAAAGCGAAGAGTGAGCCTACATAATGCCCCCTCTTTCCAGCTTCCATCTCCAGTTGGGACTCTCCATCCCAATTTTCATCGGCCATGGACCCAATGCCGCCGTTCACCATCATTCCAGTGCTCAGAGAAGCGGCAGAGTTGAAGATCGAGGAGCTCAACCGAACGAAGGAGTCGTTCAAGCGTCGATACCATCTAAATGCTAACCGCTCTACGGAGGGCGACTCGTTGAAGAGGATCTCGGGGCTTCTGGAAGATATCAGGAAGCTGGACCCGTACTTGCAAAAAGACGATGACCTTCCGATCATGGCCCGATACATCGAGCAAGCTCAGGACGACAAATCGGTATCGTCCTCAAAACTCCTGAAATTCGAAGAACAACTATGGGACAAGTTGAACAAGCACCTAAATCGTATGGAAATATCGTCTTTACACGTCGATCTCATGAAGGAAGTGATGGAGACACAGCCGTCTGCCGATTCGATAGCCGACAAGCTAGAGAAAGCTTCTCTCGATGACGACTTTGAGATGGTAGAGAATGAGCTCGAAGAAGTGCTCGAAGAGTTCGAGCAGGACACCTTCACAGCAAAAGATGTCGACGTCGAGGCGATCGAGACTTACCTTTCGAGCCTGTTCGTAGATGACAGGGACAAGCGAGATCTCGACGACCTCCGGGGCGACATGCGACTATATGGTGATGAGCTTATGGATAACAACGGGGAATTGGATCAAGACATTTTGATGTGGAACATCATGGAGTTGCTTAAGAATGACCTAATCAGCCCGGAAAAGAAGAAAGCCCTTGAGGGCTACCTACAATCGCCAATTGCATTACGAGAGCTGGTTGCTACCATGAAGATGAAGTCCTTCCAAAATTGGGACTACAACAATAGTCATGACGGGTTACCGGTCACTGCTCGTCAAAACGCTGAAGGACAATATTGCATCACAGTCGAAGAGGACATCATCGACATGCTATTCCTACAATGCTCTGCTATCGGTTGGGCCTCGAAACTCAAGGAGTGTCTAAAAGACTTCACCCGCACCTCAGTCTCATTTTCCACCAAGGACCTGACAGTTGATGAACTGAATCAACGCGAGTACTACCTCTTGGCACCTCGCAGAGCAAACCAGACCAAGCCTAGTGCGTGCAGTGTATGCCACCCCTACTATCCTTCCGCACCTATGCCACCACCTCCAGGAATTCAGCTCTTTCCTCCTCCTCCTCCCGATGTAACCTACCCTGTTGGAAAGAAGGCCAAGAAGAGACGTCCCTTTAACATGCCCCCTCCTCCGCCACCGCCACCGGACTTCAATTGCCTCAAATATGAGCGGAACACGGCTTACACCAAAACCTTCTTCATGTCCCGACTTCCTGCACAAGAAGGCTGTACGCCGAAGGTCACGCGTCCAGAGGATGTTCAAGCCAACCTGATCGAGACTCTAGCTGTCGAGACTAAGTTGCGCAAAGCCTTTGACGGCAAAGCACATGCCCTCGCTGTTGAATTCGATTCGTTGGCATCATCACTCCCGCACAAGACCATTCTCACCGTCTTGAAGTTCCTCGGAGTCCCCGAGACTTTCCTGGAATATTTCACATGCTTCCTGGAGGCTAGACTGAACATCGGCCCCGCTGTACGGGGAACACCTGACCGAATCCTGCAACGGACTTGCGGCGTACCTATTGGCCACGGGATGGAAATGCTGTTTAGTGAAGCAGTGCTCTTCTTCCTTGAGCTAAGTGTCCATCAGAAAACAGGTTCATACCTGTACCGTCTCAATGACAGGTGCTATTTTGTTGGGACATATGAACAGCGTACCAAGGCTGCGGAAGAGACTGAATCATTTGCTGGTCTAATGGGTCTTAAGCTGAAGGGCCTGTATCCTGGTGGGGGCAAACTGGTCATCGGTTGCCTGGCTATGGATACGATGTCGACATCGCCCGCTGAAACTGCGTCATTCGCGATCGACAACTCTATGGTTATCGCGTATGCCCACCGCGTAAAGAAGGAGCTTGACGCCTGCCTGGCTGTGCTCGATTGGGTTCGTGTCTGGAACAGTACGGCCGGTACATACGCATCCCACCTTTTCGGTCCACTTGCCGCTGTTTTCGGCAAGGCACATCTCGAAGACGTGAAGTCAGCCTACAACCGCATCTTTTCAATCATCTTCAATGGCGGCGATCTCACCACTCACGTCAAGAATCTTCTCAATACCCACATCAAGCGCGGCCTCAGTGACCCAACCTTCGCTCTCGAAGCACTGATCTACCTCCCACAGGCTTATGGCGGTCTAGGCGTCAAAAACCCTTTCATCACACTCAATCTTGCTCACAATATGAGTGAAGACCCCAATGCGGAAGTTGATAAATACTTGAAGGACGAGGAGACCTACTACGACCGCGCAGCCGAGATTCACGCCCTCCTCACGGCTGAGCAACGTCAAGAGAAGCTTGAAGCTATTTTCGGCGACAACAAAGACAAGCTCCAAGCTTCACTAGGCCCTGATTGGAATCTTGCTACCTTCATGACACGCGAAGAACTGGTAACCCACCGCGAACTTAGACAGTACCCAAACCTTCAGACTCAACACTTTCCACCCCCGTTCACGACATCCTTCCCTCCCTCCTTAGTAGACCTCTACCAAGACCTCCTCCACCAGCCCCACGACAACATCGACGTTAGCGAGAAGGTCTGCGATGAGATCCGCCGCCTATCTGGCACTGGTGATATGAAGCCCTGGCGTAAGTTGAGTGGAGAGGAGAGATGGGTACTAGAGATGTACGGCGATGAGTGTTTTGAAAAGTATGGTACTTTGGAAATATGGTGGGGAGATGGGGTACCGAACGAAGTCTACAAGGCGGTCAGAGGCCATGTATGGAGTGATGGTGATGACGATGGTAGTAGTTATGAGACTTTGAGTGAATGCTGAGTGGACTCATGGTGCGGAGTGGGGATAATATTAGGACGGAATTTTTCGATGGGAGAACAAGGAGGCTTGCATGTAGTTTTATTAGCACTGTCTTTCTCGGAGCTTTCTTACTTGTCGTAGCTTAATTTTTATGGGGCATTATAAGGATAATCTCACAGCTCTCTCGGATCCCCTTCCATTCGTGATAATCTTCATACAGCTCTGTATAGATTTGAACTAGCCTTCAGGTCTAGCAAGGTAACCTCCAACAATGCTTTTGGGGGACTTCTCCAAAGCATCTATTGTCGTTCAAATACAGCTAGTATTTCCTTCATTCCAATCCAAACGCATATATAGTCACTATTGCACACAGAATTGTATGCTTTTGCCCTTGTCGCAGCATTACTTCTTTATTTAAAAGTAAAGTCAACGCTACAAAGCGGATTATCAAACGCAGCATCACATGTTAGAGGGTATAGAAGATGTAGACATAGCTTTAAAGCTCCCTAAGCGCATGAAATTGCATGTTGAAGATCGCAGTTAGATCTGTTCAAAGAAGCATGTGTGGACAAGATGAGTTATAGAACAGCACAGAATCGACATGTGATGCACTTATCCTTCTCAGTATCAGCTTCCAGACTACACTATTGAAACTCGTTGCAACCTTCCAAAATATGATACAACGCCAATACATATGATACAAATGTACAGATTGCACATAGCTCCTCACTTGATCTTCTTGTTCTTCAGCTTGATCGTTTCCCCATTCACAAAGATACCCTTGCCCTTATACGGCTCAGGTTTCCTCCACTTCTTGATATTCGCTGCGAATTGCATAACCACCTCTTTTTCTGGCCCCTCCAATAGTAAGCGTGTTGGCTGTGGTGTACTTGCGGTAACGCCTTTCGGTATGCCAAGCTCGACTGGGTGAGAGTAGCCAACCTTCAAATTTACGAACTTCTGGCCGGGATATTCGGACTCGACGGTCGTTGCGCTGTTCTCGACCGAGGCACGGAAACCTACGCCGACGAAGCGGAGGATAGCGCTGTGCCCTTCGCTCACACCGAGGATGTGGTTCTGGAGGTAAGCGCGCGTTGTGCCTTGTTCAAAGTTAGCCCGGTAACGTTTCGAGGTAATTGACAAATTCATACCCCACATAGCTTTCTGTTTCGCATCTGTCGAATCTTGTATCGTTAATGTCGGCCCACCTAGGGCCGCATCTTGGTTGATGTTGACGTAGTGAGGGACCTCCATTGAAAGCTCGCCGAGCGGGCCCTTGATCTCTACTGTAGACATTGCCTGTACCCTTGATCCTCTACCCTTTGTGGAAGGCGCTATCACCCGAAATGTGACACCAGAAGGTACTGAGAGCGGTGCAGATCCAATCTTCGATTGACATGGTGCCGTGGTGGTAAAGGTCCTCGAAGCGGCGGGTCTCGAGAGCGCGGGTAGCAGAAAACTCGGTAACAGGTCGGTAGAATGAGCTGATGATTTAGCAATGCTGTGAGCGCAGCGTCTTCGTGCTGGGGCGAACATGATGTGTTGATGCTGGTATAGCTTGGCGGACATTTTCTTGAGATGCGTTTGGAGTTTGGTCGCAGGCTTAGTCATCTGGCCTCTCCAAGTCCCGTGCTCACGCGTCGTGACTTCCCCCCCTCAACACCACAACCTTCCCATGTTCAGCACTCGCAAGCGGAAGATGTTGTACGATAATGCGTCAAACTCTGATTCCTTATTCGTGTAGCTTTGCATATTTTCGCCCAAGCTCAAGCTGTTTGCTCTTCTACTAACCGCGCCTCGTCCACTTGCTTCAGTGCTCGCTCTCACTCAGGCATCGCAGCACCGTACCATGCCTCACGTTGTCGAACAGTCTGCCACCATCGCTCTCTCACTGTCGTAAGGCTGCTGTGGATGAACCCCACAACCTCTCTACCTCTTATGTACTTCGCTTTTCTCTACTCTTTCTCCACTACACTCTACTATCTGTCTCTGGTTTCAACTCGCTCGCTTCTTTCTCTACCCTCTCCCTTTCTTCGACAAGCTGCGAGCAAGCTGCCAACATGAATCTTCGAGGTGGGACTGTATTGCCCGCCATCATCACTCTCAGCCTCTTCTATCTCCCGGCCGCGCTTTCTTACTACCATTCGCCACCAGCTGACGCAGCGCCGACGGTTAACATCGATTCGTTCTTCCAGTATACGACCTCTCGAAATCACAAAGTGATAACGCAAGCTGTCGACTTTGTCGTTTCCATGCAGACGGCGCCAACTTGTACTCGGATGGCCGCCTCACACCTTATGAATGAATGTAAACTGCTCGAACACGCACCAGACTTCGCCAAATCTCGACCAGAGGCATATTTAGACAATGTCAAGACTGAGTACGCTGCCAAACTGGCTGTATGTGAACTTCTCAGTGCTCAACCAAGCAATCCGATTCCGCCTCCATATTGCGACATTTTGGTCCCTTCTTCGAAATCTTGCAGCAAGGGTGGTAGCTGGTGGCATACAAAGCAAGAGTTTTCGAGCGAAAGACAGTGCTACCCTGAGTTCAAAGAGTACCAGTATTCACAGTGCTTGAAGAGCTTGCAATCAACACCCCAGTTTTGGACCTCATTTAGCAATGCTCGGCAGAACGCAGTGGTCATGTGTCAAGCTAGCCGAGATGCTATTGAAAGGGAGAATCATCTAGAAACGTTCAAAAACCTCACTCAAGTCCTGGGTGTGGTGACTTCGACTATGCAGAAGACAACCGAGGACTATGAATCTCTGATCCGAGAGCAGAGGCAGTTCTCAGAAGAGGCTAGGAATGCGCATGACCAGCTCAAGGAGGACATACATGCTGTTCAGGAGAAGGCTGTCGCGACTGTGGGAGCTCTCGACGAGAAATTTCACACGTTCATGGAATCGTCGATATCTGAACTCATTACGGCCTTAGCTGACAGTCAAAGCGTCGAGATCGAGCGGATCCATCAGAGAATGCAAGATTTCTCACAAGATCTGATGACGGAGAGTTCCCAACTTGCAAAGTTCTTCTCGGGCGAACTTCAGCAGTTCCACGAGCGATCACTCTCCAGCCTCCAAATCCACCACCAAGCACAAGTGGACAGCTATAGCACCCTATCTGATCACATGGACACGGTCCATCATACTATGAACAAGACCAACGACTTCGCGGATTTATCTCTAGCCAAGGCAGATACTATCGCACAGCGGCTCAGTACATTTGAGAGTCAGACAGAAAACATCGCGGAGGGATTCGCTTTCCTAAGCGCAATCCCTGCCCTTGTCAGTTTTCTCGTTCGCGGCTTCGTGGCCACCATCGGCACTCTATTCATATTCGTCATCCTTTACAAGCTGAACAAGAAGCTAGCAGCGTGTACTGCTGGTGCTTTCAGTTCAGCGTTCCTCCTCAACTCCTGTGGCATTCTCGGATGGCTTGGAGACCTTCCCTCTCAGATCAGCAATATCCATGCTCAGCGTTCATTCGTCACTGATATGACGCCGACACAGAAGGGCGCTGGCATCGTTCTTCTACTCTGGTTCGGTGCTTACCCGATTACTCGGCTCAACTCATACTTCAGTTACATCTTCGACACTGCCTTTAACCGCCTATTCAGCTCCTTATGGGTGCGTCAGTATTGCAACGATGGTGGTGTTGGGCTCTTGCCCAGCATCGAGATACCGGCTACCACCCTTTATCACAGCCTGGATTCGTCCAACGACCGAAGATTTGCCACGATAAGCCCTCCTGCATACACGAAGGACATCCCGATGTTTAGTAAGGCATAGCTTGTCAATACCCCCTGTAGGCTGTATAGGTTCACTTCCGTCGGATCCTAGCATTTTCATATCATTTTCATTTACAACAGGAGGATATACATATGCGAAGTTTTCTAACGCGGTCTGTTTATGTTTCTCATAGCGAACCCTTATCTACCTACCTCCTTCCCGGGGTGTCAGTCTGTCTTCGGTGATATTTCCACGGCGTTGGAGCGGATCATTAATTTTTTGGAGTTGGCGCACAAGGGTTCAGGAAGGTACTCAGGAGGCATTATGGGATAGAACCGGATTCTGCGTTTTCATTTGCTGACTTCCCCTGCTGAGTAGAATTGGGAGCGGGTATGATCTCAATTCTTTACATACTTTACGAAAATGAAATTCAATATCATCCAATTCCTTGATGAGTTGTTTCATATCTACTCATTTAAAAGGCGAGAGATTGTAGGTAAAGTATGCTGGCGACTACGTTAATCTCCGTCAATTTGCCTGTAATGCATACCCGCTTGAGAACCAAACAACGCCCGCGCCAATACCGTACGTATGCTGGGTGCAAAAACATAAACGGGGAGAGTTGTCAGAGAGTATGTAGCTTAGTCCGAGTCATCAGGTAGCTCTTCGATACGGCCTGATTGATAAGCTTCTTCAACTGGGTTCTTCACGTCTACCACACCGGTAGCTTTGAGTCTAGGTGACTGTCAGCCTAAAACTCATACACAGTTAGGGGAGAGCACATACCGTTCAAAAAGCACAAACAACCTCTCCGCTTCCCTCTCCTTTTCTTCCTGCGTCATCGGCTTTTCTTGGGCGGGATCCTCTCTGTCCAATCTCTGACCCGTAATAGGGTTCACGGGTATACTCTGGTTAGAGCTTGTGGCATTCGCCTGTATAACCTCCTCCGGCATGGCGATGTTATTCGACATCAAGAACCCAGACGCAAAGCCGTAGCCCACGTTCTGCACGAACGTACTTGCATCCTTGCTGGAAAGTTCAAACATCATAGCCGATATTGAGCCGCGGAGATTCGGTGTCAGGGCTGATGTAGAGAGGTTGAGGAGGCGAGAGGAGAGTGTATCGGACTTTCCGATAGGCTTGTCTCGTTCCTCATTTGTGGGAAGGATGAGCTTCTCCATGGCCTTTTGGACGCTGGCTGGTGCTATCTCATAGATACGGCGGATGAGGGTTAGGACTGGCGCTATTGTGTTGTCAAGTTCTGACTCGGAGTAAGAAATGATGGATTGGTCGAGAATGCTAATGAGGTGCTCGGCGTTGCACTTCTGATCAAACCTGGGAAAAACAGCGTTCTGGCCTAGGTATTTGAGTTGTTGCCCCTTTGTATCTTCCAGATCTAGATTCAGCAGCGCGTTGATCAAGTAGTTGATGGGCGCAGTCAGCGGCGGCTTAGGAATGCCTCTTCGAACTAGAATCTTGAATATGTTTGGTATTGACTTGGAGAAGATCTCGGCGAGCTCGGGATGGAAATGTGTGATATTGAAGAGGAGCTTGAGCGTCTCTGAGAGAGCCATGAGCTCCATTGGATTGGTGTGTTCCTGCGACCATTGCCGCGCTGACCGCGAGTAGCGCTTTGCATGCCTTCTTATTGCAGCGTTGATGCTGTCTGCTAGTTGGTTTTCGTGGACGAGCTTCGTGTAGTCCAGGTTCGCGTCGTAGGTCATGAGGAAGAGGACGCGCGAGGAGAGGAACTCGTCATCAGCACTGTCGCCCTGCAAGGCAGTCAGAAATAGTGGAGGGGCGCATATCTCAAGGAAACAACCACTTGCCTTCAGCTTGTCGGCTGCATGTGGGCCATGTCCCAGGTCAACCAGTATCTGGCGCGTCTTGGGTACCAATAGTAGGGCATTGGCTATACATCGAAGCGCCTCTTGCGATGCTGGGGTGGTCTCACCGTCGAATGCACAGCGGCCAAGTGTGCGAAGGCCCTAAGGCGGTCATTGTGTGATTTCCAAAGCGCATCCACCCTAGCATACATCTTGTGTGAAGATCGGGTCCGAGTTGTCGACCGAGCGACCGTAGACCTTGAGCTGCTCGAGCAGGTGCTGTCTCTCTAAGTGGGTGATGAGCGCGTCGCGTGTTTCAAGTTACAGAGGGCGGCGTACGTTGGATAGAGAGCTTGGGAGCGTCGAGGTCAGCCTTCAATTCGGAGAGAATGCTATTCACATGGTCAAGTTTCGCTATGGATGGATTAGCCCGCTGCACGAATGCGCAATGAAGCGCAGGTTTGCACACAACGCACCCTTGCTAGCCTTTTGTGAGGACATTGCACTAGAGGAGACTCGAAAAAAAAGAGTCAATGGTGTACTGAAGAAGGCAGCGGTGTACTGTCTTGAAAGTCGAGGTAGTTGGATGGTTTTGAGCCCCACTACGGTGGACGCTGCTAGGGATCTGCAAATGCAACTCTGCAGGCAGGCATTGCTCAAGAGTTAAGACTAACAAGGCGCGAATCTAGAATCCAGAGGGTTTGCACGTGCGACAATAGGTAGTACAAGGCCAGAAGGCTTTACCCTAGGCTGTTCGTAGGTATGTAGTATGCAATGCTTAGGTTCCATGGGTGGGTGGTTGCATATGCTGCATAGCATCGCATCTTGCTGTGAGAGGCACTCGAACGCAATCACCGTCATATGACTTTCACATAATTCTCGTCTTGTATATGGCAACCTGCACGTTAACGGCTGCTGCGTGTTCCAAGTGTAGGTGATGTTTCCACGGTTGTTGAATCCATAAGCCGTGAAAGGGCACTTAACGCGGGCGCGGTAGCGCGTCTCCGCGGACGCGTCCGACGTGCAGCCCCCAGCCAGCCTTTCTCGCCTTTGCGCGCCGGGGTAGTCGACTGCCTCCACGGTCGCTCCTTTATGCACCCACCCATAGCACGCATTCACATCTTAACAATGCGAGTCCAATCCCGTACCTTTGTTCTTTGTTTCTGTTAGTCTGTTTCCAGCATAGCCATGGTGTTGTCCAAGTTTGATTCCCTTTTTGTTCGCCCACCGACTCCCCCCAAAGATCTCGAAGATCACGCCCACGACCAAGACGAAGACGAAGACGAGACACTACAGTTCCTCAACGATCACTTTGGCCAGAAGCCTGTTCTACCCAGGATCATTGCAACCAAGTCACTGCTCAATACGCCCGAGCAGTCGCCATCCTCCGACATTAGCATACCCTCGAGCTCAGCGTGTAGAAGGAAGAGAGTCAACTTCGAGTTGCAGACATGCGCAATACCGAGCAAGAAGGCTATTGTACAGTCCTGGACCCCCACACGGAGTTCACCGCTGCGACCTCTCCCTCAGACGCGCGTCTCGTTGCCCTTGAAGTCGATCCTGAAGCCCTCCGACGGCACACCTACACCTCCGCCAGCCGACGACGGCGCCACAGCACACAAGTTCAAAACTTTTGCTGACATGTTGGAGTCGATCGTCAAACTGCTCGCCTCGGCGGACCGCTCATCGCGGTTAGATGCATACCATTCGCTACAACGAACTATGCAAGCCTACGACAAGATACCAGACGAGCAGGCTCTCAAGCACAAAATGTCTCTGCTAACTCAATTCATACGGCGGGATGTCCAGTCTCCTAGCCCAACTGGAACTGGACTGGATTCGCAGCTCGTGGCCCAAGCCCTGAAGCTACTCATGGCTCTCTTTCGAATCACGGACTTGACCTCCGCTATGGATGACGACTTTTGCTCCTTCATCATGGAACGCGTTATTCACGTCGCCAGCGATGTTTCCATGCCCAAAGCTATAGTGAACACCCACCTCGCGGTGCTCATGCAGCAGAACTTTAGGCTAAGGACTATGACCACAAATCGCATCGAGAAGATCCTGGATGCGCTAGACACCATTCACGAGCGAATCAGCGGTTTCTCTGTTCAAGCATACCGCATTCGCATCTACAGGAAGCTGATCCAGCAACGACCGGATCTTATGATCAAGCACACGGAAAGATGGTTTAAGCATACGGTCAAGGCATTGGTATCACCTCAAAAAGATATCAATCAAAGTGCGCTAGACACCGCCTTGTCAGCTGCGAAAACAATCGGCCATGACCGTCACGTCGCAAAGTCTGTTCTCTCCGTTCTTAACCGTGTTAGGAACGATGGCGAGACTTTTGCAAGAGTCTTGACCTGGGAACTAGAAAGGATGCTGGGGGGCGACAACGCCACGATGGTACCCCAAATCTGGTCCGCTGTGACGGGCTTGCTACGAGACTCCCTAAACGGTCAGATGTTCTCTGCCATGAAGGACTGGCTCGAAGTATTCGAAAAATGCCTGAAATCCGACAAGGATCAAGTCAAGATGCATGCCAATGTCGCTTTCTGCTTCCTCCTTTATGTCGTCAACTTGGCTGCAAACACCTCCGAGGGCTGGACAAAAATGTTCCTTAATATTCCATTGCATCAGCTCAAACAGCGCATTCCAGCGAAGAAGGCCGACCGTGACGCTATTACATCTGGCTACGTTACATTGCTGTACTACGCACTTCGGCCGACAGCTTCCTTTGAACAGCTTGATCGGTATTGGACCGAATTTGTGGCGGGTTTCTGGAACCCATTGATACATTCGTCTTCAACTCAGCAAGCAATTGCCGCATGCCGAGTTGTCTCTGCTCTTCTGAATGGCTCCAGGAAACCATGGAACGAACACCGAGCCTTGGACCTTCGCCCACAATACATGACACAGCGTGGTGAACTTCCTTTAGTAGATCCGAAATGGGTCCGGAAATCGCTTTGCAAGGTGCTCCAGTTTGTGGAAACCCTCCTGGATGCAACACCATGGACTGAGAGCGAGCAACAGGAAGATGAGCCGGTAAAGACAATGTGGCTCGCTGTCATGGATGCCTTGGTCGAAGCAAGCAGCAAGGAAGTCATGGCTTCTAGTGAGACCAAGGATGCGATGGCGCACATAATCAATCTCCTCCGTCGAATATGGGATAGGCACACCACCAAGCTAGCGCTCCCACAGCAAAAGGAGGACCTTTGGGCCGACAAGTTCTGCTTTCTGATCGAGACTGTAGTGCAAAAGCTAGGCGCATTTCAGTTTGCGGACAAGTGCCTCATGCGGAATGGCAACAATGAATTCGAGGTTGCCTCAACGCCATCACATCGGGCACGACAGCAGGGTGCACGGACATCGCCTCTCCTCTACCTTGTTGATCTCTTAATCAATCAGTCTGAGGGCAAGCTTGCAGATTCTGTTCGACTTCGTGCCATCAAGTTGATTATCGAGCCTTGCTTCAATGTTCAGAACACCCGCTTCAGTAAACTAGAACTCCTTCGCGATTGTGGTGCTGCTGTCGATGGCTCATTGAGGGCAGCTGTTGCATTGAACTTTTGGGCGCAAACTGCTGCTCTTCTCCAATCCTCTATCCAAGAGCAACTCTCTGACTCGAATGAGCGCGTCTCACGTCCATTTGGCAAAGAGTATGAGCTTGTCGTTGATCTTCTAGGGCTGGGTTCTGCTTATATGCTGAACATGCCGCGAGGTCAGGAGGTCTTGTCCGCTTTCGTTGAAACGGTTCGATGCGAGGCTGGAGAGGGTGCAGTCATCCTTGCCGTGATCGAGAAGGTTTCGGAGCGCGTTCTGAAGCGTACCGCGGATGAAGACAAGGCTTCATGCTTGCCCTACACCAGCATACTACTGCGAAACCTTCCTAAACAAATGAGCCGACGGGTGTTGGATCAAGGTAGGCAGAACATATGGCCGTCTTCTCCAGCAACAGGCCGCCACCCAGACTTCGATCCGTACAGTCACCTCTATGGCGCGGTAATTTCTACCGGCTCAGCTGCATACCAAAATCTCAACAGCGAGGATGTTGAGCCGACGAAGCGCTTTCTCGCTGCTTTTGCCAGCTCTATCCACCACTGCTCAACCTCGCACCTCGCAGTTTATCTACGGAAGACTCAAGATATGATTCGTCTTTGGGTTGAGGATTCAGAGAAGAAACTGCAGAGCAAAGAACAGCCACTGAAGAGCCTGCATCGTGAGGTATGTCGGGAACCCTATTATAGAGTCAACTGTTAACATAAGCAGGTCGTGAATTTATGGAAACACGTCAGCGAAGCTATTGAAAGACTTCCACGAAAAGACAGCCAGATTCTTCTTCATCTGGAACCATTGATCACTGCAGGGTTTCTAAGCATGCGCCGTGGCATCGTCAATATCTCCATTGTAACCTGGAATTCTACCTTCGGCAAAGAAGAGAGCTTGCGATATCCATCTCATCTCGAGCAAGCGTTGCGGCGCTTACGCAACACCGTCGAAATTGCGTTACCCTCGTTGGAAGTTCACAGCAAAGATGCTGTAAGTGCTCATGCAGAAAGGGGCATAGCACAACTAACGCGGGAACAGGTCAACGAGCTTTCGTTCTACGACTCCGATACCAGCACAGAACATGCAAAGCATGCTTTCAAGAGTCCCCGAGTTAAGGAGTCACCCTTCAAAGTGTCCAAATCTAGGCGGAAATCTGTAACTCGGTCTCCGGCGGCGTCGACTCCAGGTAGCAGAAGAGCGTCTGCGCGGCAGACATCCAAAGCTCGCCTGCGACACGATAACTCACAAATTCAGTTCGAGCCAATTGTTTCTTCACCATCAAATCCGTTCAGCCATGAATCTCAAGTTTTGACTGATCGTCAGAAAGAGATAGTCGAGCGACAGAGGCACTCCACTGGTTTATTTGCCAACATGGGCGCCGTCTCACCTCTCCGAGAGACGGTACCGTCCCCTATGGAAATCCACTCTGATGCTCTAGATCGAAATGATCTGCCGAATGGCGCGTCCCGAACTACACCGTTAAAGGCTCTAGCAGCCATGGGCCCAATGGACGTTTTTCTTGGGTCGTCGCCTACTCCGTATGCACGAAGGAGTACGCAGCATATAGTCAGCGACGACACCAGTGTTGCAACCCCGACCGCTGTACGAACCATTCAGCTGACTACTAATGATGACTTGGGGTCTTCACCACCACGCTTCGAGAAGGATGCCGTTTCAAATACAGCACAGTACAATCACCACAGTCAGGTAGGGTCCAGCTTTGAGTACCAACGGCCAGAAAATTCGTACTCGGTGTCCTTCGATGAAGGAACTACTATAGACGAAGAATCGCTGCTCGATACTGTTCTTAAGGGGCCTGAACATGGTGAGCGCTCGGAAAGTGACTTTCCCTCGGACACGGTCATGTCCGAGCTACCTAGCTCAACCATCGACCTCCAGCTCACTGCCCAAATCGATGCAGACATGCAAACCCATGCAGATACAGCCTCTCAGCCAATTAGCGAAGCAGGACCGAAATCAATCACTGAATTCGTCGACGCTGCTTCGCACCAACAGCCTTCATTTAGCAATGTCGAGCAAGCTGGCAGTGATGCAGAAGTGGAAGACTCACAGCTTGCTTCTCACCCCGCGGCAATTGCCATTTCACATAAAGAGCCAGAATTCGAATCAAGCAGCACAAGCCGTGTTGGTGACTCTTTTTCTAGGCCAGCATCGGGCAAAGGAACACCAACGACAAGGAACCTTCGACGGTCTTCCCGTCATTCTACTAGTTTTAGTCCTGCTCAGCAATCAAGCGGGAAGAAACGCAAGCAAACACATGTAAAGCACGATACTATGGTACAAAAGGAGAAGGAGGCCCAAGAGGAGCAGTCACCGGCACAGTCTTCTTTCCAGTCCGACGAAGGCAGCATACACGATAACATCGTCGTAGTGTCTCCGCAGATACAAAATAACCCCAAGAAGAGGAAGCCCATGAGTAATTCTGACTCTTCGGCAAACGGCGACGTCATTGTTCCCGAGACAAGTCGTAAACGTGGTACCCGTCGTTCACAGTCGCTGCTTAGCCAGGTTGAAAACTCGCAAGACGTTATAGTCGAAGATACACCAGCCCCCAAGCGAGCCAGACAAAGTATGGGCCAGGACGTGAGCGAAGCAAAGAATGCTCAGCGTCCTAAGGGCTCAAAAGCTACTCAAACCAAGCGTTTGAGTCACGTACAGATTAAGTCGAAGCACTCATCGGAGTATGGGCCTTCAGTGGATGGATCTCCAACTGATGCCGACGTTGAACAGCCGATCAGTCACCTGGATAGCGACCAAGAAATCGATATCAAACCACAGGTAGATGCGACCAAACCTTCCGAGGAGGAGAAAAGTCAACGGCAATCCCCGCAAGATGCGCCTACTGGGGTCAGCACACCCAGCCGGTCCTTTGCCGAGCGCGTTATCCTCACGCCACGGAGTATCATCAACCAGCTCAAGAGCCTCAAGGACTTCTTATTCAGTGCTCCGCAGCTGGTTCTTGCAAGGGAGGAAGAGAGAGAGATTGATGACGTGCTTTTTGATATTAGGAGGCAGGTACATGCGGCGGGCCAACGGGGCTAGGAATATCGGCGCGCGGTGACATTTGTCCAAGGGAATGACGGGGTGCAGCTAGGGTAGAGACGGATGGGGGCAGGATTTGCTATTTTCTATGGTCAGATGTGTAAGCGTAGCATAGCGCTCTGAATTGCAGGCGAAGTACGAAAGCTTGGCCGTATCGTTGTTTGTGCTCTAAAGTGAATTGTATTACTTGTCTAGCTCGACCACACTCGCGAAGACGCTTTTCCGCTGCTATTGAATCAACCCAATATGTAGGTGACTGTCGCCTATGCGTAGAAGGTCTAGAAGACCCAATGATCTGCTTTCAGGCGAGTTAAGCGAATGCAGAGCAGTTCACCTGAAACGTGCTCCATGTTTCAGTCGTGCGTTGGTGCATCCATGGATGGTGGGGGTTTGCCAGCTGTTTGGCCCAGTCCAACAGTGCCCCTCCTTCTTCCCCCCGAACATCACTCTTGACGAAGGTACCACGCATTGTATCACTGGTAAGCTCCTGCTCATAAGCTTCAGCTTACGTCTACCAATCCTAACCGCCAGTAGTCATCTTCTAAACACAATCCCTCTTTACAGCAAACAACCTAGCTGGAGCTCCTAAGTACCCCGCCTTCCAACACCACCGCCACCACACCATACACAGCTCCATCATGGTCGACCGCGCGAACCGCCCCTCCAAATTGAATGCACCCGCAGCGTCTACTCCCGGAGCTCAGGTCGATATTGTTGGGCAAGGAGGAAGCCAGAAAGTTGTTGCGACGCTGCCCTCCGGTGAAAGCATAGAGGTCCTGCTGTATGGAGCTACGGTTACCAGCTGGAAGAGCAATGGCGGAAAGACTGAGAACTTGTGGTTGAGCGAGACGGCCGACGTGACGGGAACCAAAGCTGTGAGGGGTGGTATCCCTGTCGTCTTCCCAGTAAGTCACAGCTTAAGACACCCAGAGAAGCGTGAACAGTTGCTAACAGCTGTCAAACCAGGTCTTCGGTCCCCCGCCCAAATCAGGCCACGCCACATCCTCGCTCCCACAACACGGCTTCGCTCGCACATCACGCTGGGAGTTCTTGGGCAAGTCGACCGTCGAGGATGCGCTCGAGTCCGACTCGGTCAAGCTTGACTTTGGCTTGGATCGTCAGGGTCTCAGCGACGAGGCACGCAAAGCATGGCCGCTCGATTTCGGACTTGTATACAGTGTCACGTTGAGCAAGGACAAGCTCCAGGCCGTCATCACGGTGCGGAACGAGGGCGACGAGAGCTTCGAGTTTCAGTTCCTGCTCCATACCTACTTCAAGATCCAGGTAAGTCGCCCATCCCCGGGTAGTATCTAGAGCAATTACTGATCTCACTGTGCAGGACATTTCCAAAATCGCTATTACCGGCCTATCCGGTACCGAGTACATTGACAAGGTGCTCGACGCGACCACGCACACACAGTCTGACAACACCCTCAAGATCACTGGCGAAGTCGACCGCGTCTACAAGGACATCAAGCAAGATACCACGTCGATTACTGAAGACGGCAAGCCGCGCTTCGACATCATCCGCGACAATGTCAAGGACACCGTCACCTGGAACCCATGGATTGAGAAGGCCAAAGCGATAGGTGACTTCTCGCCGGATGCGGGCTACAAGAACATGGTCTGCGTCGAGGTTGGTGCTGTTGATGGCTGGCAGAAGCTAGAGAAGGGTGAGGTGTGGGAGGGTGGTATGCTTGTGAAGAGCTTGCTCTAGGTTACCATGGGATTCCAAGGGGAAGCACTTGGAGAAGATTTGGATAAGCACCATCATTGAAGACGGTTGTCAAATGTAAAGGCATCGCAGACAACAATGCAAATATGGATGCACAACGCATGCCGAACAACCTCGATATTTATGCAATACATTTACCAAGCGAGCACGATGAACCGCTTCTCGGGCATGCAGCCCTATGTGACATTATGTGACTATAATGTGTTAATCATCAGCCAGTCGTATGCTGCGGGCAATCTAAGAACGTTATTGCCGGAAAAGCCGCCAGACCCTTGCTCAATATAGCTGCATGGTGGTGCTGACCGGGGGGGTCCCTTGCCTTTCACAAGCTTCCCCCACCGGAATCTTGCCTGACCAACAACAATACGCCATGACAACAATCGGTGCTGTCTAGGTACTGCCATGTCCGGTCACTACGATAATAATCAAGCAGTCCGCCCTCCACACTGCTACGGCTCCTGGGCTGTCGATTGACATAGCATCCAGTCCATCGCATCCGCACCTTCCCCGCGTACGACGATTCGGCCATAGTAGGGCTGCGGGCGTAACACTTTCAACTCAAGAGGCTCGAGTTAGTTGAAGCGCGTGTGTAGCACCAGCCGAGGTACTGCGCTGGCAGTCTAGGGCCGTTGCGCGGTGTTCAGTGTGGGCTTTGGAGCGTACATTGAACCCAACCCATGGACGATCGCGAACGACAGAGAAGCATGTCCCTCATACCGTATGCGCCAGCAGAGTCGCGAGAAATCGTCTTGTAAGTATCGAAAGCTCTCACGATACCGTTACAGTGTAGACTGACTCTGGCTGCAGTCGCCACGGTTCCGCAGTGGTAGTGTACGACCAACGATCCAAGCAACTTTCCCTCCGCGATGCCTCACGATCCATCACCGTAGAAGCCACATCATGTCCATACTGTCGCCGATCCTACCGCGACCCCTCGCCCAGCGGGGAAGATGAAAGCGACGAGCATGAACATGCACCAAGTATACCAGATGCGGAGAATGGCTTCGTCAACCCAGGATACTTTCAGATGCTGCGTAGGAGCCAGCCAGGCTCAGAAGAGGGGTCGCGACCGCCTTCGCCACATAAACAACTAGCACCTGCCCCATTACAAGGCAGACCGAGCGAGTTCTATGCACCAGAGGGAGCTGAATTTGTGGGCAGCACCCCAGCACCTCCCACCAGAAGCCAGGGCATATCTGCGAGGGCCTTTAGCCCAAACTATTTCAAAAGCTTCTTCGTGGAAGAACGAGAGTTAGGACGTGGAGGCAAAGGCGTTGTACTATTGGTGCAGCACGTCCTGGACGGAGTTCAGTTGGGCAAGTTCGCGTGCAAGCGGGTGCCCGTGGGCGACGACCATGAATGGCTCGAAAAGGTTCTGGTTGAAGTGCAACTACTGCAAACGCTATCGCACCAGAACCTAGTATCATACCGCCACGTGTGGTTGGAGGATTACCAGATATCGAACTTTGGACCGAGTGTGCCGTGCGCCTTCATATTGCAACAGTATTGCAATAGTGGGGATCTGCATAGCTACATTCTAGACTCGGCGAAGACGACTGTTACCAAAGAGCAGCTTAAAGAACGGCTAAGAAGGAGATCCAAGGGTCAATTGGAAGACCCCGAAGACCTACACGGACCGCGACGAATGCACTTCGAGGAGATTATATCCTTCTTCAAAGACATTACATCTGGTCTGCACCATCTCCACGCAAACGGTTACATCCATCGAGATCTGAAGCCAAGCAACTGTCTACTGCACAACACTGGTCAAAGGATTAAAGTCCTCGTAAGCGACTTTGGTGAAGTCCAGTCGGCGAACGTTGCAAGAACGTCGACCGGTGCAACTGGAACCATTTCATACTGTGCCCCTGAGGTCCTCCGACAAGAGCGACCAGGGGGCGCGTTCGGCAACTTCACGACCAAATCTGACATCTTCTCCCTAGGTATGATTGTCTACTTCATGTGCTTCGCGAAGCTGCCATATAGGAATGCGGATGGTATTGACGAAGACAATGAGGACGTGGACCAGCTAAAGGCGGAGATCTCGACCTGGGCTGGCATAGACGACGAGCAACGCGTACGGTCAGACTTACCAGACAAACTATACAGGTCACTTAAGCGATTACTTGCCTTGGCTCCGGATGCACGCCCAGGCACAGAAGAGATCCTACATGTTCTCAAGTCTCCGTCGCTTTTCGATGAGTTCAACACGTATGCAGGCCCATCTGGTCTCGATGAGTTCAGTCCTCGCATCTCGCGGGCTGATACACCTAGCCCTGCTTCTGCTCAACTAGGCAGGAAGCGGTCTTCTATTAGCTACCCACGCTCCGGCCCCTCAAGGCTTAGTGCCTCGGTCATGGATCGCTCTCCCAGTCCACCTCCGCAGCTCACTAGAAGCGAATCGTCTGAGGATGGTGCAGTCGTTTTGAGGCCGAGAAAGCTAGAGTTCCCGCCGCCGTCACCTGTGCGCAGAACCCCATCACCGCAGCGGTTGATGCTGCCTCCACCTCCAGCTAACGCGCCTTTACAGTTGTACAACGTACTGCGAAACGCTACAATTATCAACACTCTCAAACTCGGTCTCTTTTGCGCGAAAGCCTTCAGCCTCCTCTCTCCCTGTCAGCCATTTGCGGCGGATGCTCGGGTTGTGTACCCCCTGCTTTGCATAGCATCTCTCGACCTCTTGCCCTTTGGTTTGGGCACTAGGTCAACGGAAAGATACGGTAGTCTAGGCGCACTGAGTGCCTCTATTGTCCTTTTGCTATTACATGTAATGATTCTGATCATCTCATTGAAGTCGGACAGACTGTGTGTGAGGAGAGAGGTAGCTTGGGATGAGCTCTAGTATTGACGCGAGGATGCAGTTAAAGTGCGAGAGAAGTGTAGAGCGGCTCTTTTGCATTTGGGATTACTCTACCTAGCTTTTAGTAGCGGTGGGCATGTTTAAAGAATCTCTGTATCTACCGTTATCGTTCTTGAAGTAGGAACTAGCAGCCACCAAATACAACAAGATCACGGCCTTCACACGATGTGTTACTCCCAGTTGGTCTGAGCAACTGACTGTTAGTGAAACTGTCTATGCTAATGACCGCGTACACATGCTGATTATTTGCGAGGTTGGGAGGGCGGATGATGTTGATTGGTGGGGCCGGTGGTGGTCGGGCAGGGGGTGCGTTGGCGTGGGCGCTTTGACTCCAATGTTATGGTAAACAACGCCTCATCCTCGATTCTCTACACAATTGCATCGCACTTTCCACCCCAACCAACACCAGGTCGCCCAAGTTGTATACAGGTCAGATAGCTTCTTAGGCCTGCTCCTCTTGCCAAAGTAGTCTCTACGAAGCATCTCTTCTTTTTAATATCCTAGTCACGTATCTACGACGCGCCCCGACTATCAACAAAGCTGCATGAGCAGCCTCTCAACCCTCCAATGCAGTCCTCTCCTCCTACAAGCGACGGGAAAGCGCGCGCTATACGCGAACTTTCACGCAGTTTGAGCCACAGCCCACGAAACATCGCCTCGCCGTCACCGCCGCCCAGCGACTCGAATCCCACGAAGCACTCGGGCTTCGGCACAGAGACATCTAGCTTCTTCAACGACCCGGACATTCTCATGTCAACTCAACACAGATTAGAGGACGACACAAACACGCTCCCCCAATACCCGCGCATTCGCTCGACCGCGAAGAAGATGAACACTTGGCATATGCTCCGCTCCGAGCAGCCAAACCCCAACACCTCGCTGGTAAACAAAGAGTTTGGCGATTTTGACCACAGCCTGTCGGACGACGAGGAAATGCCTGTAGAACAGGCGCGTGGCATGAACCGCAGCAACCGCGGTACACCGAACAAGATGAGCTCCCAGTTCAATAGCCTCTACGACATCACACCGCCGACCAACCGCTCGCGCAAATCTTATGCGGCAGAGACGGGCAGTCTCCGACGCGACGCCCAAATTCGACGCGCTTCACGGAACGACTTGGAGAGCGCCTCACCGCGCCCTGCGAGTGCGCGCAACTCAGCGGCCGTGCCTGCAAATCAAGACCGCAAGCGTACTTCCCTTGCACAATTGCATGCCAAAGTTTCGGAAGACGAGTCTTCGTTCATGGACCAACGGCCGCCAACATTGACCATGGACTCGACTAAGAACACACGCTGGGGCAACCGAAGCCGTCAAACTTCCCTTCAGATGGATGGCAAGGTCGACGCGTCTCCACACGCAAACTACACTTCCAAATCACGACCAGTTACTGCTCAAAACGCGACCGCGCAATCATTCATACTTCCCGATCTTCCAAATCTTACCGAGCTGGTCTCTGGGGTCTTCGATGATGGTACCCCAGTGTTCTCGAAGACTGCTCCTGCACGGTCACGGTTTTCCGCCCCACCCAACGGTGGTCGACGGCCACAGCACATTCCCGTAGAAGGTGTTCCAATACCTGAAGAAGAGAAGGCGATTTTCGCCGCGCTTCACCAGCTGCAGGACAAGCTTGCACAAATGGAGCATGAGCGCGCAGAGCAAGACCAAAAGCTCGAGGAGCAAGAGATGGAGCTCATTGAGTTGAAGGCTACGACACAAGCTCAAGAGAAGCTTCGAAGAAGTGACAGCGCGCAAGACTCGGATAGCGGCAAAGGTAGCTGGAAGGTGGAAAAGACGCGTAAGTATAGCTAATAGAGACCATTTCGGCGAAAATGCTAACAGGACTCAGGGCTTGACGCGACTGTACAAACACTCCGAACGAAACTCGACCGAGCCGACCGCAAAGTCGCCGTTCTTGAGATCGAGAAGAAGCGCTTGAACACTGAACGAGACAACATGGCTGGCCAGCTTGGTGTGGCCTTCCAGACCTGTGAAGAGCTGAAGAATGAAAAGGGAGCCTTGAGCACTGAGAACAATGCGCTGCGATTGGAGATCGATACCCTTCGAGCCGAAAACGAGGAGCTTCGCGATCAGCTTGAGCAGGAGCATTCGCATCATCGGGAAGAGACTGTTCAGCTAAAACGACAGTTCGACCAGGCCGCGAACGCAACAGAAAAAGAGAACGCAACCTTGCATGCTGAGTTAGCTCGCGTTCGCGCTGAGCATGATGAGCACACTCAACGGCTATCCCGCAAAGACATTGAGTTGCGCAAGGCGCGTCAAGAGCAAGCCGAATATGCCCAACTAAAGTCCAATCATGAGTCTCTCAAGTCGCAGCTAGCGAGCCTTAAAACCAAGCGTGAAGAAGAGGTCAAACGATGGACTCGCCAGGAGGCAGCTCTGAAGGCCCAAGTCGACCGTCGCGATGAGACCATCCGTCACTTCCAGGATTTGACCCAAGAGCAGACTAATGAGGCCATGCGATTAGACAACGAGCATCTTCGACATGAGCTTGCCCAACTCTCCGCACAGCACGAAGATGAGAACGAGCAGTGGGCTAAGAAGGAGGTGGAGTTGAAGCGAAAAGTCCAACAACGCGAGGATGTAGCGAAGAGGACCTTGAATATGACACGCGAAGTCCTCAGTACTCGGGAAGCGAATGAACAGCAATTTGATGTCTTTGCTCCTACATGGAAAGGCAAAGGCAAGGAGAACGCATTCGCGGATCAGAAACCAAGCTACCGTCGCGATGATACCCGCACTCGCATCAAGAACCGCGTCCAGCAAGAGGTCCGCAACAGCAGATCAGTGGGCACCTCACAACAGTCGAGCCGAATTGAGGAGAGCCCTCGCAAGTCATATGCTGGGGTCTCGAGATTTTCTAATCGAAGCGTTTCAGCACCCATACCGGTTGATAAGAACGCCCGCGTTGAGAGCGACGTAGAATCGACCACTGACCTTTCTCTTGCACCTCGCGGTACTCCGTATACCTCTCGAAGTAATCTTTCAGCGAAGTCGACAATCCAGCCTCCTGTTGATCTTGATTTGACTGAACTGAGCTTCATCGATAGCAACCAGATTGCTCAGCTCCGACGCGCCTTAGAAGAAGAGCGAGCTGCGGCGCGCCACCGAGCTTCGTTTGCCCCCGGGGAGCAAGCTCGCGAGGACACTATTCGCTCTCAACGACAAACCCGCGAGGATACTCTCCGATCTGTCGCATCCGCTAAGAGCGAACGCCGACCATCTCTCCCACGCAAGTCGTCACTTAAGGAGATTACCCAGCGTACCAACATGACTCAGTTCGAAGAAGATGTCACTGGCAACATGTCGAACTTGGATGCAGATGCGGAAGCAACGCAGACCAAGCAATCTGCTATTGACACCTCGATGCTGAGCAATACGAGTCGCCGGCGCCGTAGTGCACCCACTGAAATGACATCTGCATTTATTGTTCCAGACATCAAGCTCGATACTCTTAAGCAAACCACGACTACGATCAACATCTCCCAAAAGACGACCAGCAAAGATCACGACAACGCCAACTGCACTGTCTGTCGCCGTGACGGCCTTGCAACTACTACCGATGCCTTACGTGTTCCTAAGCTCGTACCTGTATCTTCGCGTACGCCGGACGATGTCGACGCTACTCTCCGCCCCGCCCGCTCACCTAAGGAAGCCCTAGCTTTAGTAGTCAAAGAGCTTCAAGATGAGCGCGCCCATCTGCACATGGAACTAGCTGTCATGCGCGCTATGTTAGAATCCCACGACGTCAGCCTAGGAAACCGCAAGCGCCGCGACATCAACGTCTCCATTCAGGAGATCCTTCGCCGTCTCGAAATCAAGGATACGCAAATCTACAATCTCTACGATGTCCTTGAGGGCCAGCAAACCGATGATCTCACCGAGCTGGACGTTGAGAACCTGACGCAGCAAGTTCGTGCAGAGGAAGAGAAGACTCAGGGTGAGCCTGAAAAGAAGGCTAAAAAAGTCACAATCAGGAGTTTTGTGGATGAAGATGACGACAGCATTGAGGTTGGCAGGGGTGTAGGCCAGGACCTGGAGGATGGAGAGACGCAGGAGTTGCCTTGGGAGGGATTCGAGGATACGGGAAGTGCTCTTGAAGGGTGGAGGACAAATGTCCACTAGAACGCTGAAGGACGTGTATCAAGAAGTGGCGTTGGACTGGGATTCATCGTTTGGATAACGAAAATTGTTGGGTGCTTTACGGTACTGGTTGGCGGTCATGGCGTTTTGGATATGGGTGCATTGCTATGCGGGCATTGGGTACTGCGCTCCCGCTGAAGGGTTGCTGCTTTTCTTCCTCATTTTTTTTTTTCTCTCTCAGGATGCTCCTATCCGTTCTTTTCATCATCCTTCCTACCCCGTATTCGTTTTCAACTTCCTTCTTTTGGAGCTCCCGGCATTCGACGCTTCACACAGCCCATTAGGCTCTTCTTTCCCCTCGGCTTGAGCCTTCGACTCACCCTTCTCGGGTTCGAGTTGGTCTCGCCGACGGGGTTGGGCGTTCTCAGTGGGTTTGTCAGGGCTGTTGTAGCTAGGCAAGGTTCAGATGGAGGGTTGGGAACCAAGACAGGATGGGAAGGGTGGATGGAATGCAAGAGTTGGTCAATATCAGAGATTCAGTTCGATGTGTTCATCAATACTGACTTGTGGACCTATTGTGATGTTGTAGTCTCTGTTGCTTATTGTCAACTTTGAGATTGGGCAGAGGAGGCTCAGCGGAGCTTTACAAAATGCTAGGTTCCACCTGTAGAATCCAAGTTCTAAACGAGCATGCTACCAAGAAACATCAGAACCTAGCAGCACGTTCACGGCCCGCCGACCGAAGGATTCAGTCCTCGCTTCGTATTCGCGTTCGTATTCACGACTCCGGGTAAATAGTAACGGTTGTAAGCCTCTTAGTCTTTGTATTAGCCCACTAATGACCCCAAAGTAGTCGTAGAAGAATCCTAGAATCCTGCATGGAAGGATTTGCTTAGGCTCCGATCGTACTGGCTAAATGACTTGCAACTTGCACTATAATGAGGGGAAGATCTCTGGTGCATGGTATGGGTATATGAGACGTGCAGTAACTTTCGATCCCTCTTGCTACATTTAGTAGGTCACAAACGTTTCTTGTTAACACAGTTATACGTCAGTCATGAGACTCCAACTTGCAGTATTTCTTGCGCTAGGTTGGCACCCTGCACCGAGGTATTAACATTCAAAACACTTACACATCTAGTAGCTGTCTCACCCGCGCTCAGCTCCCCTCTAAACCAAACGTGGGACTATATCATAGTCGGCAGCGGGGCCGCCGGTATTCCCTTAGCTGACCGCCTATCCGAGGCCGGTGCATCTGTCCTTCTCCTCGAACGCGGCTGGGCATCTTCTGGTCGCTGGGGCGGAACTTGGAAACCCTCATGGCTCCAGGGTACTAACCTAACTCGCTTTGATGTTCCGGCGCTGGCGCAGTTGATTTGGACTACGGTGGTCGATAATAAAGGGATTTTGTGTGATGATGTACAGATGACGGCAAGTTGTGTGCTTGGTGGAGGCACGGCGATCAATGCTGGGCAGTTTTATCTTGTGAGTAGGGTTTGGTTTGCTTGTGTTGTTAGAAGAGGTAAGTTGGGGTGACAAATGCTAACTAACGATGGTGTAGCCGACGCCAGATGACTTCGACATCAACCAACCACCTGGATTCCGCTGGGCTGATATGACAAGTGCCTTTCAGAAAGCGAAGGACAGACTACCGTGGACGGAACATCCCAGTCTCGATGGAAAATCCTATCTCACAAACGGCACGCAAATCGCCATTGACGCCTTGACGAATTCCTCGATGCCGAATCCACATCGATTTATTCATGCAAATGATGAACTAGATGATAGAAACCGCGTGACTTCATTCGCAGAGTATTTCTTCATCAATGGGGAGAAGGGAGGGCCTATGGCAACGTACCTGGTCTCTGCGAGTGAAAGGAAGAACTTCCACCTCCAGCTCAACACCACCGTAGCACGTGTCCTTCGCGATGGCAATAAGGCTACTGGCGTTGAAGTCGAAGCTACTAGCCCCGGCGGACTCAATGGCACCATCAAGGTCACTCCAAGGACTGGAAGAGTCATTCTCTCCGCCGGCGTATTCAACACCTTCAAGATCCTCTTGCGCTCGGGTATCGGCTCTGCTGATCAACTCCACCTCCTCTCCAATCACTCCACTGAATCCGCAAAACTCCCGCCAAAGGAGCAGTGGATTAACCTTCCCGTCGGCCATAATCTCGACGACTCGCCGGCCATCGTTCTTGCTGTTGATGTTCCGCATCTGGAAATCTACGATTGGGAGAGCCTGTGGAATAGCACGGGCAATATACCGGAGATCAGAGCATATTTGGACAATAGAACGGGACCGCTAGCAGAGATACAACCGAGCTTAAGCCCAATTAGCTGGGAGAAGATCAGAGGGGAGGATGGAAGAACGAGAGTTGTGCAGTGGGATGTCAATTCAAATAAAGGGATGGGCTTAGTCGAAGGTAAATCACTCCAGAATGCCATTTCTCCCTTCATTCCCACCTCTTCAATTTCAAGAACTTAGCTCCGGGTTTCCAGTATGCTAACGTAAAGGGGAAATAATAGGAGGCTTGCTTCTCTTCACGTCCAACCTGTGTTCCGGAAAGACCTCCCGCGGTCGGCTTTCCCTCGTTCCTTCCCCGTCAAGACTCTTTGTCAATGTCACAACAATGCCATATTTTAACGATGAGGGGGATCACGATTTCAAGGCGGTGTTGGCTAGCGCCACGTCTTTGCTGGATATCTTGAAGACAATACCGGATTCTTCAATCCTGCTTCCGTCAAAGGACACGCCGCTGCAAGATTACCTACGCGGTTTCATCGCATCGCAGGCCTTGACAAGAAATCATTGGGCTGGAAGTACGCGTATGGGGGAGTCGTGCAGTGATAAGGAGGCGGTGGTGGATAGTACCACGGCAGTGTGTGGTATGAAGAACTTGCATGTCGTGGATGCAGGAATTATCAACGGGGTTCCGACGGCGAATCCACAGGCTACTTTCATTGTTGCTGCTGAAAGGGCTGCTGAGATTATCCTGGGGTTGAGTGGAAAGGGTTCTGCGGGTAGCTGATGGAGCTTCCTTCTCGGAATCTTATGATTTAGTCTCTGGTACAGTGTAAATGTTGTATTTGATTGAAGTTGATGTACCTATACTGCTGACTTGTCATCGATAATATCCGCAGCATGTCAAGGGCGTTCGCAACTACCCCACATTCTCCGAGGGATCCGACTAGCGTGTAGTGGGTGCATGATCTCATTGGTGTGCCTTGCAGAGTGATCCTAGACACCACATGAACTACCGCTTTAAAGCCTGTCAGGGCCGAGAATGCGGAGCTGAGATGGTGCAGTTTCGTATAAAGACGAGCCCCCGCTGTCGTCGTCAGCTTCAGCTCAACATTATTCAAGTGCTTTGCCCATTGAAGCCTTGCACTGAACTAGTTGGAAGCGACACAAGCCCAGAAACCAGGAACCAGAAGCCGCAGATTATTTCTCGCCATAGCAAGAGCAGGAATCAAGGAATAAGATGCCATCCAAAGGCATCAAATGTTTTGCCTATATCGCTGTTGACGGCGTCGAAATTGAATTCTCTGTTCCGAAGCAGAGCGTTACGAGAAGCAATCAGCGCGAGTATACAATCGACCACCTCGAAGTGGAATCATCAAACCTGGGTGCCTTCAAGGCAACTGGCAAATTTGAATTTGTCGTTCGCCGCGAGGGCCGTGAGCTCACGAAGCAATGGGTCGATGTGAATTCAATAACCGGGAAGGTCGACAATGGGACCATGTTGACCATGGATCAAACGCCTAGCATCTTCGTCGAAGACCTCATTGTGGTGTATGGATTCTATGATGCTGGGCCTGGGCTAGCGGGGCTGCCGAAACAGCATCAGTGCTATGTCACTGTTACGAGGAATTATGAAAATTGGATGAAAGAGGTTATTCCACCGGAAGATGACAGATCAAATCGGCCGTTCAATAGGATGGTTTTGCCTTCTGCTCATGATATTGGCATGAACGGCCTGCAGACGAGTCTAGGCCTACTTAAGAACGCTGGAACGGGGATTATAAAAGAAGTCTTAGGTCGAAGCCTCCCTCATGCACTCGAAATCATCAATAAAGTCGGAGATGGAGCAATTAATCACATTGCACCAGACATCATTCGAGCTTTGGCCGTTACGCAGAAAGACAGCCTCGACACCATCCTCAAGATCGGAGCGCGATACTTTGAGTTCAGACCCGCAAAGTGCCATCGCCAAATGCAGCGTGTCAGTCCGTTGGAGGATACATGGTACTTCCAGCATGGCGCAATCCCGGGAATGCCATACAAGCAACTACTCACCGGCATCGTCCAATTCCTCCAAGACTATAGCGACGAGATCATCGTCGTGCAAAACCGTTGGGACGGCGTGCCAGGCGACTGCCCACGACCCAATGATGATGAGCTCCGAGACGTACTAAACGACATCCTACGCGACAAAGATATCCAAATCGGAAATGAAGACGACATGATGGGCAAAAGCATACGGGACTTGCGAAACGAAAACAAACGCCTTCTTGTCCTGCAAAATGTAAACCAAGTCTCAAACTACGATGACGCTGCAAACGCTACTTTGACCGGCGACTCCATGGTGTCCAAGTTCAATGACATGTCGCAAAATCCACCGCAGGGTCATCCTATCACGCTGTTACAGTGTCAGGCTACAGCGACGAATATCAGGGATGTGATTATTGCGAGTGTGCTGGATTCGGATGTCAGTACAAGTCCGATTTTGGCGACGAAACCAGTGTGTGATAGCAAGATTTTACCGCTGTTGAGAGGGGATACTGGGAAGCAATTGACACGGGAGGAGAGCGTAGTTGTGCTCTTGAATGACTTCTTCGACGGGGCGACTGCGGATGTCGCTATAAATCTTTGTCTGGATAGGTTGGGGTGAGCTAGGTACGAGAAGACATAAGTCGATGCCTTGCGTATACAGCTCTATAGTTCCACCTTTCGTCGCTGTGAAACTACTGCGACTGGGCACATAACGGCAACAGATATAGAGTGAATGTGGTTTCAGGTAGAGGGAGTAATTAGACGGGGGAAAACATAGCTGGTGGCCTATGATTTATTTTTGTTATAATATATTTGAGGGGTTCTTTACGACCCTTACTCTTTAGCGCTAAGTACCTCTTTGACCACTTCAATCACCCTCTGGAACGCATCCTTTGGTGCAGCGACAACACCCTTGTTCTCCCTCAGTGTTCTTCCAATGCCAAAGTTCAGCGGCTTACCCCACGCATCACTGACTTCTCCGCCCGCTTCTTGTACAATCACGACACCAGCGGCGTGGTCCCAGATCTTCTCCTGATATGTCTTGCTAACCGGTAGCCTGAGATACAGGTCTCCTGCTCCACGTGCGATAGACCCGTATTTGGCCTGCGAATCCATTCGTACAGAGGGCTTAGTGATGCCGAGCTTCGAGGCAATAGCGGCGTTGTCGCCTTGCGAGGAGTGACCTGCTTCTACTGATTCACAGAAGGTGGCTTGGGAGACATCTGGGAGAGGCCTCATGGTGATTTTCTTTGCTTCTTGTAGGCCTCCTTTGCTGAGTGGTCGACTTGTGGCTCCCTGGCCCTTCACAGCACCAAATAGCACGCCCTTGCCCTCCTTGTCATCCGCGTCTTGTCCAGTTGATGAGTCGAGCGGTGCCTGGTCGTCCACTGGAAGGTTGGGGCATCCGATGACACCCACAGTCGGTACGCCATCAACTAAAAGCCCTAGACAGACTGCATACTGTCCACCTCGTAGGAATCCCTTTGTACCATCAATGGGATCAAGCGCCCAGATCCTTCCTTTGCTACCACCCTCACTCCTTCCACTATCAATGGCGGTCAACATGTCGTCGGCGCTCTTGATTGGACCACCAATCTTATCCTCGGCGGAGCCATCGTCGAGTTTCGCGGCCTTGACAAGATCCCATACGAGGTCGCGGAGCGAATCGTTCTTGCGAAGATCATCGGCATCTTCCTCGCCAACTATCTCATCTTCTGGAAACGCGTGCTTTATCGACGCGATGATGAGGGCCTGTGCGCCAAAGTCGCCGATGGTGACAGGAGACGAGTCGCTCTTGGAGAGGGTGCCTTTGGAGTGGCTCGAGTATACGGATTTGGTGAGGAGGGAGGCTCGTTGAACGGCTAGGAGAGCAATGTCCAGTTCCTTCTGGTAGGCCATTGTGTGTGGCGTGCGACTTGGTTTTGTATGTAAAGATTTGGAGAGGAGGGCGGGGGAGGGGTAAATGTGCTGTTTCAATTGACTGAGTCGCGCAGCACTTCGAGAAAGCAAAGATGGATTGAGTATTGAGAAAGCCAGGATGACGAAGGCTAGAAGGAAGAATCTAGATGGCGCGATGTGGGCTGGCATGAGCTAAAGCTATGCAACCGGCCGTTCGCTGGTGGGGTCGGGGGCAGATGGATGGAATTGACGTAAGACGCGGTGGTGCTCGGCGCGGCGCGGCGGTCGGAGGTTTCCTTTTTCGTTTGTCGTGGATGCTGGGGTAACGGGCACAGCAGCTACAGGCTCATCCACGCGTCGAAAGGCATCCGGGCCTATAGCTTTCTTTTCTGACTTCACCTCTGACTTTTACTGTTTAATACTACTTGTTAATACTACTTGTTTGTCTTCTCGACCGCTACCCATTCCCGCCTTGGTATCCACATTGGGAAGGAGTAAACAAAGATCTTCACAAAGGATCGCTCCCAGACCACACAACCGCGCATACATTCCGTACAACCCTAAACACAAGACGTCACAATCCCGGGCAGCGATAGTGCTACTTATCCCATCAATATGGCGTCTCCAGATCCACAACCAGCACTCGCGACGACGAAGCGCAAGTTCCACAAGCTCCTCGACAATTTAACCGCCAGCACATCGACGACCTCACTGGCCAGCACGCTCCAAGAGGCCAATGTATCGACCACATCACTGTCACAGTCAGGCAGCCCCGAACCCCCGAACAAGCGACCGCGAAGCTCCAACATCAGCATGGAAAGGGAAAGGAACATATCTGCCGGTCAAGAGCGCATCAGAATCTTGAAGGAACAGCTTCTCACACCACGCCGCCAGGCCACTATCAAAGTCGTGGGGAGCAAGCAAACGCCTGCGGAGTCCACACCGCGCAAGTCACCGAACTTCCAGCCATACAGTCAGGAGCAGTTCCTGGCACGACTGAAGACATTTGCAGACGTAAAAAAGTGGACGTCGAAACCAGACGCAATTAGTGAAGTCGAGTGGGCCAAGAGAGGTTGGAGTTGCGATACCTGGAATACCGTCGCTTGCAAGGGAGGGTGCGAGAAGCGTGTTGCGGTCAAGTTGAGGCCGAAAAGGAAAGATGCGAATGGAAAGGATATCGAGACGAGTGAGGATCTATCGGAGGAAGTGGAAGTTGCGCTAGTTGAGAGGTACAGAGAACTCATCGTCGCGGCGCATTCTGACGAGTGTCTGTGGGTCAAACGAGGCTGCCAAGGTACGTTATAGTGATATCCAAGTGTGGAAACGAAAGCTAACTATCCGTACAGACGACATATATCACATTCCCATCGCGAGTCGCAACAAGAGCTCAGCTGAGCTTCTCACCCGCTACAATTCCTTCACAGCCATAGCCGCTGACCTTCCCCTCCTCGAAAACATTACATACCCCGACCCTCCAATACAAGACATACTGAAACGCATACCTTCTAACTACTTCAAACCACCCGGTTCTGAAATCACCGCTTCTCCACCATCATCGCCCACAGAAATTGTAGCTTTCACCTTTGCGCTCTTTGGCTGGTCAGGCGTGTCGGAATCTCGCATCAGCCTCGCGGTATGCAATCACTGTTTCCAGCGTCTTGGTCTTTGGCTATCTTCAGACGCTCGGCTGAAGGAGATGAGCAAGAAGCTAGACGTACCGATTGAAAGTTTGCGCCTCAATCTACTCGAATCACACCGCGAACACTGTCCTTGGAAGAACGCCGAAATGCAAGGAAACTCAGGCGATAGCCCAATTGCGAATATGGCGGCATGGCAGACGCTTGAATTCATGTTGTTGGGTAAGGCTAAGGGAGCTTCGAGCTTAGAGAAGCCTGCACATGGACATAACAGGAACCTGGAAAGCGTCGACCTGGGAAGCGAGGTCACATATCCTCGTGGTAGTCTAGAGAGCGACGCCAGAAGTACGAAAGAACAAGGAGAAGAGGGAACGGATTCGTTGCAGCAGAAGTGGAAGAAACTCAAGGCGAAGCTCAAACGGAGTGCGAGCAAGAAGAGTCTAAAGAGCGTGAAGAGCATGAGGAGCGTGAAGAGCGGCAAAAGTGTTGTAGACAAGGATGGCGGCAAGGAGAACTCTTAGGTTGGGCTCTTCAGGCGATGACCTCTACTTGAGTGGATGCCAGGAGTTGAAAGATGAGAAGGGTGGATGGAACATGGCTTTGGGCATACTAGCTTGAGCACATTTGATGATACCCGGCTAAGCATTGTGTAACAAATAATATATGGTATTTCAGATGATACGAGCCACACTCCAGATGAAGATAGCTAACGCCGAACCAAATGCAAGCCCCAGTAAATCCCAGATCAAATGTCTCCCAAATCTTCTCAAAGCCCTTGAGTACTTTTGTGCGCCACTTTAGGCATCACCGTCCATATCGATGTCCACATCGCCCTCTTCCTCTTTCGCAATCATAGCCTCATCTGCCTGCTCGCCGTCACTCACATCTCCGTCTGCCTTCACATCTGCCGCATCTGCCGCATCTTCCTCGTCCTTGGCCTTCTGATCGGCCTCTGCCTTCGCCTTATCAGCAACATGGTTAATGATCTGCGTATCCTTCTCGTTGAACAATCGAAGTAGCATAGCCTTTCGGTCGTCCTTGTCAACCATGAGGTTGGCGGACCCTGGATGTCTCCACAAGGGCAGCACCATGCGGAACGGAATGCCCTGCTCGTCATCCTTCTCCACGCGCACGAAACAGCATCCAATATCCATTTTCTGCAATTGGTCGCCAACTTCGCCGAGGCCGGTTGGGCCTTCTTTGGGAAGCTTGGGGAACATCTCCATGACTAGCTGATGTAGCGTCTCCTTCTTGTCGCACTTCACAATGCGCTTACTCGCCCATGGCTCCAATATTCTGATACCCTCATTCTGTAACCGCCACGGAGCGTGGGTGTAGTCCTTGTCTTTGATCTTGTGCGCGACGAACATGACGACACCGCAGTGGATGAATTTCATACCACGATCTTTGTTCTGGGTGATGATGGTTTTTGCGAACGCAGAGGTATAGTAGATTTTGTTGAGGGAGAGGCCTTCCTTGTTCTTCACCATGAAGCGATCGCGGGGAAAGCGAGAGGAGATACCGAAGAAGTCCATAATGGAGGCAACCGTTTCGTCGTCGGCTGCCAAGTACTCAAAGTACTCCTTGTTCTGACTTTGGTTCTCAGGCTTGAGACGAGCGTCTTTAGGTGTAGCTGCTTGTGTGTTTGACCCGTTTGTTGCGGATCCGTTGGCGGCCAGAATGGGCTCCTCTGTTTGTACTTCCGTGGACTCAGGGGCTGCGTCTGCGTCTGCCTTGGCTTTTTTCAAGGATGCAGGCTCTTCAACCTCTTCCAACTTACGCTTCAGTGCGCCCGCAACGTCAGGAACATCGTTGTCAGCATCCTCCTTGGTGGCATCTGCCTCGATCACGTTCTCGTCGGGCGTTGGGATGGATGAGTCGGTCGTGGTCGTGGCCTTCGCCTGGGACCTTTGCGCTTTGGCTGCGTTCTCCGGGTTTTGGATCTGTGCAATCTTGATATCATCCAACTTCTCAATGATAGCAATGAAGAAGCCTCCAGTATCCTGCTGGTGAGGATAAACCCGAATACATCGCTCGAGCGGGATGCGCTCTTCAGGAGACTTGGGGATTGGTGGGAAGCACCCCGAGGTAATCTTGGTGGAGAACTGGCGCGCTGGCTCCTCGACCTCGTACTTCGCCTTTGCCTTTTGATAGGCTTCCCAGTTGGTGAACATGTGAGCAGTCTTCTCGCCTGCAGCAGAGACCGAAGATGTGTCGAGAACCTTCCAGACATTAAGGCCTGGCTTGCGTTTGAGGTTGGGAAGGTGATCGGAGCAATCTACAAGCTGAACCTTGGAGGTGCCTCCGCAAGCCTCGATAGCTGCAGCAACCACCGCCTCATTCTCAACAGGGTTCATACTGCAAGTAGAATAGACCAAGCGACCGCCCTTCTTCAGCATCTGCAAACCTCGGAACAGAATGCGTAGTTGCAGATTGTGAAGACCAAGCCCATCCTTGGGTGTCCACTTCTGCCAAACATTTGGGTTCTTGCGGGCTGTACCATCACCGGAGCATGGCACATCAGCCAAGATTCGATCATACTTTAGATATTGCTTCTTGCGGCCGTCGGTGCTCGGGAGCTCGATCGAGGGGAATATCGACGCGTCGTGTTGTGTGACAATCAGGTTGGGGAAATTGAGTCGCTTCACCTGGTGGACCAACATGCCGGCGCGCTTGTAGTCGGTGTCGTTTGCGATGAGCAGACCTGTCGATCGGCCGTCGTCACTGTAGTCGCCTTCTGCGCTCAGATCAACAGACTCTCCGTTGGCCACTCGCGTAACACGCTCTTCCTCGTCGCCGTGGATCATCTCAGCCAGCTGTGCCGACTTGCTTCCAGGCGCAGCGCACATGTCGAGAACGACCATGCCCGGCTTGACGTCGAGGAAATGTGGTGGGATCATGCTGACAACCTCTTGTCTGCTGATATTGCCTGAAGCAGCTTCGGCGACAAGGAATTTCTGGAAGTCGGCGAAGGGCGCATGTCGTCGAATGACTTTCTTGTGAGTCTTCATGTGCCAAACGAGTTCGTCCGGGAAGGCCTGTACTGCTTCGGGAGGCGGCACTGGCTTGCCTTCAAACTTCTTCTCCGCAATGGCTGGAATGTATCGCGTCTTGAAGATTTCGCGCACTGCGAGGGCGTCGGACTTGGTGCCGGTAAAGCGGAAGCTGTTGGGCAAGTCGGCCTGGAGAGTCGTCCACATCTCCTCGAATTCTGCTTCCTCCAAGAAGCCACCCATGCGGTAGTAGCTCTCGAAAAGCTCGTTTTTGCGCTCAATGGTCGACCATGGCTCCGATCGAGTATCTCGGCCTCCTCCTCCGCCGCCGCCTCGACCTCTGCCTTTACCGCGAAACGGTTTGCGACCGCCGCCCTGCCTCGAGTCAGTTTGAAAGTAGTTTGTGGTCGGAAGATGCTGCTACTCACGCGACCTCCTCTTGCCATTGCTATGTATGGGGATTGTGAAGGTGGTACTTTATTCGCTACTGAAGCGCAGCAGCTGTCGCAAGTTGAGAGCTCCAAGAAAATGTCAATCAATAAGCTCGGGAGGGGAGTGGGGTCCTGGGCAATTGGCTGCAGATTTTGGGGTTTATCCATATCGGTACTAGCGCCATCGTTACTCAGCACACACAACGGATTTCGCTCTCGCCTACCAAAGTTTCTGACTTCAGCTTTCTGAAAATCGACAGCCCGACTAACCACCAGCAAAAATGGCCCGCTCATCGTAAGTCAAGACACAGCAATGCTCGCAATTGACCCTTTACTGATTGCCGCGTGTGCAGCGTCCCCACCCACAACGACATCGCCGTCCCCGAGTCGGTGCTCAAGAAGCAGAAGGCTCACCAGAAGACGACCGACTCGCAAGCGGCCGATCTGAAGAAGAAGCGTGAGGTACGATGAACAGCCTCCCAGAACCTGCGAAAGCGGATAGGAGCATCACAGTTGGCTAAGACTCTCTTAGGCCAACAAGCAGAAGCGCGAGACGCTCTTCAAGCGCGCCGAGAAGTACAACCAGGAGTACGTCAAGGCCCAGCGCGATGTCATCGAGGCAAAGCGCGCCGCCAAGAAGGACAACTCCCTCTTCGTCCCTGCCGAGAACAGGCTCGTCTTCGTTGTCCGTATCAAGGGGTATGTCAAAGTTCTCACCTCCACATCAGCTTGTACTAATCCGATGCCAGTATCAACAAGATTGACCCCAAGAAGCGCAAGACCCTCCAGCTTCTCCGTCTCCTCCAGATCAACAACGGTATCTTCATCAGGCTCACCAAGGCTACCCTCGAGATGCTGAAGATCGTCGAGCCCTTCGTCGCCTACGGATACCCCAACTTGAAGACCGTCCGTGAGCTCATCTACAAGCGCGGATATGCCAAGGTCAACAAGCAGCGCATTCCCATCACCACCAACGACATCATCGAGGGCAGCCTCGAGAAGTTCGGCATCTCCTCCGTCGAGGACCTCATCCACGAGATCTACACCGTCGGCCCCAACTTCAAGCAGGCCTCTAACTTCCTCTGGCCCTTCAAGCTGTCCTCTCCCACCGGTGGCTTCCGCACCAGGAAGTTCAAGCATTTCATCGAGGGTGGTGACCTTGGTAACCGCGAGGAGTTCATCAACCAGCTCGTCAGGCAGATGAACTAAGCTCTCCCTTGGTTCACTGGGTGGAGGAACGGTTAGCTTTGAACGATACCATGAAGATCACGAAGGTTGGTCTCGCCCACTTCTCGATTGAGGAATGAGGGAAGGCCGAGCCACATGCTCTGGTTAGCTTAGACAATTCTTCGGCACATCCGCCGAAGAACAATGAAAAAGTTTATTCCACACCCTGTACACGAAGTTGAATATCGTGATAGAAATTTACACATGACTAATACCACAACTACCCTATGCTCGGCAACCCCGATATGACCCAACAACTCTGCTCGACATTTCAGCAACCATCGTTCACGCTACATCTGAAAGAGAAGTATGGGCCACTCCATTAGATCTATAGAGTTCACTAGGAACAACTTTCTCAATTGATAGACAATAGATTACAATGCCATTCCTCGTCAAATGTCTGAGTGCTGTCGATCCAAAGTACAAAAGAGACAGAAAGGACCGAACATATGTTCCTAGCCTTGGCCCTCCACACTTTGATAAAATGCAGCACTCTTCAAGAATCGAAAGAATACTCAACCTTCTCGTAGTCAAGATCATTGTTGTAGATGACGGTCGCAATAGTCTCTTTTCGCCCGGTAAAGTCAATAGTGCAAACCTTTCCAAACTCGGCAACGTTGACAATGCGGCCTGCCTTGTAGTCACCAGTCGAGATGTAGTAGATCCTCTTTGGCGTGATCTGGTAAGCCTGGTTTGGCTTCGCCTGCCACACCGAGACGGGAACCACATCTTCAATGTTGGGTACCGGAGATTTCATGCCCAAGCCACAGAAAGCATTTTCTATTGGTATCTTGTTAGTAGATTCATCAGACGGTTGCTCCAATGTACAAAGTGGGGACCTACTGTACTTTGTCAGATCATATTTATCCGTCCTGATACCAAAGGATCCGTTCTTGTCCAAGGTGCCCACCTTGCTCTGGTTGAACACGGCGCCCCCGTCCACAATCTCCAACAAGCAATCGGTTCCCTTCTGTTCGCCAACGCCGAGCTTGACGTCTTCATAGTCGGACGTCGACACGACCAGGTCCTTGGCAAGGGCCTTGGGTTCCATGCCACAGACAGCATAGAATGTCTCTTGGATGCCGAATCGACCGCTGCCGTGCTGGGCGCCGATGCCGGGCGAGGTGCCCCAGACATTGGTCCAGGCTTCGCCGACTTCCTTGGAGTAGGCGGGCTTGTCGTTGAAGATCATGAATTGCTCGACTTGGTCGGACTTGTTTTTGATGATGATGGTGATGTTGTCGGACATGATGGGCAGTTTTGTCTTCGAATTGATCGATATGACTGAACAAGTAGAGGGTAGATAAGACTGGGGGGAAACACTGAATGTAATGGCTTCTGTATGTTCTACTGAGACGACTTTGCTTCGGGCTTTATACATTTTGGCAGACAGCTCTACTGCTCAAAAAAGAAGTGATGGAGCATTAGTGCTACGCGAAAACAACGTGACATACAAAGTGGCGGGCTAGAGCTAGCTGAGAAGTCTGTACATCTTCTAGTTCATGCAAGCCATACTCGACGCATGCGTGCTTCCACTCTATGCTTTCGAGGCAGCAGTCAATAGAACAACAATGAAGATGGCGGTGGCGTCTTCATCGCAGCTGGGCCTTCAGCACACATGCGGAGACTGTCCGACTCTAGTCCAATTGAGTAAAGCGGAGTAAAACCAATACAGATGCATGTATAGTGGTCAAGCCTACCTAGGTAGAGTCATCGTTGCTGAGTGGGGGCGCGGTGGAGCAGCATGATTCACGTTACTTGGGTAAGATTACATCCACACAAAAAAACCATCCATCATTGACTGTTCATTCTTTCAAATCTGCCAGGCGACTAGCAGAAATGCTTGAAGTATAACCATATAAACTTGGGGTCGGCGGCGAGAGAGCGCTTCCAGAGTGTGGCACTCCTTTCTAGGTACCTTGCCAGGGGGTCTGCCGCCACATTCGACGGCTGCGGGCTGCGCACCGTCCCGACTGCGTAGGATAAGTCTAGAATGCGCCCTGCATGTGAATGTGACCATAGTCGTATCTGCACGGTTCTGATCAACGTTGCTCGCTAGCGCGGTGAGGCTTGAGCTGCGACGGCTCTAATGCAGCCTATCCTTGGAAGATTCAATGTAATCGCAAACATCTCTCCGCACTCAGAGTACCTCCACAGAGCCAGTAATAGCTCAACTAGTATGTAGGCGCTTTGGAAATCCTCTTAGGCTAGAGCTGCTCGAGCTGCATGCATCCTGGGAGATAATGCAGAAGACACTGTAGGCGACCCTCTTCAGCTCCACACTTCTGCTTCAGCTTTAGACTTCTCTTGTTGATGACGAGTACACTTCTCGACTTGTTTTAAGTGTGCTTTCCAAGATCATGATCTCGGTACTTCAATGGGTAGGTCAAGAGACGGCTCGCGTAGCTACTACGCTCGGCGGAAGTTGGCGTCCAGCCGTACCATGGCAAAGCCATAATGTACTGCTTGCAAGTTGAATACAGTGCTGCGCATAGCTGCAGTGGGGATGCAATAGACTTGGTTCTCAAATTTTCATGTTCCTGTGGTAGTCCGTCTGCTGCGGTGAAAGCGATGCTGACCTGAACAGCCGAAAACTTTATCTACGTATTAGATGTAACGCTAACCGTATTTAGACTCGTCGTGCCGCATTTGGCAGCCGCATAGTCCTCAGCTGGGCTTGTGGCTTGGTTAACACAGAGCTGTGTACTCGCATCACACCCTTTGTGTGCATCTTTCCACCCGTCTTGGAAGCTGAGGGTGCGGTTCTACTGCTGCCCCGCCCAGTTCGCTTGCATTGTAGGTAGCCACATATCTCAGCTAACGACGAAGCAGACCTTCGTCACTCAAGTGTAGAACAGGTATAAGGCGAGGTGCTGCCAGTCTTGTCGGAAAAGATATCAGTCGCATCAGACGGCAATCTCACCCTTATGCATTTCTTCCAGGCCATTATCGCTCCGGCTATCAGCCTCACTCTTTTTCACTCCACAGCTCATGCCGTCGGCATTTCCTTCTCGCAAAACGCAGACTGCAGCCAACCCACCCTACGATGCAATAACATCCCCGCACAGATCTGCTGCAACAACAACCACGGTTTGATCGACTGGTATGTCAAATTCACGGACTATGCCCACAGCCATAGTACTCTCCTCGTCGCCTTTACAGGAGGGCAAGCGGGCTGTGGTACCAGTTGTGCATCGCGGGTTGGTGTTGATCCACAACAGCCACAGGGATGTTTCTCGTGCGATGACGTAAACAATGAAAGGCTTCGCGGTGCCCAGTGGATCTTTAAGTCTGTGGATCCCTTAGGAAGTGAGGCCACGAGCAGTACGAGAGCGACTGAAGCTACTCCGAGTGGCACCACTCAGCCATGTCGCCAGCCTGATATGGCGAACATTGACGGGCACTGGTTCCATATCAACTATGGCATTCCACAGGCACACACGGATGCCATTGTTGACTTGGCAGTCAGCGGAGCGTCGTTGCAAAAAGTGGGTGAGGAGTTATTGCAGTGGAAGGTTGCAGAGCCGGTCACTGAGGTGAGTGTGATACAAAATCCATTACCAGTTTTACTTGGCTAACATGCTAATACAGCCAAATGCTTCATCGTTAGGTGGACATAGCGAGCTGTAAGCTGTCTAGTCATGAATAGTTTTTCAACCTTTGGAAGAAGTAAGAAGGGAGGACGAAGTTTATATAACAAATAACAAAGCAACATGTATTTCAACAAGAGCCTACGATACACAAGCATGCAGCCGAACCACATCTTCACAGGTCCATGTTAGTATTCAACCACATCAACACGAACAGCCATGTAGGATCCCGAGTTATGAAGCCAATTATCACCAGAAAGTGCAAAGTATAAATTCGAGAACATGTTAATCCACCGAGCCAACCCCATTCCCTGGATATCATTGCTATGTATTCCCCCCACCCGCCATCTGCCATTTGGCATTGTGATCCCCCCCTCCCATACTTGTCAGTCTAGACCTGGATTGAACCCTACGCTAAATAAAACAATAAAAGATGCTACCAGGAAAATTATGCGAGAAAACATATATGTTGAAGCTTCTTTCAATGCGCCCGTCCCGCCCTTGCAAACCTGCCATCGTACATTGCAGCAGTCAGTCTATTAGTCGTGAAAACGTCAAAATGCTTGTTTTCCATCGTCTCGTCAAAAGTATATTACGCGGTATGTGTCATGGTTGGCGTGAGCACCCCTCCATCCGCTTGTCCTTCTGCATCCATGAACTCCTCAATAAAAGCACTCTCGGCATCCGTGTCGAAGTCGTCCATATCCATATCCGCCTCTTCTCCAGTGTCATTGACATCGTCCCCGTCCTGCACATGCCCCACATGCAACTCCGCTTCCGTTATCAAGGGTATCATCATCTCAAACGTGTGCGCCGGAAGCTGCATGTGCGCTAGGTTCTGTTGTAATGTCTGCAGATCCTCGTGTAAATCTTCCGTCATCTCCACGTTGTTCTCTTCATCGTCCAAATGGATGCTAACGTGATGCAAAGGCGATGGGCCAGCCGCGCTGACAGCTGTTACGTTTGCCGGCTCCTCCATTACCCCAAATTCAGTCGTCACGGTGATCGAATCCGGACCAGGAATCGGTGGTTCGCTAACAGACGACGCACGCGTGTCGGCCGGTAGCTCATTTTCGGGCGCTATATCATCTTCGTACACCCCGGCAAAGAATTCATGCATCGCCCCGGCCAACTCATCTGCCTGTCCTCGCTCTTCTCTATCCTTTTCAAGCTTGGCCAGGGCACGGAGCTCTGCTTCTTTCTTTGCCTTTGTCTCAGTTTCGAGGCGGCACTTTGCGCGTACGTTGGATTTTCGGGCGCATGTGGGACAGTGGTAGTTTACCGTGCAGAAAGTGCATGTGCATGCTGGGTTCAATGCGGCGCATTGCTAATTGCCATATTAGTATCTCAACTCTAACTTCATCATAGGAAATCAGAGCACTTACATCACAAACCAGTACAGCACACTCGGAGCACTCCTTAAGTATTCCGGGGCACTGCGGCCTGTTGTCTCCCCCCGGGCGCGGATACTGGCAGAAATACGCTCCGCAACCCTCCCATTGAACAGGATGCCGTGGGTTACACGGCAGCGGGGGAGGGTTCGTTATTGAAGTTGGCGGTGCACGAGGCGAGTTTGGCCAGGAACCCGAATTGCGACTGCGGACACCGGACACGCTGAATGAACGAGGCCGAGATGAGCTGACGGGGACGAAGGATAGGGAGGCGGCTAGCGAGAATGGATCAGAGGTTGAGGTTGAGGTAGAGTTGAATGATGTGGTCGCGGACATCTCAACGGACGCAAGAGTAGCTGGGGCGACAAGAATCTGTGACTGTGACATGGGTGTCTCGGAAGATTCAGATTCATTATCAGCAGTTGAGTAAAGATCGTTGTGTGATGATGCGGTAGGTGTTCGCTCCGGGTCTGGTGTACTCGTCCTGTTAGGATTGAAGTCTGGAATGACTAGACGCTGAGGAGGCTCATTGTGTGACCGAACATGTTCTCGCTCAGTATGCATATCTCGGTATCCACATTTGCGAACCTTCAACGCTCTGAAGTCATGTTCTTTGCAAATCGGGTTCTTGCAAGCTCGGCAAGTTACCTTCCATCTAAAACTCCGATGGCAGTCCTGACATAACCCTCGCGGACATGTCTGCTGTTGTAAGTCAAGGGTATCTTGCTTTAGGTACGACAGCATATCGACGTCTTCGCCAAGAACGTATTCATAAAGGCCGTTAGTCTTCAGTTCCCGAATATAATCAACTGGTCGAAGCTGATTGGAGAAGTCAGGGTCCTCGAAGTGCTTCGTTCGTGGTAGAGGCGCTGCTCGTATCTTATCCGCACCTCTGCCGCCTAACCCGTTGCCTAACACCGCTATACCACCGCCACCAGAGAAGATGGGTTCCAGGCAACACCAATGCATGTTCAATCTTGGTGGCTCTCGATTTGCTGGTGGTACAGGCATGCCGTTGTTGAAATTCCCACCGTCTTCTGAGTCGGATGAGTCGTCGTCATGGGCAGTCTCGTTCATGAGATTGGGTGATCGTGTTGACCCTGGGGCCCACCAGAAGCGATTCCGCTCCACTGTTTCTTGTCGACTCCGGTCCTCCAATGACGAAGCTGACCCAGCCGCCTGTCCAAGTGTACTGCCCAGTGTGGTGCTGTTTCCGAATGCTAGATTTGCGAAATGCCGTGTCTTGACTCGTTTCCTCGGTATTGGGCGATTGAATGCACAGCTCGCACACAGCGTCTTCCGGCATCCCATACAGTGCATGCGGACACTGCAAGACTCGCAGCGCTCCAAAATGACATCGTTGCACTGCGCACACTTGACTTCGTCTATGAAGGTTGTGTGACTTGTCCTGAGATGGGCTGGGACATGCTTGCCCTCTCCAGCGTATTCTCCATTCTCGGCACCAAGCGGCTCGCCGTCTTCTCCAGTCTCGGAAATCTCCCACAGTCTGCCATCGTGGGGGCCTAGTTTCCGTGTGCCTTCCATGGGTCCTATGCGATTGCTTGATCTCCATAACCGGTCGAAGGGTACCCAGACCTCCATGCTCTGCGGACCTGCTCTTCCAGCATGGTAGTCCTTTCTTCGATAACACCTGCCTCCCGGACTTGGGCACCATGCCGTATCCGTCCATATTCCCAGCTGGTGACAGATCTCGATGAGCTGGTGAGTGGGGTCGGAGTCGGAATCTCGCCGTATGAGCGAAGACGGAAGGTAGGGTCGTCGGCGGTGATGTCGACAGCGATACGTGTAGAGGCTCTTGAGAGCGAGGTCCCTCTGCATCCATGGCGCGTCCTTTAGGGTATAGGGCTCGAGAAACGGCACAATGTGGTATTTGATGGAGACGTTCTTGCAGCCCCGTACGGACAGATGCTGGAGGGTATCGATGCGCGGTGCGAGCACGCTCCCCACAAGGGCTATGCCGGTCACAGCGGTGTTGCAGAGATCCAGACTGGTCAGGCGAGTTCCATTTGGCGCTATGATCTGCTTCAAGAGGGCGTCGAACGAGTATGCCTTGGATTGGCGCTCCCTGTTATCGGGCGTCTCGTTGCCCGGTGAGCCCACGTTGGTGACAGCGGGCTGGGGCAGCCGGAAGGAGAGCGTCTTCCATGCGAGCGGATAGTTGCGTAGAAAGTCGCGCAAGTAGGGTGACGTGTGGTAGAGCTGGAGGAGGGCGGGGGTGGAGATCTGGGCGAGGAGGGATTCGAGGACGGGCGGGTACGAGGTTATGACGGACTCGAAGAGGGCGAGGGTGGCATGCTGCTTGCCAGCAGCGCCTCCTGCTATGGCATCGGTGGCGGTAGTAGCAGTGGCTGTTCCGGTGCGGTCGAGGCGGTCGGTGTCCCACAAGAGGTGGTCTGTCTGGCTCTGCTGTTGCGTGCTCATGCTTGCTGGACGTGGCAAGCAAACGCCGGTCCTAACGAGGCAGTCCTGGTGAACGAGGCAGCACAGCAACATACAAAAGAGACATGCAGAGGAGACCAAGGGCGTCTGCTTGCGCCGCGGTGGGGATCAGGGGCGTAGGACAGTGTCGCAGAAGCGAATGTGGTCGTGTGCCTAGGAGGCGTTGAGCGGTGGTCAGGCAGGCCCAGGGTGGTTCACGGGCCAGGGAGGACGGGAGAGGACGTCGATGGCGAATAGACTAGATAGATGTAGGGGGCGTGCCTCACATCCATCTAGGTATACAATAATTGCCAGGCAAAGCCACCTTCACCTTCACCTTGACCTGCTGCTCACAGTGTGCTGCTTATCGTTTTGCTTGCAGTCTACCAGTCGTCCAGCGCATGCCAAGGTGAGATTGCGCGACCGAGACACGCATTCGGCCGGTTGGAATGCACCCATCCACCAGCCTATCAGGCGTCTGCACATCATCACTTCTATGCTCGACGACGCGTTTTTTCTGGATTCATTGTATTCTTATTATTAATATCATCCAAGAACTCGTCTGCTGTTTACGCGCAATAGCGAACAATATACAGTAGTTGACCACACCTCCTTCGCCACGTAACCGGGATATCAAGTGCTTCTTCTACAAGACACAAAACGGAAACTAAACACGCAAAAAAACATTACAAGCCCAACTTCCAAAGCGCCAAACTCCACGTATCCATGCCTTGCCGCTATGCTACACTTGCCCAAAAAAGGAAGAGAAAAAAAGGAGATCCTGCGCTGCTAACGCGTCGCATATGCACGCTAGCGTTCACCGTGCCCCAGTACAAGCGCCTTCCTTTCTACCAGCCTCAAGGCACGAGGGTATTCACAGCGCCATCAGAACATCCAGTTGCCCTCCGTATCCCGATCTTCAAGCCCGTCAAACAGTACAATGTCCCAATCAAACTCGTCGGCAGAGCCCCCAGCCACAGGTGGCCAAAGTGCATTGCTGATGAACGAGAACACCGGGAGGTGCTGCCCAGTACCCGTTGCATTCATCATCTTGCATATATCCGAGTCGATGTCGAACGCTGGCCTCCTCGGCGGCTTTTTGAACTCGAGCTCGACCGTGCCAAAGTAGGGAATGCATAGCCGTGCCTTGCCAGCGGGTTGCTTGCTCGGGTCAAGTGACGACAATATCTTCTTCAGAACCACAGCAGTCCTGGCCGCAATCTTTTCCCGGGGACTTGCTTTGGCCAACTTCTCCATCTCGCCTATGAGGCGGCAGATCATGGCGAAGTCGGTCCCCTTGCTCTTTTGCACCTCGCTCTTTTCCTTTGTACCCAGTTCGATGACAATGTCCAGCGTCAGAGTAATAGCAGCGATGAACACACCAATCTCAGCAAAGCGACAGCAAGCTTGTGTAATGTATGCGTTCCGAAGAGCGAACCACCTCATCAGAACGTTGCGACTGGCCTGCAGAGCCGTCACCTTTGAGAACTCGTAACGGCTTTCTTGCGATGCCCTGAGAAGATAGGGCAAGTGTATGAAGATCTTCATCTCAAAGTGCCACATCTGTACCATCAGTCGATCCAGTGAAGCGAATGACTCTGGTGATCGGGCTGTCGATGGAATGTTGGGCACCTCCCAAAAGTCTTTCGGCATCTCTCTCATGATTGACTCCAGTTTCTCGTCCATGGTGAGGGCCGCCGCATAGGCCTGTGGTGAAACTTCGCGGTCAAGTTCCGCTACCTGCCGCGATATGGCATTAGTCCTCGAGCGATGGATAAGGTGCAGCTCAGCGTTGTCGGCGAGCGGGTAGTCATCTGCCGCAAATGGGAGGCGTAGATGCAAACCCAAGTATCTATCCATGTCCACAAAGGTGCGCCAGATTCTCTTGGCATCAGAAACGGCGGGAATTGGCGGTTCGGTATCTGGTTGTGTGATGATGCGCTGGAAACCCATGAGGTGAGCCAGGTTCATGCCTCGTCGGATGATAAGCCAGGACTGGCGAAGTGACGCGCTGTTCACGTGGTAAAGGGCGAGAAGCAAAAGTGTCTCAAGTCCATGGAGGGTTAGCATCTGTTCGTCCGAAGAAGTGACCAGAGATGTCACCGTGGCGACATAGTTCTGCATTGTGGCTTCGAGGTTCCACATGCTGGACAACCGAGCCTCATCAAACTCCGGTGGAAGCGAGTTGATACATATGGCTAAATGGAGGAGTGTGCGGGCGACGATGATGGATCGTTCTCGCGCGACAGCCTGCATATCCAAAGCGTACGACTGTTGGTCTCTGTTGACGCAAATCTCTTTGGCCGCGCTGTAGGTGTTCCCAAGAATCATCCAGCCGTTGGAGGACTCGAAAATGATGTCTGCATCATGCTGCAAGGGCAACAGAGCAGTCAAAGATCGATGAAGTTGGTCATTCCCCGAAGACTGTCCGCTCTCGGGCTGTGAGACGAGCGTGCGGATGGAAGGTGCAGAAGTCCATGTTTGGGCCCCCAGCTATCTCAGTAAGTACGGGTGCGGTGGATGAACGAGCGACAACTACTTACGATTCCGTTGCCTATTGACGACATGCTTTGTGCATCACTCGAAAACTCGGGCAGGCCAAATTTGGACTCCGTATCGCTAGAGCTAACAAGTGTTGGACTTGGTGGAGCCTCTGATGATGCGCCCATGGTAGAGCTCTTGCGACACACGAATCGGTCAAAGAGTTGCTCAAGCTTGGACAACCTCTCACCAATATGTATTGAGCAGGTACTGTTTTGATCTACCCGATCCGGCCCGGAGCTATTCAAGCTGGGATGAGAACTCATGTCCGTCGGGCTTGAATTCCCTTGGATCTTTGGTCTTTTGCCTATGGGAAATCTTAGCATGGCGGTAGTGGGTTCAAGATTCACTCTTACACTCCCAGCAAGCCCGGCGTAGACCTTTCGATGGTCTCTTGTTGTTTCCGTCCTGGCTTGCCATATTTTTGGACTCCATCATACCGTGCTAGGTGACGGCACAATTTAAGAATGTTTTCTATCACGACTCTCTGTCCTTGTTGTCGATCAAGGCATAATGTATAGCAGCAGCCATTCTGTACATATAGTGGGGTGAGGGTGTTGTGAAGGCGAGATTGCTGATGTGCGAAGTAACCCGTTCAGCTTTCGGCCTAAGATTCGTCCGCTGTTTGCCATGCGGGCTTTATCCCTGAGCGCTACGCAACCCTAGCAAGTCATACAAGAGTAGACTTGGCAAGGCCCGGGTTAGATCTACAATGCAAATAAAGATGCCGCTCATTATAATTGCAAGTTTCGCCGCGGGAATAGTTTCCAAACGTGGTCGGCCCCTTAGGACCAATGTAGAATTTCTCACTCGCTCGTTAACTTGAGTGTTGCTGATGGAGAGTCGGCAGGGAGCTAACAATGCTCCGGCTGGAGCTCGGAGAGTACATGTAATCTGTCAGGCGACTAGCGCGCTATCTCCGGCTCGCACGAGTACAACTGTCACGGCAATGCGCAACGGGGCGAAGAACGCGCGCGCGCATCGACAAATACTTGAATTACCAAGATGACCTTCAAAACCATCCTCACCGGCGTCACTAGTCGCATCGGATCGACTCCGGAACCCTTCCGTTTCATCTCTACTCTCTCCTCGGCCCTTGCCCAATATCGAAAGGCATGACAAACCAGAGGTGGTGATACTCGAACGTTTCACACACTGTTCCAACGAGGTGATTGCGAAGCTTTCGGGGCCGAAGGGGTGCATTTTTGTAAGCACAAAGCGACGCACTTGTGTAATTCCATAATCGCTGCTGATGTCAAGATGTATGACAATTACAGTCGGAAGTCCGGCTTTGCAACTAGATTATCCCAAAGCCTTCGCAAACGCGTCGGCATGAAATCGGCGAAGGTGGCAATCGCTTGGGTCTCTGCATGTAACAAATGCAGTGGTTGAGCGTGACTAGAACGAACCCAAAGAGCTCAGTGCGGAAGATGAAGTTATGTCATTTTGTCCAACCTGTTACAGGACTCGTCCAAGTAGCACATGGTGCGGCGTGCCCACGAAGCGAATAGAAAGGGTTGATGGGTGAAGGATAGACGCAGATGATTAGGTTCGCGCATCATCACTGGGCCAGCGATTTGAGGGTAACAATCATAACGCGACCCAGTACGGCGATCCGGTGCGGTAGCTATATTGGAGAGGCCTTAAACGGTCACTGGTTCATCCGGCTCTGTCATTAGGTCTGACGAGCTTGCCTTTGCCCTGCTTCACGCAGTGATGCATGGAAGCGTAAAGCTCCTGCTGTTTTTGGCACTGCTGCAACGAAGTCAGAAGCTGATTAGCGGGCACGAGGTTTAAAAACGTAAATGACGGACACGTGAAATCGAAGGAAAGAAGGTTGATCGGACGATCCATTGATCCGCCAAGTGGTCTGGTCGCCAAAAGATGCCATTATTCCGCTTTCGAGAGACGACGGGACAACCATTCGGCCGCCGTAGTCATATGCGACAGATGCTTTTTATACGCATCTACTCAATGCAAATGCGCATGCTACAATGCACTGGTATAATCCAAACTCCATAATCATGTAACTGTGGGTCAGGGAAGACTCAAGCGTACATTTCGTCGTACTCCCCATCGTCGTCGTCTTCTATAGGCGGTGGCTGCTTCTTCGCCAGAAGCTCCTTGCGATCGAGAGGGCATGTTGAGTTCAGTTTAAGCCAGGGTCGTATGCAGTCCAAATCGAAGCGATGCTCCTTGTGACAGGGTAGTTGAACTACGAGCGGATACTTGTCTGATGCGCGTCCCGGGTTAGCCAAGCTCCACTCACACCAGATTGACAACTCACCCTCGAGGAAAGGATTCACACAGATTGGGCATGTATCTGCAGCCTTCAAGGCCTTCTTCGGCACCCTCTCCAGTTCGTCCAAGAAGGTATCCGGTACGCCTTTCAGCTCGCTTGGCGGGTCGTCTGCATTCTGCCGTAGTACTTCGATCATGTCTGCAAGCAAATCGTTTTCTCCACTGCTCTCGTCCGCAGGCCGTCCGCGCATCATCTCGAAGGCATTGGCCAGCAAGCGAAATGCCGCTGCCATATGTTCGGGTTGAGGGAGTGCATGAGCATTTGTGTGCGCCTGCGGGTCTGATGTGTCCACGAGCTCGAGCTGCGAAAAGAAGGTAGAGAGGTCTGGTCGACGGGGAGGTTGTTGCTGCTTGTCGTCCGCGGCGGAGATGTTGTGTTCGACTGCTCTAGGTTAATTGCAGTCCTGACTATTCTGACCACCACCTTGGGTTTCGCGTAGACTCACCTTCGTAGCCAGACATGATGACGGTAGGCTCGCGTAGGAAATACAAATGGACGCCTCGGCCGTTGGAGCTCGGAAGCTGAATTTATGAAGCTGCGGATCAAACGCGTCACGATTGGAGCCTGCCAGCGAGGAGATACCCCGCTACGCCACATTGCACCGCCACTGTGGCGGGTCAAGTATGACAAGCCGCACGATGATGGCATTACGCATTATAATTTGCGAAACTTGACCACAACAATGGACACGTACTCGTAGAATAGACTGAAGCTGGTACAGTACTACCAGATACAGCAAGAGGAATTTGCATTCAGTTATCTATTCCCGCAAGTCTTGTCAAAAATCCTAGCTCGATGCTGTATAGCGTCTCGTAACATTGTAGATATATAGACATTTCGATAACAAGCGATGCCAATATTTCTGGCTGTTTAAACTTCTGAGTGTAGCTTTCCTAGAGCCTGGTTCATGTCCAACACTGACGATGACTTATCGTAGCATTTCGTGGTAGTCACTGCTTTTGCTGCATCACACTGACTCAGCTTCTACCGCAATGTGAGTCGAGAATGGCTAGCTACACATCTAGTGACCATAAACCTAGATATACCCTGCCCATTGAAAGCTATAACCGCTAACGCAACATGCCGACTCCACCCATCTGGAGGGCAGAGTCGCGTGCAGTTTCAGCGTGGACGGCATAGGCTCGGCTCCACCGGGTGTCCAGACCTTGCTGCACAGCCACAAGACCGCCTCCATTGTCTTTGCGCTTGGTGCCCGACGGTCGTCACCACCTCCTGACCATGATGGAGACATAGCGAAAGGGGCGCAGTCTTCACGGCGGCAAATTGTCAAAGGCGTGTTGGAAAACAAAAGGCGTGGCCGCATCTGTGAGTCCTCAAGGCCTTATCATCACCTTGAAGACCCTTCTACATTCTGCACCTGTCACCAAGGAAACACCAGGTAACGAGCTATCCGCTGCTGACTCCTGGACGCCTTGTCATCGTTTTCGACAGCTCTTCTCCATTCTGTACCTGTCATAACGGTCATCGTCACTCAAGGAACTATAAAGCTTTGAGCTATCCGGCTACTTCACCATCTATCTCCATGTCGCTGCTTCTCGTCATGTCTACCGAACCACCACCTCCTATGGATAGATTGACGCCATCCTGGATGCGCCGCTCCAAATCACGGCAAAAGCAGCCAACACAAGGAGAAGATGTAAGACCCACAACATCGAACGGGCTTCTTTCGCCACGGTCAGCCTCAGTATCCAGCAACAGCGACGACTCCCGCTCAGCACGCTCAAGCAAACCTGGCCGTCGAGCCTCTATCCAAGATATGGTGAAAAGACTACGCTCGCCATCGAACGCAAGCATAGCAAGCAACCAGTCGCAAGACATGGAGTTCAACGAAATAGATAACTGGTTCTACGGGTTCCGAAAGTACAATCGATTTGTCACAACCAGGAACTTGGCGGAACAGGCGTGTCCATCCCAGGAATTTTCCAAGGCAACGAAAGCCCTCACTAAGAATTGTGGCGGCCAGTTTCTTCACGGCCTACCGGAAGCAGCATTCGACTTCTCGCTACTCTGGTGTCCGGCAGGCAAATTGTCACGTAAAAATGCAAATGAGCCAACATGGAGCTGGGCGGCGTACGAAGGGCCTGTCAACTTCCCCTTCGACCCAACAAGTTGCCCAGACGTCTACACGGCTCCAATAAGTGACGGAGAGTGGTTTCGCTCAGAGATCGTAAACCTGCACGTGGGCCCTGAGGCGTCACCTTACACCGTCCGAAGAGAGAAAAACTCACTCCGGATCAAGTATCCACCCTACTTCCACGCCCCACGGGGCTCTGATTCTAGCATCGAGTCAAACACTCTAAGTTTCACGACAACGACGATCCCGGCAGCAGGTTTCACAGCCGAGCCATTGCAATACCAGGGAAAAGAGATTCCCTGTTCGCAGCTCCTAAACGACAAGCAGCAGCACTGCGGCGTCATCATGGACTTTGAATCTTCCATTTCAGAATCATCACCTACCGGGCCTTTTGAGTTTGTGCTGCTATCACGGAATCTACGCCGCGAGCCAGGCACGCAGACTAGGAAGCCCGTTGTACCTACCATGCATCCGTCAGGAACACCAATCTGGGATGGGGACCATTTCGTATGGGACGAAGAGGTGGCTGACTTTGACGATGAGCTGTTTGAGGCTGGGCCCTGGAAGATGCTCAACGTCATGCTGATCAAATGGGTTGGAGAGCATGCTGAAAGGGTGGCGATTGCAAGGATACACGAAGATGTCTGGAAGCAGCAGAGTCCTGTGAAGAAGGACATTGTGCTCAGGTGATGCAGTGTTGGTCTTTTCATGCAAAGTCAAGGAGTCAAGGAAATCTCATATTAACAGCATGTGCTGGATTGATGTTTGTATTATCTACTTACAGCTTGTCTAGTAGTTTGATTCACTTAGATATTAGCCGAGTGGCACAACCAATTTAAATCATTGCACAATCTCAATGTGGGCATATAATTCATCTATCTATTTCTCTCGCGGTGGTTACTCACAGTGCAGACAGAAGATATTCAAGATGAGCTACCTTCCGAGAGAGCATCATGTCCACGGCCACCACGCATTTCGAGCTTGAGCTGAGATTGCCTTTGAGAGAGGCCTTCCTCCACCCACCACTCAATCAGTTCCATACCCATGCTCAATTCCCAGCCTTCTTCGCCTGCGCAGCCAAACTCTCCTCGCGCTTCTTCTCCATCTTCTCAACTGCCTCATCGATCTTCTTGTAGCTCCAGCTTCCGTAAAAGCTGGGGTACACGAAGGGGCGCAGATCGTATCGGTTGTCGTCGGGAGCTGGCTTTCGTGTTAGTAAACTAGAGGTAGCGGGGCGGATAAACAATGGGCTTTACAGTAGTCTTCCATGTGGAGTGCCTGGAATCATATAGTTAGCTTAGGTTACCGCGACGGATAAAGCAGGGGTAAACTCAACGGGAGTCATTGTAGTCATCTTGTGACGGTTGATAGCCTATATCAAGAGTGTTAGCGTGGGGGTCTATTCTAGCAACAATGCTACCGAAAGGAAGCGGTGTTGTTTGACTTACGTAGCAGTGGAAAAAGTGCTTGACTTTGGCCGCAGTTTCGCGAGGCGTGCACTTGTCCCGCCACTCATGCACCAAGCGCTGCCACATCCCGAACTATTAAGAGAACGTGTCAGAATTTTTCAAAAGGTGTTTGGGTACTCGATGCACGTTCGAGCAAGGCTCTCAAGCGAGCAGAGATCGGACATGCATTTCGATTGGGGTGACATACAGGACCTATTGTCATCAGTGGTACCCTTTTATTGTCGTCGCAATGAATCTTACCTAGCTTGTACTCTTTTCGCAGACGTCCAAATCTAGGGTAAAGTGCGAAGTTAGCGAATAATTCCTGTGTTTGACAATCGACTGCACTTACTCGGACAGTTCTACGTATGCTGTTGGATTGTTTGTCAGTTGAATGCACTGAAAGTAGTTCTACTGAATGCTTACTCATGCCCATACTGTTGAACTCTACATTAGTCAAATTCAAGTCATTCGTTTGAGGAAATACTGACTCTGCTTCATCACTTTGCGCATAGTCCCTATAGGTGGGGTCCTACGTTAACAAGAAGTTCTATAATCAAATAAGGTTGTATAACGCACTCTGTCAAGGGTTCGAGCTCCGCGGTCGGGGTTGCCTCGAGGAACTCCCTGTGTGAGATTAGTAACGAGCTCAGTCCGTCACAGCCTACATTGCTTACTCCAGTATAGGAAGCGAAAACTCTGTTTGCGCGTAGGCGAGGAAGCGCTTGAGGTCAGTCTTAGATATAGACCCAATCCTAGATTAATGTTCAACACATGCTTAGACTATGATCCAATTGGGTTGTGTCTTACGGATTGAGATCCTAATTTTCGAAACTAGTCAGCAGTCGACTCGGGAACGAAATCGTGTCAGGAAACTTACAGCACTCGAGCAGTCATATTTGGTGAGGTATCCGCGTAAACATTCGTCAACGTTTCCAGAGGCTAGGACGAGCAGCGAGCCGCCACCTCGTCGTTGCTGCACGGTAGGAAGCATCTGCGCGAAGTAGTAGCTGGTAACCATGCGACTCCGAGCCTGAATGTTTCTGCGAAGGTTACTACGTGAACGATTGAAGCATGTTTTCGGGATTTTAGCATACTGTAGACTCAGATTCTCCGCCTGCGTGCCTCCGTGAACCCTGGTAAATGTTAGCTGAGCTAGAGGAGGAATTCTGTGATCGGCGTACTTGAAGTTTGCCTCGAATCCTGTCGCTTGCGTTAGAAGTTCTTTCTGCGCGAGGAACACGTTGTCAATGTCCATCGAAAGATGGCGGGATCCAATGCTGTCAGCTAAACGCTGAGCACGGCTACGAGTCTCGCTCGATGACTGTTTCTGGAGGTGCTGTGTCAGTATATTGCCACTTTCGGTTGTTCATGGGTGCTTACTGCCATCCCAAGGTACACGGTGCTAAGTAGCGATCCGCACAACTCTCGCGCATCCTTGGGCAGCCATTGGTCTCCGTGGTAAGGCCCAGCAATCCTCCTGACATCGGCGATGACTTGCTCGTTCCCTTCTTCCAGGGCAGACATGACTATTCTACACATACTGTAGACCAAAGTAGCCGTGCTTGCGGAATCAAGCCCTTTTGAGAGTCAGTAATCTCAAAAAATCGCAATTTGAGCAAATACTCACCACCAGAGAGTGGAAGGCTAGAAGTGGAGACACAAATTAGTTCACATCTCATACGCATTTCTTCGTGGTAAACTCACAGAAAACCAGCTTGTTTCGAGCGGCGGAGGAACGACCACATCCAACAAGCCTACGAAATTAGTGGAACTCCTGAGAAAAATAAAGGATGATTAAAACCTACTGGAGATAATGCGATCTCTTCCTCGGGGCTATGTATCCTAAGCGGGCGGGCTACATTTGGAAGTGATGAATCAGCAGTTATCCTGGAAACATCCAGTTGTGACCCTTACACGGTGTGGGCATGACATCCAAATCTAGATCATCGCCGGTGGTAGATAGATTGAAGTCGACGTGGATGTATTTAATTCGAGGTGCAGAAATGGCTTGGAGTCCTCTGGATGGAGTAGATCTGTAGGCGCGGACCTCTTCCAGGTCAACTGTGCTGACGATGACTTCGATATCGTTCAGTGAGAACCTGAATTGAAAAATAAACGTCAGCCTGGGTCTCTTCCATAATGATAGTGGCGACTTGACTCACTGAGTACCCTGTCCCAGAATCTGTCCGTTACAAACTTGAGTAAACATAGTTAGCTTAGAAGACATAAAGTTAGATAGGAATGAAGATGAACTTACGAATCATGGAAGAGCCGTCATAGTAGAGACGATCACCATCGCCTATATGTGTCAGTATAGAAAAAATGAGGTGTGGTACATTCCGCTCTACACTAGTATATGGCGTCTCCATACTATACAATATGTGGATATTGAATGAGCTTACATCCTTGTTGGTTCCTGGATAAAGGTTAGTAACCACTTCCTGATGAGGCCAACATGAATTCTTGAAGTATGTTTTCGTTTGTAAAACTTTGATATGAAGACCGTTCCACTACCAAATTTGAATGCACTTACGAGTAGAGGTAGATACCACCACAGACCTTTGTGGCCTGTTGAAGGAGACCCAAACGAACCTGAGGAACAAATCAGCGTTGTTTCAAAGGAGGAAAAGGTATATTTCGAATGTCACGTCTCAAGCCATAATGGCCATAAGTTCCCGAATTTTGCATCTGAAGACACCAAATTTGTACAGAAGAATATTCTTACGTCAAGCTTGCGCAAGCTGTGATGAGAGCCTGTACTGAAGTCAGCAAGTTGAACAAGTTAAAGAGTCCGATCTTTGAATCAAAACAGGCACAATAGCAAACCAAAAAGATTATCTGCGAATGAAAGACGGTTCGATTCTAAAATACGTACCAGAACTGTTTGTTATGATCTCTGCTCCGTTCAGGGTCAACAGATTGTGAGGAGCCAGAGGCTCAAATAGTTCTTGACATGTTTCCAAGCCAATGCTGCCTGGGGCGGAGATACGGAGTCAGCGACTGTGGCCCATACAATTCAATTGGTTTTACTGACTGTCTTTTGTTGACACGATGGCATTGCCGATTGGGCACGTCTCCGCTCCTTGCAACTTATGGAAGAGCTCGGGCAAACGGTAGTCGTCAATCTCGTCGGTCTGCCACGGGGTGAAGTAGCGCATTTCGCGATCTCAATGAGTAGTCAGAAGGGTTAGAAATCAGAGTGTAAGGCACACGTACTGCACGTAAGTTAGCGAAGCTCTTGATAGGGATTGTTTCTTGAATGCGGCATCGGGATGAGATGCACGATTGGAAATACAGGATACGTACCAGTTGCCATCTTGAGCGAGCCACATCTTAGGCCTACGGTGGTTAATGCAAGCCCTACTCTAATTTTGCAAATCATGTACCTGATAAGAATGATGCGGCCATTGAGAGAAAGAACACGGCAATTCAATCTGAGGCCCTTGAACATGATGGGAAGGCCGATGTCGAGTAGGATGTCATGGGTCGCTTCGTTGCTGAGGATGGAGTGCAGCATTTCCAGCGCTGAAGTGCGATATAAAGTCAACGTCTGTCACATAACAACTTTGTTCTGGGCCTTACAGTGGGTATACACGTCCATTTCCAGAAAGTGGTCGAGACATCCATATCCAGTGATTTCCTGATCAAGTTAGGGCTCGTGGTGGTACAAATATAGCTATGGGGTGTCAGACCAGCTCAGGACCTGTTCTCAGCGTGGCCCCCTTCTCTTTCGCTATTCTGATGCTCCTAGGTAAGTTAGCAATATGTCCGATATCAGGGCGTATGCATATTTGAGATGACTCACTCGACAATGCGATCTCTGTTACCCTCGAAATCGACTGAGCGGGTTAGCATATTTTCCAGACTCGTATAAATCAGGATACATACGAGCCCACTGCGAGAGCGTGCAAGTCGCCAGGGTGACTAAACGTCTGGACATGATTGACGATGTGCTAATTGAGATATGGATGCGTGGTTGGCTTGATTCAGGGCGGGCGGTACCCCAAGTTTAGAGACGAAAGTGGGGGACTCTTGAAAAGCCTCGCAGCGAGAGTACTGCTTGAGGGCGTAAATTGACCACGACAGAAAAGAGTATCTCAGGTCGCGATGAGGCTCTGCTCTGCTTGGTCTGCTGTCTGCAGTGTATCGGCGGCTATCGGCACAATGGCGGGGCACGTGAGATTGTCACGGCTCTCAGAGCGGCTTGCCAAGTAAGATCCTAGGGTCGATCTAGACCCACAAACTACCTGCACTTACTCCCTCCCTGCCCCTACTGTGGTGTGTGCGAGCAGCTGCACATAAATCTGCATAGGCCCCGGTGGGTTTGATGTAGGGGGGCTGCACCAGCCTGAGATTCTGCGCTGCCGGAGGACTCCGCCTTCTGGTTCGCATCGCCACTCCGGTAGCTTTGCAAGGCTTCCAGCCATCGACTAGTCTTTTCGACTTGTCCGGCTGGCTGACGACGTTGGGACAAGCTCTGATACGCTGCGTCGAACTCTTCCAACCAACCCACAGGCTGCTAGCCAACGTTAACCGCCTGCGAGGCCGTGATTCGATCATTGCCTACCCGCTTCGGCTGCTGCTCTCGACTAGGTCTACCCAATTTGCAATTACGATTCTGGCCGCATACAATAGTGGCTTGCGTTGAGGGCATGGTCCTTACTTCTCTCCGCCGCCGCCACGCAACCGTCCCTAATCAATCGCCATGGCCGATCCCCACGATATACCGGCCGCACGCCTCCATGCTGGCAAATCTAGCAGGAAGAAGATGCAGCAAGATCTGGTTTTGAAGGAAAGAGAGTTCTATCTGTTGGTAGCCCCCCGCGTCTCCTCATCGCATAGCTACATGGCTTCCAGGACATGGCTTAACACTACTTCGCAGGTACTACCCTCAACACTCAAAGTCTGATGGACTTTTAAGTCGCCAGCCGTCCCCGCCGCCAGTCCCCGAAGCACGAACACCACCGGGTACCCCTCCGCCGTCCGTAGACTATGGTCCACGACCGTCCGAGGACAAGGCCTTGACAGCCTTCGCGCAATTGGGAGCGCTTCGTTTGAACGCGCGAAGGTGTCTCATATCCTTTTTCGACCGGCGGGACTGCTACATCCTCGCCGAGGCCACGAGGTCGCTTTCGTTGTACACTGGAGAGCCAGAGTTCCATGACGATTGCCTGTGCTGGGGCAGTACCATCTTTCCGAAGCAGCAGAGCATCTGCTATTACACGGTTAACCTGGTCTCGCGTTACACTGATATGCCCCTCGACAGAAATGCCGATATTCCTTCGCTTGTCGTCAACGACTTGACAAAGGACGACCGGTTCAAGAATTACCCTTTCGTGGTAGGGGCACCCTATTCTCGTTTTTATGCTGGTGTACCAATACGGAGCCCAAGCGGGCATAGCATTGGCACTTACTGTGTCTTGGACGAGAAACCGCGAGATGGTATCACTGCTCATGAGCTGGACTTCCTCAAGGACATGGCCAGCACGGTGATGCGTCACCTTGAGATGACGAGGGCTACCGAGGATCAGCGCAGAGGAAAAATCATGGTGAAGAGCCTGGGATCATTTGCTGAGGGGAAGAGTGGCCTGGAGAACTGGTGGCAGGATCCATGGGATTCCACGTCTGAACAGCCACCAACATCTGAGCCATTTGTGCTGAATCGACACGATAGTGCCGAATTAAGCACTCCTAGCGTAATGACTTCAACCCCTACATCGACTTCCAACGTTCAACCTACGAGCACAGCACCAACATCAGCGTCCAACGCTCTGCCAGACAGTCAGCGTCCACAGACCTATCTTACAATATCCTCGTCGTCCGTAACGGGCGGTGAGACGGATAGAATAGCCCCTGAAGTTAGAGCCGCCTTCACTCGAGCAGCAAATATGATCGTTGATGCAACAGAAGCAGAAGGCGTGGCTTTCTTCGATGCTAAGATCAGTACATTTGGCGGACTCGTTGATGATGACTTCTTTTCGGAACAACTACCAGAACCGGATAAGCCTTGTGTGCTTCTTGGCGCATCTCTTAGCAAGACCATTCGCGATTCAAGGCCTCTGCCCAACACCGAGACCTCGATGTCTGAAAGTGTTTTACGGCACCTTCTCAGATTGTACCCACACGGCCATATATTCAACCTCGATGACGATGCCACCGCTCCGCCTATTAGCTCCCCTTCGGGTGGCGGGGAGCTGGAGACTTCTGATGGATTTCCGTTCACCGCGTCTCGGAAGTCAGATTCCATGCGAAGTATGGATGACGAGGCTTACCTCAGAAGCGTCTTTCCGAAGGCACGAAGCCTCGTGCTGTATCCGCTGTGGGACCCGCATCGTGATCGCTGGTTTGCCAGCGCAATTATTTGGAGCTCAGATCCCATGCGCGTTTTCACCAGTGAGCAAGAATTGAGCTACTTGGCTGCCTTCAGCAACTCGGTCATGGCGGAAGTTGCTCGTTTGGATACAAAATTAGCGGACGCAGCAAAGGCCGATTTCATCTCATCCATCAGTCATGAATTGCGTTCTCCCCTTCACGGTATCTTGGGCATGACCGACCTCCTAAAGGATTCAGCTATCGACAACCAGCAAACCTCACACGTAGCAACTATAGAGACGTGCGGCAAGACCTTATTGGAAACGATCAATCACGTAAGTTGTCGCGCATAATGTGGACTTGATGTGTCTGTACGGTGTACTAATACGCTTAGGTTCTGGACTTCGCCAAGATCAACAATCTTACTCGTGGAGCTTCAAAGCGCCAGAAGAAGCGTACACAAAGCGCGAAACACATGATCAGTCCCAGTCAGGCTCATACAAACGACATCATGACTCTGATCAATGATGTGGACATGAGTGTATTGACGGAAGATGTAGTCGAAAGTGTATTCGCCGGATACACGTACGCAAAAACGTCCGCTCAGACCTACGAGTTGTATGCTTCGAAATCGGACAAACCTCCAATCTCGGTTATACTGGATATCAATCGTAGCGACAATTACATCTTCAGGACCCAGCCCGGTGCCTGGCGACGAGTTATCATGAACCTGTTCGGAAACGCTTTGAAGTATACGCCTAGCGGTTATGTCAAAGTTAAGCTCGAGGTGAAGCGGAAGCCGCCTGCCGCTGCTGATGACTGTTGCGAATTTCGGTTTACAGTGACTGACTCTGGTATTGGCATGTCAGAGGACTACGTTAATAATAGGCTCTTCCACTCGTTTGCCCAAGAAAACCCTCTAAGTCAGGGTACAGGCCTCGGTCTCAGCATCGTCAAGCAGATTGTCGAATCTCTGGGAGGCGAGGTTGAAGTACGAAGTGTGAAAGGACGGGGCACCAAGTTCACGGTCAACTGTCCACTCAAGGAGTCCTCGATGTCTCCCTCATTCTGTGCCATCCCCGAGCAAGACAAAGAGAAGCATTTACTCGAAGTTAGCAAGCTTACAAAGGATATGAAGATACGCTTTGCCGGCTTTGATGAAGAGGAGGAACACTTCGTGGAGAGCCTCAAGAACAAAACCGCCTCCAAGCTCTCCTTGAAGGCCATCGATAGCCTTTGCACCGAATGGTTTGGCATGGAAAAATGCACTGATGGAACAGAGCCAGACATCGTCATTGCTACCGAAGCGTGGGCGAAGAAACTGCGCGCCCAGCACAGCCAGGACCCTGGAATGATTTCTGCAGCCCCTGTCATCGTTGTCTGTCAGGGCGCGGCATCCGCTCAATCAACAACCGCCATTACTGTTCCCGGCATCATATTCGAGTGTATTGGCCAGCCCGTTGGACCACACAAGATGACAAAGGCTCTGAATTCCTGCCTTGATCGTCACGCAAACCGACTATTAGAGCAGAGCACCGAGACTGACACTACTGTCTCCATGTCGGAACTTGATCTCCAGGATAACACACTCCCTGCTCATCGCACCGACATGTTTACGCACATTCCGGAGGCTTTGCGGCCGCATCTCACCTCAGTGAGTAGTGCTCCTGAAATACGACCCGTCGGCTCAAGCCCCATCAAAAAGTCAATATACTCGAAGCCCAGCCGATCCTTGAATTGCCTCTGCGTTGATGACAACCCGATCAATCTGCGTCTCTTGCGTACCTTTATCGACAAGCTAGGGCATCAACACGTCCTCGCGCCGAACGGCCTCGAAGCCCTCGATCACTACAAAGCTGTTCATCCGTCTGCCTCGTTGACGGATACCGTTGACAGTATTGATGTCATTCTCATGGACATCCAAATGCCCGTAATGGACGGCCTCGAAGCGACACGCCAGATTCGCGCCCACGAAATCAGGAACGGTCTTCCAAAGGTGACGATCATCGCATTAACCGGTGTAGCAGACGCAGACATCCAGCAAGAGGCAAACTCAAGCGGCGTTAATCTGTTCTTAATCAAACCGGTCAGACTTGCGGAGTTGGAGGTGGTACTCAAGGGCGTGGTGACGGGTCAGGACAAGGCCAAGCTAGAGCTGGAGCTAGAGAAGGAAAGAGTCGAGATTTCACTCCGGAGCCTGGACGGCGCGGACCAAAAGGAAGATCTTGTCAGTATGGGAAGCAAGGCTCTTCAGGGCGTCGAGCAGGTGCAGAAGCTGGTTACGATTACGGAGTAGAGGAGCGAACAGACGGGGTTTTGTCTCTCCTTATTCCGCGGGTAAGACATACGCATTATAGCGTACAAGGAAGCTGATTTAGACGGACGAAACATGACGACAAGCTGCGCATTTTGGTCTACATTTCACTCGACATGGTATGCAGAGGAAAAGTGCTACGGTGGTTACCTAGAAGGCGTTATACCCCCCCACATTTCCCTTTTGATTCTATTATATTTTAGCATAGGTGTTTAGCATAGCATGGCGTTTCTCAAGTGCTAGCTTGAATGGCGCGTCACGACTAGTAGATATGATTGCATTACAAGTAGTGTCCTGGACGATGTAAACATATAAAGTGCATTGAAGCAGGACTCTGAGGTCTTCGATATTCTTACTTGAAAGCGATGTATATTCAAAGGAATGACGGCTAGCGTAATATACAACGTGTTGTCCGAACCCCAATATTCAACTCCGGCATATACCAGTCCCTCCTGGCTTCCAACCCCTATCTAAAAACCATCTACGCCACTTTCAATTTATACGACAGGTGTAGATGCACTCGAGTGGCGTTCTCAGTTAGCTATTTAGTTTGCGACCAAGATGCCATCATGCTTTGCCTGAGCCAGGAACTTGCCAAGCGCAGGGCCCATAATGGCGAAGATCTCAAAGGCAAGGACATGTACAATGACGAAGATGAGAGCGAAAATGATGAAGAAGACCTTGACAAAGAGCTTGATGAGACGGCGACGAGCCTCCCAGTTGAAGCTGCGCCACGCGTCCAAGAAGCCCACGACACCGGTTCCGCCGACCACCTTGCTGACCACCTTGCCGCCAAATGTGCGGTCAAAGGGCACAATGGTGTCCTGGTCCTCTGGGAGGATGGAAGCCTCGATGCGGATGAGCGTGACGATGGCGGGGAGGCAGAGGAACAGCGTGCAAGTAATGGCCAAAACGACAATGGAAACCATGCGGACGACGAGCCAAGTCCACTGGCCACCGTTGTACTCGCCCAGGTTCTCCTGGTCCAGCTTGTGCAGGCCCATGAGCATGGCGAAGCCACAGGTGATGTAGATGCTGACATACGGCATGGCGGCCTCGATGGCAGCGGGAAGGGCAAGCGTCTTCCAGTTGCTCTTGCCAGGGACGCGCTGCCAGTAAGACTTCTCAGTCGGCATAGCAACGACCTTGTGTGTCCATGTGGCGTGGATATTGGCCAGTGCAGCACCGGACAAGCCAGCGACGAAGATGGCTTGGCCAGGGACGCGGGGTAGGGCAGCGGCAAAGAACTCGGTGACGAGGGAGAAGCCTAGGGCGTAGATGACATGGCTGCCGAAACCGCGGAAGCGCGCGAGGCGGCCGGCGTTGGCGACGAGGTGCTTGATGGTGCCGCGAATGCTCGAAGTGATGGGCTTTTGGTTGACCAAGGTGATGGTGGGTCCGCTCTCCAACAGGCCCTCCTTCTCCTCCTTGTCACCGGACTCGTGGGTAGAAGGGGAGACGGTGATGGCTGCGACGGGAGATTCGATCATGCAGAGGGTGGTGACGACCTCCTTGAGCGTGTAGTTTACCTGAGAGCATATTGTCAGCCTTGTGGTTCGGCATGAAGGAAGGACAAGGGGGTAGACTCACGAGGGTTGCAAACACCACGCTAACCATGAAGCTCACATAGATCAAGACGATGCCCCAAGTAGGCATCTCGATCTTCTCTCCCTCTCCATTCTGAGCCGAGACAGCGCGCTTGACAAACGACACGGTATTGGGGTGCGAGAGCCCACGACGGGCGAGTTCAGTGAGGATTGCCATATTGCCACCACTCAGTGCTCTGAGTAAAATTAATAACAATAAGAAGAAGGTCGGTGTTGAGTAGAAGTGTAGTGTAGAAGTGTGTTGGCGAAACAAAAGAAAGTATGTATCGTGTAGAAGTAGAAAGCTGACGGGAGGTGGTCGTCGTCCGTCCTTCAACGTCCGCAGTCACGGCACAGGAGGCGAAGCCAGGCTGTGCTGACCCTGACGCAACGTCCGGGGGGCCGGGTGTTGCCTGGCGCGTATTAACCCTGTTCTGGCCTAGCGTGTATGCTATAATTGGCCTCGTTTCACTCACATGCAGTCCATCACGGAAAACAACGCGACATGAGACAGGCTATTGTATAGCAGGCGGACTTTCAACAGTTGTGAGAATGCCTTTTCTATGTAATATAATCAAGGAGTAGTCACTGCAATGTGCAAACGATGCGAAAAGATTGCTTTAGCCATCTCATCTGTGAAGCCGCTGCGGCGAAGCACCAATACAAGGCGTACAGTGTATCAGCGGCACGGTGACAGTTGATTGAACCGTGTCCAATCCTTTTAGGCGACGTGTTGGGTCAACGTATTGGTACGAACCGGACGCCCAATGAAATTGAATTAGTCTCGGAACTTCACCTTACCTCGCCTCCCCAAGATTCATGCACGAGTTCCAGAGGTCAGGGTTTGATCAGCTCGACACATCACGTCGCAGGAAAGGCAGCAGGCCATAAGTAGACAGTAATTCATTACACCTTCCCAAAAGCATATGTGATCAGAATCACTATTCTTGTATTCCATTACCGTCGAACCAGATCCCCGTTGTGAACAGACAAGTCTGTCCTCTCGAGGAGATGAATGTAGAAGGAAGATATGAGGGCGCTAGACTAGATACCAAGAGAGCTTTTGAGGAAAAAAGGTGATACACATGCGCTGGTTATGTCCAATTTGAAGCTTCGAGAACGTTACGTCGAGACCGAGCGTAAGTCGTCATCCGTAGTCATCGTGAAGATGTGTGCGTATGAGAGAGGGGCATAACGTAGAGTCGTTGGTGGGTTAGCTGCACTAGCCTCCAAAGATTTGGCCGTTCGGAGGTTTTGTGCAACTGCTGGCCTGTGCGGGTTGGCTTACAAGGCCAACGGGGCGACGGGCTTGGAGGCAATAGTCTCCTCGTTCAGCGTCTCAGCACCAAGATCATGCCTGGGAGCAGCGGGGAAGTCCTCCTTCTTGACCTTAACCTCTGGGGAGGTGGAGCGTCCACGATACTGGTTGACCGTCTCCTGAGCCTTGGTGGTGGCCTGCTGAGTGTAGCCCTGGACAGTCTTGACGGCATTTCCGGCATGTTGGTTGGCAAGATCCTTGACCTGCTTAGCCTGCTGGTTGGCAATGTGGTAACCCTTCTCGAGCTGAGCGTCGATGGCCTCTTTGTTCTGGATGTAGATAAGGGGGCCGAGGTAGGTGACGAAGGTCGCGATCAAGCTCAAGCCCCAAAGAGGCACAAACTTGATGAGGAAGTAGGAGGTCAACGATGCGAAGAAAGCCTAAAAAAAGTAGGATAGTCAGCCATCGGTCTAAAAGGTGGAAAATGCAACCATGGTGTTGATAACGAGAGTGTTGGAAGCCTTGAACTTACAGCAACCGTGACATAGACATTCTCGGCGAAGACGATCCGCTGAGACTCAATGACGAAGAAGTTGATGAACTGCTCGACATCATCCGTCAGGCGCTCAAGCGAGGCCTTGGGGATGGTGAAGTACTGTCGTGGCCTGAACTGGGAGGTAAGACCCCGGCCGAAAGCCACTTGTCCAAGGATCTCGGCAGCAGCAGTAGCACCGAGCGTCACGTAGGAGGCCTTGAAGATGTAGCGGATCAGGTTCAGGTATCGTGCGGCGAAGATGAAGACGACAGTGAGGGCGAATGCGATACCGGTCGCGCGGGGGTTTTTCCAGCTCAAGAGGCGGTAGAACATGCTGTGGTAGTCTGCTCCTTGTTAGCACCGCCGTGACAAACAAAAGCGTCTGGGCTGCCTACGGGTGAGGTTCTGGCCAGTGGCCGCCTTGTGATCTGGGATGGTGCGAGCATTTGCGAGGTCGGCAAACTCATCGCGCGTCTTTGCACCCTCTGCCTTGACGTTCTGTGCTACGGGACCTGCAAAGTTTAGCAAAGTGTCGCGTGCGGACTTTTTTGGGTAGCTGTGTTGCGAGATAGCCGTTAGCCGTGGTTCTGGAGCATGTCATGGGTGTTGGATTGCACTTACCTCACCGTTCAGGACAGTATCCTTTGTGTTTTGCACCGCTGGGTGGTTATTTGCGGCCGACATGGCGTGCTGTGCTGCTTTTTGGTTGTGAGTAAAGGAAACGTGGTGGTGTGCGAGGTGCAGATAAGACTGTCGTGTATAGCGTTAGTTTGGGTCTCGGCAACGCTCGGGGGCGTTTTGTGGCACATACCTCACTCTCCAAGATGCTGTTCTTTGCGTTGATGGCACTGCTCTGCAGGTTCGAGTTGCCGTTGGGCTGCTGGTACTGGTGGGAAGGGGTGGTAGGGTCGAGATCAATCGAGCCCGTGTTCAGCTCGATGCGCGGTGCTTCAGACATGTCTGAGACGGACGGGCAGTTGGTTGGGCGAGCGGGTCTGTTCAATTGAGCAGGCGTGGAGGCGGGGTTATGGGTTATGGGGTGGAGCGAGGTACAGTAGTAGAGGAGAGAACTGGAGGGCACAAGAGAGTTGGTATAGTCGTCTTTGTCGTGGTGACGTCCTTGTTATTTGGGCGGGCGCGACTGTCGTGTGCGCAATGTTTCCAGTGCTCCGCTATGACGTTGAAATTGTTCACCCAACAAACAAATCATGGCCCGGCCTGGCTACCACCAACGCCATTTGCACCATACAGGTTTCACTGCAGGCGTGCTATGTCATAGCTACGAACCAGCACCGATGCTGTATACTTTAGTACACAGTCTCTCGACGCACGCCGTGTTGCTGCGTGTCCAAGTTGCTCCTTCCGAGGGCTGCCTCGTGCTTTCCAAGTCACGACCCAGCCTGATTTTGGGGGTTTCGCATGTGAAAGCCGGGCGGCTTATTGATTAGCCCCTCAACCAGTGCATGACGCAATAGCACGACTGATGCAAATATTCCAATTCCAATATTCAAAGACAGTCGTAGGATAGTGCTCTGGCAGACGATTTACTGGTCGTGTGAGCCGGTTTATTATTAGGCGTTAAGAAAAAATCTTTGGTATGCCAGGTCCCGAAGCGTGCCTGGATTGAGGTGGGACCTAGAACGGTACCTTGACACGGCGAATAGCACCACCACCAATGCGTGATAATGTTGACATGGTAGTGCCCTGCATAAACAACTACAAATGCCGACTGTTGTACGGGAATAATGTTCAAATATGGATGGAGGATCGGCGCAAGACGGTTCTCGTCAGCGCCCAGGACCGGATCAGGTGGACTGGGTGCATTGAATCCATGGCTAGGAACCTTGGAAGCAGGTCCCTGCTGCTCTCTACAGGCTTGCATATTGACAATTGTCTGTTCCGTGGATGGCAGGTGACAAGCGAGTGGCTCTCCACGTGCTTCTACCCACTCTGCCTCTAGTGTTTAGATCTAGGCCGATGAATAGGTGGGCTTGAACTGTGGAGTTTGGTACGCTATAAGTGATGTGCATTTGCAAGCCGTGTCCGAGGCCCATGTGCCGCTATCGGCATATGTATTCGAGGGAGAAGTGATGGGAATTATGCACTGTGCCTGCTACGCGCTGAAGAGGTATCTTATTACCACCTCCACGCGACAGTGGGGGCATCTCGCCACCTGCATCTGCGATGCGAAATCGCGCAATCACATCCGTCTCCAGGCCTTGGAAGAAGTGCGATAATGCGCACTTGTCGCGCTGGCTAGCAAGGTTGGTCCAGGGTCTAGCAGGCCCTTAGCCCTGGAAATGGGGACCAGTCGATATCTGGAGCGGCCGACTGCGATAGCGAAACACGTCCCCGGCCATGGCAGCCACACAATTGGGGGGGGGGGGGAGCAACTTGGCGTATCGAGGGCAGCAACCGCTCAGGCTTCACCGCAGAGAATAGAGGCAAGGGCGCTGTCACGGGAAGCGCTGCAGGTCGTCACAGGGGTCACAGCAAGCGGTCCTGGGCGTCGTCTTCACACGAATCCTCCACGTCGACTCTGGCTGAGAGGCTGATTGATGGATGGGAGTGGTGCTCCTCCATCCTTCAGCCACTCCTCTATCTGTCACGCCGTCGCTAGGTGGCGCCTATCAGCACCCCCCAGGCTTCGGGCCCAAGAGAGCAGGCCGGTTGGCACAAGGACGTGGCAGCAGAGCGTCCGCGCGACAAGACGATCGCGCAAGGCCACAAACAGAGCTGGCCCGCGCCGAATCCTGGCCAAGTCCCTGCCGCCGTTGCGATAACGTACCCACACGCGGCCCAGGTCATCAATCATCTCCACCTTCGCTCTCTTTAGCTGTCACCTCTCCCTCCTCCTCGCCATTCATACCGTCGTCCAACTCTCTTCGAAACCCACATCCAAACAAAGCACTGTCCTGCATCCTAACACCATCTACTACCCGCGCTCCACACCCAGTCTCTCGGTACGGTACGCCAGAAACGTCAGCCAGCATCGCGACATGGTCAAAGCGCTCTCTCACCGTCATCTGCTTACCGCTATCGCTGCGCCTCAAGAAAGACACTGAGCACGCGACTTCCCAACAGCTCTCCCTCTACGGAGGCGAGAGTTGCTGAGGCCTGCTCCAGCACTATGATACTACCTCGCCATCTCTACAACGGCTCGCCTCCAGAGCCCCGAAGTCGAGTCACCAACAATCCAACCCTGCTCTACAGCTGGTGGTGCACCATCTTTTCCATCGTCATCATAGGAGTTCGCTTGTCTGGCCGCTACATTCGCAATGAACGCCTCTTTCGTGAGGACAAGATCATGGCCTGCAGCATTGTTCCCCTCGTGGCACGCATGGGCTTCGTCCATGTCGTCCTCATCTATGGCACCAACAACGTCAACACCACGGGCCTGACCGATCCCGTCCAGATCCACCATCGCGAGATTGGCTCGCAAATGGTCCTGGCAGCTAGGATCTTCTACGCCATGTTGTATGTGTGCCTTTCAACCGCTTGGAAATCGACTAACACGTGCCCAGCATCTGGATGGCTAAATTCACCGTCTCTGAATTCCTCAAACGCCTAACAGAACGGTTTTGGAAGAAAGGCTACGAGTGGGGTCTGCGTGGAATTCGCATCTTTCTCGTCGCCACATTCATCATCGTTTTTATTGCTACACTGGCAGAATGCCATCCCGTCAATCACTATTGGCAAGTCATTCCGGATCCAGGACCGCAATGCCGACAGGGTTACGCACAGCTCCTTACCATGGGCATCACTGATATCATCACGGACATTCTACTCGTCGCCTTCCCCATCCCCATCATCTTACGATCTGGCATGCCTATAAAGCGCAAGCTCTCTCTCATCGGGCTTTTCTCCTTGTCAATCATCCTCATCATCGTTACAGCCGCACGCATGCCCGCAGTCATTCAAAGAAAAGGCCTGCAACAGTTTCGCACAGTATTCGCATCCTCTGAAATACTTACGGCTGCTATCGTGTCCAACGCCATCATCCTAGGGTCGTTCCTTCGGGATCGAGGTGTCAAGAAACCAAAGTTCAAGGCACCATCGACGACAGACAGCATGGAACGTAGAGGTTCAGCACGACGCTACACAAACCAGCCGTACAGCAGTGACGAAGACCTCGCGCGATCGCTTGGCTACCGGACCAAACCCGAACTCGCAGAGAAGACATCAAACGTACCGAGGCCGGCCCCCGTCGCCGACCTGGACCTTTTGTCGTCGAGCCGACAACCCGGTCCATTTGCGAACAACAATTGGCAGTTTCCCTCTCAAAAGATGATCATGCCGCAATTCAATGGGGACTCGAAGCTGAAAGTGGAAGACATCCGAGATCCAATGCCGAGTCCTCGCGGCGGACGACGGGTGTCGTGGTTCGACGTCGGTGGTTTACTCGAGACCTCAGCGGTTGTCCCTTCGCCTACCGACTCTGTCATTGCGCACGACTTCGCACCCCAACCCAGGCGAGGTTCGAGAGCTTCCAACTCAATCATTCCCAACAGTCGGGCCTATCCTCCACCAGCACGCCGGTCGTCACGGCTGTCACAACAGTCTGAAGACTACGAAATGTCGGTCCGGCCAAGCCATCAACTGCAAGACCTGGGTGGCTTGCTATCAGAAAAACGTGAGCAGGAAAAAGCCCAATCCACTCCATCCTCGACCTCAGGCTCGTCACACGGCCTCCCTCCCTGTCACGAACAAACTGCGCCCATTGAACGCCACTCTACACAGACAAGCTACGACGTCCCTTCGTTGCAGGACGCAGGTGGTCTCCTTTCATCACTACCCCCTCGTTATACTTCTTCCTCTTCTTCTGCGTGATACCCCTTTCCTTCTGGGCTTTTTGTACTTATGCATAGCCTGCCTATTGCTTATGCTTTTGTTGTATTTTCCTTTTCACTACATGCACGATATCCACTGGGCATGGTCGGCGTTTATGGACTTACGATTTATTGACCTTGTATGACATGATGTGAGCAAGATGTAATGTATCGATACCGATCTGCATTGAAGATCCACCAAGGTAGATCGAATCGAAGAGGCTATTGGGCTGTTGACGGTGTAACGTAGGATATTATTAGCACTGCCGATGGCGTCGCTATCAACCTGGTAGATGCCAGATCAATATATCAAGTTAATTTGCGTCTTCGGCTTTCTGCTCTTCTGCGCCGAACGTGGCACAATCAAATACAAAGTCGACTATGGCTGATGCACTCAATTTCTGAACCCAAGAGACTGGGTCGCCAAATTAACGTTTGAGGCTTGCCGCTGGACTTGAGTCGCGTTCGGGTATTATTCACGATCCATGAATGTCTTGGCCGCAATCGGGAACGTGCATGGGGTCAAAGCTCCAGGCAATAGAATAGCTTTCGTCTGAAGCTCCACCTCAAATGCTTCGCTCAGGATCTCTTCGCAGAGGCTCCTGGCCTTGTATCACAAGGGCGCGCCGCATTAGAAATGAACACAAACGCGCCCACGCTCCAGGAAATCATCCAACTGACCAGTCAAGAACTTACGACAGCGCAGAAATCCGATCCCATTCGCGAATGCGGACGCGCCGCGCTATCGCTTTTGCCTACCGACCCAGACCTATGCTTGAAGCTTGCATATCAGAACCTTCATAGCGTACCCTATAGAGAGGTGAAGACATGTTGGCGACGGCTGTACACCGATGCGAGCCTGTGGAAGGTGGTGTGGCTGGCGAAGGAGCCGGCCTTTGAGGATGCTCGACAAGAAGAGGACAAAACAGGCAAGGAGTGGATGGACGAAGTGGTTAGGATGCTTGATATGGCACTCATACTAAGCGGTGCGCCGGGCAGGGAAGAGCTTGTGGAGCTGTGGTTCTCAGCGCTCAAGGCCAGTCTACAGTCCATTGACTACACGGAACGCGAACTCGACATCGACATCGAGCCCTCGGAACGACCGACAAAACGAAGAAAACTAGCCTCGTCCTCCCCAACCCCACGTATCCCGTCGACCTTCCTCGCCAGCCTTCCAGAACCTGCACTTTCGCTACGATACCCAGTGCCACGAGCAAGAGAACTCGGTCTGTCCACGTTCCAGAAGAGGGTTGCCGACCCTGTTATGCATACTCCGCTCATTATAGAGGGCGCGATACAACATTGGCCTGCTTTCGAAGAGCGGCCGTGGAACAGTCCTGGGTATCTGCTGGAACAGACGCTCGGTGGCAGGAGACTGGTTCCTGTTGAGGTTGGCAAGAGCTACACAGATGAAGGTTGGGGACAGAAGATCATCACGTTCAGAGACTTTATGAACATGTACATGCTCGAAGACGGCACCACGAAACAAGAAGAGCAGGTGCAACAGGTAGGCTACCTAGCCCAACACGATCTCTTCGCCCAAATCCCTTCCCTCCGTGCCGACATTTCGATACCAGACTACTGCTACTGCGACCCCGCGCCATCTCCTCACCTCACACACATCAAGCCCACGTCGAAACTCGACGAGCCGTTACTCAACGCTTGGTTTGGTCCCGCAGATACCACCTCCCCCATGCATACCGATCCATATCACAACATCCTCGCTCAAGTCGTGGGATATAAATACGTACGCTTGTATGCACCTGAGGAAACGCAGAAGCTATATCCGAGGCGTGTAGATGAGAACGGAGTGGATATGAGTAATACCAGTCAGATAGATCTAGATGAAGCTATGAAGATCTATCCTGGAATATCCTGTTTGGAAAAGAGTGGTGCTAAAGACGCTGATGAGAGGATAGGAGAGTTTGAGAGGCTGTTTCCCGACTTCAGACATGCGCGGTATGTCGAAGGTGTTCTTGGCCCGGGAGAGTGTCTCTACTTACCTGTGGGATGGTGGCATTATGTACGCAGTCTTACGCCTAGTTTTAGCGTGAGCTTTTGGTTCAATTGAGAACGTTTACGCCATATGCAAATTCCACGAGTTGTCATTGACCTTCTCTTGCCATATTCAAGTTCCCAGCCCGCTTTTGTTAACATCCACTGATGCCCTTGATATCGTTTCAAGACAACCAGCCCAGGCGATTCCTCGGCTAGACCGGATCACATCTAGGCAATACCCACTTTCTGGCCCCCAAACATCTCAAGCGCCCAGCCTCGTAAGCACACACCCTACTACTAGCGATCCGCGTTCAATGGGCCTTTGATTGGGTACTCGGCTCTATTGTACTGGAGACTTGCAACTTGAGACATGAGCCCCAGCCGCGTGCATAATAAGGCACACCGCCAGCCACATCGCATATTTCCACGATGCCGCCACTCGTACGGTCAGCGTCATATGCGTCTCGTCGTTTTCCTTTTTTCTTGATTCGTCTTTCAGCGCATAGCGATGTCGTCTCGGGATAACGTTTCCTACGCGAGGGTCCCCATTCCTTCGCAAGTCGCATCACATAATGAGGTACCCAAATCTGCCGTACAAGCAGCAGCTGGAGGACGACGAAGCAGCAACTCCTTTGCTGGCGACATACAACCAGTACAATGGCACATCTCCCTTTACACACCGATCTCCATGATAGCTTTGTTCGTTTCTGGCATTCTCGTCGCCGTTGGTCACCACCTCTTCTACTCGCGCTTCCATGGCAGTGCTGTCCTCGGCCGTGAGGACGGCGCATCGCAGTACACTACTCAAACATGGATCATCCGCTATGGAACAGCCTTTGCGTTTGTAGCAAAGACTCTGCTGGCTGGAGCGGTCATCGTCGGCTATAAACAGCACATCTGGATCACCTTGCGCCGAAAAGCAAACACGATTTCTACTATCGACGCCGTCTTCGTAGCCACTCACGACTTCCTTGCTTTCCTCAGCCCATCCTTTTTGTTGAAGGCGAAGATCCCGGCGTTGCTAGCTTTGGTTGCATGGTATTTGACACTGTTCCATGCTATGATGGGGTCGTATCGCTGATCGACATGGTATAGGTGTCTCCCGCTGGCAGCGTTGATCACCCCGTCGACTCTTCTTGTTGTACCTGCCATTCACGTCAACAACACGATGCTCCCTGTTCCAACACTCGACCTCAACAACACCTTGCTGTATCGATCTGATGGTCTCGGCGACGGCTCATCACCGGTAGTGCATCGACTGACGGTAGCTACTGCAACCGGAATGCAGGTCCTACCTATGAGGAGAGTCCTAGCCCCGAACACAACGTACCAACACATCTTCGATGGGTACTCCCTAAGGTGTGAACAGGCCACGGGAACACGACTCCAAAATATCTCCGCTGTATATAACGAAACTAGTAAACAGGTATTGATACTAGGAAAGGGCCTCGCCGGATCTGCCGATATCAAATACCTCTCATTCACCATGTACGAAGATGAGAAGGGCACTGTGATCCAACGAAATGTCACAGAATTCGTCTCTAATTGTGTATTCGGCTCCACGTATAACAACTGCCCAAAGGCGGACGTGGGTCCCGTCATCTGGGCACGGATGGGTAACGAAAGCATCACCTGTGCCGCCCATAGCACCCGTTATACGCTGGACTTCACGGCTCTAGGAGACACGCAGACCATTACAGGGGTGGGTTTTGAATGGAAGGAGCGGGTAAAGAATGGGGTGGCTACCAAGCTCAATACAGCATTATCAACCATACTCAACGGATTCTTCGGCGCCTTCACAGCCGGTGGTAATGGAGGCGGCATCTTCACCGAGAAGACGATGATCATCGACACTGCGCTGTTGGAATCGCTCCAGAGGACTAATGCAACCCTGAGAAATATTGTTCCCCAGGAGGACTGGATGCCCGCGGAAAAGAAAAATTTTCCCGAGATGATTGAGGAGCTGTCGAGGAATCAGACACTCAGTCTGTTCAGCACGGAGAAGCTTTGGATGCCAACAGCCAATGCTTCCATGGCGAACGTTACGCAGTCGACCTTCTCCACCGTATATGATTACCGACCGCGTAACCTCTGGCTGGCATATGGTATTGCTATCGTCTGTTCATTCGCAGGCGTACTCCTCGGTCTGCAGGCGCTATGGCTGAACGGCGTATCGCACGACAATTCCTTCTCCTCCATCATCGCAACGACGCGGAATAGCTTTCTCGATAAGCTCACGTTGGGGTACTCGCTAGGTGCTGCCCCTCTGCCGAAGGATATTGGACAAACTAAGTTGAGGTTTGGCGAGTTGAGAGGAGATGGGGAGAAGATGCGGCCTAGAGCGGGTTTTGGGTTGGATGAATCCACACAGCCGTTGAGCAAGGGGCAGGCTATATTTTAGGCATGCCAAAGAAGAATGAGCTCTAATACATCCAACTATCATCTACTCACAGTTCTAAAAGTGTACCAAATTTTGGACAAGTCGTACCTGCTCCACGGATTCAGACAAAGTGGCTGCCTTGGACGATCTCCGTGCGCGATTTAGACATCCCCCACCTTCTCCATCCAGCTTAGAATCTACAGTGCCGAGCTTATGTGCGTTGAGCATGTTTTACAAGGAAGAATACAGGCCGTACCATGACGCGGGGTTAAGCTGACACTTGCCAACTATAAAAGCATGGGGAAGCCCATTTAGGCATCAACACCAACAACTCTTCAATGCCCCAAAAATGTCTTCGAACACCTTGGTGCCAACAGTCTTCCCTACAATGGAGCAATATCTCCCCCACTACACGTCTGGAAACTCGAGTCTTTGCAGCCCTTTGTCCTTCCCTAGTGTTGACCTCCCGAACATTGAAGTCCTCGCCCTCACGGCAATACCGCGCGAAAACTACACCTATATACCGTCTACTGCTCCTCCACCCTTTTCTACCCCTATTACTGGTCTAAACTTTTGCAACGTTACTGTCTCGTACACACACCCCGGCTGGAACGACACTATCGTGACAAGTATTTACCTCCCAGCGAAGAACTGGAATGGACGGTACCAAGCGCATGGCGGCGGCGGCTGGGTGACGGGTGGGTCAGGAACACTATTCACTGGCTTCATGTCTGCACTGGCAGACGGCTTCGCGGTCAGCACCACCGATGGCGGGCATATCAGCGACTTTGCCGCTCTAGCAGGTCCCACGATGCCCTGGGCGCTGACGAGTCCCGGAAACGTGAATTGGCCCTTGCTCGTTGACTTTGCGTATGTGGCCTTGCACGACACGGCTCTGCTGTCCAAATCGGCGATTCACGACTTTTACGCAGATCCACTCAAGTACTCGTACTGGTTCGGTGGGTCACAGGGCGGAAGGCAAGGGCACATGTTTGCACAGCGATACCCAGAGGATTTCGACGGTATTGTAGCCTTGTTTCCGGCAGTGTGTTATATCCAGCTGTTCGCGCTCATTGCATGGCCTATGTTTGTCATGGACAAGGAGGGTGTATATCCCCCTCCTTGCGAGATTGAAGCCATTACCGCAGCTGCAATGGGAGCCTGTGATACCCTCGATGGGGTAGAGGATGGCATGATATCGCGGCCGGACCTCTGCACGTTCGACGCACACAGTGTCGTTGGCCAAGCGATCGATTGCGAAGGAGTGCCGTCCACTATCTCCAAAGGCGCTGCAGTCATAACACAAGCCAGCTGGGACGGCCCACGCAGCTCCACAGGCGAGTTTCTGTGGTACGGATACCAGCGCGGCTCCAACATTTCCGTTCTAGGCGCCCCAGCAGGAACCATATGCACGGCTGACAACAGCACTGGCACCAATACATGTGATGCAAATACCTCGTTGCAAGTCTGGTTCAACTACTGGGTTCAGAAATACCCTGATGAAACTATCCGCAACATTACACACGAGCAGTGGGACGATCTCGTCTACGCTTCTGCACAAGAGTACGAATCTGTCATTGGGACATGCAACCCTGATCTCTCGCGCTTCAAGCGTGCAGGCGGAAAGATGATCGTCTGGCATGGGCTGGCGGATAATCTCGTTACTGCTAACGGGACGGCGGATTATTACGACCGTGTCACAGCTCGCGATCCAGACGTACATGAGTACTACCGTGTCTTCCTTGCACCGGGTATTGGGCATGATGCTGGCGCGGCAATCAGGGTTCCAGATATGAACAAGTATATCATAGACTGGGTGGAAAAGGGTGTTGCTCCAGAGGTGCTGCGCGAGACGGGTATGGATGTCAAGGGCAATCCCGTGGAGAGGGACATTTGTGCTTATCCCAAGGTTCAGCATTATATTGGTGGTAATTCAACCAAAGCGGAGGCTTTCAAGTGTGTGTAGTTTAAGCCAGTCTCAAGTTAGGTGTACATGGAGCGCCTTCCAATACGGATAGCGTTCTCTGTTTTCACTTAATCTCTCTTATTATCATCAAACTGTAAGTGTCGTACTAAAGTAAAGAAGACAACCCCAGATACTTTGCATTCTAGAATTAGTATCTATTATAATTATCTATAACCCATCATAAAGTACCCTTAACGTGAAAATCCTCTTTAGCGATAATTAGTAGAGGGTTGTCTAGGCAAAGGTTAAAGAAGGAACAAACTTGTACTGCACACCAGGACTGATTAAGAAACCTGCCGCCCAGCCTATAAGCTCAATAAACGTATAGGTTACCGAAGCAGTAATGCACAGCGAATCATAGCTGCTGTGCACCCTCCGACTCGACCGATTTCGGCCTGGGGTAGTGCCGGCGCGCTCGCTTGTAAAAATTCCTTCGCTGGCCTTGTCGATAAGGCATCGGAGCATAGAGATGGCTTTCAGTCGTGGGAGCTGGAAGGGCTGGAGGAGCGCCACGGTGTCGGGACCGCCTTGATCCCACGCCCTTGTAGTTGCCAGTATGCCGTTGCAATGCCAGCCGTACAGGCTATACACATCACCGAACGTGCAGCCTACTGCCGTCTTTTCCGTCACTTTCCAGTGGCTGTCCAGGCCTCGTTGGACGCGCTGCAGCAGCTCCCGCTCTAGCGGAGACGCAGTTGCCTTGGTATGTGCTAAGAGGGCGGACATGCCGTCCTCGAACTGATGGGCGGCCTGGGAAGCGGCCTAGCCTCATAAGTGCCAAATAGGAGCGTGGCCACGTCTTTAACGTTCTGCATATGTATAGCACTCTTGGAATTCTTAGGCTTTTGCCCGATTAGCTGGCAGAGCGCTAACTGCAGCTCGATCTGCTTGCGAGCCATGTACTGACAGTTATACTCTCCCCGCTCATCCAACCCCATCGTGCAGCTTATTACTGGCCATGGAATATCTTCCGTAGGAAAGTCACCATCACTGCCATCTGCTGGCCGGATGAGATGCAGCGGCTTGCCAGCCTTACATTCTATCCACGCAATTGTCTCGTCCAGGCCCATGGTGCCGTCTTTAATGGCGGCGGCCACGGCCTGGTTGCTCACGGCGGAAGATGTGTAGACGGTATGCTCCTGTCTATAGTAACGCCAGCAAGGCCTCTTTGGGTAAACCGAATAGCCTAGGGGCACGTCAGTTAGCTGTGAGTTGTTAGACTAGGTGCAGCACGTACTCAACCCCCAGTCCTCCTCTTCCTACTTTGCTGCTTGTAACAGCCGCTTTCTGCCTTCAAAGAGGGGAGAACCAGTCGAGGTGTGGAGATAGTGGCCTTTGGGTGGATGGCTTTGGGTGGGTTGATGGATAGAGAGGTGTGGAGGACTGAGCTCGGGGTGGCTTGGGTTGAGTTGATATGGGGGGACATCGTGGTTTGATTAATATTTTGTCCGCCTTGCAGTAGAAGTGGTGTGGAGGCACTCATAAATTTATGGGGTCCATGGCATGACGCTCGAAAGTGGGGTTGAGGACTACAAAACACAATTGCAGCTACAGAATGAGGCGTATTTTTATCTGAATCCCTCCTGGGCAAACTTTCAGGAATTCCTCAACCACGACAACCCAGCCCGCGCCTGCTCCTCTCGACAGAAAAAGACGCGCACGCGGGCCACTGAAGGCGTGTTTATCAAGCGTAGGCTACCGTGAACATCCCTCCCCATACGTAGAGCTACCAGAAAACATGATAGAGGACTTTAAAGTTGCCTTAAAAGCTTCGTGCAGAAAGTCGAACCTGCATTCGAGTTTCCCCAAGCTCGTCAAATCTGTGCGCCGCACGAGAATCTCGACAGCACTACATGGACAATAGCTGCTATATTTTCTCAGCCTCCTAAGGATGGCAAGCAGGGCTACAGGCCATTGAAAAAGCCCAGCGCACCCTTCGACGCTGTTACAAAAGCCAAATACAAGCATTATAAGGTCACAGCCTGGCTGCTTGGGCCTAACGACGAGAAGACAGCCTTCATCTTCTACAAGCAATCCAATCTAAACTTCACAAAAACCAAGGCAAACTGCAACAAGATCATGGATCTTATTGCCAACTTCGCGAATGCCTGGCCAGATGCACCACTAGACGATGATTTGTTTAAGTGGCAGGTCGTAGCGGCCGCAGTCGTTGTATTGTCCCCAGGCAGCGTCCGAATCAAGGTTCCAGGCTGGACGCAGGACGGTTGGCGTATAAGAATTCCTTACTACGACACTGATACTTGCACAATCAGGAACTTCGAGCGCACTTGCTACGCAGGGGTCTCATTGGAAACCAGTTTTCCAGACGTCCCCTCGAGCGCTGAGCTGTGGCAGTCTGGTCCATCATCAAAGGAGATAATCATCCCAAAAGACTTGAACGGTAAGCATGCGTCTTGCCTGCCTGCCGACCGATCGAGATGTCTTCCAGGATCGTTGTTTTACGCAAGGCAAGGAAAAGACAACTACGACTTTGGAAGAGCTCCGTGCCCGCGAGAAGTTTGACGGTTTTTGTCCTGGAAGCTTGCAGGTAGGACGGCAACGAAGAAAGTGATGGAGATGGCAGCGACCAGCTACGAGGAGCTATACCTAGCAGTCAAGCGCCATGGTGGTAGACACTCTAGTGCGCATCGACTGATAAAGGTGTGGTACCATTCCTGGAAGAAGGTAACGTACATTGACGCCCGTGATACGCTCACGCATGAGCTTAGAGGCGTAAGCTTACTAATAAGGTTAATTAGGCTTCAAGTAAGAAGAGTAATAATACCGTAGTAATAGTGATATAAATGATGACTTTTTCATAACTATTTTCAACTGTCCACGAATGCTGCAACTTCCTGATATCTCATACTCATGCTCTCCTCCCTCATGCGGTTATTATCCCGTGAAAACTCCTAGCATCCCAAAAGGTCAAAAGTATGTGTAAGAAGCCATCGTCTCGGTCGTCGTCTCAAGGGCGTGATCGATAATACAGGCAAGAAACTTAGAGAGATAAGAAACCCTGGTAATGAAATCCATCCGTGGGCTTATTCATGCCCACAACCACAGAAGGGAATAAGACCGCTGACGTCGATTGATTAGACCGCGGGGGAACAGGAAAAGGGGGCGCGCTCGCTAGTCAGTCTGTTAAAATGTAAGAAAGAAATTCCTCATCGCCTTATACTCTAATGCTTGGTGGGGCAGCAACACACATGTGGGCCAGCCTTGAGTACTTCCGGTGTGGCCTCATCCTCGTACTTCTTAAAGTTCTCCATGAAGAGCTTGCCAAGCTTCTCGACCTCACCCTTGAAGTCTGCAGTGCCATTCCAGCTCTTGGCAGGGTTGAGCAACTCGTCGGGAACGTTGGGGCACGTCTTGGGGACGGATAGACCAAAGGTCTCGTAAGTCTCGAACTCAACCTTGGCGAGCTCGCCCGAATGGATGGCGTCGAGGATGGCGCGAGTATATTTTAACGGGCATCTTTTCCCTCCTGTTGAAGCGCCCGCGCCGACCCAGCCGGTGTTGAGGAGCCATGCGTTGGTGTTGTGCTCTTGAATCTTCTCTGCGAGCATTTTGGCGTAGCGCATGGGGTGAAGAGCGAGGAAGGGCTGAGCAAAGCACGACGAGAAGGTGGCCTGCGGCTCGGTGATACCTTGCTCAGTGCCAGCCATCTTGGAGGTGTAGCCGGAGATGAAGTGATACATGGTCTGCTCGGGGTTGAGTTTCGAGATAGGGGGTAGGACACCACGTGCGTCGCACGTGAGGAGGATGATGTTCTTGGGATGCGCGGATGAGATGCAGGGGATCTTGGTGTTCTCAATGTACTCGATGGGGTAGGCACAGCGGGTGTTCTCTGTCAGGGTGTCGTCGTCGTAGTCGACGAGACGGTTTACCGGGTCGAAAACGACATTCTCGAGGATGGAACCGAAGCGGATGGCGTTGAAGATGTCGGGCTCCTTCTCGGCAGAGAGACCAATGCACTTGGCGTAGCAGCCGCCCTCGATGTTGAAGACACCGGTGTCGCTCCAGCAGTGCTCGTCGTCACCGATCAGGGCACGCTTGGGATCGGCGGAGAGGGTGGTCTTGCCAGTACCGGACAGACCGAAGAAGACGGTAACATCGCCGCTCTTGCCCTCGTTCGCCGAGGAATGGAGGGTAAGGACGTTGTGCTTCACAGGCATCTCGTAGAAGAGGACTGTGAAGATGCCCTTCTTCATCTCTCCGGCATATTCCGTACCGAGGATGACCATCTCCTTCTCAGCAAAGTTGATGGCAACCGAGGTGGACGAAGTCATGCCGCTGGTATACCTGTTTGCAGGGAAAGCACCGGCATTGTAGATGACATAGTCGGGGTGGAAGTGTTCCAGCTCTTCCCTTGAGGGACGGATCAACATGTTGCGCATGAAGAGGGCATGGTAGGCGCGAGCGCACACGACGCGGACGCGTATCCGGTAGCGCTCGTCCCAGCCGGCGAATCCATCGACGACATAGATGCGATTCCGTGTGTTGAGAAAGTCAATGGCTCGCTCGCGGTTGATGCGCCAGACCTGGGAGAGGGATTAGTAAGAAAAAGAGAGGTGATGGAAGACACGTGATGGTGTTGCAGGTGACAAGAGGGGCAAGTGCCGTATCGTGCATGAGCAGATGCGGGGCAGCCGAGCCCCAGCGCGGCGGGTGCAAGGATTTGAGCATTAACCTCGTCTTTCGGCGTGCATGACGTCTGGCGCCAATTTCACGAGCTAAAACTGCGAACTGGGCGCAGAATTTTAAGGGAAGAAGGGCATGCCAGGAAAAGACTTACGTCAGGCTTCATGGGCTTGTTAACGGGGCCCCACCAGACTTCGTTTTTCGACGAGTCTTCCTCTACGATGCGCTTGTCTGAGGGCGAGCGGCCAGTCTTTGCACCCGAGTAGGCTGAGAGAGCGCCTGATGCTGTGATGGCAGAGCCAGTCTCGTAGACGAGAGCATCCTCATAGAGAGCGGCGACGGAAGGGTTGGCAATCTGGGAGGAGAAGTCATTAGCATCTGTAGTTGGAGAGGTGATTGGCGAGCACAACGTACAATGGCTACACGGTCATAGTCGATGTGTGCTTTATCATGGAGCTCTTCCTCAATCTCCGTGTGTTCCTTGTTCGGCCTGCGAGACAATTGTCAGTCATTGTTTCCCAAAGTGAGACAGACGCGACTGGAGCAGCAAGGTGACTTACTGGACGCCGGAAGGGTGGAGGTTCGTCTTATTGACGGTTTGAGAGACCATTGTGTTTAAGAGTGGAGATGTAGAGGTGGAATGGAAGTGTGATCTCTGTTGCTTGGACACCTGATGACGGACAAAGTCTGGGGCCAAAGGAGCTGCTGGGGTTGCAGTTTGAACCACGGGGTCCCAGGCCTCTTTAATACCGTGACGAGATTCCATTCTGACGACGCCGCTCACCTGGAGTTTCGCTGTGGACCGGGCGGTCGCTAGCGCGTAGGGCGCTGATTGGGTGAAGGGGGTCCATCTCGTAGTGGGAGCGCCGTTCGGCTCTGGAGTGACGAAAATAATGCGGGACCGGCCACGAGTGCTGGGTGAGGTCGGAAGACGCGACCGGCAGACGAGACGGCCAGCATATTGGCTGGTGTAGCGTGCAATGGTAGTCAACCCAAGACTCATGGAGCCGACTGTCTCCTTCAAAATTCAAACAACGTCTACACGTTTGCGCTGACTGACTGCTCACGGCTCACATGTCATCGTTTGCGCGGGCTCTCTCACTCATCAGAGTGAACGCCCGCGTCCGCGTGACGGCAGCCCCCAAGACGAGACGCATTGCATTCAGGCCGCAGAGATTGGCCAGACGGCTACCGGACGGGTTACCCCACATTCAGCTGACCGGATGCGGCAAGGCGCCACGCCACAGCCATTTCGTCATGTCATGGCCTCACTCGAATAATTTTCAGCTCCAGTGCTGTGCTGTGCTCATACGTAACTACTAGCTGTTTGCCGTTGCAATCGCAGGCAATTCACGGCTGTATACCGTCAGTCGCGGTGCAGTAGCCAAGTGGCGCCCCATGATCCATCATCGTTGGGCTGCATCACGACCAACACGATAGTATAGTCGATGCCGCCCGCCCACAAAGAGGCGGTGCAAACAAACAGTTCCGATTCCAGCTCGTGAGCGTCCACGGTCCAGACAACCCCTGCGACATCTTGAATCGTAAAAACACACCTTCGGATTAATTAGTGTAAGACCATGCAGGTGTACATGCTCGGACGGATGGGAATGGGGATTCCCGAGAAGATGCGGCATTTCATCCCATGGTTACTGTCGAGAGCCTATTTCTTGCGTGAGGCTGTGCCTGTTAATCGCGCAGATACTACGACGACGATGCCTGTCACGGGTATGCGCATAGCTATAGCCGCGGTACGCCAACATGCACAACCGTTGGATTCCTTTGCCCAGGCACAGTCTGACAAGATTCACTAACAAAATATTACTATTACATCTCACACAGCCATTCTATCGGTATCCGACGACAATAATCGCAACCCTCGAAAGGCTGTTAGACACCACGCGTGCTCCCAACTCCGAACGAATGCTCCAGATCCGATCCCAAATGGTATATCGCGGGGAAGTGCATGCGAAAATGAGCCCCATATTTCCTGTCTGGGATGCACCTCCTCCACATTCCGGCCGCGGGTCGAGCTACGACTTTTCCCGAACCCGAACACAGCAACCAAGCACGCTGCACACTGCACAATCCACCAACCACTTCTAATCTACGCCGCATCACCACGTTGCCTCTTCTTGCTCTCCTGCTTTTGTTTACGTGCTGCAGGGCTGAAGACCGCCTTGATCTTGCGGAAGCCACCCAGATACAGCCATGTGCACACAAACACGACGGCGAAATTGAACATGATGTACGCCCACATGATTCCTGGAGCTCAAGTCAGCGCAATGCTTTCGGAAAAGGGAATTGTAAACGTGAACGTACCAAAGTCGCGCCAGATATTCTTAGGGAAGACGTTGAAAGAAGCCGCAAACGCCTCGCCCGTGGCGTACTGACAGTACCCACAGTTCCCGTCAGGCTGCGTCTGCACGTAACCACCAGACTGCTGCGCAAACTGACCAGCATACGTTTGACAGTCTTGACCAGGCGGAGGTGGGAAGATGGCAAGCTCCTTTGTTTTGCATTTGATCTCTTGGCCTCGGACCAGCAATGCCAAGAAGCCTTCGAGTAGGTACTTGAACGGCGTCAACCAGTACATCCACGATCGCCAGAACGATGGCAATCCTGCGTACGGCACGACAACACCACAGAAGGATACAACTGGCCACATTAGCACAGGAATCACGCGACAAGCTGGTAAACTTACTAAACGTGAAGAAGATGGGCACAAACAGCGATGCAAGCAACTCATTGGGACTGAAAGCAGCAATAGCCTGTCCGAAGCCCAGATAGAAAATCTCGAATAGCATCATGAAAAGCCACACACTTGCCGCCGTGTACGTATCACGTGGGAAGTTTGGTGGGAAATACCAGCAGCACCAGTAGATCGTCCCAGCAATGATGCGGTAGGGTAGCTCGCTGAGTATCGTTCCCCACACCATGGCCGTCCAAGAGTAAATCTTCGCGCTACCCTCTCTTGAAGAATAGAGGGCCCGCGAATTAAGGAACCGCGGCTGCAACTGCTGGATCAAGGGAGGCGATATTGTCAGCGTCATGAAGATGGAAAAGAGGCGGGATTGCATGTCGATCTGCGACTGGCCAAGGTTCCAGAAGGTGAAGCCGTTGAAGAGACCAGTGATGATGTGTAGGCTGGTCACGCCGATAACATAAGGTGGATCGCGCCAAATGGCGACAAAGCTCCTCCTGACAACTGCTAGCCATTGCTGGGGATAGGGCATAGCGTATTCGCGGTCATCGCGGGCTTCCTCATTCTTGGCCGCATTGCGTCGGTTGGAGATGATGTCCTGGATCTCTTTGCCTAGCTTCTCGTTCTCCGCAGACTTGGCCCACACATCGCCCCAGTCCTGACCCTTGTAGTCCGGGTTGCCGGCACCAATGGCGTCAAGCATGTATTCAGCAGGGTTGGTATGTGGCGGGCATTTCTTCGCTCCATTGCCTTCAAGGTATCCGATGAGAGTTTGAGAATCCTGGCCCAACTCGCCAAAGTAGACCGTACGGCCACCAGACTTGAGCAGGAGAACCTGGTCGAAATGTTCGAAGAGAACGGCACTCGGCTGATGAATCGTGCAGAGGATGGCTTGTCCAGCGTCAGCGAGCTTTCGCAGGAAACGGACAATGTTGAAGGCAGCGCCAGAGTCGAGTCCAGATGTTGGTTCATCCAAGAACATGAGGAGCTCCGGTTTGCTAGCCAGCTCCACTCCGATAGTGAGTCGCTTCCGCTGTTCTTGGTTCAGGCCAGAACCCTGCGTGCCGATTGCAGCCCCAGCAATGTCTCGCATTTCAAGGAGGTCAATGATAGTCTCCACATAGGCGTATTTCTCTTCCAGTGGCGTCTCTTTCGGCTGTCTCAATCGTGCCGAGAAGCGGAGAGCCTCGCGCACCGTAGCCGTCGACTCGTGCACGTCCATTTGTTCCGCAAACCCAGTTGAGCGCTGGAACGAGTTGGGGAGCAGTTCCCCATCAACAAGAAAGTTCCCGCTAACCACACCAAAATTGATGCGTTGTGCGAGCGTATTGAGCAACGTCGTTTTACCTGCGCCAGAAGAGCCCATCAACGCAGTCAGCTTGCCAGGCTTCACGAAGCCTTGGACGCCCTGCAATAATGTTCGCTCTCCTTTCTCGAAAGGAATAGTGTAGGTGACATCCTGGAAGGTGAAGATGGTTTCGTTCTTGGCAACACCTTCCACTGTGGTTTCCGACTCATCGTTGTCACTGACAGTTTGTTTCTCGATAACAGGCTCAGTCTTGCCGGCTTCCTCGTCTTTGGGCAGGCTGTTCATCTCCATCTCCTTCTCAACAGTCTTGGGCACTTGACCTCTCTTGTAGATGGTGACCGCTCCGCCACCTTTGTTGGGCTTCTGAATCTCCATTCCAAATGCTGTGAGAGCAACGAAGAAGAAGAAAAAGGCACAGATGATGCCAAAGTTGCGCCAGAGGTGGGACCTAGAGTACTGGTATGCCGCCGATATGTAATCGGACCCCGAGACCGTGAGAGAGCCGGGCGTGTTGCCCTGAATGGCACAGGACTGATACCGCTCCTGTGCGCCTGGAACTTGAGGGGCGATGAACGGCGGAACACACTGGATGTCCAGGTTATAGAATTCGTTCGCAAGCAGGGCTTCAAATCCGTACTGCAAAGGATTAACCCATCGTAACCAGGAGAACCACGGGTGCATGGATTGAGGAGGGATGAGATAGCCCGTGTAGACAACGACAGCCTGAATAGCCACACCAGTAATCCTCGTAGCAACGTCCAGAGATCCGACCAGGGCTCCGATAGCTCGGAAAAAGGCATACATGGTCATCGTAATGATCCAGAGGAATAAAATGGAGATGAAAAACTGCGACGCCGTTCGCGAGAGGTTGGCCATGAAGTAGACTACAATATTGAAGATGAAGACTTGTATGAGCACCAGCGGAACGTCGATGACTGTTTGAGCGATAGCGTAAGCGGCCGGCCGGTAGAAAGAAAAGCTTTTGTGCTTGAGCAGGATCTAAAGAATGAGTGCGGTCAGTATATGTCTCATGAATGTGGTACAGAGTGCTACTAACCGGTCGCGATTCGAATGCGGAGGTTAGTTCTGCCAGAGCTAGCAGGGCGTTGAAGAGCAGCATGAAGAAGATGACACCACCTCGAGGGAACACTCCTGCAGCGGTGTTTGGTAGATTGTAGAACAACGAGCCGACGATGAGAGCTTGGAAGAAGATTCCTCCCCACTTTCCAACAAGTGATTGCGGATCTCCAACCATCACCAAGAACTGGCGTTTGGTACACGCCGTGACCTGTTTCGGGAACGACAGCGTAAAGTTACGTTTCTTGGTGGCCTTGGTGCGAGCTTCTTGTCGCTCTTCCGCTTGTCGCTTCGTCTCTCGCTCGAACTCTGCGATTTCAGCAAGGTTATGTTGAGCCTGCTCGCTCTTGGCAAATGCATCGCCAAATTGTGCTGCGGTGCGGGGAATACGATCTTCCCAGCCGTCTTTGATTTGTCTCTCGTGGCTATCCGTTACCGAAGTCAGGAAGTCAGAAGTAGTCCAGCGATCAGGCTGTACGAAGCCGAGAGCTTTGAAGTAGTCTGCGGCGCGATCTGCTGGGCCAAAGTAACAACACCGGCCTTCGTGGATGAGGAGAACTTTGTCGAACAAATCGTACAGCGACTCTCCTGCTTGGTACAGAGCTACAGACGTTGATATCTGCGCCATATTTGTCAGGGAGCGCAAACTCTGGACGTACTCCAAGGCAGTGCTGGCATCCAAACCACGTGTTGAGTTGTCCCAACATTGTACGGAGGCCTTGGTAACCATAGCTTCAGCGATCGATACACGCTTCTTCTCGCCACCAGACACACCGCGAATGAGCTCGTTGCCAACCTGCGATGGATTAGCGAGGATGATGCACTGGAAGCAATCGACCTACTTTGGTGCCCAACGTATGCTCGATCCAAAATAGCTTGGTAACTACCCGGAGGAACTCATTCACATAGTCTTTCCGAGACTCGCCCTCATTACGCGAAGCTTTGCCGGGAGTTCTGGTCTTCAGGGCAAACCTCAAAGTGTCCCTGACCTTCAGAGTCGCATAATGTAAATCGTCTTCCGGGTTGTAGAGCACCTCACTGCGATACTTCTTCGCCATCTCTTCAGCGTCTGTACCACCATAGGTGACATCACCAGTGATCTCCTCGAACCCAAATCGCTGGTTACCGATCACCTTCAAAAAGGTTGAACAACCGGCGCCCGGACGGCCGAGGATAAGGCACATCTCACCACCCTTGATACTTCCAGAGAAGTCGTCGAGAATGGTGCGAATAGGCGGCTTGCCCGCTGCCTTACGAGGCCCTTTCGCGAACAGATTCTGGATGAGTCGTACTGGATCGAGGAAGAAGTCGCCTACCGAGGGCTGCAAAGCTGCCCCTAAGCCCATGCCCTTTACGGTTAGGTTTTTGAAGATTACACCTTGGTGTCTTGTCTTTTCCTCTTCGGATCCTTCTTGTCGTGTGCGTCCGAACATCTTGGACATCAGGTTGTGGATCTCATCTTCCTCTTCTTTGCTTACTGCGGAAGTTCCTGTATTGGTCTTGGCCAGTGCATGGCTCTGGCTTGTTCTGCGTCTCGACAGAACACGGAATATATCATCCTCTGTAATGGGCGTGGAGTTTCGTGATTGCAGCGCCGGTCTCGTAGTAGGTTCCCCCGACTTGATCGCTGCATATCGACCGGCTCCCTCATGATCGGAATCGGAAGAATCGTTCTGCAACACCTCCTCCTCCACAGGCTTGGAAGGGACCTCATTGCGTACAGACTCCGGGGCGTGCTCGAGAGTGCGATTGTCAGTTACATCTGGTGTTGGCGTGGTTTGGGTGGACGGCACCGCAGTACTGTGGCTGGATTCTGCAAACCCTCGTCCTTGTCCACCGTAGTAGCTTTCACTCCTCACATCATAGGCATTAGAGATGAATGTTCCATTTGTGTTTTCGTCTTGGCGGCTCGTGTGTGTTTGATGATGAGATCCAGAATGGGCCTGGTGTCCGCTGGCGTCTGCAGGTGAGGCGAATGGGGGTTGTTGCTCGTTCGAGGCCATTGCGATGGCTCAAACCGTGGTATCGAATAGACACACCAATGCAGCGTGGTGACAGTGTGGTAGTACCGGAAAATCTAAAAATGCAGGGCGGGTTTTGGCTGTCCAATAACTGATTCTCGAACAATGGCTGACAGCTGAGGCTGTTTGCGACGTTCGCGTAAAACTGCCGACTAGATTCCGCGAGTGAGGCGCATGTAGGCGGGGATCCGGCGAAGAATATAAAAGGATCCTCAGAGATGAGAGAAGGATTGCGCGTTCCCAAGCGTTAATACCGCCATTTCAAACTTAATCGTCGTAAGAATTATGTCTCAGTGTCGAAGTCGTGATGTCATATACAGATATTGCCAATGCAGTTAGTGGGTCCGTAGCATCGCGTCGGCGCTTCTTCAACACCGAGATGCGTTGGATGCAGCCCTTTGAGCGCGATCGATGCGCGCTTTCCTGTCAATTCAGCCTCATGAAACGGTCGGTTCGAAAATGCATTAGGAGCCCGCGGTGCCCGTGGTTTGATTTTCTGGTGTGGCGATGCACTTGTGTTGAGTCCCTCCGCTTCGTTGACTGCCTGTGAGATTTTTTGACCGAGCACCTTGGTCTGCAATCCACTCTCGCACCGAGAACGTGAAATGACAAGTATCAAAGTAAAATAGCTCCGGACGAATTTGGTCCAAGACCCTTGCATCCGCCCACGTTTGGTGCGATGCAAGACGACGCCAAGAGCTCTTGTTTGTACGACCGCTTGGCACTGCTGTTGTCCTAGTCGCTGCATTCGGCTGAACTGCTGTCTGCGGTTTCCTTATCTTGTCTTCAGCGCCCCTTCGCAGCGATTCCCTGAGCGTCGACGCTCTCTATTTTTGTGAACTTCCTGGCGGGTAGGTGGCTGTACTAACATTCGTCTATTGTCTTACGGAGGGTTGTCCATACACGTATTCAACATGCAGGACGTCTATGTCAATTAGCGCCAGTCTGCGAATCTGTCACCCGAAGTATCGCAGCCTTTGTCGCCTTCATTTTGGCTACGCGAGCGCTCAGAGCGGTAGTTCCAGTATCTTCAGGCTCTAGCTGGTTATTAATCAGCATCTTCTATTCAACATCGAGGCCACCTTTTTTGGGATACACAGTAGTGCCCTTGTTGTGCAGATTCGCGCTATACACGTGTGCACGTGCCCAGCTGGGTGTTCGTTGGAAGTAATCATACATCCACATCTGTCCTGGACAGGCATCATCTTTTTCACTATACCATTATTTAATCCTAGTCTGCGATAGTATAAATTGCCTGCACTCGTGTACTGTTCCTGGCGACTCTGCTTGTTCCCTCCCGCCCTCGCTTCGCCCAACCGGCCACCTGAAGCAACCACCTGTCGGAGCATAGTAAGCGCCGACGCACTTCCTCGGGTAACCAACCTCATGCACAGTCCCACCCTTCGTGAATGCAAGTGGTATGTTGATTGGTTGCCGTTATTTACCCAGTAAATCGGGACTGAGATACTCTGACATGCTGACAAGGCTGCATCGCTACAACGTTGCTTTAGTGCAATTGAGTCGCTACATCTTCGTGTCCTATAGATTGCAGAATCAACCTTACGTCTGGTAAACGGGCTTCGACACCGGATCGCGTCCATTCGATGGTTCTTTTGAACACCGCGAGCTGCATGTGTCAGCATGCATATGCAAGCCGCGCTTACGGTCATCGGACTAAATTAAGCGTCAAGGGTGCGAGGTATTGCCTGATTTCTTGAACCGTGCCGCAAAGTTGGGTGTGCAGCCTCATTCATGGCTCGTAGTTCTGGTGCTGCTATGTTCAACGTCGTCAGAAACACCTCCGTACTGAAAGTACCTCCACAGATTGGTAATAGCAGAACATATAGCCCTGTCAGGTCTACAGTCACTGCCGTGACGTAGTCTTCTACTAAACCTTTCGTCTGAATCAAGACTGCGTACCAGACCGAAGAGTCGTCGTCTTTCACCAATGGCGCTTTCCAGGCTGTTCATCACCATCGGAACGCCGATCATTTCGGCTGTCATCTACGTACTTTCAATCGGTTATCGACACCGTTTAAGGATCTCCCGTTTACGCAAGCAAGGCGTGGTGAGTTGGGAATCGGTTGCCCTTCAATATAACATACTGATAATGAGCTTCAGGCAATGCCTGCCGGTTGGAGCTGGTGGTTTGGGCATCTTCGCGTTCTAGATGAGAAGCTCAGTCGATTACCTCCAGATGCCAATGTGTATATGGCAATGGAAGATCTCGTGAGTGACCATGCAGCTACCGAAGTCTTCCTCATGGACTACTGGCCTGTATTCCAGCCGGTTTTAATGATATTTGGCCCCGAGCTCGCAGTTCAAGCTTCCATCAGACATGATCTTCCAAAACCCCATGATCAACAAGAGTCTTTTCGGCCAGTTGTAGGAGGTCCAAGCCTAATCACCATGAACAATGAGCAGTGGCGCATGTGGAGATCTCTCTTGAGCCCTGGATTCAGCGCATCGCATATGCTTAGTCTAGTTCCAACCATAGTGGATGCTATAGATGTGTTCTGCGAACGCTTGAGGAAGCATGTTGGTGGTGGCGTGTTCTCACTGGACGATATGGCTACTCGGCTAGCTATGGATGTCATTACTAGAACAACTCTGTAAGAGCATTGAGTGATTCACCACATTCATCACTGACCACTATCTTAGTGATACCGACTTGGACAACCAGCGCTCCGAGCACAAATTGTCGCATGCGCTGAACACCATTCTGAACTGGCATTCCTTCTGGGACCCTCGCATCCTACTCAATCCGCTTCGAATCCCTGTCCAATGGTATTACGGCCGCGTAACAGCCTTATTCATCCGTCAAGAGCTCCAGAAGCGATTCGAGGAAATGAAGACAGATAGAGCTACCATTGGCGGTACACTTGGCCGCGCAAGGAAGGCTAAATCAGTCATTGCACTCGCGCTTGAAGAGTATATCACTATGAAGCACGAAACCAACAAAGAAGCGTTTGATAGCATGGAGCTCGATAAGGACTTTGCACAAATTGCGGCCAACCAGATCCGGCTCTTCATCTTCGCAGGGAATGACTCAACTGCAACTACTATCGTATACACATACCACATGTTATTTCAACATCCCTCTGTCCTCGCTAAAGTGCGCGAGGAGCATGATGCTATCTTCGGTCGTGGTCCCGATGCCGGTGATCGCCTTCGAGATAATCCTGTCTTGATAAATCTCTGCCGTTACACCCTAGCCGTTGTCAAAGAGACTCTCCGTTTGTACCCACCTGCTTCCTCAATACGCGAAGGTCTTACGGGGGTGTCCTTGACTGATCGAGAAGGCAACGTGATTCCCACAGAACATCTCAATGCAACCATCATGCACCGCTATGTGCACGTTAACAAACGTATCTGGCCGCGGCCAATGGAGTTTCTCCCGGAGCGCTGGCTCGTTGAGCCTGGGCACGAGCTTCACCCACCCTCCGGTGGGTATCGCCCCTTTGAGCTTGGCCCGCGCAACTGCATTGGACAGACACTTGTTCTCAATGAGCTGCGCATTGCACTAATCATGACGGTTAGAGAGTTCTCCATTCGGCCTGCTTATGACGAGTGGGATGCTATGAAGCTCGCTAACGAGAGCCTGTATGGGAAACTACTAAGACAGCTGGGCTTGAGGAAGAGTCATTGTAAAACGGTACTAGGAGAACGCGCGTATCAAACGTCTAGGGCCGGTGCGCATGCCGCCGATGGATACCCATGTCGTGTGAGCTTGCTGAAGGCTGAGGCTCACTGTTGCTAATCCTACATTGAGCAATTGAGCGGAGATCGCACTAATTGTCATGTGGTGAACTTTGTTCCCGACTAAAGTAAAACATATTGGGAAGACAGACCTTCCTCTTTTTAATGAAAAAAGTGGAAAACTTCTATTTAGAAATACGTTGATACTGTTCATTGTTCAATGCCTCTCATGCTCAGAGATTATCATAACAAGGCCTCTCTCTTAGTCCATGTGATTATTGAGAGTCACTAAAGTACCAGCCGGAATTATGTACCCGCGGACAGAGATATCTGAACAAAGGAAAACCTTCTTCGAGACCGTACTGTCCGTATCCACGCTTTTGATATTGGCACCTAAGATAACTTGTATGATATTTGGGTCGCTGACAGCGACATGATAGATTCCAACACGCGTGACTTACACAGAGTACTCATTAGCCCAACTTCCGGCTTGCAATACCGCTCGTGTACTTACCAGATTGGTTAGATATCTCTTGATCCTGTCCAGCATTTTGGTCCGTAGAGTCTTGGAAGGAAGGAGGTTCTGGCCAAGTATCTTTTGTAGGGCGGAAGTTCCAACGAACTAACAGTGGTATGAGATAAGTCACTTTCGTGCCGAGTGCGATGGCTGTAAGTAGTGGAACAATACTGATGGAAATGGTTGTTCTAAGGACAGAGGATAGAAGTTGCCCCGTTGCCATAGTCACTTTAACCATGAATGAGAATCGACAAAGTTTGCGGTGTTTTGCACGTATGGTCGCCCGGAGAAGGACACAAGTGATAAAGCAGAATAGTGATTCAAAGGAAGAGAAGAAGAGGCTTGATGCTCGCCCTGAGCCCTGTCAATCGTAGAGGCGGTGTTGCAATCTGAACCAATAGAACTCAGCCACTCCTACTAAACATGATTATCTGATCATGCTGTTGGGTCAGAGTCGCTGTCCGAACATCCCTGCATCCAACTGTCGAATTTCCGGGCACCAACTCATCTACTCAAATTAAAAGGACAAAGAAATTACGAAATTCAGTGAGGCGTAGCCCGATCTCTGCATGCCGCTCAGAAAAGTTAATGCCCGCTGCAACCAGGGGGTGCATGTCACCTGCATGCAGGTAGCTACTAGGGTGCCCGTGGGGGCGCAGTAGTCAGGTTGTAAATGTCGCTATTAGTAGAACCAAAGATAATCGTTATCCTTGCTCACCATATGTACCCTCCTCATTGAACTAAAGCAACGATATTAGTTATTCTACCCTTCGGTAGACTGGACTGACGGAACCCCTTGTATAAACCAAGAGTCAGTATTGCCGCCTAAAATAGGGCAATCGCATGTTTGCCGTTCCACATAAGCTCAGCGTTCATAGTACACTTTGCATCCCGGCGATTAGTGCGCACTCCAGAGGAGTCTCAGTATGGTATTTGCCACATGATACGTGTGGGTCATATCTCTTGCGGCGGTTGTTGAGGCCCCACAGTTTCACGGAACCTTTTATATTTGACCACTGGAGTTCTCTTGGAGAACTGGACACTCAATCAGGGCCCCACATCTCCCTCTTATTGCTACGCAGGATATCTGCTTTTCAAGTTTTCTAACCATGGCTGGTGTAGATATTCCAAAATGGATGTGGGCACTAGCGGATGATTACCCATTTGCTCCACCTCCGCCTGTGAGTTTCTATCCCTCGACATGCTACCAACCACTGACTTTCAAAAGAGGGTAATCCCAAATTTCGACCATCCTAAGCGGGTTGGATATCACTCCCTCACCATCGCCTGTAGTATTTGCATTTTTCTCCTACTGCTTTTTAGCAGTGTACGTCTCTATTCGAAGAAACGACTCATCCGTAAAACAACCGTAGATGACTGCAAGTAGACTTGTAACGAATTTAGTATCTCTCGGGTTAACTTCTTTAAGACTTTTTCTGGGTTACCTTACCAATGCTCCTGCTCTCCCTCTCGCTTTTAATATTCTGTAAGGACCAAGGCACACCAGAAAATTAATTCTAGAAACTACGCTAATCTGGAAAAGTGGACAATAAACGTTCCTACGGTTATCATGCATGGGACATCAAGATTCGCAACCTTACCAAGCCTCTCCTGGTGGTAAGAAACCGCAGGATTTTCAAAACCTGTCCACTAAATAGTCATAGGTGACCTTTGTTTATCAGATGTTTCTACCAGCAACCGTCTGGCTCGTAAAAGCTACATTGATGTTCTTCATTCTCAGCGCGTTTAAACCGATCAAATGGCTGCGATCGCTTTGCTGGGTGGGTATTATAACTACTTTTACCTTCTATGCCACAAACTTCGTCATACAAGTAGTATCGTGCCGGCCTCGAGGTGGCACAGACAGAGTGTCATTCCTAGCTGGAATGGCGAGCCGTCAGTGTGCGGGGAGCGATGCCGCCATTCAGAAAATGAGCATTGCTACGGGCATTTTCGGTGTTATCAGTGATTTCTATATCCTGATAATTCCGCTTCCTGCAGTTGCAAAACTTCAAATCAGGAAGAAAAGGAAGCTTGGGGTATACTTAATCTTTTCATCTGGAGCATTGTGAGTACCTTGTTAGCGATTCTAGTATTTTTACTCACAAGAACAGAGCTTGTATGGCCAGCATCATCTCTTTGATCTTCCGAGTCCGATCGTTCGGTAGCAAGGACCTGCTCGTCGACAGTATGCCAAGCATGGCTTCGCAGTAAGAAGTTGGCTCTGCCCTCTCACAGTTTAGTGATTAATTCATTTGCTAGTATGGTCGAGCTTACGGTGGGCCTCGTTATCACTTGCATCGCACCTACCGCAAAGCTTGGTCGTCATATTCGTAATAAGCGATTTCAGTCATTGCTTGGAGAATGTACGGATGAGGTCGTCGGGCCTGAACGAGCTGTTCGGCTCGCGACTCGAAGAAAGCATGCGCCCGGTGGTCTTTCCGAGCTCGATTCCATGAAGACTTTTGGAACTACTGTAGACATGACTGTTACGAAAGATCCCTGCTCGGTGAAGGATTCGACAGCCAATGCCTCGCCAGACGGAACGTGCATATCATAAGAGAGCATTTCGTTAATGGAGGAAGGCATGAATTTACCAGCTTTAGCAATCAAATCTTACCATATGAGAGAAGTGGCATCAGATTCCCACAGATTCAACTGACTATCTCCACCTGACGATAATAACGGACTGGCGCTCGTCTCCCCGGTTAAATGTAGAATATCCTGGAAAGGATTGGAATCCAAACCAATCATTACCGCATGACTCGATACCGACACTCAGGGTGCCTATAGTCAAATACTGTGCCTCAATTTGGAAAATGTACGTCGGTACCCATGTCACGGCGTAAAAATTGGGTGTGCAGAGCCAAGTTCATTGCTTGCATATCCAAGCGCGCACCATGTACCAGGCCTGTAATCGGCGGGCAATTTGTGCAGGGTACTTCCAGGGCTTATGGAAGACACACTGAATTTGGCACGGGTAGAGGTTGAAAAGTCTTGGCTCGCTGTGAATGCTATGTTTTACCGAGAGCAAGCTCTTTCAAATCTACTTCGAAAAGTTCTCGTCCTACATTCATTCATACATTTAAGTTCAAAAACAACTCAGCTTTACAAGGAGTTCCTAGCCAACGTCAGCCTGTGTCGTTAATCGCCGCACAACCTCTCTCCGAAATCATGTCCACAGTTGTGAAACCTGAGAGCAATCCAACGCCATTGAACACATCCGACACACCGAAGCCCAAGGGACTGGCATTCTGGCTGGTCATTTTTTCGCTGTGCTTGATAGCTTTCACCTCGTCGCTTGATGGGTCAATCATCGCAATAGCCCTCCCGGAGATATCCACGGCGCTCTCTTCAGACGACAAATACATCGGTATCGCGAATTGCTTCGTTCTCGCGCAAACCGTTGTGCAGCCTGCTTTCGCGCAGTTTTGCGACGTTTTCGGTCGACGGTGGCCAATGATCACCGCAGTGGTGATCTTTGCGGTGGGTAGCGGCATTGCTGGCGGAGCAAACGATACAACGACTATGATAGCGGGGCGTACAATCCAAGGGCTTGGGTCCGGTGGTATCATGCTGATGGTGGAATTGATTGTTTGTGATCTGGTGCCGTTGAAAGAGCGAGGGACTTACCTCGGTGTCGTACTGTCCGTCGCAGCCCTTGGGGCTATTGCCGGCCCTATCGTCGGCGGTGCACTGGCGGAGAAAGATTGGAGATGGTGTTTCTTCATCAACCTGCCCATCTGTGCGTTAGTCCTCCCCATACTCGTTGTCTTCCTTCGTATCCGCCATCATAAAATCTCCTGGTCCCAACTTCTCACTCGCATTGACTGGACTGGAAACGTGATCTTCATCGGATCCATTTGCGCACTTCTTCTAGGCTTAGTCTACGGTGGTACCATTTACCCATGGTCATCGTGGCGTATCATAACACCTCTCGTTCTCGGGACGATGGGTTGGGTTGGTTTCCATTTTTACGAGACCAAATGCCAAAACCCTTGCGTACCACCACGCGTATTCGCCAATCGTACCTCTTCCGCAGCATTCTACATGATATTTGTTACCTCAATGGCATTGCAGTGGGTGTGCTTTTTCTGGCCAGTGTACTTCATGGCGGTTCGAGGTACCTCACTCATGGGCACGGGCGTCAACTTCATGCCCTTCATGTTCCTCCTGATTCCAGGATCAGCAGTCGCTGGTATTATATTGTCAAAAACCGGACACTATCGCAGGCTCCATCTCATTGGGTTCGTGCTTAGTACGATAGGACCAGGACTCAATACGCTATTGACGGCCGACACGCATGCTGGAATATGGGCAACCTTTCAGATCATCGACGCGGTTGGAAGAGCTATGATTCTTCCAACAACACTCCCTGCTGCACTTGCCGCCCTCACGGAAGAAGACGTTGCAGCAGCTACAGGCGTATATTCTTTTCTACGTAGCTTTGGTTACGTCTGGGGGGTCACTATCCCTGGTATTATCTTCAATAACTATTTTGACCGTAACAGGTTTAAAATATCGGATCCCACCGTCCGAGAGGCTCTAAAAGGAGGAAGTGCATACCAGTTCGCTACAGGCCCCTTCATTCACTCGTTACCTATAGTCACACGAACTCAAGTTTTCACGGTATACCTAAGTGCGCTGAAGGCGGTTTGGTTCGCTGCTATGGCATTCGGAGCTTCTGGCTTTATTGCAGTGGCACTTGAGAAACATGTTCCGCTCCGAACGAGTCTTGACACACAGTACGGGCTTGATGCGGAAGGGAAGAGGCAAGATATGGAAGTTGTCAATGAGCGGACCGAGAAAGAGAGAGAATAATAAGTGAGAAAGCTCTCAGTCGTAGGGTATAAGGTTCAATGAAATCACCACCACATTAAAACCTTCTATCTTGACAGGCTGCAATGTGTGTATGAAACCTATAATCAAGCAAGTATAAAATCTCAAAAGGTATATTTCTTGCACCAGTGAACACGGAGACACATGTTAGAGTACGAATCTATTCCAAATTGACGAAAGTCAGCAAGCTCTTGATACTTGAATCAGCGCATGTCTAAATTCAGAGAGGTACATGGGCTTGAGGTCCATGGGTGTGGACTGAACGTAGGAAAATTGGATCTGGTTAGCGCGGCCTTCCATATTTGCTGATAATGAAGGACTAGCACAGGCTTACCAGAGGTAGTATTAGTCCCCGATATACTCGGGGTTTCGGGCTTCAAAGAGCCTATAACAGCTCTTGGGTTGATATCAAACCTACGGCCCCTGTTGACCGTCAAATCAATCACTTGCCGCAATCATTGATCGCTCTGCGGGGATGTGCGGACGACATGGTACGGGCCTTAATAACCATGTACGCAGGGTCACAATGGAGGCCAATTTTCGGTGTCATGCTGTCCGCAACGCCACTTACCTGCATTCAGGCAACAAGATGTATGTAAGGATTATGCTATTAAGCATGCAATAAACGCGGCTTCTAACGAACGGGAGCAGCCATGCGGCTGCTCCCACATTCGTTAGTGTCCACATATGGAGCTGATCAAAGGACGAGTCGATTTCCAGACTGAAATTGGAAAGTGGGCAACAGCTGAATCTCACTGCGGCTTTGTGGCGAAGTTAGCATCGGGGAATACACAGCATACCGATCTTGTAATGAAGGGTATCGCCTACACGAGAATCTGCCACCTTGAACACAGTAAGATGTATCTGTTACGATGTATTTGAACTCGCACCGGCCCAAACACTGAATTATCTCAATATTGATCATCGATCATGTTTGAACATCGCCAAGTTCTCTCTACTTTTCTCACATCCCATTTAGCCCTTTGTAGTATGATTGTTTCACTCACAAGCTGCATCCTGGTCATAGGACGATTCGTCCGGTCACAGGATCGACTTCGGGAGCCGCCATGTGTACCACCATCCATTCCGATTCCTCACATTGGACACTTGATTGGTATAATGAAACGAAGGATGCAATACTTCTCGGACATTGGGTAAAGGCCAATTATGAATTACTATAAGCGTGATTGTCATTGACGATCTGGCAGTGTAACATTACAGGAGCCAATAGCGAAGATCTCCATTCTGGGCACCAATTTTTATATTATCGGATCAGTGAAAATAATGCCGTTTATCGAGCGTCAACCCCGAGTATTGTCTTCGCGGTCGTGGTTTGCGAAATTTGTCTGCACGCTAGTTGGTTGCAGCAAGCGCTCCCTTGGTAACTTCGAGGCCAATTTGGGCGCTACCACGGAAGGAGACTCAATGCTTCTAGAGGGTGTAAGAACTACAAAGCGCATTCTCAACTCGAAGACCGGAGCAGATATGAACTACGACGCTGCAAGAATCGTCAGTGAGCGATTCAAGACGATGGAAACGCCGAATCCTGGCGTAGAGCTAAATCTTTTCGAGTGGGTCAAACACGAGATTCTGTACGTGCTCAGTGAGAGTACGTATGGTCCAGAAAACCCGTTCTGGGATTCGGAAGTAGAAGCAGCGTTTTGGTATGTCACTCAGCGTGTAACAATAGTATATCCGCTTACACATGGAATCCAGGGAATTTGAGAGAGATACCCTCGCGCTTTGCGTGACCAGTTTCTTACCAAAGTGCATTGTGTCCAAGCTATTCCAAGGCATGAGAGGTCGTGAGTTTATCGTCAAAGCGCTCGACGAGTATTTGCGTAGTGGTCATCTCGTCAGAGGTTCACCAATCGTCAACGCTCACTACCCAATTTTCAAAGCGAAGCTCGATGACCGCGATGTTGCTCGATTTGAATGCGCAAGTGCTCTTGGCTCTTTCGCTAACACAGTTCCTACCTCATTTTGGACAATTTTCCACATTTTCGCGGATGCGAACTTGCTCACGGACGTTCGCAACCAGGTCTCGGCTATCACGACTACGGTCACATCGGAGGACGGAAGGTCTATCCATCGCATCGATTTACGCCGATTACGTACTGCAACGATACTGTTCTCCGCCGTCGAGGAAGTATCGCGCTACCGAGCTACTGGCATTGGTGTTCGACTGGTTACTGAGAACATTGTCGTTGGTGATGGAGATAACCGCTACTACCTCAAGAAGGGTGGTTGGCTTATTATCGCAAATCAAGCTTTGCATTCCGATAAGAATGTATGGGGCAAAGACGCGGACAAATTTGTCGCTAGTCGCTTCAACGAGAAAACGCCACATCTTTCTTTTCGGGGTTTTGGCAATGGTGCTAGTGCGTGTTGTGGGAAGAATCTTGCGTTGTACCATATCGCTAGTTTCATGGCAATCATGGTCATGCGATATGACATTTCGCCGGTTGAAGGCGTGTGGAAAGAGCCCGAACAGGATGGGAGAGACACGGCGGCGCAGGTGGCCGGACCAGTGCATAAGCCTATGGTCAGAATGACTTTGAGGGAAGATGTTAAAGCGACTTGGGACTTTAGCTTCTAAATTGGGTCACATCTCTTCCATTTGCAAGCTGTCATAGAGTCTTTTCAGAGCACACAATAGACACAGAAATTATACCTAGCCTCATTGTTGCTTGGAACCCATGTTGACAAGATTACGATGATATAATCCTTGAATCGCTGAGAGAAAGCCTGTCAGTTTTGGTACTGTAGAGGTTGCAATGTACAATTCGATCGCGAAATGAGCAAAGCACTGAGAACTAGCTCATAAAATGTAGCTGATGATGTGTGTTAAGTGTTGGTGCATCTCTGTATGAAGTATGAAGTTTAAGGGAGATACGGGGTTCATGGTCACGTGCTTCGGCGATACGCTACCTCCGGGACGCGTCAAGCGCGTCTTCAAATGTCTCAAGCTTCACTTTACTTAACAACAAGAAACGTTAAGGTCTGAAGATTCTTGCAATGTCAGCACAGCCAAATCCAGCACGGTCTGCGCCCGATCGCCGCTCTTCGACCGCCCCGAAGCGTACCTCACTCCTACCGAAACCCTCATCGATTACCCTCGACGCATCCGTCCTCGTCGCACAGCACGCCCAGTTCACTGGTACGCAGCCGATCACCATTGGCCCAAACTCGGTACTTCATCCACATAGCAAGATCAGCAGTGCGCTCGCGCCTGTAGTTCTTGGTGAAGGATGTGTCGTATACGAGAGAGCGAAGATTGGTGTGGGCATGGGCGCCGAGTTAGATCATGAGAGTAGGCGGAGTAGCATGGCTTCAGCTAGAAACAGTACAAGCGCAGGTTCATTGAGAGGTGAGGGTACGTTTTTGGGTAAGAATGTGGTGGTGGAGTCCAACGCCATCGTAGAGGCTACAGAGATTGGTGAAGGTAGTGTGGTTCAAGTAGGTGCAGTGTTAGGAAGAGGATGTATTATTGGAAAGGTAGGCAAACCCGCACACGTCACTAACCTGTGAAATGACTCATCATGGATAGTATTGTACCATCTCGGCTGCCTCGGTCATCTCTCCATATACACGTTTGCCTGATTACACGGTTGTTTTCAGCGGCTCTGAGCAGCGCATCGACAAAACGCTGCAACTACGACCTGAGATACTGGACGCGAAAATGGCAGTCCATACAAAACAGCTGGACATGTTCAGAAAGCTCATTCCGAACAATGTTGCGAAGTGGACATAGAAGGCAGCCGCCAAGACCTAGGCGGACATGAGAGATGCCTCCAGGGCTGTTCATGGGATCTTCCAACCGCGTGGCCATAGGAGCAATGTGGCTTAGTACAGTACTTGGCGCGGAACTCAACGTCGTTTCCAGCGGCAAAAGTCCTGAATTAGGCTCGGAAGTGTTGGTACCGGATATAGGAAGCTTTCATTGGCCAATATTGTTTTAGGCATACCGAGGGGCTGAGCGGGCTGTTTCATCGTCATCTGTTCGTGATACGAGTATACTTTACGCTCCCAGCCATAGCTGTACCAACATCTAAACAATCAAAAATGGGCAGCGGTTCTTGCCGCTACGATTGTTCGGACTCACCCACAGAGCTATCACCATATCCAGATATTTCAGGTATCGGTGTACGTATCAAACCGTTCATTAGTTGCATGACCCTAACCCCTGCGTAGGTCAGTCTCTCATACACTCTCACTGCTGGATTATCTCTGCTCATTGTTCTCATCTACTATGTCTTTATATATCGCCCAGATATACGCCCTTTTGGCGACCCAAACAAGCAGGTCACAACTCATGACAAACGTTTTACAACGAACCCGATAGATAGATATTTTCTCAGCTGGAGACTGAAAAGAAGTCATCAAGGTTCTCATTGTGACTGGAATGACCCGACCTGGAAGGATCGCACCGGCAATGCCCTTAAACATGTACACCAGTCAACCAACTCGTAGCTGGAGTTCGCTAATTAGAATAGTGCATGTTGATCTTGAGTGACTTTCAATTAGTCACGGGCCTATCAATCATAATCAGCGGATTCACACAGCTACGGTGTGGCATATCAATATACCACTGGCACAAAATCGTTCAGCTAGCTTGGTTCTCAAGCATTACCCACCTTTGTTGTTTGACCTTCCTTCGCGACCACTTCCGCAAGCACAAATTGGCACAATTTTGGCGAATACCCGGTATGGTTATACTGGTGATCCTACTCACCCTCGCCCTTATTCCTACCGCGCAGTATACATGGTATTTCGATGACAAGATAACCCGCGAGGATGTTATACTATTTGTTTCCAAGCCTGCCATCTGTTCGTTCTTACCACATCAAAATCCGACTGGCTTCAATAATAGGGCAGGGAATCAGCGCGCGGGGATCTCGATAACTCTCCTGATCATCGGCATGTTTATTCGTCTTTGTCAGATTTATCAAGCATCAACCGACGCGTACCTCGCGCTGCGTGATTGGTGTAGCACTTGCTCAAGGAAACTGCTGAGGAGAATCCACAGCTGGAGCAACCTTGACTCGCCGTTACCTGTCTTCTCAACAATATTTCTCTATCGTCCCTTGCTCGTAGTCTTTCTTTGCTATCAGATCCTATTCAATGTGGTGTCATCGAAGGTCTTCGAGGTAAACGTTCTTCATATGCTTGACGGACTGTTGCTGACAAACTAAAGGTCTGGTGGCTTGCAGTCAGCTATGCTTGGGGCGCACTAAATTTGTGGTACCAAAAGTACGATATTGAGCCCGAGAGTCGGGAGTGGACATTCGGGCAAGTCATCGCAATTGTGCTCCTATTCGCACCAATCGCCGCTCTGATTGAGGGTTACCTAACCAGTTAGTCAAGCACTGCAGCTGCAACCATGTCTTGAATACCACGGGCTAATTGAAATTATCTAGACGTCTTACCATCCCCGCCTCTGGGCCAACAAAATATCCCCGAGGAGACACACTGTTTAGTCTTACAACCACGCATTCTCTCATCGCTCCATCGACAGGAAGATCCAATTCAGGCCCCCGACTTCCTCGAACATGATCCAGACTATGACTTTTACAACATTTTTAGTTTCTCTACCCTCATACACGCAACACTGTTCACGATTGCACAAATATGCATTTGGACAGTAATCCTCCTTGCATCCGGGGTCTTCACGCCGCTAGATGCATTCATTATCTACACGCCATACACCTTAGCAATGTCTTTTGCGACCTGTGTTCTCCTCTCGCTCATTCTCAGTAAATTGGAGCCTCGCTCGCGGAAGAGACGTTATTTTTTGAAGGCCGTGTATTTCTTTCTCTACTTTGCCATGATGCAAGTTGGCGTTGTAACTGGGTTCATGGGGCTGCTCTTTGGGTTTGACATGTGGCTCAGGCTTGGATATCTGGGGATTTATGTTGGGTTATCTTGCTGGCAGGCTCATCGGGTACAGCGCTGCCTGCATAACGGCCGTGATGGTCTATGGCGAGATGAGTGAAGGAAAGGAGAAGAGAAGAGTTCTGGGCCTAATGTATTAGTAGCTTCCTTTACATCTGTTAGTAGCCAAGTCAGGGAAATGCGCGAGATGTTTACACTTAGGAAGAGCGCATCGAATGAGCTATTGCGAAGAAAAAAAGAGTAATAGAGGGTTTCAAGGTTGCACCAAAGAAGGCAGTGCCGCCTCTTTCCTCTTGATGACAGCCTGCTCCCATTCTGAAGATTGATAGAGCTAACATGATTGGGTCGAAAGGTGATCAGCGCCTTTTGAACGCATTCTTCGATTTTACCTACGGAAGCTTGAGGATAAACTCCATCTACTATCACTCATCGGAAGTGCCGCATGTGCTACATGAGTATGAGCTCGAGCAATGTTCCTTGGAAGGTATATATCAATGAATTATTCGGTTACAAGGTTGCGTGTGAAGCTATCAGCTCCGACCCGTTGCTACCCTCGATGAAACTCCAGCTCTGGATTTAAGCCGCACTCGATTGGCAACCCCAAAATGACGGTTCTGTACTCCTCCCTTGCTGCTTTCGCAATGAGAAGCAGTTGCTCGCCTATCTTTGATACGTGACGATCTGTCGACTCTCCTAGTGCCACATGCGGTTCCTTGATCTGTCCTATAATCTCCTTGACAGGTTTCATCACTTTATTGAAGTCCCTCTCTTTCTCAACCACCCAAGTGTCCATCATCCCATCCAGGATGGCTTGATAGGGACCATCAGCAGCACACGAATGCTTTTCCAACGCCTTGCTGACGATATCATACCTGGCCGGTCGTATGGGAAGCATCAACTTCTTCGCAGCATCGTAAGTGTCGTTCATCGGGCTAAAGAAGAATTTTCCTCTTCCGTCTTTGCCCGCTCTTGTCAGAATAGCCTACAACAGATCCATCGGAAGCGATTGGATATCATGGAGCTCTCGCATATGCTTGGGCTTCTTCTCGTCGAGGTTTCCAGAACATTTCGCTCTCCTCGCCCGATGCCTGATTGCGCAGTTGCTTGACAGAGTTGTTCAATTTGTTGTCCATGGAGCATGTGCTACTAATTAGTAGAAGCGGCGTATGTTCGGATAACTGCAGATACGATACCGGTACCGGCAAGCCGGTGATAGTCCGGTGAAGACTGAAATAGAAACGCTAACCTGCATAAAGATTGTTCTTGTGACTGATCAGACTCCTTAGCGTGAAAGCAACACTTTCATGTTCAAAGAATGATATGTTGAAATTCGACTGTGAAGCAATTCAGTACCCTCAGATTGATTTATTATTCCCAATCCTTAGTCCAGAAGCTTCTCAGTTGTTGTGAGGTGGAAAGGAATGAAAGTTCAGATTCGGACTCTGGCAGGTGAAAAGCTCATGGGTGCGACAGAGTTATCGTGACATACGGCGACCATCTTTCATCTCTTAAGCCCAACATGGTGTCACAGTATTTGGATATGACGGCGTTTGTAGCCCTAATCTCTGGTCCCACAACTTGCGGCCAAATGCAGCCTATCGGAGATTGGCCGGGCCGGGTGCTTGGCGTAATTCTCGAACATTCTGCCTCGAGCTCCCATTCTTCCTTCCACCTACTTCAACCTGACAATTCCTTCAACTTCACAAAGTCCATTGTCACGACTGACACCATATACAGCTCTGGGTGCAGCTGAGCTAGCTTTCGGTAAGTAATGCACTGGAATCCACCCATTTTTCGATTGTATGATGAGACACACGCTGGCACCAGTCTGAGAAGACTTGTACTCTTTACATGCGGATCAGCTACTTGGACTTCAAGTCTCCCTCTGACACTACATATGAAACTCTGTTGTTACTTGACAATTATTGAATCTTACAACTAATTCACTCTGGCAGTCCGTACCCGCCCAAAATCGCGCTCCGCATTCGCTACCATGGTTCTACACAACCCGAACAATTGGCATTGGGTCAACAAGGATGTGTCGGGCTGGGCGCGGGAGTATCTTGACAAGGAGCTTGGTCAGATTTCTGCCGAGCATGATGGTGTAACAGCCAAAATCGACAAGGTCGTGAGCATGGACGGAGATGTGGACGTGAGCCAGCGGAAAGGCAAGGTCATCACAATCTTCGACGTGAAACTCAAGCTAGAGTACTCAGGTATGTGAGTGTTTTGTTCTGTTCTTCCTTCGCGTGCTGACGCAAGTCGGCAGGCAAGAATGAGGAGGGCGAGGAAGCCAGCGGAACTATCACAGTCCCCGAGGTTGCGCATGACACAGAGGAAGATGAATATGTCGTATGTTCCTCCACTAACAGTCATCATCTTGTTGTCAATTCAGTAGTAAACGCGCTGACTAACTTTGCTCTAGTTTGACGTAGATGTCTACTCCGAGGACAGTAGCAAACAACCTGTCAAAGACCTGGTTCGATCCAAGATCTTGCCGCAATTACGCACAAGCCTTGCAAAGCTTGGCCCAGCGCTCATGGTGGAGCATGGAAAGGATATTCAGCACGCGCCAGGTGCAAATCCCGCTAGTGGATTCTCGACACCTAAGGTATATTCGAGCTCGAGTGTCAATAAGTCCACCGGCTCCAAGTCTGGCACATCTGGTTCCCAGACGAACAGCTCTGGCGCGGTCGTCAATGTGACCACAATCACCGATAGTACTGAATTCCGTACCGATGCTGCCAACCTGTTCCAGACATTTACAGATCCGCAACGCATTGCCGCGTTTACTCGCTCACCACCAAAGAACTTCACCGGAGCTAAGCCCGGAGGCACGTTTGAGCTGTTTGGCGGTAACGTGAGTGGAGAGTACACTGAGCTGGAGGAGCCAACGCACATCGTCCAGAAATGGCGGCTAGCACAATGGCCCGCGGGACACTACTCGACACTCTCCATCTGGTTTGATCAGAATGACGTTGATGCTGTAACGGTCATGAGGGTTGAGTGGAAGGGTGTTCCGGTTGGGCAGGAAGAGCCTACGAAGACCAATTGGGACCAGTACTATGTCCGAAGTATCAAGACTACCTTCGGCTTCGGCACAGTGCTGTGAAGTAGTGTGAGGTGTTGGCGTGGAAACTTCGTAATGGAGCATAGGGCGTTTGGAAGATTTTACGAATGCATACGAAGCGACGGTTATGGAAAGATATCAATGGTAGCCTCAATGGCATAGATAGGCAATGCTACATTCACAAGTCTAGCTCACTTTGCATACTGCGTGCTTGTCTAGTAGTGCCGTCTCGCCCTCTTCGCTAGACCTGCGTATAGCGAATGGCTTCCCTCTATGTCAAGCTGCACAAGAGGATTAACACGAATATTAATCCCTTCTAAACACTGTAGTGCACCAGAAGACCTGTCAAAAATGGATCGGACAAGCGCGGGTGATGACAGTGTGAAACTTGTAAGAAGAGGCCTACATTCTAGCTACACTACTATTTGTTGAGTCAAAAGCTTCTGTATTCGCCAGGAGCGATACCTTTGTTCAACGTCGGTAACGCACTCTCGAAGTACCTGTATAGAACCGGCAACAACTTTCCCAGCACCCGGATCGCTTGGGACAAAGCTTACTCTTCGGAACTCGGGGCTCCAGGAGAGTGGTGGTGTACCCCGCCCCTTCTTTCGTACCTGCCTGAAACAGCCATAGATCGACTCGTAATATCGGCATCCATGATAAGCTACAGCTCGGCACAAAGCTTACTTGGGCTTCACTAGCGCTGGTGGGCTCCTCTGCATGCACACGAAGCTCTCCCTTGAACACGAAGCTCTGTGATGACGCAATAAAAGCCCTAATACCACAGCTCCAATGCTGTGAACCTCGCAGTTCCTCGGTCCCTGGACTCTGGTAAACAGCAATGAGCTTTTAGAACCCAGGATGAAGGCGGAGCACGTTGAGATTTTACTCAGACATGAACTCGTAGGGTTACGACGTCATCAGTAATACGAGCGGATCCTCCGATAGTTACATCCTGGTCTCTGAATCCAGACAAGCTTTCATTAACCTCTAGTGGAAGGTGACTCTTCTAGTTATCAGGGCTTCGATGCAGAGTGTACGGCAGGCTATGGGCCTGTATGAGCTTTAAAAGATGGGTTACCAGCAAAAAATCACCTTTCCACGTTTGCCTGCTTCCCCTGTTCCTCCAAAATTTGAGCCATTGCGTCGTGGAAAATCGATGCATCTCTAGACAAAGTTAGCTTTTTATTCCTTTTAGTATTTAACATTTCTGACACTTTCTAGCAATACTAAGTCTGAAGCTCAAGTTGCGCGATGAAGAGCATCTCAAAGTTCTCCACAGTACCCTTGCTGGTAGCCAGCGCCCTCGCGCAATTTGTCCCAGCTCCAACAGATTTAATTACAAAAGAAGGATATGCAGGCATCAATGTGCGATATAAGGAGGTTCCCGCGGGAATCTGCGAACTCGACCCCAATGTGAAAAGCTATTCGGGATATGTAGACGTAGATGACGACCAGCACATCTTTTTTTGGTTCTTTGAAGCGCGCAATCAAGACCCAAAGGACGCAGAATTGACAGTCTGGGTCAACGGTGGCCCAGGGTCAAGCTCTATGATCGGATTGTTCCAGGAGTTAGGCCCATGCGGTGTTGGGCCAGATCTGAAGCCGTTCAACAATCCATATTCGTGGACGAACGCAAGCAATATGCTCTTCATCGACCAACCTACGACCGTTGGCCTCTCGTACTCAATCCCAATTCCCGGTTACAAAGACGATGGCTTCATCATTCAGGTGCCCAACAACACATGTCCTGATTATGCTGAAGCCCATGGTGGATGCGGCACATTTTCAAAACCAAACCATACCCTGACTGCCAACAGCACCGAAGGCGCGGCACCAAACATGTGGAAGACACTACAAGGCTTCATGGGCGCGTTTCCAGAGTACGCTCGTAATGGCTTCAGCTTCACCACTGAGAGCTACGGAGGTCATTATGCGCCTGTCTTTAACTGTGAGTATGCTGGGTCTTTTGGAAGTTGAATTATTAATGTGTTGTAGCCTACTTCCTCGATCAAAACGCGAAGAACATTTCTGGCGCCCACAAGATTGACCTGAAGAATGTTCTGATCGGCAATGGATGGTTTGATCCGCTCACCCAATACCAAGCGTATTATAACTTCTCCGTGTTTCCTGGAAATACGTACGACTACGACCCATACAACGACACAGTCAAGGCGGAGTGGTACAACAATCTATATGGCGAAGGCAATTGTCTCGATCAAACGAGGGACTGCTATGCGACAGGCCAAAACTCAATCTGTGCCCGTGCGGATAGCTTCTGCGCCAACAAGGTCGAAAACCTGTACGATATATATTCTGGCAGGGATGAGTACGATATGCGATACCTCACCCCAGACCCGTTCCCGTATTCGTACTATGTGGACTATCTAAACACACCAGAGGTGCAAAAGGCGATCGGTGCTTACCAGAACTTCTCTGAAAGTTCCAGCACAGTCTCTTCAGCGTTCACCAACACTGGTGATGACGATCGTGAGTCTGGAACTATTGAGGCATGTCGCAAGTTGCTGGACGCGGGTGTGCAAGTTATGCTTTACTATGGCGATGCGTAAGTCACGGAACCCCTTGACTCTTACAATGCTTACCGACATGCAGTGACTACAACTGCAACTGGCTTGGTGGCCAGGTCGTGGCAGATATGATCAACGCGGATGGATATTGCGACGCCGGTTTTGTTAATATCTCGACTTCAGACGGCATCGTTCACGGGCAAGTGAAGCAATCCGGACTTTTCTCCTTTCTCCGCATCTACGAGTCAGGCCACGAAGTCCCCTTCTACCAGCCGCTCGCCTCGCTCGAAATCTTTGAGCGCGCTTTGAAGCAGGTTGATATTGCAACTGGCAAGGAGAACATAACCGACAAGTATTTGACTAAGGGAACCCCCACAAGCACGTATCGAGAGGGCAATGCGACGGTACAATTTGATGTCACACCTAAGAATGCGACTTGTAAGCTACCCGAGTAAACGAACTGGACGTGAGGCACACACTGACCCCACCCCTAGATAACACTGCGTTGAATGCGCCAGATCCGGAGCCAACGTGGACTGTCGGAGAGGCGGTGAGTAGGAGAAGTGTCAACAAGAGGGCGGTGGGGACGCTGGGCAGGCCTATGAAGTCAAGGGGAGGGAAACGACTTGCTTGATTCGCCTTCGCTATGAGCGAGTTATGAAGCTGCACAACTTGTTACTTAATGCCTAGTATACTCTTAGACTACATGCTCTGATCCTTCCTCCATGATATGATGTGTCTAGTGCGGGCGCGGGGCCATAGTTTAGTTTAGTAAGCTCGCACAGCATACCCGCCTACGCTAGTTAGCCCAAACGTCATAGGAGACTGGTATCGATCGTCGGGTCTTGACCAAAATGTCTTATTCCCGCTATTCGAGACTGTGGACATTGCGAAGAGTCAAGGCGTCCATGGTAAAGCACACTCGAGTTCCAAAGAAAGTAGACGTTGCTAGTCAGCATCGAGTGAGACGCAAGCGGGCTGATCCCTGCATATGCATGAAGCTTGGTGTTGGGAGAGCAGCAGCAGCAGCTGGCCACACCACCACTACCAAGGACGAGCACGACAGCAGCAAACCCTACCTACCACGAGACGGCCAAGGTGCTGCGCGACACTTAGCCTATGCCTAGCAGCTCTCCCATTGAGTCGATCGCAACCCATTCCGCTTGCCTTTCCGAAACTGTGCGACGCCGGAATCGCATTCTCAACTTTTCCAATCACAGTCTGATAGACCCTCAACCGCGCGCCCTCCGCCGTCTCGACGCCCTGTGATGGTGCCCTTTGGCGCATGGCCTCGCTGAGAGGCACTATACCTACTCTACTACCAGCGTAGACTGGTAGCCAGTCCTTTCCCGCCGCCGCGTAGAAGCAACGCAATAGCGGCCGCGCGGCGACACCATCCCAGCATGGCGCCCTCCAACATGTTCTCCTACCTTAGGCCCGGCCACGCAAAGCGTAATGCCTCGAGTCTGGCATCCCCAGAGCCTGTCTCTAGTCCCGCCGCCTATCCTATACCCTCGCCCTCGCATACCCCCGAGTACCTCTCGTCGCCGCGCTTCAACGACAATGCCAGCTACACGTCTAGCTCGCCCATATCGCCGTTTCCCCCACAATTACCACCCATTACGCGTGTTGCCTCGAAGCTGGACAAGTCGGCTTCTACCAACAGCTCCCAATACACGCCCAGTCAGCTTTCATCGAGAACTGGTGGAAGCAGTCAGCAACGAGGGATGTTGTCTCCACCACAGAGGGCACAGGAACAACTGTCGCCGAGCTATGAGAACAAACCTCTCTCTGCGCGGTCAACCATGGGTAGCACGCCAACAGGCCTTGGTGCGCCGGAACTGAGCCTGCCCCAAAACATGGACTACCCGCAGCGGTCAGAGGCTCCCTCACAGTCTTCAACACATTTGACACGGCCGGTGCTCGCCCCAAGCAACTCGAGCTTCTCGAAATCGCAGGTATCATTGATTAGTGGCCTCGGCGAGAAGCTGACGGGCAACTCGAAGGCTACAACCGCACCCACTGCGGCGCCCGCCAAGGGGAGGTCGAGACTCACCCTGCGGAATCCCATGTCTCTTCTGATGCGGCGGAGATCTGGACAGACGTTGGATCCACTATCAGATGAATCGCTCGTCACCCACCGCGCACCTGCAGTCGTCCAGCCTATGCTTGACAATTACGACCCCAGCATCCGAGGCCACATTGTCCACGACTTCAACGCGCCTAGAATCAATAGAAACTTCTCATACAACAATGCATACACGGAAAACCAAGCACCACAAGACTTGGGTCGTGTCAGTCCCCCCAAGATAGATAGGGAGCATACGCCTGTCTTCCGGGAGCATTTTGACGATGATACGAGTTATGAAGAATCACAGGCTGCTATAAGAGCCGAGCAATTGGTAAACAAAGATTTTCTCGCAAGGAATTCGGTACAGTTTGCACCACCCGAACCGTCACCTCCACCGCCTGCACCCTTACCCAAGGATTCCCCGCCTCCACCACCAGATACATACTTATCCAAGCCTCGGCCGCCATTTCAGGCATTCGGTAACAGTCACCCCGTTATCACATCTTCGGTTCTATCCCCAGTACAGGAAACGTCTAGTCCAACAGATGCATCCACTGAAGTCACACCTAGGAAGCGAAAGTCTACAAGAACACCACCTTCAGCACGTTCAAGAGCTACTTCGGTTACAGATCCATCGTTCCAGCCTGCTGGATTACCTGCACACTTTAGTAGTAGAGCGTCTAGATTCAGCTTCCAGATACCCGGTGGCAGTGACTCTACGCAAGAAAAGCTAATGGAAGAGAGGCACAAAGCGAAAGAGGCCGAGAAAGCGGAGAAGCAGGTTCGTATGTCTACAAATACGATCGAAGATGACTACGATGAATACGGCATGGATGACTACGATATGGACGACGGCTTTGACGAGGAGATTCCCATGCTCGGTGAAGAGGATGATTTTGGAGGCCTCGGAGATCAGACACTAGACTCTGGCATCAACGCCTTTGACTTCTCGACTTTATCGATACAGCCTGGGATGAACAGCCTTTTGAGCCCAGTGAACCCATCCGGGCAGCTTCAAACACCGGTTGATCTGCACGGTAACCCTATTGGGTTTGCCATGTCTGAAGCGATGCTTCAGCAGTATCAACTTCAGGCGTTCAGTAGTCAACCCAGCGGACAAGATGTCTCAGGCCACGATACACATGGGCTAGGGTCGATTGGCTTCCAAAATGAGCTTGGCGATCCTTCCCCATCCCATCTCTTCGATGCGCCTACAGGCCCTGGTCACACTGAACACAATGAGCCGAGCCCAGGTAACAATGGCCTCGACGATGACATGTACTTCGACGACGGTCTCATCGGTGATCAGGAAGACGGTGATGCCGCAGAGTTCGACGAAACCGTTTTTGATGATCCCAATGGGCCACTGTACGAGAAGAAAGTCAAGTTTACGCCAGTGTTAGACGCAGCCAGTCCACCTGTACTCCGCCCTCCGGAGCTCTTTAGTTCAGAGACAGACTACGACGCGGATGACGACGCCGTTTTTAAGCAGCTGGAGAAGTCTGAGCCTTCGCTGGCCCACAAGACGTCTGTTGCGGCGCAACACACGTTGCCCGACTTCAACAACATGGATGCCTACCATGGCGCACTCGCTGATGCTGCCAACCGTGCTGAAGCTGCCGGACGTTTCGCTAGAAAAGCGAGTACTGATGCAGGACAGCCCAGGTCTGATGTTGACGACTTCTCATTGAGCAACTCGCGCCCCAGCCTGGTCCCTGATGACGGTCGCTTCAGTTTAGACACAGATGTTTTCCCACCGGACGATGACGGTTTTGGCATGAGCTCTAGCTATGTTGATGACTACGACTATAGCGATTTTGACTCGGCGCTAGAAGACGACCCCATAATTGCTGCTGCTAATGCTGAGGCATTGGCATACGATGACGAAGGCTTTTATGGGCAAGAGTTTGGCTTCTATCCGTCTGCAGTTGGTGAAGCACCGAGCGCCTGGGGCGGTTTCTTTGGACCTTCTGGCCTCGGTCGTACTGTCAGTGGCCGTAATGCTGTGCGAGAGCCAAACTTAACGCCCATTACGGAGCGCAGCGAATACAGCACACGCAACTCGTTCATCAGTCTGAATCACTTCCGCGACGGACAGCAACCGATTCAGAGTCCTGCTCTAGCACAACTTGCACGAATGAGTCCGTATGGATGGCCGGAAGAGGAGGATATGAGCCTTGACTCCCTGATAAAACTACGAAAAGGCGCGTTTGGTGGAAGTGCTGCCAGCCTACCGGGTAGCACGTCACAAAGTCCGCGTAATTCATCGCCAATGGGCATGCAGCTCTACCCGAGAACAGCTAGTGCTGCAGGCAATCGCATGAAAGAGCACAACGAAAGCGAGCTTGAAAGCGACGAGTCCGCAAATATCACGGATGACTTGGAAGGCAATGAAGAAGAAGATGACGAGGGATTGATGGATGCTGTCAATGCGGTCTACGACGACGACGACGAAAACGAGGATAGCGATGGGCATGAGCGACCTGGAAGCCCAACGCTCACAGCCAGCGATTATAAGTCGCTCTCACGCCCAGCCAGCCACCTCTTTGCAACAGACAACCCACTACTTCCTCCGATATCAGAACTACATGCTCAGCATAATACGCAGTCGCCGTTGCATAGCGCCCTAGCCTCTCCATCTGATATACCCCTACCCATGTCACCATATGGCGTGCCTCTAAGCTCACCATTCGTGCCTCAACAAAGAATGTCATTGCCTCCGTCAATAGACACCTCTGTCTCATCGCCTTCGGCGACTGCCTCCACATCCACTGCTCCTCGCCGCCAGTCTATGGGCCTCATATCCCCTATCTCGAACTCCTCGCCAATAACGCCGAGCGGGAGTGGATGGCGAGGCGGTCATTCGCGAAAGGGAAGTGCGGCGGACAGCGTTACTTATGTCAGGGAACATGACGAAGCGGGAGAGGGGAGATGGGTACTGGAGCGTAGACGAACGGCTGAGAGTGGGGAGTTGGAATTAATTGGAAGGGAAATTGTTGAGGGTGGGAGAATTTAAGTTCCCATTGATCATTGAGAGTTTTCGGGCGACTATTCTTAATCGTCTGCCCTTGGGCTGTTTTGGAGATGCCCCTGTTTGGGTTTCAATGTTTGCATTGCTGGCGTTTGAGCGATTGGAATACTTGACGTATGCGTCATGAGTAGAGGCTGGACCTTTTGGGCATTTTTTGTATGAGACTTAGATACCTCAGATATTAGATGGATGATATTGTTAAATCCCATCTGGGCAGCCATGTTTGGCATCACTATATGATAACACGATGCCCGCGGGTAAGGCGCCCTCATAAGCGCTACCAGGCGGATATAACCGAAGCTCTCACCCCACGGGTTACGTCCGGAGCTGGACCGCTTGATCTCCTCACCACTACCAATTGTATTGCATGTATAAACTTGAGTTGCTTTTGATAGAATATCTTATCCCTGCCCCATCGGTCTCTAGTTACGATACGCGTCAGCGCCAAGGGAGATACATGCCGATTTCCGCCTCCATTAGCCTCTTCCGTCATCCCGCGTCGCAAGGGCAGGGAAGTTGAAGACATGGAGTCGCGTCGACAGCAGGTCTTGCGCTGGACGCCTCGTTCACCCTCTCCGCTGAGCTTCCCTCTTGAGCTTCTTCCAAGTCTTCCCATCAAGGCGCCGATGCAGACCTCGTCCTTCCCAAGATCAACTCGTCCTTCCGCCGACCGTGCACGCGACCCTCTAGCACGCTCTCTTCCTCGCGTTTGCCTACCATGGCGATACTGAAATCAAGCCTCATATTTGACCGCCGCATAATTCTTGGCCTTGCAGCTGTCGTCATCCTATCCTTTACCTTCGCCTTCCTCTACTCGCCCGATCTGCGTCCCACCACCGACTGGATACCACCGCTCACGGCAAGGCCCGCACCTGCCTTCTCTGCGCCCCCCAAGAATCCAGACGACCCGTATATCGTTGAACTCGATTACTTGGCGATCAAACCCAATGTCTCGGATAAAATCAGGTTCTATTGGAATATACCGTATGCAGCGAACGCGGGAGGAAAGAATAGATTTCGAGGCCCACAGCCTGTGAATCGCACATATGGGCTTAGTAGAGGCAGCGGAGGAGATGGACAAGGGCCATTGGTATGGGATGGGAGCCTGGGAATGTGCCCGCGGATACAGAAAATCGACGCGACGCAGAGGAATAGAGAGGATATCTCAGGCGAAGATGTGCTGGGGATAAAAACAAAGTTCACAGAGGACTGTCTGAGTCTGAATGTTTTCACGCCGATTGATGCTGAGGCCGGCGACGATCTACCTGTCTTGGTTAATATCCCCGGGGGAGGATTTCATCTACCGGGACGCAGTAATGGTGGGGAGATGGTAATGAAGAGTCGCCGAGAGAAGGGCAGAGATGGGAAGCTGGACAAAGGCATCATCCTGGTGACAATGTACTACCGCAACGGCATCTACGGCTTCTTATCTGGAGAAGAGATTGCCAAGGACGGGGACTATAATAACGGGCTGCGGGATCAGAGGGCCGCGCTAGAGTGGGTACAAAAGTATATTCGATACTTTGGAGGGAACCCGGATCGTGTCATCTTGATGGGCACGAGTGCGGGTGGTGCCTCAGTGTTGCTGCAGCTCACGGCCAACGAGGGAGATAACTACTACCCGGTTCCTGGAACTGGGAGGAAACCCTTGTTCCACGGAGCGATTGCACAGAGCCCGGCGAGTCCTACGTTCTTCACACCAAGCCAGGCAGAGAAGTTCTGGAAAGAAGTGGCTGGTGGGCTGAACTGCACCGACATTACCTGCGTACGGAACTCAAGCCCGGGAGATCTTTATTACGAGAATTACCCCATGTCCTTCCCCGGCCGCAACACGCCGCCACGATGGATGTGGGCGCCCACCACCGAGCCAGCAGGAGGCATGTGGACGGAATCAGCGCCTTCTGCCATAATGAACAACCACTACGCCAAGGTCCCTACAATCTTTGGATTCACAACCAATGAAGGATCAGACCAAGTAAAGAAGTTCACAGACAGCGAAGGGGACTTCAGATCCTACCTTGCAGACCACTACCCGCTGCTCACAGACGAGGACCTCAATTTGCTGGTAAAGACATACCCGAATGAGCGCCACTGGCCCGACAGCGGGAAATACTGGGATGCTATATCCAAGGCACAAGGCGATATCCGATACATCTGCCCTACTTACCTAGCCTCGAATGCCATGGGCACATACAACCCCTCCTCCGTACCCACCTACCAATACCAATGGGACGTGATGTGGGGCCCAGACATCCACAACGGATTCGGCACCAAACACGCCGGCACCGTGGGACAAGTCATGGTCAAGCGTCCCAACGAGATCAGCGACTACTTCATCTCGTTTATCAAGCACCTCGACCCAAACGCTGAACGCACAAAGGGCTCGGCTGTTTGGGAGAAGTTGGATGAGCGGAAGAGGAGGATGTTCTTCACCAACATCAAAGAAGGGGGCAAGCACGGCGATGGAGAGGACATGCTGGGGAAGACGAGGACGTGGATGGAGAAGGTGGATGAGGGGAGAGAACACAGGTGTGGAACCGTTATTGGTGGAATGCTAGAACGCCTGCAGATGAAGGGTGTGGAAGCGCTGAAGCTTGACTGATTGCATGCATGCATTGTCTTGTGCCCTGGAGACCCTGGCGTTCCATCCTTTTATACCTCGTTTTGCAGCGTCGAAACGGCATTTACAGGCGTTTTAGAAGCTTTAGAGGGTTATATATCTAGGCCTTACGCCATGTTGAGATATGCTTCAACACAGATTGCGGTACAATGTATACTTCAAGTCTCGTAGATTTTGACCTTGGGATGTGGTGGGGAGCCGTATTGCCATGCTGGGTTGGTGCGGCGAGGGGGTTCTCCCGAGGTCACGTCTACTGCCCAGGTTGTCTCCCTTCTCTCATTGAAGTCCCTTTCATGTGTGCGCGGATATCTTCAGTAGATCGAAGTCTAGATCATGGGTTGACTGACTGAACAGCGAAATAACCGCTACAGAACAAGTAGAGACCGGAGTGTGGAACCTAATCGAAATCCACGTCGCATCGAAGAAGATGGTACCTACAGATTTACGTTTGTCACGCATCTGCATCGTATTTCATCTTACCTGGGCATGGCTAGCTTGGACTCCGCGTTGCCTCCTATCTCAGCTAGCCTCACCTTGCTGTCTTTCTCTCACCTGAAGCGTCTTACGCCTGTTGCGCTTCCCATGGGTAAATCCCACATTGCTACTTTAGTTCCCACTCCATCAACACCTCTTGTTTCTCTTCTTTTTGCATACTTTCCAATCAATCACATCAACCACTGCACCACTCTTTTCAAGGTGCGCACACCACGACAGACCGTCGAGACTACCCTGCTTCCTCACATGCAGGTAGCGACGATCAACCTTTCGGCACAGTATGACGAGATCGAAATCAAAACAGAGACTCCCTGTCCGGGAAGACAGTCCCTTGTTCGAGCCTGAGACTTCGCTGGTACCTAATCGGGACGAACCGCTGGAGCACTTCCAAGCAAGATCACATGAACGAGTTCATCTAAACGGGCCTCAGCGAACAAACATGAAACCGCAGAATTTTAAGCCGAATATGGTCCCAGGTCCTTCATCGTCTGGACTAAACATAGTGCCACACAAAAGAAAAGGTATGCCAATATCACTTCCCCGAAGTGCCAATTCTTTAAATATAAGCTGACTACTAACAGCCGACGAAATCCTTGATACTGAAGAAGACTGGGGAATTGACGATGGTGATGATCTTGTCGAACCCCATGATCCCGATAGCGAACCGCTACCAGATCTACCCATGTACCATCCGTCAGTCAAAACAGTGGAATTGATGTGCACTCATCTCATTCAAGACTTCCACGCGTTCATAAGTAAGAGCGCGTACCAAGATGATGAGACGGAGTACTTGTTGAAAGAGGCCAAAGAACTCGAGCACGCTCCTCATGAGTCGCACATTCTTCGTTTTGCTGTTATTGGAGATGCTGGCCAGGGAAAGTCATCTCTGTTGAACTCCATGCTTGGGCATGAGAATTTGGCTATTCATGTAAGTTTCAGCTAGGAGTGCTTTAAAAATGCGCGAACGACTAACAATATCAAAGGCAGCGGATGGTAACAGTTGTACCTTTGTTGTGGTGGAATATGCTCAAGCACCTCCAACCCAGAAATTTCCATTTCAAGCTTCGGTGGAATTCCTCTCTCGTCAGAGCTGTAGAGAGCTGGTCAAAGAACAGGTCCAAAACTTCTTCCAACATTTAACCATGAGCGAAGACGTTGATGAAGAGGAAGCGAATGAGAAACGACTCGCCTCTGGCACTTGTATCACGCTTCTTATGGCGTTGTTCATGGGTGAACCCGAATTCCAAGACAAAGAAAGAGCGGAAGACTTTTTGACCAGTGCTTCGTCACCAGATGACCCTAAGCTTATCAACAAGCTCATGGGTTGGACTGAGCACATTCTCGATGGCTTCATGCAAAATGGAGATACCAACGACGTTGCGACTCTATACGCAAACACATCATCTAGTATCAGCGAAATGATTCAGCCCTTTACGATGACAGTTCAGTACCCGAGTTTTGAAGGTACGGAACTGTTCTGTTGTCCATGGCCGCTTGTCAAAAAGGTGCGTATTTGCATGCACTCTCGAATACTGGAGCAGGGAATCATCATTGCCGATCTCCCCGGTACGACAGACAAGATACGATCTCGTGTGGAGGCCGCAAAGCGGTATCTACAAACTTGCGACATAAGCATCGTAGTAAATAAGCTCGACCGTGCGATCGACCATGCGTCTTTACATAACTCTATCAACGAATCATTCAGGAGAAGAAGATCTGGAAACACGATTGTGGTATGCACACGCTCCGATGATCTAAATATCAATTCGAAACAATCGTTTCCTTCCATCCCGACGGAAGAGAAAGGGATGGCGGAGATCATGGAAAAGGAAAGCGAGCTCAAAGAACGGTTACACGACATTCAAGTTGCGTTGGCATCTCCTGGAGTAAGACGCCACCCTCTTGAAAAGTACAAACTTGTCGATAAGAGAGAGAAACTGGACCGTGAGAAACAATCTCTTTTTAGGAAACGATTCGGAATCCGTGTATCAGCACGAAACCGCCACGTCAAGCAAGGCATCGCAGAGCAGTACCGGCAGGACACCAAAGATCGCTCCACGCTGCCAATATTCTGTGTGTCTAACCCGATCTACATGCAACATCTGGGCGGTCACTACCCCAAGAAGAACCCACCAGACTTGGAGCTAGACTCGACCGAGATTCCAGCTTTGCGTAATTTCATCTTCTCCAAGCCCTCACAGGGAAGGTTTGCATCACTTGAACATTATTGTCGCTCCCTACTTCCGACATTTTTCAACACGATAGAGATCTCTTGTAGCGTATCTAAGATTAAGAGGAAAGACGACCTGAATAGAACCTTTCATAAGGCTCGAGGCGTATGTACTTCCATATCTTGTTCGGATATATGGCTAACGATAACAGAGCTTGAAAGCGACTGTTCAAGACGTTGCAGACAGCTTCGCGCAGTTCGAATTCGATCTTGTCTACAAGACTATTGGTAGGCCGAGTCTCGAGTGTTCTCCATGATCATGTCTAACACGGACTTAGCGAAGAACGAATTGAAGTGGATTAACCGTGGCAGACGCAAATGCGAGAAGTGGAGCCAAGTGAGTCCATGCACTATAGTCTGAAACACTCACACTCACGAATGCAGTTAAAACCGGCCGGGTTCACAGCAGTTATTCGTCACTGTGGTAAGGTTTCTCCGCACCTAGGATTTGAATCTCAATCTGACCTAACAAAGGCACCTGGGGGACGAAGAAATGTCCTCAGCAGAATTGGAACCCAGAATTGCTATCGTCCGTTCAAGAGGACCTAGACCCCGTCTTCGAAAGTCTCTACAATACCAAGTGTGACAATCTATCCACGGAAATTTCTGAGCGCGTAGGTGAAGCTGTGGAGAAGCTTAATGACGCACTGAAAGGTAAAGTTGAACTTCTCTGCCACTTTATGATGCGGTGCTGACTCCCTATAGTGGACCCTGCCGCGTCGCTTTCAGGTGCTATAGAAGCGTTCCGTAACAACCTCAAAGAACGCCGAAACCAGATTGATAAGCTGTGCGAGAAATTCCGAGGGCAGATCAAGAAGGAGATCAGGTATTACATTTCCACCATACTCATATAACTGCAGCTAAGGTCACCAGACAAATTCACGTCCGCGCAATCACAGACGACGAGGGACATTACCTCACTGAAGCTATGAAAGAAGTCTATTCAGCAACCATGAGTGTAAAAGCCACTCGCGGCCAAAGAGTTCACGACGCCCGCTCCGCTGCACTCACCCGTGGTATCACGACGCTCAGTGGTACCTTCATGAAGATCTCCCATGGTGTCCGGGGAGACTTTGACAAGATGTTCAAAGAGCACATCAACAAGCTTATCAAGGATCTTGACATCGTCTTTCTGCGGACCCAGCATGATGTCAGTCTGGTTTGCTCTACCAAAGAGGATGACAGCCCGGACGCGAAGAAAATGCGCGAGGAGTTGCTGGCCAAGCTTCCGGATGCGAGACAGCACCTCCAAGATGAAATATGGAAACACCTTGGGCACTGCAAGATGTCTAGGACATGACCGCTCTAGGACTACTGAAGTTGACATTTCATATGTTCAGACGGTAAGCAAGGACGATACAAATCAAGACTTACTATTTGGTATACAGCTGAAACATGGCTGAGTTGGTAAATATCTTTCATTTTGGAGTGCTTAAGACAAAAGATTTGGAACTTCAAACTAGTGCGACTGCATGCAAAGCGGTGGTATCACCTTTTTCATTCATTGAATCTTGGCGGCAGACTCAGCTGCTTATGTGAGTTTACTGAGATTCACATCGGATACTCGAACAGACTAGTTCTCATTTTTCGAGGAGCATTGAGGAATGCGGTGATCTATAATGGGCTCTTTATTGTCACTTTGCATGTTCATCAAAGGTTCAACCTCACTAGTTCTATAAATTCATTATTCTTTTATATGTATTGACTTCTTATTCTCGAACAGGCAACGTCTACATTCGCTCCTAAGACGCTGCGATACGATACTAACTATAAGCGCCAAAGAACCGTACCTCCCTACTTATTAAGATGCTAGTGGTCTGGAGGTTCTTGCGGTCGACAAAAAGACGAAGCTCGCCAAGTGCATGTATTCGTGATTGATAAAATATGATAATTGAAGCATTTAGAGGCTTTTGGGCCCTCGTTCGCAACATGAACTTTCCTAGCATTGATCCAAGTAGTTCAGCCATCTGAACATATGCAAGCTACATAATCGCAAACCTGAGAGTTTTGTGAACTCCTCAAGCGAGTGCTCTAGATAGCACTACTCACATGTCTTAATACGTATTTATTTCTGTTTTAGTACCCTTTAGCAAAGTTTTGTGCTGTGAGAGCTCTAAGAGCTCTTTAGCCCCTTCTTATACTGAGGCCCCCCAGGACACCTTATTGGGTTCCAAAGTAAACAGGCAAATTAGCGCAAGGCTGCTACGAAGCACACAGAAATTGATGCATACACTGAAGCTTGCCTTATCGTCATGATAGCTGCCGAAACGAAAGTGCGACCTAGAAACGCTCGGCCCAAAGATAGGCTACTAACGGGTCGTGCACACTACTTGAATGGTAGACAGCTGATATAGTATACGTACAAACATAGCAAGAACCTGGTGCTGAACATGACATACAGTCAAGACAAGAGCGGCCAGCGAGCGCCAACGAGCGCCAGCGAGCCTGCCGCTCCTGTCTGGCGCCGCGCAGCGGCGTCGACATTAGCATGGCCCCTGCACTAAGGATGACACGCTCAATCAAAGAGAAGCTGCCATTTTTTTGCTCTTATTCTTGCTTCTTGTACCAATTTGCAATACTGCAGACACGGCTTCCTCACAGGACTCATAGTCATAACATTCGCTGGTGTGCCAACAGTTACAGTTATTCGGTGACTAGGTGCTAGCAGAGGGCTCAAAAGTGTCGAAAAGCAAAAAGAACGCTAATTATTCGTTACAGCAACGGCTCGAACTCACGCCACCACCACCCCTCTCAGATCGCCTCGACGACTTGTAGGATGATAGGAGTAGGTAAAAAGCAAGTAATAAGAGCAAAAAAATGGTAGCTTCTCTTTGATTGAGCGTGTCATCCTTAGTGCAGGGGCCATGCTAATCTTCTCTGTATCGTTTCAAATTGACCAAATGCCCGAAGGCGTAGGTAGGTGAAGTTTTGAATTATATATAGTCCAGCAATAGATCTGTGGACCTATTGCGGACTATTGCAGGCGTTGCGCAATAAAAGGTTTGGTTTCGCGTTTAGTTTCGCGTTTAGTTTTGCGTTATGTGGGCGACAGGCAAGAGCGAGTGCTGCTAGCGCGCGGGCGGACCATGCCGTGGTGCGTGCGGTAGGCAATAATGTGAGACAGTCGCGTGCTTTGCGACATATTGTGTGCGCTACGAACATGGATAAACACTCGTATGCTGTGGATAATGAAATAACTTCTAGCTCTATACTCAACCCGTAAATCAGAAGAGCATTTCGTAGCCTGAATAGTTTCAGTATTTATCTTATATCTCAACTATCACCCTAAAGATACCTGACGACCTCCAGGCCTGCGTTAAACATGGTTGTTTCCTAGGTTAACGGTGGGTGGTTTAAGCGCGGACAATAGCAGAAATGAACCGGTCTCATCTCAGGCTTCGAGGGTTGGACTGAAATGTCGTTCTACGTTTCCATCTTGTTTGAGTGGAGATTTTGAAGTTTGCCCCTCGTCCCCACCTTCTGCGATCTTAGGCTCTTTCCAGCCCAGTCGCCAGGCTACTGAGGTCCACATGTGTCACAACGGATGTATGCAATTGCCATGGCTTTCGGGTATTTGGTTATTTGAAACAATACAGCGCGACGGCGCAGCTGAAATTCGAGCTATTCAAACGGCAAGGAAAGAATATGAGTGGGGAAGAGGGTATCATTATCTCTGTCTATGCATCCAACAAGTCCATCACCAGCTGCGGAATGACCTGCACGCCCTCTCCTTGCATCGCACTTATGGGCACAGCCTGTACATTGTGCCTCCATGCATTCTTCTTGCCGCTAGGGTGAGGTTGCGAGCCTTTGCTCACCTCCTCCAGAAAGCGTCGTAGAGCCTCAAAGTTCGCTTGCGTGTCTGGCAAGTCCGCCTTCGTTGCGGCGACGAACCAGGGCTTGGAGGAAATAGGCGTAGATGTAAGGAAGGGGAGAGGCTCTGGAGATGGATCCAAGTGTGGCAAATCGGACTCATCGCTGGGTGGTGGGCTACTGCCAGCTGGCTGGTAAGTCACCATTCTGCGCTCCGTCTCAGCGTTGAGCTCTTTTCCACGCATAGACTCGTATTCGGAGACTTCGCGCCAGAGAAGTTTAAGCGCTTCAACCGCGTCACCAGCTGACAGGTCGATGACGAAGGCAAGGACTGCTGCACGCTCAATGTGGCGTAGAAAGCCCAGTCCAAGACCTTTATCGAGGTGTGCGTCTTCAATGAGTCCTGGTACGTCGGCAATTGTGAAGTTTTCACGTATCTCGCCGTTCCGATTGCGCGATGAAACTAACGGCCGCCCCTTGTGGTTGTCAAGCACCACGGTGCCAACGTTCGGTTGCAGGGTCGTGAAGGCCCAGTTGCCCACTCGAGCACGGCTGTTACTCAATGCTCGAAGCAGTGTGCTTTTCCCGGCATTGGGTAAGCCCACGAGACCCAGGTCTGCCAGTATCTTCAACTCAAGCTGCAATGAGATCTTCAAGCCTTCATCTCCCCGCGTAGCCATCTTCGGCCTCGAGTTGAACGGCGTCATAAAGTGTGGGTTACCCAGGCCGCCCATTGCGCCTGCAGCTATCAACAGAGGTGTCTCCATATGCTTATCTAGGTCCAGCCACATGGGCGCTTGTGGTTCGAGGGCTGCGAGATGCGATCTTCGGGGTGGAGGGAGCTTTGGGAATCTCATCCTGTTGAGCTCTGCGGGTATTGTGCCGGGAAAGACGAGCCACCGGTCTTTTCTGTAGACGCCCTTCCCTTCTTCCGAGTCTTCCGCTTCTCCTTCGTATGATTCCATCTTCCAATGTTCTTCCTCCATGATCGCAATTGGGTCATGTCGCTGTATCTCGCGCACAATCGTCCCAATTGGCACCGTGATAAGGATATCCGCCCCCCGCTCACCACCCTTCACCTTGCCTTGCCCGTTGCGGCCTCTGCCAGCCTTGATCAGCCGCCGTCGAGCGAGCTTGTGCAGGGACGTCTCGCCGCGGACTGCCTGTATATAGACATTGCCTCCACTACCACCATCGCCGCCATTGGCGGGTCCTTCTTCAATGTATTTCTCGCGCAAAAAGGAGACGCAGCCATGGCCGCCGCCGCCAGCTTCAACCGTGAGGATGCATCGGTCGGCGAAAGGGGCCAGCGAGTAATCGTCCGCTGTAGGGTCCAGTCGTGATGGCTGTGTGTCAGGTCGAACATTGACAGATCCAGTAGCTGTAGAGTTGCATCTTAAATGGAGTGAGAATCTCTTGCGAACCCGACTTCTGCATGCGACCGAAGCAAGTGGTGACTCGAAAAACGCAGGATACAAGAATGGCGTTAGCGTCCCGCTTAGGAAGGACAGTCGAGCGGGAGGCATGCGTCAATTGCAAAGGGCGTCGTGGATGTAGAAAGATGTCTCGTACTGCCGCTGAAAGATTTCTGGAGATGACATCTGAAGGAGGGCAAGCGAATCACAGCCCGGAAGATCGTCAAGTGTCCCCGGGAGCTTTGACCTCCCCCTCCTGATGCCTCGGTGCACCACCACTCCAATAGCACGTACATCTAGATTTTCTTTGCTCGGGGCTTTTTCAACGACATAGACGAACAAATCTGATACTTCGCGAACTTGCAAGACTTGCGTGGCAATACCAGTATAGTGCTTACTTCCTCCCAACAGTCTCCCCACGTCACTACCATGCTCCGGTGTCTCCTACTTACCGCATCGTCTATTGTGCTGCGCATTGTGGACCCCGAAAACCTCCCGGCTGGGGAAATCGTGTCCCTCTCGAAAAATCAGCTTGCAACACTCATCTGGTATCTCAAGTGGGGGCTATCATTATGGGCTGTAGTCGACCTCAATTCTGCGTTGAACCGCTGGGCGGCGAACCGATGGGTGTGGAAGATTGATAAAAGCGTTTGGAACTTTCAGACCGAAGTCGCAGTCGTCACTGGTGGATCAGCAGGGATCGGAGCTTGTGTAGTCAAGAAGCTCGTTTCTCATGGTATTAAAGTCGCGGTCTTGGATGTCGGGCCACTTTCAGAATCTTTCACCCAAGGTACGTTGTCCGTGAAATACCTTGACTTGCGACCCTAACGCGCATCGCACATCAAGCCGAGAGAGATTCCATTCGTTACTATAAATGCGACATCACTTCTCGAGACGAGATACGCGGTGCAGCAGAGGCGATTCGCTCTGATCTCGGCTCGCCCTCAATACTCATCAACAACGCGGGTATCGGCAATGCAGGGACGATTCTCGACATTCCTCTAGAAAACTTGAAAAAGATGTTCGACATCAATCTTCTCAGCCACTGGAGCACTGTTCAGGAATTTCTTCCAGATATGCTAGCTAAAAGAAAGGGCCATATTATGAGCGTCGCAAGCCTCGCTTCTTTCGTCGCTCTAGCAGGAGCAGCCGACTACAGCTGCACAAAAGCCGCACTTCTGGCTTTCCACGAGGCCCTCACGCAGGAGGTGAAGCATCGATACAAGTGTCCTCAGATCATGACCTCTATCGTTCACCCCAACTGGACAAAATCAGCTATAACAGCACACCCAGCGATCGAAGCTGGACTGAAGCGGATTGGTGCGCGCCTCCTAGAAGCCGAGGATGTTGCTGAAGCTATGGTCAAACAGATCATTTCTGTAGAGAGTGGGCAAATAGTTCTAGGCCCCGCCATATCTCCAAAAATCCGTGCCTTACCTCTTTGGCTGCAAGAGATCCTTCGCGACAGTCAGGCAAACGTGGTCACTGGAAATGGTTCGACGTCGTGAGGTCTACTTTCACCGTGTCTCATCGGACCCGCAATAACAGAGGAACTACCCATGTGTATTCCACGAGCTAGGGGGCCAAGTTTCCCGAAATAGCGACCTCAAAACTACAACGCCGCAAGTTGGAGGATGAGGCTCAGCGGCTGTACCCACGTCGTTTCCAAACGCCCCAACTATTTGCGCCTCTTTCAGGCTGCGATTTACAAGCAATGGCGCTGGCGCACGATGCTCTAGGACTGGTGACTATACAAAGAAGCGAACCATAAAACCTATCAACTTTCCGACACAGCTTTTCTTTCTTTCCCATTTCCCGATCGCTTTGCATCTTCAAAATGCCTGCGAGATCTTGCGGCCCCATTTCTAAATGTGGGCTAATTAGAGTACGCGGTACATTTCGGGGTTGTATGCGGGCTCCGCCCCAGCTTGTACAGGGACCTTGCAGCTACGCCTTTCCAAAAAAGGCCCGATGTACGATGAAATCCAACATCCAACGCCGTATGCACAATAAGTGCGGCGCTCTTGAGTATGCTATGCTGGTCGTGTTGTTTCATTATTTCTGCTTGTTCTTCACCGTGTTGCTGCCATTCTCTTTGCCACTCGTCTCCCACCGAACATGCGATGTTGTTCAAGAGCGCTTTGTTCGTTTCGTACATTGGGTTACTAGTATTGAAAAGTGGGGCTGCGCCGAATAGACATAGTATGTTGCTTGATATGTCTCTGCCACTACGTCTGCTAACTACCATTGAATAGATGAAGCCTCGTTCAGAAGTCGACGTGTATCAGAAGATTTCGAATTCTCCGTTCTTCCGCGCCATGGGTTGCCTTACCGGAACTCAACAGTCCAAGCCACCTCTAAAAGTACGACTTCTTCCACAGTCGCTATCTCTAGAGTTGTGGGACCTGGGGTATCGTCCATATCGGAGAGCAGTACTGCTCCTGTTGTGGGGACCACGCAACCTCTAATCTCTTCCTACGGTCCCGAGTTACCCTGGTCAACATCAATTTTTGCCTCAGCGACGTCACGTAGAGACAGCGACAATGGGATACCGATATCAACTACGAACGACATATCCACGACTTCTGCGTATAGTTCCACGCAAGCACAACGATCATATACCACACGTATAGTCAGCGCTACAACTTCAGCCGAAGGCGTGATCTCAGATAAGATATTGTCACTCGCATCGTCAAGCGATGTACATACACGTTCTAAGACAAACACCAAGCTCACCACGAGCGATTTGAAACCAACACCTCATGGCAGCTCAACAGCATTGTCAGGATCTGCGCTCACACCGCAATCCTCCAATGTGCAGCCAACAGCAACAAATCTTCGCGGCGTAGAGACTTATTCGGTCACCTCCTCCATCCGGACCTTATCCAACGTGGATCAGCGAGTTGACCTAAGTAGCACCTTAGCATCAACTATGCCCTCCCATTCTGTTCTACTGGTAAATAGCTCGCTACCTAACAGTCTCGTCCCGGCCTTGGTGGCACCTACTACTGGAGATCAATCCCCGGCCTCTCACACACCAACGGCGACCGCCAGTTATACTTTGGCTGCCATAATATCTTCTATGACTCTGGGCACTGGAGAATTACATTTAGAACCAACTGTTCACTACAATGCTTCTTCTACGGCTGAGAGAAGCTTCGGAATGCAGCCAGCGGAATCAGGTGCGGTTACGACAATCACTAGGAGCAGCATGACGCTCAATATACCAAAAGCCAGTCCCACGAGCCTTTCTCTGCTTAACTCGACCCTAGATCCCGCTGGGGATGAGACTGCTGTTCATACAGCGAGGACGTCAAGAACGATACTGCCAACAGGAGTGATGTTAAGTCGAAGCAATATTCTGTCTACTCAGCCGACAAGCATGTCGGAATCTAACTCGACCTGGTCGATCTCAACTCTGTATTTGCCAAAACCTACCAAGGGCTTCTCTAGTTCGACCAACACGTCATTTCACTGTACCACTACGTCGATCATAACATCAAGTAAATCATCTCAACCAACTGGCGCATTCAGCAATTCCAATAGGACTCAACTTCAGGGGTGGAACACTACAGCCACGCCGGGCCTGCGTAACTCCACGATTGCAAATACTACTCGCGCTAGTATCTTGATCGCAGGAAGCAGTGTTACTACACCAACGGGCTTTCCAAGTTCTATACCTGACGATGCGAGCTATGAGACTACAAAGACTCTGCCCACGACTTCCACACCCACCAGCACCGCTACCGAGACCGCCGCAGCCTTGCCTCCACCTTTGACTACACCACAAGCTGCTGGTGTGGCTGTAGGAAGCACGGCTGGCGTTCTTCTCGCCGTTGTTGCGGCGATCTTCATTGCTCGTCGCTATCATGCTACACGGACGACGAGGCGTTCGAGTACAGCAAGCGTCTATCCTAAAGAGGCATACTTGTACGACCCTCCCGCTAGAGGGAGCAGTGGAGATGGCGACGATAACAACATTTCCGCTTTCTCGTCCAGGGGAACTGACGGCATGTCGCCACGGGGATTTATGCTCAGAGAACCGCAAAACATCTCAGATAGCGATCAACATTTCAGTACTGGGGCGACCAACCGTTATAGCGATCCTGGAAATCCGTTTAGAGACCCAGGCCCCCAGCAGACTTTGGGGAGCTCAACTAGAAACTCGTTTCTCGCCCCGACCGATGCAGCTGCTGCGCTATCTGCCGCGATTGCAGGGTATGCGGTTGCTTCGCAATGGTCTCCTGCGACACCTGAGTTTCAAGCACCCCAGCCTTACCGCGATCTTGACTTTCCATCTCCAACATTGAGTGCGAGCCATCGTCGCCACCGTAGTTATGCAGGGGCAACAAGTCGGTCCAACAGCACATATACACAGATGTCCATGAGCATAAGCACATCTCAAAGTTCCCCTACATCTGAGCACCCATCTTTCGAGCATGACCTCCTCCTGTTAGTCAATCCACGAACGGAAACGCCAGAATCCGTAATGCTATATGCGCCCCCTCTTACACCTAAATTATCTGCCCAACAAACCTTGCCATCGAAATCGCCTACAGCAAGCACTTCACAGAAGTCCCTTATCAGTCCACTTTCTTCTAAAATGGGGTTCACCTCAGACAAACCCACCTCGAGGCCTGAACAGTATTCGCTTGCCTACGATAGGCAGTCTTCGACTACCTACATCGGGCCATCAAGTGATGATGGGACCCCTACGCAGCCATTTTCGCCTGTCTCGCCTATATCACCACCTATCCACAAGGGCTGGGACGAGATCAAGCGCTACTCGAGCGAATCGAGAATTCCTCCGCCGTTACCTACATCTCCACCGCTGAACTTCAGTCCACCACACAAGTTATCTCTTCCGCCGACCAAAAAGAGGTCACTCATCCAGCTACGACGAAAGGAGCCCGCACTTGCTGGAACAGGACAAGCCATAATATCTAGCACGAGCCATCCACTGACCGTCCAGATCCCCTTCAAATATAACAAAAGCACAGGGTTCGAGGGCCCGAGGGCGAGTCTATTTGCGAAGCTGAATAACATGGGAGATGCGCGACGGCATGGTGTTTATAGCCCTGGCTTCACGACCACGGAGAGTGGTCACTCAACTGAGTCGATGAGAAAGGGAGAAGGGGAAGTTGCGCGTGCAAAGTTGACTGTCACTAAATCCTGAGCAAGACATTCACTTCTACATACATAGCATTTCTACCAGCATAGGTCTCGCGTTTTGCATCGAAGGGGTGTTGAAGGGCCAGCATATCATTTTCTGTCTTCTCCGGCGTCTTGGATAAACATAGTCGTATATTACGACCGTAATTTGTATTATTAGTTTCTAGTTCAACCAGACTGTTCGCTATGCACATTACACAGGTTTCTTGACATCGAAGTAAACTGCCATCAAGTAGGCTGCGCAGCTGAAACGAAAAAGAAAGAAGTGATCAACACCATGCGACGAGCATTCTAATAATCGCATCTGAGAAGGCTTGAGAATCAACCACACGGTTAATCTTCGCATAGTAAGAACTCTAAGCAAGGTTCAAAACCTTCTCCTCATCTTCCCATATCTCGGCGCTTCTAAAACCTTATTACATAGTCTTTCTGATCCTACCTATAAAGTTCTCGCCCAAGGCTCATTGCTGGGTAATCCAAGCAAGTTACCCGCACCCGCGCGCTCATCTACAAAAAGCGCATCCGGACACTTTACCTATCGCGTATAGAACGACTCCATGTCGATCGGCGATTTCCTCCCCTCACTTTCCCACAAAAAAACAAAAGTTTTGCCCCCCCCGCCGGGCCGCCCTTGCTTCGCGTGGCAAAAAAAAAAGCACAAAAGCAAACAAGCCAAAAAAACAAGAAAGGCGAACTAACACACCCGGAACCTTCAGTATCCGCTCGATCAATTCCAAACCAAGAAAGAAAGAAAGAAAGAAAAAAATGACACCGAAATACACCCTTTTCCAACCTGGGCCCCCCGCGCGCGCAGAAACTCTATTCTTTTTTTTTTGCGGAATGAACAGCCCACTTTCTAGAGCATAGGGGGCGGTGTAGGCAGGCAGGCGGGCGGGTGGAAGTTTATTATAGTCGCGGCAAAGATAATATGGTTCCCCGAAAACGCGCGCCGGGGTAAAAAAAAAAGCAATTTAGGCCAATGGAGAAAGCTTACTAACCGCGAAGGAAGGGGGCACTGAACTGAGACGAAAACTTTAATCAACTCTTGGGGTCAGTGCGCGGCTTGGTGGGTGGGGGAGTTCTATAACAGTACTCTATGTACAGGTACCTGTGTGGCAGCGGAGGGAAATCCGACAAAGGACCGGGTACCATGTTGCTGGCTACAGGGCGACTAACGCTAAGGAGATAATGTTTGCGAGACGAAGAGCTGGGGGTGCTAAGCAGCAGAGATTGGACGGTACCCATGGGCAGAGACGTTTCATCAACGACTAGGTTCTTCTTCTATCAAGGGGGATCTGCCGCAATCTTGCATGTGAAAAACGTCTCGTGACTATTCGTCGCTAGCTATCATACAGGGTGTGCGCGCGTAACTCTGTCGAGTAATCGCGAAGAAGCCCCTCCGCGGCAGTTCGAGACTAGCGCTACAGCCATCAACTTCGACATCATCAAAAGTCGTTCCAGAACATGACAGCCAACGGTCCGTCCCAAAGATTCATTGTTCCAGCACATGTCATCGTGAATCACACACCAAACTTCTCCGCGCAGTAGAGACGTATCGCCTCAGCCCAATCTTTACATACCATTGATGCCGTCATTGAGATTGTTGATATCCTCTTCTTGCACGACAGCCACACCCTTGCGTTTGCTCTTCTTCTTGTTCCACAAGTCCACAAGCCACTCATGAGATGCTTCGACCGTAATCGGGCCGGGACATAGTGGGAGCTTTTGTCGGTAGTTGTGCTTGTACTCTTGGATTGCTTGGTGGCAATCGATTTCTTTAGCAAGGCGCTCGATGAACCTTTTTGCTTCGTCATTGGTACCGGCCAAGTTAGTCAGCAGAGTCTCAAGTTCAATCTTGGCCTCGTTGGTCTTCAGTCGACTGAACCTATGGAAGTACTTGCGCTTGTAGACCTCCATGGCTGTGTCTAGGGGAGGTGCCAGACCACCCATTTCGCGTATGGCTAGTAGCGGAGTCTCGGTGTAGTTCCAACAATCCTCTGCGTGCAAGGAGTTACGGTGGAAAGCCTGCACGTCGAAGAGGTGAACCTTGATGGCACCGATGGCAATCGAATTCTGCAGTGTCTGTCTCAGACCCTTGATATCCAGACTCGAATTGAAGACAGGATTGCCTGATTCAAGATCGACACCCTGTGTCTCAGTTCGAGTGACGCGAATCCGCATAACGAAGGTATGAACTTGCCCAAGGCGCAAGACGGGAATATCTTGGCTCCCACAGCTCTCGATGATCTTGCAGCCATGTCTGGTACGTATATCGATAGACACATTGGTGAGCTCTCCAACAGGCTTTTCGGCGCGAGCATTTTTCATGATGCGCTTGATGCGACCGGGAAGGGACTGGTAGGAAGCCCAATTGCTAATGAACACATTCATGCAGCAGTTGTCGGTGCATATAGTGTCTAGAACCTCAGGATCGCGGCGATAAGGCAGAGCTGCAGGATTGACTCGGTGGATGTACAGATCGGGGAAGTATGTCGAGACGCCGTGTAGGATGTAAGTAGCGGGAGATAACAAGATGACGTGAGTGCGACCGATCTTTAGATCTTGATCCTCCAGTGACCTTGCCACGCCGATAATGACCTCGGCCATGGATGGGTTCGGGCGAGGCGGCTCCCATACCTGTGTACCACATACTGCGATCCCGGTAGTCAAGTCTCGGAAAGTCTCCTCGCTATCTGCGCTGAAAGGTCGGAGTGGATAGAGCATATCAGGCCTATTGCCTGTGACAGAATGATGAGTGCAATGCGTTGTGTAGAGCGCCAGGCGATCGCCACGGTCTAGATGGTATAGCGCAGCATTGACCGCGTTCAACGCTCTGCTAAGGCATTCTTTTGTTACGTAGTACCTATAAAGTTACCTCAGCTAGCGACACCAGAGTCTACGGGGGGAGTGCTTACCCGTTATCCACCACAAAGATCACATCAATTGTAGTGTCTGGAAGCGGTTTCCGATTGTGCAAGACTCCCTCAACATCTACTGCCACGCTATACTCCTGCAAGTCTTCGGTGAGAACCTTGATTTCGGGAAAGATCCTGACAGCTGCCCGTAATGTCGTAGGTATCTTCGACGCCTTCGCCAAGACATGTTCATCTGAATTGTCATGATCTTCAGTAGGGGAAGGTAGTTGTTTGGTGATGAGCTTCATCACCGATCCAAACTTAGTACCGCTAGTTGCAGTTAATATAAGCTATGCATAGAAACCACATTTGCATTGCAACAATCATATTGACGAATGACAATTGAAAAGCTGTATAGCAAGGGTGACGTACTTGCGCGCGTGTTTCCTCATATACGCCTCCACGGCTTCCTCGCTCGGGTCTTTCGTGTCAAGCTCCATCTCCGCCTCTGCATGGGTTGCAAGCACTACAGTAGTCGTTGGGGAAGATGTGTCAGAAGTGTCGCCCGCGCTACCACTCGTCTCTCCGGTTCCTGTGCGGCGCAAACGAGACAACCCAGTTGTGAATAGCCGGAGTCGAGACGAACGTCGCCTCGTAGCCTCAGGGCGGACATTGGCGTTGTGAACCACATTTTCCAAAGCCTGTTGCGCAGTAGTGTGTCTAGAGCCAACGGTGGACTCGGGAGGGCTGGACGAGTGTATGGGCTCGTACGATGTCACAGTGTCCAACAGCGGCCATGGGGTTGTGCTAGTGGTATAAGGAGGACCTACCGCGCCGCCGGTCATGGGCTCCTCTTGGCTATTGTTGCGCGAGAAGGCCATCTGATCTCCTGTGCTCGAGTCCGATGCTGACGAGAGGCTATTTCTGTTCTTGCGTATCGTCAGAGGCTGGTCGCTGGGGAGACGGCTAACAGGCAGAGGTGTCACGGCCCACGTTGACGGCACGTTGAGGAAGCTTGCCCAATCGTTGATAGAGGAATGGGAGCTATGATCGAGCGGTGACCCCCAGATGTCGCCTTTGATTTCGTCGATGATATCATCTAGCGGGCCGAAGACGTACTGGGAGTTGTTCTGACTATGAGTTGACTTACGAAGGATGCGCCGACGAAACGTTGCTCTGCGTGGCTTCTTCTGGATGAGGAGCGGAGGCGGACAGAGTGCGACGTGCGAGAGTAGAAGGCCACCAGCTAGCGTCGTGGCCATTGTGGACGTACAAAATGCATACACACAAAGCCTTTCACCGCGTCTCGTTCGCCTTCACCGCGAAGCTTCCCGGGCCGGGATGGGGTGCTGCCCTCAGAACTGCCGGTGACGTCGAGAAAAGCGCAGACAATATCAAGAGATGAATAAGAAGAGTAGCTGATGTACCAAGTTGATATGGAGGCCCTGGGCTTTACAGGGACACTGTCTAAACGGGTAGCGTAGAAGCTTTGTGGAGGAGGAATCGAACTACACTCCAAGGCTACAGAGGAAGTCGCTACCTCAGAACACGACACGTGAACAGACCTATAACGCTCCTGCCGTATGGTGTGCGGGACGGTCAGAACACGCATCTTAGCACCATGTAGCAACTGCATGAAGATGCGAGCACATGTCGTGCCCGGTCAGTGTTTCGAGTCGTTTTGGTCATACTTATATTGGGGTATCATATTCTAGTGTTGATGCATTGCCTGCGCTCAACCAGTTGCTACTCAATGTTTCCGACTTGATGGCAGACCAGCTCTTTTCACTCTCCCGGAGAATGATAGATTTTATGCCTCCGCAGTTCTGGAAGCGGCCATCTGCAGCTGCTCTCTCATCTTCTCCATGGTGTCCTGGTCACCCTCACGGAAGCGAATCTGGCTACATATTAGTGTGTGTGTTGTGGCTGCATGTTTGTATATAGCTTACTATATCTTCCCCAGCGCCAGTACCGAACAGCACAGGTTCAGAAAGACTGGCTTTGACTGCTTTCCCAACGCGCTCCTCCCACACGCCCTCCCAGTTCCACGCTCCTGGCTGGCGATTCCTTCCCAGTGCTGAAGGTTCCGCCATTTTCTCTGTTGGTTCGAGGCTTGGCGACGTCGAGGCAGAAGACTGCTGAGCTTGCAAGACAGGGCGTCGGTACGTCCTCCACGCATGATAAGCCCCCGGGTTTGCCGCAGCCTCGAGGGGAAGAGAGTCTAGAACGGATTCTTCATTGAAGGTTGCACGAATGTACTCTAAGATGCTCACGATGGAGATTTTTGTGGTAGCTAGAGGGGCACTAGCACTCCCAAAAGTAGCATTGCTGGACTCTGATCCACTGACGTCGCGAGAACTGGGTGCAGATCTTCGGGCTCGGCCAAACCAGTGCGGGAAGCCGTGACGGAGACTGAAGCCCCCCGGTGGTAGTCTCTCCTCATCCGTAGCACTGACCGTGTCGGTATCCGAAGAACCAGTCGTGTAAGTATACGTTGTCAGTGGCGTGAGCAGGGGGTGGAAAACATCGGTAGAAAAGGTCACCAGGGGTGGCAGAGTAGGATAGGTGGGCGGGAAGGAGATTTGGAAGCGCAGGACTGCCGGCGCATAGGGACCTGTCAAACGTGAATACACTAGACGGCGGCTAGCCCTACGGCATCTCAGTACCTTTTCGAACGAATATAACGCCGACCCATAGAGACGGGTCGCCTGGCGTGATGGTCACGAAGACGCCGTCGAGCTGTGCATAGCGCAGGCTGGAGCTGGGCAGCGTTAGGACAGGCTGCCGATTGGTGCACCTTGACCTACAACTCAACAAGAAGATGTTGCTTCCGAAAAGACGGGAGAGCCGACGAAGAGACGGGCAGCGGCATCTTGTGGACGGTTAGGAAGAGGATGTGGTTCTCGGGAACGGCAAGACGGGGTATCGAAGCCGATGATGGATGCGCGTTTGACGCTAGGGACCAAAGCGGGTTAGCCCGTCGATGCCACTGGCGGTATTATGGATATCAGTCCACCACACCGCAGTACCTTATGGATGATGATGATGATGCATGGATTTCTGACTTGTCGAGCGCAACCCCTCCAACTTGATTCTCACAAAGCTGTCATGGAGATGAGCGCACATCACAAGGGCCATGCCATGACGGCGCTGAGTCTACCGGCCGACGTGGATGGGTGCGACTGGCTGGGCTGCTCACTCGGCCATGGGCAAACTGTGCCAGTGGTGGTAAGAGTTTTGCTGTGCCACCACGATAATCGATGGCATCCTCCCTGTGTTGGACTTCGGTCCGTTTGGTGCCGTTGGCTGTCCATGTATCTATCTTGCAGTAGCATAGGTAGCGCCCTGCAGACTTGTTGTAGACCGGTCGCTCACTGCGTGTCTTCGTGCCCTGCTTGGAGAGAGAGGTAAGCCGTGGTGGTGGTGCTTGTAACGAGATGAGACTCTTTATTTTTATTTTCGACGTCGCATGTGACACATTGCGGGAGTGACAGCATGCGTCGCTCCAGACAACAGGCGTTCACGGCATTATTGGCAAGCCGTGGCTTTGTGGCAAACGAGGGCGTTCAATATTTATTAGAGTCGACGATTCCAGGTCGGCGGAAGAAGCCACGGCGAGCTGCCTGCAGCGCAGACAGGCATCGGAATTGAGATCGCCCGGCCTTGCCCAAGCTGCTTGGAGAGACCTTGTGTGCCCATGGACCGCGTCTGTTGTGCAACCCGCGCGGCTGCAAATGCGTTGGCCTCAATTGCAACGAATCGAGCCGCGGAAGACGGCGCTCACGTGCATACAGGAATTGAAGAGCGCTGAGGTTGGACCTGTCGATGGACATCGGAAAGAAATCGACCCACGCTGCCGGGTCCGTCGCATCCATCTGTCTATCTTCGTCTCTACCACTCACCTCTGCTCTGCTCTACTCTGCTCTGCCCACTCACTGAGCTGCCTTCTTTGACGCGCCCTACAGCAGCAAGGCCCACCAGGAGGACCACCCTGATCCTCCCAATTCCCACGAATCCAAGCGTGCCACTACTACCGCCACACGACTACTACACCAGTTCTGCCGGCACATGTTTGTCGCGGGTGCAGATGCATACTACTGTCCAGGGGGCAATCCTCCGATGGGCCCCTCTGGAGCAATCAAACGCCTAGGACGCTTCCCGCGAGGCACCAGAAGGCACTAAGAAGCAATGGTCGTCTCAAGCTTCCTCCCTTGCCCCCTGCCCATCGTGTTAATCTCGCGTGGAAGCTGCAGCCACCCCCCAGTCCGTTGCTGCAACAGCCAGCCTTACCTCTACACCGCCTGCTTCGCCAAGCTCTCGTCCTCTGCGGCATCCAAACAACCGCTCTGCTTTACCGGTTTTTGCCTTGTCCACGACTGGCTCGCACCTCTCTCTCACCACGCTGCTGTGACAGCTCAGCCTGCAATACGAGCATGTCCGGCCCACTACATACGCTGGCAGACGTGCTGCTGGCCCTGGGGGGGTGGGGGAAAGGCGCTGACAGACTGGGCCGCAGTACAGAGGATACAGAAGACGACGACGGGCGACGCAGATGGGCGCAAACGAGCGTCAGCTGATAGCATCTTGGGGCGGCCGTTCCAGTCCAGGGTTGCTTATTATTGCTGGTGACGGTGAAGGGTGACGGCACGACACGGCAATGCCAGATATGCGTACCAAGCCACGTCCTGCAACCCGGTTGGGCCCAGTCGCGACGTCGTGAGTGGCTCCAACATCACACATCACGCTGACTGCCCAAGGTTGCGTGGAGATGATACCTGGGGCAGCAAATAAAATCGCCGCATGCCGAGGGCCACGGAGTGGTCTGAGAGATACGGCGAAACGTGCTGTGTCGTCGTCCTGTCCTGTAGCCATTTGGACGACGCGACTCGTGCCTTTGCCGCGCTGACGACGACCAGTATCGTCATTGTATGGCAGGCAGACTCATGTGCACCGCCGCGTGATGGACTTGGGCTAAATCATTCTCGCCGTGTGTGCAGACAGCATGCATCGCAAGTACACCGCTATTTGTGGCGTTTGTGGTGGGAGCCATCATGGTTTGATACCATGTCATGGTGCTATGTCATTGCTGCTATATGTCATGATGCTATGTCAATCAACGTCCCCCCTCTAAAATGGAGCAAATGGAGCATGGACAGCGAGGGGTCCCCTGGGTCCTTGGTCCTTGGTCCTTGGTCGAAGCTGTGTGGGAAATGGAAAATGGAAAATGTGCGGCGACGCGCCCCCTTGCTCTCTGCTGGGCTGACTCGCACGCGGTCGAGATTTGGATCGCAGAACTGCTGGCGCCCCTGAGCGAGGTGAGGGTAGCAAAGATTGGCACTCTGGCACTGCGTCGGCGCCGGAGCAGGTCCTATTCGCCATCGGGGAACATGGGCCAAAGTTCCGCCTTCCGTTTGCGGCCTTTGACGGTCTTGGACGGCCGGCCTGTCGTTCCCTCGATCCCTTTTGTCTAGGCTGGGATCCCCGGTCCTCTGCGGTGCAAGCCTGATGGACCGCGCTAGTGCCTGGGACCGCATCCGCGGGTTTGGGCTAACTTTCAGCCCGCATGTTTTTGTCGGGACGTGCTGCTGATCCCCTTCGCCAGCTCCATGTCGTCTCAACGCTCTTGCAACCTTCCTCAGTCCGCCTTACTCGGTTGCTTCTAGCTCGTCCAATCTCATGGGTTCCGCCCAACCCGGTTCCACTCTTTTTGTGCGAGAAGCTTTGCTCTTCTCCAGCCCTGGCCCACGCTCAGGGGTTACAAGTCTACTGCTCGACTTGGGCACACAATTGCCCTTTTCCATCCGGTGACTTGGAGTCACAACTGACACGAGGCTAGTAGCCATTCGGCTGCCAGCACAGCATGGCCTGGTCGCCTATCGGCACACCAGAGTGTGAGGCTTTGTTACGTCCCAAGCCATGGCTTCCGGATCCGCTCTCATTACATTCGCTGGTCCTACCACTGTCCCTATCCGCCCACACTACGTATCCATACCCACTACTACCATCACCGCCTGTTTCTCCGTTTCCTCCCCGCCGCTACCATCCTTGCCCATCCCAGCGGTCTATCCGCTTTCAGGGCGCCACCCAAATCTTGCTCCTCCTTGTATATATATATACCTTGCAACCCTCGCCTCTACTACTAAACTGACTCTTTGCCTCTGAACCCTGGAGGTACTAATTCATCGCAAACACGCACATGTCTTACCTGTCTCCACTTGCTCATTCTTCAAATACTCTCTCCCATCTTCTGCCTTAGTAGTAGTATCTTTACACTAATCCATTTCCCTCTTCTCTCCGCCGTTGCACAGTAGCATCAATGGCTCGGTATGGCGGGGCGTCTGCCATGGGCAGAAGCAAAACACCTTTCCCAACGCGACAAATGGCCGTACTGGGTGAGTTTCCTCAATGCCGTCGTCGTGTGTCTAGATACTAACCAGTACCAGCATTGTGTCGGATATGTGAGCCAATCGCCTTCATGTCAATCTTCCCCTACGCCTACTTCATGGTCAAATCTTTCAACATCGCAAAAAACGACACGGAAATCGCAATGTACACGGGCATGGTCACCTCCTCGTTCGCATTCATGGAGTGCGTCAGTGGCATTTTCTGGGGTCGATTGAGTGACAGGATCGGACGCAAAAAAGTGCTGCTCGGCGGCCTTCTCGGCACTGGATTGAGCATGCTTCTTTTCGGGTTCGCGAAAAGCCTACCGATGGCTTTGGTTGCCCGGGCTCTCGGAGGTTTGCTGAACGGGTGAGGTCATGGTGCGAATTAGCGTCTTGAGTGACTCGCTAACCGAATATGCAGGAACATTGGCGTCCTCCAAACAACCGTCGCTGAGCTGGTCACAGATGAGAGGCACCAGCGTGAGTTTGCCCGAAATTGCATCACACGACCATCAGAAACTAACTGCGTGTAGCGCGCGCATATTCCATCATGCCTTTTGTTTGGTGTCTAGGGTACGTGTTTCTCCTGAGCACCACGCGTTTCGTACACGGCTGACCGCTTTTTTGTAGCACCATCGTTGGTGGAGCTCTTGGCGGTTTACTGGCATCCCCGGCCGATGCCTTGCCACTGTTCAACGGCACCATTTTCGAAACGTATCCATACCTGCTACCCAACCTGGTGTGTGCCGGTGTGGTTGTGTTTGGGCTTACCGTTGGCATTCTCTTCCTGGAGGAGACCCATGAGGATCGCAAATACGACCAGGATCGCGGACGCGAAGCGGGGCAATGGATTCTGCGCCAAATTTGGAAGCGAGACGCAGATGCAGCATTTAACGACAAGGATGCGGCGCTTGACGAGATGAGATCGATGCTCGAAGATCACAACCACGACGCACCAGCATATCGAAGCACCGACAGCTCACCCACGCTATGTAGCACACGCACGTCAATGTCGGAGCCACCGTCATTCTCCTTGGACAAGATTCGACCTGCGCCTACCATCCGACAGGCCTTCACAAAGCAGGTGTGCTTGACCGTCGTGTGCTACGGCATTCTTGCATTGTAAGTGTCGCCCACGGATGACATCAGTGGCAGGGACTAATTTGTTTCACAGCCATACCATCTCTCTGGAACAACTTCTGCCGATCCTCATGTCAAAGGCGGAGCCCACCAAGGATGATCAGCACCTCCCATTTCGATTCAAGGGCGGGTTTGGCTGGTCTACTCAAACCAACGGAGCCTTTCTCGCTGTGCAGGGTGTCCTCCAAATGTTCGCCCAGGTCATCGTCTTCCCCTGGCTCAGCAGGCGCCTTGGCAGCCTTCGCACTTTCTGGATCACTCTCTGCTTGTACCCGGTGCTCTACCTGTTGGCTCCCTATCTGGCGCTCCTTCCAACCAATCTCCGCGTCCCAGGACTGATGGTTCTACTTGTTGGCAAAGTCACGTTCCAATCACTCTCGTATCCATCGCTAGCCATCATCTTGACCAACTCGTCTCCGTCGAAGCGGGTGCTCGGCACTCTGAACGGAGTGGCCATGTCTGCTGCAAGCATCTCCCGGGGATTTGGCCCTACGATATCAGGCGCCATGGACAGCTTGGGCGACACGCGTGGCATGTCTGGCCTTGCGTGGTGGACAATCGCCGCAGTCGCTCTCCTGGGATGGCTTCCAGGCTTCGCTATGAGAGAAGGCAACAAGCGGCCAGCCTTTCTAGATCAAGAAGACGAAGAGGCTCTGGCAGATTCCGATTCCGATTCCGACGCCGAGTCCATCATCACGCTCACGCCAGATGAAGTAGTGGAGAGCACCCTCTCCAAGGAGACGGCTACATGAACGACCCCCAAAAAACGGCGCAATTTGTTTTCAAGATTCAATGACCGCCGCGCTGGTAGCGACCTTTTCTTTTCTCTCCTCTTCTCTTCTGACTTTTAGACTTTTCGGTATCTTTTACAGCTCGCATTTCACTCGGCGCACTCTATCGGTTCAACTTAGCGACATCATGTAATTGGGGGCAAATTTCTTTGTGGTCAGCATGTTTTAGAAGGAAAGCTCGATGGGATTAGACGCCAGCGAATGGCTGTCGACGAGCAGGCGTTTTATTTTTATTTTATTTTTAGAAACAGAATACCCCCAGTAGTTTAGTTTTCCCTATTGTTTTTATTACCCTAGTTAGACGAAGCAGCAGCGGTGGGCGCAAGCAATCAAAATGGAGGCGGTTTCTCCTTCTTCTTCCCAACAACCAAGCCTTCCTCTCGCTGTACGGTGTGTGTTTGTGAAGTGTGAGTTGGCTGTCGATCTGACTCACCCCAGCTCCACAGCTATGACTCTAGGACTCTGTTCATGCCCGACGGTAGGATTGAAACGCTTATACGCAGCTGCACGCGACTTGTGGGTCTGCGGATGTGACGGGTATGCTTCCATGTAGGTTTCTCTGTAGGTTTCTCTGTGGGCTGGTACCGGTGAGGTGAGAGTGAGGCTGCCGGGGGTCGTGAGCTTCCTTTTGTGGGGAGGCCAGTGTATGGAAGTGTAATTATACAGCATGGGAGGAGTGAAGGAATGCACCAAGGTGTTTCACAGATGGACAGAACCCGTGACTGCTGCTGCGTGCCTTCCAATAGATGGGCCTTGCCATACAAGGCTACTCACTGCACATGTCCAGACACGTCTTGTAGACCTCACTCAGCCATGATGGATCTTGACCATCTACAACCAACTCTCCTGGTGTTGCATGGCCTCGGATGACATACTACATGGCATACCGCAACCCACACTGGGCCCCACCCCCAAACCCCCAAGGGTGTAGCAGCCGGGGAAGCTACTGCGCATCTAGCAGCTGAACTGATAAGAAGATAATCTCTAGGCCGCCTACTAGCCATCCACAAGCCAGCACTCCCGTTCGATTGCTTTTTTTCCGCCATGGCAGCTGCACGCCACAGAAGAAGGACCAATTCTTACCGCACGCCGCCTCCCTTTGCGTCGCCGTCTTCGTCGCGGCCGCTGGCGCTTATTTCCGTCGTCCTCCAGAGAGTTGTTGGTGCGGGGAACCAGTCGAGCACGCCGCTGCTGCCGAGCAAACCAACCCATACATATCCGCCGTTCGTGTCTATCCTAGCTCGAACCCACGGGAAGAATTGCCATGCGCCCTGATGAGCGGCATCAAGCGCTCCTTGGACGAGTCCTCTCTTGATGGGGACAGGCCCTCGCCCGCCGACTCGTCTGCCTCGACGGTGAAGCCTCCCTCGCCCGCCGCGCCCTCGTCGTCCTCGTCGAGCTCCTTTCGCAATGTGAGCGCATGCAACCGCTGCAGGCTGCGCAAGAACCGCTGCGACCAGCGCCTGCCCTCGTGCGCCTCCTGCGACAAGGCCGGCGTCAAGTGCGTGGGCTATGATCCCATCACGAAGCGCGAGATTCCTCGCAGGTACGCACTCTTGGAGAGGGGATCCACCTCCCATCGCAACTCGCCTCGGCTCAGAGCTCCCTCACTGACCTGCGCATAGCTATGTCTACTACCTCGAAACCCGCGTAGCCTACCTCGAGACGCTACTGCACGACAACGCGATCCCTTTTCAGGAAGCCGAAGACTTCAACCCAGCTTTTGCCTCGAATGCTACCATTGCACCCCCACCCCGCGCTGCGGCGCCCCAGCATCGCAATGGCACTCCCATACCAACCGCCGCTCAGACCAAGGAAGAGAATGACAAGTACGATCGCGAGAAGCTCACAAAGCTCGTGGATAACATTGGAATGGTCTCTGTACAGGGCGCCAGCGACCCGAGATATCTGGGCTCCACCTCAGGCATCTCCTTTGCAAGAGTCGTGTTTGCTGCCGTCAAGAGCTCTGTCTCGGGCTCTTCCTCTGAGCGTGGAAGCAACCGGGGAGGCAAGGCTACGACCACTGTTGTAGATAGCGGCACCTCGATGCGCGATTCCTTCTTCGGCCTGCAGACCAAACCCACCATCCGACAGGCGCCCTTCCCAGACCGCGAACTCGGCTCCCGTCTCGTCGAACTGTACTTTGAACACGCCAACCCGCAGATCCCCATTCTGCACCGCGGCGAGTTCATGGACATGTTCGAGCGCGTGTACGACTCTGGAGAGCGCAACCGCACATCACGAGAATCCTACATGCTCAACATAGTCTTCGCCATAGGCGCTGGCATCATCCTGGGAAGCTCCGACTCTGAGGACTCGCCTTCGTCGGATAACGCTCGCTCACCAAACAGGTCGCGAACTTCACCCCCGAGCAACAAGAAACGCCGACTTGCAGGCCATCAGCACCAGCCAGAGGAGTACCACGCATCTGCAATCGTCCATCTTGAGAACTTCTTAGGCTCCTCACCCGCTGCCGATCGCCCAGATGGCTTTGGAGGGGGCCTGGAGGAACTGCAAGCCGTGCTACTTCTCGCGGGCTTCGCGCTACTACGACCTGTTGCACCCGGACTGTGGTATATCGTTGGAGTTGCGGTTCGTCTCGGTGTCGATCTAGGGTTACATTACGAGGACGGCGTGGGTATCGACGGTGGAGCTTCCGAGGACCAAGCCGCTGGGAACACGGATTTCAAAACTGAGGGGAACGAGAACGGATCGGCTACGGCTACCGGCAATGCGAATCCTGCCAAGATTGACGCGAAGGAAAGAGGCCGTAGACAGTGGGTTAGAGACCTCAGAAGGCGGTTGTGGTGGTGTGTTTATTCTCTGGATAGACTGGTCAGCACTTGTGTTGGAAGACCATTTGTGAGTCCTCATTCACTTCCGAGCTATTCTGCCCTTTGTGGTAGAGTTGTCTGATTTTCATGAAAAACCGGCTATACCCAATATGCAGGCAATTCCCTACGATTGGGTCTTTTGATCGTCGATACCTGCTTTGGACAATATCTGCGAAAATCTTATAGACCTATCATCAGATCAGCTAACAAATGTAGGGTATCACCGATCAGATCGTCACCACCGAATTTCCGTCACTCCTCGATGACCGCTACATCACAAAAGAAGGGTTTTTAGATCCAGCTCCGCACTTGGGTAAGCCTACGTACAAGATTGTTGCACATCACTATTTTCGGTTGCGACTACTGCAGTCTGAGATTCTGCAAGTCTTGCAGCACCGCCAAGCACAGCAAGCAAGGGCGAGTGGGGCAAACCAAAGTAACGAGTTCATGCACACCAAGCTGCCATCTCCGTTCCTGGCCACCTTCGATTCCTTCCGCGCCTGGCGGATGGACATTGACAGGCGGTTGCTCGAGTGGAAAGATTCCGCACCGACACAGCTGGATGCTGGCGTGCAGTTTTCGCCTCTGTTTCTGGAGCTCAACTACTGGCAAGCCTTGATCATGTTGTACCGGCAGAGCCTGGTGGTCCCCACCGGTCTACAGGGCGAACTAGGTAATACGGGCTCAGACGTCGGAAGTCCATCTATGGTTACTTTAGAAGAGCGGGAGGACGAAGACTTGGTCTTCCTGAAAGTCGCCGAGGCTGGCCAGAAGGTTCTGAAGCTATATCGGCAGCTGCATCGCGTGCATCTGGTCAACTATACCTTCCTGGCCACTCATCACCTCTTCATGGCCGGTGAGTTTTTCCATCCAACCATTGCGGCCTACAACGCTAATTCTTTCTAGGCATATCTTTCCTCTACGCAGTGTGGCACAGCATCCATGTACGCAGCTTACTGGTACGTCAACTAGTGCTTCTTTTTTGTGCAACCTTGGATGCCTTATCTTCACGTTTTCGTGGCTGACTAGCCTTGACAGTCTCTTGACGACGTCGACTTTACAGTACTGGCCGCAACATCCGTCTTGGGTGACCTCATCGACAAGTGCCCACCAGCAGAGGCATGTCGTGACGCTTTCGATCGGATGAGCAAAGCGACCATTCAGATGTGCATGACAACATCAGGCTTCGGTCCACAAGCCTTACGGGCATTACAAACACAGCAGAACCACGCACAACCATCATCCCACTCACCGACCGCGACATATACATCTACGTCAGATGCAGATGCAAGGCCAGATACAGACATGCAAGGGTACGGCTCAAGCAATACAGCAGGCTACTTCCAGCATCAACAATCCCGACGACCAATCCCAAGGTTCGACATGCACCTCAAGGATCTCTTCTCCGACGACGAAACGGACAAGCGGTCGTTTAGTCGCGTATCTAATCAAGTCAGTGCAATGGGGCCTCCGCCTCCGCCAATGAAACCAGAATCACATGTGCAGCCCTTCACAGCCGATTTGAAGATCTCACCACAGCTACGAACACACCAGCAACAATCGTATTTCGGCGCCTCGCCCAATATAACCTCCCCTAACCAACAACAATCAGCATTCTCCACGGCAGCAATGTCTCACTCCCCTCCAAACCCTCATGCAACTCAGTTACCATCGCCATATCAAGTATCCAATCAGCTCCCCTACAATTCTTTCGCACAATCCATATCATCAGCCTATCCAGACCTTGGCTTTTCGGATCTCGACTTTCTGGATAGTTTTCCAGTCCAAGGGAGCAGCAATACAGGAGGTGGAGATGGGAATAGCAGCAATGGAGGAGGGATGCAAGACGTGGGTATTGGGTTTGGAATGGGCTTTGGTGACGGCACGCATGATTGGAGCGATGGGAATGGCTTTGATCTTTTCGACGGGTTCTTCTTCGGGCCCGGGGGTTCAGGGTCGTGAACTCGGAATAGGAGATGGAACGAGTGCTTGGCCTTCTTACGACGTGGGATGTTTCGGTTTGTTGACTCGATGGCTTCTCGTAAGTAAGACCATGGAGAGAAAAGTTCGCTCCCTGACGGACTGGATAGTGCGGGGGAACAGCACTTTCAACGTGGGGAGTAAGTGTTGGTGCGGAGTCGTTGCTTGGGGAGAGGCGGACGTCGGCGATCTCCGATACCCACATTCCCACCTACGCCCTTGACATCTATCTACGAACTTGCATGCATTTCCTGTCGTTTCTTTGTATATTTGTATGATAAAGATACCAACGGCCTGCTGTATGAGCCAGATCTTAACGATTGGACAAGTTCTATCAAGAATATCACTTCCTAATACAAGAACGGAACAATATCACAATCCTCCGTCCGATCAAAACTTTCAAACTTGCCCTGCAGCCTGCCCCCCGCATTATTCAATCTCTGCTTATTAGTACCCTCATCCGTCTCGGCGGTGATGGCCTTGCACTTCCAACCTCCCAGATCCCTCTCGTCATGCAGCAAGACGCCAATTGGAGGCGACACCTGATACCGCGGGACCATGAGACCCTGGCTCGGGACCGCGGAATGCGAGCCGATTATAATTTTCGCCATGGTGTTCTGATTCGCAGCTGCTCGCAGTCCAGAGCTTTTGGTGCGGGTCGAAGGTACCCGAGACGTCGGCGGCGGGTTAGGGAAGAAGTGTAGGGTGCGTGACTCGGTGGTGCGGGGGAGATAGACGTCCTTCTGAACATGGCATACAGAGCTCCTGCCAGATTCAGGGTCAGGAAACAGCGGGATCCGCATGACGTTGAGCGTCTGGCCGCGGGTAGTGAGATACAACACCTCGTCCGTCCAGTGCAGAGTGTACGGTGAGCTGGAGATTTTCAGCGTCGGCACGGTGCCCAGGTCGATTGTTGTGCGGTATATGAGGCGGGGTGGACTCCTCGTCGTCTTACGAATCGACAGTCGGTGCGTGGAGATTTGGAGACTGAGGACCAGCGAGGCCTTTTCATCCTTCTCCTTGTTGGCGTCCTTGGTCTGCGCTTCGAGCGCTGCGAAGTGGACGTACTCTCCTGCGCTGGAAAAGTGGGTTTTGACAAAGACGTGGCAGCTCTTGAAGCGCGAACAGCATAGTAGGCGTGTGAAAAAGGTATTGGCTTTGTAGTCTGCGAAGAGGATTTCGGCGTCGCCGAGTGGCCAGACGAGGAGCGGTTTTGATGGGTGGAAGACGGGCGGAGAGTCGAAGATGCCGCGTTTGATATATCGTGTGAAGTGGAACGTTGGAGACCCGTCTGGTAGGTTCAGGTTGTGCACTCGCAAGGAGATGCGTTGCTTTCCTTCTTTCGAGCCCTTTCCGAAGATGAGGTTGTCGAGATGCTTGGCTGTTTCCACGTCAAAATCGCTATTGTCATCGCTATCGTTGTCGCTTGCGTCGTCGCTATAATTGCTGAGAGAGTAGCCACTCTCCACCGAGCTAGCTTCTTCAGAACTGCTGCTATCCCATCCATTACGCGAATTGCCTTTTTTCAACGTGAACCCTGAGAGCTTGATTTCCTCTCCTTCTCCCGCCGTCCAGATTTCGTCGATGTTCAATTCTTCGTCTTGTGATATAAGGCTTTCCAGGTCATCGAAGTCGGGCACTTTGCCGTTATCAGCTGAGGCTTCGCTGGCCGACGAGGAGAAGTCGAACTCTGTGGCCCCTATGTTGAGTTCTTCTATGGTCAGGCGCTCATTACCCCAATCGTTCCACTGATCTTCGTCCTCAACCTCATCCGAAAGCATGTCGCTCGAGCCATCGCTCCATTCTTCTTCTGCTGAGTTTCCGGATGAATCTGGATCAGACTTGAACAAAGGGTCGTCTTCCGAAAGTTCTTCAGCTGTGATTGCATCGCGACGAGATACGTGTGCAAATTTACTCGCATCTTCGATACGGACATCATCAATAAGTTCAGACTCACCGTCAGACTCAGGTTCTGCCGAAGTGTTGCTGGATTCGCTTGTCACCATTGTCCGACTCTCGTCGGTGCCTTCGCTCGTTGTAGGGTTTGTGGACGATCCATTGCTAAGAATACCGTTTGAAATCTGTATAATCACCGTCGGACTATGTACTGCCGACGGATCATTCATAATTTCAGTATTCCGCTTATCTATTTCGTCTTGTTGAACTTCTCTCCGGGTGGTGATAGCGACCTGCCGATGGAGGCTTGCAAACTCATCGATAAAGACAGAACGCATATTGATGTTCGATGCCAACTGGTATAGGTCATTTCCGTCCTTGGTGTATATCTGAGACCCGATTCGAAGCACTGCCAAGTCACTACTCAGAGCGATCACTGGTGGTTGTCCAAAGCCGCTAGTCGGCGCAGGGAAATCGTAAAGGGGCCAAAGAGTTTCAATGAAGCCTGCCGTTAGCCTCTGCGTCTGTCGAAGGATTGGCGTTTCTCCCGTCAGGTCCCATTGTTGGCAATCGAACTCAAGCTTTAGCGTATCTGCCTGACTGTAACCTTTGTTAGCTGGAGAACAATATCTAACCGTATAGCTGCTCTGTTACGAGTTCAAGGTGAATACGCTAAGGAGACAAGCTCAACACCCAGCCCTCGTCAGGCAAATAGGCAAATAATCTATCCAGCGTTTGAAGCAGCGGTGTAGATTCCACTTACATATCATGGAGGGCTAATACAACCATCTCCCTCCCCATCGCGTCGATAGCATCAAAGTACCTCGCGGGTGGGCTGTCCAAGGGAGTGTCATCATCGTGAACCTGATAGCTAGCGTAGCGTGATGGTCCAACGTGCATAAAGTTGTCGGAACCTAAGCTGCCGAAGAAACATCTGTCAAGTTCGCCCGCGTAGCGCGCATTCAAATTGATAATCTCGTCCAAGAGGAATCCCCAATCGCTTATAAAGAGTCGATAGTCGTGCTCTAGTGTTTCATCACATTGTGCACCTAGCCAAGCGGGGAAGACGCGTTTGATATGTGGTCCCGCATTCATGTCATTGGAGTTCCACCAGAACTGGAACTGTCCTTCAACTAGTTAGTCACGACGTCTGTTTGTAGTCTGTAAACACTCCTACCTCCAACCAGAAGACTTTGCACCTGGAGGCAGGTGAAGAACTGTGCACTTCTTACAAAATCTCTAACCGGCTCGCAGAAGCTCTTCCACTCCTTGGCTACGTCCAAATGCTTATCCCAATATTTTGCCGCATATGGAAGCAAGTGGTGGTTGTCGATATCGTCTTCTAGTCCGTCTTTGAAAGCATCATCTCCTCTCGTCAACAGTGAGCGAAAGCGAGACTGCGTAAGGTACTTTAAGCATATGTCCGCTAATGTGTCTGGACTGATTTGAAGTGTTTCTTGGTCATCCTCGGCGGTAGCATCCTTCGCTCTCTTGATAAGAAAGTTGCGAACGGTCGCGTGTGTCAGCGTGCATGTTGTTACAGTACCATAGGGTGTTTCGGTGTCTTGTACTCGAATCAGAGGCTGGCACAGAGTGGTAACCTTCCTCCTAAATAGCTTACGACTGCGGTCGATGTTTTGTCCATACTTCGTCTCTGCGGCGGCTGTGGCTTCGCAAAGCTCGTCTAAGCGCAATGGGCGTCTTGCATAGACAATACAGGCAAGGAGGATTCTGTGATTTCTCTGTTAGCCAGTCGCTTGATATGCCACACATGTTACTTACGAAGCAAGCCTGCGGTCTGATGGCTCGATATTATTTAGTTTCCTCAGGTAGTAATTCTCGTAGTCTTTTGGTAAACCCTCGTCGATTTGCTCCTGTATGACTTGCAAAGATGCGGCATTGGTTATTGAATCCAACATCAACGATGCCCACAAGAAACACCCATCAGCTCTCGCGCGGAGATCCGTAAGGACAAGCGTCTTGTAACCTTCATCTAGCTCCAAGCTGTCAAGCTCGGGGATCTGGCTTTTGAGGTATCTCTCGATGTCTTTGTTGTTCAGATCTGGGGTTATCTGCAATGTGGGGTACAACTGGAGAACGCCGTCCATGCAGGACCGTGACTGTGAGCTGCACCAAAGTTTCAAGGGTATCTTCTCATATGTCGCAAGTCCGATGAGAAAATCCAGCACTTGCTTCAGTTGAAGCCACCGCGTGCCATTGTCACATTCCTCGTCCAGCCCATCCAGAAACACGTAGGTTGTAGACATTCGCTGCATGAGCTGACGTAGAACGTTCTTGACATCTTCAGTCTTGGAACTAGTCGCGGTCCTTTGAGTGATGGCGTGAATATCCTCGGGTATGTCTTCGGTATGTTCCCATAGCCGATTACTCAACTGTTCAGCGAGGGCTCGAAAGACTTGTAGACAGGAAAACTCGTCGTCAAAGGTGTAGTATTGAAAGCAGGTCGCAGAAGTGCCGGGATTTGTTCGCTGAGCTTCCTCGATTGCGTAGGCTGTCAATACAGATTTGCCAACACCTGGAGCAGCCTTAACCCACAGCACGGGTGATGAACCTGTAGGCTGCAGCCAATTCGAGAACAATTCCTCGTTCAGCAACCATTGGCAAGTCTCAGGGTTACGGGAGCGAGTGTTTTGTTCTTGGTGGCGATGATTACTTTCGTTGACCTGCGGCATGCCACCGAGTAGCCATAGGTCAACGAAAGCCTTACGAGCACGCTTTCTTTCTGCGTTTCGGATCTTGAGCTCCTCGGCATGCATTTCAAATAGTAGTTTCTGCTCATCTCTTGCTATTCCCGCAAGTTGACGCTCTTTTGCCGCATCTTCACGTTCGCCTCGTGCAAGACGCTCTTGTACTGCAGGCACCAATAAGCTGATTCTTTGGGAGTTTTTGTCAATGCTAGCTATAATCTGGTCTAGCTTGGTCGCACTGAAAGATGCAAGTGCCCTCGCCATTCGGTTTGCGATGCAACGTTTACATTCTTTCTCGACTCGATGCCAGAAGCGGATGATGTCGATATAAGAAGCTTGCAAAAGCTCTTGCATCGTCGAAGATTCCCCAAATAGCTCCTCGTATGTTGTCAGTGTCTCGAGATGGGCTTCCAAGTCCTTGAGTTGGCTGCTGATCTTGTCGTAGAGATCTAGAAATCGCGAAGAGCACTGAATGGCGGCTTTGAGGCATCCCCAAATCAAGGCCGTTGGCATGGGATCAGCGTTACACATCGTGTCTACGACGCCCACGTATGTATTCAATACCGACACTATTGGATTCAAGACTTTGCGCATTCTCTGTGTGGCCACGCGGTCTGTTGATTCCCGTTCAAGCTGCACTATGGCATTTTTGACGGCAAGCCTATCAATAGGGTCGCCATTTTGGATCTGTTGCTGGATGTCACGTATGAAGTGCGGTGTCTTGCTTTTCTTCGGTCTTGAGTCGATGTACTCATCGACAGCTCGAGCGAAGGGTGACGCTGTTTGTGGCGTTGCGGACTGGGATGCTGGTGGCATTTTGGAGGGTAACGTGGGAGGTCAACCCATCTAAGAGTATCCCACACAGTTTCAAAAGTGTCGAACACACTCATGGGAAGATAGCGAGAAGCCCCCATTTAAGAGGCTGTGTGTGTAGTAGGACGGTCGTCTTGCAGGATACTAATTTGGAAAGTGGGGCGCCTTCACGGCCTGGCCGCTGACATTAGAACTTCCCGTCAGCTTCGCTGTCCATGGTTGTCGAATCAAATTAACAGTAGGGGTGATAGTGTGCGATACTGCTAGGATTGCGCATGCAATCGAACGCCTCTAGTGTCAATCGCCTGCGTAAGTAGAAATGCAGGATATTTGGCCCCCAACGTCCCTTCAAAGTCTAGCGAGCCCTCTTAATGACAGGCCGCCCCTCTTTCGTGATTCCGCACAGCTCGAACAATACATCAATACATCAAAATGGCCAGCGACAGCGTAGATAATCAAAATAAAAACAATGATGGACCAGGTCCTGGCATCAAGCGCGTCGTCACAGGTCAGTGTCTTCGACAATCAAAGCAGAAAAACACTCACAGAGAGAAGACCAGGGCAATAAGGCTCAACGACTGTTGCGTGTTGATCAGATGTAAGTCAATACCTATTCGTTTCGAGCCTTTAAGCAAATGCTAACAAACTTCAATAGCTACAGCAGAAAAGACCGCCAAGTACACTTCGTGAAGACGGCCAAACTGACACCACAACCTGATCGCTTCGGCAAAACCGCGCTGGTCGTCCGTCGCATCATTAGTGCGAAGGGCATGGTAACTGACTGTGAAATCGATATCAAATCGTCGCACTTGGATCGACTTTTCAAGGAAATATTCAAAGGGGTTCCGGATCTGCAACTGAACGAGTCACCTCCCATTGTAAGCCAGTCGACCTTGTCACTCTAGCCCATGAGATTAATGTTTTCAGGCGTCTCCGAGTCTTCTTTTCCACGCTGCACCTAAGCTGGTAGAGATAAAAGAAGAAGAGAAACAGAAACCACAGCCAGACCAGCTGCTCATCAATGACATTGGTACGGTAAGTGACGTTCCGGGACTATATATTCTTAAAGTACTCTAAGGACCTCCTCAAACTTGACGCAATAGTTTGTAAGGCCTCTAGGAGTATCTAAAACGTAGGATTCCGTTCATGGTGCCTTACCAATCTGGCATAAAGCTCTACTGACTGTACCGCGCGTAGGCTTTGCGGTTTGTGGAGGAAGATTTCGGCGGAGAAATCAACAACCTCCAATCTCTGCTATCTAAAGGCGAAATCACTTTTGATCTTCTATGGGCCATTTTCCCGCCTCGGGAGCTCATCGTTGCCATGGAACATGGGATTTTGAGACAACCCCAGGCCCTATCCATAGCCACATCGGAATACGGAACCCGCGATAATGGATCAAAGTACTACGAAGCCGAGGGTAGAGTAATCACGCACGACGGGGAAGACTTCGGCAAGGGTCGCTTCGCCCCTGTCATCGAAGCATTTGAGGGCGCAAAAAAACTTACAATACTGGAGTTCTATCCTATAAAGTATCATCCCGACGAGCCAGCTTTACGGAAGCGTCTCATTGCCAGAGGGAAGAAGTACGTGGCTCTGCTTGAAAATCCAACATGTCAAGACTATCCGCTAAATCATGCGGTCGGAGAAAATGAACACAATCTACAGAGAGCAGATAAAGACTCGGAGAAGATCAATGTCCGAATCTCCTTCCGCTCACGTGTAAGCGTACGCTGATTAAGTTAACTAGGTCAAAGGCAGAGTCATGGTCGACCCAGTGGCTTTCTGCATACACAACAGCTCATCGACACTCAACAGGCCTGGCGTGCCGCCTTCCCACTGGATGACAATGGAGGGTCTCACCGATGACGACTATCTCAACTGCGCATACTGGATAAACGGATTTAGCCTGACCCATAAAAGATGGTGTCGAATGGTAGTGGAAGCCATGGAAGACATCCAATGGAACCACCAGGCATTCCAGAAACTTGTCATTGACGAAGACCGGCGCCAGCTGATCCATGCCCTGGTAAAGGCGCACCGGAACGACGCAACGACCTTCGACGACATCATCCAAAACAAGGGTCAAGGCCTGGTCGGCCTGCTCTCTGGATCTCCTGGTGTCGGCAAGACTCTGACAGCAGAAGCTGTGGCGGAAGTCACAGAGCGTCCGTTATACATGGTCAGCGCTGGAGAGCTAGGGATTCAAGCCGACACGGTTGACAAACGGCTGGGTGTTATTTTAGATGTGACTCGCCGATGGGGATGCGTGCTGCTCATCGATGAAGTGAGTGCATTAACAACTTCTCACGTTTTGATTGCTGACCATCAACTAGGCTGACGTCTTTCTGGGGACTCGTGGGCACGATCTCCAGCGTGACTCGCTGGTCAGTGTATTCTTGAGGCGTCTGGAGTATTTCATGGGCGTGTGCATACTCACCACAAACCGCAAACAGGATATCGACCCTGCTTTCCAGAGTAAGTAGCAGTGCCAGACCCCCTAGACTCGTTGCTGTCCCAAAAAAACCAGCTAAAATCTTCATAGGCCGTATTCATTTCACACTCCACTATCCCGAGCTTGACGAGGCAAGCCGAAAAGCAGTATGGGCTAATTTCCTCAATATGGTGGGTAGATCTTCAGAGATCTCTAAGATCGGTCAGGGAGAAATCGATCAGTTAGCGAAGCATGTGCTCAATGGACGACAGATCAAGAATATCGTCGCTTGCACCGTGTCGCTTTCGAGGGAGAGTGGGGAGACAATCACGTCGGAACGGATCGAGATGATGATCAAGATGCTCACTAACTAATCAACGCGGGGAGTAGGCTAGACATTGGTGAGAATCAGGTAGTTAGGTGATGGCGTCCATGATATCACTTTTTTGTAGAGCTACCTTCAATTGACAAGGAACGCATTGGTCAAGTACCTAGCTAGCTTTATCAGACGCGTGCCTTGCACCCAAAAATATACATGTCAGATGTAGCCTCGAGATAAGAGCACTTGACAGGGATCGTTTCGATGTCACACAGGGCGCCATTCTTTACGTCTGCCGACCACCGAGGACTACGTTCGAGACTGCAAACTTCGAGCGGTCACAAACTCAATCCTAAAGAGATGCCATGTAAAACGTGCATAGGAGTGGAGAGAGACTTGGATTGTCCGCGCACGTTGCTCGGCTCATTGGCGCTCGGCAATCCGGACCATGGCCCCCGCCGCCTGGAACGGTTCTCAACTCCGTGCACTTTCACATGTCACGATCCCTTGACCTTTTCACGCGCAAATTTGAGCTAACGCTATCTCAGCAAGACGATCATGCAGTGGCTGTCAAGTGCCCAGGTTTATCTTGGGCCCAGCCTGAGTCCTCCGCCATGAACTTTGTCCTTTGCCATTATCTCTCGCCGTTTGCGGTCGTGGATTGGCGTGCCGCGAACGAGATTCTCAACATACCGGGGTCCGAGGGTAGACGTAATAGATAGACCGACGACATGCTGCGGATGGAACGGGGTAACGCCTCTGAGGCAGATTTGGGCTTGACCTACACGATTGACGAGCAGAGAAACGTCCGGCCCAGTATGCTGTACAATGTCCTCCCAACGATGGTATCCAACCGCATACCCACAATCTCTTCGCTCCGACAGTCCTTCAACGGAAAGCGCCATGGAAAGAGCAAATCGTTGACAGAGATGCTTGCTCCCTCAACTCCTCCTCCACACTACACTTCAAGGCCCGGAAGTGGCAGCGTGACCCCAAACCTCATTTCCGCAGAGATGGACTTCGACTTCTCAGACGACGCCTCGGAACGGCCAAGCTCGTCGATCGGTGCAGCACCGTCTCTATTTGCTGCGTATGAGGCAAAGACGGGAGTCAATTGGAAATATGCTAGTTCAGGTACGAACCATGTGCTTCCTCTTGCTCGCTAAGACTGACGCGAAGACTTGTAGGCATAGGCCTCATGACCCAAGCGTATCGAGAATCAAGCGTCCCAACCCGCGAAGCCGACGAGACGTCCACAAGCCTTACTCGCCAACTATACATACATGGCATGACATACCTACTACGGGGTCTGCCCGCTGAGCTCACACCAGAAGAGACGTTAAGCCTCCAGGCTGCTGTGCCGCAAAGCATAGCCAACTTGCAGGCAGAGCCGCACAACCACGCTTTAGTGCCTGTCTCCCAGCGTACAGCAATCTCACAAGAGACGCGTCCGCAAGAACGCACCATATTGCATCGGATGACAGCCACGTTCGTTCTCCAGACCTTTATCCTTGTCCAATTCCTCCTGCCATACATCAGGCTCTTCCTCTCGCATACCTACCAGTTCGAGCGGAAACACCAAATCACGAAGCGGCTAGTCAACACGAGCGTCACAACCGTAGATGAGCTGAGTCGAAAGAGTCTAAGGCTCTCGCAGACGATCTGCCAGATGAATGATGGGAAGGTGGGGCAGGCAATCAACGAGATGACGCTCTGGTGGGTGAGAGGTGTTACCGGCGGCGTTCAGCAGGGAATTGAGGAGGGACTGAGTGTGATCGGGGCACGGCCTGAGTGTTCGAGAGGAAGGGTGACGGTCGAGAAGATTTGAAGAAGAGCATACATTTCCATATTCCATAGCATCGGGAAAGGCGTTAGTTAGGCATCTGCTTTGAGCCCATAGATTCATGACCATAACGACATAACTTCATCTTTTATTTCCTCGAGAAGGCGTTTTCATAGAACTAGTTGTAAAGTGATGGACATCTTATCTTATCGGGGCGACGAGACCCCCTAGCGCGTCAAATCGGGGGCACGTCCCCCGAAAAAGTCAAAGCCCGTCGAAAGTTTTGGTGCATCTACAGAACACCATCAAGCATACACTGCCATTCTTTCATCCCATTGCGCCTTCTGTTTTATAGAAGCGCTTCCCTGAAATATAGCAGTTTAATACTTCGTTTCTTAGATACCCCTATATTTGAGGCCTAGTAGCGCAGCTTCGTTTCCCTTTCCGGCCACCATGTTCGGCGCATTGCGAAGATGTCCGGCAGCGCTTTCGAGGAACCTGCCCACGGCTGCTATTTCAGCTAGAGCCCTGCGAGTACCCCTGTCTCAGTCGTCGAGCGCCTTGCGGCTATCGTCGTCGCGCTTTGCGAAGGTGTCAATATCAGGATTCCACCACACCGCAAAGTGGCAACAAACACAGGCCGAGGCCGAGGCAGAAGAGATCATTGCAGAAGATGGACCAGCCACCGAATTCAAGGACCTGGCAACTCGGGGACTTGTTCATCCTAACCTCATCAACACCATCACCAAGCAGATGAGGCTCACGACCATGACAGATGTGCAAGCCAGGACCATCAACGAAGCCTTGAGCGGAGTAGACGTGTAAGAGATGCCTCTAGAAACGACGAGTGTGAACACGGACTAACTTTCCATAGCATCGCGCAAGCAAAGACCGGTACGGGCAAAACCCTCGGTTTCCTCATCCCCGTCATCCAGCGAATCATCCAGAACGACCCGAAGCTGGGTGAGAAGGTCCGCGGGTACAAGCGCGCCAAGCCAGACGATATCAGAGCCATTGTCATCTCGCCGACGCGAGAACTGGCAGAGCAGATCGCTGTCGAGGCCAAGAAGGTGGTTGCCAATACCAGCATCGTGGTGCAGGTTGCTGTCGGCGGCACTCAAAAAAGAGCCATGCTCCAGAAGACGCAGCGTGAAGGATGTCATCTCCTCATTGGTACACCCGGTCGTATCAACGATATTCTCTCAGACTCCTACTCCGGCGTCAAGGCCCCGAACCTAAATGCCCTAGTCATGGATGAGGCTGATCGCCTACTTGATGATGGTTTCACCAGGGAGATTGACGAGATCAAGCAATATCTGCCTGATCCCGACACAATCGAACGGCAGAATCTCATGTTTTCCGCCACGATTCCCCGCGACGTCGTTGACCTCGTACGCAAGACAATGCGCCCTGGTTTCCACTTTGCCAAGTGTGTCCAGGAAAATGAGGAGCCGACGCATCAGCGAATCCCACAGAAGTTGGTCCACCTCGCCGGCTTCGAAAACATCATGCCTTCCGTCTACGAACTCGTTCTGCAGCAACACAAGCTCGCCCAAGCTGGCGAGGCGCGCCCTTTCAAGGCTATCATCTATTACAACAGCACCGCAGAAGTCACACTCGGTGCATCCGTCTTCTACAAGCTCAGTGGCGGCTTCAAGCGAAACACTCCGCTCGCCGGTCTCCGCGGCTTCGAGATCCACGCCAAGCTCTCCCAAGCACAGAGGACTAGGGCGGCGGACGATTTCCGCAGTGCCAAGTCCGGCATCCTATTCTCCTCCGACGTTACGGCCAGAGGAATGGATTTCCCCGATGTGACTCACGTTATTCAAATTGGTCTTCCCCGCGAGCGCGACTCGTACATTCATCGCCTTGGCCGCACCGGTCGTGCTGGAAAGGAGGGCGAGGGCTGGTTGTTCCTCACGCCCTTTGAGAAGCATGAAGTCCGCCGTCGTCTCCGCGATTTGCCTCTGACCGACGCTACACAGCAATTGGAGTGCGCAACTGTAGATCTGAGCCAGAGCGCCGAAGTACCGGAGAACGTTGGAAATATCCTAACCGAGTGCGTCGAAGCACACAAGAAGGTCTACCCCGATCAGCTCGACGCAGCGTTCCGAGGTCTCTTTGGATCATACCAATGGTACGGAGATAAGCGTGGTCTTCTAGAAGGCGCAAACCGCCTTGCTGAATTCGGTTGGGGTATGCCGTCCCCGCCTTCACCACCCAGCAGTCTCTACGGTGGAGGACGCGGGAGGGGTGGTGGTGGAGGTTTCGGTGGAGGTTTCGGCGGTGGTGGCCGTGGTGGTGACCGCGGTGGTGACCGCGGTGGTGACAGGGGCTTCGGTGGCGATAGACGAGGCGGCGATAGGGGCTTCGGTGGCGATAGGCGAGGTGGTGACAGGGGCTTTGGCGGTGAGCGAAGAGGAGGCGGAGGATTTGGCGGCGAGAGGAGAGGCGGTGACAGAGGGTTTGGCGGCGATAGGGGTGGTGACCGGGGTGGCTTCGGCGGTGACAGGCCATCAAGGAGAGAGCCACGTATGGACTTCTAGACGACTTCCTCAAGTCGATGAAGGATTACTGCAGCTGTATATCATGTCCGCCTGGAGTCGTTTCTTGTACCATATGTATACCCAAGGGAATTTGGGTTGTCTTGATAGAGGTTGTATTGGGCGGCGTTCAGGTCACCTCACGCAGCAGAGGTTCACGGATCATTTGACATCTCCAATCACGGCGGAGTCCGAGCAAAAAGTGTAATGAAAGATTGTATTAATGTGCGATGATAGAAATGATCGCTCCACAAAAATTATATTATTCGGAACTTCCTTTCAAACACCAGACTGACTGTACAAAAATTTGAACATTGCCTATGCCTCGGGAGGACCTTTTTGGAGGTATAGCCTTGAAGAAGCGCCTAGTCGACAATGTTCTTGAGTACACTGAGATATATGCTTCCAAAAGGAATGTTTAAACAGATTCTCTGCACGGGTTGGTAATCGAGACATTAATTGCATGCGTACTTCAGTCCCTGTATCTTGCATTATAGTTGCGCTGCATGAGTGACTTACTATTGAGAAAGATGATTACACTCCAGGACCTTGTACTACTTAGTCAAGTCGATACCGTACATGACAGTGGGATTAGCCATCGCTACTCCATGCCCGTTGAGTCCGCACTATGAAAGAGCTATTAGACGAATGAGCTTTTAAGCCTTGCCGGACGACTACATGTGTGGTACTGGCTCTGATATCTGTGTTCACTGCTTGAGTCTGCAAAATGAGCTTACACACAACGGGCGCTTGGTGTGCAGACGCCATTGACACCGAATTGAAAGGCGCGGAAGCAATACAATGCTCACTTACAGCTCGTACTTGGTCGTTACTGTTTCCTTGTCGAAAGCGTGTTGAACACGTCTGTATTCGATGGAGTTATAGAAGTGGATGCTAAGTGGATGATTGCTTTGCAAGATGATCACGACTAGAGAGTACCTCTCCTAGACATCATACAGACTGTCTCTCGTAGCATGCCAACTCACTCTTTCGTACTTTGCGTTCATGAATGAAGACTGAAGCGTATGAACAACTAAGCATAGCTTATTGTTGTGTAGAAAAAGAGAGGGCGCGTGACTATGAAAGGAGATGTTGAGATACTTGAGGCCCGCGTGAGGCAGATGCCATGAGAAATAAAAGGATAGAAGCACATCAACTCACTGTTCATGTGACATAATAAAAGTCGAGGGTTGAGTCTAATGTCTGGGTGCAAAGGTCGGTTGAACCTACGTTTATGTTGGCGAGTTGGTATTGCGCATGTCATTAGCCATTCGTTCCGTATGATATGAGTAATGGGGCCGTCGTTTAGAAGGTTATCATCGGGTGTCGAGGCGCGGCGCACTCGTCCTGCTGATCTTTTGCTGGCTTATCAATGTGATAAGAAGACTCGTGCTCTTGACCTGGGAGGAGGATGCCTTGGACTGCCCATTGGCGTTGATGTTGGTGGCGTGAATGCGAAGTTGGCCTATCGGACATACCGCTGCACAAAGTAAGTTCTTTATCTAGCGCATGTGGATACATCTGGTGGCGATTATTCATATTTCAGGTTTGAGGCCGATGAAGATGCTGTCGGGCCATCGCATCGCGATTCGGGTCGTCGCTATATGTCCGACAATCCGAAGAGCGTATATCGAGAGCTGATCCTGAGCTCAGGAGTATTGGCGGGGTGTGCCAATGATCGGATGCATGACTGATAGGCTTCTCGGGGTGCTCGAGGATTCGCTGAAAGGCATGTGGCTGAACATCTTGTGACATGGTCTACACTGCGTTGACAGGCGTAACCAGGGTCAGGGGGAGCGTAGACAGGCGAGGATGCCTTATGAGTTGTCTAGCGTATGTGGAGAAAGAGCTGACGCAGCTGTGAGTGCTTTCCATTACATGCAGAGCTGAATGTGAAGGGGTGGTTGTTAGCGTATGTGGGGTTGAGCATATCTCTGACACTCGGGAGGACAGCCCATCCAGTCGAGGAAATTCGATCCAGAGATGCGAGTACACGTCAAGTGGATGTTGCTGCTGGTGTGTAAGACAAACATCTTTGTGAAACCCGGATAAAGGTTTTGTTGGGATTAGAAGGCTGTTGAAGAGCTGTCTTGGGTCTTGCAGATCCAAATCAGGTGGCTGAATTGCGGTGCCGAACGAGAATTCCATGGTTTAGCCATTGGAGTGTGATCTTGGGCAGAGGTGCATATGATCAAGGGGCATTTAAGTCGAATATTGAACAAAACATGAAATTGAAGAAGGGTGGTAGAAACCAGGAGATTCGGGAAGTCTTGCCGAGCTCCCAAACCCAGACTTTTGAACCTGACCGAATATCAGACAGGCTCTACTTGAGCACATAGCGTCTGAATGCTGCTAGTCCTGTTCCGTTGTTTACTTTGAGCGAAAACAAAGTATGGTGGCCGGTATGTGGGATAATTGCAGCTAAACCCGAGGGAGCTTGCCGTCACCGCCTGGTGCATGGACCCTGGCTGTCGCATCTCTCGCCAAGGACAAGGTAGGTCGTCAGAGATTGCTAGATATACTCCCAGCCGACAAGGGAAGGTGACCACGTGCGGTGCAGCGGGGTTGTCATTGAGCGCATGTAGGTGGCAACCGACTGGGTAAGAATTTTGTAGGTCCACGTGGTGCTTGAAGGAAGGAGCTTTGAGCTGCATCTTCCTCGAGGAGCCGCACATGTTTGTCGTCCAGAGCGGCAGCGCGCTATCGGTAGCTTGCAGAAGCAAATTGCAGCGAATAGTCGTGATTTGCCAGCACGGTAAGAGATTCCCTGCTTGCGGCTTAGTCCGATGGATGCCGCAGCTACGGATCACGTGCCGACGACTCGGAGCAATCGGGAGCAGACAGGAAATGCATAAGCTCTCGCTCGACGATGAGTGAAAAGTGCGGGCGAGGGAGACGTGGCTAGGCAATCCCAAGGCAGTAAGTTCGGAAGCTTCTTGATAGCATACAGTCGGGACTGATCTGCTGTGCTGTCGCTCGGCACACATATCTCTAAACTTTCGGGTCCGGTGACATTGGCGAATGAGTGGCATTTCAGTTTGCCAAGGCTAGGCCGTGACGACCTCGCTTGCTTCCAGACTTTTGACCAACTTCCTTCACGACTCGACGGACTGGTCTGATACCGCACGCTTGGATTGTAGATAATGTCCGGGGTGACTAGCTCTTCCTGAGGCCCTGCACCCACCCCTCGTCATGGCCTTTGCCCATCTCCACGTCCTGCGCTACATCCTCGACCCGGATCATGTACAGTAGTCTGTGCGTGTGCGCGAGAGATTCGCATTCTGTTATCCGTACGCGGTTCGCCTGGCGCTGTGAGTGCCTGCATTATGTAACAATGTGCGGTTGATTGCAGATGCAGTGATGCCGACGAAGATGACTGAGCCGCTGGACACTCTGGCTCCGCTCGACAGTGGTCCCTCGAGACGCAGTCGTCGTAGTCGAACTGCTGGCGATGGCGTAGCAGTGGCGTCCCGAGCGAAGCACGTAGTGTTGACGTTGGCAGGCCACCTTATGTAAAAGCGGAGCGTCCTTGACGGCTGTTGAAGATCTAAGGGATGGAGGTCGCTGTCGCCCAGAACGGCTTAGCGCGAACGATTGCGTGATTACCCAACGTAGAAGGCAGCACCACGTTGGAGTCGCAACTGCGCGTCAAGATCGCACTTTCCCCACATAGCAAGCGCTCTTACTATCTATAAAGCCCTGTCCGCCCTCACTCTCACTCTCACTTCGAGCTCGATCAACCAGTCTTTCACCGATTTTCTTTGACACTTGCTCGCACCTATATAACTGCCACCGCCCACAACTTCCACTCACCTTCCGTTCACCTTTTCCATCTTCAACTCCCATCTCCAACTTTCCCACCCCTCACACGACACTATTTCCCCCAGAACCCAGGCTTTGACAGTCCCTCAACTCAGATCAAGATGGCTCCCAGTATCTTGCTGGAGCCGGAGGAGCCGCCATCCTACTCTCACCCACTAAAGCAGACGTCAAAGACGCACGGCAACGTCTCGCTCGAGGCTCACACTCACGCTGACGGCAACGTCTCGTTCGAATCCTCTCCTACTAATGGCAGTGGCCCCGTTAACGGCAGTAATGGCGCCACGAACGGCAACGGACATCCACAGCGCCAATTAGACGGAAGGGATTTCATTACTTCTCAGTCTCTCCTTCAACAGTCAAACGCCTATGCGTCCGGCAACCAGCGATCAAATGGAGCCTCGAAGAAGCCCAATATTCTGTACATCATGGCTGATCAGATGGCCGCTCCACTTCAGAAGTTCAACGACCCAAATTCGGTCATCAAGACACCCAACCTCGATGAGCTTGCCCGGACTGGAGTCAATTTCTCCAGCGCCTATTGCAACTCTCCGCTATGCGCGCCATCTAGGTTCACCATGTGCACTGGACAACTTCCGTCCAAGATTGGTGGGTACGACAATGCCTCGATCCTTGGTCCTGAGGTACCTACGTACGCGCACTACCTTCGAAGAGAAGGTTATGAGACCGCTCTTGCAGGCAAGATGCACTTCATTGGGCCGGACCAGCTTCACGGATTTGAACACAGGTGAGTTCGTTCGACATGTGACTATAGCTTTTGTTGATCATGTCATTACAGACTCACTTCCGATATCTATCCCGGTGACCTTGGTTGGGCTGTCAACTGGGATAAGCCAGAAGAGCGCCAGGAGTGGTACCACAACATGTCCTCGGTCATGCAAGCAGGTCCATGCGTGCGATCTAATCAACTTGACTATGACGAAGACGTCATGTACAAGGTAAGCAAGCCAACGAACGGATGATCTGATTGCCGATGTGATCTTCATCTGTCTCTAGAACAACTTCCTAATGTAACCATCGCTAGGCTCAACAATACTTGTACGACTATGTACGGTCAGACCCGGAGACTCGTCGGCCTTTTGCCCTCACGATCTCCTTGACACATCCTCATGATCCGTATACCATGATACGGGAGTACTGGGACCGTTACGAGGGCGTCGACATCCCTTTGCCCAAGACGGAAATTGCGCAAGAGGACCAAGACTCCCACTCCCGGCGACTCTTGAAGACCATCGATCTTTGGGACAACCCAGTCCCCGATGAGGCAAAGATCCGTGCTCGTCGCGCCTACTTCGCTGCCTGTAGCTTTGTCGACGATCAGGTCGGAAAGCTTGTAAAGCTTCTCAAGAACTGCTATCTCGACCAAGACACTGTCATTGTATTCTCCGGAGACCATGGCGACATGCTTGGCGAGCGCAGCCTTTGGTATAAAATGTCCTGGTTTGAGAACAGCGCACGGGTACCTATGATCATCAACTGCCCCTCCAAATTCGAACCCAAGCAGGTGAAAGAATCGGTTTCCACGATGGACCTCCTTCCAACTTTTGTTGGCCTGGCTGGAGGAGATGCATCGGCAATACTACCTATTGATGGTGTTAGCCTTTACGAGTACCTCGTGTCGGACAAACCTGGGAAGGATGAAGTGTTTGGCGAGTATATGGGAGAAGGCACAGTCACGCCCACGTACATGATCCGACGCAACCAGTGGAAATACACCTATTCGCTGGTCGACGCCCCGCAGCTGTTCGACCTGGTCAATGACCCACATGAGCTGAACGACCTCGCTACTTCTCAGAAGCCACACTACCAGAAGGTTCTAGCTGAGTTCCAGGCCGAGGCCGATGCAAAGTGGGACTTCCAGCAGATTCATAAGGATGTCTTGAAAAGCCAACGCATGCGACAAATCGCCTGGAGCGCTCTGCAGATTGGTGAGCTTGGAAAGAATTTCCAACAAAGGAATTTTGATTGACTGACTGTGTTATAGGCCGCAAGGAAACTTGGGACTACCAGCCACCTTATAACGATAAGGACCGCTTCATCCGCTCTCACATCCCTCTGGATGATCTTGAGCGCCGCGCTCGCTTCCCGGTCGTAGACCACATAGGTCGCGAGAAGACGGCTAGTGCCTCCCATCACGGCGTCGCTGGGGCTTACGGCGAGTAACACCGCTACCCTTTTCCTACATTGGCTGTCGCACGTCTTGCCCGACTATTCACGAAGTTTTGCTACTCACGATATCATGAACTTATGGCGGATGCTATGCATTTAATTTACTAAAAGCGAGCGGCATTGCCAATTTGATTTACAGCAGGATGCAAGGCGTTGGGCGACATTGAATTCTGTGTATAATAGATAAGACTGCAAATAGGGAAAAGTCTCGGTGTACACCAAATGAAAATATACAAGTGTAAACAGCAGTACCATTATGCGCATAATCGCAATTTTTTTAATTTGTAGCATGACATTGGACAGCGAAGGGACAAGCTTTTGCGTGCTGGGTCTTGTTCCACTATGACACGTGAGGGCGTGGCGTTCGCCTCCACCAGCCGACTAGGTGCGGAAGGTTCCCTTGACGCCCGCATTTCCTCACAACCGTCATACCAATAGCACTCCCTTAACCAGCTCGCCCGTACTTCAACCTCGTTCCGACTCGCACCTACTTTCGATCTTCGACGCCCCTCCAACATCTTTGTGGAAAAATGTCGACCGCCGCCCGCCGCCGCTTGATGCGTGATTTCAAGGTACGCCACTACTTGTCAGTGCCGCAACGAACCCACGGCAACACGATATGGATACCTGATAGAGGGCCATGCTAACGGAGTATGCTACAGCGCATGCAAACTGACCCTCCCGCTGGTGTCTCTGCTTCTCCGATCGCCGACAATGTCATGACCTGGTATGGAGTTCCGCATCACCCCCGCACACGCGACATCCTCCAAGCAGCCTCTCCCCTTATACAGTCCTCCCAAGCCTTTTATCCACAATCACCACTATCAAATGCGTTCTTGCAATTAGCTCGCTGACTCCTGCACAGGAATGCTGTCATCATCGGCCCTGCAGACACACCTTTCGAAGACGGGACCTTCCGCCTGGTCATGCATTTTGAGGAAGCATACCCAAACAAGCCACCGGGCGTGAAGTTCATCAGCCAGATGTTTCACCCAAATGTCTATGGAACGGGAGAGCTGTGTCTAGACATCCTACAAAACCGGTGGTCGCCTACGTACGATGTCGCCGCGATCTTGACGAGTATTCAAAGGTAAGCCGTTGCGAAGGAGCAAGAAGAGCAGCTAGGATTTCGATAGATCGGTGCTGACATTAGGAAGCTTGCTCAACGATCCGAACACATCCTCGCCAGCGAACGTCGAAGCGTCTAACCTGTACAAGGAAAACCGCAAGGAGTACACGAAGCGTGTTCGCGAGACGGTAGAGAAGAGCTGGGAAGACTGAGCTGGCCGGTGCATGAATCGCGGCATAAGACCGTGACATAGCAAGGCAAGGCAAGCATGACATGGGAGTTGGGAAGGACATGGACAGTGTTACAACGGTTATCCTGGCGGCGCAGCGGTTTTATCCTGGTTTCTCTTACAGCGAGGCGTTTGGGGCTGTTTCTTGATGTGTATTGCATGGCAGTATCTTTGTAGTCAATGGACCTGCTCTTCAGTTATCCCGTGTGCTCATTCATGTCGATGGAGATGAGGTGCCACGGCATATCCAAGGCCGACTCATGCAGGGTCCCGTTCTCTTGCAGAGACGTGATGATTGCCATGTCTATGTTGCTGAGAAAAGGCTTCTACCATGCCAGGACTCTACATAGAAGTGCTCTCAGAAGTACTCTAATCAAGCGAGGGTGGGAATGCGTCACGGCCGTTGGACGACGGTTGCGGGGGAGGAGGTAGGCGCGCTACGAGGCTTGCAGGTTGACGCATCAACATACGCCGAAGCCTGCACCCCGACCCAACCCGGCAACGTCGTCTACATCAAGTCAGTCGCTGCACCCGCTGCTCACGCTAGACACGCTCCTTTACGGCTCTTGGCTTGTGCTACTTTGTTTGCGCCAGGAACAGCTCGGGGGTTGTTCCAGTTTGTTCCCCTTAATAAACAGCAGCGGGGCCCTGAATTGCCCACCGCCACGCGCCGAGACACCGCAAGACGTGACGGTACCACGACAGCCTTTCCCGCTGGGCTTGCAGCAACACCTGCAGCCAAGAGTGAGAGAAGCAAGTAGAGGGAGGCCTCTGGGCCGGAACACTATACCGCACAGTAACCATGTCGTAAGTCGCCCTGGTGGTGCGAGCTTGTTTGCGGGGTGGTATGTAGCTAATGATTCGACCACAGGGGCTCCAACACGATCAAAGGTGCGCAGCGATACCGAGAGAGCACGGAATGAGTGCACATAGGTTACTAACCATGGGACAATGTAGTGTTGGCGCGGTTCCGCCCGCAGAACAAGATTGAGATAGCCAGCGGCGGAGAGCCCATTGTCGACTTCAATTCCGAGGACACATGTACAATCCAGGTACGGCCCAGTGACAGAGAGTTGAGGCCATTCCACGCTACGAAACCTGCTAACAACGATATGTACAGTCGAAAGAGGCTGCGGGGGCCTTCACCTTCGACCGCGTCTTCGATATGGCCTCGCGCCAGGCCGACGTCTTCGACTACTCCATTCGCCCGACCGTCGACGATATCCTCAACGGATACAATGGCACCGTGTTTGCTTACGGCCAGACAGGCGCGGGAAAGTCCTACACCATGATGGGTAGTGATATAGATGACGATGTAGGAAAAGGTGTCATCCCACGTATTGTGCAACAAATCTTCGCAAGCATATTGGCATCGCCCAGTAACATCGAGTACACTGTCCGCGTCAGCTACATGGAAATCTATATGGAGCGCATTCGAGATCTGTTGGTTCCACAAAACGACAATTTACCAGTCCACGAGGAGAAGAACCGGGGTGTATACGTCAAGGGCCTACTGGAAGTCTACGTCTCAAGCCAGGAAGAGGTCTACGAGGTCTTGCGAAGAGGCGGAACAGCACGAGCGGTTTCGGCTACAAACATGAACCAGGAATCATCGCGGTCCCACTCCATCTTCGTCGTCACCGTAACCCAGAAGAACGTCGAGACAGGGTCAATGAAGAGCGGGCAGCTTTTCTTGGTCGATCTGGCTGGTTCCGAGAAGGTTGGCAAGACCGGAGCAAGTGGACAAACTTTGGAAGAGGCGAAAAAGATCAACAAGAGCTTGAGTGCGTTAGGCATGGTCATCAACTCGTTGACGGACAGCAAAGCGTCGCATGTTCCCTACCGAGATTCGAAACTCACGCGCATTCTACAAGAATCTCTTGGCGGCAACTCCCGAACCACACTTATCATCAACTGTTCCCCAAGCAGCTACAACGACGCTGAGACTCTAAGTACCCTCCGGTTCGGTATGCGAGCAAAGACGATCAAGAACAAAGCCAAGGTCAATGCTGAACTCAGTCCTACTGAGCTCAAGGCGATGCTCAAGAAGGCACAAGGACAGGTCACGACATTCGAGAAATACGTTGCTGTGCTTGAAAGCGAAGTCACACTTTGGCGCGGAGGTGAAACGGTCCCGAAGGAGAAATGGGCACCGACATTGGAAACAGGCACCACAGCAGGCAGAAGACCACCCACAACACCGCGCGCAGGGACACCGTCAAGACTGGATGCTACGAAGAGCTCGGAGACACCATCACGGCCGGACTCCAGGATGGAACTGGAGCGTGCAAGTACACCGAGCATACCATTGGACAAGGATGAGAAGGACGAATTCCTACGAAGGGAGAATGAGCTTCAAGATCAGGTTGCCGAGAGGGAAAGCCAGCTCGCCAAAGCAGAGGATCAGCTCAAGACTGCCAAAGATGAGCTCCAATACTACAAAGACCGGGATTCCAAAACCAACAAAGACAACGAGCGCATCACTATGGAGTTGAATGAGATGAGGATGCAGGTTGAGAAGATTCAATTCGAGAGCAAGGAGGCGTTGATCACCATGGACGGACTCAAAGAGGCCAACTCGGAACTAACGACCGAGCTAGATGATGTTAAACAACAGCTTCTAGATGCCAAAATGAATGCCAAGGAGACCAGCGCCGCAATGGACGAGAAGAAGAGAAAGAAGGCCGAGGCTATGGCGCAGATGATGGCCGGCTTTGATCTTGGTGGCGAAGTCTTCAGCGACAATGAGCGCAGCTTACGAAAGATCATCGAGCAGCTTGACCAGCTCCATGAGATGAGCTCCTCTGGCGAGGCCATTGCACCAGACGCGATACAAGAGCTCCGCGAGAAGCTCGTAGAAACACAAGGCATCGTACGGCAAGCCGAGCTGTCCCTCACTGCTCGGGGCGAGGAGGACAATGTACATACGAAGCGGCGCGATGCTCTCGAAGCACGCTGCACCAATCTGCAAAACTCATACGAAGAGTTGCTCGAGCGCAATCTTACAGAGGCAGACCGGGAGGAGCTCAAGTCACGTCTCGCAGACGCCTACTCGGCGCGGCAAGAAGGCAATCTGGAGCTTGTCGAGGGTCTGAAGCAGGATCTTGCGCTGAGGGCGGAAGAGAACCAGAAGTTCAGGGCCGAGGTTGACAGTCTACAACAGCGCATCAAGAGTGGTGCAATTGCTAGTGGCGCCGCCAATGGCATCAATGGGAAGACAGTACAACAGCAGATTGCTGAGTTCGATAACATGAAGAAGAGCTTGATGCGCGACCTGCAGAATAGGTGTGAGCGGGTAAGTACTCCCAGAAAGCTTGTACCACGCAAGACAATTATGCTAATTTGCATTCCCTCACAGGTGGTTGAGCTCGAGATCTCACTAGATGAGACACGAGAGCAGTATAACAACGTCCTGCGTACTTCGAACAACCGCGCCCAGCAGAAGAAAATGATGTTCCTCGAGCGCAACCTCGAGCAGCTCACCGTTGTACAGCGACAACTCGTCGAGCAGAACTCCAGCTTGAAGAAGGAGGTCGCCATTGCGGAACGCAAGTTGATTGCTCGCAATGAGCGGATACAATCTCTAGAGAGCCTGTTGCAAGATTCGCAAGAGAAATTGACAGCGGCGAACCATCGGTATGTACACACCCTGACCCCTGCCCTGGAATCTTCACATCCACGACATTGGCTAATGGTGAACAGTTTCGAAGCGCAACTTACAGCCGTCAAAGAACGTCTCGAAGCTGCAAAAGCAGGCTCTACCCGCGGCTTGGGTTCCCCATCTGCCGGCGCGTCTTACGCTTTCGGCGGCGGCGTTGGCTCAAGGATTGCCAAACCCCTCCGTGGCGGAGGTGGACCTGTACAAGACGGACCTGTGCTACCAATCATTGGCAACTTGCAGAAGCAGGATGGCGAGGGTGATGCTAACAAGGCGAAGAGGACAAGCTGGTTTTTCAATTAGCGGCAGGGAGTTAGTAGTGGGTGGCGGGGAAAGAGGGGCTGAGGAGTTGGATATCACTTATCTTGGAAGAAGTCCGGTGATCCCTGGGAGTTCAAGGCGTTGCGCCTCTATGTCATTTGGGCCTCGGTATGGGAGAGGTGCACGACAGGAGGCAGGCTGGACATATCTCCCCTCTCAGTCTCTTACGCGGTCCATGAGAGATGATGAGGGCCTGATGAACGCCGCCATCGCATACACAGGGAGTTTGGACGTTTGGTGGTTTTGCTGCGCTCATGCACTTATACCATAGACTCGTAAAGTTGACTATTCATCTCCGTTCACGAAACGATCACGGCTTCAAACTGTTTCAAGAGGTGCTCTGAAGCTACGACATAGGCACGAAGACTTCTCGACTACAGAGGGGGGCTGGGGGAAGTGCACGATGATTTGGTGAGTTGATGAAGGCAGAATTAGGTATCACTGCATTCGTTGATCTAGCACGAAGTTGTATATGACTTCCCACTCTCACCGTTATTCACAGAGTCAGCCTTCTCCAGAGACACACACAGTGCGGCCAACATCTCCACCCAAAAGCTCCTTCTTCGACCTCCAACTGATAGTTTGCTCACTTCTACCGTGCGAACTGCCTAGTAGTGTAGGGTATGGTTCCCTAGATGGCCTGCAATACCCCGTCGAGGGTGGCGATAGGAGTCTCGCTCCTCAACGCCCTGCATTCTGCTTACGGACTGGCCGACCTTGGGGACGGGATCGCCGACGAGCGCTAGAAGGATCAGTCTCACTCCAATCCGAGCTCTCAGGACGAAGGATGCTCCTACCAGGAAGCTGCTGACCGCGCTCATCACGGAAGCCATGCGCTACAGCCAAGTTTCCCTGCGTATCCACCACAAAGCCACCGGCATACTCCTTCTCCCTGATGGTGGCTTGGATTTCCGAGCAGTACGCGTGCATCTTGTCTGCGTCGTCGAAGATTTGGCGCATCGTATCCTCGTCCACGTCTCCTTGTTCTGCAACGGTACGCTGCCACTTCTTCATCGCGCGCAGGTCGTCCCATATGTACTTGCCCAGGTCGCGGATCAGCGCAATGTCTTCGCGGGACCAGCGCTGGCCGCCTTCGCTGTCGCGCTCGTAGTTGACTACTACGTCGTAGGCGCGTGACGTGCGGCCCATGAGGTCGTCTAGCTCCGTGTCCCAGAGTTGGGGGAGTTGCTCCTCGTCGCGGTCGGGCTTGTTGCGTTTCACAGTCTGTGAGCGACGTCGGTTGAGGGGGGCTGAGTTTGGATACGGAATGCCTTCTTCGAGAGGTTCTTCATGGTACGGCGGTGCAGTGTGTGCTGGAGGGCCATACGTTGGACGGTAGGCGTTCCAGTGCTGGGGCGGTTGACCGCGAAGTTTCTGTTGGTAGGACATGGCTGTTGGTTGAGAAGAGGGACGATGACAGAGATATGGAGTGTAGGGATAATGGGACACCCTTTATAAGAATCAGAAATGTTTTTACGTGTTTGCTGCAGTGAAAGTGAAAGTGAAAGTGTATTGTGATTGTGTCATGCACGCGGGGAATTAGTTTGGAAATAGAGGCTTGAATGACTCAAAGAGCGAGATGCGTCGACAAATAGTCATTTCATTCGTTAGTCTGGCGGATTTTGAGGGTTGTGGACTCTAGGGAGCGGAAAGCCAAGCTGGTGATCCAAGGTTGGAACCACGAGGAAGGTCACGAATAGCGGACCATCTTATTCTGTAATCTTAAAATATTGGGAAAGAGCAGCCAACTCTTGCGGCAGCTACGAAAATAATCAACGGATAGCTGCGTGCGAAAGGGGGGACTGAGTGTATGAGTGTATTCAATATTTTTGCAAAGCTTGTGGTACGAATGAATGGAGTGCCGATGATATGGCATGTACCGACTGCTTACATGAGCGTTGTTTAGGGACGGGCACTCCAGAGCTGAGCAAAGGGTGAGCCTACAGCAATAGGGCGCCTATATAAGTCTAAGGCCCAGCAAAGCTTCGGGATGTCCTGTCATGATTGTTGCCCGGACTTGCAATGTGTTGATGACTCCTTCTGCAGCCGGCATGAGAAGGGGGTGCGAAGAGCAGAGGGCGCGTGGAGATACGTTGGCCCGGACTGTAGTAGCGTCATTTTCCACGATGTGCCTAGGAACTGCACTAAAGAAATAACATAAACAAGGGTACCAGTCTGTTTATTTGGAGCCACAACAAAATTGCATTGTATTGTGGTCGGGCATGTTGACAGTGCAAGGGTACGCGGTTGGTTGCCGTGGAACCCTGGTGCATTGGCCCAAATGCACGCTAAGACGTTCGCGCCATGGTTCTCTTTCAAGCATCCACCAGCCTCCAGGGAAAACAACATCATTGGAACCTTCTTCGCTACAAACACAGACACCCGTGCTGCGACGCGCTTCTCCTTCGCTCAATTGCTTCTTGTTAGCTCCCCACCTGATCTCCCAAGCTCCAGCACCCTGCCATGGCTGCTACGCGCTGCTGAAAGACCCTCGACGTGCCCTGTTGCGTCGCGTCGTGAGCTTCCATAGTCACGCCTGCCCCTCCACCACTCATTCCCTCCCACCACGCCTCAGGCCCAACCACCGCTGATAACTACGTATGGCAGCAGTAGCCATCCCTCCTTCGCCTCAGGTCTCTGTAGTCATGTCGAACCGTCGCGTGCCCCTCGCAAACCTCCAGAATGCTACAAATTCTCCTCTCCGCGCGACTGCCATCGGAGGAAAGCGCCAACGCTCTCACGCGAGTGAACAGCGTGATATGCCCTACGGCCAGCCACCATCAAAGAAGCAGATCATCGAAGTCGACGACGCAGAGGCTCGCCGCCATGGACTAGTTCGCCGGAGTGGGGCCCAGCCCACTGCCTTGACCCGGAAGCTTGAAGCTGCCAGGGAGAACAAGGTGCCCGCAAAACAGGTGGAGAGAGTGCAGCGAGCATCAAACGACCTCGAGACTATAAGGCAATGGCAGCGTCATTACCGCAAGCTGTTTCCTCAATTCGTCTTCTACTTTGATAGCGTGTCCAACCCACAGAAGGACAAGCTCATGAGCAGAGCCCAGATCCTTGGATCAGTACGTGCAACTCCTCTCTCTTCTCCCAATAGTGACTGACCATACCCAGCGTGAGGTTACCTTCTTCTCTCGAGAAGCCACCCATGTCATCACGACGCGTCCAATCCCCGCCGACCTCGATTCGAGCTCCTCATCGCACTCCAAGGGCACTGTCAACCCAGCCCAGCTCGAGAACAAGAAGTCGGTATTCGATGCTGCTCTTCAGAAGTCTAGCCGTGGGGACATCCTGTACAAGGCCAAAGAGCTGAACATGAAGATATGGTCTGTCGAGAAGCTGCAGCGAATGGTGGACACCATGTTCAACAAGGAAACCGGCGAGGATGCTTCAAGTCACCCTACGCGTCAAGGCGTCGCCGCACTACAGCAGAAGGGTCGCCCAGCGGATCTACAGAGGCTGCTACAAAATGAGAAGATGGACCGTGACTATGTCATCGCCTCGCAGGATATGATCCCGTTGCGCGGATACTACATCTATGTTCACGACATGGACGAGGCCACACGACCTGTGATGATTCGAGAATATCAGAAGGTCGAGAAAGAGAAGGGCAAATGGCCACAGTTCCGTGCTTCAGGCAACGGCAAGTGCCCCTTCGTTGAGGATCCCCATTTTGGCCGTCGACAACTAGAGGAACAAGAAGCGCGTCGCGTAGCAAGAGTGGTGGCAGCAGCTCCTCGAACGCGTGCAGCGTCAGCGTTGGAAGAAAAAGCCGCTTTGGGTGAGAACAACAATCTGGCCAGGCGACCTAGTGCCCCTGCCGCGTATGTCAAGGAAGAGGATGAAGATGCGAAACCGTTGGATCCTCCGAAAGCGCTTCCACCGAAGCGTACGAGCACTGATGGTATCCCGCCTATGTTTGGCAGTGCTCAGGCTAGTATCCGAGCCATGCCTCGATTCATTGCCGGAGAGCCAGTCGCTTCTGGTCTCCAAGCATCGAACATCACCTCCGCTATCCGATCTCAGATGATCTCCTCGACCGCTGCTGGACCCCGTGCTGGAAACAGTAAGGAGGTTAATCAGCTGAAGCGAAAGGTTCTTGAGAAGAATAGCGCACCATCGGCAAACAGTGGCCATTCATCTGTCATGAACGATGTGCGGGCGGCACTGAACCAGGAACATACCGAACCTATACGAGCGGCCAAGCGTCGAGCTCAAGAGAACCTTGGTTTCATCCGCGAGGATGGTGACGAAGAGAGACAAGCTCGCAAGGTCGCTGCCCTCCGCAGACGCAAGACGGCTGAGAAAGAGCTTAAGCCCGGTTACTGTGAGAACTGCAGGGAGAAGTTCAACGACTTTGATGAGGTAAGAATTGGTCACGACTCCTTCTACGACAACATGCTAACCATGTTCAGCACGTTGTCTCTCGCAAACATCGCAAGTTCGCAGCAACCACTGAAAACTGGGCCGAACTTGACCAGTTGCTCGCCCAGCTCGATCGCCGATGAGCATTACGTATGCCACCTGCACGGCACACGACGAAGTTGCATCTATAATGGCATTAATGCACGACACAATACCCACGACATAGTTTCCTTTGTCCCTCTTTCTTCACTTCTTGCCCTCCGTCGTATGGCTTTACTCTACGTGCGAATACCCGTTACAATGCATTCCGGAACTTTGAGCATTTCCGAGGCGTGTCTTCCATTCCCTTTTGGCGGCATAGTCTAGTATGGTTATTTTCTAAAGGAGGTACGAGTTCGCTCCCTAGCTTACGATGCATGTGTCATTGTATATATCTATTGCATCATAACCTTTCTGGTTTCTTTTGTTGGGTGTTGCGATTGCAACCCCTGAGGACGGCGTTGACTGTGGTGGTTTGATGGGCATTGTCATACAGAGTAAGATGTAGCGACACATGTGTGCAGGTCTGCGCGATACTGGAGATTATGTTATGCATTACTATCGTATTAGTTATTTAGAAGAGTAGCAATGCGACTGTGATATCGTTCACTACAATCGCCCCCGTTTGCAAGTGATGTGGTTGATTTGGCGGTGGCCCTGATTGGTCAGGCAGCCGTTTACACTTCGCAACTTCCCTTTCTTCACTGTCGCGCTCTTGCTTTTCGCTTCAACTACCTTTCACGTAGTCACTAAACAACCACCAATTTTTTGCATCCGTTGCTACGCGATCATCTCGCTCATTAGCTCCCTCGACCTATTCCCTCTGCCTCCGCTGGTCGAGGGCTGTTCTCCGCTGATCATGTCTAACTCGCCCAAGGAAAGGATACCGGATGAAGACGATACGTCTGAGACTCCTCTGACGATGGCGGCCTCCGTCGTCTTGACGAACTTACCGAAGGATGCATCAAAGGCTCTGGAAACAGCGGGGAACCTGAAAATTCAGAAGAGTATGTGTCCAACGTCGCTCACCCCAAGTTTGATAGTCGATGTTCTAGCTATAAATCCATCGCAACGACGACGTACATTCTCATCGATAAACGTTCCGCCACCTCATTCGTGCCCGGATATTTTCCAGAACTAATGTCCTTGTAGTAACTGTCCGGCTACAACCAATCGGCTCGGCACCTCACTTGAATCAGCGCGTCTTCAAGCTGTCCACGAATCAACCATTCGCAACCATTGTTCGCTTCCTAAGAAAGCGACTGGGCGTCAAAGAGCACGAAAGCGTGTTTTGCTATGTTGGCAGTGTCTTTTCTCCCGCTTTGGATGAAGGCGTCGGGAATCTATGGACTGTAAGCCTCTCAGCAGCCTGGTAACGTGCCAGGGAAGATTTGGAATGCGTTGTCCGTGCTAATACATCTGTTTAGTGTTTCAAGCAGAATGAGGAGCTTGTTGTAGGATATGCAATGTCACCTGCCTTCGGGTGACACGATCCCGTTTCAATGAATTCTGCGGCTGAGGGCCATAAAGCGACAACAGAAGCTCACCACAACCTTTTCAAGACACCAATGCGAAAGAGATACCCACTAGTGAGTGCATGAGTCGACAGCTTTATAATTTATATACTTCTAGAATTGCAGCGCTATGCCAAATCTTGAACATCTTGATTCCTTCAGACCGTTTTCGAAGATGCAGAAACGTGAGTCGCTAAAGTAGCGTGGGTATGCAAATATACAATCACAACCAACGCCAATATCATGCTATTCCCAAGATAATCCCACTATCGTGTCTCCCGCTTCTCTTCGATCAGAGCCTCGAACTCCGTAAGTACCTCCTTCGACATCGGGTACGTGTGCTCCGGTGCAGGATATTCTCGGCTCTTCACTTCGGTCTTGTACTGCGAGATCGCCCTGATGGCTTCGCTCCAAACATTGCCATATTGCTTGACGAATTTGGGGAGGAAACGACCTGGCGGAAAGTTTCCAAGCATGTCAACCTGGACGAGCACTTGACCAGAGCAGCTGTTGCCGGCGCCGATACCTATTGTAGGGATACTAAGCTGCTTGGTTACAATTGCCGCAATCTCAGCAGGCACGGCCTCTACGACCACAGCGAAGGCGCCAGCTTCTTGCACCGCAAGCGCGTCTTCGAGTAATTTCACTGCCGAGGCAGTGCTCTTACCCTGTACGCGGAAGCCACCGAGCGCATTCTGCCTCTGTGGCGTCAGACCCACGTGAGCCAGTACGGGGATTCCAGCTTCTGTGATCTTGGCTATTGTCGGTGCCATTTCCTTTCCACCTTCAAGCTTGACAGACTTGACGCGACCTACTTTGATCATGCGGATAGCTGACGCTAGGGCTTGTTCGGGGGAGATTTCATAGCTGCCCATTGGTAGGTCTCCAACCTGTACCGTATCAGTATACTGACCAAAAAGGAAACCAAGTACCATCACCTACCGTAAAGGCTCCCTTCGTTGCCCGTGCTACGGACTTGCAGTGCAGTAGCATCTCCTCCATCAACACTTCGCTTGTATCCTCCATACCAAGCGCGACCATAGCTAGACTATCTCCGACAAGTATTATATCCATCCCCGCATGGTCGGCAACGTGGGCACTCGGAAAGTCGTGCGCCGTTATCATAGTTATGGGTTCGTTTTTCCGGTACAGACTCTGGAGCGTGTTGATGGTGACAGGCTTGCGGATAGTCGCAGGCGCAGCGCCCATGGGGGAGTGTGAGCTCCATCTGACCTGAGAGGCAGGTAGCAGTACTCGTGGTATCGGCAGTAGCCGCGAGCTGAGAGACCGCGGTGCCGACCAAGCAACCCTTGAAGATGTTCGAAGAGGGTTCATAATAGCACGCGACATCGCAACGGTGTTCGGGTAGTGGATTAGGGGGCGTTGAGGGAGGCGTTGGAATTGTGTTGGGCCCGTGAGGACAATGCGGATGAGTTTTCGGCACCCATCGCTTAGGGCGGAGCGATTTCTTAAATATGGACTGACAATGCTGATATCTTCAGCGCAGTTCTGGTGTTGAGCGGACCGAGGTGTCCGAGCTTTTCAGAGGAGTCAGCCCGGATTGCCCAGCCCGCGCCAGACTCCCTTTGTTAGGGTGGCTCAGCCGAGGAAGCGTGTGTTTGGTGTAGACCACCAGGCTGCAATGGCACAACACGACGGCACCTCTGATGGGAAGAATGAATACGGTCGACCTGGGTTTTGGCATACTGAAGCCCTGCGGAGTGGCCGTTGCACGCATCAGAAGGCGGCCTGGGGACCTCGGAGGAGCTGCGGCGTTGCTACACTGCGATTGGGTGTCTCCTGGTCGTTTCACAGTCAAACCTCTCAATAACTAATTCTGACACAGATTACTAGTTGGCTTAGGCTGATTGTTCTCAAGTTCTTTTCCTATGTTCAAATCAACAACCGTAACTTGTTTGAGGTTGTTTGCAAGATGCAGTCCGGAGTTGGTTAATAGGAGACCTCAGGACGGACTACTGTAGTCACGATGAGATCTAGAATAGGAGCATTGAGTCCAAGGCAGTGATGAGGCAGCAGGCCATATCTTCAGAATCAAATTCTCAAGTATCTCGGTAGATGTTTGCACGATTCTTCAAAGTCGCTTCAAGCATCGAACAAACCGCATGACCGCGCGGTGGGGCTCCGTCTCTCGGCGATGACCTACCGGACTCAGGACGTGCGCAAGCGTGACTTCCCGGCGTCGACGCTCGTGACCGCGACAACCTCAGTAGCAACCCTCTATTCCTTGATCCTAGCATCTTACATCATACTCTCTCCAAGACACGACATTTTCGACGTCCACGACAGCCAACAGCTCATACAAGCCCACAAACGGCCTTATACTGCCAACAAAGCATCTCCGCCCTGCCAGCGAGTCAGCCCCTCCTCCGCTATCGATAGCTCGGCACCCAACGTCACAAGAGCTCTCTCGACCGCATCGAGCGACCGTCCACCAAACTTCACTTGAACCTTCAGCTGGAACAATATAGGACGGAAAGAAGCTGTCTGAAAAAGGCCTGTCCTCAATACCGTCACCATGAGTTCGCCGAAGAGACGTATCGAGACGGATGTAGGTGATATCTCGATCTTTGATACTGTCAAGAGGAGAACAAGAGCTAATGAAAGCCTCCTTTGCTGTGAATAGGTTATGAAGTGGGTCGCGTAAGCTCTGAAATTCCAAGTAAGGTGCTAACAAATAGCAGGATGTATGTTTCTAGCTAAATGCCCGACTGCTTGACCCTGACCCAGACACCCCTGCGGCGTGCTTGCGAGCCAGTACTGACACCCGACAGGCTTATGAGCGACTATGAGGTGACACTGGTCAACGATAACAGTACGCTAGCATGATCTAAACTATACGAGAAACATGGCTAACAGAGTCCAGTGTCAGTCACTCTTCTCGTCCGATTGCCGATCCGCCGACGCACCGTTAACACAACATAGGCAGGAGTTTTACGTTCGATTCAAGGGCCCCGAAGAGAGTACGAAGGCCGTCATACTTGCTAGGGACAACGCTGATGATACACAGCTCCATTCCAGGGTGGCCTATGGAAGATTCATGTCGAGCTTCCCGATCAATATCCGTACAAGAGTCCTAGCATCGGCTTCGTCAACAGGATATTCCACCCCAATATTGATGAGCTGTACGCTGCACCCAGTTCTGATACCTCGGCGTTTTGCTGTCGCTTCGTTCTACAATGATTGTTGCTGACCTGCGCATAGCTCCGGCTCCGTCTGCCTCGATGTTATAAATCAGACATGGTCACCCATGTACGACATGATCAACATCTTCGAAGTCTTCCTTCCCCAACTTCTCCGATACCCAAACCCGACCGACCCCCTGAACGGAGAAGCGGCCGCGCTTCTCATGCGGGAACCAAAGAGCTACGAGGCGAAAGTCAAGGGTACACATACATTGGGCAGCGGCAGGGTAGAACCAGGCTAAATATGTGACAGAATACGTCCAAAAGTACGCAAACAAGGACACAGCCGAAGACTCAGATAAAGACAACGATGACGATGACGAGATGAGCTCCGTCGGCAGCTACGAGTCGGGCGACGAAGATGAAGCGGCGGGCAATATGGAGGACATCTAGGCAGCGATGCTTATGATCAAGTTTAACTCCTTCGTATTGTTCACGGTTATTATTCCTTCTGAATTAGACATGGACGGACGTTCAAGGCGTACACAGGATGCATTAGTACATATTCCCCACCAGTATTGGGAAGCATCAGGGTTGGTTACCGGGTTTGAATTTGTTTATGATTATCTCTTTTACATCAGCGGTACTTCCCATATCTACTGAAGCAGCGGGGTCTGTTCGCGATATGACTAGGTGAAAGAGATTGTATGGCTTCTCGAATTTCGGCCAGTTAGGCAGCAGCAGGACGCAGGTATTGTGTATGGTCAAGCTTTTCTTTTGTTCAATTATACACACTTTTTCTATTCAACTACTTGACTCTTCTCAATCCAATCTCCTTATCAGTCTTCTTGAAGGTCTATGAACTTGCGATCAAGCTCCTTCCTTTGGTCTCCAGGTCTTCAAGCTCTCGATTTGACATATGATTCCCTTCTTTCGTACCTCATTTGTCTGCGTTGCATGGGCCTGGTAGTGTCACTCGTGCGGTTTATGCCTAAGCATTCTGGGCTACATATCAATAAGGTCGGCGCCAACGTCATAGCGAGCGCGGGCAGAGATTCTCAGTGAGCCGATATGTATGCACAGAGCTTTCGAGGGCCATGCGTGTCGCTTCAACAGGGGTGTCCTACGTCTTTTGGGTTCCCGATTGGTCAAGAGGAGGATCGCAACGGTGAAGATTAGCACAAATCGATGCCACCGACCGCTTCTCCTTCCCCGCTTCATCTCTCTTTCACCGACACATGAATCCCCGCTGCCTAGGAGACCACGTCGTCGCGTCATGGCCCGAGCTTGTCCCGATCGCACTCAGGTGTATATAAACAACGCCTCCAGACGTCTCAAGAAATTCTACCGGCAACAACAACGGCAAGTACGACTTTTGATACACTTATTCAAGCCCATATTTTGAGCAGCCCATTGCACAGCGGGCTGCTTTTCAAAGCACCAGTTTCAAGATCAACATGGCCCCACGCAACGATCGCGGACCGCACCGCAGTGCTCATCGCCCCGACCATGGTGGTACAGAGCGCCGCAACCGCAACGCTTACACTGGCGCCGGTGTCAATGCTAGGCGTTCCACCAACGGTCGAGATGGCAATCGCAGGGTCCACTATGATCGGTATACTCCGAGGGCTCGTGGTGGAGATGAACGAGCGCGAGTTGAGCATCCTAGAGGGCCTCTAGTGAATCGCATGACATTTCCTGGGGATTTGCCACGCGCTCGAGGTGCCACAGGCCGTGACCGTCCTCTGAGGCCTCCTCCTCGGCGTGGTCGTTACGTTGAGCCCCAGGGTCGCATCCGCCAGCGCCATGACGAGGGCGGTGGTAGACGAGACGTTCCTCAAGGTCGACATAACAACAACGGTGCACAAGGGTTATCTGCGCGCATGACTGTCGATGGCAATGCCAATGACGTGCGCATGGACAACAACAACTCCCAGTTCACGACCGCCAACAACGCCACCGCAGCAACCCAAGAACCTTCTCTTTTCTACGGTTCCCAGCCTACCCAGGTCCCCAACATACAGATATCCCCTTCGCCCCCTCCTCCCCCTACTGCTCCTGCCCTTCGCGCCACTACCTTTAAGCCGATCCGCATGTTCAACCAGCCTCTTGATGAAGATCAGCCCAAGCCTAAGCGCCCTATCAACACCTACCGCGGCAACGACCCTATCAAGAAGCTGGTGCAGAACCCGAAGCTTCGGGCTATTCTATCTGGTCGAGGGCTTCCGAAAACACGCAAGAAGGCGCTGGACGATAGGCCAGACCTGCGTATGGGCGTCAGCAAGATTACCAAGTAGTGACTTGCCGATGGCCTGCAAGGTGCAGAGAGAATGGGAAGCAATCTGACTGAAGGTTCGGTGCTGAAGCTGCTGGGTTTTGAGAGACGAATGGTTGTTGCACAACGACCTTTATACCTTTCTTTCTTCCTTCTTCTTTGCATTTGCTCTGTGGCTTTTGGCCCTGATGCGCTTCGCCTCGTTACCCAGGGATTCTTATCTGTTTCGGAGGTGAGGTTGTAGAGAATGATGGCCGGCCAGGACACAAATCTCTCCAGCTCTAGTGAAATGTGCTTCAGAGTCATTATTTGGACTTATGGATTTGGATTTCGGCGTTTAAGATGGGCGGGGCATGGATGATACCCTTTTCATTACTTCTGGCATGGGATGAATGCCCTTGCATGAATTTAGGTAGTGCACCTCTTATAGGTACTAAAATCAACAGTGTCTTGATCACTATGAACTCTAGAGTGCTTTATTTCGGGTGTTTCAAAATGCGGTCGGATATAATGCGGTCTTGTAAATGATGCCTGTCCAGCGCGTAGGTTTTTGTCCGTGCACGCGACAAGCTTCAGCATCTGTCATAGCTATCAGTCCACCGGTCGAAATAGCCTACCTCACCACACTATGTCACGAACAGCAATACCGCGTGCAGCGCTTCGCTTAGGCTCGAGAAGCTCATTACTTGTATCCCCAAGAGCAATTGAGTCGCCATGTCGTAGCTTGTAAGCAAACTCTTGTTCATGCAGTAACTTGGGAAGCTCCGCTCACACATACCAGCACACTTCTCCGCGCATCACCATTCCAATGCCTCTCCCACAGCATCCGTAGCTTCTCTTTAAGCTCCCCTCTTCAGAAGAAGGCAGGGAAGGCCAACAAAGCCCATGCGAAAACCGACTCCACACCCCCAGTCAACAACGCAGGCGCAGCCACCCCGACCGACGAAGCGTACGATGTCTCAGGCCTGGAAACACAGATTCTCAAGGCCATTGAGAGGCTTACACATGACCTGAGTCAATTACGGGGTGGTGGGAAGATGAACCCAGAGATAGTTGAGGGGTTGAACGTGCAATTAGGCACAGCAGGGGGCCCTGACGGGAATACCAAGGAGACTGTAAAGCTAGGAGACATTGCGCAGGTTGTTCCGCGAGGGCGAGTGCTGAATGTTGTTTGTGGAGAGGAAGCGGTACGTTCACTACATTTACAAGACTGTTTTCGTCACACAGGCATCCAGCTAACACCACACCCAGCACATAAAACCCATCACATCCGCCATCGCCGCCTCGCCACACTCTCTTACCCCCCTCTCCCCCGAATCCAGCAACCCGCTCACCATCCAAGTCCCCTTGCCCCCGCCCACGGGCGAATCGCGCCGCGCAGCCGTCGAGTCGGCTGGTAAGGCTTCTGAGAGGGCGGATAAGTGGATCCAAAACGCGCGGCAGGAGCATAATAAGAAGCTGAGGAAGTATGAGCTTCATAGAGATGTGCTGCCGGATGATTTGCAGAAGGCGAAGAAGAGGATGGAGGAGGTGGTCAAGAAGGGGCATGGAGAGGTTAAGAGGATTGCGGATGGTGCGAAGAAGGTGCTTGAGAGTCAATAATTGGGTAACAACTTATAGGGGATAAATGAAAGAAGAATGTTGCATCAATGAGATTTGGACTAGCAAGTTGAGCTGCACAAGTCAATCCGTTCACTTGGGCAATTTACTGGAATTCAGGGCCAAGCATCCACGGCTTTACTTTCGCTTCACAAGTTGATACAATCGTACGTTTTTACAATATTGACTATGACCTTTAGACTATTGGACTTGGCCGAAATTGCAGATCTTGGACTCGACGCACCCCTGCGCGCGTGGGGTAATTGATCACCTTGGGACCAAAACGCGGGGAAGTTCGGTCCGTCGTGTTTGACTCTTAGGATTCTCCGGGTTTCTCCCTCTCTCCAACATCTCCTCGGGATATTACAGATTCCACATTCCGCGCTGGGGCGTGGCTGACCACATCGTTCGTAGGCCAGCCCGGCATGGCGTTGCAATTACTGTGCGTCGCACAGTGCTTACTTACCCTTTTCCCTATAGCAGGTGAACAAGACCATTCACCGCTATACTGCAAGTAATCAAGGAGGAATGCTGGACCTCTGAAGCTTGGCGCGAGGTGATTTACGGCGCGGAGTCTTCCGGTTGGGTTGCAATGGAGAGAGGTTTAAGGCGGCCCATCCGCCACACTTGCCTTGCCAGGGAGATTAAACGCTATTTGTTGGATTGCGCAGCCGGTCGAGTTGTCCGCCGCGCCACAGGCATACGCATCCAACCGTGTTTCGGTCTCAGATCCAAGACCAACTTCCCGTTGCAGAGCGCGTGTGTTTGATGGTATTGGACACGTTGTTGGCCAGCGGCGAGATCTTCACTGCAGTCAGCAGAGAATGACAGCCTCGCTTTGTTTTGCCAGACCGCCTCCGCCATGTAACCGGCCCGCTGGGCGGGGCTAAACATAGGGGGGTGTGCGATGGTCTGGGATGGATCTACCCGCAAGCCTTGCAAACGTCGGCCTTGTATGTAAAGGTGGGCCACTCCTGACACCTCCAAGCCTTTTTACTTTCCTGCGACGTTCAGCACCTGAAATTCAGTGCCGAGGAAGATATTCGCTCCAGAGGCCGTTTTTGATGTACTAGTCAATTGCCGAATTCGACATTTGAGGAGATGGAATCATGACATGGCGCCTCTTACCGATATCGACTTGCTAGCCCTGCGCAAGCGCTTCCCGACCCCCATACCTGAGCTATCAACACGTACTTCGCCGCCAACGAGAGCGAGCCTGTCGACCGAAGGAGGATTCCTGGAAGCATGGGCCCAAGGCTACAATGTGGGGAGTTTGATCATCCTGATCTTGATCGTCTTCTGCAATTATCGGTCTGGAATATGGCTCCATAAGCTCATCCTCCTTGAGGTAATTTGGATTGAATCGAACGTCCACGACCAGCGGCTGACTATCGCAGCTTGTGCTCGCCCTTTGGCACGGCACATTCATCTTCGTCAAAGACCCGGACTACGGTTGGTATCTCTCCGCCACCGCAGCTTTGCTCTTCATATCCTATTTTCTCCACAACGTCGTCTCGTGGATCAAGATCCGGCCCTTCCTCCCTCGCTGGGGTTCCCGCCTCTTCATCATCTCGTTGCTCTGCGTCCAGCCCTTCTGGGTCGTCGAGGCCTGGTCCAACTTTGCCTACTTCAATTCGCTCGGATCCGAAGCTAACGTGAAGATAAGGCCTTGGGAGGCCTTACTCCGTGATCCGTGGTGGATATTCACCACTTGGGAGCTTATCAATGCGATCAAGAAGACATATGCATTCAAGATTTGGGATCTCGTCAGGATCAACACGCGATTCGGTATCATGCTCCTCTGCATGATCATCTCAATCGCTTTTCTGCTCGTAGACGTCGTAGTCAGCGCAGCAAAACTTTCGGCGAACAGTGGCATCAATCCTTACTGGCGCTTTGCGCTCGTCTTCAAGTGCGCGTCCGATACAATCTTCCTCGACGACTTCAAGTCCGTCCTTGACGATATTGTAGCGCGCAAACTTAGCTCTAAGAACACCGCCGGACGTCACGGGTCGGTAGGAGGGTCTGGCGGCAGTGGCCAAAAGCTAGCACGATCTGTTTCGCGTGGCGCTGAGCTTATCGAATGCACGGCCCTCGAACAACCTACTCTTACACCCGTCCATACAACTAGCTCTTCGCAAGCGACGGCGCCGAAATCAAAATTCGCGCTTCCATTTTCAAAAGAAAGGAAGATATCGACCCCAAAGATCAATGTTCAGCAAGACATGGCCGTTGCGTCGCATGCGAGGCAACCGAGTCACAATAGCTGGGAGAGTGACAATCCGATATTGCCCAAGCCAGCGCGTACCGTCCATGGCAATATACACCTGAGAGCGAGCGAGAGTGAACAAGATTTGATGATTAAAAGAATAGTGTGAAGAGATGGAGACCGGTGAAGACATCTGGGAGTACAATAAAGTGCAGAAGAGGGGAATAGAAAGGATGATAGGCACAAGGAATCCTGAAGACCAACCCACGCGACATGGATTACTGTTGCGACGCTTCAAGGCGTTACGAAGTATTCTCCATGTGGAGAGCCTCGGAAGCACAGAACTTGAAGCTGGGCTAGTGCACCGTGGCCATATGTGCCCAGCACGTCTACGCTCAGAAGCGCATTATGCGGTAGCTAAGCTATCCAAGCGCATGTTGATGCGAAATGCAGATACTGGAGGGAGACATGCGCACAGAATATCGCAGTGTTGAAAAGGAAGAGAGGTAGTCAGACATGACGAAGAGAAGCTTGACGCTTTTAGCCTTACCATATACCCCGAACGCGAGTGCGAATACAATAATAATAATTACTCTTAGTTTTCCTCACACGCTTTCAACATGTAAGTTCACTTACCTCATTGAGTGCTCCAAACCTACCACTCTAGGGAAATAACACTGCCTCGGACACACCGATGTTTGGACTTTGTTTTGCATGAATGCTAATTCCATCAACTCGACTCGGGTCTCGCAAGCTTCGCTATTCTAAAAACAAGGCGCTCCTGTAGCCTGACCTGAAACAGAATGCGCTAAACCTTTTGAAGGAATGTAGCGACCGAGGCGTCCCGCCGAGCCACGCGTTAGCGTCGCCTGAAGGCTTAGCATACATCAAAACACAGATTCTTAGCCATGCTCTTATATCCACTTGGCTTCTTTGGGCTTATACGCGTATTTTTCAACATCAAGGTATAAGGGCCGCGCAATAGAAGTCAGGCTGATAATCGGGTAGTGGTGGGTGTAAGGCAGAATACGTAGAGGGCTGTAATATTTCTAGGGTGGAAATCGGAAGTGGAGAGGATATAAGAGGGTGAGACCACTTTGATGAGTCTTGGTATCATCACATTCATCTACCGCAAGTGGAAGAAAATCAGCTATTGCATACTGCTCTTTATCCTTTCTTAGATTTGTCTACCAAGACCATGGCAACTCCAACTTCCACCTCGACCTCTACATCAGAACCAACATGTGTAACAATAACACCCGGCAAATACGGCTACGTCCCTCCTGAAGCATGCAATTCGCAATGGAACTACAGCCCCTCCTTCGCCAGCGCAGTAGCCCTCGCCGTCCTCTTCGGCATTCTCACCCTCTCGCACATCGTCCTCGCATTTCTCCACCGCAAGCCCTTCTGCTGGGTGATAATCATGGGCGCAACATGGGAACTAACCGCCTTCATCCTCCGCTCTCTCGGCTCGCACAACCAGCAAAACGGCGCGTACGCCGTCGCATCGCAAATCCTCTTCCTCCTCGCGCCGCTCTGGATCAACGCTTTCGTCTACATGACCGCTGGCCGAATGGTGTACACGCTGCATCCCGACCGAAAGGTCTGGGGCTTGAAGGCAGTCAGCATGGGCAAATGGTTCGTCTGGCTCGACGTGATCTGCTTCATCATCCAGGCTGCAGGAGGCATGATGTTGAATCCTGGGTCCGACGCAAATCTCATGAATATCGGGACGAAGATCTACATGAGCGGTACGGGCGCGCAGCAGTTCTTCATACTGCTGTTTCTCGTGCTGATTGTGCGGTTCCACTTTGACATTTTGAAAGTTCAGCGCCAGGGACTGTTGGACGATCGAGCGAAGAAGAGTGGCAGGTGGTGGCTGTTTTTGACATATACGCTCTACGCTGTTTTGGCGCTCATTACTATGCGCATCATCTTCCGTCTCGCCGAGTTCTCGAGTGGGATTGACAAAGCTGCTAACTCGCTGCCATTCGAGGAAAGCTATGCGCTTGGTTTGGATGCGTTTCCCATGTTGTTGGCTATCCTGCTGCTTGCGGTTGTGCACCCGGGGATGATTTTGAAGGGCCCGGAGAGCGAGTTTCCTTCGAGGAAGGTGAAGAAGGCGGAGAAAAAGGCTAGGAAGGAAGAGAAGAAGAGCTTGAAGGATGCGAAGAAAGAGGGACTAGTGGATTGTGCGTAGGCCGACGCACATCAGTCGAGAGAAGAGCAGTTTGTGAATGACGATGTGGAGATGAAACGTTTTTGGAGGCGTTAAGGTTGCACGTTTTTGAAGAACTCAAGAGTAATTTGCTTTGAGAAGGGTGTGACATAGATTTGACTATTTGGAACACCAAGAGACATGTAGTACTTCAGTTTCAATCGCTATGCTACCTTCATATCCACCCGCGAGGAGCTTTGCTCGCTAGAGGCAGCTTCGGTGATGCACTCAACTGGTTATGACCGGACACCCTCCACCCTATATTAGGTAGTAGCCTGATACGAACTTTCTTGCCCCCTCCTTGTGTCGAATTCCAAGTCGATGGTGAAGCAAGCTGACTTTGCGTCTCTTTCGGTAAGCTGTAGATGAGTGTAGGCATGGCTGACGTCTTCCAGAGTCCTATGCCTGCGTCCCCCGACGTCTTGACTATTGTCAAGACCAGAAATACCAGGCTAAGGGTCAGAAGTAGGAGCGGGAACGTGAGCCATTCCCAACGAACCCTAACAAAGACTTGTCTTTCCCACGCTTGGCCCGCAACACTTTCACTGCTTACACTGGACGATCTCATCAAATTCGTGATGGCTATCGCGAGGCGTGACAGGTGCTGCGAAACATCGTTTGGTGGCTGCCATGGATTGTACAACAGCCTTCTTGTAATAGGGCCCTTTTTTGCCGTGTAGAATTTGTTCCGCATCAGAGGCTCCTCCGTAGCATTATGGGCTGTAACGAATGATGGGAAAACGTCATCAAATACAGCCACAGTTTCGGACATAGTCTTGTTTGACACACCGTAGGAAAGGGCAGTATCGTCTATCGAACCTGGTACAATATTGATGTTCTCCGAATAATAGATGTCAGTACCATTGACAGCAGTACTCTCGATAAAGCGTGTTGTCCATGGATAGGGGCCAGCTGTGGTGTTGGTAATACTTCCGGTAACTTCTTCTGAGTAACCACCCCAGGAGTAGCTCGATTTGATGGATTTTACACACCATGAGAGGACGCACTCATGTGCCGTAGGTGTTTCATTGCGATACACACCTCCAATTCCGTCTGAGGCACCGACAATAATAGCATCTATTATAGGATTCCGTATGTCTTTGTAGTTAATCGAGCCCCCAAACAACGGCTGTCGGTCAGGATTGGTGATCAGTGGTAAGGTTCGTGTTAATAGAGCTTCTCCTGGGCTTAGATCTGAAGACTTCAACCTATAGCCGGACATGAGGATAGGATATTCGCTTGATGAATTGATGAAATAGCCACATGAAGTGCCGTTGGGATATGTAGATTCAGTGCCGGTACCAGTCAAGTTCGCAATCCAGTCAATCCGGGTTGAGATGCACCCAAACCAAAGCATCTCTGAGACATCCTGGCAAGCACTGCACACTCCTAGCGTTTCGTAGATAGGCCAGGTACAGTTGCTGGTAGGACAATTGATGGGTATATCGGCTCGCGTTCCGTTCCCAAAACGGATAGGCTGAGTGCCATTATCGTAGAAGAACTTGGATGCAATAGTGGCGATGTCCTCATTAAACTGAAGCAGCTCAATGCCGGCTCTGTACTCGGTACTCATTCGTGGCGAATAACGCCTGATTTTAGGTACTGTTCCCATATCAACAAGCCACCATTCAGCTGAGGAAACCATGACTTGTTGAAAGAAAGTGTCAATTGCAAGAAGGAGCACAATCAAAAGCGCCCCTAAAGCAGCTAAAGATCGTCCCTTGGTGCGAAACAAGAGCATCATAGCTCCTAATGGACCACGTGATGCCTTGTCGAAAATCTCAAAATCCCACATGGCCTTGGAGTTGTGGAACCAGTTCCATTTCAGTTGGCCCAGAGCCTCTGAAGTTGGAACGATCAGCGCAGCTGAAGCGATCTTTCCCAAGAAATTCGTCAGTGTAAGGAGTGCTTCGCTTTCGATGGTTTTTCGACCGTTGATCCGGATATAGATGCCGATGATAGATACCATGCAGAATGCACTGATGAGCCAGCTCAATATTTCAAACAACCATCTCTTGAACGCATTCTCTGATGCATTGTATGCAGCTAATTTCCTCTCAATCCGCTGTGTGAACTCTAATGAGGCATCTTCCTCGGTGATGGAGGTTGAAGAACATGGTCTGTCGCGACCGTTCTCACAATCTGAAGTCTGCGTATCCTCGTACTGTAGGGGTGTTGTCAAGTGGCCATCGCGTGTTCCCGAGTGAACATGGGGAACTCTCGACTCCGGAGGTGCCATTCAAAAACTTGTACGGATATTGTAAGTCTGATGTGACTTTGATGTAGGAGGGGCCCGTATGTCGATCGATTCGTCCTGGTCCTTAGTAGTATCATAAAGTTTCATGGAGGCGCTCTATGGACTATTTGGAGGGAATTGGATACACGAAGATCGCGCAATATCTGAATAATAAAGTTCGTTCTTGGGATAGTTGAAACGAAGACATTTCCCTGAAGACATTAGAGCGTCTGCGTGTGTGCCTGAGCTGCTCAGCTACCGACTCGAACCCCGCAAGAGAGATACCTAAGCGCTGGGCTGCCTTTAAGACCCATGCAGGCTTTGCTATCTTACTTTGTATCGCAGGTTCGAATCTGAACGTTGATGTCGAATAGTGTTGCTCTTAGCGCTGAGGCCCAAAAGCCGGGCGGGTAATTAATTAGCGTGGGCTCGATTAGTGAAAGCCGGGCGGCAGAACTCCCCATTGGGCATTAGCGTTTTGCTTGGCTGCATCAACGAATGAGATGGGCTGTCTTGCCGCCAGTGAGCGAGAAACACTTGAAACCTGGCGTAATTTCGTGAGTTCGCAGATGAGGGACTACTCACAAAGTTGTTGTTGGTGTAGTGACCAGCCTGTAATACATATACATATCCCTTCAGCAAAGATCAACCATGAGTGAGACTGATGATAAATAATTTCATACTTCCCGTAAGCCCTTACAGCGAAATAATTAATCCAAGAAAGCTTCATTTAGAAGGGTTGAGCCGAAAAAGAGCGACTACTACTGATGAACCTCATCGGAAAATGGAACTATATCCAACCAGGGGGTGCTCGATGATTGTTATGTGTGATAAGTGTCGGTGACGTACACACTTGACCAGACACTCTCCAACCTTGTCTAGGAAGTAGTCTAATCTTTATCTTTTTGGCCTTTCTATCGGGGCCATTTTTCCAACTGCTCGGCGAAGCGAACTCCTTCTGTGTATCTTTTGGTAAGCTGTAGATCAATGCAGGCATTGCTGACGTTTTCCACATGCTCATTTCTCCGTCCATGCCCTTTGAAGTCTTGATCATAGTCGCTACCAAGAATGCAAAGCTGAGGAAGAGCAAAGCAAGCGGGAACGATAACCATTCCCAATGGACTGCAATAAAGGTAGTCTGGGTATATGCTCGCCCTCGAACAAAGTTGTGGCTATTATGTGTTCTCAGGACATTTGTCATGGAAGTAGCGAGTCGTTCCAAGTATTCGGTGACGTTATGTGGTGCGAGCCATGGACAAGTCGTAACGGGACGGAGCTGGTTGCGACTCCAAGCGTAAATCCTAACACGCCACCATGGTTTCGCTGTAGCATTCTCTGCTGTCATAGAAGAAGGAAATATCTCATCAAATAGTGTTTGAGTTCTTGCAAATGTCTCGTTCGACACGCCGTAATCGGTAGTAGTACGGTTTGTCGATGGTGGCTGAATGCTGATATTCCCATGGAAGAAGGTGAAGAAAGCATCTTCGCCTAAAGATCGAATCGGGATAACTTCCCAGGGGTATGGCTGTTGGCGGCGTGTGGTGTTTAGATAAGTTTCGGTTACCGACTCTTGGTAGTTGCCCCAAGCATAAGACGATTTGAAGGTCTTTACACACCAAGATAGCATGCATTCTTGGGCAACTGGGCGCTCCCTTCCATATACACTGGCAGCAGTCCCGTCGGCTGCACTAACGATTAGAGCATCGAGAAAAGGAAAGTAGATATCTTTGAAATTAATGGAGCCGCTATATCGAGGTGTTGCTGAAAACGGTACTACCGAAACCATTGGTGCTGTAAGTGGTAGCGTCCGTAGAAGGAGAGCTTCGCCATCTGTTGAAGCGTTGTTAGTGGGGTCGACTCTATAACCGGACATAAGCAGTGGCTCATCGCTCGTAGCATTCAGCCAATATCCACAAGCAGTCCCTAGTAGAATAAGTCAGTGTTGTCCAAGTTGGTCAACTCATCACGAGTGAAGCTTACCAATTGGTTGTGTACTCTGGTTGAAGTAAACGCTAGAGATCCAGTCCAGTCTCGTTGTGAGGCAGGCATATGTGAGAAGCTGGGAAACGTCCGCGCAGGCGCTACAGACTCCAAGAGAATCATAGGCATCCCACTCACACCGGCTGGATGGACATGAAAGTGGGATTTCTGGCCTTGTTCCATTGCCAAAAGCAATAGCTTGGTTGCCGTTGTAATAGAAATACTTGAGTGTGGCTTGCCTGAGGTTGATGTCTTCCATGGATTTTGGCATTCCGTCTTCATATAGGTCCCCATTGTCACCTTCATATCGAACTAGACGAGGAATCTCGCCAAATCCCTTCAGTGCCCAACGTTCTGGCAAATCCGTAACTTGTGCGAAGAACGTATCAGTAGCAAGCAAGAGGAGGGTTAAAATAGCCCCTAATGCTGCTAATGATCTGCCTTTCGTGCGGAAGAGAAGCAGAAAAGATCCCCATGCTCCACGAGACGCTTTGTCGAAGATTTCGAAATCAATGATCTCCTTCGACTTCGCTCCGTGAAACCATGTCCATTTCAACTGCCCAATGGCTTCTGATATTGGCAGGATGAGAGCAGCAGAGGCGATTTTGGAAAGCACGTTGTTGATAGTAAGAGCGAGTGGCCATTTACTAAGTGGTTGATTCCTGGAATACAAACAAATGCCGATTATCGCTGCCTAGGAGCATACTTTTAGTACCACACCCAATATTTCACAAACAAGTAACATTTGACTCACCATACAAGCTGCACTTGTAATCAAGCTAATGATTTCGAAGAGCCAACGCTTGAAGACATTTTGAGAAGCGTTGTATTCGGCTAGCTTTCTCTCAATGCGTTGAGAAATGTCCAACGAGGGGTTCTTGTGACTAGATAACTCATACGGCGGAGGAGCCGGGGTTCCTTCCTCTCTGTTTAATGCATTGAAGTGGGAGGGTCGAGGTCTTAGAGGATGTAACATTGGGGCTCTTTGCGACATCCTTCGTGTGACGATGTGAATTCAACGTAATAGCTACTTGGGAGCAAACAGAAGTGTCGGATAGTTCACACTTGGAGGCCCACAAGGTGCATATGATTGGCGTCCGACTTCGAATGAAAGGATGTTAGTGTTGTTGTGACTGGAGGTGGACAAGTTCGGAGACCAGTGCACGGCCCTCGGAGGGAGAACTGGGCGGCTAGAGACCACAACGATGGGTGTGGTCGTTCGAAATGTGGGGTTACGAAAGGCTGCGAGCCAATATTTGGCGATGTTTCGGGATTCTGCGATGCAAATACAAAGGTAGCCAGGTTATTGAGCCTCTCGACGGCGGTGATTTAGCGCCCGTGGGATGGACAATCATTGTTAGCGCCGCGGCACCGCAATCGGCGGATCTGTAATTGGGGGAGCAATGCGCAACGTTGAAGACCGCGTTGCTGCATGTCTCGCAGCGAATACGTGAGAAGAGCTTAACGCTGGCGAAACCTGCGAGATCGAGGACGGAGGCAGGTGGTACTGCGCTTAACCTGAAGAAACAAATCATGTGATACATCGTGACGTCACTTTCGACGCGCATCTTCTAGACAAGCATGCATGCATATTGTACAGAAATGAATCTCTAATGTTCTGAGGCTGTATGTGTATAGTATACCTAAAGACCCGACTGCTAACTTCTATCGCGTTTGCGAAGAGATGAACTCGGAACAGACACGAAGGAATATTGTTGGTGATGATCAACAAGTCACTACCTCCTTCCTAGCCCGCGATTTTGGATTCTCAATCTGAAGGTCATTGGTCGCTCCTCGCTCTATAATGTCAGCCAGTATCGGTTTGTCTCCTTCCTGTATTGACGACAATGTTGCTATACATCTTCTATGGTCATTCTAACGCGTGTGAAACAAACCCGTCTTGTTGAATTAGGGCGGGAAGGTTCGGGGGACAAACGTAGTAGGTATGCGATCGAACTGCTGTCATGTTTGCCTAGTTTGTTGGTCAAATGGCGTTACGACCATTACCGCATTCAAAGTACATCACCAAGAACTGACGATAGCCTCGAAGGCAGTCCTGGGCGGAGCGCTTATCAAGCATGAATTGCCACAATGCGAAAGATGGGCAACTTCCACATATAAAATCTGCTTGAATTTACTGATATCTTGAGTCCTACGCTCGATAGGTTATGTGCTCGATAGGTTATGTGCTCGATAGGTTATATGCTCATGCTCATGGTGATGAGCATAGATAGTGATGCATACTGCGAAGTAGTATAAGAGGTGGGTATATGGTGATCCCGAGAGCTAGGAACAGCAGTAGTAGTCACGTGGCAATGCTGAGTTGAAAAAAAGAGTTGAAAAGAGAATAACGGCTGGACGCTTGTGGAAGTCTCGAGCTAGACGGTGAGCTCGATGCACTGTAGCATGTTGGAACTATGATGCATGTGAAGACATGTACTAGATCATCATACGAGGCTATCTCGTTAAGATGGTTAGCGCTGCCGATATGTGAACAAGTCTCGAATGAAGGTGAAGTTGGGTGGGGGGCATGCATAAAGGGTCGTTTCGATAAGGTTGACGTGCAGATGGTGGTTGCGCCGTAAAAGTGTATTCGATAACGTCAGGCAGACCTCAGGCGCTTCGTGAGTACATACCATTGGTCGCATCCCTTTTCACTTAAGGCAAAAGTCGTGAAACCTGACTAGCGAATGTAGTGAGAATGTAATTGCAATTGTTGAAGCCGTGAACCATAGGAAGGGCTGACCCCCAGCTCTACAATCGCTTAGATAGTAGAAGGAGAGATATAATATACTAGCTTTAGTGCTATAGATGCTAGCATGAGGGTAGACATCAGAATGGTTGCATGCGCGACCGCTGTCAGGGTGGTTGCTTGAGGGGTTGCACTATATGACATCGGCAACGGATCATAAATCGATAGCGTACTTGGTGAGAGTATTGACGTATTGCATGGCTTTTTTCCTCTTGAACGAAGTTTATTGAAAGTCTATCGGAATCCAGAAATTGTAGGAAGCGTAGGAGCGTAACGCCGCGTACGAATCACGTGTGTGCGTGGGTTGTGACTCGGTCGCGGGAACGGCTGATTGGCGTAAGGTACCAGTTATGCAGAGCCAATCGCTTCAGCTCCACCGACAGGGCTAAAACGTCGCCAAGTCACACCCTACCGCGATTTGACCTTCGATTGGTTAGAAATCGTTCTTGCACTTGTGGAGGACGAGGGAAATTACAGGTGGAGAATCGTACGTACAGAATGTCTATAGATTCGCCTTGTAGAGAGCCCATTGAGCGCTTCGAAATGTGATAACTCGATGTGATGAAAATGCCAGGGGCTTTGCGATCCATTGCGACGCGTTGTCAGACCTCCACGAGGTCCGGCCTAACGCCTTGTGTTCCAGTCGCGTCGGTCTTCAAGTTTCAGCTTGCCGAATGTGTCCCCAACAGTTATGCTTTCCATTCTCCCTTCCAATGATTGATAACCTCCGCATACAATCATCGTTGTTCGTGCCTGGTCTATGCATGCAGCGTAGCGTCGGTGGCTTAAAGGCGGTTATCGAGGTGAGGGGTCTCGCTACGGGTTGAAGCGCCGGTGGAGATGAGGGTTCGTGCAAAACTTCGGGACCGTCTGTGATTATGGGTGTCAGAATGGATAAATGCATTGACACTTCCCACGTTCATGGTCGCATCCATCGAGGCGGATCCACAGGCCTACCACCTCTTCACCTAGATAATCTTGCTTGGCCGTGCCAACATCCTCTCATTCAAACAACAGACGCAGCCTCCCTCGAGTGCCACCATACTCTGTCAAAGACCATCAACTACCATCAGTCACCACAACAATGCACGGACGCACGATCCTTCTTGTTGCATCCTTGGTGTTGCCGCTGATCGCTGCGCCTTTGCCGTGGCATGAGGTGAGTTCATATACTCGACATCCAACAGACACAAAATAATAACAGTTGCAACAGAGTAGCTCCCTAAACGCTGAAATCAATCGTCGCGACGAAGTTTCCTTGGCCGAAGAACTTCCTGATGTCCTTAAACGTAACCCAATAATCGAAGCACTACCGGTGGAGGCTCGGCCTGACATCGTCATTGAGGGCAAGCGTGAAGAGTCTCTGACGAATGTTAAAGAAGAAGTCGACGAGGATGATGTAGATATTGGAGATAAGATTGCGGATCACACCTCTGAGAAGAGGGTGATCCGTCCAACAGATGGCTGGCACAAGAGGGTGATCCGCCCAACAGATGGCTGGCACAAGAGAGTGATCCGTCCAACAGATGGCTGGCACAAGAGGGTGATCCGTCCAACAGATGGCTGGCACAAGAGGGTGATCCGCCCAACAGATGGCTGGCACAAGAGAGTGATCCGTCCAACAAGTGGCTGGAGAAAGATCAAAAAGTCGTTCGTCGACCGGGCCTATGGAATGCTTTTTGGTTGATTGTCTGGTTGAGCAGGCCTCGGTCAACAACCCCTTCTCTTTTGGCAAATATTCTCGTTTTGCGAAGACCTCGACTTTAACGTGGCCGCTAGTCGGGACGGATTCAGAGGCAGTTCTTTTTGTAACCATTTCTTAATATCTAGTTTGGAGTTTTTGGACTATTCATATCCAGCCGGGAGGGGGCTGATTTAGCCGGGGTTTTGTCGTGAAGGGGGAAAACAAATTCCCAGATACTCTCCACCCTTGATTGGGTTGCAATTTCACTTTCAACTCTTTTGCCTTGGCTCTCGGCGTCCCAGTGCTTGCTGATCTAGTGATCTTCTGCTGCATCTCATCCGGCAATCCGTAAAGAAGAGTAGCATACGCTGATGTCTTCCATACACCAACGCGATCACGTTCAGCGGCAGACTTCGCAACCGTGGCGGCAAGGAATATGAAAGATATACAAAGAAGCCCGAGTGGAAGGGTGAGCCATTCCCAGCGAACCGAGACAAAATTTTCCTTGTTATACGCTTCGCCCGGGGTCATTTGTTTATTGTTGGAAGATCTTATAACGTTAGTCAAGGCTACAGCCAATCTCTCCATGTGTCGTGAAAGATTATTCGGTGCTTGCCATGGATTAAAGTCAAGTTTTCGAGTCGATGGTCCTCGGGCATAATTCTTAAACCTCAGAATAGCATCCGCGGAAGCATCTTCGGCGGTGTAGAACGAAGGGAAAAAGTCGTCGAATTTGGCCATTGCATTGAAGGTCGTGGTATTGTCTACTGTGTAGGTGGTGTTAAAAACAGTTGAGTCCGAGCGATGTGCACCCGATGCAGGAGGTTCAAGTGTGATGTTCTGCGTGTAGACAAGGTTCGCACCGGTCTGAGCCTCGAAGACCTCCCAAGGCCATGAGAAGGGCTCAACATCAACATTTAAGAATGTTGACGTGATGTTCTCGCTATACCTTCCCCAGTCATACGAGGACTTGATGGTCTGGACGCACCACGAGAGTATGCACTCATGCACCAGAGGGGCTTTTCTGTCATATACGCTGTCTGGACCACCGACTGCAGACGCGATCAAGGCATCAAGGAGGGGGTTGCGAATTTCCTTGAAATTAACCGAACCAACTCCGTAGTAAGGCTCCTTTGTGTCGAAGTCGGTGAGAGGAATGGTACGCACTAGCAAGGCCTCGCCAATTGTAGGCCCTGTCTTAGTTTCGTTGACAATGTATCCTGACAGAAGTATTGGTGCAGTACTCGTCGCATTCAAAAAATGCCCGCATACTGTACCGTTTGGATACGGTACCTTGGGTAGGGGTCCTGTCCAGTTGGCGCTCCAATCGATCGTTGCGTTGTCTTTGCAAGCATAGGTAATGTTAAGAAGGCTAGATACCTCAACACAGCTGCTGCAAACCGCGAGTGTTTCATATTCTGGCCAGGTACAATTGCTTGTCGGACATGAAAGTGGTATATCCGGGCGGGTTCCGTTTCCAAACGGAACCGGTTGTGTTCCATTCTCATAGAAATACTTTTCGAGAATTGGAACAAGGCTCTGATCGACCTGGCCTTGCTCCTCCCCGAGCATGAAGTATTTGAGATAAGATGGTTGGTAGGTCATAACCCTTGGAATTGCACTAGATGCATTCTGCACCATCCATCGATCTGGGAAGTCAACGACTTGCTGGAAGAAAGGGTCTAGTGCCAAAGAGCATAGCATGATCATAGCTCCTAGTGCTGCCAGCGCTCTTGCTTTGGTTCGTATCAAGAGCAATAGCGAGCCCCATGGCCCCCTGGAAGCATTGTCGAAGATCTCGAAGTCCCACATCTGCTTCGAATTCTCTAAGAACCAACTCCACTTCAATTGTCCAAGAGCTTCGGAAACCGGGAGGATAAGGGCAGCACCGGCCATCTTTGAGAGAATGGAGATATACGTGTTCAGTGTCAAGCCAGTCTTCTCAGCTAACACCCATTTTGACAGTGGCTCGTCTTTGAATTTGATAAGGACGCCTATGATGGCAGCCATGCAGATTGCGCTGAAGAGCCAACTGATGACTTCCAGCAACCACCTCTTTAGGATGTTCCCTGAAGCACTGTATCTCCACAGCGTCTCTTCTATCCGTTGGGCAATGTTGGGTGAAGAGTCGGACTTCTCTTTCTCGGGTGGTGATATCTCAATGGATGGCGGCTTAGGGAGACCATTGACAATGCCCAGGCCTGGGTGGATGCTGCTGATTGGTGTCTTCTCATTGATCTGTGGTATCTGCAAAGTTGGAACGCCATCGAGACGAACTCGCGGCCGCTCTGTAGGGAAAAAGCGGAGAGCTGGTCGACGAGGTTGCTGTTGCTGAATCTCTGGTGGTGGCTCAGGTATTGGCCATATGATAGAGCGGTCACTCGATGTTTGTATCGTTGTGGTAGGGCTTGGGTCAATTGGACTCGGTTGTGGGACGTGGACAGGCCCTGGTCGTAGGTGTGTAGGACTGCCATGGGATAAAATTCCAGGAGCAATTTCAGGAGTGGTAGGAGTTGTCGGAGTTGTACCGTATGTCTTTGCGGTTGCTCGTTCGTCGGCAGCTTCGAGGTAGATGGGAATATCTGGGAAGGCGGGCCAACGCATTGGACTTCGGAGTGGGCGTGACATGTTCGACTTGGAGCTGGGGATTGAAATTGGATAAGGCATTTGGAACGAATGCAAGTACTGGATCTACCAGTTCGATATAAATTAAAAAATAAACAAGAGAGCAATACTTCGGGGGTTGGATAGTAGAGAGATACCTGTGACTGGAAAGAGGCTGCATGCTCCTACTGTATACCTACCTGCACTTCACATGATCGCTGCATGCTGCAGTATAAGCCTCCACAGGCCACTTCTATGATTGGAGTATGCTTGAAACATCAAACACTGCTGTTACTGAGGCGTGCATGCCAACTATGCCTTCGTTCTAGAAAATGCTGCATTGCCGAGCTAACCCACCATTCACCGTACGGCCTACGCGCAATGACCCATCCCAGCCTCCAGAAAAACATGCCAAGAGAGGCGGCTGAGGGCCGTTTCCAGGAAACTTGCGTGCGGCGTAAGCTTCGGGAGCTGTCAGGCCGGAACGCCGGTGAGGGTGTAGCCGTACAGAGCAGTGGTATAACCGCTGGCGTGGTTGGATGGATAGGCTAGTGCACTGTTGCCGCCGCGTTATGAATAACATATGCAGGTAAGCTTATTATTAGTACTTGGCCCCATTATGAGGCTAAGTTGATGATGACGATGTGGCACAGTATAAAGGCGCTTCGAGCTTCATATTGCACTGAAACGAATGTCAAGGCCCCAATGTTAGAGAGTATTGTTGTTTATGCTAAGCTGAGCGAATGAGGGATGTATTTTCAAGACTCCGTGGCATCAGCATGATTTTGCGCGGCGTTATGGTCGTGGAAACGGTCGAGATGGAGTTTGTTTCGACGTTTTCTGGGTGGGGTCGTGCGGCTTTTGCGCGATCGATCTTAAGCGCGGAGCGCCGATCCCCCGGTTATTAATAGCGACGTATCATCATTGACGAATAAACAGTTTTGTCGTTTTTACGCACTTTTGCTTGTATTTGCTTGCACTTTCTTCTTGACAGTTCTTCGATATGGTTGTGGAAAGAATGGCTGTCGACCGTAGAGATGCGCTATCGAGCATTGGAGCCTTTGGTTCAACCTCGCACGTACGATTTACCTTCGCGAATAGCCTTGATACAACTACGCCTCTTAGTCTTCTATGCGATTCCACGATCGACAACTACTGACACGTGTGGTCGTAGTGGCGTAAGTCCATCATGCGATCCAGTCCATCGCGGCTATCGTAGCTTGTTTGCAACCTGATTAGCACTCTTATTGGTCTTAGTGCCTACGGATATAACTCTCGTTATAAACGCCACGTGCACTCTATTCGTTCGGCAAATCCACTCCCGACTATCAGTCAGAGGCTTGGTTCCTGTAGCCGCCTGCCCTTGACCGGTGTATAGTTGCGTAAAGGACGTCCTGATCGAGACACGCCACATGGGAACAACACTAAAGGATAGCCTATTTCTCAATTATTTGGCCGTTCCAATTCTCCTGGTTCTCTGAAAGAAACATGGAAAGAGTTGAAGTTGTGAGAATCCAGGCTCACATCTGGGCTGATGCTACAACATGGAACACCCAGGCGAGCCTTTGGAGAACAGCGGAAGCTAATCTTTCATTTGAGACAAGTCGAGACTTCCATACGCATCGAAGCGCTCGCTGTTAATTCGTTACTATTTCTGGAGGTAGGTATGAACCTTACGGCTCGTCGGATAAGTGATCGACGCGTAAAGACAAGTACATCCACTCAAGATCATCCGTATGTATGTTGGGAATATGTCTAGCCCCAGCAACAGTATCGCAATAAGCTATGGCATCGACACTGATCCAGGCAACAGTCAAAGCCAGGCTGCCTGGTGAGTGAACCGTCATCTTCACAACACGCTCTGGAAGGCCCCACTCTTGGTATCCGAGAGACATTCAGGATTTGAGTCTCTTTGACGCTAGCGTTGCCAATTTACCTTGTCTCTTATCAGTCGGAGGTCTGTTTTAGGAGCCACATGTAGAAGGATGGGGCAAACGTAAACTCATGATCATCCCTCACTCCTCCGATGTATAGGACGACGTTAAATTTTGCATCAGCAAACGGATTTGCAGATTGGGAGATCAAGGGCCCTGGCGTGATGAGAGAAGCTCAGTTGCTTTGCACTACAACGTCTAGCCTCACATCGGACTCACCAGTATATCCACACGTATGTAATACCATGATCAGCGTGTTCAACGGATAAGACTTCCATACCCGACGCCATTGCCGAGAAAACCAGCAGGATTTTGTCGCTAACCACTTGTGCCTTCACCAGGTTAGGCGAGAATAAGCAGTTTTCTCTTGGAACTGTTGACCGTGGCTTGCCATCTTTCGGACTTGTCCGCATCACCCACACCCACACCGCATGTTGTTATGTAAGAGCGAAATTGACAAGTCAGGTTCATGTAGCTGGCAACTTACGGTAGATCGTACGACCCTTGTATATGTCAACATATGTGCAAGCCTAGAAATGATGTGTCTAACTGTGTAATATCGGGATAGCGCGCTGCTGGCTCGTCACACGCACGCAGTCCACTGCCTTGTCCAGCATCCTAGCATGAAGTACATAAGATTGTGACTAGTCGCTCTTGGACGGGTTGAGCGATAGACTCAATCTGAATGTTGTAAAACGTCAGGTAGCAATCGATGTCGTCGCCTTTTGTTTGCTACCATCTCTGCATTTACACAACATATATTCCATGCGATGCGCAATGGCGAAACTAGCAACGGGCCGTCTTTCCGACCCGTTCAAGTCGCTTCTAATATGAAGAAAAAAACTCGTGTCTCCTGGACAGCTGGTGGTACTGCAGCCGGACGCCCCTTTTGGGTACCGATCGTGATGAACTGCGGCAAAGTGGCAACGGCCGCGAGTACATCGAGGAGCGTGGTCGCATCTGGAGAGTAACTGGCATGCATCATGTAGCTTGTCAAGCACGATGCCTGCACGCGTGGGGGATTGTCTGATCTAGGACCAAGATCAATCGATCAACTACGTACGAGGCCAAGAGTGAATCTGCAGAGACGCCGTGGTTGGCTAGCCGGCTGAAGATTATTTCCGTGTTGCAATGACAAGCTTGACAGCGACGTTCTGATTGTGACTATAACATGTTTGCTGTCAAGAGGGTTGCAACATAGGAGAATTCTAATTTCGTGAGGCGGGGACACCCGCGGCACAGCCCGCCCCCGGCAACACTAGCAGGCACCAGGTGGTCCTCATCATTTCTCCGCACGCCGCAACAACACAACAGCCGGCACAATTCTGCGCATACCCCCCAAACCTTTCATCTCGTCTCGTGAAGGAAAGAAGCGTTTGTCCTTTGCATACCTACCTGGCGTGTCCACATTCATGTCCGTAGGCAGTAGAAAAAGTGCGGGAAATAGGCACGTCAGGACCGGGCGGTCGCTACACGCTCCAGATGGGACCTCGCTCGCACCGCCATCTCCATTTTCAGCGCGCATCCAAGTAGGGTCGTATAGCATTCCAGGCCGACAGTAAATGATTCTGTACTCTTCTGGGCTGACGACCATGTCCTGCTTGAGCTTAACAGCACGTTTTAACCACGAGTGTGCCCCGGCAATAGTGACGGGCACGCTATCACTGGGACGCATAGCTTCCCAACATTGACACAAGAGCTGCGCAATAGTATCGACCCGAGGACGCACCACCGTGTCCTGGTAGTCCTGGTCGTCGAACAAGAGCTTGGTGCTTGCATGGTCTAGCTGCTTCTCTGCTTTGGCGTCTGCTATGGTGAGGTCAGTTGAAAGAACCATTAACGTCTTGTTCACGCTGCTGCTCACCAAGTTGTGCCACAATCTCGAGGATCTTGGTGTCTACTCTCCAATTCCCTACCTCATGCATTGGGTCGGGGGTTCCGAACAGTGAAATGACCAGTACAGCACTCAACATCCCCTGCATAGCATGAGAACTCCACAATGGTAGAACCAGCTGTTGGATATAACTGGGGAGGTCTCCGGGTAGGACCATTTCGTAGTTAACGATGTCTTCAATGCCACGGCCAACATAATTCGCAATATGTGGTGCGTCTAGTTCACCTTGTAGGATGCTGCCAGCGGCGCACTGGATCTGATACCGTATGGCTATCCATTCCTTTTCGAGTTCGTGTGACGAAGGCAATGGAGGAAATGTCACACTTGCACACCAATCTTGCGGCCCGAACAAATCGTTAAGCAAGTCGTCCTTTTTAGTGCAGCGTTCTTCAAGTGAGGCCAGGACTTCAACTACCTTTGCAAATGCGGTAGCTGGATCTTCTTCGATGATCCTCCGAACACTGGTGAGTCTGCTACGCACGATGTCTGATACATTTCCCACTAATGTCTTGCTATATTGGCGTTCCAAACGGTCCAAGAAAGATTGATCCAGGGGTGGATCGACTGATATCTTAGGTGTCGCGCTCTCGACGTTTGGCGCGATAGGAGTCAATCCTTGAGAGGCTATTGGAGCGGCAGTTCGTGGTGCAAGTCTGGGCGTGCGGTTGCTGCTAAGAGAGCGATGTTTCTTTGAGCTTGGTGTATAACTTGACGACGAGTATCGTCTCTTTTCCGATCCTGAAGAGTCAGATTGCGTTCCCTCAGAAGACATTGCTGTAGCCTCGTGGACAGGGTTCTTTCGTTGAGTCAACAGGTTGCCGTGTACGAGGAGTTAGTACTAACCTTATCCTGAATACTTGAAGCTATGCGTTCCTCACGCTCATCCAAGCTATTCATCTCCAGTTCTAGACGCTGGCTATTCATTGCGTTCTTGAGGTCTTCAGGCAGTGTTGATATATCCAGGTATTTGGTTCCGTTAGCGATCATGTCGGCTCCCTCTTTATGCTGCTCCACGCAAAATCGTAACGCCAATCTGTGCAGTTGCCTAGGAAAGCAGACAGCTGCTAATGTCTTGTCCGACAATTTCCGAAATTCCTTTGGGACTGATTTGATGAAATCGTGGCCTTCGGCGATGCATACGTCGGTGTAGTTGAGAATGAAAGCTTTCTCCTCGACCGTCCATATTCGTTGCGATTTCATAATAGAGCGTTGACAGCAATCTGCTTCCGGGTATTCTGGGTTCCTTGACTGGTTAGCCCTACTATAATGAATACCAGTCCTGTTTTACTTCTTTGGCTAGCTTCCTGTCGTCATTTGCTATTGTCGTACAGGGGCGCCTGCCCTGCGACTCTCGTCACCGACTTTTCGTCTACCCTAGATATGCGCATGTCCTTGACTGCATAATTCCGCAACAAGGATCTTTTTGGTCATTGTGCATCAAACCTGGGCTTGCCAGTGGGTCTTTGACTGACCAATCAATATCCATCAGCTGTAGCACACCTTGCGCCACAACCAGGAACCCTTCATGTCTCTCTATCCTCACCCGGGACTGTTACTTCCTGTTACTTCCTGTTACCTTCCTCTATTTTTCATTCATCACACAATCGATAGCCATCGACGTCTTTTTCCCGGCACAGACCGAAATTCGCGAGTATGCTGCGCGCGGGCCAAAAAGGTCGAACAGTGACACCACTCAATCGGATCACGCGACAGACCGGTCCGGGATGGACCCCTTCCTCTTACTCAAGTCGAACAGCTAGGAAGAGACGCCGCCCTTCGACCCCAAGTTCAGTTGATGAACATGATGAGAACATTGTCGACGACGTTATCGGAGCCGCCAACGAAAGCATCAATGTATCGCCCGGTGCGCAGGACACTTTGAACCCTCCCCAGCCCTCGGATTTGAAGAAACCTGATTGTCGGTTATCGTTGGATTTTGGAACGACTTACTGCTCGCTTTCATATGTTATGAATGATGGAGATCCTGAGCAGCCGCTGACTATCGGTGGTTTTAAAGGCGATCATATGCAGTACCAGGGTGGCAGACAGGTTCCTACCGAAGTATTATACTTAAAACGGCGAATCCCAACTCCCCCACTGCCCATTGGTCTGAGGCCCAGACCCAGGGATAGAAGGGTTAGGTATGAATACAAGACGTTATACGGCTACGAAGCACAGCAATGGTTGACCGGAACCGTTCTTCGAGAGGGCTACGAAGTTTTGTGTCATGTTCAAAGAATGAAGCTCCTTATTAACCAGGATGACAAGACTTGTCAGGATCAGCGTGCTCGTCTCGAGCAGTTACTGAAGGATCGTGGGCTGATTAAAAACTGTGACGATACGTTAATACATACCCTAACCTACTATCTCAAGCACGCAAAATCCGAGCTTCAGCGCAATCACGGATTGCGTCACGATAGCACCAGTACGTATTCCAGAATGTGCACTATTTGACGTTAATTGTTCCTTCAGTTGAACTCATCATAACTGTTCCTGTATGTTGGGGGCCAAAAGCACTCCACACCATGAGTCGCCTTGTCGAACAGGCTATGAAGGCTTCCCAGCTTGGGTACTTCGGAGAGGAGAAAAAGTCGACTCTCTTCCTCGTAAATGAGGCTGAAGCGGGCGCTTCGCATGCACTCAAGTCAAGGTCGCACAATTTAAAGGTACATCCATGTCTTCGTTTGCAAATTAGACGCAAGGCTAATAGCTGGTACTCTTTCCAGATCATGGAGACGTTTCTGGTTATCGATGCAGGAGGTGGCACAGCAGATCTGGCTTCTTACATGGTTGAAAACGAGTACCCATTACGCTTGAAGACTGAGATCAACACTCCATCAGGTAAACTTGTACTTGAGTCCTACCTTGATAAAGGTAAAGCTGACTGGTTTTCGTCAGGTGCAATGGTTGGATCAAGTGATATTAACCAACGCTTTTATGACTTTGTCCTACGCATTTGTGGGCCTGGTATCAAAACGATACTTGACGCATGCTGGGCATCGAAATTCGAAGACAGCTACAAGCGAAGTTTCAACTACCTCGATAAAAGACAGTTGTTCTCTTTCTTTATACAGGACCCGTCCGTCTGTGAGCCCAACCCTAGGCTCACAGGATCTAGTTTCGTTCTCTCGTAGTAAGTGTCCCATTGCGCACTTTAGGCTGCTGGTGGACTAAACCTGCTAGCGATGATATGTTGCATATTTTTATGCCGTCCCTGAAAGCCATCGGGGACCTTATGATTGAGCAGATCAACGAAGCAACCGCAAAAGGGGCCGAAATCGACAAAGCTGTGCTCATTGGAGGTTTTGGAGATTCTCCAGCATTGAAGGATTATCTGAGAATACGACTCGACGCTCAGAATGCCGCAAGCAAGAGCAACACTAAGCTCATTTGCTCGCCAACGTCAGTTGTGATTCAATTTTACACCCATTTCCATCCGGTCTAACCTTGATCAGAAATACCAGTGCAGATGGCGTTGCCATTGGCGGCATCATTCGAGCTTTGGATAAGACACATGGCCCAGCCCGGATCCCTCGACAGAGCATTGGCATCTATCGACACATTCCTTACGAACCAGAGTTGAATGTGCCACATATGCAACAAACGCCATGTAACATTGATGGAGAATTGGTGATCGACGGGACTATTGAGTGGATCATCAAAAAAGTAAGTGCATTATTTATTGAGTGACCAAATAGCCGCTAATGGTGTTGTAGGATCAGCCTCCACTGGCACCCATACATCCTGTGACCTTTAAATCCATTTATTCCTTCGTTGCCGAAGATAAAATATGGAAAGCAGGGCAGGTGCTGTATAGTTCACAGACATGTACACGGGACTTCTATCGACGCAGTCATCCCTACAACATAAGTATGGGAGCCACGAGATGTTCTGTACAAGCATTACTAACCTTTTCAAAGATAAAACTGATAAGCTCGGGAAAATCTGGTTTTACCTCTCATCTGATCAGAGAGAAATGATTCTTAACGATATGACGAAGGAAGGACCGCTGCGAAAGGGCCAGCTATGCGTTGTGGAGCTCCTCATTGAAATGACTTTCATCGATAGAGATATGAAAATTACCGCCCGGTGGCCGGCTGTAAGCGATGGCGAGGAACTTCGACGTTCTGTCGATTCATTCTCGGTCCCGGCTGCATTCGTGCCTGGAACAGAGTGAAGAGGGACACCCATCACGTAGCATCTCTCAAAGTTGTAATATCATCGTTCATAGTTTCAAATATTGCTTTCACGCATCGCTACCCTCTCGCGGAGTTAATACATGTAGCCCATGTCCAGTAAGCGTGTCACCGTTCATCTATTTCAGAACAACATAACTTTCAACATTCGTCGGGACGCACAATATTGCTGACCATGAAACTCACCCACATCTGAAGTTTCCACTGAATGACAGTTTCTGTCCTGCTAGCGTGGTCATCGCCTGGAACCATGGAATTGAGACCATGATTCCATGTGATAGTGTGCGGATAGCATGCAATCGCAAGGTGCATAGTAAAATCAATAGACAATGAAACCCACCCAGATAGAAAGCGGCTGCTTAGGGAGAAAAACCGGTCAGTCGAGTGACATCCGCCGGTGTTGTACTACACGTGGAGGAGCATACGGGCAGGGTTTGATGCATACGAGAGCAATTCTTGGAAAATGATCACCTATCGTTATTGGCTACAACTCTCGTCTAGACTGTTAGCAAACAAAAGCAACATTGCACCAATCTCGCTTATTCGTTGATGCGATTGTGGCGTCAGGCCCTTGGCCCGTTTTGAGAGTTGCCTTGTCACTTTTTTAATGCCTGTTATGTTTGCTTGAAGGTGACGACCTGCAGGACCACATGAATATTCCCTCTGATGCGTTGTCCTACAAGGTGTTGTGCAGCATACGACAAAACAAATGCACCATTGGGGAGGAGCTGCAGAATCAATGAGAAGCGGTTCGATTCATGCGAGTGGCCACACGCCGCGCAGGTCGCTCATTGGCAGTCTTCCCGATTCCCCACTGCAACCCTCTGTCCGAAAAAGCAATATGCACAGCTAGAGCCTTTCGCCAGAAAATTGGGGTGAGGTGAGCTGAAGTTTGGTTCCGAATACGATGGCGGTGGCATGTACCGCACAGAGCTCCGGCTGCTTGCACATGTCACCGGCCTAAGCACTATCTCGATGTTGCGGCACCGCGACCTCAACCATTTGAAGTTAGCCGAAAGAGATTGGCTGACCGTGTGCAGCTCTGTGTCTGCAACCTTTCCAACATTTGGCCGAGCAGGCGAAGGCGCATACTCGTTTGACCTCGACAATACAGTAAGAGAAAAACAACAAGTCTCCGACAAAGTGACAGGGCATATCTAAAATGAAATCACCTTGTGAGAGGTTTGAGAAGCCAGGCCCATCTGTGTGCGTATGCACACTCCCGGGTGCTGTAGCCATGGCAGCTTAGCCCCCACAAAGGCGGATACGAGCATCGTTTCGGTTACGCATGTCTTCCTCCAAGAGACAATCCATGTGGTCCGAGGCCGGGATCGATTCTAGACCATGCGGGGAAGCTGCAGACATCTGCTTTTGGATGCCTTGTTCCCCCCCTTCCCTCTTCGTTAAACTGAGATTTCGTCCGAGATTCTGGTCAACGAGCAGAAGGCGCTACAGGAATAAGCGAAACTTTGCATAACCCAGCAGTATACGAACGTTATGCGTAGTCGTTAGACCCCCACGACCGGTGTGCTACACATGTGCACCTCGACGCAGTCACATGCATCTTGCACTCAGTCTCATGCGCGAACCTTGTTGTCCAAGATGTATGACCAAGTCGTGCGCAGCTTGGCTTTTGATCGGTTGGACAGGAAGCAAGATAGCAGAAGCAAGATGCCAAGTTTCCATGCATCGCGGGTAGCGGAAGGTACCACAACAGCTCCTTTGGCCCATGCCTCCTGTAGCACGAATGAAGTTTCAAGTATAGTCCCGCACTGTTACCCTAGATAGATTATACCCCCAAAATTAACTTCGAGCAGAGAAATCCGTTGACACCGTTTTGAGCTCTTTGCGCAAGCGTACCTTCAAGCCTCTGCCCTCACATGACTTGCTGTTTTTCTCTACCAATTACCAACGCATTTCGACAATTGTGACTAGTAGAATGATAAGTTATAGACAATTTTGGCTTGTTGCAGCCGATTCGACACCGATGATGTACTTGTGGTGGTGGTGGTGTAGTAGATTTGCGCATATGATCGCGTAATCAGTGGAATAAATGATATAGGGAAGTGAGTAATAATGACAAAGACCAATGGCTTCAAACAGTCCTCTTGATGTTAAGTTTTACTTATGTCGTTGCGAATTGGATTTCATGATGTAGTCGAAGCGAAGTAAGGGAGGGGGCGGAGAAGTACATGACACCATGTCACAGATTTGATGCGAAGCTGGCTTTTATTCCCTGACCCAGCCCTTCTGACCTTCTTCCTAATAAACAACCATGCATTACAGCAACTAAAGACTTAAATTCGAACAGTGTGGCCATCTCCGAATGTTGCCCTGCTCCCATTCTTTTTTCTCTTTCACTCCTCGGTTTTCTGAAACGAGTGCTTCTGATTGACATACTGCCACAGCGTAGCTACTTGCGCCTTCAGTCCCGCAACCTCAAACTTCGCATTCGCCAGCTCGGCACCCATATCTTTGAGGACCTGGTACGATCGCAGCGCACCGGGAATGAAGTTATCCGTCATCACCAGCACCCCGACGATGAGCATTAACCACACGAAGATGGCGAGGGCAAGGACTAGGTATGCGACGACTCTTTTCTTCCAGTTTGTTCTCTTGAAACGAGCGGTGTGCTGAGCTTCGACGTCAGACTCGGACTCGATGGAGGAGCCGGCGAGGAATTGTTTGACTTGGGAGTGCGGCAGGTCGCTGGTTTGAGGAGGTGCATTTGAAGCGTTGAGGAAGGGGCTGTCACTGGTAGTGATGTAGGGAGCGGTCTTTTCGCATTCAGTCTCTGCTATGTTGGAATCCGAGTTCTGGTGGGCTTTTCGCGATATTCTACGGACGGGTGTTGCTGTGTTGGCGGCTGATGTGATAGCGGACGCCATTGCGGTACTGGTGATCAGAAGACGACACAAAAGAATGTAGTTAGTATCTAAGAAGTTTGAAGAGAGACTATATGATGCAACAGCTGCATGCTGGCAGGGCGATGTCGAGCCAAGTATCGCCTGACTGTTGAAGTGAAGCAAGGGACATCGGTATGAGCACTGTCTCAGCATTCCTCGCGTTACACATTACCACCGAGACAGCGACAGCAATGATCAGCAGTAGAGGCTGGTGTAGCTCAGTACGGCATGCGACGCCATGAGCTCATTAGAGGAAATTGGAAAAGATGTCGCGAGCTTCACGCGTCTCGCACGTCATCCTCAACTGCAGGAGGTTGCATCCCTCTGCTCATCAGACTCAACTTTGCGACTTCAATCTCTTTCTCATCGTGAGTCTGCTTGTTAAGAACTCTAGTCCGATTTCATTTTCAACAACTTGGTGCTTTGATCGCAGGTGGTATGCGGAGTGCCAGTGAGAGGTCAATCGCGAAGTTGCTGGGTTTGGCAGCGCAGTGCTCGCCATAAGGATCTAAACTTTACGAAGCAGTGAGTCCGCGACTCATACGGCCTATGAAGGGATGGCTAGGACGTCATATGGAGCCGGATTACATTTCTAGTCATACGAAGTAAGGCAGTCTCCAAGACAAGAACTACAAGACTGTACCACCAAGAATTCAGTCCTCTGACTTAGCAATAGGTACCACGCGGTTTTTCAACTTTCGTTCTTTCTTTCTTGAGGCTTCTTTTCCCAGTCGCAATACGATCTTTTGATATATATCGTCTTGCGCCGGGTCTAGAGACTCTTTGCATTCACCTCCTTCTCCTACGAAGTCATGTAGTTCATATATAGTCTCGTATGGCTGTAAAAGCAAGGGGCTCTAGAGCAACCTGAGAATTAAGGTGAATGCTTGTCCAGCATTACGGTATGAGGGCGGATTGTGGCTCTACAGCTGGTGGGGTTGTGGTACGGTCAGTGAAGGTTTGAACGGTTGTTCACCCATACTAAAGGATGTGTTGTTTGCGATGCTGTTAATATTACCAACGACTTTACCAACTCGCCAACTGTTTACTTCGATCAAACCCGGCTCTTAACTGCCTTGCAGGTTTGACCACCTTCCCCTGCAGTAGTGTGTACCTGATGATATTCTCGCAGTCCTCTGGCCGCACTCGACCAAGCCATATACACTGCGCGGCCTCGCCGTCAACCTCCGCCTTCTGCTCCTCATTAACATCGAGGACCACCTCTTGTCCATCCTCGTGCTCGAGCTTGAGCTCTTCTAGTGCCTCCTGGACACCATTGACGTGACCATTGGCTTCCTTGGGGTGCTCTACCACTGACGAATGCCGGTAGATTATAACATTGGCCGAGAACTTGTGCCCACCAACATGACTTATGAAGTAAATTCCTACACCGCCGGGCCGCTCATCGTGCAGGTCTCGGTATAAGCCCAATGGCCGCAGTAACCGCTCAAACTCCCTCTTGAGGAGAGGTGCTGACTGACCACAACGAGCGTCCCGCGTTTTCTGACTGCACATCATGATCAAGTATTTGTGGGGACATGGCCGCGCCTTGAGACTCGATGCCGTGGATATCGAGGGTGGGATTGTAGCGGGCGAGGCTGCAGAGGCTGGGTCAGAGGAAGAAGACTCGTCCGCTGGTATCGATGTAGGTAGCGCGGCTGTGGGAGCATGGAGCGGCGTATTGTTGGTCGGACCGCGGTTTACAAACTCGGTGATAAGCTCTGGTGTGTTTGCGGGCGTGACGTCGTCTATGAACTGCCAGGCCGGGAGTAATAGTACTGTGGTGCTGTGGTCGGAGTGGTCTGGAATGGGGATGTCGGAGGCGGAGAGCATGAGTTTCTGATTGGTATTAGCAACAAGCACATATCAGTGCACCTGGTGCAGAAGGGGATTAGGACTCACCCCATTGCTGGGCTGGACACTTCCTCTGTCCACGGCCTCCATGATGCTGCCCTTCTCATCCGCGACATCTCGCACCCAGTCGGCCTTGCCCGTCGCGACTAGGAGATGCGTACTCCATCCCTTCACGTGTCCATAGAGCTCTTCTGTCTCGTCGATGTCGAATTTGCGCGGGTACTTGATGGTGCAAGTCGCGCAATCGTGCAGGCAGTCATCACCATCGATGGCGGGGTCGGTGGTCGGAAATAGCTCCTCCGTCTTTTGCGCTTTGGCGAATTCGCCATTATTCTTCAACGTGGGCGTCTCCGACGATGACCAGGCGGAAGTAAGCTTGTACGAGAGGTTTTTGAACATGGCAGGAACTCTGTAGGCGTTTACCGGCCTGTGAGAATTTTTACCAGGCGACATCGTCAAGTACCTGCGGCACCTTTTAGCATCAGATTAGATCGCCAAGCACCAGCACTGACGCGGAATTTACGCCGAACGCTTGGTGATGCGGCAATTACAATGGCTATGTCCGGCTCAGTCGAGTCTTGCCGGCCGCTTTACGGGACAGCACAGTGAGAGTGAGAGAGAGCGAGAGAGCGAGAGAGAGAAAAGAAAATATAGCAGGTCATGAACGGAGTCCTCGGGTTTATGCATCTCATCTTGCTGGTAACCAGGCCTTCACATAAGCCTGAAAATCAGTGAATAGGAAGGCACCGGGCGTGTAAAGACCGACGGACAGCTCGGATATGGGCGCTTTCTCCGAGTCATTCACCCACCACTCCGCTTTGCGCCATACTCCAAGATAAGCACTTGGACCGTGGAATCACCGATGCTCCACAAATTTATCGAGTCCTGAGCCCAATCAACCCCTCAAGATTGATACGCAGCTACCTTCGTACAGTTAAGCGACGCGTTGCCAAAGACGCGTCGACGTCAATCTACCAGCCAATGAGGCTAAAGACCCTCAATGGCGCACCATTATGCGAATATCTAGACTTCGACGAGAGCAGCCTCCTCGACGTCGACGACTGCGATGAGTTCCATTCGCCAGCATATCATGCTTCATCCGAAGACAGCACAGCCGCCTTGAAATGGCGCCGCCTGACGAGCAAGCACACGCGCCTACGCACAGGATGGTCACAACCATATCTTCCAGCGTCCAATCTGCACCATACCCAGCCTCATCTATCATTCTCAATTCCGAACATAGAGGACGCTACTAACATCGATACCACGGCCACGTTTGACGAGCAGCCATCCGAGATTGACGGGCTCCTTCGACACTCATTTATCTTCCATGACACGCTGCTGTCTTCACAAGTCGTGCCAGATACAGGGGCCGAGGACACTATTTCTTCGTCTTCCTTTTTGACCACGTCGTTCGGGACCACCGTATCAGGATTGAGCGGTCCAAGTGTAGTTGATGGAAACAATGTGGCCCTTCATGTACCACCCATGATGGTCGTGACGTCTCTTGGGTCACTTCCTAGCGCGCCTCATCTACACTCCATTTACCCTCAGACGCCTGCACGGAACCTCCTTTGCGTACTAATGAGTAACCCTGAGCGGCGAGAAGTCTTTGTCCGAAAAGGCGGATACAAAATGAACCTGTGGGAGGTAACTGTGGCAGACGACACTCACTCAAGCTTCAAGGTCACTTTCTGGATACGTCCACCCCGCGAATCAAATGATGTGCAGACCAATGCCCAAAACCTACTTCTGCAGACCTTAGAACAGGTTAAAGTCGGTGATATTCTTCTCCTGCGCAACATCGCACTCACCTCTTTTCGCGACACTGTATATGGGCAGTCATTACACCCTGCCATTACACGAGCCAGAACAACCATCGATATCTTAATGAGAGGTAGTGGAGTATCAATGGGACAAGTTGGTGGGCTGCCGGCGACTATTGCCGAGACATTCATGCGAGTCAAAAGATGGGCGAGGACACATGTTGCTCCTGATCATGGCTCGAGGAAGAGGAAGGCTACCTCGACAAAAGGAGACAAACATGCTAAGCGAGTCTTTTCAAACCCAGAACCCGAGGAGACCTTGCCGCCAGATACCATGGAATCTGTCTGAAGCACATTACTATAAAAGGCTGGATATACCCCGCCGTTTCATCCTCCAGCACCCAATAACTCACGCGGACTTTCCCGAGTCGCTACCGGGTAGTTGCCCGAAGCTATCCTTCAGCCTAAGGTCAATAGCAATTACGTGCAAAATCTAGCCTTATTGCTAATTAGTAATAGGCTATTTAGTTAGTATAGCTACTTAGCTAGATCTAATTTTATATAAAGCGCCTGCCTAAGTAATTATTTTACTATTTTATTTTTTATTAGTTATTACTTTTACTAATTAACTATATTTTTATTTTATAAAGCTAATATAAGCAGCTTTTTTTTTTATATATAAATTTAGCACTTAAAATTATAAATAAATTTTTTTTATATAAAAATACTATAACTAACTTTTGCAAAGCTAAATTTATAAATTTTATATAGTATATAAAAGTAGTAAAGCTAATTTTACTAATTAATATAAGTTTAAAAGCAATACTTGCTTATTTATTTATACTAAAGCTTTATATAAATTTATTATTATTAAAAATAAACTTGCTAGCTAAATTAAAACTAAAGCTTATATTTTTAATTTATTATAAAAAAGCGCTTAAATAAAAGTAAATTTTTTAAAAAAAGTTGCTAGCTATTTTATAGCTAAATAGCATTAATATTAAGTAAAAAAATAAAAAATTAAAGCTTTATTAAAGCGCTGCACTTCCTAGCTTAAAAGAATTAGAATTAATTAACTTGTTTAGCTAAGGGCCCTGCAATACTTTGCCGCAGTAATCAGCACGTGCCGATAGGAACGAATGCCTGGCATGTCGGAATTTCAGTGGTTCGTCAATCTGCTCCTTGGGAGTGTCGCACTATCTGAATGTGGTCCGTGCCACCGTCCTGCTATTTCGCAACTGGCAACGTCAAAGTTGCCATCCCTCCTCACCAGAAACCAGCATGGTTATATTGTCCCTCACTACAACATCATCACATGGGTTACTTGCCCATTGCATAGCTCCGTACAGCTTGATCAACTACAATCCTAGTGCTCGCAGGAACTTTCCGCACCTTGTGTCGGCATTTGATGGCAAAGAGATCGCATAAGGTAATTTGCCCCGCTGGCTCCATGCTTCGGCTTGCATCGTACCATCCAAAAAGCGAAACATCATCAGGTAAAGAGCATGTCTGAAACATCTGCTTTGATTGGCAGCTCACCCCGATTCCTCACTCTTGAGTTGAATTATACACGGAAACCAAACATGTTTCGAATCACCAGTACTCGCAGGGATCATATAGAACCCAGAAATCCACCATTACTATGCTTGATTGAGCTTCCAATTGGTGAACTGCGTACTCTTGCATGAAGTACCCTTCGGCACGTCAGGCTTGGTCAGCGGGGCATTTGGCTTTCCTGTATCCTTTTCATCTTGCAGGCCTGTTAAATGCCTTCAAGTCCTCTGATTGAAAATCTACATTACATTCTAGTCAGCCCTGTCTTTCATTCAGTCCTAGTGACTTCCACTTCTCTTTTTTTGCGATTTCGCACATTACCTTCTTTCTGATCTTGACGATCACTTCCATTCATTCCAAGCTGGCCACAATGAAGTCTCTCTTTTCTTTCACTAGATTCGCAACCTTTGTTTCATTACTAGCAGTCACACAAGCTGCATCCAATTCCACCAATGGCACTTCATGTGGCGTTGCGAAGGTAGACGACAGCTACTTGAGCGTAGTTGGAGTTCAGGGAACTGGAGTACACCCACGACAAGAGCTCCGTGAACTTGAAAAAGACACGGAACTTTGGAACATCTTCTTGCAGGCCTTTTCTCGCTTCCAAGCTATGGATCAGAGTGAGAAGGTATCTTACTACCAGGTCGCGAGTAAGGATATCGCCCACGTAAAAGGACGTTGCTGACGCTTTCTAGGTATACATGGTGCACCCTTCAAAGAATGGGATGGGGTAACCGGTCAAGCAGATCAGGAGATGATGGGCTACTGTCCGCATACTAGTAGTATGTTTGGTCCCTGGCATAGGCCATATCTAGCTCTCTTCGAGCAGATTCTCCACGACCGCTCTCTGGAGATCGCAAACGAGCATCCTGCGGGCCAGGCGAGAATCAAAGCGGTGGAGCTCGCCAACAGGATTCGTCTTCCGTACTGGGACTGGGCTATGGACCCGCCAAATAGCGTGGAAGGCGTCATACCGAGCAGTCTTCGCCGTCGCATAGCAACCGTCACATTTCCCAATGGAACGAAGGGCGAAATTGCCAACCCTCTTTACCGCTACGATTTTCATCCCTTGAAGTACGATGACTTCTCTGCTTTGGTACGTCTGTAATGCAACTTTATTCCAATTCAAGGGAGCTACTCGTGTATTGTCACCCTGAACTTCCACTAACATCACTCAGAGTGAGTTCCAGTTTAAGAACTGGAACCATACCATTCGATATCCTCTAAATGGTTTTGCCGTAAATGCCACTAGCCGAGACGATGAGGTCAATGTGCGCGTCGGCAAGCAGCAGCCCAATCTTCGAAGCACGCTATATAAGCTGCTGACAACCTACCAACCCTTTATGCAAGTGAGCAACAAGGCCAACGGCGGCACCATCGGTAACTTCGAGACACTACATGACGGTGTGCATAATACCTTTGGGTTAGGACATCTGGGGATAGTTGAGGTGTCGGCATTCGATCCCGCATTCTGGTTTCATCACTGGTGAGCTTAACCGGTTGAATTTGAGAGAGGACTTCTTAACATGTAGTAGTAATATGGACCGAATCATAGCTATGTATCAATCTCGCTACCCAGACACGTGGATTGAAGACTCTGAGCAAGCAATGGGTACTTTTGCCGTCTCTAAGGGGAGTGTTCTTGGAACTGCGTCGTCCCTCGCGCCTTTCCACAGGAATGCACTCGGCGACATGTGGACCTCAACAACCGCCAGAGACTGGACAGCTTTCGGTTACACGTACCCTGAGCTCGTAGGCAACCCATCAAACGAATCGCTCACTTTGTCTATCAACCATCTCTACAAGCCGCAGACGCAGTGCTTAAATAATACCAATACAACCATCCCAGCTCCAGGTCGTAACACCACCAACACCACTCAGGTAACGGAATGGTTATGCGAGGTCAACATGCCGACCGATATTAAAATCTCCTACTCCGTTCGTGCTTTCTTCGGTAAACCAAATGCCAATCCCAAGAAATGGCCAACAGACCCAAACCACGTCGGCCAACTGGCTTCAATGTCGTCTCCGCGCATGAACTCATCCGTAATCGTAACAGGAACCATTGACCTGACCGAAAAGCTAGCACAAAGGCACCAATCCGGAGAACTCAAGGCCCTCGACAAGGAGAGTGTTACAGCGTACCTAAAAGCGAACTTGACCTGGCGCATCCAAGCCCTCGACTATAGCGAAATTCCACGCAAAAATGCTCCCGCTGGTCTCAATCTTACTGTTTTCAACGTGCCGGTCACAGTTCCGCAAAAGGATACGGACGTTCCTATTCGGAGTGGCGACATTGAGTATGTCCATGGGATTGAGGGTAACCCACCCATCTACAGCGTGCCTGGATCTGATGGCACAAACTCCACGCTACCAGTGAACCAAGTCGGTGGGACTTACAATGCTACGTCTGGGAATTATGAGTGGAAGAATGCTGCGGATCGCATGATGGGTGAAGAGGGGGCGGAGCGGTGCGAGAGAAAGACGAAAACTCAGACGGTGACGAGTTTAGTTACGGAGTATGTGACGCTTGTGTCTTCTCCGTCATCGACACTCAAGTCGTTGTCTAGTGTGGCGACGGTTACTGAGCAGACACCTACACCGACGATTTCCGCTGGGCCTAGGACGAAATACGTGACTTCGGTTATTATCGAGTATGTCACGGTGTAAGTTGGTTGGTAACAGACCAGTGACACTGAGCCCGTTGCCCAGGAAAACTCTCTCGACCCGTTTTCTGCACAAAACTTGTTTCCTATACTCTTTTCACTTTCTTGTCTATACTTCTTTTTTTCTTCCCTTTTCTGGAGTATAGGTACTGTTTGGATTTTGTATGGGCTGCACTCATTGCTGGTCATGAGTAGCGGGGCGCAAAGAGAGCTATGAGGGAACGAATACGACAACATGAAAATAGAGCCCGAGGCCCTTGGTGGACTTCTCTATCATAGTATAGATAAAACGAAATGTCAACACACTACTCACACACGTTCCACCTCTTCAACCACAATCGAGATTAGACCAGTGGAGCGAGAACTGCAGGGACGGCTATGTCGAGGAAATTGGTCGGTAGGAAATTTTACTTTGTGGAGGTTGGTTGGCGAAGCTGATATGTTGTTAGTAGGTGAATGAAAGTAGAAGTTGGAGCAAGAATAGATGAGAAGGTGCTTGGAGAACGGGGCGAGGTTGAATTTAATCTGTCATTTATGACTGAAGACGCTCTTGCGCTCCTCAGCTGTTCTTAAATCCAGTTGATTTATCGGGTTAAATGATCAATCTCCACCACAGTATCTTTACATGAAACCCTACAAAGCCGTTGCGAAACCCAGTTCATACGCCAAACCAACCGTCAACTTCGCGTGCTCCAGCATATGGCTGAAGCTGATAGTGCTAAGAGTGTCCTGCGCAGTGTGGATAAATTTGCTGGTGTCGTCCATGGCAGATTCAATGACAAAGGCTGAAGGATAACCGGCCTTTGAGGCGCTGGCGTGGTCGGAGCAAGCGTAGCCACACTTTGTCTCGACGAAGGGGATCGTGCAGTACTATACCACATCAGCATCCAGCCTAACGGATCTTTGGAAAAGAGTACTTACTGCAGTGATGACCTTCTTGATGAAAGTCGTGAGTCCCGCATCGACAAAGTCGGTAATGACACCAACGCTCTCCTTCACGCCGGGCTTTACGTAACCCGTCATATCCTGCTGGAGCATGGCCTTGACAACCTTGCCCTTGTTCTTGTAGTCGGTGAAGATAGCCTGGCTTCCCAAAAGCCCGCCCTCTTCGGCCGCATACCAATGGAACTCAATCGTGTTAGGGGCCTGTCCGCTCGCGACACGTGAATCGGTCAGCAACACCCTCAATGCCTCCAAGATGGTGAATGTGCCACTGCCATCGTCGTCCGCACCAGGAGCACGGCCTGCTGCCGGGCTGTTGCCGTTGACGCTATCTTGGTGCGCACCGATCACAATCGTGTTGGTGCTCTTGCCGGGGATGGTGGCGATCACGCTGTTCTGCGTCCACGATGGGTGGCTGAAAGCACGAACCGTCGCTCCTGATACGCCAGATGCGGTGACTACAGCTTGAACTTGCGACAGAAGCCATTCAGAAGATTGCTTGCCGAACGAACTCTTGTAGTAGCGGTTTTGGAAGTTCGAAAATGTTGTGAGTTTGGTCTGCATGTTCGATGTGCTGAGCTTGGCGATGAGCGGAGTCACGCTGGTCTTTTGCGATACGGCTGCTGGGAACGTTGCTGCAACGGCCCTCCGGTTCAGCGACGCTTCGTGAAGCTCACTGTAGTCGGTGATGTCCATGAAGTGCACACCAGCCTAGAAGTCGTCAGGGCCAAGATCTCCAGGTTGAACAGAGCTATCTTACATTGTGAAGCTCCCATTTCTGGGCTTCAGTCACTTGCTTGGTCTCTCCAGGCGCGAGCTCAACCGTGAAGAGCTGTTCGGCCTCCCTCTTCGGAATGCTGAGAGCAAGCGCCGCGGACGCGGACAGCGCGAGGGCGAATGTGGACTGAAACTTCATCGTGTCGGGATTGAAAGATGCTGCGACTGATTTGAGAACAGAAGCTCTGTTCGCCTTCTTATGTACTTCGTCCCTTGCCCTCGAACTGGCTCCCACGCCGATATCTCAGTAATCCTTGTGTGCCAAGTGCAACCTCATCTATAACGTGCTGTTAACTGATTCGTCGTACGCGAGGTTCTATACCAGCACTAATCAGGGCCTATCTCAATTCGACAGGCGACAAGACATCTGCAATAAGGCGGGACTTGGCTCTTGCCAATAAGGGCCTGATTGTGGGGTGTGCGGATGATCTGTTTGAAACCCTTGTTGCGGACACTTTACCCGAAACGGTAGGAGCATCGTCAACTGCCTATCTGAGACGATATGGCGGTGCGATGTGTAAACATCATTGTTTGCTTCCTCTTAAGCGGAGTGTAACGGTTGACGATAACACATCGCGGGTAGCGCCATGGCCGGGACTCTGTCCCTTCTAGGGCAGGTGTGAACGCATTTCCTTTGCGAAAGTTGAATGGTGTTTAAGTAGATCGAATACCTGTACATCACCGGATATGGCGCCATTTTAGAGACACGATTAAGGTAACAGACTCCGTTGCAGCGAGCTGGAATACCCACAACTAGCCACGAACATTTCGCATGCGGAAAAGGGTCGCGGTAGCCAAAAGAATTTGTCCACAGTCAAGCGGCAACACGAATTTGTTGACGCAGGTGTTGAGCGGCTAGGAGTTATGCTTGTGAGAGCTCGAGCATCTAGATGAGAAAAAAGGTCTTCGATCACCTTAGCCAAGGCGAAGAAGTTGCTCAAGTAAATAAGTCTTCCGGGAAAGGGCCAAGGCTGTTCGGTGCCAGGCGCATTTTATTTGCCGATCCATGCAGCTAACTACAACTAAGTACCCCTCAGGAGTGCGTCGCACTAGGCTGACTTCGTTGGCACTCGCCGTCGAGTCACCATAGTTTACCATCGAGAACAACACTTCCGTATCGGTAACGAAATGGACACCGTTGCCATAAGCTCGAATTTTCGAGAAGATAGAAAAAGTTCAAGCAACGGAGACGAGACAACGGCGGCATGCAGAGATGAGGAGAAGAAAATAGGGCCAAGACATGATGCGTACATCTCGGGTCATTGTTTGTTGCGCGCGTGGGCTGTGCTGCGTCTGGGCCTTTCCCGGCATCCGGTCAAGATTTGCATCGATGATCGTTCTGCCTTTACGCACTGCCCAGCCTACGCTTCGGAAGCGAAGCTTCTTGCGTCCCCTGCATCGCCACAAGAGCCGACTCTACCTATTGGACACAGAAGCAGTATAAGCTTTTTACTGCCTCTGCCGACAGCATCACAGACCAAGTGATCTCGTCGGCTCCTGTTAGATTGAGAGATCCAAAGGAAAGAAACGTTTTCTTCCAGCCTTGGAGACTTTGGTTGGCAGTTGCATCTCTATCGCCCCGTGGCGATGAGTTCTCGGCTGTTGTAATCTTCAATTGTATGTACCAACATGCTGCCCTGTGAAGGTTGTCTCCTTTGGCTTCCTCGACGCAAGCTTTAGGTTCCGCCAACGTCTCCCTCAAGTACGAGTCACTGGTAAACGGCTTGGCATGTGATCATTGTTGAGCCAAAAGTTCCGAGTGGCGCAGTCCTTAATGTCAGATTGTTTCAAATTTGGGCCAATCGCACACAGAAGAGGGTCGAAAGTTGACCTAGCTGAACGCTTTTGAGACGAATGAGAGATCGAGCAGGGAATGCAGTGTTCCCGGCCTAAAAGGGTTGCCTGCTTGTAGGCAATGGTGTACCGTGCATGCAAAAAGAAACTGGTCAGGACTGTGGTACCCTCGAGCTCGTTCTTTGAATTTGTAGTTTGCCTTTTCCACCGGCTGTCTCTAGGTTCCATTGACCCTCAAGTCCATTTGTGAGAGGACACCAGGGCGCCTTCGGATCTTCAAGAGAGATCCTACAATCGTTCATCGCGGCCCTCAAGCGGAATTACCCTATAGAAAACGAAATGGCTGACGCACCCGAGGCTGGAGAGCCTCATGCTCGGATGAATCAACCTATTGATGTCGGAACTCTGCAGCTAGGGGACAACAACATCAATAACGGGAATATTGGTCACAATCTAGCGATTAATGGTAGTATTAGTAAGTTGCGAAACACAACGTGCATACACGGTCGCTCAATCTACTGACGCTGTGTAAGGCAACACCATCCATAACCATTATTATGCATGTGGTTTGAACCACCCAGGCTGCATCGGACGTGAAGCGTCGCCAGCCGGGCCACGCGAGTCTACAGACGCGGAATCCCCGCTCAAGCACGTTGACGCCGGCCAGCATGCATGTGATTCGACCTGTCGTTTTGCTTTCGAGGCACAAACACTGCGCTACCTCGACACCTTACCTTTGGGGCTTCACCCACTATTGAAAGATATCTACGATCCGTTGCGCTTTGGATATCTCCGGAAGACAGAGGCGGAAAATGACGGCACGGAAAATCCACCGCCTTCCAACAGTACATTGCTGAATTATATTTGGGGAATGGAGATGGTCTTTGACCTCAAGAAGCCCATGATTGATCTCCACTGGTCGGAGTTAACCAGGGTCCTAATGAAGGAGGAACCGAACCTCGATGAAGATGACCGGCGTTCGAAATATTGGCGCCTTCTGAGTATAAGATATCTACTATTCGAGAGCTTCCTTGCTCGTCGCTATGCCGCCACAGCGATCGGCCTCAAGCCGAAGCCGGACCAATATCCCTCACTCGTCGAGAACTTGTTTTCGACTCTGATCAGACCCTTACCCATCGTTATCAATAGTGATGGGAACGCCCAGGATCCCCTGGATGCTACATTTACGAGGCGCTTTGTGGACGCCCTCGATCTACTCGACTTATTTGATTACACGGAGGTGCGCCTTCGATATCGAAATGGCTTTGAAAGAGCATCGGGCGGGCAGATGGGGGTTCCAAGCGCTCCCTTGGTTCCACCCGCTGCGTCTTAAGTATAGCCCAAGGGCTTCCGGTCTTCTCCTCGGCGGGAGCGACGGATCCCAGGCTATACTTGATAAATCCTTTTCAACAACCCGAAAAAGTGTCGTGACAGGCGTCGCCATTGCGAATCTCCTGAGGCCCAACGCGATACGATTGAAAAAAACACATCACCAACAGAAACAAAACGTACTACACCAAACCTACCGGACACACAGATCGGTGGCTGGTTGTCGGCATAGTACACACTAGGAAAAACACATCACCAACAGAAGGGAAGATTCGATTCATTCAATCGAGTACACGATAGAATGACATGACAGAACTCCCATAAAAAAGAGGTGCTAGATCGTGCGATACGAGAGAATCTATGCATTTAATCGCTCCAAATCAGAACTCCAGTGCGCCAGTGTTCATGCATTATAACATTGCTCCCAGGCAAGTATCGCCCTTATGCATCTCCATTGCCCCTGACATTGCCGGCACTGTCACCGCTACCGCCGCCGTTATTTGCTCTCCGCGCTGCCCACATCGCGGTTGGATCCATGCCAAACTATGCCAGTCAGCGATCGTTGACGGTGCATAACAGGTTAGAAGTACTTGCCGTGTTGGTGATGGAGTTATTGATACCACGTTCCACCGTACTGACGTTATTCCCCATCATTCCATAGTTCAAGTTTTTATCGCCCATTGTGAACGGAGCTGTAACATGCACCCCAGAGTTTTCCTATGACATTATCAGCCTCATCCCTAAGCAACCTTCCCAGTAGAGTATCCTTACCGTAGGCGCCTTCTCCCGTTTATCCCTTTCCACAATCTGTAAGATGTCACTGACGACATGGGTGAAGCCTGGATCGTCGATTTTCGAGAACTTGCATACGTTCAGATGGTCTGCGTCGATCGAAAGCGCGTCGTACCTACAGATGCGCGCGCCTCAGTCAGTAAATCGACCGCAGGAAGCGATGGTTTTACGTACCCTTCCAAGACCGCTGAAGTGTGGTCTACAATCTGCACTGACGGAACCCAGGGTGACCACGACCACGATGGCTTCACAGCAATGCTTTCGAAGAAGAATCGGACTTCCAAGCGCCGACCCTGTTCTGCACGGCTGTTGACCAGTTTGTGAAACTCCTTCCTTATCGTCTCGAGTCTATCTGCATTTCTCTTAAGATCGCTGATAATGTCGCCATTTGTCTCGCCGAAGTACTTATAAACTCGCTCGAGTATGTGCCCGTACGTAGCGGAGCCGGAGCCGCGAAAGGGTGTACCGAGGAAGATTGCGCCGATGGTGTGTGCGATGACAGCTTTCAAATCGGCGTTGTAGTTCGTAGTGGAGAGGGCGTTGGCGCAGACGAGTCCGCCGAGCGAGTGGCATATGAATATGATAGGACGCGATTCCTGTGACCATAATTAGCTGTTTGTTGAACTCTCCGTATGATCAAGAATATCCATACAGTTTTCGTATCCCGACGCAAATCAGCAATGCTCGCCAACAGGGAGGCTGAAATGTCTTCGATGCGGTTTTGCGTCACAACGCCGCCAGCGAACGAAACAAAATTCGAGTAGTATCCAAGGGTCAAGATGCGAGACTTTGACACTTTCTGAGGGAGGAGATCCTGAGGCCAAAATATTCTTCTCTGAGCGTTGGCAGGATCAACAATCTCGAAAGTATTCTTCGGATGGCCTGTTAAACCATGGAGAAAAGCGATGCTGCAGAATTGATTAGAGAGAACAAAGTGGCTTGAATCTTGTACTCACTCTAGAAGCGCTTCCTGTTGAGCATCATAAACAATGCTCAGACCGATATCAGAGATGTTTGGTACGACTGCGACGGACATGACTGCAAATGGTATCCAAAAAGCGGGTTTACAAAGATCAGACGGAAATGCGGATTGTATTTACACAAGCACTTCATTGCAAGTGACTCAACCGCCGAGGCTTGAATTCTAGGCGTCAACGTCAGGTTGGCGCTGTCTCCGTTAGCTTGCAGAGCGCCACTGCAGCACAACGCCTCGGGGCTGAATTCTGAGTTTCATGTCGTGCCGATGCCCAACCATGTCCTGTCATCCATTTTTAGCTCAGCTTAGTGCCATGAGGTTAGTGCTGCAAATGGTGTAAGCTTGCGAAACAATGTACCAAGAGCGAGATAAGTCTGGCGTTGCCAGCGGGGCGTGGCTATCGAGAAACCTCGGCTCATTGAGTGTCGTGGATGATGTCGTACACCCAACACAGATCTAATCGTACACGAGGCCGACATTCCCGCTCCGACCACATTACGCTCTCTCAACGAGCTTTTGGATGCATTTTCGCACACAAACTATTCGTTGTCTTTTAATCTCAGGAGTGAAAAGTTCGTATCCCGTATTTGACTTCACGATGTTTACCATGTCGAGGGGTATGGCGTGTTTAGACCAGTGCGAAGAGGTTCTGCGCACGAGAACATCATCAGACAAGGGCTCTAATCCCCAAGTTTTGGTATCTCGTTCCCGATCGTGCATTAAATACGTTGATGTAATCCATCGTCTCATCGCATACACACTAGACAACACCCCTTCCTTAAACTCCGAGGAGCAGACGCCATATCAACCCTACGCCACCTAAACACAGCCAAAACCTAAACCACAACCCTTCTCGACCCCTCATCTTCCTTTTCTTTGCCTTTCCCCTCTATCACACTATCCCCTTCAACCTTCGCTGCTTCCTTTCCCTCCTCTTTTTCTATCTCCCGCTTTCCAACTTCCTGACCCTCTACCTCAATGGGTCCTACAACCTCCTCGTCGTCCCCTGCACCTTCTATGTCACCCAAACTTTCGTCGTCGCTACTGTCATCAATGCCCTCGAACATGCGGGCGAACCGTTGATGGCCTTCTCGTTCCTCTTGTTCCTGCGTGACGGGCTGATCAGGATCGTGCTCCTGCTCGCGCGTCGACTTAAGTTCGGCTTTCCTTTGCGCGAGTCGGAGGGCAAATTGGCGCCGCGCGCGCGAGGGTGGGATTTGTAGGGGTGGTGGAGCCTTGGGCTATGGAAATTATGTTAGCTTGTCGAGACGCTATGGTTTTTGGGAGTGGGAGTGACGATCGGCGCGCGCGTACAAAGGGGCGGAAAACGAGATCAAGCAAGAACAAGATGAAAAAGGAAAAAGTAGAGTAGTGCATGCCAGGCCAAAGGACACAATTGTCCATTTCGTACATCACTAAAAAGGAGATACGAAAGAAAACGCCTCCCACGACGCATATTACTACATGTACCATACACCCTGTCGGATGGAGGAAGGATGTATGTACAGAAAGGATAATGGACCCTTGACGCGCAGCATGCAAGCCCTCCAGACTCTTCATCGTACATAAACAAGCAAAGGAAGAGAAAACGCACCAAGCGCAAAAAACGATCGTGATGTTGGTTCGGGATGGTGATTATCGATAGTCCATATCAGCATCGTCAAATGAGATTTCACCCACTTGTTCGGAGTCGTCAACAGGTCCCTGTCGTTCCCTCTCTCTGTCGTTGTCGACATCGTCCATGTCCTCGTCTTCTTCATCACTCGAGTTAGTAAAGCCACTAAGCAAGGAGCCACCGCTGAAGGTGTACCCACCACCCCCAGTATCACCATGATTGGTAAGCTCCATGCTGTCGAGGCCTATGTTGCCGTTGTTGGCGAGACTTGCGTTGGAGAGGCCGCTGCTGTCGCCGCCGAAACCGGACGCCGCGTTCACGGCATTCAACACCGCTTGCCGGGGCCCGACGCTCATGTCCGGTCGGACGCCGCCAAGGATTGCGTTATCGCGTTCTCGGGTTTCCGAAAGTATGTGTTCGACGTAGTGTACCCATTCTTCGCTGTGGACCTTGTCTAGGACCAGTTGGGACAAGACATCGTCTGGATGTCGTTCCGTGAACTTCAACACCTCTTCTGCAATGAGTGTAAGGTGACCCATGTAACCTAGTCGCATATGAGTCTCGCTTTGGGCCTTGTCGCTCGCCTGTTGTCCCTCGATGATTCGCTCTGTTATCCGTCCGGTGTCGAAGAGGTCAATAGCTAATGAGCGGTTGAAGCCCCTGTCCATCTGTCCGTTAAACACTTGCTGGACGACATCGTAAACTACATTGTGCAGGAAGTTGTTCCAAGGAAAGCGGAAAAAGAAGTCCTAATCTAGTCAGTACACAGCTGTCAAGGTTCTGCGTAGCAACATGACCTACAAGAATAGTTGGTACAACCTTGTTCTCAACAAAGGTTATTTTGAGTAGGTCACCAACAACAGGTGATCCGTCGATGTCGATCTCGAATCCTGCATTGCTGCCTTCTACGCTGCCGAAAACCACCGATCGCACACTTTGAGTCTCATCGATAGGTGTTATCTCCGAAGGATCTAAATCTGGTACAGGTGCAGTAAACCGCGAAGTGTCGATATTGGTGGGTTCTGCGTTGCTGTCGCGGCTCTTACCCGCGAAAAGCGGTGCAGGCTTGTCATCTGAATGAGGTGATAGATCCTCAGGTTGGTCAAGAGTGCTCGGTTCTGAGGTCTGAGTGAGCTGTTGTGTTAGAAGAGATGGCCGTTCCTTGGTCTCTGGCTCTGCTTTGGCATGCTCTGACAGTTCTTGACGGTCGTCCATGACGGTGTCGTTATCTAGATCAAGACCGCCAACCTTAGCAGACAGCCCTGCTGATGTGGGAGACTCCGCATCGTCGGCTGGTTTTGCGGTCGTGCTATTCGATGCAGCTGGCGCTGTGGTGTCTTTCGGTGGCGTGAGAGGCTCATCGACAAACTCGCCGTCACCTGCGCCAGCCTTTTCAGAAGGCGATTCCCTTGGTGCGACCTTTGGTGAGCGGACTAACGGCTCTCCAATCTCTTCCTTCTCCGTAGCACTCTCCTTGGGAGCGTCAGGTGCAACCTCTGGTGCAGTGACCTTCTCGAAGTCGTCTTCAGAGGTGTTTTGCACTTGAAGCGGTTTTATCTCAGCAGGCGAGTCCATAGATGGCGCGCGAGCATGATGAAAGCCGTGGCTATCAACGCTGGTCGAGAAATCGCCCAGGTTGCCAGTGGCCAATGTTAGCGTACCTTCGGCCTTTAAGCGTTCGCGCTCAGTGTCTCGCCTTCTGACTTCAGCCTCGCTTCCACGCTCGTTGAGCAAGGCCATGTTGCTGCAATGTAACAGCTCCGCCATCAACTCGCAAGTCTTAAACCGGTCGAACCCGAGTGGTTCAATCTTTTCGCCAAATGCAGTCTTGAGTTCTCGCTTCTTCGTTGTAGTACTTCCATCTGTCTGTGTAACAATTTGGCTCGAGCTGTTGACCAATGCCATGAACTGCGGGATGTGAGTGGCGAATTGGCGTAGTAATGTACCTAGATAGATAGGGTCTGAGTTCTTGGGCACAGGTCCAATCTGGTTCTCGAGGTCGTAATCGGAGTTGTTCTTCCTGATCACCTCGATGACGATACCGACACCCACAGTCAGAGGATTTCCGCCACGCAACATGAACTCTATCAACTGCTTGAGACAGGAATCAGACACGAGCTGGCGCGTTAGCTCGTTGGGGCCTATTACGGATTGATCTTGGGTGGTAGCGTTTGCGGATATGGTAATGATAGCTTTAAGAAAGTCGCCCGCCGATGTTTGGGTGGAGGTGGATTGGTCTGGAGCGAGGAAGGAGATCAGACGCGGAATGAGATTCTGCTGCTGTAGCCACTGTGCGTCTGTTAGCTTCCAAGTCTACCGGATGGACCAATGGACCTACGTCAACAATGCCTTGCCCCCCCTCGCTCTTCTCAAGGCTGATAATCTTCAACAAGAGGTCCATGATGACAGGGCAGTCGACGTGTTGGAGCATATCCGAGACGACATTGTCTAGCGATTTGAAGAAGTCAAGCATCTCTTCCATCTTGCGGTCTAGGAGTGACTCGTTCACTTTGGTGAAGTAGCCAGCCTGCACAGGGTCGAGGGGTGCAGGCTGCCTAATGTAGGCCCAGAAGTGGCGCAAGGTATCCTGATTCTCAAGCACTGCCTCGGAGATGGACCAGACCTCTGAGGACAGTATCTCGCACGACACGTATGCGTACTTCATGCGCTGCCTCTCCTCCTTGCTCTCTTCGCCATCGCCAGATTCAGACTGGGCGGTTGATGTTGAGCGAGCTCTGCCTGCAACCTTGCCGAAGAAGCCCTGGCGGTTAGGACTTCTAGCCTCGTTCGCTCCTTCGGCGACTATCTCCTCGTCGGGCGATGTAGAAGGCTTTGCAGCTATGACATAGCGCAGCAGGCGTTCGAGGACATTTTCGTCTCGCAGGTACTCAATCAGCTTGGAATTCTGCTGTTTTAGCTCCTGGATAAGGTCGGACTCGTCCAGCAGTTCCTCGACCGTGACATCTGGCTTGTCGAGTATGTTGTCCAGCGACGACAGCTGCGCGTACCCGCCGAAGCGCCAAAACATGGTGGGTTGTTGTGTTTGCGGCTACCAGCGCGGGGCAGAGGACAGGGCGTGGAGCGAGGGACTCCAGAGCGGTGGCAGCTCAGCGGGGCTCATGCGGCGTAGGAGGGCTAATGTGCTCAGGCATGCATGAGAAGATGATGTCGGTGCAAAAGCTGCACAGCCAACATGTTTGTTAGCGGAGAGCACAAGCGTGAGACAGGAGGGGGCGCGTGGTGGTGGATAGCTTTGGGCTGCACGAGTACACGAGGGCCAGGTACTTGCTTACCTATCTAGCTAGCGAGAAGCTCTGCGGGCAAAGTAATGTAGAGCGAAAGCGTTGGGAGAAAGCCAATCCATGCACCCAACGGTTCGTAGGCGGTCGTTACAAATACAGGGGAGTCGTCAACAGCGGGATGCGACCTTGGGTGTGCTGGTGTTGTGGGGGGTAGTTGCAGCGTAGTGACAGCACAAGGCTCGAAGCCGCGTAGCGTAGCGAGCGCAGGGGCGAACGAACGGCACAGCAAGCGGCCCATGACTTACATTTTGACTTAGATTTCATCTCAATGTCACTCCACTTGGACGTGTGCTATTCAGTCGGAGCGATTATGTTTTCGCTCGTCATACGGATCATGCCCCAGGTTTCATTGTTGCATGTCTGCTGAAGGTCCTGCATTGGACAACCCAGAACGACAAGCAGATTGCGAATCGCCCTTGGAAGGGCATATAAGAAACAGCAATAGCACATGGGCCCTTGCACTACACATTTCCAAGGCTCCTAACAGCTTTACTATCCATCTGGAAATCATCTGTACATGTGCATGGGCTATGTTTACACACGTTTACTGGCCACGTGACAACCCATGACGCGGGTCCCGCCGGAGCTAGAGCAGCTGCGGTCGCGACTGCCTCCACTCACTCACCCCTCATATCCACCAGGTCGCTCTCTGGTCCCAACATCGCGCAAACTCATATACCTCTACGTCACTCGCAACCACGTATAGAGCTAAATTGCAACCACCATCATGAACCGTCTCTTCGGGGCGAAGAGCAACGCGCCGAAGCCGACACTCAACAGCGCCATTTCCAACGTAGGCTTCCCCAAACAACGTATACTCATCTGGGACTAATGGGTCTAGGTCGATACACGCATAGAAAGCCTCGATGTCAAGCTCGCCAAGCTCAACGCAGAGCTGTCCGCCTACCAGCAGAAACTCGCAAAGATGCGCGACGGCCCAGGAAAGACGGCCATAAAACAAAAGGCCCTCAAGGTCCTCCAGCAGCGCAAGATGTACGAGTCCCAGCGCGACCAGCTGCAGGCGCAATCGTGGAATATGGAGCAGGCTGGCATGATGCAGGACAACCTGAAGAACACCATGACCACTATCGACGCCATGAAGACTACGACCAAAGAGCTGCGGAAGCAGTACGGCAAGGTCAACATCGATAAGATCGACAAGTTGCAAGATGAAATGGCCGATCTCATGGACATGGGAAACGATATCCAGGACGCGATAAGTCGAAGCTACGACGTGCCGGAAGATGTGGATGAATCGGAGCTAGATGCGGAGCTGGAAGCACTGGGTGACGAGGTCGACTTTGAGGGCATCGGAGAGTCATCAGGCGTACCAAACTTCATGCTGGACGATGCGGCACCACCACAGTTCATCGACGAAGCACCCGTAGGCAACAAGGTCAAAGAAGCTGCAGGCTGATGAGGGCTGTCAACGACATATACACCCTTGCCACCGTCATAGATCTGGTCGCGGGTAGTCCTTCACCATTAGGGTCAAGACGAATGCCTTCGTGTAAACGTATCTCAGTGCAGCGTCGGACTCGAACGTCACAAGACAAAGGTCCCCACAGCGAATCCCACCGCCCGCTGCGCACAACCCCGTAGACGACTTCTGACCGTTAGCGGTAGTAGAGGGAGGGGGTGCATTGCCCATAGTGGACACTCAGTCTTTGCTGTGATGGCCCGGACTACCACACTAGACCAGTGGAGCTTTGAATATACCAGCCTCACGTAGTCAATCAACATAGTCCTAATGCATCTGCGGGGCTCTTGCTACTATATATCTTTGAAGAGGTATATTTCGCCTTCCTGATCATGTCCCCTATATTTCGTTCCAGAACGCTACCACCTCGCGCATTACGAATGTGGGTATGCTAGGCCTCCAGCCACTATTTTAACCCAACTTAAACTCCTTACTAGTTATAGAATAGCCCTGGAGACTTGAGCCGTCCACCGGGCGTTGTCTCACTCTTTAGCTGATCGCTCGTGGGTCGTCAGGACCAACCAAACATAATTACTGCAACGCCATAACCTTAGCGCTTACGGACAAGCATCTCGAATAGTGTACATAGTCTGGAGCCTGTGCAACATCCAAAGTGAAGGGGCCTCTCTTGTGCTCACAGTCTCCAAAACTTTGATGCAAACTAGCCGCTACTTGAACGCTAAACCCTAGGATACACTGAGTAGCCCCTTGCTCTTCCTATCTACCACATTACGACCATGACCATAACCAAAAACGCAGTAGTGGTAAGAAACAACGTACCTGTTAATCTATCTCGCAGGCAAAAGCTAACCCACATTACAGGTCGGCGGTTCCCTAGCCGGACTAATGCATGGTATCATGCTCCGCGACAACGGGTATAGCGTGACGATACTCGAACAAGAACCCTCAACACATCGGCAAGGCCTTGACGCTGGAATACGCGTGGGCCCTGACTTCATCCAATTCATGAAACAGTACGATCGGGTAAAGCGGGAATACGGGATCATGGCAACGCATGCGCATGTTCTCGACAAGAACGAAACTATCAAGTTTAAAGTGCCGTGGAACGCGGCTCTGACATCTTGGGGCTTGGTCTGGAGTATTCTCCGTGCGAATTTTGACGGGCAATCATCTGAAGCTGTGCCGAATCCACCACCGTTGCCTAAAGATGCACCAGAGGCAAGGTATCGGAGTGGAGCGCGGGTGACAGATGTCCAAGAATTGAACGAGGTGATCCGCATACAGTTCGAGGATATCCTCAATGGAGAAACGCAGGTTGTTGAAGCCGACATTGTTATTGCTGCTGATGGATCCATGTCATCTGTCCGCAAGATAGTTTGCCCTAGTATCAGCTGTGAGTACGCTGGATATGTGACATGGCGAGGCACAGTTCCAGAGTACTACGTGGACAAAGAGGCGCATGGTATACTTGGAAAGAATCTCACAATACATCGTATGCACTGTAGTCATTTCGTTATGTGAGTCTATTCGTTCCTTTCAACATATGAGAAGCTGAAAGACGACTTACACCGCACAGCTACGTTATCCCCACGGACGAAGGTCAGATTACACCCGGAAAGCGCCTCATCAACTGGGTCTGGTACCACGAGCTCCCCGCAGGCTCAGCAGATCTTAAAGAAACGATGACCGATATCCACGGCAAAGTGCATCAAGGCACCGTCCCGCGCGAGCTCATCCGGCCTGAGGTATGGGCCAAGCAGAAAGCCCTCGGTATATCGAAGACGCCCGCTTGCATCGCGCAGCTCCTCGAGCGCACAAAGTCGCCCTTCGTGACCAAAATCTACGAGAACACATCACCCCGGGCGGTCTTCATGCACGGAAAACTTGTCCTTGTCGGCGATGCGCTGGTCAAGACTCGGCCACACAGCGCGTTGAGCACGAATCAAGCGGCATATGATTGTCTGGCACTGGAAAGCGTGCTCAAGGGACGCGCGTCGATGAATCAGTGGGAGAGCAAGGTGCTTGGTTATGGTCATAGACTATTCCTGTGGAGTCGTATATTGGGGAACTTTCAGCAGGGGTATAAGTTGGCTCTGCTGTGGAGTATCTGGAAATATGTCGTGGGGTTCGTCGGATTGAAGCTCGGGCTCCTGCCTTGGAGGTCGAAGATGGAATGATGCTGGGAGTAGATGTGGTCGATGTGGCCAATGGATTACAAATAAGCTGGTGGTCCGGTGCGTACCACAGTTCGTCGAGCATGCACGAGTCAGCGAGTCTGAGCAGCTCCAGGTATAGCCGCAAATAACCCCGCTCCTCGCTTGAAAGGCGGTAGGAATAATTGCCGTTCGCCTTGAAAGGCGGGGTACTTCAAAGGAGGTATGAATTGAGCTATCCACAAAACCAGGGTCCGCATATCAAACTGACTGAACCAAGGTCTCTAGATCGTTGGTTTGCCACGAACTACGAGTACCACCCCGGTGTATATGGTCTTCTGATGAAAGTGTAACGACTTAAGGGAAATATCGCCCGAGCTATGCCTCCTTGTGCCGACCCATCGTTTAAATTAAGTAAACGCGTGCTGACCGTGGTCAGCTCCGAGTTGAATCCAGTTCATGCATACTAGATCCGAGGAATGTAGGAAAAGATTGGAAGAATGAGTTGGCACTTATAGCCCAATCAAGCTATTCCACTCCATCGGCGAGATTCTCCACAGACGACACAATTTCAGTCTATTGCGAATGGACGTGTGTGTGATAGGGAAATATACACACAATATGATAGCATCAAAGTACTGCAGCAAACTTACGGACTGTTTTTCAACCAGGGAAAGTGGAGCAAAGAAGAGAGGTTGTCTAGCAATACAATTCAGCAACCCACTCGACCAAGTGAAGTTGCCGCAAGATGATACGTGCACACTGACCTACTTTCAATGCTGGTGAGTGTCGACCAGTGATAACGGGTTATAGGTTTTCCTTGAAAGTCTTTTTCGAATCGAGTTTTACCCATTTGAAACCCATTGTCAAGAAGGAGAAATTTGATGAGCGAGAGTAAGCCATTGTACCTATCAAAGCTCTGAAATATGCGGTTGCAGCACCACTCGTGCCGTGTTCCACTCAAATCTATGGTTGCTTTGCGAAACTAGATGAACTCTTACTACCAATGCTTCTTGCAAACATGATTGCTACGATTTGCCGTAAACCCTGGGTGATTTCTGAATCAGCTCCACAGTCTCTACTTCTATATGTATAAAAGGTCTGAGTAGCCCTTCTTCACAACTCATCAACTCATCTTCTCACACCATAAACTTTCAACTACCACCAAGAAAAAACTCCAAACATGGTCTCTTTCAAGGCTATCACTTCCTTTTTGGCCCTCACCATTCTGTCGGCCACCGCAAACCCAATCGACTATGACGGCTCCCTCATAGAAGAGCGCGACAACAACAGAACCGTCACCATCTTCTATTGCGTCAAGAAGCGCTTCAAGGGCACCTGCCAGAAGCAAAAGGCCCTATTGGGGCAGTGCAGTACGATACTATCTTCATTTCCTCTTCACCAAAGTACAAATTACTAACTGTTTCGAAGCCAACATCGACAGCCTCAACGATCGGATCTCTTCCATCCGTATCGTAGGATACCCTCACCAGGAGCAAAAGTGCATCTGGTATCTGTAAGTAATCTCTTCTCCATAAAATTTTACCTCAAGCTTACAATATTTACAGCGACTACAACTGCGGCAAGCTGGGTTACGATAACCCCAGTGATTCCAATCTTGCTGACGGCGATGGCAAATTCAACGACGACATCAGCAGCTTCATGTGCGAGTAAGCTCTGCGGCCGACAAGAGCGGTTGTAAGCCGAGCTGAAGCGTTGGACTGTGCGTTGGCTTTTCTGCGCGGCTGTGGGTTCATGCGGTACTGATTAAGACTGAAAATGTTAGACAGCTTTCGATTTGTGCAATAGAATCAAGACTGCAGTTTGGTGCCGAAGAAGCTTCTCCTATCGCTGATCCAAGACAAGACTCGGTAGATATAGACCCGTAGACTACAATGAAAGCCGTCAAAATCGAAGCATTGGTATAATAAACGAGGTATATTAGTGAATAGTGTACCTACGACAATGCACGGTAGTATTTAACTGCAGAAACAATCAATGACTCGTTACATCACCTGCAGTATCCGTGCTAAGACAGCTATGATCGGGGCGCTAACACTTGGATGTCACTTCTTCTCAACAAAAAGAAAGAGTACACTATACACCTAATTTTCCCAATGTATCTAAGATCGGTTGAAAAAGGGGCCATTGATCCCATACCAACTAAAATTGATGAATTTCGCCTATAAACTACCACCCGCATAGAATCAAGTGACATATGCGAAGTCATACCTTCGCAGCTCGCTTCAGAATTGAAGACCTTCCTTCGAACAGCGACCACGCCATCGGATAACCAAACCCGGGCGCAATATTTTCTCCGGTGTTCAAGACATAGTTTAGGGTTCATGCGGAAGACATGTCCAAAAAACTCCACATGCATTCACCTCTGACGAACGCGTCACACGTCAAAGAAGGTGCACTTGAATTCGTATATTAACAGCCAATGAACACCAATGGATCTCAGTGATCCCTACAAACATGCGATACGTCACTTCAGAGCCGACGAAACGTTTTCATTGTCTGCCGCATTAGCACCAGATATCAAAGCGAACTCGTCATGTTGCGCCTCGTGAGTGGCTGTACTCGTTATGATATGGCACAAGAATCAAAAGGAGAGCAATGGTGATCACGTACGACCGCTTTTGAACCTTGCTGGCACCATCATCTTGAGTTCGGTATACAAGTATCCAAGCAACGGAGGTGCCCAGATAGTGACTGCTACAATCTGTCCGAAACTCCAATGATTCGCGTCTGTCATCTTGAGGGAAGTCGAGACTGAAAGCAGCGAAAGCTGCATACCGATCCCGGCAAGGAAGCAAAGGATTATGCAGCCATAGAATACGGTATTCGAAAATAGTGAGCGGGAGGCTGGTTTACGTTTTTGTGTTGTTGTTGTTGTTGTTGTCGTTGTTTGAGTGGGCGCAGCTTCCTCCACACTACTATTTTTCGCCTTGTTGGTAGATGGCCGATGCAGCCATCTATTGAGCTTTTCCCCCAAGGCAACCAGAAGGCATATAGTGGAGAAAGTCCAGATGATAGGTGTGAGAACACGCAATTTGTACGATGCCGAGATTATCTCATCTTCGCCCAGTTTGAGGTTGTGCGGGCAAACTGCTAGGGCCGAATACCCACCACAGGCATCAAGTGCACTAAGCTTATACATGAATTGCTGGTATGCTCGGTCTATTCTTTTAGGATCTCGAATCGTGCTGTTGATTGGGATAACATGCGCGTATAGGGTCCAATAGACCAAGGAAGCTAAAAGCCAGCATGCTATGGTAAGCAGTGTAGTGTCCATAGAGGCTTTGCGGCATCGCAGTAGTAGTACGTAAGCGAATGCTACGGGTAGTATGCCATTGGTCGCCAACGGTAGTAGTAGGAAAGTGTTGAGCATGTCAGTAGAGAAGATGCCGTAACTGAGCGACGCGATTTGAATGGTAGCACTGAAGTAGCACTGTGCCTGGTGGAACGAAACTAGAAAAGTCTCGAAATTCTCTTGGTGGCTCTGCTCTCTCTGAGAGTTTTGGGCGTGTCTTATAATTCCATTTTTATGCTCTTTCTCCGGAGTGTTGTCTCTGGAGCCCGACGAATTGGACTTCTCATTCCCTTGATTGGGGGTACCGTCTCCGTCCGAACAGCGCTTGGTATTCTTGTGCTTGAATAGCTCAAAGCTTGTGAGCCCGAATAACAGCATCACAACAAACGCACATTGCATGATGTATGACGCAAAAACCTTACACGGGTTAATAATTTATTCTAGACAGTACTTCATCAATGTACTTACTCCAATACCAACTACATCTGCATCTGCAAAAGGCAGAGAGTCATACTCGCCTGTACAGAGCGTGTTCAGGCACTGATTAATCCCGTGAAGACTAGGTGTTGTGCTGTTCACAAGCAGATTAACTCCCGAACATTGCACCTCACAGGCATTTCCGTGCCTCGCATTCCTGCATGTCGCTGTTAAGCACTCCGTGACCGCGAAAGTGATGTCCTTCAGACTCCGTTCCGTCGCATTCCGAGGTATGTACCTTTCGACTTGCGATCGTATATCAGGCGTCAGGACGTCTTGGTCGAGGTATCCAGCCATATTCGGCACATTGGCACAAGTCAAGTATCGACGAATAGGCGCGATGCCGGTTCCTTTGAGTGCATCGTCTTGCGTTAATGAAGAATAGATGACAGATACATCCTGGCAATCGCCAAGACAGTCTCCGGTTTCATCACACCCTCCGCTGAACGTATGGACGTCGGGGTTGTTAAAATTGTAACGGCAGGTTGAAGCATCCTGACTATCGGGATAGCAGCAGCGCAAATCGTCTTTTGTACTTCCAAGGTTTTCACAAAATAAAGGAGCGCCTCGTTTCTGCACCATAATTGAACAGAGATTACCGTTGGCGTGTGTAAAGGCGTGGATTGTAGCAAATTACGTTGGACGGCGTTCTGTGTTATAAAGGGAGGTTTTCGTGAGGCGGTGCAGTTCATCGTAACGAGCGCGTGGAAGTGAGGTCACACATTTGCTGACTGCATGGGGGCCAGAACAGCTGAACATCGCCGATCGCAAAGGGTGGCGCATGATTGGGGGAATCGAAAGAAGGCGGTGTATCTAGCTCGACTCGTGTGCCAGTTTGATTATGGGCGACGTAATGGAGATGTGTTTGTGAACGCGGTCGATAATGGAAAAGGAGCAACGGGTGGTTGCCGTTCGCGCAGCGGCCAAAAATTGCCACAACGTCCCGTGCTATCACACTAGGCAAAAGAAAAGCGCCCACGCTCCAGGTCTACCAGTTGAGGTATTGCCAACCCGTTCTATATCCTGTTCTGAAGAAATACCATATTGTAGTACTACAGCTAATAGAATAAATAGAGTACTTCCTATTTAATTACCTTCGAATGTCGTCAGCTCCGGCCGCTGTCTTCCTATGATAATCATCCGTGGTAATATTCAAATCATCTTGTCTTAAGGTAATCTCGGGCTACTTGTCTTCCTTTGCCTTGAACTTCAGAATCACCTTCATTCTTTCTTTCCACTAAAGCCTTCCGAACCTCGTCCTTTGGAGACCAGCAATACAGTTCTCGATTTACATCTCCAAGTACAAACTTGCCTGTTCGTCGATCAGCTTACTATTTCAAGACGTATAAAGCTGGACACTTACCAATCGAAGGAAACTTCATCAGAAGCCACAGAAAGGAGTATATAAAGTACTCCGCCACCACACCTATGTTAGCCTTCCGACCAGCTAGTTTCTTCCCTCGCTCAACAATCGCGTTGATCCTTGGTGCGCGTATCTCGTGAAACAGCTTGATCGCCTCATCAACTTGTTCATCAGCTCTTTCCAGCAGCCCCGCAAGTAATAGAGCAAACGTCTGCGAATCCTCCAAAGCCTGACTTGCGCCCTGGCCTGTCGTCGGATCCATGGCATGCGCCGCATCACCCACTAGTACAATTCCCCTCTCGCCCCAGTGGGGGAGCGTTGGGAGAGTCCAGGTCGGGTAGATGGATTCAACATTAGCTTTCTGAACGATGTCTTGCACAATCGGATCTTTCCACTGCTTGTGTCGTTCGAGTAGCGCAGTTTTAATAGCCTGAGGGTCGATAGATTTAGTATCAGGGAGACTATCGGTTTCGAAAGTAGACCACCACATGAGCTGTTTAGCGGCGAGAGGCCCACCAGACGAATACCCAAAGAAGCCGTTCCCGCCGAATGCAAAGACCATGGCTTTATTATCGGCGATGAATGGAGGTATAGGCGCGTTGAGAAAGCCACCGACGCCAGATTGGCCACTGAATAGCATCAGCATTGAAGGCATGAGTGCAGTTAGACGGAGAGAAGGCCAAACCTGTATGTCGGATTATACCGCTTGTCGTCTGCGAAAAGAGCTTTCCGCACCCACGCTCTTCACGCCATCTGCACCGATCACAAGGTCCGCTTCATCCACCTCCTCCATCCCTTCTGCATCCCTCGTCCTCACGCTAAGACCCCGCCTCCCATCCCTTTCAACACCCACGACCTGCGCATGCTTCACCACACTCTCACCATCATTATTCTTCCCCTCAACAAACCGCATAATCGTCTCCCAAAGCCCATGCCGCGAACTTGCGATGCAAACCTCCTCTTCCTCACCTACACTTCTGAACGCTTTGTCACTCGTACTCTGCACACCTAACGTCCACCCATTCGCGCCTTTGAAAACAAACTGCTCAGCTGGGAATCCTTGAGCTACTACGCGGTGATGTAGTTCTGGATCTAGATCGCGCAAGACGCGCATGCCATTTGGCGATATACCTAGGCCGCCGCCTACGAGGGCGGTAGAGGACGAGAAAGTGTCAAGATCAAGATGTTGAAGTGTATTTATGGGAGCGGAGGTCTGAGAGGTAGAAGTGAGTCTTGAGCTAGGTCTGTGGGACTCGTAGATAGTGATTGTATGCGTGGAGGGGTTGGGGAGGTGCTTGCGCAGATGGAGATATGTGGATAGGCCGGCTATGCCGCCGCCGACGATGATGATTTTCATGATGAGAGTTTGTAGCAAATTGGGAGGTTGAAATAAGAGATGGAGTTGAAGGGGGATGTAGGCTCCAAGAAGTAGGTCAGACTCGGTTTTATGCCTAATTGAGCTGTGGCACGTGGTCTCAGATTGAGGTTTCCGGCGGACTGTATCGCATCTCTATAGATGGTTTGGTCGGTTTAATGATATCTTTATGTACCTCAGGCATCGCGTATGGTTTCACAGAGTGATGTTCACGCGATGCAGACGCGTGGTCGATACGAGATACGAGTAGGCAGCCATGATAGCAAGCGTGGCGCCACACCCATAGTTTCGCCTGCATCGTTATAGACATCGCAATTGGGGATTGATGTTATAATTCAAGCCAAGAAAGAGACCAAAAGACTTAGTCAAAGCCATAGTTAGAAATGAAGCCATGTTGCTTCGGTGTGGTGCAAGCGTGGACATGTACTTGTGAATATTCGTGTCACTCACAGGCTGGTGACTATATTTTGATTCATTCATGAAGCGTTATCCCGAGCGACTCTAGTCACTCCTCTATATGCCGCGCAAACGCCAATCATGCTCGTAAGATTCGTGAAAACAGCCCCAGAACAATAAGCCAATTCATTCCACTGCCGAAAGACCACAACGCGGGGCCCAAGAGAGAGCGCTCCAAGAGGCCTGCCAATTGGGGTTCCTTGTGCGGCCACTACTGCAGAAGAGGATCGCGGAAGTGCTTTTGGAAATTGCCGCGCCTCTCGTTGCCAGCTTGATACCTGTTCTTTGCACGTTCGGCACGTCTTTGTTCGCGCTTCTCAACTGCGATGATCTCAGCCTTCTTAGCGTCGCTAACACCAATCATACCCATTCCACCATTGGCGCGGGTGATGAGCTGACGACCGCGGCCGTCCCGAGGCTGTTCTCCGTCTTCTCCATCCATGTTAACATCACCATCCTCATCGTCATCCTCAGTCGAACCACTAGTCAGCCGGCGTTGCGCGTTCTCCATGCGCTCGGCCACACCAGGGTAATTTCGCAGATTTTGGCGGTAGTACTTATTCAGTGACCTGTGACCAGCGGTACGTCCAGACGGCAGATGAAGCTCGTAGTCGTCATGGTACACGGCGTTGGGTGTATGGTGTGCATGCGAGTGGAAACCATCCGCTGCACGGTGCGGACGAGGATCTGCATGGGTATGGTGTCTTGACTTGTTGAGCGATTTGTGTCGGTGACTACGGTCGATGGGCACAGCTGTGATCTCGTCTGTCGGAACACTCGAAACAGTACTGTCAGTCTCCCAGCCCGCGTCTTCCTCATTGGTGCTAGACATGGCTGCATCGTCTTCTGTGGTAGTGACGGCTTCACGTCGAGCTCCAAGCTTGACTCCGCCTCCTGTTGTTGATGTTGAGTCGTCTGAATCGTCCTCCAAGTCTTCAAACTCTGCAGCGTCAGGATACGAACTCCGGAAGTCGTAGAATTCGCCGACCTCGACCAGTTCGGCATCTGATTCGAAAGCGATCATGCAGTGTCCCCTATCGCGCATGTGGGTCTGGATACCGGAGGCGGTGTGTAAAATCTTGTGGCACTTCAGACACTCGTTATTGATGTGGATCTTGTCGTGGAGATACTTGACGAGATTCTCAGGCTCGACGAGAAACTCCCTCTCTGGAATGAACATGCCATGGAAACGGCCCATGTGAGTGACGTTGAGCGTGAAGCTGGGCGACTTGTAGTTGCAGAACAGACAATCCAGAAGGGGATCGGTAGGCGCTTTGTTAGAGGTAGCTACAGAGTTATTGTCGTCGTCAACAGTGGATTCGTTAGTGGCAGTGGGGGAAAGCGGGTGCTCTGGTTTTTCTTCGGCTGCCGAATCGTGTGGTCGCGATGGTCTACTCGCGACAGGCGATGGGGCATCCAGGGCCGTGTTCTTCATGCTGTCGACAACTTCGGAGAACTCCTTCTCAGCGTCTCCGTTGAGAGTGATGTCTGACTCGGCCATGGACTCGCCTAGCGAAAAGGCCGAGCTGATGACGGATCCTGATACCGACGCCGTGTCGTCCAGATGCGCGCCCCCGCCAGCCTTGATAGCATTTGTCTTGTGCTTCTGGCTATTCAGATGGTTGTTGTAGGCATTCTCGCTGAAATACGATTTCTGGCACGCTGCACACGACTTTTCAAAGGATGCTTTTGCAGCTGTGGCGGCTGCCGTGGCCTTGTTCGCAAGGACTTTCTCGGAGAAGATCTCGGAGGAGAGGGGAGGAAGAGAGGCAACGCGACGCTTGAGGTTGTAGCGATGCCAGTCTGTCTGCATGTGTGCCCGCTGCAGTTCGCCAGAGCGGAAGGCGACCTGGCATGTGTTGCAGGTGAAGGGATGCGTGGACTGAATATTTGCCTGGGTAGGCGCTTGCGACGCCATGGTGTCTGCTGCGGAATGCGACCTGGTAGAGAGTGGTGGGGGGTTATTTGGTGAGGGGGATGGTAGGTGACGGAGTAGAAATATGTTCGGGATTAGTGGGGGGTTGTGGGCAATCGATTAGACCTTTTCTAACTGGCCGAGGGGCAAATCTGGCTGCGCCGCGTGAAGTGCGACGAGGAAACAGCAGTAAGCCGACTTGCTTCTTATCAGAAACGTCTCGCAAGGCCAAGATTAATAGAAGTCGTGCAAGAAACAGGGACTGCCGCGAATATTGAGTGTTTCCGGTCGGAAACGCAGTGCGGCGCACCGGCATGACTTCATATTGCCAAGCACCGACTCACGACCCTGGCCCTGTCTGCAGCTGTCGGTTTTCGGCACGAGGCTCCTTCGGACGCTACCCATCAGCCCTGTGGTAGTCGGATGCCCTAGGAATACATCGCTCACGGCCCTCTAGCCATTCACGCTCACCCTAAAGATGCTAGGAAGTACCTTCGGCAATGCGCCATGACCTCCGTGGACGCACCAACAGACTACAGCCTCCTCCGTCAACGACACACTTCGCTCCATGACATGAGCGCGCCAGACGGAGGGCTTCAGCACCCTCGCCATGCATCACGCAGCTGCTCGAGCTCCACTTCTTCGTCAGCGTCTACTGATGGAGAAGGCTCAAGGCGCCGAGCTCGCTCTTCGCCTGGATTGGCCCACAGGTTGAGCAATGTCATAGACTTGCGCGAGCCCAGCCGCATCGTTGAATGCTCACAGATCGAGAGACAGCTTCGCTTCCAGCACCTGGTCCGACAGTAGGACTTCACATCTGTTACCTCTTGCAATATACGCTGACGCTGTTGTAGATACCTATCCCAGATCTTGTATGGCTGCAAAAGCGCCTACTGTGACACCCCTACGTGCTTCTCCTGCAACAAACGCAACGCCTCCAAGCCGTACCGACCTCCTACACAGCTCACCGCCCGCACCTTGGCTCACTATCTCGCTAGCCAGAACAACCCAATTCGCGGGCTATGTCCACATGAGCTGAAAGTGCTGCCTAATTCTGTGGAGATCGATGGGGCCATTGGCACGGTTATACGACGAGCGAGTAATGGCGTCGATCGAGAGTGCAGCGTATACCCTGTATTGAGGGAGTTGGCACAGCATGGCGACACAGACAAGAGCGGTGCTACACATGTGAAAGCAGCAATCTCTGGAGAGAACCGCGCACAAGATATCCAGCAGAGCGTTGTGGACGCCGTCAACAGGCGGCACCAAACCAAAATCGATCCGAAGTCACTCGGGCAGAACTTATACGACAGCGTTAGCATGATATATTCCTATTCCAAGCAAATACCCAGTCCAATGTCCATTTTTGCGTTACTGCGCTCTCCCGAAGACGTGCCACAACGTCATACAGAAACAAGTCTTGGGGCCTCGTCCAATGCAGCCTTCCAAACGGAAATACAAACGAGCATGTCAAGTGAAACATCGCCGCTGCATTCAATCGCCCAACCTTCCACTCCTAGAGTGAATAATACTCCACGCATCGTTCGTCAACATTCACAGCAGAACCTCCGCGCTCATACCAACCTACAAACAAATCAGACTGTATCTCAAGTCCTCAGCAATGGTCAGCAGATTCACAGAATCCCATATCACCCGCCCAACGCAGCGATTCATAGCAAGATGTGCGAACCTACCGAGTCGGCTACACTTGACGGCACATCGGAATCACCTAGGCTGTCAATACGTAAGACTGGCAAGAAAAACTTTACAATTGGCGGAGGGAGCCTGACTACGCTGGATCAGACCAAGCCTCCAGCCGCACCGCATGGTGCCGAGAAGCCGCAAAACCTTGGCCACCACACAGCTCCTGCCATACCGGCCGCTTCAAACTTGAACTGCGACATTCTCGATGAGCTCAAAGAAGACGTGTATTGTCATCGCAAGGATCAATCGGCCGACTTTAACTTCGTCGTAGATTATGATACCAATCGTCGCTCTCGACCTACGAAGTCATTTGTAAACCGATCCTTGTTTTACACGCTAAGTGACCCGGATACGCTGCTTGACTCCTTCCATGATAGCAACAATGCCTTCAAAGACTCGCCGCTTCCGCATCTTGATTCCGCTCGTTTGTCCAATTCCTTCAGGGACTGGAATCAGCGAAATGGAGCGCTCATCTTTGATAGCCTCTGGATTGCCGTGGAAGCTTTGTTCACGCCACCCCCAGAAATCGACGTGCAGAAGAGTCCACGACTGAGACCATCTCGCAAGACCACATCAACAGACATTGGTTCGGGACAGTCTTCCGATCAACGAAAAGGCACAACCTTCACACCTCGCTATCTGAGCAACCGCGAAGCAGCCCATATTGTGATGATATGCATTCATGCTCTGACCTCTTCAGTCTCTCCTGGCTGGACACATACGTGGACGCAACTACGCAAGCTACGGTCTTGGGGTATTATTATCCCAAATGCAGCTTCAAATGCCGATGCTTTTGCACACCCATATCTAAATCTCATTGATGAGCTAGAGTACGAGCCAGCCATTCGCCTCGCTGATCGTTTGCTCCGTGGCATTGGAGCGCGCACCTGTTTCGAACACATTCTTGCAAGTTTGAGCCAGAAGAAAAGACGCCGAGACGATACAACGAACGCATCGACTAGTGATGCCCTTGTTGACATTGTAGTCCAGCATCTGAAAGTGGTCGAACGGGTTGCCCTCGTTGGCAAGCGCAGAATGAGGTCGACTCCCGATTCCAACGAAGATCCGGGTTGGACAGTAACGGCTACCTTTATGGAGTGGCTGAGAACGATCATCATCAAGAAGTGGGATAGCAAGGCCGAGATCAACAAGTGGAGCAGCGTGGGAACGGCAGTGATGCTACTCGACAAGCTCCGTAAGCAATGCGCGCCCTTAGTGTGGTATCAATAGCTAACTATTGCAGATGCGAACTGCAACCTCCTCAATCTGCGCCCCAACATGTTCGAGATACCGTTCTTCAACGAGCGTCTCGACATTGAAGTGGAACCCTTTAGATTTGTAGACTGGGAGGAGCAGCCCAATACATTCCATATCTTCCAGTACTCGAACCTGTTTCCTGCGCAGCACTTGGTGGCATATTTCCGCACCATCAACTTTACAAGTATGGTGGCGCAGTATGACCACGCCACGCGCATCCATCAAATGCACCGGTCTCTCGACATGTTCATACGCGAACCGTATTGGTGGTTGATCAAGTCTCGTATGAGGGTCACTCTCAGAGACTACCTCGTTTTGGACGTCAGTCGCGAGAATCCGCTCAAAGACACACTGGACCAGTTGTGGGGTCAAGAGAAGAGGATGCTCTTGAAGCCACTGAAGGTGAAGATGGGTCAGCGCGAGGGCGAGGTTGGTCTAGATCACGGCGGCGTGACGTACGAGTTCTTTCGTGTTGTGCTGAGTGAGGCGTTCAAGCCGGACAACGGTGAGTGCCTTCCCCCTTTGGTAGCATACAAGCTCACATCTTCAGGCATGTTCACTATCGATCCCCAAACACATATGACATGGTTTCAGCCCCGCACTCTGGAACCAGACTGGAAGTTTGAAATGCTCGGCATCCTTTTCAGCCTCGCAGTTTACAACGGCATCACACTGCCTGTAACATTTCCTCTCGCTCTCTACCACTTTCTTCTGCCCCCAGACAGCCCATTCCGAAATCGAGAAGTCCAACCAGACTCTTTGGAGTTCATCAAAGACGGATGGCCTGGCTTAGCCAAGGCTTTTCAAGACCTTCTTGCGTGGAGTGACGGTGATGTTGGAGATGTCATGATGCGCGAATATGCATTCAGCTATGACGTCTTTGGGCAGAAGGTTGATCATGACATGCGACGCATATTCGACCACCGCAAGCCTGGCCGACCAAACACCTCAACAGACATTCCCCAAGAGGAGCTACCAATGGTGACGAATGAGAACCGAGAGCAATTTGTGCGCGACTATGTCGGACATCTAACATATCTGTCCGTCGCGCCGCAACTCTGGGCTTTTTTCACAGGGTTCGTGACCTGTATGAACCCGAAAAGTCTGCATTTCTTCACACCATCAACTCTGAGGAACCTCGTCGAGGGGTTCCAGCACATTTCCATACCAGACCTCAAACGCTGCACACGATATGAAGATGGATACTCAGCTACTCATCGCACTATCCTCGACTTCTGGGCTACTGTTGAGCAATTCAATCAAGATGATTGCAGACACCTGCTCGAGTTTGTCACGGCGAGCGATCGCGTGCCGGTGACGGGATACGACAGCATCACCTTTCACATTGAGAGGGTAGGTGGTCAGCCAGAAAGCTTGCCTACCAGCTCGACGTGTTTTGGCAAGTTGTATTTGCCGGAGTATCCGGACCGTGAGACGCTGAGCAAGAAGTTGAAGTTGGCTATTCAGAACTCGCAGGGCTTTGGTGTGGTATAGAAACTGTGTTGGATACCAATCACCGACGGGGCATGAACAAGAATAAGGAGAACAATTTGTGTTCTGCGTGCGAAGATTGTGTACTTGAGAATTTATACAATTGAACATTTCAAAATGGCTTTTAAGCATCAGCACAAGCTGAGCGCGGCTTTAGCCTAGGTCTTAGCTAAACGATTTGTATTTCCTACACACTATCACGGACAGCATTCTATAGTTCAAGCTAATAAGCAAGCCATGACAATGTTCCCCACGTAACTATGTGTCCAGCATCAACGCGCTTTATGGACGCCTTACGTCATCCCTCCCAATCCGACCCTGCCGATCCCCCAGGCCAAACCCACCCAACCACTTACATAGCGCGGGCCTTACTCCGGCCTCCTCGGCTCACTGGCACATCACACGATGAAACCTGTCAAGGCCTACGCAGCCCACGAACCCAATGCGACTGGCAGGGTGGCCAAGCACTGATAAGCTTCAGCCATACCAGTGGTGCCCTCTCCTCACTCGATGCACGCTTCTGGCCAAGACGACGACCCGCCCGTCCCCAAAGCTTATGTGCGTTTTGGCGTGGGCCGCGGCTGAAGATATGCTTTTTGATCGTGAGTGGGTGCGGGCATAATCGGGCGGGCTAAGTGAGCTTTGGAAAAGCGGAGGCATTGCAGTTCGATGCCGCGCCGTTGCGTAGTGGTGTGCGATTTGCGGAGAAGAGGAGGCGATGTGGGTTAAGGGGTCCTATATAGCTGTAGACGCACTCGGCGTTTTTGGCTCGAGGTCTTGCATTTACTTTTGGTTGTGAGAAAGTTTGTTGTTTTAGTTATTCGTGGCTTACCTACCCTGGACTCAGTCTTCGACAGTTTGTTCATTCATATTACTCGATTCGGTGTACGGCTGGACGACGTGGGATACACATATTGGAAATATATCCTCCACGACGATACACAAGTAACCCGACAATTCGGCTCTACCTCAACTTCATCCATTACAAACCATGTCTCCAAACACCGAAATGGACCCATGTGTCTCCTACGGACGCGGCGGGGCTGGAAATATGCGTACCTCTCCCCCCTTGTTAACATCCTAGCATTGCAAACCTAACCTCCCATCAGGCCGCCGCTCCTCCATCCTCGACGCATGGACGAAAATCGCATCGCAACCCTCCAACAACAAAATCGCCCCCTGCTCAAGTCCGGACGACCACTACGTCAGTTCTAAATCAGAGCCTCGCGCTTCGTCGTCGTCACAACGGAGGAGAGCGAGTAGTATGTGGAGTTCAAGTACAGCCGGGGAGCATCGATCGGTGTGGAAGCGGCTGTTTAGGAGGGGGAGTTTAGTTGAGGAAAATGAGAAGGTTGTCGAGTCAGAGTAGGGATGGTGTGTTCCTCAGGAGGCGAAAAGAGGTGGAAGCGGTGTATTGGAATCTGGTGTTTTCGTGTTCACATTGCGCGCACGTTTTGACTGTCGCTAGCGGATGATACCACTGCTTATTCTCGGTTGATTTCTTTCTTGGTTCTAGTCTGTCTTTCAAAGCCAAGCTCTTTGGAAGCTAGGGACATTTAGTGCTTATAATGGGTAGAATTGATTTTTCTCGATTCGAGGTTGTGCAAGATGCGATGGAGCTCGTGGGAAGAGTCTCGTTCTTGTTTATCCAGATACCGAGTGACAGCGAGATCTCCCAACCTGGCGACACAGTTCAATCAACTCGCCGCGCTTACATGATTACGATCGTTTGTTTAAGGAAGGGTTATCCTACTCTTTCTTTACAGCATAGTTTGCGTATGATCGTAGAGGTGCAGAAATGACATGCTCGAGCTTCCCCTCAGCCCCACCTTCCTGCATTAAGGAGCTTCCTTCCTCTTCTGGATGGTACCAAGATGACTCCTCCCAAGCTCTATATAACTTTGCTCAGGACATTATTAAATTCATCATCAGCAATAGCTTCGACTACAGCTAAACTCCAACGCGTATCAGCATCCTCGCGAACGACTCATTCTCATCAGCATACACCTATTCTTTGTTGAGTCCATCATGCCAACCCCAACTCAATCACTCGATCATCTCATTCTCTTCGTGCCGGTAGACACAGCTACAAACCTCCCCAATGTACCAGCCTATCTCAAAGACAACTTCACCCTCACACCAGGCGGTTTCCACGCTGACGGCGCAACTTCCAACGTACTCATTCTCCTTGCCGACGGCTGCTACATTGAACTCGCCAGCTTCCTCGACCCCAAATTTTTGCCTACACATTGGTGGGGTCCAGACTTTAACTTTGCAGGCTGGAAGGATTGGTGTTTGACAAACGCCAGCACGCCTGAGGAGAACTATGACAATGTGAAAGAGACGCACGGAGAACCAGTTCACGGTGGCAGAAAGAGGGCAGATGGTGTGGATGTCAAGTGGGCTGTTACCTTCCCTAAGGGTGAGAACGGCGGTCAGGGTGTACGGGGCCGTATACCATTCTTCTGTCATGATAGTACGCCCCGCAATGTTCGCGTTGCGATCGATGACGAGAAGACGACACACCCATCTGGCGCTCTAGGCGTTCGGCAACTCACCGTCATCGTTAAGGATCAAGCGCTGCTCGACGAAACGAGACGTATCAACGCGGCAATCCTTGGTGGTGATGGCTTAGAAGGGAAAGATGAAGTATCCTTTCAAGCTAAACGGGTGTTTGAGGTTGAAGGCTTACACGGCGGTGCAAAGATCACGCTGCGACTACCGAAGGACAACGAAGAATCGAAGAAAGTAGAGAAATCAGGATTTTGGTATGGAGATGTGGTATTGGGTGCGAAGGCTTCATCAGGGAAGGCTGCTGGGACGAAAGAGAGGCTTGATGGCTCGGGAGATGAAGCTGGCGTACGTGGTATTTGGATTGAATACATATAAGCGCATCCTGCACAATAGAGAGAAGAAGAGGTTGTAAAGCTCATAGAGCGCGCTACAAATCGTGGAAGAGGTGTTGCAACAGTGGACAGTACAGTACCGCGACACAAAATTTTGCCGCCACACCTTTGCAATAGCCAAACTCGTCTCTACCAAGGTATCACGAAGAAAACCTGTTCTTTGCTGCTCTTTTGCTTCGTCCCGTGCTTTCCGAGGTCGGTGGCATGTTTGCCGTGTACCAAGACCGCCCAAGTTCGTATACGCCCTTTTAGCGGGCAAAGCCGGGTACAACCATTTAGCTGAACGCCGACGAGCATGAGTCAACCGCCGCGATGCATGCGCATGACCTCAATTCTTCCCTAGATCATTGGGACAGAGCGTTGTATCTCTTCTAGATGCTATAAATACCTAGCTACTGCTTCTTACTAAATATTCCATCTCACGGTTAAATTCCACACCACCTCATTCATGAACAGAATAATTACCATCTCCACCGCCGTAGCAGTAGCTGCAACAGGCACTTACCTGTATCGCATCCAAAGCCACATATCCCCCGTCCCTATCCACAGGATATCCAGCAGTCCCCAGATCCCCGATGCCTTGAAACAGTCCAAAGCTGCATTGGCCGTCAATCCAAATGGGCATGTTACCATCACGGATACGCGCTTCACCACCCTTGAGCTGCCCAACCGCTTATCCGACGAGCAAATCTTAGCGCGATTCGTGAAGGGCTTTTTTGGCGGATATGTATTCGGGCCTGAGAGCGGTGTGTTGAGGGCTGTGGGCAAAGATCTAATGCGCTTCGAGAGTACGTGAACTTTACTATACTCTCAGAAAACGCATTGTGTCTAATAAGATTGCACACAGGGTTAAAAGACATACCGGTATCGTCATACATCTGGGCCCAATCCGCACTTTCCAGGGAAACCGTACCGCCTCTTCACTCTGTTCTCTTCGGCGTCTTTAGGGTCGCTGATTGCCATTTTCAATCTCCTGGCGACGAGAAATATCCCGAATTATCACAGGGCGGCAGTTATAGCTACATTGACGTCGCGTTTGGGTCTGAAAAGGGGCCTATTGCAGGTGTACATCGCTTCTCAGTGACGCGGGATGGGAGAGTTAAAGAAGATGGAGGGAAGAACGAGAGTGTTACAATTGAGTTTGCACATGTGGGATGTAACCCGAAAGAGAACAAGCCGCTGAAGCCGGATTTTGTGCAGACTTTGCACCTATGGTATGCGATGCTGTTATTCAGAGAAGGGGTGGCGGAGGTGATGAAGTAATTGACCGGATTTACGTTGAATGTGTTGGCGTCTATAACTTTGTCTCTGAGCCTCTGAGTGCTTCGATGTCTACGATCTCCTTTACCGCTTCTGTAGTCAGGACGTACGGACTTTCCTCGTCCACACACACGCTATCCTCAATCCTAATACCGATGCCGCGCGCCCAGCTGGGCCATCTTTCGTCATCAGGGACATAGATCCCTGGCTCGACAGTGACACACATGCCCTTTTCAAGGAGTCTACTCCTGGACAAGCCGGGGCTATCATGAACATCGAGTCCAACGTAGTGGCCTACGTGGTGCGGGAAGAGCTTGTATATAGCGTCATGCGACATGTCGAAACCCAAATCTGTAAGGCCGGCAGAGAGGGATTTGGAGGCGGTTTGATGTAGTTTATCCAAGGAAAAATTTGAGCTTGTGCGGCAGAGCGATATGCATGTTCTTTGCACGGAGAGTAGGAGGTTGTATAGATCCTTTTGTGCCGGGGTGAATTTGCCGCTGACGGGCCATGTGCGCGTGATGTCTGTTACGTAGTCTCCATACAGCGCGCCAGCGTCTACCAATACTAGATCATTCGGCTTGAGCTGCATGTCGTTGGAAACATAGTGTATTGTATTGGCGTTGATGCCGCCCGCTACTACGGGAACATATGCCGGCCCATCGCAGCCGTCTTGCTTGAACCAGTAATCGAGGAAGGAGTCGAGATCTTTTTCGTTGGTAAAGGATTGTCGCATCGCGTCGGTAATAGCGCGACCAGAATGTTGGCCTGCTCTGCGCATATTTGCTACTTCTGCGTCGCTCTTGATCACCCTTAGTTCATTCAAAAGCGGCCGTAGCGGCTTGATTGACGCTTGCGAGTCGCGAAAGACGTTGGCGATTCCGCCTGTCCGTACAGGCTCAGTCCCAGCCAAGTATCGCGATAAGATGTTCTTTGTCATCCGGCTTTGAGGTAGATCCGTATAGACATTTTTACTCCTGTTGACTATTTCCGGGAGCAGCTTCGGAATGTCCTCAATGCTACCTGTGATATCGGCGTTGAAGACGTCTTCTGCCGCCTCGACACCTGATCGTGGACCTTCCCAGGCTTCGACCTTGGGGTCTTTCGGGCGCACGTAGAGATGGAAGGCATGCTCTTCGTCATCGAGCTTCTCTATTATTGCCAATGCGTCAGGCTCTTTGAAGCCCGTCAGGTATAGGAAGTCGGGGTCCTGGTGGAACTTGTAGAAGACTGCGCCTGAGGCATACTTGAGGTCTGAGGCAGCTAGGACGGCTATGGAGTTCGGTGGGAGGTCTTTGGCCAGCTTTGAGCGGCGTTGATAGTACTCTAAGGCGGTGATGGAAGGCGTCACTGTAGTAGCTAGTTAGCATACGTCTGCAAAGCTTGTCATGGGTCGCACCTTCCCCAGCCTTCAGCAGATGCGGATGCGTCTCATGGAGCGGCTGCCCGAACCTGAGTTCTGCCGCGGGAACACTGGCATAGCCTCTCCAGCAATGTCTATCCGCAACCCTCCATCGTATCCGCGTAACGGGCCGTGATAATCTTATACAAGAGCTCATAATAACACAAGAAGAAAAATATTGAAGGACGTCTCAAGCGGCAAGCGAATCGTGACCACGCGCAAAGGTATAGCTTTCCGAGGTCGCGCTAGGCTTATCGATAGCACCTGCCTGCATCGTTGACGTACCTGCACCACAGCTACCCCCCAGTCACTTCCTTCCACTTTCCCCATTTCTGCTGCCTTACACGAGCCCCTCCAGGCTGCCACGTCCTACATGTACACTGCCCTTCTCCCACTGCATAGCTCAGGCTCACCACCAATATTCTGTTACTACCACATCTTATCCGCAGAATGGCTTCTTCGGCCACCAGACCCAGCGTCGTCCCGCCCAAGGATTTGGAGAGTTTCCAGACACACTTGAATCAGTCAACACGGATATTGGCCTTACTTGGGGCTGGTTTATCTGCCTCCTCAGGGCTACCTACATTCAGAGGAGCTGGAGGATTATGGAGGACACACGATGCCACTTCATTGGCAACGCCGCAGGCCTTTGAGAGAGACCCGGGGCTTGTGTGGCAGTTCTACAGCTATCGCAGGCACATGGCGCTGAAGGCAAAGCCAAACCCTGCGCATTATGCTCTAGCAGAACTGGCGCGGAAGAAAGAAGACTTCGTAACGTTGACCCAGAACGTCGATGGTGCGTGCACAACTGCAAGTCGCCTTGAATAAGTAGCTAACTGTGTGTTTAGGCCTCTCTCCACGCGCCCTACACCCTGCCTCCCAACTCAAACTCATCCACGGCTCCCTCTTTGACGTCAAATGTTCAGACTTCTTCTGCACCTACGTCGAGAAGGACAACTATACCGACCCTATTGTACCCGCCCTTGCCATTCCTACCGACGAATCTGACCCAACTACTACCTCTGCCCTCGCCGCACGCGGACCCCAACCCCACGAGCTCGACATCTCCGACGAGAACGTCGCCCTCCCGGAGCTCGACTATAACCACCTCCCCAAATGCCCAGAGTGCAAGCGCGGCTTGCTCCGTCCTGGGGTTGTATGGTTTGGCGAACAGCTACCATATGGTATAATAAATGATATAGAAGAGTATCTGGGGAAAAGGCAGAAGATTGACTTGATCATGGTGATCGGGACGAGCGCGAAGGTGTTCCCTGCGGCTGGGTACGTAGATATAGCGCGTGCGCGTGGTGCGAAGGTTGCTATCATCAATATGGATCCGAATGACATACCCGCTGGCGGGCTTTACGACGGGGACTGGTTCTTTCAGGGAGACGCTGCGCAAATTGTACCGGAGATTCTGAAGAGTGTGATTGGGGATATCAACATTGAGGAGATGCCTGATGCCGCCGAAGGTTCCTGAGCTAAACCTGTCGCCTGGAAAAAGCTAGAGGAGATGAAAGTCAAAAGAAGACGGCGCTGATGCAGAGAATGGTACGGTACGTCTTGCCGGCAAGGACGTACCAAGGATTATACGGTATTAAGAAAGATAAATCCAATTCATAGTATTCGGTCCTTTCTTTCACTTCAGGGACGCTTGATCCATCGTTAGCGTCACCCTAGCATCGACCTCACATTTGAGCAACACACACTAAATCCAAGTGCCCATTGTTATCAATTCACTATCGATATATTTTCATATACGACCGTATAACTCTCAGGCTGCCCGTCTTTACCCCACCTGCTAGTCCAGAACCAGTAACGCAGCCGTTCATTGTTAGCAAAGCGCGCCTCCCAGCAGCTGCGATTAAGTCTTTCCTTACCTAGCAACAATGTCGCTCCTTTGAAGAGTCCGTTGATGTTATTTCGAAACTAATTCCGTACTACGCTGATTTTCGGGATCAATGTACAGGAGCATATTGACGGACGGGTCATTATGACAATGGCGTCGACCATACATAATTGAAGCCAGATCATATCGTTCCAGCGATGGATACAACCTTTTGCAAAGGGTACTAGAATCTACGAAGAAATCCTTTTAGCCGTGCGGATAGCCCGTGTGTAAATTCCTGCTCTTCGTTGATGAGGAAGACGCCACAGCAAGGGATATCCTATACAGGAACAGCTCGCTAAGCCAAGTACCCCGCCTGGTTATATGAGCGTCTACGGGTTCTGAGAAATATCAAGCGCATACTTTAATCGGTGTTTTTCAAAGCTGGTGATCAACTTTGTGGTTTTGCTTTTTAGCTTACGCCTAACCTACGACAGGCGACACACTTCTCATCACATATCAACGCGCGCTCTACATTGCCGACAACCGACCTTATGGATTCCCGAGCAAGCAGATGTCCGACCTCGATGCCACCCGTCCGTTCCTTACAGTCCGAACGCTCAGCCAAGGCCAACTTTCTCAGTCTGCCCAAGGGGATTCGCAATAGCATTTACAATGAAGTGCTCACTCTCCCGTGTCCACTATACCTCTTCCAAGAGCCGGGTTCCCAAGTCGAGACATTTGCGCCCGACAGACCCAGCGGCTGGCCTGCAATGCTGTACATCAACCGACAAATCCACAGTGAGGCTAGCGCAGTGCTCTACAGAACGAATCAATTCCATCTTGTAGATATCACGCAGGAGCAACTCAACCTTCTACAATCATTTCTTGACGGCATTGGGCCTGTGAATGCAGCTTCACTATCCCACCTATGTCTCAACTTCCCGGTCGTGGAGAGTAAAAACGGCCACCTAGGCAAATTGAAGCTCAGGGACGATGGCTTACAGAGTCTAAAGCTCTTACAGGACAAATGCACAAATCTGTCGACACTGGAGACCCTTGTCCACAACAAGAATGCCGCTATCTTCAGAAAAACGGACGATTCTCTGCGAGAGGCATTGTCACTAGTTGACGCACAAGTCAAGGCCATTCCTTCACTGAAAAGAGTCATCGTGCGATTCGTGGTCCACGATGGCGTGCCGACGACTTCAGCAAAGGCCCTTATGGAGGGTCGTGGATGGGTGGTTATCTCCGGGGATGGGAATGAACGCTAGACATGGGATGGTGCCGTGGATCCACTTGTGCTGCATTGTAACTCGTCCAATGTCGTTGGCATTGTCGATGTATAGTCATGCGTGTGCGATACCGTACAGTTGTGGCGTCTTGATCACAAGTAAAACATCATTTTAATACGGAACTCTCATTTGTAGCACACTCTCGTTACGATCACAAGCTATTATTTGCTTAAGACACCCTTGTGTAAAACATCGCTCGAGGACGCTGTATTGTCGTGGATCTCGAACTGCGGGCTGTGAACCTGTATAATCCGAGCAAGTCTTGTAAGCGCCAGGAACACCGTCACACTAATAAAGTAATGTGGCACAGCACCCAGCAACCAACGAGGAGTCTGCACGGCGCCGATCTATGCATGAGTTCTGTACATGAGACGATAGATCAGAGGTTGCTCTCCTTCCGACGTCGATATTGACCAAGTCACAAAGTGGATCAAAGTTAAGCCCGTCGACTAAGGCTTCTGCCTCATTATACTCTAGAGAATACTAGCTGCTACACTTATCTCCAAGAGTCCTCTTAGGTTCTGCAAGATCTACCCTACGGCCTACAAAGTAGAATATAGCAAATATCATTGGCATGGGATGCACCTGCCGGGTCTCCAAAGATCACAAACATCTCCGCACTCAAAGTACAATCACATAACTAACGATAGCTCAACTAGGGCGTAGGCGCTTGGAAATCGTCGTCCGAGTCTCCAAACGACAAGTCGCATCCCTGTCGTTCTTTCTCACACCAACCAGAACACCTAGATATTTTGATATTAACGCTCTGATTCGCCCTTCACTTTACCTTTGGCGATCCTGTACGTGGCTGTGCTAGACAAACATGCCCAAAGTTTCAGGCTTTCCCAGGGCCCTGCTGCTTGCCAACACTAATACGCGCCGTGCGGCGGCTATATATAGTTATGCTACCCACAATTTCCTCACAATCTCCAGTCTATGTACTGTTCAACTCGACGCAAAACCCCACCATGTCATTCTCAACGATGCGCACCGCCGTCCTCCAAGCAACCGCCGTCTTCACCCTCTCATTGATACTTGGCCATCATCTATGCAAAAAAAATGTTCGATGAGGTGATGCAGAATGAGGGATATCTGAACATGTCGAACGCGATTAATAAGACGAAACCTATCACTTCGACGAACAACACACCTGTACGATTGGCCCTCGACGCTGGAGAGACCATGAACACAACGTTATCGCTCAACCACACCACTGGCCTCAACAACGGAACATTGATTGACCCATATTCACCGGAAATGTTCTATCGTTGGAGGCTACCTATGGAGGTGATCATTTCCTTGGTAACTTATGCGCTACAGTATTGGTGGCTTATCTTGTTAGAGAGGATGTTGCCTGCTCGGTCTCGGCCAGAGTATAAAGAGCGACCGCCCCAGCTTGAAGAGAAGGTGGAAAATAGCGAAGATCGAGAGGAAGAATTCGTCCAGAAATAGATTGCGCAGGGTAGAGTAAACCGGGCTTCGTTGAACTGCTGTAACACGTTCCTCAAATGGTTGCTAGAAATGACAGTGGGAAAACTGTGGTATAACACGGTGGACCATGCCATTAGGGTGCTCCTCAGACTGCAATCTCCCAAAACGATCCAATATAGCCTGAAAATGGTAAGTCGTCCCTTCTTCCGCCTCGTCCGCCCCAGGTCTAACTAAAGATAAGCATCTCACCATGAATATCATAGCCACGTACCTCTCCGTCACGCCCTTTGCGAATCTCATTGGCTTCATCATCATTCCAGCGCACCAGCAGATCGTCTTTAAAGCTGGAGCAGAACTGGTCGCGGGAATATTCTTCGCTACGCTTGTCCGCGTGTTTGCCACTTGGGCGGTCAAGACGGACTTTATGCAGCGCATAATGGCGAACGTGACTGCCAATGCGATGAAGTCAGAGGGCTATCAGGAGAATCTGGCGAGGATTCGATACGGTGATGAATTGTGAGGATTTTAATGGAGGGAGAGATTGTATGCAGGGATGAATGGTGACAGTGGGGGACTCGCCGAGAGTAAATGGAATATACTATTATATGCACAGGCATTGCTCTACCTGAAATTGCCAGCTTTGAAGCGTTGGGTTCGCACTATAGAAGGACCATCTGGTGAACTTTGGAGGAGACCAATTGTTATCTCTTCCTCGAACTGTGTCTACTTCCGTCCTATCGCTATAGTACGAATTGCCAAAGCTACTAGGAATACGAAGCACTACTAAAATGGCACTTTGTAGCCGTTTATCTCCTGGAAACTCATATAAAGTATGCTACTTAAAACTGATAGTAGAAGATAAGAGCAAAAAGTTAAAAGGCTTAGAGAGCTTTCTACAATTATAAAAGCAGTAGAGTACTAGGGCACAAAAGACCAGTCATAAATCTATGGCACTAAGTCTAGCTAAGAAATAGCGATGCTACTGCCTATAGCGCATTAGTCATTTTGTGCAAAGCTTCTCAAGCGTAGAGCCGATCTGAGTATGGGTAACACGCATCCAGGCTTGTGAAAGTGCACCGCAATAATCTTCGCTCTCCGGAATCAGTCTCTTCTTCATACTGGACTTCCTCAGTTTCTATCCCCCAATGGACTTTCTTTTCGTAATGCTTCAAAGACGGATCCTTAGGGTGGCAGGCGGCGCTCAATGCCCCACTACATGTGGCCGCGAGTGGCATTCGATTCCGAAATTTCTTCGCTCCAATCCACATAGCAAACCCGAAGACAATGAATGAGACCGCAAAGGAGCACAAGAAACCCATGATTGAATATCCCACTTGGCTGACGGAGAAAAGACTGACCTGCTTCCAATGATTGAGCATGTCGACGCGTACGAAGAAGACAGCCTGCGACGCAAGCCAGTGTAATACACTCCAAAGAACGGAATTTGCTATCCAATACTTGAAAGGTACCACCAGAAATGGCGTGGCCTTTTGGTCCGTTCCAACCTGAGGATTGGTGACATAGAGACTGCGTCGATCCGTTGGTAATGGGATCCCGTCTGCGCCCTTGGTAGTTGCTGCATACATATCGTATTCGTAAGCTGCTATCATGACAGTCATATGACTGTTCCATAAATAGTAGGCCATTGAGAGAGCGAGTTGTGGGGTGTTGGCTTGTATAACATTTCGCATAACGCCCCATCTCGTCTGCGGGACGACGCGGGCGGGGTCCCAGTTGCTCCACTCCCCAAAGAGAAATAACCCACTTGGGTTGCCAATTCCTAACTGCTTAATAGCACCAGTGTTCAGTTTGAGCTCATCTCGGAGCCAGCGCAATTTAATAAAGAGGAATAGGGCCGGTGCAAGAGGGATAAGAGACAATCTAAAACACGTCAGTAGAGCTGCCAGTCTGTTTATGAGCAACTTAAACTTACATTGTTATGCCGGTGAGCCATCGCCGCAGGCCTATAGCCCGGAACTGGGCACAGGAAAACCGCTCCCGCCAAGGTATGGGGTTGATATGAACCCACCGAAGGTCCCAGATACCGTGTTGAAAATCTGCCTTTTCGACAATGCTCATACCAAACGTCTCTGGATCCGGGTCTTCTAGAAATGATGCTAATGCGTCTCCAGTTGTAATTAATGGCGTATGTTTGTTTCTATTCCCTGTCTGAGCATTGTTGCTATTGTTGCGTTTGAGCAGCCAATAAGTCACCATGAAGCAGACTACTTTAAAGAAGTTTGCTCCTATCGTAACAATAGCGGCCATGGATGCATACTCAAGGGTACAGCGCTCTGGAATCTTTCTGCTGAGGCAATATGCTACTTTGGGGTTTCCGTAGTCCGGAAAGATCCATGTTGTATTTGATTGGAAGAGTTGTCGGTAACACTCGAGATTCTGACGAGACTCAGGTGGGCATAGCCATTCATATGGAAAAGCGCCCATGCCCCCAAACGCACCACCGAAGACCGTAGATGAGTTGATTTCGGGTACTGTTGGTTCCACAACGACGACAACATCAGCTCTACCACGGATATAGTGCTGCGCGTATGCCTTCTTACAGTCAGTTACAGAAAGATTCTCATACGTGTGAATATCGTCTTGGAGGAACTGAACGTTGTCCGGCCACTGTGAGCCAGCACCCTCCTCTGCAAACTGCATGACCACTTTTTGATCCTTGTCGAAAGGTAGCCCACGAACAAATCCTTCAGATACGGTGAGTTGGTTATATTGGTATGCGATTGGTGAAAATATGATAACAGAGTTCCAGCTTGATACATTAGCTCAATCTTCTGGCATGAATCCGGGAATATCTTACACGAGATGGAGCGGTGCAGAACTGATAGCAAGTAAAGCCCAGCAGATGATCCTATCAATGCCGATATGTCGTTGCCATATGTTGCGCCAACTTGATATCCCGATATCAACCCACTGCCGTTTCTTATGCGCTATATCTATGTCATGTCGTGTAGGTGATGCAAGTAACTGCATGCAATAGTTCGATAAACCTATAAACAACTACTCGTCTCTCAGTTGACATGCTTTCATGTATTTCTCGAGAGGAAATGTAGGACGTTAAACTTACAGTGCTTAGGACATTGATAACTCCATGCGCAAGCTTGCTCCCCCAGTCTATTTTATCGCAGGGTCCTTCAAGTAGTTTCCCTAAGCCATTTAATCTCGGCTGGTGCTTTGTCCATGCTATAGCAATGAACACAATATTACAACATAAAACAAGCATTCCGACTATTATAGCCCACACTACACCATATTCCCAACCGGGAAACGTGGCCTCGAACCAGACAACGACTCGAAGCTTGGACCACCAGGCTGTAACGGCTGGCCACACTTTGCGGCAAGCTTTATTTGATGCAGTCCAGACAGTGCAACATTTCCGTGAGAATATTCTCCAACCACGGGCGAAAATACTAATAAGACAGGAATAATGGAAGCAGGAAAATAATGAGGGACTAGATTCTAAAGCATGCGTCAGCATTTATCTGTAGGAAGCAAGGCATGGTGGCTTACGCTGGGGATGTGTTGTTGTTTGATGGCCACCTGGGTGAACACTGACTACATTCTGACTCATGGTAGAATCCATACATGTAATGGCAAACGAATAACTATTCCTCACAGATCTCGTGATATATAAGCTACTGAAGGGGAATGGTGCTCATGCTCGTGAGTATTGATTAAAAGAAAATGTAAAACGTTGAGCTATTGTGTCGTGTCTGTGTATAGACACAGGACTGGTATATATGACCATGAGTCTCCATTCACACAGCCACACTGTAACGGGGCAAAGAAGGCAATTGCTCAGCCTGATAAAAAGGCTGCAAAATGAGGTCGACACTTTTCCTTTGCCTTTTCGCCTCGAGGTTTCGGAGGTCGCCCACTCAGAACTCGTTACGGACGCCATTGGGGCGATGGCCTGACATCCAGTGAAGGCTTCGGCTCCGTTGCTCGGGCTGACCAATAACGAAGGTTTTCTCTTTGCCCACAGCCTCACTGTTCAGCCCCCCAATATTTGAACCGCGAATGAAAGCAATCTCAGCTCCACTCCCAGGCGCTGATGCATAATAAGCCCAAGATTCGCGTGTGGCGTTGGTGGGTTAGAAGTTCATTTAATTGTTCAAATTGTTCAAGAGGCAACCATAGCCACGTAGCTGCGACACACCAGCGCTCTAGATACCTCAAATAGCTGCCTTCTTGGCTTCATCTAGTCGCTTAGTATTTGTTTCCCGAGTATTGGGTCTTCGCAATCTTTCAAGGCGCAAATCAGGCGGTAGCCGTGGTCGGAGGAGAATACGGAGAATCCAGCCACTGGTTAACAGAACGTCACAAAAATGCGCAGCGATCCACAAATTGGTAAGTGAAGTCGTAGATCCGTTAGTTCAATGTAATCACTTACTGACATAATTTAGAAATCCATCGCGACGTTGCTCCTCCTTTGTGTGCGAATGGATCAGTGGTGCCCTCGTCGCACGGTCTGAATTACACACTCTATTGCGACTTGGGTATCACTGGTGACGACCATGGTACTCCTACTGTGCAGAGCTTCCAAGATTGTGTAGATGGCTGCACTAAAAAAAGACCAGCCTGCTTTGCAGCTGTGTGGGATCCGGACGGCGAGCACTGCTATCATCGATACGGAAATTTCATCGCTATTATGCGAAACCTTGTGGGCAGAACGGGTCTCAGATCCGCAGTGGTATCCGCTTCCCAGATGGGAGAGAGACAAAATGTTTCTGATCATCAGTGCCCATATCCAAATCTTTCGAGACAGAAGACGAAGACTGGGATGGAGTTTCAAGTGCTTTGTGGCGCCTATATTCGTCATTATGGTGACCCAGTGATGGTTCACACGCTAACAATGGAGGATTGTATGGAGAGGTGCGCTGAGCACCATCCATTCTGCAACGCCATTAGCTTCAATACCGACATCATTGGATCAGGATGGTTGAACTGTATGATTGAGGTAGGGGCGGACCTAGTTGCAGTTCCGTATACGAGGACGTTGGCGCACTCTGCCATCTTTGTCGAGCATCCGCTAGAGATAGCTAAATGTCGGAACGATTCGGTTGTGAGGAGTCAAGATGGCCGAGTATTCCGAACATCCTGCACCGATTTGCGGAAGCTGGACGATGCAAACATGCCACCTATATCCACTAGCCACGAGATATCTCTCGAGAGATGTCTCAAAACATGTACCAAGGCAAACTCAACATGCATGGCGATCATTTTCGATGATGGCCTTCAACAAGGTTTCCAGAACTGCTACCTGTTCGACGGCGTTCCACCTGTAAACATTCGGGATAATAACGTCACATTCGTATACCATGAGTCGCTCTTTTCTCACTATCAGTCTCCACCTCCAGTACAGAAAGTACCCCAAAGACGGGCTTGGATTGCCAGTGCTGTGGTCAGCCCGATTGTCGGCTTCGCATTATTGTTCGCGCTTATCTGGTATTGTCTCAAGAGGAAGAGGTCGACAAGCGAAAAGAAGTGTAAGAAGCTAAGTTAGCTGTGTATGGAACTTAGGTGGCGTTGGGGGGAGAGGTTCATTTGAGGTGTAGAACTGAATATAGCGTTTCGAGAACAACGGTTAGGCCTGAATATCGACGCATTCCTGTCATCTACAAATGATTTCACATTATTAGGATAGGGGAACGGCAAGGCATCGTATATGAGGTATGTAGGCGCCGGGAATTTTTCCCTCTTATCGCAGATATTCACTGAGAATTAAATAATTATAGTCAAGGCTTTACTGTAACATCAGTACGTATAAAGTTGGAGTATTAGTGTAAATAGCACCCTGAACGACGAATCGGTGCTTCGACTGCAACAGGTTCAAAGTAATCAAGATTATATGGCAACCGCGGTTGTTGCGCTGCCATATGTTTGTAACGACTATCCTCGCTTGATTACTTAACAAGGTTGGCCGCCGAGGTGTTTGGAGACGGCTTCCTTAAACGTGATTACTGAACAAGAGACCAGGGTGGATTACTCAGTGCGTGCCTAACGTTTAGCGCGTCCCGGGTCGCTGGATCGACGCTAACGGTGCGCTATTACGCTGAGTGGCTTTACCGGTCGACTCTGATACTTGGGCCGCGGTGCGTTTCTCAGCCAGATACTGCAAGACGTCAGACTACAATCTCCGCTGGTTGCTTGCTTACATGTTGCTATTTACCCAGGTAGCATGTCTAGTATGAGGTGCAGCATGTCTTATCTCCCGAGAAGGGCTGACTGTTAGTTTCGTTGGCGAAGTTGGAATCTAGTAAAGCAAGCAAATATTCGGCTAGTAGATGAAGCCCGCTGTCAGGATGATGCTTGGCTGTACTAGTACCCGGCGTGCAGCCACACAGATGGGATCTATGTTCCCCGATGGCGCAAGGATTCTAGCTGCATGTAAGACTTCATTACAGCGGCAACAAAGCCACTGCTGCAAGGCTATCTTGGGAGCACAGCATCAGAAGACAATAATCCCTGATTGCACGCTGCGGAGCCGCTTCTATGCTGGGTAACGTAATAGGATGTAGGTCCTGTGCTCGTAAAATATGTGTCGTGGTGGAATTTCCAGAACTGACGGACGGCGATATATCTTCAAAACCCGCGTGTCTAGACGTGACGGCGTATAGACTAGGTGCTTGTTGGCAACTGATCTTGTCCAAAGCGGTGTATCCGCTGATATCAAGTCCGACTTCGACCCCACACTTTCTCAAAGAACAAACACTTTTCTGCTAATCTAGATACCGCTAACGCCTCGAATCCTGCAATGCATGCGCCCTGACTAGGATGTATACCGAACCCAAGGCTCAACCCCAGAACGCGCCATTGACGCAAACGTCCGCCATTCCGCCATAGGTATATTTCGCACCCCCAAATCCAGGTTCCAGCGCAATCTGAGCTGAAACAGGACCGAAATTCGAGGCCATCTGTTTTAGCCCCGTAATATACACCATCTGGCCGGCCACCACTACGATGTGAAAAACTTGGTGACTTGATCCCTGCGGCTATTAGTAACATGCGGTGCACAGCGGTAGGTAGGGTGCGCTTACCCATATATCAAATGTTTCTGGATAACGCTTCTCTGGAAACCTTGTTATGTAAAAAATAACGCCTGTGAGGTAGCATGTTTCCATGCCGATGACATGAGCAAGAGGGAACAGGCCAAGGACGTCGGTGCCGTCAAGTGCGCAAGCGTGGATCATAGGCAAGAAGCCACTTGCGACGAACATGGCGAAGAGAATGGATCTAATAAAGTGAGCATTATGAGCAAATGTAGATTAGAAGCTACTAACCTCCAGAATGCCATCGCTGCCCCATCAGCCTTAGGCGCAAGTAAAATCCCGAACAGAATGAGGGCAAGAACCACAGAAGACGCAATATAGAGCAGCTGCAATTTCGGATGGTGGCGCAGACCGAAATATGTCGAGGCGATGCAACCAGCAGCTGTATTGAGGATTATCCCAAGATAATCTATCTTGAGCCAGCGACCAGCGACATATTGAGAATGTGCAGTCAAGGTGTGGTATCCAGCCTAACGAACATCAGCTATGCTATCATTTAGCCTCGAGGACATGGCGTGAAGCGACTTACAGAGAAGAGTAAACATAGGATACATGAGACGATGTATTGCCAAACGACCATCTGATCCAAGTACCGTTCTTCGTCCCATCGCTTGGAAAAGTGGTAGCATTCTTTCGCCAGTACTAGAGAGTGAATGGTACCCGGTAGTAGATGGGACCAGACGTTGACCCATTCATTGTGGAGATACAGCAGCGAAGAAACACAGCGATAGACGCTATCGAGCTGGCGACGATAGCCTGTCTTGATGTATGGATCGCCTCGCATCCATCGAGGAGCGTCCTTGAGATGAGTCGTAGCCGTTACGGGCTTTCTGATTTTGCAGTCCATAGTTGAAGCGAGAGTTCCGATTGATTCTATCTCCTTGTTTCCTGTAAACATTTTGCAAACATGCTCACTAGCATTACTAAAAAAACGAAGAAAGAACAAAATATCCGAGGTGTAAGTAGAAGGGGGCATGCCCCAATGATGAGGCTAGAGACGCACGTTTTTCATTGTCTTATCTCATCACCCGAGGTATGTATGCAGTACAGGTAAAACGGGTTTGCCACCACCACACGACCTAGATGCAGGTCGTTGAAGCAGACACCATGCATATGCGGGGCGTACGCGCTAAATGTTGGATTACAATAGCGCCCGCGATGCAGGCGCCAGGGATCCACCCCCCCACACCCGACCCATCGCGTGAAAATACTCTGCCCTATACTTTGAAATATGGTTGCAGTGCGGTGTGTCTGCAAATTCTAGCTCCTTTACATCCCAGTTCTTGCGTCGTGCATCATCGGCGTGGCTCGTAATGTCATCCCAGTCGACATGCGAATCGGCCTTGGAGAAGGCGTAGCAGATTCTCCTGCAGTTTACGAACTTCTGGTCCAGCAGAGTCCGTCGGTATATTCTCTCAGGCTTTTCCCATCCGATGAGCTGAGAGCCGAATAGCACGTTGGTGACAAACAAGATAACGATGGGTCCAATAAGACGCCAGAAGAGGCCTTTAGGTAGTGAAAGAAGCATGGACTGGAAGGATTTACGATATGTTCCACGCGCCGGTCCACTATCGCATAGAATCCCGATCACCGGAAGTGCATAACCGAGCTGTTTTTGCAGCACGATAAGCAGCTGCGTGGCTGAGTTGTTACCACCATTCGAGAAGGTGTGGATCATGATATTCGGTTTCACCGAGCTTCCCGTTAGGTCCCCGCAATCAGATAGTACTGCACGGACTACTTCTGCTGCGGGTTTGATGACTTCCCACTGTCTAGGGTAAGGGCTAGCGATGATCCAGACGGTCGATTCGATGAGTAGGATTTTGGCACGCGGTGCAATTTTGCGGTATCCGCCCGCGTACTTTGCAATATGCTTTTTCCCAGCACCAAGCCAAGTACAGAGGATGACGAGTTGGTCGGCTGCAGGGTTTTGGGGTGTGAAGAGTGACATGCGTGGACCGAGAGTGGAAAAGACAGGGTCTGCGTCTGCTGGGGTAGCCATTTTGGCGAAGCCGGGTTGGCGGTAAGTCTTGAAAAATAGAGGAGATTATAGAGAAAGAACCACAGAACATAGTGAGAACAAAAAGAGTGTTTATATACCGCGGTATGCTACGTTTGCCCTTCTGAGTTAGCCTAAAATCCTGCGGTCCGAGCTCCATCCCACGCCTCATCCATCCCACCCCTGCATCCTTTGTCTACTCCTCTCGTGTCGCGGACATGTCCATCAGCTCAGCCGCCCACTTTTTGGCGCCCTCTCTCAAGCGAAACTTCAGGTACGGCCCATCGTGCCCACATGTGATGTGGTCATACAGCTGGAATTCCTGCGGACGATGTCTGCCGTACTTCGCGCCAACATAGCCCCCACCCAACCCTTCCGCCGTTGTATCGGGAGCTTCCATATCCAGGTACCACACCGCCGCCGCGATCGAATCGGCCAACTCGGTGAGCGTAAAGTTCATTCCTGAACAGACACGCGTCCCGAGCGAGAAAGGGTTGAAGTACTTTCTCAAAGCCGCAACCTTCTCAGCCGGGTTCGATTCGGACACCATCCAGCGGTCGGGGTTGAAGGTGTACGAGTCTGAGAAGATTTTTTCGTTGTGGTGGAATGCGTAGAGCGAGCAGCCCACGTCCATTCCTTTGGGAACGTGATTGCCGTCCACCATAAAATTGTCGGAAGTCACCTCCCTCCAAAGGGCAGAACTAACAGGTGGTGACATCCTCATAGACTCGTCCATAACTGCGTAAAGATACTTGCAGGACTTGAGTTTCGCGCCGCCGCGAATATCATTGGGATCATCAAAAGTCGTGCGAATCTCGTGTGCTAACTTCTTGAAGACCTCTGGATTCGAAGCCAAATAGAAGAAAATTCCTGTCATACCCGTCGAGGTAGTGTCCGCACCAGCAATCAGCAGGAACCTGCTCTCGGCAGCGAGCTCCGTCTCAGTAAGACTTCTGCCAGTCTCGGGATCCTTGACGTCGATGACAAACGAGAAGAGGTCCTTCTTCGCGTGCTTCCCCTCCGAGACACGTTCATGCACCATACGGCCCATGAGCTCGAAGAACTTGGTGCGCATCTTCCAGGCGTTGATGTAGAACACCTTGTCCAAATTCCACTTCTGCAGCTGTGGATACTGCACATAGACTCCGGCCCTAGCGACTGCAACATGAATAGCATCGATGATGAAATGGTTTTTATCGCTCGTCTGTAGCCCGAAGGTCTGTCCGAACCCGAATTCGCCCATGATGTCGTATGCCATGTGGCGGCAGTTTTCAGTCATGTTCCAAACTGTAGACCATTTCCCGACGCTCTCGGGGTCCGGGCTCGATAAGAGCCGCTTGACGAACATCTTGGCGTGGTGGAGAATTATGGGCTCGAACTCTCGGATGCGGTGGTCTGCGAAGCCGTGGCCTAAGATGCGGCGCCTGAAGCGAGCATATTCTCTGTCCACAGCCGTAAATGTATTCCACGCGCCAGGAGTGGGAACCATGCTCGTGTAGCCTTTCGACTTTTGGATATCATGTTTTGATTGATAGATGGCTGTTCTATGATTAGTACGTTGTCTTGTCTAGCTGCTTGAATCAGCAGCACTCACTCATCAAAGCTGTTTCGCTCTGAAACATCAATTTATTCGGACCTTGTCGGATCACCGGGCCATATTCTTTGAACCCTTTCTCGGTCTGAATGTGGAGCTCGCCTCTACCATTGTAGTATGCCCCGTAGAAATTGGTGATCTTCGCGAGGAATGGCCCGGGGTATTTCGCCAGTGGATGGAAATAAACGCGATAGATGATGCCCACCACAAGCTGAACAATTTAGCCACGGAGCCACACTTTGCTACAATGGAAACATACATATACGAGCCAGGAGCCGAGCAAGCAAGAGCCCAAGAGTTTCACCTTCTCCAAGCCTTTCATGGTCAGAAAGCTCTCGACGCCCGTAGCAACGACATGCCTAAAGTCGACATTGGCGATCTGTTCGTATTTCGTAGTGACAATGTGATGGCCAAGGGTCTTCACCCTCTCCACGTTGAACACAGTGAGGTTTTCGAAGTTCATAGTGGCAGGGTGATGGCCAATGCTCTTCACTTTCTCCACGTTGAGTGCGGTAAGGTTTTCCGTGATAGTAACGATAGTCTAGAAAAGGGTTTCCCAAAATGATAGTTGCTTTGTTCAACAATATAAAAAATTGCGGGGACTAGATATCCCCCTCAAACTTATGTAAGGCCACCACACTTGAGTTTGCCTAGTTTAGCAGATAAGGAAAGAGTAGATACACAATTCGCATCTGGAACACGACGCAGGATTGGCAGCAACCGGGTCATGCCATGTCAGACTAATACTAACTTTGGCTACTGCGAAGATATCATCTCAATGCCCAAAACAGAGTTCAGCTGGTGCGTGTAGAAACGCCAGCAGGTGGCCTGACGTTGAATGGTATGTTGGTTTAGCCGACCAGGATCCCCGTTTTGAGTGAAGGTACTCCCAGGTTCTCACGGACCTCCCATGTACCCGGATTATATGCAAGATACCTGCACGATAAGGTCACCCCAATATAGAATGATGTTGGTCCAGCCAGCGTGCTGAAGAGCCAGAGCTGACGTTTGGCCTTGGCATGCATATGCGCCTAAGAGTCCGAACACACTTCCCTCGTAGCTGCTTATCGATACCTGCTATGTGAATTATTACCTGCTCTTTCGAGTCGAGTGGGGGTTAAGAAATCATCAATCTACTGATAGGTCTATTCACTTTCGTTGACAGGCGCTTATTAAGATGGGTTGAATGTAATTTCACCTACGTCACGCATATGTAAGCACCCTCCGTATTGGGAACACCATACCTTAGGTCTAGGTCTGCGTAAGATCTGAGTCCTGTAAGTCAGTACTGGGCATACTTTATCTTGCAGCAGAGGGTGGCATCTGTGTCATACGATGCACTAAATGCCGAAGATGGCAACTACGCGAAAGGATTCTGTAGAATAAGCCAAGAAATAACATGGGCTACAGTTTAGAAGCACAGGATGATTAAATTGAAGGTGATTGGTAGATATTGCTCATACGAGAGATGTTTATTTTTCTTGCTAAGTAGTTTGAGGTCGAAAGTGGCCTTGCAGGAATCAGAGAAAAGCGCTTTGCTGTAACAAGCAGGTCCAGAGACGAATTCTAAGCCCCCATTTTGTATCTGATAGAATATGGAAAGTAATTACGAAAAGACTAGTTCCAATTTCATTTCCCTATCTCAGGGTCTGATGAATGCCCACACTGAAGTGTGCAAATTGTGATCTCTCTACCATTCACCGATTTGAGAGAGACATGCCTTGAAATTCACTAAGCTTTTCAAGCTGTCTTTTCGGCTTCAGCGCCAACATTCGCAGCGATCGAAGTATCAGAAGCACTCGATGCACTCGAAGACTCCGCTTTCACCCTTCTGGCATCAACCACCCGAATCTGATCGCCCTTTCTCCAGATCATCAGAATAACGAAGATTTGCAGCGCAGAAAATCCGATCAATATCTTCATCTGCAAGTTGTATGCCTTCGCTAGCGCTATAACAATCTGATGCTGCACATCTGGCGAGAAGTCACGTGCGGATTGCACGGCTTTCAGCATATCAGACGTAGATAGACTGTCGAAAATTGATAAGTGGGTCTTTAGGTAGTTGTTGAACGCGGTGGTTGTGATGGACAGGCCTAAAACTCCGCCCAGTGCGCGGAATTGGAGGAGCGCACCACTGGAGATAGCTATGGATCCAAACACATCAGCGATGTCCCTATTGTTAGAAGATGTGAGAGGAGACTCTTCTTACCAGTATCCCTTTTCTCTACCACAAGCGGAGGCATCAGCAGAGTAATGCCCATTACAGCACCAATTCCCAAACCTGTCAAGACTTGCGCTCCATAGATTGTTGATGGGATCGTCCCGTCTTCGGGGAGAACGCAGAACCACGCTAGACCGCCAACTTGTAGTATAGACCCAACAAGAAGGATCCATACACAAGCAACACCTTTTTTAGCAATGAATCCATTTACCACGAAGCCTGTGAAGGATATGAAGATGTTGAAGGGAATCAGGCGTATTGCAGCGGTTAGCGGAGAAGTCCCGGTTACATCTTGGTATCGTTGCGGAACATTGATGATGAGAATGTTGTAAGGAATACCAGAGAGGAATGAAAATCTACATATGATGTTAACGAGCTGTTCTGTCATCTTCTATACAGTGGTGATACTCACAGCAGCGTTCCCATCCAAGGCCGATTATGCAGGAAACGCCAGGGGAAGATAGGTTCCAGAGTTCGCTCATGTTTGGTAAAGAACCATTCGTTCCCAAGAAAAGCAATCCACATTACTCCCGACACAACGAAGAGTGCAATGGCGGGACCACTGCTCCAAGCTATCGAGAGGCCACCCTCGAGGAGCACGGCAACGATGAGCATTGTTGCGCCGAGGAGTAGGAATGCGCCGGCGACATCAAGGCGAGCAAGTGAATGCCTGGCGATTCGGTCTCGCCATGTTGGGTGTTGATACTTAGGATCACCCTGGAACGGGAAAGAGGCAGGTAATACTATCAGAAGAAGGAGGATTGTCGCAGCTCCGAGAGGGACACTAATTTAGATTAACATGGCAACTTGTATAAGCTTTTGGGGTATTCTTACCAGAATAGAAATGCCCATCTCCACTGTCCATTCTGGCTCGTACCTCCTCCAATCAGAGGTCCAGCGAGCGAGCCCAGCGCTCCAGCAGTCATAAATTGTGCTCCTTGGATGGGACGTTGGTGTTTAGGGACCATCTCATATCCAATAGTCAGAGCAACAGACCAGCACCCAGCAGCACCGATGCCTTGGAAAACGCGACTAATGATCATCTGATTCATGGTCTGCGCGGCGCCGCATGCACCAGAGAATGCGGTGAAGACGAGTACGGTTGCAATGGCTGTGTATTTACGGCCGAAGATATCGCTGAGTTTCGCCCATATTATTATCATGCCTAGGGACCATCTGATTAGAAAACTTCAGCTTTCGAGTGGCAACTGTGACTTACTGGTGTATGTAATGAGATATCCTGTGATGACCCATCCCATCTGATTGATTCCATCGAGGTCTTTCACGACTGATACCAGCGCGGTACCAACGACAGTAACTTCACTGTTCACAAGGAACAAACATAAGCAAGTGCTGTGATCAATTTGGTTAGTGACGATAAGATTTGAATATAGTTGAATATCAAAACGAACCTCAGAGAAACAAGGTGTAGTCTCAATCCACGCAGATAACCTGCGTTATCGAGCTCCAAACCCATGGCTCTCTCAACACCTATGTCTTCGTCTTCCATTCTACCGCTGAAGACATTCGCGTCACTGGCATGTCGGGGAACCGAGACGTGAGGTTTAGGTTCCTGCATGTCTTTTCGTTGAAGAGTTGAGAGTCGATGAATAGCTAACTTCGAGGGGCATGGAAGAGACGTGGAAAGGCCTGGAGAGTGAGCTGTGGCGTGATGAAATCCTGTGTCGTTGCTACATGGGGCATGGGGTCCTACATGAAAGGATAATGGCGTTAAGCCATGTAAGCGCTATGGATTTCATCCTGCGAGCATGGTGCAACGCCTGCCGAGGCACCCTAGGGTTCAGGCTGGTGAAATACTAATCACTAACGCCAATGCTGACAACCATGTTGTGGCGCCTGGGCTTACTGGTACCGGCCCGTCCCTCGCCTTAACCCGATAACCTGGGCGTCGCTTCCGGTCCCGTTTTGGACAATCCTTGTAAGCTAACCTGCAACTGGAACTTTGTAATGTTGTTGCAGGAGCATAGTCAAAATATGCAATGTGGTCAGAACTGAGACATGCATCCTACGTGGGAGGAAATGGATCCCTGTGACAACAGGCATTGGAAGTCGGGCCTTCTTTGTAAAGCGTGCATGACAGGCATAGAACACTCTGTCTCGGTGCTTTTCCAATTTCAACGATGAGGTGATTGATAAAATGCCACATCTTATCTTACTGCGGGCGTCGATTCCTTGCTGTGCGGCGATGCTGTTATCTGTTGGTCGCACAAAGCCTTCCGACGAATCGAGGGGCTGCTAGCTTTGACTTGATGACGGCTGCTGCCTCGATACCAATCAGCACTTGGACAATGCACGAATTAGGCCACCTCGACTTCATTCATGAATATCCGCTGTACCATATGGTTCGAGAAGTCCAGCACGAGAGAACGCCAGAAAGACGGGGGTAGACAACGTGGCGTTGGATTTTCTGACCACCGGCTCAGGAATGTGTCGTATCTCGCGCTCGAGCAGTCCACACGGGAGGATAGTTGAAGAAGGAACCCAAAGAGTTAGGCAGCTAAGACGGTGGTAAAGTTCTAGGCGAACTCGGGGGATGATCCTACAAGTAGAGTTGGCTAGGATAAGCGTAATCGCTGAGACTAACCCTTAGCAGCACCGCTCGGACGCTGGTACTAGTGGAGAAGGAAGTGTGAGCGCCTAGGTCTTTGTTAGACTGAGATCCATCGATAAAAGGCACCTTAAGTGAGTGAAGTCGTCTCTGGACACACTCGAAAGATCAGTAAACTTGGTTTCCTGATCATTGTCATCATATTGAACATCCTTCCCAAAACGTTGTTTATCCAGTTACAGATCACCATGACACTTGACTACACCAGCCATCCGGCTGAGATTGTGGGATCGGGTGAGGTCAAGGGTGTGAAGAAGATGGTCACCGTCGACGACCTCAGACGGGCAATTCCAGCTTACTGCTTCAAGCCTTCTTATATCAAGTCGCTTTTCTTCCTCTTCCGCGACTTGCTCGTTATTAGCGCCTTCGGGACAGCTGCTTGGTTCTATATTCCCGAGATCCAATATACTCCTGCTCGTTATGTTGCTTGGGTCTTTTACGGATACATGCAAGGTCTGGCTTTCACTGGTTTCTGGGTAAGTCTTTTGGTTGATCTTCAAATAAGAAAAGGGGCCTGATAGCTCACAGGTTCTCGGCCATGAGTGTGGTCATGGATCGTTCTCGCCTTCCAAATTGCTCAACAACAGCCTTGGTTGGGTCATTCACTCCTCTTTGATGACCCCATACTTCGCTTGGCAATCGACGCACCGCCGGCATCATATCTACGCCAACAACCTCGCCAAAGACCACAACTATGTCCCGCCTCAAGCTGAACAATATGCTAAGGTTCTTGGGATGAGTACTGAGCAACTCGAATCCCTCGACGAGATGACTGAAGACGCTCCTCTTGCTGCTTTCGGTCGCATTGTTATGCAACAACTCCTTGGCTGGCCCATGTACTTGTTCAATAACATCACCGCATCTGCGGGAAGTTTGTACGGGAAGCAGTCTGAAAAGCTACTTGGCAACTCGCACCTGAACCCCTGGTCTACTCTTTTCAGGCCTGAAGAGGCGCATCTCATGATTGCGTCGGATATTGGTCTTTTCCTTACTGCGAGCGGACTGTACTGGGCGGGCCAGAACTTCGGCGTTGCAAGTATTGCTCTGCTCTATGGCCAGCCATATCTATGGTTGAACCACTGGATTGTCGCAATAACCTACTTGCATCACACCCATCCCAAGTTGCCCAAATATCAGGCCGAGGCTTGGACTTTCATGAAGGGCGCATTGGCGACGGTTGATCGCAATCTAGGCTGGTCTGGAAAGCACATGCTCCACAACATCGCTGATTACCATGTCATTCACCATCTCTTCTCGTAAGCCGTCACCTTTGTCCCTCTTCGATTCGTTTAAGGGTTGTCATTGACAGTTTGGTAGTCGTATCCCGCATTACTACACAAAGGAAGCCACCGAAGCTATCCAGCCTCTGCTTGGCGAACAGTACCATGAAGACCGCGGCAACTTCAACGCTGCCATGTGGGATTCGTTCAACAAGTGCCAGTGGGTGAAAGCTGATGATGTCGAGGACGAGAAGGAGAGGGCGTACTGGTTCAAAGCCGGGCCAATCCCACCTCCCGAGAGTGACATGAAGAAGCGCGCCTGGATCTAAAAGTGCGCTTCCACGATGCGGATTATATGTTTGGGGGTGTTAGGGGGCGGAGGGAGGGGGAGGGATCAGGGTTCACTGATCATTACTGTGGTATCGGGCTCGTAAATTGCCTGTGCATCGAACTGGGGTTCGATTGTGCACGGCGTCCAATCGCTTGACGGCTGTAGCTGCCGGGCTGCTGCTTTAAACGCTATCAATATTTCTTAGTGCTTACGCGGGGTATGTGGGCTCTGGGCGCTCTATGGAGACAGCCCGCTCGTAAACCCTTCTCTCCAACACAGATAACATTTTCGGATCCTAGTACAATTAGTGTCCCGGTTGAATAGTATTTTGGTTAGTAACTACTAACGAATCATGCTGTTGTACATTTCTTTTCGCTTTTTACTAAGTCTTTGGTTAGAAGCCAGCTCTCGTCGCAACTCCATGGAAGCTACTAACTATGACGAATACCAGAGTAAAAGAGGGCTAATATGTTCTTGCTACAAGTCGAATGGAATCAAGCTTCTGAATTGAGGCTGGTGTGAAACCCACATAAGTAGATTTGGCCTTACTTTAACCTCGCTTCCGTCCGCATCCATCCTCTAGAAGGTTGTGTACGTATCAGCTACTCTGTGAGTCGAGGTCTGCTACCCAACCCGTCTTGTCGTCGAAGTTGTGTCGGTCCTCGCCCTGCAAACCAGCTAACCCAACTTCTCGCAAATCCTTGAGCACTTCTACAGCCTTACTAAAACTCTCGTTCGACGCATAACCCTCTTCCGTCAAGATACCCTGTAGTCCTTTCCAGAATTCCTGACTCTTGTTAAAGGACTCAGCCTCGTCGTAATGTTCCTGGATCTCATCTGCTGAGATGTGATATGGACATGGTTTATTCGTACCAAAATGGTCCCATTCGCTGTGCTAATGGTAAGCAAGATCACCATATAAGGAGACAGGTCAACATACTTCTCAACGCGGATTAAACACTCTTCGAAAGGATAGAGACAGTTATCCCAGGTAGCGCCAGAAAAGGCCTCCAACTGCTTGAGAGTTTGACCATGGGGATGTCGCATCACCTTGGACATCAAAGGATTCTTCTCTGCCGTCAATTTTTCGTATTGATGAATCAAGATAGACTGAGACACTTGGTATCTAAGCTGATCCTTTGCAGTCTCGCCGAGTTCTTTGAAGTTATCAGGGAGCTTCATCAACATGTCAATCCCATAATCCAGAAGCAATGGGGGGTTGGCTCCGATAAATACTGGGGTAGTCCAGGCTCCCTGCCAGTCGATTATGCTTGAAATCCGGGCTTGATCGTCGATATAGATATTACCAGCATGGAAGTCTGGGTGCCAAAGTCTAGACGAAACAAGCTCTGCATCTTTAGGAACGATTTCCGGAATCGTCGATAGGTATTTCTGCAACAGATTTATGTGTGCTTCTGGAGAACACTGCTTCGGACTCGTGTATTGCCATGGGGTCTCGGTCGCTTTCTGTGAACTCGCTTGGGCGTTAATCCAGTCGATCTCACGGTGAGCGACAGACTTGAGGTACTCTGCCGAGGATATCCCTAGAACGACTGAGTATGAATATTGAGTTTTATAGGCGTCCCAGAAACTTACATGGACCGTGATATTGCATGTTGCTCCGCTGTTTATCCCAGAACTCTCTTCGAGTGATGGGTCCAATGCAATAGCGTGATTCGATGTGACTGATGGTATCTTCTGGACCAGTTGTAACGATGGCAGGCTCGCATCCCGCGACACCGCTATCTTGAAAATATAATGATCCCAATCTGTTGGTGCGTGTAAGTCATACTGGCCGAAAGCCTTACTTCTAACAAGCTGTAACATACTTTTCAAAGGAGACCGAGAGCAACTTCCTTTCAACATCTATGAACTCACGAATGATATCGCGCTTCGTTCGGAGTGAAAGGTCCTGCCAGACTTCATGCAGTTGGGAGCCTTTTGCTTCTTCCATAATAATATATTCTGCTTGAACAGGATTTTGGTCGGTAGCACTCCAAACAAGAACCTTTGGGACAGGTATATCCAAAACGGTGCGGGCGAACTCCATAGTCGCTACTTCCGATGTTGTGGTAAGTACTTGTGGGCCGGCATTAGGGTGGGGGATTTTTGCTATGACCTTTTTACCATCTTCCATCTCAAGGCTATACGCCTTGTTGTAGTTGCCTTCGCCAATCTTCTTTAATGATATACACTTCTTTGCCCCGACCGCCTGACAGGATGCTTGCTCGAGGCTGGGGATATCAAAACGTCGGTATCGGGCCCCCATTTGCTGACGCTCATTCCATAACCATCGCCCGCTGGTATAGCAGAACATCGGAATCCTATCGGTTCGGGGTTGTATGGGCATTGGATCGCTGCTCTTCAGGGTGTGAAGTAAGCGAGTGCATTTCAACTTTGCGATATTTATAAACACGCCCTGGCTAAATGACATTGCTAAAACCTGCAAGTAAAGGGAGATGTGATGTAGCGGAGACTAAGTTTATGAAATCAATAACAAGCGCAAAACCTTAGACGAGAGGCCGAGCTTTTCGTTGCTAACTTCCAAACCTATTAGGCTTAGCTCGTCTTTTAGCGCCTCACTAAAATAGCCCAGTATGGGGATACTGAGCGACTATGTGAACCTGGGTAAAGGGCTTCTTGTAGAATTCTCCCACGGGTTTTGCAGAGCTCACACCCACTGTCAGCCGATTGAGTTATTTAGCCGAAAGTAGGCTGGTGAAGTATAAATCTGTCAAGATACAATCCCCAGTCTTGTCACTATCCTCGAAACGTTTGCTGGCGCCTTCCGGCACTATGCACCGTGAGGAGATTGGCAATATTGTACCATTTTGGCAGATGATACAGAATGGCATGTTCTGTGTTAGATACCAGGAGAAAGTGGAGGAATTAAAAAGGGTGGAGCGTGTTACACAACTGGCCTGGCGGCTACCCCCCACTTACCTATATGAGATCTCTCTCACTCAACATGTCAATTATGGATTAATGGAGAAGTAAGCTCAGCTATATAGTTCATGGGATAGGCTCTGTATTTAGTCGTTTCGGGCGGATATCTCGACACTGCCACTTCAAGCTAACGTCGGAATTGTCACCATCAACTTTCAACTTCAACATCAGTTCTTAGACTTTGACATTTAATCAATCGCTCGAATCCTTGGTGCGCCTCTGAAAGAGGTGAGAGGATAAGTGGCAATGCAGGAAATGCTCACCAGCATTATATGGACCCTAAAGATCCCCAAAAAAGCCCAGTAAGATATAGCCTCCATGATATAAAGACTCGCTTTCCGGCATTGAAAGATTAGCAATCATACACACCTGCTTTATTCAGAGTAATATATCCATAGCTCGCACGTTAATAGTATAGAAACACTCTCGTTTCGATACTCTCCCTTGGCCTTTCTCCAGCCACGGTCTTCGGATTTCGAAACCCGGCATGTGGAACACCTAGGGGTTCGAGTTAGCTGTATTTCTCTCTAAATCATGGCCATGTTTGACCGGGAATGAAAGCTATTGACTGTTTTGAATCACCTCGGCTCCAGACATTCAAACGTGAAATATTAACTCACCCGTTCCACATCCATCCTTAGTATCTGTTTGCCGAAACAGGATGATCTCACTAGCCAACTGACCGCTCAGATAACAAAACCGCATATCCTCATGGTAGTACACTTGGTAATTCTCCGTAAAGCCTTCTCGTTCTACGACGTCGGTAGCTATACAGTCACGCGACGTAGTTATGGACCGAGAATCGCACACCGAGAGAGGCCAGTCTGTCAGTGGACCGTAGAGAGGTTTCCATATACTGTACATTAGAGACGATTAGTCATCATTATAACCACGAAAGGGCAAGACATTTTCTTTTGCAGAAGGATGGAACAGCCCATCTAACGTACTTCAAAGTTTGTAGTCGCCTGTAAGACGATGCATGGACGTTCAATAATTGCGAACTTGCAGCTCGAGCCGCAGTAGGCGTGAAATCTGCCACGAGTGATTAATCATTAAAATCCTCGAACACACGGAAGGCCCTTGGCTGGGTGAAGTCATACCGATATGAATAATAGATGTAGGTTGCAAGTATTCATAGTCCTTCCCCGTCGAAATCGGGAAGTCTTCATGTCGTTTACGAATCTATACATGCAAATAGAGTTAGCCCAAGTTGCTATATCCTCAATTATACGCTTTATTAGATAAACGCGGGAAGGGAGTCGACCCACACCATGTTCCAAAACCTCCACCTTTCTCGCATCAAATGTTCGTTTCAACAATTCTTTCAACTCAGCATAGTACACGGTCTTCACCTTCTCTCTATCATGAAAATCTTCTGGATTCAATCGCGATTCTAATTTGAGGACTTGAAATCCGTTCCTGTCGAGTGTGTACTTGGTCTCAATGCCACGAATGTCATGGATCAGGACGTTTTTCTGGACCTGGGTCTCGCAGTTCGTTCTTGGGATCGTGCCCCCGGGATCATATCGCAGTCGATAGGGTTTCTCGTGAAGATGCTTATCGTCAGGTTTAAGGAATACGAGATCGGTTAGGACGTCGCCTGTTGCTGGCATGCTTGCTGATTTGGATCGTGAGTTGCACCTTATGAGTCGTTACAGCGAGTTGCAAAGGTCCGTTACTTGTCCGAGTGAGCCGCACGGACAAGAGACTAAAATTGAGGCTAGACCGAAGTACAGACCGGTGAAGGACCCCTCCATAGCGGTGTATTTCGGGCTTTGGAAAGCGGGGTCAAGGAGGAGATCCATGGTGATTGGATAAACAGCACGCTAACGGACATGGGGTGGTATGTACGATCAGACGTATCATCGCATCAGGAAAAGGGCAGATCAAGGGACTTCCAGTTTTCTCATCTAATCTCTTAGTCTGCGAGTCAATGCAAGTACGAGGTAAAATTTCCATGCACGACGACTTTCTGATATGGACTGTAAAGTCTCACGAGAACGAATGTTTCATCAATCCTACTCTATGGTATCCGATCTCCGTTATTCTTCATAGTTCATAACAAGACATGAACCGCAAAATACATTGCGACTGAATTCACGATTCGACCTCCTTAAGATGACGCGATTGCAAGGCTCGTTGCCCGCGGTGTCCGGAAGCTGACTGCGCACTCTTCGCATTACTTATCATCCTTCTCCAGTGACGTCAAATGTGCACCAGATGCGGTCCCTTCCAGCTCAATCTTTTCGCCCTTCTGGAAGCCGTGTTGTTCGCCAACGGTGACAGGCGTACTGGGTGGCCAATGTGCTCTCCAGGGCTGAACCTTAGGCTCAGAGGGTGGGGTGGCCTGATTTTGCTTTTGTTCGGTAGGCATTTTGAGGCTGTACTCTGCAGCAGTGTCGAAGGTTAGTTGTCGTGCTGAAAGTGGCGCGCTGCGAGCAGCCATGAGATAAGAGCGGGATAAGATGCTTACAGATTTCGAACAATAGGATCGGCTCCTTAACGTTAAGCGTATTCGAGAACGTGATAGTGTTTAAGTATAAAATGGGGTGGTTAAGGTTTTCTTGCGATGGTGAGAGCGACCCGAGCTGGAAGTGGGGTGGCAATAGTGCGCCGGTTTATAGCCGCATGCCCAACCTTGGCATAGGAGGCGCAAGATTGTGTGATACAACGACATATAGCCCTCGGTTGTGGCGGGTTATGACGTGATCATCGTTCATAATCAAACTTCAAGACCTTATAGTGTTTGAAGAGGGTAACAGTGAATAAAAGCTCCTTTATGCTATAAAAGATGGGTTGTACGTAAGCTAGTCGCTGTGCAGCTATCTCGACCAGAACACAACCAGTCGGTCGAAATCAGCTTCCCTCACGGGTTGGCTCCCGGTGAGGTCTTGCCCTTTAAGCTCGTGATACCATTTGACACTTTCAGCTAGCTCCTTCTCTGCATCGGCGAACCTCTCCACTTGCTGCAGTACTTTGCTTTTGCAGAACTTCGCACGGGCAGTTTCTGCTTCGAAGGCAGAATCAAAATTATGGTATATCTGAATGGCTTTATCCACAAGATCTCTTTAGGTATATTAGCTTTGTTCAGATATTCCACAATAAAATTCCTTACAATGCTTCTGCTAATCGGCCCTGTCTCATAAAATGTTTCGTGATTCGAACGAACGCATCCGCTGTTCGATGATGCGCACTTCCAAGCGTATTTCGGTAGTGATTTAGGGAGCGTTGATGATATTCTAAGCTGACATCATAATCGTTGAGTGATTCGTGTACGTTGCCGAGAGCATAGAGGAAGCGGCCGGTGCTAGTCTAGTTGTGAGCATGGACACGCACAAAAGCAATGAAAACTCACATGAAAGATTCTTGATCGTTGAATCCAAATTTCCTTTCCCGATCACGAAGACCTCGTGACAGTATGTCGAGCGCATCGGTATACCGCTCTGTAAGCCAATAGACCACTCCAAGGTTTACACCAGGTAGAGAAACCTGCCACCGTTCATAATTGTCTAATTTCTCCATGCTGCTGATAGACTTCTCAAAACACTTCTCCGCATGCTCATAATCATTTTGCAGCATGTAAGCACACCCAAGCTCATTAAATGAGAGAGCCAGGCGCATATCGGTCCCAGGACGTCTGTCTCCTAGCTCTTTCATCATCATTGCGTTGAATTTCAGGAGGTAATTGAGGGATTCGTGCGGTCGATTGATTTCATTTGCCATAACGCCACGATTGTGATGAATCTCGGCGAGAAGGCTCTCGATATCCCGTTCCTTGGGATTATGTGATTGGAGATGATCCGCAGTTAGGGGATAGAAATTTTTGAGCTCCTCACAGAGACGCTGAGCTATGCCGCTAAATACATCAGACTCCAAGGTTCTTCCACGTTCGTGGCAATACCTATACTGTTAGTAGGTCTAGTAAAAGTACAATAAACGTTGGAGGCTTACCATCCGCAGTCACACCATAGTCGGGCGTATAGAAACGCCCCGTACAAGTGGTATTCATTGGTATCTATGTTTGAGGAAAGGCGACGCAAGCGAATGATATGTGGGAACAGCTTCGTTTTATTAGCGTTTTTAAACCAGAACTTCATTATTCTCGGACTGTTACCTCTTCACATTTGGGCCACCTTGAGATACCGTGTCTCCACGTAAATGTATGAAAGGGCCTAATATCAGAGTAAGGAGCTGGTCATTAGACACCTTATAGAAGTCTGCTTACCACTTTGCAGAGAGAAGAAGAACACAAGTATTAAAAACATCTCTCGCGTGTAAGGGTCTCATTTGCTTCCTCACTGCATCCTGTACGATTCGGTGAATGAAAATAGTCGTTGACGTGCGGCTCCGGGTTACTAAGCTATATTTCAGCAGCTCTTGCAGCGCTTTGCGCAAACCCAGTTGAGTCGTCGGATATCCGCGTATGAATACGTGAGGAGAATCAGTCAGTAGGATTTGCTCCGGTATGTTATCTGGATCTAGCATGGAGAGGACATCCAGTAACGGTCTTGAGTGCTTAAGACTTTCAAAGGCGGCTTCTAGAAATGAGTGCTCCTCAGCGACCACGAATCTAGCCAACTCTCCCTTCATCTTCTTTTGGAGCTTTTTATTCTCGCGGGTATGGTTTTGTGCTAGAAATTCGCTGAAACTTAGATCCTCTCCCATAATCCATTTTGTCAAGTGCCTCAATGCGTATGGCACACCTTTGACCTTCGAGCTAATAAGACTCGCGCATTGTTGTTCTTCTGGGGAAACACTTGTTCCGAGGAGGTTACACATGAATTCGGCTCCTTCTTGGGGTGTGAATCGTTCGAGCGTCTTGGAAGGGTATTGTTCAGGAGGCCACGGCATCGACCTCCGGCTTGTAATCAGGATCGAACCACATTCTCGTTCAGCCGGCCAGAATTGATTGAGAACAGCTGGCTCGATGACATGGTCAAGAACGAGCAGCCAATTTGCCCTGTCGAAGCCCGATCCCGGTTTGAAGGACTTGGCGGGATTTCCGAGCCAACGCTTGAAAAGGTCTCTCGTCAGAGCTTGATCGCCCGAGTCGGCTGATGTTTCGTCCACCAAGCCTAGCTGAACCGTGATTCGATTCACGTCCTCAATCATTTTCGAGGCTTCATCGGCGTGAACCCAAAACACCGCGTCGAAATCTTGCATGTGCCGATGCACGAATTCCACAGCTACTTGTGTCTTGCCGATTCCTGCTGGCCCATAAAGGCTGCATGTCTTCAGCACAGTTGTTTGTTGGCTTATACCTTCATCAGCTGCATGTCCAGAGCATAGCTGAGTTTCAATAAACTGAAGAGCGTCTTCTCGACTAAAGAAGTCTGTGTTTCGACCCAGTGGCATATAGTTACAGGGCAGCGTTGGCTCTCTATTGGTACTCCCGGCAAACGCCATCTCAACATGGTATTTTCGCACAAACGATGACAGAACATCATCAAACTCTTGGCCTTCGTATGGAGCACCTATGATAAAATCCCATTCTCCTTGATTGCGCTCGGGGGGTTCTTCATCATGGTCGTTGAAAGTGAGCTCTTCAAATTGTGCTGCGAGGTCTCCATGGCTATCGGCACGCGGGGTACCACGCACTTCTACCTTCTCACTACTGGTGGTTTCTGTTGCAAAAGAAATAGGTTTATCGCTCGCAACATCGTCATCGGTATCATCCAGCCAAGGGAGGGAGTAAGATGCAATCATCATGAGATGTGATGCAATGTGCTTCTGCATCTGTAGAGCTAGGGTAGATGCAGGAGGCATTTCGGTCTCTCCGCGGCTGGTATATGTGATTCCTTCGTTATATGCTTGGCTGAGGTCTCCTATGGAAATGTGGCACAATGGGCATGATTTGAGAGGGGTTGGATCCGGAAGTCCACGTTGTCGCTTCAACAAATCAATTTGAGCGTCATTAAATGATGCTCCTTGGGAGTGTTGTTCTCTGAGATGTGCTGCGTACTCGTTTCCACAGGTAAAGACCATCGTACTGCGGCCTCTCGGGTGACCAGGTAGGCGACACGACCATCGCATTGCATGAGACCGCAGATGAGTCATCCACGTACTTTGGTCTCGAAATCTGGTATCTGATTGCGAACAGTTTTCGAAAACACACACATACGGCTCCAGATCCTTCATCAGATGTCGTCTAATTTGTAGTTAGCCGGTGGATCAGGATGTCTACCAACAAGAATGGCCTAGTGACTAGCTACAGATGGTCCGTTGTGGTCACTAAATCAAATATAGGACGTTCGACATACCTCCATGCACCTTTACCGAGGATACTTGTCGGAACAAGTTGACAACAGTACGGGCACTCGAACTGAGTTCGAGTTTTTGGGACTCTTGGTGGAGGTGGTAAGCGAGAATGGTCGACAATGCTGGCTACTGAAGTCCCGCCAATAGAGCTAGCTGCCTTGGAAGAGGCGTCCGGCTTAAATTGAGATTCAACAAAGCTGGTCGCCTTTGCAATTGACGACTGAGCCTGACTGTCAGAGTGCTTTTGTGGTGTCGAGGACTCCGGAACAAGCTGGCTTGCTTTAGATTTCGTTTCTGGTAACGCTGAAAAGGTTTCCTGTGTTTGTCGTTGAGACATTGACGGACGTCGTTTCGGGGAGCTATGTCTTCTCCCATTCAATATGTCTTGATGCTTCCTCCGATAGAGAAACAGTCTCCTTCGAGAAGCATTGGCCTTGCTCAGCCGGTGATGCAAATACTCGGCTGCACCAGGGCAGCGCTGTTGGACAATCTGCAAACTGTATTTTTCAAAAGACTCAATTTCATTATTCCCAAATTCATCCGTGGGGTTGAAATGGTTCGCTTTGGAGGCTTGGGAAGCAATCCCCGGGTGCCTAATCGCCTTGGCAAGGCGATGTAACCGATCAATTGCACCACGTATGCTAATAAGGCATTCATCTTCAGTTGGAACATCGGGTTCTTCCGAGGATCCTGTTTCTGATTCGGAGGTCCCTAGATACTCAGAGAAAGTGGAAGGAATGTGTGAACGTTCAACTGCTCGCAATGAATGCGAACCTTGTACACCTTGTTTTGTTAGATTTAGTCAAACATATGAGAAAAGTGTGGCATACCGGGTAGTAGGAGTTCTGCAAGTCGCAGTTCAGCTGTTCGAAGAATCTCAAGCTGAGATATCACAAGTGATCGCACTTTCTCGCTTTCTCTTAGTCGATAGTCCAAAGAAGAGTGATGCTTTGCGAAGGTTCCGATGTGAGCTGCCCACAGCCTAAAGCGGGCTCTTTCTTCTTCGACCGCTTCGGCCAACTCAGCCCTGTCAGCCTGCTGCCGCAATGGATCGGAATCCAATAAAGCCGTAAACTCGTAGTTGCAGGACTCCGCAACGCTAGCGATCGTACTTTTTTCCATACTTCGGAGGAGCGAGTGTGATTGAAGTATTGAAAGGACTCTTGAGGGGAAGGGGAGGAGGAGCAACAGCAAACGGGAACGAGAATATCACCAGCAAGGCTGAGCCATGAAGCCAAACCTTATCTACGCAGTCATGTCCAAATGAGGGGTTCATGCATGGATGAAGCGACGAATGGGCGAGAAGGTTGGTCAGAAGGCAACGGGGCAACGAATCGACCGGTGAGCGCCCACCACAAGCCTCTCTAAGCCTCCTTACGAGTGAGCTTGATGAACAGTCTGGTTCCCCGCCAACCCACTGAAGCCTGCACCTACCTTTTTCTTCCCCTCTTGTAACCAAGGTCGGAATTTCCTTAGCCATGAGTGGAGTCGAGATAGCTGGGCTAGCACTAGCTGTATTACCTATTTTGATTGCTGCCGCTGAGCACGCGAAGTCAAGACGACTGGAGCCAAGACGAGCAGAGTTTATGGAGAACCTGGCCTTTGAGATCACTCTTCTACATATGAGCTTGACGAGACTTGCGAAAGGCCTGTCAGAGCTCTCTGACGAGCTGCGAGAAAAGCTATCGTCGCCGCAGGCCTCACAGGACTTGGAGGAAAGCTGGAAGTCGACCGAGGTAGTGCATGCGCTCAAGAAGCGCCTGGGTTCAGGACACGAGACTTTTGTTGTCACAGTCGGGGCAATTTTGGCGTGTCTTGAGAAGTTACTCGAGAAGAAGTCGTTGGGCTTGTCCAACGAAGAAACGGTACGCCATCTGTGTAGCCTCAAGCTGGCCGATCCTGACGTCATCATAGACATTCGCAGAACAGACGTACGCGAAACTTGACGCGATCCGCCACAGAACCTCATCAACACCTATCAACGCTTTGAGCCATCGGGTGCGATTCGCCATCCACGAAGCGAAAAAGTACGGTCAGATTCTGACCAAGATCAAAGAAAACAATGAACGCCTGGAGAAAATCGTCCTGTGGGCAGCAGACACAGTGTTTGCAACGCCGGAACTACCTAAGAATAGCCGACCCGTTGGCAGTCCTCATATTCAGCTGCGTCCTCTGATGCATACTCTGCATGCAGCTCTTGGAGGGCTGTGGCCGTGCGATTGCCCTGGAAAGCATGAAGCTCGTCTTTGTCTGCTACAACACCGAGACCAGCGCCGAGACTCCATGACCACTGATACCGGAGAGGGGGACAATGTGTACTTCAATATGCTTATGTCACTCCGTAGTGCAGAAAACGAACCATATTGTCGCTGGCTCGAAAGTCAACTATGTATCGCTCTGCAAGAGTAAGTCAGCTAATGTGACTTTTCTCAGCGCATGTACTAATCTTGTTGCTAGGGACATAGCACCGCAACCAACAAGAGGCGTTCGTTTCGAATTAGACACGACTTCATCTCCAATTGCCTCTGGAGGTGGCATTGAGATGATCACAATCTCGACTGGGAATACCGAGGCTGCGCTTCCACGACGACGACGAGCATCCACGGCAACTAGAAGGAAAATTGAAAAACTCTGCCATACACTACTGCAGGCCGAGCGCAACCTGTGCTCCCCACAAATCCTGTTCGATGGGGGTTGTCTGTGGCATGTAACTAGTAAGCAGACATCGCGCAGGTCTTCGCGGACACTGAGTGTCCAGGGCAGCGAAGTAGACACTTCCCTTGCATCACTCCTACGAGGCGAAAGGAAGTTCAGGCCAAAGGAGAAGCGTATATTATCCGTCATACTCGCCAACTCCCTACTCCACTTTTGCGAGAGCCCTTGGCTGAGCAAAGAGTGGAGCAAAGAGCACATCTCGTTCTTCTCAACTGCAGAAAAGGGAGGCTTGGACATTCATCGACCCTATTTGTCGACTAACTTCCAGGCCATGGTCGCCGAGGTTGAGCCTGATACCTTCTACCGGATACATGCAAACCCTAGTGTCCTAGCGCTAGGAATCCTCCTCCTAGAGATCGAGCTAGATTCACCAATCGAACGTGAACGCGGAGTCCAGGACCTCGATGAGCACGGAAAGCCCAACGTCAACACTGATTACTTCGCGGCGCTCAGGTTATTCGAAGGCATAGCTGACGATATCTATCAAAACCATCGGCAGGCAGTCTCCGCGTGTTTAAATTGCGACTTCTATGATGAGGAGACTATGGAACCAAGCTTGGACAATCCCGAATTTCGGCAAGCAGTCTACAATAATATCGTGAGACCACTGGAACAGGAACTTTACAGTGCCTACGACCTCACGCCAGATGACTTGGGCCTCAACCTGGTGTAGGCTACTGGTACGATATCAGCCTCGAATCTCCATCACCATGAACGATACTCCTCTTCCCGCATAAAGATTCCCTCTTCATGTTACATACTCTACTGCGGCTGAAGCACACCAGATAGAGCACCTACCTCCACACCCGCCTCTATTAAATTCGCTTCCATGGGCCCATAGTACCCCATACTTTAGCAACTCGCATTAGATACCCATTTCCTACCGCTTGGAGTAATTTGGGATGATATTTGGGACGAAAGGTGTCTTGAACAGCATTCTTAAAAGACGACTATTATCTTATGTTTACTGTATTGTTACTGAGGTTTAATATATGTACCTCTACGTGTAGTCCTAACGATGATTTATTTTGCACATTATAGGCATACCAATTGTATATGGACGTAACTTCCCCTCGGTATCTTAGTCATTGGCCCAAACATGGCCAACGATGCTCCACGTCTACTACTAATTCTCTCATGGCTACTACCTGCTCAACGAGCCACCTTTTCTATTAAGAAAAAAATATAAAGGTAACTTCCAAGATACAATTAATCCAGATCCATCGACACCGAACGCGTGTTCTGCGCTTAAGTTCACCTCCTACCGAAGTATCGCTGAATCTTGATCTTTCTCATTAAGCTTGAGAAATTCATCCTTTCCCCACTCGTCCCTCTCGTCTTCAGTGAGATGTAACAAGTGAGGAGAGAGAATCTCTACACAGTGATATCCACTTCGAACGGAGAGGGTTAGACGCAAGCAGCGCCACATTAGGTGCGAGTTTACGCTACTGTTTTTAAGGTAGATACTAGCCAGTGCGATAATGATAAAAGGGCGTGCATTCCGGCTACGAAACGCTTCCTTGCTGAGATACGGGCCCGATCCCAAGAATCCGTTCAGGTAAAAGATGAGTTCGACAAGGTCGCTTTCATTGTTTTCCTCATAGTCACCATGAGCACTGAGTTTCATGCTGCCGTCCCCTAATGCTCTCTCGACCATCTGCAGCTGCAGCATTCGACTGAGGCGGTCGAAGTACTTCTCGAGGACAGGCATGCCCGCTATTTGCTTCCCGCTTAGCGTTTGCAGGGACGCTGCTCTCCATCTTTTGACATCTTTCTTTGTCACTTTGATGTCCGGCTTCGCATTCATAGTGTCCGCCTCAGACTCTGAGTCGTCTTGCGATGACTCATACTCGCTCTCGTCGCTGGGGTTGAAGTCTGAATCATCAGATTCTTCGCCACTTTCGAGGCCTAAGCCCACGCCCTCTTGATCGCTTCCAGAATCGGTCGAATAATTGCTAGATTCGGAAGAAGCACTATGTGAGCGAGGAGAACTTTGGCTCATTACTCCATGCTCTTTTGCCTTTTCTGGCTCGTTTTGGCTTTGAGATATTTGCTTGTGGCCTTGAAATAGACCTGAGTCGCTACGACCGTCGCGGGTGTTCTCATTCATTTTACTCTCCTTGCAGGATTGGGTAAGCTTGGGGGTGTTTGATATGCCGTCTGGCTTCTTAGATGTCAAAGGATAGTTATGTCCAAAAAGGCGAAATGAGGGTGCGCCCGAGAAATCGCTGTGTGGAGTTAATGAGGGGGAAGTCGAGCTCTCCGCATATGGAGCATTAAATGGATTCCTCGAAAAAGCCTTTCCTCGTGATTTGAGAGCTCGTAGACGAGCGAGTGAGCGCCGCTGTAGGCACGTGGAGGGTGCGTTGTGTGCTGTTGGGGAATCTCTCTTGTTGGTAATTGGATTGTTAAAATCAACGACGGTTGGAGTGTTGATCTCTGGACTGCTGAACAGAGGAGGGTCAAAGTGTATTTTCGGGACTGACTCATTTCTGGGAGCACTTTGTGGTAGGTGTCTTGAGGCTTGAAACACCCACGCCTGGACTTTTGGCTTGAGCAGTCGTGAAGCCCATATATGCATATGCGCGACGATTTCACGGAGGGCCGTAACTCCCCAGGTTAGTTGAACAGTGGTTGACCAGATACAGACCATTCGCTACAGCGCTTTAGCTTCAATGCGGTATTGTTATTGAAAGCGACTTACCCGCTGCATCGGAATAAAGAGTACCGGATTAGTTCGATACATAAGCCAGACCTTGACGAGCGGCCCAATGCATGTAAACGCGATAACAGGTGGTAGTTCCGAGAAGCGAAGATCACTGTCCTTTTCGAAAAGCTGTGCTTGAAACTCGAGTGCCGCGGCTGCAGCATTTGCTGCCTGGCAGTAACATCTCTCCACAGATGCTTCAGAAACATCAGCTTGTTTCTTCATCTCAATGACCGCCCACGGAAAGCAAGAAAGATCCGAAGTATCTAATTTTGTTCCCTCGGGAGAGTGTGACCACCGACGCAATCCAGTTGTTGGTGCACAAAGTACTCCGTTTCTGTTTAGTCTACTAAGGGATTCGAGGGAGAAGCATTGCATGAACTCATCTCTCTCGAAGCCCCTCAGACTCGTTATGGCGGGACTCAAAATGGGAAATGAGTACGTCAGGTCAGGCTTCGGTTGAGTCCGACCTTTTACTTGTGAAAGCTGGGGTTCCAGACTTGGGAATTCAGTCCACAGCATGTCTTCTTCCCTAAGTGTTTAAGCTTAGCTTCGCCGATAATTGCGCGTATTTGACTTACAGCGACCAAGTGTCCAACATAGGGCTTTCAAAGGTCAGCATCGCCTTCTAGAAACAACCTCCTCAATCCCACCAATAGCGAATTTGTCCTCAAGACAGGCGAGGAACGTGCGCAAGTTTGAACTTCAACTCACCTAAATCCCGGCTGTTTGCAAGCTTCGTCACTGAAATTCCTGAAGAGTTTGCTTCTCCAGAACAATTTCCATCCACTTTCCGCATCTGCAAGCATTTGCCGCGCGGTTTCCGCTAGTTTTTCATCGTCTTTGAGAGCGTTGTGGGCTGGGGCCCATGAGAAATCGGAACTTCGAAGGCCAAACTCATATGCTTTCTTAGGAATGATCGCAGAGCCCGGTGGTTGGAGATTCCAGGATGGGCCAATTCCTTCCGACCCGTGTTCCACGAACTCATCGAGTAGATGACGTTCCCAGTTGTGTGGTACCAAGCCTTCGAAAGTCAAAAGCGCTTCTCGGACTGCTTCGACATGATCTGGAAGTATAACAGCGTCAGGCCGTTGTGTCAGTGTCAGCTCGTCACGACCTCGATAGACCTCCTCGTCATAGTGAATGTCGTGCAGTCGAAGGGTTTCCCGAGTGATATCCTTTTTTTCTTTGTTTTTGGTCATGTTGAGAAGGTCTCACGGCGGTAATGTAGAGGGGCTCTGCTCGGGCATTAGGCAAGTTATTAGCTGATGATGCTATAGGCGAGCATGGCTCGTGCTGCGGCACAGTGCAGCAATAGTTACAGATCTATCTCAATTAGTATCGATAATGCATTTTGTGGTTAGCATGAAGTAGATCCAGACCTGCTTTAGCTATAGCCCAGTCTGTATATATTGGATATGCACATTAGCTCAGGGCTAGCTCTAGCATCGTCGGGAGAGCCGGAATTAAGCTGGTAGTTAGTGGGATCCCTCAAATAACTCCATAGTTGCATTAGAAGAATTTATAGAAAGCATATTATCTCCAGAGACCTGATAAACTGTGGTTTTATACTAATTTCTCTTACTACATTATATAATCTGCTCTAGCGTTGACTTTACTTTCAAACAAAGAAATAGAAAGCATAAGCAGAGCTTGCTGCTATATAAATAGTTTCAGAAGCCGACATATTGTTGTTGATGTGCGGAGCTTTACATCTGTGTTCCAACGAAGCCAAAGGCTGGATCCTAAATACAAAGCCATATACAGGGATGCTCAACGAACAGAAGGAGCCAGATACCGTGCCCGTTGCTATGCTAAGGAGCGTATATTCTGATGGAGCGAGTCACAGCCCAGATACAGGACCATACATCTTTCTTGAACAAGAGGTGTAACGAGCACAAACATAGGCGCTGAGAGCTTTACGCAGCAGTTCAGGAATCTTTCAAATACACTAGATATCCAAGGAAGCAGAGAATACATGTTAGACTACTTCATTGAACAGTAAACTAGACGAAGTTGAGTTTGTTGCCATAATACTCCAGTATCTCCATTTTCCACGTGTACCTCCAGGGATATGTAGATTACATGTTCCATCTCATTTCGCCGGATTAACGCCTGCTGGTCGTCCGATGGTGGCTTCCCAACATTGTCATAACGTTACAAAACTCCTAGTAGCTGCCTCAAGGCACGCTCAATGAGTGACTAGCTTCGCCAAAAGCTCCAAGTATCCAGAAAAAAAGAAGGAAATTTCAGATCCGTGCGCCATAACGGCCAGTGAATGCAGTCGGACGCAGCAATTAGATAGGAAGCTTGTCCTGTGGTAAGCGCTTGAGAGCAGCCTCGACATCCTTGTGGTCAACGACCACACCGCTCTCGGAGCAACGAGCTTTAGCGCGGAGTTCGGAACATAAATTGTCGATATCGATCGTGCCGTCCTTGAAGTCGGGGCGACTGGAAAGCTTGTCCCTGGATGATATTAGCATGTCAGGTAAAGCGGAAGTAAGCAGTGGTACTGACCAGATTTTGTGGCAGTTGAGCATCGAATTGATATCTTCACCCGGAACAACCTCGTCCTCTCCATCCTGAATGCGCTCAATCTCCTCGAGAGGGTTCGGCTTCTGAACAGCAGGCGTATCGCCAAAGTGGAAGGGACTTCCATAGCCAGCATTGAGGAAGGCATCATTGAAGAAGCCACCGGTGAAGTCCCCGTCGCCAACAATGGCATTCTGAGTATCACGGTATTCCCCGAAAAGAGTCGGGTCAAATTGACCACCGTTTTGGTTCGCAAGGTAATCGATGCCGTTGAGTGCGGGGGCGGGGGTGGGTGAGGTTGTGAGGTTGATGACTGCAGGAGGTTTGTCGTCAGACTTGGACATGGCACGAGGGACAGGGTTACGAGGGTTGCCGCAGGCCATGTTGAGCTTTTCGCAGAAGGTAACCTCACCTTCTGAGTTGCCAGTACAAATATATCCATCGGCAATTGTATCCCTCAGCTGGCCAGGCGAAGTATGGCTCGGCTCTGGCGATGTGCTACACGACGAATCTTGGGCGTTTGGCGATGTTGAGGACGAAGCCGACTCTGAATGTGTCGAGGAACCGCTGTTAAACTGAAACACGCGTGACTGTGCTGTAGATGCGGAATCAGTACTGCCGCGGCTTACGTTGTTTGTCGCCGTGCTGTTAGGGCTAAAGAAGCCGTTTAAGCTAGCAGAACGTTGTGCTCCATTCAACGTAGGGCTAGTGCCCGTATTGCTTGGTGAGGCGGTGATGGAGCTGTTGGCTTGGTTTACGGGACTGATAGCTCCTCCCGTGCTGTTCTGTCGGCCTGACACACTTGGAGATCTGGTCGCCGTCTTATTTTTTGCAGCCACACCATTGTCAAGGAATTGCGCGCCCGGAAGTCCACCGAACCGCGGGAAATCGAATGAAAAGTTGCTGCTATTATTGTTAAGCAGTGAACTGAAGCCTGCCGCAGGAGGTGGAGCGCGGTTCAGTCCAGTGCTGTTAAGGGACAGCCGCTTTCGATACTCGCGGAGCTCCATCTGCAGGCGCTGCACCTGCGCTCGGAGGAGGCCGTTCTCGTGGTTCGTGGCATCGGAAGCCTTTTCGAGTTCCTGAACTTTCGTCTCTAGGTCTTTGAGGTGCTTCTCCTTTCGCTCTCGGAACGCTCGCTGTGCGGCCCGGTTCTGTGCTTTGCGCTTCTAATCGTATTGTTAGTTCCAGAGCTGTGCACGTTGTAGTCAGACATACGGTAGTGGGCTCTGATGTCAAGGGCTTTCGCCCAGGCTTCTTAGCCTGCTTATCGTCACCTTCTCGAGTGCGTTTACCGCCGCCCTCATCTTCATCCTCATCCTCATCATCCGGGCTTTTCCGTTTCTCGTTTCCATCTGGACTGTCTCCAGGAAGAGCGCCGATCATGATGTCACCGTTGTCCGCATTATCAAAGTCGAAGCTGTTGTCGCCGTCGATATAATCAACAAACGGACTCTCTTCCATACCAAGGTTGTCGAAGCCGTTGGCGGGAGTGCTCTGCTGCGGTGAGGTAAAATACGTGGGGTCGAGGCTATTGGCGGGATACGGGAATTGTGAATTGCTCAACGAGCCCTTGGTGGCATTGTCAATGCCTGACGAGAAGATGTCGCTGGGATTCTGGTTATTCGAGGCAAGCGCAGCGAGAAGGAGGTCTTGTTGGGTCGCGTCGAGGTAGAAGGGCGCGCCGTTCTGGAAGTCGTTGGTGGTTCCAGCCATGGCGGAGATTGGTGCGGGGTCTAGAGGTCAACTGTAGATAGTGCAGGATAGTGCAGCACGCGACTTGCAGACCAAGCTGATTGTGTGTATATAGGCGATCACTGGTGTCTGGTGTGGGTTCGAGTCGACTGGACTCTGGCGGAGTTGGGACTGAGGACAGAACTGGAGGGTGCAGCTATCAAGCTAGCACTCGCGATAACCGTTTCGCCACCCGCGGTAGACTGCCTGAGGAGGGGTGGTCGCGTCTGGGACTCGAAGAGGGTTGTATAGATGACGCAAGGTGGCTCAAGGCCAGCAATCACTAGTGGCCTGCGCAGCGGGCGGATTATGGCGGAGGCGGGCGAACTGAAAGGGCCTGTAGTGGGTGGCCTTGCAAAGTCGAGAGGGCTCTGCGGGCGCAGCAGACTCAATGACGGCCGCGGAGTAAGAGGGGGGTTATATGTAGTCCAGAGAGTGACTACACTGTAGTCGCAGATTGTGAGGGGTGGAGGTGGTGGAGGAGGGACGGTGCAACTTGGTAGCCTGGTGGCCTGGCCCCGATGTGGTGATGCTAGTACGTTTGGTACGGGCGACAGTCGGAGCGCACGAGGCCGCGCGAGCTTGTCGAAAAGCGGCGAACAGCGGGTGCAATGCAGTTTCAACGTCACTAGTAGGACTACGGCTAGGCTTGTGACTCGTCTCTTCAAAGGGCAGAGGCGAAAAGGGCGCAGCGAGAGGACGGGGAGCTGCACCCACTCGCTTATCAATCAAAGCCAGGCGTGGTGGGGTAGAACGCCATCGAAGACACCTAGAGCCAGATCGACGGCCCTGTTCCTGGCAGGGTAGAGATTGCGCATATAGATATTTTCGCGTCTGGTGGATGACTGACGAGAGAGTTTACTGTCAGCATGCTGATCTCTGCAGTGAATCGGGTTGTTCATGATTGATGGTGGAATAGGTACAGGCCGCGTGGAGGATTCTCTCCCCGCAGGCTATCGGATCGCTCGCATTGAACAGCAGGATGGAAGCTTTAGGGCTTTCATTGGACAGCAGATGACAGGTTCCATCACTTGATCTCGAACACGTCGATGAGATGAGACGTTGCAAGTCACATTTGACGTTTCCTACACGCCCAGGAGTGGACGACAGTAGCACCGGTAGGGCTGAACGATGGCTGCTAGGGTCTCTGGCCTTGGCGCCAAGGCTCGCGGCTGCCTGCCGAGCGTCACTGCCCATCGCGACTTCCTCAACTGCGACAGTTGTGTTTTCCTCCCAAGGCTACCCCACCACGCCAACCCTCACCAGCCAGTTGCAACCAGCGAGAGGCAACATGGCGGACCAGCTCAAGCACACGAAGAACAAGATTGGGGAGCTGAAGCGTAGCCTTCAGCATGAAGAGGCTCAGCGCGATGAGTGGGCCAGCACAGTAAGTTGCCAATGTAGCGTGATTGGCGAGGGCGAGTCTAACAGCCCCTCCAGATTCCCGCCATGGAAACGGAGATTGCGGGCTTGAAGCCTGGCCCCGAGCAGGACGAATGGAAGAACATGAAATCAGACGCCGAACGCTCCGTCGCCGCCTTCAGCGCAACGATTGCGAAGCTCCAGGAGCAGCTTGCCGCACTCGAGTCTGACCTTCCTCAAGCACCAGAACCTGCAGTGCCCAAGTTCGATCCCGAGAAGCACCCTCTGCTTCGAAAGACGGTTGAGAAGCAGGAGCCCGAGAAAACCGTCGTCTTCAGCACCGGCGACATGTGTGAGGCGCAATGGACCGACAAGTCTTGGTACAAGGCCAAAATTCAGAGTATTCTCGGGTCTGTTTCAGCGCCCAAGTACCTGGTACGCTTCATTGAGTACGACGACACCTTGACCGTCGACCGCAGTGCCGTGCGTCCCCTACCAAGCAAACGCAAGCGAGAGTCGGAGCCCGCTGGTGCGCCTCAGCCAACTGCGCCTGTCACTTCCACTCCGCACGTCATTTCTGGACCCGCTAGCATCAATTCCAATGCGCAGGCTGCCAAAAACAACGCCACCGAGGACGCGGAGCCGAAGCAGCCTAGCAGAGTTCCCACGAAGAGCGTCCTAAAGAAGAGGGCCACCAACTGGAACGACTTTCAGGCGAAGACTAGCAAGAAGATGCCCAAGAAGGAGTCCATGTTCCGTACCAGTACCGAGTTTGGTAGCAGAGGTAAGAGCGTCCACTGTAATTATACTCTTGACAAGCAATACTAACTATAACGCAGTTGGCTTCACCGGGTCCGGCAAGGGCATGACCGAGACGCACAAACGCACACGCTATGACCATAAGGCAGACACTGTAAACGACGACGAGTACAACGAGACTGCCCCTACGAGCCGCAAACGCTTCTGAACGGCGTACAGCGAGTCACATAATCATCTTGTGGTAAGTGATCATAGAATTGAAGACGTTTTGGATATCGTAGTACTTGGCTTACGTTGCCCCTGGGCCAACTTCAGACATAGGCAGATGTTCTGGCGCTTTGGCTTAGTAGTCATCTACATCCTACGCGATCACGCAAAGCTTGTTGGCTTCGCACGAGATGGGTCACATGCTGACTTATGCAGGCCTGTCATTGTGTATACTGGGTCAGCCTTCACGACTGTAAACATTGGGCACGCACACAACCACCATGCATCATCACGGCGTTACGGCATTTACATATATTCGGTATGACTTCTGGGTCCTCACTTCTGCCTCTTGAGCCTCTCCACTAAGTACGACTTGCTCAACAGGCGTCTGATACCCCGGAGTATTAAGGAGCACAAGCGGGAGTCGGTCTATTGCCAGGTAAGATACTTTACCCTTCCAGTATGTACATTAGCTGCCACTTTTGTACGTACTCCCACCACATCCCATGCTCATTCAGCGCTACGAAGCGGATTTGCATGAGATTTAGTTTATAGAGAAAAACATCGAATCTTCTCCAAATCGTCCATATTGTGAATTGTTAGTTTGGACTGTGAAGCGCTCAAGCTTAACTTTTTGTCGTACAAGCTGTACAAACATATGAAAAGACTACATACACAAAATCAAGTAATTACGTGAATGAAGCGCAAATATTGTCTCGGTGTACAGCGCCGAGGCCAACACAGTTATTAGACTATGCAAAGACAGAACTAGTTCGATCTCTACGAGGCCGGGTTGACTTTCAAACGCGGTGGACCCGCGGCTTTGTTTGCCCCGCGTCTCGCCAATCACGCATCATCGCGCTTTGTTACAATGGGCCGCCGACCTCACCCACGCCTCACATGTTCGAGCTCTTGCGCCGCGACAGTCAAGGAGGAGGCGCAAGGCATGTCGAAGTCGTGTTATAGGCTTAGTGGATCGGAGAACGTGCCTTCAGTATGGAGGCGGACTGGGACGAGGTAAAGTACCGCCCGCAGGCTGTCTTGGGTGTAGCCGTTGTCGCAGCTTCGGAGAGGATGCATCTCATGTACGCGCATAGTGACTGACTGGACACAGCTAGCGATTGCTCAATTACCTCTTCCAGGATCGCATCAACCTGCTGTACCCATTTCTACTTTCGCGTTCGACACCACCCAGGAACTACTATGGACCGGCAACAACCATGTGAGAACGTTCTATGCTACCAACTCTGAACAGCCAAGGCTTACGCATAGCTAGGGCCGAATTACTTCCTTCTATGGACCACACCTCGAGCGCTATACTTCATATCGCGGACACGTAGTCGCGGACGGCCCGGTCAAGCAATTCCTCTTCACCGACAAGGGCATCCTCTCCGTCTCGAAGCAGAGCGTTCACTACTCCCACCGCCGAGGGCTTACACAATGGCATATAACGTATGTTGGAGAAAAAGGGGAGACCTAAGTCATCGTAGGCACCTGCTGATAGATACCTCGTAGAAGCGCCGACTTCAAGGACCTCAAATGCATGAACTTCACCTCCAAAGGAACGCGCGAGATTCTAGTCGCCGGATGTCAGGAACAGATGTTTAAGGTGGATGTGGAGAAGGGCATCATTACAGATACCGTGGGTCTGGGAAACACCGCAGCCGCGCAATGCTAACAGGTTACAGCTTCCCGCTGAAGCTCAATACACTATCATGAAGCGTGCAGGGCAATACCTTTGCGCCGCTACAAAGAATGGAGGCATTCATATCCTAGACTCAGGTTCGCTGTCTGTTATCAAAGTATTCGAAGGCCACACGGGTAGCATCAGCGACATGGACGCCAAGGGCGACTTCCTCGCGACATGTGGCTGGTCCCCAAGACAGCAGTACGCGTACATGCTCGATCCATTTACTAATGTGTTTTCCTTGAAGACACTGAAACAGTTACCTCCTATACCCTTTCATACCGGTGCGGCCTTTGTACGAATGCACCCCCGCATGTCAACGACTGCTATAATCGCTTCGCAAAACGGCCAGATGCAGGTCATCGACCTCATGAACCCAGATTCTGCCAATTTGCGCCAGATCAACCTATACGACTCTTACTTGGCCGGCTTCGAGATGGCTCCTTCTGGTGAAGCGTTTGCTCTAGCAGACTCAAATTCGCACGTCCACCTATGGGGATCTCCTTCGAAAGTACACTTCCCCGAGTATAGCAATCCCACCGAATTTGCGGATTCCCATTCAATACAACCACCGGCCATGGATTGGACTCTAGACACGCCCCTGAACACGGTTGGAATGCCGTATTACAAAGAACAACTCCTTTCAAGCTGGCCAAGTCATACAATCTACGAAGTTGGCGCTCCTCCGCCGAAGATTGACAGTTCAATACTGAACAGCATGACACGCACGGAAATTGGCTTCTTCGCCAAGAATCCCAGGACAAAGCGAAGGAACCAAGTCGAGATCACTCGGCAGGCTGATAAGAGTGTTACACTGACACCACCCAAGTTCTTGAGTGAGAAGGCTCGATCGTCGCAGTCTTTTAGCGAGCCTGATACGAAGACCGCGGAGACTATGGAAACGCTGACCGACCTCCATCTTGACGATGTAACCCGGAAAGATGTCCCTGCGATGTACGGGAACGTGGAGATCAAGTACAGCAAATTTGGAGTTGACGATTTCGACTTTGCTTACTACAATCAAACGCCATACTCGGGTTTGGAAACACACATCACCAACTCATACGCTAATCCACTTCTTCAGCTCTTCCGATTTACTCCCTTGCTTCGAAACCTTGCACTGCAACACACTGCATCGCCTTGTCTATTCGAATCATGCCTTCTTTGCGAGCTCGGCTTTCTGATAGATATGCTTGAGAAAGCTGCAGGCCTTAATTGCCAGGCTTCCAACTTCCTAAAGACGTTTAGTGGTCTATCTAACGCGGTATCACTCAACCTGCTCGAAGAATTCGCGCCCAACGTTGCGCTCACCAGCATGATTCAGAATTTGAACAGGTTTCTGCTCGACAAGGTTTCGGAAGAATTTCGACAAATGCTACCAGGACAGCCTGGGCCGTCAGCGATGGATCAAGTCTTAGAGACACAAGCACGAGCCAGTATGAGATGCGCACAGTGCGCCAACGAGACCATTCGTGGTGGGAAGAACTTTGTCAATGAGCTTGTTTACCCAGCAAAGCACGTTATGAAGAACACACGGATCCCGCGTCCTACTTTCTCACAGATTCTGAAAGCTAGTGTAGAGCGACAAGACCAAACACGGGGGTGGTGTACGAAGTGCAATCGATATCAGCAGATGGTGCAACGGAAGACGATCCAGTCTGTTCCTGGTGTCCTGATGCTCAACGCAGCGATCCAAAGCCACGAGGCAAAGCTACTGTGGTCAATGCCAAACTGGTTGCCCCAAGAGATCGGGATTATAGTAGATCAAGGTCAGTTCTACTGCTTCGAGGGCCAGGATCTGAAGCTACATCTGCAGCGTGGCGTCTTTGACATTATGGTGTATGAGCTCGTTGGTGTTGTTGCCGATATCAACAGCGGAGAGCATCAGAAACCGCACCTTGTCGCAACCATTAACACAGCACCATCGTCTCGCGAACCAATTGCCGATGACAAGTGGCACCTATTCAACGACTTTCTAGTCAGGCCGATACCAAAAGAGGAAGCTTTACGTTTCGAACCAAGCTGGAAACTACCGTCTGTATTGGCTTTTCAGCTTAAAGCTGCTAGAAATAAGATTGACGACTCGTGGAAAGAGAGCTTGGACACTTCAATTCTGTACCGCTGGTGGTCCTCCAACCCAACGCCTCCCGAATCGAAGTTTAAGCTGCTTCAATCGTCAACGGAAACACCCCGCCCCGGCTACCCTGTAGCTATTGATGCGGAGTTCATCAGGCTACAATCCGAGGAAATCGAAATGAAAGCAGACGGCACTCGCCAAACAATTAGGCCTGATCGGAAAGGACTCGCTCGCGTATCCGTCTGTCGCGGCGAGGGCGAACTCGCCGGCCTCCCCTTCATCGACGACTACATAGCCGTCAGCGAACAAGTCATCGACTACCTCACCGAATGGTCCGGAATCTCCCCTGGCGACCTCAACCCCGAAACCTCAGCCCACGCCCCCGTCAGCCTCAAACACGCCTACAAGAAACTCTGGCTCCTCCTCAACCTCGGCTGCGTCTTCATCGGCCACTCCCTTGCGAACGACTTCCGCACCATCAACATCCACGTCCCCAAATCCCAAGTCGTCGATACCTCCAATCTCTTCTTCAAGTCTGATTTCCGCCGCAAGTTGAACCTCAAGTTTCTAGCGTGGTGCGTGCTCAAGGAGAAGATTCAGGAGGATACACATGACTCTATTGAAGATGCCACGACGGCGTTGAAGCTGTGGAGGAAGTATGAGGAGTTTGTCGATGCCGGCGTCTTGGAGCAGATGCTGAATGATATCTATGCTACGGGTAGCCAAATGAGGTTCAGGGCGCCGGGCAGTGGGGGAGCGGCGGTTGGTGCGCATGGGAAGGGTGCGGGTGTTATGGGGAGCGATACGCCCGACCCGTTGACGACGCCGAAGAAGGGGAGTACGTTTGGGAATGTGGGGTTTAGGAGTCCGATGAGGAGGTGAGGATGGGAAGGAAATGTACGGGGTAGACAAGGTGATTCGTCCTGCGGGTGGGGTCTTGAGTACTTTTTGGGATTTTGTACCAGACACTGGCTGATGTTAATAGAACTCATTTCTCAAGTCTTTTTTGTTTATGCTTGAGGCAGATGTTGATTATGACCTGTATTGGCACTACCTTGTCAACGCGGTTCCTGTCGAAGCACATTCGAGTGACAGTCTCATTCTGGCGCTAATCATGCAGTATGTAGCTGAACCTCGAGCTTGTTATGGGTTGATTCGCCAAGCGAATTTCAGCCTCAGCCCCTCTAGGACATCCAGGCTTCACCAGAGGTTCAAGGGAATTCGACCTTCAGTTCTGATGGTTCATTCCCAGGCGCCCCTCAATGACCGCAACACATGACATCAGTGCGCTCACCTTTCGCGACGCCAACCGAGCGGCTCGCAACCTACTTCGATGTCGCACAGCCTCGGGCCACCTTCGAAGATCGCGATATAGACGACGTCGCTCTACTCCTCGAGCAATGCGGGCATGTCGCCTCGACATGTCCTCGAACATACATTCTCTTTCGAACGATAGGGCACTTGGATATACTTGAGCAGCTAGTAAAAGTGGGGTTCAGCGACCAGTGGTTTCCTGTCGAGACGCGCAGTCTCCCCAGCTTTCTAGAACCAAGCGTCAAGGCGGCCGTGGTTCAACAACAAGGAATTATCCTGACAAAATCACTTGATTTGGAAAATGGCAGACATCGACACTTTGTAGCCGAAGAAGCTTTGCCATTTGAGATACTCGGAAGGCTAGGCAGCAGTGGATACGGTCAGGTCGACAGAATAGTGAGCAAAACGAGCTCACGACAATATGCGCTCAAGCGCATTCGCAGACGAGCTGCTTTCGGAAACAGCTCCTCTCGTGAAGCTGTCAAAGGCTTCTTGACCGAAATGAAAATCATGAGGAACTTGAAACCAGCATATTGTTCAGTATATTGGCAGCTACACGGACAAGAGTTATCTAGGCCTGGTTATGTCCCCAGTTGCGGAGACGGATCTCGCTACCTACAACGAACGTCTCTGTGAATATCTTCAAGCGACCCAAGCTGACCGAGTCTCTTCCCCGTTCCATTTGCAGGATCAGCCAGCTGCAGTAGAAATGTCATCAAATTTGAAGACCTTCTTTGGCTGTCTTGCCGCCGCGCTCACGGTAAGAAATCCTAATATGTCGAACTGCCTATGAGCCATACCCTGACTGTGCATCCCGGCCTTTTAGTACCTTCACGATCAAAACATTCGCCACAAAGACATCAAGCCGCAGAACATCTTGGTCGCCAAAGGAAGTGTCCTTTTTTCTGACTTCGGTCTTTCTCGCGACTTCGCGGACGATGTTGGCAGTACTACCTCTGGCATTACACCGGCCTCTCCACGTTATTGCGCCCCCGAAGTAGCGACATACGAGGCACGCAACACTTCGTCTGATATCTGGTCCCTCGGCTGTGTGTTTTTGGAAATGACCGCAGCGCTACAAGGCTTGAATGTTGAGTGGATCAAGAACTTCTACACGAAATGCGACTCCCGTGGTACACATTTCCATGCTAATCATGCGGCGACTAAAATGCTCATCCAAGAATGGGAAACCACGGGGAATCCCAGGTATAAACCCACGCTAGCCTGGACTGAACAGATGGTTCATCTCGATCGTGGTGCAAGACCTACGGCTGCGCGAGTACTAGAGATGATCACCCTTCCAGAGACAAGTGATATCGATGCGACTTCTACTGTGTTCTGCGGTATCTGTTGTGTACCTGATGTCGAATCTGACTCGATGGACAGCCTTGCAGATGATTTTGACACCATCACCGCTATCGTTCGACATGATTCTCGTCTTAAGAAGGCCACGTTCACGCAGCCTCATTCTGGAGACTCTGAAATGGCATCCAACACTGGGCTAGACTCGAAGACCAGCGTCGGACCTCAGACACCTCTTGAACCGGACACAAAGGCTGAAGTTGCACAGGTTGATACTACTTCTACTAAGACAGGAGATTACGATATGACAACAGAAAATGTGCTGAACCCTGTGGCCAGCGCGGAAATCCAGACATCCCCTAGTTCAGCTCTAGAATCTGGACTCGAGGCCGCAATCACAGCCTCTGTCGCTGAATCTTCACGCGGCAATCCTGAGGAAGATCATCTCCTTTCAAGTGCTATTCGTGTTTCCTTAATGGACCTCGAGAGGGCACCGACGGATGCCAGCGCAGAAGACGCGAAAGGTCTCCTCGACACGAAAAGATCGCCAGCACGCCATTCATATGACGAGGAGAATCGAGCGGTCGTATCTTCTGAGAACGTCAACCTCACCAGTAGGTTGTGTAGCTGCTGTCATGTTGGCATTCTCTAATTCGCTGAAAGCAGTACAACATAAGACGCAGAAAGTATTCGGAACGCCGCTGTCAGAGAGCATCAAGTACGCCTACCACAATCTCCTGCTAGTCCGGACTATTGGCGATTCGTATCTTCATGGACGCATTCCACTAGTCGTCGCTAAATGCGGTAATCTTATAAAGGAGAATTGTAAGTGTAGCTGATTCAACACTCTTATTACAAGGACAAAAGATTGTGTAAAATGAGGGCTGAAAAGCTTAGTCACACTCCAAACTATGCATGCTCTCACACAAGCTATAGAGTACAGTCTACACCAAACTCCTGCTGACACTTTGCAGTAACCAAACACAAACTCGACGATTTTTTCACGTACTGTAGAAGCCCATTGGCGGATAAGGCGTTGTTATCCAAGTTTGACACCTATGACTTTGGGCAACAACATCATTGGGCCCCCTGGGAGTATCGTGATTGCGGAAAGATTATTCATTCGTACCTATCGAGTCTCCCGGAACCGCTCATTCCTACGGATATCGCTGACGAACTCCTCAAGATCTGGCTACTTGATTTGACTCCCCAGCTAAAGATCCAAAGTATCCAAAATGTCCTCCTAAGCATCAGGACTCCCCATTGCATGCTTATCTTCTACATACTCGACTTTTTTGGATACTACACAACGCATTCAAAGACTACCAGTCATGAAGCTACCAGGAACTATTATCGCTATTTCTATAGGCGGCGCGGGCGGTCTACTATGGGGATGAAGACACATAACGATATTTTAAAATTCATGGTCGCAAATGCGAAAGCTTTACTAGGAGGACCGTTAGCTGGGCAAGTCATTCCGGTGACAGACACTGGAAACCTTGAAGATCCGACCATGTCAGACGCAAGGAACAGTGCACAGAATGCATCTGACGCATCTTCCAGCGGGAAGATTCAAAATCCCTCGAGTAGCGTAGGCCAGGATGCAGCAAATCGCGATATTGCGGAGGAGTCGAGGTTCACACGTCCCACTGGCGGCATCAGGAAGAGTATCCGCAAGTACTTTGACTAAATGGAGGGTCATGAGAGGAGGGTCCAGACTTCCAGCTCTTGCATTTTCCTTGGGAGTCTTCGATGTATTTTCCATTAATGTCTATTCACGAAATAGGTTACCGGAGTCTTGGTATGGGTTCGCTTCTGATATGAGATATAGCGTTGCTTGAAAGCAACCAGGCTCGTCCGGCACCGGTTGGATAGAGCATGGTGCCAAATTCCAGATGCGAAGTACAAGACTAAATACGACCTTAGAAGACGTATGGTCTGTTAGCAGGCTTTAGCCTAGATAACAGGAATGGAGCTGCCTGAAAAGTGAGCCCTCAGTTTAAATAACACAATGATGCTGATTATCCAGTGATTGTGTTTCGATGGTAATTGTACGTGATGATGTTTCGAGGTACCTTGTCGATCAGTACGAAGTAATGGTTCATGCATGTCAAAAGGTCCGTGCCCAAAACTTGGTGACATCAACGTAGAGACCAAAAGCTTCGCAATGCAAACATTCTCTTCAAGTACACACGTCGCAATGAAGCCTCAGAATCCAGCAAGAGCATTACGCTCTATACGAGGTTATCTATCGCCAAATTTGCAGCGCCACTCTCTCTCAAGAAGCACATCACTTCGGCTAGCTCCAGCAACAGCTTCGCAGGCCTTCTCGTCCACCACGTCTCGACACCACAACCCCACCAACTCAACCGTCGACCCCACAGAAGTCTCCCACTTCAATGCCCTCGCATCGAGTTGGTGGGATCCCCACGGACCCTCGCGCCTCCTCCACCTCATGAACCCTCTCCGCCACGGCTTCATCACACAATGCCTATCCAGCTCCCCCCCAGCCTCGCATAAGCTCCGATTCCTAGACGTTGGCTGCGGGGGCGGTATTTTCGCCGAGTCTGCTGCACGACTCCCAAGCACACTCTCCGTCACCGCGATCGACCCCACGCCAGAAGTGCTTAAGATCGCAGAGGGACATAAGAAGAGAGACCCGATACTGGCAGCGCCGGGCAAGCTGACGTACCTAAATACGTCGATTGAACAGCTTCCGCGCCCGAAGACACCGACAGAAGCATACGACGTCGTGACGCTCTTCGAGGTCCTAGAACATGTCCATGCGCCCGGTCCGTTTCTTGAACAACTGTTACCGCATGTGAAACCAGGTGGGTGGCTGATCATGAGTACGATTTCGAGAACGTGGACGAGCTGGTTTATTACGAATGTCATGGCGGAAGATGTGTTGGGTATGGTGCCGAAGGGGACGCATGAGTGGAGCAAGTACGTGAACGAGGAGGAGTTGAGGTCGTGGTTTGCGAAGCAGCCGGGATGGGGGAGTGCGAAGAGCTTAGGGACCATGTACATACCCGGCCTAGGGTGGAAGGAGGTGAGTGGGGGAGAGCAGTGGGGAAATTATTTCTTTGGGGTGAGGAGGGATGCGTAGGGTGTTTGGAGAGCGAGATTGTATGATATGTTTGACATGGGTTCAGATGGGAGCATACGTGATGATACCCACAAGTAATGTACAATAAAGTCCCGCATCTTAAGCTAACTGATGCTTGTATACCATTGTCCAAGCATGGTAACGTTTCTTCACCACCTAAATTCGACCTTAGAAGGTCTACTTCTTCCTCCAGTCTGCATAGATGTTCCCAACGCCTTGCAATGCCTCATCGCCTTATGCTGTGTACATGCGCCGAATACCCGGCCATATTATCATATCCAACGCTTCGCGCAGCTCTCTTGCTATCATGACTTCGTCGCGGGTCTCTCCTCAAAAGGCACAGGCATATTTCTACTCCGGTCGGCGTATTCACTCTCGACAACATCATGTCCACCCGCCGTCTTCCACGCTCTCAGATAGTCCTCGCCTGTGAATCGCTTGGGGTAGTTTTCAGCGTCGCCCGTGTCTACTCGTCGTGTTTTCTCTGTGTTTGCGGCCACGAAGGGTGTCAACTAATAGCTGTTAGCCCTGTCCAACTCCCGTCACAAGGGTCTGGCGTACCTCTGAGTTTTTTGTGCCGTGGATCGGATACACGTATGTCCGTACTTTGCTCCAGTCTGGTGAGAAGTTGCCGTAGCGGTCGATTGTGCCCATGGACCCGACGCGGTTGCCCTTGTAGTATTCCTTGCCGGCTTGCTTGGGGGAGAGCGGGAGGCGCCGGAGCATTTTCTGGAGGGAGGGCGTGGGTTTGAACATCTTCGCGGTTCAGTGCCCTTGGCGATTGTAGCGAGCGATGCGACGAAGTGCGGTAGTCGTTCAATCGCGTAGAGATTGATCGTGGTTGCGGAGTTCTAGCGGAGGTCTTGCGGGAGGAAAGGCGGGCTGGCCTGTGCTCACACGCCGCAAAAAAAGTGGTTGAGCCAAGAGTTCGACCATCAAATCCCGCCGCACTCAGCTTCAGCCTTCACGACAACATCACCCAAAATGCCGCCTCGAGTAGCGCGGAGCTCTATCCAGAGCAGCAGCCAGCCTGCAAAGGCTCGCCCAAATACTCGAAACCCGAAGAAAGCGGCAAAGCGCGCCCTGAATGCTTTCTCCATCGCCCAGTACGAGAACCCGGAGAAAGTCAAGGTCAGCAAGCATCGACTCGGCGAATTCGACCCAGCCTTCAAACGCAAGAGGTCACGCAACGACGATGAAGAGGAGGAGGATGAGGACGACGAAGAAGAAGAATCTGCGGGGCCGAAAAGACAGAAGAAGCGAAGCGGAAGTGAGAGCTTTGACGAAGGCAGCGATTCTGAGGGCAACACCTGGCAGATGGGTCATGTCGATGACGATGATGACGACGATATAGACTCAGATGAGGCGTTTGGGGAGAGCGACGAGGAGAGGTTCGAGGGATATACGTTCCGAGGAAGCTCGACAACCCAAAAAGGCGCAGCAAAGAAGCCAAGACGACAGGGCAGAGCAGCTGATGATAGCGACATGGACTTGGACGAAGGCGATAGTGCGGATGGCGAGGAAGAGGAAGATGATGGCCTGGGCGAAGACGCTATTGACCTAGCCACGGCGCTTGATCAGTACGACGAGGATGAGGCTGAAGAGAAGAGGGAAAAGAAGAGGAAGAAGAAGCAGGCTTCCGCCTTTGACGGCAGCGATGAGGACTCGAGCCAGGGCGAGGATGACGCCGCAGATAGTGCGTCTGATGTCTCATCTGACGACAGCGAGGAAGATGAGGAAGATCGGCAGGCGCAGCTGAATGATCTCATATCTTCGCTGGCGTCACAAGAGGAGGGCAAGCCCACGGGCAGGAAAGTCGAGGTTCATGAGTCTGCTGTTCCAGACGAGTTTGGGGTCTCTAGGAAGGTAGACCTTCTCAGCTTCAAGCCCAAGGTGGCTGACGAAGAGAAGAAGAGGGCGCTCAAGTTACTTCGCGACGACAAGTCCTCAAAACGGAATGATATTGCCAGGAAGCTAGACGCCCCTCTACCAAAACGACAACAAGACAAGCTCGACCGAGCTGCTGCTACTGCCAAGGCGAATGAGACGCTCGAGCGCTGGACTGACACGATCAAGCAAAACCGTCGCGCTGAGCATCTCATGTTTCCTCTGCAGAATAAGAGTGGAGGCGAACCCATGGGAGAAAAGACACTTCTACCTACAACGACCGCTGCCCCTGCCAACGACCTCGAAAGCACCATCCAGGCCATTCTCCAGCAGAGCGGTTTGTCGAATGGAAATGACGGCGAGGACCAAATTCAAAAGTGGGAAGAGCTACAGACAAATAAGCTCCCCATTGAAGAAGTAATGAGGCGCCGCGCGCAGTTGCGGATAGAGCGCGAACTCCTCTTCCGCGAAGAAGTCCGGTCCAAGCGTATCAAGAAGATCAAGAGCAAGTCTTACCGCCGAGTTCATCGCAAAGAGCGTGAGAAACTCCTGCAAAAAGAGCGGGAACAGCTCAAAGCAGACGGTGTTGATCTCTCTGAAGAAGAGCGCGAGTACAACGACCGTCGAAGAGCTGAAGAACGCATGGGCGCTAAGCACCGCGAGAGCAAATGGGCCAAGGGCATCAAGGCAACCGGTCGGGCAGCATGGGATCAGGGCGCTTTAGACGGCGTTACCGAAATGGCCAGGCGCAACGAGGAACTTCGCCGCCGCGTCGAAGGCAAAACTATACGCGACGATGATGACGAGGGCTCAGATGTTCCCAGCGAAGACGACGAAAGTGAAAATGACGACGATGAGCAATCAGACAACGGAATTCTACAAAAGTCACTTGGCAAGTTGAAGCAGAATCCGTTTTCAACAGATAAGTCGAAGCTGGGTCAAATGGCCTTCATGCAGAAAGCTGAAAAGGCCAAGCGTGCGCAGAATGACGAAGCCGTTGAGCAAATGCGGCGCGAACTTGCTGGTGAGGATAGCATGAGCGATGAAGAGCGCGAGAACACCGCGAAGGTCGGACGCCGCAAATATGGTCCTGGCAACAATATTGCTCCTGCGATACAGATAAATCGCAGTGAGTTCGAAGAGCATCCTGGCTCAGACGATGAAGAGACCAAGAATAAGGAAGTTGCGAATGATGAGGAGTCTGTTTCGAATGGAGCACGCGCCCAAAAGGGTAGAACCAATGGTCTTTCAAACGGCAATCGAAAAGTAAACCGGAGTGGAGCACCTTCGCCTGAGAAAGATGACAGCGGCTCATCGAATCCTTTCCTCGCGAAAGCTAAGAAACAGAAGACGGCGCAACCAGCGCCTGAGCTCTTCCCCTTCACAGACGGCACGGAGCCATCGGTAGCGGCAAAGGCCACATCTGGACCGAAGCCCAATTCAAAAGCTCAGTCAAAGCCTGAACCGGCTGCAGAAGTACAACCATCTACAGTTGACTCATTTCTCCAGCAACGCGTTACCGCCGCCGATGACGATGGCTGGGCGACGGTGCTGGGCGGTCAAGACGAAGATCAAGATCAAGATGAACAGGACATTGAAGATGAAGGTTTCGACCTCGACATCGTCTCCCGCAACCAGGCTCTCACTGCTAAAGGTTTCGCCGGTGACGACGTAGCCGCCGAATTTGCTGCAGAGAAGAAGGCTACCATCGAAGAGGAGGAATCCACCGAAACAACGAACTATCTTCCAGGTTGGGGCGCATGGGCGGGTGACGGTATGACTAAAGCCGAGAAGGCGCGTAACAAGGGCCAGAAGACTGTCACGAAGAAACAGGGTATTGATGCCAACAAGAGAAAGGATAGGAAGCTGGAGAAGGTTATTATCAACGAGAAGAGGGTCAAGCAGAATGTTAAGTATATGGCGAGTCAACTACCGTTCCCGTTCGAGACGAGGGAGCAGTATGAGAGGAGTTTGAGGGTGCCGAAGGGCAAGGAGTGGACTACCAAGAAGACGTTTCAGGATGCGACCAGGCCGAGGGTCATCGTTAAGCAAGGAATTATTGCACCACTGCGGAAGCCTCTGGTCTAAACAGATTTACAGCGCAGCTAGACACGTAGCGATATGGTCATCTCGGCTTCAATGCATCATTCGGAGGGCGAGCATCCCAGCGGTAATCCTGTGTAACCTGAATGTGGGGCTAGCGATCCTGTGATTATCATTGCGTGACGTGAGAGACTGACCCCGGCCGTGGAATCTGTATACGCGGGTGTCACCTTATTAAGGTACGAATATCGTTGACTTTGAGGTCCTCGCTAACTTATATGTTGTACATGACCTTAGAACTCGGTTATATTTGTTACCGTGACCTGGGGAATTCCGGATTTGATAGTCACAACATCAAAGTGCCTCAGCCTCAACCATCACGACATAGCTTTTGGCCCGACTAGTACATCCTATCCTTTGCTTCGAAATTAATCGAACGTCACGCTCTCTGTGTTCTTTCTTTGATCACCCTTTTACTCCTATAAGCCATGGAACCACCACAAGCATTCTTTGGGCACCTTCGACAGTCTTTGGACGCATTCAACCGGATATGTGGCCAGCTGGGTCCTGACGTCTGAACTTACACATGACCTGCGATCGAACATGACTACCATGGCTTTCTGCCTTCCTCACGAGATGTAATCCGGTCAGCCACGCAACCAGATACCATGAGTGTGGACGTAGTACCTGGCTGCTTATATGCTCTCTATACAGAAGTATACTACCATGGCGTTGAATGACTTGAGAGACGCTCCAAATACGCAGTCATTTCAGTTTAACAGAAGCCTTTCCATACGACCCTATAACTCGCAAACAAGCCCCGGTAGACCTAGAACATCACTAAGCATGTGGATGTCCACTTCGTATCACGGATCGGCCCTTTCAGTCTTGCTCTTCACGGCATGGACGACAGCGATACCATTGGAGATCACGAGTCTAGCATCGGAGGATGTAGTATGGGAAACAGTGTTCATCACGGAAATCATCACAGTTTACCCAAAGATGCCGGCAAGTTTGTTCAGTACAGAAAGAAACTCTATAACTACGGTATGGCAGTCCAGTACAGCTGCTACTTATGAGGCTCCGAAGCGATCAGGCACCACAGATAACGTCCATGGAACGGAGAAGGTGTCAGCGAGTTTGACTATAGGTGGCAGTGGAGGTCTTTCATGGACATCAGATCTACTAAAGGTGAGTGTAACGTTCTTTGGAAAAGTGACATAGAGGTACTTCGCAACGAGTCGCGACTTCTACCTGAAATACGACGCATTAGCACCTCGACACTCTCACGAAGTGTAGCAAATGTCTTTAAAGGCTTGCAACATCTCCTTCCGATGCACGGAGATTATCAAGGCGCTCGGAAGAGGGTGTCTAATTGTTGACGTTTGGCCGCGCAAATGCGCAAACCTCACGTTTCCTCAGCAAACTAACCCTCGCTCTTTCCCAGACTTCGACTTCGACGTCACAATGGATTTCCTCATCGATTGGCCGTTCAGAGTTCCTAGGCAGTATTTCGCCACCTACACCGCTATTTACAACCACCTTGGCCTCAGTTATATCACTTAGCAGTCCTATTTCTACACCTTCAGGATCCGACTTCGATTGGCCACAACTTCCCACAACAAACATACACTCTACATTTAGCTCCATTGCTAAGCAACCTGGTCAAAGCCCTACAGTCACTTCTATGGGCCAGTCGCTGTCCAAGCCAACATCATCGCGAAAAGGATCATGGAGAGACTCATTTCGCGACACACGAAAGGGCATCCTCACATCTTTCGGTCATAGCACGACCGCAGTACCCAACGAGATTCCTCCAGACAACATCTTCGTCCCTATCCAGAAAGACAGCATCCTTTCTCAGATTCCGATCGGCCGCCATCATCCAGTGCCTAAGACGGGAGTGGAGGATGATGACAAACGGACGATGCACACGAATAAGTTCTACGCCAATGCGTTTCTGGGCCAGCAGAATATGCCTATTTGGACGCACCCGTATTCGATTTGGTGGGGGAAAGGGTGGAATGAACAAGGTGTGCTACAGACGTGGGGAATGAACATTGCACATATTGAAGAAAGCGATATTGCCTATGGACTTGGTGACCCTACCAATGTTAGTCGAAACTTTTACCTTTTCTGGACTATTAACTGACCTATTTCAGGTCTACACAAATCCGCCGCACAAGCAATCACTTGTCCTCTCCGCAGCTGAGCTCGACTCCCAGACAATTCTGACTACCGATACCCATCTGCCTTTCTCCGTCAACATCAACATCTTCTCTCACTCCGCTCCGCAAGAACCAAAGATCACGTTTCCTGTCGTCCAGGGGATGAGCTTCGTCACGGCTGGCTACAGAAATGCTACACCCACGATACACACTGGTGGGAAAGGCTTTGTGGATTGTGTGGGACCAATTCCGATGGGTAGAACAACGAAGTATCGCGTCAGGGATATGGATGGCCGAGACTGGGTCATCTATGTCAACCCGGTAATAGGCCTCGACTACGACGGCACGAAATTCCTTCGACTCGACCCGAACACCTTGCTTGGACCTGCTGGCTTCAAAGGCACGATACAGGTTGCAAGGAATCCTCTTGGTGCTGAAGGAGAGGCGCTCTACGACAAGGCTTGTGGCGCGTTCGTCTACGAAGCAAGCATTACTGCTGTAGCCCCCGACAGTAAAGGAGCATACTCGTTCAACTACACCAAGATTGGCAGCTCACCACTGCTGATGTTCGTTCTACCCCATCATTTACAGTCCCTCGACCCGGAGCTCAGAAAACAGGTGACTAAATTGCAATTGCGTTCGACAACAAAGGGCATGGCCACTGCTATTTGGGCTGAAAAACTTACCTTCATAGAACCCAACCTTCCCACTACTATGCACTTCGGTCCATGGAATCCTACTACCACAGCAAAAGTACGCTACCCACCAGACGTCCTAGCCCTCATCGCCGCAGTAGCCGAACGCGATCTCCGGCGCGCCATGACGGAGCCAATACCACCAGATTCCATGTACTACGCGGGCAAGTCTCTCGCGAAATTCGCCACGATAGTCTGGGTGATCAAAGACGTGCTCGGCAACGACACCCTCACCACGGCCGGCCTAGACAAGCTCAAGCAAGAACTAGCCAGATACATCAGCAACCAACAACTCCACCCCCTCTACTACGACGACAGCTGGAAAGGCATCGTCTCCAACGCGGGCTTCACCGACCCGGGCGCCGACTTTGGAAACACATACTACAACGACCACCACTTCCACTTTGGCTACTTTGTGTACACGGCGGCTGTCATTGGCTATCTGGACGCTGCGTGGCTGACCCAAGGCGATAATAAAGCGTGGACGAATATGCTGGTCAAGGACTTTGCGGAAAGCGATTATCACGGGCGGGATTATCCTTTTTCGAGGAGTTTTGACTGGTGGCATGGGCATAGTTGGGCAAAGGGTCTGTTCGAGAGTGCAGATGGGAAGGATCAGGAGAGTACGAGTGAAGATGGGTTTGCGAGTTTTGCAGTCAAGATATGGGGGCGGGTGAGCGGGGATGTGAATATGGAGAAGAGAGGTATGTCTGCGAGAGAGAGAGAGAGAAGGAGAAAAGGAGAATAGAGAATGGTTGTGTATCGAAGAACTGACGGGTACCAACAGGCAACCTGATGCTCGCCATCCAAGCCCGCTCCTTCAACGCATACTTCTACCTGCAAGCCACCAACACAAACCACCCAGCCCGCTTCCTCGGAAACAAAGTATCAGGCATCCTTTTCGAGAACAAAGTCGACTACGCAAGTACGCTTCCTCCCCACATGCCTTGTCTTTTACCTTGTACCTCGACGCCCTCCGCTCTCCCCTGCATGTACTTTCCAGCCTTATACACTATAAACCTCACCTCCGCCGCCGCCATCTAAAGTCTATAGCTAATATCCTTTTTTTTCTTTCTTCCCAGCATACTTCGGCACTACACACCCTCTCATCCACGGCATCCACATGGTCCCCATCAACCCCTCAACAGCCTACACCCGCCCGCGCGCCTTTGTCGCGGAGGAATGGGACGCGTTTTTCTCGGGCAATCGCGCGCTGCTGGCCGACGGCGGGTGGCGCGGTATCTTGTATGCGAACCTAGCGCTTGTGGACGCCAAGGCGAGTTTCCTCTTTTTCCGAGATGGCGTAGGTGGGTTTTGGGATGAGCGGTGGATTGATGGCGGGGCGAGTCGGACGTGGTATCTTGTTTGGGCGGCGGCCATGGTCGAGTTTGGGAAGCGGTGATTTGCCTTTTATTCTTCTTTTTGGAGGATGGGGCTGTGAGACTGCCCTGATGAGGACTGTCGATTAGTACGAATCAAAGTGTGAAAAGCACACTGCATGGTCTGGAAAGATGAGAAAGTATATTTCAGCCACCTTTTTTGATTTCACACTCGCATTTGTTCCTACATTTACAAGCCGCTACATACCACAAACTACGCAGCTGACGTCCACTTCAGCAACAGCAACAGCAGCAGCCAACGCAAGCGCTACTAGCTAATGCACAAACTAGAGCCCAATTTTCTTGCCGATTCTTCCGGTATACGAGGGATTCCACAAGCCGCAACGCCACACAGAAGGAAAAAAAAACCCCTTCCCATGACACCAGAAAGAAAGGGATGATGCCAGATAATCGTACAAAGAGATAGGAAAACAAAAGAGGTCAAGATAGGGAAATTTGAAACCTCGAACCCCGTTTTCGGAATTTGGGGGGGGGAGGCGTAGTGGAACTGGTATCCAGAACAATGTACATAGGAAACAGAGGGTTGCGCCGCTCAGCGGGTCCGCGGTTTCGAAAGGGACCTTCTCGCCTCGTTTTGATGAAGGGGGTCCGAAACTTGATTATAGTTTATTGGTTTAGTTTGGGGCGAAGAATCGCTTGACGACATCGACCGTGATGTCACCCGCTGCGTCATCTGGGTAGATGTAAAAGGCGAGGGCAATGATGGCGTAGATTCCGATGCACATGGCGCCCTCGAGATAGTTGCTCTTGCCGTCCTGGATGAGGTAGTTGACAATGAGAACGGAGATGAAGAAGACCATGGTCTCGAAGCCCTGGAAGTGCAGCGTCATGGGCTCACCCACGATCCAGCCTAGGATGACGAGGAAGGGTGTGACGAAGAGCGCAATCTGCATGGAGCTGCCGATGGCGACATTGATAGCCAGATCCATTTTGCCCTTGTATGCGACGATGACGGCAGTGACGTGCTCTGCAGCGTTCCCGACTATAGGTATAAGGATCAAACCGACAAAAGTCTTGCTGATATGCGCCGATTCGACGATCGAGTCGATGCTGTTGACGAGGAATTCGGCGCAGACGGCGACAAGCACGGTGACTACAACCAACGCAACACCAGCAGCCGTGGGCGAGAGAATCTGACCGTCCTCAGCCTCGGCATCCCCGCCTTCCTGGTTCTCAACGTCGGCAAACAGGCTGTGGTGCGAGTAGAGCTGGAAGTAGAGGTATAGGATGTACAGAATGAGTAGAATGATCGAGGTGCCGTGCGAGAGGACGAGAATGTTCTTGTCGGTTTCGAGATTGCCCTTTTTGTTGTCGCTGTGCATGACGGCGTAGAGGGTGGCGGGGATGATCAGCGATGCGGATGCGACGGCCATTAGGGAGGACATGGTGGATGCGACAGTCTCGTTGAAGCTGCGCTCCTGTTCGCGAATGCCACCAGCGAGGAAACAGCATCCAAGGACCTTTGGTTGTACAGTTAGTGCGTGGTTGCATGCAGCGCGGGTATTCTACTCACAAGAAGGATGTTGGACAGGATACTGCCGAGCATGCTAGCCTGGACGATTCTTATTTCGCCCTGCTTGAGCGCAACAATTGAGACCTATTTCCAGTCATTAGTTACTGTCGCAGCGCATTGATTTTGGCGCGCGCAAACTCACAATCAGTTCGACGGCATTTCCAAACGTCGCATTCATCAATCCACCCAGCGTCTGGCCGAGCTTGGCGGACAGCTCTTCGGTTGCGAAGCTCAGAAGCGCAGCGAGCGGGATAATGGCGATGAAGTTGAGGACGAAGACGGCAGTGGGGTTCCAGCCAAGTGCGCCGGCGATGATGCCAATGGGGACAAAGACGAGGAAGACGTTGACATAGTTGCTGGCGAGGGTGGCATAGGTAAGGTGGAGTACATGCTTGGGGAACGTCTTGAAGCGCGACTCGTTCTCGTGGTTTTGTGTGCGGCCGATGAGTGGCGTCGTCTCATGGTAGAGGCCGCCATTGGTAGGAGCGGGCATGGTCTGCTGCTGCTGCTGCTGCTGGAGGATCTGCTGGCGAGACGAACTATCGTGACGACCGTGGCGGTGGAATTCTCGCTTTATGTTTTCTGCCAAGGGCGCGGGTTAGTGATTATGATTATCGCCGAGAAAGGGCAGAAGCGCGATGGAGGGCTGGCGCTGTGCTGCGGACGGTTGGCGATGATGGCAGTACCAAGACCGCGGTTGTAACAAGGCCAGCCAAGGACGCCGCTTGCGGGACACAAAGAATCAAAGGGCCGTTGTTACTCACTCATTGCTGTAGGGGAGAAAGGGTCAGATGGCCACGATGCGGATGTACCAGTATATGACCAGTCTCAGCGCGCGCCTGGGCAGTCTGGGGGGGAGGTAGCGGATAGGGACGGGGGAGGTAGCGGATAGGGACGAGGACTGCGATTGGCGACGAGGGACGGGAGCTATGGCGAAAGCAGCGAATTGACTATCAGTGCATGTATGAAATTATATGGGTAGGAATGCAATGGAAGAGGGGGACGAGGGCGCAGCTGGACCGTCTTGGCTTTGGGAGAGCAGAAGCAGGATGACGCGCTGGTGGCTGGCAGCTTTCAAGACCTTCACACAGCCCGAAAACCAAGCGGACAAGCTGGTAGCTCCACCCCTCCACTTTCCCCTGCACATCATCGGCAAATCGTGATTTCCTGAAACAATGGTGCACTCGAGTTCCATCAGTCTGAAGAGAGTGGAGTGTGGCGAGAGATATCTATCTTTTCACTGCGATGCCTGTTCTCTCCCAACAATCATCCATCCCATGATTACAGAGTGAAAGCGCGTTGCTGACGACGTCATCCCCTGTACTACCTATACAGAGCCCTACAGTACAACTACAGCCAGGCCAAGCCAGCGGCCATGCAATCTCATCTCACCGCTGGCTGCAGATCGTCAAGTGGGCGACGACCCACCCGCTGCCTTTGCGAGCTTCGCGACCCAGTACACCCAGACGCTTCCAGCTTCTGAGGCAAAACACCTCACCTGCCAAGCCGTCGACGTCGCTTAGAACCAGCCTTCGTCCGCGCATACCAAGGCCGAGTTATGACGGCTTACAGAGACTTGGCACTGCTGTCAATTCCATGTTGTGTACCATCGCTCAGACGTGTCGGGGGAATGGGAAGCCGACTCACCATGACATGACAGCTTCGCCTTGGTGTCTGACCAACTTTCGAGGCTGTGTCTTTTATTCGCACGTCTTCACATCCTCGCGCAGGTATTGGAGAGACGTCTCACCAAAGCGAGTTTACTTGGTCAATGGATACTACATCTACGCTATGCATGTACAACGCTTTGAACACTGATGATAATGCTCCTTGTGAGCCATAATGCGCCGTGTACCCTAGTCTAGATAACCATCCCAAGTAAACATGCGCAATGCATCAGCGGCCCTCCAGCCTCAACCGGTTCTGGCTCCTCCCTTCGTCTCGCCGCGCCACCAGGAACCACAGACTACTCAGCCAGCACAGCACCACCCCAGCCCAGCTCTGCGCGGGGATCTTGAAAAGATTGATAACGGCAAGTTGAAAGGCGCTCCTCGGCACCGCAACAAACGTCGCCGTCAAAGGAGACGTCGATTTGACAAGCAGCAACGTGCCTGCAAACACGGCCCATGATCCCATGCCGCCAAACAGCATCATGGCCCAGAAGAAGGGCACATCGAGGAAGGGTATGTTGTGGTATATATGCGTGACCTGCCCAGAGATGAGGACAATGGGTGTTAGGAGCATGAGCGAGAGGAGGGACGTGTAGTGTAGTGTTCGGTAGTAAGCCCGCGTTTCTTCTCTGTTGCTGGCTTCCTCAGCGCTTGAGGGGTAGCCTGTAAGCACATCGCCTTGGGGGACGAGGCCTGCCACGAGAGTGCGGTTGGTATGGAGGAGGAGTATAGGGTATAGCGCAACGAAAAGCGACGAAAAGACGCCTGCCACGACCGACTCCCAGGTTACGCGGGCATCGGAGCGGTAGGATGCGAAGAAGAGGTTCAACGTTGCGATGAGAGCAGCCGACAGCGTGCTGCCGCTGAAGTTCTCTTTCTGCATGATGCACGAGAAGATGATGGCAAGCGGGGTGATGCCGATGCGGGCGAGCTGGTACGTCGGAAGGGGCGCGTAGCTGTGCTGTGTTAGTCTCCGTGAATCAATTGGGCATGGGCAGATGACTTACGCAAAAGAAAAGTTGCTAAGCAGCACCTTGACGACGAAGACCACGGCCAAGGGGAGTACCTGCTTAGCAACATGCCAGTCAAACTCGAACAGGCCCCCTCCTGCAATGCCCCCTGAGCCGTTGGACAGCCAGCGTACAAAAGCAGATATGCCAGGCTTCCTCGAGCCTCTATATGCTCCTCCTTGCGGCGCGGCTGGATGCGACGGCGGTACAGCGGCGCCGAATCCGACAAAGTGGAGGACGTTGCTGAGGAATCGCATGAGACTCGAGCCAATGATAAGCAGAAGGTGGGTGATCAGGAGTTGAATGTACGTCTCGGTGAGCGGGAAGGGGAATCTGGCCTAGTTAGCCTTTGGCACCACCGAATGCATGGAGCTTCTCACTTGTAGATGCCCGTCAGCATAATAAAGCGGTTCATGAGCAGCAGTCCAAATTGACAGCCACCAACCCAGAAGACCAATAAGCCCACCCAGATCTGCCATCCTATCCAGGTCCCAAAGAAAAAGGCACCGGGGCCACCCTGTCTCCAGAAGCCTCTCCAACGGCCTCCTCTCCCCGCGCTGTGGCTCACCAGCGGACGTATACTGCTCCCCGGTCCATATTCGTCGTCCTCATCCTCGCTCTGCGCCGCGCTCCGGATTCGCGGATACGGGCTCGTACTGCGACTTCCAATATCGATGAGCGGGAACGCAGGCTGCAGCTCCGACTGCGAGTTCTGCGTCGAATGGCTCCGTCTCGAGCTCTCCATGTGCGCGTACTGCTCCACGTCCGAGTGGTCTGTATCGTCGAGCGAACTTTGGCTGTTTTGGCGACGGCCCGTGTAGCTGTCGCTTTTCTTGTTGCTGCTTCGCGAGGGCTGTCCAGCGCTGCGCGAGAGGTTGTTGAGGAAGTCGAGGGGCTTGCGAAAGGTCTTCTGGGCTGTGCGAGTGAAGGGACGCGTCGAATTCATCCTGTCCGCTGCATGGCGGGGGAGAAAAGGAGTGCCTGCATGCTGAGGTGCGATTAATCCCAAAGGTCGTGCACAGGCAGGTACGAGGCAGTCTTCTTGTACTACTGCCTCGCTTGCGGCGTTGGACCCTTGCTAGGTACGACGCTTCACATGCATCTTCTCACACATCTTTTCTCCCCTGTAATGACGATTCACAAAGAAAGAATTCATTGCCATCGACCTTCTTTGAGATCCCTGTGTCCGTCCACTTGTTTATACCATCTTTCAGACGCCCTTCGTAAGGAAATTAGTACAACAACAACGATACAGATTTCACAACTCGTCTGAACGCACATGCCTTCAAGCAAGCCTTGGGGATACTATGTGCTCTATATTCCGCCGATAGAATCAGAATAGGGGACGACTGATCGACTAAACATTAACTACTTACAATGGCGTGCCATTCAATAACAGAAAATGGCCACGAAGATCCATCATACAAGATTTGTATTACACCTTCGTAAGGTTAGTCTAAGGGTGGGTTTTGAAAAATCATCTCATCCTCCATGTAATCATGCAACGAGGGAACAAATCATTGTTTTCTCAAAGCCGACTTGTCGCGCATCTCTAGTCAGTCAGCACTTACAGATTGCAAGCTTTAAACTCCAGTATTCAAGGCACTATAGGAAACTTGGAGGAATGAATTTGATATAGTTTGGTCGACTAAAATAGTAAGAGATCAAAACGGTTGACCACTCATGGTAATCTCTAGCATCCTAGATATATCAAAGAGTGGACAGAAACACGTGGAGCTCTGCCACATACACCACCACGGGTGATCAATTCTGCCATTGTATTTCTGGAAAATAATTGGTATGCATAGTTATACGTATCTGTTTGGTGGCACGATGCAAGAAGAGAAGCAGCGCCAATAAATAACAATTCAATGCCCCTTCGCTATATTAGGTTTCACTACCTTCCTCGCACAAGCTGTTGGATTATAATAACTTCCATAGTGTATTAGCAGCTCAACTCGCTAGGACCAAGGGGAACTGACATGCAAAGCTCCACACTGCTCAAGGTGGATGAAAGAAGCGTTGATGTCAATGGGCCCAGTAAGCTTAGCATTGGCGAGCTAAAGCCTGGCAAACCGAAGCTTCGGGAGATCAACAGGAGGTGGTAGAAAGAGATTTCGGGGGTCACTGTGATCAAGGGGTTGTATTGTAAGAGTGTAGACGGACAGAAGTAGGGTAAGATGATCTCCACTAGCGCTTCTTAGGGCACGTACAGAAGTAACGAGGAATTCCTTCGAAGAGGGTGGGTAGGAAGCCCTTTCATGTGAATTGCGTAAGCCTCCGTATAGACTTTTACTCACTCTGATAGAAGAGTGATACATCGCAATGAGTGGCCATTGTTTGTCGTCTGAAGGTGTTGTTCAAGGTGCTCATTTAGGAAGTGGATGACATATAAGACCAGATTTTGGGCCTATCAAGGTTTAAAGCGTAGTGAACAGAGTTCGTAACCTAATAGAGCATATCCTATCCCTCTTAAAGTGCCGACGAGGTGAGTGGATATCTAGTTCATCGAATGGGCCTAGCTATAATCGATCTTAAATATCTCAGGCTCAACAGCCATGCCTTCCTTATCTTCGGTGCTATACAAAGTAAACCTGCTGCTGTGCGATACTGAATGTGCAAGTGGCGAAGGGTCTAGGGACTGTGTCCGAGAAGGATCGGCTGTGCTTGGCCTATGCATTGGCATATTGGGTAGCATACTCATATAAGATTGGAAAGTGTATCATGTGGGCGACGGTGTGGATTCTATGTGGTGTGCGCGGCTCGAAGTTTGGGTTGCAGAGGAGGGCGCTTTGAACAGTTTGATCTGGGAGGTAGCGTGACTGGTTTGGGGTTATCCACTGATAAACGCGGTGTTCGGTATTGAGGAGTCAGTTCTAGATCGTTGCGGATCTGGCCAGGTTTCAGCAGCTTCAAGAAATATGGCTCCATCAAACGAAAGTGATTCCTGAGATAAATGGGCCAAAACGAATTTACCGGGACATGATTGAATAACCATGGCTGTCAAATGCTCCCTTGAAAGTATCCAAGTGAGTATGCGAGGTCTCTCGTACTGATGCGTAGAGAGATACAATTTCGAAGGGAAATACTTATTACATCCACACCTTTTATTTGCTCTTGAAGAAGATAGCGCAACATAAATTCTTTCTCGTACCCTGACCGTGGGTGTTTCTGGGTCCGTGGCGGAAGTGCAAAGGCAAATAGCGGGTGAAATAAGGAGAGGGATACGTCCAGTCCCCGAGAAGTGTAGCAAAGTAGCTAGGCTCAACATTTGCTCTGAGTCCCGCCGTTCTTCGGAGCAAGGCTTTCTCACTACGTGCCTATTGCGGCCGGCGCCACGGAATAACATTATCCCATGTTTCTCGAAGACATGGGCCGGGCCGCCAGCAGGAGTGGTGCATATGTTGTGACACTCACACATGACTTGATGCATGAGCCGGGTATCGTGTTGGTGTGGGGAACTGAACTATAGCTCGCCATTGCTAGGAATAGAAGCCAAGCTGCAAGCACGGGAAGAATGGAGTTTCGGGAAGGAGCCGCTGTCGTTGAGCACATTGGCGTTACTAGACGATGGCACCATCGCCATGTCGCTCATCTTGAAGCAAAGGCAGTAGCCGTGCATGGAAGGTGGCGGAGAACGCGGAGTTGCTTGAACAGATAAGTAAGATGACGCCTTGTTGGCCTGATTCCGATTGATACGATACTCGTCAAAGTAGTAGTCGGCAAAGAAGGTGAGCCTGATACCGGTGAGCTATGCTTTGGAGGCGGGAGGATCGGAAAGAACATCACTGCTGAGGTGTGCGTTATCATACTGACAATAGGCCACCAGTGTGTACCTGCATAGTACTGTACGACGTAGGCAGCCGAGGCGCTCTGCCAACTGCGCCCAAGACCAAGAGGGAAGGAGGCCATAAGCATAGGATTGTAGGCTAAAATAACCCCACAGCTATATGCATGGCGCTAGTCACGCATAGCCCCCCTGATTTTAGAGGATGGCGAGTGTAGTGGCGAAAGCACTCAGGTTGTATACATCCTTGGTAATGGCCGAGTCTAGACAATCAAGGCAGGTTGTTTGACTCTTCGACACAATAATCGCCAGCTCGAGTGCAAAGGTCAGCACGGGTACGGAATATCCGACCACGGGATTAGGCATGTCGAAGAGCCAACTAGAAACGAGAGTTGACAAGTAAGGTGCGCCTGTCATACAAGCTGATGGCGTCCAAAATGCATGAAATATTGGAATCATGCATCAGGCTATTCCTTGGGAGGAAGTTGTCGAAAAATGGGTTGCCCGACGTACTCATGGCAGAAAAGCGACATTGAAGGCGAGACGATTGTCTAGGATGCGGGAAAGTTTGCACAACGTGGGGGTTTTGGCCCTTCCGAGGAAGATGTAGTCAGCCTCTTATTACATGTCGTTTCCATGCATTGTACCATGTCATCAGTCAAGAGATACCCCGTTCATGTTCCTGTCAGGTAAATCTGGTCTCAGTACCTTGACGGTACGTCATTATGAACGATGGTTGATTGAACAGGTCTGAATCCGAGGAAAGGGGCAGTAATTTTGTCCAGCTGATATAGTCCCACTCCAGTGCTCACTACGGGCAGGGTCAGGGAGGAATAGGAGGTTGAAATTGGAGTCAAGACAAGCCTGTGCTATATCTAGGCTTTACCTGGTGAGAAGACGAAGGATGCTGCATGGAAAGAACGAGGGGACGTTGATAAAAAGATACAGCGATTAGTGACGATGCCAGGTTAGTGGGTTGCTGTGACCTTGGGACAGACCAAACTACCGCTTGCCGCCGTGGTAGCGTGCGTTTGGGCACGTGCTCAGAACTACGGTAACATCTCTCCGACCCGGATGCGGACACCCCTCACACAGCCTTAGGTTGCAAAGCTCCCTGTTGCCGCAACACAATCACACGCCCTTGGGCTCTTGTACTCAAGGATGCCACGACGGCGGCAAGGAAACTAGATCAGGTTAGCAGAGGATGTTCTCGCAACACGAAGGAGCAACTGGACAAGGCGCGACGGGGTTAGTCGACGACACGATAAGGTCCCACTGGCGCGTCACGCAGGATCCGCCGGGAAGGCTTCAGGGAGCGGCTCCTTGGTGGAGTCGCCCGAAGCCGCGCCCGATTTGCTCGGAGTGGGTCCAGCCCCTACCGGTCTTTCCACTGGGCTGATTTCTGACCGTTTTATACATTCTTGCCAGGGTCTTTGGAGAACAAAGCAGTTCAACAAACAGCTCGCGAACGGCGCAGCGACGTAACATGCAACAGGCATCTACAATGTCCTTGTCTATCACCATTCATACATTCGCGATCCTGTCTGGTGGTTGCGACATGCATGTTCCCTCACCATCTGCCGGCGCTCTCATTGCGCTCAGCCCAGCTACCCCCTTATCTGAGGCGTGCCTATGGCAAGGTCCGAGTATATTGATCTGCATCAGCTAGATACGAAGTAAGGAGGTGGTTTCAACATTACGTGCTTTAAGCTTAATGTTAGCGACCATGGTCTAGTCAGCGGATCGAACGCATCTGTTGATTGCATATGACAACCAACGGCTGCTGCACGCTTAGCGAATCCACAATCCTTCCAACTCCTTGTACATTCTGCTACTTTCACGAACGAGGCGTTACCAAGACATGGCCGTCATCGCCGCAAAAGGAAGGCCAGGGGCCGGCCTCGCTATGTCCGGGCTGAGCACCACCGCTCCTTGCATCTCATTGGCCGGGCTTTATCACGCTTCTTTCCTCGTGAAAGCTTCGCCTGACCGGGAGTCGATTAGGCTGCGATGCAAGCTGCCGAGAGGTTGTAGACCGCAAACGATCCTCCTTTAATCTGGCCAAAACCTATCACTGGACCTGCGGAGCAAAGGCCGGCAGCCTGGAGCATATGGGAGAGGGCAAGGGCTTGGGATACCTGCTGAGCCCACCTGCAATTTCGTGGTTCTCCTGTTTCCCAGCCTTGTGCTTAGCATGCATGGTCTTGATCAGTATTATTCATCGCCCGTTCCTCGTACAATCCCTTTGTTCCTTTGTTCGAGTGACACCTACTCAGTTACTTGATCCCTGGCTAACTCGGGATGTACATGTGCGGGCTAGAATCAGCAGCCTAGACGGCTCGTCCCGAATATCTGGATCTTAGTATCAGCGTGTGGTAGAGTTGTAGATGTCTCTCGTCAATGTGTCTAGCCCAACTTTGGTCAGCGCGCCGCGACCATCTCCCATAGAGGCCCAATAAGAGCCATGAACCGCAACCGGCAGACAAAGGCCTGCGGAACATACTTGATGGACCTCAAGGGCATGCCCGCTGAAGCTGCTTCATTCCCGGTTGGCTTACCACTGGTCTAGTCATTGCATTTTCTCTCCCGTTATCAGGAATCAACAAGGGGTTTACAGTGCTGCAGATCGAATAGATCCCACGCCAAATCGCACCATCTAGACACCCTCTGCGTTAGAGCACTACGAGAACATATCCACATCCCTAAACTAGTAAGCACCTTTAATATCAGCTGCATTTCGCCAAGGCTAGGACATCTGACCTTCTCCACCAGATTTGTTCTCCTTCTTCTCTCAGACCGCTCTGCCAGCCCTCCATCAACGCTACTGTAGTGCGTTGGGAGCAAGTAGTGCCGGACAGTCCGTAGCACCTACCAATTTAGGTATCGAAGGAACACGACCGCCACGTTGAGCCACTGTATCGTCAACTGATACCTGGTAGTGTAGTGTGGGTATGTCGGGCAAACGCGATACTGCGCTGTTTTCAATGGCTAATCTTCATTGGAAGGTGCATTTGCCTCTTAAATCTCGCTTCCACCAAGTGTTTCAATCCCTCTATATAAGAGGTAGAAGACATCCTCTCAGGAACATCAGGCAAGGAGCACAGTAACACCCAACTCTTCAACATCAGTCTTCGATAACTCTCGCTTCAACGACATCGTTCTTTGAATATCCGCCAATATGCAACTTTCACTTATCCTCGCACTTTTGCCGCTGGCTCTAGCCGCCCCGGCCCCGGCCCCGGAACCAGCACCAGTAATCCTTCCGCGAGCTGGCTCTGCTATTCCTGGACGGTACATCATCAAGATGAAGAATGAGAACCTCGATAAAAGTGTCAACTCCGCCTTGAAGCACTTGAGGAAGGGCCCCCGGCACGTCTACAAGTTCGGTAACTTCGGCGGCTTCGCTGCTGATTTGACCGATGAGACTCTCGATACCCTTCGTCACCTCCCTGGAGTATGTAATCAGCTTCTGATATCAGAGATCTCATGTTGACAAAGTACAGGTTGATTACATTGAGCAGGACGCAATCGTCAAAGCCAATCTTGGCACGGTTGATCATCTTGAGAAGAAGGCTTATGTCACGCAGGCCTCGTCCACCTGGGGTCTGGCGCGTATTTCTCACATAGCCCGAGGTAGCACATCTTACACCTATGACAGCACTGCTGGTGCCAACACGTGCGCCTACGTTATTGACACCGGTATCTCCACCACCCACCCTGAGTTCGAGGGCCGCGCCGTTTTCCTCGCCAACTTTGCTGGCGATGGCACGAACACAGATGGTAACGGCCACGGCACTCACGTTGCTGGCACTATAGGCTCTAAGACTTACGGAGTCGCGAAGAAGACCAAGCTCTATGCTGTTAAGGTCCTTGACGCAAGCGGTTCGGTAAGTTCCCCTCCTCACCCTCTTCCTAAGGCCACCTACTCACTGTATGAAAGGGTACCAACTCTGGTGTCATTGCCGGTATCAACTACGTCGCCAACGACGCAAAGACCCGTAGCTGCCCCAATGGCGCCGTCGCCAACATGTCTCTTGGAGGCTCTAAGTCCACCGCTGTCAACTCCGCCGCTGCCAATGTCGTCTCCTCTGGTGTTTTCCTGGCTGTTGCCGCTGGCAACTCGGCTGCGGACGCTAGCACCTTCTCTCCTGCCTCAGAGCCTACTGCCTACACTGTTGGCGCCACTGACAGCTCTGACCGATTCGCCTCCTTTTCTAACTTTGGCACCGCTGTTGACATCCTCGCTCCCGGTGTTGCTATCCTATCTACTTGGCTCAATGGTGGCACTGTAAGTTCCCACGATGCATTTTCTCAACAGAAAGCTAACAGGTTGCGAAGAACTCCATCTCCGGTACCTCAATGGCCTCTCCCCATGTTGCCGGTCTCGGAGCCTACCTGCTAGGTTTTGAGGGCAAGAAGACTCCCGCTGCTCTTTCTGCCCGCATCACTGCCCTTTCCAACAAAAACAAGATCACCGGTCTGCCCGCCGGCACCAAGAACTACCTTGCTTTCAACGGCAACCCAAGTGGTTAAACATTCGGTTAGACAACTATTAAAGGGTTATCGCTGGTATGTGTTTCAAGGAGAACTGAGATGGACGAGTGGGATCTGGGTTGCAGAATATAGAACTGGGTGATAGAAGTCATGATTGTTGTATGGATGGGGGAAGTTGCAAATTCCTGGCGTAGCATGTAGTGGTGATGCTATTTAGTTTCGAAATTGAGTCTTTTCCCCAGCCTCGAATATATGCTCATAACTGCCCATGCCAATCGTCCCGCTTCAAAGTGCGGCCGGGGCACAAAAGCATCCGCCCTGTACACTCTCCGCATTCCGTTACCCGCTGTCGTGCTCACTCATTATTGCCACACTACTGTTGCAATACCTTATTGTGACATTGTTTTTATTAGATGACGCTCCACCAATGGACGGTGGTTTTTAGCATCCGTTCTTAGACGCGTTAGCCGTAGGAGCGTCGGGATGCGCTACCGATCCCAATAGCGCTGCTAGAGAGCCTCATTGCGGATACGTATTGACACCACGCAAACGGTTTTGGTACTACGATGACGATAGTTCTAGGTCGCTTTAGCCCATACGGTTACACAATGACTGCTACCATCTTGCATTCGTCACAAGGTACCATTTATCTCCACTTATGATCAAGCTAATATTAGTCGGATTTGTGTACAATGGCTTCACTATTCACTATTGCGTGCGGGAGCGGGCGTACAACACAGCGAAACGCCATCGCTACCTCGATCCGGTGCTCAACGAGCTAGTGTCCGTTGCGCAAGTTTGCTTTAGCAACGGGACTTACGTCAAAGAGGAATCTGCTAAGAGCGACACCGAATGAGGGCGTTGTTACAAATCTCTGTTGCTGGGTGTCGTTGGCACGGTGTAGTAGGACCGAAGTACCGCCAGGAGCTTGCTGCATCAGGCTCAAGCCTTTGTTTGGATGATCATTTGGTTCAGGGAAAGTCATCATTCCAACATCCCACGATTTGCGTGAAGAGCAATGCTACCGGCGATCTTGGCTCTCATGTTGCACCGCGAAGAACTGTTGGTAAGGGGGGAAACATTCGAATACCATTCCAGCGCCAGCCCCAGAGTGCGTTGAAACAAGCTCTCCAGATCCTTGCACCTAATACGATCACCGTTGTCAAGATCTTCAGGCTCAAGATCTTAATGCATGAGATCTCCATCCTTCTGAAACGCGCGGATATGGTGCGCCGCCTCCGCGTTGATCGTGCATCTCCACACGTCCCTTATAACCAGATTGCTGGAAACTCCAGACCATGCTGCAGCCCAAGCAGATCTTGGATTAATGTCGATGCATTGAATATAGAAGAGATAATGCCGATCTGCGGGGCCCCACAAGTAAATGAAGAGATATTGCTGTTAATATTGGCGGATGAATGCGAGGCTCTTAATTCTCCGTATGTGGGTCTGTGCAGAGATGTGGGGATTTCAATATGGGAGCCGCGTCCATATTCGCGCTTCCGTTTTTATGCACAATGGCTCTCTACTCTTCTCCCCACTCTTTATACGTCCTTTTCATATGAGTTGATGCGGCAAAAGCCTCACATACAGCTTCGGTATGATCTTTTGCTTCAGAAAACGCACAGACGTCATCTTCGGTCTCATCTTGCGCGATCAGCCGAACATGGACGCTAGGACATCACTAGAAACATCCTAAACATCCGTGATCACACGGCTAGCATGATTGCAAATGGCCATACCATCTCAATACCCGATCTGGATCCTCCGGCAAGATGCGCATAACTAGGAGACATATTGGATTGCGCGCTTACGATATTTTAGAAATGTGGTGCAATCGACCCATCGCATGCGAACAGCGTTCCCAATCCTCGTTCCACCACTACACTATGTGCTGCAAGAGCTTCTTGTGCTTCTATGCAAGCTGCGCTACCAAGGGAACTGTAGGCTTGCGAACGCCACGCATGCAACCTTTCCACCCCGAGTGGTCTCCGACAATCGAACCCTCCAATCGTGTCATCGGTGACGGATGAGTGCTTATCGTGGCTTTTGAGGAATAGCAGCGCTTGACCTCACGAGGCCAATGGGCTATAATTCCTTACCAATCGATGCGCAATCGACGCGAGGCAGCTGCAGCAGAGCTCACATGTCCGGTCGAGCTCAGAGACTGATGAGCTTATAAGGTGACGGCATCACCTCTGTTGAGCAGAGTTGTCCACGCTCGAGCGATTGCTCAAGCTTGGAAGTTGTATTCCTTGCCTTCCTAAGCATACTTAACACAGCATGAGACTAGTTACGGGCACCTAGGTTGGCGAAGCGTTCAGTATCCATGTGCTGTTTGTTTGACGCAGATGGCAGAGACGAGCCCTGCTCTAAGCCGAGGACACGGCCAGTAAGTACGGGCAGGACGACTACTGAAAATGCTCTTCACTAATACTATAGAAGTAATAGAAGACTGCCAACAATTTCAATTCACCTAAGCGATACTTTAGTAGTTCTTCTCACGAATACAGCATAACGGCTATCGACTGCGATCTGTCATGCCGGATTTCTTTGGCAGAAACACCCCACCGTCCGTTGTCGTCTCAGGACAATGCGCATAGCTTCATAGCAGGATCAGCAAGACTCGTTGTACTTTCGGCGCTTTATACATTCCAACCCGGGAACTGCTCCACTTCCTACATAATGACCGCCGTTCCACGACATTTTCGGGCAGCATCCCCGAAAGCCATCTGCTTTGGATAGAAAAAGATACTGCTCTACGTTCTCATGTTTTAGAAGCGTTCCGCAGATCATGAATCATCTCACGGAATCGGCATGGGAGGCTAGGCGTCTGACTTCCTTGAGCTCAGATTCCTCTCCGACCCTTCGCTAGCCAATGTCGCAGACGAACTTCGATCACACGTTTAGGCTTTGGGTGCTTGAGGAGCTTCACCGCCATCGACCCCATTGAGAGCGCTTATCTCGACGCCTTGGGACGGTTGAGCATTCACCGGACATTCGCCCATCATGCCCTAGAAGAACTTATGGCCAAATGCATGGCAAAGCGGCGTCATCTCACGGCATACCCTACAAACGTCTCACCTTCTGATCTGTTCTTGATTCCTTGGCATGCATCCAATCAATATTTTTTGACCACTCGCAGATTTCTGTTGAGGTAGGTATTTACCCTTCGTGTCTCGTTAAGAGCTGATGCGAATTCCAATAGGATAATGCGATATGAGCCGTTACATCGCTCTTGTTCTGGTAAATCCTTCGGCTGACGGAGGGCTCCGGGTCACACAGACCGTCTACTGGGTTCTCCCATGCAATCGGTCATGGCTAATATACTGCGCACGGTCCAGCCCTGTAAGAAGGGCTCACAAGACACCTCCCCCACTCCGATCCCACTTACACCGCATACGCACGCGACTTCCGACTCAGCATATTCGAGTTCGTGTTGGTTTGGGTGCTGATCGATTGGTAAAAATGTTGAATCTAGACACCATAGCCCGATTTGCGATGCTCTTCCCGCACTGCCGGTCTGCGAGAACCCCTCCATGCAGGGTCATCCATCCATCTCATATCCCGCGCGGTGCACCCTTCAAATATTGAAGGTCTCGAAACACCGATACCTATTGGATTCAATATACAACATTGCAACGCCGATAAGGATGTTTATCTTCGTCAGTCTGGCACAGATGGCGACAAAATGTTGTTTCATCACGCGATGAGCAGATGCCACAGGAGCACGGATTTATCACATATGGGCACAGTCCAATGACAGCCATGGAGCATTGCTTGGTTGGTCGAAACCTCACGGTGCAACGTGCGTCCTTTGTTCTGTATGCCGGTTATGGGTCGGCGCCTTAGCACACATCTTAGAAACATGACAAGAGTAGGAATCTAGCAAGAAGGACTGTCAAAGCTCTATTGACCGTAAGCACTGTTGTCTACTTTCGTCCTGCTATGGCACGGTGCTATTGCGTCCCTGACCGGCTATCTGAACTCTTCCACTGACGCCTAACTCGCTCCTCCTGATGCCTCCTTCTCTTTAGCCTAACAGCGGTTTGGCTGAGTACCTAGAATGATATTCCTACCACATCTTTTCAAATCGTTGCCATAGCTTTCTACGCAACCCCGCAACCATTACGGTACCTCTGTCTCGTAGACATGGAAAACAACCATGGTCCTTTACGAACCTCATACCAGCATTCTGGGGTCCATGCGATAAGGGACGGAGGCCTTCTGGGGTGTTGTAAGATCACGCTGGCAGTCTCTGAAAGAAATCAGGCCTGCATTTGTCTGGCCGTGTCACCTCCGTGAAGCTTGGCACTCGCTGCAGACCGACATGGTTTCTGTTCCTGCTAGAGCTGTCCATGCTGCTGCGCCTTCATGGTTCTCGGACTTGGTCAGTTGAGCGTTGCATTGCGTACATGCAGACTCAATGCTGATCACCCTCTATTGCCACGAACTGGGAAGGCAGCTATGTACCAGCGTACCAAATAGTTTCACTGCGCCAGTGTTGGCCTCGAGTCTCAACTATTTAAGACTCACTTGCGCTGCTGTATTCGTGATCTTCAGCTCACATAGCTTCATCTTCACATCAATACGTATCTACTTTGCCATTCTCACTCTATCGATCTCCCAAAGTACTTCTGTCAGTGAAGATGTATATCTCTCCACTCCTAGCATTCATTCCAGTCGCTCTTGCGGCGCCTCTTGTCAACGTCAAGAGGGATGACATTATCGCCGGCAAATATATCGTCAAGTTGAAGGGCGACGTGAGCACGTTTGCCGAAGACCAGCTCAAGAAATCCATCTCCACTGCACCCGACTTTGAGTACACACTCCCTGGCTTCCGTGGTTGGGCTGGTACTTTATCCGACCGGGAAGTTACGCAGCTTAAGGCCTCCAGCCAGGTACCTTGCCCACTCTTCTGAAGTAACTGGTGCTAAACTGCTTTCAGGTCGAGTACATCGAACAAGATGCGAAGGTGTATGCTTCAGCTATTATCGAACAGCAGAACGCCACTTGGGGTCTTGGTCGCATCTCCCACCGCGAGAAGGGCAGCACGACCTATGTTTACGACGACACCGCTGGGGAGGGTACATGCTCCTACATCATCGATACCGGCATCTTTGTCGATCACCCACAGTTCGAAGGGCGTACGTATTAGCAGTATCCCCTCCAAATGAACGTTACTGATCAATCCATAGGCGCAGAGTTTCTCACCGACGCTTCCGGGGAGGGCACTCTCGCGGACGGTAACGGTCACGGCACCCATGTTGCTGGCACGATAGGCTCAGCCGAGTACGGAGTCTCGAAGAAGACAAAGCTCTTTGCTGTCAAGGTACTCACCTCAAGTGGCTCTGGTTCTTTCTCAGGCGTCATTGCGGGTATCAACTTTGTTCAAAATGACGCAAGGTCTCGCAAGGCGTCCGGAGCGTGCCCCAAGGGCGTTGTTTCCAATATGAGTCTTGGTGGCGGCAAAAGTGTTGCTATCAACGAAGCAGTATGTATCCTCCGCTTTGGAGTGGACTCGAACAGCCGAGTACTGACCTTCATCTAGAGTGCGGCCTTAGTAGCGTCCGGTGTCTTCCTCGCCGTCGCTGCAGGCAATTCCGGTGATGACGCTCAATTTTACTCCCCGGCATCCGAGCCAACAGTCTGTACCGTCGGCGCTACTACTATCGACGATAAGTTTATCAACTGGTCCAATCGCGGCACACTCGTTGATATCCTGGCTCCAGGTGTCAACATCACCAGCACGTGGCGCGACGGCGGGATCAACACCATCTCGGGAACGAGCATGGCTTCACCACATATCGCCGGTCTTGGTGCATATCTTCTGGGGCTGGGGGGCGCGGACGTCAATACTCTGTGTCAGAAGATCACCGAGCTGGCGACGCCTAATGCTATTGATCCGGCCACGCTGCCCGCCGGTACAGTCAACCTGTTGGCTTACAATGGCGCTAAGTAGTAGGGGAGTGTGTGCTACTTTGAATAGTAGATCCGAAACACGCGTAAGTAATGATACGGATTGAGTGGTTTGGGTAGAATTATGCGCTATAGACAGGAATAGCTTTTTAACTACGTACGTAGACGATTATACAGCTTGTTTTTCATAGTGCCACTATCTACCTCTCTTGTAATCGCCTACACTACTAGATGGACTTTGAAACCAATTTCCATCTATCGTGACGCTTCAGGAATAACACCAATAAATATTCTTCTCAAACTGAAAAGGAGAAAACAGTCATATTTTGGGTATTTAAAAGTGACCACGATAAAAGATACTATGCAACAATGCTAAAACGCCATCATAAATCATTCCTCTTGCGAAGCGCTCTGCTTTCCCATCCTCCTTCTGCGCCTAATCATACATGTCCAGTAAAACCAGATTCCTTTCACAAACCCCGAGCGCATAATAACGCGAAATGAACCGAATTAGGACCTAGGATCTCTGTCCACTGACCCACCTAAGAAGTTCATCGACATCTTCGTTCCCCAAACTACCGGTCCGATCTTCCTTCGTTCCTAGCTGCTCTTTCCTAACTTCCTCCTTACTTCCTCCAATGTTATTAGGCTGATCGGATGCAGGCAGCTGTGATGATTTTAACTTGGCGTGCTCTATGAGATCTTGTACATCGCTATGTGATAACGAGCCGTCGTCGACCGTCATGCCGAGTCGCTGTTTCTTCTCGTTCTCATCGCGTTTAATCTCTTGGACATCAGCTTGGGTGGATCTGAGTGTGCGAAGATCACCAGATTCTGGCTCATTGGGTCGCGGAGGAGTGAGCGCGCTGATCTTGTCACTACTGCGTTGTCCGCCATCGTGTTTGAGTTGGGGCTCAATTTCCTTTACGTCGGGTTCAGGCATTATCGGCTGTGGTTGTAGGACGTCTTTCCTGCTGACCCATCTCACAAGCTCATCGATATCATTATTCCTCAGATGGTTTTTTTGCTCTTTCATCGGCGATTCGGGCCGACTCCTCGGTCGTCCTCGCTCTGGCTCATCATCTAGATGTTCAAACTCGTGCACTGTCGTTGTAGCCGCGGAATTGCCGCTCGTACCGTGAGGTCGCTTAAATCTTCCCCCTATTTCTGGTACATCTGAATCGTAGTGCTGCTCCGCTGGTGCGTCGAGCTCAGACCTGTCCAGATTCCAACGAACTGGGCCAGCTTTTGGGCCGTCGCGATGCGATATCCAGCGCACAAGATCGTCTGCGTCTTCTTCCTCGTCTGAAGAGTGTTTGGCGAGCTCAGAGTCAGATTCGGTCGATGCATCGCTGTACCCTGTCTGGACGTGGCTCTCTCTTATCGCGTCCGAGCGTCGACTCGCAAAACGAACCAAGTCATCAACGTCTGACTGTCCGACACTCTCGTGTCCGCTTTCTTGATTTAATTCTGGCACGGGTCCTTCTCTTCTGGCTTCGCCGTCGCTGGGAGGGTCTCGTCGACTGACCCAGCGGACTAGATCTTCGACATCGGAGTGGTCGATGCTCTCTTCATCGGCATCGCGGTACTTCCAAGACATGTCTCGTTGCTCGTCGTCATTGTCTGAGCTCGCTGTTGATGCGCGGTCGTCGAACTTGACTGGCGCTCCATCCTCCCCAATTCGTTCCATGGTAGGCGCTTCCCTACTCGTCACCCTTCGTATCCTCATCTTAATTCTACCCCCAATCCCCTCGTTCGCCTGCGTTTCCTTCTCTGGCGTCTTCGGGCGATGCATCTTTCGTTCGTCGTGCTGATTTTTCCAATTGCTTGCCGCCTCGCTTCGGTCGTGCTCTTCCTGCTGGACAACGCTCATCTTGTCCTCCAGATTGGCAGAGAACAGCATGCTACGAAGAGAGTGAAATCGAGCCATGTGCGGATGCTTTTGTTTTGTAGGCCCACCGCCACCGCCACTTGTGGGGAGGAGCCCAACGCGCTTTGGTCCTTTGTTCGCAGAAGACTTCGGCGAACTCCTCCTAGGCGATAGTGACGAGGGGACGGGAGGGGTCTGAGGACACAGCTTTTGCCTATCTTGGCGCAAATTCTTACGAGCTTCGGGTTGCTTGTTTGACTGTTCGATATCCGCTAGATCCTCGTCTTCAGATAAGCTCCCTTCTTCGCTACTGCTATCCGATTGCTCGTCTCCCAGGTCGTCTAGTAGTCGTGATACTGCCGGTGACAGCATGCTCATGCCCCCCAATTCCCTCCTCTCCTCCGCAGGCACCTGATCTATATTCGCAACTGCCGCCGCCTTTTGGGGCGGGAGATCAAAATATGACGCCATGACTCTGTGCCGCGCGTCGCGTTGAAATGTCTACCTTGAAGATGTATCTAGCCAATTGAGCATATAAGTAGAGGGATGGCGAGCGGTGAGGCAGTGCTCTCGGCGTCTTGGTGTCTCGTCGCGATCGTCCATGCAGAGGCTGGGCTGGACCCAAAGGGAAAGTCTCGACCCCGCAAATGCATGACGCGGTGACGTGTGACTGGCGGGATCTGCTGAGTCAGCGAGCTAGTGACGAGGCCCATCTGCGGGACTTGCTGAGGCGGCACCACCCTTTGAGAGTGGAGATTTGGTACGTGTGGTCTGATGCTCGTTTTGATGTCAGGGTATATCTTGGATTCGGGCCTTGTGGTGATGCTGTGTGGGTGTTTTATGCGGCTGCTGCAACATCCGGGAAGGGCAACTTCATCTGCTTGCATCTCCCGGCAACTCCTTGTTACGCGACCTGTGGGTAAAGAAAGCCATGTAGTATACTTGATATTACGTAGTAGCAAGCTGGGTTCTAACGATAGCTGTATGAAGAGCCTGAGAGCTAGTCTGCAAGAAATTTTACAGCACCTCGTGAGCCATCGAACCACTTCTCGACCACTTCGCTGTCATTTCTTGATACCAATTAATAGTTCTCTTCTCTTAAGCCTGGAACGTCCACCTTGGATGCCGATCCCCCAGCTTCAAATCCTCATCACTATCATGGAATCCCCTCGTTTCTGGATGCTCCACAAGATACTTCTGCTTTTCGCGGTTTTCTTTGTCCAAGAAGTACCATAGCGTAGTGACCACCACGATGTTCAGGCACAAATACCCCAACGCAAACGAATGCCCTAAAACATATCTTGGTGCTGTTATGGGTCGGTACAGCTGCGTACCGAGAACAGCTCCTAGGTTGCCAATCGAAATCTGCATCGCATTGGCTGTTGCGCGCTTCGTTTGGCCGGAAACGTTGATAGCGGGCCAGGAAAGGACTAGGGCGACGGAAGGGTAGATGCCGATGGCTGCGAAGAAGACGCCCACGTAGGAGACGCCTGGGCGCGCCTTTGGATTCTTATTGGCTAGTAGGATGATATACCCGACAATGGCAACACTGGAGGTGATGGTTATGAAAAGCGCCCGGCGCGCGTAGCGTTCAGATAGGATTGCCCAAAAGATGGTGAATATTGTCGCCACTGCGTATGGAGGAATGGTGAGCAGTTGTGATTGCGCAGATGTATAGCCCATATCTCTGATGATGGTAGGCTGAGATTGCGTTAGTATAGCAAACCCATCAAGACTGAAGATAACTCACCAGGAAGAGAGATAGCGTATACAGTGGCAAACTCATAGTGTGGAAGCCCAAGCCATACAGCCACACCTTGATATCTTTGCACGCGAACCAGACATCGCCCCATCGGAACTCTTCTTCATTCGTTGCATCACTGTCGGCTTTCAAGCGAGCCTGGATAAACGCCCTTTCATCTTTGGACAACCAACTGACTGTATCGGGATAATTGGAGATGAACCAGTACGCAACGATAGCAATTATAATAGTGAGTAGACCTTCCTGTATATTTGTTAGTTGAGTATTCATGCCAATGAGTTCAACTTACCAAGATGAAGATCCATCTCCAGCCCGAATACCCTCCGACGTTGCGCATATGCGCGATACCCCAGGCTAGGCAAGTCAGCTCAATCCAGGCAAGTAGCGCATACTGCGCATCTAGGACATACCTAGAATGCCACCAAAAGCTCCTGCGAGGGAGGCGCAGCTGAAGAAGAGCGAGATGCGGTACTGGCGTTCATTTCTCTTGTACCACATGGACAGGTAGTACACTACACCAGGAAAGAGTCCAGATTCTGTTACTCCGAGACTAATGAAATATGAGCAGAGCTTCTACAGATGGTTTAGTACTACTCACAAAAACCGAACGACAAAGAAGCCGGCAAGATTCTTCGTTACACCCATCAATGTAGCAACAATTCCCCATGCCTAAAGTAGGTACGGAATTAACCAATGTATCCAATGCACTGGATGTTTAGACTTGACATACAAGCGTTAAAGTAGGAAGCCAAAATTTGGGCGACGTCCGTTTGAGGATGATGTTGCATGGGAGTTCGAAGAGGACATAGCCGATGAAGTAGAGCGTAAGACCGGTGAGATATTGGTTACCGGTCATGTGTAGGTCCGTAGTGAGTCCCTCGATACGCGCGTTGGCGACTACAACAAATCATCAGTTCCATCTCGAAAACGTCTCTTCAAGTTCGAAATTACCATTGCTGCGATCCAGGAACGACAAAAGGTACAATATCGATACCGCGGGAAGTAGTCTCAAATCCAGCCTACGAAGCAACTTCTTCTCGTTGATGGAGCCAGGAACGACTTCGACGTCCGAATCAGATGTGTTCGACGCGGCTGGCGCTGCATGCTTCTCTGGGGGTACTTCCGATGCCATGGTTGGGAATGCGGCTCGAAGACTTGGGCGGCCGTTCTCCAGGGCACCAAGTATTTATCTTGCCCAGGATCAGCCCCAATGATGCAAGAGCATGGATTTGTCGCTCATCCAGTTGCAGCGTCATGATCCAGGGTGAGGACAACGCTCCCAGGGGTCACTGCGGGCTTTCATTGGACTGCATTCCATCTCCCCTCGGAGGCGGGTTTCGATGCTTGTTAACAAGCCTATTTTCCTCGGTACCATCTCGATAACGGGACAGCTTTCGACTTTTGGGGTCATTGTGGTAGGGGATTCGAAATTGAAGTCTGAAATGTCGTGATTGCAGATCGTTCGCGCTAGCCGAGGTAGGTTTAACCTCGGGACAAACATGGTGAGAAGGCGCTGCTATTTGCCCGGGGTGATGCATGGCTAGTTTCGTACAGGGTGGGTAAAGCAGATGTCAAACCGCCGTACAGGCTTGACGGCACAACGGGCGTTCAAATCTAGTGTATTACCCCACGTTACTATTGCTGTCACGACGACTAGTCTTACACGTTATCTCAAGAGCGTTCCTGCTCAAACCATGCGTTTCCATCTGCGGTAACCCCATGCCACACCGTGTTGTCTTCTCTAAGAGGACACTCTCCACCACTAATCAGGTATTCCGAGAGCGCTGACCCCAGGTCACCGTTGAGCCACCAGATCAGAGCACCAGGTTTCTCTTCACAGCAGCCGAATAAGTACTCTCCTGAGAAGATTGCCGAAGTCAATTTGAGAACGGGCCGAACAGCTTCAAGCACATGGATCCATGAGCCGTCTGGGACCAGGCATATGTCCTTTAGATGAAGCGCCTTGAGAGTAGACGAGTGATTCTGCAAAAGGCGGATGATGTCTTCTTCGGCAACGTCGATGTTGGTGAGACTCAACTCGCAAAGCTCTGTCCAGTCCTCGTCCAACGGGATCATTTCGCGAATACTAGCTGCGGCATGGAACCTGCCTATCTGGCGCCGCTGATGAAGGCTCAGAGACAGCGAACGAAGCGCCTTCATGCTCCGGAGAAACTGTTTAAAAAAACCACGTTTCAACACCGCCCAACACTCATCGCATTCTTCGTAGCCGTCGCCACGTGCAATGGGTCCTCCCCTCCAATAGGACAAGGCCAACGTAAGACTCGTAAGTCTACCGAGTTTAGCTTCGAAAGATACAGGGTAGATCCTTGGCATGAAAAAGGTATAGTCAATCGCGTCGATCTCTAGCTTCCATGGCCGTTGGAGTGCTGACAGTCCCTCAATTGCTCTCGTGAGTGCGTGTACTCCCAAGGGACCGTCCTCAAGATCGGGGTTGAATAAGGAGTCGCCTCTCGGTATGAAATCCAAAGTATCGCGCGCAATGTCTGTGCGAATCTTTTGTAGTCCGCGCTCCCTTGACTCAAGCGATCCATTAAGGATCCTTATTTCTCGCAGCGCAGGGAATTGCTGCAGCAGACCAGCTATCCGATCTGGATGTAGCACACCGTGGAGTGTCTTCTTCTCGTCTTGCCGTCGCTCATCGTGTGCCTGATAATGGGCCTTCACATCGCCGATCTTGGCTTCTATATCCCTGGGCAGAAGACCGTATGGTTCTGGGTAGAGCAACCGATAGTTATCCCGCAGCGTGGAATAGCGGCCTTGCTGAAGCTGATATGCCGTGAGCTCGTCTTCTGTGCCACCAGCTATGTCCCATAAATTCGAGTCCCAGACCAGAGTCTGCACACAGCCTCGCAAGTTTTCACGTCCAGCAAGTTCCTGAACGCGCTGAACGCTCACAGATGAAGCATGAAACGCGATTACTTTGAACAATTCCTTGGCCCCGGTGGCTGCAAAATACTTGCATGTACAACGGTATTCGCGAAGATCGGCATCGGTCAGATGGGGAACTATTTTTCCATAAATCTCCGGCGGAAGAGAGTATATCGTGGTCATCGTTTCGCTTGCGAGAGGGCTCCTCTATGATGTGGTAGAGTTTAGCAAGTGGTATCAATGAAGTGATACTGGCGGTAGGGCCGATACGAGAAAGAACGCGTTGCGTGAGCTGAAGGAACTAATAGAGCTGGAATCAAAGTTGAAAGCAAGATAATTCGAAGAAAAGAAGAACATGAATACGGTGAACATGCCTTTAAGAAGTGGGCCGGGACCTGACGGATATTTGATTGAACGAAACCTGGGGATGGTATATCTAAACGGCCCGTCGCTTAGCGATGCAGGGCGGACCCAACAACCTGTCCAGTGCTTCAGATTCGTTCTTCGATGACCAGAAATCTATAAGCGATTAAAAAACATACCATTAGGCGTTTTTGACTCCATATTTTTGGCGGTTTAAATACTCCACGCTCAATCCACCTAGCTCTACTACGCCACAATACCACCATGTTCTTCAAATGCTTAAGCGACCGTTTGCTCATCAGGCTTCATCCCTGAGAGCGTCCGTTCCTTTCGCAGATGCAGATCCGCAGGCATCCGTCCTAGCAGCTCGGTCCACCGCTCGGCAATTGCAATTGCATGCCACCACCTCACACACCGCCAACTCTCCTGCCTGAACTGCTGTAGTAGTAGGTTGCCGCAAATATGCACCTCCCTCCTTGCCTTGACGAGGGACTGGATATTGGTCTTCTCGCTCACGACGTACTTATTCCTCTGACGCGCGAATGAGTCCATTGACGGCAATGATGCGAGTGCCACATACAGGCGATGTTTGTGCAACGAGAAGAGGTTGCAGGTTGCCACATTGTTTGCGGGGGGTTGCATGTAGCCAGAGGCAAGACCATATATGCCCCAGCCAAAGGATTCCTGGTCTAGTTCTCCGCCATCAAGTAGCTTTTCGAGGATGGTGATGGTAGTTTCCCAGAGGTGTTTGAAGAGAACAAGGTCTTCCTTAGCCGGCCCTTCGGGTTGTGCAGTGTCGATCGAGTCTTGAGCTGCGGCAAGAGAGACGGCGACATCCTTGACCGAAGCCGTAGTAGTCCTTGGGGGTGGAACGGGCGCGGGTGAGAAGGCGGTTGTGCCGCTGAACGTGGTGTACGGACCATGCAGGCGAATAAGCGAGCTGGCTTGGCGCAATAGATGGAAGAAGCGCGCGGTGTCGGACATGCGAAAAGCCTCTCGAATGATGTCCACATTCGCTGGCAGTGCTGTTGCTGTCGATGGTGATACCGACATGGGTGGATAATTGGCGTAATTGCGTCTGATGCAAGCGCACCTACTGATGTTGCTATCGACACGACCTCAGGGGATACCCTCAGTTGAAGTGTAGTGTTGATCGTTGTGTTTACAAGGATGTTGAGTGAGACCTTGAGGCACCAGCTGCTGGTGAACGTAAGTAAATCCTAACGAACTGGTGCGTGGTGACCGTTCCAGGTAGCATTGTTTCCACAGTGACTGCATCAGCTGACTGTCTTTCACTCTCGCAGCCATGATTAGCTCAATGTCTGGAGTGACGCGATGTGTCGAAGCCCGGAAACTCTCCTGACTTGGGCGTACTGGCTACACAAGCTTCCTTGAACTGGCTTGTACCTCAGTCTGGGCCACGGAATCTCCCATGGCCGAGAACGGTCCCCTTGGTGAAACTATTCTCGAAGCTGTCCCTCAGGTGATGCCAAGGGACGCTCTCACTCTCCTGTTCTATCATGGTGGTCTGCATGATGTGTCCGTGAGGAGCCGGGCTCTCGTCGGTCACGACAATGGTTAGAGGTATTTCCATACTCTGGTAATCCATACGCTTGGGACCGTAAATTTCTGTCGAGGTGGTGCCGCTCAGTTCCGTGGGTACTAGATCAGAGGGACTCAGGCTACGTCGATAGCCACGGCGGTCCTTTCGTCTTAGCCTGCTGTTGGAGGGAGAATATGTGCGGCTTCGTCGGTCGCGGGGGGCGGCCTCAAGGCTCATAAGCCCAATACAGTGCCGAACAAGCGGCCGTAGCGTGGCTATACATCCGGCTACTATGCCAATACCAGGTTCGACTGTACTCCAGATGGCAATATCCGTAGTTGCGTAAAGAAAGTCGGGGCCGTCCATTAGAGTATTGATGTAGAAGATGCGGACAATTGTGCCAGTACTTCCACTACGTGATTGTCAGCGTGTTGCTTGACAGAAATAGCGCAACCTCACTCACATGGCTGCAAAAGCGAGAATGCCGGCAATCAGAAGCTTCGTTTTCAGCTTCATCTCTAGATCCCACACAATGAAAAATGGAAGCGTTCCAAATGCCCAGTCCGCAGCAGCGTTGACAACCGCGAGTGCGTAGGTGATGCCAAGCGTCGGGCCTTTAGGCAGGCATTTTTTAGAAGCTGGGTGGTTTTCCCAAAACTCGGTGACTGAATTTGGTTAGCAAGGGGATGTTGCGAGGAAGGAGCGAACACGTACTGGGTAGGCACTGGAGCATGACCAGGAAGAAGTAAACGGTTCCGAAGAGAACAGTACCTGCCATCAGCAGCTTGATGCACCAGATATGCCAGCGTTGAATAGCAACTCGGAGGTAGAAGTAGCCAATAGCGAATTTGAGGAGGCAGGTGATCAATACGTAGAGGAGCTCGCCCAGATACCAGAACTGGACATGGTTAGATTTGACAAGACAGGCGAACGGTATGAAAAGTTACCATAAGCGCAATTCTCGCATCTTCGTCGCTTAGATCCCAACGGTGTCGCCCGGTTCCATGCACTGCGGAGACCATCTGGAACGACAGATATACTGTGAATACGACCTGCACACCTTGGTAAGTTATTGGTCAATCGAAGGCGGATCGAGGCGTGAGACATACTGCTGTCGCAACCATATATGAGTCTACGAGTCGTGGAGGTACGAGGTCAGCGTGTGTCTCACTTCGGCTCGTACATGGACGCTTACCATCTTTTCCCCACGTCTTCGTCAGGAATCCTCTAACGTAGACTCGCAAGCTGACAGTCAACCAGGCAAGCACAAAGAACAGCGCGGCAACAGCCAGCACCTCGTGATGGCGGTCGTCCATGGTCGGTTCCAGCGCGCGCTTCATTCGTTCCTTTCCGACGTTAGTGTGCGCTGATCATTGCGTCTGTCTGTAGCCTAGCATTCATTCGCGCATGTCGAGAGGAGCATTTGTTATGTCGCAACGAAGTAGAGCGCGACAGCCCCGTGGAGGTTGAGGTTGAACGGAAGGCTGCCCCCCATCGGCAATAGTAGCTATAGTAGCCCTCGTTAAGGTTTCAGCCAACCGTGCCTCATCGATACCCGGACGTCATGGTTCGATGCAGACATGGAGATGCAGGGACGGATCGAATCATGTACGACGTTGCATCTAGCTCATTCGTCAAAGGATCATGGTTTCCGATCGAAGCATGGCTCACTAACGTGTAGTTTACTAGCTCCCAAATCTATGACCCGTAGCCCGGGGCCTAGGCGGCCGGAGCTACTTCCAAGTGGTGTTTTAAGATTGTCATGAATAGGGAATAGCTGCTAGCATCGACGTTTGCGGATTCCGGATTCAGCTCTCCAAAAGCTCGACCTTCGCGGCCAAAAAAGGCGGCAGATGAACACATATGCACCTCACGGGGATGCGATCCACTAGCAGATGAATGCCTATGCTGCTATTGTGGGACTCGAAGCGCAATTTGCCGGGGAAGAGGAAGAGGCCTGGTGTTGAGCGGTGGTTGGGGTAGAAAGCGGAATAGATCCGCGACTGGGGTCAGGGGTTGTAATTACTCCGGTCGTTCGCCCGAGCATTTCAGGCTAGCCTCCAGCCCCTCCCCTCCAGACTCTCCCCTCCCTGACAGAAACATTTATCGTCGCATTGTTGCGCTCCTGGATAGATACTATTTGGAATTGTTTAGAACAAGTCGGTCTGCTGTAGCTGTCTGGTACTGAACATCAAGGCTTATTATCTCCCTGGGACTGGTGCCCGGGCACACCACTCGCACTACACTTACAATCTATCTTCAACACGAGCTCTAGTGGCCTACAATCAATGTCGAAGTCGATATCAGTCCAGGAGAAGAGCCAGTGGGGGGAAATGCTCTGCATCTCCCAGCTGTCTAGTCGGACGAAACAAGACGTCTCTCGCAACCTGATCATGTCTCAACACTGACCGCGATGCAGTGACAAGATTACCGGAGAGTTGGACTTCGTAGCCATCCCCCTCCTCCAAACCCTTTGTTTCCTCGAAATCTGCTTGCGAAGACGAATTCGATTTCTCCTTTGCCGCCTGACCTTTGATCAAACCCAGATTGGCAAATGAAGATGTGGAAGCAGCACGATGTTCCCACCCGCTTGATGGGTCGCACGGACTGCTAGTAGGAAACTGTTTGACAGCCTACCAGAGACAACGATTGCTGTCTTGCGCACAGATTATGATACGCACATATATTCACTCCAATAACTTTCTTACTTCATCACACATCCATTTCTCCGTTGTATCTCCCGTCTATAGCACGCAGAATCAGACAAGACTATTGAAAACTGATTCGTCCTCCTACAACCTACGCTTAGGCTTACTTCCTCAGTGTTATGACGGACCAGTCTCATAATCCACCAGCTCTACCAGATGGCCTTCGCTACTATCTCCTTCGCGACAGTATCATGGTCCCCCTGGTTCCTGTAGACCAGCTGGCTTTCCAGCTCCAGGGAATGCCACGCCAGCTGAACCATCGTCAGATGTCCGACGAGGGTTGGAAGTATCTTACGGAAACCAGCGAGGCCCCATCTACGATTCCTATTCAGGCCCCCACCGCAATGTTCCCTTCTCACTTCACCGCGAAGCCTCGATTTCTTGCTCCAGACCACCATGTCCGACACGACTCACTGGCTACACGAGCAGACAACCCACGAATTGATCGTTCCTCTCTTTCAGCTACCGAGAACATACCGGAGCTTCCCCATCCGCTTGCCAGGTCTGGCGCTGAGCGTCCTTCATCCCTAACCGACACCTTCGCCTCGATTTACCAAAACGACGCGCAACGGCTCGGATATCGTATGTCTTATCCGTCAGGAATTGAGCCAGATCCAACGAAGAAAGAGTACTGCACCCACTGGATCAAGACCGGTGAATGCGCGTTCATCTCTATCGGCTGCAAGTTCAAGCATGAGATGCCCACGACTGAGAAGCTACGCGAGCTGGGTTTTACTCAAGGCATGCCAAGGTGGTGGAAGGAGAAGTCCGCCCTCGCATCCAGAGGTCCGACGTGGATGCAGCGGCGCCTGGCCGAAGGCAACGACGACGGAGAGATGCCAACCCCGCGCGCTTTCCCTGATCCTTCGACATTCAAGAGCAGCCAAGCTGGTGATCGCGGCGAGCTCTATAATGGCATGCGTCAACCGAGAGACTCCCTCAGGAGGGAGGCGGTGACTGAATCAACAACGACATCACGTTCAGCCCCACCTCCAGTGCCAGTACAAGCTCCATCCCGATCAGCCGGCCGTGCGTTGAACCTCCTCATCGATCTAGATGAGACACTTGCGCCTCCACCTAGCCCACAGCCATCCAACAGCTCCTCGGCCAGCGCTGGATCCCATGACACGCATCCTTCCAGTAGCATCTCAGTGTCACCGCCCTTATCGCCTACCGTCGACTGCACTCCATCCCCTGTCGTAAATCGTAAGATGGGTGGCAGCCAGAAAGAGCAGTCGGTCACCACTCGGCCATGTGTCCGCCAACACTCTCAGATCTCCTGGGCTTCTGAGAGCGAGGAAGATGTTAAGCCTGCCCAGCCAGTTTTGAACAAGCGAAAGTCGAACCCTCGCAAGACTGCACAGCGATCTACGGAACCAGTCAAGAAGCCTGGCCTGGCCTACTCAAAGCACGCTGTAGGCAATCAGACCAAAAACGCAGAGTACTCTGGCAAATCTGCGAATCCGAGGACGACCGGGCCGAAGAGTAACGAAGTGGCCGCACCTGAATTATTCTCTAAGATTGAGCAGCTTCGCCGGGAGATTCACCAGAAAGAGAGGGTAAAGAAGGGTACTACTAGATATGAGGGACAAGGCCGCGCTACTGTCAACTCGATCGCACCTGTTAAACAAACAGTCACGTAACTGAGTACGCCAAGGCGAGCCGAGCCATGTGGGTGTGTCTATACATCCCTTGTCAAGCACAAACGGTCGGCCGCATGTTGACAGGACATGCTCGCCATCTCGGCCCGACATCTGAGGGGGTGCTGTGTAGTAGTATAAGCAACTTATGAGTCCGCTTGGTATAGTAGAGGTTATGCATTGTTCAGCTTGCACATTCGTTTTTGCATTGGAAAGGTGTATACTAGTAGCGTTTTTGAATTTCTTTCCTTCTTTCCCATAGACTTTTAGAGTTCCTTTTGCATTCACCTGCGTTGTGCTGTTTTAAAACTGTTAGTTTTGTCCCGAAATTCTCTTGTTAGCAAAAACATCATGTCCTTCGACTCATGCCCCTCAAGATGCAAGTACGTAGAACCTGCTCTAGTGACGCGTGTAATAGCATGTATTATACGCATCAACTAAATCGTGCAGTGATCTAATTTTTCGTTCATTCCCGCGTTAATCCCACGTAATGCACCTCCCAAATCGAAGCTACCTCCTTCTTCCATCTTCGTCGGGATCCGGCGCCCCGCCCTCGAACTTCTCGCAGAGTGGATTGTTATAATCTGTGCACATATTAGCATCAGTCATCTCTCCCTTCCCTTCCCCTCGTCACTACATCAACAACAACAACAACAGAATAAGTACTCACAATCACCACTCGGGCTTTGCCACAAGTCGGAATCCTTCACATAGCAGAAATCCGTCGTCTCGCTCCACCAGGTGTCATTCGAAAGGGTCAAACACTGCAACCAGATTTCTTGGTTGAACTCATAGCGCTTCTTTGAGCTGCAGGACTCTTTTGGGCAGGAGCGGCAGTATGCATATTCTTCGCCGACGGTGACGTTGATGAGGTATTGCGTTCCAAGCGTTGCGGGCACGGGAGCAGGCGCGCGTTTGTTCACGTCGGAGGTGCCGTTTGCGTTATGGTGGAGCTCGATTTCGAGAAATGGAATGGGGCCGCAGGGGTCGAGGTAGGTGATGTCCGGTTTGGAGTAGAGATTTTTTTGGGCGACGTAGCAGTTGTTCGTTGTCTTCAACCAGTATCTATTTTGCATCAGTGTCTTGTCTTTCCACGAAATGTTATTACGAGGGGCATCTTACGGATCGTCGATGATGACTTGGCCCTCCGGATACCAGCATGTCAACTCCACATCTGTGTTCTCCTTCAGGTATGCGACAGTGTCGCAGCTTATCTCTGGGCATATTCTGCATTCCGTTTTGTATTTCAGCGTTGCGTCTTCGACTGTGAGATCTTGTTCTTCGGATTCGGGGCCGCAGTAATCCAGATTGGTAGTGTCTGATGGACTATCAGTCTGTAACCCATCTATTCTCGCAATCTTGTGTTACTCACAGTCTCCTGGGTACTCGAGTACATCGTACTGCGTGACATAACATCCTGCCTCGCTCTTTAACCACAACGTATCTCCCATAATTTTTGTTCCGCGTGTCCAGCATGTTACGTTGAAAGCCTCTTCCCCTGCGTAGTACAGTTGATTTGGGCAAAGAGAGCGAGGGCACGTTTTGCACTCGGTGTTATAGTCTGCCTGGGTCGAGATGTAGGGCTTGATGTCCGCACTGACCAGCCCAGCATTCACGAGGAGAGCCATTGCGTAGATGGACAGGGCTGCCATTATTAATCGAAGGGGCCCTAGGTAAGGGCAAGGAATACAATGCGATCAAGCGAGGGTAAACGGAAAGGATGGAGGCAAAGGAGAAATGACGAGATCAGTGGGAAAGGAAAAGAGCTCTGAAGCCCAACCCCACATTGATATGATCACAGATTATGGGATTCAATAGTCAGATTTCGGTCAGATGGGATTTGGTTCCGCCCCGATATATAGTATTGTATCGGTTTGGAATGCCCTGCAGACGCGCCTTGTATCCATCGCAAACGTACTTTGCTCTCGGTCGACTTTAAAATCTAGCAGTTCATGTCATTCCGCGATATTCAGAAAGCTTGGTGATGATCTTTATCAGACTTTATCATTGTTGAACTATCGTAGACTGCCGTGAAGCTGATACTGTTTATTTTGTTGTTTACCGAGAAACTTTAGTATTTGCTGCACGTAATTTGAACGGCCAATCCCAAGCTCTTATTTATACAACCCAATGCGAAGATCGATAACTGGGGTAAGCTTTGTGGGCCACGTAGTAGGCAGGGCAAATTCAGGCTGAAATCGGGATGACCGAGTACCGAACACGAGCCTAGAAACTCAGGAACGCGATGGGGAATAAAACTTTGGTTCAGAATGCGGGAATTATGTAAGAAAAAGTAATTTTAGAGCTGGTAAAAGCTATAACAATTGGCGCAATCTGTGATGGTCAAATGAAGGAAATCCCTTGTTGCCATACCATCTTTACCATGCAAGAAGGAGTACAGCATCCTTCCAAAATCTCTGCTGTTCTCTAACCTTCGAACGACCTAGCAATGTTTGGTGCAGCATATGCTCTCCAAGTGTTGAATTTCTCACTCCTCGCCTTGCTCAAGTCAAACACAACCTGGCCCTGCGCGGTATGCTTCGAAACACTGGACGCGGGATTGGTCTTCTGAGATGGCGCGTTTGAGTTTAAAGCAAAGCCAATGCTAGGGGCGGTATCGGTAGCCTGGAAGGTCGTGCCATCGGTCTGAATGCACTTTTGGCAGAGAAATGTGTACGTCCAGTGCGTGCTATTGACATAGGTGCCGTTCGCGATGGAACTTTTCGTAAACGTGCCGGTTGCGACTGCTGGAGAAGCGTAGTTGCTAAAGGAAACGTCAGCAACGGAGTCGTGGGGTTTTACATATGCTCACGCAGTCTTCCTAAAGCTGCTCACAATGGCCTGTGAGTTTGGCCAGGCTAGAATCAATAGCTCATTCAACATTCCGCCTCCGAGACTGACTCCGCTCCACCCTGATCCCTTTCCTCCAATAGTTGCAATGAGGTCCGTGTTTCCTGTAGCATTGGCGGGAAGAGCAAGACCAAAGAACAAGCCGCTGCTGTGCTGGAAGGTGTTGAAGGTAATTCCAGATTTAGCATCCGTATATGGAGCTGGTGTTTGCGCTGCTGTGAGCGACGCCAGGGTGCCAGTAACTAGATTGTACAGCTTCATTGTAGGTGATGATGCGAGGAGTGAATGAAGACTGAATGATCTCGTATAATAATTGCTTGAATTTTCAAGTTATGCGGATGCTGGCTCTCCCTAGAGATCTTATATGCCTAAGGTTCTGGCTTTTATCTCATCACGCCCGGCATAGAGGGTTAAAAACCACTCTAAATATGTCGCCGACCCCCTAAGTCGTTAAATGGGTTGTTTGGTTACAAAGAGGTTGATTTAAACCCGTCTAAGTGAACTTGCCTCTTTATCCGTGCGTTGTGATGCTTTGAGGAAAATGCATCTGGATGATAATCTGAAATGGATCGCAGGAGATTGGTGGATGGTCAGTGGCTCCCCAAGACCGCGATATGGGAAAGCAGTGCGATCGTTGAAAAATCTTGCAGAATATATGAGCCCCAAGGGTAGGTTTAAGGGGGACCGTTTTAGGTGAAACTCTAGATCTCGGTCTCGATGCTGTCCAATATGTGTCGCACTGATAGTAACCCAGGTAGTCTAGCTAGTCTGTTGGGTTGTAAAGTTAGGTATGTCTTTGAGGTATACAGGCTTCAAGGCGAAAGTAGATGTGGTAGTCTCCCAATAGAACACGTTGAGGTCTCTGGGCCTAAATAAATGACCCGGACAAATATTGATTCTGCCACGCGCCACAATCGGTTTGCTTGCCGATGTAAAATGTTTCCAATCCGCTGAAAGAGCTTCTCAGATAACTGAGCTTGGTAGCTGAGAAATTGTCCAATATCGTATCTTTTGCAACTCAGGTCAGCTCTGGACCTAACACCGCGTCTGGTATCATCTCCATCAAGATCTACTCCAACCCAGCTCATTATAACTGTTCGAGTCAAAGGCTATCATGCGAGGAACAAGCATATCGGTCTTCTTGCGGACAAATTTGATTGTGGTGACTTTGCTCTCGGTCTGAACGAGTTGTTGAGAGCCTGTACGCTTGTTGTATAGCACTTACGCGTGTGTGGGGGTTTTTATGGGTCCATCTTCATCATAACTAAGGTGATTGCGGTGCCTGAAATAATGTGATGTCGGGACCCTTCGTCCAGTGGCCTGAGAGAAGTGGATCTGTAGAACTCGCGCAGACCATAATGGTTGGGCATGGGGGTTGTGGCCCTACAACAACAAAAGGAAGCTTTAAAGACACATATGAACGGGGCACAGTTAGAGTATGTATCACATTCTACATGTCTAATGTCCGAATAATAAACAGTGCAATCAAACATCGAGTTTTGTTACGCACCGAGCAAACGTAACAGAAAAGGTTAGCGTATAATTCTAGCTCAAGCTTAGTCAGCCTAGAAGCTAACCTTTCAGAATTGCCACCTCAAGGCCACGCAAGGCCACGCAAGGCCACACAGCTATCTCTCACAAGAATACGCTAAAATCTTTGGACCCTTTGTTGTATCTTCACGTTCAGTACAGAGCATATAACGGCCTAATTTACATGCAGTTCGTGGAGAATGCTTTTCAAGGCCGACAGCCTTTGATAGACCTTATCTAATAGTTCTTGTAGCATAGCGTCATACAACCGTCTAGTACATGCTGTACAAGGTTCTAGCGTAATTGCGTTTCATTGCGCTGCCAGGTTCTAATAGGGTCTCTCCTGCCATGATGGCCACACCAGACGAGTCCAAGCAGACCCTTAAGGCATCACTCAGGCGTCTTACTCGTCCATTCCGACTCTCGAAACCAGAGCTCGAGTCTACTTTGTCCACAGAATCTTCCACTACGGCTAGTATCGATAGACTCATAACCCTGCCAATCTTCCAGTACAACCTTCTGGATACGCATAAAAAGAGCGTCAGGCTACTGGAAATACTTCCGGGGTCAGATTTTGAGCCGATTAGCGTAAGGCTATTACATTGCGATCTAGAGGACAAACCCCGCTACATCGCACTGTCTTATACGTGGGACCAGGGCAGTCAGGAGAAGTATATCCAATGTCAAGGGACGAAGATTGGGGTGGGTGAGAACTTGTGGCAGTTTCTTCACCAATATCGGCAAAAGACGTCTATCGAACAGTATCGCGAGAAAAGCCCGGATAGCACTTTCCGGCTTTGGATAGACGCTGTGTGCATAAATCAGAATTCAAACGCAGAAAGGAGCCATCAGGTGTCCCTGATGCGCGATATATACATGGGAGCGGACTCTGTTATTGTCTGGCTCGGCCTTGCCCAGAAGAATGACGAGTTAGCGTTCTTGCTCACACGATATCCAAACCTTCTCAGTGTCGATGAGATTTCGACAGCTTTAATTCAGCTCCTCAACAAGTCGTATTGGAGTCGTGTATGGGTGGTTCAAGAGTTTGTTCTTGCAAAAACCGTAAAGATATGGTGCGGCGAGTTTCAAGCAGACGCCGCTGATTTTGAGAGTCTCTGGCACGATGATCGATCGACAATAGGACTATCTTCACTGTCACAACAGATCCTCGACAGTGGTGGATGGCTGCTCTTTTCTCATAGGCGGGATTTCCGACATTCACGAGTGTACAAGAGGAAGCCCCACGGTGGAAGAAATAGCAAAACGCTGAAGGCAACCTTTCGGCTTCGCGATCTTCTCCAGTCATTTTCCTCGTCAAAAAGTAGCGAAGTGAACGACAAGGTTTATGGCTTCCTGGGCATTGCTACAACTGGGCCCGGAGAGCCAATCCGACCGGACTATTCGAAAACCCCCGTCGAGCTTCTCGTGGATGTGCTTCGCAACCAGGGCAATGAAAAGACGGCCAGTGGGGAGGATGATAACCACAATTTTGTTACTCTCCTCATGAGCAGGCTTAATGTATCCCGCATGCAATTCGCAAGGCACGTAATACAAAACTCTCCTGAAATGGAGCCATTCATCTACGTCCTTGCTAATGCTGGCTTCATGGTGGCCTCACTCTCTCTTCCGGGCACCATCGTCGAGATAGGGTCCTCGGTACACCGGGCAGAGGCGTTTCAGGAGAACATGTGGATGGCGGGCAGCTTATCAAGATCTCCAATGCATCCTGGAGGTTTGTCGAATTCAGACATTCGAGATCTGGGCTCTCTCGCTACGTTCCCAGAGACTCGACTTGCTTTGGAGTTCGAGGATTATCATATTGAGAACGCTGTACATCGAGGCAGGTCTGAAAAGCTCCGCCAATGCTCTGTTGCGAAGTCCACCAATACCATTATTCAAAGTCTAATAGACCAAAACCGGCGCGGCAAAGAAAGTATACTCGAGGAAGTTCAAGAAAGATCGCAGATTGACAGCAAAGATCTTCGACAGATATTCTCGCGCAGTTTTAGCAATGGCACCGCCCTGATTTCGAGCGCATGGCAGAGACAATCCGAATGGGACACTCAAGCTCGCTATGAGCAATACACAACCTTCATGGGGACCAACAACATCATTGGCATCCTCTGCACAAGTGGCAGTCCAAACGCCCCGCAGGTGATGCCTGACGACTACATATGTGTCTTCTCTGATGACATTGTATCCAAAAACGCCCTCATAATTCAGCATGATGAGATGGAACAGCGATGGATCATCGTCGGCTTCGCAGTCATAACCACTTCGATATCAGACACTGAGCCTCGCGGCGTTGTGCAGTCGCTACAGCAAGCATTTAGTAGAGCGCCATCCCAGACACGCACAGACTTTGATATCAAAGATAGCGCGACTGACTCTATGCAAGAAGAAAGCTTTTGCTTCCACTGCCACTTGACAGACATCCTCGAGCTCAGTCGTTGCGGTATACTAAGCGAGACTCAGCTTGAACGGCTGCTCAAACAGTCTTTAGAGGATGGTAATATTGGAGACATCCACCAGTGTAGTCTTGGAATTGAACGCTACCCCGTTCTGGAGTTTGGGTTGTAGCACTGTAAATGTACATCCTGCTCGTCTGGGTGGGCTGTGGTGCAAATGTCAAAGACACGGGGCCCAATTTGCCACAGCGATAATCTCACACGGACCGAGGACTCGGGAACCAGCCTCACCTTGAAACCTGCTCGTATCTGCTTCAGCGACTTTATAAATTATTGAAAATCTAGGCGCGCCTATAATCTTCACTGTGGGGGCGCAGCCATCATTGTTGTCGCCTTACGCACGGCGATCTTAGGAAGTGGGTTGAGTCCACATGATGATACGCCTGTCAGTGATTGCAGTAGGTGTAGAGGAACAATGGTTGATTCGCCGCGCTGGCTAGGCTGAGCTGTTAAGGCTGCATGTGATCGCATCCAAATGCAATTGCAACCCCTCATTCAATTAGCATTCACCTGATGTTTCTTCCGTTATTCTAATACTGTAGAGTGTTCAGGATCGCTCGTAGCGTCGCGGGATCTTCAATACTATTCTTCGTTTGTTGACCCAGATACGGGCAGTAGAGATCGACGTAATTCAGCCGAGTGCCTAGAGGCAGATTTCTTGGAATGTCTTAGCACCGCCACGCGTTTCACATCCGAATGGAGTGTCACGGGATGGGTTTTTGTAGGAATCAGGAAACATTCTAGCTCTTGTCACTATCATCAAAATAAGAGGATATAATATCATCCATATTTAGATTTAGTGACAAGAAATGAGCTACATACTATTAGTCATGTCGCCTCTGATGGTCAGTAGCTAGGAATTTCGATATATCGTCATACGTTGGCAGTCGTTCCACCAATTGTAAACGTCACAACTAGACGCTGCCAGAAGCAAGTAGTCGCTATATATGTTATCTGGTATCATGCTTTTCCTTTGCACTGAATAATCTAAACGTGCAAGTAATTTATAACACACTCAGAAGCACCGAAAGGTCACTATTCCCGACCATTCGTGAATTTTCGATAAGGGGATCGTTTGTACACGTTGATATTAGGTAGGCACCAAATTTTCTAAGTTCTTCTAACATGTGCATAACCCTTAAGCCTCGCACTGAACAGTTCTGATTCTATCAATCAAGGCAACGCTCACTTCAACTTCAGAAACACCTCTCGCATCTTCTTGTAATCTGGCGTGCCAACCCCGGTAACTGGATCCCAGCCGGGGCTCGCTGGAAATCCTTCTGTACCGCAGCCCGGATTACTACCAATGGTAATATCATTGAATATCTCTGGATGCTTGTAGATGATCGGATTGAGGAACCCAATCGGCCCCTTACCCTGCTCCAATCTCTCCTCGTTCAACAGATTGATGATGCTTGCGAAGATGGGGGCAGACGCCGATGTACCACCCACACCAAGCGTTTTATTGAGGTACACAGTTGCTAGCTTTAGACCTAGAGCTGAGACGTCGGGGTAAGCACGGCCAGAAGAGTTGAAAACTGATTCGCCGTACTTTGGCGAGTACTTGGAAAGGTATTTGGAAACTGCTTTGTTTTGCCAGGATGGGCGCGGGAATATACTAGAAAAGCCACCACCCGAGTAGTACGATAGGGGGCCCTTGGGTGCGGCCACCGCTTGTTCACCGCCGTGAATGGATGAGTTGAGCAGTGTTGTAGCACCGACAGAAGTTATCTATTGAGATCAGTACACGAAAACTCAAAGCCGGCAGCATTGAAAAGACAGAGCATAATTGAGACTCACATAAGGGCAGTTGGCAGGGAAGGAAGGCGAGAACCGTGTACCGTCTGTATCTACATAGCCATCCTCTGAGTTGAGACAGCTGTTATTGTATCCAGAGTTGTATCTGTTCGCGACACCGGAATCTCCCGATGCGAAAATTACGCTGACTCCTTGCAAAGCCAGTTTCATCCATTCGCGGCATTGACGCTCTTGATAGAATCGTGGAAGTGCGCCTTCGATCTGGCCGTACGAAACTGAGATCACGTTGCTGACTGGTGCTCCGCCGCATTGCAGTGGGCCAGTGTACCCGCCCTCGTTAGGGTCAGGATAGGCTGGATCTACGTATGGCTGGTCCCCGCCTTGGTACGTGCAGTAGGAACCATCCTAAAGATGTTAGGCGCATATCGAACTGGATAGAATAGGTGTTGGCTCACAAGCGCATCTAAAAAGATGTTGAATGTACCAACAGAATCGACGTTAACCGAGTCGCCGCTCTGGTACAGTCGTGTTTGCTGAGGCCAGATGATCGAATATGCAGTCTGGAAATCCAGCGCGCTCTCAACTACTTCACTTGCCTGGGCCACTGATAGATTCGAGGGCTTCCCACCATCAATCGAGATGAACTCCGGTACCACATCAGATGGGATCCTCGGAGATGTGAAGTTCTCAAAGAAGATTTTCAAGTCTGGAAGGTAAAGATAGTCTGCCCATTCCGCAATCCCGAGTTGGTTGCCGCTGTGGTTGTACTTTCCAACAGGGATGTTGTATATTGCGCGCAAGCAGTCAATTGTAATCAACTTCGAACAATCTTTGAGACCGAAGAGGCCGGTGATATTGACAGGGGCCTCGATTGTTGCCCTCGCGTGAGCAACCGGTCGCAAGCCATCAAGTTGGATGGTGGGCATGACAAAGTCAACGTGTTTACGGATTTGCTGTGGAATTCCGTATTCATCGCATGCAATACGATATCCACCTGAGTCCTTGTGATGGTAGTAGTGATACTTGGTATTCAGCAACCCTTCAAGCTCGGCGACAGTAGCTGAGAACTCAACCCAGTTACGTCCTGCATCTTGGTGAGCACTGAAACTAAAGCCTCTCCACAAAGAATTGCAACTTACCGCCCGAGTACTTTATGCGCTTGCTATCAATGCCAGAACTTACAAGCCATTCCAGGGTTGAGTCGGATGCCTCTGGATGCGGTGCAAACGTATTGGCGACCCTTTCCGCAGTCCAGTGCTTTCCTAAGCTCTGCGGTCAGTGGATTACGCACTCAACTAGCCAAGTCGTTTCTTACCAAAGTTTGGCGAGTCTGGATCAGAGATATCTTCAAGGAACCGGTCTGAGTGCTCCAGGTTTCGCTGATTCAATCCAATCCTGACTGGCAATATCGCATCTCCGGGCGCGCGCGAATGCTTGGCCCATGCTACTGGCAATGCATGCCTCTTCTCATGAACTGAATGTGAGCCAAGTGGCGAGCTCGTTCCCAAAGCGCTAAGGCTAAACAACAGCCAACCTGAGACATGCATCATTCGCAAATTGATCTCAGAAGACGCGTGTCGAGAAAGCTTTTGGGGTAGGCAACTGTCAGCATTAAATAGCTCAATCACTGCTTGTAGCCATGACACGATAATTGCCTTATTCCCGCAATTCCTCAATCCTTCACTACTCCGCTCACAATACTTATCATATTGAATGACAGCATAACGCGCGGTAGCATCGTATTGATATGCTAGGTACACAATCGTCCTGCCTTTTGGGGCCTAGACGGTCCTACTCATCGATCGTTCTCCGTACGAAGATACGTATATTACCCGGCTTGCCAATTGAACCGGTCAACTTTAACGTGATAGTGTCCACTCGGGCAACCGTTCTCTAGCACAACGGGTCAAGGGCGGTACGGAAGCTTGTTTTGTCTGGGCAGAAAAGCTTGCTGATGCCGAGAGAGGCTTGTTTCTCCACACTAGAGGAGCTTAACGCCGAATAAGGAAGGTGGTTGGGTGATAACTAAAAAGAAGTGGGGCCACATGCAGATGGCGTCACCACTTCCCGTATAATCTGGTGAGCTTTGCTGATTACTAGTAGGAGGCCTTGGATCTCGAGAGCCACCAATCGGGTCAGATGAATTTAGAGTTAGCTAAGCTTTGCGTACGCAAGGCAAACACATCTTGAAAGTTGGACACGGACGCAGTCTCTCAACTCAACTTCCTTGCCGAAAACAGCTCCCATGAACTCTGATATTAGCGTAAAATCTGCTAATGGGATCTTTTTATAGAGCGCCCATGGGAATCCTATAACCTGACCCGCTCCTATTCTTCGAAATGTGTAGTCTGAATGGGTATCTCCTGCCGCTGCAATCACCAAACCTTCGATTTCCGTAACCGACTCATCCGACTTCCTTTTATCTCTTACGTCGTTGAATCGAACGAGAAGAAAACTCAGGTCTTTTTCTATCTCCTCCGTACACTCATCCATACGCCAATAGACATTGCAGTTCCACGCCTCACATGCATCTACTTGGACAGTAACACGTCTCGATCCTAAGCAGAAGCATGCCTCGTCCGGCTCTTTCTGTACTTCCAAAATCTTCAAAGTTCTTCCTCTTCCTCGAATGTACGCATACTGAATTTTGCTTGTCATTGGTAATTTCTCCCACACCACTGCCGGGTCCAGATTTTGTACGCACATTTCCGTATCCGCAACACTTGTATCAACCTGTCCTTTCATTTTAGCCCACGACCAACTCGGAACACTCAGCTTTGCAACCACGTCTCGATCCATTTTCCCATGTTCACCCACCGGAACCTGCCACATCAACCCCCTCCCTAAATCCCCTTTCCACAGCCCGGCCACGGCCTTGTCTTCCACGAGGCCACCGAAGAACTCGGTAATTCCTGCCAACGCAGCAAACTTATCTCCGCCCTTCGTCAAATGTCTCGCAGAGTATGACTTCATCGTAACTTGCCAGCTTTCGTACAACATATCTTTTGACTGATTACCATGCCGTGCGACGGGACCTAGGGAGGGAAGGTTGAGCGCTGTATCAGCTACGGCCTGTACCGAATCCAGGCCATCTTCCGACTCGTAGAGTGAGGTACAGTACCAATACATCTGATCCTCTGCAAAGAAAATGGTTCTCCGACTCAGGACTATCTCTTGTAGTGTCCAGGCCCGTGTATTTAAGACTGCTTCTGCTAAATGTCTTTTACCTTCCGGAAAGGGGCGTAGATACATGTGGTGAGTTTCCTCTGTGATATGTGTGTCGGTTTTGCGTTTTTCATCAATTGAGATGCGCAATGATGGTTGATGATCGTGGAAGCATCCACAAGTCCCATCGGTTCCCCACACTGCTGCTACAGCGAAAAGAGCTCCGAGATACACGGATGCCATCTGTGCGGCTTCGTGTTCCCAATCCGAGACTGAGTCTTGAATTATGCAGAGCGAATCTATCCAGATATACTGTATCTCGAGTTCTTTAGTTATCATTATAGCATCCCGAAATGTCTTTGGCATTGATGAGAGAGGTATGGCGGATCCGTGTCTCATGATATTGCCTTCCGTTGTAGTGATCGGTTGGTGGCGCCCCCAACAGTGGGAAAGAGCGACATACTCTACGTTCGTGCCAGGTGGGAAGGATACTAGATGAGGAGTCTCGGACGAGACATCTATGAGACGTGTAGGACAGCCGTAGCTGGTTTGTGCCTCAAGAGTTTTGCATTGGCCATGATTGGCAAGGCAATTGGAAAGCCAAGTTTTGGAAAGTGTAAGACGCGAAATGGATGATTTCTCCGGTGCAAGGCTCGACCATAAACGTGGTTCAGCATGTTTCGTGGGATCAGGAAACCAAATCAGTCAGGATATCCATCTCGAGATTTCGTGTCGCATACTTATCAATAGTGTACAAAGCGTAGTAGTCAGACGAGACCCGCTTCCAAGCGATACATCCATTCTTCCCTGATCACCTGCTCTTCATCAAAAGTTAAGTCGTTGTCTTGGTAAGCGCCCATAAAGAGGATTGGGGCGATTGACTGACTTGTTTTTCGGATAAAGAAGTCCTCTCATAGTCATAAGCTTTTCCTTTTCACCGGCTCTCCAATCAGTGCCCTTGACATCTAGAATATTGATCGTATAATCGCAGAGTCCGCATTTTTCACGCTTCTTAAAATTACGTCGTTTTGAAGACTCATCGCGTTCCGGGTAGTGTAGGTTATTAGCAAGGACCTTGAACCGATCGAGCTCGGAGGCGATCAGGACCTGACAAAACGAGCAAAGAGGTGGAGAGAAATCGAGCGTACGTTCAATCAGCACCAACGCCATGTTATCAGAATACGGAATTGTCGCTTTAGAGACAGCTGAAAGGGTAGTGGAGAGGGAAGGCTGAGAATGTCACAAGGTAGACGTGACGATTATGTAATTTAGTGGGGGCCTCTCTTAAGGCCCCTCCTAACCCTTGGCATGTCTTCCTTTCTATATTCCTGAGATGTGATTTTGAAGGGTTTCAACTCCACACATCACCCTAGTTATTGGGCAATATTACAGACAGCCGGCTAGACTAGTTGATGTACAATTATGGCTCCTCCCACTTAAGTCGAGTACCTAAACAGAGGACTCTCATCACCCATCTCCGCCAACTCCGCATCGGTGTACTTTGCCCGTACCTCCTCAGTCGAGATCTTTGCACGAGTCGCATTAATTCTCTTGAGTATGAAGAAATAGCAAGCAGGCCAAATGATGCCACACAGTCCCAGCATCGATATACTGACTCCGAAACCAACAGGGTAGCGCGGTGACTGAGTGCTGATATAGATATTCGAGCCAACGATACCGCCAAGCTGCGAGAATGCTATCATAGCGCCGATTCCAACAGAGCGCTTCATCGTGCCGGCGAGGTTCAGTGCCGTCCACGCAGTCACTGCTGGTGAGATGGGATATAGACCACCGATGGCGAAGAAGATGCCGAACAGTGTTACACCTGGAAGCTCTTTATATCGTACGCTGACGATGATGATAACGAAGCCGATCATAGCGAGGAGGTTAGGTAAGAGTACGGAGAGCATTCGTTGCTTGTAGCGATCTGCTGCCCAGCCGGAGAAGACAGTGACGAGGCAGGCGAAGATGTAGGGTGGGGCAGTCATGGCTTGTGCAGTCGCTGCCGAGTATCCGAGATTCTTGATGCTAGTTCAAATTTAGCAAATGCATCTCAGAAGATGGAGTGGATAGATATACATTGTTGGTAAGACAAAGGAAACACCATAGACAACGACACAGAGAGTGAATTCCATAACGACGCACGCATACACGTGAAACGACTGTTAACTGGTAAGCATCTGTTGAAGACAAGGCATACATCCCATTTTACCTTGAATACCTGGCTAACAGCAGCCCAGGAGAACTCCTCTTTCTCTGCAATTCCAGACTCGCCACCAGCAGCAAACTTATGCCTAAGGAGCACGAATCGTTTCTCTTCTGACGTCAGCCAGGATACCTTCGATGGTGTATCATGAATGATCCAGAAGGCGGCAATGGATAGCAGTGCAGTAAAGGCACCTGAAATTGGTCAGCTATATTTGAAGCATCATGCTAAGGTTACCTCTTACCCTCGAGGCAGAAAATCCAGCGCCATCCTCTATAGCCCCAAGTGCCATCGAGCTGCCCTATAGCGTACGCTAATAGACCAGAGAAGGCACCGGCAGCCGAGGCACCCATATAAAAGATAGTCATGCGGGTGTGGACTTCATGTGGCGAATACCTAGTACGATGAACATTAGCAGATGCTTGCACCAAGACCTCCCATTCATCCAAGCTGGGCGCATACCAGGTTGTAAGGACTGCAGAGCACCCAGGGAAAACACCAGCCTCCACTAGGCCGAGGAGCACACGGAAGATGGTCCAGCCAGCCATCGTACTTTGTAAAGAGCAGCAAATGAGAATAATGGAGACGGCCAGCATGATGGTTGGCAACCAAATGCGAGGACCAAACTTTTGCAGCATGATATTCGATGGTACAGCTCCCAGAGCGTAGGTGACGAAGAAGACTGATAGAGCTGTGTTCCAGTCCTGTCCGGAGAGGCCCATATCTTGCAATGCGCCAAACAACTTTGCATTTCCTAGAGAAGTGTAAGCTCGGATAGAGAGGTGTAGCTGAAGTAACGTACCGACATTGGTGCGGTCAATGTAGGACATGAGATACAAGACGATAAGCTGTGGAAGCACATAGATATCGATCTTTCGGACCAATTTCTTCATCTTGTCTTCTGTCATGATCTCACAAAGGCCGAGGTATTCATCGTACTCGGATATGGCGGTAACAGAGGTTTCGGGGTTTGTCTTCTCCTCAGAAAGAGGGATAGACGGCGTTTTTTCTAGTTCACCCATCGTTGTAGAGATACAGGTGAAAGGTCCGAATATAATGAGATAGGACACTAATGAAGGAGCGAAGAAGCAGTGTTGGCACCTCGAAAGACCGCCTGATCTCAGCCAGTTATACGTGGGAGCGCTCCATGGTAACCAAGGTAATCTTGACGGTGCCTTGACACCGCAGATAACAGACGAGCCAGTGGTGGGCCCGGCTCAGGATATCCTAATCATAAATGAGTACTGCTTCGATACACTTGAGCCTTCGGCACTCCTTGTCCCCAGTAAATCTTCTTAGCGTGCGAAAAGCGGGTCCGGATAGCTGGCAGGAATTTCCCGTTATAGTTTAGCGTATAATCCATTCAGCACTATTGCCGAGACTGCGGAGGCGAACGCCAGCGGATAGATGTCAAATTGCTAAATGTGGAAATACTGGAGTTGGAAATGCTATCTACAGCCCCAGCTTCCCCAGAGTACGGTGGAGCAGTGCCCCAACTCTTATCGTTCGCTAATGCAACCAAGACACGGGCATGAGTTGGCCAGTCCCAGAGACACGGTCGCTCGACGCCGTTATAGTAGGTGCTTCCTCTGTCTTCCCACTTTGCTTTATTAGACACGAACAGTTATTGAACGGCACTTCCCAGAATTTCTAGTGAAGCTCATATCTGCGTAAGATGGCGCGAATCACGATCGTGGGTGCAGGGTACGAAACTATGAGCTTTTCTGGGTTCTTGTTGGCTAATGCTGTTCCAACAGGATCACTGGAATGGCTATCGCTAGCCTTCTGTCCCGAAACCATGAGGTTACGATTATCGCAAAGAACCTCCCCGGCGACGAGTTAAGCCAGGATTGGGCAAGTCCATGGGCTGGGGCGGTCTTTCTCGGGCTGGATGGATCAAACCCGCGAGAGCAGAAGATGCAACTGGACTCATTTGCAGTCCTCTGGTCACTTGCAGTGTCCAACCCCGAGTCGAGTATTCGACGGATCGAAATGAACGACTTCCACGATGACAAGACAATCGACGAGATATGGTACAAAGGCAAGATGCCTGATTTCCAGGTCATGAAGCCGAGTGAGCTTCCTAAAGGGGTAAAGCTTGGAATGAGCTACAGGACTGTGGTGTTGACACCTAAAATCTTCCTACCTTGGTTGCGCCAGAGGCTTGAAGACTCTGGTGTAGTCTTCAAGAGAATGAATCTTAGTTCTCTTTCAGATGCCAAGTCACAAGGTCAAGATATTCTCATAAATGCCACTGGATACGGGTCCAAATTCTTGGGGGATATCAGAGATCAAGATGTACAGCTGGTGCGTGGGCAAACGGTACATGTAAAGAGCAACTACGATAAGATCTACATGCGACACGGGAAGGACTATACTTATGCCATCTCCAGGCTGGATGGTACATGTATTCTTGGTGGCATAAAACAGTACGGGAACACAGATCCTGAGGTTGACATGGACTTACAACATGATGTAAGCTGTTGGGTTGTAATTTCTTCAAGCATCATGCTAACACCTTTGTAGATCATCCGAAGAGTCCATCAGGACCTCCCCGACGTATTTCCCGCCGAAGTGTCGGATTACGAGGTAGTTGGCCATAATGTCGGGATCAGACCGGCGCGTGCAACAGGGCTTCGAGTAGAAAAGGAAATAATGGCAGGAGAGAAGGTCGTCCACGCATACGGGGTTGCGGGCGGAGGATATGTCTTTTCGTTTGGCGTAGCAAGGGCAGCACGCGACCTTGTTGATGAATATGTATATCAGTCACCGTTGGCGAAGTTGTAGACATAATTACGAATATGGGGTTGCCCGTTATTCCCGGTTTCGGCAAAAAGCCGAGGCTTTTGCCGAACAAGTCCGCCTATGTCCTAGCTTCGTACCAGCGGTATAACCAAACCTCGAATGTGCCTTTCCTCGTGTTTCTTCCACTAATGGGTGCTACACCCACGTGATGTTCATATCATCATGGTTGACAGGGCGCGATCGCTGACTTTCAAACCATTTGTCCCGAAAAGCGCCGGCCAAGCAACCTCTGAGTCGAAGCGGACACGACCGCACGTTCCAGAAAGTCAACGGAAAAGAGTGCGACAAGCCTGCCAAAATTGTCGCCAGAAGAAGGACAAATGTGATGGCAATGTTCCATGTTGGCGTTGTTCTCGTGAGGGCGTCGTGTGTGAGCTGGGCGTCGCGCCCGGCGCCCTCATGAGCAAAGCCGAGCGTACAGAGCGACTCGAAAAGGTAGTCAGGCACGTACTGGGGGTCACATCACTAGATGACGAGGAGCTACGGGCGATGTCCGACTCGATAGGCCGCTCAGAGGCGCCAAATCCTGGAGAAAGGCAACTTGGCGCCCAAAGCTCGCTTCTGAACTTCTCACAACAACTAGAACGGAAGCTTGTCGATGCTCAGAAGAGCCACCAGCAGATGGAAGACGATAACGAAGACGATGTTCAGAACGAAGATGACGCAATCGCAACATTTTGTCGAAGTCCATCTCCCGTCGCTACTCCCGGGGACCGCTTTTTTACCTCTGTACAAGCAATCCTGCCGCCACGGGACGTGGCCAGCCATTTGGTGCGCGTATGCTTCGATTATGTCCAATGCAATAGCTTCTACGCTCAAGAAACCTGGGTATACAAGCAACTGGACGCCTTATATGGGGACGCCTCCACACTATCAGAGCGAGATATTCCAACTGTTGCAACAGTCCTCATGATCATGGCTCTTGGAACGCAGTTTACGTCTGATCTCTCCCTTGATCATCAGGGTATCGTGCTGTATGAGCGAACTACAAGCATTTTGCCGGTCCTGATCAAGCGATCCAACTTTGAGAGTGTTCGCGCCTGTCTGCTTCTGGCCACATATCTGTTTCCAGTGGACCTCTCGGGGTTAGCTTACACCTACCTTGGACTGGCAATACACATGGCCACAAGGAACAACATGCACATAAACTGTCATGGTGAAGTCGAACTTAGGGTATGGTGGACACTTTATACCTTCTACCAGCGCGCGCGCATCTTCCACGGTCGTCCGGCGACGCTCTCCATTGCAGAAGTAGGCGTGCACCGGCCAAGATTCCTCCCTGAGCTGGAGCCAACAAGTAATGTATCGAACTTCAGCAACCAACTGATCCTCATCGAGATTACCGTTGTTCTGGAGAAGATCGCCGACGAAATGTAAGTGCTCTTCGATGACTGTGATGCGTTCCAAAGCCTAAGCCACAACCTTTTCGCGCTCAGCCGTTGTTTCGATGCAGTGAAGACCATATACTCTGAATGCTTTGCTGACACACCTCAGCGCCCAACTTCGCAAACATTGGAACGCAGTCCACATAGCGAACCTACTTGCTCTCAGGAAGAGTTTGATAGATACAAAGCATAGTTTACCGAGCCTAGACCCGGAAGGTCGTGAGGAAGTAAGTACAGCACGACTACGTCTCGACATCCACCTCTGCCTCTTCTACTGGCATGCACGCCTATTCCTAGGTCGCCCATTTTTTCTTGACCATCCCACTGCGATACGGACAACTCAAGCAGCGCAAGAACCTACCTTGGATAAGCATGTGGCTGCTGGAGAACTACTCGCGCAAGACTCAGCCGACGCAGCTGTGAACATCATCCAGCTGTGCAACCTTATCTACAACAAGATCGGCCTCGCTCGAGCTTCGTATGCGACCGAATTCACTTCGTGCCGAGCCGCCATGCTGGTCCTGATAGCCAAGGGTATCAGCGACAAATCAACCGCACTCGGTGAGCTCCTTGATCAGGGCCTAACTCTGATCCAGCATATGGCTCTGGGCCAGAATCAAGCAAGCTCGGAAGCCCGCGTTATTGTAGCTTTGCAACGTGCGATTACTCGTCTGCACAGAAAACCTCACATCGTTACCTCCTCCAACGACGGTTTGCATGATACACTGTCGCATGACCATTTAAGGCAATGGGAGTTGCTGTGGGAACAACCATCACCCGCTGGTCAGTCGAACGATGTTGAACCGTCCATTGAGGCCGCCTACGCACAACAAGATACGGGAAAGGAGTACTCCGCGACGGATCCGCTTGATCAGAATGGCCATAACCCATTCGAATCGGATTTGGACGATCTGTGGAGTACGATCTTCAACTCGCAACTGAATGAGTTTAATCTCGTGAATTGTGCGGATGGTGGTTTGGCCGTTCCTCAGCTAGACCATCAGATTGATACAGGTGCCCGTCCAATGTACGACAACACACCGCAGAGGTCGAGCGGTCTCGAGCCTGACGCGGACGCTCAACATTGAGATACACAAAACAGGTTTTTTTTCTTCGATGAAATACCTGCTTATGATTCCGAAGCGTATTTACAAGTCTGAAAAGCCTGCCGTGTTCTCGAATCTAAGACATGCTCGACGCTGTCGGCTTCGACCTCATCGCATCCAATACCTGAAAACTCGTAATCCCACTCTGCTGTTGTCCCGGCACTACCCTACTTCTCGCCTGCCTTCTCTTCAGCTTCCTGTTGCGATGATCCTTCCACGTTACGAGCGCATCCATAATAGCCCCACCGTAGAAAGCCAGGAATAAACTGAATGCCAAAGTAGCAACGGTCAAGCTGCATGCAACAATCCAAAACAATCCCTGCGTACGGTCCATGTCCCTGATGTCGGAGAAGTTCATTCCGAAGAAGGACGATATGAAGGATAGAGGGAGGAAGATGATGGTGACGATGGTGAAGACGAGAATTGCTTTGCCGTGATCTTCGAGGCGGATGTTGACGAGCTGGATGGTGCGATTGATGAGGGCATTGCTGTTCTCGCGCAGATCGACCAGGTCGGCGTATTCGCGTTGCAGGTTGTCGAGAAGCTGGGCTGCTGGGTCTGACAGGTGCGAGAAGGAGACCTGACGGTAAGTTGCGATATCTGCATGTGGTATTGTGCTCGCGTTGCTTTTGGGGAAAGGCCGCGAGGAAGCATGCGAAAGACCTCTGTTGCTTCTTGGGTTGAGAGTACTTTGCAGACTGGTGACTAACTCCATCTGCTGCTCCATGATCGAAATGATAATGTTGAGTTCTTCCTGAACTTGCAGCAGGTCCATGACAAGCTTGGTGCTTGGACTCCTGTGAAGACGATATTGGAGGTGACCTAGGTAGCTAGCGTATCTATCTGATAGACAAAGGGTAATGTCCGTCCAAAAACTCCGATGGAGCATGCCTAATGCCCCACTGAGTGAAGCGATGATGTGCGTTGATGAGGTATAGTCTTGTTCATTAGAGGTATTGAGGTAGGCGTTCCGTATACCCCGAAAACTCACCTCCATGATCCTCGAAGAAAGCTGCAGCGGTGGCCAGCGCGATTTCCATGACTGATTACTCGAGAAGGTGACTACATGACGAGCATCGATGACAAGGATCCACAACTCATCAACGTTTAGGGAAGTCGGATAGTGACCGTACCATCTTCGCACCTTGAGATCCAGATTGCGATCGGTGAGCCAAGGCTTGTGCTTCGTGAACACCTGCTGCGACTCGCGATCGGTAGTGTCCTCAAGGCGATAGAAATGCTGCAGAATCGATCGCAGCAGATGCGACGAACTCCTCGATGATTGGTAGCCTTCTCTCGGGTCTACTTGAAATCTCAATGGAGGCGGCTCCCCTTCAACGGTCCAATCTAAAAACGGAACGCTGAGTAGCATCGGGCCGTCCTCGTCTTTCTCGTCGCCATATTCATCACTCAAACGTTGGAAGAACGGCGCGAAGTATCTCCCGTGCTTCGAAAACCGCTCTTGCTGGTGGATGCAGTGTTCCAACTGATGCAATGCAGCCACGATTTTGCTTGGATCCTTGCTCCAGTCTGAGAGGGCAAGAAGACACCCTGAGAGATAGTCGGAGAACTTGCTCGATATGTGTATCCAGCGGCATTTCCTCAGGTCTTGCGAGTCGAAGACCGTCTCCTGGAATTTATTGCTTCTTAAACACCCCATCCAGCCAAATTCGGCCGCTAGCGATCGGAGACGATTTTGCTCGTTGCGGTTCTTCGTCAATTCCTCAAAAGGTATGGTGGTGGCAAGAATGTCTCTTTGTTCCAAGTCTGGCAGCAATGTTGAGGATAGCACCTCACCCATCTCCAGCATGGCGCCCACATCGTGTCTCCATGTCTCAAGGCGGATGTCGTGGATCTGGAGCTGCGCTGGTGAGAGGCGTCGATTGCGCCAATACGAGTCGGCATGCCAGTCGACGGGCGTTGTGCCCTTCACATGGTCCATCTGATGAGTCGTGGAGCCATGTTGTGATGGAAACACGCGATGATGCCCGGGAGGTGAGCAAATCACAGGCACGATATTGTGATGACCAGGTTTCAGCTGCCCTGACCTAACCGCTTTTGTTTCGCGACTCTCAGCCACCTCTTTCCCCTCATTCAAACACACTATATTGTCCGTAGTTGAGCATCGATGACGACAGCTAATAAGCATGCGAAAGCACGGCGATGGATGTGACAATCTGCCTTGTCGCCATTGGCCAGGAAGGCGCGTCGTGGTGTTTACCGTCACACAAGCAAGGGGTTGCCCGGCTCTCCACAAACTGTGCCCGCATAGTTGAAAGGCAGTAGTTCAAAAGCGTAGCATCTCTCTACTCTATTTCTTTATTCGCGTCTAGTCAGCCTCCAGTAGACATTGGACGCTCCAACTGATTACCAAAACATCACAATGAGCCACCCCACGCACCCAGCGACGGTCCATTTTCCGATCACAACGACGCTGCTAACAGGAGCACTCGATGCTGTGTACTTCTTGTCTACATATGCCCCGACTTCATCAGTCGTAGCTTCCACCTGTAGGTCTTCGCAGCTGAACTCATACACGCCTTATTGACGATGCGCAGTCAAAACGCTAGAAATCGCTATCCAACCTAGCATGCTGCCCGTGCTGTCCTACTACACCACTATCCTTACGCTCCTCTTCTCCGCCCCGGCGGTAGCTACCGGTGCCTATGAGCTTATGCCTGTCATAAAGCGCGACGGCTTTTCTTCGAAAAAGGCACAGATTGGCATACTACATGCTATCGTCAATGACATCACTGTGTTTGGCGCCTTATACAACTGGTGGAGTCGCAGGTCTACAGCCGCGTTTATACCAAGCAATGAGAACGTGCTGGTGAGCACTCTTATGGCGGTGCCCGCGACGTTCTTTGCTGCATACCTTGGTGGGTCGCTGGTATACCAGTATGGTATGGGATTCCGGGGAAGCAGCGCAAAGGCAAAGAAGACGCAGTAAGAGAAGCACGAGGATGGGGACCTGGTGTGACCTCTCTGTTTGCAAAGGAGCTCATCGAGTGCGGGAGAGTGTGCTTTGAGCGCTGCGGGTAGTGTATTGCTTAGTCTGAGGTTATCAAATGTTTCACTTGGCTCTATTCCTTCTTCAAAAGGTCGATTCAGATGAGCTTGAGCTGTCTGCTTAACGTGACCCTACCCGAGTATATGGATGACGCGCAAGGATCAGCTCGGAGCTCCATGGGTCTGACAGCCATATGCTTCCGACCGTCGGGCATGGTTTAACATAACATGAATCAAACCATATCAGAACATAAATCGGTAAAAGCGGTGAGCATAAAGAAAATGACCAATAACCCGATCTCCGCAAAATTTCTTGAAATGTTCTCTGCATTAGCGTTTTCGGTGCCACTAAGCAACACCCTAGTCTAGCTTTATCATTTGCCGATCTGCTCGCTTCTCCCCTCCCCAGGTTACCATGCGATAAGAGTCCTGCTTGCCGGGCTCGTGGAGTTTATCAGTGTTCGGCCGCGTCCCTGTTTGCCATGACTTCGACGACGTTTACGTACATGTAAGATCTTCGACACGCCGTGTCGCTGTCATTGACCAGTGAGCACTCGGTCGTGCGACGCCTATCGTCATTTCCAAGAGCACACGTGCAGGAAATAAGCCCCGCAGAGCCATGATTCTGCGAGATTTTGCTTGGCATCATACTAAGCTGTCGTTCTAACCTGAAGACCTGCGTTTAGAGGATGCGACCATGACTTTAGTATCAGTGGGGTGGATACGGTGGAAGCACCGAATCATGCAGGTTGCGGTACCCAGCTGCCGATGTATAAGATCGTGTACCGAGCCTCAAAATACCTGTACTACAATCACAGTCGGCTCCTCACTTTCAAGCCAGCAGCAGCAGAGATGGGGTTGCTTCGGGCTCTAAGCATCGCGTCTTTCCTCGCCTCCAACGTTAGAGCTGCCGTTTCATCGACAGGTTTCACGGTGTCACTCACGGACGTGGATTACTTCCTGCCCCCAAAGCCTGTTGCCAGCCTTGTTGGCTGTGAGGAGATCAAGTCCTTGTTTCATGATGGGCTCTTTGTGCCTTTCACGGTTGTCAAGGCCGACGGCACCCTAGATATAGCGTCGATTACGACTAGCTACGCTAAGGATGATGTCTGGCAGGAGGGTTTCCTGGAAGGTGTGTATATTGCCATCACTACCTGGTACGATCGACTAACGTGCTTCAGCCATCTACGTGCTAGGAAGCAACAAGCCGGCCAATGTCTCTACAATCGTGCTATCAGGCACCGCATCCAGCGAGCTAGCGCCAGGACCTTACTTTATCAACGCCGCTGGCCAAGTTTATGAAGCTTGGAGGCTCTTCTCGGACGTGCAGGGAGCATTCACCGAATCAGCCATTGCTAATGGCGACGGCTCCTACTCCGTCTTACCGGCAGGCACTGTTGGCCAGAAGCAAGCAATCGCTGTGCCATCCCGGTTGTACTTCGAGAAAACCGCTGAAAAGCCCTTGGCGGGAGTTCGCATTGGCATCAAGGACATCTATGACATCAAAGGCCTACGCACGTCGAATGGAAACCGGGCATGGTACTGGTTGTATGCTCCAGCTAATAACACTGCTCCACCGGTTCAGAACCTGATCGATGCTGGAGCCATTATTGTTGGAAAGATGATTACCTCCCAGTTTGCCAACGGCGAAACGGCTACGGCTGACTGGGTCGACTATCACGAGGCGTTCAATCCTCGCGGTGATGGCTATCAAGATACTTCGTCTAGCTCGTCCGGCGGAGGGGCGGGTGCTGCTTCGTACGCATGGCTGGACATTACCCTAGGATCGGATACTGGAGGCAGTGTGCGTGGCCCATCACAGGTTCAAGGTCTTTACGGAAATAGGCCATCGCATGGGTTGGTCTCACTTAACCATACAATGCCGCTCAGCCCTGTCCTCGACACTCCTGGCTTGCTGGCTCGCAATCCGACTCTCTGGATGAGCGCTGCGCAAGCCATGTACGGTCCTAACATTACCATCACTGATACCTACCCTACGAAAATCAAGACGCTGGCCTGGCCCACCTCGCCCAGTAAAGTCGCCAACAAACTCTTGATCGACTTTCTCGGCAATGTCACTGACTTCCTCCATGCCAACGTTAGCGCATTCAACGTCACGGCCTCCTTTAGCCAAGACAACCCCAACCTCGCGGATTTGACCACTATCATGAACCTCACCTATGCCCTCCTTATCACCAAGCAGCAAACCGAACTAGTCCGCAAACCCTTCTACGCCGACTACGCCGCTAAGCACGATGGCCGTCTCCCCTTTGTCAATCCCGTGCCATTGGCACGCTGGGGCTGGGGCGACAACCAGACCCTGACCGTCGATGAAGGCATTGCCAACAAGACTGTATTCATGAACTGGGCCAACAAAACATTCCTTGCTCCATCCGCCAAGACGTGCTCTGACAGCTTAGTCATGTATGTTGGGTCCACGGCCAGCACAACCTATCGCAACGCCTACTTGAAGGAACCCGGTGTGCCGTTTGGGTGGAGTAACAGCCGTATTTCCATCATGTCTGAGGCACCGGACTTTGTCGTTCCACTGGGAGAGGCGCCGTATAACTCTACCATCACTGGACATGTAGAGTATCTACCTGTCACAGCCAACTTGATGGCTGCGAAAGGCTGTGACGGCATGCTCTTCTCGTTGATCAAGGGTTTGTATGAGGCGGGCATCTTGAAGGAGAGTTTGGCGGGGAAGAGTGGCGTCACGGGTGGGGAGATTTTGCTCAGGCGAGGCCTTTACGAGTACTAATGAACTGCGAATAATGTAATGGGACGATATGTCACGATCTCAACGAATGATAGAACTAGATAAAAATATCGAAACAATTTGAGAGTGCAATACATGCTACATGCAGGAGTCTAAAGACGGTGCTTTTGTTGCTCCTGGTGAAGCCTGGGCGAGGTGCAGTTTGACGTATCACACCTCAAAATCTTTCTACAAACTGACGTCATGTTCGACGACGCGTCTAGAGACGCGTGGAATGGATAGCTGCTGACCTGGTCCTCGTCTGAGTAGAACGATTCGCGACGTCGTTGCGGAGAAACGCGTACATGTGGAATAGTCGAGGGACTTGGATGATGGCCGGCTTAGTGTGCAGGCATGAAGGGAGTAGGCATGGTCGCAGAACGACGTATGTGGTAATAGCGGCCAGCTGTAGCGACGCGCTAAGGGCCGTGCAATCGCATTTCTGGAGCTACTCACTCTACACTCTGCCCACTCAATCCCTCTCACGCCTACACCCTCAACGCGTCCGCCACTCCATCAACTACCCCTCACACTCGAACCGGGAACCAATTCAACGGGCCTCGCGCAACTCATACAACCACCAAACCTCGAATTCACGCGGCAAACGGCCCAGGTGGGCAACATGGCGCGCAAGAGCAATGTGGATTCGGACGGCCCTTCGACGGGTGACGCCTCGGCACATTCAGACGTAGAAATGCAGGACCGAGACGACAAGATGAGCGGCTTCAAGAAGTTTGGAGTAAGTGCGACCCGGCCTGCGCCTCCCTGCTCCCTCCCTATGGAGCAGCGCTGGCCGCAGCGACAAGTATAGCAGGACATTCAAGCTAACAGTATGGTCATAGTACTTTCAAGATACCCCAGACTACACGGTACGAACGCTTATTCCCCTCCGTCGCGCCCTCTACCTACAAACTAACCCGTCAAACAGGATTCAGACACCAACCCAAACACCACAGCAAGCAGCGTCGCGGGTGACCACGCGCCACAAGACGGCCGACGACGACGTGCAGAGGTTCTGAATATGCGCAAGAGTATCTACGGCAAGAAACACGACCGCCTAGGCGCGTCAAAGGTACGTGACCAAATTTGGCGCATCGCATCGAAGCCCAATTACTGACTAGTTGCGCCACTGTAGGAGGACGACACAATCCGACGATTTAGATACCTCCTCGGCCTGACCGACCTCTTCCGTCACTTTATTGACACGAATCCTAATCCGCACATCAAAGAGATTCTCGCCGAGATCGACCGCCAAGACGCCGAAGAGGAGAAGAAATCCAAGGCGAGCAAGATGCGCAAAGGCGGTGCAGCTGCTGAGCGGCGCCGCAAGACGGAGCAGGAAGAGGATGCCGAGCTGGTGCGCAACGAGAAGCACGGCGCCCACAATGAGACAGTGTTTCGGGAGTCGCCAGGCTACATCCAGGGCGGAACCATGCGCGACTACCAGGTTGCAGGTCTCAACTGGCTGATCTCCCTTCACGAGAACGGTATTTCAGGTATCTTGGCCGACGAGATGGGTCTCGGAAAGACGCTGCAGACGATTTCCTTCATTGGCTACCTCCGCTACATCGCCGGCATCACCGGTCCACATTTGGTTGCTGTCCCAAAATCGACTCTAGACAATTGGAAGCGCGAATTTGGCATGTGGTGTCCTGATATCAACGTCTTGGTGCTCCAGGGCAACAAGGATGACCGTGCCGAGCTCATCAAGGAACGCCTAGTGGACGAGAAGTTCGATGTCTGCATTACCAGCTACGAGATGATCCTACGCGAGAAGTCACACCTCAAGAAGTTTGCCTGGGAATACATCATCATCGACGAGGCACATCGGATCAAAAACGAAGAGTCTTCGCTCGCACAGATGGTTCGTGTCTTCAACTCGCGAAACCGGCTGCTCATTACGGGTACCCCTCTCCAAAACAACCTCCACGAGCTTTGGGCGCTGCTCAACTTCCTACTCCCCGATGTCTTTGGTGACTCTTCGGCCTTCGACGATTGGTTCTCGCAGCAGGGTGCCGACTCTGACACTGTCGTTCAGCAACTTCACAAGGTCCTGCGCCCCTTCTTGCTCCGGCGCGTGAAGGCAGACGTCGAGAAGTCATTGCTTCCCAAGAAAGAGATCAACTTGTACGTCGGCATGTCTGATATGCAAGTTCAATGGTACAAGAAGATTCTCGAAAAGGACATTGATGCTGTCAATGGCGGTACTGGCACCAAGGAGTCCAAGACCCGCCTGCTCAACATTGTCATGCAACTGCGAAAGTGCTGCAATCACCCGTACCTCTTCGAAGGTGCCGAGCCCGGTCCGCCATACACTACCGACGAGCATCTAGTCACCAACGCCGCCAAGATGGTCATGCTGGACAAGCTTCTCAAGCGCATGAAAGCACAAGGCAGTCGCGTTCTCATCTTCTCCCAGATGAGCCGTGTACTAGACATCATGGAAGATTACTCCGTCATGCGAGGCTATCAGTACTGCCGTATCGATGGTTCTACTGCCCATGAAGACCGTATCCAGGCCATTGATGACTACAACAAGGAGGGTTCAGAAAAGTTCTTGTTCTTGCTCACTACTCGTGCTGGTGGCTTGGGTATCAATTTGACCACCGCAGATATCGTCGTTTTGTTTGACAGCGATTGGAACCCGCAGGCAGATCTCCAGGCTATGGATCGCGCGCATCGTATTGGTCAGACCAAGCAGGTCTACGTCTTCCGCTTCGTAACGGAGAGTGCTATCGAAGAGAAGGTGCTTGAGCGAGCGGCCCAAAAGCTACGCCTTGATCAACTAGTCATTCAACAAGGCCGTACACAGCAACCTGTTAAGAACGCTGCTTCAAAAGATGAACTATTGACCATGATTCAGCATGGTGCCGAAAAGGTGTTCAATAGCAAGGGTCCTGTTGGCCCAGCTGCCGATGGAGACTTTGGCGATGACGACTTTGAAAAGGTTATGAAGCGTGGCGAAGAAATGACAAAAAAGCTCAATCAAAGGTACGAGACGCTCGGCCTCGACGACCTCCAAAAATTCACCTCAGACTCTACCTATGAGTGGAATGGCGAAACGTTCCAGCCACGCAAGAAAGAGATTGGATTAGCCTGGATCAACCCATCGAAGCGTGAGCGCAAGGAACAAAACTACGGCATTGACTCGTATTACCGAAAGACACTGGTGACAGGAGGTCGAACAGAGAACAAACAGCCCAGGATCCCTCGTGCGCCGAAGCAGATACACATTCACGATTACCAGTTCTTTCCAGAGAGGCTGTCAGAGCTTCAAGATAAGGAGACGGCATGGTATCGGAAAGAGAACAACCTAAAAGCACCACTGCCTGACGGCCCTGAAGAGGATCTCGAAGCCCGTGAGGCTGACCAGGAACTCGCGCAGAAGGAAATTGACAACGCGGAGCCCATGACAGAAGAAGAGAAGGCAGAGAAGGAGCGTTTGATTGAGAAGGGTTTCCCTGAGTGGAACAAGCGCGACTTCCAACAGTTCTTGAACGGGTCCGCTAAGTACGGCCGCACAAACTATGAGGGTATCGCGGAAGAAGTAGACGGTAAGGATGCTGACGAGATCGCTGACTACGCCAAAGTCTTCTGGAAAAAGTATAAGACGCTCGACAACTGGCAAAAGCATTTCGGCGTGATTGAAGAGGGAGAGCTACGCGTCCGACAGTCCGAGGAGAAGAAGCGCCTCATTGCTAAGAAGATTGGCATGTACCGTATGCCCCTGCAGCAAATGGTCATCAAATACACCGTCTCAACAACCAACAAAAAGGTATACACGGAAGAAGAGGACAAGTTCCTTGTTGTCATGTTACATAAGCACGGCGTTGAGGGAGACCTCATTTACGAGAAGATTCGCGATGAGATCCGCGAGTCGCCTCTCTTCCGCTTCGACTGGTTTTTCCTCAGCCGCACACCACAGGAGATTGGTCGCCGTTGCACTACACTGATCTCAGCTATTGTTCGCGAGCTTGGTGACGGTGATTTGAAGAACGGCAAGGGTGGCAAGCGTGCGTACGAGGAGGAAGAGACGGAAGAGGAAGAGGAGGTTCCCGTCAAGAAGAAGGCTAAGAACGGCGTCAAGGTTCGTACATGAATATCTGGTATACGGTGCGCAATGCTAATCAAGGTGCAGAACAAGCAGCTCGATGCTATCAAGGCCAAAGCCTCTCCGGCTTCAACGTCAACCTCCCGAGCTAGTAGTGTTGCCTCGAACGGCTCGGCGTCGAAGACGAAGGGCAAGGGCAAGGGCAAGAAGAAATGAGTGTGCATGGCTTAGTGTTATGTTTCGGGGGCATGATACGGTGTTCTGGCGTACGTTCAAGGGGGGCAAACGGTTAACTTGGCTTTGGAAGGGCATTGTTCAGGACGTGATGATTCGGCTGTTTGAAACATCTTGTGCTGATCTTGATCTTGATCCTGCACGTTGGGTCTTATAGAGGCCCCTAGATTTAGTTTATTGTTGAATTGATACAAAAACCGACTTTCGATCGTTGTGGCTGAATAGAGCTTGTGGCGGTGAAGCCATGCTGTGGCGGCGGGGCAACGATGACGCGCCTGCCCGCCAAATCCTTCAACTTGTTACGCGCCTTTCAACATCACCATTACACGTTCGCACGTCGCATAGCTCTCTCTGTCTGTCACCCAAGTTCTCTTTGCCTGCCTCATTTTCCCCGCTATCTTCTGCTCTTCAGCAACCATTAGCTGGTAAGACAAACCCGCAAAACACACCCTCATCGTGCCCCTCGAAGCTTCGGGAACTTTCCGCAGTTGAAGCCAGAGTGAAGCTCAGCAACCAAGCAAAGCAGGAGTTGCTCACACGTCCGCAGCCAACTATCCTCCTTCTCCGACACACGCTTCGCCAGCGAGATATCCACCATGGCATCCACGGCACTCATCGACGCTGATGCGCTGGAGCCCACGCTTCAAAACATCCTGGACCAAAAGACACTGCGCTGGATATTCGTTGGTGGAAAGGGTGGTGTAGGCAAGACTACTACATCGTGTTCCCTCGCCATTCAGCTCGCAAAGCACCGCAAGTCCGTCCTCCTCATCTCCACCGACCCCGCGCACAACTTGTCAGATGCCTTCAACCAGAAGTTCGGCAAAGATGCGCGACTCATCAACGGCTTCGACAACCTCAGCGCCATGGAGATCGATCCCAATGGGAGTATACAGGACCTGTTGGCGAGTGGGGCGGAAGAAGGCCAAGACCCGATGGCGGGATTGGGAGGTATGGGCAGTATGATGCAGGATCTCGCGTTTAGTGTACGTACAACATCGATATATATGACATGGAGGGAATCTGGAAGGGAACTACGAGGGCTAACATAAACTTTGACAGATCCCCGGTGTAGACGAAGCCATGTCCTTTGCCGAAGTCCTCAAACAAGTCAAATCCATGTCCTACGAAGTCATCATCTTCGACACCGCGCCCACAGGCCACACGCTCCGCTTCCTGCAATTCCCTACCGTCATGGAGAAAGCACTATCCAAGGTATCTCAGCTGTCGCGCCAATTTGGTCCCATGCTGAACTCGTTCCTGGGTGCGAGTGGCCGCCTGCCCAACGGCCAAAACATGGATGAGCTGGTCGAGAAGTTGGAGGCTCTGCAGAAAACCATTGGAGAGGTCAACGGACAATTCAAAGACGCGGATCTCACAACTTTTGTCTGCGTCTGCATTCCAGAGTTCTTGAGCTTGTATGAGACGGAGAGGATGATTCAGGAACTCAACAGCTACGAGATTGACACACATTCCATTGTCGTCAATCAACTTCTCTTCCCGAAGCAGGACAACCCGTGTGAGCAGTGCAATGCTAGGAGGAAGATGCAGAAGAAGTACCTCGACCAGATTGAGGAGTTGTATGATGAGTTCAATGTGGTCAAGATGCCGCTATTGGTGGAGGAAGTGCGAGGCAAGGAGAAACTAGAGAAGTACGGCCTGACTCAAAATCTATGCCAGATGGATGCTAACGCGCATTGCAGATTCAGCGAGATGCTCGTCCAGCCTTTCGTCCCTCCGGCGTAGAAGCAGACCCCTTCACCCCTCCAATATACGATAGCCTTCTTTCCGAGTCGCATAAGAGTCTCGACTCGATATCCATTGTGCGATTCAGCAAAGCGGCGAGCAATATTCTAGAACAAGCATTCTCCGATCGAATCTATCCCTGCAACTCTCTAGCGATACCATGTGGCCCCTTTCTTTCTTTGCACTATGTATCTTCGACTTCCCCACGGATTTGCGGTCTAGACGAGAGCATGGGATACTAGCGCATGATTTACACTCGAGAAGAAATCAAACTCGCCCAAACTTTGACCGACTTCTCTGCGAGCCTTTCCTATTTTCTACAAATGCCCGTAAACGATTGACGACATCCTAGTAGAGCGACCGTGGTCGCGAACTACTAATCGAATCCACATTCGCCCTGGTTCCAATGGCATTTAGCCTCTTTTCCAAGGTATTGGCGATCTACAGTCACCCCGCATAAACGCCGAAATGCTAGCCGAAATAGTGGTCCTCCGAGTCATTTTCTGCTTTCTGCACGTTGTGCACTCCTTGGGGAGTTTCGTTCTTCCCCGCGTTCCTATTAACCTATCTCCTTCCTGAAGCAACAGATCGCTCCGTGGTCACCTGCAAGTGACAACGCCATCTCTTTACCCCGCAACGACCGCAATCCATGATCTGGAATGCACGGCTTGGGCGTTGCCGTGGTACAAGTCTACCTGCAAGAAAGAATCTTGACCGAAGCGAACGGGTATTTGTGCATATCACAAATTACGAGTCATGTGGGATAGTTATTCAAGTACAAACGCAGATCAACCGTCGATGCGGTGAGCGAAAAAGGTACCAACATTGTTTCTGGCTGTAAGCTGAGGCTAACAGAACCGGAAGCAAGACACGCATTACGCGACTACTCCTATAAATCTATTGGTATCTTGTGTGGAAGCTAATATAGGGCCCGTTTTGAGATTGGCGCACGTCAGTAAACGTTGTGTTCATGCAAGCGGTAAGTGCAGACTCGCGTGCACATGCCAACACTTGCATTAACCAAAGGTCTTCCGTCTTTGCAAATTATCGCACTTCCCGACCTCAGGTCTCACAGAGCTGAGGTTTCGGATACCGAATATCATGAGTCTATGACACAGCGTACTTCGCACAGCAACACGACCGCAGTTCTACTAAGCGCCCAGAAAACTCGTTTCGGCAATTGCACCGTTGTGATCTCCACGAACTAAACACTAACACTAGTGTTTGCACCTCGTGCCGCCGAAATCTCCTACCCGCTATGCACTACGCACGCCCAGCTACCGGAATAATACCTAAGTATAGTAAGTACACGTGTGCCAATCCCAGAAAGGGGTAGACAGGTCGATTGTCCCCGGTGCCGGGTCTGTCAACGTGGATGGTGTGCTGGATGAACCCAGGACCAGGGTCCGTGCTACCACGCCGTTCTGGGTTCGTGACTTTAGCTTGCAAGTCTGGTGTCGCGTGCGCAGCGGGTGAATATATAATCACTCTGGGTTCGCCAGTGTACTGTCCGTCAGGCCTTTCGTTTGGTGTTTACTTCTACGTCACTACCTACTCGGGTTCCTCTCTCGTCCCCGGCTTTTTCTGTCTTTGGACACCAAGGACTGGATATTAAGCAAAGTTGCTTTCTGGATAAAACCAGCATGTCTTCATTTATGCGACTTGGGGCCCTGCTCCTCGGTGCAGTTTACTCTGCCACTGCGGCGCCGGTGGAACTCGATAAGAGAGGTATGTTACTTGCGTTGCTCCTTACATGGCTTTAGCATCATTCCTTACTCGATCAACATGGCTTTGAATTTGGACTAACTTGTCGCTAGCTGTTTCTGCCAATGTCCTCGATCAACTCCAATTTTTCAGCCAGTATTCTGCTGCAGCATACTGCCTGGTGAACAACAACAGCCCCAATACCAAAATCACGTGTCCACAAGGGAATTGCGCCCGAGTCGAACAGGCGAACACCAACACCCTGACTGAGTTCGAGAACTCTATCAAATCCGACATTACCGGCTTCGTAGCAACCGATACTACCAACAAGCTCATCGTCCTTTCTTTCCGCGGCTCCCGGTCCGTGCGAAACTGGCTCACCAACCTAAACTTCCCTATCGTACCCACAACGCTCTGCACAACTTGCACAGCGTCTATCGGTTTCTGGTCCTCTTGGCTCGAGGCGCAGTCAAGCGTGATATCCGCCATCTCCACAGCGCGTGCCCAGTATCCTGAGTACAAAGTCGTTGCGACCGGCCACTCCCTCGGCGGCGCACTGGCTTCTCTAGCTGCCGGAGTGCTCCGGTCACAAGGTGTGACTGTCGATCTGTACACGTACGGCGCGCCGAAGGTCGGACTGGAGGGTATCTCGCAGTATCTCGGTTCGGGCTCCCATGGGCAGACGTTTAGGGTTACGCATAAAGCCGATCCAGTTCCCAAGTTGCCGCCTGCGTTGCTCGGTTACCGACATATCAGTCCGGAGTACTATGTCACCAGTGGGAATTCTGCTATGCCGGGGACTGGAGACGTGAAGGTTTTGCCTGGGACGCTGAATTTGGCTGGAAATGAGGGTGATTTCGGCGTGGATGTTGATGCTCATTTGTATTACTTTGGGCATATTAGTGCGTGTGAGGGTGTGGAAGGCATCGAGATCAAAAAGGTATAACGCACTCCTGGCGGCGAAAGAATGAGTTACAATACACAATAATAGTAGTAATGTAATCCTCAAAGCTCCCTCACATTTTCATCCCAGCAACTTCCCCCTTTTCCGGCTCACCTTCCTCGTTCTCATATAGGGGATTCACCTGGACTTCCCGCAGCCACAGCCGGAACGACTTGTCCTGTGTCTTGCGATTCATAACCGCACACGCCTCGGCCTCTTCCTCGAGCAAATACGCCACTGCTTTCGCATCACCTCCCGCCAGCGCAATCGCTTCCTTCAGCAGAACGCAGTTAGTCTGCGTATACATGGCGCGATACACAGCCTCCTCAATCGACGCGCCAAACGTCGTGAAACCATGCTTATGCTGCAGAGCAACAGGCTGCTTATGCGACAACTTCTCCGCCAGCGCAGCGCCCAGCAGCTGATTCTTCACCAGCATATCAGGTTCAAAACTCCTCAGCTCGGCGTACACAAGCGCAATGTCGAAAACAGGGAGTGGCTTCGCGCCCAAGAAACCCGCCATGTGGAAAACGGGCTTTACGTCTACACTGCCGAGCGTGAAGGGGATCACGACTTCGGAGTGCGAGTGTACAACGCAGTTTGCGTCCGGGAAGCGCTTGAGGACTTCGCTGTGGATGTAGCGTTCCGAGTAGCCTTGTGGTGCGGATGGATCTACGGGGGTTGAGTCGTGGATCCAGTAGGTGATGAAGTCGCTGGCTTGCTTTACTAGGGCTGGGGCGCCGGGGTCGTAGGCTGCTATTAGGTATTGGTCGGGATGGAGTGGGTGGCGGATGGAAATGTGGCCGAATGCATCGACGAGGTTATGCTGGTGGAGGATGTGGTTCGCGCGGATTAGGAGGCGGAGTTGCTGATGTAGGTTTGGTGGCGTCGACATGGTGTGGTGAGGGTTGTGGATGTTAATGTTAGAGCCGTGGAATAGTTTGACTTGCAAGTCTTCGCGCTCTATTAGAGCGAATCGATCGAATCGAATGAGAAATCGCGAATCTGCGATGTAGTTTCTTAGTCTCCAGCTCTTATCGCGGTCATGGGTAGTAAGTGAGCCTTGTTACCTCCTGTTTTACTTGGAATCGGCAACTAACACTATCAATCTAGAAACATCGAAGATAGCATGAGCTCATCTTTGTCTATACACCAGTTATTCAACCGGTATGTCGTCACGCCGCTCCATGCAGGTGTGGAACGATGCCATGTTGCGGGGATGCAGCGGAGCGATTGGTCGACATTGAGGGGATCCGATATCTAGCGTTGCCAAACTTCCGGTGCCAGCTCCGACCGTAGTTCATAGTGTACACTCAATTAAAGATAGTTCTACAGGAAGGCGAACAATAGCATTTGAATTGTTCTTAGTCTGGTCATCGAGATGACGACTACATACATTCTCGGTGGCGTCGCGGTAGCCGGCCTGGCATTCTGGTACGACTTCAAGAGCTGGCAGAATTTCGGTGAGCATTCACCCCTCCTCTACTTGGAACAACACTCACTTTGATCAGGAACTGGAGGCACCCCACCTACACTTCAAGGCTACCTCAAAATTCGACGATGGGGACTCTACCTGCTCTACAAGCGCGAAAACTTGCTAGATCCAACACCAATCCCAGACACAGGAGCATCATACATCAAACCTCAAAAGGTGCCTGACCGTGTCGGAGCACGACCAGGACTGACGCGCTGGACACTTCCACAGCGACAATTCCCTGAGAAAATCACATCTGCGGCATTAGCAACACTGCACAATTTAATGCAAGAATTCGCTAGCACAGCGCCTTACTCCACGTACATCGAGACGCGTCCCAGCAAGACTGAAGGCGGTACCGGTCCAGCTATTTACGTGAAACCAGACGTGAAGACTATCAATCCGGTCGCACACAAGATCTTCTACGAGATAGCACATGTGCATCCTGCAGAGAACTCCTTGCATGTGTATGTCAGTCCGCAGGACGCGAAGCTTGTGCTCAAGAGAGGCTGGGGTCAGCGCTTTCCGGTGACTTGGTTGGCGCCGCCGAGTTGGATTATGGTGTATGCGCCGAGGAACGAGGAGGAGGTGGAGACTGTGAGGGAGATTGTACGGGCTGCGGTGTGCTTTGCAGTTAGTCAGAATGTTGAGGCAGGCTCTGATTGATATGTGAATTATTGACTGGGCGGGTCAGTTGTACGAGTGATATAAAAGTACGTCGCTTGTCGGTTTTCTTCGGGGAATGTTTGAAATGTTTCAAGCTCCACGGGAGTATCTCGCATTGAAACGGCGTCTCTAAGGACACTTTAACAAACTATCTCTACCCTTGAATTGAAAATTGTCAAATCGCTATGTACGCATAATCAAGCTAGCATTTTTTCATCAGTAGAAAAATCAATATTTGGAAACTTAATATAGCCAATCGGAAGTAACCCAAACGCTGTGTACGGCAATGAGAGGCGGAGAACCGGTGTCATGTGGGTCCACGATCACCACCCGCTTTCAGCTCCGATGCGGCTGATGAATGATCAAAAGAGCTAATAAACCCTGCATTGAACTTCAGGATAACACTTTTTTTGCACATCATACTACCTTGCGAGACCACAAACGTCGATATCTCGGTCACATTTCAAATTGGGCAGCACTGACGCGAAGATGAAAGTTCTCATTATTGGAGCAGGTAAAAAAAGCACTCAAAAGCTTGCAAGGAATTTTGTTAATTCATCTAGGTCCTGCCGGATGCGCGCTTGCCCACGGGCTCCAAAAAGCTGGCATTTCGTTTAGCATTTACGATAAAGGCGCGGACGTCTACCGACACCGTCACTGGGCATTTACTCTCGGCTGGGCGCGACCATACCTGCTGAGCATGTTGCCAGAAGAGCTAGGCGCGCAAATCAACTCATGTCAAGTCGATCCGAACGTTGACTGCGCAGCCATTGGTGAAGACAGGATCGTGTTATACAACGGCCAGACGCGTGAAGAAGCGTTTGCATTCCCCATTCCCAAAGCAAGAGAGATCAATATCAGAAAGTTGAGAATACTATGTGCTGAGAAATTGGACGTAAAGTACGGGAAACGGTTTAGCCACTATGACCTGATACCAAACGGCGGGGTAAAAGTGTTCTTCGAAGATGGTTCAACTGACGAAGGGGACATCGTCATTGGGATTGACGGCGCAATGTCGAAAGTGCGACACTGTCTACTCGGCCGCGAAGCAGCAATGGACATCCTACCTTTCGCCCTGGTGAATTTCAATGCCTCATACACAGCCGATCAAGCACTATTCATCAAAGAGCGCTTACACCCACTCGTCGACATCGCCATACATCCAGCGGGCCACTACATACGCGCAAACGTGCTCGACATGCCGGACCAAAAAGACCCCAGCACCTGGACGTTCCAGATCCTGTCAACATGGCCGTTAAAAGTGGTCGAAGATCACGACAACGAGGGCGATAGACTGAAGAGACTGAAAGCGCATGTCAAGCGAGATGGATGGGCGGAGCCTTACAAGAGTGCGATTGAGTGGATACCAGAGGATACGGAGGTTTTGAGAGATCAGTTGAAGATCTGGAAGACGGTACCGTGGGATAACCAAGGTGGACGGGTGACGCTTTGCGGCGATGCAGCGCATGCGATGACTTTCCGTATGCTTCTTGCCACCGACCTACCAACATCGCATACTAACAAAGTGTACTCAGATCGCGGCCAAGGAGCCAATAATGCGTTCTACTCCGCACATTGCCTCGTCGAAGCGTTAAAGTCCGTCCAAGAAGGTACTGCGTCTTTGGAAAAGGCGATTACGACGTATGACGAGAGTATCTGGAAGAGAGGTGCGAACGAAGTCCAGATCTCGAAAGCTCAGTCATTTTTCACGCATGATGGCTTGGAGAACTTTATTAATAGTCCAGTGATAAAGCTGGGAACAAAGCCGAGTCATGCCGCAAAGACTGAGGGGTACCAGTAGTCGTGGTATTAGGGCATTGGCTGCGTGTGGTCCGTCCTCGAAGCGCTTAAGGCTTGACACGTGGGAACACTCAACTGTGATGATGAAACAGGGGTTGTGAATGTCGAAAGAGGATTTCTAACTATTGTTTAGCCTTGCGTTGGCAGATATCAATTTGTACCGATATCTATGGTTTGCGCGTGGCCACTACAACTCCTCGGGTGAATTCAGCTGATATGCAGGGAAGCAACTCCATCATTTGAGCAGCTGAGTGATGCTATCTTAACATCAAAATTGCTAGTGTTACTCGAAATATCTACGTGACCTTTTAGTGCGCCGTTGTGATACCTTTGCGTTCATTTCAGAGGCTTTTGTATTTCTTTTGTTCAGTCCGTCACATACCTTCTCACAACAATCTTTGGGCCACCATCTTTTGCCCTTTCAAAAGATTATGGCGCCACAGTACTATCTTTATAACAATTACAGCAACTTGTGCCTTTCCACCGACTCCCTTCCCTTCAACTTCGGCCTCCGAGCTCGCCTATACGAGAACCCACTACCCTTCACTTTCACCCTCATTTTTTCCACCGAATATTTCGATATATGTACGGTCAGCGCTTCAAATCATTACTGTCTCGATGTCTATCCGGTGCGGATGGATGACGTGCAGGACATAGCTTATCTGGCTATGCCGAACGACACTACTGGCCAGCAATGGAAACTCGAATCGACAGAGATAACAAGTTTGCTCTATAGGTTGTCCAACAAGCTCTCAGAGAGGGGAATGTACTTGGATGTGTATAATCAGACGAAGGACGTTTATATGACCGATTCGGACCGGCCGGGGCATTACTGGATGAAAGTCAAGGTGAATTGCCTTCCTTTGTTGCGATGTCGGTACATCTAAGTGCTAATATTGCTATTTAGGACTGTGCAGTAGCTCCTTCCGATGGATCAATGTCTGGTAATAGCCCAAACACCACATTGAGTGATACAGTACCCCCAACAATATCAAGATCTGCCCGACCCACACAAACTGTATCAACCAATTCATCACTTCCTACTCCTGTACTGGCAAGCTATTCACGGGGCCTGAGCAAAGGAGCAAAGGCAGGGACAGGCGTAGGATGCGCACTTCTCGCGATACTCGTGGCAGGCTTAGTGGCTGCCCTCTTCTACTGGAGAAAGAAAGCAAGCAAGAATGTACAGGCGACACCGACAACACGGGTGGAAGAGGATTTCGGAGCAAGTGAGAAGTATGGTAGGGATGAAGCTCCTGCCGAGTTGCCTTCGGAGGACGTCATCTCTCCTATGCATAGCCCGAGCATGGGAGAACTACCAGCCCAACTTGAGGTTCAGGAGATGCCTGGTTGTAGTATACCGCATTCATAAAATAGCGTACAAATGTCCTGTAAATCTACACGCAAATACAACAGACACGGCCCATATGCAGACTCAAGCTGATTACAAACGTTTATTTCACTACATCTCAGCAGCCATCTCCTCCCCATCCCCCCCATCACCATCTAACCGAAAAACCTTATCCGGATTCAAAATTCCCCGCTCATCCAAACTCCTCTTCACCCGCCTCATAACATCAACACCCACCTTTCCTACCTCCTCCTCCAGCGCCTCCCTCAACTTCAACCCCACACCATGTTCACCCGTGACCGTGCCGTCCAACCTAAGCGCCAGCGAAGCAACCTGCCTCAACACAGCCTCAGCAGCAACTCTATCCGCCGCCGGACACACAATGGAAGAATGCACATTGCCATCGCCTATATGGCCTACATTAGCACAGAACCAATCCCGGCGGTTCTCCGCAGCGTTTGCTTTCTGGATCAATGCCTGCGTCCCATCGACAAGGGCAGCGAGCTGCGATATAGGCACCGCGCAGTCAGTATTGAGGAATAAATCCGAGGGATCCTTTTTCATAGCAACGAGGGCGTGTCCCATGCACTTTCGCGCGCCCCAGAGGACATCTATGCGCGTTTTTTCCGCGGTGATTTCAAACGACAGTGCGTCGAGCTGTTTGCACAGCGCTTCCACGACGCGGATCTGGTCCTGTACCAACTGCGCGCTTGGGCCGGCGAATTTCAGGAACAGCGTTGGTACCTCGGGGAAGAACTGCGGGGCGAGTTGGGAGTGGTTGATGCAGTGCATTTGCGGCCCGTCTGCTAGCTCCAGGGCTTCGAGCTGGTGGCCGCTCTTTTGGAGGGCGACGACGATGTCGACGCCGTGCTTGAAGGAGGGGAATGTTGCGAGGCCGACGTGTAGGTTCTTTGGTAACGGGGCGAGGCGCAGGACTGCTTCGGTGACGAGGCCTAGGGTGCCCTCTGAGCCGATGATGAGGTGCGTGAGATCGTATCCTGCAGATGACTTGCGGGGCCGACGGTGGGTTTTGACGATACTGCCATCTGCTAGGACGTACGTAAGGGAAATAACCCATTCTTTCATTGTGCCGTAGCGGTAGGCATTGGTGCCTGAGCAGCTCATGGCAATCTAGCCCTGTATCAGCGTTGAATCTTGAAAAGAAAAACCCCCTAGCCAAAACTAAATCACCCATACAAACTATACCAACCCAAACCCAAAAGAAACTCAACTCAACTCACCATCCCCCCCACACTCGCCCCGGGCGCAGGATCCACAGGAAACCAAACCCCCCTCCCCTCCAACGCGCGATTCAACTCAACCCAGCCGAGCCCAGGCTGCACCACGACATCCAAATCATCCTCATGCAGCTCCACAATCTCTTTCATCTGCTCAAAACTAACACACACGCCGCCCCGCACACACGCCAGCGCGCCGCCCAGACTCGTCCCGCCGGAAAACGACGAAACGGCTACGCGGCGGTCATGGCATGCTTTTAGGATGGTGGAGGTTTCTTGCGTGGAGTGGGGAAGGAAGACGGCTTGGGGGAGTTGGTGCGGGAGGGCGGGGGAGTGCGGGGTGTTTGCTTTTGAGGCGCGGATTTGCGGGGAGGTGGTGTAGGTTATGTTGTTTGGGGCAGTGGAGAGGTGGGTGATTAGGGAGGAGATGTTGGGGGGTGAGTGGTTGTAGTGTGGCATGTTTGAAACCTGTGTCTTGATGGGCTGGAGGAATATGTGTTGTTAATTCTTTGTTTCTTCTTGCGTGGTTTAAATATCTAGGTATGTAAATAGAGGTGAGACAGTATGATGTTAAGAAGATTTCACCAACTCTGGGGTCTGGGTTTAGGTAGACTTGCCGGGTCAGCGAGTCATGCGGGCTAGACGGAAATGGGCGGCTTACGGAATGCTTCCGGGGATGGTGATAATTAAATATATTTGCCGGAGAATGGCATGTATATAAGCTCAGTCTCACCTCAGCATCCTATACACTAATCAACATTTAATTCTATTCTACAGCCGAACTCGCCCACGACGCCGGTGGAAGAAGAAGTATTCAAGGTGAGATGGAAAGCTAGGTATAATAGAAGGATCAATCAGGAAAGAGTACAAAGTAGGCTAAACTAGCCTCTCTGAAGATGAACAAGTTCCAAGTATCCAAAAAAGGGGAGGGTATTGAGAAGAAAAGCCATCTACAGAAACCGTACAATTCAAACAGGCTTATGCAAATCCTACCAGAAGAACAGAGTACGGCATATCGGCCGCGGGTCCTGTAGTAATCGTCGAAGCGACAAGGTAGAATAGGAAAATAGGTACGAGACTTGTCGTCCAACAAGGGTCTCAACAAGTATTCAAGGGTATCCAGAAGGTAATCCAACAGACCGATTAGAAGGTAAGAAATGAAAATCATGGCAAGTCACCATACGTCTTCTTCGTCCTCCAAAACTTCCTGCTCTTCTTCTCCTCCTCCTTCTTCGGTCCCGCTCCCTGCCCTGGACGCACCATCGGCTCTGGCGGTCCCGAGTTCTTCAAGAAATCCGCAAGATCACTCGTAGCTGTCTTCCCAGCGCCTCCACGTACATCACCCGCCGAAGGTACACGGGCATACTGTCGGGGTTTAGAGCCACGAGTAGTGTCGGATGCGACAGAGTTTGAGGACATGGCACCAAAGGGCATAGAGCCGTTGCCGTTGCGCGTAGCGGTGTTGGAAGATGCTAGAGAAGAGTTTGAGACGTTCGCGCGGGCTCGTGCTGCGGCTATTGTTTCTTCGCTGAGCATGAAGGGCTGGGGTTTACTGGTAGACGGGGGATCCATGTCGTTGAGGAAGTCCATCAAGCTCTCCTGCCTTGGTCGCGCCGGTTGGCTCGAGTAGGGAAGTGCAGTCAACTGGTCTTCATCCTCGTCTTCATCCTCTGACGAGTCGATTGCGTAGGGGTCCTTGATACGCCGGCGGGTCTTGGTAATGACAGGTTCTGGGTTTGACGCCATGCTTCCACTCAAGTTTTGTGGGGTGTTGGAGTAAGCTGGCTGTACGACCTTTGGAGTTGGGAGTAGGCCAGTCCGTGAGTTGATTGTCTGCGCACTATGCTTGGAGTCCAGAGTGGAAGATGTGGAGTCGAATGCCGATTCGACATTGCCATGGGTACCGAGCATAGTATCGAACTGGTCCGAGTCGACTGTACTCCGGAAGGGCGCGACATTGCGAGGAATCCTGGGCTCTCCGCTGTTCGCATTAGGCGGCCCTTGACGAATGAAGTCTATCAAGTCATCATTGCCAGCGGTGAGGCCTGCTGGGCTGCGCGGTTCCATGTTGCGTTGTGTGGCTGACGGGCTCTCCTTGTTGCGCGTGTTTAGGTTTATTTGTCTGGTTGAGAACTTTCGCCCGAGGGAGGATGTTGAAGCATTGGAAGCCTTGGATCCGTTTCCGCTGATGTTAACAAAGGGTTGCACAGATTTTTCCTGCCCAGGGGATGGGCCAGTAGATCGAATGAAGTCGGCAAAGTCGCGCATCGATTCGGACTCGATTCGTGGTTCCCGGGCAAGCTGTCTACTGACCACCTTTCTGCTTGGCGACGGCTTGTGTTGAGGAGTAGTGGGACCTGTGCCTCTGGAAGCCGTCCTCTTCGGTAAGTTTTTAGTACCAAAGGAGGCATCTTTGTCGGCATCGACGCGAGGATAGACGGTAACAGATGAAGTCCTAGGCCGGCTAGGCTCCACTTTCGTCTGAACGGGCGACTCCTGTCTGGTGTTAGCGCTTCCAGGAAAAAAGCAGGTGGTTGTCCTTACATCAAGATTTCGCATATTCTGCGGTGTTAGCGTGAACTTGACCGTGTCTTTGCCCTTCACCAAAGTGTCAAACTCGCGCTCCCGATCCTCTTCCGACATGCGTCCGCTTAGATTTCGCGGTCGCTGGCTTGCCTCTGAACTTCGGCCACTGGGCGTCACGGTGAAGCTGCCCGATATCTTGGTGGAGGAAGCAGACGAAGTGGCCCGCTTTAAGGACGCCTTATCCGAATGGGATCTATCAGAGCGCCCCGGCTGAGGGCGCGTGGAGTCGTCAGTGGAACTGCGCTGCGCTCCGCGTTCCGCAACATGTCCAGGGGCGTCGTGATCAGGATAAGGTGAACTGCGCATAGAGGATCCGGATGTGGGGTTGCTACGATGTGCCACGCTTTCGGAACCTAGCCTTTCCGTTGGCTTATTGGTGATACTATCCACTTCCTGTAATGGTGGCAACGAGGAGCCACGCGACTTTTGCGGAGGAGCGTCCTGTCTTCGTGGTGGACTTGGGGTGCCCTCATACTGATTGGGACCAGAGGCAATCTCATTGCCAGAAGACGATCTGCTATGCACGTCTTTGCGTGCAACAGAGCGCTCCGGAACTATGGGCTTCGCATCAGGTGTAGGCGTGTTGCGAAACGGAACTGAAGTCGGCGCACTATGTCGTGGGTGGACTTCGACGAAGCCTCCATGTGCTGCACCTTTGCCCGTGTCTACAGGCGACTCGCCGGGGGGAGTGGGTGTTGATCGGATAGGCACATCTGACGTCCGCGCAACACCAATGGCTTGGGGTGCGTCTGCCTCTTCGTCAGACAGCTCAAGGTATGAACTTCCTTCAGGATGCTGTGCAATTTTCGGTGTCGCTGTAGGCGTGGGCAGTGGTGACTTGAGGCTGGAGCTCCGCGTCGAGAATGTTCGCACAACCCCACGACCAGTCTTTTCAATCGACATCCTCTTCGATTGCAGTACCTTGTGCTCACTTTCGTAGTCGGCAGCACTGGGAATCTCGGCATCACTGTCTGCCTGATTGGACACATGGGCCGGAACAGGACCCGCTGTGCTCATACGGAAGCCCATGCCTGTTGATGCTGCGAATGCCACCATCTCAGCATCCGGCTCAGGTGAGTCCTCCAGCCGCCTCTCAGCAACATCTTTGCGTGCAGGCACAGCATCCTGCTCTTCCGCATCAAAGTAGTCATCCTGATGATCTGGTTGCTCCATCGACGTCTGAAAGGGGGTCTCTGCTTCTTCGGTTGAGGAACGTGGGGGCACGGTGAATGTCGGTGCGGGCCGCAAAGGCATGGATATGGGCCGTTCCTTGTTACCTCTTCTCCGGAACGTGGCAGCCTGTGACAACATAATGACACTCGACGGCCGTTCGTGTCTCGGAACAGGCGTCTGGGTACCAGAACTCTCTGCATCCTGTTCATATGTGCGGGCCAGGCCTGGCACCTCGATCTCATTGACATCGTTATCGCCCAGCGGGAGAGGGATATTGGCTGCAATGTCGGTTTCGGAGGGGGAGTGCTCCAGAACTGGGGATCGATCGCTTCGGATGGACCCTGATATGGTATCGTAGCTCGCCTTGCGGTTGTAGAAGTTGGAGGAGCTTGAGGTGGGCCGCACTGCTCGGGCAGGCGATGAGGGTGATAGCGGCGTTCGTACGCGCTTCCTCCATGTCCTCCACAGCCTGCCCAGCGCCGAGTTCAGGGCGATCTTCTCCACGTCGGGCTCCTCTATGATGAGGCGCTCGAAGCTCAGGTCTGGTGCGTCGTCGGACTGCAGTGCGAGCTTCTTCACCTTGGCAGCCATGCGCGCATAGGCGGCTGAGCCCGAGAGCAGCAGCGTCTGCTCAGCCACGTACTCGATGACCGAGGTGAGGAAGATGGCAGCAGCCCAAGAGACCAGGCCAGCCTCGTCGTCGTCGTCTTGGTCCATGCTCAGGCCACGCTCCTGCTGCACGTATCTGTCCTCGTCCTCGTCCTCCAGCTCGCCCAGGCGCGTGTAGACCATGATGCGCAGACGGGTGCGCTTCCACATCTTCTCCACTTCCCACTTCTTGCCTAGGTACGCCGGGAGGTCTTCGTCGTCGTCGCCTGCGAGGAGCCCCTGCAGCTCTTCGTCGGCCGCCTCCATGGCCTCGCGGGCCAGACGTGGCTTGAGGACATCGGCTATGGCAGGGCGGATGGCGGTGAGCGAGGGCGAGCGCGCCGAGGAGAGAAAGGCAAATAGTAGGTGGTCGAGGAAGGCATTGAGCAATGCCAGGGCGGGCTCGGAGAAGACGGCGTTGTCGAGCTCTTCCACGTCGGCGTCTTGCTGGCGCAGCTGCGCATTGTGGTGGTCGGTGACGGTTTGCGAGGCAACCGAGGCAGCGATGTATGCGGGCGGCGGTCGCACCGTTGAGGGCATCTGGAAGGTGACTGAGCTGGCGACCGAGGGCCTGTCGCTGGTGAAGCTGGGGGCTCTGCTCGAGCGCGACGAGGCCATGTCGCCCGTCTCGGAGAGGGAGAGGGCGTGTCGATGCATGGCGCTGCTGCTGTGAGAGGCTCTAGATTGTGTACGAGTACGGGCACCTAGGTAGGCTGGCAATGAGCGCCCTGACGCCCTGAAGGCTGCAGGTGATGCGGAGGGAACAAAAAGAAATGCGGGAGCAGGACCGCCAAGGGAACGAACGAACGACCAGCAGGCGGCTTATATCAATATCGCAGCGAAAGGCCCATTGTTGCGGCTGCGAGTCAATGGTCAATGGTCAGTGCAGGAGGCTGGACATGAAAAGGGAAGACGATGGAGGCTACTTGAGCTCGAGCAACGGGCTTGTGTGAGAGTGAGAGAGGTATATCCCAGTCGGCGATCCTGGTGTTCGCCTAGGGTTAAGACTTTCTGGCTGCATCCGTTCAGTCGCGAACCACCATGACAGCAGACGTCGGGATTGATTTTTAATTTATTCATTCATTCATCATGTCACGGCAGAGGCTGGCTGGTCTGCGAGATTCTCTGGTGTTGCTGGTACGACAGGTGGTACAGGCCGCTGTCGCAAGCAAGTCCTACTACCTACACCACACGACGCCTGCGACGTGCACCAAACGGGGACCCTCTCCTAGGTACTACTAATTAGCTGCAGCTCAACCCGCCATCCCTGGTCGACCATGACACTTGACGTGGAGCCGGCTGTTGTGCTCGTTCTCCGATCCAATTCCGACCCCATCGCCCTGTGGCCTTTTGCCTGCTCCTCCTGACGCGTCGATGCGTGATACAGAGTGGTGACTTTTCTCACTCTCTCTTGTCCGTCGATTTTGACATGACCTGTCTCAGGCCCGCACGGCAAAACATGTCACCCAGTCGGGGAGCACATGTGGAGTCGTCGCACCATGTCGGAAAATATGCCATGCCCTGTAACCGTGGTTTGAAACGCCGCTGTCCCTGCAGCATCCGCGACACACCACCGTCTACCACAACTTCGATCCCCGTTGTACTTCGCGAGTCCCTGGTCGTGGGCCCAGTAGCTACGTCCGAATGCCTCTGCAACACTCGCTGAAGCGAATGCTTTGATCAGTGGCTCCAGCTGGTCTCTGGTCTGGTCCGACGGGCTAGTCCATCCTTATTGATCCACTTCGCTAATCTCAGGGGTATCATCGTCCAGCCTGCTGCATCGCGCTAGTCACATCAAGTCTTGACCGAGAACAGAAGTCCGAGTAGTAGTCCAATCTATCTACCTGTCAACAGGGCATAGTGCATACAGTCTTGCATAATGCGTGTCCATGTTTAGAATACAGGTCCCATCATTCTGATGCTTCTGTCTTGTCGACTTAAAGTAGTCACCTTTGACAGGGGATAATTGATTCTTCACCTCAATGTGGTGCCATCTAAACAGTTCATCAACATCCAGGCTGGGAAGCTGAACCTACAGTCTGGAAAGACTAACCCTTTCGCTTGCCATCTACCTACATTCCCTGCCAGCGAAGACATGACAGACCCATCCTCTTCAAGATCTGCAAGACAACTCGGGAGAACCACGGATGACCAGCCGTGCAATCAGACTTGTCCCATGATGTATAAAAAAAGGTGACATCTTACCATGATTCTACACAGCATAGCCCCCCATTATTATTCTTCAAAGACAGTTAGACTCTTCTTCGCATAAAGCAGACTCCAAGGCTCCCGAAGTACACCCTTCCCACCCAGACACCCCCAAGAAAAGATTCCAAAATCGCCTCATACGAACAAAGACTTGACTTTGCCCTCAAACCTACCCACACAGGTTCACGCTGCATCGAGGCATCTGTCCATGTGCCAATGTTTCGCCGACGAGGTTGCTCTTACCTCATGGCTGTGTCTGATTGGTCGTATGCAGCTGGCCCGAGCGTCTATCCCCTCGTTCCATTGTGACTTCCTCCCTTGGCTTTGCGACGACGCTTCGTCTTGTTGTTCGGTGTGGTTCAGAAGTATGCGTCTCGAGGACACGGGGAGAAACAGCGCGCCTTGGGGAGATGGTGGGGGGCGGGTTTGCCGAGGATGAGGCGGATGATGGCGCGAGATGCTTCGTCTAGCCATCTTGAACGGCTAAGAGGGGGGACGACGCGAAGGTCTTTATTTGTTTGGTGCAGTCGTGTGGTATGGATAACGAGACGATCGAGAAAACACTGTCCGTTATTGAACCATACCAGCCATATCAACACGGATGAAGCTCAGGTAACCACATTATAGCGAGGGCAAGCACCATGCCTCAATCCACAAGTTGCAGCCTCTTTCATTCTGTCCACTCCGTCTTACTAATACGCAAGCGGTAAACAGTCGTCTCTTCTTGGTCAACTGTACATCCCCAGGAAAGCTTCTTCTTGTGTACTAACTTGATTCTCAGCATCCAGGCACTATATACATTGACGGTTAGCAGTCCAAGACCGCAGAGGAATCTGCCCACAACGCACTCGAGTCTCGGGTAAGCAGAAGCAAAGTGAGAGGGGTTCCGTGTGGTATGAGGGTTCATCGACCAGAACTTCTCATTGAGGCTACGGCTGGCCTAGGTTTGTAGGTCTCCTGAACGTACATGTAAGCAGATGCTGAATCCATGTAGAGCTTCGTGTCACCATTTGCACAGGCATCGACGCACGAATGGATGGCCCGGCCTTGAAATATTATAATGCTTTGTTCCGGGTACGAAGGCATGACTACTGTCCCCTGTCTATGACATGCCAAAGCCACTCGACGACATCCGACGACGAGTACCACGGGACCGACAACTGCTAGGCCACCCTTCAAGATGGAGTAGCGTGTTGCCAGCCAATGTGGTGGTTGATCTAAAGTGTTTTTGGAAGAGTGGAGAAGAGTCGACTGCCTCTGGCTCGAGTACACTCGTCAGCACCTCCAGCCTACCCCAGATTTACCACACCACTGGCGCCGTCCCTATACGCTTAGCTCCCGCCGAATCGGCCGTATCCAAGGCTCTCCGTTTCGTCCTTGCTTCCTGCAGGTACAATCGCTCTACAGCCCCACCAGAGTCACATCGGCCTGCACGTCATCAGTTACTGAGCAGACGGAGGCCGTCTTCTCAGATTGTAGCGGGACGTCCTGGATACGAGCACCCGTCACGTTTGCGTTCCCAGGCAAGAGAGTAACAGGCCATTCGCATGATTCGGTATCGCCAGTACTGTAGTCTCGATTAGCGCATCCGCACGTGTCGAAGCAACAGTGGATGAGCATGAGGCTCCACTGGACAGTGCTGCCGCCAAGCAGAGAGACAGAGGAGGCTCCCCGACCAGAAAAGTGTGAATCTGGGGAAGATTAATCACCTCCCTCCCCCTTGCCGCAAGTGTAACAGACGTCCAGCCTTGCCGGATGCGGAAGAGAACACTGCCACACGCACGGTTGCCAGCCTTATCGTGCATGTTCCCTGGCCCTCGACGATGGCGCTCCCCCATCTCTCTACAGTACTGTTCACAGCCAGCACGCAACGGAAAAATACAGCCTGTGGTGTAGTCGGCAGGCAGGCAGCACACGCAGCGCTCAGCGGGCGGCCGGGTTACGTTTGCGAATCAGTAACTATCAGTGTGGCGTTATCGGTCGGGCCAGGGGTGTTGCGACATTGGCGGATCGGCGGCATGCCCGCCCCGCGCTAAAGCCCAACGGGCGCGCGCTATTGTCGTGCCGAAATGGGCTTTTGCGACTCTCGAACCAGGTGGATGCCCGCTGCATGGGACCACGGCCGTGGGGTTCGGCGCAAAGGGGAGAAGATACTGGGGAACGCGCGAGGCAGGCTCTTTTCTCATCAATTATCGAGCGCGTTTACATATCCCTCCGCAGCGATTCGCGCGATTGTGTGCTGGGTTATAGGTATCGCAGCGTAGCTTGTCCTGCGGCGGGAGCATTTGTGGGGTTGACAAGGGAATTTCACTTTTTCCCGTGCCTGACCTTCTGGAAGCCATGCGTGATTTTATTTACCCTGACTACAAGAAACGATGCTCGCGCTCTGATGGTGGAATGACGGTGCCGGGAGTGGGTGGAATGCGTGCGATTGGCTGTCCTTTATCTTCCAATGGCCACGGCTCACCAGCAATTCCCCATTGCGGTTGCATGCAGGTTGGGCGGTGCGACGGCTGCACGCTTTCTTCTCAGTGCCGTGTTGTAGCAGAGGGCTTGGGTGAGGCATGTCAGAATCTCACGATAGCGGCAGAAAGCAGCGGTAACAGGTGGAGCGGGGCGGGCAGATAAGCAGGGGATTCGCCCAATATTGGGTAAATTTAGCTGGGCTCAACGCACACTATTAGTTGGCCATGGCTATCCAGCGGCCAAGCGGTCAAAGTCGGAAGCAGGCACAAGAGGCTGTGCGGACCCGAGGCCGCGACCAACCGAAGCGCGCCGGTTACCGTGGCCGTCAGCGAGAGCGGCGTCGTCAAAGGGAAAGAAAAGTGAAGGGAAGGGAAAGGTGTCTTGTGTGGGCAATTCACTGCGTGGAAACGCGGGCGCAAAGATTGGGCAGACGTGTCCAGACGTGCGGTTCAACAGCATTAGCGGAGACTAGAGAGTAGAGTAGAGTAGAGTAGAGACTATCTATGCGAGTGGGGAGAATGGGCCACCAACGGAACCGCAAGGCGTCTATGTGTGTCTTGGACGGATTGCTTTGCGTTGCCTTTGCTTCTTTATCCCACGGAAAGCGTCCGGCGCCGCCTCTTGGCCAGGGTCAGGCCTAATTCTCTACCACCTTAACCACTCACTAGCCCCCGCCACAGACCGAGACAAGTTCGAGTGAACGCGGCCAAAAGCCTACTTATATGCTGCCTGCCCCCGGTCGTCCTTATCTTGTCTCCCCTCATTCACATATCTCTCTCTCCTCCTATCCTTTGCTCTACATCTACCCCTCCAAGAGGCTCTCTCTCTCTCTCCTCTCTCTACCAGACACTCTCCTCGCCTCGTCTTGCTCTCGTAGCCCATCACCACACACATACCGCAGTCATGGTACGCCTCCACCACCAACAACTTCTACTCTAGTCGACGAATTACTCACACACACAGGCGCAATCAACAATCATCTCCAACACGGCCAACGTAAGTCCTCCTACCGACCTTCTACCTACTTCCCACCTGTGCTCGTGTGCCAAACCACCCCTGTAACTGTTAGCTAATGCGCCATTTTCCCAGCTCCAAAAATACCTCGCACTCCCCCAGAAGGGCAAGGTCATCGCCGAGTACGTCTGGATTGACGGCAGCAACGGGATCCGCTCAAAATCAAAGGTGAGCTCTTTTCCTTCCTTGACACCCGATTGCCAGAGAAACATGGGTACTGCGGCATTTGCGAGGCTTGGAAATCCCTGGGCTGTTGAACACCAGCAGCCTGGAGGACGACCAATGCGGTGGCGAGCGAGCCCACGCTGCGATACACATTCTGAAGCAAAGAAACTGGAGTCGTCAAGCATTTGGTCGCTTGCGTGACGTCCTCATGCAGCCGCCAATCGCTTCCTTGCCCTGTTGGGGGTTTTCAACGGGCTTTCCTTATCGCCTTGCCCCGCGATAAGGCCGCCCACGCCCTGCCTGCCTCTACCCCTCTCCACCACCACAAAGTCAAAGTCACTATTCTAACACCCACCCAGACACTCGAGAAAAAGGTCGAGAGCATCAAGGACCTGCCAGAATGGAATTTCGACGGCTCATCCACAGACCAAGCCCCCGGCGACAACTCCGATGTCTACCTCCGCCCCGTCGCATACTACCCCGACCCCTTCCGCCAGGGTGACAACATCCTCGTCATGTGCGAGACGTACATGTCCGACGGCAGCCCCAACTCGTACAACTACCGCCACGACGCCGCCATCATCTTCGAGAAGCACGCCGCCCACGAGTTCTGGTTCGGCCTGGAGCAGGAGTACACGCTCCTCGACGAGTTTGGCTGGCCCTACGGCTGGCCCAAGAACGGCTTCCCCGCGCCCCAGGGCCCATACTACTGCGGTGTAGGCACCGGCAAGGTCTTTTGCCGTGACATTGTCGAGGCCCACTACAAGGCCTGCCTGTACGCCGAGATCAACATCTCGGGCACCAACGCAGAGGTCATGCCCGCTCAGTGGGAATACCAAGTCGGCCCGTCGCCCGACATCTCGCTGGGTGACCAGCTCTGGATGTCGCGCTTCCTCCTCCACCGCGTCGCCGAGGAGTTTGGCGCAAAGGTTACCTTCAACCCCAAGCCCATCCCCGGTGACTGGAATGGCGCGGGCCTGCACACCAACGTGTCGACCAAGGAGACGCGTGCCGAGGGTGGCATGAAGGCCATCGAGGCCGCCATGGAGAAGCTCGCTACCCGCCAAAAGGAGCACATGTCCGTCTACGGCGAGGACAACCAGCTCCGCATGACGGGCAAGCACGAGACGGCCTCGTACGACAAGTTCACCTGGGGCGTCGCCAACCGCGGCTCCTCTGTCCGCATTCCCCGCGCCGTGGCCGCGGAAAACAAGGGTTACTTTGAGGACCGCCGCCCGGCCTCCAACGCCGATCCCTACCAGATCACGGCCATTATCGCAGAGACGATGCACGGCAAGGCGGATGGCGCCGACATCGCAGCCTTCAACGAGCAGACGGCCGATGTCGAGCAGGAGATGATTGTTCCCGTTGCAAAGCCGTAAACATGCTCTTCCCGATTCCTCTACTTCATACCCCCTTTATACTGTCTTTGCGCGCACGACTTAGATCATGATACGAAACGCCGCCCCCCCTTCTTCTCTCATCTTTGAAGACGAGGAAGGCCGGGCTGGCTTGGCTGGCTTTTTACCCCCCCACACATCGGCAAGAGAGACCTCTTTAGCATTTCCGACCTACCTACCTATCTACATAACATACATCATCATCATCATCTCACTCACTTGCCCCACTCCATGTTCTGCATTGGCGGCATTGGGGAGTTCTGACATGGCCGGAATGAATAATTATCCCCTTAATCTATCTATCTACCTAGAACTTGATATGAATGTCACGTTTACACTTTTATGCAACTACATCATCTTGCCTAAGACTTGTCGACATGTGAAGTTGGATTACTAACACAAAGAGCCATAGCCATGACTGGAAACTACGAGTTGTTTCCCGGGGTATCAATGATGCGACCACTTCCTTTTTACCTTCAACCCACTTTGACTTTATCCTAATCTAACCAGTGTTATTATCCCCTGCTTCACCGTCACTCCCTTCCTCCAACTGCACAACCTCGCGTCTCAACCACTCCCCCCAAACACCCACATCTCCACAAATGTCCAGCGCTTTACCCAGTCGCTTGACCTTTTGCTCGACCTTCTCTGCCTCGTCCATGTCTACATCTGCGTCTGCGTCTGCGTCTTTCCCCTCGGCTTCCCCAGCTCCCTCGGCACTGCCTTTCAGCGCAGGCACAGACAGCAGATTCTGCTCGCTGACCACGAGCTCGCCATTGACATGCACGTCCACCGTCACGCTGAGCGGGGGCTTGCAGCTGCTATCGAGGAGCTCGAACAGGCGGCCCAGGATAGCCGATCCGCATGCTTCGTCACTGTCACTGCTTTCACTGCTTTCATTGCCTTCACTGCCTTCACTACCTTCACTACCTTCACTGTTTTCATTGATGGTGTGTGGATGGGGAATGTGGATTGTGAGGCGCGGAGTAGGCGGTGTATACGAGAGGCTGACGTCGACCTGCAACGGCGGCCCTGTGATTTTGGGATTTTCTGGCGGCGGCGTGGGAGGCGGTCCCCACACGCCCCCTGGGGCTGGCAAAAAGCGGGGTGGTTTTGGCCCCTTCTCGAAGAAAGGGTCCTTGAGCACGGCTGTCGTGGCTGCGTACTGCCTCAGGACGGGCAAGATCTCGACAATCTGCTTTGGATGGCTGAACGGCAGGCTCTCGAGTGTCCTTGAGTATTCCATCGTCGGCACGTAAAGGCTCGTGTTGTGCATCCTCGTAAACTGTTTCCCTGCCCGTTCGATAACTAGCATAGACCTGCTGTTGCGGATCTCGTGTGTGAATTCTCCCGTCGTGTTCGTCATGCCTGGATCCACCTCCGCGGGTCGCAGTGCCAGGCCCACGAATGTCGTAGCCCTAAAGTCCTCTGTGCGCGGCTCGATGCCCACAATCTGAGATAATTGTATATGCACCGCTAGCGGGACTACAAGAGGCGGGTTGAACTTTGCCACGAACCGTATATTCGGCAATCTCCCCGCAGCGGAATCAAGGCCTATGGCATCGTGTACCTGCGCCAAAGGCTCGAGGTACGTTGGCTTTGGATCGAGCCAATCAATTGACGGGGTGTTGTGTAGGATATTATCGATGGACGCATGAGCGTCGTTTGCGTCGGCGGGCTTCTCGATTGCGTCGCTGATCCAGTCGTTGGATATGCGGATAGGCGTGTAGAGTGTGGAGGGGGAAGATTCGCATTCTATGGATAGAGAATACACTTGGTGGATATCCGGGTCGCCGTCTTCGAGAATGGCAGACGGTGTAGTCAGCGAATGGGGTATGACGTGCCGCCGGTGCATCCAGTAGTCCAGACTGAGTCCCAGACACGATCCGCCGTTGAGTCTCGGGCGTCCGCTCTTTTTGCAGAGCACTTCCCTCTCCGCTCTATGATTCCTGTGCCGTTCGTCTGGCGACCTGGTCGCGAGATCCGTCTTCTTCTCATGCTCAAAGAGCTTCCTCAAGCTCGCATAAACGCCCGCAATCGCATTGTAACAGCTGACGCCACCATTCTGCGGCGCGCCTAGCTTGTCCATGGTCAAAAGCTTCTGCAGGTTCTCTGAAAAGCGTTCGAGTGTGACGTTGAGCTTGCTTTGCCCGGGAAGAGGTCTTAAACTTTTTGTAAGAATCTTGGACCCCGTCGCGCCGAAGTGGAGCTCGGGTCTCTCTTCGTCGAGGTTGGTTTGCAACTTGACATTCTCGATCTCGTTGTTGAGAAAGGTGACGTCGCAGACTCCTTCGTCACCGATGACCAGTATCCATGTGCCTGGCTCGTCAGGGTGTTTCTCGTATGGAACACCCGATACCTTGCACAGGAACAACAGGCTTTGTTCACTAACGCGCCCTGGCTTCTTGCGAATAACCTCCAGTATTTTTTGTAGTCTTCGACTGCGCTCCGCTTCATCCGCGCGCCCCATTGAGCTTGCGCTCATGCCTAAACTCGACATGCCTAATCCGCTCATGGTTATGCCCATGCCCACTCCGCCCATGCCTGAGCTCGCATCGTGGAGCATATTGAGCATCGCGGGTGAGTCGTAGGAAAGCATGTTGGTGCCGCCGGTGGGAGGGACGCTACGCGGCGCGGGGGAAGAGAAGGTGGGGAGGTGCCTGGAGGGCGTGTTGTTTGACGGTGTAGGTGTCGTCATTCTCGTGGTGGTATGGCTCGCAAGCCTCGGGTGAGCCTATCGCGCAGGGAAGGGCCGATTATCGCCGTGAGAAATGCGCTATCATGTTGTGCTGGGAATGTTTGAGTAGAAAGATAAAGCAAGGATTGCCCGCCTTCAACCCGCGGTTGAAGCTCTCACGAGTCAGGTCTTGGCACCTCAGCGACGAAAGATGTTCTTTCCGAAATGATGCAACGTTTCAATTAAATATAGCAGAGGAAACTCAGATATTCATATTTGGTTCCGCTCAGCAAGCTACGTTATTACAAGTGAGATCTTCCCGGGGTATCGTATCGCTTCGCTATGAAAGCACTGTGACTCCAAACGCCAAAATCTGTATCTCCCGCCACATAGTCAAAGAGACTCAGTCAAGCTCAATGAACCTGCCATCTTCATCCTCGACGATTCCTGTGATCCTAGTCTTCGCCCTGGTGCTTGCAACCCTCTTCTTCGCCGCTGCACCCCTGCCCTTCGCCGCACCTCTACTATTACCCGTCGCAGGCTCTTCTAGCTCATTCTCGTGGAGCGCATTGTTGCTATAGCTGTACTCGATAGCTCGTACGCGCTTCTTTGGCCGCTGCTGCACCTCTTCCTCGCGCTCAGCTGTATCCTTGGCTTCTTGAGCCCAGCGCTTGCGAACCTCGTCTTCGTATTTGTTCTCCATGCTGTGGAAGGAGGCGTGGTGGGCGCAACCGTCGCATTCGTAAGAAGATGAGGACTATGACAACGTTAGCAAGCCAAAGCAAGTAGGTTTGGAATAGGAAGATGATAGGGTGGGGATGTGAGACGAGGGTAGGGTACACGCACCTTTAGCGGATGTAGCATAAAGCGCAGACATGGACATTTCGGTGAGAGTACGGATAGTTTGTGATTGCATGGGCCGCGTGGAGGAACATAGTTCATCTGCGTCCAGACATTGGGTATACCGTTGGCCATGATGCTCGAACGGTTGAAGGGGGCAAACGATGGAACGGTAGTAGGGAGCTCAAACCCGGGCAGGTGTAAGACCAGAGATGGGCGACGCTAGGTGTATGGTCCCATGTTTGTGCGTGGATCGAGAGAACGTCAAGAACAGGTGCGATAATGTGATGACTTGGGCAATCTAGCGCAAACGCGGAATCGTCTCGAATTCACGTGGAAAGCTACGGTAACCAGATACGGAAATGCCCGCCCCGCAACCCGCCCGGCTACGTCACACCACGATTGATTTGCTGGTTGTCAAAATGAGGCTCTCGAAGTCAGCAATGCATGGGCATCATAGATGCATGGTTGAGAATTACAGCTTGACGCTTTCGACGATAATCACTGGTTCTACGTTTAGGTTCCTTCGTGACTGAGACGCATTATTCCCGGCCACATGACACATTCGGTCCGTCGAAAACTGGGGCTAGGCGCGATAGAAAGAAGAGGAACGGTGATAGCGTGGGCTCATGGGTCGGCGATTAGTGTTCAGCGGGGTAGCCGCCAACGTATAAAGACTGTCGGTGTGTGGTGATGTCTGCAAGCAGCCAGCTCGACAATCTCTTCTAAATTTGCTGTCCCCATACACCCCACCTCAATTCTTCCAATCTTCCAAACAACTTATCAAAATGCCTTCCGGTAGTTGCATGTGCGGCAATGTCAGCTACGAAGTAGCAGGAGACAGCGTGGCCAATGTACGCAACATAAGCCAATGTTGCTGCCGTATTGCTAACAGACAATTGAGGTTCTCTGCCACTGCTACGATTGTCGCAAAATCTCAGGAACCACCTACTCGAGCAACTCCCTCTATTCCTCGGATGGCTTGAAGATCACCAAGGGAACTCCCAAGCAGCACAAGAAGGTCGCCGATAGCGGTAATGAGATCGTTTCCAACTTCTGGTGTGTAGCCCTAGATGCATTTGCAGCTTCTTCTGACTTCAAACAGCGGCGACTGTGGTTCGACCATGTGGCGCACGACTGCTACGTTCCCTGGCAAGCTTATTGTCAAGGTAAGCCACCAATGCAAATTCCCGCCTCGAGTTATACTGATCGACGAAAAGGCTGGAACCTTGGACGACACTAGCATCATCGACAACTGGACCGTACACAAGGAGTTGTTTGCCTCGAATAGACCAAAGTGGATTGGTGCCCAGGAGGGAGCCGCTCAGGCTTAGATGTCTTGTGTCGCTTCGTGGTGCGGCTCGGGAGTGGATGTGCGGTGGTTGGGAGAGGATATAGGTAGGCTGTCATTTTAGTAATGCAGTACTCGATGTGGTCTACTCCGAATCCGACGTGTCTGGCTCTTTGAGTCGCTCTCTCAACATCTTTGCCATGTTAGCCTTGAAGCTTTTCAAATCCTCGTGACGCTCACCTGGTTTAGGCGTGACTTGAGCTCATTGACTTTAGTCTCCTTCACCAATATGTGTTCTTCGTCCAGCTCCTCGATGATGTACTCGTTGTTGTTCTTGCTGTCAATGTCGACAAGCATGGCTTTGATGGACGCGTCGCACTTAACGAGCGTGCCTGGACATGTTAGCCAAGTCGTAGGGACGCACTATTGCTACAAACATACCTCTAATAGCTTTCACCATATTGAAGTGTCGCAGTGTCGTCTTTTTCGGGTAGAGGTGGGCAGTGTCGTTGGCTTGGACATCGAGGTACTGGGGAAGAGTTGATCTGACGCGATTGCTTGGCAATATTGCTGCGCTAAGGTTCCGAGGCCTCCGATGCATGTAAGCATCTAGCATTGATCACCATCCCTCTTAAATGGCTTCAGTAAGGTCGTGGATGCTACTAAAGCTCCTCGTTTTTAGCTTCTACTTCAGAAGCATGGATTGACACACCGCCCAGCGCAGTTGCTTCTGCTCGATGCTCTGCTCCTTCACTTCGGAATCCGTACTTCCGATACTCACCTTCTCCCGAGACGCCGTCAAGAAGTCGCAACTGCCCGTGAAGATGGATTGTGATCGAATTATAAACGGCTTCATGTGGGCTGGTTACGAGATCTCCCGCTCAGTCCCGGTGCTATGCCTGGTTCTCCTGTCGCCCAGCTCGCATGCGCAGAATACACTCGATAACACCTCGATATTCCTTACGTCTCCAACTCGCAAGGTTGATTCTACTCGCTCGATGACTTCTCATTTCAATTCTACAGCGTCCTCGAGTAGCCCGACACACGAACAAACTCCACCAGACATGTTCCCCGCTACGACTCCTCCACACGACGATGACACGCATGACGTATTCAATTACTACTTCCTCTTTCTCGTCGTATTCGGTGTATTAGTGGCGATACTACTGTGGTGGTTACATCGACAGAAGCAACGACGGACAGAACTTGCACGGTTGAGCGGACAACATGCACTGGCAAGAGACATGGAAGGATGGGCGGGCACTCGGCGGTTCATGCATGGGAGACACGCGCGTAATCACCAGGCCGCGTTCATTCGGCGTCAAGAGGGTCTTGATGAGCACGGGGAGGCGCCACCTCCATATCAGCCAAAGAGCGAATCCACGGGGGCACAAAGACCTGCCGAAGCAGCACAAGTCGCGGCTGGCCGCATTAGCATACCTCTCGGAACGGTATCGAGATACGAGATAGAGGGAGCCCGCCCGCCAGCGTACCACGACGCTCGTGAGACTGATCCAACTTGAAGCACTCGAAGGGACATTGTGCTATTGGCACGGATTTGGATTAATGACCTTATGATAATAATGATAATGAGAAGTCTTGGAGCGGTATCTCTTAGACCGTTGGAATGCGCTGGCGCTCGAATTGTCCACTAGACGTAGCCAAATGACATGCTGCGGAAGAGTTAATGCATGTACTTAACAGTCTGGCTTAGGCCACGGCAGTCGGTTCTTGACAACCAACACTATTAGAACTGCCACTACACATTCTTGAGTCAATGCCAGAGAATCAAGTATGGCCGATAATGCACATCTTTCGAGAACACAGAGTTGTGTATCGGTCTTCCCACCTCTGACCCTCTGTTGAGCTACGATGAATGTAGCCGGACTTGATACGTCTAGCTGAATGCGCGGGTATACGCAGGCCCGTCCTATTCCAATGTACATATCAGCTATCGTAACTACGTATAGTGGGAATTGTCCCGCGTGTCTACCAGGTATTACCGACTACAACGTTTCCGATACCTCCCTGATAGCCGGCCGGTCACTCACTTGCTATTCTTCATACGAAGGATCTCGTATTTCAAATGCTGAGGCTAAACCCTACTTGCAACAACTACACGAAGTAGATATAACAAAATATTCCTTCAACACTTTAATTATATGTAAGCATTTTGATAGGATTCTGCTAGTAAGTCCTAAGAAGAATTATGTATAGGTCACCATTGTTCCGTGTGCCAGACTTCAGGAAGTCGTAACTAGATCGGCCGCACATAGCATAGTACCATCATACAAATCCCCGTTCGCTTCATCAAGCGGAGGAAATTAAACTCGGCTGACCTAGGTTCATCCCGTTCGAAAGGATTCCGAGGCGAATAGAGGAGCAGACGAAGAGTCAGCCAGGATGGGGGCACAGTGTTGGATAAGGCCATTGGTTCGTGTAGTTGATTATTGAGATGATCTGACGCCTTATAGTGCCTACAGTATCCTCACTGTGGGTATGAAATCTTCTATATGATGATATGGTACCGTGGAGGGTATGATGAGGCCCAGAATCAGCAGCAAGTAGTACCGATGAACAACATCGTTACCACCATGACAGCATTCATAAAAGAGATCAGTCGGAAGAAGTACTAGCATTAGCGTTGACGCTCCATATCTTCCCCTTCATGAGTTCTTGTTGTTAGTAGGTTGGGTGTCTACTCGTGTATACTATCATACAATTAGAACTGATAATAACGGGCAGTCTCGTGCATGTCATGCAACGAGCCCGACAATCGAGTCGACCCATCGCACCACTTCAACGTCAACGGAGGCACTACTCAGGTAGTCAAGACTGCTGGTGGTCGCACTGAAAGTGCTGCCAATAACCTTTATCAAATCTACCAGTCGAGCAAGATCGGGATGGTTTCCATTGTCCATCATACCAGTACGTGGGCATCTCCCCCTTTGACTTATACCAACAAGCTAATCGCAACCCCAGCCTGTCCATGGTCTCCAAGAGATGTCAAAGCGAACATCCGCTCCGACGTCCAGACGCTCAAGAGCTCACCATATGTGAGAGATGAGATCCCCATAATCGGATATGTATTAGACACTGCTAAAGGGCAGGTGCAACCTGAATCCCGTTCACCGTCCCCACCGGCTATCATTCAGAACCTAGTGATGCCGCTACTTTGGCATTCTACGGGGAAATCGACACCAAAATAGATGGGGTTAGTGCAATATGGCAGGTTGATATTATAAAATGATAGCGGTTGTGGCCGACTCGCTCTATTATTCTTCGAAATGGACTCGATAGCAATGGTGTTGAGCCATATGGAAGATTTTGGGCTTTTTTTGGCATTAGGGAAATATATAAATTGGTTGAGCTCATCTCACCTAATTCTGTGCTGTAGTGTCTCAGTCTTTTGATAACGCAAGATCAGTTGGTGGGTGCTTTTAGTTCCCATGGTACGTCTTTCATGGTCGATGTTCAACTATGGTTCCGCTTGATTTCATGCTCATTTTCTACGTATTACATCCCGATAAACCTAGATTTTCAGGAACAATATATTCCATCCAAAAAAATGCTTTTCGTATAATATATCCGCAAATGCAAACCATTGCCGACAGCGCATCAAGTCTTATACAACGCACAACAGCAACGCAGCATACCAAACACACACATAAGCATCTTCAATAAGATTGCTACCCCTAAACACCAACTTGAAACTTTGCACGAAAACGTCAACGCACGCCATCATCATTATACCAAAATGTCTCCACTTCGTGTCAGCGACTCAAAAACAGACTCCTCAACCAAAAACACCACTACTTCCTCCCCACCACCCTCCTTCAGGAAGTTTGAGCGCTATTTCACCTCTCTCGTCGGTATCGCGCGCCAAACCATCAACCCGGTCTACACTACTACACACCGCCCCTCGACGTTCTTAGCCATAGACAAATTACTTAATATTCAAGACCGACTCGACGTCTTCTTCGCGAAGTGTCCGGATTATGATTGGGTGGGCGACGCATCTTATCGGCTTGTGTTAGAGATGCAGATTTTGATGAGGATGGTAGAGATTGCGCTGGCGTTGAGACATAGTAAGATCGCCTGGCCTCAGGCATGCGGTAGTGGGGAGGAGGCAAAGGCCATGCAGAAGGGCGCTTATGAACACGTTGAGGTGTTGGTATTTGCTAGGGAAAGAATGAGAAAGAAGGATATGCTGTGGATGTAGGTGTGAGGAAAAGGAGGGATAGTGGAGTCGGGGAGGAAAGCTAGAACGGGTTGAGATGACGGATTTCGTCGCTAATGTATAGGGTTTTCTATTTTTACGCGAGTGAATAGCCCTGATAATGCCAAATGTACTAAAGTAGAGTGTATTCCATGAGACTGAGACTGCTCACTAGTAACGTGATATTGAGTATATATCTCATAGCTTAGCTGTCTCCTTCGCTTCTCCAGTAGCGCCAATCTTCTTTAGTGCATCCCAGAGCCTCAAGCCTTCATCCAATCTAGTATCCTTCTCAATGACTAGACTTCCATCGCCCTTTAGCGTTCTCACTTGCATTGCATGTTGTGTTCCCCAATTCATAATGTCCCCCTTCAAAAACTTGCTCAGCGGTTCATGGAAAGCTTTCGTCACGATCTCCTTTTCATTATCGCTCAGGTTATTTCCGTTGCCCCAGAACCATATAGCTAGGTCGGCGCCATGAGTGGCACCCCAATGTTTCGGTAGTGTTTTGTCAACACATGCCGCGCGCCACTCGATACGATACCGGTGTATCAGATGACCAGCACCCTGTTTTACGAGAGTGTTTATCATACCTCGCTCCAGGGCGTGGATCTGAATGTCTGCGTAGATTTTGCCGAAAGCTGTATGCCAATCTTTGTATTTTGGCGGTAGCTTGCCGTTGGGGAAGTAGTGCGATATCAATACTCTGCAGGCTTCGAGGGGGTAATCTGCTTCCAGGCGATGAAACATGTTGTCATAGCCTGGTTTTGGCGGGCGCCATGTACCGTAGACAAAATGCTCGTCGCTGCACTCGCCAATGATAAGCTGGACTCCTCGTCTCTTCAAACGCTGCGCGAAATGGCCGTTGGAGATTTCATTGAAAAGACCGTGCCTCACGAATGAGCCATCCGTCACGGCACGGAATTGATGAAGTTTCATCTTAGTGCTTGCTTCAATGAGGGCCCTTGCGTCCACGGTACGAAGTTTCGCAAGCTTCTCCACTGGAGATAAATCGGGAGAAATCTTCAAAGTTCCCAAAAGCTCGTCGAACTGGATTTGTGCCTCACCCAAGCTCTTCGGCTGCATACCCGGCCCATTCGACAGCATAAGCGCCTTCTTTACGATTGCCTTCTCATCAGGAACTGCAAGATCATACGCCAGTTGGTGGAAAACTGAATGCGCGCCCGCTGAATAGCCGCCGATGGTGATGTTTGAAGCGTTGCCACCGAAATAGGTGATGTTCTCGTACGTCCATTGCAGTGCCATCCTCTGATCCCAGAAGCCGAGGTTGACTGCGTAATCAGGAGATGAATGAAGGGCATCGAGAGAAGCAAGAAAGCCGAATATGTTCAAGCGATACCCAGGTGCGACAACAATGCACCTTGTAGGTGACTCGCTCAGTAGCGCCCGAAGGTCCATGCTGTTCGGAGAGCCCCACTGCAAGAAACCTCCGTCTATATCCTAAGTCAGTAACTAGGACGTCAAAAGAGATACTTTGCGACTACAGCGTTCATGCACCGCGCTATCTCCACTTTTCAGACTTTGCGTAAAACTTTCGAGCAAGATTCGCCCTAGCTGGTGAGGTTCTCTACCAGAGGGTATCAGACACTAAGAGTGAAATCGGACTCACGGATCCAGAAAAATACCGGCCATCCTAATAGAAAGTCAGCCTCTCCCGAAAATACTCTCAGGCTTCAATTTGTACCTCCAGCAGGCGGTTCCCCAGCTGGGATCCACATATTAGACTGCAAGCAATCCTCGTCCCACGTCGTCTCATCAAATCCCTGTCTAGATGCCTGCGGACAAAGCCCACATCCGCCACTGAATCTTCCAGGATTCGCTCTCGTTCCGTAGCGATAACATGGTGGTAGTGATCTGGGCTTTTGGAACCGGAAGGGTCCAATGGGCGGCAGAGCGAACGGTACACCGCCGAAGAAATGACAAAGTGGCTGCGAGCTTTCGTCGAGATAAGTGAGCCCTTCGACGAAGCCGCGAAATGAAAGATCACGGTGATAGGGTTGTGAGGGCTCGGGCATCGTTGATATGTGAGGCGGCACGGGAGCGTTGAGATGGGTGGAAGATGGTGGTTCGCTGCTGCTAAATGAACCTCGGTTGTGGCGCCGCTTGCGTTCCTGCATCACGATAAAATACCATGAAATGGCGTGATTATACAAAAAGTGTTACTAACAGTCTCCTTTTTCATATTACATAAATAAAACCGGATAGATCTCAAGTTACAGACTCGGCCTGCTCTACGTAGTCGTGAAGCCAACTTTAATTGCTGATCTGACCAAGATTTGTTAAGTTCCTCTTCTCGACCCCATGGAGATATTTTACTCTCGACGTATTTATTGTTGAATACATAGACATAGGATGTTGGATCGATGCTAGCGCAAGTCTGTCCGCTCAAGTTCAAGCCCCTCAGTTCGGAACTACTCTATCTCTCTCTTCGATATGATCAACCCGCATGAATGCGGGTATGCATATATATGACTGTTGTCTCGACATGATTATAAGAGTGCCAAATGGGTTGCGAACCGTGTCAAAAGCACTGACTCAAACCGAACCTCAACCAGCCATTTCTTCTGCCCGAACGGTGCCCGAGGGATAGCTGTAGATTACTTGCATCAAGGCTCTCCGTAGTTTCAAGCCCTCTTGCCAGCCCCACGACCGCGACCTCGAGCTCGACTCTGAGCCTGACCCCGGCCACCAACGCCTACACCCATCACAAACAGCACTCTCACAAGCGTAATAACAGCAATAATTGCAATATTAGTGCTCGCTTCACTCCTGATCGGCCCACCGTGCGCCTGCACCGCCTTGAACATGCTAAACAGCGCCGCGAAATCAGTGAACAACAGCCCCGCCTGAAACAGCTTCCACACGCCCAAGTCGTCCGTGTACCGGAGCATGAAAATCATGAGGAAGGCGAACATGGCAAAGGAACCGCCTGCTTGGTGATGCAAGAAGGCATGCGAGGGTGTCAACTGGGCGTGGGGAGATGTGCGCGGAAATGCGGGGTCGATAAGAGTTTCTGGGGCGAAGTAGTTCAGGTAGACGGATAGAAGGGAGAGAAATGGGTCTACGGTTGTGAAGGAGTAGTAATAAAAGCCATTTACGCCGGGAGGAGCCATCGTTGGAGTAGTTCGAGGTGGTGTAGTGGGCTGCTGTCTGGGGGTGCTATAGCTGAAGAAGATTGTGGAAAGCGAGTTGGCTTTGCACATAAAAACAGAAGAGAGGTGGTATATTAGAACCAATACTTCGTTCAAGAACTATTTGGTGTCGCTGTGTCGGTCTCCGAAGATAGATGCAGATGCAGCGGGGTGGTGGGGCAACCTGGATCAGAGTGTGGCACGGTCACCGCTTCCCTCTCCCTCCAATAATGCCAATGCCCCTAATAAACAGCACCACAACCATCGTCGACGCGAGGCTCATGCCGAAATTGAACCATGCCGTGTCTCTGATGCCCACCTTGAGTGCATTGTCCCAGGGTTTGAGGCCGTGGCCTTCGCTACCGATCTTGTCAACATGAACGCCTTTTTCTCTTGCGATGACGGCGGTTTGCAATGCTGTTGCGATTGCGAGACCAATTGCACGACCGATTTGCCCAACGGCAGTGATGAGCGCACCGCCTAGGGATGCGTCTTCAGGCGGCAGCGTTTTGGCGACGAACAGGGTGAGGACGGGAAATATAGTGTCTGCGCCGCAGACGGACAACACCATGGCGGGGAAGCCATAGGCCCAGTAGGTAGTATGTACTGGGATTGGGATGGCAAATAGGAGCGAAGAAGTACTGATACATATGGTGCTGAAGGTGAGAATAATGTCGGCAGGGACCCGCGAGAGAAGCTGACCGGTGATTAGAGCGACGAGAATACCAGTTATTCCGTTAGGAATGAAGCGCAATGTCGTTTGAATGACCGATAGCCCCTGAAAGTCTTGGAACCAGTAGGTGGCGAAGATGAGATAGTTGTTGAAGGACGAGAAGAATAGCGCCATCACCACATTAGCAGCCGTGAATTTCCCGTTCTTGAAGATGGACATCTTCATCAACGGCCGTTTCTGTGTCTTCGTCTCCAGATAGTGTTGCCAGAAACCAAATGCGACGACGACAAGGATTGAAAAGACGATAAGTATAGGAATCCAAGGCGTGCTCCAGCCTACAACGTTGCCTTCAGTGAGTGCGAACAGTAAGACGACGAGCCCGACAGTGATCAAGGTGCCACCGATCCAATCGATGGTGTTACGCATGATGGGCTCAGGCTGTGGTGGTGGCAGAGGGATGACCAGGTAGCTTGCAATAGTGGAGATGCCAGAAATAATGGCAAAGATCCAAAAGACCCATTTCCAGTTGAGATATTCGCCGATGACACCACCCTGCGACCATTAGCAATAGTCCCTAAAGCTTCCTGGGGAAGGCCCACAAAGATATTTCCAGTGATACCACCTAATGGTGCTCCAGCACCAAAGCATCCAAAGGCGATATCCTTCGTCCTACCCGGTGGAAATGTAACGCCCAGAATCCCCAAAGCCGTTGGAGCCATGGCCGCAGCTGCTAGGCCCTGTAGACCTCGGAAGATGTTGAAGCCGATTTCATTTGGTATGAATGGTGGTACAATAGAAGTTATTGTAAATGCAACAGAGCCCCAAATGAAGATCATTCGTCTCCCATATACGTCTGCTAAGCGGCCCCACAGAAGCTGGATTCAAGTCAGGCCTTGTCTGGGGATTATTAGATGAGAGACGAACTAGGAAGCAACCAAATGTGAGGTTGAACGCCGACACAATCCACTGCTGTCGACTCGTTGGGATATCCAACTCCTCGCCGATGGTCGGTAGAATGATAACCGAAGCCTGAACTGCCATTGTCTACCAGCACATCGTCAACCTTTCGTCTTTTTGAGCCGCATCATGGAATTCCTACTCACGCTCAAAAACGGCGCAGTAGCAATCGTGATAACTAGCGCCACACATCTTGCTTTTGAAAACGGCAAACGTTCGGAAGCACCTGTCGCTACCCTCACAACAGTGTTTTCGTCTTCTCCAAGACCTGGTAGTTGCGGCGCTGTCACCACACGTTCCAGGTCCTCGATCTCCTTCTCTGCGCCACCAGCTACATATCCGTCGGCTTTTGACATCTCCAGTCACGTCGCGGACGAAAAAGATAATTTCGCAAGCGGGTCAACTCCGCAAACACGTCCCCGTGGGGAAATGCATGCTTTTTGAAGGTTCACGAGCCAAAGATGCCGCATGTTCGGCACGTTTGTCAGCCACGCACGGCTGGAAAAGGCTTTACCCGCTCTTTGCGGAAATACAGTTCATTCCCGTACGTAAAGGCAATCTTTTCCCGTTCGCAATGCGTGAAGATGATTTGCTATCAGTGATAACGGGTGCGAGAGAGGAGGATTCGATGACAATGGCCGGGTTCATCGACTGCGATGGTTTGATGAATGTGGCTGACTTTAAAGCGAAATGTCTCCACTGCAGAAGACGAAAATATGCGGAAAAATCTCAATGGTTTGTTTAAGATGTGAATATATAGCAGAGAAAGCACATATTGAACGACTTGAGGTGTAGTCTTTATAGTACTACGGGGTGTAACGGGGCTGAATCCACCAATCACGGTGCGTATGAAGCAAAACATTATTATCTTGTTCGTTTGGGCAGGTAACTATTATTCACGAAGCCATGGAAATCTTATATTGGCTTTCATGTCAGAAAAAAAGATCCTTGATATGTCTGATAGACTTGATGTTGTTTAGTGTCATCGTTATCATATACACTAAGAGATCTGTCAGGCCTTACCTCCTGTATTACCGTGCTCTCTGCTCCCCCGATCCCTGCACACGATCATCACTCACCCACTCAATGATTGCGTTCCTGCTTCTGTAATGCTTTGCCACTCTCATCCGCAGGCTTAAGACTAACATTACTTGGTCTACAAAGCTGCACACTATCCTTGGAAACCTGCTACCGTGCACAGGACAATCTCAACTCTTCTTCGTGTGGTTCCAAGCCACTCTCTCGTGACTGTTTGGACACAGCGCACTGAACTTGTGTACCTGGCCGCCGTCACCTTGTAAACAGCTAAGGGGCTTGGTAGAGTTCGTGTAAGCACAGAGAGAGAAGAATAAGTTATAAAGCTCAGAAGCTCTCTGCAAATTGTAAAAGCGGTGTTGCAACAAATTGAACGGTATAGTACCGCGACGCAAAACCTGTTTCCAAAACTATGGAACTAATTCTAGCCACGTAACAGCAATGCTGCTGCCTATAGCAGCAGAATAAAAAGCCAGCAATCCGTGTAAGCACACCGCCCTCGCCAGGGACTAGATCTTCGATGTCGGCCACAAGGAGCAGGCGAGGGGCAACGTCAAGACGACAGGATATGGGAAGTGAGATGTAAAAGATGGGTCAGTGTATGAAGGGTTGTGAAGCTGATACGCGTTGATGGCCAACGCGCTAGCAACGCAGCAGTCGCGTCTACACGTGACAAGACACGACTCAATTAAAAGACGCACGCATTGATCTTGCTACACGATACCAATTTGAAAATATTAGTGCAATTCTACGTTGTCTTGTACAATACCTGCTACGTCTTCTTCAGAATCTCCTCGGCGATATCCCTCAAGACAAACTTTCTTATCTTCCCACTCCCGGTGAGCGGCACTTCAGCGTCGCAGTCGTCACCGAGCCAGAAGACATGCACAGGCGCCTTGTGTCTTCCTAGTACCTTCCTGACCCAGCCCTTGACCTCGTCAAGCCCCGGCTTCTCCGTCCCTTCTTCGCGCAGTAAGAAGGCGGCAGGTACTTCAACGTAGCGAGGATGGGAAACGCCGACGACGATGGCGCGTGCGATAGAGGGATGCTGGACGAGACGTTCTTCGATCTCTAGTGGGTATATATTCTCCCCGCCTGTGCTGGGTTAGCTTTTGTGCACGAAGCTTTTAGGGGACAAGGGGGAACAAACCTCGTATGATGATGTCCTTGAAGCGCCCTGTGATCGTACAGTATCCATCAACATCCAACACCGCTTCGTCACCAGTGTGCAGCCACAACTCTCCTTGCTCGTCTCGGACCAGCAATTCTGCCGTCTTCTCGGGGTTCTCCCAGTACCCTCTACACACCTGATACCCAGCTACACAAAGCTCGCCGCGCACACCAATAGGCACGACCCGATCGTCATGGTCCACAATCTTGACGCGCGCATGCGGCAGCACAGTACCCACAGTCGTCAATCGTGAATGTAGCGAGTCCGTGGTATGTGCATTGAAGACCGTAGGACTCGCCTCCGTGAGCCCATAGCTAGACGTGAAGTCGGTCATTCCTAGCTCGCTGACCATACGCTCCATCAGCCACCGCGGCACCGGGCTACCGGCTACGATGCCAGTGCGAAGCTCAGAGGTCCAGCCTTCAGGCTTCTCGCAGTCAATTATGGACTCCATCATAGCTGGGACGCCGTGTAGGGCTGTGCAGCGCTCGTCGGAGATGGCGTGCATGGTTGCAACGGGGTCGAATGATTCTGCGGGATATACAATCTTGCCGCCGTGTGTGAGCGTTGCGAGGAGGCCGAGGGTGAGGCCGAAACAATGGAAGAGGGGTGGTGGGCAGCAGAGAATGTCGTCGGGTGTAAGGTTCATGCGGTCGCCTATGAAGCGGGAGTTGTTGATGAGATTGCTAGAGAGATGTTAGCTTGGTTATTGCATGTGGGAGAAGGGAAGGGCGTACTGATGGGACAACATGGCCGCTTTCGGACTGCCAGTACTGCCACTTGTGAATTGGAGATTTGCGACATCGTATGGACTTATTATGCTATCAAAGATTTCGAGAAGGTGATCTGGTATGCTTTCGGCTTCACTTATGAACTCGTCATATTTGATGAAGTCGCTGTAGTTGCCGCGAATAAGACAAACTGTTTTCAAGTCTGGTAGAGTCGATGTAAGGTCTTCTTCGTGAAGCTTTTCTAGAAGTGGCTCATTGTCGAACCGTGAAATTGTGGGTGTTGTGAAGAGTATTTTGCATTCTGCATTGGTCAGTACGTACGGCCCCTCAATTACGCAGGTCAAGGTACTTACTGGTATGCCTCAGCGCATACTCCATCTCCGTTGCCGTGTATGTATTGTTGAGCGTGACGCAAATCGCGCCGACCCTTGCGCAGGCAAAGAACAGTGCGATATACTTCTCACAATTTCCACTCATGATGCCTATCCGATCTCGTGGACGTACGCCATACTTTAATAGAGCCCGTGCTAACAAGCTTGTCTCGTTCCACAGCTCCTGATATGTCCACCTTGCACCAGTCCATGGTATTACGATGGCCTCCTTGTGTGGATGGAGCTCGACTTGTTGGAAGAGCGATTGCGATATGGTCAACTGCACGAGAGGAGGATCAAGTGGACCGGAAACGAGGGAGAGGTTTGGATAAGGTGGGAGGATGTATGGGTCGATTTGAAGCAGTGTTTGGTTCAGACGATGTAAGGCCTCGGGCCGCGATTGATCGTGTAGTTGAACCATTACAGCGGCTTCTTCTTTCCAAGTCTGTCTGCTCTACCTAGGCCTTCAACTGCTCTACAACTGGAGACCCAAACGCCGAAGGAGGACCTGGCGAGTGCGCAATAACAGGGATGAAATACCGACTCAAATGATGGAAAGCGTAGAAAGAGAAAAATAGCGAAGCAACGGTATACAGAACTACCCAGAAGCACTCCAGTAGCTGGTGTTGGCGATTCAAAGTACCGACTTTTGCCATAGTAGTGACGGCGCCGCTGATGGCTCGGATCTAAGGGCCCCATCGTCAGGGAGCAGGCCCTGCATTTCATCATGGCCTTTTTCGGGTCACTTGGGTGCGCGTCTCTGTCCGGCCTCTCATCAAATCGAAATGACGTCCTCGGGCTTGTCTAGCAGATCTTCAAGCTCACCTGCTCCATTCGGGTATAAAACCGCAGCTATCATATTTCCAGGTAGGTGAAAGCTCTGTCAAGTGATTAACATAATTCTTCCTTGATCAGGAGTAGATCGTCCCTTGTGCCATGGAGAGGCTTTTGAGAGTTGGCGCCGATGACAGCACGGGGCGGAAGTACCTCGGTGACATTGTGCCGTGGACCGCACACGAATTTTCATCTGATAAGATTACCGGGGGCGGATTGCGACATCGGTAAGCGCGCGTCGTGGAACAACACGGCTTGTTGAACGTATGATGCGGCGAAAAGTTTGCTAGGATCGACGACAGGGTGGCGGGTAAGGCTTTCTGTGGAGGTGGGAAGGATTGTGGGACAGCATCCCTTGCCATTTACATGACATTATCTGATCCGCTTTCTAGCTTTCTTTGCGGCATATTTATCCGGATCAGCGTTGTAGACCATCTGATAATTCTTCTCCCGACAGTTGGTGTAGAAGACTTTTCTCAAGAGATACCGAACTGTTTCATGCTGCGTGGAGTTCCGCGGTGTGCGCCGTGCTCCGGCCTCATGCAATACCGTTACGTGTTGCACCCACGCACATCTAGTCGGCCTGCTCACCAGGTTGGAGCGTGCGCCTCATACGTAAACAACAGCCATTGTTCGTGCTTGTCTGGTCTGTGGGGGTGCTTCGCAGTCACGATTCAAACAAAATTTTCATTTCTACATGAAAAGTCATTCGTAGAGCTCGATTGACGAGGTCTCATCCGCGCCCTGTATACGAGACATGGATTCAAAGTGTGTAGCCAGGGGCTTCGTTGGGCCATTAAAAAGCTGACCATGTTGAATCATGACGTGTGCACTTTAACTCCGTGCAGGTGTACCGAGGGTTGGAACGGCCCATGGGCTGGCTGGCACCCGGGCGGGCTTTTGTGACAGTAGGTAAAAACGGTGTATTAAGTGGAAGCGACTATAGTTGTTGACATGCAAAGCTCGAAACGAAAACAAGTGCTAGAACTAGTGGCTAATGCGACAAACTTGTTTCTGAACAGAGGCTCTCAGTCATCCGGCCTGAAAGAAATTGTTCGTGTGTGAGCAAAGCTCGTAGATCAGTTGATGGCTATGAACAAATTACAACTTCGCGAGCGCGTCTAAACTCGGTCGTACCTTCTTCTCCCCATCCCATACAAACGGGCTCAATGTGAAAAACTTCTCCCTATTAACCATCATGAGGGCACTTCGTTTATGCGGCAAATCCATCAGCTTTTCAACGTGGAAGCCATGTGCAAAGTCGTATGCTAGGACTGTGCCGCTAGTTACTGATGGTTCACCAACGAGGTTCCAAGTACGGGGCTCGTCGAGGAACATGTAATGCATGAGTCCTGACCACCATGCAGAGACACGGTAAGGACCCCTAAATCTAATGTCGCCGACGAGCGAGTGCCTACCGCGGTCGTATAGTGACGACTGGAAGTGAGCACCCATGTGATCCTCCTATTATAGCGGTTAGTCTCATATGCAACGAAACAAGTATCAGAAAAAACGTACCATAGCCCAATAAACCTCGAAATATGCAAAGAAGAGGTCGTCAAACGCGGCAAACATGGTTAACACGTGGGGGTCCTCATGCAGCTTTCGGAGATACTCGCGATGCTCATCCAGTGTCCCGGTCTCATTCCACCCTGCAGCGACACGCGGGTCATTCTGCCAGTTGTGGAAGAGATTGAGATGATCCGGGTTGGTGTAATCGAGAGCGACCATAGTAAAATGCTCCTTTAGATGCGGTATCCATCGGCTGTAGATGACTGAACCCGGTTCAGGTTTCGGTTCCCGGACAGGATGCATAGTGTGCCGTGGTAGTGCCGGGAACTGGGTAGATGGTGCATTCTGGAATGGAAACGGAGGATAGCGCCTAGTGATTGGCTTGCCTGAAGCATCAAGGTGCGGTGCCCAAACCGGGCGAGGACCGAACGGGGACGCAGCGCCCTGCCAAAAGGTGCCTCGCAGGAGCAGGTGTCCATCATGAGGTGCTGACGCACTGGAAGCCTTTGGGTGAGATTGAAACAGACCTGTGGCGTAGAGGTCTTGGGCTAGCGACTCTGAATCTTTGCCAGAAAACAGGACTCGGAAGGTCTCGACTAGGGGATGCAGAGAAACTAACCCGTAGGCGATGAGCCACAGCTGCGGGACGGTTGGTCGGTCGCCAGTCCAGGAAACGGTCAAGTAAGGTGATCTTCGTGTGCGCGCCCATGAGCTGTTGTCTCCGTTCGGCGGCACTACGTCCTGAGCCAAGAAAGCAATATCGCTGAAGGATACTCTGTCGCTGTGCAGTAGCGTACCCTGAGTTTGCTCTTTGCCGGTGGTGTCCGCTGCAGAGAGAGAGATCTGGTTGCTGATGGGTTGGTCTCGTGCAGCTATATTGGTGATTGCGTAGGCGGTGAGGTAGGGATGGGGAAGCTTCAAAATGAAAGGTTCATGAGGAGCATCTTTTTTCGCTTGTTCAGCCATGGTAGTCGATGAGCCGTTTTTGTCTATGAAGAATGGATATGAGAAGTATGGTGACCGAAAAGCGTCCGGAGCAGCAGCATAAAGCTTGAGCGTGTTCACAACGAATCGCGCAGGTTGGCATCGTGCTCCAACCGAGGTCGACGGCTCAGCAGACCAGCCCACAGTATTACGCAGTCTTAGGTGGATACTATACCCGTCCGACGCTTATTTCGGCGACAGGGGTGTTGCATGGAGTTTGCATGGGAAGCCCCTAGTGGGGGGCAGATCGCGCCTGTGTGGGTACTAGTTTGACAACCACAAATATATGCAGGCTGAGGTATGCGGCAAGTACCAGGACTACACGGCAGCCCTCGAGATCGGTGACATATTTCGTGGGAGCTATCGTCCGTGTAACTTGCCTCCAAGAGTCAATGCTCAAGATTTGCCGAGCTCTTAACACCGTGCCATAACTTCGTAGAAACGTCTTCTAGCTCTTGAGTACCATCTTCTTTGCATCGATCTACACTGCATCAGTCATTGTGTTACCTGACAGTGACTTGACCTTCCATCATGACCTCAACAGACGCGTCGTCCAAGTCTTCGGACCCTGTCCCCCATTCTTCCACTGCGGATTCTTCGCCGATGTTTGATCTTGTCTGTATCGGCTTTGGCGCAGCTCAATTAGCGACTGCCATTGCAAATCGAGAAGCTCGAAACCCCTCCAAAGTGCTTTTCATTGAGCGGAATTCGACCTTCACATGGCACTCAGGACCGCACATGCCAAGGACACGGATGGAGACTCCATTCATGTATGATCTCGCAACACTCCGAAACCCAAGGACCGCATTCAGCTACGTCAACTATCTACTCACGCGGAAACGTCTGATCGAATTCGCAAACTCGGACCACCTCAACCCACTGCGAGAGGAGTTTGAGGACTACCTGAAGTGGTGCGCTGAGCAGTTCAAGGGCCAAGTTCAATATGGCAGCGAAGTCGTCGGGGTAGTCCCAGAAACCGAGGCAAACGTTGTGAGAGGCTGGAAGATCGCTGTAAAGAATGGCGATGGCAAAACCCATGTGGTGCGGGCGAGAAGCATCGTGGCACCCTCCCAATCAAATCAGAATACATTGATACCACAACCACTACCCACAGTCGACTTTCTCGGTGGACAACGAATTATCTCGATGGACGACTACGTGTCTAGGAGGAATGACCTGCGAGGAGACCACGAGCCACGACTAAACGTCTCTGTTGTGGGCTCCGGTCAACAAACCGCCGAGATTCTGAACGATCTGTTGTCATGCCCACGTCTAGGCAACGTAACGATAGTTACCGAGGACGAGTCGCTCGCTACATTGAAACTGCTTGGCGAAAAAGAGCCACCGCAACCTCAACTCTGCTCGATATGGGCGAAGCCGGCAAGCGGTCACAAGGCATCCGTTACCGACGCTTCGGCGCTTGTCCAGTCCATCTACATGCATGCGTACGAGAAGCAGGTCCGGACGAAAGGCGAGTATCGCCTGCGCGTTGTCATCGGAAAGGACGCTGCAGCAGCATGCTCAGGGTCCGACTATATCATCAGGGATACTGCTGCGAGCCCAGTACCAAGCAACGAGCTCCTCCAGCGCCTGGACACGCTCGTGCTGGGCTGCCGGCAGAAGGGAGATAGCCTGCATGAGGTGCAGTTCAAGCAAGGCGCCGTTGCAGAGGGTTGCCAGGCCTGGCTGCTGGCCAACGTCGCGGACGGGCGCTCATTGGCGAAGGATGTTAGTTTGATGGCGGGCGAAATAGTGAAACGCGTGTCGTCAGCGGCGGGTGATGCACAGAATGGAGTCGTGGTGGTCCAAGCCGCTCGGCTATAAGAGAAAAGGACCGTTCCGGATGGGGCAGGCGCAAATTTTTATCTGATCTAACTTGAGTCAATCTAATCTGATTTTTTGTGACTAATCTCCGAGACCGTCTTCCCTACTTTTTTTTATGCACTAACTTCCGTCATGCTTCCGTTTCACGTGAGACTAAACCCCTTGACGTTATGGCCAGCAAACTCGCTCTGCAGTGCCAATGTCGATCCCGGTCATCGCGCCTTGGAGGGGGGCCGCAGCGCCCTGCCTGTGCACGCCTCAATGCAGACACCTGAAGACCTTTGCGATACTCAACCGCGAGAGATCCCTCAATCAACTCGAGCACCTGATTCGGGTTTGCACGCCCAATGCATGTCAACAAACCCTCACGGGCTTCCATCAAGCCCTTCTTTGGCTTTCTCCATCTCCTCTTCTACGCGGATCCGACATGGCTGGACAAGCTCCTCATCGGCGTCGGGGTCATAGCAGCCATCGCCGCAGGCATACCATTTCCACTCATAGGAATTGTATTCGGCCAACTGGTCGATGAGATCAACGACGCGACATGCAGCAATCGATCGGGCGCCTCAAAGGGGGGAGGAGAGGCTTCAATCACCCCGAAGATTCTACTGCTTGTCTACATCGCTATTGGTAGCTTTGCCTGCATCTACATACACCTTGTATGCTGGAACTTGGCATCACAGCGGCTAGCCCAACGCGTCCGAGACCGCTATCTGAGAAACCTCCTTCGACAGGATATGGCCTTTTTCGACAACCTCCAGGCAGGAGAAGTATCATCTCGCCTCAATGGCGACATCCAGGCCATCGAGAGTGGTACTTCGGAGAAGGTTGGCGTCGCCCTGACCTGCGTCTCCTTCTGCGTGACGGCATACATCGTCGGCTTTATCAAAGACGCTCATCTGGCCGGCATGCTAGTATCCTTAATTCCTGCCTTCCTGCTCATGGCAATAATTGGCGGCCACTTCGTTGGCAAGTATAGCGCAAAGCTGTCCTCATCTTTTGGATCGGCTAGCGCTATTGCATCAGAGTCTCTAAGTCACGTTGGTCTTGTGCATGCTCTTGGGGCCAGTGCCAGGCTAGAGGAGAAGTTCAGGGCCCATCTTGGGGACGCTCGTGCTCAGGGTATCAAAAAGGCCACGACAGCGGCGGTGCAAGCTGGATTACTTTATTTCATTGCTTTCTCTTCTAGTGCCTTGGGATACTGGCAAGGTAGCCGCAAGGTTGCTGACGCAGTCGAGGTATGTAAAGCCGCGCTAAACATAGTGGAACATGCCTTGAATACTCCTGGTGCACCTCGATGTGTCTTTTAAGCATTTCATAGAGCTTGAAACACTATCGAAGTACCCTAGGAGCCCTCAAGCCATATACCATTGTGGTTGGCTCCCCTTCATCCTTTCCGCAATACAGGGTACCTCACTAACCATAACCTCTTAGGGCAAAGGCAATGCTTCTATCGGACAGATATACACAGTCACGTTCATCCTTCTCGATGGTGAGTGTATCTGATACTTGAGAGTGCCACTTAGTTGACAGGTGACTAGGTGCTATTGTATTGAGCCAGGTTGCACCAATGCTACCTCTCTTTGGAGCAGCGGTATCCGCATTCGAGCGGCTTCGGAAGGACATCGAAACTCAGCCAACTATCAACGATAGTGAAGTTTCTAGCGAGAAGACGTCTACCGTTAATGGCGCCATCGAGTTTCGCGATGTTTCCTTTACGTATCCATCGAGACTTGATCATCCCGTCCTGAACAACGTCTCTTTGAAATGCGAAGCTGGTCAACTGACTGCAATCGTTGGTCTTTCCGGGAGCGGAAAATCTACCATTGCTAGTCTCATCACCCGGTTTTACGATCCCCAGGGCGGAGACGTGTTGCTCGATGGACGCAACATCAAGGACTTCAACATCAAAAACCTACGAGGCTTCATCAGCCTGGTGCAGCAGGAACCCTCACTTCTTGACCGATCTATCCTAGAGAACATTGCGTTGGGTCTAGTTAATTCCCCACCTCACTCGCATCTGGAGAAGACTCTGCTCAGCGGCATATTAGCCAAGCTTGCTGAAGACATCAGAGGTGGGCAAGACCTTCTCAAGTCTGCAGAGAAAGCTGGACCGGAGGTACGTTAAATCGCAAACGCTGTCAGAACTTTACTAACTGTACCCCACCTTCAGGTAGTCGAGATCGTTCAATTGGTCCAACATGCCGCAGATCTTGCTGACGTTGCTATTTTCATTGATCGATTAGAGTTCGGCTTTGCTACTCTCGTTGGGTCAAGCGGTAGTTTGGTCAGTGGCGGTCAAAAACAACGAATCGCCCTTGCTCGTGCTCTTGTTCGCGATCCCAAGATCCTCATTCTCGACGAGGCTACTGCAGCTCTCGACTCGGCAAGTGAGCAACGCATTCAAGCCGCAATCGAGCGAGCATCTCAAGGACGGACTGTTATTTCCATTGCTCATCGACTATCCACCATCCGAAGTGCCTCCCGAATCGTTGTCTTGAAGAAGGGCGATATTATTGAACAGGGTACGCATGATCAGCTTATGGCTCAAGATGGCTCGTACGCAGATATGATTCGATTGCAAACCGTCAAAGCCGCAGACGACGGCGCATCTAGTTCCAGGACCAGCCTAGACTCCCATGAGATTGACAAGGTCTCCGACGAGAAGCAAGCCTTGACTGCGCCAGAAGCAGATATCCCTTCCCCGGATGAGGCACAAGGATCAAAGCTGCCTGAGCAGTCGAAGGGCGAGATTATTGCGGGTTCAATCTTCAAGACAATGGGACCTTTGATGCGACCGTATCTGCTTCTGATTTTCCTGGCTTTCTTTGCGGCTCTGATTGTCGGCGGACAGTATTCTGGCTCTGGTCTCCTTTTCGGAAATATCATGGGCACCATGTCACCTTGTAACCCACCGGATTTCATTCGATCAAGAGGAAAGCTGCTCTCTGGGATGTGGTTTCTGCTTGCTTGCATCGAATTCTTTGCCAACTTCACGAGCTGGGCAGTGTTCGGACTCATATCTGAGCGACTGATATACAAAGTGCGTAACCTTTCGCTGCAATCGCTCCTTCAACAGCCATTGCAGTGGCACGAATCTGAAGGCAGAAGTCCATCGCAGCTTCTCGAGTTCATTACCAAGGATGGCAACTCGCTAGCCGGATTCAGCGGCTCCATCGTCGGCACCTTGTTTTCCGTCGTCGTCAATTTTATCGCTGCCATCGTGCTTTCCCATATTGTCGCTTGGAGGATCGCAATCGTATGTCTGGTAATTGTCCCACTACTGTTGGGAGCCGGGTACATGCAGCTCCGTGCTATTTCACGCTTCACCGTCAAGCACGCCGGCGCCTTTTCATCCTCAATTGGAGTTACCATCGAAGCTGTCTCCAACATCAAGACCGTTCACGCTTTGTCTATCGAAGATGAAATCTTGCAGACGTATCGCCGCTCGCTGAGAGCTCCACGCAAGGAAATGGTGCGGCAGAGTTTCAAGACCAATGTCTGGCTAGCAATCGCCAATTCTTGCGGTGGGTTCATTTACGCGTTCGCCTACTGGTGGGGCTCGAAGAATATCATCGAGGGAAGATACGCCCAGACTGAGTTCTTCATCATCCTCATCTCTATGCTTGTCTCTGCGCAGCTGTGGGGACAGCTCTTCACCTTAGCACCAGAGATCTCCAAGGCTAAGGGCGCTATCTCACGCATATGCGGACTGATCAATCTGGGTACGAACACTTCGACAACGCCCGGCAGACTATCTCCCAATCTTGACTTCGATGAGAAGGAGAAGCAGGACATCGAAGCTTCGGCCGACTCAACTTCGCCCATTTCCACGCAAGGCGGCGCTAGCATTGTGTTCCGCGACGTGAAATTCTCGTACCCTGCACGACCTGGCATTCCGGTGCTCACATCCTTGTCGCTCTCGATCCAACCTGGGCAGTTTTGTGCGTTGGTCGGTCCTTCGGGTGCCGGCAAGAGTACAGTTCTCGCTCTACTGGAGCGATTCTATTCACCCTCGAGTGGTAGCATTTCTATCAATGGGTTCGATATTTCCCGCCATCATGGAACAACCTTTCGCGATGATATCGCATACGTACCACAAGACAACGTACTTTTCCAAGGAAGCATCAAGTTCAATATCTCACTAGGAGCAAGGCCGGGCTATAATCCATCGGACGAAGAGATACACGAGGCCTGCAAGCTGGCAAATATCCATGAGACCATCATCGATCTGCCCCAAGGCTACGATACCGAGTGCGGATCCAATGGCAATCAATTATCTGGCGGGCAGAGGCAACGCCTCTCCATAGCTCGTGCGCTTGTACGCAAGCCGAAGCTGTTACTCTTAGACGAGAGTACAAGCGCGCTTGACGCAGAAAGCGAAAAGGCCCTTGAACTTGGTCTTGAACGAGCTGTCAAGGGTCATGGCGTCACAGTCATTGCAATTGCCCACCGACTGCGGACCATCGCTAGAGCCGATATAATATTTTTGGTGGAGGGAGGCAAGGTAGTCGACCAGGGACGACATGAGGAACTGGTACAGCGGAGTGAGAGCTACCGTGTAAACGCTCTACACCAGATGCTGGGTTAAGGTTTGTTCTGCATAGTACATAGTAATGTTTGTATCATAAGACTTCGGTTCGACGAAAGCTCTACATTATTTAGCAACTGACCCTGTCCACTTTGCAGTATCCAAGTTTCATTTTCAATGTCACGTGTACCATACAACATGCACCGTGATGGCTATCGAGGCATGGCGGCACTAGTTGGTTGAAGGACCACGCAGATCGAGAGTCTGGTCAAGTCGTTCACAGAAGCTGGCGGAGAGGACGCCGGCGTCACAGGATTATCCAGCCGCCGAACACGCATGGCTGACGACAAGGATAATAGCGTGGGGAGCACAACAAGCCCATGATGAGTCGTCGCCTCCACCAGAGCAAAGGCGTCGCGTCAGGCGGAGAATGCTCACACACCCTGACTAGGGAGCTCGGTTCGTAAACTGCAAATGGCGTGCCTTATGCTCGGGGCGGCAATTCTGACAATGCAGGGTGTGTGCTGTAGCTCAACTGTTGGGACTAATGAGAAAATTTGCGGCGTTGGCTTTTGATGAATTTTCTCTATGGTGATTACTGCGACAGGGAATCTGTGAAAGGCCAACCCAGGGTGCGGGGGTTCATAATATTGCACATGGCAACTATTGGCTCTACGAAAATGCTTGTATTGTGACTTCGCAAATTTTAGTCGCGGGAAGACGTGATGTGTCACTCCAGCTGGACAACGGCAGAAGACGGCCATCGATCGTGATGGTACATCGTACACTAGACCACGAATAGATTATGACGCCAGATGCCATGCCACAGACATCAGGGGCCCGCACGTAGTTCGGCCCACACCGTCCCGCCTCTACCGTCTGCTGTGCCTCCCCCTCACATGTGGATGATGAGATTATCAGATCCGCTCGAAGCGAGGCCTTCCCGTCGTGCTCCGCTCGAAATGACAAACTCAAAGTGTGACAAGTCCGTGGTTTTGGATCATGCGGGACATGATGATTTTTCATCTTTCCATGGGTTCCATGCCTTCACCTTCTGGTCGTCGCAGACCGTGATCGGCGCACAGCTTTTAGTGGCCATGTCAGCGATTGACGTAGCTCGTGCAGCGCTCATCGGGCCTTTTTGCACACCCGGAAACTCCCTCGTCGTTCTATGTATGCAGCCAAACACACCAAGCCATAGATATTGCCGAGATGCGTAGAGCAGTCTAGAAAATGCGACCCATGCTCGCTTCTTCCTAGTTCGAAATCTCCGAGAATCGGGCGTTATCAGATCAAACGCGATCTGCAGTCTGCCAATGTCACCGTGCATGGATCCTTACCCCAACAGGCAGCTCCGTACGGGCATAACAACAATAATGCCGTGCAATTAGAGTTATCAGATGCAGTTAGTACCACCGTCATTCACGCTCTTGCTTATCTGATCCGCTTATGTGGGCTTTCGAAGCGCGGGGTGAGGACTTTTTATTACGACTAAAGCGTGGTACTGCCCCCATAGCGGGTTGCTCCCTGGGGCACTTACGTTAGAGTATGAACGATCTAGTATGCACTGGCGAACAACGACGCGGAGCGGCAAGGCACACCCTGCCTTTCGCGCCGTGGGTGAAAGAAATGACGCGGTCGGCGTTTCTTGAGAATCACGATGGCTTGTTCCGAGGTTCATTGGTGCGTTAGAGACGGACCTACATCCCAGTTCGTATTCTAAGTGAAGACGGAAGCTCAGGTGGAGAGCTTAATGAGCATGAGTTTTTACCATGCTTGGCTCCTACTATGAGAAGACTCGGGACTTGAACCACTAGGGAGAGAAGATCCACACACTTCCAACCCCTCGCCCTCGAAACGAGCAAGAACACGAAGCAAAGACGAGAAGACAACATAGTGTGCAGGAGAAGATGCATCTACCGAGCGGCGACCACACGGTGCGGTTTGGCGGAGTTCCGGAAGAGCCTGTTGAAGTCAAGGTGCAAAGCAATGGCACTGTAACGACACAAGAGAACGGAACGAGCACTAACGGTACTAATCATACGAATGGCGCTGTCTCACAAACAAATGAGGTCCACATATCGCATCCCGAGGACCTGGCGGCGGATGCGGTTTTGGATACCGTCCTTACCGCATGGACAATACTTATTCAACGATACCAGCGAGATCTGTTCCATCAGTTCACCTGGGCGCTCAAAGACGCTGGAGCCGACAAGACACAATGTATTCCAACACCCGACCTCGACCTACTGAATCAGAAAGTAGCTGGGGGCTTGAAAGCCAAGCTTAGCGACGTAAGATTGAAAGATATCAACCTCGAGAAAGCAACGATTTCCTTGAATGACGGAACGAAGGAAGAGGTATGAGCACCATCGTACAGCTACATGAATGGTAACTAACCCAAGGACAGTGGAGCTTCGAAGTTACACTCAACTTCCGACAAGGCTCGCTGTATGCTACCTCGCAATGGCACGCCCCGAATCTGTCAAGACACCAGGCTGTGTCACAACTCCATTTCTTTGCTTCGATCCTTGATACCCTGTTTAGTGATCCTGATCACCCGATTTCGAACTTTCTGTCAATTTCTCCGGATGAACTAGAAGAGATCTGGAAATGGAACTCGCCCATGCCCCCAGATCTACAAACATGTATGCACGTGATGGTTTCCGAGCAGGCCGCACTCAATGGAGAGAAAACAGCGATAGAGGCCTGGGACGGCAACCTCACATACCGCCAAGTCGAGGACTACTCAACGAACCTGGCGCAGACTTTGAGCCTACTGGACGATTCACGGAACCAAATTATCCCGGTCCTCTTTGAGAAGTCGCGATGGACGATAGTTGCTGTACTTGCGATTATGAAAGTTGGTGCTTGTTTTGCACTGCTTGATCCCGCGCAGCCCGAAGGTCGCCTGCGAACTATCATCCAGCAGATCAATGCAAAACTGCTTATCTGCTCGAAAGCGCAATCCACGCCTGCTGCGCGTATTGCGCCATCTGCTACCATCATCCCGATCTCAGAGTCAAAGTTCGATAGGGTGTACAGTCCATTTGCGGAACAGCAGCCCAGAACGACTCTTCCGACTGTGTCGCCATCGCAGCCGTTGTACATCCAGTTTACAAGTGGAAGTACTGGGTTGCCGAAGGGTTGCATTATCACGCACAGTCAGTACACCTCTGGTGCGATACCGCGAGCCTACGATGTAGGGTACCGACCGCATTCTCGCGTCCTGGACTTCGCAAGTTACGCATTCGATGTGTGTATTGACTCGATGCTTTGCACGCTCGCACACGGTGGAACGTTATGTACCCCGTCTGAGGAGCGCCGGATGAACGATCTTAGTGGCGCGATGCGTGACATGCGTGTCACTCTTGCCGGTATGACTCCCTCCGTCGCGCGGACGCTGGATGTGGATATCCTTGATCATTTGGACTCCATCGCACTGGGCGGTGAAGGTGTGTCCGCAAGCGACGCAGCGTCCTGGGGCCAAAGAACAAAGGTAGTCAATGCCTATGGCCCCTCAGAAACTACAGTCGGAGCTACGATCAACGCTGATGTAGGAGCCAAGCCGTACATAACTATGGGCAAAGGGAAAGGATGTGCGATTTGGCTTACCGACCCTGAGGATCACAATAAGCTTGTACCCATAGGTGCGGTCGGAGAGTTGTTGATCGAAGGCCCGATTGTTGGCAACGGTTATCTGAACAACCCAGCTAAGACCAAAGAAGTCTTCATCGAAGACCCTGAATTTCTTACGAAAGGCAGCTCGAAGTTGCCAGGTCGCCATGGACGTATCTACAAGAGCGGTGATCTTGTGCGATACGATCCCGACGGCAATGGCGAAGTCATTTTCGTTGGTCGCCAGGACCAGCAAGTCAAACTTCGCGGCCAGCGTATTGAGCTCGCTGAAATCGAGTACAACATGCAGAAGCACCTGCCCTCGAACACTCAACTAGCAACCGAAGTCATCAAGCCTGGTGGTAGTGGCGAACCAACACTCGTAGCATTCCTGGTTGAGCAGAAATCCAACGGCATGCGGCATCTGGACGGCAACATCTTTGGCAGCTTCTCTAACAAATTTCAATCTGCGCTGCAAGAGATGACGCAACACCTGTTCAAGGATCTCCCTAGCTACATGGTCCCAAGTGCCTACATCCCACTCTGGAAGATGCCTCTGCTTGTCTCAGCCAAGACTGACAGGAAGCGACTACGAGAGATCGGCACTTCAGTCACCCGCCAGGATCTTCGACGCTTCAATTCTATGATGTCGGAGAAGAAGGAGCCTTCAACCGAGATGGAGCTCAAGTTGGGCCCGCTTTGGGCGAAGGTCCTTGGCGGCGATGCGGATTTCAGCGCAAACGATAACTTCTTCAGCATGGGTGGTGACTCATTGAGGGCGATGAGATTGGTTGCTGCGGCGAGAGAAGAGGCTGTAGTTCTCACAGTGCCAGACATCATGCTTAACCCAACGCTGTCGGCCATGGCGGCGAAGGCTAAGCCTTTATCGGGAGAAGAGACTAACGACGTTCCTCCTTTCTCGCTCATTGGCAAAGACTGGAACGCAGACAAAGCAAAGGCGGAGACTGCAGCACTCTGCAATGTTGATGCCGCCCTTGTCGAGGACGTCTATCCATGCACACCACTTCAGGAAGGCCTCATGGCGCTCTCTGCCAAATTCCAGGACGCATATGTCGCCCAACGTGTTGCAACGCTTCCAGTCGACGTAGCATTCCAGCTAAAGAAGGCTTTCGACACCGTTATTGAGGACGTTCCCGTACTCCGCACGCGCATCATCAATGTACCAGGTCGCGGCCTTTTCCAGGTTGTGCTTAAAGACGGGCAGCTTGTGCGTGAGCATGGATCTGACGCTGCAGAATTTCTCAAGCTCGACCGTGAGGAGCCCATGGACCTTGGAACTGCACTCTTCCGCTACGGAATAGCTCATGAAACTGGAAGTGACCAAGCGCACTTCGTCATCACGATGCATCATGCAGTCTATGACGGCTGGTCGATGCCTCTAGTCTTTGATCGATTCAATCGTGCGTTTGCAAATTTGGAAACGACCCGACCTGCGTCATTCAAGCACTTTATCAAGCACTTGACTGAGCTTAACCCAGCTGATGCCAAAGACTACTGGAAAGAGCGACTGGACGGTACCAGTCCCCATCAGTTTCCTCCTCTGCCGCAAAAGGGATATGTTACGCAAGCAGATTCGCTGCTTGAACACTATGTCAATGTTCCCACGTCAGCACACTCAAAGCTCACAATGGCGACCATCATCCGTGGTGCCTGGGCACTCGTGTCCTCGCTATATATGGGCCACCCAGATATTGTCTTCGGCGAGACCCTCACTGGTCGCTCAGCACCTGTCCACGGCATTGAACAGATTGAAGGACCAATGATCACCACCATCCCTGTGCGTGTCCGACTCAACCTCGACCGCCCCATCTCCGAATTCCTTCAAACTGTCCATGCGCAAACGGTCCAACAAATCCCGCATGAGCACTTGGGTCTGCAAAACATCCGCCGATTAAGCAAAGATGCCCGCGTAGCCTGCGATCTCCGCACCGGCCTCGTACTCCACCCCAAGGAAGACGAAAACTGGGGCGAATCAGTTGACTTCGAGATCGCGCCCGCAAATACATTCCTCCCAGCCGATGACGCCGAAGCTGCACGTGAGGCGCTCAAGTTCAACACTTATGCGCTCATGTTGGTATGTACGTTGGAGGAGAATGGTTTCTTGATCATGGCAAGTTTCGATTCGAAGTGTATCAGTAAGGAGGCCGCGGAAAGAGTACTTGTGGTGCTAGATCGCATCGTCACGGCTTTCTTGGGTAACCCGGAGAGTAAGCTAGGCGATGTAGCGGTATTGAACTCGGACGAGGCGTACGATGCACTTGCAATGAGGCCGGAGGACGTTCTGACTGACAGTGCGGTTGGATTGTCGCCCGTGGATAGCCCAGCCTCGGAAAGTGCACCATCGAAGGCGTTGTCGCCAAACGAAGAAAAGCTGAGAGGCCTATTGAGTCGCATTCTAGGTATTTCTGAGACGGATATCAATCCTAGCGATAGTTTCTTCGAACTTGGGGGTGACTCTATCGGAGCGATGAGGCTTGTTTCTGAGGCAAGGGCACAGGGCCTGAACATCAACGTTGCTCAGATCTTCCAAAGCAAGTCGCTGTCCGAGCTGGCTTCTTCATTTGGTAACGAGAGAGAAGACAAACTGCTGAACCTGCTCAGCCGTATTCTCGGTATGCCAAAGAACGAAATCAAAGGCAGCGATAGCTTCTTCGAGTTGGGAGGAGACTCGATCGGTGCAATGCGTCTAGTCTCGGATGCTCGCGCTCAAGGCTTGAACATTTCCGTCGCCCAAGTCTTCCAAAGCAAGTCGCTGTCTGAACTTGCGTCCTCTGCTACAGAAGCAGCCTCATCGCAGCCTACAACCAATGTTGATGTGCCGTTCGCTGCCTTGGGTAAAGATGCTTCATTGTACAGCGCTGATCGTATGTGCTCGTATCTCGAAAATCCGGAGTGGAACATCGTGGACATCTATCCCACACGACCACTTCAGCAACTCGCCATTGAAGGAACCGTTGACCTTCCGCGTTACTCACTGCGCTATGAACTTCTCAAGTTCACTACACCCATAGACAGCAAGAAGCTCGCTCAAGCATGTCAGGAGCTCGTAGCCCGCAACGAAGTCCTGCGCACGGTCTTTGTCGTTGACGGCGACAAGACACTCGGTGTTGTGCTATCCTCTCTAGAGGTACCCTACAGCGAGATATCTGTTCCTGAAGGTGATGACATCAATACCTTTGCACAGAATAGTGTGCACGAGGACATCGAAGCACCTAAACCACATGGCTCGTCCTTTGTGGCATTCACACTCTTCACCTCGCCCTCGACTGGCGCGTCTACGCTTGCGTTCCGCATCTCGCACGCGCAATACGACGAAATATGCCTACCCATACTCTTCTCGCAACTCTCTGGCCTGTACGCTGGAACGGAAGTCCCAGAGACCGTGCCCTTCTCCAAACACGTAAACCACGTGGTCTTGGACAACTTACCGAAGGCGATACCTTACTGGCAGCAACTTCTCTCAGGCTCACAGATGACGGTGTTGAAACCGGAGATACCACTTACCCATCGCAAAGCAGCAGACATCTATCTCGAATTCGACATCTCCAATCGCCCAGCAAACATCACAATTGGCTCGCTGCCTACCGCTGCATGGGCGCTCGTCCTCTCCAAACGTCTCAGCCTCCGCGACGTCGTCTTCGGCGAAGTTGTGACAGGCAGGAACATTGGCGCCCCTTCTGCGGATCGCATCTTTGGACCAACGTGGCAGTACATTCCCTTCCGTGTACCCTTCAACTCCACCTGGACGTACCTCGATCTCCTGAACTTCGTGCAGAAGCAGCACATGGAGTCTGCTGCCTTCGAGGGTATGGGATTCACTGAAATCGTCGACAACTGCACAGCTTGGGATTCCAAGGCGGTGCAGTGGTTCGATACAGTGGTGCATCAGGCACCGCAGTGGGTGGAGGAGTTGCCGTTTGGCGAGACGGTCGAGGCGAAATTCGAGACGTTATATCCACATGCTGAGCCGTTGAGGGAGTGGAAATGTCAAGCGTTTGTTAAAGAGGGTGGTAAGAAGCTAGGCATCGAGATCGTAACGTTCGAGGAATGGATACCGGTTGCGGAAGAGGTGCTGAAGGAGGTTGGGGAGGCATTGGGGCGATTGATGGGTGGGAAGGCTGGGGAAAGAATTTTTGATGACGCGGGGGACGCAGGTGGTGCCGAGCCCAAGAAGCAAAGCTTGGAAGACTTTGAAGGTGTGATGTAACGTCGTCTGATTCTACTAGCGTATGTGGGTTGTTCTTGTCACTCTAACTTGTAGAGTCTCTTAGCGCTAGATTCGTCTCAAATGTTATCTTTTCTTGCCTGATGCATCGAATTCCAAGTGCCGTGTTTCAGTCAACCTTGCATCTCTACGGTTTTCCACACTCTTTTTCCATGGTCAGCTTGATCAAGTGAAGGAGCAGATCTTCGAAGATCTTCAGGGTCTGATCTAATCTGCGCTTTATGCTCAAGGCTCTGGAGGGTGTTGGTAGAACAGCTGTTGATGTAAGTTGTACAATCGTTAAGCTTATACCAACTAAATCTATTTGTCGTGACGTCTCAAGTCGTACTTCCATATTGTCGTGTTTATCTATGTTGTACCGAACCATATCGAATACCGCCTTGCTTTCCATAGTGCCTCGACTAGCATCTGCTCGAGCTTCGTAGGTGCTTGTATATACTACATGAGTGCGTATCTGTTCGTGCCGCATTGACAGATGACCATGAAAATGTCGTAGCGAAACATCACAGGTGCACAGTCCCTTCAGCAACGACGTTTGACCGGCTCGTGTAGCGTTACTCGTATCCCTTCGTTCGAGTCATGGTGCGACCCTAGTTCTGGATTTGACATATCAGTGTCACGAAGTAGGAAGTTGACGTCGGGACGGCGGAAAGTGCAGTATCGATCGAGACTCATTCCTTCCCGCCTTTTCCCTGCCCCGCTCAACGTCAGTCGAAACAGAATGATACAAGTACTCCGGCCGTTCGCGAGAAGTCTCTGTTCTTCATCTCACCTCTTCCTCGCATTATCATCAAGAATCGATAGCAGCTCGACAACACGCGCATTGCTCGCACATTGATATAACGCTATCGTCGGACACCCGGTCAACTTCACATACATACCGCAACAATGAAGATTTTCTCAGTAATCCTGTCTTTCGTACTCCTGGTTGCTGCCCTTCCCTCACGGGAATTACAAGAGTTCGGTGCCGTAGAAGGCAATCAGTTGTCGCCAGCTGTAGGTGGCCAGCCTGGCCAGATGTACTGCTTCAGTCAGATCATCACAGAACTTCGTAAGTTCCCATCACGTTCACGTCGTGCTCAATCCCCTGATAGCAAGCGTTTGCCATCCCAGTCGCCACGCGGTCTTCCTCGTGCCTTCCTCCTACCCACCTCCCTTCGACACAGCACACTGACTATCTCCAGGTGTCGATCTACAAACGATCCTCCATCAATACTGCAACCAGCAATTCCAGATCGACGCACAGTCTTGCCATGGATGCAAGCGACCTTTTGCGCTTCCGAGTTGCTACCCCGGATATGGGGCTTGGACCTCCGTTTTTGAGTGTGTCCAGGGCGGGAGGTATAATTTCAAGAGTCGGTGCGATGGGCGGTGTGAGTCAGGGAGATGTATCTAGGGTGACTCAAGGATGTGGTCTAAGAGTCGCGATGACGAGTGGTAGATATTGATGAAGTAGCAGGGTTGGTGAGAATGGAAGGGAGGATGTCTTGGTCGATTTCATTTGCCACAAATGTTACAGCGAGGCCACTGTATAGGAAGGCTAGATCTGGCATTTACGCGTTTCGAAGTTTCCTGGTACTCTCATTGGAGGTTGTGTGCCGGATGGAGAAGAAAAATGGAAGATGGAGGCTGGAGGCTGGAAGACGTGCGCCGCTTCACGTGCCCGCGCGTTATGCAGTTAGCGTGAAGACTAGCGCGACAATCCAACCATGGAATTGCCTACAAAGTACCCCACCATCCTCCCTTGCTTCTATCTCAGATCCACATTCGCGACTCCACCTCATCTTCAGTTCTCGGTTACAAAAGGTCAGAGATCGATTTACCGCCTTTTCGGTGTGCCTCAAACCTCGTTGGGCTCATCCAGGCTGCCACGAAAGTGCCTCGTGACACAACTTTGCTAAACTCTGATAAGGGCAAGACCACAGCTCTCACGAACGACGCTGAAGTTCCTTCCGTATGTGGATGCTGCGAGTACTAAGGCCAAGATGGCATTGTCATCCCCATATCTTCCGCTAGAAGTCCATCGTATCATCTCCCAGTACATTCACCGCTTCGATCTACCGAATTACCGACTCGCGAGCAAAGGTTTTGCAGCAATCGGTGCTGAGGAGCTATTTCGGACTATCACATTCCATTACAGCAGCGCCAGCCTAGCTAGAGTCACAGCAATAAGGGAGAGTGAACACCTTCAGAAGCAAGTCCAGGTCCTGACGTGGGACACCAACTTGTGGAAAATTCCGCAAGTCATGGATCTTCACGAGTGGGAGACGTATCTTCTATTGAAAGCGGAATACTTCCACCTCAAGTCTGCGGGCTGGACCTCTGAAGATACTCATGCGACCAAGCTCGCTCAGATTGTGGGCAGCCGGCAGCAATGGGAGCAATACCTCGACAACGTCCAGGACGAAAAACGTGCCAAATCTTACTGTGCCTCTCATGAATACCTCTTGGGCTTCGATAATGTGAAGAAACTCTGTATCGTCAATGGCGCGTTGGTTCCCGGTCACCGGGGTCTCCGGAAGGTGGGAAACAATGTCCTACTTGCTGAGGACAACCCAGCGACTCTGCTCAGAGGAGAGGGTCTTCATAGGAGTGGGGATCACGTATCCGCTTCCGCCAGGCCTAGCGTCCATGCGTTCCAGGTCATCCCAGAGCTATCTGGACTTGATTTAAAGAAGTTGAGGTTAGATGCTCTATGTTGGCGAGCATTCTGTCGTCCAATGAAATCGATTAGCGCACTCCAAAACTTGACCAGTCTTCGCCTACAGCTCACAGTACAGTCCGAGGGTGCGGATCCTGACACTGGACACGCTAGACAGGACATATGCGACGGCTTCCTCACAGAATATCTTACAAACCTCCCTCATCTCGAGTCCCTTCAGCTTGATCTGGAAGGTCGCATTTGTGGAGACGATAATGGTTACAGGGCGCCCTCGACTATTGACGACATCTTTCCTCCTGAACATACATGGCCAAAACTTCGGAAGTTGTCCCTGCGTTATCTCGATACGACCCCAGGGGCGTTACTGTCGCTCCTACGGAGGCACAGTTCAACGTTGAAGATTTTGAGACTTCATAGCATATGTCTCGAGATGAACCTATCTGACAATAACTTGTACTTGAACTGGCCCCAGGTGCTACAAGAAATCAGCGTTACGTTACACCTTGAACGAGCAACTTTATCAGGATGGCTGGGGTTCGATCAAGGAGGATACGAATGGAATCTCGGGGAAAAGAGGACTCTCGCCGTTGCGGCTGCGACTCATCTTGTTGCGGGCGGAGAATGTCCACTGCATGAGGGCAACGCTTATTTTGGACGATCAAATCGAAGTGGCGCTTAAGCCAACCGCCCTGTGGCACGAAGGCGTGGATTTGGGATACACATGATATTTTACTATGCTAATTTATGCTTGAGATAACAACACTTAAGAGCGGCATCTTGTTCTACCTTCGCAAACAGGACAAGCCTCCAACTCTAGTAGTTGTACTTGTAGCACAGCGTCTCCGCAGTGGTATCCAAAACATCCCTAATGCGGACAGTGCGCCTCATATCGTAGACGTTGATAGTGGTATCGAGCGTGAGCCTGTTGCCTGCCTTATCTGTGCCACTGATGGAGTTGACGCGACCACCGTCACGGTTTTGCCAGATGCGGAAGTTGCGGTCAACAAAGGTGTGGTGCAGCCAAAAGGTGGGGTCGGCGGGCGAACCAAAGGTATCCTGCATGACAGCACCAATGCCGTTATGTCCCCAAGCGTGGGGGCCTCCCTCAGCACATTCAGCCATGCCGTGGTAGTCACCGAAAGCGTTGCACTGGTCGACGTAGGCCTGGTTGCAGTTGGCAGTCTTGGAGCCGTCGTTGTTACGGGCGAGACAATGCAGCTGATTGCCTGAGCCGGGACCGACGTTGATGGCGAGGTTGGCAAATTGCTAGATGTTCATGTTAGCACATAGTTTGCAACAGAGGCGTTGGGAACACTTACGCCGTTCGTTACACAGTTGCCGCCAACATTGATGGATCCGAACCAACGCTCCGAGAAGATGGAGGACTGATCGAACCTTCCGGCATACCTGGTCTCGTCGAACCACGGTAGGGCGCCATTGAAGCCGCACTCGGTGCGCATCATATCCTCAAAGGTCCAGGTGTAGTATCTGTGCCACAGAAGGAACTTGTCGTTTCCGTGAACATTGGGCGTGAGCGTCTGGTGTAGCGCGACCAGATCCTCGTATCGGCTCTTAGACTGTGAGAATTGGCCGGAGGGGCCGCGGCTCATCAGGCACTTGATGCCGTTGATGAATGCCTGCCTTTCGTTGTCGCTGCACGAGTCCCATTCCTTGCGGACACGAATGTTGCCGCACGTGGCACGAGTGGAGAGAAGCGACTCGCCATTGTCGCGTTTCTGAGCATCGCCGATGGTGACGGAAGCGTTCCAAGCCTTGAACTTCTCTACGGCAACGTCGAAGGGTACGGGTGTGACGAGTTTAGGGGTTTCGGCGAAGATGTTCAGCGGGAGCGGGAGAACGATTTTGATGCCAGGGAGTTCTTGGGGGAGAGCGGCAACGCTAGCTACAACAGCCAAGCTGGCTGATAAAACGGAGGTACGCATATTAGGTATTAAAATATTAATGGAAAAGCGAGTGTACTGGTTGGCTACTCCGCGATGAATCCTGTGAGAAGGTTAGAGGGAGATAATTGCGACATGCGCCTTATATCTACCCAACCTCCCCCGGGAGGCACTACAGCAACGCTACAGCTTGGGACCCACGGTCTGCTGTTCGGCGAAGGCTCAATACGAATTGGCATATTCGGGCCAGCATACTTTCGGCTTAGAGCTGCAACCCTGTATTGGAAGGAAGCAAGCGTTGGCTCAGGGACAAATAAAAAGTGGACAGCTAAGCTATATTCGGTCGGTAGTTGATTGAATGGCGCCGAGCTTCCCTGTCAGGATAGTAGCTCTTCGTGTACCAGGGCGGTCGCTGTCAACACGAGGGGCCGTGTTTGTGGCTTGCTGACGGGCGCACAAAGAGCCTTGCCAATGCTAACTCAGCGCTAAAAAGTGCTTGACCATGAACTTGCCGGGTTTCCGGAATTGGCATTGGTGGTTTTGTGGATAAGGCGCTGGTAGCGCTTGTGAAGACTGGCTGAAGGCTCGTGATTTTCCACACTTGCAGCTATGAATAGATGGAAGATGCAGGGGGAGCATTGATGTCTCTCCGAAATTTCGCTAATACGATCTCACGACGCCATCTTCTAGTTGTAAGATGCAGGTCAGTGCTGGTCAGCATCGCCCTGCAATCAGCCATTTCTCGCACCATCGTCCGTCGTTCGGCCACGGCTTATTGGCGGCGCTGAGGCCGGTCAGGCGACGGCGTACGCAGCGTACGAGGAGGCTGCGTGGTGGAAAGGGGGATCTGCATCTTTCGCTTATTAGTCATGATAGCGTTGTTGAGGCTGTGCTATTATTGCACGTGACGCGCGGCTTCGTCGGCCCACGGTCACTTCGCGGTGCACCTCAGCTTCATCCAGACTGTCAGGTCCTTTGTCGCATCTTCAAACCCAGTCCCTCGGTTTATTGCAACCAACCTCAGCGACCATGATCGGTCCGCAAGCATCCGGGTCCCTTGAAAAGAAGTGGCCTCCCTCGAGAAAGTACGGCCAGTTACTTCGCATTTTCCCATGGACGAAGTAACGGTGACGGCATCACGACTACCCCACTCTCCGCATATCCGGCCTAAGGCAGAAAATTCTCTAATCATCTAGAATACATCCTACTACGCCGTAACGTAGAGCAATACGGTGCAACGTCGTCATCCTTCGTCAGATTTGTAGCTCCTCCTCGGTTCCACGATTCGGCCGGGGGACTTCGGCAAGTCGTAGTACGGGCAATTATGTCCCTCAAAACGTGCTTTCACATTTCCTTCGTATGGCTGACACGGACACGAGAGCCCGGCGTCAGAGTAGGTGGAACGACATTCCTTTTCTAGCGACTACATGTCGAGACATGATCAGTTTCTAAGATTTGATTTATTGCCTTCTACCCGCGCGCTTTAGCGGTGTGTAGATCTGTAGATCCCTACCAACACAGTCAGTCGATAGCGAACGAGATAGTTCGTGCGATCATCGTCGTAACGCCAAAACTCGGATCCTTCCCCGGAAAAGTGACAGAAATAGCATCGTCGCGTGCGATACATGACCCACTGCGAAGGTGACTAAACTCGAAGTCTAGCGCCCGTCGAACATTCTTTCGTTGACCGGATGGTTTTTCGCGAAGAGCAACACATTTACCACTGTCATCTGACTCGATTCCCAGAAAAGCCTCGTTTAAAAGAGGGGGAGAGTCGCACTTACTCGACCTAGATCGACACCCTGCAGCAGCAAGTACATGATCTTCCTTCTCCAGGCAGGCAACAGTAAACAAATCAAAACGTAACAGGTCTCATTGCAACATATAGGTTAAGAAAGCGGGATGATTGCAATTGTCTACGCCTCAATATATGATTTTAGCCCTTCGAATCGGTACTTCGCGCATTTTCAAACCGCCACTATGACTTTACCAACCACCCACATTTCACACTTCCTTACCACTTTCACCAGCGCCAACTCTCTCTAACTTCCCTTTCAGCATTATATATGAACCTTTTCCATGGAAATGGTAATCTCTCAGCCCTTCTGCAAAGCTCGCCTCATTGCCGCAGCCAAGATTTCCTCATGTCGCGCTGCTGACATCTTCCCGCAACGGATGTGCATCTCCGGCTCAAAAGCTGACTGACTGATTTTCTTCATCTTGTGCTCCGCTTGTAGCTTGCGAGGCATCTCCATCCGCTACTCCGGAGCCCATGCTGTCAGCCTGCGATTGCATCGATGGCGTCGGGCGAAATGATGCAGGGGTCATTGAGCCAGGCGTTGTCATGACACTCATCCTCGAGGTAGCAAGACTCATTCTCGAAGCCGCTTTTTCTGCGCGTCGCCTTTCACGCGCGGCTGCATCCTTCAGCTCTCTCGTTCTCGATAGCTCTTCATTTTGAACACCTCTTTCTCTTAGCTTCTGCTCCATCTTGTGGTAGTCCTCTGGTGGGAGTAAGCTTCAGTCGAGAAATCCGAGCTGTTGATCGCCTTACCTTTAGAGAATGGCGCAAGCCTCGTTAGATCAGTGACCAGCACCGGATCGGCAAAGACGAAGAGCCCCTCTTCAATGATGAATTTTCGACCCAAGAGCATGTCGAATGGGGCATTCTCGAGAACCAAGAAATCTGTCTGCCATGACTTGATCGAGTTCCTCGTCCATGGTACAGAAACGACCCCCATCGGCTGGAACATGTTTCCATCCGCGCCAGTGTAGAGCTTGCCTAGCTGTGTGAGTTCGAGCCGATCGTGCAGTCCTACACGATTGACAATCGCGGCCGATATCCAGTTATCTTCACTCCCAGTGTCAAACTTGGCACACACATTTGATTCCTCCTCGCTATGTTCCTGGTCTCGTAGGATTCGTGCGTAAAATTCAAATGGATTCGGTGTACTCTGGGTTGCACTTGATGAGGCGTTGATGCCCTCGGCAGCCCTTCTCAAATTGTCCAGGACGTCCTCGGAGAGACCATCTCCCGCGACAGCTCTGTCCGTGAACCTATTGCTGATGTGCACGGGCCCAGTCTGAACATCACCTGAGCTGAACATTGTACCTAGCTGCTGGATGATGGTCTCAACCTGCTTCTCAATCATATCTGTGCCCTGAGTCGTATCAATCACATTTTCGATGTGTATGGCTCCGTGCATTCTCGAACTTCGTTCGTTTCCATCCTTTCGTAAAAGTTCCTGCGTTATGACACTACTTTGTGCTTAGCCATGGAAGTAGTGATTGCTGAAGTCCAAATTCTTACTCCATGACGATATCCCTCAATATCTTGACGGAGCGTCTGTAGCTGCCCAGATGTTTTTCCAAGTCACCTGCCTCAGGCCATCGTATCGCTGTTGAAAGTGTTATCTTCTCCACATTACGCCGGATTATCCTCTCCACATTAGAGAGATGGAGTTCGCAAAGCTGTAGAGAGAGCGTGGCGCTTCGAGGGAGTCTAGAAGTTCCTGAGAGAGCTATCTGCCCAATCTCTTCCAAGATCTCCGAGTATATCTCGATTTCGAGCTTGACGGCCGCCGAGAGGTTGTTTTGGGATTTATCGTGATCGGACAAGAAGGTTGAGACCACACGGGCATGATTGACAATAGTAAGAGTTCCAGCAGCTAAACTTACCGCCTCCGCCATTTTCCTTGACGGTATTATATGAGAATAACTAGATGTAGTGAAACTGTAGGGCAATGAATGTTTTCTTATCAAGGCTGGAACGCGGGGGGTGAACCTCTTGTACTAGCATGATTCTGTGGCGTAGGTACCGAAAACATCTTCCTTAGTATGAACCAATTGTGCGACAGCGTAGCCGCTCCAGTCGGGTTGTGCAGCCAAAGTGACATCATGGCTCACCATTTGCGCGCAGCTGAGTAGATTGGCGAGCGGAGGACTAATCATAACCTCACACTTATGCATACTTGCATGTTAGCGCCTACGGAGGCCCTCCTCATCTAAAGTTCACGTCTCAGCTCCAGCCATCTGATATGTCCTGTGGCACAACACATTTTTACTGTTAAGCAGCCTTGTCACCGAAACAACTTTCTAGTGACCTGCGTGAGTCGCTACAATGAGCTTGCCCGTGTCTACATCTAGCAGCGCTCAGCAACCCAAGGAAGATGTTACAACTACCTCTTTGACCGAAAAAGCACGCGATGGATACCCCTCCTTAGCATGGCTGATGCATCTGTACCCGGACAATGCCATATTTCGTCGATTCGGAGAGCTGAACATGCTGCATCTGCTACGCCTACAAGCAGAACTGCAAGATATGGAAAATGAACTGCAGAAGATAAGAGAGGAAGACACAATGTCGGATGACCTCATCCGCATGTGCCACGCAAAAGACTTCCGTGCCATGCGCGACAATGAAGAAGATTCAGAGCAATACGAGCTGCTCATCAGTATTGGAAAGAAACTCCAGGAATACAGTACGGCTCCTTTCTACTCTTTTTTTCATTCGAAATCTGACACCCCGGGCGTAGATGCGGCATTAGCATTGTCATTACAATCGAAGGGAGCAGATCAGCCGACAAAGAGAGAGCTGCGCAATCTTCAGGAATGGCTATCGAGACCCAAAGGTGGAAATGGCTTTCTCGCGGGCGAGGAAGCAAGAGTATGGGAAGGCAGGGATACTTCTGAATATGTCACTCTGTTTCCACGGGATCTTGAAGATGACGCCTTCACCTCTTTTTTGGGCGGTCGCTTGCTGGATATATATCATGCCGTCTTGGGTCACAGACAGCGTAGTGTATGCATACAACACTAACCTACGCTACTTTTGCTAACGAGAAGTTAAGAAATACGGAACCGACTCTCCAGACGTCGACATACGCAAATACTCCGGACGACGGATTAGGAAAGCTAGCAATATCGCCGTTGCCCTCATGTCCTCCATCCTACCTACTTTGGCTATCCTTGTGCTCTATTTCGTGAGGCGCATGATTGTGAGGATAGGACTTGTCATCCTATTCACTGCAGTCTTTTCTATTGCACTCGCAGTCTTCACAGCTGCCCGCAAGGTAGAGATCTTCTCTGCGACAGCAGCGTATGTATACCTCTTCCCAGATGGAAGTACTGAGCTGATATCTTTGATTAGGTTCGCCGCGGTCGAGGTCGTTTACATTGGAGGTACTACTAATAGTACTTCATAGCATTCAAGACAATACATATTAGGAAACAGGTTCAAGTCGATAGATTACCTACTAATAACAATATATTTTCACATAACGGTTCCCAGATTTAGTGCACCATCCTACAGGGCGTTCCCACCACAAATTGCATCCATGTTCTTTGAAGAGAAAACCAGAGGTGGTCTAGACCATCTACACCGTTTAGTTGTATTAAAGGATACAAAGATACGACTTGGCGTGGTACCATACCATAGGTAAGAAATAAAGAGCACAAACCTTACTTCCAGAAACGTAAGATGAGTACAACATAGCGTAATGTCCCTTAATAGCAGCAGTAGATAGGTAGTAGAACTATACCGAAGACCGAAACACAATGCAACTATTCCGACATGGCGCGTCAAAATCCAAATCTTTGGGAAATTGTGCTAACAAGAGCCATCTTCAAAGTGAACATGAGAACAACGTGCATTAAATCAGTACGCTTCCCGCCAGCCCGTGGCAAGGAAAGCTGAAGTGAGGTATTCGTGAAAAAGTCGTCATCCTCCACCATCCCGTCTTATGGGCCAAATATTGCCTTGGTTTCCATATATACATCCCGTATACACATCCAAAATGCTCCCAGATCCACCAACGTCATATACACTTCTCCTTATCCTCTCCTGTGTGCAGCCTTCCGATACATAGCGATGTCCCATCCTATGAGACACCAGCATTACTCGTGCTCACCGACCTCTTCCAGCCAGCCCAGCCCCATCCGCCCGCACCGCCCGAAGCTTCTCTCGGCACCAGACTCGGAGTCTGGCCAGGCGACGTAGGGACCGGGCTCTGCCCACTGACCACCCTCTTCATACCCTCATAATATTTGCTCTTCAGTTCTTCCAACTCCTGCTTTGCTACCGCCTCTGCCGTTTTCGCGTTGACGAGTTCGAGGAGCAGCGCTTCGTTATCCGCGGGGGTGTGGTTCTCAGTCGCTAGCACAGACTGTGTGGCGAGCGAAGAGGAGCGCTTCGAAAAGGTGGATGTCTGTGGTGGTGGATGATGGGTAGACTTCTGGCTGGGCGTACGACCAAGTCTTAGTTCCCTCAAGCCGCCAGAAACACTGTCCGATGTAGTCGAGCGGGATAAGGTGGGAGGCGTGTCGGGTATGAAGGCATCCATGGAGGCCCACGATGTGCCTGTTGAGGCCTTTCGCGCGTTTTGGCGAAGTTCTTGTATCGTCTTTTCCTGTTTCTGGTTCTGATTGTAGGATTCTTGGAGGCGCTGTCGGGTATCTTTCAGCGCATCGCGGGCGATCTGAAGCTCAGTGTCGCGGTCATTGAGGTCGCGGGCTAGCGTCTGTGCGCGAATTGTCTCGGAGTTCAGTTGCTCTTTTGTGCGTGACAGGTTGTCGCGTAGTATTTCTTTGGTCTCGAACATAGAGGACGCGCGTTGATGTGTTTGCGTTGATGGGAAGTGCTTCTCTAGCGTCTCCACGATGTCTACGCCTTCTTCAGGCGGCGCACTCATAGGTCTCTCATCGGATGATGCAACCACATTCGCAGCTGTGATGGTGCTCCTACGTCGCGATTCTCGCGGCGAGGGAGCTGCAAGCGTAGACGTCCTCTTGCGGAGTTTGTCGACTACTGTCCGCACAACACGATACTCCTCTTTCCGGTCTTCGCGCTGCTTCTGCAATGCAGCTTCCAGCTCGCTGTTCTGCCGTTGCAGCTGGCTCACTGACATGAGAAGCTGCTCAATCTGGTAGTGCAAATCTCGGTCCTTCGCAGAGTGGCCCATTGCAACGGATCCATGACCTGACTTTAGCGACATCACATCCGCACTCGAGCCGCGAGAGACGTCTGTCAATGCGGTGCTCTGAGTCGCTGCCGAAGCGTCCGACTCAGCAGTCGAGTTTAGCGTCGATGCAAGGCTCTGTTTCGACGCGGATCGTCTCAGAAAGCTAACAGGTCGTGATGGCGCAGACAGACCCGGGCTAAGAGACACTGATTTCGTCATAGAATTGGAGGGACCCCATAGTCGGCCAAGGAAAGACGTCGCAGACTTCTGGATCTGCTGCTTAGACGAGTCTTTTTCCTGGGCCTCTTTGTATTGTTGTTCCAACCCTTGCAGCTTCTCGCGCGTAACGTCATTCGTAAAACCGACAAAATCATTTACCAGTTCGTCGGCAGATCCCGCATTCCGTCCATATGGATCCCAGAGCTGGCGGCCTAACAGTAATTGCATCACATCCTCAAACTCGCTTAGCGATAACAGCTTCTGTTCATTCCTCTTCATGAGCGCGAGTGCAACGCGCATGATAGTCTCGGAAGCGCCTTCCGCGAATAAAACGTCGTAGATACGGAAGAGCATGGGTAGCGGGCATGTGACGGCAAAGAATGAAAGGAACCATTGCGACAGGTATGCGGACTCGACTCCCAGCGTATCAAGGTGTCGCGCCAGCTGTGGCATGTGTTGGTCGAGAAGTTTCTGGAACTGAAAGATGCGCAGGTGCAGGCCCGAGAGGTCAGGGAGGAAACATGAGCGGAGGTCATAGTCTTCCATGAGCCTGTAAATTGTTAGCATTGCTCAAGTGTGTCTGTATCTCGACACGTACCTAACGAGCACACAGAAGGCCTCTTTGTCGCCCATCTGCATCAGCAGTGGACCAACGAGGAACCCCAGGCCCTGACAATAGCCGATTTTCTGGTCATAAAGGCTGAAGCACTTCAGCACGCGGCCCAGCATCTTCTGTCCCTCGCCTTCAGAGTCCTTGAACATCTCGACACCCGGAAAACTTCTGCCGAGGTCCTTATTGATGATGTTCTCGTATGGGCTTGATTCTCCACACAAGGTATCATATTGGTCCTCTATGAGCTTGTCCCTCGCGCCCGAAGCGCTCTGCCACACAACGCCGCGCAAAGGCGCTGGTATCCCTCCTCGAATCTTGTTAAGGCAAAGAGTTGGTAGTCGTTGGATTGTTTGGGGGTAGTCTCGCACGAGGGCGGCCCAGAACTCGAGCTCGGTCATGGGCGGTGGGGAGGGGAGTTGTGAGTAGCGCACAATCGAGGTCTCATGCTGCACGAGGCGTTTGAGCTGGTTGAACGAGGGCGGTCGGGACTGGCTGCGGATGCGGGAGACCTTCATGCCAGCTTTGGAGTCTGATAGTAGGGCGTTGTTCTCTTGTTCTAATCGTGCAAGAAGGAGTGTCATAGCCTGGTTATGTTAGCGGTGCACTGTGCTTGACCATTTCGAATCCTACCTCTTCTTCGCCCTCTGGCTCTTGCTCTTCCTTCTTCTCCAATTCCGCCCAATCAACTTGCACACTATTGCCTGACCCACTGCTGCGCCTTCTCGACCTCGACCTAGTGAGGGATTCTGGGGTTTCGGGAGCGTCGGTGTCGTGTACTGATACGGTCGGGCTGTCTGCAGTAGGTGTATCGGTGCTCGCTTGGCTGCTGCGTCGTCCGAAAGCTTTGTGTATCTCAGAAGAGTCCGGCCTCGAGGATAGCCTGCCCTCTTCCACTATAATCTCTGGCCGTAATATAGATTCCCTCGCGCCTTCCTCACCATCCTTTATGCTTCCTCCATCTGTCTCTGAAAGCGGCACGGTAACCATGGAGTCTGTCGGCAATGGAGAGCTATCAATGTGTGTCCTAGGTGACCGTGAGACTAGGTCTCCGATGTTTGCGACCTCCGTCTCCTGCTCGACCTTTACATGCGTTTTCTCGTCCGACATTTTGCGTTCTAGCGGGCGAGCATATGCGGATCCTCGGAGAGGAAGGGACGTCGATGAGCAGCAATGACGATGCTCATATGAGATTGTGCCCCCGCGTGCCTTGTACCGAAGAACTCGCGGTTTCGGCGCTCGGTCGTTGGTCGAAGGTTGAAGTGGCGCTGGCGTAGTTGGTGTTTCAAGAGTGGAATCGAGACTGTTATACGGCGGGGATTAGATCCTTCGAAGCGCACAGCCTGAGGCTTCGCTTTATTCACTCGGAGCTGATATAAGAATAATGAGCGACAAGGCGAAAGCACACCGCGAAAAGAGCGAGGCTGCAACGGGGAGGCAGCTCTGTGCGTATCCGACTCGAAAGGAGCATCAGGAGGCCCAGGACTAGCTTATCGCGAAATAGCCAGGCCAGACAGGGTCCACTCGCCCGCCTTGGCTCAATTACGGGGGGACCAATTGCTGCTCCGAGGCCATATATCGCGACACCGCCGCATCGCATCTTGCCTCGCCATTCATGTGTTGGAGGGGAAGTGTGGCAAGCTCGTGGTGCGCACGCTGAATTTTGCGAAAAACGGCGCGTAATGCACCTGTGCGTGGCATGCATGGCAAACATCGAGCACGAGGGACACGCGACGTAAACATGCCCAAACGCGCCAAAAACGGGTGTGGCGCGACATTCACTTGCCTCGCGTGAACAGGACGACGACACTTTGATCACTCGCATAAGAAGTTGTTGGATTGAAGCATATCAGAATTCATGGTCGGCGCATGAAAGGAAAAGGTGAACCCCCTCGAGTCATGCTACAACGCTCCTTCCCGGCTCCCCAACTCAAGCAGAGGATTTTCAAAGCGCCTGCGCCCTAGTTGAGCTATCGCTGGTTTCTGTGAAAGTACTTCTCAAGCAGCATACCTTATAGGAAGGACAACACCTTTGAGAAGTTAAAAATTTAGTTGATCGCATCGCAGTTAGGCTACCAAGGTGATTTGGCATGTGTGTACATGCCTTATCAAAGAATCACGCTCTGAGCAATTAGGACATAATCCCCATTAGGACCTATCTATGAATCCTCTACGATACACTGTCTCGCTAACGTCAACCGAGCCAATCCTCCGTATCCCTATCCTCGCCTTCCCATCGCCGCATTGTGACTCAATCAACTATCATACGAACAGTACATCCTGTCATCTAACAACGGCGTCTCCTCATCCAGCATCTTAACTTTGCGTTTCAACATCTTGATCCTCCTTCCATGGATCTCGTTCTGGCCGAACAAGGATTTAGCTACTATAAACATGGCACTGAACATGACTATGTTGACTAGTATGACTATGACTAACAAGCATATCTCGAGGTAACTGATTTGGATCTGCGGGGCTGAGGTGCTCCCTAGAGCGGAGAGAATTACACTGCTCATTGTTGATGATTGAAAGTCTTTAGGTTGGTAGTGCTCGGGTTCTGTTGAGACGAGTGTGCTGTGGGGAAAGATCAAACTTTGCTAATTCACCTTTACCTCGACTTTGTGTGTGGTGACACTGTGCAAAGGTTTGCTGAGTTTAGCTCGACGACATGTTTACACAGTGGTGCGCGACTGAACTACACAATTTCCTCCACGGCAGCCAAGTATTGGTACTGGAGTGTATGAGCCACGGCATTGCAAATCATACCCTCACCCCACGCTGCACCACGAGCAATGCTTGTTTGTTGAGGAGAATTGTTCCGACACACCCGCCCATTATAATCCGAGGTTGAATCACGCAGTACCGCTTGCAGGTTTCTGAGCGGACGGAACTGCTTGTGATCGACAAGATGAGCCATGAATCCAAGAGATCAACGGGTCGATCTCTGCAGATATATCCACCATATTCGAGACACAATGACCTCGTGAAGCGCCACCAGAGTAGCACAGCACGACCCATCACTATGGCGACCAAGACATGTCTTACCAGTGCAAGCGAGAAGCTTGAAACACAACCTACATGTACCATGCGGTGTGTGTCTGACAACGTGCGTTGTGGAACATCGTACGACGTATTGAGTCGGGAAACAAGACAAACCTTGATTGCACAAGAAAACGGTAATAATGACAAGCGATTGCATGATGCACGAGACAAGCATGTCGTGACTTGACATGGAATTAGATTGTTAGACATTCATTTCATGCTGGGTCTTGAAAAGGGAGCGGGTGCGGCTGGGTTGACTTGAAGTAAATAAACTAAACTCGGTATACGAAACGATTACTTGCCTTTATATTATAGCATACTGAAAACACGAACGCTGCGCGAAACCCAAAACATGCAAAGAAAGACAGCACTTAGCCTCGCAAGATACTGAATCATTACTCAAAGCTCCTCATCGCCATCATCGTAGTTCTCGTCAAGTTGGACTCGACGAGCGGCATGGATCGAAGTGCGTTGCTCGATAGTGCTGGAGACAAGAGACTGCGCGACCGCTGTGGTCTCCGTTTGGCTCTGGGGCTGCACGAGGGTAGTCTCCTCACTGGTGATCTCCTTAACCGTGGTCTCTACTGTGACCTTCTCCTCCACGATTTGCTGGACTTCTTCGATGTGCGCCTTTTGGACGACATTCTGCTGCTCAGCGTAAGCAACCGCCTCGTCAACAATTTGACCTACAATTTGCTCTACCCCCTGTGCAACTTCAGGGTCGACTGGAGATTCCTCGCCTGTACGAGGGCTGGGCGAGCGGCTTCGAGACTGCCTCGAATCTGTGGGAATTTCAGGGGATAGGCTATGCGGGGGCCCATGGCGTATCTCATTCTGATCATATGCACCCGCCAGCTCAAGCAGCTCTTCATCGAGCTCATTGAGTGCCGGTTGATGGGCCATAGGCACCACTGGTTCGCCCCTGGGCTCATCATCATCGTCAGAATCAGGCTCAATGATGATGGCTTTCGACTTCCTCTTCGTCGTCCCCTTCTTGGTTGGCGTCTTCTTGGTCGGAGTCTTCTTGGGCGCAGCCTTCTTCGCGGCGTTCGCGCCCTTCTTCTTAGGCGATTTCTTTACGACGTCGTTGGCGTTGTTTTCGTTCTCGTTCTCAACACCAGCGTGCTCCTCGTCTTCTTGGGCGGCCGAATCATTCTGCTCATCCCACTCCTTCTCGAGAGCCTTGCTCGATGGGCCGAATGCCGTCTCCATTGCTTTCGAAGCGCGAATCGCCTTGCCTCCTCGCGAATTGTCATTCTTGAAACGAGTGGACTCCGGGGCCTTACCTTGATCGTATACAGACTTGTAAGTCTTATACTCGTAGCTGACGCTCTCCACGGTACGGCCATCAGACAGGCCTGCGAAGCTGAAGCCAGTGGAAAACGCGAAATCTTGGTTCATGAAGCGCTCGTTGTGGCGCTCGGCCAGCTCCCAAATCGACGCATCGGGGAACTCTTGGAGAAGCGATGCCAGATACTCACGCTCTACACGTGTCCAGGGTGCGTCTACAGTGATTCGGTCGATAGCCTGCGCACGCCTATCGTTCAAACACTTGACAGCCTGCATGCTGTTCCAGTCCTTCGGCTTGCCCCCATCGTAGGCGTAGACAGTAGGAGTTCGCTTGGGAGTAGGGTCCTTCGAGCTCTTTGGTCGCATGTCAATGAGCTGAATGAACAGCAATTCCTCTTGATCGAGGCTCTCGGGTAGATTGTCAGCATCTTCAGGCTCAATGGGTCCAAAATACTTGACATAGCGGGAACCGCGCTTGAATCGGTACTTGCGATCCTCCCACATCGGCGGGTTGGTCGCACCGTTGCTTCCACGGGCGGATGGCTGGTCCGGATGAGGACGGGCACACCCAGGCAATGGCTTGATGCCCCAGAATTGGTTATTCTGTGGCACTTCCACAGTGGGCTTCCATGGTAAGAATGCATCCTTGACTGGAGGATTCTTCGTCTTCTTCGCTGCCTTGTTAGGGGTGCCCTCGTTCCCCTCGACACCGGCATCAGCGTTAGTCTTCTCTTCTGGTTTAGCAGCCTCAATTGGCGCAACAATGTTAGAAGAATCGATTTCCGGAGTAGTGGCGGCCAGCGCAACTTGTGTGGGCATGCTCACGTCAGCGCTGTCCGTTACCTTTTGCTTCTTGGCAGCTGCCTCCTCAACAAGAGGCGAACTAGCATGGCGCTTGGACATGGTTGTGGTAATTTAAGATTGAGGTGTGGATTGACGAATATAATTGTCAAGGTTTCTCGTAGGCGGTTGATAGTAGATGGTGGATGCGGGTTGTATGATTTAGAAGGTTCTTGAGAGGACGACCAGCGATGGATATTTAAGAAGAAGAGACGACGTTCCATTCTGGGCGTGGTGTGAAAGAAATTCGAGAAGAAGGGGACAGTGCTTTGTCGATTTCAATCTACAATGTTGGAATGATAAAGTTCGTTTGAAGTGAAGGGATATTCTGTAACAGCAACAAAGCCGGGAAAATAAGAGGTTGTATAAAATATACGCACAATGTCACAAAGGTATAAAGAATTAAATGAATGACAATGGTCGTTCCAGGATGGCTAGCACGGTTGTACAAAACGTGCCTTTGCCATACCCGTGTGACAATGGTTACCATGGTATCCGCGAGTTGACAAGACTGAGATGCTCCATGGCATCGGATCGGATGGAACGGTTGAAGTGACGTTGCACAGCATATGCTTCCGCTTAACGGTTGACCGTCATTTCACCTGAAGTGGGGTACGCGAAAACTGGCGTGCAGATCAAAGTGACAGAAGGCTTGGGAGACGGCTCAAAAGATAAACAATGTGTACGTGTTTAGATTCATTGATGCAAGCCGCTGGGCAAAGCTTGTAGTTGGAGAAGAATTGGATTGGGATGGGAGAGAGGTAAGGCTTAGGGTCATTAGAGGCGCCTCTACGCCCTGTTTACGAGTCAGCGTTCTAGATACATAGTCGGCTTCACCGATGAGAAGGTGCTAGTGCGGGCTTGGCGCGCTCAGCTACCTAGGTAACTCGTCCACTCTTTGACTGACGACATTGTTCACACTCTTGTGCATGCTAGTGCATCTATTTTTCCGCCCCGCCACGTTAACATTGCTGTTGTACACGCCTATAGCTAGTGGGATGCCTTACCCCGACTCTAATGCAGCCCTATGGGACGACACTGCACCGAGCTTACTGACCGCAGCTGTCATACTTCGAGCCAAGCAGCTTTCAATAACAATCAGCACGTATGAAACTGCTAAGCACGATCCCCGACTGCGCTTTCGTGGTGTCTTAGCGCTGACCTCTTTCGCCCAACGAGCCAACAGCAATACTATGAAGGCTGCTGATTGCTTATACGTGATGGGGCAGCTCTTCGTTGCTTATTTTATACAATGCACATTTGGAAACCTCAGTCTCTGCATAACTTCGCCTCAATAATATGGGCTGAGCTGGATATCTCTGAATCGTCACAGAACGCCACAAGTTGCAAGGATGCCAATTTCCAGCGGTCTGTTTTTGCACGACCACAGGCATTGGCGCTTGGCAAAAAATGACAGGAGATCCGATGTAGCTATCTATCATCATAAGGCTGTAGGCTAGAGCTGAGTACAAAATGCAGCTTGGTCCCTCCTACAGCCAGACTTGTATGCAAACACTTCGCCTGTGTTGAAGCTTGGTCATTATATAATCTTTCCCGTTGATCCCGTCGTTGGCTGAGGAATAATGTTCTTTTCAAATATGTTTTCTTTTGTCGTAGTATGGCTTTCCCTCGCCGCAGTTTCGCTTGCAAGCTCATGCCACTTCAAGCTTGAGCTCAGCTGGGGAAAAGGTTCACCAGATGGATACGAACGAGACATGATTTTCATCAATGGCCAGTACCCAGGGCCTCTACTCGAGATACAGCAAGACGATTGGGTCGAGATTGAGGTGGTCAACCATCTTCCTTTCAACACTAGTATCCATTATCATGGTATGCCCCGCTCTCACATTAAACTTACTACACCACAAACTAATCGTCAAAGGTATTCATCAGACCAACACACCATGGGCTGACGGCGTCCCTGGCCTATCGCAGCGCCCCATTCAGCCTGGAGCCAGCTTCAAGTATAAGTGGTATGCCGACCAATATGGAAGCTACTTCTACCATGCTCATAGCCGTGGTCAAATCGACGATGGCGCTTACGGTCCCATTTATATCAAGCCCAAAGCTGGAGCTGAGAAGCCTTTCCACCTGATCAACCCTGCCGAGGTTGATATGCTCGCAGAGGCTGAAGCTAACGTCGCGCCCTTGATACTGTCCGACTGGCGTCACCGCACCTCTGATGAGACTTGGCGTGACCAGCTGGCTTCTGGCCTTGAGAGTGCTATCTGCATGGACTCCTTGCTTGTTAATGGCAAGGGCTCTGTTGATTGCTGGTCACGCGAAGAGATTGATGCTTTCACCAACCCGGGTATCGCACCACTCTTGAAGGCCAATGGCCTCAAATTTACCAATAAGGGGTATGCTGAACGTATTGCCTCTCTCCCACACTCGTAACTGATGATGGCAGATGCCTACCACCTAAGATGTTCCAGATCTTACTTGGCAATAGCACGACTATCAATCCGGGTGCTCTACCTCCGGGGGTTTTCGAAATATGCTCACCTACGCAAGGTCCGCGCGAGGTAATCAAAGCACCACACGACAAGAAGTGGCTGGCACTTGATATCATGTCAACGGCCGGGATTGACACATTCGCTTTCAGCATTGATGAACACCCGCTATGGGTGTACGCAGTCGATTCCCATTACATCGAGCCTCTCAAAGTTGACGTGCTTACGGTTGCTAACGGTGATCGCTATTCGGTCTTCATCGAGCTCAATAAAGCAGTCGGGAATTATGGTATACGCGTCGCATCTCTATCTCTCATTCAGCTTATCGACACTACTGCTATATTCTCCTACGACGGAGACTATGGCCACAGCTATGGTCCCTACAAAAATAACACCAACGTGGACGTCGTCACATCAAAACCTTACGCCAACCAAGCGGGCCAACCCACTTCCGAAGATGTTGTCGTTTTCAATCAAGCAAAGATTGTTTCTTTTCCCCCACAGTACCCCACCATCGCCCCCGAAATTGCTCAAACATTCTTCATGACTATGGGAAATGTCGGCAACTCCTACACTTGGGCATTGAACAGTACACCGTTCAACCACCCTGCACTCGACGACAGCAACCCACCATTGCTCTACCAGACACCAAACGCCCATAACCCGGGCGGTAACATCACCATCGCGACAAAGAACAATACGTGGGTTGACCTGATCTTCCTTGTCCCCGGGGCCAACCAACCCCCACACCCAATCCACAAGCACTCCAATCGCGCATTCATAATCGGCAGTGGCATAGGTCGTTTTAACTGGACTTCTGTTGCTGAGGCTGCAAAGGTGGTTCCGCAGAACTTCAACTTCGTCACTCCGCCATATAGAGACGGGTTCGTCACGCCGCCTTCCGCTGTGGAACCTATGTGGTTAGCAGTGAGGTATCACGTTGTCAATCCAGGCGCATTCATGCTTCATTGTCATATTCAGAGTCATTTGAATGGCGGTATGGCGATGGTTTTGTTGGATGGGGTGGACGAGTGGCCTGAGGTACCCGAGGACTGTAAGAACTAATGACGAGGCAGAGGTTGAGTAAATAGTAATATCTAATGACGAACATAGCCTAGATAATGAATATTACTCTATAGTATTCTCATATGCCGTCGCGGCCATTGCACCGTGCCTGCGCAATGTCTCTCATGGCCTTCAAGCGATCCTGGAGATGCTTGACTGTCTCAGGTATCATCACACTACAGAAAGCCGTAGTTGATCTTGCGCACTTGATCGATGATCTTCCGCTGCGCTAGTTCGTTGTATGTCATGAATAAACAGCTGGTGTGTTTCACGGACTGGCATATGCCCGGGAAATGCTGGTGCTCGCGGAAAGGTCTGCTGCATCGTTACGGCCATGTTATGCCTCTATGCTTTGATGGCGCTATGAGCATGCGTCGCATCTTGTATCGTGGCTTCGATTTCTGTTTGGTTAGGCTCGCTGTGTCATCCCATGTCACGTCATGTTTCGGTACAGCCTTCCGCCGAACGCTCACAACAACCTCTATTCCTCCGACTGCCCAGTGTCTGAGCCCCGCTATCGTTTGCGCATCAATTGCCGATGAGATAGTATGGTAGTAAGCCTCTTGCTATTAGTTTCTTTCGAGTTTGAGTCGAATGCAACGTAGGCGCCTTTCAAACCAGTTGCTATCCGGGTGTTTGAAGCGAACAGAACGTAGCATCACCAGCAAAGGCATCGACACTTCCTTGACACTTAACCTCGCACGCGGACCGTAACCCCTCGTTGTTCAGGCGGCTATGGTGTTGTGCACCACTCGTCGGGTGCCAACTTCCGACATTTTCCTGCCACCTCGGTCTAGCCGGGCGAAAACGGCCATACCAAGACCAACTGTGTCGTGGAGCACCGTAATCGTCATGATAAAGACCCCACAGATCGCATCTTTTCGGCGAGTTGTACCCGCTCGTAAAACCTTCGTTCACATCATAGAGCCGTATTACAAATAAGATATTGTTGTCGCGTGCCTACAAGATGCCAACACCGCCCTTCTCCCAAGACCGTCGAGACTGGTTGAGCGAGATTTCTGGCCTGTTTTCGCAGCGAAAGAACAAAGCCACGGCTTCAGCAAGCACAAAGAGTCTACTGCTAATCGAAAGCGCGCGATCCTCCGAAAGTCTGCGGTCGGTTTCTATAAGAGATGACGCCTCCGCAAAAAGTCAAGCGATGGCTTACGGGCCAGAACGGACTCGATAAGCTGAGAACGGAGGAGGTAGATTGTCCGGCGCCGGGAGAGAATGAAGTGCTCGTAGAGGTTCACGCTGTGAGTTTGAATTATAGGGATACCGAAGGTACGTAAACATCCTTATGACCACATTATTGAGGGAGTGGCATGAGGGATTAGGAAAATGACGCTGATCAGGTGCAGTTTGCATGGGCCTTTATAACCACCATAAGTCTGTTGAGCAACCACCCGCCATCGTGCCATGCAGCGACATGTGTGGCATCGTCGTCGCGGTGGGTCCAACCTCCAACAGTTCTTCCGATCCGTACAAGAACCCAGCATTCCGTCTTCAAACCGGCGATCGCGTAATTAGCACCTTCGCGCCCTCTCATCTTACAGGCCAAATCCAAGCCAAAGATCTTGGAAGTGGTCTTGGTGGCCCTGCCCCTGGTGTACTGACACAATATCGCGTCTTCCCCACTTACGGCGTTGTGAGGATTCCCGAATACCTGAGCGACGCGGAAGCATCGTGCCTACCAATCGCAGCCATGACAGCCTGGATGAGCTTGAACTGTATGCGACCTAATGGCGAGATCGTTGGACAAGGCGAGACAATTGTATGTCAAGGTACCGGGGGCGTCAGTATCTCTGCTGCCCAAATAGCTGCTGCAGCGGGTGCAGACGTCATTGTCACTTCATCCTCGGACGAAAAGCTCCAGCGCGCAAACAAACTGGGCGCAAAAGAAACAATCAACTACCGCAGTAAGCCAGATTGGGACAACATTGTGCTCAGCGCAACCAATGGTGCTGGCGCAGACATCGTCATCGAAGTGGGCGGTGCTGCGACACTCCGCAAGTCCTTTGAGTGTGTGCGTTTCGGCGGCCTCATCTCATGTATCGGCTATCTTGGCGGCAAGCAAGACGAAGCCGGTGATAGGACGAACACGAATCTATTGTGCTTGAAGAGGAATGTGACGCTGAAGGGGATCCTCAATGGCCCGAGAGATGCGCTTGAGAGAATGCTAAGATTCTATGAAGAGAAGAAGATCAAGCCGGTGGTAGATAGAGAGTTCAAGTTCGAAGAGGCAGATGAGGCCCTGAAGTATCTGTTTAGTGGAGGGCATTTTGGCAAGGTTGTTATTAGGGTCAAAGCCTGAGTAGCGAAGGTTTCACATGAAGATGTCACCTCCTAATGGCTACTGACTACACCAAGCAGACCGTGTGTTTCACTACAGCGGTTAATGACAATGCAGAGCTAATACCTAGGTCGAGCCGCTAGGCGAAGATGCTGCAGGGCATACCTTCCCTCCGTGCATTCGCTTTCTTCTCTACATTCCCAACATATTTCAGCTTGTTTGCAAAATAGTTATATAAGGTAGGGGCCGAAAAAACCGTGGTGTCAAGTTCTTACAGGGGGTGTGCTGTTTGATTTGACCGTAGATTTTCGCGATCGGAGGCTGTGTCTCATCTGTCATGGTCTATTTCCGGCAGGGCGCCACCATGCAGGCGATCTGGACCGTTGATCGTTTATTTGCCAAAATCTGGGGGCCGAAACACGAGGCTGATAAAAACTCATTTCAGCCCACAATAGCTGAAATGTTGGTGCAAAGTCTTTTTATTGAAGGCGCCACGTCGCTGCTGACACCAAGATGTCGCATTCGTTTACGACCCCTATGCGAAGGCGCGACGACGACTTGGAATGGATTGCGCTTCCGGAAATTGACACATGGACCGAATTCGACGCAATAGCACGGGGCCAGCAAAGTGAAAGCCTCGATGAATCAGACACGCTTTTGTCCAGATCCACCAGGCCCCCCATTGAGAATCGCAATCCCAGCTCACATCCTACAACGCCTTTCCAAGAGAACGCAGAGAATGAAAGCGCAACCAATATCGCGGAAGATCACATTGATCGTATATCATCATCGGATAATCGGCGTTTGTCTGAAGGGCGTGTTCTGTTACCGGCCGACCGAGATTCATCGTCATCACGTACGGTGAAAAGTCGATCTAGTAATATTCCGGAAAATGCGCTTACAACATGGCTACCGTATACACTCAGGCCTTCCTTCTTAGGGCCCTTGACTATACTTTCGCTACTTCTAGCGATCGTCCTAGTCGTATTGTGCTGGTACTCTGTCCGAAATAAGGGACTAGGAAGAGACGATGGTTCTACTGGTCTTCTTTTTGGATGGAGATACGTTCCTACGATCATCGCAGTTTTCTTCGTTCAGGCTATGGTCATGATCTTGGAAGACGTCAAAAGAACAGAGCCTTTCGCCCGACTAGCTTGTTCGGACCCTGTTCCAGCCAGGTTTACCCTTCTATACGTACCTAAAGTCTGGTGGAAGGTGTTTTCGGAGGGGTTCACTAAGAAGAAAAATGCTGGTCGTATCAATTGGATCCTCATCGCCTCATCATTTTCGGTCGGCCTCAGTCTGCTAGCGATATCCCCTCTATCTTCATCTCTGTTAGTTGCAGACGAAGTAGTCATTCATAGCGGGGTAGAATTGCAGCGCTATATATTCGATCAGAGCAAAAAGCTGGACCTAGCGCCTCGTCGGGACACATATCTGCATACCATTAGCGGATACCTCTATAATACTTCCGCCTCCGAATGGGTTTCAGACTCCCACATTGTCTTCCCCTTCATGCCACCAGAGTCAATGCATTCTTCCACCTTACCTCAGCAGGGTGTATGGACTGCTGAGACCACGATCATGCAATTAGAATCCAACTGTACACCGATGTCTATTGCGGAGAGGACTAGTTTCAACGCTTCTTACCTCTACGGCCTCGAGGAACGGGTGACTTCGCAGGTTCTGCAGAAGATGACGTCGAATAATACAATGACATGCTCGGATGTCCAAAAGCTCAGGGAGCTCGACACCACCCCGAAGAATAGCTCAAACAGTCGATATACTTGGATCAACTGCACACAAGCCACCGTGAAACAAACTGTTGGCCTTAAGTTACAATCGGAAGACGGGTGTATGGTTCAACTTCAAAGTCCATTTTTGTATGAAATCTCTCAGTATCCAGCCTCTCTGGAAGAGCTTCAAATGGACTGGATGACGCGAACCGGAGGAGCACTTTGGACGAATCTCTCTACATCCTACGCTACGTGGCGAGATTTTACGCAGGAGCATGGCGACCCACCTTTTCTAAGAACTGTGACTGAATTGCCGAAAACATATGACGAGTGGGCGGCCATTGGTTCTTATATCTACGACTTGTCGAAACAGTGCCGCGGCCGAGATCTCCTTTTCGTGTCAACACCTTGGTACGATAACTGGCGCAATTCGACGCAGCTTCGATTCGCGTCTAACTTCAGTGCGCAAGCAGAGCTCTGCACTCCAACCTATTACGCAGCAACGATGCCTGTGACTTTAAAAGCATCTGGGGGTAAATCCGAGGTGTCTTTTGATAGAAACGAGTTCAGGAATCGTCGCACACCAGTACCAGAGAGCATTTTCAATATAGATATGCTCAACTACTTCGCGTTCCGTGAAGCTTGGCAAAGATATACATCGGCTCCAGAGACCGCTGAACTGCAAGGTCTCCGCGGCGCGTCGAGGGTACTCTCGGAGCTCTTTCAAAAAGATACGTCTAAAGACGAGGCAAGAAAAGACAAAACCGCTATGCTACAGAATAGCACGCTGTCAGCCGAAGCTTCTACTCTCCGGAGTCGATTTTTCGGTGAACTGATGATCTCATCTATAATGGAAGAAAATAGGGTAGGAACTGAAAGGGTCAGTGGGCAGATGACAATGGTAGAGCAGCGTATTGTGGTTATACCTGGTATTGCCATCACTCTATCTGTTCTTCTCGCATTGTCAGCTTGTTTCCTTGCTGCTATGTTGATCTACGCATCGACCGACCGTAGACCACTTGGCCTAGAAGTTGACCCGGCAACTACTGTTGGAACGGCATCACTTTTGAAGATGCACTCTTCTCTCGCTATTTCACTGCGAGCTCTGAGAAGTGGCCAAGCGCTAGACATCTGGAACACTATTAGATCGCGCTCATATATTCTACGTGATCGAGCGCTAAGCGAGCAATCTGAACAAAACAGGCAACATATAGGTACGTTGAATGCTTGGATTGTAGTATGAGTTTAATTAACCTGTTCTCCAGCTACAAAGACTATTAACAGAACGCGTCCTGACTGGAGACCTAGCATGCTACACAAAAAATGGCTTACGACTTACCTAGTCAGTCTTGTGCTGGTTGCGATAGCTCTACTTGTCCTGCGACAGCTTGCGTCTAAACAGGGCCTGACACAATCATTCTTCATTTATGAAGTTGACTGGAGCCTGTTCCATGCAAGCTTTTCTCCTTCTTCAATTATCGCCACGTTGATCGCTGTGAGTATCAGTCTCTACTGGGGTGGTATCGACAAACCAATGCGCACTCTGCAACCATACCTTGCAATGTCTAGAGGTTCTTTGCACCTTTCAAAAGGTGTAAATCTGTCTTATCAGTCGGTATACTGGGCCTGGGCGGCTGTCAAGGCTGCATTTTGCAAGCATTGGCTCCTATGTCTTATTGCCACTGGTACCACCCTGTGTCAAATTTGTAAGAGTAAGTATGCCTTTTTGTAGCTCTCGCTAACTGTGTAGTGGTAATTTCCATGGCCGCTTTATTCGAAAGCCAGGGTAGTTTCAGAACTGAGAGCGTTTCTATCAATCACACATGGTCAAATCGACAGCAGCCCTTTCAATACACGACCAACATCATAAGATCGTTTTATCTGGATGATACAATCTTGAAGACTACTGGAACTGATTGGTTATACACCGCGCTGAATGAGATCACCTTGCAGACCGCACCACCAGCTTGGACCAGAGACGGTTGGGCTTTCACGCCAGTGGACATGCACAATCTATCATCTGTTGACAAGGGGAAAACCACGAAAGATACGTCGAACAATAACATTACCTCGAGCCTTGTCGTATCATCCGCCAACGCTTCCTTCATTACCACAGCTCTAAGAGGTCGCATTGAATGCACTCCCGTACGCCTTCCAAAAACGAACTGGACAGGCCGCATCGAAAACGCACACACCAGTGACCGTATTGGGAATCTCACCGGCCTCCTTCTGCCATCACTATTTCACCTGAACCAATTGAACAATACACCTATATTCTCAGCACCAAGGCAAATGGCTTGCTGTGCTAATGGGACCAACGGAGGGCAATCAGTTGTTGCATACTGGTCAGTAGAACTCACGTACGCATCGCATACAATACATATACTGACTTCTTATCTCATTATTCAGGTCCAGTAACAATTCGTACATCGATGAATGGCAGCCTTATGGCAGGTGGGTTCGAAACTTTACAACCAAATGGATCGTCGGATCAGGAAAAACAATAGAAGTTTCTGGGCAGCGTGATCTGACCACGTCTCCAGATGTAACCATGGCGGATGGCAGCAGGCCTGGTGGCAATGTCACATTGCTGTACTATGAAGAGCAGCCACAGATACAGATTATGAATTGTGAACCCATCATTGAGGTCGCGGATGCGGATATCATCATCGAGCGAAGCTCCGGCCAAGTCCTCGAATCGACAATAATCGGAAATCCAAGACCTGCTCCAGGTGTATGGGACTCGGATTACGATATGGGAAACATCACTAACTGCGGAAGAAAATCGTGTCTGAAAATTAATGGAACCGTCAGGTAAGTTAAGTCAATCATACCGAGGAGCCGAAGATATTCTTCGAATCAAGTTAGCTCAGTCGCCGCTTGAGGATGAGAACTTGGCTGCTCTAGTCTTGCGGTTTATCATCAGGATTAATCTAACAAAACCCAGCTACGGTATCTATTTTCTTAGCCAGATGCTCACAGCTGCACATATCATTCAACCACCTGTTGATCTGAGCGACATGATTTCTGCCAAATACCTAGAAAACATCGAGAGCGAGCGGTTCAACGTTCGCGATCTGGACAACGGCTTGAATATGGATTTTATGAGCTATGCGAACTATGCCCTTGCAAACAAGGACCCAACAGCACTTCTTGACGCCAAAACCCTTCTCAAACACTCTCAGCGTACGTTTCAGACCTTCTTCCAACACTTTGTCACGTCTGCGAAGTGGGGAAGCCAGCGTGCGGCGTATGAGGAGGTAGATGCGAGCCATGCCATGAAGGTGGACGTGACGCTATCAACTCGAATCAAGGTTCTTCGCATGAACGAGACAGCAACATGGCTTTCACTCGCAATCATCTTCCTTCTCATCATCATTCTCGTCATCTTGATGGTCTCTCTGGAACACGTGTATCCGAGATCTTCAATGCAACGCAACGTAGACTGCCTTGCCGATGTCCTCTTGATGGTTGCTGGAAGCGACAACTTTGTTTCTCTCGTCCACGGAGAAGGAACCGAGAATCTAGAAAAGAGTACTGCAAAGACGCGTTTGGGTTGGTTCAAGGACAATAGAGGTTTAGCGAGATGGGGTATTGAGATCGAAGATGCAGTCGAATGGGTTGACAACCCTGGGAATGATTTTACAGGCGAGTTGGTGAAGAGCGTAGTGCAGAATTTAGGAAAAGGTCTTAGAGGGAATGATACGGATTCGACGAGAACATAGCTAGTGGCGGGAACACCTTAGGCGCTATCAAAAGAGAATTCCTAAAGCTCGCTTTGAGCTCTCGGCAAATTAGAGAAACTATTTTGGCAACAGTGATCCATTGATTGCTTAGTTTCCATATTTCTACCCGAATTCAGCCATTTGTTGTACCGCGATCGAGTACTACTACACGAAAGGCGGAACTTCGATTGCTTCGTCAAAGCTTTACTCGAAGTTCCGTGGCCTAGTTATCGTTAATCTAGTAATGTGTACGCAACGTTCTCTCTAGGCACATGAACTTGGCTATTCGCATGAGATCAACATAGATTGAAGATCCTCCACGACAGACTACCAAAGCCGTGGTACAAGAGCAAGCTTATAAAGACTAGTTTATGGAGCTGCCGATCAATGCAATTGGGAATTCAGAACTTAGGAAGCATGATCTAGGCCTTCTGGAAAACTTTGAAAGTGTTGAGTCTGCACTCGTTGAAGATGCATGCGAGTCAGTCGTGCACCTGCTGAGTAATCCACATTCCAGGGAGAGGGCTCTACATATCACGACCCATCAAGAGAGGATTCGACGAGTCCCGTTAGCGAGTGATGTCGTCCTCACACGTGGATAATCCTAAAATCAACGATAGATGTTAAAATCTGATACAGGAGGCAGAATGCATCTCCTTCCATATTCGGCAAGCGGCGCGATACGGTAAGGGCCGAATGACGTTGTGCCTATCCGAGCACAATCGCAAGACAGTCCTAGACATGGCACTGTTCTCTCTGCCTGCGTGAGTCGCAGTATAATTAAATTTCCCGACGTTATCTTTTGCATCTAGTAGGATTGCTTATCTTCCGCTCCTTCCCGATCAGGCATCGCGAGTGGGTTAGCTTCCGCCTTCACCGTCATTGCAATTCACAGCAGAATTATACGTCTAAAAGCTCATCTGCCCCCGACAGTTTGGTTCGGAAGCTTAGGGAAACTTGGTTGGGCAAATCGGCTGGGATTCGTATGCACGATTACAAGATGCTCAAGACCATTATCCTTGCTCTGGCCGCCGCAGGCACGCATGCCTTCCCTGCGCCCAGGGACCTTGCCGAACAGCACTTCCCCAACAACTTGGTTGTAAAGCTATCTGTCGCAAGCGGTCTATTAAATGCTCCAACCGATGGCCGAATCGTGTTGATGCTCGCACCCAACGGAACCGATCCTCTCGAAGACACGGATGTCACCTCGTCGCCCAACGCAATCTTCGGGAAGAACGTATACAAATTCGGACCCAAGGACACAGTCACCTTTTCTGGCGGAAGCAATATCAGCACTGAGACCGGGGTATATGGCTGGCCGAACGTCAGTCTGAATCAGACTCCCCCAGGCCGCTACCAAGTGCAGGCGTTTCTGACCAAGTACGAGACGGTAACGCGCAGTGACGGGTCAAAAGTGAGCGTTCACTTCCCTTGCGGCGATGGTGCACCAAACGTCAATGGCTTCGGCAGTTTGACTACACCGCCAGTTGATATTGACGTTATTGGAGGCGCGCAAACCCTTGAACTCAAGTTCGAGAACATCACAGCCGTGGAGCCCTTCAAGGGCAAAGAAATTGGCGGATGCAACCAAGCCAACTACGAGGAGACCAAGAATCTCAAATACGTCAAGATCCGCAGTAAGAAGCTCAGCGAGTTCTGGGGCCGCGATATGTACGTAGGAGCGAATGTTGTACTTCCCGCAGGCTACAGTGCGAACGACACAACCACGCGGTACCCGGTCATCTACGCGCAAGGGCACTGGGATGGAGGCTCGGGTGCTTTCCGTTACTCTAAGGATGATGAGTTTACAGCTGCGTGGGACAAAGGTGTCATTCCAGGCGGCAACACAACAGCAGATCGCCCCGCGCCCAAGCTGATCCTCGTTACTTTCCGCCACGAAGCGCCCTTTTACGATGATTCGTATGCAGTCAACACAGCAAACCTCGGTCCGTACGGTGATGCCATCAACGATGAGCTCATCCCTCACATTGAGGAGAAATTCCACACGATCCGTGCTCCTTATGCGCGCATCCAAGAGGGCGGCTCAACTGGAGGTTGGGAATCGATAGCCAACGTCATATTCAGACCGGACCTGTTCGGTGTGTGCTTTTCGTCTTATCCCGACTCTCTGGACTTTCATAGGCATCAAGATATCGAGTTATATAGAGCTAAAAATGCGTATCGACGAGAGGACGGCAGCTTTGTTCCCTCCATCCGAACCCATGAAAATCGCACCGAAGTCGTTCTTGCTACCGCTGCGCTAGAGAATCACTGGGAGCTCCCCTTCGGCACTGCTTCGCGCTCATCGAACCAATGGGATATCTGGAATGCTGTTTATGGCATTCAAGGTTACAACAACTACCCATTGGAGCCTTGGGACAAGGTCACAGGCGAGATCTATCCCGAGGCAGTCGAGTTCTGGAAGCCCATGGACCTGAGCAACTACATCGTCAGCAACTGGAACAATTCTCGCAATCTTGGCAAAACCCTAGCTGGACGTATTTATGTTTACGTCGGTAGCTGGGACAATTACTATTTGAACGAGGGCGTGCAGGAATTCCAGAAGCGCACCGATGCTGTCGGCGGTGCTGGATGGGCGAACATTACTATTTTGCCGGAAAAACGCCATGGTGGAAACTATCAAGACCGCGAGATCTGGGATTACCTGACGCTTGTGGATAGCTGGATTAAGGACCACGGTCCCAATGGTACCTCGCCTCTGAGCAGCGAAGTCACTGCGCCAACGACACGTGGAAACCAATGGGAGGAAGTCATCAAACGTGGCGGACGCGCCGCTGCGATCGCGCGCCAGGCGCCCCCGGCAATCAATAGCAAAGAGAAAATCACAAAGGGCACGAAACTTGATGCCAGTGTTGGACGTTGGGACCCGGGCATGAAGCTGGAGGCGCAATGGGCACTTAATGGTAAACCTACCGGAAAAGCGTTCAAAGTAAAGCCAGGTAAAACGGCTCATTACAAAGCAGAGAAGAAGGGTAGACTCGAGCTGTGGGTTACTGGTTCCAAGCGGAATTACGACACTGAGACGAGGCGTAGCAATGCTGTTACAGTAGAGAAATGAGGAGAGGAGATTTCTATGTAAAATCACTACCCTAGAGAAAGGCATTTATCGCATTAATATTGGAGAACTATAAAGTCACCTACTACTCAACCACTTCTTGACTTGTCAGAATACTTTTCTAGTGTTAATTTCCTGACTCCAAGCGGACTACCGGTAGCGCCGTTATTGTCCCGAGGTCTTTCCGAGGTCGGTGACCAGATCTGCCCTCTTGCCATGAGCAATCGCATATCTCGCAGACCCCAGGGCGCTAAACACAGCTACAGTACTATACATCTAAGATACTACCCTCTACATTATGACCGTTGTTGAATATGCACCTACAATTCGACGGAAAATATCTTGTTCCGAAGATGTCGAATGCTTATCGCCCCTAGGGTGGGAGATGACTCAAATCGCCCGCGCCACTAAGCAGATACTTCTAGGTACCCGTTCCTACGATACAACACCATACCAGCAATGCCTCCAACTATCCACCTCATACGACACGCACAAGGAGAGCATAACGCGACTGTACGTTACCGATCCGCTTAGCTGTAACTCTCTCGGAATACTCTCTTATGCTTTTATAGCGTAACTACGAGATTCGCGATGCAGTCCTCACCCCAAAGGGTAAAGAGCAATGTCGAATCCTAAAGTCAAAGTTCTCGCATCACGACGATGTAAATATCATCTTCGCGTCTCCGCTACGTCGGACTATTCAGACCGCAGCACTCAGCCTTGGACCCGCGCTTTCACGGCAGGATGTGCCATTCGTGCTCCTACCAAGTTTGCAGGAAGTCAGCGCCACTGGATGTGATACTGGCATGGCAGATTCTGCAGAGGACGTGAAGCGGCTGCTGCCAGAGTTGTTTGCACAAGACGAGTTGGATTTCGACTATAACAAGATCGATGCTTCCGCTGTGACAGAGGGCTGGAATAGTAAAGTAAGTGCCCATGCTGACGAAAGATGTCTCATGTAGTTGTTGCTTACTAACGCAATTATTAGCAAGGATATTGGGCATACCAGAAAGAAGCCATCTCAAAACGGGCTGCTGATCTTCGAAACTGGTTCTTCCAGCGTCCCGAAGAACAGGTATGTTGGCGGCTATCCAACTCTCTTGTTGCTGCATCATACTGACTGGGTAGATTGTTGTCGTCACTCACGGCGCATTCGCACATTTCCTGACCGAGGACTGGGATGTTGATGATCCCATGACAGGCACGGCATACAAGAATTGTTTGTCAACTCTGTATACTCACCCCAGAGAGCTTCAGCTGACTCGTACTAGGCGAACATCGTGAATTCGTGTTCACTGCTGACTCGACTGCCGAAGATGCTCATGTGACAGAGACCAGACAAAGCAGGACAAGCCGAGGGGCACAGGAGATTGAATCCGATCCGCATGTTCTGGACGAATTGAAGACCGTGGAGGGGGTCAAGGGTTAATGCATATGCATGCGACACAGAGATGAGTAGCATAAGGTAGCTGGTAAGGCTCCGAGGTGATGTAGATGACGTGAAGATATACCACTTACACGGTCAAAGCCGTTTCGACTTCCATTCCGTTCAAATATATCGGTTCCATCGACAGCAACAGACCTTACCCCGCCTTCTCTTCTTCTCAAGTGGCCCTCCAACCATGGATCCATGAACCCGCGTAGCTGTCTTCGGTCGAGGTTGAAACCAAGGATCCGATCCACCTGGGGGTGCAGGACTCGCGCCTCGCAGTAACTCATTTAGACATATAGCGTCTAGCTAATTGGCCAGCTCTTCGCCTGCCAATGCACTCCACAGTACCCATCTGGCACCGATAAGCAGCAGCCGGGCACGCGACCCATTTGCACATTCAATTACTTCCCTGCAACGTGCGCACGGAGGGGAGCATCACGAATAACATGTCGTAGATTACTATTTCGAGCTTAGGGGCGGGCAGCGTCGGGGTGGCGTTAGTCAGAGAAAGCAGGGTGCCTGAAGGGGTAATTCAGACAAGGGCGCCGAGCACCGGAAGGCGCGGATCGCCAGGCTTAAACCCGCACCACCAACGACCACTGCAACCGCAAAAGTAGCCTTACCCGCAGCACATATCGCCTCCGTCGCTGTTTACTCGTCCGCCACATTCTATTTCCACTCCAGCAAGCTTTGTTCCTGCTGTTCCCTTATCTCTGAGCTCGTGGAGCCGAGCTGAGGCCACTACTCCGATCGTTGAGACGATGTCACGTCCGAGCACGTCCCATGTTCCCACCCTTCGCACGTAAAAATTCAAATTTTTACGTCAACACACCGCGCCATGTGGATCTTCTTCTCCATTGCCACCAGGCACAACGCTGCGAGATGGACCCCGAGACCGAACTCTCGCAGCAGCATCGGTCGCTCTGGGTCCCCAACCCACTGGGCCCCGAGATAGAGGCGCGGGGACGGGGCGATTTGGGACATTTCCATTACACACCTAGGCTTGCGGAGAGATAAGGAACATTGCCTTAAAATGGAGTGTGACCTCTTGGTAGGGATGATTTTTCCTACATTTGTTGTTGTTGCTTCCTACGGTACGTCACACAGCACTCGATTTGCGTCCCAAGGTTCAGACCAGTGACCGACCTACACCGCGGCTTCCGGTTTGAGAAGAGAGCATATACTAGCTTGCCCGCAAGAAACCGAACTCCAAAAGGCGTCGTCGCCCTCGTTCGATTTCATCCACATCGTCTTATCTCACACTCCCTTCTACGACACCTTGGAGAGTATTCTTGGATTCATCTATTCAACATGCAGGAAGTACGACACACAAACGCCATATCGGGCAATGCTACGCCGGCCCACTATAATGCTGCGCCGTTGCCAGACTACCGGTTCGATGAGATGTCATCTGAAGGAAAGAAGAGCGATCCCGAGCTCATGATGCCCGTTGACAAGACGGCCACGGTGCAGGAAGGATCAGAGAAGTTCAAGCGCCTCGGCTGGAAACGCCTCACAATCTGCTTAATTGTCGAAGCCATCGCCCTCGGCTCGCTCAGTGTTCCCAGCGCGTTCGCGAAGCTCGGAATGGTCGCTGGTGTCATTATGACAGTCGGACTCGGTCTCATCGCAATCTACACGAGCTACGTGGTCGGCCAGGTTAAGATGAGGCATCCCACGGTTAACCATTACTCGGACGCCGTGCAGCTCATCTGGGGGCGCTTCGGAAAAGAATTGACGGGCGTCATGTTCGCGTTGTTCTTGATCTTGCTGGTCGGTTCGCACGCCCTCACTGGAACCATTGCGTTTATCAATATTGTCGACAACTACACCATCTGTGCGCTCGTCTGGGGCGTGATTTCCATGATCATCCTGCTAGTTCTCGCGCTCCCGCCGACCTTCGCCGAATTCGCAATCTTGGGGTACATCGACTTTGTCAGCATCATCGCGGCTATCCTGGTCACTATTGTCGCAACGGGCGTGCAAGCGCACAATGCGCCTGGTGGTCTCGCCGCGGTCAATTGGTCCGCATGGCCACCTGCTGACACGACCTTCTACGAAGCGTTCCTGGCAACGACCAACATCATCTTCGCGTACTCTTTCGCCGTGTGCCAGTTCTCTTTCATGTCGGAGATGCACACGCCAAAGGACTATGTCAAGTCCATCTGGGCGCTCGGTCTCATTGAGATTTTCATCTACACCATGACTGGTGCGCTCATCTACGCGTTTGTCGGCCAGGACGTCAAATCCCCCGCTCTGCTGTCTGCCGGCGACACCGTCTCCCGCATCGCATTCGGCATTGCTCTTCCTGTCATCTTCATCTCTGGAAGCATCAACGGTACCGTGGTCGGACGCTACATCATGGACCGTGCGTTCCCCAACTCGCCTATTCGATACGTGCAAGGTGTGCGAGGCTGGGGAGTGTGGGTCGCCCTCATCTCCGTCGTTACGGTGATCGGCTGGATCATCGCTGAGGCCATTCCTTTCTTCAACGCGCTATTGGGTCTTATTTCATCGCTGTTCATTTCGGGCTTCACATTTTATTTCCCCGCCTTATTCTGGTTCCAGTTGGTGAAGAAGGGCAAGTGGAACGCTGGGTGGAGAAACATCTCGCTCAGCATCCTCAACACCATTGTCCTCATCATTGGCATTGTGGTCTTGGGCGCCGGTACATACGCGAGTGTCCAGGATATTAAGACGCAGTACACTGCTGGCTCGGTCAGGAGTCCGTTTACATGCTCGGCGAAGTCGTACACAGGATAGAGACTCGTGGGCAAAGCATGCAGCTACGAGCAAGTCCCCGGTGGACTATGATTCCCGTTTTTTATTAGCAGAGCATTAGCGTCAGCATCAGCGTGGTGGGTTACGTTACGTTACGTATTTTTAGCTACGATTATATGAAGTGTTACACATTCAGCATCTCGTTCTTTCCTATATTATCCAAAGTCGACAAAGAGACAGTGAGCGATTATCGTACATCATAAAGTACCGATGGGCTGGGCAAGCGTTCCCCAATCCTTATCTATGACAGCGCTGAACCACTCACGAGGAACGCAGCTCAGCAAGTTGCATCCGAAGTCTGCGCTTCGTATGCAGTGGTTGATGTCATGGTACATATTTATCGAGCACAAACCACGCGACACCGACTATCCGCATGGTAGGCTAGATCAAGTGTCGTCTCTATGAACTAGCGCGAGGTTTCCACAAGTCAACAATGGCTGTTTCAAGGCTGTTTCTACAGAATCAGAGAGCGTGAATTCTGCCTGTTAGTCTTTGCGGTCTTCCTGCTGATGTGGTGAGATGGTTGTTTAACTACCCAGGTTATTGGTTTACTTCACAGAAATCACGAGCGAAGTTTCGCTCCCAGTATGCATGTACGGTATATATACTGTAGTGATTGAACTTGGCCCGGCTCTGTTTGCATATGTGCTTTCACCTTCACTGCGGTTTGAAGATCAAACTCGTCCCAGAATAGCCTAGCGCGACTGTTGCTGCAGGTACGACCAAGCCTCACTGTTACTCCAGGGCTACCCCATCAAACAAACAGACAGCCTATAGCACATCGGAACTCCGTTACTTACAATATGGGCCCTTTAGAGCAGTCGCTCGCCACTCTAGGCCTCACCGGTCTCGAGCAAGACGTCGAAACTGTCTCAGCCTTACCGTCCTCAGCCGTGCGTGGGGCCAGTGAGCACTCAACGCAACTTGAAGAGTTACCATCGCGACCTGATTGCTCGAATACGCAACTTAACACTGTGTCAGAAGTGTCGGCATCATCAACTGATCGTGTCGACGAGTACCAGACGAGTGACACGGATCGCAACGGACAGTATTTCGCTCAGCTGAAGAATGACGTTATCATGGACAGTTCTACGTCCTCTGACGCTGTCATCTGCGGCATTCACGACTTTATCCAAGAAGAGCGAAGGCGCAGCTTCCATTTTCTCGCCAAATACAGCCATCGCCACATGGACCAGAAAGATCTTCTTTCCGCGTCTCTTGCGGGTACCGACGATATCGAGAACGTTTGCAATCGAGCCGGTTTTCATATACCTACAATGTACGACGGGCAATGGTACACCTTTGCAGAGCTGCAGAGCCCTAAGAGTGTGCGGCATACTGTTGCGATTAAAGTCCTAACAGGTCACGAACCTATTATCGACAACATGACAGTATTCCATTTTAATGACGACAACGCATACCTTGTCTCCCAGGCAACTACATGGCTCCGAGAGACGTATGACTGGCATTCCGAATACGAGTTGCAGTTCACCGAGATGCAGTACGAGGAGCAGCGCATGTGGTGGAAGAGTAACGGGAATTCCTTTAGACTGCTGGATCTTCCATCTGAGATGCGCGAAGCTATCTATCTTCACATCATCGGCCCTGTCGTTGCGCCAGATCTCGCTATGATCCCCACGAAGACATTAACGCTCGGTTCTGGCGTCTTGTATGATGACGGAAGCGGCTCTCATCGTAATCGAGATCCCGATATTGAGCGACCCAACATGACCATCATGCGCGTGAGCAAACAGGTACGAAATGAAGCCATGGAAGTAGCATATCGCGACACTACCAAACGGTTCTGCGCACTGGGTGCACGACACTTTCACTCCTTGGATGAAAGATACGAGCAGCTCGCATCGGTCGCGACTATTTGGACTAGCATTCGCAGCTTCTCTCCACATGCTTCTTTTCTGCGAAATATTCAGCTCGAGATGTCTGCTGCAATGTTTTTTCGCTTCATCGGTATTCACCCGATCCGCCACGTACCACTGTATGTGATTAGAGAAGAGGGTCCAGTCCACGTCAATACGCTGAAGACCTTCCCGGCCCTTCAAAACCTCGACTTCCGATTCTTCAGCCCTAAGCACAAAAACGCCGTATGCCCCTGGGCCCGAGCTCTCGGCACCGACGGTAACGACCCACACTCCTGCCAAAAAGAATGGATAGACTATTTTTTCGTGTTCGCATGGGACGCGCTGAGAGGCCTAAATGAGACACAGACGGCTTTCAAGGCCCCAAAATGTGTCACATACAGCCTCAGCGGCTGCGTGAAGAACTCCACGCGCAAACATTGGCAGCACCTTCTCAACGATAAACGAGTAGACCACACTCCGAAGATCAAATCATGGGAGGAGCAGATTCGGCTCAAGAAGACAAATGACGGCATCATTCCCTGTAGCTGCTCAACGTCGTGCGCCGTTGGAGGCCCGCCGCTATTCCAGTGCAGTGAGCATGAGGTTCGCAGGATTGAGGGGCTACAGACTGAGATGGATAAATATTACTGGGACTTTGAGGACTAGTCTGCTTTGTGGGCAAGAAATCGACAAGGACCTACTATTGGAGTACTAGTCGTAAAGACGGATGCGAGATTTTTGGGATTTTGTGGCGAATACCTCTTATTTCAAGGCTCTTTCGCCTTTCTTCAATGATTGCTTGAGAGATACCCGAATCTACAAAGCAATTGCTGGCTTTATTCTGCTGCTGTTACGTAGCTAACATTAGTTCTACAATTCTGCGACTAGATTTTCCATCAGTACTATACTGTTTATTACATTACAATAATGCTTTTATAATTTATAGAGAGATTTCTAAGCTCTATAACTTCTTTTTCTCTATAAATCCTTTAACCTTAGAACGAAGAGATTTAGTTTGAACTGCGTTCGCACGCACAGACTATGCAAGGTGTGGAGAATATTCGCGAAGCTACCAGTATTATCCTTATTAGAACACTATCTATTTTGTTGGCATGACAAACCACTCATCCCATTCTGAATCTTCCCTCAGTGGATCGCTTTCACCCCGGTGGCGGCTAGGATCTTGTGGAACGCGACCCCCGACGATCCACGAGGCCGTCGTGAAACTAACCCAGAAACCGCCGTTTTTGTCCATGTCTCCATGGATAACTGCGTTCGCAAGCCGAGTTGCTGGCACCGGCCTGCCTGTTTCGCCATCCATCTCACTTTCTTCGATGGCAATGACACGCCTCGCTACTAGAGCATGCTGCTCGGCGTCCCAGAGGGCTTCACGTGGGGGGTTTCTTTCAAGGAAAGAGACAGATTCACGGCGCGTGGTAGGGCAGCGGCAGCGCATTACGGCGAAGTACTAGAGAGAGTGCTCTGTTAGTAGGTATTCTGAAAGTATAACAAAGAAAAAGGTCTGCCCCATGCGTCGGCTAGGTCTAAATCCTAGTTCATGGCCTAAGCAAATCTTGCTGTCTACATCCAGGGCTTACGTACAAGTGGAAAGATCAATGAGATCTCGAATGTAAAGTGCGCGGCTGGTGCCTTGGATCCGTGTAAAGAGGGTGTCGATGTTTTGCTGTCGCTGAATGAAGATGGCGAGTTGGAGGGGGTAGCAGCGGACGCTGACAAAGAAGAGGTTGGTAGGTCCATCGAGTCGAGCACGATCTTCGCATGCTGGTTCAATGCTTTGAAGCTAGCGATGTGCGCATCGAAGGAGATCTGGTGGACATCCAGGGCCCCTGCCAAGGCGATGTAAGTAGCGTAGTGTGATATCTTGAGTGAGCTTGCTACAATCCTGTCTCCGGCCGACAACCCTCCTCCACATTCTAAGCTAGTTAGGGCCTGAAACCAGGATTCGTGGCAGGTAAGAAGATGTGCGTGGTATTGTAAGTCTTCGGTTGTTGGTGAGATGCCAGCATAGAGCTTCTGTGTAATCACCCCGACTAAAACCACAGTCGTATTTCGAAGGTCATAGATTGCGAGTTGGGCATCCATAACACTCGTGAAAGCACACCCTTTGAGGTTCTGCGCGCGTGGGCAAAGATTATCGAGGAGTGGCTCAAACGGGGCGCCAAATAATAACCCAGTCGCCATAACTCGGATGAACATGGGGACAAGGTTACCTCCAATTCTTCTTCTCCCATCCACTTTTTCTGCAATTGCAACAGAAGATGACGGAGATGATGAAACTTCTTTCAAAGTGAACAGGGGTCGTTGTCTCCATTCGGCAATGATCTTGAGTCCATTGTAAAGGTGTGTGAACGCGACATGGTATTCACCTCTCAGGAACTCGATGCATGTGAAGAGTAAACAAGCGACGAGCCCAACCTCTACAGAGTGTGAGGACTGAGCTATCCGATCGACAAGGCATCGGACCGCTTTGTTGTAATGAAGGAGGAGGGGCCTACGACTATCAGTCAAAGAGGCAGCGCGAGCTTGCTTCAAGTTGCCCGGCTCAGTCTTGACAAGATAGCTCAATGCAATAACAGCATGTCGGATTGAAGACTCGGATTGGGCCATCTGGAGGACCGTGTGAGACCAAAAATCGCGGTCGAAGTTGCTAGCAAGTGTGGGGCGGGCACAGTGATAGTAGAACTCTAGGTAGAGAGCACTGTCACCAAGACCGGAAAATATGGTAACCGTGCTAAGGGAGCTAGACGATTGACCGGAGACGAGCGATTGGGGGTTAGAGCTTTCATCTTGAGTGTAGCCGTCACACTTGCGACCCGTACTTGTACATCTATCTGGGTTAAAAGCAGACTTACTTCAGTACGTACAGGCATGCATACCTTGCACATGTTGGCTTCCTTTCATCGCACTTGATGCGCCGGATTCTACAACGAGCTCGTTAGCTATAGATACACCTTGCACATCTTGCAAGCATATAAGTGCCTACTTACTTGCATGTCCGACACCCAGTTTTCACTTTGGTACTGTATTTACGTGTCGCCTTTAGGCGGTGCAACTCGGGAGTGGATGTGCTGCACATCATCTTTAGTAGAGATGATAGAAAAAGGACGACGAGTCCAGGTTGCGATGCGCGCCCTACCCGTAGGCTAGCCGCCATTCATAGCGTGGTGACAGATGTGGAGATTGAGCAAGGGTTCGCGAAGGTAACCGAGTGAGGCAAGCGTGGTTAGTATGTCACGTGAGTATACGAGCAGACCTATCAGGTATCGAAAGTGTATTCAGGCTAATCACGGCCCAAATACGGTATAATTCTTCCTTTGCGCTTGAGCCATATAATGGCATACTACACATTCGGTCTACAAATGGATTTCCTCTCCTCCTCGATGGGAGCCCGAGTCCAAGGAAGACGTTCCAGGTGCTCGAGATCGTCGGCCGGGGCATTGGAATCATCCTATGACAGCGCATACTCACCGACGCCTTTCGGAGAACCTGAAGAGTTGAAAGACCAAGCGTTTATCAACTTGTCTGGCTGTTACTCATTTTGGATACATCTCCACTTGTGCATACCATGCATCTTTTCTTTAATGGGTTTGTTCTCACGCCAGAACAACTGCTTATTATAGGCAATCTCATGGTTGGTTGAGGCCAATAGCCTTCGAAATAGTCAGCACTCACTCCCACGCCCCAACACTCACCAGGTCCCCCTCGCTTACATCAGATCAGCCCATCACGACTACAAAAACTGCTCACCCCTCGAAACTAGTGTTTGTGAATCTCTTTGAAACCTCGCTCGAACCCACCTTTTTTTAGTTCCTCAAATCCTCAGGAACTAAAATGACGAAACCACACGTTCACACTTTCTACCGCGCATGGTTCACCTGGGTTGACCCTATCGTGCTATTCTTCACCATCCTCGCTTGTATCTTCACACCCGCAGACGTTCTGAACACCGTAGTCCCAGCTGACTTAGCGCCCTTGCAACGATTTCACGAATGTCTGTTTCATCAATCAGCCGCGCTCTACGCCTTCATGGCGATCATGTTCGCCGTACTTTTACGTGCGAGTCCCGACCCCAAGGTGTGGAGGGTTGTTCAAGCCGCAACTCTGCTTGTCGATGTCGCTTTACTTGCAACGATGTATGGTGCCCTCAAGCAACAGGGTCGACTGGAGACTACAAAGTGGCGGGGAGGGGATTATTTCAACTTCCTGTTTACAGTCTGGGTGGCTGTTGTTAGGATTGCTTTCCTGATGGGAATTGGGGGAGCAGATGGAGGAAATTCGAAGAAGATTGCGTGAGAAGCGTTCGAAAGTTTTCCTAATTAGGATGCACAGTGTTTGCACGAACTCGGCGGAACGGACGTTAGGAAAACCACATTTACAAGATACCGCCGATCGAACGGCCGAAACGTCAGCTTTAATAGAGTGATTGGGTTGATTTACATTGGGTTATTGTGCGTCATGCGCTCGACAGCCTCCCTGTCCCGCGAGCCAATAGCAGGATCTTGTGGCTGAGGCTGTGCGCTGCGCCATCGACTCAGCTGCAGCCTGATGCCTACTCTCGGATAAGAACTCGATGCATGTCGATCTTCGAATAAACAAGTCATCTCATTATTGCCAACATTCTTCATCCCTATGATAATCGTCCTGAAAACTAGTCGACATGAACGCGGCACCGAGCAACACCACCATATACGGCTGGAAAGCGGAACCGTACGTCCGCGGCACATCTAGCATACTCACGTCGTGCCTCATTACCCTTACTCTTTGCGTCTGGACTGCTGTACATCTGAATATCCCAAAGTATCAAAGGACGGCCGAAGCTACCAGGCGGAAAGTGCTTTGGTTAGTAACTGCGCTGCTAGCACCCGAATTGGTATGATCTCAAAGAGTAGCTTTGAGCTTCAAGCTGTGCTGATAGTTCATGCCCTGTTAGGTAGCGCTTGTCGCCTTGTCTCAATGGCGCGAAGCTCGAAAGCTAGGACACCATGTGCACGAGGTATATAGCCAAAAGAGTGGACGAGGCTGGGTTCACTCTTTTGTAACCCTCTTAGCAAAGGTCCAGCCTAAATGGGGGATCGAAGTGATAAGTGGGACCATGGAAGAAAGCGATAGCTTAAGGTGAGTTTATCGGCATGGGTCCGTGACTGCAACAGCGTTTACTTAATGGACTGCAGAAGCAAGACTGCATCCGACCAGCAACCCGCCAGGCACCAATGGACTACCACGCATTCCTTCTACGCATTGATGGGAGGCTTCGCATTAGACACCCGTAATGTTGAGCCGAACGTGTTTCAGAACGATCGGCGCCGAATGATATTGTCCGCTGACGGGTTTCGATTCTTACTTGACCACGAGCCGAATCTCCTTCCAGACCTCTCCCGTGCAGAGATCCAAGACAAAAGCAAGGCCAACAATCTTGCAAAGACAATTGTCTGTGTACAGGCTATGTGGTTTTGCATCCAGTGCTTCACGCGATGGAGCATTGGCCTATCGACATCACTCCTCGAACTCAACACATTCGCCCACTGCATCTGTGCCTTGATAATCTTTATGTTATGGTGGAACAAACCTCTCGATGTTGACGAGCCGACATTGATCAGTGCAAGTAATAATCTAGAGCTCGCAAGCTTGCTGGCTCTTTACTCTGGCACGAGACAGCAACGGCAACGCAATCCCCTTAAGATGTCTCACGCTCTCCTAGAAGCATCAAGAGGTCACCCAGCAGCAATCCCTAGAGAGGAAGGCCAAGTCATCCTGGGAGTGGGGGACTCCTACCAGGGATTCATATTCAAAGGCTTCTGCGCCGAACACCCACGAACTGTTGTCAAAACTCTTGTAAATACAGTGCCAGGAAAACTTCTTTTAGATGAAAACGACATGCGTCGCTGGGAGTTTGCCGAGAAGGCAACCCTGAAGTACTACCCGAGTAACACGTTTCTGGGCAAATGCCATGAGAAGATGCTAGTTGACCGTGTGGACGATGTTCCCAAGATGTCGACAGTGTCTCGCGGCGCAATGTTGGCCACATTCGCGTTTGCCGGGTTTCTCTACGGCGGGGTCCATCTTATTGCATGGAATAATTCCTTTCGATCTGATGCAGAAGCATACATTTGGAAGATTTCCGCTATCATCCTCGCCTCTTCTGGCCCTCTAGCCGTCCCATTCATCTTTGCTGAGGCACTATGGGGCAACATTGGAGGTGACAGTGGCACGTGGAGAGGGATTTACGCAGGTGCTATTCTCATACTCATTCCCGTCTGTGGCATTGTGTATAGTGCCTGCAGGGTATACCTCATTGTGGAGAGCTTTTGGAACTTGACACACTTGGAAGAATCGACGTTTGTTGTACCGAATTGGTCGCAGTACTTTCCGCACATCACGTAGACTAGTGCATAGTCAAATGATTCCGGATATGCCATGGTTATAGTGGTTACACTTAGATCAGACCTTTTTCGGGTCTACGATATATAACAAGACTACTTAGCTACCCGGGTGCGTTCAGCTTGCCTGTAATCAATCGCCGCCGCAATGACCCTGAATTGGTCACCAGGCCCGCTTACACTACCAAACTGGAAGCAATGTCTTCCGTGGGACCTAGTTTCATATATATCACACTTGGAGAACATGAGGTCCCTCCTTGTGTGACTAGCAGTTCCACTGACGGTCAAACGCGAAAGGAAAGTGCGCCAGCAGTCGAGCACTGCGGGGCGTTGATTGCGCATAATTTCCGCAGCGTTTCTGTCACGGTGAACTCCACGCTTCGTGTCGTACCCGTTAAACATGTCCTTAGGGTAGTTCCAAAGGGAACATCATTAACAGCTGCGAAATGGCGGTGTCTTCCATCTTCTTTCTCCAAGACAAGTGCTCTAGTCAGTAAAATTGCTTGCGCTTCTAGGGAGTCATACCTTGCGGAATGGCTCTTGAATGCCTCAGGTAAAGTCCTCTAGCTGAATAGGAATGATAAGTCAGTAGTCTCTTAAGAGGATTTCCAAAGCGCCTACGCCCTAGTTGAGCTATCGCTGGTTCTGTGAGAGTACTTTGAGTGCTGAAATGTTTGTGATTACATTGATTCTTCCAGGATAGGTCGAGACGGTCTCGCTACCTAAAATATATCATTTGAGGCTAATTGGTCGATAGTTCGTAAAATCGCATAGATCTGAGGTATACGACGCACGAATGTGTCCGAAGCGACGAAGAACATCGGATACCCCCCTTAGATCAGTCTCGGTAAACGCGTACCAGGCCCGCACAGCTATTTCGAGCCCCGCGTCAGCCGCTGAAGCAGGTTCCATGGCGTTAGGAGTGACCGGCAATCTGTATAGAGAAATGTGGCATGTAGACAGGGCGCATAGAATCAGTATGATTGGCGGGCCACGTCCATCGATGGAGCCACGAAGAGATGAGCAGGATTTAGAGGATGTGTTCCAAGGCTCCAGCCCCAGGGCAGGGCTGCAACTGAAGACGTTCTTCTAGACTCAATTGAGCTTAGTACTTTTCTGTTCCAGCCTCAAACTGCAGGGAGCAGCACTGAGAGACAACAGTCTGTTGGAGCGCGCAACTCCATCGCAAGGCATAGCTAAGCTACCTATCCATAGGATGCATTCCACAGTAATGAAGCGCAACTTCTAATCAGCCCTTACGGGCGTCCATGAGTAGCAAAAAAAGTTCAAGAAGCGCCTACGTAGACCATGATCAAACTAAATATTTTAGAGTCTTTATCTATCCGTTTTCCAAGCCGAGTGATATCATACAAGTAAACCAAACATAAAGAACCAACAATAAAAATCGTGTAGCTGTCATACACTCGTCCCGTCGTATATTCCAGCGTAACGGCCAAGACCAGCGTGACCGCCCTTTCGCCCTTCCCATGTGCCCTTGATGGTCGCCCTCACCCAAGAACATCGATCTCACGTGCGTACCTCAAGGCCTCGCCCTCGAATCGCGCACCAACACACAACAAGTCGACTGTCAGCCTCCCCATCTCAAGCGGCATTCCAAGTGCAGGCGGGTGCAACTGAGGAGTAGTCTCATCGCCTTCGTCCATCGAACGCACCGACGAAGCAAGCCCAGGCCCCATCTCCGCATGCGCGCGATAGTATCGTTGCCTCACCCAGCGAAAATATATCGCTAGGGCATCGCAGTGGTCTGGGATACCGATGCTAGCAAGCGAGCTGCGGGAGGGAAGTTTGACACCGAAGGCTAGCAGGCCCGGCTGTCAGCGCGGAGGAACATATCGAAAACATGAGAAGGAGGGGTGCGAAACTTGCAGTACGGTGGGCGTAGTGCGGGGCATGCTATCAGTTCCGCATGGCGGAGCAGAGCCGGGATGGCGCAGCTGGGCGAGTGAAACGAGACCGACTTCAAGAATGACTTACTAGAACGAAACATAGTTAAAAGTGGCGGAAATCGTACGTGGGGTTGGGCGTTGGGCGTCAGTTTTGGAACGTTGGGCAGATGTAGGTTCGGATCGTAAATGTACTGGTGCAGGCAGATGGCGGATGACAGTTGATAGTAGATTGATCAAGTGGCGATGGCCGAGTCTTATATGCGTGTACTTGATCGGATCAGTGAGGTCCCTTTGGACGGCGGTCTGGGGTGCGAGCGCGATGTTCAAGGCGGCTTCTGTGGTGATAAGCAAGGTGACCTTGCTCCAGGTCGGTTTGGCGATGGGACTCGTCAGCTTGCTCCAGCAGGGAGTTTGCGCGCACACATGAGCAAGTGGGAGATTGCGCATACGCGTCCAAGACGCCGGTTTTATCACTATTCAACCCATCAATCAAACCCGAAAGAAGTATGAGAGCCTCAAACTCAAGGCCAGCGCCCTTCTCCAAGTGCGCATCCCGATGTCTCATCTTTTACCTATGGTACCCCAACGGCCCTTCAGCGGCCCTTCCATAGTGGGTCTTAGTCGAACGTATTTTGTAGTGTAACGGATCAACAGCAACAACTAGCCGCGGTAGACAATGTATGGAGACAACGAGTTGGTGCGGAGATAGGTCGGTCGCCCAGCTCATTGGGCAGGGTTCGAGGTTCCGAGCGGGTGCGAGAGCGAAGCACACGCAAGCAGGCAGTTTCAAAACTAGACCACCACAGAAATGCAGGCGTAAAGTAAGACCTCGATCCCATAACGCTCATTGTGGGTCGTTCTTTGGCAACAAGACAGATGAACCGAGCGTCGAGAGCCACATAAACAGCAAACCAGTGGGCCTCGGAGGTGTGCAGTAGTCGACGCAGCGACTACGTGCGTTTCTTGCCTGGCTTCTCCCTCCTGTGACTACCGCGATTGTCAGCTGTTGTTGGTCGCCTTCAGCTCACGCACCATCAGACGTGCAGCAGAGCAGAGTTTTCACGTCTATTCCCTGCGTCCACAGGAGCTTGGACTGGAGTGCCAACAAAGGTACCGAGTGTTTGGGGGGATAAGCCAGACCCTTGCAAATATTCTCGTAGCCCTGCGCCCACAATGCTCATTGTTACTTTTTCCTCTTCCTTGTCCTCGTTGCGCACCATGGTCCTTGTGCTGCGTCGTGTACACGCGCCTTGGCACCTGTAACTCAAGCATTACCGGTACCGCTAGGTGTCATCATGCGACGGCTTTGAAATATGCCCATCGGGGCTTGACGAACTGTTCGCTGGCACAGCAAAACTCGCCTTGTAAGGCTCACAGCCACAAGCCTAGCGACACAGCAGGGGTAAGTGCACACCGAGCGCCACAGCGTAGTAGTGGAATCGCCGGGAAGCGTGCGGAGTGTGTACAGTAGCCTTCGCGAATCGACTCCGGGGCACATATCCACACGTTCGAAGTTGTGCAGCACGTAACGTCCGCCCGAGAAGGCGCCGTTCCTTAAGGTCAGGCACGGCGCGTGCCTCGTGTTTTTGGTGGCTAAGACACCCAGTAACCAGGTGCATTTCGTTTCGCGTCATTGGCAGGGAATGCGAAAATTAACAGGCGTTGCTCGCAGCACCTGTTTCACTCTTGGCAGCCGAAAGAAGCACCACGATCTCTGCACCGCCTAAAGCGCCGTTGAAAACTGTTGAGAAGAGGCAAAGGCACGGACTCGTTGCCTTATGGCTGGCGGCGACGTGCTCCTGGAGCGACTGCATTTTGGGTTGGACAATGTTGTGCTCGTGCTCCGACTCGTGTAGAGAAGATCCCCTATTGAAACCACCGATCACGAGTGCCTGATCGGTTAGGTTTTCGCATGCATTGCTATCCTAATTGACTCTGCTTGAGCGCTAGAGTGATAGAGATTTGTCATAAGCCAGCCTACAATGTCGACACCGCGTGTAACCAGCAACACGCAAATGGCTGGTCCTGACCACTCGAAATTTTTATCACCTAGCAAATTACGACCAACGGCAATCCGCATTATCGCTGCTGTGATCCTCTACGCGTGGGGCCTTTCGTAACACTTGAAGCTGCAGTCATCAGTTCAACGACCGCGTTCCCCACGGGTTACAGCCTCGGCCGTTGATGTAACGCGTATCATGAGGCGTTCTAAGTGATTCTGTTGCAGAGGTCGCCGTCGGGGATTCTCATGACAAACATAGTCGCACAACTATCACCCAATCCTTGTTCGGCTAAATCGCTGCTGATATTTGAGCATAAGTTGGCCGGCGTCCCAATTGTTGCGGGACCTTAAGCTGAGGGTGAGGGCATGTGAGACCTAGCCAAGCGTGCGCTAAATCGTTCTAGTGGAAGCACGGTGGTAAGATTTCGAAGTGAATGTGTATCGCAACTGAGTCGTGCGTCCATGTTCCGCATCATTTCATCCTCGACATCTGCGTAGATCCACAGCACAGGTACCAACAGCATGGATGTGCCGCTGCCTCTCCATTGCGCTGATGTGCGATGATTGGCTTATGCAATACCCCTCTTCCTGCACAGTCCAGTCCATGCATAGTCATGATTTCTGCAACCCTTCAATGGCAGCGCAGTGCAGCACTAGAAACGCAGGACAACTGCTCCAGGGGTTACGCTGACCGATGATGAATCTAGCGAAAAGTGTAGCCGCGCTTCACGAGGGGAGCATAGCCGGGTTATGCGGTGTACGTCGGGATGAACTTCGCGGCAGGCACAGCCATATTGGGGCTCTAAATGCTGACTAGGGCACCATTGTGGCAACCTGAATTATGGGTCAATGTTTCATGCTGTACCTTTAGCCCAATCGATAGTACAAGGGCCGGTTCAGACTAGTCCGTCAAGGAGCCATATCGTGAGAGGCACGAGCATGATAGCCCTGTGGAAATAGGAGTGATATTGATAGTATGCCATACAACAAGACTGCTACCAACGATAATAGAGTATGAAAATTGAGACAGGAAGACTGTTTGACTTGCCCCAGATGCAGGAGCCATGACAGCGTAATTGCCGAAAAGGGTAGTCACATGAAGTCGTCAAGCTCCACCAGGAGAGTAAATCCGATAATGGTCTCCAGTAGACCCGCGAGCAAGGCCTCCTGCACAGCTCGCCTCGCAACCATCATCGCGAGAACCGTGAAGCATGCCATGAGCACTGTAGCACCGAAGACAATCCCTTTTGTGCAGGCAATCCGTTCTTTGCCAGTGTGATGAGCACCAAAAGAGGAAAGTGCTATGGTCACGATCATCATGGCCGTAAGCCCAATGAGGAGACTGATTCGAGTGAGTGACAATGGCCTACGAGACGAAATATGCATGGGTGCAGAACAGATCTGCCCTTCTTCAGCGAGACGAAGCTGATCGTCGTTGTGATGAGTGACGCGCCTGCGCAAGTACCGTTTCTCTATTGCCGAGTGAGCACGAGGGCAGGTGGCCATGGCATGGTGAAGCAACCTACCGGAGGTGTCGTTTACGTGTGCCACTGTAACAACCTGATCGTTATCTCCAGCTACGGTAACTCCCTCAGATGGAGTACCGGCAGGATTTCCGTGATGAATGATCTTGACGACTGGCTTCTTCTGCTTCATCTGTCGATCAAAGCGATACCGTCTCTTTGCTCTTGCAGAGCCCTTGAGTGGTTCGGCAGGTACCGAAGCTCCCGCTGCCCAATCGCCCATGGCAAAGAGTGCGTTCCCTCGAGCGGTATCCCGTTGTGCTTCTGCCTCCGAACCTGACCCATAGGCCACCGACAGCGACGAGGCATACGGCACCTTAGCTTTGCCTTTGCCCTTGTCTACATTGCTGTGATATGGTGTGCTAGTTGTGGTGGGCTTAGTGACAGTCGAATTGTCATGGGTACTGAAGACGGCTGTGCTCGACGTTCCTATTGACGAGATGGTATCATAGGCTGGTGACATGGCTCGATCAAGACGAGCAATATCGTCCATGTCGAGAGCAGCTCCTCCACGGAGCGCCAGTGTGAGAGGGTCATCGTTGCGAAGGATCGTGGTGGCGGTCGAGGATTCCGCTTGCCCAGTTATGGGACTTTCGACGGAGGCTGTATTGCCCCAGGATCAGCTGCGTTCAAGGACGCCATCAATGAAGTCAGATTTGTACCCTGAGCCATAGTGGTCTAGTAAGGCGGTTTTCTTCGCGAGCCAGCGGCTGTGAATCGCACTGGCACATATACAAAGATAGTATATTACTAGTGACAGGAGCAGGACAGGGAAGGAGAGTCGCCAGGGTATAGAGCTAAAAGCTGATAGACAACAAGAACCCGAAAGGGCGCGTGTTAGTACAGGGAGATGTTGTGAGGACCTATTTGCCAGATCTTTGTCGCGGACGAGTTCTAGTGGGCGCACGGTGTACTTAAAAGGTAGCGCTGGATGCTGGTGGGCTTGCAGGCGGGATATGAGTTTCGCTACATTGCACCGTCACCCGAAAAGCTTATTCGTGTCTTCGCCAATCCCATCCTCTATCCAAAGGAAACCAGTGGGGATGACAGTACGAGGTGCCGTCACGGGAGCCTGGTCGTCACCCCACCCGCCACAGCCAGAGCCTGGGGGGTGAGGGTCTAGAAGTCTGCGGAATTCGGGATCTGCGATGACATCACCAGCTAAAGGTGAGGAGCTGGCGCTGTAGTATCGTCAAGATGAGATAAAGGACATGAATGCTTTACGGCACTTGGAAAGCTAGAATATTGATAGAGAATAAGAATTCACACTAGCCTCAGGGTCCAAGTGCTAGACCCTGATTATTCCTACCAGTGGCGCGACTCTTCTCCGAAGCTGCTCGGGTCGATTGAGGAATATTCTTAGTTCCATCGACGTCACAGCATCCGAGCTGCGCATCTCCTTGGTTCAGTGGAACGCTTGTCCCTGGCTAGGGGGATGGTTCAATAATGCTGCGCGGTGGGCGTAAGTATGACAATAGCGGTTAAGCCCCCGGACCATTCAGCCTACTGAAGGCGCAGCATCAGGTAGGCTCCTTCTCGGTAGCCGGTCATGCAGCGGAAAGCCTGGCAAGGCAATGCAAATGCATTTCGTCTGGCGTTTCGTCTCCGGCGTCCAATACGTGTCATCGCCCAGACCGATGGGGTGATAGGGAGGGAACTGAGGATGGTCAGCAACGACAAAAAGATCTGCGGTAGTAATTCACTACACCAGTCCACGCCTCGACCCAGGTGCGGTAAGGCAGCACGTGGGCAGTCGTAAAAGTTCGGCCTTGCCGGATTTCCGGGCTGTGGTGATGCGGATGTAATGAGGCATGGGCGGGTGTAAGAAATGGAGGTGAGCTGGCGGCCCCACAAGATTGCCAAGCTACTTGGCGACCCGTGATACCTGCGCCCCAGTAACGGTCCAGACCGCATCTTGCATCATACGTTCTTGCATAGGATTTGAAAGTCTAGACTTACTAGGAAATACCCTGGTCAGACCATTAGAGCTAGGAATAGCGAGGGAAAAAACGAAGATGGCCTCGGTAATCAGTCGTTCTCCGCTTCTTGTGATACTCATTTCAACGGTCAGGAGGGAAAGCAAGCACTAAACGAACGCTGAGTAGTTCTTAGAGCCGCGCAGGGATAATGGGATGCAAGGTGCATGGAGCGAACGTGGGGAACATGAAACATTGAAGGAGGTTTTGCAGTGCAAAATGGTGTCACAAGTAAATTCTACATTAGATTCTCTACAACAAGCGAGGGAGGGTATCTCGGGGTATTAGCGAAGGAAACGAAACCCAAAATCTAACTACGACATGAGTGATGTGCTGTTTGTTGAAGTTACAGCATCTAGAAGACCGTGCCTTTGGTCTGCTTGCCACCCTCCTCCTCCAACTTCTTGACATTGACGTTCTTCCAGAGAAAGATGGAAACAAAGCAGAGTGGAACTAGCACAGCTCCAGTGATAACCATCTTGCGCATGACACTTCCGTAGGCGCCAACAATTGCGTCACGCTCCGGAGTGCCATCGAGGAAAGACATCTGCAGAACAATATCACCGAATATGGCCCTGTAGTTGGCCTTCTGCTCTTCGGGGAGACGCTTTAATAGCTCCGCGGGCAGGAGATTGTTCCACATGGCACCACCAATGGCATTGCCAATGGACGATCCGAAGCTACCGAAGAGACCCCAGATAGCTGTAATGGCGGCGATCTCCTGGTGGGTAACGTGCACCATTACGGCAAGTTGAGCGCAGGTAGAGAATATACCAGTACCAAGACCGACAAGAACCTGGGTCAAAGCAAGCACACCAGGGGCGGTGGATGGCGTACGGAATGGGATCAGCAGCGCGGTGCCGATGAGTGTAACGGGTACACCGGCGTAAGCGGTCCACTTGAAATTTCCAGACCAGCTGATGAACCATGCAACAAAAGGACTAAAGACGGACGATGCGAGCGAGAAGGAGTTGAGAATATAACCGGCGTGGGTAATACTCTGTCGGTGAACCACTTGCAAGTACGAATTAAAGTAGGCGTTCCAACAAAAGATGGAGACGAACATGACACCGTAAAGGAGGCAAGAGCCGACAATAGTACCGTTCCTCAGGTATTTCCATGGTAAGAACTGGACTGGTGCGAATTTTGCTTCCCAAATGGCGAATACGGGGAAGAGAAGGATGCCAAGGACAATCATGGCGATGATGTATCCAGTCTTCCAACCTTTGGGGGCATAGGACACGAGACTGAATGGCAGCAGGAAAAGACAAAAGGCAAACATGATCAGCAAAATGCCGGTGACTGGACGATTGTTAGTACAATCAGAAGATAGGTTTCTGTGATGTAGAAAGACTTACTGTCAAATTGCACAAAGTAAAACCAGACCGACTGTAGCACAGTGCGGTTCGACCTCTGCTTGTGGATAACGCCAGCGCGTTTGGCTTTGCGATACATGTAGACCATGACGCCCATGGCCGGCAAGCAGCATCCGATGAAAATTATGATGAAAGCACCGAAAGCCCATCGCCAGTTGCCATGGTTAATGAACAGGTCACCGATGGCGGGACCGGCAAAGGTACTGGCGATACGAGGAGTACCGTTAATAGTGAAGATGATCATGCGGTTCTTGAGGGAGGTGATGTCGGCAGCCATGACATCCGTGACATAGAGAACGCCAATGTGACCAGCCCAGTAAAGAACGTGGCCAGCAATGTATGTTTCCATGTTTTTGCAACCGGCCTTCAAAGCCATGCCCACGACGACGACGATGAGCATGAAAAAGAAGCCTTCAACACGGCCCCAGACATCGATGACCTTTGACGTGGCAAGGGGGATACAGCCAGCTAGAGCCGTAGACATGATGCTTCCGACATTAAGAAGACCGTGCCTGGAAAACGAGGAGGTGATGTACGGATTGAGCGCAGCATCAATGGCGTTCTGCAAGAAAGCGACGAATTCGATCAGGTAAAGACTAGACGTATATGATCAGCCATTACATCTGAGTAAAACTTGTAACGTTGTTTGACTTTAACATACAAGATGAACATGGTAATCAAAGTCTTCTTGCCCCATATTTCCGTTATGGCGCGCACACGCTGAACACCGTTTTGAAACGTCTCAGATTCGACAGATTTTGTATCGCCATCACTGTTGGTCTCGTGGAGATGGTTTGGGGTCTTCTCGATGTCCAAATCCTTCGAAGGACGACCGAATCCGGCTGCCGGTCGCACCGCGTCAGTTTCGTCGATGGTAGCACTCATGATTCAACGAGAGCAAACAATGCCCGAAGAACTGCCGAAATAGAGGCAGGGTATGAGATTGAAGTGCAGGTTGGGGACAATGCCAACAGCTACCCCCTTCCGTGCTTAAGTATCCTACATCCCACACTCCGATGACCGGACAGGGAAGGTAGCAAGAATAATAGAATGAAAATTTTACCCTCTTTCCACCCGGTGGCTTGGGATCATCTCCCACCCGCCAGGCATGTGCGTGCCCAGGGGCGTTAGGGGCGGCTCGATGATCAGATAAATACTAGGTGATCAGATAAGATCAAATCTCGCCCTCCTTGTGAATTCTGGATACTCTTGGCACCTTCTGCGGAGCGGCAGGATGTGATGCCAAGTACTTGGCTCTGTTGTTAATGGTGGCCTTATATTTGTTTCGTCAAAATAAGCTAAAGGCACTGCAAATCTTTGCCCCAGTCTTGCATGAGAGGTGGACCCATCCGGAGCAAAGGCTCTTCCTCGTCCATCGCTTCGGCCGCTGTTTCTGATATATCTAGGCCGGCAATACCTCACTCAGGAGGGATGATAACTTTTCGCTGCTCGGGAGTTTTTATGCAATATCAATGAATCATTTGCTTTAACTGCTCCGTTACTGTTGTAGGTGACTGTCAAGTGTACTGGCCCTCATGTAAAATTGGAGTGAATGGGATTGCGGGAGGAATATGCAGATCAACGCCAACTGCCATTCTAGACCGCCTGCCAATACAAGCTAGCGTCGGACTTTGTTTCTAATCTTATCTAATGATCTATTGCTTAGCGGCGTTTCCTCGGTCGGTGTCGTACGCGACCACAACATGATAGGTGCTGCAGATGTTGGTCGCACGTAGGTGTAGGGTGTCTCCGCCGTATTGGAAACCAGCGGCCATCATTCTAACCCCCGCATCGCCGCAGTAGTACCATCCCCCTTGACTTGAATCACATTTTTGACAGATTGCATTAGCTAATTCATCGCCGTGCTCGAGTTTAACCTGCCACATGTTTTTACAACTACATCATCGATGAAGTGTAGCGGATGCTGGGCCACAATAGTGACGGATGTGTAGCGCCCGTGGGCATGGCGTTCTCCACACCACAACTATCCATCGGCTGGGCGCCAGCTCCCGGCGCCAGCTAGAGAAAATATTGGATTGCTCGCTAACAAGACGTGATATCGCGTGTTCAATGTTCGGGTGATGTAGGCTCGAGGCAGAAGCACATGAATCTGGACGCTCATAGCACAAGGATACGCAAATAAGGGCCGGGGTTGGGATGTGCATCCTCGTACGTTACGACATTCGGCTCCATGCCTATATTTGTGTTACGAGAAACGACCGGGCCATCGAATGAGTTCGCAGGAACTGGACCCTTGATGTATCGCAGGGTTGTTTGTGATTAGGTGGGTCATCTGAAGCTAGGAATCTTGCGTTGCTCAAGGTCTCTCATTGAACCCAACTCGAAATATTGGGAATAACGTCTTCGGAGAATGAACACACCCAAGCAACTTGAAGAAAACAAAGAAGAATACCTCTTCTGTGCTTCTACTAGTGAAATTTGGCTACTTGAATTTTGTGTGGTAGCGCCATCGCGAATTCCGGACGTGTTCGAATCTAGAACTCTCTGAAACATAGTTTTGCCACGAATTCAGCATCCTCCGTCTGTATAGCATGGAGATATACCCACCCCCCGCCCAGATAGTTAACAAAGACCAATCCAGAATCGAAGAATGTGGCTGGCTTCACGCTCGGAGAAAGCGGATCGAGAGCGGCATAGTTGCCGCGAAAGTGCCTTGGTAGGTATGACACCGAGCATACCGGCCATTGATTCAGCGCATCGAGGTAGCCTAGAGGCATTCGCATCGCTTTCCAATTCTATGAGCAAATCTCAAAATAACGTGAAGCCCACTAGGCTGCACTTTAATCAGAGCCCTCTTTTTGTCTTGGTCGTAAAACGACGACCACGGTGCCTTCCAAGGCCTGAAAGCGACCAATGCCGATACACCACAACGGACATGTTTACTGGCAGTGAGTGCGGGTGCAGACGGACATTGCAGGCTTCCTGAGCCCTTGACTAGTCCGTGGGCTGAACTAATACGCCGTTCATCATGTCCTACATTCACTGTCTTCGATTAGCTTGAAACGTTCAATGAGTTTGTCGCTTCAATGAGTTTGTCGCGTTCGATTAGTCTAACGAGTTTAACCAACTCATTATGTACGATCAGTTTGTTACGTTTATTAGAACAAGCCAAAAAAAGAATCACATGGCAGCAGGTCTTACTTGCTGTTCACGTTCGTCATTATCATCTTCATCGTCCTCCTATATCCTGGCAGGAAAAGGCAGAAAAAAAAGGATAATGTTTTTCCGGTACCGGGAATCGCTGATAAACTGTTAGATAAAGGACTCGAACTCCTGAATGTGGAGAAACTTACAACCCGGCTCTCGTCGGAAGCTGACATGGAATGAAAGCGACGGATGCTAGCCGATCTGAGGTACGTTAGATACCGCTGGACCAACTTCAAGGTCGAGTGACTACTTACACACCATACCGGATGATTGATGGAAGTTTGGCAATCTGTTGCATTATAATCCAATTCTCAAAGCGGCTGTGGGCACTAAGCGAGGTAGCTGATTAGCTTTGTTGGGCTCCTTGAAAGCGGGGTGGAGTCGTCATCAACCCCACTCAATGTAACCTTAGCCGGCATGACCGATGCTACAACACAAGAGAAACCGCATACTGCGCGTGTAGATGTACCTTGCCTTCTATTGAAATTGTGTACCATTAAGCGACAGTGTACGCTTCTACTTTGCTTACCTTGGCGACGGTTCTCTCTGCACGGCATTCTCAGAGATACCTTAGTCAGCATCTTCTTCGTTGCCGAAACACCAGTCATCAAACCAGCGAATCTCAGGGAAGTCCTATTTCGGCAATCTCGATCGATTCAACCACTAAATGGTTGGCTAGCTTCGTGGGGCATAGAGTTACCACTCAGCACTTTAGGTTACACGTATTAAACGCATTGGGCGCTTGGTAGATTTCGGTTCACGATAAACTTCGCTGATACCTTCTCTACACTTTGCCGTGATCGCCGAGTTCGTGTACTGCTAGGTCAAAAGCCACTTGATAACGGAACTTCAACAATTCTATAAACATTCACATTTGCAGAGAACCAAAACCATGGAAAGATGGACCGAACCCTAAAAGATAGTTACCTTCTGCAACAGGACTCGTACCAGAAAGCGTTCGACGCATTCAGCCCCTTTTGCATAAGGAGCTTCGTAGAATTGTTCGAGTCGTCGGCGGACTCACCATACTCCAAGTGCTGTGTATAGAAAGTTGGGTAATGCAGCTTCAGATGTATACGGTGGCCAGGGTTTCCAGATGGCGTCACGAGGAAGGCTGGGTTCCAACCTGAAAGCCCGGACTCTCGACGACGAAACTCTTCGAAGACGTGGTTGAATTCATGCGCATCTTTTGGTTCGTACGTACGCAAAAACATCTCTATCTTTTCCCATTCTTCTTTGAGGGAACCCTGTATGGCCTTCCGAAGGTCTTGGAAGTACGAAGCTCGTTGAGTTTCGGAAACAGGCTGAATACTCTCAGGCGAGACTGTTGAATCTTCAGCCAAAGGCTCCGTATCTAATTCTTCAATACCCGGGAGAGGCTCATCGTCATCGAGAACTATAGTCGCAACAACAGCGCTAAATTGGCTAACGGGATCTGTACGTGCAAGGGTCTCTCCACGTAGACTTTCATGGATTCCAAGACCGCCACGGTGTTGTAGGTCTTCATGGCATTCTAGATCGTCTGCTATATCGTGTGAAGTGCAGCTTGAGGTGCTGTTGGGTTCAGTTGAGCTTGTTGGCATAGGTAGGCTAGCCATCGCGCGAAATACTGGTTTTTGCCTAGGATGCAATCGTCGCCAGGCACTGAGAGTACTCTGTGTCTGTACTGTCGCGGACTGCTTCAGCTGATTTGACGCATCTTGAAGACGGGGCCTGAGTTTGGTAAGCACTCAAGTTGGGGGAGAACTGGCAGGTTGCCTACCTCTGGCAGGTTGCCTACCTGTTGTTCGGATTGTCGTTGATCTCAGCCGTTTGGGCGGAAAAAGAGAGCTTCGTCTGTCGCTTTGGGTTGTTGAGGTTCATGGTGTCAGCGCAACGGCCACCAAACGACGTTCAGGGAAAGGTGACGCGAAAAGTGAGAAGAGCAGTGACACAATACGAGAAGGAAGAAACCTGAGAGAAGCCTGAGAGCTGGAACACGCTCAAAATTTGCAGTGCGAGGTGTTTTGGCAGAAGCTCCACCTTCCGCTGCCATCACTGAGGCAGGTGCGATGGCAGCCATCATGGCAGGCACGACAACCTTGGAAGTGTGCCTTCCTGACGCGGGAAATCGACGCGCTTCTGGCTCGACAGCGCCTGTGCATCGCAATTCAACATGACGAAGCCGAGATGAGATGTGAGAAGCTGGAAAGAACCCAAATTTTGAGATCGCGTGCGGTGTGAGGTGACAGAAGCTGAATGCCAAAGAGCAGATGGCAGCAGCTTTAGCACGCCGCTAGATTCATCGTGCGTCTTAAGTCAGCCACCGAACACACTCCAATTGCGAGTGACTCAACATAGCTCTTTTCGGATCAAGGGTCGAGATTGCGGCACAATTGGTTCGGGAGAGTGGAGGTGGTAGTGAGGAAAAAATGTGTAGAGAGGAGTAGAATATATAAAGGAGAGGAGAGAAGCTGTGGAGAAGAACGAGTGGTAGGAATAATGAAGGGTATCAGAGAGAAGAATAAGTTGTATAGTTTACGTGGAGCAGTTGAATTCGTAAGAGAAGAAGTAACCATCTCTAGTAGATATAGTAGTTCTACAGCTGACAAGTTCGTAGACACAATATACGATTTGCTTGGTTAAGATCTACTTACTTACGATCTACTTGATTACAATCTCTTGGTCACGATCTATATGGTTACGATCTCTTGGTTGCGATACATGGTAGTGCAAATGCGCGAGAGTGATCTAGATGGTTATAACCATTTACGTCGTAAGACAAACGTTCAGCAAGCTGTAGTGTCGCCATTGATGGAAGTTCTTGAACGCGGACTTTATGCAAGCGCCTAAGCTCCTCTTCGATCAAGAAATGGGCAAAATACTAGATGGCTTACAGTATGCCAAATGCTTAGTATGCGTGTAGCAGTGAACCTAACGAACGATCTAGAAGTGTTACATGGAAAAAACGTTTTTTAATGCTTACATTCATGGGCGAGTCCATGGAGAATGTGACGTAAGATAACGCGCTAAACGTGATCTCGCGATTTCCACGCGACCTCGCGACTGAGCTTGACCTTAATCGAACTCTCACCTCAACACTTCTAGTCCTCGCGCGATCAATGGCAGCCTCAGCGACTCCAGGCTCTATAAGAAAGATCTCGAGGCGTTCTCCGAATCGCAGTGGCCAGCGCACACCTTCTGCAGCACTCGAGGCGGTAGGGAGCCGACCACGGCGGGCGCAGCGGCGGCCGACGAAGCAAGCGTCCTACGAGCTCGCCAACCACGCCAAAGCATATCTCGAGGGCAGCCAATGTATGCGAAACTACCTTCAGAATGCTCACAGCTTACATTGATCGCAGTCGCCAGCGGATATGACTTTCTCTACAGCCTCCTCGCCGCCGGGACCTCAATTTCGACGCCGGCGCAGCCCTACATTGGCTTCCTCGCGCCACCCGCATACATAGCACTCGCCTCGTCCCTCATCGCATACCCACATGTAACTACCAAGTCGCGATCAAATGACGCAACAAAAGGCTCAGATGCCGCATTGCGATACCTACAATGTGTGCACTGTACGATTGATGGCCCCGCATACCCCACCATAAGGAAGGCCTTCACCTTCCCAGAAGAGCGCAGCCGGCGGCGTGTGCCTGGTAATCGAGCCGCAGCAGCCAGTCTCTCGCCAGAAGCTGGCGGTGATGTTGAACGGATAGCGGGTGCTGCGGCGAATGCGCAGAGCCTGTGGTATCGCGCTGAAGACTTCTGGCACATTGTGGGATGGGCATTCAATTGCTCCATAGCGCATAAAAAGAGGTGGAGCCGATGGAAGCTGTGGCTCAACATCTCAGTGGACTTCCTGGAAGCCGATTGGGACGTCTGTGTAAAGCAAAGTAAAGGCAATGAGAAGGGTGGAGAGTCGATACTGCAGGAGAGCCTACTCTGGCGCTACATAGTTGGCGAGGCAGAGTCTACGAATCGTGGAATGCGGCGAAGAATCGTCAAGGCCATACTCGCATTGGCTACAACAGAGTCACGGAAGGAGTACCCTGAGGTGTGGGAGACGGAAACAGCCGAGCCGAAGCGGAAAAGGGAAAGCAATCAACCGCTCGGTGAGGTTGATTTCGAGACTGGCGCGGTTGGCGACTACGACAGCGATGAAGAGATGGAAGATGCAGTAGAACAGATGGACGACGTCAAGTCTGGGAGCTCGCCAAGGGTACCGAGTGATGATGATATCCAAACTGTGCACGATGCTGTTGAGCGACTTGGCGGACAGGGTGCTATTGAGCTTCGACAGCGACTCATAGCGCTGGTATGTACACTGTCGCGGTCTCAAAACGTTGCTAATAAGAACCAGCTTGCACAAGTAGCGCAGGCGTTGCCAGCGCAGTTTACTACACTGAGTGATTTCTTCGACAATATACTCGAGGACTTTATACACCTGCCAACTATCGTCTTCAAGGTACTACTGTCAACACTAGAGATGCCAGCCCTCTTTCAAGTCGCCTTCAATGCCAACCTCCTGCTTCCATTGGTGAGCCGCACTCTACCTGACTACTTTCGCTACGAGCCTAGGCAGGAAGATTTCGAGGCGACTCTGCTCCCCCTCAAAGGAACTACGCAGAGTTATGCTGCAAATGCGAAAATATCGCTCATCTTAGAGCAGATGGTCATGTACATGATGGCTTGTGATGCTCTGACGCCCACGGAGCCGCTCCGCCAAGCCATGGAAACTGGCATCGAAGCAAGACAAGGCGTATTCGGCACAGGTAGAGGAAAGAGAGGGAACCTCAGAGAAGAAAAGCAGGCACAGGGCCTGATGGAGGCGAGTTCAGAAAGGTTGTTAGGGTTGTTGGAAGTACTAGAGATCTCAGCAGGTAAACCGCCGCAACTACCGAAAGAGGAGAGCAAGACTGGTGCAAATCCAGCAATGCTGTCTTTTGGTTCCGGTTCGTCACTTTCCCCTGCTCCTGATAGCGACACCGATCTGGATGAGTAATGCTATCGATGTATGCAGACAGAGAGGTCTCTTTCACGATGGCGAGGATTCGATGATCTAGATATCATTGATGATGGATGTTTAGAGATACCCCTTTTCTTTCATGGACTGTTGCAGTCTGCATTCAAGCTGTTCACCAGTGGTTCACAGTAGTCTCACGCACTTCGTATCGGTGTGTATAGCATCAGAACATGCTTACTCATATCCGCCTGGTCCGAACGGACAAATTTGGCGGAGCTTTCACGACTTGATAGCAATGATCGCTCTGCTCGCAGTGTGCATCAATCGCAAATAACATGGCGTCGTAATCCCCAGGTTCTGGATTCTCTCTCCAGGTTTCCCCGCGCCGCGCTAGTAAAGTAGCGCATTTCGGCAGTTGCACAGACATCACCACGACCGGCAACCATCACTCTTCTGAGACGCGATGGCTTTGAGACCGAGCCTTGAATCGAAGAACGTTACCTGGGAAGAGGCAAGGAACTGTCTACTTGCCGTACCCTACAGCCGCATCGACATCCCGCTAGTTCATCCTTGTCCATCCCCAGAATGCACTATGCCCGCTTCTCCAGATTTGGACGCGGTGTTGATAGCAAAGTCATGCTCTTACTGGCCCCTGTGGCGATAGGGCCGAACCCCGATCCAGTAACCAAACCTCCTATACCTGTACGTTGTGAGGCACACTGCATCATTGCGACCGCCACGCACGTGTAAGCACCGCATGCGACCTGGCGGCCGGGATGTCGCGACAGTTATTATCAGTGTCTTGTCCAGCTGCCGGAGACGCCTCCGATCACAGTCTTGACCCTCAATTCCACAATTGTGCCGCTGAAGCTCCTAACAATAACTGCCGAACCATCTTCACGCGCCCAACGGCGCTACTACCCCGACTTTCTCCAGCTGATACAAGCCACGACCAGAAATAAGCAGCTCAAGCCATATCAAGAGACCGAAACCTCGCCGAGCGACGGGAAGTGCCACTCGAGTCTTTCGTGGAAGAGTACAAGTACCCGTACATGTACTCTTCGTTCATCTCAGGTGTCACCACAATTACTGCATCAACTGAACGACAGCAGTGAATATCGCCCACGATGAAGATCAACAACATTGACGATGATGTAACTCACTTCCAATCCCCCTTATCACCGATATAGTACTAACGGTAAACAGGAGCGGCATCAGCTCGAATCCGAGCTCCACACCGAGATCCTCCCCGGCACTGAGGTCATGGCAGACGTTGGCAGCCATCATTTTGTCAAAGGCGCACATCGCGAGGTCCTCGTGCCGCAACCCAGCGACGACCCAAATGATCCCCTCAATTGGACTACATGGTGGAAAATAGCATGTATCAGTTCCGCCGCCATGGTTACATTCACGCAGGGTTTTGGACCCCTAGCCCTCGCACCTATGTTTCCTGCGCTTATACAAGCCTTCGAAACCGACCTGGCTGGTGCGGTGCAGTTTACTGGCGTATGTATCTTGGTGTTGGGGTTCAGCAACTTCATTTGGTGAGTCTCCGACATGTAGCACCTGTAATACTAGGCTAATGACCTTATCAGGGTCCCTATCAGTACTTCTTTTGGTCGCCGACCGGTCTACCTCCTCTCCCAACTCATAAACTTCGGTACCTCTATTTGGCGCGCAAAGGCCAACTCCTATGGCTCCTTCATGGGCGCATGTATCGTTAACGGTATCGGCGCTGGACCGGCAGAAACCATCATGCCCGAGATCATTGCGGATATCTTCTTCCTAGACGATCGCGGGAAGTGGAACACGCTATATTGGGTGGTCTATATGGGCTCGTTGATGATAGGACCGATTGTTTCCGGATCAATGACCGAGACAGTTGGATGGCGCAACTTTTGGTGGCTCAATACTGGAATGCTAGGCCTTTCCTTCCTCATGGTTGTGTTTATGTTCCCCGAGACCCGATTCCAACGGACGTTACCGAACGCACTGGCGCAATCGAAGACCAGCTCCCTGGATGAGAAGTCCCAGGCCACGACTGCTGAGAATGTCAACACCATTGATACGAAGGTGGATGGGAACGAAATCAAACATGTCAATACTGCCAACTCTACCCTACCTAACACCGCCGTGCTCGAAGCCACCGAGACAGCAGCCCGAGACCCTTTCCTCGGCCGCGGTACACCCGGCAAATGGCAATGGCGCCTCTTCCAGCCAAACGCGCACCCCTTCCGCTCCATATTTCTCGATCTGTGGATCCCCTGGAAGTTGTTCGCTTTCCCAGTCGTCGAGTTTGCTGCTTTTGTCGCATCCTGGTCTTGCTCCAGCTTCTTGACCATCAATCTCACGCAAAGTCAAGTGCTTGCCAATCCGCCATACAACATGAAGCCCATGATCGTTGGTTTTACCAATTTTGCGATCATGGTAGGTGCACTTATTGGGTTATTTACCGCAGGACCGCTCAGTGACTGGGTCAGTGCGAGAAGTACTAAGAGAAATAGGGGGATTCGAGAACCGGAGATGAGACTTCCTGCTATGATACCTTACGTCATCATCATGTTCATCGGTAACATTGTCGTGTCGGTTGGGTATGAAAGAAAGTGGCCCTGGGAAGCTATCGTCATCATTGGATACACATGCGCTGGTATACAAGTAGCTGCTCTGCCAGCTATTGTAAGCACCTACGCTGTGGACTCTTACAAACCGGTGGCCGGAAGTTTGTTCGTTGCAATCACGGTGAACAAGAATTTGTGGGGATATGGCTTTGGAAAATTCATCACGCCGTGGAGCATGGAAGCTGGGTAAGCAGGATGATGCAGTCTAATATTAAAGTGTCTATTACTGACGAGAAGCAGATTCATCCCACCGATCATGACGAACGCCAGTCTTATATTGCTCTTCTGCCTCTTTGGCATTTTGTTTTGGTGGAAGGGCAAGACGTTCCGTCGATGGAGCCGGAACAGCAGCGTCCACAAGATGTAGGTGTATGTAGATCAAATGCGGAGCCTGGGCCTCACGTCCCTCGACCCTTTGTGCGCGCTTGGCTACTAGTACATGCGCTCTGCCCACGTGTAGACTACCTGAATCTCATACCAATTCGTTTACATCAATGCCCATGCTACCCTTCTCTTTCCTCGCCCCACTCGGCTTCTTGATATCGTCTGCGATCCAGTCACACTCGTCTGCCTTGCAATCTAGCTCCTCCCAGCCTTGAACCTCCATCTCCTGCAGCATCTCATTGTTTTGCCTCAACCATTGCCACTGGAGTACAATCTGGCTAGTCATTCCAATGAGCACCAAATCGCTCCAGGCGGCCGCCTTGTCATCGGAAAGTAGCAAATAGTCGTCTAAGTCGGTAATATAATGTTTCATTCTCTCCCGCACACCATGCGTGGTGAATCCACCAGGCGGAGCGGCGATCAATGTGGCGATAACATTTGACATCAACGGCCGCCGAGTCGAACACCCCGGAGGATGCCCAATCTTCATCGCAGAGACCGGCTGGGCGGCTGGGTCGATAGGCGGTGGTGGGAGAGAGGGCACGGGAAAGGGATGGTACGAAGCGTCCACCTTCCACTCGCGCAGCATGTCGTAGCGCAGCACCAACCTAATAGCCAGCTGCTTCTTCCTATCATACAGTCTAGCCATCGCAGCGCGGTTTTCGGCTATCTGTTCCGGTAACAGCGTTCTCGTCACGAGAAACAGCAGCTCTTCGAGCAAACGTCGGCCCCGTCCTGTCGCCTCATCATCACCATCATCGCAGTCGATCAGCATCCCGCGAAGTAAAATAGGCCAATTTGTCATGGAATCTACTTCCCGCAGCAAGGCGTTCACAATCTTCTGTGTGCCATTGGTATGTTCGTGGCCCCAAGCTAGCACCGCGTCTAAACTCGCCTCCAGCGTCCCCGTAAATGGACTTGGTACCGTCGGCGGTAGAGTGTAATGTGCTGCTATTCGTCTCTCGTGGGTAGTAGGTGGCCGTGTGCCTCCGTCAACATGCGTCGGCACGTCGGAAACAGCGCTGTTTGCTCTAAGGGCCCGCGAGGCGGCTCGGCGCGTTGCCGGTGGAGGTGTGGGGCGTGGAGTTGCAGCGTATGAGTCTTCAGATATGATGCTGTAGGCGCGCGAGGCGCGGGGTGCAGTACGGCCGGATGGGTTGTAGGCCATCTTGCTGATGTGAAGGGCATAGAGGGGATGTTTCAGGTGAGGTATTCGAGGGGATTTGGTAGGGAAGCAATCTGTGGTGAAGGCAGGCTTTGGGGAGAGAGCGGTGAAAGTGAGAATAAGTACTTTTTGCTCGTATACTCTTTGCTTCACTCCAGAGCCGTGATCATGCAAGCAAACAATCAGATATACCCTTTGTCTCTCTATAAATAAGATGCATGTGTTAGAACATCTGAGTACAAATACTAGGCCGGGAATGTACACCTCAGTCATTCACTCCGACTGAAGCACATTTAAATCAGAAGAAAGAGCGCAATAGGTCTTTCAATCAACACTGTAGTCTCTTTTGGAGTAATATTTCAAGTTAAGGTGTCTTGATAAGTTGGCCTTGCCTACGCTTCATCGTTCAACTGTTTCTCTCTTCATTCCATATCACTGATTAAGTACCGCAGGTACACAAAGGTCAGGACGCTAATCATAATTAAATTCACTTGCGATATACTAAATACATTTACAATTTGGAGTACTACTTTGAAAAAAATAGGTCGCTAGATTACATATCAACACCGAGCTTTTGGCGCAGAACAAAAAGGCTGGGATGGACTCTAGTCTTAGGAAAATAGCCAATAAGTCATCAAGGGTTTGTGTACGTAACTTTTCAGAGATGTTTGTAATCACCTTGCGGCCAAAACCAAACGTAATAATTTGGTACTGGCATATTGATGAGCCAAACTCCTTTGTGAAGCACGGTCGATTGCGAACGTAATCATCGTCGTTAAATGCAACATAATTCTACATATACGTCAATCACGCTAGTGTAGCCTAGAGTTGGGCGTGCTTTACTCTGGAATGGTCGAGTGGAGACGAGGGGGAACTATGGTTCGGCAAATAATTATCGAAATTTCACTCGCTGGTTCAGTAGCGTCAACCCTAGTCTTATTCTCAGTCTTATTCGCACCATTTTTCCCTAGATCTACTTAACCTTCTCTTTACTGTTACGAAAAACTTCTTTGACCTTCAATATAGACATATCGCCGAGCCTACAAACACTCCGTAATGGACAGTCTATCAGACATGCACGGCGGGAAATCGCTAACTGGAGATCGTTCGCTACTTCTGGAACTTCCCCGCGAGTTGCGCGACATCATCATAGACTATGTAGTCTGTTCCCTGAATATCCCACCGCCAGCGGTACGCCACGATCCACAAACATCTCACAGCTTGCTAGAGAATGTTATCATACCACCATTACGGGCGATCCTGTATCCTCTACTCTACACTAGTTGCCAACTACGTGCCGAAACCTTGCAGCGTATCGAGAAGACAGATGCACCGATCGTATTAGACTTGCTTCTCCTGGAAGACGGCCATGGCCAGTGTACGTGGCTAAACGGACCTTCTAAACTAGGACACCTGAACAAGATTAATATGGAAGTCCGAATTAGAACACGCCCTGTAAGCAGAGAGCTCTTTCGTGCGCGCCTGGAAAAGGAAATAGAACCCTTTTCAGGGTTTACATCCACGAGACACCGACAAAGGATGCATAGTATCGAGAGCCACGTACAATACCTCATAGAATCGACGATCCGTACAGCCGTACTGGGTATCCTGTTCGACGACGGGCTCAATGTTGAAGAACGACACAACTGCGTCAGCGAGATGGCAGACACTTACCAACCCGTCAACTCGATCGCGAAACTAAGGACCAGGATTAACTTCGCGGTCGACGAGAATGGCAATGAGATGCGGATCCCTGACGAACAAAACTCACGACATTGGTTCCAGCCCAACTCTCTCCCTCAGGTTTTCACGGCGATAATAGCAAACAACCTGTACCACCAGTTTCTCGATCATGGTCTATTGTGGAGGGCGGCACGCTATGGAAAATTCGAGCTTATATGTAGACCACTGCTTACCCACACGGGAAAGATGTCGATTTACTGCGGTGATGACAATATCTGTAGCCGTGGTTGGGATGTTGGCGAGGCTTTAAGAAACAACTTTACTGTAGTGGATGACGACGATCTAGCTAGGAAAGATCAGACAGAGGCCCTGAGAAAGGAACTTGGCTGGGAGGACTTTGAGAATGGGTGGTAGAGATTATTGATATTGGTCGACATACATCACACGAGATTTCAGAGTACGCCCCAATTGAATGATGACACCGAGCGCTTGATTTGGAAGAATTCTACCTGTAAGAGAAATCGGCGGAGAACACAAGCAAAATACTCGACACTCCGCGCATCATACACATCTCGACCTTGCATATTAAAGATTAAGCAATCCCTACCGTTGCTTTCATATTTAATCTTGTCTTGTCTTGTTTTTACGAGTCTTCCTTACTTTTTCATTCTCTGTTCAAGGAAAGCCGAAGCCTCCTGCCCCTTCAATCTACTTATTATCAAGGTCAATCCTAATACAGCAGACTTCGTATACCTTCTACTATCGCTTTCTCAACCGAGACCTCTCTTCATTGTTCTTACCTGCAACTTAGAATAGCATTGCGTTGTGAATCTCCGCACGTCTATCAAATCACTTCTATTTTTCTCGAGGTTAACAATGTGAGTGCGATGACTAGCAAGGAAACCCATGAAGTACTATGTGACGACACAATGTCAACATGGTCAATCTGGCCATATATCGCTATCGTTGTTGCACAATCCACTCGTGGTGCATTTAGGCTCCTGTGAAATTTCTCTTTTCTTGATTTTCTCACCAATAAAAACATTTGCGCACGAGCGACCCTTTCACTCAGATTGAGATTTCGCGCTGATAGGGTTCCGCAAGACCCACAATGACTTCGTCACAACATATGCACGAAGAAAGGGCTCTACCTGTGTTGACTTACTCAAATTCTCAACCAAACACGAAAGCACGCCAATTGAGAAGCCGTAACAAGCCCACCAAGATGTCGCGCATCGGACTACGTGTGGCTGCCTCGTTTGCATTTCCAACACCTGCGTCCGTCGCATCAGTGCAGCTGACAAAAAAGCATGCCAGCGGGCTATTCGGCGTGCGCGCTGGATTCCGGAGCCAATCCCCACCGATTGACCAGTATCTTCGCAACATTGGTTCCTCATCTCAACCTGCCACTGTCTACGCGTACCTCTTAAGGAAGCTTTGGTGGCTTGGTCCTGTAAAGGCAGTGCCGGGTTGTGGTCACGCAGATGCCAGGCTCGTTGATATCAATCTCGAGAAGAACAAGATCGCAGGTAAGTACAGATTGCTCGACTCGTTTCCTAACTTATTACTAACAGTCACAGAACTTGATAACGATCTTACGGACACCCTCGGACTACGCTCCATACCGCTTTCTTCGTTACTTCTCTCTCAAGTAGCAAATATCGACCAAGCCTGCTACGAAAAGGTACACCATCAGTTGCTCCACACCACGGCCAAGAACGCACCCGCCATAGTAGGCGCTATTTCCGAAGAGCTTCAGACCGCATCAAACCAGCAGCCGATCGCCCCTCTCAACTTTTCCAAGCCACGGTTCCATCTCTCATATACGTCAGCCACGCTCACTAGTCGTCGCGGCCTTGAAGAACTCGTCTTGAAGGACCTCCCTACGCTTGGCGCTGGTATTGAACAGCACGACTACACCCTTCTGAATCACAAAATCCGAGAGGATCCTGATTTTCCCGTTGCACCCTTCTGGCACGAAGAGTATGCTTCTCAGCGCTCATGGCGCGATACCACTCTACAGTTGAGTGAAGACAAAGCCGGCGGCTTCTTCGTCCATGAAGTCTTTCTCAAAAAGCTGCTCCATGAGCTCAATGGCTCAGGTGTGTTTCCGCATGCAGGAAAGCTTCGAACGCTCAGGACCTCTGCTATAGTCGAAGCTAAGAAGATAATGAAAGCAGAGGCAGAAATGGCTACCGCAGAGGAGTCAAAGCGTCTGCTACGGTGCAAAATCGAATGTCTCGTTCATCAGGTTGCTGACACCGAAGAGCATCTCAAAGCCGTACGGCTGATCAAGCTGGAGACTCTTGAAGCTGGCAATGTTTTGGAACTCTCAGATCATGCGATTGTCACATTACTGGCAACTGAGATGCGGTTAACCATGGATGACAAGACCTCAGCGGCAGACGTAGAAACGGACTGCATTTGCGACATCATAAGCGAATACAGCGACGATGTCGACGAGAACTACTGGAACAAGCAGTCAGTCCTCGATGTTGTTTGCAACGAGCGCAAGCGCGAGACCATCGCTAACTGGATTTCGTCTATTCAACTATCAACATTCGTGCATTGTGAGCTCTACATCGATGATCGTAACTACTGCGGGCCTCTGGAACCTACCGACGACACAGAGGAGGATGTCATGGAGGAGATACAACGCTTAACTGAGGAAGAGGGCGTCTACGAGTATCCCAAAATTCTCTTCAACCACGATCAGGACGGCAATATCATCCTACCATTGGCTGATGGATACTCGATGGAACGATCCGAAGGATACTATACAAATATGAGCGGCTTGAGTAGCCTATCGAGCTCAAATTCGAGCTCTAGCGCTGATGAGGAAGATCATTATGCGGCTCTTGGAGATTCGCCTCCATCAGCCAGAGTCTCTTTCTCTTCTAAAGGAACGAGCGTTGACGACGGTCCTGTTCCAAATCCGAAGGATACGAAAAATCACAGCACAGAACAGGAATTGGATATTGAACATGGCGATTCTATCACATCAACATCAACTGACAACCAGCTCTTGAAAGATATCATTGCTGATAGTATAATCATCGACAAGAACACCACTCGGCCTTCCATCATGCCCGATATTCGTAATACAACAAGCACATATCAGGAGAAGCGCGCTGCGATAGCCCGTGGAGAAGGAATCAACGCTCGTCGTTTAAATACGCTACGTATGGCTTGGGATATCCCACACCACTCACATGGTCCACAACAAGCAGGATACCGTCCCCATTTGCACGGCTACCGCCATAACACGCGTCCATCTCCAGACTGGGACGCACCAGGTGCGCCGAAGCCTCGATTTGCGGAGCGTGTCGAGACCATAGGAATGCTGGATCAGTTCAACAAGGAATATGAGGCGAAGTGGGTAGACTGGCATGGCGCTATGCCGGAGGAGGTGTTGGATGTGAACGGTAAGCCCCTGATTTAATTCTAATTGCATGAGTCTTCCTAACGTTGGTATAGTATTCGTTCCACCGCGCCGTCCACGACACGAAGATCTCATGACAGCTATCAACGTGGTCTTCGACTGAAATCCAGACCAGTAGCAGCTCACCCGCCCTGCAACAGTAGTCGCATACAAAATTGGGGCCATGAATCATGAATCATGATGCGCAATTATGCCTCGACGAAATTTCTCCTACTCTGCTTTACACCTCTACAGACTTGCAATAGCTCAGCGCACAGATAACCTGAAGCTCATGCACTTCTGAATTATCTTCTTTTACTCGGTCACATTGTTCCACTACCAGAAAACGAGGCCGTGAATGGCGGTATCGCCTCTTCTCTGCACTATGGTCGCTCTCTATCACATTGAGACTTCGACTCTCCTTTTTATTTAGATGGAATTGGAACAACGATAGGCCAACATGCCGGCACCGAGGCCGGCAAAGGAGTTCATATTTTGTTTTCTCGGCGTTGGGCGGACAAAGATTAGACTAATCTTTAAAACGTTTATTGGCACAGGGATGGCTTTTGAAGTAATTAGTAGATTAATAATTACTACTTGATATTCAATGCGTGGTGTTTGCAGTCTTTCCTATGCTCCTTCAATTATGTCAAACGAAAGAGCGGCTCGAGGGCCCCTAAGATACATATCTTTTGATGTATATATGAATGTGTCAAGACACGATTGATAGCGAGTTGAGGCTTAAGGTAATATTTTCTTTCGTATACAAATTCCCTGCTATCTAATCGTGTTCTACTTTATAATCCATGTTCATTCTCCAGTCGTGAAAGTAAGAATGAAAGAAAGCACATGAAGAAGCTTCTCACAACGTACATGTACGTTATAATCGCGAGGTGAAGTTTCAGATCCAATCATGAATCTGTAAAGCATAAAACAGCTGCGCATCTATGTGAGAATATATGGTGGTGAATAGAAGTGGCGAGTAATCTACCTTTATAAGTGAATTTGGAACTGGGAAAAATGTAGGGAAAAAAGAGAATAACAGGGAAATTCCGTGCGTTGAGCCGATGACTATGGCTGTGAACCACAACAGAACGTGTGAACCCTAGGTATGGGTTATCGATCCATCACGCGATTTTCGAACAATCTGGGACGTATGTCAAAAGTGGAACACGTGAAAGCTGAGTGGTTGGGAGCTCGTGGAAACTTCAAATCCGGGCAACGCAATACACTTTTCATAGTAGCCAGGGTACAGCGCAATTTTTTCTTCGGTAACTAAACGGGTATCCGAACTCATGACGACTCCGAACTTCGGGCCGGCGAAATAGATTGATTACAGTTGTATACAATGTTGGTAGACATATGGTGGTATATGGTGTAGAACTAGGTCGATACCGAGCATAAGCAGGCATGACTAGCCACTCATAAAGTGGTGAGAGTCCATGTTTGCTCACGCTTGCTGTGAGCAACACATGGTGCTTATGTTCTTCGTTTCGTGGGAGTTGGACTCCAGCCCTGTGGCTGCCATTCCTGGCCTGAATTGCCGTGGCTCGCTTGCTTCCACGGCGAGTCTTTCGGCTCTTTCTTCATCCTCTTTCGCGTTGTCAAGGTAGGCGCATCGTCTGTCGAGGTCGGTTCTGGTGAATCGTGGGGTATTTGTACAGTCTCTTGCTCGGGGACAGGGGGCGTATTTTCCTCCTCATATACATTTTGCGGCGGCTCTACCCTGGCCATTATCTCCTGGCCAGGATCTGGTTTTGTGACACCGTTATCCAGGACTCTTGACTGCAGCATTTGTGCCGGCTGCTGCTTGTCCGGGCCATCGAGCGCTGACGGTTTTGCGGCCCATCTTGCGTCTGCCTGAGCTGCAAGTATCTTCATGCGCTCTTGTCGCAACAGGTCCTGCTGTTGTTCGACGACAGTGGGTGGATCGTAGCGGGTATGGCGCAGCCACTGCATCCATGCCGCTGCGGTCTGTCAGCCAAGTGCAAGTTTCAACATTGGGATGCACGCACGAGAGACGTTGACGTCGCCAAAGTGTGTCTTCCGACTATACTTTGCTATCCTGCGTTTCCGGAGTGCGTGTAATGCGTCTTTGAACTCCCAGAAGGTGTTGCCCTGGAGATCGAAGCCTGTGAGGCGTTAGACAAGTCAACCAGGAGGAGAGTGGGAGGACAGCTACGAACCCACCAGCCACTTCTTCCGCCAGGGAAGACGCATCATCTTCCATTGATACCATGCCTTGCGAATTGCGCTGGGACCTGCTGCCATTGTGTTTTTTGTGTATTGCCTCGGACAAATTTCCGCAGCGCGCAGGCGAGTTGACGCGCAGACTGGTGACGTGGGAGCGTTGGCTAGTGCGGTAGGCCAGCATTCCCCACCACCAACACCCAAGTCCCCGTCCTGTGTTGACATGCGACGTCGGCACTCCCTACTTTACTACTAATACTACTACACGCTCGTCTCCCAGTCGCCTTTCCTGGCGCCTCATCAAGAGCCATATCCTAATACATTTGCATAGCACTTCATCCACGACCACCAACGACCCCGCGTGCCCATAGCCACACAAACCGCCCAACTCGAGCCCAATCTGCCCACCATGGCATCGGTCACGTCGTTGGACCAGGACATGCGCAAGCTACGCATGGACAGATATACACCAAAAGCTGCCAACGAAGTGCGGAGCTGGATAGAAGACGTCCTGGGCGAGCGGCTGCCCGCGGGCGACTTGCTCGATGCGCTGAAGGATGGCACCGTCTTGTGCAGGTACAGTTGCGCCCAAGTAGACTTTGAAGTGACAATACAGGAGCTAATAGTCATAGACTCGTCAATCACGCTGTGCCCAACCCCGGCGTCAAGTTCAAGAAGTCGTCCATGCCCTTCATACAGATGGAGAACATCTCGCACTTCCTCAGAGCCTGCGAGATGCCACCGTTGAATATGCCCGCCCACGACCGCTTCCTCACCGTCGACCTCTACGAATCGAAAGACCCTACCCAAGTCCTACAGTGTCTCGGCGCCTTCAGTCGAGTCGCCAACTCGGTAAACCCCTCCAATTTCCCGACCTCGTTGGGCCCCAAGCGCGGCGGGGGCGGTACATTGAGCCCTTCGACCACCGGTGGCGGCTACACAAACACAGGCATGGCATCCCCTGGTTTCGGGCGCAGCAGGGGACCCAGCACCACTAGCGGCTCCAGCACCTTCAATCCACTTGCTCGACCACCCGCGACCGAACGGCCTCTCAGCCCTGCCCGCACAGGAAGCTCCACTACATCCTACACATCCAATGGTATTCCCACGTCGCCCCCGGGCGGTGTGAGTACATGGAGTAAGAAGGCTGACGTGGGCAACACAGCGCCAGCATGGAATATCCACCAATATGGCTACATGGGTGGCGCAAGCCAAGGCAACCAAGGCATCGCATTCGGAGCCCGGCGGCAGATCACGACCGCCGGGCCACATGTACCGAACCTAGCGGAGAAGGAGCGAAAGCGCAAGGAGAAAGAAGCAGAAGAGGAGCGACTGCGTCTGCAGGCTGAGGAGGCTGAGCACAAGCGTCGCGTGGAGCGCGAGGCAGAAGAGGAGCGTGTACGGATAGAGGAGGAGCAGAAATGGGAGGAAGAGTCGCGAAAGCAGCAAGAAGCAAAACAGCAGCGACTCGACCAGCAAAAGCGCGAGTGGGAAGAGCAAGAGAGGCAGTGGAAACTGGAGGAGGAGCAGAGACAGCGAGAAGAACGAGAGGCACTAGAGAGGGTCGAGGCTGAGACGAGACGAAAGCGAGCTGGAAGTGACGCGCGACTCAAGGGCCAGTTCCTCAGCCAGTACCAGGCCGAACAAGCCAGCAAACCACGCAGTCGACGAAATAGCCAGAGTGAGGAGCACAATGCCGAGCGCGATCGCATCAGAGAGCTGGAGCGACAGCTTGAGGAGGCAAAGGAACGCGAGCGCCTATATCAACAGGAACGAGAAGGCCGCCTAGAGAGCTCCAAGGCACGCGCGCGTTCGAAGAGCCGTACCCGAGACCGATCAAGGAGCCGCCCGCGACCGCAGCCTCCGCCACGCGCGCCTTCACCTCAGGATAGCACTGTCTCCTGGGCACAAGCTGACGATCGCGACTATCTCCGCAAGCAGTGGGAGCAGACACAAACGCAATCGCCACGACCTCTCCCAGAGCCTGCGCCACCTTCTCTTCCAACACGTCCACTACCTGAGCCAGCAGCGCCATCTCTGCCCACGCGCCCACTACCGGAACCATCAACGAGACCCCTTCCTGATCCTGCAGCATATGCAAACAAGAGCCGAACAGATCGCTATCTTGCGTCCAATCCAGCACCAGCACCTCTCAAGCCTCAAACTCACATCCCAGCAGAGCTCACGTCAACCTCGGAGCAGCGTGGTGAGGACGCTAGACGAGCTGCTTCGCAGCAAAAAACCAAGGCGGCCGGCTGGGCATCCAAGTCACTGCTAGAGCGCGAGATGGAACGTGAGCGGGAGCGACAGAAGGAGTGGGAGGAGTCTCAGCGTGCGCTCCAAGAGGCCGCGAAGGACCCCAGCGCAGGTACAGGTCAAGGTCAGAGCTGGGACGTCAACCAGTATGGCTACATGGGCGGCGACAACCAGAACAAGCTGGGGGGTATTGGTGGTGGAAAAAGGCAAATCATTGGGCCGAGGCCGTTTGGCCCTCGATAGAGGCTGCAGAGGCATTGTATTCTGCCTGTTATTAATCTTCATAGTAGTTGTTGCATAGTGGGTGAAGAATTGAGTTCGTTGTGAGTAGATGAAGAAACTGTCGCATGGTCTATAACAGCGATAAAGTACTGAGGTCAACTAAATTGGATAGCTTTATCCCGTATCGCTTGACATTTTACTTAGCCTACATATGATTTGACTTGAAGACGCTACGTAATATAAATGGTTGCCCACATGAGCCTCATGGTGAGGCGCCAAGACATCGGCGTAAGCAAATGCCGGCGACTTCTGAGATTCTTCGATGTCTGAGCTCTTGCGACGCGCTCAAGCTCCACACCAGCACATTGTCCAGACCTGTACATTACTACGCGCGCGCCAGATCCCCTTCTAGATCCCAAGACAACGGCACATCATGCCCAAGTTCTTCTGCGACTATTGCGATGTCTACCTCACACACGACTCGATGAGCGTGCGGAAAGCGCACAACAACGGCCGCAACCACCTCCGCAATGTGCAAGCCTACTACGAGCAAATATCGAGCGACCAGACACAACAAGTCATCAACAGCATAACAGACGCATACAATACCGAAGGGCAGGCCAACCCGCTGTTCCAGGCGAATCTTAGCGGAGGCTTTCCCGGGGGGCCGATGGCAATGCAGGGAATGGGCCCGCCGATGGGTATGCCTATGCCTGGAGGGATGCCAGGATTTCCGCCGCCAGGTGAGTTCAATTGAGGTTTTAAAGTCGAAGTGATTGCTGACGCGTAGTAGGGATGCCGGGAATGCCAGGAATGCCACCTCCATTCATGGGTCGAGGAGGTCGTAAGTCAGCCCATAGCTATCCTCGACAATCGATTTCTAACCATCTCGCAGCTGGTCCAAACATGCCATCGAACATGCCGCCCTTCCCCCCGCCAAATATGCCTCTAGGCCCTGGCGGTATGCCCCCAAATATGCCACCTTTCCCACCACCAAACATGGGCGGAGGTCCACCAGTAGGGATGCCGCCGTTCCCCTTCCCACCACCAGGTGGAGCTGGCTCGCCACCGGGCGGTATGCCGTTTCCTCTGCCAGGCGGTATGCCCGTTATGCCGCCTGGAGGACCGCCAGGCAGATATCCTCCTGGACCGCCAGGACGCTAGGAACGTCCTGATGCGCACAAGGGATGCACGAGCAACTTCATGAATGGGACTTCAGGGTCGCGGCGGAATAGAGATGACGATATACCCGAGGCGTTTTTGCGAGGTGGAGAAGGGCGGCAATGGACTAGTGCGGCGACGGGTGCCAACGCCATAGTACCAAAGAGGGCCCAGAGGGGGCAGCCATAAGACGGAGGGATCGATACACGAGTACGTCCCCGCATTCAGACACTTGGTCTCGGCTTACAGTGGATGTAGCGATACAGACCATATATCGACCATGAAGCATGGGATTGGTTATTCACTACCTAAAATTCAGTCTACTTGAGCTCGCTAAAGAGCCTCTTTACATATGTGCCCAAGTCCAACATGTCAATGCCCAGCTCATAATTCACCGTGCCTTTAGAGCTCCACACGACACCCTCTCCCGCAAAAGCCAGCCTGTACTTCTTAATCCCATTCTCCGGGTCCTTTCTCAGCTCCTCCTTGAGATGATCCACACTCCACGCCTCCCTCACAACCTCCTTTCCAGTAACACGCCCAATCAAATCAGCCAGCTCTCCATACCGAATCGAGTCACCAGCAAGGTACAGCACGCGATTCTCCGCATCCACATCCCCAGCTACAATCCGCGCGAGTACTCGCCCGATATCCTGCACATCCGTGACAGTAACGCCGTGCTCCCAATCGCGCAGACTGCGCACTGTGACTTCCCCCTTACCTTTCCTCTCTACAATCCCCCAAAACTCCTCGAATAGAAACGACATGAAGATCCCCGTGCTCACTATCGTCCATTGAACATGGCTGTCCTCAGCTTCAGCGCGCAATCGATTGCGAACACTCTTCTGCGCGCCGAATAGTGGCATAAGCCCATCCACATCCCCCGTGACGTCGTAGTCGACTCCCCACTGCCAGGGGAAGAACCATAGTTTGCTTTCTCCTCGTGCTTTGCGTAGTTTGCCTGCTTCTAGGGCTTCGGTGGCGAGTTTGGGGATCGAGGTGGTGTCTTGGCCGAAGCCGGTGGCAGATATTAGGATGTCGTAGTGGGAGAAGAGTTCTGCGAGGTGGGTGGAGGAGCTGGTTAGGTCGAGGGGTGTCAGGGTGATGTTGGATGTGGTTAGGTGGGTGTAGTTCTGCGGGGAGCGGACGCCGATTGTTATGTGGGTGTTGGGGAGGGCGCTGAGGTGGGGGAGGAATGCTGTGCCTAGTTCTCCGGCGCCGAGGAGGAGGATCTTGGTTGGTAGTGGTGTTTTGGCAGAGGACATGATGGGTGGATGGGCTTTTTAGATGTTGCGGAGATATTCACGTTCCTTAATAAGTACTTGGCTGTCTTGTAGGTTGAACTAATTGTAATTGTAGTTGCTGAGCTCTCCTTCTCTTCTTCTATCTGAATATATTCCCATCGCTCTTGTTATAATGTGCTTGCTGGCCGCTTTGTTCTTGGCTCTCGGAGTTAACACGATATCGCAGTGAATTAATCAGCGTTGCAGAGAAAGGGTGGCGTGAAGCCCCCACACTACTAGGTACTGGTGAGAATAATAAGGATGGTGAGTAGGCGACAGTGGAGTAGCAGAGCGTTGCTGGCCCGATGTCATCGGCGTTCGGACTTAATCACTGGAATGGATAAACTGTCAATGTCAACCGGTCCCACTATTTGGAGTCTTTGAATTGGATTATTGTCTTGCGCTAGAATTTATTCCTTTGTGATGCGGATGAGGAGGGCAATAAATGGGATGGGTGTGAGGAGAGATATCTGACGGCTGGAGTTGGGTCGATCTCGTGTCAAATGCACTGCAAGGAGATGCACCTACCCGGCATATCTCTGCAAGAAACCATATAATATATGGATATCTCCAGTTGGCGATGCCTTCAATTCTCCTCAAGAACGGCTAATAACTGGGTTGGCGTCGCAGGGCCATTTCGTTTTGGCGCTAGTGCACTGGCGGCTCGCTTATAATTTTGCAGGTGCGCACCGTGTTCCTTCCTCGCGAGGACGACGAGCCATTTCGAACTTCTGCCAATACACCCCATCGAGTGCGCCTACGTCCATCTCCAGCAGAAGCCACTCTACGCAATCATGGCCGAGCAACTCGTTCTCCGTGGCACCCTCGAGGGCCACTCCGGCTGGGTCACGTCCCTCGCTACCTCGCTCGAGAAGTGCGTATCTCCAGGCTTCATGTAGTTGCATTGCGCAGTACTGACAGCCGGCAGCCCCAACATGCTCCTGTCCGGCTCGCGCGACAAGACGCTCATCATCTGGAACTTGACCCGCGACGAGACCTCGTACGGCTACCCCAAGAGGAGCCTACACGGCCACTCCCACATCGTCTCCGACTGCGTACGTACAGCCCACACTTGGCAGCCTCATATATGAGTCTGGCCAGCTAGCAGGCAGGAACAGTTGAGCTCACAATTGCTGCAGGTCATCTCCTCCGACGGTGCCTACGCGCTCTCCTCGTCCTGGGACAAGACGCTCCGCCTCTGGGAGCTGTCCACCGGTGCCACTACCCGCCGCTTCGTCGGCCACACCAACGACGTCCTCTCCGTCTCCTTCTCTGCCGATAACCGTCAGATCGTCTCCGGCTCGCGCGACCGCACCATCAAGCTCTGGAACACCCTCGGTGACTGCAAGTACACCATCACCGACAAGGGCCACACCGAGTGGGTCTCCTGCGTCAGGTTCTCGCCCAACCCCCAGAACCCCGTCATCGTCTCTGCTGGCTGGGACAAGCTCGTCAAGGTACGTGAAATGATTCCAAAAGAAGCATTCCCTGCCCCCCTCGTTTATATGATGATTTGGTTTCCTATGTATTTGCTACTTCAGAGCCTCGGCGATGAGAACAAAAATCACCTAGTACTGATACGACTTGCACAACCTCATTTTATCGAAGCTGTTTTGCAACCAGACGCTGACTCTTCATAGGTTTGGGAACTTGCTTCCTGCCGCATCCAGACGGATCACATTGGCCACACCGGCTATATCAACACCGTCACCATCTCGCCCGATGGCTCCCTCTGCGCCTCCGGTGGCAAGGACGGAACCACCATGCTCTGGGACTTGAACGAGTCCAAGCACCTGTACTCTCTGTCCGCCGGTGACGAGATCCACGCCCTTGTCTTCTCGCCCAACCGTTACTGGCTGTGCGCCGCTACCTCGTCCAGCATCATCATCTTCGACCTCGAGAAGAAGAGCAAGGTTGACGAGCTGAAGCCCGAGTACATGGAGGTTGGCAAGAAGAGCCGGGAGCCCGAGTGCGTCTCCTTGGCCTGGAGTGCCGACGGCCAGACCCTGTTTGCTGGATACACTGATAACCGTATCCGCTGCTGGGGTGTCATGGCGAGGGGATAGATTAGTGCAATGAGTAGTGACGGGGCGTAAATGGGAAAATCACGATTCCACATCTTCTGTAGCATGCCATGGTATATGAGTGACGCTCATGCGGGATGGGTTTTGGGAATGGTCAATTCTCTTCCGGTATTAGCACTTCCAGGCGCTCAGAGGCAATGAAAATTATCAAGTCCACACTATCGTCCCACGATGTCAACCAATCTTGTTAGGTTCTTCTCACAGCCGCATAGGCGTAGATTGGCGTGTACACAAGCTGGCAAGTGGTGACGGGTCCTTTCAAGTACGTATACATCTATAGCTTGCTAAACTTGGGCGTCCGTTTCTGCATTCCACTCAACATGGCGGCTTGGACGTCCTGCGTCTGCAACATGGCCGCATTCCACACGGCAGTATAATGCAGTCCTTCAGCAACCGTCTTATCGCGTGAGTAATTGATAATGTCCTTTGTACCCAGCGTCGCAACAGGCGACTTTGACGCAATCAAGCTCGCCAACTTCAACGCCTGTAACAAAGTCAGCACATCCATAACACAACCAAGACGAGTCAACCACAACATACCTGATCCACAGCCTCATCCTTGTTCTTATACACCGAACTCACCAGCCCAACCCGCAGCGCTTCTTCGGCGCCAAAAATCCTCGCAGAAAGCGCGACATCCTTGACCCACGACAAATTCCCCACCGAATGCGGTAGCCGCGATAACGTGCCTATATCCGCTGCAATACCTATATCCACCTCCTTGACGCTAATCTTCGCATCCGCCGTCGCAACACGGATATCGCACGCTAGACACATGTCGAGCGCCAGGCCAAAGGAAATACCATGCAGCACGGCGATGACGGGCTTTTCGCATTTTTCCAGGTCCGTAATGCAGGATTGGAATTCGAGGATGTGGCGGCGGATGGTGGTCGCTTTGCGCGCGCTGTCTTGTGGGGAGTCGGAGTCGCTTTTTTGCGCCAGCGCGCCTTCTTGCGAGGCGGCTTGGACGTCCAGGCCTGCTGTGAAGGCGCGGGGGCCAGCGCCTGTGAGGAGGACTGCGCGCACTGAGGGGTCGTGGGATAGGGCGCGGAAGATGGCGCTGAGGTTGTGCCACATTCTGGGTGGGGGTGGTTGTTAGGATATTTCTTTCTTTCATGTGGTGTGTAGACTTGAGAATGGCTTTATGGTGTGGAAGTGAGGGAGTAATGGAAGAGATGTGTGAGATGTTTGTGCATGTCCCCCGGATTTTGCTGAGCGCTGCAGGCTGGGCTCTTTTGAACTCTGAATGATTGCCCATGAAGGAGGAAGTTGGAAGGTTTCTTGATACAGTGAAATCGACAGATACGCACATAAGAACAGGGCCAAAGAGTACGAAGTTTTAAAGCAAGGCATAGGACAGAATATGATAAAAAAAGTGTAGACTTGCAAGGTGTATGAAAGAAACAAATCAAGTAGATAGAAATTAGACCAACAAAATATGTTACTTACACCTCCTTGAACGCGTTCAGCTTCTCTGGCCGATTAATCTCCACGTGTGCCACATATTCGGCGGGAAAGGAGACATTGAAGAACTCCTTCTGGTAAGCTGCTGCGTTGTTGGACATGTTTGCGTTCGTCCCGTCTCTACTTCCGTTTCCTTGTAACCAAATGATGCTTTGCTCTTTCTCTTGCGTGAAATGTATGCGAGTTGTACAAATGGTGCCTGGGCTTCGTAGGCGGTAGGGACGAGAAGGAAGCTTTAAGGAAAGAGTTAGAATCTCAAGTCAATGAGAGCTTAGCTTGACTAGAAAGAAGTGTTGGAAGCTGTGAGTGAGAAGACGGACGTTCTTTGATGACAGTGGGCGAGTCGGTCGGCTTGCTTCCGTCGCGTGGAGTCCAGAAGATGCCGAGGTATGTTTTGGGGTGGTGATTAGTTGATTTGTCCATGAGTCGGAAGGTTTACGCGAATTTGGCATGTGCAGTCGAGCAACAACATATTTTTGTCTATAATACTGTCGTTACGATCGGCAACTTCGAATGTGAGATTAATAATCTTGGCTTAACATGATTACTAGAGTATGGGAGAAATCAACTTCGCCAGGTCGCCAATTTGGTCAAAAAGCTCCGTTGTTGTATTGCAGTGTTACCTCGCTCGCAAAGCGTGAACATGTGAGGACTCTTCAGTAACTACATTGCGATACTACACTACTACAACGAGTCAAATTAAGCTCAGAGCTACTCAGATATTCAACCCTCGCGAAGGATATCCTCGATGTAAGCCCACGCCGCCATGGCATTCGTATAGCCGGCCCCTGTCCATGAGATTGCCGGACAGAACCGCATCGCATCGAATCAAACTTAGATACTTTGTTCCTCCTCAACTATGAAAATGCGATAGCTAAATTTCATGATGCCAAAATCAAGCCTTTGGCGTCCTCATACGGCTGCCCCCAAAGAGAAGGCAGAGAAGTCATGACATTAATGAGCCTCGCCGGGGGATATACGATCGATCAAATAGCACTACATGATGCTGCACCCCATAAGTTCGCAGAAGATACCATCTCATTGTCTCAAGGCCGAAACTGTTACCATGGCAACATCAAACACCAAGGACCACCTAAGAACTGTCTCAACGACGAAGACGGAGATAGCGTTTTCTTGACCGATTCAATGCACTGAAGTTCAACGTTTTTCGTATGTTTTCCAACCTCTCTACTCTTTCGAGCCGATCTCTACGCAGCAAGACGCCTACTCCTGCGGGCATGATACGCGATCGTCTCACGGTGAGGGAGCACCCTTGCTCCTTTCTCGTTTTCACTCGATTTTGTGGACTCGCCGTGCAGACATGGCATCTCGAGCCTCCGAGATCGAATCGCTCGATGCGCGGCGTGCCCCACAGCCCATTGTAATCTAGTGTGACTGGGATCGTAGTTCCCAGCTTGTGCAGCGAAGCCATCGTGGTTCTACTATCTTCGGGAATGATTAAATCCATGGGTACCTCCGCAATCAGCAGAATGAGACGCTGGTCCTCTGTTACTGCGTTGAAATCTAATGCAATGAGTGAACTAGTTGGCAGGTAGTTTCCCACAATCACAACTGTGGTGAAGAAGATGTCCAGGGAAGGATGGCGAATCCGAGCAAGATAGCCGATGCCGTCGTTTAGACCGTCCATTATGCATCGACTCAGTAACTGCATAAAGTCCCCCCATACGCGGTAGTGCAGGTTCGATCGGAAGGAAGGGTGGAAATCCATTTCGCTATTCCTGCGGATGTAGCGCAGTACTTTGCTATGATTGTCAACGAGAATATGGGCTAGGGACAGTTGCTGTTTTCGATTGTATCTACCGGGTCCAAAGGCCTCTACGATTTGAAGTGCGTCGGACCAGCGACCCCTAGCAAATAGAATGAGGGTGATGTCTCTATGGAAAAGATCGTTCTGGGACCTGTGGACACTGCCGAGTTTTCGCAGCAAGGTGCAGTTGCCAACAAGGCGACCGGAGAGTGTGAGGGTGCCATCGTCAACGGTACAGGTACCTAACGGAGCCATTGAATTGAGATAGGAAGCTGCCGACACACTATGCCGATGTGCAAACTCTGGGATTATGCAATTGGAACTGCCAGCAACCGACACTTTCGTCTTATCGATGAGTGGCGCGGGCGGCAACATGGCCCAGCGAAGATGTCCCTCACACACAGCTGCTTCCCACCATCGTCCCCAGGCTGCTTCTCTTGACTCCCCAATAATAGGCTCAATCTCCACTCCACACGCGGCCATAATGCCGTAGACCTCATCCACTGCGACCGTCGCCTTGCGATTCCCGAGCAACTCCATGACCCTTGTAGGCTCAATCGCACCAAGTCGCGAGTTAGCCATGCCCGAGAAATGGGTATACAAAACAGCAAATTCTGACTCTGGGGCTCGCGATATACATTCGGTGATGCATAGCTGATCACATAGCCCCGGAAGGGCTTGGAACAACATATCATCTATAACCACAGGGTGGAGGTCCAGCCCAATCCAGAGAACAGATGAAGCAAGAACATACTCCTGCAGCGTCCAAATGCGCGTCGCCCAGGAAGATTTGGTAAGTCTCGCCAGACCCTTCATAGCCTGGACGAGAGCTCCCCGTCTAGCCTCATCATCTCTCCATCGCCGTACAAACTCTTCCTCGGCCCACGCTTCGTTTTTCCACGCTTCTACTGCTTCATGCACCGCTAACTGAGCCCTATCTACGTCTTCCTGCGCAAATCCAAATTCACATGTGAGTACAATGCTAACTACCGCCGCGCCGTGGTAGATGGCCCCCATGAGCGGAATCTGCTCTATTTTATCTGCATCGTCATCTTGTATGATGCAGAAGTTGTCGATCCAGCAGTGTCTGATGGCAGGGAAGAGGTCGGCTATTATTTTCCGCACTGCAGCGCCGCCAAAGGAGGTTTCTACGCCGGTGGAGAAGATGTGGTCGGACCAAGCGTGCGAAACGGCGATGTAGGGAGGGGCGTGCCCAATTTCGTAGCTTTCGAGTGTTCCGGTCGACAGCTCGTAGAGCCGGAATTGATTCATTAGACGTATTGTTGAATATAGTTTCACAATCTGTTGAGTTAGAGGTTGGTGCTCGCGAGGAGAGGTTGTGGGACGGTGCCAAGGTTGTCTCGAGGTGGGGGTTATTTCGAACAAGACCAATGAAATGGCAAGCCAGCCTTCTCATTTCGGCGAAGTGCTCACATTTATAGGGTAGAAGTTCTAGATTTGAGAATTACATGTCTATTTGTAAGGTTTCATTATTCCCTACACTAATAAATATTGATAATTATCACACTAACTCCGTTCAGACTAAAATCTAATTTGTCTCTCAAAGCAAAGACATATATTTTGTTTTCAACTGAACCATTTTTGTCTGTAAACAAGAGAGAAGAATAAGTTATAAAGCTCGGAAGCTCTCTACAAATCGTAAAAGCGGTATTGCAACATAATGAACGGTACGGTACCGCGACGGTCGGTCACAGAACCATGGAACTGATTCCAGCCACGTGTACCAAGAATACAAACATCTTGTGGCAGAATAGTTTTATGATATTTACAGACTAGAACAACGTGGTGCATATCCTGACAGCGCTTAAGCATACTGTCATGACTATCGCAAATTGAATTGACCTTGTTGAATCTAAGAAGAGAGTACTCGTCAATATGAAGGTTGCGTATAGGTAGATTCCTACAGCAAGTAACTCAATAACTGTTTCATAGCAGCGCCAGCTCCGAATTCCGAAGTCCGTGGGCATTGTGATGCAGACTCTGATGTACGCGCCATCATTGGACGTCGTAATGTTACTGCTACGGATGGTTGTATTATCCGGCGTGAGTGGGCGATTGATAGAATGACGGCCACCCCGAGGGGAGGACGAGTCGCTTGGACTGTCTGCTTCAAGAGGGCCCACTTCGGTCCCAAGCCCCCTGTTTTCGACAATAGGAAGACCTGTGCCGTTTGCCACACGAGGAGTATTTGTCTTCGGTTCGAATTCATAGGGTAAGTTCATGAGCTCCCAGATGCTATAGTCCATCTTCTGACCGTAGCCGTCGTAGACCTCTATAGATTCCTTCATAGAAATCACAAGTCCAACAGCGATCACCAGCCATATCATGCACGCAAGTGGCCTTAGGGTACTAATCAGCCAACTTTTAGACGCTCAACATAAATTATCGGGTTGGCACATACCAGGAAAAGAGCAGCCAGGAGTACTCACACCGCCAAGGTACCATAGTAAAACTAGAAATTACCCAATTGCGCCATAACATAATACCAGCCAAGGACACAATCAATGCATCCATGGCAATTTTGGCGGTGATATTATGCCACCTATTATCACTGATAGATGGCAGTCCTATTGTCCATTCTCTCGTTCTAGACTCCCGCGGACCCACCCGCAAAAGCTCCGTGCGAAGGGGTCTTAGTTGCCGGAAGAGACCGCGGCTCGGGAGGCCGATTGTAAAGCAGCATGTTGCTAGCGCACGGTGGGGCGATACTAAAGCAAGCTGAACAATATCGAGGGGCGGCGAACCTTCAGGGGATCAGCAAAGCTCACAGGATTCATCTCATTAGACTCCATGACCCGATGTTTGAGACACAAGAAACGCTGAGATGGCTCACCGATCAAAGTGAGGATTGTTGGTAGAAGTGCCACAATACTGGTCCCACTATTCAAGTTCGCCTTGAAAGCCTCAGTGAGTTCATCATATATGCAAGATATAATATGGGCGCAGGTCAGGAACTCAAAGGCCTTTGGATCGCTGCCGTTGCAGATTTTGGAAGCTTCTAGGAACCTTGGATCGTCTTGCGGCCCGAATGTACGCCGCATTGCTTGCGCAGGAATAATGAGGGGCAATATTACAAGACTCAGGTAAAACCGACTGCAGATGTAGAGATACATGAGTTATATCTTTGTATTCAAGCTCCATGAATTGATGTTGAAGAGATGGTTGAGTAAGGCTGAGTTATTTCTATTATCCTTAGTATATTTGAAATTAAAAGTCAACACTACCAGATAAATGCTAGCAATAAGTAGGACCGATATATTGATATAGTACATGAGTAGTGGCACATACGCTGAATGAGTAAATAAGGAAAATTATGTTAGTGGTGGGTGTTTCATTGTTGTGCTCCAGCTGAGAACGCCACTTGGGCTCGGCGTGCTGTTTATATGGCGTAGAGCAACGCAAACTTGCAGGGAACTGGGCAAAATGCATGCAGCTGTCTATTCAAGGATTCAATTGCATAATCACACCATTTAGGTTCCAGGGTGCTTGAGCTGACCATTTGCCTACTTTTTGCCTTGTTGTCCTATATCCCCGAACTTTTGTTTGGCTGCATTGGGTTTTGGCATGATACATCCGTTTACAGATTTAATATGAACACAAATGTCCCCGCACCCAAAGCGACTCCACCGAAGTAGCGATTTCTAGGGCGTAGGCGCTTTTGAATTTTCTCGAGATCCATTCACTATATATATTTCTTGACATCTCAGCTCACGTTAACGAATATCCCGGTTGCCAATCCAGCTACCAAGAGCAGCCACTTTTCGAATGTTAGGAAACGGCTCCTGCTTTGTTGGTCAGAAGATCACAGGACATAAAGTAGTGTAAATCCGATATTGGACTCAGGTTGCTACTGTGATATCAAGCGAGTAGCTTTACCTGGGCGCTTCTGCAGCGCTAGGGCACTGTATATTCTAACTAATAACCCAAGCCAGGAGAAGTAAGTGTATTTTCAGACGTACTTGTTCTCTACATAGCAAACCATAACGTATACTGCACTATCCCTCTTACTCGAAAAATCCAACCCGTCCCTAAAGCTAAACACAACACCCTCGCCATCAAACCAACAACCAAAACGCCTACGTATCCTTCAAACACAAAACCCCTATCTTCTCTACACTGTTGTCGTCTTCTTGATCTCCGGTAACTTATCCCTTAGCTTCTTTACGCAAGCCTTCTTCTTCCACGTCGTCTTATAATACAGACTAAGCGCCGGATAAGTCTTTTCGTTCCATCCTTCCCACTTCTCCACTACGTCATCGATGATAGGCCAAACAGCGCAGTCCGCAATACTGAACCGCCTACCCGCGATAAAAGGTCCGCCGTCGATGAATATTTGCTCTTCTAGGCTTGCTAGCGAGTTCTGGAAGCTCGCTAGTGAGTCGGGGATATGGCGATTGAGCCACGCTTTCAGCAGCCCTGTGGCGAGAAGTAGTATAGGATACGCAGCGGCTGTGCAAGGTTTTCCGCGCTCATCGCGATCGAGTGGGTAATAGCGGTCTATGTAAAATAGGATACTTGACGCCGTGTAGACTTCCGTGTGGTGCGCGTCGTTATCCCGGAAGCTGACTTGGCGATCGAACTCGTAGTCCTCCTCATGCGTCGGCGCTTCCACTAGAGTGTAATTGATCTTGCATTCGGAAAGACACATTTGCGACTGGCGATTCTCTATACTATCATTTGAAGCGAAGAAGATAGGGAGATCTTCAGACGGTTTCTGGAGGTGTAGAACATCGAACCCTTCACCGTACCACTCGTCCCAATCGAATTCGTTGCTGTGATTTTCGCGGCTGAACGCGCGGATGAGTCGTTCGTTTTCTGCTTCATCGCTGTTGATGACGTCTGCTGCGTCGCGCTGTTCATTTGCCGTGGCGCCTTGGCCCCAGATTGTGCTTTCTTTTGCGTCGAGGAAGGTCCCTATGTGGCGAAATGTGAGGCTGATGCGTATACCACCGTAGGCTGTTTCCGCTTCGATGCGCTCACATTGGAGACGCTTGTCTGCCATTATGCCGTGTAGCCATTTCTCGTTGCTTTTAAGGCCGAGAACGAACATGGAGTTATGCGGCATGGCAACGCGTTGCGTTTCCCGTTGATTGCTATTTTCGGTCTCGTCCTCGGACTTTGTAGAGGACTTCTTGGTGCGGAGGCGTATCGTTCGCTGTGCCCCGAAACTTACATTGACGATGGAAGAGTCTTTGGCGATGTCTAGTGTCTTATCTGAATGTTCTGAGATGTAGTCGTTGCCTGAGCGATACAGCTGGATCAAAACATGGTTTAAGGGGTGGCCAACGAGCTTCTCGGCTTGCTTCCTAATTACCTGCACTTTTGGAGAGAAGTGTAGCAGGGGCAATATCTGGTCCGTGGGATGGCGATACACTGGCATCGAACCATCTTCTCCAAATGCGCCTTGGCAGCAAACAAGCCGCGGAACCTCACCTTGTTGGTGTAGCATCTTCTGCCATCGCACCTCGTTGTATAATTGGGTGAAGATAAGATCCCTGAGCGGCTTCGACGGATCTGTCGGATGTCGAAATTGAGCCGGGAAGAAGTCGTTGATGATGCGCGAGTCGCCTTCGGCAATTGTGTCTCCCGGTCCGAGGACTGGTAGGGTTGCAAGCGACTGGAGCTTCGAGGTCTTGCCCATTGTGGACGATTTGGCAGAGGGTGTTGGTGGCGATGGTTCAGGCACTATAGGCACTTGAGATTCAGCTTCCCTGGGCTTCAACTTTGGCGCAGGTATCGGCGAAGAAGTATTTGCGGTCGTCGGCTCTACAGGCTTTGCAGAAACCTGTTTAGCTTCTTGCTCTTCTACTTTCGAACGCGCTGAGGCTGCCTTTGTAGGTGTCGAAAGCACCTCTTTCTTTAACTCGGAAGTTGAGTCAGCTTTTGGCGCCCTAGATAACGACAAGCGTACACGGTCCGACAAATCTGATAACCTGTGCTTCTCCTTCTCTTCATTGCCAGCCTTGGCGGATAGCATAGGCACCGACGCAGCGCTCTTCAGTGCCTGTTGCCTGGCCTCTTTGTCTCGTAAATTAGCAGCACTTTCAGCTTTAGCGATCGATGAAGTCTTTTGAGCTGTTATTGGCGGTGGTTTAACCGTCTCCGTGGCCGTGACTGGCTCGGTTGGGACGTGGTGAGCAGCAGTGCTAGGCTCACCGTTTCCAGATACTGTCTCGGACTTTTCTTTGGAAGCTTCTCCATCCTTCTCTTTCTTTTTCTTTTTAGGCCTTGATCGCATCCGAATCTTAGTCTTCACTAAGTTCGTCTCTTTCTTCTCTGTTTCCCGTCCAGGCTCTTGCGCACCCGGTGTTGCCGCACCCCGCACCAGCATCTCCGCAAACCGTTCATCGGTAGGTTCAGTTGTTGGCTCAGTAACTGGCTCTGTCGTCGACGTGGTAGCGCTCTGGGAAGTTTTCCGACTCTCTGCAACAGATACGAGAGACAATGTACGCTGTTTTCCACTGAGCACTTTGGTAGGAGATCGTATCGAGGCGCGGGATGTTGGCCGTCCATCGTCGTTCAATGACATCTTGCCAACCAAGGCCTCAAGTGCCTTTTCGCTCCCTTTCGAACCTGTTCTCGAGCCATTGGGTGATGTTGATTTTTTCTGAGGGGGAGTTGCTGGTGGTTCTCGTGCAAGTATTTCCGTGCTATTAACTAGATATGCGTCGAAAAAGTCCTCCATGCGCTTCAGCGCCAGGTCATGTCGGGCTTGCTTACGGAAGCCGAGGCAGTCTTCCACAACATTGATCTTGACACCGTGTCGTGCTGCATCGATGACTGTTGCGAGTACAGATACATTCGTAATGCACCCGCATATGTAGAGTTCTGTGACAAGCCTCGCTCGCAAGGTCATCAGGAGTGAGGTGCCTTGAAAAGCAGAATAATTTGTTGTTTTGATCACGATGTCTGCGGGCAGCTCGAATTGCCTTGCAATGACATCCGCAAACTCTGCACCAGGGGTATTCGGTATGCAAGCAGGCGTCTTCTTCTCGCTCTTGAGCAGGAACAATTCGTCATCCTGCTCGGCTGAAGCACGTGCCACCTCCTGTGGGATGGCTTTCCTGCGTGCTGATACACGCTTGAGAAGGTCAAGGGCGCGCTGTTTGTGTTTTGACGATCTTGATTGCGCTGGCGGTAGATCTTTCACATCTTTCGCGAGGTCCTCGTCGCCCCCCTCTGTACTGCTCTCATCCCCGTCGATCAAGCCGCCCACCACGAGCGCATCGCCTTCGCCTGTGTTTGTGTCGGTTGCAATGCGGTCCGCCTCATACAGTGTTTGCACCCAGATGACATTGCCGTTGAGCTCGCGGAATTTTGGGATAAGAGCCTGGATGCGTTCCAAGAAGCCTTTCTTGACGTTCACGGGCAGACGTCCGTCCGGCAACACAAAGTCGTTTTGTAACCCTATGACGAGCAGTGCCTGGTGTGTTTGAAAGTGCGGCTGATTCTGGGCCACAAGGTCCATCAGAGACGACATATTGGAAACCATCTTGGCGGCTAGTAGTATTGTGATTCGAGTGGGAAGCGAAGCTAGCCACACAGGATTGATACTCTCAGGCTGTCGTGCCAACCATTGAGCGCCGTGAACCGGGCCGCCCTCAGAACTGAGCTCTGTTATCTGAGACGTGGAAACAATAAGAGACACGGGTCAAGAGCCAAACGTTGATGATGATGGAAGGATTGCTTTGCAGATGGCCGTAGCTGTTACATGGTCGATCGGAAGGATATGGAAACAATTGGAGTGGCCGGACCCGATGTCATTGTCTCAATCAAGTAAAGACAGCAAGAAGCGCACCGCTCATCGCTGCAGGGTTGACTGCATCTAAATTGTTGCGCTGCAGAACGCGTTGCGCAGGGCTTTCGGGCTTCGCAAAGTGACGAGGATCTGTGGTTGTGGTTCCCCAACAGGCGCCTGCCACTCCCCGCTCTTAGCGCGCGGGGCGAGCCTCGCCGCAATATCTACTACATACTACTACACCACTGTCTGTGACGTATACGCGGCCTCTCCGACTATAAGCGTGCCCTTCTCCGCAAAAGAGTGCCAATCTCTGGTTTGCCTGTCCTCGCCAGCTCATCGTCGTTCATCGCGCACGGTTCCCATCTACCCTGACTGACCCCAGGAGTCGCACAAGTGGGCTATAGAACTGCCAGTATAGTGTACGAAGCATTTCTCACCGCTGGTCGTCTCTCTACTTGGGATGAAGGCTGCTCGTTTTAGACGACGAAATTAGGCCACATGATGTACCATTGTCGCTTTGGCCGGGCCCAGGAGGTGGGTCGCATTACGTGGAGCTTCACTTATTGCTGAAAAAGGATGTGATCTTCCGGCTCCCATCTGCCTTGGAAGTCTTCGCTGCACTACCGTTACTCGTGGCGCTTCTGGTACCTTGCTTCTTGGCTGGCGTTGACGGTTTCTTTGCAGGGCTCTTTATCGGAGGCGGAGACGCAGCGGGCTTACTGCGCTTTTGTTGTGGCTCGGCATCTGCTGTGCTACCTGTGAGATGCTCCTCGCTGCGCTCCCGTTTAATGCCTCTTGGCTCGTCGCCGACCTGTGGCTCTGTAGTCGCTGGAACAGGCAGTGGCGCGTTGTCTTCGGTACCTTTCACGCGGTCCGTTGTCGCACGAGTCTCATTGACGTCGTGTTCCACTTTGACATGTCCCTTGTCGTCTGTCGACTTCTCCAGGTCATGCTCCGCTTTGGCGAGAACTTTTGTGTCGGCCCCGGACTTGGTGGCTTTTGCTTGGTTCCCAAAAAAGTTGGCGATGTTGTTCTTGTTTGCGGCGCTATTGATGGGCACGAGGAACGAGGGCGAGTTATTTCCCACTTTGCCCACGTCTTTGCTGACAGGGTAGCACTCCAGTTGGCCCGCGTATGGCTGCAGGAGAGATTGCAGGTCTTTGCTCCACTCAGTCCGGTTGGGATCTAGCCAGGTGCGTATCGCATCTGAGCCGTTTTCCAGGATGACAGGCATGCGGTCGTGGAGAAAGTTGAGCTGTTTGTTCGAATCAGTAGTGATGATGGTATACGTGAAGAGTTTCTCGCTTGAATCTGGCTGGCTGTCAGTACGCCCACCCTAGGTACACAAGGTAGGCAAAACGTGGCACGCGAGCTCACAACCTGGAAATGCTCGCTTTGGAGAAGCATCTAGGTTACAGTCTGACCTCGGATGTCCGCAATGCAACGTGATAGAACTGCTGTGCTTGTGGCAGTTTGCAGGGAAGACATGGTTCACTTCCATGCTCTGTGTCATCCGAACGGATTAGGCACTCACCTTCGAATTGAACACAATCCCAGAGCCCAGCGAAGCACATGAGCTGTCCATCCTTGCGCTTGGTGAAGTGCGGTATCTTCTCTTTGCCGTTGTTCTTCTTGAGCCATTCGTAGAAACCCTGTGCGACGATGATGCAGCGCTTCTTCTTCTTCATTGTTGTCCACATGCCGCGGTCTTCGATCAGCGAGTCGTCACGGCAATTGATGGTCTTCATCTTGGAGCCATAGTCGGGATTGCGCTTCGTCCAGAAGGGTACAAGGCCTATCGTATACGTCAAGGAGGGCACCCAACTTCAAGTTCTGGGATAGATATACCCCATTGCATCGACTGCAGCTTGTACTTTGTGTCGCTCGTTACACCTTCCTCCTTCACATGTGCCTCTGCCTCTTCCTTGTTCTCTTGCTGACCGCCATAGTCGGAACCATCTGCTCGGTACACCAGACCGTGATAGCCTGGCGCGAAGTTGTAGCTTTGGCGTACCTGGTCGTCGTCGGGGGCCGCTTCGACTGGCATCTGCGCGTGTTGGAGCTGCTGGCGGACTTCGGATGGCCGCTGTGTGCATGTTAGCTCAAATACACAATGCCATACGTAGTCGCATAAACTCACCAAGGCCAGCGCATACCGGCCGCACATATTGCCGTACTTTAGTTACATGGTTTACGAGCAAGACGTCGTCGCTGAGGGAGGGCGGGCGCAAAGGCGGCGGCGCGTCAGTGATTGGCTACGTCATGTAGCGAGCTTCAGCCTTACGCGGAGCTCCAACGCGACCGCCGCTAAAAGTTCGATCCCGTCCGTCACCGTCCTACTTGGACGACCTCCCATTCCTCATATCAAACCGCTTTTGCCCGGTGCATCATGTTCAGCAAGACGTTGCCTCGTGCGGCTCCTCGGATTAGCGCATTAGTACAATGTTGTGAAGCGCAGCCATCTCTCCACAGGCTTACAAAGTTACCAAATCGAACATGGAAACCCATCCAGCAACCATTGGGGAGGCGCTATCGCTCCACCATGCGTGAACAATTCAGGGATCAATACTACAAGAGTCCTGTATTGTTCCCTTTCGCCATCGGAGTGTACGCTCATCTACATGCGCATTTCCAGTTACACGGCTAAGCATTGGCAGCATCGCCCTCGTCTCCGGTATCTGCGTCCTTTACATACCATGGTACTATAGGAACGTCATCATAAAACCCTACCACAACTTCCCTGAGCCCGTCGCAAAGAAGCTCCGAAAAGCCCTCTTCTACAGTCGTGGCAAATGGCTCGACATCCGCGAAGCGAACAAGCACTTCCGACAGGCGCTGGCACTCGCCGACGAGCTGGGCATGGACCCCTTCAGTGACGAGATTATGGGCGTCAAATACACAATCGCGGCGCTATTCGAAGATGCTGGATACTACAGCCTGGCGATTGATGTGCTGGAAATCATGCGCAATGATTGTCAACGATGGGCCGACGAATTTTCGGACAGGCATTGGAATAATGGGAATAGAAGCAGAGTCAAGAAGAACATGGTGCAAATTAGCCTGAAGCTGGGACTGCTTTACGATACGAGATACGTCAACGAGCCTGAAAACGCGGAGAAGAGGCTTGTCGAGGCAGTGGAGAGCGCATTGAGCGAGAAGCAGCGACGAGAACGAGACGGTGTGAAGCCGGGTGAAGGGCCGTGGATGACGGACGATGAGATGGGCGGCACACTCGAGGGTAGGTCACCGCTCAAAACTGCCAGAGGCATTTGGATTATGTTAATCTGCTACAGCTCTCGGGACACATTACGAGCAATTCGATTCGCACTACCTGGCAACACCGCTGTTCGTCAAAGCGCTGGAACTATGTCCGCCAAAGTCCTGTCATAGCGTCGTCCTCAGTAAGTTTCATACGCCCTCGTGCGAATGTCTTCCTGGCTAACTAGAGTAGTGAACAACATCTCAACCTGCCTCGTCCAACAAACCCCACCCTCTTCCTCCGACGCCATTACAATGTCCTCGGCACCCTCCGACTTCCCCGTAACAAACTCCGCACCACGCACACTTCTCATCGAACAGGCACGGCAATGGGCAACAAAAGCGTTAGCGCAAGCAGCGGCGATAAAATCACCAGACAGAAATGACGAGTGCGACGTCGGATGCGCAGTCGCAACACACAACCTCGGAGAATTCTTCGAGATGGAGGGCAAGATCTCAGAAGCCAGACAGAAGTATGAGGAAGCGGCCAGTCTAGCCAAGAAGATGGGGTTTGCCGAGGGACAGACGAATGCGCGCGCGGGATTAAAGAGATTAAGAGTGCTGGAGAAGAAGGCGTGATGTCTTGTTGATAGGCATATGTGTATGATATGAGCATGCAAGCTAAGCGCAATGTTCGAGACATGTCCTAGAGGTCTTCATGAACCACCGTGATTTTCTTATCAGCGCGTCGAATGGGCGTACTGTGGCTATGTCAATCGCCTTTCCTTCCTGAGCCCATCCTTCTTCTAAATGTGGCGATTCGTCGCTTCGACAACCAGAAGACAGAGATTCCAGAGGGAAGGAAATGATCTACTCGCAAGGTTTCATTTGATGCCGGAAGGGGAAGACTCCCGGATGTGGTCTCTATCATCTTAACTCTGATTGTAAGTAAAATCTCGCCCAGCCCTGACATTTCCCATGAAGATAGCACCACCGCCCGATGATATTGGATTTCTCTCATTCTGGCGGTTCGCCCGCGAGCACTCATTCTGGTCGTACTGTTGGCTCCTTTCACTAGATCTTGGTTCTGAGGCGGCGGCCTGCGGTGCATCCTCTGCCTCCAGTTGAGTTTGTGGCACATGTGTATCCACTTCTGGCTTTTTCTTGTTCTTGTTCACCGCGTCGACCCACAGCCACAGCTGATCGCGCACTCGAACATATCCTGTATCTGTCTCGCCACTGAATTTCGTCATGTCTGAGTGATTCTGGTGGATGCTGGCGTTGGGGTATTCGCGTAGGATAGCGGACTGGCGTGGGACGATCTGCGTTGTTGTCAGCTTTGTTTACAGATACGCCGACGGGCTCAGTGGTAATATAAGGCAATCATATACCTCTCCAATGCCCGGGTATGCGACCTCCTCATAAAAGCAGAAGATATCAACCCACTTTCCCTCATTCCTCCTTCGATCTTCCAGCATCGTGTGGAATTCCTGTTGGAGGTTCGCCAGCATCTCCGACCCAGGTTTCAAAACAGCAACGATCTCTTGGTTCGTTTTGCGCAGCAGGTTCGAGAGGCGAGTGATTGGAGAGGCCCAATCTGCCTTGTTTGATCCGAGATGCGGCGTTCCCATGAAGGCTATCCCGACGGTACTAGGAAGAAGTGACTTCACGTGTGGTTGTGAGGTACCGCGCGCTATCAAGAGTGCCTGCTCAACGACCAGCCCTCCGAGGCTATGAGCAACGAAAATGATCGGGCGGTCATTCTGTCTCATTCAATCAATATCTTGCTATCGTACTATTAATCTTTTAGCCTACTTACCGTTTGTGTTCTGACCCTCCTCATAGAAAGATCCTGGGCAAGGGATTTTCCATGATCGCGAATGGTATTCGAGCCAGCTGTGTTCAAAACACCCACGATATCTGCATCGTATCCAAAGGTGAGGATACGCACGTTTGGGAGCTCTTGGGCAAGGAGGTCCCGTGGCCAAAACAGAGTCTTGTTGTATGTCCATGTCGTTTCGCGATTCCCTGTCAGGCCATGAACAAATACTATGCTACGAGAACGTTAAGAAGACTTCATGATGAACATGATTTTGAGAAAGTGTACCTACTCTAGAATGGCTTGGTCTCCTTCTGCAAGCTCTTTGAGTCCATAATCGCCAGCCGTAGAGAAGGGTTGCTTAGTTTGTTCGATCGGTTCTTCATCCTGCACCTTCCTTGATTTTTTCCGGTTAAAAACATCCCATACCGGCATCTCGTATGCTATCAGTGGGAGATAGTTAGGTCAATACGAATGAATCTGATTGAGGCTCAGAGCGAGTCACAGATAGATTAGCTTTCCTCAAGGGCCTGGAGATCAAGGGCCGGTTTTCGAAGATATATCAAGTGACAAGACAGGCTGAAGCTTACCATGCTGGAAGTGCACAGACCATCAGTGAGGCGCCAGGCTCACACCTCAGCCGCACAGCATCCAGCAAAACATCAACACACCCTACCAAAATCCGCTTGCTTTATATACAAGAGGTAGATATTGTGAATCATCTGGTTTTCGACCACTGGTGAAGGAATGGGGTAATCCGCAGTTTCACTATCAACTGATGAACCCTCCGACCCCAGCGGTTAATAGCGGGGGTGGCGCGATATTTGAGGGGGACATCACTGCAGGCGGAAACATTACAATAAGTACGACGCCGGTAACAATGGATGAGGATACAATTTCAATCCGCTAGCTAACTTGCGCACCAGACCATTTCACTGAAATACGTCAAGTTACAGAGCGCCTCTACACATGTTATGGCGAGTCCGCGGATTTTTCCGATAGGCTTCTCGGTCGCTTGGATGTCTTGAGCGGGACTGCTGAGTTTGTCGAAGAGTATGCACAGGAACTGCAGACTATTGTTCCACCGAACGATCCTCAGCTACGAAGAATTGCTGGAGAGTGCACTTCGATATTATCTGACCTACAGCAACTCGTAACTTCTATCGAAAATGACAGTGGTACCGAGGATGCAGATGCAACTATATATCCCACCGGATCCCTCCATGAGGAAGTTGTCGACATTAGGACCAGGCTGCTGCATGTTCAAATGACTCTTGGCCTGCTTCACAACAAAAGAACCGCAAAGCATATTGATACCGAGGCCATCAAAGAAGCTGTCATTGAGATCATGAATAATTCAGACGTTGCTGATGACACTTCTTCTGTTTACACATTTTACACGGCTTCTTCAACTCCATATATCGAGAGGCAGAAGTGGCGAGAGATTGAGAAAGATTTACGGGCACGATTTTCGATAGAAGTTGTGCGAGAGAACTATGCTCTGATCGTGGAAACGGTTGAAGAAACCCTTGCGGAAAACGCCTCGCCCGAACCGCTGTTATCTGGCCGATCAAGCCCCAATATATTCAGGAACCTTGAGATACTAAAAAGACTCAGCAAGAGTGGCGAAGTAGCCACATTGCCTTGCCTGGTGCTACCAGCAACGAAAAATCTCCGCATCTTCGATAGAGAGGACGCGATCTCGAAAATGGAGGATCTTCTCAAACAAGGAAACTCTGAACAGTCCTTCCGATCTCTTGCCATATACGGTCTCGGTGGAGTTGGAAAGAGCACCGTTGCCCTTAAGTACGCTAGAGCCAAATTTGAGCTAGCAGAGCTTGATGCTGTGTTCTGGGTCTACAGCGAGACCTCTAATTCGATAAAACAGAGTTTCACGGATATAGCTCTGCGACTGCGATTACCCGGTGTTGATACCGGAAATCATGACGAGAATCGCTTACTCGTCCTGTACTGGCTTCAGCAGACTAGTAAGTTGACCACATCATAGATTACCTTCCGCTAACACAACCGAGAATGCCGTTGGCTCCTCATATACGACAATGCGGAGACACTAGAACTGATAAGAACACACTGGCCTGTAGCAGCATGCGGTCAAGCCATCATCACCACCCGCAATGTAAGCTTTGCTTATGCTATAGCAGATAGCGGACTAGAACTTGCCACATGGGATGCTGACACTGGAGCGCGGTTCCTCCTTCACCTCTTATCTGACCAACCAAAGGATGAGACTTTCCTTGCTCGCGAATTATCCAGCAAGCTGGGTGGACATGCCCTGGCAATATCACATACGGCTGGGCTTATTCATCAGCGCGCCTTGACCATTGAGGAATTTCTGAACATGTACGACAAGCGCCCCACGTTGATGCATAGGAAACAAGGCGACAATCCGTTCAGCACATTGTGGGATATCTCCTTCAGCTCACTCAGCCTACAAAGCCATAATATTTTAGGCGTCTTGTGTTTTCTTGCCTCTGACCATATTCCCCAATCCCTCTTTGAACTCGAACTTGCTGTGGACCTTCCAGAAAACCTGCAATTTTGCGCAGATGACTTCGAGTTAGTCTTTCGGAAACCCTTTGCACGCTTTTCTAACTCCTACACTTTAGGTTTGCAGATGCTGTTCATGAACTACTCAATCTAACTTTAATCAAAAGGGATCGAGAGTCCCGAGCATTGTCGGTGCATCGACTGGTTCAGATGTCGTTTCGGTACTTCATGACACCAGACCAGAGAGAGGGAAGCTTCAATAATGCGGTATCGCTGGTATCTAAGGCCTTCCCTCGGAGAGGCCCTGACGTTGCTCAGTCCTACTTGGTGTGGAGCCAGTGTTCCATGTACGTGCCGCACGTGCTGAGCCTAAAGGATGCGTTCCGTCAGGCGAGGAAGTCCAACCCAAAATTCACCGGAACCCAAGTCTACTGCGATCTCAACAACCAATGCCAACAGTAATGTTTTCAACCATTTTCAAGCCCTTCTTGTTTCTAACCTGGATTAGACATCTCTTGGAAGTAAACCAATGCGGCGCTCTTGAGGATCTGATCGGCGTCACCGAGATGGCGTTAAGCACACTCCCGGAGGAGCAGCAGACACCTGGACTTCAGTGCCCACTCCTTTCGCAATCAGGCCAATTGCTCATTCGTCTTGGTAAGCCTGCTGAAGGGGTCAGTCGCTTAAGGCAGTCGTACGATATCCAAAGTCACGAGCAACCATCAAACTTTCGAGACTTAGCCTGGGCTGCTGGAGACGTGGCTAATGGCATGGGCACACTGAATGAATTCCCTGAAGCCATCAGGTGGCATGAGCGTGCTCGGCATCATTGGTTCTGCGGGCCTAACGATCAAACTTCTGAAAGAGGGCATTGGCCTGCCTATATGGAAAGAAACTTGGCCGTAGCCCTAGTATGGTCAGGTTTGCTTGATCAAGCTCGAGAAATTGCTACTTCAGCATTGCATCAGATTGAGTCCACTGATCCTTACGATTGGGTTGTGGCAGCTTAGTGAGTAGACCTAATACAAGCCTTTGGTCTTGAGTACTAACTTCCACAGTACTCGTTTTACTCTGGGAACAATCAGTTTCAAAGAGAGAAACTTCGAAACCGCACAAGATCATTTAGAACACGCAGCCCATCTGTGGATGAAGAAGGGGGACCTTCAAACACATCCGTTCAACGCAGCATGTATGTACCGACTGGCTGGTACAGAGTTGATTCAAGGAAACTACGAGCGTGCAATGTAGGTTTCTTGATATACACGAAATTGTCCCAAATTAATACTCACATATTGAATATAGTGACCACCTACGACAAGCATCAACTATAATATCAATGCAAGAACCAGCTTTGATTGCCGAACGGGCCAGATGTTTATTTGGACTATCCAAAGCTCTACATCGGCAGCAAGGAGACCAGCATCCCTTGCCCGAAGTCTTGAAATTTCGTCATGAGGCTGAGCTTCTCTTGCGTTCTCGCGATCCTAACGTAGAGGATCTCCATCTCGAAAGCACCTACGACTCTTTAGTCAACATTTTGTGGCGCTGAGGTGGTAGGAAGACAAGGTCATCAAGACGGGATAGGGAATAGTGTAGCGTGAAAGCCTTCAGTGCGTTTAGAGATACCAGATGAAAGTCTGCAGTGCAGGCTGGGCACCGTCAGAGGGAACCCCTCAGTCGACGGATGAAGTATACAATAGGGAAGAGGCACTCGGTAAATTATACATAAGAGGTAATGATATACGCTGGAGGTTTTCAGTATATTGGGGGTGTCATGAGCATTCTTGGATACATATGTACGGGATCATACATTCACTTATAATTGACGCATCGTTCTTTGTACGGCATCAGAGCACATCAGCAGTCATGTAAACGTGGTATCCATTCAGAAAAAGCGCCACCGCGCAACAACTACCTATACCCTGGTCACCAAAGCTCACAAGCGACCAGCGCTATCTACTACCAACAACCACCTACCGCCCACCTCCAACCACTCACTCCTTCTTGCCCTTCTTGGCAGTCACCGGCACCAGGCCCTTGGCGTAGAATTGAGGCCCAAACCTCTCCACCTCCTTGGTGAGGCTGGAGTGGCTTCTATAGGGCCTGGTGCCCTTCACCCCGTGCACCACCGTGCCCTCGAACCGCTTGTTGAACTCCTCCACGAACGGCTTCCAGCCCTTGGTGGGCTTGCCGTTCGTGAGGTTCGCGAGGATCCAGCCCCGCTCCTCCGCCACGTAGGCATGGACGACCTCGCGGAACCGGACGTTCGTGTTGCGGCGGATCTGCTGCACGGTGCGCTTGTTCAGCGCAGTGATGGCCTCCTGATTGTTCCAATCACGGGGTGGTGGATTGGTGAAGATCCGCTGGCGGCCGGACTTGTCGGTAAGCTTGATGATGAGCTTGGCTTTCTGGTCGGCGAGGGTGCCGTCGGGCTGGAGCTCGAAGCGGCCGGGGACGAACTGCGTGCTGTGGTAAGGTCAGTGATAGGATAAGAAAAGACAATACATTCGACTTACAACTCAGGCTCATCGGCGAAGTCGGCGGCATTGGCGTAGTCTGTAGCTTTGGCGCCCCACTTAACATTACGAAAGAGATGAGGCTTGCTGGTGTCTTTGACGTTGCCGGGAAGGTCATCGGCATCGCTGTCATAGTAGTCGGCACCCACCTTGGTGGCACTGTCGATAAGCTTTTTGTGCTCAGGGTTGCCTATGTCAAGGATACGCTTGTTGCGCTTCATGACAGGTGTGACGAGTGAGAGCTGTGGGCCGGCGTCATCATCACGCGACTCATCTTCATCACCAGCGTCGAACATCGCATCATCGTCGAGAATGGCGGAGAAGTGAGTGGTCTTCATCTTCTTAGTCTTGATAGGCGAGGTATGTTTGACGTCTTTCTTGATGACTTTCTTGACAGCGTTGCTCCGGCGTGGTTTCGAGGGGAAGAGCTCGATTTCGGAATCGGTGTCGTCTTCATCATCCACAGTGGACTCGGTAGCGGAGCGCTTGCGGCCAGCAACTTGGTTGAAGCTAGACCTGAAGGCTGATGTTTTGCTGTTCAAGGGAGATGAGCCGAGGACGCTTGGGTGGGGCTCTTTGAGGGCAGCTTGAATCCCGCGGAGCTTGAGCTTAAGACCAGAGCCACTGGAGCTGGTTGAGTCGGAGGTAGAGCTGACGCTGATGGGCTTCGCAATGGTGCCGCTGTTGCTGTCACCTGGGGTGGTGAGTGCCGTCTTATCGCTGGTACGCTTTAATTTTAGCTTGAGGCGAGGTGATTCGGCTGCCTTGGGCGTGGTTTTCTCCTTGCTGAAGCGAGGTGAAGAGCGATCTGTCACCTTATTAGATTGAGAAATTGCTACTGAGATTGGACGTACTTACGATGAGGAGTGCTGATAGGAGCGCTGCTGTCGATGGCAGCTGAAGTCTTACCGGTGTTGGTTGCAGTCTCGCTCGAATACAACTGGTGGCTGGAGACCAAGAACACAGGCGTAGAAGGGCGATACGTTGGTGATACCGGTTCAGTCTTAACGACTGGAGATGCAATGCGAGATAGCATGTGCTGACGATATTCGCGACGCGCCTTGATGTCGGCAGGCGTGGTAGGCATGGTTGTGGGGCGCGCGATGGGAGACATTGCAACGGGTAGGTGAGATACTGCACAACTGGCGATTGGACAAGCAAGAGGAGCTGAGAAAGAGTCTGCGACAGCTGCAAAAACTGAAGAAAAGAGTAAAAGGATATGTAGAGAAGTATGTTGCGAAGCCGATTGAAGTGGAAGAAGTTGACTGTTAAGTTGAGCGAGACGGTGTGAGTTGAGGTATAAGTATGAGAGGTGGCTGGAGCTGGATTTGTTGCTGCTATTCTTCGAATACAGGAAAATGTATGTCCGTGCATTCACCGGTGGTGAAGTCTAGCGCCGCGCGTGGAAGTGCGACGTGGTGGTGAAGGGCTCATCGGGGGCGAGTTGGCGCGCGCGGCACAATAGGAAGAAGTGACCAACACTCGACGCGAACAATAATCCACCCGTCTTAAACAAGCCGTATATTGAGAGGCTAGGAACAATAGCCTGATTGATGAGTGATGCTATCGGATCCTATTTTGCGCCGAGGAGTTCCTAGTCGAACTGGATCTTGTATTGTACTCTTATACCAGCGCAGTTACACCTCCCTGCTATCGAGCTACCAAATTTTGTAGTGCATTTTATGTGCTTTATGCTCCGATCTCTGCTACTTAGCGAAATCCGCCTCTTCCTTAAGCATCGCCTGCGCGTATAAAAGCGCTAATATGGGTCAGATCTTTGACCTGTTAGCTACCAGTTACGGTAGTTTACGACGACCCCCCTTCAGTTGATTTTGAGCGTGGCTGAGCGGATTCGACATCTTTCTAACCGTGTGGTCTCAGCAATCGAGTGGAATCGCAGATCATTCAACGCAATATCAGTTGACAGATAGCCCGTTCAAGAGTTTGATAGCAAAGACAGACATCGTAAGGTGAAAGAAACGTTCAAGTGAACGTCGCGTCGGGTGTCAATTGATCGTCCATGACGCTAGCGCCAGAATTGGTAAGCATAACAACGCGTGACATCATGTGCAAACGCTCTTTGCGACGAAGATGTGTCGGGTGTAAAGCGTAAACCCTGATACCATCAGAGAACTGTAAATCGTGTTGTTGCTAGCGGATTGTGTGCAGAAGATATGTAAAGGAAGAACGATCACGACGCATAGAGATCGACAACAAGGCAGCAACGTCACGTGCAAATTGCGCCCCGCTCACTGTAGATATAACCTCAACTACACCTGCCCGGACTTCCACCACAGGCTAGAGTTATTCTTTGATTCTCGAAATGAGTGACCTCTCACCGTCCATCGTTGTCCGTCTTTCTACTTCATCGCTAGTTTTCGATCTTTCCCAGCCGACCCCATTTACCATCACACTAGGCCTCACACTTGATTATACCGCACCGATCACATTTAGAAAAATCTACACTGGTCTTTTCGACGGGAAGCTTCTACATGAAGGCGGGCTCACATTCACCAACGCGGCAACCGGCCAGCATCTGCCTCGCAACACCATCGACATTTGCTATCGGTCTGACCACGAGCATTGTGGTCCCACGTGGGCTACGAGAAGTGACTACGTAACACTATATCCAGGTCGGGAATATGTCATCGAAAGAACAATCAACCCAGTGAAAGTCAAGTTTTTGAGCGCAGGAATTAATGGAGAGAAGGGTGATACACGCCACGAAGGTTTGAAGTGGTATGGTCTTTGGGGGTTCGAAGATAAGGCGAGGTATCAAATTGGGGTTAGCGATGCGGCAGTGGTGAAGGAGTGGATTGAGGGTTCAATCTGGGAGATATTGGGGTGGCAGATACTAAGAGGAACTCCGCAGATGAAGCGCGAATTGATACGATACACGGTTCATGACTCAGGATTGTTCGAGATCAGAAGACCAGACACAGATGGGAGTTTGAACTGGCCCTAGGATACTCTCATCGCTACTTCGGCTCGATTGGCAACTAGATGGATAATTACCAAATTGTACCCTAAGAGGGCCGTTTCAAGGAACCAGAAGCTCTCGTCATCGTACGTCTTTGTGCCAATAATGTAATTCCAATTATGTGCCGCCATGGTTGAAAATCCCCACGTCGCAGCAGCGAAACGATACGGGAGTATTAGGTTCCAGGAGCGACACCGAGGCACTTCGCTCAGTTCGCATCATGATACATAGGCTTGCTCACATACGATACTACTATCATGTGCAAAGCTACCTGGCTCTGAATACGGAGATGATCAAGGAGCTATACAATTATGGAAGAGAATGGAACGATTGGTGCTGTATCGACCTATGAATCTCCGGTGGACAGGGAGATGGCTCTGACGGGTTGAGAACATAGCAAAAAATCGAATAAGCAGCTAAAGAGTTCTGTTTAGTGTTTATGTAAGGGACCAAGTAGTTGTGCGGCTTATGAAGATGGCTTTAGGTCATCACAGAGGACTAGCTAGAAAGATATCTTGTGAGAGAACATAACATAAAAATATAGCAAGAGTAACTAAATCACTAGAATAATATCTTTCAATCGCATAACAGGCAGCGAAGAGAATGGAAGAAGCAGCAAGTTCATTGAGTCATTGTGGTGAAGAGGTCGCAATCTTTTACGGTATGTGGACGTAAGGACCCAGGATCTTTTATGTACGGGAGTGTTCGGTGCACGTCTAGTGAGCTTGCCGCTTGTTTCTCTACACCTACAGCCTGTATCTCTCCACGACAAAGTCCATCGGTACCGCCTTCAAAACAGCCAGTATTCTCTTCGCCGCCTGAAAGCACATCCAAAATCCCATCGCGGCTCAAAAACGTATTAGGTACTGCGCTCAATTTATTCCCAAGGGGTATGTCATGGGACTCTCCCTCTCGCTATCTTTTTCTTTCTAGAACTGCGGTAATTGGTATATTGTGTTCGACCCGTTACAGGTCAAACTCGCGTACTGATTGTGCAGTTCAACGATGTTGTAGCGTCTAACAAAGTCCTCCAGCTCTCGGTGAAATTGCAGCTTCATAAGCGGATCTTTGGCAGCGGCCTTGCGAACGAACTCGACGTAGTGTTTGTACTGCTCACGCGTAGCAACGTCGGGAAGGAGAGCGAACATATCATCGACCACCGTCCTGACTTCCTCGCGGTTTGGACCTCCTGGAACGATGTTGCTACGTTTCGGCCACTTCAGAGTCACACGAGGTCGTCCTGAAGGAACTGCCGAGACGAGCTCTCGGGGTTGCTGGGTGCTAGAACGCGAAGATGTCCTCGTTCGATCAGGAAAGTTGCGGTCGTTTGCACCTGCGATGGAAGTTAGTGGCAGTGTGGTACCTATCGAATAGGAACCTCGTGGTTGCCGCGCCTCCTCCGCTGCCATTTCAACCGTCTGTCGAATTGATCGATGGACTTCGCCTTCCTCAAAAGGATCATCCGTCTGAAGGTTGGGTATGGATAACCCATATCGGGCCATCGGCGGGGCACCTCTAACACGAACTAGTCGGCCAGTCTTGAATAGCTCAAACGTTGGATCCTCGCATGATACGGGAATAGGGTCAGCTGGAACCAATCGAAATATCGGCCATGGATGGAGAAGGTCCATGCTAATTTTGTCGCCGTTGCCGAAAATGCGTAGGATGTCTGAATCATCGATGATCATGCGATCGAATGTTGCATCGTAAAGGTCCGCATCCGCTAGAATAATCTTGCCGTCTCGATCGAAGGTAACGTATACGAGGCCGACAGTACCGGATCCAAATGCTTGGATCTGGGACGCTGGAAACCGGTCTCGTACTTGCACCCGGATATTCGACTCATCTAGACCTTCCGACATTGCGGATCGTAAAGTCTCTGGTTCTTGGAGATCTAATAACAATAGTGGGGTTGAGAATATGTTGTGGTTATTGTAGTGTGTTGCTTGGGTGAATGTCGGAAGATTTGGGGGAAACACAATTAAATGTAGGCAGGAGCTTGGGGTGATTTAGTACTCACGTGGTAAGGGAACAAGAGCACTTTCACTATGCTTCTGTACAATTTACCCTCCGCTTTTCCCCATTCACGGTGACTGTGGAGTCAATATAACATCACAATGTAAACAATTTTATAAACAAGGTTCGTCATATGGCTGCTAGTGAAACTGCATGCGTCATAGTGTATTTCGAGAGTGAAGTTTCAGACCCAAAAGCACGAGACTTTGATTGGGTATAAAGTTAAAGAGTAGGAGCGCGTCGCCCTTTATATTCTTAATAAGGGCAGTCATGGGGACGGAATCAGCCTCAGTTGGAGAGGTGTACTTTATATTCTGGTGTGAGGAGCGACCCTGTATAATTGAATAAGAACCCAGTTCCCAATCTTGAGAGTCTGTAGATAATGGTGTCGTGTATTCAAGAGATGGAGAGCTCAGTTCCATAAAAAAACGCCGCTCGAATTACATAACTAATTATTTCACATTCTCTCTACATTGTAAATTCACGACTGTATCTCTCATCACCCGTCACCACGGGATCCTGTGCTGAATACGAGGCTTTCATTTGCTTCCAGACTAACAGCGCTCTCCCATTTAGCTCTTCTCTTTTATTACTGCTCACTCCCACTCCCACCTTCGACTATCAACTACCCTGAACTTTTTCCTGCTACAAATATTGCCTATATCAACTTGGATTTTCGTCTTCACCCACACTTCCATCCAATATTCCCATTACAATATGGCGCGCTCAAAGCAGTTGGTCCATAGAAGCGGCCCGAGACGCCATAGGTTTGCTGAGAAAGCAGCTTCATGCGTTGTGGGTTACGGAATACGAACGGTCAAGTACATTCAGCCTGAGCCTGAGTCCGAAGAGGACGAATTCGCAGAGCAAATGCAGGAGAATGGGCCTGGCGAACAGGAATCCGACCAGGAGGATTACGCAAGCAAAGGTCCCAAGGACGAAAAATCCGGATCCGAAGAGTTAGAAGAATACGATTTCGATGACAAAGAGGCTAATGAGAATTCTTCTAGCAGCGAAGAGGAACCAAAGCGTACAGAGAAGAGATTCAATTCATATCCGAAACAATCTACTCAAAAGAGAAAGCTATCCTCATCTAGTGCAAAGTCCGAGCATGATTTATCGGAGCCGCAGTACAAGAAGCGCAGGACTGTATCAGTTCGTCGTTCCTACTATGATGACTCGAATGAGAACTCTGGGTCGCGAGAGTCTCGGACAAAACCTGCTCATCCTACTACATACATTCGTGGCGGTCGCACAATGTATATGCGGACTTGGAAAAAATATAGCGGGTCGCATCGCGTGTACATGGCTAGTGTCGTTCCACGCCCACGGCCCATATTTTCTCGACCGAAGAAGGTTAAGGAGGCACTCGTGATAACAATGTCTGACCACGAAGCAGTTCATGATGAAGAAATTCCAGACTTCGAGCGCGATGATAAAGATGATGATTTGGCATCAGAGGGCGCCTCTCGCAATACCAAATCACATCAGGAAGTCAGCAAATCCTCAGATGATGACTTTACACCCCCCAATTCAGCAGCGAAGGTGGTGCTGGCGAAGGGGAAGCAAAATTTCGGCACACGTGCCATTTCCCCCATACGGAGAGGTGGGGTCACATCTTCTGCCTCTCCTCATGTGCCTACTGAAGACGAATCCGATCACGAGTCGCTTGATCATGAACAAAATGATGACCGCGGTATAGACACGCCTGTCCCAAGCTGTGTTCGGTCCGATGATAACGAGCCTGAATCCTTTGGAAATCAGGACGATCTTGATGCCATGGATATGTTGCCAGAAGAACCGCAACCGACTGCTTCACCAGGTGATATAAATGACTATGACGATGTTGACAAGTCAGATACTGGAGCACCACAAGACGAAGTCGATGTGTCTACCCGAATTAGGGAATTTCTTGGGGATACCGCCTCGTTTCGCTCCACTTTCACGAACCCTAATCTCCCTGTTCCTGACGGAGACCTTGAGAACATGCGCGCACAATTTCAGGAGGCCATGCGACACGGTCACACGTCTAAATTGACCAACAAGCAGGCAAATACAGATACTAGCGCGCAGAAACGGAAGTCCTGCGCTGACAGTCAGACTTTTGGACCTTTCGGTTGGGGCGCCCTCGAACGCATGAAACGCAGCAACGTTAATCCTTTCAATCTGCCCGTAAGCGATCTGCAGGAAAAGGCCCAGGCGAACGCTACACAAAGCTCTGGTGAAGTGGCGTCACTCTCGAGCCACCAACCCCAGACCGCTCAAGAGCTCCGAGAGCTTTTCATCTCCGCTCTTGTTCCTTCCACCTCTTCGTATGAGCAGTATGCACTCGCTACCGCCGAGGTTGACCTCCAAGCAGCCAAGCTCTCTCTCCGTAATGCAGAGATCAAAGAGCGAATGTCAACACTGCGAGAAACCACTGCACGGGTTCAACAGAACAAAACCAGCGATGTAACGGAGAGACAGGTGATCGCTAAGCAAGCCGCGGTAGAGTTCAAAAAGGCAAAGACCGCTGTGAATTTGGCGAGAAAGAAGGTGAGAGAGGCGAAGAAGGTTCTGCGAGAGTTGGATGAGGAGTTCGAGGATCGAGAAGAGAGCGAGGACGAAGACGTGATGGCGAAACACGTCACGCTGGTCGGGAATATTGACGGCAAGATCCTAGAGCTCCAGAAGCAGGAGAAAGCACTGCCTGGTGTGTCTGAGGATGAAGTCGAGAATTTGGGAAGAGGTACCAGGCGTACGCGTCAGACCAAGTAGGTGGCGTCGGGGCAAGTAAGATTTGGTCCATAGCGACGATGAGATGTCAGTTGTTCCCCTAGCCGTGTAAATTTGATTTGGTGGTATACGCTAGCTATTCGCTCAAATACGAAGGGAATATACTGTGAGTATCTTATATACTGTTATTGGATGTATTATAAGTCATAGGATAAAGTTGAATTGGTACAAGATCTTATTGCGACGGGTGGAAAACAGATTGGTTAACAATGCTCAATATTTTCTAGTAATTTGGGGAATCAAATCGTTTTAATTTCATCCAGGATTGTCTAAAACTACCAATTACCCTTGTCTCGCACTCCTCACAAACATCGCAAGTTTGCTGTCTTAGACAGAGAGTTTTTTGTACCCGCATCTTTAAAAAGTGCTATAGTGCTATCCGAGGAAGATTATCCGGGGCTCACTGCAGTGTAATATGAACTCTTTTTTATGTCATAGCAGTAGTAGATCTCCTGTGGTTCTGATAACAATCCGCATCTGACTAGTACACCTTATTGCCATCTGCTTTTTGACGTCTTCTGATCGATGGCACACAATTGGACGATTGACTGCGATAGCCACAATCTTAAAGGTAGCAAACCGCCGCTTGGGGTCACGTGTGAATGCATTCACCATGGTATGTACAATATAATACTCTACGTCAAGGCAAGGGCAAACCTTCATGTTCGAGCATATTCATTAATATTTTCCAATGACGTAGCCTTTGACCAGATTTGGTGGTTTCATAAAATCTTGTTATGGAGCAGCTGAAGTGCGTTTCGAGTGTGTGGAAATGCTTATATATTACTTAGGTAAACCTGCCGTCGACTCTTATTCGGGCGCAGAAAATTCAAGACACGCAGCTCTCTCCACTGCCCATCTAGTGCACCCGATCGGGGTGTTCTCTCACCGCTAGGGTAGGTGAAAGGGATTTTCAAGAGGCTTTTGCGTTCCAATCACCTAGACCAATGTACCAACTTTACCTCTAGAATCCAAAGATTGATCCAGGCTCCCTCTGCCATACGAAACAAGAGCAGCTGTGCAACCGCACCACCTATACATTTTTCTCGGAAATAGCCACCTCAAATGATCCCCCGCCTCCAAAACTACTGTTGCCACGATTCTACCCACACAGCCGACCATGTCACTCACAGAGCTCAAAGCCGAAATTGTAGCGCTACTGTCCGATGACACCGCGAAGGTCTTCACAAGCCTGGTCAATCACATTACACGCCTTGGACGTACGCAATCTAAATTCTTGGAAGCGCGACGCGAAAAGCTGCTGGATATAGTCATGCAAAACAGACAGATCGGTTCATTGTACAACGCGTTCGCCGCGCGGCAGGCGGAATTGGAGGGGAGGATGACGTACAGCTTGCCTGTATTCACATACCCGGAGGTAGGGGAGAGCTTGGAAAAGAAAGCGGGGGATACTGAGATAATGCAGAATTTTGGAGGTGTGGATGGGACTGACGACCGAGAAGAAAGTCAGCAGGCCACAATAGATTCCACCACGGCCCAGCCTGAAGGCTCTATACACATCGCCAACGAGAAAACACCATTGGCGACTCCTAAATCCTGTGAGATCTATAGAACTGGTCCTTCCATTGTTCTCGTACAGAATCCCGAAGACTTCCCTATACATCGCATCCAGGAGGTACAATCGCAGTACTACCCTTCCACAAAGATCGCCGCATTGTGGATCCATCGAGACGCGAATGGTACTACAACGAAGGTCACAGCGGACGTAGACGGCGGATCTGTTGATCACCTAATCATCAGCGATATGAGGTTGATAGTGGCCCTAGGGCTCCATGAACACCTCCAGAATACTCTTTTACTTGACGAATCGAAATTCCGTATCGATGAAACCTTCACGATCGAGCTACTCCCCGGGCAACGAATAACTGACCCGAAGGCACGTATAGTTGGTGAGTTACTGCCAGCTCGACATGCGTACTTGTACTGGCTTGACTCGAGATGTACGGCGAACCCGAAAGCCCCGCCGTTCATACAAGAGGCAAGAACTCTCGCTAGGAAGCTTCGAAGGCGCACGCCAGATGTCTGGAGGGAGGTGAAGAAGATGTGGGATCTTGAGCAGGGAAGTGGTGGAAGGCAATACAGGGAGAACCGCGAGGACCATCTTGGAGAAAGTCCTAGCTATCCGACAACTGAAGAGAAGATAGCAACACGGTGTATGTGGTGCTAGAAAATAAGGTAGTATGGTTATATCTAGGCGCGCGTATCTGGGATATAAGTGCTTGGTGGCTTGTAGGTCTCTGGGCATACGCGTACTCACACTGATGGAGTTGCGCACTTTACCGCAATATGACCTGGTTAAATTGATCAGTTGAGTCTTCGAATTCTGTGCTCCATGGTGATCGGCTTTTTGAGTGACGCTATATCTACAGCGGGGTCTCAATCTCCTGCAACTTTCCAGCGCTAACTAGGCGCAGCTCTGAGCCGTCGGTAGTGAAAGCAGCCGCCAACACTTGGCGCGAGTCGTCCACAACTCAGCGTTCTAATAGCCGACTCCCCTCCTTTATACGTAGAAAGAACTAGAGGTATTCCTACACTTACGTGTGCGACGCTATTTCCCCGAAGCCAACGAAGCAGTACAACACACAATGCCGATGATAAGGCAATCACAGCAACCTCTTAGCGCCAGGGAATTTAATGCGACCTACAGCGATCAGGTTGTTGCTATCGTTGAGGGCATGGAAATGCAAGACCCAAAGGTCAGCGAATCAACACCTGACGCTAAGATAGGCGGCCTAACTAGTCATCCGAATTTCAATCGCAATACAGTAAATGCGCGTTCCAAGGGCGTGGAAACAAGCAAAGGGCCCAGGAATGGGGCGGAAAATGTAGAGGAAGAGACGGCGGGGGGTATTTACGAGCACGAGAACAACCAAAGCGATGACGTGAAGATGAACGATACGAGTCTGCCAAAATTCAGAAACGAGATGACTATGGACAACACGAAAACACATCAAGACTCCGGAGTGGGACGAGGGTATGAGGGTGTGGCAGATGGCCATGTGCACGAGATGAGAGATGCGAAGGTCGATAGTCTGACGCAAGGATCTGGAGAGAAGACGGTCAACGGGCAGACGCATCCTGCTGCTGCTGCTGCTGCTGCTGCTGCAACTTCACCTTCCACACCCACCCTCTTCCAGTCCAAACCGTCACAAGCAGCACAATCCTACCTCGCCTGGCTATACCAACGCCAAACCCGGTCCCCGACCGCACAGCCTGTCTACCCCGAATGCATCGCCATCGGTAAGCGCCTAGGCCGCCCTCCACACAAAGTGTACGACGAAGTATTATATCACTGGGGTCTCGAAACGGATAGTAGGCACGGGGAGTGGCACAGACAGAATAGGTTGAAGGTACTAGGCGAAGATCCGAGATTCGATGAGGAGAGGATGGGGTTTTGGAACGCGTGGATGAAGAGGGGAAGAGAGACCTGGAATATACCAATACGCGGAAGAGGCTGAAGCGACGCGGGCGCATGCGATGTGTTGGGTCGGCCTGCTGGTTTTGAACGTGTCTTGGGTCTAGCGCCGATGACGTCACGGAGGAACATGGTGAGGAAGACACCTGCCTACATACAACTTCACGTCCTCTATCGGCTTGCTCTTCTTCTTGTTAAATAATATATTCTAAATTACTTGCAAAAGCATTTCTCGTCCGTTGCACTCATTCTTGTTCCTAGCTCTTTCTTCATGCACTATAATTTTGCTTTCCAAAGACATTCAAATTCAAAACATACCCTACAACGCCTGCCAGCAATCCTATCATTCACCAATCGAATCTGCGGTCGTTAGCTGTGAAATTGATCTGCGACGGCGCTAGAATGCCTATGAAGGATTCGTACCTTCGGGCTCATTACTTCGTAGCGGGATAGCCATCGGGTTTGTAGGCCTGGAGCCCTTCTTGTACGCTTTTGTGAAGAGGTCATCTTCATCGTCCGACACTCCCTCAAAGTCCTCAGCTAGATCCCTGTCGAGAGACCAACCCCAGGGTCTTTGCGTGTTCTCGATGATTGGCACAGCTAGTGACGGTATTTCGTGTACGGCTCTAAACTCTGCATCCTTGGCAAGTATTTTGTCGGTTTTGCTAATAGCTACCCGTTCGGTATCTTCATCGCCGACAGGAGCTCTCGCAGGTTCATCAGCTATTGGGCGCCGCTCACATCCACTTGCGATGGTGTCTTCAATACCAGCATTAGGGATATCCTCATCAGCCGAGGGCTCCTTCAATCGCAGGTCATCCAAGGTCATGGGCTCGTACGGGACCCGTACTCCAATATTTGGCCATCGCGGCTCTTTCATTTGGGGCCCAAGGTTGTGCACCAAGCCATAGTGGTCGTATAGTCTGGAGTGATATATGCCTGTCCCATTCACCGTTACATGATCATCTCCACTGTCTTTAGGGCCGTCGACATCTTGTATTGGCCATTTGCTGGGATCTGCTGGGCGTGTTGGTTGCTCAGGGTATATTATCCAGCACTCTTCAGGGGAATGGTCGGGATTCCACCATATTCGGCACCTCTCGGGGTTATGATTGCACCTTTGCCTAGGACCTTGCTCAATCGTAGTGGCTTTCGTGTCTGTCAAGGAGAAGCCTTCAGGAATGCTGTCATTTGGGATCTTCCCCGGCTGCACTGGAAGATGAGGAGGTGAGTCAACCGAGGAACATGGAGAATATCGCATATAGGCATGCCATTCGCGTCGACCAGTAGTTTCTTCTGCCCAATCTGTTGATACCCGAAGGTTATCTTGAGGATCAGTGGAAAGCTTTACTTTTTTCGATGGCCCGGTAAACTCTCGAGCCTCGTATGGGTAATCGATGATATTTTGAGCGTCGGAAGCTTCTTCTGCCCCTCGTTTGGCTCCAGCCGTGGAAGCACTCTTACTACTTTTAGCTGCTGCCTGCTTGCCTTTACCTGTCGCTTTCTTGCCCTTTCCTACCGCTTTACGTGTAGTTGGCACTACTCTTCTCTCAAAGTGTCTGGGTTCTTCACCCTGAAACTCAATGTCGTCCTCTGCCTCATCGTCATCAAGTGGCCGGGGACTTCGAATAGTATCTCGCTCCTCACTTATTTCAAAGTCCATTTGAGCGCCAGATTTCAGTGGGCCAAGGAGATCGTAAGACGTGCGCCAGTCATACGAAGATTCAAGAGCTGAGATGAAGAGGCCATGGTCAGTTTGTATCCTCCAGAACCGGTCGTCTATCACTCTACGCGCTGGCACATCTTGGCTCGCTGGGAGATCTTTGACGAGTATGTTCGATGATTCCGGTCGCGTAAACATGGCACTGGATGCGTCGTGGGTACCTTGATATTGCTCACGTTCAGCTCTGCGTCTTTCCGCATGGGTCTTGTATGTGGCTTTCGGATCCTTGTCGTATCTGGATTCGATTTCTCTCCATTTCTGAAAAATTGCCTCGTCGTCTAAGATCGGCACGTTCGGATCAAGTCCAGGCCTTTTTCTAAAAGGAACACCTGTCGGTCTTCTACGAGAGGTGGGAGTCCAGAGACGCAAGTGTTGCGGTCTCACCGGTGGAATAGTATCATCGTCAGGCCTCGCAATGGCGGTGCCATCAATGTCATCGATCATGCCATGTCGATGCTCTGTTGTTCCAATCCGAATTGAATCATACCGATCCAACAAAGAAACAAGCATTGGGTCTTCCGCGTCCCACATAAATTTGTATCCTCCTCTTCCAGGAGGCGCAGGGACAGGTAGACCACTTTCAGCTTGCTTGGCTCCCGAGTTTTCTTTCTGATTCTCCGTTTCCAAAACCCCCATTCTTTTCCATCGATGTAATGAGTTTTGGTAGTATAAGAAGTCCTCTAAGTCAAGTTGCGCATATCGAAATTCATGCGCCGCGGCTCTGCGTGCTGCCCTAGTTACCGCCCTTCCTCTCCTATTTTTCCATGCCTCTAGCGCGGCTTTGTTACCAGCTTCTAGAAGAGCAGTGTGTTGTCTTATAAGCTCTGGTAACGCCTCTGCAGCTTCCTGCTGTTCTCGTTGACGGTCTGCGAGCTGGTCGTGAAGTATTCGGAGATTATAGGTACGAGTACCATGACGAAATTGAGGGTGCAACTCATCCTCTTCAATTTCGTTCCCGTTAGCATCGCGCCGCTTCTGGATGTACCAATTCATTCTTGCAAGAGTTTACCACTCTAACTCGCTGAGATGGTATGGCGCACGCGAAGTGCAGTTGGCTGATGCGAGTAACTTCACGTGGACGTGTGATGAGAAAGATAGCAGAATGATTTAGGCCACGACCACAGAGAAAGGCTGTGCAGATTGAGCGGAATACCTTCTATAAATGCAGGACGTAACAAAGAAACATGTGGTCGGTGTAGTCAGTCTTCATTATTATGCTCTCTATCAACAAAGGAAATAACCTGAAGCGGAACACCCGTCGCTTAGCTTCTCGCAATACTAACAAAGACACGAATCCGCGAACCAGAACCTGGATGCCGCCTTATCCATATACGCCACCCAGCTTTCACCTCAGGCAGTACGATTCGCGACCCGCCAATCCCAAGCCTCTGGTGGCGGCGACGGCTCCTTATACGGAACGCCTGCCTCGGCGGCGACGCGAATATCGGCCTCTATCTGCTGAATCTCCAGCTGAACTTGCTCGAAATTATTGAGTCCGTTTCTCGGTATGCGGTCGATGAATCTCATATCACGCTCTGTGCCACAGTCGACAATAATGTGTGTACCTGGTGTCGGCTCTATCACAGGGTCTTTGAGCCCACGTAGGTGCAGGGTTTGTTTTGGTTCCGGGGCTTGTGCAGGAGAAGTACGATGAACTGCTCTCTTCTTCCGAGCAGGTCTGTTTCTGCCTTTTGACTCGCTGATCGACTGACTGGTACCTTCACCTGCTGGTTGCTTCCGCTTTCGAGGCTTCGATATCGATGGCACAGTTGGACCCTGATCGTGGGCACTCGAAGCGTTTGGATTGCCATGTCCGTTGTTCGACTGTATACCAGGGTTGGTGCCATCTACTCCAGCTACACGATCCAGTGCGTGCAGTGTAGTGATCCACTGATGCCTTTCTGACACTCGTCCGTCCAACTTATCCTTTCCACTGCGACGCAAGATCGCCTCAACCAACTTCTCGTCACTCCAGTTATGGTAGTCACGACTCTCTGGAGATTCTTCTGCAATCCTGACGGGAACCTGCTCAACAGGACCGGGACGCTCCTTTGCTAGCATCTCGAGCTCAAGGTCCCGTACGTCGCCCATCTCCACGTCACCATCGACATCGTTACTCGCGTTGTGAGGCTGGGTGGTGTCTTCATTACGTGGGGCGCTCGAGTCTGTAGACACCCCCTTCGACTTCGATGATTGCGTTGCATTAAGAGTAGCAGATCGTGACTCATTTGTCTGCTGGGTCTTCAGAGGTGGAAGATTGGGTACGAGGTCGAGTGCAGTCCGGGGCGCATTTTCCCGATCGTATTTCTCACACCACGCTATCATATCCGTCTTTTTCCTTCCTGTCACGCGGGTGACGCCGCCCGCCCGGAGGATCGGCTTAAGATGGTCATTGACCGTATAAAGATTGTAGTCGACCATCTTTGTGGGAAGTTAGGATTGTATGCGTGCCTGTGTACGTTCTCGAGAGTTGATCGATCAAGATTGTGGGGGCTCAAATCCGTAGCTAGTTGAGGCTGGGGGTTAAGGCGCGTGTGTTTTGTGAGGTCGAGAAAGAGGAAGGGAAGAACTCGGAAGACTCGTATTTGAGCTGTTGGGAGTCATCCTCCTTCACTACGAAAGTAACTCGACTGTGCGATTGTGGCCCGTTTCCGGAACAATGTCACCCCAAAGTTTCACTTGAGCTGGTGGAGATTCCTTCACCACCGCCCTAGGCCTACTCTTGAACTTCGTGGGAGGGGCTGATAACTTTCAAAGAAGCGCATTGAGGACATCTATACTGGAGGGTGCGATTTCTGCTAATAATAGTTAGAATGGAAGTTAACCTCTCCCATTGATCAAGGTAGATACATACCTAAATTGATATTTGACGGTGAAGTAGTACTGATTGATGTGGTATATGTTCTTACATAGCTAGTAGGTATCGCTAATGCAGTGACTAACGATGTCAGGGGTATATAGAGAGGACCTTTTTTATATCTTCCGAAGGACTGGAGGCGGAGCATTGAAGGACTGGGTCAGAGTTGCATGTAAGGTCACAGTGACTTACTTAAAAATTATTCTAAGTATATTTTCCTTGTGAATGCGTGGGACAAGCGAACGAACTTAGAACCAACCCTTGTAGTCCAGTGAGACAAATGAACAAACATGCAGTCAACTTCTGATAAGACATAATGGTCATAGAGGACGCTATCAACTATACAACTGGAAGCCTTTTCTCTCCTCCATTGTATTTTTCATGATTATCGGGCCAATGAATGCAATATCTACTCAGGTTGCGCTTGACGGGTAGTCCTGGAGCGTGTGTCCTCTTTTAAAAAGATTATTTCTTTTGCAAGTAATTTCAAAACGTTTCACAATTCGTCTCGCGTAAAACAATGTCGAGTGTATTTCACCAATACACGTCAGGTTTACCGCATTGTGGTACTACAATTAACGAAGGATCACCTTCTCTTTGTGTAGACTCTCCATTTCACTTTCAATTCCTCCACTGCCGGGTACACACAAATAGCATTTTTCTATTTCATTAGGCTACTCTCCACCTTTAAGCCTCCCTACTCCGAAGACTCCTGTACTACTCAACTTCGGCGTTTATCTCCCAGATAAACGTCTGCCATGGATACTTCGCACTCCTCAGACCACGACGATGTGTCGCAATGCACACCTGATGTACCGACTACTTCGAAAATGCCGTCAACGACGAATTCTGGGATGTTCGAGCACAATGAGTTACCAGAAGCAGGGGTTTCGGCTACCAAAGAAGCGGTCCTCGAAAAGACAGTGGATGGATCTCGTTATGCATCTCTAGGCTTGAATCGTATACCAGCTCACGACCTCAAACGCACAACGATACCTAGGAGTTCCCTCGACAAGCATTCCGAAGTACCGCACACGATCTATAAGCGCCAGTGGACGCAAGACGAAGAGGATCTTACGGACCTCGAGGAGATGATGATACCAAAAGACGCTCGGTTCAACCACCACAATCGATCTTCTCTACCTGTCCAGTGCTGGCGTCCCATCAACAAGGTGATGACGTCCAAATTCACCACAGGCTATCTGACCGAGTTTGGATGGCAATCAACCAATAATTTGTACTGGACAGCGAAAAAGGTTGAAGAGAGAATCACCGGAGATAGTGGTACTACAGGTCCCACCAATGAAGAATTAGGTGCTATGAAGTTCAAAGTTGAAGAAGAACACACACAGGAAGCAGAGAACAACTATGGCGACCATGCATCTATCCCGTTTCTAGATGCCAAGTATTTCGATCATTATGGATACTTGAATCATTCTATTGGAAGGACAAGTACTAAGGTAGCCTATACATCATCTCACTCGCCAGACCACGCAGAGAATGCAGATATTCGAGAACACCTAGAAGTGGAGGCTAATGGGCTCCATCGGATGAACTCTCATATCACCCCCACTACAACCGAAGACAACACAGATACAAGCGCAGACGAAACCATACGCGATGTGATTGATGACCTAGCGAAGGATTCAACGGGTAAATGGGAACTGCTCGAAGGCAACACAAACCCTCCACGAACCGGCTACACCTCGCCCCACATGCTTGCTATCCGTCTACGTAACGTCGAGACGCAAGAGGTTGAGATATCCCGTTTTGAAAAGATTCCGCACGAAGATATTGATTGGAGTAACAGGGCCCATATCCAAGAGATTTCCAATTGGCGCAGTCGGGTCTTCCACGGCCGTGGATTTACAACTAAGAAGACTAACGTTCTATATACACCAGAAGAGGACGCCTGGCTTATGCTTTTCTACGGGAAAACCAAAGCAGCAATTGAAGCTGGTAACATCGTCAGTAATTTAGGCCCTGTTCCAGCCATGGAAGCATTCAACAGCTTCTTTGAAGGCAAGGTGCTGAAGGACGACGATGGCAACGCTCTATCGCCGCGAAAGGCACGGGATGAGCAGTCCTTGAAGTACAAGATCAACTATAAGAAGTCTCCAATCTGGAACTTGCGAGACGAGATACGAAAACTGCTGAAAGGGAAGCGTGGAGGGGCCTTATACGTGCCTGTCATCACTGAAGATGAGCTACGCCGCTATCAACAAGACGGCATTATCATAACTGATGATCCCCGCGAAGCCAGCAAGAATGCAGCACTAGGGGTAGGAGGGATCAAGGCAAGGCATACCTCACCGAAGCGAAAACTCGATGCGGAGGATATGATCGAGGAGAACTCTAAGCGAGTGAAGCCGACGTCTCCCACGCAGACAAACGGAGGGGAGGACACTACTTCGTTTCTAGTCCCGACAGCAGACCTTTGAACGGATATCGAGCGCCTAGAGTCATGGAAGTGGTAACCTTGGGTCTTGAACTTCGTTTATCAACAAAGTTTGGCCTTGAGGTTTTCGGAAATCCCTTTGTCCGTCCTGAGGCTGTCTGGTCGCGCAAAGCGAGCGCTATTCGTTGTCAGGGTTGTGTGCACATGCAATCATACGGCGCAAGAGATGATCACAGATAAATGCGCTTAGGATAGTCTCTAATTAATCTTCAAGTTCCACTTCATGTACTTAGGTCTCCAGTGTTTCCTACTCTTTTAGCTGAAATTTACGTTATCCTGCATTCCGATTGAAGTGGCAATTATGCTAGTTGGTTTAACGTGTCCTTTCTTTACTCCATATGCTAGAGTGCATGGTGCTCTCACTAATCGCATCTAAAGATGAATCGTCAACAGCGCCGATGACAGAGAGGGCGCTTGGGTTTGGACACTTGAAACCTTCTGCCTTTGAAAAGAAAAAGAGTTGTGCATACCCCGCAATACCCGACGAGGAAGGTGGCCATTTCGTGTGACGAATAGCCGAACGCGGGGCGCCTCAACCGACATCGCTGCACCAGTTGCTTGAACCATCGCTGTCGTCGCGCGATAGCTCTGTTTCATGCTTCGTGTGAACTAGCATGATGTCTAGACTGTTGCGATGTTCCCTTTGTCTCTTATCCATCTCGACCCTAGTCATCGCCCAAGACTCGCTTCAGATAGACAACCCATACGAGGTACCCATCTACAACGACCTTGCTTACCAACGCTACAATATTGCCATCGCACTCGGCACGCCACCTCAGTCATTCTCGCTACTCTTCGACACTGGATCGACGGACGTATGGGTTCCCAGCCCAGATTCGTCGGGGTGCGCCCCAAGTTGCCCACCAGGATTCGATCCTGCTGCTTCATCGTCGATCATCAAAACGAACATTTCATTCGATGCGCGTTATGGTTTCACCCCTGACGTCGCGGTATTAGGCTCATATTACAACGATAGCATCTCCGTCGCTGGCTTGCCATCTACTTCCACCGCTCAGTTCGCTGTTGGCGACGTCCCTTGGCTACTCTTCACGCAGGGCACGTGGGGCATATTTGGCCTTGGCTCGCGGCTCCAAGAAGCAGTCTACTCTAGCCCCACATCTCCATTTCACGGTGACCTGAGCGCGACTTATACCCCTTTGTGGGAAAGGCTGGGGCTTGCGTCACCATCGGGGAAGAGGAAGTTCAGTGTATGGCTGAACTCGCAAAACGCTGAGAAAGGCTCAGTGCAGTTTGGCGGGGAGGATGCAACAAAATATCATGGTAGGCTTAGGCAAGTACCAGTAAATTTGTGGCGAGGCGAGCTTGCAGACTGGAGTGTGAACGTTACCAGTGTGACGCGGGTTCGTGTGGATGGAAGTGGTGAAGAAACAAAAACCCGACTGACGGCAGAAGACTACAGTGTGGATTTTGTAATAGACACTGGGAGTCCTAACATGTACATTCCAACAACTCTATACGAATCTGTCGTCGCGGGACTACATGCCACCGAGGTTATCAACGGCGCGCCTTACGTCCCTTGTTCACTCCGTTCAACTTCTACTGGGTTCCTGGACTTTGAGTTTCAGACTGATGCGAAAGGTCGAAGACGCTCAAGATACCACCCAGTCAAGATACGGGTTCCGTATAGCGAGATAATATATCCGTTCGGCTATCCTGTCACTGTACCCCCAGTGAGAGACGTGGATGGAGCAGATATGTGTTACTTCGGAGTCGTTCCACAAGATGGAAGAATTAGATTGCTTGGCGCAACATTTGCGAGAAGTGCGTATCTCGTGTTTGATGCAGAGAATTCAGAGATTAGAATTGCACAGGCAAAGTCTGAGACTGGTCATCCGAGTCTGCTTCCCCAAATCGAGTACTTGAGAAGTTTTACATCAGGGGCCAGGTAACTAGCTTTATTGTAATCTATTCTACTTGCAACTGAACTACGGCTTTAGGTTTTAGCTTGCAAAAGCGTTTACCGGGATAATCTGTTACTCCCACCAGGGAATGTCCGTCTGCCTCAACGTATTGGTTCCACAATGAATTTCGCCTCCCCTAGAATGATGGCTTAGGTAGTCGTCTATGTACGTAACATTCATACCGGCACGCGTGTAGACTTCTTCCACCGCCCTGGCAAACACATCTACGCCGTCGACCACCGGGCCCCAAGGGCGAGGCGCGAGATACTGCTGTCCAATTATGATACCGTTGATAGCAGCTGGAAAGAAAGCACCCAAGTTCATCTCTCCTTCAGTAACAGGGTACCAGTAAACGTGCAAGCCGTCGGCATTAACGAAAGGGCCGCCTCGAGAATTGTCTTGGAAGAGAGCGGGCACGAAGACGATATCCGAGCGATTAAGCGGGACTTCGGAAAGAAGTATGTCGAGGTTGGAGTCAATGTATTTCTGGCCGTATGCATTCGTCTCAGCAAATGTCTGGTTGGCCAGGAGATCGTTGATGTTGATACTAAGTCCGGGGTTCTTAGGCACCGTGCCTTGCAGCTCCTCAACACGCGACAGATTAAAAGAAACGGCCACCTGGCTTCCATGTCCTGCCAGCTGCGCATCTTGCAGGATCTTCATAGCCGATCTCGTATCTGCAATCGCAATGGTCCAACCCAAATCGTTGTCATAAGGGATAAATTGCAAAAACTCATCTATGTGCCCGACGCGCAACCATCCGGTTTCGAGCACGAGTGGGGTTTGCACCTTGTTTCCATACAACAAGTCCCTAACAGGCTTAGACGTCAGTTGATCGAAGTGCTTTCCGAAGACAGCACGTCCAGCCGGATAATTCACACCGCGTTTAGACCGGTGGGGTGGAAGAGTCTCCAAATTCCCGTAGCTGTTGATCGTATCGTAGCCAAATCCTGTTCCTGTGGCGCTTCCTGGCTGAAACCCGCCTACTCCTGGCCCCCGCAGCTGTTCAAATACTTGACGACCACCAGTGCGAGCCGACTGCGCGGAACGGAGCATGATTCTGATAGCGATAGGACCGACAGGGCCGGGCATGCTGGCATAAGCTGGCTCCAAGAAATCCTGGGCCCAGATGTCGGATGACTGGTTGAACAGAAGCAATGGATTCTCAAGGCCGATCGCTACACGAGCGTCCTCAATCTGATGCACAAAGTCTCTTTGGACAAGGTTGGTTTCATTAGCATTGCTACTGACCAAGGTTTCGACCCGCTGAAGAGGGTGGTGGAGCAGTACTGGCGCTATTTTCATGGCAACGATGTCGCTGCCAATGCGCGGGGTTCCCGTGTATGAGATACGATCGGTAACATCGAAATGAACCGTCACACGCCCGTCCCAAACATCGGCATCTTTCACAAACTCTCTTCCATCAATACCAAGAATGAGGCCTTGACGTAACTGAGTGGCGTTGAAGAAGAGTTCCTGGTCGACAAGGCGCCACGATTTGGTTGCATTAGGATTGGCAGCGTCCTCGAGCACAAAGATTCGGGTCCTCTCGTAAGCTGCGCGTGGAGTGGCGTATACATGAGCCGTAGCATTGTCTGAGATGTTCGTCATCGGTATCGTCCGGAGAGGCGCAAGGTATTCGGGGGCAAGCAGTAGATGGCCGGACGCATCACTACAGTAAGCTATCTCATCATTGCTGAGCGGATTATTATTCCGGTCGGTATTGGCACATCGCATGTGTTTATCGCCGACGTTCGGTAGGAAGATGGCGCCGCGAGTCGCAGACCAGAGTGCCCTACCCGCCGAGTCTGAGTTTCCGTTAATGTCCACAACCCCATCGCGATTGGTATCCGCTCGGATATTCGCATCGAGTTGCGCGAGAGCCAGACCCGACTGGAGAGCCGCGGCCAGAGAGAGGAGAGCAATCGTCCGGACCATGTTGAGGAACATGTCGAGAAGTTGCTAAGACTAAAGAAGAACCGCCAAAGAGGGACGAAAATGACTTATTGAAGTGGTCACTGCCTCTGTGCAATTTTTACGACGTATTAACCCTTTTATATGCATTTAGCGATCATCCCAACAGTGCACTATGTTGTTGCTATCCCAATCGCCTCGTCTCCATTCCAAATCACACTAGCATGAGTCTCATGCCGATAGCGAACTGATCTTCTCTCCTTCTGATATCTTATCTCGGCAAGCTATTTTCGTGATTATAATTATTATCGGTAATGTTAGGAATTTTGCTTTATCCCGACATTGGTCGGCTTGGAGCGGTACGTAAATGTGCCGACGGCGAAGGTGGTCATACGTTAATCAATCCCCACGCTACTCAACCTTCCTTAATTGCTAGCTTTTTGTTCTGCTGCTATAGGCAGCAGCATTATTATTACATGGCTAGAATTAGTTCTATAGTTCTATTTTGCGTTGCGGTACTATGCTGTTTATTTTATTGCAATACTGCTTTTATAATGTGCAGAGAGCTTCTGAGCTTTATAACTTATTTTTCTCTCAGCCTTCCTCCTTCGTTGTCGTAGAGACAGCAGATCTGGAACTGAAGGGACAGGATCTCCAATTACGTGTGCCGGCGATGAGATTACGTGTAATCATTGTGTTCAAGCAACAGATTGTCTACCTCTAGCTTCTTTCGATGTTTGCTTAAGATAGAGCCTTGCAAGTTTGATCACACTGGCAGGTGCACTTCCGAAGGGCTTTTAGATTGCTGGATGGTTGTCTGTATGCCGAGAGCTAAGACAACTGCGGTTTACCTTACATGGTCCATGAGTCATAAATTGATCTCCGTCCATAAACCGACGAATAATGACCCAGGCACGGCAAAAAATATAGGAATGCCGCGACCCTGACTCTGCCACGCAACCGACATGTACTTCACTGATAGACTAACCTAGCCGAGCTAGAACAAGTATTTATAATGGGTCGAGCATCCTACGAACAGATAAGCCCAAACAAACTTGAAGCACCCTGCAAATTAAACCTATACGACCCCATATTTACGCTCCACGTCGGTTTTCTCGCTATCATCTCGGAGGGAAGGGTTCGCTTCTGACAATTTGAGATGGAGAGTGCGGGGAAGGGAATACCTCGTCTTACCTGGCATCTTAGTCGAGTACGAAGAGGAGCAGACATGTATACCAATCTAGCAAATGAACTAGGTATGTGGGATCTTTCATCTAATTACTAGTAATCGAAAACTTCGAATGCCAAGGCTGGGCATGCAGAATCGTCCATTGACTTGGCTCACTTGCTGCAGCTGTTTGCGATATAGGAAAAATGCGAAAAGTGGACCTCTCCCGAAAAAGGTCTTAGTTGAGCCGCCTACGGCTATCTTAGTACACAGATAACGTTTGTGAATAGAATAAGAAACACAAGTCACCCGTAATGTTCACTCTCAGACGATCAATCCCCACTTTGATTGCTTCCTTAGAGACGGAGTCTGTAAGCTCCCACGGATTTTTGAAATGTAAAAAGGAATTGTAATCCCAAATGCAATTTGGGCTACGGGTTTAGCATTGCAACATATACTGCTAGGGTTTCCTCAACTTCAGTTCATGAATAGTATTACTTTTTTACACACACGACTTAATAATTTTTGCTGAACCAGGCATTGAACTACAAGATTTCGAGATTTTCGCGATTCGCTATACTTCCATTATGGTTCCTATAACGGCCAGCAAAGTCCGAAACCCTTTCATAACCATTTTATGCTGTGTAGCTTCTGTAATACTAGTATTTTTATCAGTAAGGATCCCCTCCTGGGCCCGGTCGCACTGCCTGAAGGCTGACGGAAACCTTTAGGGTGGCACGAGCATTGTCGAGGCTACAATTGAGGGAAATCAGAACCTTCCTCGCTGCGACTAGATCAATGCTGTCCAACCCTTCTTCTCTCATCTCCACCGTATTGCGCGGTATCCTCGCCTTGGACCGCCCTGAATGCTATCCCCGTATTCCATCCTACGATGTTTGAGGACGATTTGGCTTCCGATGAGTATCGCGCCAAAAACAATGGTAGAGTTCTGTCTGCCCTCTAGGGCATTCCTTTCCAAGTTAAGAACAGTTACATGCTAGTTGGCTCGCCTATTGCTGTCAGCTCCCTGCATTTGAAAACCTGACAGCAACCACCGACGCTTTTACAATTGCTCAGCTTCGAACAGGCGGTGCAACACGGGTTCGTATTAGATACATTAAGATTGCACAGAATCGCATTGGCGAAAATACCTTTGAGATACCGAACATCGGCGACTGGCTCCAATCGATAGAGTACCGCCGTATCCGGGACCTGGAAGACTAGATAGACTGTGAACCTGTTGATGTCGTTTTGCCTGCCGTGCGAGGTATTGATCCCTGGGATGTAGAGACCAAAGGAGTTTCGGCTGAAGCAGCATAGCGGAGTGGTGTCGCTAGGAACGCTGCCATTCGTCAACCTGGTATTCCTGCTTTTAGTATCAACATGGGCGCTATAGGCGACATCAACATGCCAATAGACTTGACACTTGCTGAGGAAGCGTACGACGGCAATGTTCCTTTGAGCTGGGGCTACCATTTTGAAACGGCGTACAATAAATGATTTTCGCCTCCACAGACTCCAGAGACTAAGACTGACAAATTTCTTCCCACTGAGCTGGGAAAACAAAGTCCACTAGCGTCTCGGAGGCACCTGTGCTAGTTGCTGAGGCAAAGTGAGTGGACAATTCTTCTTCAATCGTCGTTTCTAGATTTATCTCTCTGAGTGATGGTATTCAAGTTGAAGTCTTTCTAGACGGAGCCTATGCCAGTCTTGTTTAATTCAATAGCCGATGTATGGCGCGAAATTTCATTCCGGATTGCGACCAAGTAGTCAGTTCAAGCACACTTTCAGGACTACAGTGGCCAAACGCGGCAAATACAAATTCTTTCTTTACCCCACAGGGTACAAATACTCTCTACCCCCTTATGAACAAGCAAAGTTGCACGCAGAATTGAAAGCAAGTTTGTTAAGCTGGAGCAAAAGTTGAAACGGAACAGGCATAGAGTGAAGAACCACGACTTTCTACGATCAGGTAAGCCATACCCCCATTACATGTTAGCATTCTATGATATGTTCTATCCTGAATAATAATCAAAGAAAGTAACGGAGTTTGATTAGCAGTCATTGTTTGCGTATCGAGAGTTATAGTTGGCATAGGAGCCCTATAGACACGGAAATAACAGAAAGGGAAGCAGGCCAAAGATGGATATCCCGATGATGGGCATCGCTGGCCACTGTTTTGAAGACCTTCCCAGGAGAGAGACAACTATGCATAGCAAGAATCTAGTATAGCACTCTCAATCGTCCACTGGCAACTACAGCCGTTTTAACCTAGATACCGACCAAGCGAATATCAACAAGCGTTTCAGATAACACCATTCGTGCACTTCTAAGTTTTCTTATGCTTTCGGAAGACCAGCAAGCAAGGAGTTATATGCTACTCTTGTCTACACCGGGCCTTTCAGGACAGAACATCTTCGTCCTGAAGACCTAGTAGGGCGCCTGTTAATCGACGGTACAAGGGTTGTTTCCTTTACTGCAAGGTATTTGCCAATCAGAGCTACATGTCATGAGCAATAAGTATCACACATATGCCCTTGTATGCTTCTCGTATGCCTCATCATAACAACACTCAGATGGAGCAGGGGATTGAATTAGAAGTGTGAATATCATCGCGAGCGCATGTATCAAGTTGCAAATAGGACTAGTCCCGGTCATCTGTTACGGTGCCTGTGACGAGGGATCTTTTTAACGCCTCGGGCACACCGGAATTTCATACCGAATGATTTGCTGATAGAATGGTGCAGCTCTTTTGCGTATAGACAGTGGCCATTTTAAATTCTGAAGCCGAAATGCCGAATTTCCGCCAAGTTGTCGCTTATTAGCGAGATGACTCTAAAATAGTTCAGAGATGGCGTGCTACAGACGTACAGCATAGAGTCAGGAGATGCTTACTTTTTCGTTAACAGCACATCGTACGAGGCGATGTTCTGCCATGGCGAGGGGCGAGTTCCGGCAAAACCCCATCAAGGTGCAGTGTCACATGGGAGCGAGTGTGATTTACGATACGATAGATTTTGCTTGGCGGGTGTATGAATGGGTACGATTTGCGGCTTGGAAGTAAGCGTTCTTCACATCTAGGGGGGTTAGGCGTGTGCGTTGTTTTAGGACGGAAGCATGCATCGGCCCGCAGCCCGTGTCCACAGGCATGAAATGGTCTGCAGCTGTTGGTTGCAAGCAATGATGGTGGGTGGTACACTAGGGTATGTTTTCCTCACCCGATGATCGCTTGCCATACAGAAACGCGGGCGGGGGAGCGGGTACAGCTAAGGATAAGTGCGATATGCAGGCTAGAAGCTCACAGATACAGTACTAAAGGCACGGCGCCTCAGGCTGTGTTGTCTTCTCATGTCTAGACTCCGACTTTAACATGCAAGGCTAGACGGCACAGGCACATCGCCGGCGCCCTACCGTATCACGATCGATATCCTTCGTGCCACACATCCCCAGCGGAGTTTCAAACCCGACCCTAGCTAGCAGATCTGCGGTCACAACTTCCAGACCTATACTCGTCGCCTAGGCCGCGCATGTACGGCATTCCAGACACCTACGCACTGCGCGGGGCAAACCGCGCAAGCGACACGATATGCAGGACTAGAGCATGTAGAGTGCTCTTAAGCGAACTATACAGATCATATGACCCACCATTTCGACGAATGTTGTGCCGCATTAGATGTTGCTAGAGGTAAGGAGAAGTGAGTAGCTGGCGCTTGGGGTTACCCATGCTGGATTGGCGAAATAGTTGTCATATATGGCTCGGGAGGGGTATGGCTTGCCTTATGCGCATCACATATTTCTGGGTGTGTTGGAAACGCGCCATGCCCTGGTTTTGGTGTACAGCTACACGGCTGGGAGATATGGAAGGTCTGCCGGTTGTGAATAGTTTGGATACAGGGAAGCACGTTCGTCGGTTACTTTGA